CCCTAACCCTAACCCTAACCCTAACCCTAACCCTAACCCTAACCCTAACCCTAACCCTAACCCTAACCCTAACCCTAACCCTAACCCTAACCCTAACCCTAACCCTAACCCTAACCCTAACCCTAACCCTAACCCTAACCCTAACCCTAACCCTAACCCTAACCCTAACCCTAACCCTAACCCTAACCCTAACCCTAACCCTAACCCTAACCCTAACCCTAACCCTAACCCTAACCCTAAGAGATGAATAAAGGGGGGGTTGGCTGAGGGGGGACCGTTGGGTTCTAACCATCATCTTTTACTTTACCTTCCGCCACATCGATGAGGAGGAGTTTTCCCTTGTCTCAGGGGTATACGATAGATGGTAAGAACGTGTCGAGCACGTTACTATCTGCTGTACAACCAGTGCGACCCAACGAGACCGTAATTGGCTCAATAGCACTGGCTCTGCTGTAAGAACACATTCCTCCAGTGTGTTACAGGCTGGCGCTTAGTATGGGAATCGGTTATACTCCGGTAGAGCTAGCAAGCCAATTCCACGATGTTATCTAGAGAGAGGAGAGAGCTCCCACAGTAGTTACATCTTCTCTTCTCTCTTCGACTCAAATAATAACGGCAATTGGCCTGCGCTCCTTTCAGCTAGTAGTGTTGTACCCTTCACAAGTGTGTGTCTTTACCGACGGTAACATAATCTCCGGGTCCAAACTTTTCGGGTAAGTCTGGGTGGAAGTAACCGATGTTGGTTACCTTCCAGCCGTCGAGCTTCGCTTTCTTTTCTGCGGCTTCCTTCTTAGCCTTGAGGCTGCCCTTGAACTTGTCGACGAGCTGGCCGATGGGCCCGTCAGCAATGCTGCCCTTGGCCAGCGTCGTGGCCGCCACCATCTCGCTGATGCGAGTGCGTGAGTCCTCATCTATGCCTCGAACATTGTTGGATGGCCCAGGTGGGGGAGGATCCTGTGGCGGATCATGTCCAGGAGGAGGTGGAGGAGGTGGGTTCGAGCCAGATCCGGAAGCGTGGTGAGGGTTAAACATGGTTGCAGGGGTATCGTTCGATGCGATGTCTTGGGATAAGATATTTATGTACGCTATGAGATAGTTCGATGTTGGTAGGCGTATTCTGGGCCAAGATAGTCAAAATGTTAGGTTGTCGTAGGGCGCTCGATGTGTGGCGGACCGGGCGTAGGAAAATAGATAAACCGCGCTGTCTATGTCTCTGAATATTTCTTGCATTGAAGGGTCCCAGCAACGGACGTCTGACCGGGTGGAAGTGAGGCGTTCTGGGTGTAAGGTGTGGTCGTTGTTCAAGGAGCTATCCAGCCGTAGCCAGCTACAGTAGTAGATAGCGTCCCAGGTACGCACGCCTCCTGGTCAGGGAGAACGTCGGGCGTTCTGGGTGGATAAAGGAGGTGGGGGATCATAAATCCCACTGTCTACATGTCTGACGGCGTCTCTGAATACTGTCAGATTGGAGATGTGGACGGTTGTTGATTTACCTTTTAACAACCAAAAGGTCTAGAGTCTTCCAACCTTTAGCAGAGGTGCTACCATTTGTTGGGCTCAACCCAGTCCAAAGTCAAGGATCAATCATTAAAAAACACGGATTGTAAAAGAGAGGAAGAGAGTAGAGCTCTCGATCTCTCAGCTAGTTATATATACATGGATGGATAAGGTTTAGCAATAGCTGCGGCAGCAGTTATGGAGATATGCCCATATGGCGTGACTCCTTTATTTGTTATTATTTATTTATATATTAATTAAATTACTTTTAAAACGAGAAATTTCCTATACTTAAATGTCGCTTCATTTCATTCTTCGTGATTAATATAATCCTCCCCTTATTTTCTCGTCTCAATCCATAATTGCAATGTTCGAGCGCCCGCGAAGAATGAGAGCCTTGGTTCGAGTAGAATTCAAGAGCAGTTCATAGACCAGGACTGCCAGTTGTCATTGGCGCTAGAAACGTCATTGCAAGTCTGAAGCGCAAGGGTGTGACCTTCGTCGGCGCAATTGCTATCGGCGTGGACGACCACTACAAATAACTCTTGTTAGCTCTTTACTTCCTACTAGGTTCTCTTGCCAGGTTTTGTCGACCAATTCGTCGGCGAGGATTAAAACTTACGAGTACAACCCGCGGCGGCGGCAGTAAGAGCCTCTAGGTTTACGGACTTGACAGGGCCGCTGACCCCCGCAAAGGTATTGCACTTGTTTGCATCGGACGTATCAACTAGGTAGAAGCCGTAGTTCAGTGCATTGCAGCCGTTAGCTCCGAAGGCGCGGAACTGGGCGAGGCGGTCGCCATCACGTTGGATGACAGCAGCATTGGCGCCAAAGGCGAGGGTAGCGACAGCGGCAATGATGGTAGAGAACTGCATTTTGGAGTTGTCGAGTGTTGATTACTTGGCTAAGAGGATATTGGATATGAGAGATATGGGAGATATGAGATGGTAGTTCGTTCTGTTATTGCGACTTTGTGATGTTGTTTAATATCTGAGACTGATGATTTTCAATTCTAGTGACTAGACGTCCGGTATCCGTCTTTTATACCAGCCTGATGTTCTCCCCTCTTCTATACCTAGGTACTATTCCCATCGGGACCTACGGACTTTACATCGTGGGGTTCCCATTCTGATCTGTCGGTCATGAACACGATGCCTTGGCCCATGCACAGAGGCGGCAACGCAACGCAAGGGATGCTCTGCGGACCGAGCAGCGTACAAGTCACACCCGCGTAGGGTACTTTCTAGCTGAGGATGGAGCAACCAATCGTAAACTCCGGGGACATTGATGATCTACCCGACGTGGAAACTAAAAGACCATTGTCTTCAATTCTCGCATACGGTCGATCAGCTGACTGAGGCAGCTTACAGCTTCTTGAGGCGATCGACGGCCGTCGAGCGGTTTTCACTGGCCCGTCTAATTTTGGATTGCTGGGATTTCCCTCGTATGCCATGCCTCATTCTCAGCACCAACAGGTCGTGTAATGCTTCTTCTCGCTTGTACGCCCCCATGGTGGATCACACGGCATATAATCGTATCTTTTCTCTGTCGAGAAACGCGAAAATAAAGGTGCAAATTCCCCGATTGGGTTTTTCTCCAAAATCAAGACCATCGAATGAGTCCCAATGCTTCAGTAAAACCACGCAACGGTATTATACATGCTACGCTCAGATCACCGGAGTCTCATCTCCTATTCTCTGGGCTGTGAAGTCCGTATTAAAAACTAAAGAATTAACTTAATCCTTACGCGCATACTTTGGTCTATGGCTTAGATGCCGGCATGAAGATCCCGAGTATCCACATCTTCAACATCACCGTGGTAGGTAGTTGCTTACTCCAAACATCATCCCAAGCATCCCAGAATAGTTGCATACATGACCACAGTATGTTGTTGGGTAAATACTGTCATTTTCGGCGCTATTGTTGTTCGATTCTCGTATTGGTTTTACGGTCTTTTTCATGACCGCCGCGTGTTCATGCCCCGTACTACTTGGTACGAGGTGACCAGTCATATATCTAGCGTAAAAACAGCAACATATTCAATTGTCATCCAAGTTGGTTAGGAGCGGCACGGCCGAATAATTTTCATGAGGTACTCATCACTGGGACCCGAGACCCGAGATCAACTGACGACACCCGATGCTCCGAAGTGGCACGATTAGCTAACGGATTGCAACGTGGGAGCGCAAATCACTAATCTGCCTATGGAACTCGGACCGTAGCCGTCTTACAGCAGACGTGAAAGCATGCTAAGTTAGATAGGTCGAGCCAAGTCATACACTTTATTCAAGTACGAAGATGCTTTGAGTCCAGCTAGGAGCCCCTTTTACAACTACAGATAATTTCTTATAATATCAACGTTGCTTGATATCAAGTATGACAATGTGGTCTTCGCAACATAATATGGCAGTATGCTTGCCTTCCCAGGATAGTGCTCTTTGTATTCTTGTCTCCAACAAGGCCCAATTACAGAAGAGACCACCGCAATTCACAGCCATTGATGCCCGAAAAGTATGGATATACGTAATTAAGTTTATAGGGATTACAACATATTTCCCAAGCCATCGGCCGGACGTTGCCTTTGCTAACTAAGTGTCATTCCCATCACCTCCTTCGCCCTGCCCTATAATACAGTTGAGATATACAGATCCAAGCACAGCGGAATAAGCGATCCTTGATGGACGCATCATTAATTATTCGAAAAACATTCGCCCATGTTCCAATCTTTACTCCGCACCTAACCTAAGTATGTGTCTGCCAGATCTCTGCCTATGACATAGACACCTATCTAGGTAGGTAACAATAATTCCCGACTTATATAGCATTCAATTGAAGTCAAATCAATAAGTAGATAGAGGATAAGGGGAAATATCGCAAGCCCTATCACACTTGTTGATTTGTAAACAAGCTCAAGCAAATCGTGCTGACCTCCAAACTGCGCTGTGAGAATGGCCTTGCCGAATAGAGATGAAGAGATGAAGAGTACATATCTAACTTACTAAGTGATACAATACATAACAAAGTGATCAGCAGGAACTCCCGCCAGTTGTAGCAACAAAGCATCAACAATATAGTCGCTCTAGAACACCCGAGAAGCTTATAGGTCTGACCACGTAACGGGGTGTAAGTAAGGTAAGAGTGTAACGACAGCACATATCCCTCGTGGAACTCAGAACAGAAACGTCACTTGAGATTTTCAGTTGCAGAAAAGCTGGGCTAGGTGGTCAACTGGGTGTTATCATATGATATAACCCATAGTTTTCGAATGCATAGTCCGACTCAAATCACCTCTGTCGATGCAGACTAACACTAGTTCACACACTGGCTGCTATTCTCATCCTCGCCCTTGGCCGTGCTGTGAAAAGACTCGAGATTGGCTGTGCTAGACTCGCCGTTAGTCAAGCTTGGGCCATTTCCCTTCCTATGAAGCCCAGAGACTGGCGACGGGAGCCTCGGCTCGGGGATTATTGCAATTTCATCATCGGTGTCAGCGACCAGGACTTCTAGTGATGCCGAAGGCGCGCCGTTACTGAGCTTATTCGGCACCCTCTCGAGCGGGTAAAAGCCTGTGAGGTCAGCAATAATCTCACGAAAACCCTGTAGCTCTTCTTCCATTTTGCGGTTCGTAACTCGAAGTGCCATCATCTGCTCCTGGAGCGCTACCCTTGTTGGTGTATGGTCGGCCGCTTGGGCGTCCAGGTCACCAGCAGAGCTACCACTACCTTCGCAATTCAGCCCGGGTTCGCCTATTCGTGGACCGGGGTCCGGCGTTCGCTGTCGGATCGATAGACTAATTGTCATATCCCCTTTCTGCCTCTCCAATTCGTAGACCTGCTGCCTCAGCGTAAGTGTCGTTTGCTGTTCTTGTTCTAGCTGTGCCTGAACTGAACGTTTATTCTCGACCACCTCTGAAACCGTTTTCCTGAGCTCGTAGACTTCAGTGCTTAGTTCTCTGGCCAAGTTGTACTCGGCCTCTCGATCCAAGTGTAGCTTCTTTGTGGCAAGTTCTTGGCGCTGAAGTTGCTCGTATTCCTGATCAATTATTTGAATGTATCGTTCCAGATCCTCGATATTCGACTTCCGTTCCTTAAGTTCGTTGTGTTGGATCTGTATCACTCTATACATTGCTTCAATCTGCTGGGAGAAAGCTCGCGAGACTATGCGCTCCTCGAAAAGAATTGCTTTTGCCTTTCTAATCTCTTCGCTCAACTTGTAGATCTCTTGGTCCCGCAATTGTTCATTGTCGAAATGCCCTCTCTTGTCTTTCAAACTTTCCTCGAGAGCACCGACGATGTCCCTATAGCACTGAACTTCGGCTCTCAGCTTTGCCCTCTCGTCGCACACAGTATTCAAAGTTGCTTGTGTTCTCACGTCGGCTTGCCTTCGTCCCGCGGCCTCAGCCTTCCTCTCAGCATCACATTTTGCTAGTGCCTCTCTGAGGTGGGCTATTTTCCGTAGCAGTGCCTGCACCAACCTTTCAGCAATCTTGCAGCTGGAATCCAGTTGCTCCTTTAACTGCTGAACACCCTCAATCGTACATTCAAGCTCTTCGTGCGACTCGGTAGTAGCAGTGGACCTGTCCATTGCCTCTCTAGGCCTGAATAGTGACGTTGATGTAGAACTGCTCTTGGGAGCGGCGGATCCTAGATTGCTTCTAGGGCGATGGAGTAATGCCTCATCGACTGCAGTGTGTGGTAGATCCAACCCTTCATCTACAGCTTTAGTATTGCTTCTAGAGTGGGAGGGTGTCATTGTTACTCGAAAATGAGGGACTAGTGTCGTGTAAGTGAAGGGGATAACAGGGTTGAAGGATACTTCAGATGATGGCAATTCATCTATCTACTGCCAAATGGCAGATCCTGGCATCAAATTAGGAACACTAACCTAAACAATACCCTGGTGACTAAGTGGTTGCTAATTAGGACATTGAAGAATGTTATATCGCTAATCAACTGGATTGGCTTTATCTCTATCGTCTAAGGCTGTCCTTACATTGAGTTCAGGGGCATGTTTCCGTGATCGGACAGTACGCAGCTAGGCCCTTCGAAAAACTTTGTAAACCTTGGGATAGACATCTGCATAGGAAAGTTTATGAATGCTAATGGCGCCGAGCTCATTAGAATCGAGCTGCATTTAGAGCTGCCCGATAATGAGTTGGTGATACTTGGCGCTAACAAGGATCAGTATGGCCAACAACGTTGCCCAGAAGATCGTGCTTAAGAGCCATCGAAGATGTAAGAGAAATAGGGGCACTTGAGAGGTTAGTCAAAGGTGGCCAATGCAATTTTCGCATTAACTCTCAGGATAAGACCACTGTGTAGTTAGCATTAGTTCTCAACGTGCAAGATCGAGTGGTTTAGGATCGTTGATGATATGGCCGTGATCAACCGTGCGTTAGCAAGTAGGCTGGAGGCACATCTGATCGATATAGGAGACAAGGCCCTGAAAGAGCAAGCTTAGAAAGGGGTATGATTATTGAATTCCAAATCTACCTATATATACCGAGCGGGAGAGAATCATCCTCTCACTGCCATTGGCGCAATATAGCACCAACAGTGCTACCGCCCCCCATATCAACCCATATGAAAACAGAAAGATTGTCGCGCCATACTCTTTGGGATCTTGGATTATCCGAAACCCCCCCGCCCCCCAGTCCCCCCCAGCGTGGCGCTCTTGATAGTGCGCGAGATACCCGTGGTGGCCAGCTCAAGATTCATAGGAACTTGCTGACTATCACGGTCAAGCACTGCAACACATTTGTTGTGTTGATATATCAGTCCACCTGCTTCTCACAGCCAATGCGACCGAGCAACTCCTTACGATCGCTGTGGCCGGGTAAACTGACACCGGAAGTAGTCGCACCTCGTTTGACGCCTGTCCGACGTTCCCATCCCTTCAAATCAATAGCTTCTACCCCAACCTCTTCCTCAAGTGGTTGAGCCTCTTCATACTCGAATTCCTCTTCCTCCTCCTCCTTCTCATCTTCATCGTCACTTCTTGTATCATCGGCGCCGTCCCCTTTAATGACGCGGATAGCAACCTGAATAATCATGAAGAACCAGAAAATGGTAAGAACTTGGAGGCCAAGTAAGCAGTATAGGAAACCCCACCGCACATTGCCGTCGAAACATACTATGCCGTCGAAATCACTGAACGGCTTGAGATAGTGTCCCCATCCTTCAGGCGCAGGGACTTGCGTCAGATTCGAATTGGAGCCCGAAAAGCAGGGTTCGGGAATCAACACAGGTATATCTTTATAGATGCTGTAGCATGTCATTAGGTAGAATACGTGCCGAGCCACAAACCACGAGAGCATGAAAACAACGAAGGTGGCGTCGCATAGTTTTGAATAGCCCAGGTATTTTAGGCACTTTGCAAGCTAGTATAGAAGTTAGCGAACATGGTCATGATCAATTTTCCAAGTTAAGCATGGTGTAGACTAACCGGCAAAAACAAATCGACCACGTCCATAAGGACTAGGATCAAGTTACCAACACGCGTTTGATGGTAGAAGTACGAGGTGCAAATGAGCGTGATGGTGATGAAATGGTGAGTGAGCATTTGCCAATGGTCCTTGCGACGCTCCTCGATGTGAATGACAAGAACTTGTTGTATCCAGAAAGCCCACTGCGCCAAGAGGTAACCCTTCATGAGACCACCGAGTTCCCGGATCGGCCACCCGGCCCAAAGCTCTTGCATATTTAAGAAGTAAGGCGAGCTGGCATATAGGTACTTGTTGTATAGTTAGTATAATGATACGAAGAAAATTTGGGAGAATCGTCGCATTATGGTTCCAATATGGGCCATGACACGATAGGGGATTACCATACCAAACCAAGGGACCAGAAAACACAATAGTAGACCAGCATCCAAGATTGTTCCGAGAATCTAGTTATCTCCTTTCGCTTAGAGATGCCCCAATGCCTGGCCAAGGGCGCCAACACGTGTTCCATTAGGCCGGCACGAATTCCAGTGAAGAGGAGTACACAGAATGCTATAAAATGATAGTCATTGGAGCCAATCGCATATTGCCCTGTTGCCGGATTGTAGTACGAGAGGGTGAAGAATTTGGAGGTGTGAGGGCGCGCTTTCGGTAAAAACATGTGGGCAAGAAATATCAGAGCGATCAAATTGAACGAAAGGCCTATAGAATCATAAATTGTTAGCGATAGCTAGGGTGGGTTGGAGGAATGCGGTGCTCATGTCGTGGAACAGATCCATGGTAGGATCAACCTCCCAATGATCGAGACATACCTGTTTGATTGTCGAGAAACCATCTGGCCAAGCTTCTCATAGGACCGTCGCCTTTTCTCCTGATCCTCCTAATAAAGACTTTATTATTGCTAGTCTGCATGTATAAAGGACCGTTCATAGAATTTCGCGATTGGACTGAAGGCCTCGTCGCGGGGGCTTTATGCTTCTCGACCTTGGGCTCCATGGTTGGGGGTAAGGTTGCTGGAGCGCCGACATCTATATCTGCGGCATTGGGTATAGAATCGTCCATGTTTGGCTATAAGGGTTAAGTAAAACCCTAGCCACAATGGTAGAGGTCACCTAGCTATAACCTATTCACAAATATATCGGTTGGTCGCAATGTTATGGCGGGGGTTCGGTTTTTTAGTAGGCCTTTTTTCTTCTTCTTTGGTTTCTCCGTAAAACCAAATGGGTACAATAAAAACACTTAACGAAAGTTTTTTTTTTTTTTTTGCAACTACTGTGAAAGTAGAAGAAAAGGTGTTATATGAGAAAAATCAAACACCGTAAATTGTCAATTCATGACAATTCCTCAGTATCTCTCTCTCTCTCTCTTTTTTTTTAGAAGAACGAATGTGTCCAATGAATCCCTAAGTTAGTATATGGGGGACCTTGATTTTGGTTAGAAACACCAAGTCACTAAAACAAGACTAGGATTTGGACTGGTGGAAAGAAAGTGTTTTGAAGATGTTGAACTTTAGGTGGGCCTCCCCACTCGAAGACGTGCGATCAGAGCGGTGAACGGGAAAAAGGGAGGAGGGATGGCAAGCTACCTGGGTACTTACCTTCTTGGGTAGTAGGGGATGGTGGGGTTTTGACTAGTTTTGGCGACTTTAGCATTTTTTAGTTGATCAATTGATGGATCTCCTGATGGATCTCTGCAAATAAGGGGACTAAACCTCCCATCTCCTAACCTGGATGTTAAAAACCTACCCAAGATAGGGGGCCGATCAGCGATCGATATGTCCATCCTACTTTATCATATTACATATTAATATGTATTTATCTCGTGAGGTGCTATTCCATTTCGAGCCATTTGTCTTTTTTGTTGAGACCCTTTAACGTATGCTGGAAACGTACCTAGTCAGTAGCTGGAAATACACACCCTAGGTCCCTAGGTACTAGGTAGCTAACCATTATTTCTATAAGTATTAACTAATCTCCAGCTTGCAATAGTTAATTAGAGAGGAAACTCATAGCTACTTGATACCTAAAGCGTGTGCTAATTTCAAGTTCTGGCACTACATGTGCTACCTAGTAGATATCCTAAGTACCTAGGGTATGGAAACTTACATAGGCCTCTTATACCTAGTATGTATGCATCTGCTGTCTACATTATGGCATACATGATGTACATGTCGTGTTTCATGTAGATATCAAGTCCACCACACTTCCAACCTCCGTGTAGTAAAAATTATATAATTTTCGTTCGGCCTTCCTCTCTTTAGTTATGTACCTACCTGCATTGAATTGAAGTTCAATGTCACGTACTTAGCGAACCGAGCCGTTTTGCCATGCGCATGTGCTAAAGCTTTAGACCAATAGGAGAAGACTTCTCCGAGACTAAAGAGCTTGTCGCATATAATATTGTACCACCTACCCAACCTACTATGTAGTGCCCACAAGAGGATCTGGCAAATGAGCATCAATGAATTCAGCACAACCACTGCTCATCCAATGTATGTACATAGTTCACGGCCTATGGTTTATTCTCCGAGAACTCCTTCGCGGGCGGGGAATCCATGTATAAGTATGAACTATGTATCTCGGTATTTATGAATGAAGTCCGGTATGATCGAGATGAGAGCTCATGCACACTTAATACAGAGTACCTAGGTGGGTATACACGTGTAACTATAGACTTCCTCGCCTCATATCACAGATCATGAAGTCGCGCTATGTAGTATTAATAAGATGCGTATCTAGGTACCTAGTAGGTATAGGGCATAGTACTCAGTACATATCTCCAATATCCAAACCTCATTTTAATTAGAATAGCATTCATGTTCATGTTATATTACACATTGAATCTTGCCGAGAGAAACTGACGCTAAGTTCGCTGCAGTATTTAAATTGTTTTTGTTATCTGATTGATGATTGGCAGATTAGCAGTCAACTGTAAATCTGCATTTACAAGGGTTTGACCCGAATCAACTAACCGGTTGGATGCCTCCCCATAGTTTTAAGTTAGGTCGAGCCACATCTTCAAGCCACGTGTGAAAAGCTCAAGGTTCAAGTTAAATGTTCAAGCTATCCCTTTGCCTGCTGGGCCAGCACACGTGGGTCTAAACTGGGTCAAAAAAAGCCTATGCATCCAATCAAGTAAATCTGTTGAAGAGTACCTACTCTTCCACCAAATTTTCAGTGTCTTAAATGTATATGTTATCTTTCAAGCTACATTAGCAATACATCGTCAGTTTTGCAACCTTAGCCTATTATGGCTAGCGTATCAGATCCGCCACATGAACCAATGCCCAGCTTATTGATAAATAATTACTTTTCAATTCAAATAACTTTTTAAGTATTATGTCTGGAAAGATATGGTTTTGATATTTATATAGATATCAAATAAGGCAATTTACTGACTCTAGTTGCATGGTATTAAGGCTTCATATAATTATTATATCCAGAGTTGAGCATAACATGGTGATGCTGAGGGATATCACGTGAGCCTTCAAGCGCTAGCCCTTAAAGGCTAGCCTGCTTTCAATTTCAATTTCTAGGTTCTCAACACCTAATCAGCCTTTAAGTTCATCTATTCGTATGAAAAAAATTCTGACATAGTCATTGAAAACTCTGCGATTTTTTGATACATTTTATCAGTTGATTTACTCTTTTAGAGGCTCTTTGTTTGGAAGAATAGATGGCAAGTGGAATATATGGGTATGTGCCTCAATGTATCCAGGGATTAAACTGGGGGTGTCACGTGAAGTTGGACCCACGTGTGCTGGCCCAGCAGGCAAAGGGATGTACTATGTATTTGGTACATGGTTAGTACAATCCATGGAAACTTTAATTGATTGCTGATTCATCAGGACAACGCCACAGAATAAAGCCACAGTCCACTGTTTATTTCACTACATGTATGACCGCACCGTGATTAACTAACTTAACACAGCATTTATTGCGCCCCGCGATTCGCCGTGATTCTTCTAGCCTAGAACCTACCTACATTCAACATTTCCACAACTTCTCATCCCACCTACCACCTAAACTCCATCCTGTCATCAGCGTCAAACATCAGCAGATCATTACTCTTTTCACCTCTCTCTTGTTCATCAACTAGCGACAAAAACCGCATTCACTAAGAGACCCGCGAAGAGATCAGTCACAACGATGGCCGCCAACACAAAGTACGCGCCCGCGCCTACGCAGGACCCAGACGCTGGTACCTGGTCGCAGGCTCCCCCCTCTTACCAGGCTGCACCTGATAACAGCGCAACAGCCGACATCTTCAGCACCTCGCCACGAAGCAGCGAGGACAACATCCCAGATGATTTCAAATTCGGCGGCTCTGTTGCTGAGGCGACAATTGATATCCGCAACCAGTTCATTCGCAAAGTCTACACCATCCTAACCGCGCAACTGCTCGTCACCGCCGTCGTCAGCGGCCTCAGCTTCTGGAGCGAGGGATATAAGGGCTGGATTCAGTCACATCCTGCTATGGTTTGGGTTTCTGTAAGTTTGATTTGCTGCTATTGCGTCAATTCTTTTTATTTCTCTGTAACAAGAATGTGAAACAATACTAATATGATGTGTTGCATACAGCTTCTCGGCGCCATTGGTTTCATGCTCCTTACCTACTGGAAGCGCAAGTCTTACCCGACAAACCTTCTTTTCCTGTCCGGTTTCACGCTTCTTGAAGCCTACACCATCTCTGTCATCGTATCCTTCTACAAGACCCAAATTGTGCTCAACGCCGTCATCCTCACGGGAGGTATCTTCGTCTTCCTAACTTTGTTCGCCTGCCAGACCAAGTATGACTTCACTTCCTGGATGCCCTATCTTTTCGGCGCGCTCTGGGGTCTTCTGCTATTCGGTTTCATGATGGCTTTTCTCCCTCAGAGTAGCACCAGCGAGCTCATCTACGGTGGTCTTGCGGCCCTCATCTTCTCTGGCTACATCCTAGTTGACACCCAGCTTGTCCTTCGCAAGCACCACGTCGAGGAGGAGATCGCCGCCGCCATCAGCTTGTATCTGGATATCATTAACCTATTCCTGGCTATCCTACGCATTCTGAACAGCCAGAGCAACAACTGAGCTGACGAATGAGGTTGGCTCGTCTGGAAATGTAAGGGAAAATTCGTCATCGCAATGAGACAAGTCGATGCGCTAGGGCTGCACTCCATTTTTAGGGGGTAAGCGACTTACAACTTTTTCCTTTTGCACAAAGCCATCATGACAATGTGCTCTCTCAGTGTATTTTTTCTGTATTCCCCTGAAGTGGTAATTGGTCGGTTACAATAGGTTAGGAATGGCGTCATAGGAGGAACAATCAACATTGACATCGACATTTGATAAAAATGGTCTCTTCTGTTTAATTAGTGTGCTTCATAACAAAAACAATAGGGTTTGTAGCAGCTTTCTACGAAACACATGGATGTTAGAAGTATCAATCTTGAGCTACGTAATCCCTCACTCGGAGTAAGCAAGGCTACATAAGGCTGGGAGTCTCTGATAGCGAAAGTCGTTTCTGACCCCACAGATCGCCTTGTAATATATTTCATTCAAGGAGCATGGTTCCATTTATGTCCAACAGTATTAAATGACTGCATGTACGTCAATTTAGCAGTCCAATTCTGACCCTGAGTCGACATGAATGCACACTCTAGGAGCAACAAGAACCAGGCACGATATAATCGTAGATATCAAAGAAAACTGATATTGATATCTGCATTAGAAGGCAGTAATACTAGGAGAAAGGGGGGCGGGAAAGTAGAAAAAAGGCTACGCGGCGGGTAACTAGCAAAAGGGATTTGACTGGCAAAGAATACAAAGGCGGGTAGGCTAGCCGTCTCCTCTATTACCTCCTGCTTGTCCACGAGACGACGTGCCGGCAAGTATGAAAAATTGGTAACACAAAGCTGTACTTTTTCCCCACTGTGTCATCATCCCTTTTCCGAAAATCGGGCATGTAATAATTGAAGTGGATATCAACTCAGCCCAGGCTTTATTCCTGACAAGTTCACCAAGCCCTCCTCCGATTCACGCATCTCATGCCACCATTAGCTTTGTTGAATGTTCATATAACGTGTCATCTTGAAAGGCCATACTAAGCGCGGGTAGGGACTGGGGGTTACCAAATACCCAACGCCACAGTCCCTTCTGATGTCTGGCCGTGGGTATACCAGAAATAGGGGACAGAAAAGGTATTGCTCCAGACCACTTAGTTGCCGTCGTGCTCGCCATTCGCCTCAGGTGTGCCCGACGCGGCGGCGGCTTCTCGCGCCATTCTCGCCTCGATCTCACGCAATTGGGATTCGCGGGCCAAGAGTTCCTGTCGTTTCTCGTTGATCTCGCGCTGGACCTTGACTTCGATCTCGCGGAGTTTCTCCTCTTCTCGGCGGAGCTGTTCTTCCTTCAGGCGGACGGATTGAGAGGCCAAGTCTTCGGGGTTCATGGAAGAATCACTGCAAATACTGTTAGCGTTGTAGTAATCGTAAGTTGAACACAATAGCAACTCACACTCCAGCGCCACCCTCAACGCTCTTGCTAAGCTTCTCCGTACGATAGTTCTCATACAAGAAGTCATGGGTGATCTCTTTCAAGTCAGCAAGATGGCTGTGGAGAAGAGCCGATCGGATGGCTAAGAAGTCAGAGTGACGAGGGTTGTCGACCTCAACAACACCCCAAGGGTATTGTCGGGCTCGGACCTTGCGACCACCAATCTCAATGATATCTTCGGAGCCGACAATGGCGAAGGGCATTAAGCCTCGAAGCTCGGCATTCTCTTCCACGGTATCCTCGTCATCTTCTTCAATATCGTAGGGAAAGTTGTAGACAGGAATTCGGTAGTGCTCAATGTCTTCCATGACAAGCTTCTTGGACTCAGCCAGCTCGGCGGGGGTCAACGAATCGGCTCGGCCAATGACAGGAATAACATTGACACGGGGAGCAAGGCGCTTCATCAATTCAATGTCGAGTTCGCGGAGACTGTGTAGACTATGAGCAAGATCCAATGACGCCGCGAAATGTATATAGCACATACCCATGGCCAGTGGGGGTAATGAAGTACAGCATAGCGTGTACTCGATTGTCCCGAAATCTGGGGTTTCGCTTGATACGCGACTCCTCAGCTAAGATGTCGTCATATTGTCTCTCAAGATATCCAACAATCTCCGAGAAGCTATAGAAAGAAAGCGTCAATTAATGTAACAATAGTTGACATTTCGGGTCGTACCTGGCCTCGTTGTCGATCTGGTCACCAAAACCTGGAGTGTCGACAATGGTCAAGGAGATACGCGTGCCCTCCTCGTCCAACTCAAGCTCTATTTCGAGGTAGTTAGAATCAATTATCGTTGACTAAATGATGAACGCTACTAACCAACAGTGATGGGCTTGATCTTAACACCATCCTCCACGTGAGCAGTGGTAGCGTCGTCAGATTCCTTATGAGCCAAGACGCCCTTGCTGCAGAGGGTGTTGACGAAAGTTGTTCTGCCTGAAAAGCAGGGGCTGTGGTTAGTATTTTGATTGTAGGAATTCAAGTTTCGTTTAGTTGAGTTGCGTGGCGCTGTAATAAGGCGGCAGATGGAAAGATGTCGGGATGTTCAAGTAGGGGGGAATACCTGTTCCTGAAGCTCCGCAGACCATCAAACAGAACTGAATACCCTTCTTCACGTTCTTCTTCCTACGCATCATCTTCTGTGAACGCATCATGACAGATTAGTAGCTGCACAGACAGTGAATTCTTGGGAAGTGGTGTAGTATAGCAAAACGGAGATGCAAAGTGACAAATTTGCGATGCAAGCATGGAGTGCAAAACAAAGCAATGCCTGGCAATTGGATGGGAAACGTGATAGGGGAGGCTACTCACCGCTGGGGACGACATAATTATTAGGCTAAGCTTTGGGTTTCGCAATGGGGTGACAATTATGGCCGGCTAGCAAAGATTTGGAAATTAAGAAGTGATTGACGATGAACAGGTCCTTCGTCAAACAGAACTGATCTTCGTAAAATGGAGGGAGGGGTATTGGGTATCTCAAAACGGTGGATGTAAAAAAGGGCGGATCACAAACTGAGTTGTTGATGGAAGTAAAACTGAGAAGATTCGAAAAAAAGAAAGTTGTTGTTCGGGTTTCGTTTCGTCAAAGCTGTTGATGGGCTCTTTCTCCCCCTTCCCTGAAAAAAACCACTAGGTAAGGTACTAGGTTAGGAGGTAGGCATGTACTAGGGAGTATGTACCTACTCTCCAAAGAAAAAAAAAAGTCAACTGTAATTTCAACACCACAAAATGGTTGCTGTTTAGACGGGGACCAAACGGGGGGACAGACAGGGGGAGGACAGGACCACTAGAAGGGCACCAAATCAGAGCACGGATCACTTTTATTCTCTGTCTCCCGATTCAGGGGTTCAGGGCCTCAGGCTTTGATAACAACTGCTTTGTACGATAACAGGGAATCTTGCAAGTACACGTATTTAATTGGGTAGGCAGGGTTAACCCCGTGCTACTTCTCCCGGATGCCAAATTAACACGAGGCTGGAACACGCAAAGGGGCAGGAATTTGATAGTACGTACCTCTTGCTTGTAGTACAAAAACATTGACACCGTGAAAATGGACCCATTTAACTAGTAGCACATAATACATATTAATGTGCTACCTAATACATGTATAGTAGGTTACAGGTAGGACCTACCTGGTAAGCACTATGATGTACATGTACCTAGGTATTGCATGTATACCTACATATGTAGTAGTAATTATAGGTACTTTGAATTCTTCAATACATGTTCATGGATAGTTATATCCAACTGGCATTTTATAAACTTGACACTGCATATATGTACGTCCGTCAGCCAAGCAAGTCGCAGCCACATCCGCGATGCTAGAACGCCACTGACAAGAGCATTGAAGTCCAAACCTGTTGCCCATGGACATGGATTACAGCAATGACAAGAACCATGAGAGGGAGTACCAAGTATCTGCCTATTACAGGAAGCTTTGATGGCACTAAAGGGTGCCTAGTAGCATAACAGCTCTTTCCCCAACTCTAATAACAGCCGGGACCAAACAAGCCAAACAAGGTATCGTACTTTCTTATGGCCCGTGCACTGCATCTTCAAATCTCCATTACCACCTCATGTTTCTCATGTTCTCATGTACCCATATGACCTCTCACGTGTACTGGACTTGCGCAACATATTACGTCCACTTCGTTCGCGACCTTCAACCAAACGACGTGATAATTTATAACATCTTCGGTTCTTCTACTATTATCTTGTTTCCTTTTACTCAAAACCCCAAATTTACAATTATTATAGATTCTGTATTTACTTGCCTTAGAAGTCTCCGAGTTCTGCCATTTCTAATTTCTTCTGCCTTCTACAATCCTTCAGTCACGTCTACCATCGTCGCTCGCTAGGCACTGTAAAGCTCCAGACTATTCGGCGCTTATTATCAATTAACTACAGTCGATCTACCCTAGGTAGTGACTAACAAGGTCTATTTTTCAAGGGAGGCTTGCATACCTTGACGAGACGCATCTGCGAATCTGTGATATAGCAATGGTCTAAGATTTCCAAGACCCTTACGAACTATCTAGTTCTCATCGATGCTCGGCATCGCATCGCATTGCATCACATCTTGATTTCGTTCATCTCGTCGGTTGTAATCGATATCTCTCACTAGCCTGTCATTTAAGCCCCCAAGTATCCTCGTAGAATTATCAAACCAGCAATCATGAATACCCGACCAACTCTCGAAACCCATAGCGATCCTGTCGCATTATCCGTCACCTTCAACAGCGACGCAAGTCGGTTTGTTGTCGGTTTGAACACAGGGTTCTGCAGTATGGTTCCCCTAGTTGACTCTACTTGATTTTCTGAGTACTTATTCACTTTCTACATAGTTTTCCTCTCAAACTCTTGCCAAGTACAAACTGCGAGAGGTATGTCATCTCATATTACCCCTTTAAAACATGAGAAGCATGAAAATAAATCTAAAAATTCAATAGTCTTCGACGCAGGCCTCGGCCTCGTGCAGATGATGGGTAATGCCAATTATCTTGCTCTTGTTGGTGGCGGCCGCTCGCCCAAGTTCCCACAGAACAAGGCCATAATATGGGATGACAGCAAGAGTAAAATAGCACTGGAGATAGCCACATTAACCGCTGTTCGCGGCGTTCAGATCTCTAAGACGAGGATCGCTGTCGTGCTGCAGAACAGCGTGAGGGTGTATGCCTTTCGTAAGCCGCCGCAGCCGCTTGCCAAATATGAAACCTCAGACAACCTTCTCGGTCTCTGTTGTCTCACGGAGGACATTCTAGTGTTCCCTGGTAGGACCCCGGGCCAGGTCCAAGTGGTTACTTTAGCAACGGATAGTGTTAGCATTATCCCAGCCCATTCTTCAAATCTGGGGGCTTTGCAGCTTAGTTCGGATGGTGGACTACTTGCTACGGCAAGTGAGAAGGTATACTTATTTCCACACCACCAAATCCCAACTTATTTTTAATCATAAATAGGGGACGATTATTCGTATCTTTTCGACTAGTAGTTGCGCGAAAATTGCTGAACGACGGCGTGGCACGGAGTTTGCCACGATATACTCCTTGCGCTTTAGTCCGTCGGGGAACATGCTCGCTTGCACCTCGGATAAGGGTAGTTTACACGTTTTCGACGTCCCTAACCCGCGTAGAGCTCGGTCGGCGTCACCAGCCCCCAGCATCGGTGGTGGCAGTTCTAACACCGAAGCCAAGAACAAATGGGGCATCTTGAGCAACATCCCGTTCGGGCCATTTTCTGATATTTACTCGTTTGCATCGGTATCTTTTGAGACAGGTGAGGAACCTCTTCTCCCTAGCAACACCACAGCTCGGGGAGACAGTCCCGTACTGGGTACTAGTAGGCCAGTGAAGGGAGTCATTGGCTGGATAGACGAGAGCACTTTAGCAGTCGTCGGTGCTGGACAGGATGCACGCTGGGAGAAGTTTGTGCTCAAAGAGGAGGATGGTCGTACCGTGATCGTAAGGGAAGGATGGAAAAAATACCTGGGGAACTAGAGCAAACTCAAGATTTATTACGAGAACGACCCAGATCACAAGGTGGGGTACTTTTTCTCAGAGCCGGGGGCTCGTTCTGGGAAATATTGATAAATATGGGACTGGGACTGGGACTGGGACTGCGAATTCAGCATGGAGTAAATGGACTCATGGATTGTTGGGCGTTATTTGGTCAAGAGGGCGGTCTCAATCGTTCATTCGCATTAGGATATAGGCCATGGAGGCCACATAAACAGCGTTGGCTCTGAATTAGGGGGTATCTTTATTAAGCGATCCATTAGACGGCTATGGTCAATCTCTACACTATCGCAGAGATCTGCTCCTATTTCTCCGTTTGTTTCTTGGATCTTTGCTAAATTCACCCCTGTTATGATCATGTCGAGAGTGCCTCTCGTACTTATCCCCCTTATCATAGTCTCTTCTTCGGCCCCCATCACCAAACCGATCGCGCTCATCGTTGTGCCGTCTCCGCTCGTAATCTGTAGAATGGGTTCGCTCTTTCCTTGGAGGGGTTTCATCTCTTCCCCGTTTCGCCTCGTCTACTGCCGGCGTCCTGCTGCGCTTAGACATGTCTTTCGCCGCTGGAGTCTCGTCCCTTCTTGACCTCCTATGGCGGTGGCGTTCCTCGATGTCCTTGTCATCTCTTCTGGAGTGGTGACTGCGGTGGTGGTGTCGGTGCTTGTCTTTTCTATCTTTCCTTCTCTTCCGCTCATCTTCCTTTCTCCGCGCTTCTTCAACTTCCTTTTTCTTCTCCTCGATTAAGAAGCCTTTCATGGGATCATCCTCGTCGTGGTCCTCGATCAGTTTAGCCAGCTCTATTTCTTCCTTGATCATTGGCCGTCTCGGCTCCTCCTCCTCGCTGCTCTCTTCCTGCATATCCACATCCGGGTCTTCGCCCCTGTTGCCTTTCTCACGGCGGGCGATATCCTCCCAGCCAACCTTAAAATCCTCCGGGTCCTCATCGTCGCGAGGCTTGTACCGGGCGTGGTCGACGCGTACCAGACGACCATTAATCTCGGCGCCGCCCAGGTTGTCAACGGCCAGATCCGTGCTGCGCTGGTCCTCGTACTTAAGCCAGCCGAAGCCCTTGCTCTTCCCTGTTTCCTTGTCCCGCGCAAGCTTTAGGAACACGGGTTCGCCGTATTGTGAGAATATAGTGATGATGTCGCCTTCGGAGAGCTCGTAAGGCAGACCGCCGAAATTAACAAAGGCTGTGTCACGGTAGTCGGTATGCCATGAAGCTTCTGGAGGGCTGAGTTTCATACATGTTAGTCGTGTGTCATGTAGCATGATATTTTCTTTGTAGGTACTTAAAAGGTGACTTACACTCCATTTTCAATTTCGCGCTTGTTGAGGGCTTGTATGGCTCGTATCTGATTCATTGTATCATATCATATAGAAGAAGATGGAAGGTACCTAAGTAGGCAGCTAGCTACTATGTAGCATGAGGATAAAGAAGGCTGTGATTGAATCAACCAAAATAGGTACATGCACAGTGGTATTGGAACTTGAATTCTGCAAGGCTGAGATTACATACGGCATAGTATCAATGTAGTGGTATGTAGTATACATATGTATGATAAGGATGAGGTAAGGATGTAACTACTATGTAGTTATTACATGTATGTACATAGCTTGCTATGTAGGTACACAAACCCCTGTCTAGGGGAAACGTCGGACCGGTAGATACCTAAGAAGATCCACTAAATCCCGGGGTCCTAGGCGTACCTTAATCAAAATAACTACTTGGGAACCTAGAAAGCTTCAAGGGGAATTCTGGTAATTTAAAGTGATTTTTAGAGTTGAGAGAAACATCGAATCGGCCGTGGAACAGACCACATGACAAGTAACTGAACCAGTTGTCACTTATTTCTTATTACCTATTATTTGCATAGATCACCTCAACTTTCCAATTTATTTATTCTGCTCTCAAACCTCCCCACTTCTTTTTTTTATGTATTCATCTTGATGTCTCATTTTGTTGAATAAATAAAAAGAACAAAAAGTTAGAGCCCGGTTTGCCTGTAGAAATCGAGAGAGATCGTCATTCCCGACGCGTTCCGTTTTAAAGAAGTTCCCCCAAAGTCTAGAGATTAAGACGCGTTCTACGTTCTAAAAGGTGTGACGACGATTATTCGTATTCCGTATCGCAAACTCCGGTTTCGTTTTAAGAACGGACATCTACAGAGCGCATTCCACTCTATCCAGGCAGCTCTTCTCTCCCCTCCAATGCTACCACCAAGCGACCGAAATCAAACATGACGGGCAATTCGAACCGGTTCTCCACGTATACGACTACCTCGATCGGTACCGGTTCGGAGGGAAAGAAGGATGATCAGAAAAGGGACATGTGGAGCTATATGCTCGACAACGTCGCCAGTGGCAAGAGATTACCTGAGAAGAACTTGCTAGTACTTGGTACGACACCACGGCCTTCATTACCTTCCCACCCTGAATAGCCAGGTACGGGTGACTGACAGACATCAGGTGGTTCCGTCGACTCACAGCGAGACTTTCTCGAAGCTCTGTCGAGCAATGACGGGCGAAAGGGCTTGGATCGGAACAACCACAAGACTCCGCCCATAGCCAACAGTTTTGCTCTTGGATATACGTACTACAACGTCTTGGACGCAGACCAGGAGGGTACGTCGCCTCATCAGAACTTTGTTCTACGAAACGTTTTCCCTCCCATACTAACCAAGACTCCAGACATCTTAGCACGCATATCGCTCTACCTACTCACAAGCCCGGCGCCCTCCTTTACCTCACTCATCAAACCCCTTTTGACCCCCCAGTCTATCCCAAATACCTTAATAGTAATATTACTTGACTGGTCACAGCCCTGGCTATGGATGCGACAACTGCGAGAATGGCTACTTCTACTGCGAACTGTTATCATGTCACTCAGCCTCGAATGCAAGGAGACTATGGAGGCGACCATGAATAGCTGGAGAGATCGCGGCCGAACTGGTGGATCTGTGAATCTAGATGGCACAGGCGCCGTTCCTGCCGAAGGAGATGTTGCGCTGCCGCTTGGCCCGGGAGAGTGGGAGGACGCACTAGGCTTACCACTCTCCGTCGTTTGTCAGAATGTAAGTTTTCTCCAATTCAAATGCAAGCATGGTACTGATGCTAGCGTTCCAGTCTGAGAGGATTGACTACTTGGAAAAGAGCCAGGGGTGGAAAGAAGAGAAGTTCGATCTCGTACTTCAGTATCTACGGACGGTCTTATTACGGCGTGCGTGTCCCCTAAATAAACTTATCGTTCTACCTCTTACTAACTTACGATTAGACGGAGCTTCTCTGATTTACACAACGCCTTCCATGACATCCCCTCTACAAAGTCTCATCCACGCTAGTCTTGGAATTCACTCATTGCTGAAGCGCGCCCCCTTGAAAGCCAACGTCATCGACCGAGACAAGATCGTAGTACCTCCGAACTGGGACTCTTGGGGAAAGGTCAGGGTGCTACGGGATGGTTTCGACGTCGAGAGGATTAGTGAAGGTTGGGCGATAGATCTTGATCAGCCCTTTCCCACTTCCAAGAGCGATGGGGTTCATCAAATCAATGGCGAAACGAACAATACGGAAGAAGAGGAAGGATCGTCAGTTATGCTATATGAGGAGCAAGTTCAGGACACGAGTCTAGATGCCTTGCAACTAGCCCAAGCGAAACAAGACACGAGCAGGCTGGAAGTTGCATCTGTCGATACGCAAGCATTCCTCATAAACCAATTAGAACGGCTCGAACAACAGAAGAAGGTTGACGAGAAGGTCGGTAAGGATAGCACCTTCGCACAAGGCCAACCAGACGATATGATTAGCGACCACATTGGCCCAGTACAATTTAACATGGGAGGTATCCAAGTAGATGCTGATGATATGGTGCAGCGGCTTAAGGTTTGTCTCTCAAGTGCGCCTTTTACCAGGCTCAAAACAGAAGCTAATCAGTCAACAGGACCGCCAAGCCTATGGACAGTCTGACGAGCCTCTCCTAGATGATGAGTCTCACCTGGAAGAGGGAACAGCGCCAGTGGACACAGATACACTAGCCAAATTCTTCGGCAACCTGATGAATAGAAAACCCACAGCTGGAGGTAGCGTAACCAAGACATGATAGGAGTGTCTATGGTATGCTGGAAACATGATCCGAACAGCCACCGGTACGCTCCAACTACCGATTCCACATATAATATGCGGATCAGATAAAGCACGAGGGTCTAAATGTATGATTCTCAGCCCAATGCTCGAAAACTGGGACGAGCAATGCATTTCATTTGATGAAGAGCCCAGTTTCTTTTCATTTGTAAGACCACCAGCCGGGGGGGGAGGAGTGGGGGTGGACATGGAAAGTCTGTGTCGGTGCAAAGGGGGATTGAACAGCAATGGGAAGGAAACCCATCAGGAAACTCGGCAGGCAAAGAGAAAGAGAGAAAAGAAAAAGAAAGGCAAAGATCAAGAGAAATGAGAAAAGCCCTTCACACTTACACCTGGAGTTATGGACTGTTTTTTCTTGTCTGTCTGTCTCGTATTTTCTTCCCATAACTCTTCGCTGATTTTTCTTGTCTTCTGGTCCATCAATTTCGGTCAATGAAGAAGGGATGAAATGGGAAGGGATGGGGGAAGGCGAACAATCAAATCCCCCTAATCCCGCCTTGCATGATAAAACCTATGGTCGAAGGCCTATAGAGTTAAGAATTGGTAGTAGTATGGTAGATACCCCTTTGAATGATACCTATGAAAGAGAGCAATTGAGTTGAGCAAATGCCTTACCTATAACTTTCCATACCACTACCTCATTTCCTCAAGATGCCTAGGAGATAATAGTGGAAAGACCTGATTATTAAAAGAGGAAGATCTAACGATCAGACCTCGACTAGAAATATTCCTAAATACCTAGGGTCATGGCTAGGTACAATGCGTCGCACGTAATGTTCCTCTCTGGCGTACCTACAACCATCTCTAGGTACCTAGCCAAGCAGCCAAGTAGAAAATCGATAGGTACCTTAGTTGATGGGACATCGCTAGGACCGGAGAACTTGATAAGCACTAGGTATACTTTTACTTTGATATTCATCCCGTGGCAACTGGACTCGTGTAGAACGCCCCTATCAGGGCCCGTCTCGAGAAAGCACTAATAACTACTCGGTCACGCACTCTTGAACTATTAGATATCTCTATTTCGCCATACAACGATTCAATAATAGATACATAGGTAAAGAATGCTTCGAACGACTTCTGCTAAGAGAGAACCATTATCTTCCTATTCGAATCACAAGCCTAGCCTAAATACCTAGGTAGGCGCCCACCTGATTAAGCACCATTAGACCATATCTTCAAGGGGGTCAATAAGTCCAGATCAGTAACAAATAGGCCTGTCAATACCCTTGCACCAATTTGAAGTGTAGATTCATGAAAGAGATACCAAGAGGGGGGAAAAAGAAACCCCCTCATGAAAGAACCTCGTCTACATATGCAAATCGCCAAACAATGCAGAAAAGGGGAGGAGGGTATGATAGAAACCACTCCTGAACATGATGAGTACCGTAGACGCCCTATCTCTCCTATGGTATCTGCCTCATATTTCTCGTGATGAATCCCCGTACGACTTATAGACAAAAACATATATTAACCCCGTCATATCATCCATGGATGTATGCATCTCTTGGTGCGTCGTTAGCCACTGTGAGAACCGCCCACTCTTTAGAGAGACCGACCATATTCTTATAGGCGAGAGGTGTTTGACTAAGAGGGATCTACCTCTTTCAATTCATTGTTATCAAGCTTTCGGTATGTGCCGTCTCGAGATGGCTCGTATATAGCTTGATCCTGTGGGAAGGAGGTGGCTCTTCGGTCTCGATTACTCAACCATGAACCTACCTTTTGAGGATCGTGATATCGCAGCGTAGATAGAGCAGCGCGGGGGGCTCTGTGAAATGCTGCCAATTGCGTGGTTTCGGGATTCTCTCCAACGATGATCCAGTGGCGACCACCCAGTTTCCAAGGGACAATGCCACAGAGCAAGCCCGGGAAAAGGTTTGGATGCTCCAGCATCTCGACACCAAAGGCGTTGACGCTTTCCTTGGCCATGTATGTGTACTTCTCATCTCCCAGTAGCCCTCCGAGCCTGAACAAGTTTGACACGGATATGGCGTTGACGGACGGCTGAGAAGTGTCCATAGCATCCTTGATTCGTAGTAGTGTGTACGGCGCACCTAAAACCGTGGAGTAGAAGGCTCCGCATCTAGCGTTTGCCGTCGTAGGCGTAGGCGTAGGGTTGTCGTAGAAAAGTGTGATTTGCAGTGTCTGGAGTTCATCGGCCCACTTGAGCCAGGACTCATCGGCAGTTCCTTGGTATAATTCAATGAGTCCTTCAATAACGGAGGCATAATCTTCTGCATATGCCTCAATATAGGCTTGGCCTTCGGAGTATACTCGATACAGGATTTTCTTGTTGTCATCCCAAAGCTCCTTCTTGATAAATAAAGCTGCGTTCTTTGCTACTTCGAGGTATTTTCTTCCTTGTTCAGCTACAGCACTTCCGGAATGAATCAATGCCAAGGCTGTTCGTGTAAGGGCAGCAATTGCCATGCCGTTGTATGACGTGACGATCTTCGTGTCAATGTCTGGTTGAATACGCTCCTTTTGCCGGTGTGAACGTAGTTTATTCTTAGCGGCGTTAATTCGCTGTTTTACGTCTTCCTCTGAGATGCCGAGTTGCTTGCTTAATCTTGTGGAATTCTTCACAATCTGCAGAACATTCTGATTGAGATACTCGTCGTGGGGGTCGTATTCGCGTTCGACGTTGCCATGTTCTTGAACGTTCCAGTACGCAGCAGCAGTTTCACTATCTTGTTCATCGCCAACGACGGCCTCAAACTCTTTCCGAGTCCACAGGTAATATGCCCCATTCTGCCTAACTTTGTCACCCTTTCGGTTATATGAGTCTGCCACTTCGCTGGTGAAGAAACCACCTTTGGCGGATAGCATCCTATCGCTAGTGATGTAATCGGCAACCTCAACTACCATGTCAGCAAATTCACCATCCTTCGTGCCTCCGGACAAAAGCCATGCATCTAAGAAGAGTCCAAGAAGAAGCGCATTGTCTATAAGCATCTTCTCGAAAGCTGGTAATGACCAGTTTCTTGTAATCGAGTATCGATGGAAGCCGCCTCCTATGTGATCATGCACGGCACCGGTGACAATTCTTCGCAAGGTATGTAGGCCCATGCCACTAATATACGTGCACTCATTCGGTCCAACTACATCCTGAACAACTTTCGGGAACCGAGTTGCTCGTAGAAGTAGCGAAAGCTTAGCCGGAGTTAGGAACTTATCCTCAAGGCCGAAACCACCGAACATGGGATCAAAGGTTCTTGTGATTCGCTCATAAGCCTCCTCGATCTGATCCAGGTCGACTTCGCCATAAACCTCGCGGGAATAGTCGATAGATGCGGCAGCAGTAGTATCTACTTGAGTGGAGGCTGGAGCAGGGGACAGAAAATCATCCCCTGCGTGATTCAAAGTCCCCTCGGCCGAAATATGGCTTAATTCGATCACCATCTTCTTAGCTTCTTCGCGAACACGGGGTTCCTCATCTACCCATGAGGCAAATACTTTCTTAATCACAATGAGCCAATCAAGGGCTTTGTCAGTCCCGTCGCTTTCTGACTCAACTTCATCTTGAACGCCAGGGGTGGCCCAGTACGTGCCACTAAAAACCGGTTCAAGCTCAGGGGTGAGGAAGACATTGAGCGGCCAGCCACCAGTTCCGCTGAGAGATTGATTGTAGGTTATATATATACTATCGATATCAGGTCGTTCCTCCCGGTCGATTAGAATAGGCACGAAGTTCTCGTTCAGAAAAGATGCGACTTTGGGGTTAGAGAAAGACTCCTGTCTCGTAAGATAACAGTCTAAGAGGGAGAATCAGCACTGCCGGACCCCTTTCAAAGCTAAAGATATATTCGATTATACCTACAATGAGAGGCCAAGAAGCCGATACTAAGGAATATTAACTTGTTCTCCCTCTTCGCTCGGCCCACGGCATCATCGTCTAGAAGTTGCCAAGCTACTAGGCTGTTGGCGTGTGCTCGCACGAAGGGACTCCTACTGTCTGCAGCACGATTTCTGAGAGGCTTCGCATCGGCAGAAATGGATTGTTCAAGTCCCGACGGGGAAGGCTGAATCTTAGAAGTTGATAGGTTAGCGCCAGCCTGGCCACCCTGCGAGGGCTGCTGGAGCTGTGCCGACATCATATTGTGCCAAAGTTGGAATAACAGATTACGCAATGAGCTGTTTCGTAGGTCCGAATGAAGGTCAAATGAATCGAAATGATAGGTATCGTAATCGACCTGATCGATATCCCTCCTATACGGCCTATGATTGTAAGGCCGACGTTTGTCTATGCCTTTTGGTCTATGCGGCGTGATAAGTTGCCGGCTCTGGTGAGCTTATAATACCTAGCTATCCATAAAAGGACCACGTTGATATGTGCGATAAGTAAAATATCACAAATGAGGCTGTCGGCGGTTTGATAACATTGACGAAGCCTGGTAGATAAGTTGTACAGATAACAAACAAAAGACGCTTCGGAAGATGGAGAAGAATAAGAATATGAAGGATATTTAATATTTGCGGGATAATGACGAAGTTGAACAAAAATGTAAAAATCAAAATGTAAAATGGCAGGGTAAGCCTCAGTAGCTTTGGTGTGGAAAGTGGAACTAAGAGTGAATGGGAAGTGGAAGTGGGATGAAGATGACCAGAAACAGCCCCACTCAGGTAACATTTAGAGTAAATACAATATATGCATGTGGGAGGTATTACAAGAATTGCGCTCCCCAGGCCGTTAGGGCTGTTACGACGCAATCATTTTTGAATGTACTTGTATTGTACAATACCTATGTACCTATCTAGTACTAGGTATCTAGTAGTAGGGTAGCTACTTGGGTACGTACATAATCCATGGATGATGTAACAATTTTGAACATCTTAGCTCATGGTACATATCAGATACCCATGTCCTATGTACTGTGTAGATGATACATGTAGCGTGTAGGCAAGTAAGTATCTGTTCGATACCTACTACGCGGGGTATTGTACTCAAGTGCAAGTACTAGGTAGTACTATGTATCTACTACATAGTACTAGATCAAGCATGTACAGACAACATTGAAGTAGTAAATACCGGCGACATAAGCACCACCTACATACTTCTATACATATGTAAGTATTTCGAGTTATGTCATCGCTTCCTACATAAAGAGGAATCGTTAGTCACATCAATGATATATCAGTAACATGGAAGGTCCATGCTATGTACTACATAGTTACATAATATGTACTCTTTAATGATTCATTTTTAGGTTGAAAGGCTTCAAATTTTGCATTAACATCCTCGTGTTTATTATCTAATGCATTCGAGTTTGGTATGTACTTTAACACATCATCCACCGTACCCAGTACCTATATATCTTCTAATAAAATAATAATACAATGAAAGGTGCCCAGAACTAGAGTATCTAATGAGCAACAGGCATGATAGTTGCAGCACCTATCACCGGTGTGGTCGAGGTCGATATAGATGTAGATGTAGATGTAGCAACTACATCCATAGCCACCTTATCAACCCAGACTTCATTCTCCATCTCATCGCCCAGCACGAACGAGAAGACAAACTGAAGCATCCTATCGTCGTTGCCCGTGGTATAAGGGAATTCGACATGAGTCCAGTTCGCCGACGTGGCCTCAACACGGTGCGCGACCTTGTAGTTGGCGTACAGGTCGACGTATGACGCTGCGCTGATACTAGAAAACTGCACCCAGAATGATATATTCCAGCTCGAGTTCGCCGGGGGCCAAAGAATCGGGCTGACGAGCCGAAGGTTCGATCGGAGGTCCTCCGTCTGCAGGTTTCGCCGCATCAAAACGTGGAACGCCCCACATGACCCGTCCGCGCCCGGGCTACTGACGGAGTAGGCCGTCGACATGATATCCACCAGGTCGATACTCCACGGTGAAAGTCCCTGCTCAAAATCTCCATTCTCTATCACATCGCTGGCCGAGACGGTCGTGCATGAGGCACTTGTACTGGTCGTTGCGGAACTGGCCAATGGTAGGCTCGAGCTAGTCTGGTTTGATGATGTGAAGATGGAACTGTCTGTGGGAGTTGATGTCGTGGAGTTGATATAGTGAAATGCCGAACTAGGAGACGGTGTCAACTTTGGGGAGGGAAAACAGGTCGTGTCGATCGAGGTGGCGTCGCTTGCAGGAGTCGGACCAGTCGAAGTCGAGTTAGACAGTAGACCTGAGGAAGTTGGCAGGGGCTCAGCAGTCATCGACTCAGCGGTCGTCGACCCAGCACCGACTGGGTTTCCTGATGAGAATGAATTTGATAAGGTTCCCGAGGCCATGCTCGTGTTGGCCGAATTCGTTGATGTAGCTCCTAAAGTACAAGACGAATTCGTCCAAGGGGCTGAACTGCTAACTGGGTCGCTTGACGAGACTGCAGCTGCGCTGGAAGTATTCGACGTAAAAGTCGACATTGAAGTCAAGGATGGTTCCCCGGGAATCGTGGATTGTGTGTTGGACAACGAGCTAGCGAATGTAGAAACTGGTGAACCCACGCTAGAAACAAAAGAGACAGTTGAAGACGAAGATGACGAGGTAAGAGAAGCAATCCTCGATGATCCTAGGTTACTAGGTGTGACATCTGTGCTCAAGGTTGGGCTCTCTGATTGGGAATCCCCTGTGGAATTGCTAGATGTAGTAGTTATTTTCGGCAAAGATGAGGTCAATGAGTCTACAGGCCCAGATCCAGTCTCGGAGATTGATGTTCCTGACGCCGTCAAACCGGATGAACTTGGCATAAGCACGCTGCTGGTCGAGGTGACAGCAGTGAGAGAGCCAGGCGATGTCTGGGCATTTCCCCCTGACGCTAGAGTTGAGGTAGCCAATGTAGTTGGAACCGATGTGGTGCCAGTAACAGACGTTGTAGTAGACGCAAGAGAAGGGCAGGCGACACCACATGCACAGGCTGAGATGTAAGCTAGTCGGTTGGTATTGCCACACTACAACGCATGAAGTCAGTATTTTCTCTGTATTTACCTCTAACGCAGTAGGCCAATAGATTACTGCCGCCTGGGTAAACTAGGACAGGGTGGTAGTTTATATCTGGTACATACAGCAGCTGTTGCTTCCGCAGGGTAATCAGTGGCACCGTAATGGCCTACTGTTGAACAATAGTTCACTGCCTCAGCGAGAGCGAGAGGAGAGTCGCAAGGAAATAGTGCATTATAGCAACTGTCAAGTGGTTAGCTCTCCGACCTTATTCTTGTATAATCCATCCCCAACCCTCAAAGACATACTTGTCATGATTACAGCCGGACTGTGCGCGAACGGCGATAATAGACAGATAAAGGACCCAGCTAGCTAGCTTGGTTGACTTGATGGATAGCATTTTGAATATGCCTAAAGAGCGAATCGAATCGAATGTCAACGTTGTAGTTTAGAATGTAATAAAAGAATGTGCTTACTGGTTGGGTAGCTTGAAAACGATAACTCCTGATTTTGGCTTTGGATATCTAGTATATATACTTGTTCTCATATTCGTATGCTAATTCGCCTCAGGGGCTTTAGAGAAGTATCAATAAGAGATAGTTACACATTCGGACCTAGTAGATACAATTTACGATCAATAAGGTGATAGACACTTGTACCCCAACTTGTACGATGCCATCTTCAAGTTTCAGAGCCTACGCTGCCACGCCTTCAGCTGAGTTTCCTCGAAGAAGAGACTTCTGCAGCTCAGACTAGACACATCCTGCACGACCGTTTCGTGCCATGTGGAACATAACCAGGAAACATTGACAAGGTCTATGGCCAATGGGATGTGATATGTCGAAACACTTTCTCTTTAAACTACCGTCACGACGAGCTGGGAATGTCTCGCAAGTGGTGGTTCAAATCTTGAATTTAATCATTGTTTGTCTTGATATCAGATAACTAAATTCCGCAAGACCCGAGACAATAATATATTCCTCCCTGATATAACCAGGTGCTCGTAATTTCGTCAGCTAGAAATGATGCCGAAATAGTTGTCTCTCGGCTATCTTGAAGATGTCTGTATAGAACCCTACCAATAGTCCGTAGGGAATTAGTCAATGGCCTGTCCACTGGCGAAGATCGAAATCAGAAATTAAAAATGACGTCCTTCAAAGATTGGCAGAAAAGTACGATTATCTACATGTGATGATTTGGAGGCCTTACTTATGGATGAGAACAAGCAGGGAAGTAAGAGGGCCTCAAAAAAGGGGTCCAGGTGTACATCATCATTGTTAGGTTAATATCTTGGATATATGAGTGATGGAAAAGAGAGGTCTTGACTTAGGTACACCGCTGGGATTTACTGAGTTAACATATCATAACATGACGCTTTAAGGAGAGTCAAATGTCAGCTATTCATCGACCTGCTGATTGGGCTCCATCCTTAAGCTTTCTCACTTAGCTTTCTTCCAAGGTTTCCTTTTGAATACCTAGGTTACAAGTTAGCCAGTCGTTTGTGGTGAGGTTATTTTAGCAGAACACCTGGGCACTCTTAGTATACAGTTCTTCAATGGTAGATACGTTTGTGTTGTTCATAACTGCTAACCAATCTTTTGGTATTACTTACCATTACCTATAGACCAAGTCACAAACTAAACGAAGAGCCCAATACTACCAATACCCGCCACTATCATCCCAGCCCACTTTGCAGAGTTTCCTTTGTGGTTCAATATGCAATGCTTCATATCGAGCATAGTAGGACATCTACCCGGAGTAAAACCTCCTGATACCAAGCCCCAAATACCTACCTAGATACTAATAGGAGCCAGCAAGAGTGACAAAGTTGTCCTCGATCCTCCATAGCCATGATTGGGTATTATTACGACAGTCCTAGAGGTGATATACACTTATATAGTGCAACTATAGAGACACCAGTAAAATGGCTGTCGTATATCCTAGCCAATATCATACCACATTGGTGCACACCTTTCTTCTTCCTCTTTCCGCAAAACTCGCCAATGCATCACCATAAGCGATCCCATCAAACCTCCCAAGAACTGTGGGAAGGAACTCTAGTGAAAGGAGTAGGCCTCACTTGAATTAGACCATTCCGAATGATTATTGAGGCGAACCTATCACACAGAAAACCCGCAACATTCAGTAATTCTGGTTGTGCTTACCACGTGAATAGGTACAATACAGTATATGCTGCTACACGCCCTAGCTTAGGCAAGCCTGGCAAGGTAGTAGGAGCAGTGGTGTAGTAGCCCTAGAGCCTTATGGGTGATGAATTGACCAATGTTACATCAAGGTGCTGTCTTCAACAGTTTCTTACTTGCATGAATGTATAGGTAGGTATCGTATACTCACATGCACTAGAAATCAATTTTGACCTCCAAAGTTGTATGAGTAAGCAGGAAGGATTCAATTAACTGAATATATATCTATGTAGGTGGCAATACAGCACTTCACGGCTTTATTTCGTTAACGGGCTGTGACAAAGAAAAAAAAAGATGGTATTAAAACATCGATAATACTTTTTTTTTTTTTTTTTGGTAATGGGATATAGCCGGTCTCCTTTCGGAATTCGGGTTTCGTTAACATGCGGCGAAGCCCAACTCCGTAAAGCCAACCTGCCAATCTGTCAATCTGTCAATCTGTCAAGGCATAACTATGTACCTAAAATCAATCGGTGATGAATTTGAGTTATATTCACCTTACCCACATAAGAGCGGGACTTGACTGCTGGGACGGTGGACCTTCGACTCTGTACATAATGCACATAGTTGCTGCAGGTGGATACTGTAGTACTATGCCATCCGGTCTACAGTCTACTATGCGAGGCACAAGCTACATACTAACTACAGTATTACTACTATGTATGTAGGTAGTAGTCACTATACACCAGTGACACAAGCAGTAACAAAATACTTTTGAAGTTCCAAGAAACTCCAAGAGTTTTCCAAGCCCTTTAAGGCCTATTCCACATACGACTCCTTGAAGACGCGGGGAAGAAAAGCCACCCGATTACAAATCTAGGGCTATGCAGGCACACATGATTTCCAGATCCGCCATGATTGACTTTGCAAATCAAGCTGCGCCGAGTTTATCAACGATGTTAGTTCTTGCTAGCCTCGTTACGGGGATCTTTCAATGACGCTCTATAACTGCGGTGTATACCTGGGTAGCTATGGATAGCCTCTGTGCTTAACTAGTATGTACCTAATATACTAAAGGTCGCTATCGGCGGTGCACTTATCGGTCCCGGCGTCAACTCGCGCATAAAATCGCGAAGAGCGAGGGGCGCGAGGTCCATAAATGGCATATATGCACGAAGAGCTATGAGATGCTACTCATGGTACTGTACTACTAGTACTACTAGTAGTAGGCGATTACAGCCACATGAGGGCAAGCTTGATTACCTACATATGGGTACATACCTACTTACCTATGTAGGTACGGATCAAACATAGGCATTGTCATCTGCATAGACATGTGCACTTATGAGGCCCAGGCGTTTGTTTCAAATAATCGTGTAATTCTGATCACTCGATTAGATCTTTTATCCTATCTCTGTCTAGCGTTCAAAATATAGTCCGGTGGTGGTTGGAATTGGGATGATGTGGGATGCACAAGGTGTCTACTTGGTACCCTACTAATAGTTATGTACCTATCATAAACAAACTGGATATAAAATAAAGTTGATCTTCGGGCCCGAGGAACTGTCTGTCTTATGCACCCGCCAGAAGATTACATAGAATCTGTAGATGCTTACATATATGTAGTATGTATGTAGGTACGTATGATGAGACCCCGATCTTAAGGACAGAGACGGATGACGATCAATTATATGTAGCTTACATGTACATAGTTAATCAGCATTTTTATTTTCGCGCACACACCTATGGATACATTCATAGTTACTTGATTCAAGTTGTCGGTCGTTGGCCACAGAGCGCTCAGCCAAGATCCAGGCACGTCCCTGACTAGTGATGATTCAAAGACTTGGCATTGTACGTAAGCCACTTCTCCAAAGGACAGAAGGAAGAAAAGAAGGCCCGGAGAAAAAAAAGGAAAAGAAGAAAAGAGAAATGTGTCGCTACATAGTGGGAAATCCATCGGGGTCGGGTCGTTTAGGAATCCCGCTTCCCCGTTCGTTTTCGGACCCTGACTTCTAAGTTGTTCCAGAACTTGAAGAATCAGATGCCAATTTGTCAGAGCGTTTCGTCCTTTGTTTCTGAACATGTCCTCTTTCCCACTGGGCCTGCCCAGCAGCCTAGCCCAGATCATGATGGATTACATAGTAAAAAACCACGTGGGGAAGGGGGTTCGGTTGGTGGGATCTCCCTTGTTCAAGACTTGTTCAAGACTTGTTCAAAGAGGTTCATTGATATTAAAATAAGGTTTATATATTATATATTAACTAAATGTACATGACATGTGAAGATTGATTCCTCATAGTCAAGCATGATTAAATAGGAGTATGCCCAGGTGCACATGTAGAGACTGTTAGCGACTTACAGTGATGATGACAGATACACTACCTACTGTAGATACCTACATGTAGCTACCAACGTCTGTACGTAGTAGTGCAATGCTTTTTGTTTAACAGCTTGATAAAAGCCAAGCAGATTGGCAGGTAGGAAGTATGTAAATATCTGTCGTATAGCCGTACTAGCCTTACTATGTATTATTATTACACGTGTAGGTATACGCGGAAAATCAACTGGCCAAAATACATAATTACATATTAGTAACTACTTTTTGTAGGGACAGATTGGAAAGTGAAACGAATACGATTCTGGCTCACTGACCGCCAAGAGGGCCGTTCAAGGCGGGGGATAAGTTGCCTATCTAAGTAAATTGCGGCATCGTGGCGAAGCTTTGAAGGGGGTGTGCGTGTGCCCCCAACACCACAGCCATTTGCATAGGTAGTTTAATCATAAAGAATGTTTCTTTCCCTTGAGGCCAAGGGATCTACGAGATTGATTGACTGATGAGTGTAACCCCTTCGAGAGTTATTGTTGCTTACGTAGCCCCTGTGAGCATGTTGCTCTTCCAGGACTGCTATTAACGGTGTTTCGATGCATGATTGGCACAATTCATATACGATTACATCGATTGCACTTCCACCTCCCCTCCATCCCCCGGCTCCCTTCCCTGGTAAGGCGATCCGGGGTAGTTCAGGTGAGCGAGCCTATCCATCCACCCATCCACCCATCCCACCCTGTCTGAAACTTGATGAGATAGAATTGAACGGCGCGACGTCATCTACTTCACGCCGATTCGGTATTTGATGACATGAGCAAGTTAAACAGGCAGTAATATTTGGCTCATTCAATTTAGGAAAAGGTCAGCAATTCCCTTGAAATCATGTCATCCAAATCACTTAGGATGCTTCATCCTTATATCCTACACTTATGTAGGTACATACATACATACATAGTACTGTAACAGCCTAGCACCAGATAAATACGCGGAAACCACCCATACCCGCATTTTATGCCCGTGTGCTTATCACCTATGTAACGCATTCACAGACAGCTGAGCGATCTGCCTAAATGCAGTTAAAGTGAAGTAGATATAAGGAGGTTCTGGAATACCCTAGACCCATACCTAGGGTTTTTGATCTTCCCCAGTCAGTTGCTGCTTGGAAATCAACAGAAAGGCTAGGGGTCGATAATCAATCACAGCCTATTATGTAAGTAGATAGTGTGGCACATTTGGTTCAAGGCAGGGCTTCGATGCACCGCACCGCACTATACGATATACGACGAGGACATCAAAGTGTGCATGATAAGTGGTCTTATTGGATTGTTAATTGCTTGGTGGCTTGCGAACCGCTGTGACCCGGAAGTGAGCGGTACGAAGGTCAAAAAAAACGTAAGACACAAGATGCAAGATGAAGACGCAAGATGTAAAGCGTAATAATACACCGCTTAGTAGTATATGTAACATGGATACATAGAGGTGAATAGGAGGGGCATTGGAGAGTAAATCATAAATGAGTTATGGATATAACGCTGGAAATAACCCGCCAACACCGTAAATGCATTCCTTCTAATCGCAAAGTGGTATGGTATGTAATACAAACCAACCATAGCCGCCATGGCTCCGACCGTCCAAGCCCAGGCTTCTCTAGGCTTCTCTCATAGAAGCGCGTAGAGTTCAGCTTGGGAATCCAATCGCCATAACCCCCCGGTCTTATCTTTTGAAGAGCTGTGTGCGTTGTGTGTGTTGTGTGTGTTGTGTGTGTTGTGTGTGTTGTGTGTGTTGTGTGTGTTGTGTGTGTTGTGTGTGTTGTGTGTGTTGTGTGTTGCGTGTGTAAAGGATGCGATTGCTTGTTCACTGCCAGCCAGCTCAGCCAGCCAAACCCATAAACGCCGTGCAATAAACGAAGTGTGTATATGAGTCGAAAACGATTGCAGCCCCCCTTTTTCGCCTTTCCCGTATGCCCCGTGACCAGGACGTCAACGCCAGTCTAGACCTATCCGTGTTCATATTCATGATCGTAATGATTCCATATTGTATCCCGAGTAGATCATCGGATCTCCAACCCCCAGCATCACCTCGGGGTTTGGACATTGTATCATGTGAGGCTTAATCGTGCCAAATTCCGACTCGACGAGCCCTTGACTCAACATGATCTCTGCCATGTCTATATCCATCCCTTGTATAAATTGCGGTGATAGGTCTATCGAGCTAGGTCTGCTCATGTTCCACGTAGGAAAAGACGACGGAGCTGAGGGTGATTGGACGGCGAAAAGACTCCCGGGCGACTCGATTTCGGATTGTATAGTATTGGTATCCAGATCGTATGTTAAGCTCTGAGGTGACATTGTCTGCAAATTTTGCCCACCTAGCATCACCTTCCTGTAATCCTGCTCGAAGTCCGAGTGGTCAAGCTCCGAAGAGCTTGCCCGATCCGTTCTCGTGGAATTTGAATCTGTTTCGGATCGGTGTTCTGTCGAATGCGTTTCTCTTTCCTGCTGTTGCACATCTAGCTCGGCAGCTAGTTTCGCTAATCCTGCTTCATCTTCTGGGAAAACTGAATGAGGGGGGAGGTCGGCGTCCGCATTGGGTCGTATGCACCCGAGCTTCGTTGCGATGTTGTGAATGATAGGCTGACCCCTCTCATTCAATTCCGGCTCTCCCAAGTCCCACGATTGCCCATTCCTGACCATGGCGTATAGCTTGTGTACGGTGGCAATCAAGGCAAACTGCGTATTTTCTAAAACCTCCGCATACCTAGGACACAATCAGCCTTATGAGAATACTTAATTGGTTGAAAGCTACTATACCCTCTAGGCAACTGCTTGTATTCCGTCTTCTTTCGTGTACCTGCTGTACATACCAAGCCATCATCCTTACACCTCTTACACGGGAACTCTCCGTCACACTATACCCCAATGTTAGCCACCACATAGCTTCGAGGCGGTTTCACTTAGTCGCTAACCTTTGTCTTCTTCATTCTGCATCGCTCACAAGCTTTCCATACTCGCTTATGCCTGTTGTCAATGGCATGCGGTGAGAGGGGCGGGTGGTCGTGAGAAGGAGAGTGGGCGAGATGATTGGCAGCTCGCTTGCCGCCTCGATGTATTGGCTTCACAGATTTGTTACTAGAAGCAGTATTCCTCTTGGATGATGTTGTGGTCTTCATATTCATGTTGTCCTCAAGGGGAGGCGTTGGCATCCCACTTTCCATTTTGGGAGATTCCGACTAACACGGGAGACACTCAAGTAAGACCGAGTTGAGATATACTTGAGTAGTGGAGGTATGTAAGTGAGCTGAAATTCAATATGAGATAGCTATAAAATATAGATGTAACTGATTATGAAATCCAATACCGGAACTCAAACCGAGGAACGAATATGAATCAAACAGTGAAAGGGGTGGGAAGGGAAGAGATAAAATATTATTCGAGGAATTTCGTTGATAAAATGTGACTCTCAACTGGGATTAATAATGCAGCAGAGTGAACCGAGCTTTAAGGGCGTGACGATTATGTGATGTTGCCGTTTACACTAGGCCCGGCAACTTTATTCTTGTCGAACAAGCTAAACAGACCAGGGATGGTCTTTGAATCGGCCGCGCTTTATGTCCGAAAGTGCGGGCTGCTCAGTATGTACTTTACTTGGTACTTAGAGACTTAAGAGACTTGCTGACTGGGTCGACAGAGGTAGCTGTAAGTCTTGGATGGAACCCGGAACCTCTTCAAGAAGTCACTCCCTTGAGAAGGGCCATCCAATGGAAGGTCTATGTCAATATGATGTTGAATATCCCTGCAGCTTGCTACAGCTCTTGGTATCGTGGCATAGTTCGACTGTTCGAGACGTGTCTATGCCAAGTGAGGTCTAGGGGATGTTGCTGGCTGTGTTATAGTGTTATGCTCGAACTGACGGCGAGCCAAGTATTTGTATGTATGTATGTAATTGTATAACCGTGACTTCACCGTCCAAGTTATTTATATGGAATTCGACAGGGTACCAGGTAGCGTTGTCGTACGAGAAGGCAGTATTAGTCGGCAGTAGGCATATGGAACATTGAAAGCAGTAAGTGTGAGTTTTCAACATAAGAGTCGAAGGCGGAAAGGCATCATCGTCTTCTTATATTTAAGGTGAATTATTATTCTTTGTATGTGGAGAGAGTGGGCATACGACAGCCGTACCACCGTGGCCACCGTAGCCACCATGGCTACAATACATACCTAGGTAGAGTCTGGTAGACATCTAGAAGAAGAAAAGTAACTTTAGAGAAGAGATCAGATCAGGTCGAGTGACAAAAAGGTACAAGAGACTACATGGAAACCGGAGGTCGAAAGTCGCGAGAAGTACCCGACTATTTCGTACATTGTGTATGTATGGATGTAAAGTGGCTCAGTAAGCGTGTGCTTAGAGAGCAACGCTGAAGAGCATCAATTAGGTAGACGAGACAGGGCTAGTGTTAGTACTGCCCAGGCTGCTTAGTGCTATTAATGGTTAGGTACGTAGATATTAATGGATGTATCCATGATTTCATGGATGGAGGATGAATGATAAACAACATTTGAACTGGCTCGGAGTTATGCTACAAATGTAATGTATTGTATGTACATCAATGGATATTGATTTGGCAGGCAGTGGCAGTTTGGCTGGGTCCGGTACTACATAAGTTATAGTGCGGCGTGCCATGTAGTTACATGGTATCATTTATGTATGTACTAGGTATGTAGTCATTGTACTATGTAGGTAGTCATTATGGATTATGTAGGGCTGGTAGGGATTAGGTAGAGAGTTGTGCAAAGGTGTGCAAAAATATACAGCATAATCCTGGGTTTTATGACCCAATTGGGGCACATGCCTGTTGATACTTTCTAGATGTTTGGATGCACAAAACTGCAGGCGGAATGTAACCACTCCGTCGCTAAATGTTAGCGGACGGCATTGCAATTCAACAAGGTCCCGTGTGCTGATGCTTTTAAATCTTGGCCGGACCAACTGTTAACGCCGAACATTACTTTACTCTTTACTACCCTAGAATCCTAGATACTTACTAGTAGCTAGCAGCCCTAGAGTAAAAGTTGAATTCCCTCAGCGACCTAACTACATAATATTGCACACATGCATCCATGTCAGTGTACATATGTACGTACAAAGATAAGAGCTACACATAACAAAGTTGAATCCAACACTGAAGAGAGAAATAACATCGTCAGCGGCCAGCCCCTGGTTAATAGCTCTCCTCCTGCTTACCTAGGATAATTAGCTGCCTACCTAAGGTATTACATAGTTAGTTAGTAGTACGGTTAGGTATTAGGTAGGCAAATACATAAACTGTAACTATCTCTGTACAATATTATGCACATTATATCCATCCATTGGATGTTTCATATTTCGTACAATCCCGAATGCGAATCGTATTTGGCTCCATTAAAATTCCCGGTCCAAATTTCCCACCTGTACACATCACATTTATGAATTGTGATGTTCAAAGAGACAGAAGATGGTACATATCTACACTACCTAGGGTATGTATGTACGATTCTAAGCTAGCACATTCACATGTATGTATATCAAGGAATTGGCAATTGCCTATTATGTATGCATGTATGCATGGCATGTACTGCACTTCATCCATATGTATCTAGGTTAGCGCAATGTAGCCCCAACATAGACGCAACGGTACTAACCTTAGAAGTTGAAGAATTTCCAGGGCTGCCAAGGCCCAAGGCCCAAGGCATTAGTGATCTATTATGTACTATAACACCATGCCCAATACACTACAATGACATTTGATACCTAATATCCTTGGACATGCCCAGTTGCCAGTAATGCTGCGGCTCTGCCAATGCGCACTAATATTCATGGACCTGTTGGAAAATAAAATAATACCAGGTAACTATCATGATCTAATCTGTTTTCACTATTATTACTAGGAATACATATCTAATAACAAAGCATCATGATGATGACATGAGTTCTACTTTCTTCTTAAATTTCAAGCTGACCAACTTACAGCACACAACAGCCAACAGGTATCACTTATATTTCAAAGAAAGAAGGAGGATGCTCCCTTCCGCCTTCGGGGATAAGCTGAGACCTATGTAAAGAGAGAGCCCCCCCTCGCGTTCGCTTGCGGCCTTGGGAACGGATCCAATGATCCATCGATGCAGGCGACAAGCCCGTACCTAAGTTGGAACTTCTGTGGAACACCCTTTAGAGTACTTCGAACCTATTAACCTAACCTAGTTCGTTCCCGAGGGTGAGGGTTTCAGTAGATCTAGAGACTAGAGTAGGTACCGTAGCTGTATGTACATAGCTAGAAAAGCTCCATAGGACATTTATTATTTTTTATGAAAATAAGTAGTTATTTCGCAAGCACCTTCTAAATTATATCATGAGTGTTGCTTTAAGCCTTTAACAGCCAAGTCGCTTTAGCATCCGTCAATACCTAACTAATGATACATGTAGTTGTAGAACTCTGCCCCCTTACTATATCATCACCTAGTATGCATGAATTATGTACCTAGATTACGATAGGTATATTGAGGCAATTCAATAATATGGAACAATGGTTATACGCCGTAATCATAGTACAGTAATAATCATTATCCGAAAGTGGAAAAGTATCGAGATCCTTTAGTTTAAACGAGTCGATGACAGCTTCAAAAAAAAAAAAAAAAAAAAAAGAAACAGGTGGAAAGAAATTCATAGTGGAGGCCAGAGCTCAAGCCACTTCGTCGCTACTACCTACTTCGTAGGTAACTAGCAGGTACGCAATAGTCATTGTGGAGATGAAACTTCAGCTCATTCTAGAAAAGGGAATGCCGGCTTGACATGATTGGACGAAAGATAGTTAAGGTAAAGACGCAAGGGACGATCGTCAACTAGGATCCACTTATAAGCTTTACCTGTTGCAGTTTAGCGTACTATCTTGCTATGGATGATTGCCGTGTCGGCTCCGATGTATGTCGTGCATTTCGAGCCGATTCCGAGAAGGGGGATAAGCAACAGGACATATCTTGTTAACAAAAAACAAGCTGCCTCAGCTTCTGTACAGGATTAATATGAAACGGGACAATCATGATCATCAAAAAGAGCGGTGGCCGATGAGTCCCGTCATCGCTCCAAGCCAAAAACTCAGATAGGTGCTATATATGTACGACAAGGAAAATCTGATCACAAGAGCCCCCAATACACAGTAGTAGCAGATAATGAGAAGCTTAGCGGATCCAGTCGATCGGGGCTCGGCTACCGCCTTGGCAGGTTCAAAAACCTCGCTCTCCGAACGAATCCCATCAACCCGAGAAATGCTACCGTAACCAGGGCCCTAGGTATCGCATAACACATAATAGGAGGGTAGGTACTTGACTACTATACTTCTTCTAGAAGGGGCTTCCAGCATAGAACTAACAAACACCGATGTTTATACTCATAGAGAAGTCCCCAGCAGTGACTCAGAGGACGGTGGAATCTACAAGGATTTCGAAAGTCCCTCATCTCTCCTGAACGAACCCTTTTACTTGGACAGGTAATGAAAAAAAAAAAGCAAATCTAATAGGTCGGTAACCGGAACATGCAGTTGGGACATGATAACCCTGCATTCATGGCCATTATGCAGCCCTGTCTAGCCCTGCCCGAGCCCGTGTCACGAGTCATCATTTTCCACCCTTCGAAGCAATAAATATCCCGCGCATTGGGTTGTCGTGGCGTTTCGTCCCTTTCCTTCTTTACCAACCAGGACGAGTAAGGATGAAATGGAATATACGTACATGCATTACATACGTACAATACAATACACGAAGCTACTTAGTGCATAGGCTTGACGTATTTCGTGCCTAGGTAGATATGCAAGGATAGAAAAGCGGGAATGGAAGATGGAGTGTGTAAAATTCCGGCGCAATCGGTTTTTGGACTGTTAACACCGTCCGAGCTTAACTATACCTAACTTTCTACCCTATGGGATTGTACATATTCTTACCTACCTACATGTAGGTATTTAGCCCGCATCAGTATAACGTGGGTAAGCCTAGCGAGTTAGGAGCCTCTCAGGTCAGCATCACAGTCCCGTACCTTATCTTACATAGTACTAGCCAGAAATATGAATCCCCGAGTTAGTACCTATAGATACTAGGTATAATACATGATCCATTATGTACCTACCTACCATAAACCTGACTGGACCCTCCGCAATCTGCATTGAACCCGTTCCCCGAATCCCGTGAACTTTGACGTAAGAAAGGCCACTTGGTTATGAAGAGCCTAAGCCTTAACCTCCTAACTATGCACACTAGGGAACTAGCCACATGCTTCCGATATTGTATACCAAGCACGCTACCTACACGGTAATAAGCAATCTCAAATCTAAAACAAGCCGGGCCGGCTTGACTTCTATGGGGCAAGGCTAGAATATTACACTACCGTTCTATTCCGAACCTCAACCAGCTCTCGTCGATCATGTAGTCTATCAAAGAAGAACAAAGAAGAAAGGATTCCGCGTTCCATCGGAGAGTCGGTCCCCTTTCTCCCCCGGCCGGCCAATGTGCGTTGTAGCTGACAAGCCGATCTCTGACTCCTATCGAGCATCAGCCTCAACGTAGTGTCGTGTATTCCTAGGCAAGGGAAGAAGGTTGTATTGTATGTTAGTCGTCTATTGGCATACGTACTGTACTACCTTTGAAGATCACCTAAGATCCCACCTAGCGAGTCCTACGGGAAGAGAAGGGCCGTTCAGTCAAGGATCTGGAGCTATCTACTCGCCCCGTTTGTTCATCATCCAAGCAAGCATCGAGAATGCTTACCAGCTTACCTACATACCTAGGTACATACGTACTGTAGCACACGTACCGAGGTTAGTTAGATCCTACACATGTAGCTAAAGCAAAGCCCACGTTTTGGAAATTTGCCAATAGTACCCGCCAGCCACGTGGGGATGCCGCGGCTCTGCTTCGAAGATCTGCATACCTGCCTAACGGGTGCTGGTGGATGAGAAATAAAGTACTAGGCAACTAATATTTTTCTTCTGAAAAAAAAAAAGGGGGGGGGGGGGGGGGGGGGGGTTAGCTCCTAGCCTCCTACCCCCTAGCTGCCAGGGCTGCCAGGTAGGTCTCACAATGTACAGCTGAAAATTTCTTTTCACAGCTCCGGTCTATGTGTGTATTACCTAAAATCTAGGATCCGTCCCTGAGAGCCCCATCACATCGCCGAGATATCTCCATCGAGTAGCTAGAATCAGGGCCCTCTAAGGCTGCAAGGGTAAGAAGTGCGTGGGTTAGGTGAAAAGAAATAAGGGGCAAGGGGACCGAATCATTGCCGAATAATGGATCAATAAATGAGTTTCCTACCCCTTCACACCCTTTGCTATTTGTTCCCTTTGCCCGTCCGATCGTGAACCTCATCTTCTATCCTCGGCTTTCTTCACACTGGGAATTGAGAGGGTTCTTCTTCATGCCCTACTCGTTGACGCCCCTAGATTCCTAGGAAATGAGAGAGATGAAACTGCTGTCAAGTTTCTTCGCCCTAGCCGTCTCTAATCTAACCCCCTTTATTCACGCCAACTATTCCCGCAACAACCTTGCCAATGGCACAAACAAGCAAGCGGGTATTATTGGTACCTATTCTAGATAATCTATCTGCAGTCTATTAAAGAAAAACAAGTTCAAATTATGTCTTATGTGATTTCCCTAACCCTAGCCACACGCCCAAGCAAATCGTCCCACGATGACTACCGTATGCATACCAAGGTAAGAGGTTCATTATCTATCCCCTTAACCTCCTAATTCTAGGTCTGATCCCGACCCGACCCCAATGTCTAATGTGTTCCCATTACAGCTTCGACTTATTCTTAGCCTGGTCATCTGACTTTAACCTTACAACACCCTACACTTGTGTTAGCAGACCGATAAAAAAAAAGAAAGGAGGGCGTGGTAGGTAAAAGGGGTTAAAGCATTAAGACGCACCTCCTGGAAAGCAGTAGCAAGCAAAGTGCCATCCTTGCTATAAATCTTCTGGGTGACGACACCCCTCCCGTCGCTGGCCCACGGACTCTCCATCTCGGTGAACATCCACTCATCGGCGCGTACTTTACCCGGGTTATGGAAGTAGATAGAGTGGTCGAGTGAGACCATCATGCCCACAGCCGGCTGGTCCTTGTAGTCGTCAATTTTGCCGTACCCCTCCCACTCGTTCAGCTGCTCGAGGTGCTCGCGAACCTCCGGGTCCAATTTTGGTACGTCCTCGAACGGGATTTGGTACCGCCAGAGCTTATGAATGCGCGACACCGTCCCGATGAAGTATGAGTCGCTGATGTAAGCTAAGGCGCTGAGGTGCGCGCGGCGGCCGCCCTCATCACTGATGCGGCCCCGCGCCCGAACCCACTGCCACACACGCTGCTCGTGAGGCGGCTTGTGCGTGTCTGTCGGCTTGCATCGAAAGCTCTGGAACGGGTCGTCGGTACGCCCGCCCTTGCGCCGGAATTCGGGTTCCTCGTAGTCATCGGGCGGGGCTTGAGCCAGAGCATCGGGCGGCATGACAGATGCATGTGAGGCGTATTTTGCACCGCCGCTGCCCTCGCGTACAAACGAGCAAGTCACGGTGAAAATGGCATGGCCTCGTTGCCGCGCTTGCACCGTGCGTGTGCAGAATGAGCGGCCTTCGCGGACGCGCTCTACATAGTACACAATGGGGATGCTAGAATCACCGGCTAGCACGAAGAAACAGTGGTACGAATGCACAACAAAGTTCGGGGGTACCGTACGCTGCGCAGCCTATTTCGAGGATCAGCCAAGTCAGTCAGCTGATGGCTTGCATAAAAGTCTCAGAAATCCTTGCATATAATGTTGTAGGATGGAGATGACAAAGAGAGGTAAGAAAGGAGAGAAGGGCTCGCGCAGAAACGGAGCAGGAGGGCCGACCGGAAGCCGAATCAAACGAGCATAAGGCTATCCTTAGCTCTGCCCGTATCTCCGCTCAGAGAGTGTAAGATGGAGACGCGAACGCATAGCGGCCTTTCGCGCTTGGGATAGAGAACACAGCATACATGTATATAAACTGGACTTATCCCGCTGTCGTGTAGACTCTTTGATAGCGATCTCCAACCCCAATACCCAGAGAAAGGAGGAAAAAAGAAGGGATGTTTTTGGACTTACAGCCAGTGTCTGTGCGATGACGGCGCCGCCGTAGATACCCCGCGCCCCAGGAGGGTGCCAAAGCTCGCGCGTATTGGTGAAGATATCCTGCTCAATAAGTTAGAGGTGTTTTTCTTCCTTTTCTAGGCGGACAAGGCCCTCATCACTGCTGCCACGAACTACATGTACTGGAGAGGGCAATAATCATGCAGGCGAAAATGATCTGACTTACAGGTCCGATAATGCTTAAGTCGGTCAGCTCAAGGGCGTTCTCAATTGGTGCCTTGGAGCTGTCCACAGGCGGTGGCCTGACCAGCGTTGGCCGGTGTTCTGCCATCTTTGATCGCTGTCTGTTTCCTCGCGTTTTCGTTCCTGGCTTGTCTTTTTACCTAACCCCTTTCTCTGACCCTCTTTTCTCTTAGGTTTCTTAGATCTAGATCTCCTTTGTCTAGATATTTGAGTAGGACTGCTTATCCAACTCTCACTTAGGTATACAAAAAGATGCAGCCAAATATGTACGCTGAGTCCAACAAATCTGCAAGGCAGTTTTAAGTCTTCCAACGTCAGAAAAGGAATCCAATTACCGATTAGTAACTAATGCACCACGGAGATAAATAAACAATAGCGCTAAAAAGACTAGAAAGGGTAGGAAGTTGAATCACGGTATCAATCTTAGAATATGGATGAATTGTACCTGTATGACTTGCGGTGGAAATAGAAATAGAAATAGAAATAGAAATAACTAGTAGTTAAAGATTAAAAATTGGAAAAAACTTAAATGGTCTTGCTCCTGAAAAAGTGCCTCCTTAGGTAGGTACATATGTAGGCAGCCGGCAGCTTTGAAGTTTGAACGTGATCCTTCTTGATTGGATGTTTTTTTTCTTTCTTTTTGATTAGGTACATCTGTAACGCGTTGGTACTTTGAAACATTGAGATTTTACCGAGGCTCGGTCTAAAGTGTACTAGGTTAGGTAGAACATCGAAGTGGGTTTTATGATCCGCAGCCGACATGCCAAGACATTCATCGATCCAATTGCCGGCTTACCACACTACCATTAATAGTACACCATAGTTGCTAGTCTATTTTCACTTTGCCTCTTTATAATAATACGCACATGCGAATTAGGATTGTTAGCCTGTGATTAGGTGGAATAGGTGGAATAGTTACATCGTAAACATCGTGTTCAATTAGGATAGGAGACCGACTTCATTAAACCTACTCTATTAGAATAGAGTGGGCAATTCCCCATGTGATCATCTCATAGGCAAGTGGTGCTGCAGAAATTTGTACATACTCGTCGTAACAGCTAACTTTTTGTACAGGTCCTTATCTTTCTATGCGGCACACATGGTGCCTTCCAGGTTGTCAGGGGTTCATTCAATCAGAATAGATTGGCTCTAGACCATCCCATGCGTGTTCGTCTCCCTCGCCATACTTCTCTCGTTGTATCCAGTACTTGCCGTTGAACTTCCAGTATTCCACTCCCGTAACTTCACATGTTGTCTTCTCGAACCACGCAGGCGCGAATTCCTCGCCTCTCTGCTGGCGTACCTTTCGCCTAGCTCGTTGCCCCTCCTCGAGCCGGTTCTTCTCTGCTGCCGCGAGGTCATACTCACCATCTTCCATCGCCCTTTGATCTGGACGGCGCCTCGAGTCGGTTGGGGCAATCCATTTCTCCAGTTTCTCGTCTAGATGGTTAAAGGTGAGCACGAAAGGCGTGAGATTGAATGGAATGCCCTCGGGTCGAGCGTGTGCTTCCCACACCATGAAGGCTCTGCTGGGGTCACTGATACTTCCTCGGGTATCTTGTGGCTCCTCGACGGCGGCCTCGAAGCCGGGCGTGAGCCGGGCGTAGATTTTGGAATTCCATCGGCCACCCAAGCTCATGCGCGGCCGGCCATCGGCATCGAGGATCTTTCCTGATAGCTGGTAGGCACTTGAAGCTTTCCAACCTCGCTGCTTGAAGTCAAGCAGGCAGGTTTCTCCAGTTGTCCAGTTCTTGATCTCCACAAGGCCGTAGTTGTCCACGACGGGATTGCCTGTGATAATACCAACCACCTGTGATTTAGGCTTTTTCCAGGTGAAGAAATCCTCCTTGCCCCCAGCAGTAGGACGTAATCTCAAGAACCAAGTGCCAAGGTGGTAAATATCAAACGACTTGCCCAAAAACCTGGAGTCGACCTTGGCCTCACCCCAGTACGTCCATTTTGCGGACTCCGCATACGCAGCTCCAATGGGTGGATGATGGCTAACTTGTTCAATAAAAAAACGATAGCCTTTATCCGGCCTAGCGTACTCGAACGTCTCACCTAGAAGAGGATTGAATGGTTTGGCAACGCGGCCAATAGTGGAAGCAAACTCGCTAGATGCGAAAGCAGCGACATATAACATGCGTTCAATAGAGTCTGATCGATCCGCTGCCATGTCTAACAGGTCTGCGTATTCCATATCTTCGCCGGTTCGGTATAGAAGAGATGTTGGCTCGTTGAAAGATACCGGGAGCGTCATCTTAGTCATATCCTTGCCGATCATCGATTTCAGAATACCCTGATATGCAATATTAGTAGCTAATCTGTAATGAGATGAGACTATACACTTACCCATAGCCCGATCCTGGGTCTATTGTCTTCGTCTAACTTCAGCTTCGTTCTGAGGCCATTCTCGTAGCCTTTGAAGGCACTACTGACGTCCACACCTGATACTACGACATCTTGCCCTGCGCCAGTGGATGGCACAACATCAGACGGTGGCATGGGTTCAACATCGACCTCTCCTGCGTCAACCGCATCGAAAAATTCCTCTTGTTCCGATTCGGAATCGTCAGAGAGTTCGAGAGCATGTGAACGTGCAGTTGATCTGCGGCCAATGCTCTTCATCGATGGCGAGTGGATTACTGCTGCGGAAGTATCATCTTCAGCTGCATCGGGCGCCTCGGAACGCATCAATTGAGAGCTGTCTTTACTCAAAGGCCGACTCTCGCTGGCGCCCCCCATGACTTCACGAAGAGCACGTTTGGCTATCTTGCGCTTCATTTCAGCTTCGCTGACTCTCGCTTCCAAGACTTCTTGCTCGGCCGCTACCTTAGCCATGCTTTCTTCCCACATTCGTCGCATCTCGATTTCTTGCTCCAGGCGGTACTGCCAATGCGCATCACGGTCTTTCGATATCCTAAGAAGGTCTCCCATAAGTCCCTTCAGGCTACGAATCGCTGCGTCATACGTTGTGAGGGCTTGGGCGATCTTCGGGTCTGTAAGGGACATGCCTGGATTTCGATGGGACTCCGACTGCAATGCTGCACTCACTGATGCTAGCGTGTCTAGCTGGAGTCTTGCCGACTGCGCTGTAATATTGAAAGCATCCTTAGTTGCCGTTGCTGACTCGCCGCGGCTTGATCGATCTATGTACTCGTCGTCGTCGTCGTCATCCACCTCGCCGGCAATTGTGGGCTCTCTATTGTCATGTCCCCTCTCATCAGGCGACCCTGCTTCGGCAAACTCGTCGTCTACACTACCCGTGGTACTAGCACGAGATACACCGACGCGTGGAGCAGGTGACCTGGTAGAAGGAAAACGGGAAAGCTGAACACTATTTCTCGCTTCCACGTTACTTCCGACGTCGCTGTGGGAATCGGCTATAGAAGGCTCTGCTGGTTTATAGAGGCTGTCTCGAGCTTGTCGTAGCATCTCAGCACTCTGCGCCTTCTGCTTCTCCTCTTGTTTCGCCTGGTCCTTCATCCACTGAATTGCGTTGTTTAGGGCCCAAAACCACCGTTTGGCTTCGACCTCATGGTTAGCCTTTAAAGTGTACTTGACCGAGGATTTTCCTATAATCTCAAATTTGGTCTTCTCCTCTGGGCTCATGTATAGTCTGGCAATGCGCATACTGATGGCACCACGGCACGCATTCTCCGCGTCGTCTTGATGCTTGTAATAGCTGAGGACGCCATTTTCAAGAACGAACCAACGAAGTTGGTAACCTTTGCGGTAGTTTGTCCATTTCTTGAGATAACCTTTCATCTGAGGCTCGCGACTACTTAGATCCCCAGTAGCAGCTGATCCGGGTCCGTTTTGTGAAGTCGCATGTCCAAGCACTGCTTTCTCTTGAATGCCCCGTTGGGCAGCTACCGCAGCAGGTGATCGTTTGAGCATCGTCCGTGTTATATCATCGTTGGTGACTTGCTGAGGAAGCTTGCCTTTGCGATCCCGCTGGAAAGGGTCGGCGCCATGAAGCAGAAGGGCTTGGATCAATTTCGTATCCTTCTTGCGAGCGGCTTCATGTAGTAGTGTCCCCCCTGCTTGAACCGTCACTGGATCACAAGGTAATTCAATGCTATTGATATCTAGGATCGTCTTGACTCGGGGTTCTTCGAGGATTTGGCCCAACGTGTCGTAGGCACCATTTCGTACAAGGTCTTGAACTTCCTTGACTTTATCCTGAACGAATAAGGTTCTCGCGAGCTGGAGCTGTTGAAAGATCTCTGGATTTCGAGCCACATCTAGAGGAAGCTTTCCCTGGTTATTTGCAATAGCATCATTAATATCCTTTTGCTCTAGTAGCAAGCGAACAACAGGAGCACGTCCTTGAGAGGCAGCAATATGCAGAGGTACATTTCCATCCTTATCCCGGGCGTTGATATCAATATATCCGGAACCATCAGACAGGACGTATTCGACCACCTCAAATTCAGCGCATTGAATGGCGAGATGAAGAACAGTTGTGTCATCCAGAGGCCCAACGTTTGCACCACTTATCGAAGATATACTGGCACGAGGAGCATGTTCTGACGTTTCTCTAACCGCCTTGTGAATTGCAGCTGTATTGCCACTTCGTAAGGCCTCGACGATTCGAAATTTGCGAACGGATTGTTCGAGGGTCGAGCCCTTTTCAACCGCAGAGGTATTGGATCGAATCGAGGTTGAAGCGCCGGGTTCGCGGGAGGTGATACGGCTGCTGACTGACATTCTTTGACTTTTCTTAACGGATTGCTGATGAGACATGGCAACAGCAGGAGCGGAGGTACTCGTGGTTGGAAGTGAGGCAAGGCCAGAAGCTTGCGATCCATCTTCGGATATGGCATCGTCATCATTACGGATATCCTTGTCCTTTTCCCTATCTCTACGCCGGAGTAGAGAAAGGGCCGTGGACTTGGACCTCTTGTGCCCGCTGTAGGGAGCGAGTTAGTACCTTGATCTAAGGTTTCCAGACGCACTATCGTGAATTGAACATGACTCAGAAAGGGGGGTTAAGAGGATACCGAAATATGGAATGGGAATGGAGATGGGATGTGCCTCCATAGAAGAAAGGGACATTGACTTTGACAATGACTTGAATTACTTACCTTTCTCCGGCGTCCGACATGATGTACTAAATGATAATTCGGGTACCGTAAATTTCGGCACTAATTGGTAAAGAATTGAAGAGACAGAGAGAGGTGGTTAAAATGGGTGTATGATGAATGAGGACTTGATGACTCGGGGGACGTCAGTATAACATATTCAAGGATTAAGGATTAACAGCAATACAGCAATACAGCAATGAGAAGAGAGAATAAATAGAAGAAAAGTGGGTTTAGGTAAAGAGTACGTGTGTTCAATGTTGAGTGAAAGTATGTGAGTGTGAGAGTGTGAATGTATATAAAATATTCAGGAATGTCAATCGTGTCTTTTCTTTTGATACAAAGACGGACAGATATTTCCCCCCCTCGACGATCAAAATGACGTTTTTAGGTCCAAGTTTAGTTGGTCACTGTTGGTGAATGTGCAAGCTTCCAGCTTCCTGGCCAGTGGCTTCCCCAACTCCAAAGCTTCGCCGTAAGTACTATGTATCCCGGAATTCCTCCAAAAAGGACGCTAGTCCTCATTCAATTGCGCCTCCATGCCAAACCACGCTAAAGATTTGGGTGAGACACGTTAGGTAGTAGGTACTGCTAAAGCTCTTGCTGTCAACATGCTGTCACTGCTTGAAAGCTGCGCCTGCTTTATCATTTATATTTTGACGCAAGCAGGCTAGAACCTCGTAAAGATGTTCGTTTATATTACATATGTACGAAGCATCTACTGTGTACATACATGCATAGTACGAAGCACATGTATGTAATTAGTAATTACTGCAGCGCATCTCTTCATTTTTTTGTACCAAAAACTCCCAAATCAAAGACTCCTTTTTGATCATCTCAAGTTCCACGGTTAGCACGTTAGCAGGACTATTAGATATGATATACCAGCCTTAGAGACTTCTTAAATCGAATACAACCGATCCCCAGCCTTTAAACTGGTGGTAGATTTCACGATGAACTATATAACTACAAAGTGCCTACCCACATAGTAGTAGATACAATATATATACCCCGAAAATTAAACTGTGCTGGGCAACAAGGAACGCAGATCGTCTGCTATTATCCCACCATCATCATCTTGCAGCATCCAGGCACAAGCCGATGTGACCGTAACCCAATAGTTATATTCCAAAGCAAAAAAAGAAAGAGAAAAGCTATCGCTACCCACATGACACTTACATTGGATAAAGTCAATTTATCGGGCACATACAGTTTCCAACATTGATTGAACTTATAGCTAAATAGGTACACGGTAGTGAACCTGACTGACCCTACATATCACAAGCAAATGCATACCTATCATAGAAATATGTAACCTTAACACACTAGACAAGTGGATACACTACACTACTCTAGCCCCCTAACCTTAGCACCTAGTCCCCCAGATGCGCCTCCGCATGCTCAACAATCTCCTCTATGGTAAGAAATTCAAATGGGCCCAACTCCCACCCAAGGCCATCCTCCTTACGCCCAGGCGTCCGAACCGCCGTGCACGTCATATAATCTGGGCCGAGGGAGCGCAAGCAAATGTTCGCGTCGTCGACCCTCTGTCCATGGAAGAGCACCTCGTGATCCGTGATAGCCTCTCCGGGCTGTTTAGGCGCCGAGGCCGGGGCCGGGGCCGAGAAGTGCCGAAACTCGAGGTCCTTGAGCCATGGCGCCAGCAGCGCTTCGCCTGTCATCTTAACATATGCCTCACGGAGGCACCACAGTGCGTAGAAGCATCGCAGCTTGGAGTCCACCGTGTGTGCAACATACTGTTGCTGCAGCCCTTGGACGAGAAGCTCGTCGCTCTTGAGATAGCCGGCCTCGGAGCAGCCGAACACATCCGCATGCATATCCACGAAGGAGCCCCAGCCCTCGGTATCGATGGCGCGATGGTCGCGGATGCGGCGCTCGCTCGTGCACACCACGTCCGTGCCGATATCGACCTGGCCGGCGTTGTACCCGGCAACGGCAACTAAGGCGACGATGCCGGCCTGGTGGCTGACGTTGAAGAACACGGGCTGCGTGCCTGTGACAGGGTCCACGAAAATAGGCTTCTTGTTCGTGTCCCGTGAAAGCTTGGTGTCATGCCAGGGCACGCCAGCATAGCGGCTGACGACCCAATGCTTTAGGAGATGCGAGGCAAGCGACATTTTGGCGTCGGCAACAAAATAGTAACGGAGCACCGCTGCTTTCTCCTCTTCATTGAGGAGGGCTAATGCACGCGAGGCCTGAACTAACGTTAGCATGCTCCTGCACTCACGACAAGGCATGAAACCCGTAAAACATTTACTCCTACCTCATTCTCAAGATCCTTCGTCTTTGTCGCCTTGGGCCATAAATCTTGAGTCTCGACAAGGTATTGTATGACCTCGGTGCTTCTTGATGCCATTGTCGCTGTATGATTTTGGGCTGAAGGGTGTAAAGTTTGGGGAAGGTGTAAGATTAAGAGGCTACTTCAGTTGACTCAACAAAACGAGAGTAAAGTTGATGGATCTGATCTGGTCTTACCTCACTTCAAGCCACAATCCTATGCATGCTGTCGCATCAATTCCTTCGTGCGATAACCCTTTTCATTATTATGAATATGTTAGTAAGATCGAGTACCAAAAAGTGGTGGTACAATACATACATATGCATATAGGACCATTAGCCATTGTAAGTATTGATACGACCACCAAAAGGTAACAAGTCTAGCCTCTAGCACCGGCAGCTGCCGATCATAGTACTATAATCCACCAAATATAGTTGCGGCTAGACCCAGCTGAACTCCTCCCTTAAAGGCTTACATAAACAGGTGGAGACTTTAACAGTTCAACTACCTTCAACATTGAAGTTAGGTAAACAACATGTAAAGGTACATACTGTCATCTTCAGTTAAGACGATTACTTGGGTGTGAACAATGAAATTAAATCTAATTAGTGATGGCTACCCCTAGGAGGTCCAGGATCAGCTCCGTATCCGTTCACTGCTTCATGGTCTCGAGTCTTCGTCAATGCTCGCGTCGAACCCAAATCTCCTTATCTTCTCCTTGAGAGATGCATACTGTAAGAACTTGCATAAATCCCCAAGTCCTACCGCATGTATGTTGCGTCGAATCGTATAGGTAATGTCTGGTGCCTGGTGCCCGATATCTACTGGCTCGTGCTTGGGATATGATATCTTTGATATGTGGCAGTCAGTATAGGACTCAAACGACACAAAGCTATAATGAAATTCCAAAAGGAAAACTCAATTCAGCCACGAGTCCATTGTGTAACACCACACGAAGTAGCCCTCGAACTAGAACATAAGGAAGTCAGCCAAGAGAATCCACAAGAACATCAACAATTTGCATGCGTCCCAAGAACCATAGAGAAATAGTCAAGGGAAATACATGCAAGAGGGAAATGTGCTTACCTGTTGATATAACTTCGTTAAGCCTATGTGTCTGGCGTAGGTAGCTCAGTGACCTTCCTTATACTCTCCCGCCTGCGTCTCTGTGCTCATCTCATCGTGTGCGTACATATTGGCTAGCAAATGCAGTCCGTAGTTAGGGTCGTCAGGTGTTCCAAAATACTCAGGGCCAGCTCCCTCCATAGCGGATTCTAGGATTCCAGGAATGGCGGCCGACAGAATATCCTGACTCTCATTAGGGTCTCGCGCTACTAAGTCATCGATATCGGCATCAATGTCGTCTGGGATGCCTTCATCGTCGGCTGGATTGTGACCTTGGTACTGAATGGTGCAGAAGACATTATCATCTCTGACTAATCTCACTTGCTTGGCTGAGTTATGGTCTTGGCGATCTAACTTCTCCGTGTTGTCATCTATGCCCATCACCTCGCTCCAGTTAGGGCTCCAATGATGAAAATAGTCAAGGTTTGCCTTTGCTTCAACTATTCTTTGGCGCATGGCGCCGTTGGGTATTATCGTTGAGTTGATATTGTTAAGGGCCGAGATATCTGATGATTCAAATGTAGCGAAAATGCCTTTGTGATTAGGGTCTGTTATGCAAGCCTCATTGAAAACCACTGTAGTAGTGTGATCAACGTCTGTGTTGCGGTTGTTGATGTTGTGTATGTCCTCTGCGAGGGTGGAAGTAAAGCTGGGTAAACCCATTGTGAAGATTGATGAGGTGTGTACTGATATCGAGTTTATATCGAGTGTATGTTAATGTGTGGATATAATTAGCCCTTTATCTAGTCTGTAAAGAAACGTGGATGAGATGTTTCTAGTCTAGGTAGAGTTGAAGTGAAGGATGAAGGATGAAGAGGTGTAAAGGTATGCAGGTATGAATGTGTAAAGGTGTGAAAGGGTCAATTATCAGATGGAATAAAACTAGGTTCGGGATGGTCCGTGCCTACTACCACTTGAAGAAGAATAAAAAGGTTAATGATAGTTTGGGGGGTGCAGGTGTGCGATGGGTGGTGGGTGGTGGGTGGTGGGTGATGGGTTAGGTGTTAGGTGATGGTGTATGGCTGTGCGCCAAGGGCAAGTGGCAGCAAATTCATAAAGTGAAGGAGCTGGTTGCTGCTTTCTGGTAAATGTTTTGATGATGTAGGCTGTTAATTATGCGGAAGATGGTATGGTTTGGTAAGGAAAATTGGAAAGATAGTAGAAAGATGATGGAAAGATGGTGGAAAGGGAAGATGGAAGGAGATGGATTTGATGTTTTAGGTGTGACAGTTGTCAGCGAAGATTGAGGATTGAGGATTGGATACCAAACCAGTGCGCATGCCCTATTGTCCTATTGTTGTGTACCCTAGGTAACCTATGCTGAATAGACTTCGCAGAGTGGATCAGTTCGAAAACCAGCAACAGGGCAGGCACGATGCTTTTCCCTAAATACGTACCATTTACTCTCCAGGGCAACCACCTAGTACTGTGTATTGAAATTGAAGCTGCCCAAAAAGATTGAGTTCAAGTAGCGTGGTAGGTGGCATGGTGCTAGAGTCAACAGCAACTTTGGAAATCTTTGAAATCTTATCCTTCATTGTTCTCCTAAAACACTGTGACCAGAGAGGTCCATGCTTTGAACCATGAACTTTATACATGCTACTATGTACTACATAGCATGTACATCGAGTGACTATGTAGGTACACACAATGTATTGAGGTAGGCACCTAGGGTACTACTAGGTAGGTACTCTTCATGAAATTTACCTACTACATACTAAGTATATGCTGAAGGAACTTCAGAATGAGTCACAAGATACCTGATAGTCACCAGTCACTGATGTGATACAAAATCCCGAATGGGGTCTTCCTTGGTCATATGCCTTGCGCCGTGTTGGGCTGTGCGTAGCAATTTGTAGCGGACACTACCTACATAGTAGTGTTGTACTAACCCAGCTTCAAACGCCTTCATATGAAACGCGTCCGTCCATAGCGATCATTGATCGATTTATTGATATAAGCTCGCGCTATTAGAGAAGCACACTCGCAACAGCTCCTTAACTTGCCTGTCGTCCTACCGATGGCAGTCAAAGGTGTTGTGGCTGAAAAGAAAAATAGGGGGGATAGGGATACAGATTAAATATATAAATGCCCACGCAATTAACTAGGTATATTTGGTTTAGCACCCTTGAAAATGAACGAGAGCAAGCATGTCTAGTATGTGGTTAAGTAATAATTATGTACTCTTCTCAGCTACCTAATCTCACAACCATAGAGATTTAAAATACCTATGTGTGGCTTGTTTGCTCCGATAGGGGCGGAGCCTCAATCGAGAAGAGGAAAACGGGGTACCCCTTTTCTTTTCTTCCATCAGCCTTCGTATCTTCCCGTTTCTTTGGAGAAATGTCATTTGGCTGAGCTGGACTAACTTCACCAGCCTTAGCCTTAGCCTCAGCCTCAGTCGTAGCCTCTGTGTTCGATTTCTCCTCGCGCTTATTGTCTCCCCTACTGTCCTTGTCATCAGGGATCAAGTCAATGACATTTCCATTCTCGTCGACATCCACTATCATGTCGACTTTATCTAGACGGCCATCCTCGGTATAGTTCCACATCTCACGAAGCTCTCCCCTCAGAGTACCCGTGATCCAGACACTGAATATAACACCAGGTACTAGGTAGAGCAGTGCTGGCTGCGCATGACGGTAAACTAGAAGCATAGCTAAAGTCATGACCATGGCAAAAAGGTAGCCGATCATGGCAGCATAGAAATAAGTCTTGGGGAATGCTGAGGCTTCCAGGGCTGGAGTAGCATTTGGCGACCGGATATTACTGAGTTTTGTGCTCCAAAACAAATCTCCCCATTGCCCTTGAGGGTTTACATAGTCAGGCTTGACCACCATGCGTTGCGTCTGGGTATTCGTTACCAGCTGGCCCGAAGATTTGTCCTGGACCTTCAATTCAACAGGGACGAGCTTTCGTTGTCGGTAGTAATACATGTAGTGATCAAAGCGGAGACATAGTCCAATGAAAATGCCAGGTAGTACGATGTCACCCAAACCGAGCATGCTAGCTCTTCCGGGTCCCTCAAAAACTAGCTTCATTGGAACGTCAAGCGTGGTAGCAACAGTCACCATGTAAGGGCTATACTCTTACGTTAGCAGGAGAAATAGACAGTATGTTAGAGGACTAGACTTACGTGTAGAAGACCATGTATATATCGTAAAAGAAGAGTCCAAATAAGAGGCCAGTTCCAGTAGTGAAGGTGGTTGGAGACATGACAATGATACCAACATACGAGAAGGCGTAGCCCATAGCATTGGATAGAAATGTCGATTTTGTCATGTAGTAGGTCGCATTCGCACCGATAGCAATAACGACGCCGAGTATGTCATTGAATCTGACTTTAAAAGTCTCATTAACAATGCCATGTATCGAAAGGCGTACAGTCCACTGCTCCATTAGCAATCGACGGGTTTCCCAAAGAAAGTTTCTTTTCGCTTCGGTGAGGCTTAATTCAGACCATCGGCCAGGAAGGGGAGATTGCTTCTTGTCGTCCCATAGTTGGTTCTTGGTTTCCTCAGCTGTGTACCAATGGCCCCTTTTCGAGGAGTCAATGTGATAGACTCGGCCTGACTTGGTAGACCACACAGTCGGGAATACAAAACCAGTCAAAAAATGTAATGAATCGGCGAGAAGTTTGCCTAGACTTGCCAGGGACATGGTAGAGAAGTAAACGGATAGAATTCTGTTGAGAATATTGGGATCCTCTAGCCATTTGATCAAATAGTAGAGACCTACAAGGACTATGCCGGCCAGAATGGGGAACATGATAGCATCTGATGGTAGCAGGCCGTGAACCATCTGATCATCTTCATCATGATAGTCTTGTTGTTCTCTGCGTTTTCCTTTCTTACTCCTTTTGGGAGGATTGGCAGATGGTGGGCGACGAAGGGCGGCATAAGACCCAAGATAGATGCAAGCCATGGCGGTGAAAATGATGCGGAACTCAAGCATGAATGTATCGCGATTATCCCATAAAACCATTGGCAAAGTAGAGAGTTTCTCTGTAATGGTCATGTTCGCCACCACAGATCCAGTCGTCATGTTGACGGCAACGGCAGAGATATCGCTTGTTGCGAGATACGTTGAATCGTTGCTAGCCATATTTTTTGGACTGTTAAATTGAGTAGTGGGAAGTTTAGGTATTTCTTGGATGATACTGTTGTTGAAAAGGGTGGGAAGGTGTACCGTAGTCCTCAGGTTTGATGTGGTTGTTGTCTGTTGTCAAACATACGCAGCACAGTGACGCGGATGGTATTGGTGTAATTTGTGTTTCTCAAGTGTTGCAAGGCTATTTGCGATGAATTTTTACTTAAAAAACCCCCCCCTTCTTGCTGACCCGTTTGAATACCTGACTTATAAGTACTCAATATCGATGATCTGTTGTACTGGGTAATTGCTGAATGAAGCGATGCGGAAGCCTTATATGGATGGATGTTAAGTTGATATTGACTCTACAAGAAGAAGCCTTTACCAAAGAAGCTTCAGATTGCCAGGTGCGGATTAGACACGAACACCTCATTTGCGTCCATATGAAAATGAAACTAGCAATGTCTTTTCCAAAGTTTTATAGTGCCTCTATTCCGATAATTAGAGAGAGAAGGAAATGAATTGTCTCCCAAGTCATGAGATGTTGTTCGTGATGTTGTTTTAGGTACTAAAATATATTGTTGTACAATTGTACAGCACAGAACCTTAGTACTAGTAGTAACTATCTAGTAACTATTGACTCCCCCAGGATGCGTCAATGGTTCACTTGAATGCATAGATTCCTATATTAAGGAATATGCTTAGTTGCATAATTCAATTGAACAATCTGCATTTCGAGGTGTTGCCCCTCCAAGAGCTTCAACTTTGGCCAGCTTCAGCTTCAGCTTCAAGCTTCAATAATATATAATAATATATAAAAGTTTCATTCACCACATAGTATAAGATGACGACAAACGTAGCCCTTGACACCTCAATGGTGCGTATGCCCTCCCCTCCCAAATACATACTCCAGCTCTTCCAATCTCCAACTACCTGCATATGTAGGTAGGCAGGTACCTATACTTATCACCTATTTACTAAAAAAAAACCACAACATTCCAGGGCACGATAACGCTCGAGCTCTACACGACGCACGCGCCGCGCACATGCACCAACTTCGTGACCCTCGCGCGGCGGGGCTACTACGACAACTGCATCTTCCACCGGATCATCCCCAACTTCATGGCGCAGACGGGGGATCCCACGGGCACCGGCCGCGGGGGCACCTCCATCTACGGCGAGAAGTTCGCCGACGAGATCGCCCCCGACCTGCGACACACCGGCGCCGGCATCCTCAGCATGGCCAACGCTGGCAAGGACACCAACGGCTCCCAGTTCTTCCTCACCCTCGCCCCGACCCCCTGGCTCGACGGCAAGCACACCATCTTTGGCCGCGTCAAGGCCGGCCTGGCGGTTTTGAAGCGCATGGGCATGGTGAAGACTGGCGCAGATGATAGGCCTGCGGAGGAGGTCAAGATTATTCAAGCGAGAGTGCTAGAGGAGGAAGCAGCTTAATGCTCATATGTATTACATGGGCTCAACTACTACATACAGACAATGAACGAAGGGCGGCGGAGTATCTAGCGAGAATCGAGATAGGCATGGGCACCTAGGCAGATGACGATGTTTTCATGAGTCGGCGTTCTGGAGTCTCAGAGAAATCTTATCTTCATCATTAGGTAGACGCGTACAAAATACCAATTGCAAAACATCTCATAGTAGTAGTAAGTACCTGATGTGCACCAGCGACTATAAAAGCCCTCGTGTACGGTCATTCGGGGTCCTGTAAATACATATGTGCACAAGAAGCATCTTTTAACATACAGTTTGCCGAAAACCCAACGCCGGTTATTCCCCTATTCCCCTATTCCCCGGACGAGATGCATACCTAAGTTGCCCAGCCACTTCATTGTTTCTTTCTTTCTTCAAATAACCCCGGAACCCCGTTTCAATGCAAGGCTCTCTGGCCGTTGTACAAAATGCTATGATAATCAGTGCATGTCAATAATACTTGTCCTATTTTCGATGCTCGATGTAATAGAGACATTGTTTTGAAATTAAACGACCGGCGGAGAGGACAGTGTCCCTGAGCTCTCAGACTCGCGGTCATCATCTCCCCCACCGCCACTTGGAGCTGATGTCTTGCCATTGCTTTTAGACATAGGCGATGATAGGAGTGGTTTAGAAGCGCCCAGCTTCAGCTTTTTGGCCGGGCTAGGCACCTTCGTTACCTTCTTCTTGGGGGCGACTTCAACAGTAGATCCTTCAGCATCGTCATCGTCGACCTTCTGCTCAACACTCAATGAGGAACTCGTCTTGACCTTCTCCTTTTTGGTTCCTCCGGAGCCCTTCTGCTTGAGGACCAGCTTCTTGTTGGCCGCATTTGCTGCAGTAGGTTTCAGTTTCTTCTTCTTGTGCGCATCATTATCGGTCTCATCATCATCATCCATCTCATCACCGTCCCTCTTCTTGGGGCTACTAGCCCGTGAGCTCGGGTGGGGAGTACCCTTCTGACTGGATGGCGGAGTTCCATCGGCGCTACCGTTGGCATTACTGCCGTTGCTAATCTTCTGCGCAGCAGCACGGCTCGCGGTACGTCCACTATTCCCAATGCAGGAACCCATGTGATTGTTCAGGCGGGTGACCAGAATGCATCGTTTGCATTTGCTACAAGTCGCCGATGGGAATGAGAGCATGTTTGGGGGTCGCGAGGCGGCGCCTCCGACTGCTGTATTTCCATCCGGCGCTGGTGTCTGCGAATCCGTGTTCTGCTCTAGCTTCTTCTCCATGTCCTTCTTCTTCTTGCCTCTGCCCGGTCCCTGTGCAACCCAAGTTTGTCCATAAATGTCGTAGCCAGGTTTGTCAATGTATGGATGTTTCTTGCAGTATATTATGCTTGGATCCGGTTTTCTTGCTCCTTTGCCGTCGGTGGGATAAAGTAATCGCGGAAGGTGACATCTGGGACAGTCAATGTCCTTGGTGGTAGCTAACGGGTTTCCCTTGAGTAGCACCTTTCCTTCATCGTAAACAGCTGCATCTGTTTCAACTCTGACGTCGGGCCGAGCATCGGGGGCGGAGGAATCTGAAGCATCGGCAGCTAACTTTTCGACGCGAATGGCAGCGGTTGCAGCGCGGGCTATTTTCTCGTCTCGGTGCGTTTTCATTAACAAGTCGTGAACGATATTGTAGAGTAGATCATCTAACACGGCATGCGCCTGACATAACCGAGTTAGTTTTAATTCACGAAGCTTCGTGGTGGTTAGGTATTAAGATGTGAATTTGTAAGCATCAATGATCATGTCATGTCATGCTGCTAGATATAGGTTAGGTAGGTAGGTAGGTAGGCAACTTACAAGTTTATCCATGCTCCCGGCATCGTCAGAGGCTTTGATGACCCCAGCCTTGCCGGTATTAGATGAAGCCATGATAAATGCTCAATACCCGTCGTTGGCGACGTCGAGCTTTGAGATGGTGGGGGGAGATGAAATATGTAATGAGGTGGAATAAGAAGAAGTTCCACCGAATCTGAAGAATATTAGGTAGGATCGCGAATCTGGGTATCAAAAGGAGATAACGGAAATGATGACTTTTTTTTTTAAGGATCAGAACGGGAAATGTAGGTAGGTAGTACTGGGTACACAAGGCACTGAGCGCTGGGCAGGGAGTAAGGTTAGGGAGCTGGAGAACTGTACTACTTGTACGTGCTTGCAGTTAACCAGTGCATGCATCCACTCACTCCCCGGAATACATCCATGGCATGATGGAGAGTTACAAGTCAAAGCCCCTAACCTAAAATTATAGGTACTACCTAGGTAAACTGGTAAAGTTGGAAGGCGGCTTACATACATAGTACTACATAGGTACCTAGGGTATGTAAGCCTTTAAGGTTCAATGGATCCATGGATGTTTGTTGGATTCAAAGATCAGGAACGGCATAACAAGCTAACTAGGTTAGTGAATATTGAATTTCCATGATGTAAATTGTAAAATACCCTAGGTAGTCCCTACATTACAAACTACAAATACTAGTTATTTGCGATTTCACATTCAAGAGAAGATGTTGGTAAAGGAACTTCTTGCTTAGGCGCCGATGAGGAAATAACATTGAGTAATGTAGATTACTGCATGTACGTACTTCGTACTTGTATTGTACATACTTCAGTAGGCTAGAGGCTAAGTTAGGTACATATGTAGTTAGTACCAACTGTAACTATTGCAAACATTGAACTTGAACAGAGGCTGAATTTTTGGCCGGTAAGCAGACAAGTACAACCTGTATGTACACACAGACTAGCGGCTATGGCGAATCAATATACTGGAAACCCCCCCATGCATTAGTAGACAGAAGCGTCCCGGGACCTTAAATAGGTGCGCTACGTAATACCTTCAGATACTAGTTGCATAATTACATAGTAGCTCATGCGAAAACACCAGATCAGTTTTATCAACTCCAGATGTCTTCAAGTTCTTCATGTGCGCCACTACTAGGTACAAGATATAGATGTAACCTACTTGTCTACTGGGAGAGAGATATTAGTTATGGACTTATGTAGTTAGTACCGAGTACCTAGTAGTAAGCACGTTCGCGCATACATGTAACTAACGTTAGTAGGATTAGGTAATTATAGTTATAGTACGGCCCCTACATAAACTTGAAATATTAAAATAGTGCATACTAATAGTTAGTATGCACTTATCATGCATATGCATAGATGTAATTTGACTTCAAGTTCCAGTTGTCCATAGTACTAGGTAGTGGGGCCTATCGATAATGGCCGAGGTTTTTCATATCTCCAGATTTCAATTTCTTTTCCTTTTCACTTTTCCCCATCCATGAATATTTTATTTACGTACGACGTACCTAATAAAAGCTTTGGGAGCACTAGGTACCTAGGTAGGTGACTTACCTAGGGTATATAATACTAGTTACTGCCAACATTGAAACCACTTAACGCGGTTGGTTCCGCTCATAGTCCTCCACTGTTCTCAACACGAATTGTCATCACATCACCAAAATATCCATCATCACAACTGCAATTCTCGTGCCATGTTAACATCTTACTTTCTAAGCTAACACCATTACCAATACGCATTTCTGCTGTGAAAACAAACATGTCTCTTCCCTCTACCAACGCCAATGGGCAGCCTTCCATTCGTAATTTCTTCGTATCCAAACCGCCCGCATACACTCCGCCCCCCGCGTCGTCACGCCCACAAGGCACATCTTCCGCTCCTTCTCCACTGCCATCGACAACTGCTACTGAACCTTCTCCTTCGAAAATCGCACAACCTGGACTGATATCACTACCGTCGTCAGCTCCTGAGGTTATACCAACAAGGCCGGCCGGCCTCCACCCACAAGCCACCATCTCCCCAATTCTTCCCGAATACATCCCCGCTCTACGGCGCATAACTTCCCTTTTACTTCCGGTTAGCTATCCCGACTCCTTCTACACAAAAATCTCCGACCCTTTGTCGTCAGGGGCTTTCAGTCGTGTGCTCTTATGGTCCGACCCCGCCGATCCCATTGATTCCACACCAAAAGTAATAGGGGGTCTTGTCTGTCGGCCTGAACCCTCCCCCTTCTCATCTGTACCTGGTCGAAGGTTTGCCGCTCCTACGACCCCCGACGCCCAGCCTAATGCGGTGTATATCCAGTCGCTCGTCTTGCTTTCGCCATACCGACAATTAGGTCTCGCCGCGGCGCTGCTGGAAGAGGTCGCACGGCTCGCGGCCGCCAGCGCATTTGCATGTCGGGAGGTTTACGCCCACGTGTGGACGGATAACGAGGACGGCCTGCGCTGGTACCTGGCACGTGGGTTCACTAAGCACAGCGAGATTAGCGGATACTATTTCAAACTACGGCCAGACAGCGCGTGGATTGTACGCCGGCAGATCAACACCAACGGCGTGACCTCGGCACTCGGTCTCGAAAGCAGCGTTAGCAAGGAGGCGCAGGCTTCGGATGGGACAACGACAATACCATCAAGTACCACAACGGCAGCGGCGAATCTACTAAATAAGCCAACAGCACCCCCATTGCCGGCTTTATCGCTGCCACCCAGGAGTAGTGGACCTTCGCCTAATCGGAGCCCCGGGGCAACGGGTTTATCGTTCCAGAATGCGCGGCCAGATATGGAGTGGAACGACCTGCCGGCGGATATGCACAGCGCGACCGCCAGCAACGCCAGCTCACGAAGTAGCTCTACCGCGCCGCGTAAGAAGAAGGATCGCGCATATCCTGCTGCCGCTTTTGGGAAGTAAATTGCATAGCAACCCTTCCCGAACCCCAAGATCCCACCACAAACGCGTATACCAAGAGCGATTTTCAGGAGTACTTACGCGCCTCACAAATAGGGTAGAATTGCATGGGATGGAGTAGAATAGGGATATGAAAGGCTATGATTGCTCGTAGGCTGGCTTTGATTCGCGCAAAAACACAAATGATCCAATGGGTTTGGCGTTTGCAAAAGATGTGTGCTGGGCGGGGCTTCTCAACGCATCTTCTTACATCCACGAATGCCTACCCTCCAAGGTACCTATCCGTCTATCTACATAGTACATATGTATAAAACAAAAAGGATTGGCTAGTTGAAGTTACTTACCTTTATATATATTTATCTACTACCAAGGTTACAAGACAAGGGGGGTGGTTATAGATGTTGGGGAGACAGGAAGGCGTAAATAATTGGTTTAGAACAACACTCGCGGAGTTTTTATTTTCGGTTCGTTTGCGCGATTATGTAGAGCGTCTGTGAGATTAAGGTACCCAGTTGGCAGGTAGGCAGCTTGGTCATATTTAATTTTATGTAATTAGATGGGTGCCGGAAGGGAGTATGTATGTGTAGTTTGATGTGTTGATATATAATGTACTAGGTTAAGTAGGTGTTTACAACATGAATGTCTCCATCTAGGTATGGAATAAACCTCGCCTCGCGACATCTTTGCAACCTGTATATTATATGGACATCTAGCATATCACAAGAGTAAGAGTGGCTCGTTATAAAAGTATTGCATTAGGTCATGATGGTAAAATAATATAAACTAGGTAGGTACATGCATGTTCAATAACTTCACCCCACGCAATCCATAGCCTCTGATCCAGGTGCCGTAGTGGTTCGAACATATAGAAAGTAGAAAGAAGTCGTGCCCCGGCCGATGCTCATCATGCCACTGTCGTCGGCTCCGCAGTCCCCGCGAAAACATTGGAGATTTTCTGGGCGACGTCGTTTCTAAGCCGGTTCAAGTAGTCCCCGACGGTCTTCCTCTCCATATTGGCTGCAACGAGCGCGATCAGGGCGGCACCGACACCACTGCCGTCTTTAGCAATCCCGATACGGATTTTCTTCGAGCCTTCCGGTCCGATTCCTTCGATCGCGGAAAGACCCTCGTAGATCATATCCCGGAAGAATGGGTAGTGTTCTACTAGGCTGCCATCGACTCCAATGTCGATTGGCTCGTCACCTGCCTCCTTTAGCTTGCCACTCTGCAGGACGATAGCACCGAGGGCCACAGCGGAGAGCCTGGCAGCCCGGCGCCCGACCGCGTATGCCACTTTCTTGAAAGCTAGCGCATCCTCGCGCGAAGCAGCGTATACTTGTAATTGCTTTTCTAGCTCTTGTCGCAGGGTCGAGAAGTCAGGCGTATTGTCCGCTGCGGCAATGGACATTATGGAACTGTCAAGGCCCCATTGCTGGAAGACGCTAGACTCAGCGCCAATGGTAGTGGTGGATTTCCAGTCGTTCTGGCTAGAATTCTCGTCGCGGAACAACGATATGCTAGGGTTTTTGAGCATATCTACAATGGCGAGGCGGACGATTTCACCCAGGAACATGCCAGACACCCGCTTCTCGAACATCTGGATCCCAGGGTTCACACTCTTCTTGTCTAATTCGATATCGTAGGAGGTGTTGGGTAATATGTTTAGCTGGTTGTCGAAGGAACCCCACTCAGTATTTACGACCATCTGGCCAGTCGACTTATCGTAGTCACCCCCGACAGGCTTCTTGATGTTGGAAACCTTTTCCACGTAGGCGCCATTGGTACCAGTTCCAAAAATGGCACCTAACAGGGTAGCAGTTTTGCCCGGCGACGTGTAAGAACGAGCCATAAGCGTGCCGACGGTGTCGTTCACTAAAGCAGCTACTTTGACGGGCAGGTGAAGCCTATCGATTTCTTGCTGGAGTAATGCGCAGACGTCCTTGCCAACTGCATCCGGGATATCGAATCCCTTGGTCCATCTCATTAAAGTACCTTTGTTGATACCGGATTGTTGGACAGGAAAGCTAAAGGTAAAGCCGAGTCGAAATATTTGTTCGTCCCGGTAACCCTCTGGAGTGCTCACAGTTTGCCGCCGACGGATGTGAGCATCAAAATGATCTCCATGGTGAGTTCTTAAGAAGATCTCGATTTGCTTAGCCAAGAATCCAAATAACTGATGGGCGTGTTCTGCGACCATCAGCTCTTTCGGGATTGCGACTTTGCTATATGTGAGATTGAAAGTGGTGTCGCCATTTAAATGGACTGAACAAACTCGGAAGTTCGTGCCTCCTAGGTCGACGGCTAGGTATAGTCCCTTTTCGGTGCCATTGGGGACGCCGGTAACGTATGTGGGAATTTGACTCAAGCTGGTGCCATCATGTTGTAATCCTTCCTCTAAACGTAGGTTAGCAAAAAGTCTAGGTATCGCGATTGAGATTGAGGCATGATCGTACTCATTTGTCGTAGGAATTCTAGGACGCCCTTATTCACCTCTTCGTCCGAGTACTCGAACAATGCCGCGATGCGACTCGTCTCTTCGGCGAGGGCCATTGTGCGTATGTAAGATATAGGAGGAGTAGTAGGAAATGGTTGAGGGGATTCGCAGACTGGTTCTTGGGTTACAATGGCTGGAGGGGATGAAATGATACGAGAGAAAGGATGTGATGTGAGGATACGTGAATATTGAGATTTGACATTCGTCAGAAAAAGTTGCGCGGTCTATAAGTTTAGAGGGGCAATTATTAGCTTGATAAATCCTCATGGCGTCAAAGGGGATCAGGGGGGGGAAGGGGGGGCTTTGACTGCGGGGCCCGGCGAAGAGCTTGGTATGTATAGTAGGGCCGTATGTTTGGTGGCGCGCTACATAGACCCGTGACTGTAGGTACAGTATGTACATAGTAGTATTACATATCCATATCATTATCCACGGCTAGATGTACTATACATGTAGTGCACATATACTGTATGTACCGTGACATAGTGCTACCTATGTATAATAGGTATGACCTACATCATGCTACATATGTAGTGCTAGTACCTACCAAGCCGTGGGGCCATGGGGAAAAATCATTCGAGTAAGAAAAAGAGAATAAAGGAAGATAAAAGAAAATGATAATCATAATCATAATCATAACCATAATAAAAAACTCCTTACCAAGACAAGAATCAGAAAGATCAACGAGAAAATGCGGAGGGAACCGAGAGAAGGCTGTACCGCCGCCTTGTCGTATTGTTGAACTTTGGTGCTATTGGTGCTATTGGTGATGTTGTTAGGGTTCCTGCTAGTGTTGCTGTCTCCTGATAGCCGCGGATCGTCGTGCTCGTGGTTGTCAGTATGCGGTGGTGTGGTACTGAGACAGATCGACGAAGGATCGCCATCAGCTCTGGCGCTGAAGCGCCAGGCTTTAAAGTATTCCGACAGGAGAGCCACGGCGAGTTTCGCGGGGCTTTGGTGGGGTTATCTGGAGACTTGTCTGGAGACTCCGGAAGATATATCGTCATCAGCGGCCCTGCATTGAATGCCCCCGGGGTACAGGGGATAATTCTCCAGGGCTGGTTTGAAACTTCGCTTCGATGAACCGCTGGCCGGCCTTATTTAATTGTTCTACCGCAGAAATGGCCGGGTTGAGATGGTTGGGTTCAGTGGACAAATAATAACGCACCTGCGTAGACAGGCTTTATGTTTAGTCGTAACCGGGCCGTATATGTGCGTTACCTTGCAGATTATCTAGTTCGCTGCGACGGAAACGATGATATCATCCGCGATCCACTCCTGCATTGAATGCAGTCTAGAACGGCCGAGGTGCAGATGGCTTTTTAGCCTACTAAGGACCTAAGTAAGGTGTAAAGGCCCTAGGTTAGTGGGATTTGAATTTTGACCCGTGGGCACACAAAAATGGGATGGGGAAAGGGGGTGACAGTGACAATTTGGCGGGCTTGTCCGACCAGTTGGTCTCTTCAACGCCCCGAGGTATGTTGTTAGTCCCAGCAGCCCGGATACCAAAGAGAACGATCGGTTGACTCTCGAAGCAAGATATTAAATCTTGCAAGCATGGAAGTGAGGCCACTGGAAAAGTGAATGCCACTGAATGAACTATAGGCTGGGGTATACACATGTACGTACAAGTACTGTACAATATCACGAACTGATATAGGTAGCCGGATTCCGGGTCGGCTTATAGTTAGGTATTTTGTTACACTCGATGTTAAAGGTGCACCTGAACAGGTATTCTACCCTTTCAACCAATCGAAAAGCTAAGCCACGGCAACAAATATGACGAATATATTATGGTGTATGTATGTATTTGAGGTAGAACACCCAAAAAATACTAGGTATGATATCGGGAATAGGCTACGGAGAAGTAGGTAGACAGTAAGACAGCGACGACAAGAATGGTCAAAGGTAATGAATGTCCTTTGCAAAATCTCAACAGGTTGAACGCAGGTTGAACGCAGGTTGAACGTTGGGAGAGTCCTCGAGTTTGCGGTGAAGCGATTAAATGATTAAACCCCTGTTTCACGATACCTCAATCGGTTAGATGCCACCTTTCGCAAATTATTATGTATATATAGAGTTATATGCATCAAAGGGGTGAATGGGCCCAGGGGGAGGGATGCGATCGTAGGTCGAAAATGAATATCCGAATTACAGGTAGATTTGAGTAAAGACGTCAATAGAAGTTCTCACTTCTGTGTAAGTTGGCTGAGTTATTTCAGCATATTTATCTCATAATCCGAGTCGTACAGGGGGTGCTCCCTCTAGTCCAGTCTGAATATCAAGTGTCGCATAATAATACAACTTCAGTTCAGTTCAGTATCTTGTTTCTAAACAGAACGGTTGAGGTCATTGTTACTGTAAACTTTCAAACTTGGATCATGGGGATCATATTCATGGGTGGGTACCTATATTTAGTTATAGCCCAAGCACTTTTATCAGCATACGGAAGGGGAGCAGTTCAAGTACCTACATATATGTAGGCATTGCCTGCCCTTTAGAACTGGGGGTTCAAGAGAAGAAAAGAACTGGAATCTGAATTTCACGATAATTGGGATGACCTTGGATAAATCCATCTTCATATCACCAGATAAATTATCTAAATTTACTTTATACCGATCTCAAGATATTAAAACTTACTACTACTAGTAGTATAGGCTACCAGGTACCCTTCTCTTACTATAATCTTAAAGGAGATTCAAGGCGTAGTGTGATAGATTTCAGACTCTGGTATGTATGAGTTATTTGTTGAGGATGTACATGAACCCAAGTGCCCCCCTGTTGATCACCTCAAACTCCCCCCATTTTGGGCCGACGACTATACCTCATTCGGACAGGCACTTGGGCTTAACTGCTTTTTTAGGCACTTGGGTTCAACTTTTTGTCACTTAAGGTTTATTTTTACAAAAACAAAAAATTCATAATTAATTATTAATTAATTATAAACATAACTTTAAAAGATAATTATAATAATTATTAAGTTTAATATTTTATATATTTTAATTTTAATTTAATTAATTTATAATCAATTTATAATTAATTTGTAATTAATTATAAATTGATTTTTAATTGATTCTTATTTAATCATTAATTAATTAAAAATAAATTGCTATCGGAGGCTTATCCGCACCCTAGTACATAGCGCTGGTCCGGGCTCTCCAGCTAGCCTCTAACATACTATCCTTAATAACTTTTCCTTCAATAGACGCATCTTGATGCAACCGGTATCATTAGAACCGCCTCAATTAGCGCTTCCAAATGATATATGGTTCAAAGAAATGCGACCAGTGGTTGCGAAGTTATTCGGGGTTGAATGAAGTAAGCACTTTTAACGCTAGCCGAGGGCCATCACGTGATCAAGGTACCGATTACAGATGTATCTTTTTTCAGGTGCTTCTTAATCTTTAAATTCAAATAACTTCAGATTCAGATATCGCATTAATCTGAAACATATATTGTTTGGAAGCTCTAATTGAGGCGATTCCAATGATATAGGATGCACTAAAGCGGCAGCTTGGGCTGATTGAAGGTTTGAAGCTTGGGCTTTTTGCAGCCCGTTTTCTTTGTACCTGGGTGCAAAGGCAAAACTCAAAAAAATAAGACTCGAAAGTTCAAATAATCAGGTGGGCCCCTGTAAAGCATGTGGCCAATTACAGCTAGCTAAATTCCGGATTTTCGTGTGACCGAGCCCCATTCTGGGTGGGCTTTATAGCGGGACACTAGGCCTAAAATGGGGGGAGTTTGAGGTGATCTACAGGGGGGCACTTGGGTTCATCTACCTCCTGGTTATTTGTTGTATTTCGTAGGTACGATCCCGTCAGTATTCCCCATCCCTAGCGGACACGAGAGCACTAAATGAACCCGACACATGCCCTGAACCAATTTCGGGCTATTTGGCCGCTACGTAGGGATACTATAGTTGCTTTTTGATCCTCCGTGTGGGGCGGAGTTCCCTCTTGGGAGCCAATTATGGAAACCGAATAAAATTGTATGCGGTTGGCCATGCCGCCATGGCCTGTATCTTGATAACTTGAACCTACTTTGGCTGCTGCTGGTACTATTTAGGCAAGTGCCCAGGTGACCTTGGATTCAACAATGAATTCTCGTATCATCCACAAATTGGCGGTCATCTAGCCGGCTCTAGTTGAGGATGTAGTTATATCCATGTATAATAATATATAGGTAGTAAGGTCCCCCGGACCTTATATTCGTCCTGCCCTTTTGGGTAACTATATCAGCTCTAGATCTGCTATTATTGGCTCATATCTTCATCAAATGCTAAATTTGATCCCAGTGACTAGGTTGATAAGTGAGCAAGCACTAGGTATTACAATGCTTAAGTAGGTGCTTACTTGCCTACACAACTCTTGGTGTCTTCTAGTATAAGTTTTCAGCCTCAATGTTTATCTTAGCCTCTGGTTGTTCATTTGGTCAAGGAAAAGGAATCAACTGATGCAAACCTGGAGACCACTAAGCCTTTACCTGGCCTGATTACCAAACATACGACATAACTGGTGGCTGCTGCTGCGAAGCACATGAATATAAAGACTTCGGGATCACCATAACATCTTTGACCTATCCCATTCAATTATCATTATCCGCCTTATATGCTAGAAATGCCATATTCTCAGTTGGTTGAGGTTAAAGGGGAAATTCTCAGAGGGTGGTGATCTTTGGAAGTAGGTAGATAAGGAATGATTTACAAAGCTCTTTCTCTGCGTTCTTATTGGCTTTCGAGGGAAAAGGGGGGAGAAGTGTAAAAAGCCAATTTATCATGTGCACAATCAATTGAATTTTCGCAACAAGAGAAGAGAAATTCCATAGTACCGGGTGCCTATATGTGCCATTCCAGACAGTAATCGCACTTCGATGAATATAATAATAGTCGGGCGTTTGCCGTGAGGTTGGAATAGGGCGAAAAATACCTAGGGAGCAATAAAAATCACAAAAGTTTGTCGTGTTCGGAACTCCGTCAATCTCTGCCCCCACGCCACAAATAACACCTTGGTTCCGAACGCGGTCGCGATATTTGTATGCATGGATGCTCTTTTGGAAGTGCCAGGATTTGATTGTTGTTATCTAGACCTTTCCCCGAGGTATATTGCGCACAATATCATATGAGAAGTCTTCTATGGCTCCTAGACAGCTTCTTTTCTAGCAGGAGAGTAAGTTCTTTCGAATCCAAGAGACGAACTTCTACCTGGGAAAGCCTTCAGGGCGAATGCTCAGTTCTCGCTCTCGATGATATGTTTGTTCCGGCAGTCCTACGACTCTTCAGATGCATGACTCTATTTCTTTGAGGCTCTTGTCTCGAGGTGTGCTAAGCTGAATCAGACTCCATGGCATCCCCGAGGCCTAGTTGTGGTAACCAAACGATATATAAACCATCAGCCTTCCCCGACTCACTCATTTATTATCATTTGCCTGTTCAATTGAACATGCTCTTAAATTCTCGCACGAGTTCTTTGACGTTGCTAATCGGCTCGACATTTGATCCGCCACCCAGCGAGGACGCTTCTTAGTCGTGCTTACAATCGAGTACCACGATGCTGTCTACCCAGTGGTATATAAGGCATCTAAATTGATACGTACCGATTCTAAGAACATGTCGGGATAGTCCAATCACTAATTCTATAAAATGTTATAGATCCTTCACATCGCGCCGTTAGCTTCATTTCTATTGGGTTTCGTCTTGAGATATAATAGAGACTTGGGACATCTTACCGCGGTTTGGGGGAGATTCTCATCCCGCTAAGCGATTCCAAGCGCTGCGTACCTATAATAGGTACCGAATTGATCAGTATGAAATTCGAGTTATTCAACATAGGTAGCTTACCCAACTTCATTCACCTCAGCACCACTACTCTTCTTCAGAAAGACTTAGAAGCCTGCCTAGTAGCAACTACGAGCCCAGCAATTATTGCTACCTGTTTTCCCTCATTACACTTTACACTTCTCAGCAATTGCGTCTTGAAAGAATGTGTCATCATTCCAATCTTGGAGTTCCTCTAAAATTCGGTAAGCAGCAGAATGGCAAGGGAGGTGGTAGGTGGTATGCCAAGTATGCCTTTTTACGTTTAACTACTATTCACCGAAAAATATAGCACGAAGATGCACTGCCTCAGTGCCTCAAGTCACAATTACGTCGAAACTCTCGACTGTTTTTACGATTATTGAGGGGTATTTTTGCCAATAATTGATCATTATACACATTTCGCCTCGCTATCATTAGGTGTCTATACCCCCACGCAACAATGAATGAACCCCAAATCTGACGAAAGCGGCCGGACGAAAGTGCAAAATGAACAAAATCAGCCCGACTAAATTAGGGCTTAAACTTCACTCGAAGCCCCGAAGTTGTCGTTTGAAAGTCGTTGGGCATGAAGGACTATTTCACGAAGTATTACAATACTCGGTGAAACAATAGCATCGGACTTCGTCGTATCAACTCTAAGAAACACACCGCCCTTCGGGCATATTTACGGTTACTATGTATGTATGTCATATAATGTCCTCGGTGGCTCAGCACGTCACACACAGGAGGAACAATATGGATAGATGAATCCGAATCATATTTTTTGCGGGTTCTAGAACCCTTGGAAAGCTTCTTGTCAAATCAGTCTTCTCAGGGACTGCGTTACCAGTCGTCAGTTACTATATGAGCTTCTAGAATATCCTGTACTCGTCACCTCCCATGATTTAAATATTATTCTTCAACAACCATGAGCTCCATAATGATGGAACTTACGGTACAGAATATCACTCGTCTAAGAACGACGCCTAGATACAAGCCCAACAATGATATACGCCTTGCCCCGTGTGCGACTATACTGTAACAAATCAGGTGTCTTGCCGCAGGTCTAGATACCCTCGGCATATCTTACCGGAAAATATAGCTTAGCTATGACAGCAAGACGATGATAAGTACTACCAGACATGCCCTGGCGCAGAATTCACCGGAAGATGGCGATGCTTGTGCAACTACGCCAAACCCCAGCGTTTGCCATGAATGGAAATCGGAACGCTTCAACACGATGTCATTTAGGCAGGATAAGCATAGAAAACTCGCCGAGGACAGCAGTTCTGAGGACCAAGATCCACAAATTAGTCCTTGAAATCCCAAAGGTCGATGTCATTGTCCTTAATACACAGAGCCAAATCCAATCAACTACTAATTATAATGTCTTGTATCAAGCGAGTTGTCGAGGACGAGGTTGCAAAGCCACCCCAGCAGAGGGGCTATGATGGAGTTTAAGGACTGTCAATTCTAGAAGCAACGGCTTTATCTTATACTCCTAGTAACATAGGAGTTGATTCGGTACAGAGGGAAGATCTCGAACATATAAGCTCTCCTTTCCCCGTCAATTTGAAGGCCATCTCCTCTCGTTGCAATACACCAAGACTACATCTTTCACCCAACTCTCATACAAACTACCTAGTACTCTTAGACAAGCAACGCCATCCTCGAAACAAAAACTATCTACACACGGAATTAAAACGAGAACTTGCAAAATGGAACAGGTTTGGTACTGCGTAAGTAGAAAATTCCCTTCGCATTTGAAAACGAGTTGCTAACGAAATGATAGTGCCAATGCAAAAACGGCCCCCTACTTGAAATCAACAACCCATGCTGCTCAATGTGTGGGAAACACCGTTGTTCCGAGTGTACAATTGAGACGAACAAATAAGCATCTCGACTACTATGAGCATTCAATATCTCATGGTATCAACGGGCTTACGATTCTAGAGGAGTTTCTTCAGAATCCACAGCATGATTTCGACCCTCATCAACTCAGAAGCATTCTATGACAACTCGCTACCTCTACGCAGAGCTCCACAGATAGATACGCTATGACGTTCGGAACAAGTTAGAATATTCGAAATTACTGCTTCTGTTTATTTTCTTTCCTCGCGCGAATACCCTTAGAAGATACATGGCTCAGGCCCGGACGAACATTCTCAATACGTCTCTAAGAGCTGGATAGAATAGAGGATACACGACATATTAGAGGATAGACCGTCACCGGACACTCCTTCTCCCTTCATCATCATCATGTAGCTTTGTACATTTTCTTGGAAGTGGAAAAGGGAATGGGAGAAGGGAAATGAGAAATGGAAATGGAAATGGAAATGGAAATGGGAAAACGATAAAAGGGGAGTTTATCTCCGACCAAAAAAAGTCAATGTCTTTGCTATAGAGTATTTGCTTTTCCTTCTTTTTCCTTCTTGCTAGACTTACCACAGTCCAATTCCCTCGCTTGTATTGCTTCGATAGATTACAATAAATTTCCTTTATCTCACTAACTTGACTCCAATAATCAAATGTGCCTAAGTAACCTAACCTTAGCTATCAGCCCTCTTAGTATTCTCGTCCTTAGCATTGCCATTGCGTAGAATGAAATTGGCTCTGGAAAGTTGTTGAACATAGTGTCCTAACCTAGTGAATGTATAACAAGCTAATGCCTAGGTACTTGGTAGATAGAAGCTAAGACTTGGATATTACATTTACACGGGAACAGTTGAGGGCATTTCCAATTTGCCACCTTGGACTTTTGCCAACATGAGTCACTTGGACGTGTCACTGAAGGGTCACTACATATAATTCTCTTTGCTCGCGTAATGTACGAGATCTGAGAAAAGCCTAGATACGTAATATCTGCCTGGCCATTATTTGGATATGTAGGTCTGTTGTGTAAAAGGTGAGATGTAGATACTTAGGGGTACAGAGGTGCATATTGCGGCTCAAAGTTGCATACTAGGTATTGTATCAGTGTGACGTGGCGAATGGAAATGAATTCCAAGCCAGCCAGTAATAAATCGAAGAATTCAATAAGTGAACTAAAGGAAAATAATTAAAAGTGCCGAACGAACCAGGCTGCTCCGGTGAATAGGTACGGTGTTATGTGTGCCACGTGGGTTTCGAGATGTGGCTGAGGCTGAGCTGCATGTATGTAGTGTGCCGAGTACTTACATGATACAGCACATTGATATGTTATATTGAAGTATATAATACCTAGGCTGGGTGCATACATCAATGATACATATTAGGTAGATACAACTTCACATACATATGAACGCAGTCCCGTGAGCATCAGGATATGTGGGTTTGGTACAGCCGTGAGCAACCAGCGATATAACTCGGTGAACTAGAGGGCATTGATAGGTACATGTAGGCAGGTATAAACCCAGCGATAAATATCATTGTTTAATAGGTGAAAACCCGAACTTCAACGGGATCCTTGCCGGCGTGATGGGTTTACCTACATAGTTTTAGTTAGCACCGCCATGTCTTGCCATACAGTACCTAGTATAGTAGAACCTCTCGACATTGTTGACCGGTTACATATAACTACTAGGTTAGGTATGTAAAAGTAAAAACTTGCATATCAATAAGTAACTAATGCCCAGGCACTTTTTCCTTAGAAATATGCAAAGGTTGATTGGCTAATTTCAATGTATGCACTTATCGCGATGCTACTTCTAAGAAGGTAATGATCGTTTTATATGTAGTTATATGTAGTTAACTACATCTTCCCCCGCATCTTCTGCCCTGTGTCCCGTTTCCCCTCTCCTCCCTAACCCATCATCCCCCCCTCTTTTCCCAATTCCAACACTAAAAACTTCCCATTGATCGATTGATCGATTGATTTACCCCACATCATAATAGGGTTTACATACCAACGCCAATGTGTCTGTCAGCTTATTTGGTCTACCTAGGTAAACTTAATAATTCATTACAATTACTGCTAGCCGTGGCTCCAAGTCTCTTAGCTACATCACTAGGCACTACCTAGGATACCTAGTAGACACCTCTACAGTCTAGAGAGGTAGGTAGTCTGAAGCTGCTTCATTAGTCATACACGGTATGCTCGGTATTACGGGTGGCATGGCAGTCGCCGTAACATTCGTTCTGCAAATCACCCTTGAGGGTCAACCTTCTTCCACCCTCTTCCACCAAGATGCCATCGAATCCCGCTTATCAACTGCCGGAACTTGAGACTCCTCATACCATGCTATACATGCTATAGGCACCTACGAATAAGTATGAAACAAAGCACATATGGACTGGACATTAAGCGTTCATCAGTCAACCTTCAGTGTTAAGTGTTAAGCCTGTCCTAGAATGGTATACCGGTAGTTGACCAACTTAAGATATTACAAATATTGGGATTAGAATAAGAATCTCCTTGTGTTTATTGTTTAACCTAAACATTTCTCTTTCTCTTCTTCCTTCTCTTCCTTCTCTTCCCTCTCTTCCTATTTCCTTCGCATTCATCAAATCAACCGCCATGGCTACCTCATCACAGATACCCACTCTCCTCGACTTAACGATTGACAATATTACACCAAACACCATTAGCATCAACTCGCAATGCCAGAACCCGCGTCTCAGGTATCTCATGTCGCGATTGGTGACTCACCTGCACGACTTCGCTCGGGAAACCCGGCTTAGCACTGACGAGTGGATGGCAGCTCTCAACTTCCTTGTAGGCTGCGGGCAGATCAGTGATGATGTGCGCCATGTATGTGTGCAAACCACCCAACCATACTACGTAGCTACGCAGCTACGCAGCTATGTAGAGAAAGAGAGGACATGGAAAGAAAAAAGACAAGTCATAGTTTCGGGAGGACTAACGGTGTGAAACCTTTAGGAATTCATCCTTCTCTCTGATATCCTAGGCCTTTCCTTGCTAGTTGATAGTATCAACCACCCGAAGCCTCCAGCAACCACCGAAGGCTCCGTCCTAGGGCCCTTCCACACCCATGACGCACCGACTTTGCCTAGCGGAGCGACCATGTCGTCCGACCCTGAAGGGGAGCCACTCCTTTGCATATGCACCGTCAAAGACACGGCGGGCAAACCTTTGGAGGGCGTCAAGATTGATATTTGGGAAACAGACAGCGGTGGACACTACGATGTGCAACACTCAGACCGCGGAGAACCCAGTGAGCGATGTATCATGGTGAGTGACAAGGAGGGACGCTTCTGGTTTAAAGGGATAAGACCTGTGAGCTATCCTATCCCACACGATGGGCCAGCTGGTAAGCTTCTGATGCACTTGGGTCGGCATTGCTGGAGGCCGGCCCACTTGCACTTTATGTTTGAGAAGGAGGGCTTGGATCATCTAATTACGTGAGTCGGATCTTTAAACCCCATTTTTTGTGACAAACACGATGCCTCCGCCATACACTGGCAAATTTAGGTATGCTAGATTACAACCTTAGCTAACCCATCGTGCAACATAGGGCCCTCTATATGCGCGGTGATCCCTACGAGACCTCCGATGCCGTATTTGGTGTCAAGCAAAGTCTAATAGTCGATTTGGAAAAGACTGATGCCGCGACAGCAAAGGAATACAACTACACAGAAGGGGGTCTACTACTTAAACACGACTTCATATTAACAAGCCAGGCGGAAACGGAAAGGTTACGGGACGAAAATGCAGTCAAGGCTCTAGCTGCGCTAGGGTTACGGATGAGACTTGTTGACCATTTGCCCGTGCCTGAGGTGGATTAAATACAAATCGGCTCACACGCCTTTATATAACCCCCCTTTATTTACTATCTCTACCTAGGTAAACTTCATATAGTGTATATATAAATCGAATACATGACCTGATATTTTGAACATCTATCTTGTGACTTCGACACTGTGAAATGCTCAGCCTAACGCCAAAGAAAACCTAAAATCCTGCGATCCCAGTTCCTTCGAGGGGCTTTCCCAATCCTTGGTACATCTATAATATCGTAATGCTTACCCTGCTAATATGAGCACCTAGGTACTCTGCCACAACGAACGAAACCATGCGCGCCTAGAGCTGTAAAGGCTGGGGCGATAGACCCCCTTTTCTTGCTCAGGTATTCATATATCGTAAGCTAGAGCGCAAGCACACGTCGCACATGAGAAAGGTGGGGAGGAGTGATAGAGCATAAAGTCAACATTGCTCTTGCTCTTACTCTTGCGTCAGCACCTGCGCCGTCTCTCTTATAACTTCGCGTCGTTTACAGAGGTATTATTAGTTAGTACACAACCGTTAGGTTGATAGGTGGTATCAGAACACCAAACTTCCTATTCCATCCTCAAAAATCCTGGATACCAGTCTCCCCCACTAACCTCTTCCCACCACCACCGTCAACCCTCCCTCCTCCTCCTTCTTGAAGGTGGTGGTCAGCAACAAAAGGAGAGTCGACAGCCCAATCCGGATCCTCATCATCGAACCACGCATCCTCCAGCTCGCGGCGCTCCAGCGCGTCCAGGTCGTCGTTCTCGTCCACGAGGCGGTAGTCGAAGTCCTCGTCACGCCCGAGCACGAAGCGCCGGCGCAGGAAGTTGTCCCAGCGCGCGCGGCCTTCGTCTTTTGACTCGGGCTGTTGCGGGAGCAGGGGATTGCTGTTAGTGGCGGTGGGGGTGAAGTTGCTGCGCTCGTCCCCGAGGCCGTCGGTCCCGTTGGCGTATTCTCGGATATACGCGTCTGCATCTACGGTTGCGGATGCGGGGAGCCAGGGGGTGGAAAGGGGAGGGGGGAGGTGCTGGTGCTGGTTCTGGGAGGTTAGCTGGGCGAGCTTGGCCTCGCCGCGGAGGAGGTCCACTTCTAGGACCCGCGAGTACCCTTTCGTGCGCCCTTCGGTCTCCCGCTCTTCGGGCGATTGGAAGCGCCGGATGAGGGCATCGTAGAGGAGAGGGTCTGGGAAATGGGTTAGTCAGGGGTTAGAGTAGGTGGATGGGGGTGGGGGTGGTGATAATGGAAAGAAAAGGAAAAAGAAAAAGATCAATGAATAAAAGAGATAGAGAATGAGAGAATGAAGAAAATAGAAATTTGGATAATTTGGATGGATATACGTGATATCCTCAATTCTGATATTTACGCGATTCTTTGTAACATGATACTAGGTTAGGTATTAAGATAATGCATGGTGCATGGATGGCGCTCAAGCGCAAATGGGCACCTGGGTATAAGGTAAAGACAAAACAAATCAATTAAAAATCAAATCAAATCAAATCATCCATCTCACCAGCAAGCTCATGCTCCAGGGACGCAAAGTACCTCGGGTTCCGCTCAAGATACTCGCGCCTCCGATTCTGGACCCGGATCTGCGCCGCTTGGGCCGGCGACCGAGGCGCCCGCGGCTGCGGCTTGACGTATGCTGCGATGGGCGAAGGCGTGGACGACGGCGGCGAGGGAGGCGCTTGTGGGGGCATGGGAGATGCGGCTGGGAGGTCCTCGGGGCTATTGGACATGACTGACTGCTGAAGCTGAGACGAGAGGTGATGCGGATATAATGTGTAGGTAGGTGTAAAGGGCAATCAATTAATTCAATGTTCGCCTACACTACCTAGTACCTAGTAGTACTAGGTAATTACCTAGGTACATGGTAGGTACATGCTAAGGTTAATGTAGGCGGTAGTTAAATGCAGTTAGCGCAGGTGTAACGGCTAAGCAGATAGTCAGCGGCCACTGCAGTATTTTCATATAGGACTTTTACTGGTACAAAACATATAAGCGGGTCAACCCGCATAGCAGCATCAGTGGTTTAGTGGTAAAATCCATCGTTGCCATCGATGGGCCCCGCGTTCGATTCGCGGCTGATGCATTTCTTTTTCTATTTTTGGCATGTATCTACAGTAAACACATCCTGGCGATTGGACACATACAGGTATGTTCGTGTTATCTTTTTGTATTCTTGTTACTCACTGAGAATGGTTAATCTTTATGTCTGTCTCACTTTACTCCTAAATCCCAAATCAAGGAATCTCTTTCTTCGATAAAACATATGTCTGCTATTATCAGAATCCGCATGTTCCATTATGTTCATAGACGACGTATGTAGTGCGTAGATGCCCACCTAGGTTAGATATCTAATACCCAGTCTCCTCGAATATGAGGATTGCATATCATTACGAACCTACCAAGCAGATTGGTATTCAAATTGCCCCCAAGAATTCCTTGGGCTTTTATGATACCAAGACATCAAAATAACATGACCTAATTATACCCCCTTTTTCCCTACATTTCCTACATTACCTATATCACATTTACCCATATACCCTCCGCCCTTTTTCCAAATCCTCGCTTAACCTCCTTTCCCGGTTCCGATCCAGACTGGGCCTACCCCATGAGGCGCCGCCGTTCGCGTCTCCAAAGCTTACCTTCCGCGACCCGGAGACGGGCGAGAGCCGGGATGCGGCATGCATATCGACGCTGCGGTCGCGGCCACGGCTGTACATAGGCCGCATCCGCGGGGACAGTCCGGCTGCCATCTGCTGGTGGTGGTATTGATGGTAGTGGTGATGGTCTGTCCCCGCGACCCCCACTCGCCCGCGCTGTGACGAGACTGAAGTTTTCGGGTGCATGATCTGCCTCTCTTCCACCAAGTCGTCTTCATCCGCGGTAACCCGGTGTTCGTACCTGACCCTTCTGAGTGAAAAGCGCCCTTTCCCCTCCCCTTTGTTCTTGTAAGACGAGAACCACCGGTTCCCGGTGTCAAACACTGCCCTGGCTGCATCCGTGATATCCGTCACCGCGAACGCCATCGCAATCAATGGGATACTGATCCCGAGGCCAATGCCGAACATGTACTTACTTACGTACGGGATGCTGAGGGCATCGCCCTCCTGCCACTCGCGGAGGTTGATGGCGAAGAAAGCCGCGATGAAGGACATGGGTAGGAATATGATTGTCACGATGGTAAATACCATGATCGTCTGTCCCTGTTTCGCCGCGATTACCGCCTGGTCACCTGCAAAGCGAGCTTCTAGCGCGTTTGAGTGTTTCTGCTTGAGGTCCAGTAGATCTGTCAGGTTGTCGTATAGAGATTGTGCCTGATGATCCATCCTCCAGATGTCCTTCTGCCGCATCTCAAGTCCACGTACTTGCTCGCGGCCGCGCTTACGGATTTCGCCAACGGCTGCGTCGGTGGCACGGCGGTTAGAACCATCGCCACGTAGTTCTTCGGTGAGTTGCAGCTCGAAGTCCTCGAGCGTCGCTAGCTGTGCATCTAAGATAACGGCGATGATGCCTAGTTCATCACGGATGTCCTTAATCTCCGCTAACAGGGAAGTCTCAACGCCGATATCAAGAAGAGCATCTGGAAATTGGTCCATCCCACCGCCCCCAGACGTTTCCGGGGTCCCAAAGGAAGAAAGGCGTGCGGGCTTGCTGATACTACGTCTGCGCCGATGGTAGTGAAGCCACTGTGCTGACTGTGCCGAGGCATCGTTGAAGCGGCGGAACAATCTGCTTTCTTGGTCTGTAACAAGGCCAATTGAGCTCTCAAACATATCCAAAAACTGGAAATCTTGATCATCCAGACGGTGCCGGTCGAATGTACCGGAACAACGGCTAGTTATAAGCATCGCCAGGTCATCTAGCGTATGTTAGTGATCTGCCCAAAGTCCCGGATTTTGCTTACGAAGTCATTCTATCAATATACGAGAATGCGGTAGTACATACTACGAATGGCCTGTTAGCACGACTTATTAGGGTAGATAGAGTCTGATACGTACCAAACAGATCCAATAGGAGGTCTCGTCTTGGCATTCGTTTCCTCAATGATGCCATCTAAAACATTCAAGGGATCTTGTTTAGGCTGGTCCCAGCGCTGAGGGAAACATGTAATAATAAGATCTAAGACATATAAGCCACGCTCTCCCTGAGTATCCTGGAATAAAGCACTCACCTTTCCCAATTATCCAAAGCCACAACTGGTCGACCATGAAAACTTTGGGTTCTACGCCATGCCTTTCGCAATATCGATAGACAACTTGGTCTGTATCCCTGACGGACGTATCGATACCGTGGTAGAAAAACTGGTCAAGGGTCCTGCGTGGATGAAGAGGGGGTGTGTTATTGAGATATGCGTTGACAATGAGAGAATCTCGGGAAGAGTTGTCTACGATGTTTCGACCATCGCGTGCGTTTTTAATAGCTCTACTCATTTTCCGCCGCCGCTCATCTGTCTCGTAATGCAAGAAAGGCATCTCCGCAAGTTAGCCTTTTTGTTCACTACCCATACTTCATGAATAATGTGCTCTTACGAATAAAACCATTTTCCCATTCGAGGTTGCGAACCTAGACGAATCCCAAGCAAGCGCAGCTTGGATTTTATTGCTCGAGTTGCTGGTTGTGCTATCTTGCTTATAGGGCGGATTCCCAGGAGGGCCTTTGGCTCTTTTCTGCCTCTTGGGATGCCGCTCTGCGAATTGTTCCGATTTGCTCTTCTTTTTAGAGGGTGTCTCATCCTCGAAAAACTCGCTCTGCTTGTTAGGCGTTAAATCATCCCCATTTTGGCTCGACCTTACTGTAGCATCAGATGATTCTTCAGATAATGGAGCTAAAAATGATTTTTCGTCCTTTTTATCTTGGACACCAGCGCGAGGCGAAGTAATACGATATGACGACGTCCTCATGAAATGCGCATGGGCAAGCGGCCCACGATGTTCCTGGTCGAAACATTTCTCCAACGCTTTAAAAGCTTCGATGTCTCGGTGTCCTGCCTCGATGAAGGATTTCGCAAGAAGGGTCTAATGAGTGGTGAGCTAACATCGGTACACAACTGAAAATGTTCAAATACCTCAACCCATGCAATCTATAATAACGTGTTAGTTCCTTGTATTACAATAGGAAGGCTCGGTGAAGTTGTACATTGTTGGCTGGCAAATGTATCCATCTGAAATCTGGCTTGTATTTGATATTTTTCGTCAAAGTAGATATCTTTGGTTTGTCATTTTCATGATCCCATCCGTACAGCAGATCATACACGGAGTACTTAGAGACGAGCTGCCGTTTTTCAAACTCGCCAAAGTCGACGACGGTGGCCTCGGAGGCTTCACAAGCTTTTTGCGCCACTGGCGATAGTCGGTCAGCAGCTCGTGCAGGTGATAGCAACTGTACAATCTCGGGATGATTTTTCTCGGCAGCGCATAGCATAGCTGTCCGATTAAAGCTATCCTTGATGGCTAAATTAACATCAGGCCGAGTTAATATGAGGCGCACAATGTCCTCGGATCCATTGAAAGCTGCCCAATGTAAAGGCGTCATCCCATTGGAAAGTTCAGCATTCACATTGGCATTGGCTTCTAGCAATAGCTTGACTACTGGGGCGTAGCCACTTTGAGCGGCATTGTGGAGTGGTGTCCAGCCTCCATCACTGATAGCACAAGAATCGGCTCCATGACTCAGGAGAAGCTTTACCATATCTTCATGTTGCCCCTTATGGTTGCCCTCAGCTGCAAGATGTAGCGGAGTTCGCCCCCGATTATTCGTGGCGGTGATGTTTGCATGATTCTCCAGGAGGATACGGGCAAGTTCAAAATTGCCATTGGTAGCAGCCCACAGCAGCGGTGTTCGACCGATTTGATCCTTCACCTCGAGGTTCGCCCCGTGACTTAAAAGTAGTTTCAGGGTCTCAATCGTCCATTTCCCCTTGCCGGGCTTTTCTGATGCTAAAAACAACAAGGGAGATCTTTTTTCCTTATCTTGCGCCTCAACATTTGCGCGCCCACCCAAAAGGATTTCGACCACTTTATTATGTCCCTTCAAGCATGCGCTGAACAACGCAGTCTGACCATTTCGATTGCTCCCGTTAGGATCAGCGCCGCGCCTTAGTAGCTCGGCCACAACATCGGCTTGTCCTCCTTCGGCAGCCTTGACTAGAGCAGGGACTTCAGTTTCGCGCCTGGGGTTCACCTCAGCACCATGATCGAGTAGCAGCTGGACGATGGATAGCTTGCCACGCGCCGCGGCCTTCTGAAGGGATTGGCGCAACGCGTCATGGTCTGTGGTAGAAGTCCAAGGTGGATCCTCCTCTAATATATCGCGGATTCTAGCTTCGTTGGCTTGCGCGGAAGCGGCAATGAGTCGTAATTGTCGTGGGTCGGGCTGGCTGCTTGCTATGCTGGTTTGGCTGGCCATCACAAGGGAGAGAAGTAAGGAGGTCGAGAGGTTGGGGGAAAAGACTATTACAAATGAATTGTCATAATGATCTTATAAATTTAAGACAAGATCTTCATCTCCATACATTAGCATCTCCTTTCACCGTGTCAGATTTCTTACCCCGACTTTTTTTACTCCTAACATGCAGCTGACATGTACGGGTATAGGTATGTAAGAATAGGTCAGACAGAAGTTGCAGATATATTATAACGAGACGTGTTTTGTGTTTCGAGTTTTGTATGTACAGACTAAGTAAGTGAAGTGGAGGACGATCGATAAATATTGCGATCGATTCAAGTTAAGTTACTATGTATAGATTGCCCAGCTGTCGATTGTTGCTGTGCCGTTTTTTTCCAGAATGCTTGTTGATACATAAGCTCAGGTAGCTCAGGTGCCTGGTAACCTCGCTAAAGATAGTTACCAAGCTACCATGTAGTAGCAAGCTAAGCTTCTTGACCAATAGCAATTGCATCCAATTGTGTGGGATCAAACTCAATTCAAGCTCGCGTGCCTCAGTGGCACATGAATAACCTTATTTATCACCCCTACATAGTACTATGATAGACATTGATAGTAGACTTTTATTCAGACTACCTAGTACCCTCATAGTACGAACCTTTTCTATTATTACACAGGCACTGTCAGGCACAACAGGCACCTAAAGTATTGATTACTACCTACCTAGTAGTAGTAAGGTAGTACCTACACCATGATACTATGTGCCTAGGTTAGTAGTATCTAGGGTAGAGAAGACCACCTTATGATGTTGATTCAATTTTATAGTGCACATGTAGTAAGTACTCATGGATACTAGGTATGTTCAAATGTTGTGGTCTCCTTGTCGATACTCAAAACTTGAATTCTTATGTACCCAGTTATGCCGTGAAAGGTGAGTTAGATGAACTCCTGATATCTGCACCAACGACAACCACAAATTGGGTCGTACTAATGCATGCGCTTGTGGGGTGTCGTATGACCTCGGAACTCCCAAGTGCCACTAAGGGCGGGAAGGATTTGGAAATGTTTTGAAATCAAAACCCTCTGGGGTACAATTATTAGGTAGGTTAGGTACGTAGTCTACATAGTATCTGTGTACAATAACAATGAGGCCGTGACTTCGTACGGGCAAAACTATTAGAAAAATGCCCGGTTGTCTTGAGACTAAGAACCCGCTTGTCCGCTGTATGGATTAGAAGAGCATCTTGGGATGCCGCCGTAATCGGGTATCTCTATCCTTTTTTACTGGCCCTTCTTCTCTCGCCTTTTTTAATTCCGCCATCATCCTGGTAATCTCTCTCTGTTCAGCCGCTGCTAGAGCCTCATCCATCTTCCTCTTCTCGTCAACCCATTTCTTGTAGTCCTCGTCCTTTCGCTCATCGTCACCGTCGTCAAGGATTCCTTGGACGGGCTCCGGAGGTTGTAGATACCCTTTGGAATCTGCCTCCACAATGGCTTCGTACATTTTGGTAGCCATCATTTCGTAGCCAGGAGTTCCGGGGTGCATACCATCGGAAGCCAGGTTTCCATCTTGTATTCCGTCTGGACCTTGTAATTCGGCGAGCACCACTGGCAACTCTTGCGATTTATATATTTGCGCTAGTCTCCGAATCTGAGGATTCACTCTCCAGACATCCTCCCTGCCATTAAATCGCGTATCCCAGGTAGGTAGGATCGTACATATGATGACAGTAGCCCTTGGTGAAGATTGGAGGAGGTACTGCACTAAAGCATCGTATCGCTTGTAAAAATTATCAATATCGACGTGTTGAAAGCAATCGTTAGATCCAGCGTTGACAAGGAAAAGGTTTGGCTTTGATTTGGGAACAGCCCTCTCGGCATTTGCATGGATGGTGGCAGTAACTACACCGGGATAGGCTTCAATGTCGTTATCCGTCATATTCCCGAGTCGCTGAGTACCAACATAATTGACCTTATTACCGATGGATGTGAGCTTTTCGCGGAGCGGTCGGCGAAAACCATTGTTATCGATACCTTCTTCGGGACTGTCGCCACGGGTGGTGGAGGCGCCAAGCGCCATAATGCGAAGTGGTATCCCCTTGGCGAGTGGCAATTCGAAGCCGGGACGAGAGTATGGCTTGCTTTTTATGGTGGTGCTAGTAGCGCCGCTGGATAGCTCGCTAGGAAAGGCATGGAAGGTCGAGGATGTATTCGAAGGTGCATTGGTCGAGGGATAAGTAACTTGAACAGTACCATTGCCAGTGACATAAGTAACACCGGCCTTGAAATTGTCGCCAAAGCTATCCAGTTTATGACTCCACTCACTATCGACGTTGACGCTGCCGGAAAAAAACAGAACTAGAAACAGGAAGCGATTAGTCGCACAGCGCAATACAACAAGGGACGGCTTAGATCTTAGATGCCAAGACCGATTCAAATCAAGTAACAGATATAACAGATAGTAGATAGATAGGTAGAATAAATAAACAAGACGAACCTATGAGAAATAACGGCAAGCCCAAAAGCAAGAGCGGCCGTCTCCGTGCTAAAACCATCGAAACGTATGGACTCGAGGTGATTTGGCGAGGAAGTTTGTCCATAATCATAATCATAATTCAATCTCTTTGTCTCTTCGTGGAAAGTTTGAAGCGCACGCACGCGATGGGAAGTAACCCAAATCGCTTGTTACCCCACAACACGATTTAAGCACCGTTGTATTTGTACGCGTAATCCCCCCTGGTCCCCGTCTTAGGTGATAATGGAAAAAGGGAGTGAAAAATAAAAAAGAAGGATTGGATGAGATTAAAGTGTGTAGAGGGATAAGGGAATGAGTTTCGAAATCGGTTTACAATGAGTTATAGGAATGAGAATGAAAAACCAGAATAGTAACGAAAGTTGGCTATTGCGATATTACACATAAGCACAAAATGATCCCATCGTACGTATTTGGCGTATTAAAGAGCCTAGGGGACGGAGCAGAGGGTGGCGACTTGGAGGCGAATAGTTGGAAAAGAAACATCAAACATTACATCTCAAAATCAGGAAGAAGGCTCCTATTTTTAACTAAACATTGCAACACCATGCCGTTTCTTCCGTCCTGTTGCCAAGAAGCATGCCAAGATAGTTCGTGTGCCAAAAACCAACGATCGACGGATTCTGAATGCCAAGACGGCGCGCTTTCGGATGACGATTTAGTAGGGACGACTGGTTTTCCTTTTTTTTCTGATGGCGGGTGGTTTGCTCCTACAAATGCAATATGTGTGCATCTAAGGTATGCAGGTTATGTATGTTCGGATTAGAGGGTACATATGTACCTAGCGTTAGTAGGTGTTACTATGTATATAGCATCATTACTTATTTACAGTACATACATGAGGTATGTAAGTCATGTTATGTAAATATAGCATGTAGGTAGGCATTCTACTTTGTGTTTGATGTGCTGGTACCAGATTTCAAATATAGCTAAACGAACATTGAAGTTGTCATGTATTACCCGAGGTGCATCTGATAGATTTCTAGAATTCATTAATTTCTTTGGCAACATTTGAACTTTGGAACTTAATCGGATATTACAGTGCTGGGGTGGTACGTCATGTAGAGTAGATTGAATTGATCTTTAAGAATAATTGGGCCAAAATAAGCCTAGATACGCCCCTAAATTTGACCGGTGCTCTACTTGGTATGTAGTGCAGGTACTAACTATACCAACCCCCACTTTGCTTGCTTGCACCCGCCTTAATTGCCTTAATTGCCTTATCTACCTGTCAGCTGCATGATCGCATGGCAGGCTCTTAGGTACCTAGGTTAGGTAAATACTACTATGTAACTTACCTACCTACCTGCCTACCGAGATGTAGGTGCCTAGATACACTAGGGATAAGCTAATCTAGAAATGTTGCCTTCTAAGTAGATACCTATTTTTGTTAACTTTCTCCAAGACTTCCATCTCAATATTTAATTGGTTTCTGTGTACGTAGATCCAGAATCCAACTTCATATAAATTGATAATCCCGGCCACCTAACTTAGGTCTGGTAGGTACCTACATATGTATCTATGACTATGTACTTACCTACCTACCTACCTAGGTAAGTAATTTTACGTTGGAGTAATTTTAACAACATGTGTTGTCCTGTCTCCGTCTCCGTCTCCGTTTCCCCCTCCCCAAAGTATTTAGTAAGAGGTTGCAATAATTATACGAGGACTCCTCGTCGACATGTTCGATAGGCTATTTACCTACCAATAAATAGGACGGTCAAAATACATCCATGGGAATATCCAAAGAAGATTCATTTATAATTATCCTTAATCGGTCGGATATTGATATACATGGATGGCTTTAATGACTTTATTTAATGGGTGTCATTTCTGCAAGTAGAGCCTACTAGTGTATATCTACGATGCTCCAGCAAAGCCTACAACGACCCGAATCGTATTAGCTTCGGGCTCCCGACCGCTCGTCCATGCTACGTCAACGAAGCCAGCACTGCGCATGGACTTATCCCAAAGTGTCTCGCTAGCAACCGCATGCTCCCGACCATCTTTAAACAGCCACCAGCCCTCAAATAGGCCGACAGCAATGTCTAACCAGAACATGTTACGTGTGATCTCTACCAACGTGACAACACCGTCCGGCCTAAGCATGCGGCGAATGTTGGTGAGTGAATGCGTCAGGTTCTGAGTCGCATGGATACAGTTTGTCGATATGATGACATGGTACGCGCCCGTGTCGCTTGGCAAAGGCTCCTTCTCGATATCCATCACTCTAAACTCCATCCCCGGTATCTTCTTGAAGTTGCGCTTTGCCGCTGCCACTAGCGATGACGATAAATCTGTGAAGGTGTACTCGAACGGCACTCCTTGCTCCAAGAGGTGGTTGACGACGTACTTGGTCGTACCCCCGGTTCCGGCACCGATCTCTAAGATCCGGAACTTGCCTCCACCGGGTCGGGGCAATGGATTGGTGAATAGGTTAGTCAAGTATTCGCCAAGCACCAATGTTCCAGATTTCACGAGCGGCCAATGCTCATAGACATCGTCAAGATTCTTCTTGTTGGCCTTATTACCAAACACCAGCTGTAATCCGTCTTTGGCTCCCGTGAGACACTCCGCAAATTCCGATCCTGTCGCTTGCACAAGCTTATGAACGTTGGCATGTTGTGGGTACTTGTCGAGAACCTCGGCCAAGATTTGTGACGCTGGTGTCGAGTCGACGGCTTTGTGCGTGCGTATGAAAGTTACCGGCTCCGTGCTATCGTCAACTGTCACTAGCTCGCCTTCCTCGAGGATGCGATGCAGTTGGCGTACGAGTTGTTTGTGTCTCGGAAGATGTGAAATGGTAGGTAGCACATCGCCAGGTAAAAGTTGGCGAAGATTGCACCCCAACTTCGCAAATGCGTCAACCACGTACGCGAGTACAAGACTAGCTTGGCGTGGATAAACTTCCGTCCAGAAACCTTTGGCCCCAGTTTCAGCGACAAATCTATCGTATAAGCCATCGAGGTCGTCGAATGCTTCGTGTGCTCGAGGAAGTGGAAGCACGTCTCCTGCTCCCAGTGATGTGGCCTGGGGCGCCAGCTGCTGGGCTTTAGCTGATCCGTTTATCCCATTAGGGATCGAACCCGTTGCTACCCCATCGCTATTGCCGGATTCTGGGATATTCAATTGCTCATTTACATGAGTGTAAATGGCTGTCACGTTAGGGAAGAATAGGAACGTATTTAGATCGATATCTAACCCGAATGTAGACTTGACCTCATTGAGGACCTCTGTCACCAAAAGGGAATCAATACCAAGGTCTTCCAGCGTGGACTCGTCCATGATCTCTTCGATGGGAATATCGGTTACCCGCTGGAGCAAACCAATCACTTCTCCACGCTTGCTCGATGCCTGTGGTGGTTTAAGTGCTGATGGGTGGGCCTCATTTTGACTAGCTGGCTCGACAACCGATTTCGATGGTAATGGAAAGGCATTTCTTATTGGCTTATTCTGGCTTATGGTCTGCGCAACGGAATTCGAGAGTATTTGGGGCCCGTTTACGTCCTTCAAAGACCTGCTTAGTACCGCTGATGAGGTACGTATGAAGTAAAAGCCCAAAAATGTCATGACCAGCTTTCCACTTTTCGCCTCAAAAACATATACATCGCATTCAGTTCGGTCCTCGGTATCTTCGGTCAGGACAGCATATGTGATCCATTCTCCAGCATCTGGACTGAAGGTGCCGCCAGTTTCAATACGCTCGATGCCTAGACAGACCAGCACTTCGTCCACGCTAGGGTGCTTGAAGTAGTTAACAAGAATGCCCGCATACTGCATGAGGCTATCAATCAGCGGGGTGTCGTATAATCGTTCGTCGGGGCTCAGGCTAGGATTGACTGATGCTATCACCCTCCCAGCGGCTTCATCGCCCAGGTTAGAGACGCTCTTGATGCCCTGATACATTGGGTCAAAGTGCACCAAGCGCTGGATAGCCTGGTATATGTGCTTTCCCTGCATTCTCTCGGCCTGTGGGTGGTCCATGATGAAGCGGCACCGGTCGCGACCTATGAGTGCTTCATATCGTTTGAATCGTTGAGCAAGGGTCGTGTTAGCACGATCACATAACGACACGACCCCAATCGTATGCAAAAGAACACCTGCTCCACTTGCCTTAGGGATCTGTTCGCTGCTCTTCGGCTGACTGGTAAATTTGAACTCCCAGACTGCAGAGCCTAGGGGGCTTAGAACCAGGAATATATCCTTGCTGTTGTCAAGCCCGATGGGCGCCTTCATTTCCAAAGAGTCAATCCGGGCTACCATTGAAGAACAAGATGCACTGGCCGAACCAAGGGATATGGCCGCTCTTGTAATCAATTCGATATAAAGCGAGACGGGTGCGAGAGCTTGACCAGATGTGATATGGCCCGTTAACAAAGTTCTATACCTCTCGCTCTCCGGATCAACAAGGAAGTTCGCCTGGTTCTTGCCGTTATGTTCCGTGTATCCCTTTAAGTGGATAAACTTATGCTCGACTACAGCTCCTGCCACCTGCGTAGGATCGCCCGCAACATTGTCTAAGACTTCTTTCGGCTTTGAAAATGGTAGCCAGTGGGAGTTCCTCTCAAACTGATACGGTGGTACGGCGAGGAACTTATACGCTGATCTTTGGTTGCGATGGAAAGGCCAAAACCTTACCGCGTGGCCGGCTTTCCAGAGATCTGTTATGAGATCACAAATAGCATCGCCTGCTTTGGGTCCCGTGAGCTGGGACGGAAAGGTACGGCTATTGTGGCCGGATCGAGACGCTGCGCCCGTACTTAGACATGCGCCCAACAGTTGAAAGACCGATGCACCATGACCAGCCTCCAGCCACGTACAGTCGGGATACCGCTGTGCAAGTCTCGCAACGGCCTGAGCAAAGAATACGGGCTTCCTTGTGTGCTCGGGAATGAGCTTATAGTCCGGATCCCCATAAGTCTCGAATTCCGTACATGTCTCAACGTGGATATTTGGTTTTTGCCATGAAAGGCTTTTTGCAAGGTCCTGGAGATATGGCAAAAGGCCCTCCGTGAAGCGGGAATGGAACGCGTGCGTGACTTTCAACCGTTTCACTCGGACGATGTCCCGTAGGTTGGCATCAGACGCCACAAAGCTCTCTAAAGCGTCAATAGCCGATTCGGATCCAGCCAGAACCTGACTGCTCTGGCTATTGTAGCAAGCCACTTCCAGTTTGTCATCGCCCTGCCCCTTATCTTTCAGCGACTTCAAGATATATGCTATATCGTCCTGGTTCGTTTGTACGGCGACCATGCATCCGCGGTCACCGCTCCAGTGTTTGGAGATCAAGTTGGCACGACCTACTACTAATCTCAAGGAGTCATGGAGAGACAGAGACCCAGAGATACAGAGTGCCGTCAACTGACCGAAGCTGTGGCCAATAATAGCATCTACCTTTACTCCGCAGTCGATCCAAGTCTTCGCAGAGGCATACTGAACCGAGAATAGGGCGGCATGTAGCACAGGCAGTTTCGTTATGGCTTTACGCTGAAATATAGCCGGGAAGATGCTGTCAAAACCGAGGAGTTGCAGTGCCTCGTCACATGCATCTAAGTGGTATCTGAATAGAGCCGTGCTTGAGTAAAGCTCCTCTGACAGGCCAATGACATCGCCGTCCTGGCCCCCAAACACGAGAACCACTGGCTTTGGATCTTTGGAGACCTCTCTTTGGAAACTCTTCGACCCAGACGCTACCTCGCGAAGGACTTTCTCAAGGTCTTCGATGCTAGTCACCGTCTCAGATACTGTGTGAGGAAGAGTAGGATTTATTCTGTCTGCAAGGTTGAAAGTGACGTTTGGCACCACGCCCGCTTGCCCTGCAAGAACCCCTTTTACATAGGCCAAGAGCTCTTCCGCATACAGGGAGAGACTCTTTGCAGAAGCCGCCGTGAGAAGAAGTGGATATCGCGATGTGGGCCTTGGACCTTCATAATCACTCGTATCTGGGGCTTGCTGGACGGCAACAACGGCATTGCTACCAGCGGCTCCGTAGCTGTTTACACATGCTAAACGCGATGGAGCATCCCACGCCTTGGTGTAACGGGGAATCTCCATCCTGTCGGGCTCTAAGGCAGGAATTTTGGGGTTGAGATTGGAAAAGCTAGCCTGGCCTAGAATAGTTTTGTGTTGCATCATCATGAGCACCTTGATGAGACCGGCAACGCCCGCAGATGCTTCGGTGTGCCCGATATGCCCCTTCACCGAGCCAAAGTAAAGGGTACTAGGCCGGTGAGATCCGCCAAAGGCGTTTCGAATACTTTCGCACTCGATAGGGTCACCTACTTGGGTGCCAGTCCCGTGTGCCTCAACATAAGATACAGTTTCGGGCTCTGCCCCCGCGAGCTTTATCGCATTTTGGTACGCCGTTGTTTGAGAAGACGAGCATGGCACCGTGATGTGGTTGTCATTGAAGTTCTGGTTGACAGCCGAGCCAGTGATAACACCCAGGATATGGTCACCTTCCGCTACGGCAAGATCCAGCTTTTTTAGTACGACTGCGGCAACACCCTCACCGCGGCAGTAACCATCCGCCCCTGCGTCAAAAGGCTTGCACTGGCCCGTGGGACTAAGAAACCCAGCGGCGGCAAGGTTCTGATAATCGAAAGGGCTGGTGATTACGTTGGTACCGCCGGCCACAGCACGCGTGCACTCGCCAGCCTGTATGGCGCGACAGGCTGCATGGATAGCTACTAGCGACGAGGAACAAGCCGTGTCGATCGACATGGCAGGTCCAGTAAACCCAAATTGATGGCTTATACGCCCACTGAAGAAAGCACGGGATGTCCCTAACATCGAATAGGCTGTCGGCGGATGGCATGACACATTATCATAGTAGTTGTTGGCCACAGCACCGATGTAGCAACCGTAGTCTTTAGGGCTATCGGGACCGCTACTGAAATGCCCGGACGACTCTAGGGCCTGGTAAGCAACCTCCAAAAGGAGGCGCTTATCCGGGTCCCACGAAAGTGCCTCCCTGGCCGATTTCTTGAAGAAGCGGTGATCAAATGTGTCTGCGTGCTGGAGAAAGTTTCCCCACCACTTCATGTCGCCACGGCCTTCAATCCGGGAGTCGTTCAGAGTCAGGCGTTCCTCTGGTGGCGCTTCTACCTTGGATACCCCTGATAAGAGCAAATTCCAAAATTCGTCCACAGATTCTGCACCTGGGAAGCGGCAGGCCATGCCTACGACTGCCACTGAATGTGGAGGATACTGTGCATATTGATCATTATGCGCATGATTCGTTCCATTTGTCGTGGTTCCGTTTACGTGAAGTGACATGCCATTGGGTCCGTTTGTTGATCCCCGCGGGATGTCATGCGTGTTGGGGGGTGTTACTCCATTTGTATGAGTTGCTGTTGTTTTGCTTGCTGAAACACCAAAACTTGGCAGCGAAGTGATATGAAGTCCAGCTGTCTGAATAAGTTGTGGAGGTATAATGTTCTCAGTAAACCCGACCAATATGACGGTGGAATCCCTATCCGAGATCGCGTCGACAGCGCCTTTGATAGTCTTACACCAATCGGCCGTATAACCCAGAAGGCTCCGCACGGCTATATCTTGTACTGTCTCCTTAGTGATAATCTTCCCAGTTATATTTGACCGCAAAGGGACACATAGCTCGCTTGGTGATGGGAACTGAGTTTCCTTTCTTGCAAACGTGAACTCGCGGAGCTTGCTAATTGCTGATGAATAGGACCCCTCAGAATGGAAGCGGCCATGGATCTCAATACTTTTGACTCGCAACCCTTGGGCGTGAAGCTCTTGCCGCAGTGGTTCTTCCTCCTTGATGCCGCAGGTTATAGTCACACATGAATCATCATTGATACATGAGACATACGCCTGAGTGTGTTCTATGTCAATATTGTCACGTTGTGCACGAAAAAGAAAAGAGAAACCTACAGATGCATGTTTTTGCAGCGCGTTGTCGATCTTATCTCTGCTCATCTCCGGAACTTTCCAGCGAACGGCAAAGCTAGCAGTCCTGTTAGTCTGGGGGCTAGCATAAACTCCGTTCTTGTCCACGTAAGCACCAATGCAGACTGCCAAACGGAGGCCAACCGCGAAATACGTTGCAATGTTCTCGATGACTGGAGAGTAGGCAACGGCGGCCGCAGTAAGGAATCCAAGGCAGAATCCCTGAACGCCGCCTGCTTTCACACTCTCCATGACCCCTTTATGCACTAGCCAGTCTTCGTTGACGAGTACAAATCGTAGGTATGTAGCGATCTGGAGAACCATCATAAGGGGCATCGAGACTATATTGGCTTCCCCGTAGGCCTGGACCTGTGATAGGTCGCCGGTCTCGAGCCAGTGCGTGAGACCATTCAAGCCATTTTCCCCAGGTACGCCTTGTAACTCAGGATCGAAGTTGAGAAGATCCTGCCAGTGGCTTGGCAAATCTCTGACAGCTTGGCAAAGACGTCGATGTGGGATAAAGTGCTGACGGAGCTCTTCGAGAAGCTCCGGGGAGGGCAGACTGCCGTGGGGCCCAAATACGAGCAAGGCAGGGGACTTGGTTTTCGAGACCATGGTGTTTACTGTTGAAAGAAACAGATTTATTGCAATCTTTTCTAATACATCAATGAGTAAATAATCAGCGTAGCCTTTGAGGTTCGTTTTCTATTACAAAGCGTTATATCAGGCTATATACGACCAAGAGGAGGCCTATTTTATACCAGGTAAGGAAAGTCCCTCGATCTTGTATCATGTTGCTGTCTATCTGCGTAGCTGTTTCACACTCGCATATTCTATCCCATTCAATTCGCAAAGTGATGTCAAAGCGTATGCTCATGGCCACTTCATAACGACGATTCTTCGAGCGTATAGCCAACGTAACTGTTGGGTTAGATAATGTTGCATTAGCGTTATACGACATAGGACTCTACATTGCCGTCGACCATCACGGCAATATCCCTTATCTCACACTTGAAGCTTACAATTACCTCACGATTTTTTTTCTCGGCTGGAAAGAAAAGTCCGTTCGTTTGTAAGAAAGTAAGCATCACCGCGCTACTGTCGAGATCTTCGACCTACATACCTTTCAGGGCACTGCTGTGAGGTTTAGATTCTCCGTGGAGCATCGGCATCAGTTCTCTGGGTTGGGTAGAAAGCTTCTCGACAGGCATTATCAAGACGCGGCCGGCAACTTGAAACTAACAAGGAACTATGTAGGTGGTCAGCCTTAAAACGATCTTACCGACCAGGTCTCTGCTGTATCCGGTCGTCGGTGGGCATAGCCGCCTATTTGCGATGCTGGCATTGAGCACGATTCGTATCTTTTCTGTTTTGCTTCTTGTGATAAATTGGATGCCACGAATCAACCCCGACCATTGGATGGAAAACGATGTTATATCCTGGGTCACTGAAGAGTGAGATCTCTCATCAAGAGCCCAGGGGAGGTCCCTATAGGCTATTCCGCTTTCACCTCAGAGACCGGTCAATACATTACCAAAATTGGCTGAAAACCTGCAAAGATTCTAAGTTGACAAACTTCAACAGCCTACTCTTGACGTAGGAGACAGTTAATCTTCGGGTGTTACCCTCGAAACTTTGCCCGAATCAGCGGGTGTTGGTTCGAGCAGCAAATTCATCATCGTGTAATGATAGTTATCAGACGGTGAGGAGGGTTCAAAACTGTAGGTTCTTACCAACACCACCCACGACTGCAGTTATTGTTACGCTTTGTCAATGCTTTACCCTGCGACGATCATGAGATTTGCATATCGTGGAACCAATCTCCTCCCCGGATTTAGCTACCTGGCATCCAATGCCAAAACCCCCGAGAGTTGATATCAAGCTTACTAAGACAGCAAAGCGAGATGCTACGGGTGGTTCCAGAGTGACTGCATCGTGTGGTACGCTATGAGATGTGATAGAACATACCACTACTTACCTACATAGGTATGTAGGTGCTTACGAAGTGGAATAGGGGATCCACTACGTGAAAACCGTGCTTACAACGAAAGCCGAAAATACCTCAATCAACTAGTTTGGATGCGTACCTATGTACACTTCATTGCGCGGTCTAGGCAACCGTCCATAGCTCAGCTTACCGGGCATAACGGGGAAAAGGGGGATTTATTCTCCTCTTTTTGACGGGTTCTAGGACTAGTAGGTAGAGGGTTGAGTAGATACAGCCTGCCTCGAGATAGCTTCTAAAATTGACAGAGGAGCTTGGTAATGGCTGTATACACTATAGCCAACTACAATGGGGAATGAACAGCCGTATTTGGTCGTTAACAGTTTGGGCTATCCATTACTTGAAGGGTAAACAGGTATAGTAGGTAGTAGTGATGTATTAGGTAGTCTCCTGATCTAAATTTGCCTAGTACCTCATAATCATAATCTACAAAACCCTCAAATCCTCAAAACACCAGTACGCTTTGCAAGACCGATGATCCCTTCAACCACCCTAACCACATCCTTCGTCTTGATCGGGACACGGTGATCACCATCCCACTCCACCAAGCTCGTCGTCCCCTTCTCGCACCACAGCTCCAGCAGCTGCCGATGCTGACTCAAACCCGGGTCGCGCATCCCATGGACATGGAGCGTCGGTATCCGCAGCCTGGTCTCGGGGCCAGCCACGCTCTGGAACGGCGCGGTCGTGATCTCGGACGCCTCCGCCAGCGCCGGCGACCCGAGAATCTCCGTGTCCAGCGACACGAGCGGCGCGCGCCCCGCCAATATCACGGCGAACCGGTAGCCCGACCCCGCGTAATCTTGTCCTGGCTCTACCGCGCGCTGCTGCTGCCGGTACAGCAGGCTCGCGCACATCTTGGCGCCCTGGCTGAAGCCCAGCAGCGCGACCCACTCGCCCGTGGCGCCCAGCGCGTCGTCAGCCGCCATCGCGGCCTCCATGCTGCGGTCGTTCGCCGCGACGATGTCCTCGGGCTCGAGGGCGGGGTCGTCGGGGCGGAAGCGCAGCCATCGCCGGAAGGGAGCGAGGTCTTGGAACGTGGGGATCATGCCGGGGCCCGGCGAGGAGAGGAAAGGACCGTCGGCGAAGCAGAGGCGGAAGTAGGGTGATAGGTGGCTGATGAGCGCGCGGCTTTGCAGGCGGAAGACTTGCGCGTTGACGCCGCCGCCGTGGAGGCAGAGGATGCGTGGAAGGTGGAGGGTTGGGTCTGGGGGTTTCTCCATGATGGGCTCATTGATGCTTTTTACGAGTCTGGGTCTGTTTGGTAGATACTATAGCAGAGCGAGTGGAAGCTTGATTGTCGTGGATATGGGAATACGGGTTCACGGTCCCAAGCTTAGAGACTTACCACGGGGAGCAAAATGATTGATAATGATTCACTATTACTCAAGGGGAGTGGAACCCTCAAGTTCACTTGTAGGAATATTCCGTCTTTTTCTGTACAGGTTCTTGGGTAGGATTTGACGATACTTGCATTCGCATGCATGATACTCAAGGCATATGACTTTGGGCTTACCCAAAGACCCCGAACCCATCTCGATCTCGCGAGTGTTAGTTACTTCCGATCGAAGGGAACCCGACCGGCTTTTTTTGCTTTATCTTTAGGCCGATCCTTAGAAAACCCCGCATAAGACGGCGATGTAACCCCCGGAGAGAATCGTCAGCAAACTTACTTGCGTACCCAGCTGCATATGCACCCAGTTTCATGCCTACTAGGTGCCCAGATCAAGTTGTGACTATGACTTGATGGAGCTTTATCTTATTCTCCTATTTCCGAGCTTTAGGTAGAGCCTGATAGGCTACTATGTAGATACTTGCCTGCTTAGGTGCTGTTCACCAACTGAATATATGTTTTTGGTGATGGATATCAAATAGTTTGGTAATACCTATGCTAACAGGAAAAAACTCATCTACACCATGGCCTAATATCTACCTACCTGCCTACCTTACTTTTGTCTACGCCTATACTTTCAACTCGTGAATACCGCCCAGTATCTAGTCATAGCCTAAAATCTACTAATAGGTACATCTAACATTTGAAAAGATGGACCTTCCGAGTCACCGCCCGATTCGCCCCTGAGCTGTGTCCAATGTTGCCCCTCCACATTATCTTGCTCGAACATCGAAGCAGGAATGCCGTAGTGTCTCCTTTTAGAGCTTCCATCCGGCACGTGGAAGCGTAGATCGACCCGCGATAGGAGATAAAGATATACAACAATGATCTCTACAGAGAAATTGAAAATGTAGAAACACGCCTTGGAGTGGTACCAGGCCGGGTCACCAACTGGTCGTGGAGATTCGTAGTTGATACCGGCACGGAACCAGGCCCCAAGCGAAAGGAGAGCAGCGGCGGTGGTGACAATCAGGCACTTTGCTTTCAACGATCCTTGCCCAAAATGGTCCTCCATCTCCTTGTTTCGAGGGGCTATTGCGACATAGGCTATTATAGCGAAAGGTAGAGACGCAACCGTCGCGAAGAGCGACGTCCCATAGCGGAGAATATCAGCGTCGATCAAGCGGGTATGGGTGTCTAAGGTATAGAAGCTCTGCACGGTCACGGTGATGACCATGATCAGGGTGAGTATGATGAGGACGTAGACAGCCCTCAATGCGTATGAAAAGGGCCCAGACCATCCAACTACCGGGTGCACAGCGCGGAGAATACGCTGTGCATAGAGCAGATTGAGAATGAATAAGATGACGACCCCAGCAGCCACGAATATCTGTGCCGCAATACTGAGCGGGACATCTGCGGGATGGACTCCCCACGCAATCCGAAGCGAATTGGCAGCAATACGTGTCATGCAGAACCCAAAGGTAGCTGCCGAGGGCAAGAATTTGTGTCCCCGACTTAGATTGATGCGGAACCGTGCCATGTGAGCCGCCGCACCGACGACATATAGTGCTATAAAGACAGCAGATATTGGCACATCTACATGTGCATTTGGTGTCTCCCCCAGAATCGCCGTCGTCTGTCGATAAGGAGGTCCCATCCCATTGATTCGCTACTTCCCCTCTCTTGTTGAAGATAATAAACAGTATCGGCTGAGTCAGATAGAAAGCGTTGGTCATTCGAAATAAATGAAAGAATAATACAAGAGTAGCGGTGTATGAAGTCATTGGGCTATCTATATGAGCCGCATCATGCCATGCACTGCACCTCTCTCTCTCTCTGCTTCTCAACATCAAATAACGATTATCAAGTTAAATAACTATCCACTTGCTCGGGTCCATCGGGGCGAACACGAACCGTTTGGCATGATGTATGCCATATTTTGGTACGTTATGTGAGATGTCATGATATCTAACGCGGTTATATGTACAATTACCTACACGCCGCATAGCGTTCGGGGGGGCTGAGACAGCTCTTTCCATCTCTTCAGTGCTGGATATACCAATCAATCGACCCTCTATCTAACGGAGATGGCGGACTTAGGGGCCATCATAGTCGCGAGCTGTAAAAATACAATGCGTACGTAACGCGGAAAGGATGGTAGTAATCGGACGAAATACCTTGTTCGTTTCGATGGCATACCGGAATAGCCGTTATATCATTTGTAAACCCTGACCATTCGTCCATGAGAAAAAAAAAAAAAAAAGGAAGAAGGTGTGATGAGACGATAGCAAGGTTCAAATGTTGACATTACATGTCGTTATGTAATAAAGTATCGTGTGTGTGTGTGTGTGTGTGTGTGTGTGTGTGTGTGTGTGTGTGTGTGTGTGTGTGTGTGTGTGTGTGGTGGTGTAAAGAATAAGGGGGGGGAGGCTATACAGTTAATCAGCCCCTTTTCGAGAACAAATGTTCTCTGCAGGGGTCCTTCACACTACTAACTACATATGTATTAGCCCTAAAGCCTTACCCGTCGTAGCAGGCGTAAAACCCACTTCTCAAGCTTTCCTCAACCCTTACACCAGGTACGCCCCCGTACGCCATGTGCGATTAAAGAACAGTGCGAGACTGTGAAAGACTGTGCAGGACTGTGTGAAGCTTGTACTTGAGCACCTTGACAAATGCAAATGTCGCCGACTTTGCCGATGACATCCGGAAGTAACCCGATCCCCTGTCCGTATTAGACTACTTACTAGGTAGTTTTCAGCTTTCTTATTCCCCTCCAAGTCCTAGAGACTACGTAAAAGTACGTCTACATAGAATCAGAAATCACCGCAACGGGAACTACAACTACCTATCTCCAGAGCTATCTGGCTGACTTTATCTCCCTAACTTGCGTAACCACTCACTACACCCATTATACTAAAGAAGTAATACAGCAGTAAACGGCCTTGATTCCGTGAGACCTGGTTGGCGAAAACGTGAATGCACGACTTGACTTATGCTGTACCTCATGACACTTTCCGCCAGTCAGGGGTAGCGGTACCTCAGTGTCCATGTAACCAAGGCGCATACGTATGTACATGATCGCTCTCATAATCTCCTGCCACGGTGCTGACATGCGTGGCTTACTTGCTATAGTACGTCTTATATAAGTTTCAAAATTTTCAAAAAGAATATTGACGCCACCCGGCTACCAACCGCGTTGATCTATTGCTTATCACGCCCGGAAACCCGGATATAGGCTACCTACGCTATTTTTACAAACGTAGTGGCCGTCGTCAGGTGGGTTAGAGATTCTAAACCCCAGGTTTCTTATTCTTAGAGAATGACTGCAATGTCGCTTGTGCGTAGGCCACCTGATTCAAATCAACAAAAACCAACAGGTTCTTTGAAAGCTTATTCTATTCTTGTCGACAACCAAGTCTGCATCAATCGAGAGTCATTGTGCTAGGCAAAGACCTTACTTCCAAGAAGGTATGGACGCTTTCAACTTAACTACCTCGGTAACTTCAATGCGTGGCTCTAGCTACTAACCTAGTTAACCTTGGTGTCTATCTACGCTACCAGCTCAGACCAACCTCTGATCTTGCTAAAGTTCTTTGATCTGGAACTCTAGAGAGAGGCTTGAGTAAGTTCACCATCTAACCTAGGTTACTTACTACCGGAGTCGCCATCTGATGGCATCCATGCTGCTGACCCAACAGGCCGTCATATTTGAAATCGTATCTACAGTCAAAGGGGCGCAATGACAATGTGAGTAGAGCCCCCAAGTAAGACAGTAGGCTTCTACAAGTCCTAATATTGATCCTTTTACTCACAAACTGCTAGGGAGAACCGCGCTCGTGACGCTGTCGAAAGGGGTGTCAGTCATAAGCTTTCGCCGCTTCCTCGAGGCTGTTAGTTCGTCTAGCTCATCAGAACCGTGACATTACAGTCAACTAGCTGCGAATGGCGGAGCATGTGAGCAGGCTATTGAGGACGCCTATTGCTGTCGCCACGGTTTTGAACCAACTCATGATGATGGGGGCCTAGGGAAATAGGACGAAAGTATGATGGCCACGGCTTTGGCGTCGTGATGAAGATTGTATAAATAGGAAAGGTACTAAGAGTGAAGGAAGCCGTTGTTGTTCTTGTGACAAGACGAAAGTTACCTAGCAATCTGAAGCCAATACAGAATTTGTTTCTTTGCCCCTTTTTGACATTCTAAGTGTTTCAAGAAATTTCACGATACCCCAATCAATCTGTAAAAATCGTAAAAATGCTATTTTCACTATTCTCCGTTACTTTGGCGATCCTGGGCGCTCGTCTCGGAAGCGCAAGCACGAGCCCGGATTTCCTGCCAGCTGTTGCAGAAGACCTGCAGATGTTCTATGGCACTACTCAGGTGCAGCCGCCCGGTGTGACCCTTTCGGAAGCTAGTAAGTCGATAATCTCAGAAGATAGAGCAATGTTCATATTCAGAGTCAACGATGAAAGGACATTTTATAAACTCTATGAGCTCTTAGAGCTACATAAGTACGTGACTAACTAACTATCCCCACCCCAGCCGTCGCCAACGTCCCCACCCTCTACGCCTCCACCTACCTCGACACCAGCACACGGTACGCCGTGATCATGGTCGACTACAACGTCGACCTCTCGGGCGTGCAAACCACCATCCTACAATGGTTCCAGCCGGACCTCTCGGCCGCCTCACCCGACGGCAAACTCTCGATCGCGTCCGGCTCCTCGGCACCAAGCGCGTCGTACATCTCGCCGGCGCCGAACGCGGGCCCCGCACACCAGTACGTGACGATCCTGTACAAGCAGCCGGCCGACTACGAGCTGCCCGCGTGTCTGGACGGCGTGCTGCCCGCTGGAAACAACCGCGCGGGGTTTAATCTCCAGCAGTTTGCGGGTGTGGCGGGGCTGGGCGATCCGATTGCGGCGAACTGGTTCGCGGTGCAGGACCCGACGCCGGCTACGACGACGTATCAGATCACGGCTACGTCGACGGCGAGCTATGCTTGTGCTACGACGGCGTAGGTGGGTTGGTGAAGGTGGTGTTGTTGTTGTTTAGTGGAGGAGGGAAGCAAGTTGGGATGAAAGAGAGATAGGGGTATCATGTCGATTTGTCATGGGTTTCCTGATCACCTACATAAAGCATCAATAGATTTATTTATATTGCGTATGAACTGGGTTGAACCCACTTCATAAACGTAACATATCCCCCCAGATTGGGTGTTTTTGTGCTTGAGTAGCCCAGTGCCCCTACCCTCTCATCGTCCACGTCTTCAATGTCTCTACTCATCTTTTCCGAGGTCCCCTACTACCTAACACACCTTAACCCCTATTATTCGCAGGCCCAGAGCCCCCAGGCTCACGCAACATGACTATCGGCTTCTTCTTGCTAAAGTTGACAACATCTCCGGCCATCCTTTTCCCCTCCTCCGTAGCCAGCGCAGCCAACCGTGCCTCGACACTCGCCCATGTCACTGCTATCTCCACGGCGTAAGGGGCACCCTCGGTAAAGCGGAACAGCTCCCAGGACACGAGCGCGTGAGGCCCTAGTAGCTTAGTCGCCTGGGCCATGTGCGTGTTCATGTAGTAGTCTTCGTTGAACTCGGCATCGCGAGGGTAGAGGTTCTGGGATGAGAGGGTTAGTAGGGTGTGTGCTTGAAGGTTAAGAGTAAGATGAAAAGCAACTTAAAAGAGGATGATTAAGGAAATTTGGATGTATACAGTATAAGTGACAGTCATTTTCGTATGAGTTACCAGAGACTAGTTCATAAGATGATTCGATGGTCACCTGTTGGGCATGTGATGATTCAAGGTTCTTCTCTTTTTCATAAACAACTGAACTGCTGAACTGGACCTACATTAGGAATTTTCCCATGCTCTTAATGAGATTAGGTGAGGTGAGGTGAGGTGAATAGGTATAATTATAAGTTACCTAGCATAAATTGTCGTCGTCAGTTTATGTCAGCTCCGGATCCGGTGGCGGGCCGAGTATGCAAAGTCAAGCACCTGCAGGACGGAGGGGGCGTATCCTTCCTTCACACACTGTGCAGCATCTTCGGCTTTATTTTATTTTATTTTATCGCAAAGTTATACCCGGGCATTTTAGGATGGTGATACAAAGCTAAGAGGAGAAAAAGAATAACATTACATCTGTGTACCTAAGATATACTTCAAGTACATGCCAACACTAGGTACATACCTAGTAGTAGCACTGAGTGCCACTGACTGTACTGTAGCTCAGGTACATATGTAGCACTCTTGGTGGACTTATCGATTAACTCCGTTAATCTCCCCAAATAACTATTTCACCATTCACCAGAAGCAGAGCTTACCCCCTCCATCCATCCATCTACCATCTTCGCTTACTCGCTACCACTTTTATATCTTCTTTCTTTCAATACCTACCTACCTGTTCTGACAGCTCGAGTTCTTTACTTACCCTTGTGTGAAAATCAAGGAAAAGGAAACAAAACAAAACAACTCATCCAACATGCCGTCAAACGACAGTGTCAAGATAGCCCTGGCCCTAATCGAGAGGGATAAGTCCAAGATCCTAGGCCTGAAAGTTGGCACCCATACCAATGTCCAACCCGGGACCTTTATCCCCAAAGCCGGTAAGAAGCGACGCCTTACCTACCTTATCTCTTATACATCTATCTTCCTTTCCTTCTGCCAAAACTAATCAAGCCCCTCCCAGACGCACAATCCCCCCCGGCGCTAACCTTCGGCCCGCTCTCGCCAGAAGCCACATACATGGTCGTGGCGCTGGACATCGACGCGCCCTTCCCGTCCTTCGGCGTGCTGGGGCCGATCCTGCACTGGATCCAGCCGGACCTGAAGGCCACGCCCGTGGACGGGCCCCCCTCGTCCCCGCAGCAGTACAGCCTGTCGTCCACGACGCCCTTCGTGGCCAACTACATCGGGCCGGCGCCGCCGCCCGGCAGCGGGCCCCACCGCTACGTCTTCTTCCTGTACGAGCAGCCGCCCAGCTTCGAGGGCCACAGGTTCGCGCCGCCGAACGGCCAGAAGCTCAGCAATGGCCGCCGCATTCGCTATAGCCTCGACGAGTGGGAGGAAGAGGCGCGGCTGGAGCGGGTGCTGGCTGTGAATTACTTCAAGAGCAACTGAGTTAGGTGATGGATGGAAGTGAGCTTGGGTTTTGGTTGGTAGGTGAGGTGGCTTGTTAGGGAGGGCGGATTCGCTGTGTAAGCAAAGGTTGGGTTTGAGGAGGTTAATGATGGCTGGCTTCTCGGTTAATGCGTACGGGATACCTCTTTGCTTTTTTTTTTCTTCTTGGCATGTTAAGTTGCTGCCTAGGTACTTACCTATCTACATAGGTTAGGTGTAGGTATACTAGGTAGTTACTAGGTAGGAATGGGTAGGTTATCATAATCAGGGCATGGAAATTGTTAACTCGGAATATAACCCGGTTCTTTACATGCGTTTATTTGTGATACATCTCATGATGAAGGCTAACTTGTTCCCTCACTGGCCACAACGGGTGACGGGCATGGATGGCCGATTGTTTAAGGTTCTCGGAACGTTGTAGACGCCAAGACGGGCACCCCACAATAAGGGGGCCAATGGAGCTTGACTAAAAGGCCTAAAAGGGGAACACGGCATCGTGTTCATGGCTACCCAAAGGGGTTTCAGGGGGTCTGGACGAGTTATTTCGAATAGTCTTCTGTGCAGATCTGGCAGGTTGTAGATTCCGAAGAAGGGAGGTACCTCGTCCCAATAGGGTTGCTACGCATAAGATCATATAGATATTACTCAGCTCATTCGCCTTTTTCATCCACACCATTGTCGATGCTACCGATGAACATGTCAGGTACATGGTCTGTGTGTGCCTTCGTGTCAACGATATCCCTATGAATATAGTTAGAAGCATGGCTTCGAATGTGAGAGCCAGGAATACTCCAGCAAGTATAGGTATGGAAGCAGTAGGTGGGTGAATACGTACCAGTCCAGACTTTTCCCAAAGTCATCCAGTTGGCTGAGCCTCTCCATAGCCTTGTAGTCGTCTCCGAATCGTATGAACTGTATAGCGACCGAAGTCCTGCCCAAGTTGTTCGATTGAACCGTCTTTATAAGCCGCTTGATCTCCTCTTCAATGCCCGGGACAGTTCCCTCTGCATCACCCCATTTTCCGTCTGTGAGTACAAACAGGGTGATTCTGGGAGGTGGCTTCAGGTTTAACTTGAATATGATGTTGGAGAACTGTTTGTCGATGTAGTTGATTGCCTGGCTCATGCTGTCTTCCATCATAGATGGGCCGCTGTCGCTATAATGATAATGCTCCTGTACGTCGGTAAGGAGTCTAGATGTTTTCCGGTTGTGGTACATTTTGGACGGGTGGGATGTGAAGAATAGATCGATTTCATTGTCGTCGATTCTCTTCGCTATATAGGACAGGGCGGTGAAGGTCTTTTCACAGTCTGTTTGGTGCTCAGTCTTCATGGATTTCGAATCATCAATCAAGAAAATCTGATCTCGGCCTTTGATCCTCTCTTGGAGCAGTTTGATCTGAGTCGCAACGTACTTGTTTGGTGACTGATCTGATTTCATGTTCAGCCGGTACCGTAGAACATCGTCAACTGTTATCTTGTTCGAAGAAAGTTCGGGATCGGTGGGTGTCCGTGGCACGTGGGTTGGTATGTAGCCCAACTCTCGTGCCTTTTGCTCTGCTTTTTGTTTTATCTGCCCTGACAGCTGTAGCAATTTCTTGGCACTCTTCCTAATCATCGGCTCTAACAGCATCGAATCACGTATCAGCTCGATAACCTCGGGCGTAATCGTGTCCCAGGGTCGCCGATTCTTAAGGATGTGGTCGTGCATGATGGCCACTTGGGACAGAGCCCTAATTCCATCATGAAAACAGCCCTCAAACCCAGATCGAGCCATGGACTCAATTCCTTGGGTCTCCTCGACCCGCTTTCGCAGGTACTCTTGCCGGCCTTCCTGACCGCATGTAGCCCAGACTGCCGATTCACTGAAGAGACAACCTAATGACCAGATGTCTACTTCAGAACCAACACGGTTGGTAAACCTCTCCAGCACAGGATAATTCACGATACATTCGGGGGCGCTGTAGATTTGATCTCCTCTATTATCGACTCCCAAAACATTGCGATTGTCATCAGAAACGTTCCAGAAGTCGCTTTTACCGAAGTCTGCAATTTTGAGGGTTATTCTGTAATCACTAGACCGGTTTCCCCTGGCCACGAGTATGTTGTCGGGTTTGATGTCTTGGTGAGAACTAGGTAGTACGAATAAAGGTCAGTAATATTCACGTTGTGTGTGGGAAATGTGAAACTTACCCAAGAGACATCGAGGTGCTTTGCTCATCAGGATCGCCTAGATTATGGATGAGACTTAGGCCATGGATGAGTTTGAACATACTCTCCCAAAATTGGATCATTTCGGGTGCGTCTTCGGGAGGCTTAGTGTTGTTGAAGTACGAGTCCAGGTCCCCTTCAGCGTGTTCTAGAAGAATGTAATACTTTTTGTTTTGCTTGAAATGGCCGTAAAATTCAATGATATATTCAAACTTAGAGTGGTTTTGTTTCGACGCGCTATTGCGTATCTTCGTAAATGCATCCACTTCGGCCTTATATAGCGACTGCGCTGTGGAGGGATGCGTGTATGATTTCAGGATAATAGTACCTGGTAGTTCATCATCCTAAGAAAGAAGAATTGTTAGTACCTAGATGCTTTATCTGTCATGGCCATCTTCCCATAGTAAACTTACAATACAGTCGCGATAGAAGACAACCTTCCTAATCTCGGATTCTATCTGCGGTTTGTGGAGAAGTGTCTTTGATTTGATGGGCAGAATATGGCGGTCATCCAACGTCTGGCCCAAGAGTGAGCGGCAACTTATTCTCAAGGGGCAGAACCTCCATTGATGTTCCTTGAACTTTTCCAGAACATTATTATTATCATCATCGTTCTTAGGCCATTGACTTGGGGCTTGCTCGAGGGGCAGTCTCTCGTCGTTAAGACCATTCTTCAGGAAATTATCAAGAGAAGATATCTGGTTTGTGTAGACTAGGATGCTGAATACACGGATGTATGCTTGTTGTATAGTAGCAACGCTCGCTGCTGCGCCTGAGTCTCTAAGAACTGTTTGCACGCGGTGCCAGTTCCAGTATTTGGATAAGGCGCTGGGTGATACGAATTGTGCACAATTTCCATGGCCATCTTCGCCCTCAACAGCATTTTCTCTAACCCAATCTTCAAAATTATTTGAATGTTGAGTAAGTTCCTTGAAATGCATTATGGTTAGCCTAGCTGATTCGAGCAGAATGATAGTCACAACAGATAAAAGGGGTAAGTCTTAAAAGATAAGGAATCAACGAAGAAATGAATAGTGGCGGGAAATATATTTTTAATGTTTACAGCTGATATCGAACTGAAATCAATTATATACCCTTCACCGACAACGGGTCATACGTAAGGCTGGCCGGCGTGCGGTAATATCAAACATACCTAGTTTGAGACTTCTATTTATATAGGTAGGCATCTACCTGCCTAGGGGTAATACCTACCAGTTGCCCAATTGTGTGGTCCAGATAGCTAGGCTACCTAGTAGGCGCTGCTCTGGTTAGATTTTCTCCAGGTGCCTACTAGGTAGGCTGCATCCCAAGGTGGTGTCGAGAAGGCAGCCTTTGCCACCGATTCTGGGATAAAAATGGGCTGAAAATCCTTGCCTTGACGCCGAGGCTGCCTTCGCAAACTATTACCACCATTTGCTACTGGCTAGTTCCATGTAGCAAAACGCGTGATGACTAAAGTAGGCGTCTTGCCCGCGTACTAGACTGGGAGGTAAGACAAAGTGCTACAGGAACTGCAAAACGCCATTATGCATGAGCAGTAACTAGACAGGTTTGTCCTCAATAGTGTCCAGTTTGGGCCCCAGGTCAAGGCATACATCTTTGGATGTTTGAGGTAAACCCATATATCAAGCTATCATCTTCAGTAGCCAATTCTTTCTCGTACCTACAAGATTTGCCTTCTCAGCTCTCCATCATGGTCTCTGAGACTTTTCCCAAGTACAACTTAGCACAGAGGGATCTTGAACAATACTTGTCAAAGATCTTCAAATCCAACATAGTATGCACTGTGAGTTGATCCCGGTTGATCTTCTTCAACTCTCCTCTAGTCTACAGAAACTGTGCGACACCCAGACTTCTAACTCTACGGCAGATAAAGGGGAAGGAATACAAATTCGAAATACCCCGGCGTTTGTCGCTCGTATGGATCTCTTACCCCTTTTAACCTCAGCTTCAGTTTTCGGTAGTACCTAACAAGTTTTAGGAGGAGCGAACGTACATTCTGGATAACCTTCGCTACTAAATGCCTATATCATAAGTACCTGTTGTGGGCCTTCTAGACAGCCTCGCTTGGATTTCAAATGTGGAATTGAGGGAGGAGGGAGGAGGGAGGAGGGGTGATGAGGGGGGAGGGGGCTGAGAGGAATGTGGCGAAAAGGTCAGTCGTTTTGGCCAGGCTTACATATGTAGCTAGGTTGGCATAAAAGGAACATTGAAATACATATGTATGCTTATGGGTAGTACAATACAAGCGCTTGTGGCTTCCGCAGTCAGCCCCTTCTGATCACTCTGGGCAGTGTTGGTTCACTAGAATACGACGTTGTTATGCGCATGCTGAGTAACTCCGAGGTACTTGTTAAGGTAAATCAAATGGCTGAAAGCCCTATGTTATTTATCTGCTAACCATAGAAGTTCATTTTGCTATCTCGGTGTTTTCCCTTGTTTGTCTTTCTACTCAGATTGAGTCCATTTCATTGTGACAGTATGCCACTAATCAGAACGGGGTCAAATGCTGGAAAGTATTCTCTCATGAACACTTTCATCAGTGGAGATGCCACCAAAGAAGGACTACCTCCTTTTTGCAATGACCATCTCTTGTATCCGTGCAACTTGGAACGCTCTCTTGTCTTGGAGTATACACTCGAGTTATATTATCGTAAATTGCAAGAAGAATCGGACAGGTTGTTTAATCCAACCCCACGAAGCAAGCTACTCAAATTTTGGGAGACGAATAAGACATGTGATAGTGAGTACCTACCTGTCATATTATCCTCCATCTTATTGAGGACCGTCGCTAATTGTATTACAGTGTTTGAAGAATATAAACCTTTGGAATTAACCGATCTAAAGGGACATTGTCAAAGAAGTAGCCTACAAGATCCAGCATGCCGCTATGTGTGAGTAGATAGGAGCATATAGGTTCAGGGCGAGATCAAGGTAACTAACACTACTTTGAAGATTTATGCAATCCAAGAATTCGAAGGCCAGATTAGAGCTCACCCAAGAAGATTTGACCTTCATCTCGTCTTACCACCAGGTAATACCCTCTTTTCTCGACCTTCTCTTCACGTGTGGAAGGCAAGAAAGACCGAGGGAGTTTCGTTATGCGGCATTTTGTCATGAGAACTACCTCAAAAAAGAAAGCCCGGCCACCAGAAATCCCAACCTCATGATTGAGTCCCTTGGCCGCTCAGGCCGGCAGATTCAGCACTGCTATAATCTTCATTCTGTCGAGTGCTCGGGGTATATGGAGGAGAAAGATTGGTCGATTCGACAGACCGTAGTTTACCACTCCTTCGACGTTGAGACGGGAGCGTCTTTCTGGATTTTTATCAAGGGGAACAACGTTATAGAGAAGCGTATTATGGACGCTACCAGATCGACGAGAAATACAGGCATGACTGCCAGGTCACATCAGACCCTTTTCGGATCGTTTAGTGCTTCACTCCTATCGCATACCCAGATACTGGAATGGTGCAGCGAGCAGTGGAGATGGTATATCAATGATATGGAAGAATGTCTTCGAGACCAAGCGAAAGACACCGTACTCGCTGATGTCGATGATCTTGCTGGGCCAGCAAGCGTGCCCGCGATCACGAGGCCAGGTACCCTATTGATACCCTCTCGAACTATAACGAGGTCATCACCTACTTCCCCTATTTCACCTACTTCGACATTCAGCAAAGCCTGGAACCCATTTTCTATCCTTTCAAATGCTACCTCGAAAGAAGAGAAAAGTCCAGCGGTGAGTGGATTAGGCATAGCACACGTTTTTGGCACAGGCCGCGTTGTAGAAGAGCCCGAACAGATTGACAACAACGGATACGACATAAACAATAGATCAGACCACGATTTGGAACGCATGTTCTCCTTTGAGAAGCTACAAAATCTACACGAGACAGGGGAGCGTATGCAAGAGACCATAATGGTGCTGAGACAGAATCGCAACATCATCAGGGAGATCCGGGAGCATTACACTGCCCTCATGGAGAACGAGGAGTTCCCCGCGGGGATTAGAGAAGCTTGTAAACAAGAGATGTCGAGGTTTGCTCACAGAGCTCTGGCAATTGAGAAGGATCTCGAAGTACAGCAGTTGAGGCTCAAGACGCTCAGCCAGTTGCTGGGAGACAGAATAAGTTTGGTAGGTCTTAGCCACCCACACCTAACTCGTTTGATGAAGCTCACGACTCATGTTTCTCCTACCTATCTAGTTTTACACAGTTCAACAATACGCCAACATGCAAGCCAGCAAGCATTTCGCGAGGAATGCCCAAACGCTGGCGGAATTTACCACGGCCATGACGACAGAAATGCACCTCATGACCAAGAAGATGCATGATGTTGCCCTGACGACAGCACACCAGACCGTGTCTATGCACGTGATCACCATCTTTACCCTCATATTTCTCCCGGGGACCTTCCTCGCTGTAAGCCTCCTGCGCCTGATTTTTCTAGGCGTAGCTCTGACTGGGCAGACCTTTTTCAGCAGCGGCATTCTACGGTGGTATGAAGCAGATGAGCTAGGTGACTCGAAATACACCTGGGCTACGGAGCACGATCGCCTGCTGCTCTACATTGAGATAGCCGTGCCGATGATGCTCTTTATCGTGCTTGGATGGTTGATTCTATTTCTCAAGTCAAGGACCGGAAGAAGCGAAGGGGGAGAAGCAGAAGAGCCGGCCGAACTGGAAAAGGGTCTGCGGAGGACCTCGATAGACGGACACCCCAGGGCGGCACCAGGAACGACGCAGTTACCCAATGTTCTAGCCTGAGGGATTACCTAGGTAGCTAACGAAGAAACAGAGTAACTAGAGGTGCATTCTGCCCAGCGGTGGAGGATAGGAAACAGGCATCCGATTGCTTTACAATTCGCATTCACTCCAGAGTCAACACTACCTACTGAAAAGTCTCGATAGCGGGCCTAGATAGACAAACGCTGATTTTTTTTTTTTTTCGCTCACTAAAAACCCCCACGATCACGCAACCACCATAGCACCATTCATTCCCTAAGTCGAACAAGTTTTTTTAGTCATCGCGTAGGGAATTATCATCATCTACCTATGTACAACATATCAATCACTAAGCCATACCCACAGCTTACCCAACATCTTTTCTCTAGTGGTGCTGACAATCCATCTATGACTCGACTCGCGTATGAAAAAAAAGGGGGGGAGATGGTAATCGGCGTCCATGGTCCGTGATGTACATACGTAGAGAAAAACATGGAGAACGGAAAGAAAGAAAAAGAAGATTCAAGACGTCGCAATCACTAAACTAATCCAAAGCCCTAACAACAAACTATTTACTAGTTAGGCAAGTACATAGTAAGTGAAAAAGCGGCTCCCCGTTGAAAAAAAAGAAAAAAAAATCTCCGAGAAAATGAAGCAAACATTCCAGTAGGTTAAATATTTCTTCACGCTACTCTCGGTACTTCGTACTACACTACTTCGTACACTACGAACACAAACCCCAGCTCCACTCACAAGGCGAGAACAGGGGGGACGCGTGCGTGGGCCGGCGCCCGCGACAAACAACTAGAACCGCAACCCCGACATCTTGAACAATTTACCTAGTACCTAGGTTAGTAACTACCTATTAACTATCTAACGGCCATTCCGCTTGTGCCGGTTCTAAAACGTTTATAGTACCAACCAACTAACTAAACAATTCCAACACCCTAACTTCGTTCCCCCCCATCCCTTTGTCCGCGTATGCGCGGCGCTTGCGGCATGCAGACAGCGGGCCGTACATAGATAGGCAACGGTACGTCTCCTGTATCTGTGCCGCACAACCAAGGCGAGGATAGGAAATTGAAATTTGGAAACGAATCCCAAGAAAAAGAAAAAAAGAATAGGGTTTACGTAGGATTTAAGAATAAGAATAAAAATATGACAGAAAACCAAACCCCTAGTTAATACATAGGCTACTAACTGCTTACCGACTGAGTGGCGGTCTTATGCAAGTCCCTCTCCCATCCTTGCACGGCAGAGGCAGACACGAAGGATGAAAAAGAATAACTAAAGCCAACCATAAAAAAATAGGGGCGGCTTGCTTATTTTTTTGACAGAAAAAACTTAGACCTAAGGAGACCGAAGTGGGTCAGTGAAAGAAACCGTGTGATCTGAGAGCGCCCAAGTGAAAGTTGTAGATCTCGAGTCAACGTGTCCACCGCTTTCTCTCTAATTAGCCTCAAGCTTACCTAGGTAATATCACTTTGCATACAACTTTGTATCCAAGTGCTACACAATGCGGTCAACACCTGAATTCACATCGCACATGTTAGTTGAGGAGGTTTGCATAATAACTATACTCTTGATTCATAAACCATCATATCAAACAGTACAGTACAAGTGTTTACATACTGACATCCACTTCTGGACTCACCTAGGAACAGCGATGGAGAGTTAAGTACGAACATCCGGGTCTATTATTAGGTAGCTTACTAGAAATCTCGACATCATGTAGAAAAACGAATCGGTAGAGAATAGAAGGTGGATTGATAGTTACGAAAAAGGTTAGGTTGAATGGTGGGAAACCTATCCTTTGGAATCAAAGCAGACGGTCATGATTCCGGAAGAGTGACCAATCTGACCAAAAAATGCCGAGGCTCGAGGACCTAGAGTAGAAGCGAAGAAAAATGAAACAAAAAAAAAACGAGTTCAATATTCATGACCATCCCTTTTCCCCATCCCAATCACGAAGGTTTTCCGCCATCCACAGTCGTTACCAGTGTTGGTCTTAGCGCACATAACACCTAGAGAATGTCGACAAAATGCTAGGTGCTGAAAAAGCGCAATATAATATCTTTGGGCTAAAAATTTCGTGTACACAAAATACACTACAAGAATCGAAAACATGTCGTTATCCGCGGCCTGTTAAAACACTTTTGCGAGCACGATGCTAACAAAAGAGTGAGGTTGGGTGAGCTAGCTTATACAATTGAGATAGCGTTGCCGAGGGCAGGGAGTACATTGGTGGCGTAGCTTCCATCCATGTTGCCTAGTTTATGTGTTAGTGTGCAAGTAAAGCGAAGGTGGTAGGAGCTCAATTTACCTGCGGGACGATAGTTGCAGACTGTGTACCAAGCATCAAAGTCATCGTATAGAGATCCCTTGGGGCAGAATTGGGCCTTGCAGCCAATCTCTTTGGAACCCTTCCAGATGAGTTGGGTGTAGTGACCCCAGCCTTCGAAGTCGCTCATGTCCGGGTTACCCGCGCCATAGAACTCAGGCAGGAACTTGTTGAACTCGCCATTGTACCACTGATCAGTAATAGCCATCTTGATAGCACCGACCTCGCCGAGAGCCTCAGCACCAGAGCTAACACCCCAGTTGGCCAAGTTCTGGCCATATCCACCGCCACCCTGGTTCCTACTCGAATATTAGTGGTTTAGCTTGAGAATATACGGACCGATCACATACATATCGTGCTCAAACACGCAAGTTGCAGCAGTGATTGAAGCATAGTCAGCGAGCTCATCATTCCAGCCCACTGCGCTGGCGGAGTGGTTGAATCGGTGAATGTTGTGGTGGTAGATAGCTTGGCTGATGACATCGTCGCCTTCAGGCTCGTCTTGGGTGCCCCCGCCCACGGTGGGCAGAGGCGTTGAGATGGGTACATCGACAGAGGCTTCTGCGGTTGCCTTACTCGCCCCTTCGGTCTCGGTGATAACGATCAAGGTGGGATCTGGGGAGCTTGTGGGTGTTGGCTCTGGGGTCACGGTGACCACGACAACTGAGTCAGCGGTCGGTTCAGGAGTCTGTTCACCGAAAACTATCGTTGGCTTGGAATCGGCGTTGGCAGTAACGGTGACGGTCTGCCAGTCCTCAACCCAGGTAGTTTCCACCTCTCGCGGCTGAACGGGGTTGCCCATAGCTAGCGTGGCTGCGCCAGTGGCGAAGAAAACTGAGGATCTCATTTTGCTGGAATGTCGAACTTTGTAGATATCGAAAAACTATATAGATATGAGTATATGTACATTACCATACAATTATGCTGATAATGGTGTGAAGGAGTGAAATATAAAATGAGCGTAGTTGCGATCAACATATGTGGCTTGCTCTGTAAGGTGTTTTAAGGAGAGTGAGGGTTTGCAGGAGGAAACAGCTGGGTTCGACAATTCAGGGATGATATGCACGTATAGTTTTAATCGTACGCTGTTTTGTTCCAGTAGTCTGGATGAGTACGATCCATGTGATTCTAGGCCGAGCAGAGCCGCCTTGTTGAAGAATTGGGCTTTGTCAAGAGGGGGGGATGGGAGTAACTATTTTTATACTCAACAAGGAGAGGATAAAAGATAGGGCCACTGGCTCTAGGCAATAGCTGTATTGCCATTCCCTTCATGATTCTTATTCGTGACGCATTGGTGGGACAAAAGAATCAACATACCTTTGTGAAGGTAGAAACTAAGGAGTCTGCGTTGAAGTTGACAGCTTCAGATCCAACTAGCAGCGGATAAGTAACTTATAGTTGTTTAAGGGATTACAGATATATTCTGTGATGTGACTACTCACTGTTAGGAAGTCTGTGTTGCCGGTGTGGTTAGACAACTAAACTTGTTGGACGACTTCGAGGTTAGACGAATCGGTGGATTACAAAGGATGAGTGCTTCCTGGAGCAGATCGAGCAATGGGCGACTGGCGTCCGAGTAAAGAATGACTGTGAAATGAATGGACAGATGAATCGATTAATCGATCATAAGCTGGTCTTTCTAGATCAACTTTTTCAGGCTGTTTGAGACAGGATTGTCAAGTCAACACAGCAGCGAGGGGACTGGTGGTTATTTGAAGGAACGAAAGTACGCCAGTGCGGACGATAAAGAGTGTAAGTGGTTGGTCGGATAAGTGGTCTCACGAACGCGCGATGAATTCGGAGTCAAGGCCAAACCTGGGGATAGGAAGAAAAAAAAGAAGGAAAGGACGCGGTGGTGGGAAAAAGGGAGTGAAGTATGAAGTACTCTAAGGAATGGAAGGGAACTTGAACCTAAAATGGTACAAGGAAGGTACGCAGGTCGGTGACAAATGGAATTGATGAAATTGCGCGGCATGAAGTCAGTGGGAAAGGCAGATGAAAGGGACTAGTGTTTGCTTGGTACCTGACTTTGAACTGTGGGCCCTTACGGTACGTACCGAGCTAGACTAGGTTCCCCAAGAACGTCTGAAGCTGAATGGTCAGCCTAATGCCGCACTACGCTAGAGGTAGCATGCAAATTGTCGATCCTAGCGTCATTTCACCCAGGCGGTACCTGGTAGCGCCTCGTGCTTCAAAAAGGGGGTGTTACTATAATGCTACGCTCAACATTAAACGTTGAAACTATCAGATCTGCTAAGCTGTTAGCTATCATACATAGGTAGTATTCATTGAATTGTATGAAATGATGACATACATACCCTACCGAATACTTGAAATTGGATATTATCTACTCTACTGGTGACAGTGAAGTTAATATCTTGGATACTCGCATTGTCATTGTATCCATACTTCTATCCATACTGCTATCCATACTCAGTACTGCTATCCATACTACTATATACTAGTCGTACAACTTACATATCACGTCCATGGATACCATGTTATTCTTACTGGGCTTAGCAGCATCTAGGGATTCTAGGCACTGGGTACTATGTAACGACTATGTCTGTAGGTGACAAGGTCGGTATCGTCAATGCTCATAGTACATACCTAGAAAATATGGAAACTTATGGCAAAATCAACACACATGCACGTGGTAGCAACAGCACTAACTAATTGATGATTTTTTCTCGTATCCTCACAGCGTACGCACCCACCCAATGCCACTCATCTGCCAAGATAGAGAAGATAGGTACCTGAAGATCCAAGGGCTAAATAAAAATCCATAAATGGGGACCAAAATTGGTGAACGGCATAAACGCCGAAGTGACCCAGTAAGAAGGTGGCTATGAAAATAGACCAGGACCACCAGGTTGATCAATAGAGCCGTGTCTAACTAGATATGTAAAGAAAGCCTATTAGACCCAAGAAACAATGTGATATGCAAACGCTACCCTTTAGTAGGTAGGTGCATTGGTGATGATGTGGGGTTGCCGCGCTGGTATAGTGGTACTATACCAACTTCTCATTTACTATACCCTAGAATTTACGAACAATTATGTATTGTTCCCCCTTACCATGTAGCATTAGGAGTTTCTCGACTGTCCAGGAGTTCTCTTTTGATTTCTTTTCTTCTCTATCTATTTTCCTTTTTTTAATTACATAATTACATACGTCGTATATATTACATATAGAGTAAAGTTTATCTCTATTTCCCTCATCTATATTATCAACCAACATTGAAGGCTTCGAGTTCCTTTTATCCAATCCCTTTAATGTAACTGACACTATCTAGTATCCATTAAATACATTGTACAATACTAGGTACATTAGGTACCCATGGCACATGCACGTTGCCTGGGTACGTACTGCATAGTAAAACTTGTAGTGTGGGACCGCTTTTCCTTTGGGCTCGAGAATCAGACGAAGGCCCCTAGTCTGTTTCCGACCCCTGCAGTAAATCTGGTGCCTTGCAGATTCTCGTTTGGTTCCCGCCTTTCAAAGAAAAGCGACAGCCCAGGGGCTTCGAGGCGCGGGCCAAATAACAAACCTACCCCCCAGGTGCCCCCCCAGAACGGATGGCTAGGAAGCCAACGATTCGCTGTAATTGATTGTCTAGGTGATGCATTTGGCGGATTTTAGGTTCATGGTTCATAGCATTTGAAGTTTGTGATAGTTACCATTTAACGTTAAATAGCTAATACCGTTGGGATCCCCTGTATTGTAACTACACAGCCCTAGAGTGCCATGTGTCACTGATGTACCTAGGTTAGGGTAGTGAACGTGCTGTATTTAAATGTTTTCACCCCTGAAAGCCCTGAGAAGCCCCCTATGATGATGATGAATTCTGGGGTCAAAGTTCGATCTCATCAATCATCAATCATTGATTTCCCCTCCTCCCCCCTCCCTTGCTCCTCTTCATATCGAAACGTACTACTACTAGTAGTATAGTTACTTATTACACGGAAACGGAAACATCCAGAGCTTACGAGAAACAAACAAAACTTCAGATGAACATGCCAGCTTCGTTTCAGCCGCTCAGCCTGTTAGCCTCTTGGCCTGTCACCCTAAGGGTCCTCTAATCCTACAGAAGGCTTCTGTTGTCAGAAGCACCATGTGCATTGTGCAGCGTTCATTGGTGTTGGTTGGAGTGTGCGCTCAACCGTCCATGACGGTCCCTCATTCATCGTTCATCGCAAATCCACTTGGGCACAAAATCCAGATTTGATGATCGTGAATCTATATATCTGTATATCTGTATATCTGCTACCACGGAAGATTGTGAATTTTAATTTTATTTCGACTATGAGAGCCAACAATAAATGAAAAGTATGTCATCATTGGCTCGATCGAGTAGACACGGAAGCATGGCAGTGGATTACATCACCCAGTCAGTATCCGTACCTAGTACTAACTATCTCTCAAGCAGTTCCATTGCTCGCTGCATCGTCAAAGATGATCCATCATTTCTGGCATGGAATCGAATCGTGAATTAAGAAATCGTTGCCGCGCCGGTGGGTACATACTACAGGTATGTAAGTACGATGACTGCTGTCTCACCTTCGCAACTCGACCACAAGCTGCAGCGGCTTGCAGCACACTAAAAGTGAAACGTCTGGGCCGCCGCCACTTCGACTAAGCTTTTTACTTACGTACTACATCTATTAATACGTACATGAGACTACATGTATGGTGGCCATTGGTAGGTATGATATGTATGACATTCGAGGTTGTATGTATGTATGTTATTACCTGGTATCTCTGGATTCTGTACGACTAGCTACTGCTTACCCGCAATACTAATGTTTCCTCTTCATCCAGTTCGTCCGTCGAAGGGCCAGAGGGTCTAAATCGTGTCAGTAAGAAACAGCCATCAGCCGCCTGCCTCAAGGACTAAGGTATGTATGGTATGTATTGTATGTAGATAGAGTGAGTAACTTATGCGCATCATCAAAAGTTGGCCACACGATGGCACACATCCCATCGATACGCTAAAATGTTTTCGATCCCTTAATAGAGAGCGGATAAAGAGTCCACTCTCTTAAAGTCTTGCGATCTACTTTGCGCCTGACGTAATTTGGACATTACCGGAATGGAGCCCGCAGTGGTTCGATTTCATTAATATCGCAGAGCTTCACGTATTGTCAAGATTGAACCTCTAACACATTAACATTATCGTCAAAGTTCCAGAAGCTTGGTTATTTGAGATGCCTGCATCCTAATTTACCTAGATGACTATCTAAGTAAGGAGGTGTCTGTGTACTGGCCAAATCCTACTTTCCTATGAAAAGGTCGGCCATTGGTATATACACATGGGTATGCAACTTTGCATATCCAAGTCAAGCCCTATCTATCCTATACGCAGATTTCAAACAACATAATATATTAGATTAATTCTACTTTACGAAAGATAGCATACTACTAACATTCCCAACTAACAAGTTTCCTAGAGGTATACATGCTTGCTCACCTCGTTGGCAGGTATTCACACTCAAGACGACAACTTCGCAACCCCACCTCCTGAGTCGATATGTTACCGTCCTTCGACATGTAGTTAAAGAAAAACACCTTTGGTCGGATAAGTACCTATCCGCGCTGGTCTACATACGTCTCTACCTGCCTGGAAAAAAAAGCAGACGACCTGCCGTAGCCGAACACAACATTAAGTCCGAATACCTGGTAGAGAGATTTCTTGTCGACCTTCCTTCTTTCCTTCCGGCAGAAACACCACATATCCTTTCGAAGCTGAACGAACGAACAAGCCACATAATGCTACGAGCCTTTTCCTGAGCCTGTTCTGTATGACATGCCAATGTCTCAGAGATCGGCAGTGGCAGTGGCCTCCTATGTCACAGCGGCTGTCACCCCCTAAATCCCGGCCCTGAGACCTTGAAGAAAAAAAAAGAAAAGTACATTCCGTTTCAACGTGATACTGTCTCGGTGGATGCACGCGTTACTCTCATGTTACTAGTTTTTTTTTTAAGAGGAGTAGGTCAGGTAGGTATTCCAAGTCATCCCCCGTGCGCTCGAAGGAAGGAATGACTATGCCTGTCTCTCATGACAATAGGTGCTTACATACGCTGACTCCCAAGGAGAAACTTGAAGGAGAAACCTCATGGTTCAATGTCTGAAGCTTTTCAGCTCCCGTGTCTTCAGCGACTGATGTTGTCTCGCTGCTCTTTAGTTAAGCCCGGGCCCAGACATAGATTTTTCCTGTTGTCCGAACAACACTAGACCTTCCTCACCACGTAACAAATTCCCCCGCCACGGGTTCATTCCAGTAGACAGTATAGAATTCACTGCCATGTGTTGCTATCTTGTATGTATTTATCTATGTCGGTTGGCCGATAGGTATGTTTACTTCTACACAGCAAAGAATGCGCGTATCTACCTAGTAGGTAACACCTCAATCCCCAAAAGGCTGTGAGCACCTACACAATAACCAAAATACGGTAGGTTACTAGGTAAGTATTCTGTAACAAAAATCTCACTCCACGCTTATTCCAGAAACACGGCTTAGACCTCGGTTTGACTCCGGCCACAGCACAGACACCGGGTAACGTTGTCCCGGATAAATTGTAGCCGTCCGTGTGTGTGAGCCATGTCATTGTGTCCAAGACTGAGGCTTGAGTACTGTAGCTAACTATCGGTTGTGGGGTTATTATAGGTATGTAGGACTAGCATGTCGTCTCGTGTAGCCTTTGTAAGTTGTTTGTAAGTTTTTCTTCTTTTCTGTTTCCAAACTGGCTTCTACTGTCCTTAGGTCGATCTCGATATAGGAATATGTAACAGCGGACTGGAAAGCCTAGAATGGTGGTACGGGAAGGATCAACGGGTTCAGAGTCCCAGAGATCATCAACTAACAGGTAGGTAGGTATTTCTAGCAACGTTACAGAGAAGGAGCAGGCACCAAGTGGCTCACATGAGGATGGATGGCTTTCCGTACCCCATCATAGGTAGGTACCTAGTTTTCCATCTTGATATCCCATGGCAGTCCAAAAGATCTTCGTCTACCACAGCACACAGGTAGGTAAGACATTTCTCCTTCTCCAAACCTCGACGCGGCATGTGTCGCCTTGGTCAGGAATTTCAAATCACCAACCAACTTCGCAGTAAATCTAGATGGCGCCTTTCCGACTCGTTCCTACCTAGGTACCTACTCTATACAGAGGTTAGCTACATGGCTCAGATACAAGCAAGTATCACAAGATGTTGCTTACCAGGCACCTACATATGTAGTAAAGAGTAGGTAGGTACCCCGCAAAAAGCACAGTGTATTCAAGCGAGTAGGTAGCCGTCTCCTAGCGAGGTGGCGTCGTCGTGGCTGTTTGACGACAACCACATGTGCCCGTAGTTACGCCGCGTGCTTTGATCTTCCGTCGTATGTAGCAGATCTACACCTACACACACGGGATTTATAGTGTGTCGACCTGTATCTTGCCAGAGTGGGAAGTATATAATAACACGCCATGATCAACTGGTACACACCATACGTGGGTATGTTGTTAAAAGTGGCGAACAATTGACGAGGAGTCAGCTCATCTTAGTAGGTTAGTGCTTTTGATAGCAGAATCGTGCTCTCGAGTATGGAATGCCACGTGTGTTGTCCCGGATTACAGTCACGAGTTTTCTTAGTCACCGTACCTAGTAGTCAACAAAGGGTTCTACGGTGAATATACGTTACTACCAGGATAGTTATAACCTGATTGCTAACCTAGTCTCTTTGGAAAAGAGGTCGACAACAGCGGCAACGTAGTTCACCGCCCGTACCGAGATTCAAGACATCGCGGGTGCATATTCCACGTAAGCACTTTTAAGCTTCATTCTAGATGGGCAATTCGATAAGTACATAGCGTCACCTCCTCAGTGACCAGAATCTACCAGAGAGATAGGTGCCGAGATACATGTATGGGCATAGGGACACCTAGATTACCGAAGTACAACCAAGCAACGAACCTTCTTTTCGTGCTATATTCATCGCAATGGCTCGCTCGTGGGTTCAAGTCAGTCAAGTCAAGTAAAGTCGTGAGCTACAAAGCTCAGTCCCCTCACTCAAGCTACCTAGCTCACCCCACATCCGTGTATGTGTTCCCCATCCCCATCCCCATCCACCCCAACCCTAGATGCTGGAGAGATCTGTCTGTGGTAGATAGAGTAGACGGCTAGGTGCGTGTGTCTCTCGGCAGGCAAGCGAACGGCTAGGTATCAACTGCCGTGCGTAGGCGCATGTAGTGTAGTGAATGGCATTCGGAACATTACATTGCTTTTCTGTAGCTCTCTCTTGCCTGCTTGCTTGGCTGTTCACTTGACTGCATCGTCTATAAAAATGGGTATCTACATCCGAAGTGATCCGGGAAACAGCTTTCGCAGCGGGAAATAATAACCTGCCTGCATATCGCGCATGTTCAGGGGACCGACATAATTGTATTATCCGCGAATCAAGAAGCTATAGTGAGCAATATGAACGCCAAGATCCCCCGCGGATTTGTACATCATATCTGTGCTCTATAGAAGTGTAGTGACGTATGTTGAGGACTGATAATTTGTCGATTAGATACGTTTAAGTACGTAGGTGCAACATTCATATGTGACGGTCTGCCGACATCCAGGAAGGATAGGCACGTCTGTCTTCTGTAACGAATGTAGGAACCATACCTAGATTAAGCGCATAGGCACAGAGAATAAGACCGAGAATATGCCTACTGATGGGATACGATGAGAGTAATGATTGTAGTCAACTCAAGCTCATCTGACGTCTGATCTGCCCCGGCGCATTATTGATCAGGAGATTCCAAGGTGATATGTGATACCTTTTCACGCACCCAGCCGCCAACATTGTGTGCCAAAGTATATTGGTCTATATGATCCTGTAGTCGTGGAGAAGCGCAACGTGACGATTCTTCACGAGACTATTGGGTACTTGAGTCGAAACATTCATTTAACTGTATTTCTTGTTTATTTACACTGATCCGGCGCGCCTAAGTCTTCTCCCCAATCAAAAATGCCTCTCTTATGAGGTTGGCGCATCAGCTTGGGCTTGTGCTTGTGCTTGGACTGAAGGCGGATCTATAGCTTTGCCGAAGGGCGGTTGGCCGCGATCTCTTAAAATGGGATAATGAGCGTAGATCTGCTTTGTCCGAAGGTGGACGGGTGTCTGGCCCTTAAGAGCATCTGGGATGGTCTTCTCGAGTTTCTGTTAACGCTAGTTAGCTAAACAATTCCTTATACTTGAGGTATAAACCTAGATGGCATACTAAGTTGTCATATACACATCTGCTGAGCTTCCACTCGTCCTTCCTGCACTGCCACATCTGGTGGTTGTTGTTGTCGAGGCACTGCCAATGCTTGCGAAAATCCTCTAGACAGTGTTTGTTAAGGTCGTCGATGACACTGGCGGCGCATCGGGTGACTCTGCGGCCTTCCTTTAGGCACTCAAACTCGCCCTTGCCGGGGTTCTCGGTCTTGCACTGCATGAAATCATCATTGTAGGGGCGGCACCGGGCGCCGATAAAGAAGGAAGCGGAGAGTAGAGGTGCGGAGGTAGATCCGACTTCCTTGACGGAAGGAATAGAGTCGGGGAGGGGAGTGGTGTCGATGAGAATTCGATCGTTGAAGCTATATATTGGGTAAGTAACCTTGAATTTCGAAGACACCAGAGCTTATGAGGCCATTGATGCTGTATCTATCTCGTAAGAAAAAGCTGGTTGAAGAAACGTACACTGGCTTCCGGCCCGCCATGGCTGCGGTATAAATGAGGCTGTCAGAGGGGTGTGGTTCGCAGATCGAGCAAGCTCCGGAAATGGAGTAGGTAAGTTTATCTACATATGTAGTATGTCAAATAGTAGCATTGAGGTATGCGCCTAGGTTAGATAGTAGATACGGGATCCGTAGTTGAACAAAATGACGGAAGAACTGGGGGGAAACTTTTGGTGGTTACCAAATTGAAAACGCTGATTGGCTTTAGCCACATGAGGCTGACTTCAAGCATTTGAAGTTCTAAGAACTTGGAGCTAAGCTAAATACATAAAGTACATATGTACATAAGTATGTACTACATGTAGGTATGTACGTAAACGGGGGAATTTGAAGCTCAAAGATTACATTGGCTCAACTTTTATTCAATGTTGTTTTCGTGATGGAATTTTGTACTTGTACAACTTACCTAGTACATCTTATTTACCCATACAACACTTGCATGTGGGCGAACATCGACATACTCACACAACCTCGAGTGTATTCATACCAACAAAAATATTGTTGTTGTCGCGTTAATTAGCTACTCTTGAACACGGTTGATTTATCCCCCACGTCGAACATCGATAATATTTTTTGATCAAAATCGCCATGAGCTAAGACCCGAAATCGTCCTCCGCAACCATAATACACACAACACCGGATGCCAACTCGGCTTTCACCTTGACAAGATACAGAACTTCCGTCGCAAAGTCAACAACTCTTATTCCCTTCCAACAAACAACACCACCTTAATTATTCCGTATCATGTCATTGTTCGGATCGCGAACCACGGGGTTTGGGGCCCCTGCAAACAATGCCGCTGCCCCAAGTAGCTCTCTGAATTGGGGCCAGCCTCAGAACCAGTCCCAACCTCAGAATCAGCAACCACTCGGCGGATCCATTTTGGGCGGAAGTATGCTGGGCCAGCCACAACAATCCAATGCTTTTGGCGGAAGCCTACTGGGTATCTCTCAGTCCCAGCAACAACAGCCGCAACCGCAACAACAGCAACCTGGTGCTTCCAGTTTTATGAATGCGAGTCAGGCACCGCAGCGTTCCAGCTTAATCTGGGAACCTGGCCGTGAATCACTAAGTAAGTAGTAAAGCTTCCATATATTTACTCTAGTATCTCCCTATGCCCTAGGGACACGTTGATGGCTGACCATTTCCCTCACAGTCCACAAGCCCGTCACGGAACAGATTGAGGGAATGCTTGCGAAATGGCACCCAGAGCACCCCAACACGGTATTCAAGTACTACTTTTATAACAAAGTCGATCAGGCTCGCATTCCCTTCTACCAGCCCTCTCCTGCAGAAGACCCCCGAGAATGGGAACAGGCTGTTCACGATAAGCCCGGTCCTGGCTATATGCCCGCCCTAGCGACTGGCTTCAAGGCAATTAGCGAGCGCCTCACCATGGAGAAGTCGGTATTAGGAAACTTTAGGAAGGCCTTACATGCCATAAATTCGAGCCTGGATGCAATTCTCTCACAGAATGACCTGCAGACTAGCGTGCGCACGCTTAACGCTCGTCGCAAACACGCATTATTACGCCAACGATGTCTCGCGCTAGCGACCAAGGTTCAAGTACTTCGCAACCGCGGGTACTCTCTTGGCAAAGAAGAAGATGAGTTGAAGACGAAATTAGAGACCCTCGACCGAACCGTGACCGACCCGGCACTCAGCGCAAGAACAGAAGAGCTATGGAGCCGTCTAATCTCTATGAGGGAATATGCCGATCATATTCAGAGTGAGGTTCATCGTCATGGTGCAGAGGCTCAGGAAGGCATAGGAGAGGAGAACGAGGCACAGGCCAGGGAGGCAAGTTTTAAACCCATGCAAACCTCTTTGTTACAAGGTGAACTAACATCCGGTAATCCTTAGATCTTGGACAAGTTTGACAAGCAACTACAATATCTCAAGACCCAACTTGAGCAGACTAAGAAGGACTATGACGAGTGGATTGAGGCGAACCCACCCCCAAAGAAGTAAACGACTATTCACAAGGAAGAATTACATGGAGGGCTAGCAGTGATACCACATTGATGAAGGGGGGCTTTTTATTAATGGGGGCCTGGCTCCTGGTGGCTAGAACTTGGATGGTGATTTGTACAAATAGGAGCCGGTCATAGGAAACCACATAAAAGCCCGGCGTTTAGGGTTGTCTGATTCTCCTGATATAGTCTAGAGAGGAATCTCTAGCTTGGGTTTCCCATTGGGTTTCCCAACTACTCTTTGTGCGATTTACGAATCTCTAAAGTCTCCGACGTAATGGAAGTAGTGATATGACATTATGATTCGAGGGTTCGCAAGCCAATCCATAATCCCTTATAATATATAGGATCATGAACCCCAAAGCCCTCGCCCATCTATACATGCATTATCCACCTGAAGGGTATCGCGCCATTGTATTATCCGTGCACCGTCCCTCTCTAAGCTTTTCCTGGTCATCTAACGCAATGACCTGTAGCTATTTTTATAGGAGAGTCGTTATGACATGCTACTATTGTCCGACCTCAATGACCTTACTTGGTAGTCATAGTCATACCCAAAAGCCATATGCCTAGTTTCATAATCGTAAAACGGAGATTTGCGCGCGCGCGCTCTAAGTTACCTAAGTGAGGTAACTTAGAATACACTTGACACAGCATCGATCGCGAACGGGGCTATATGGGAGAAAAACGTTAGCAAACAGAGCATTCGTCATGTAAAATCCAATTACGGGAACATACCGAAGTAGAGTATAACGGCAGTAGCAAGGAAGCGCTGGACGGTGGCGGTAGCTATGGCCTCGTGCTCCTCGAGCTCTTCCTTAGAAAACTGAGGTGGTGCGACTATTGTGCGGTTTATAGATAAGCAATTGAAGCCAAAATCAAACAGAGGGGATCATGGGAAGTCTTCACTCACATCCTCCAAACATTTTGGCTTATTTCGTTTTAGTAGAATCTGGTGCTGGTTATTTGTTGCGATGTGCAAGTCGTTGGTAGCTAAGATGCAAAGGAGCAAGTTTCGTCACTATGTACAAATTTACGATGTCACCAAATTTTTATTCAAGTTTTTTAGAACTTTTTTTCTGTTTGGTGACGACTGACAAGCAGCTGAAAAAAGAAACGTCTCCACACTTTTTGAGCCGCTTCTTAATTGTTAGGTAACTACCGTGTAACTACCCTGGTTATATAGCATTAGCTCTAAGCGGGGGGTTAAAGTGCGGGTTACATGGCAGTGAACAGCCCTAGGGCGATTTGTTAGGTGTTGAGGGACATCGGGTTACACATTACTTGGTATGGACAGCACCTGCAGCAAATCTTTATCATCTGAGTATCATACCTAACCTAGGTCACATCTGTACAATACAATTGAGGTTCAATACTAGGTATTGTACAATGAATACATACATAATGTACTAACACGGTACCTATCATTAGGTAACCTGCATGTTGCCATGTGGTTACACTTAATCCAGGGACCCCTAAAGGCTAAAGATCAATTGGAAAGTCCGAAGAGAATTAGAACGTTATCGGTGAAGTCCTTTCCCGAAAAGACCCGGATTTCTGTTATCTTTGACATGATTGCATGATTGCATGATTGTCTTTACTGTTTGTACTAATAACTAGCCCGATGACGGCCATTCTTTCTAGTGGGCAGTTACTTAAATAAAATGAAAATACCTATCTCGGCTCTGGGAAGTTAGGTTATTAGTAGTACATATACATAGCTAAAGCTACCTTTGTAGAACTTTGACTTTCCTATTACTTACTTTCCATCTTACCCTCTTTATCACCTCGGCCTTCCTACTAAAGTGAGGTATTTCAGGTTGAGTTCGTACGAAGAATCGGAACCATTCCTCCGTAGGTTACAATTGTTGATCGATTGTTGATCAATTAGACTTATACAGCCAACCTGCATAAGAATTTGAACCCCAAACCTCCCCCAAACCAGCATGACTGCATAAATTGTACCCAGATACTATACAGCTTATTCGCCTCCAACACTTCTGTGGCGTAGGGGGGAGTTCCTCGCCGGTAAACATGGCTCATCTCACGAAGATCCTACCTCGTTGTCTAGGCCAATCAGCTGCCCAGCTGCGAGTTTCATCCTTAGTGAGCTCAAGACTACACCGTCCAGTTCCATGGATATGCCATAGATGTGCCACCAATAAGGCGGGTACCGCAACTCCGGGGCGGAGATCATTCACAACCACCGACCCAGCACAAGCGACACAAGCAACACCGGCAACGAATAATGCTTACAGATCTCATTATGCCGATCTCGACACTTTTCCCCGCCGGCACATCGGCCCCGATGAGGCCGATACGGCTGCCATGCTGAAAGCCTTATCTCCACCCGTCGAGAATCTAGATGAATTTGTCAGACAAGTTATTCCCCCTGATATATTAACACAGAGGTACCTGGATATTCCCCCACACGAAGGCGCACGAGGCGAATCGAGCTTAAAGGAGAAAGTGAAGGAGTACCAATCCAACATCACTGTGAAGAAAAGTTTCCTCGGCCAAGGATACTATGGAACGCATACGCCTGCCGTTATTCAGAGGAATGTCCTCGAGAACCCTGCCTGGTATACGAGTTACACTCCTTACCAACCAGAAATCAGCCAAGGCCGCTTAGAGTCCCTAGTGAACTTCCAAACCGTGGTCACAGATCTGACGGCACTTCCCATAGCCAATGCTAGTCTTCTGGACGAAGGCACTGCTGCTGCCGAAGCAATGACTCTCTCAATGAATACGTTGTCCACCTCTAGGGCTAAGAGAGAAGGGAAAACCTACGTTGCTTCTACATCCCTCCACCCACAAACCATCTCGGTCTTGCGTGGGCGCGCAGATGGGTTTGGTATTAAGATCTTAGAGCTAGACCTATCTAAGGAGGAGGCATATGCAGAAATCGAAAAGCTCGGCGAAGATTTGGTTGGCGTCATGGTTCAATACCCTGACACCTATGGTCACGTGAACAATTATGAACCCCTGGCTGAACTGGTGCATAAGCAGGACGCACTTCTCAGCGTTGCTACGGACCTTCTGGCCCTTACCATGCTTAAACCTCCTGGAGAATGGGGTGCTGATATCGCGTTTGGAAGTGCGCAAAGATTTGGTGTGCCAATGGGATTCGGAGGCCCACATGCTGCCTTTTTCGCCGTCCAAGACAAGCACAAGAGAAAGATGCCCGGACGATTAGTTGGTCTCTCTAAAGATCGTCTAGGCGGCAAAGCATACCGGTTGGCTCTCCAAACGCGAGAACAGCACATTCGAAGAGAAAAGGCGACGAGCAATGTGTGCACATCTCAAGCACTGTTGGCCAACATGAATGCTCTCTACGCAATCTACCACGGACCAGAGGGTCTTAAAGCGATCGCTGAACGAGTTATCCGTGGAGCCAGGGTTATTCAGTCTCTCGCTGAAGATCACGGGTTCTCTACACAGAGGAGCAAGGGAACTGGTGACGGAAGTGTTTTGTTCGATACAGTCATCATTGATGTTGGTTCCAATGACAAGCAAAACCAATGTGTGCAAATAGCACAGGAGCACGGGATGTATATTCGCCAAGTAGGCGACCAGCAGGTTGGTATATCTATTGATGAAACCACATCTTTGGGCAACTTGATCAAGGTTTTCCAAGTGCTTGCAAAAACCGTCGATCATGCGTATCCTTACGAAGTTGCCGAAGGGCACGTCCGTGAGACACTCCAGAAACAGGCGGATTCATTGGAGATCCCGGAAGCTTTTAGACGTACCTCTAGCTTCCTGACCCATCCCGTCTTCAACACACACCACTCCGAGACAGAGTTGCTGCGATATATCTACCATTTGCAATCCAAAGACTTGTCCCTTGTTCACTCTATGATTCCACTAGGTTCATGTACTATGAAGCTTAACGGAACTACAGAAATGGCACTCATTACTCTGCCCGAATTCTCTCAGATCCACCCATACACGCCACCAGCGATGGTGCCTGGCTACACTAGCCTATTGGATATGTTCAAGCAACAATTACAAGGAATAACGGGAATGGACGCAGTCTCTCTACAACCTAATTCAGGGGCTCAGGGTGAATTTGCCGGGCTACGAGCGATCCGGGAATACCATAAAGCACATGGAAATGGGGGGAAGAAACGAGATATTTGCCTCATTCCTGTGTCTGCGCACGGAACAAACCCTGCATCTGCATCCATGGCCGGCATGCGTGTGGTTCCGATTAAGTGCGATACAACTACCGGCAATCTCGACCTGACAGATCTCGAGGCAAAGTGCGAGAAATACAAGGACGAACTCGGAGCTATCATGGTAACTTACCCTAGCACCTTTGGTGTGTTCGAGCCCGAGATCAAAAAGGTGTGCGAGACTGTTCACGCACATGGCGGACTCGTCTATATGGATGGCGCAAATATGAATGCCCAAATCGGACTCTGCTCGCCTGGAGAAATCGGTGCCGATGTGTGCCATTTAAATCTTCACAAGACTTTTTGTATTCCCCACGGTGGAGGCGGACCTGGTGTAGGCCCCATTTGTGTGAAGCAGCATCTTGAGCCCTTCCTACCTCGTGACCCCAATCCCGCGGGCAAGACAGCCACCGGAGGTTACGCAGTGAGCAGTGCAAACTTTGGCAGTGCTAGCATCAACCTCATCAGCTGGGCTTACAACACTCTAATGGGTTAGTATTTCTGTCCACATTCACCCCTTTCCCCTTTTTCTTCCTTGTTGCAAAAAATGAGCTAACAAGTCGCATAGGATCTGAGGGCCTTACCCGCGCCACTAAGATCACTCTTCTCAATGCCAACTACATCCTTTCTCGCCTCAAGCCCCACTACAAGATTTTGTATGTGAACGACCATGGACGGTGTGCCCACGAGTTTATCCTCGATGCCCGGCCCTTCAACAAATCCGCTGGCATTGAAGCTATCGACATCGCCAAGCGCCTACAAGACTACGGTTTCCACGCACCGACGATGAGCTGGCCCGTCGCCAATACGTTGATGATCGAGCCGACAGAAAGCGAGAGCAAGGAGGAACTTGATCGCTTCATCGATGCATTGATCAGCATCCGTGAAGAGATTCGCGAGGTTGAAGAAGGCAAGGCTCCGCGCCAGGGTAACGTCCTCAAGATGGCGCCGCACACGATGCAAGACTTGATCGTTGGCGATGGTGACAAGGGTGGTAAATGGGAACGGGTTTACTCGCGAGAGAAAGCCGCGTACCCGTTGCCGTGGCTTAGGGAGAAGAAGTTCTGGCCTACTGTTACGAGGATCAATGATAGTAAGTTGACACATCCCCGAACTTTACGTATATGCGGTAACTAACTGTCAAAAGCCTACGGCGATCTGAACCTCTTTTGCACATGCCCACCAGTCGAAGATACGACTTAAGATACTTGCTTTTACCCACAAAAGAAATGTCCCCCTTTTTTTCAACGCAGCGAATAGGTATATCCCGCTTCAACATTAAGGAAAACTAACTCATGGCGTACCGGATACAATGGGAGGGGTTCTCAACAACAACAACTATAATCACGACGACGATAAATCATGATTAGAACAGAGGCAGCATTGGAGTTTCATCAACTCCCTTAGAATAAAGGCGTTTTTTTGTTGATGCTTTAAAAGAGAGAAGGGGGGGGGGGGGGGAAGAGGTGGCCGTTTCAACATTCAGCATTACGGCCTACCTACCTATTATGAGGTATCAATCACACCATATTCAACTAGACCTGTTGTGTATAGCTGGCTGGCCCCCTTAACTGGGCTGGGTTTCGGATGATGGATGGATGATCATCGGATTATAAAGGAGTAAGCAGTCAAGTTAGGTACCTACTACCTAAATACACAGGGAAATACTAAAAGTCGGCGCGGTGAATTGTCGTTCGTACTTTCATAGGTAGAAATAAGTATGTAGATACTTAGATATGAATATACGTACCAGACGCTACATGTCTACATACATACCTACATAAGCACCATTTCATCTGAACGGATAAAGTTCACCACCTACCTAGGTACCTGGTAATTAAGTGCCTTCTTGATTAGCAGTACAGTCGAAAGACGAAAGATCGTTTTCTTATTCCTACCAAAAGAAGGAGGAGATGAAAAGTTTAGCCGTGATACGTGTGTCAAATAAATGTTCGAGTCAGGGGTAGTCAGGGGTAATCAGGGGCAGCTGGATTACCGAGACGGCTAATGGGGATTCAATTCTATGTACTTAGTACCTAGGAACGAAAGGAAGCACTGTACTGACTTCTATGTAACGACATCAGCGGTCGACCTCGGACAAAGCGACGTTGGATACTTAGGTATTAGGTACTGATCCATTCGACATAGGTAGGTACTATTAATGGTGTTGATCGTTGATCTTTAATAACGCACTTACTTACTTACTACCTACTGTAGGTACCTACCTACTCGTTTTCGGACGCATACATGCATGGGCAGCCTCGAGGAGCTGCGAGCACGAGGCCGGCGTTCTAAGACGGACTCTACTCTAACCTATGTGTCTGTCCTGGTCACACGTCGACGCTTAAGAAAGACAGCGTCGCCGCCAGAGGTGTAGACGTAGGTAGATGCATTTGAATCTGCTGTTGCCCGTGTCCAAGCCTGCCTAGGTAGGTAGGTAGGTTGGGGTGTTTCCCTTGAACTCCGGATTCCTACGCGGTGCGATGCCAGGCTGGAGGAGCCATTCGAAAATGTAAGGTACCTACCTACCTACACAATCTCCCTCTTTTGTTTATTTTTTTTATCCTGGCTCGGTGTCTCCTCTGAACTTTGGGGACAGCCGGCATATTCGACCTGGACCTCCACTCAATGGCTGTTGCCCGCTTTGTAAAACGGGGACGCCTTTACGAGCTGGGCCATGTCGCCTCGGGCCTCGCTGTACGGATGTATCAATCAAGCTTGGATACTTTAATATGGCCGTGGTTTCTAGGCGGTGTTGCTCTTGGTGAGGAAGGCTGGATTCTTCGCATATAGTAGAGGTGATGGTGATCTCTGAAGCCACAGTCTCGATCTCTTCTGGGGGGAGGGGGGTTCCTGGGCCCCTTCGCTATTGGTAAGTGATGGCTCGCGTGTTGTGACTACCGCAATAGGAAGAGCTGCCTCTTGTACATGCTCGACTTTTCCATCAGATGCAAATGGCGTCACAAGCTACATGTATGATATCAAGGAAGAGTAGGGTAGCGAGAGTAGGATACTCTCCTTTGGACTGGGATAGATTGTCATTTCCCCTATTTCCTCAAGTTGATCCGAAATCTCTACAACCCGAGTTTTAAGCCGCATGTTATATCTCTCGGCGGTTTCATCGAACTGAGTCCCACGAAACGCCGGCAATCGCCAGTGGGGTTCCAATTTCTCATGGCATCTTGGCGTGTGAACTTTCTTATCCCTACTTAACTAATACTATCTAAGCATGAAATCATCAAGGAGCCAATAAGTGTCCGTGCTGGAACGTAAAACTCTAGGTAACGGTCCAGTAGACATAGTTACTCTGCTCGTAGCAATAAAGAAGTTGAATCTTGGCATGAATCTTTGCGTTTGAGTAATACGGCGCCTAAAGCCCTGTCGTAGCTGTTGTCGCTGCTGTATGCCTCCTCTGACAACTGGATGACCACAAGCTGCATTATCCGGGTCAAAGGAATCTTCTTTGCCACACGGTAAAGAAACATAGCTGCTTCCCGATACCTTGCGACCTTATCATGTTCAGAAAATGGGCCTTCCAACTCGAGCTGGTATCGCTACAATTAGGTATGATATCGATGAGAGCACGAATATCTCTCATTTGATGGATATGATGAATGCCACCGACAAGTTCCTCTAGTGGAGTATATATTCGATACTTGACCCAGGAATCAATTAGCTTTAGTAGTTTCCTCGCCCTATCGAGCAGCTCATCTGATGTAGGCAAAAGCTCGTTATTTAAAGAGCTCATCTTAGCTTGAGTCGTGCTTGAAGTAGCCCAAGGCTATTTTAAGAGCCTTGCGGATGGATTGCCCTAGTATATCATTGCGGGCTGGAACAAAACGTAAATGATGACGGCCCATCGTGAACACATACGAACAGTGAACTTACACACGGCAACGAAATATCATCTTGATGTATTTACCTCTTCAACCGGTACCTGGCTTGCTAGTTGATAGCTAAACGAATAGGGCCCCTAACGTGGCACTAGTACAATTTTAGCAAAGCAAATATGAAGCCAAACGTGATGAAGAGCATACAATGGCTTGTGATAGTTGCAAGAATAATAAGCTGATCCGGCGTTGGAGGCCGTCTCGCTAGCGCGCACCCCCTTCATATCTAGATTGGTAGTGTCGCCGCCTGCTAGTGTGGATGTAGGCATAGAGACCGAGATGATGAGGGGAATACTGCTCAACTACTTACCCTTTCCATGATCTGATAAAAGTTCACTCTTAACGCGGATGATATGATTCTTAAGAAAATGATACTGAGGCAGATAAAGCCCAACCGACATCGATATAAGCATGCGATTAAAGCTCACCAGCCTAGGCCAAAATAGAATTGGGTGATTGAAGATCGTGGTGATCTGCAATGAGCCGCATCTGGGTGGGTGGCCGATCAACAATCGTCAACTCTAGGGCCGTTCGCGGATGACGATCGATCATATATTAGTTGCGACAATTGCACATCGTAGATTTGTGTATGTACTTGTGTAGATCTAGAGTCGACCACCTTCCTAACAACGACGTCGCTATCGCGGCGACAGCCGCAAATTCCATTCATGGAAAATGCCCGATTCTAATCGTCTTCCACGCGTCGGGCAATTTTACTCATGCGACAACCTTGCGACAAGCAAGCAAAACTGCGTCATCAATGGAAAGTCCTCAATAATTTCCTTTTGCGTGTTAGCAGGTTTAGTAGACTACATGCCATGAAGGGTTAGAAACCACACTTGTCTCACAGGGGTTATCATGTGTTCGAGGCCATTCGCATTTAAGTGAGTGGTGCCATTCGGCAAAAACCACAGACAATGCCATGGCTGGAGCAACATTAAAGGTCAACCTAGAGGAGACTTTGAAAAATCAAAGCATTAACTAATAGTAGCCTACGTAGGTATGTAGTTATGTAAACTTGTAAAGCAAGGAAAGTAATAATGCCTAGGCACCCTATAGTTTCTAGTCTATAGGACATAACATATAGGTGCCTAGGCTTATCAGATGAATGGTGCGACATTCCGCAAGGGTTCCGAGGCTCCAGATTTGCCTCGAGGAAAATAGGGCAATAAAGGGTTCGAATAGTTAGCCCAATAATGCCCGGCTTGCGCCATTTTCGGCGCCGAGGGAGGTCAAGAATTGATGGCAGCCGCTGGCTTCGCTTCGACAATAGTTGTGTCGGTGAGTATTACACGGAAAATGCCTACGTACTGTAAGTTTCCGACCCACCGGAAGCACTTCGTGGAGCATCGTGATAGGATTATTGAGCACCTACCTAGGTACCTACCTACATAGGAGTCGATGATAATAGCAAACGTGGTGCGTTATCGTTCGTGACACATGGCGACATCTGGATTTGCCAACTCCACGAGCAAACGAGTTTTCCGTACTATGGTACATTGGGTACCTGTTTTCTTCCCTTACTGTTTCCACATCGATGGTGTTGAAGTTGCTCGCATTTATATTGGATATCTCTTTTCTTCTTCTTTTTTCCTCCGTACCAATATAGGGATTGCCATTAATATTTCCATGTTGAGCATCGGACCTTTTTAGGGTGTTTAATAGATCTGGCAAGCGGCCAAGAAAAGGTTAATAATGGACAGAGACAGATGATGAGAAGAGTGAAAGAGTGATGGTGTGGTATTTTCAAATTGGTACAAATGTCTTTAGGGCCTTTAGGGCCATTTACTGGCATTTAGACCTTTTAGGGTAGATCTTCTCCGCAAAATCTTGTGGGATTACTAGGGCCTACCAGTAAAAACAACCTTTCTCAACGAGTCAACCGCGCAGCTGCCGTGTCGTTCCTTGCATTGGCTTGCAGACCTGACAAAGTACCCTAGGTACCTAGGTATGTAGTGTACTAGGTAGCGTTGTAAGGTGGAAGCCACTCGGACCAATCTGGGGGAAATTTGAAATTTTTAGCAAATGCAATCGATATCTCATTTCGGTCTAGTCAGGAACGAAAACCCAAACCTGCAGGAACAATGCAGATGTGACCAATCAAGTAGCATGCTTTGTATAAACCCCTGGCAGATAGAAATTATGCAATCTCCAGTTGTGTGTGGCACCTACCTTTCTGCCTTTACGTCGTATACATTTCATTATGTATCTAATATGCATTTGTTTGATGAAGGATGTAACGAAGACTGTGAAATGCATCATGATACTTGTATCCAAGAACCCCTATGTGCATTTCATGAGGGTTTGTTGTTAGATGCCTAGGTGCAGACCTAGGTACAATACAGACCTGGGTAGGCAGTGAAGGAAGAGGCTGTAGAATGTACAGTCATCATCAGAGGATCGCCTCATTAAAAATTGAACAATACTATGTAACCTTGGTTCCTAGTGTACATAGTAGGTAGGTCTAGTATTTTGAATCGAAGATGAAAGAATAGCAACAAGCTAAATCGGGCACTGACATCGATGATTCCTACTCCTTTCGGTGGCCAACAAAGCGACGGCGCGACGCTTGGCTGCTGGGTTGGGTAGGTACTTGGTTACCCAGCTAGTTTAGCATAAGGATCCATGTCTGACTTGTCCAATGCCTGTACCACTATAATCTCCGTTGCCCTGTGCAATCGGAGGATGCAAGCCGCCAGCATCACGGACAGGATCCGGGGGTACGTATATTTGTCAAGGGACACACAAGATACAATATATATCAACTCATTGTCTCGATAGATGAAATCGGAGTTTCCTAGTTCTAGTTACATCTAGATCCCTTTCAAGATATTTTTTTATATGTTCAAGTTCTTTGTATTAATACACGTGTGATGATTTGATCTTTACATAAGTCTTAAAGAGTGAGTGACCATATGTACATACCAGTGGACCGTTGGGCGCGTTGATACACAAGGTTTTATGTACATGTACGTAAAATAAGCGAATAATGGAGATCGACCGGTATTTCTGATTGGACCATATTGACGCCTTTGTTAGTTTTGTGAGTTTTGTCGGCTTGGGAGACAAGGCCCCTAGCAGACTAGCGCAGAAAATAGATGCAACGCTAATCTCTACCATGCTTTGATACCCCATCTCGCCATTTGCACAACAAGGGTCCCTAGAGCTGATCGTGGCTTCTTACCCACTCCCCCTCTGACTGCTCTGACACGCCCTTTTTCCCTCACTCCTTCATTAAACCAGCCTGATACCCTCACACACTCTTTTTTTCTTATACTTACTTTCCCCTTACATACACACTCACTTCTTCACCTCACACCTCACCTTCACAGGGCTTCGTTGGCAGAGTCCATTTTACGATATTACGAAGAAAGACAAAGTCTTCCAGACCTTGAGTACCGCGTATTCAAACTACACATTCCTTAACAACACAATATCATCACTTCGATATCTGTATCTACGCATTTATCACGAGTCACGCACTGAAGATTCGAGAAAAGGATATCAAGAATTGAAAGATCGTTGGAAAGTGATTATCACACTGCAATATTACCTTTGCGACAGCATATCGTCGCATACCAATTCATAAACAATACGACTGCCTAGCATCTACTAGTAGATACTACCTACGCGCAACAGCCAAAATGCAGCTGTCAACTATTGTCGCGACTGCGCTTCTGCCTTTGCTGGCAGCTGCGGCGGATCCCGCTTCTACCACCACATCAACCATGACGATGACTAAGTATGTCACCATCTCGAAAGTGTCTCTTACTACGAGCACCTATAGCGCAAACTCGACCACGTTCTACGCTCCCACTGGCACTGGCGCTGGCACCATTTCATCGTCCATTTTCAACACACCAACTACGACGACTGGTGCTGACGGCACTCCCACGACTGTTGCGCCAACTGTCAGCCCTACCATTGATAACAACAGTGGTGCCGCTCTCAGTTCTGTCAATGTCGCGCTTGCTGGACTTGCTGGTTTGGTCATCGCGGCTTTCATGTAAGCCTGCCTCCCGGCCTATCTTATGACCGTGAGAAGACGGCAAGTCCGTGATGATGAGGAAACCCTTTTAAACGCCTACTTGAACACTTCACTACGAATGTTTTCTACTTCCTTTCTTTTGTCAAAACCCAGCACTATCCGTCTTGAACGCTGTCCGGCTACCATTACATGCGACGAGACGAATGATACACGACATTACCGACAACAACCAATTATCCAACCCCAAACTTTTTAAGGAATCATTTCCGGGGCTTTCGCATACTACTTGGTTGCGATCGCCCATAAATGGCGCCACTATTTCTATCTTGCCACAAAACATTTCCCCTCGACCTCTATTCTGGTGTTGAGTGTTTGGTGCCATACTATTTTCGTCGCCTACGGTTAATGTGTCAATAACCCAACCGATAGTGCATCCCCCCAGCAAAGCATATCACATGCAGCCGATCAAGTTCTTTCCCCTTATTCCCTCTACTCAGGCTGGCGAACTTGCGAACCCTCAAGGATCTGAAATTACTCTTCTTCTGTCGCATACTCTTTTACCACATCATCATATTCCGATACCCCATATCATCCTTGAGGCTGGCCATAGTTCCGCGAAATCGAATATTCCCATCTTTCAATGGGACATGGGGCGAGAACGAGAGGATCTGTACTCTGTAGAGTGCGTTGCTGGCTGGATTTTATCTTCACTTCGAATCAACCCCCTTTTTTTTTCTGCATCTATCGCGGAGTTCGGTAATGAGCAACGAGATTAGACCCTGCGGAGGCATCTTCATACCCTTTGATTTTTTTTCTTTTTCTTTTCTTCTGCCTTCGCATTTGTGTTGAGATACCCCCTTGTTGAGCTCTTCGTCGAGTGAGGACGATTGGAGGTGGAATTGTGGGAAAGACAACAACCTATTCACCCAAAACATTTGTCGTGTATTCACCTTATGTGTGATGCCTGCTGGTCTTTGACCTTTTATTCAGTCTTGAGCTTCTGTCAAGTTGCTTCAGGATTCCCTCCAGTGCTTGGAATAGGGACGAGTGACTTAGTTGTGTTCCGCAAGGAAGATTTCTACGAGATAGCTCAATTGAATCGTTGAACTTGTGAACTTGCAACTCTTGTTAATATGCGTTCAAGTTATTGGACCTTGAGTGACGGAAAGAAATGTAATACACTACACATTCTTCAGAATGGGCATGTACCTAGTTTGAATGCTTCCCGCACCAAATGCGTGATTCCCGAATACATACTTCCCTAATACTTTGAACCTGTTAATTGGTTTCCCTATAACTTGACTACCTACGTGCGTAGATTTATGTTCCTCAAAGTGTTATACCTCATTCTTCTCCATTAATAGGTATGAATGTTGGCACGTAAATACATATCAAGTCTTATTCTTTTAGACCGGATCAAAATATCAAATTCACTCCTTGATACTTCCTTTGGGCAATAAGAACTGGGTCCTGATTCCAACACTCCGCTATTCGAAATAATAACTGGAAATCCTTTGTACTAAACGAAGAGCGACGCAAAAGTGATATTGCCTTTACTTGGTAGTGTGTAGTGAGTGAAGATCTTTACGAGAGAGGCTCTTGGCTTGCCTAAATATAGACACGTAGATTGTCATTTTACCACCTAAGGAAAAGCCGTGGGTGGGATTATTAGGTAGACACCGGGCCACAAATATGTAGTTTTAGGTAGGAGGTCGATGATCTCTAGGGCTACTTCGTTCATGGGCCATGTTCTGTCGATCCGCCAGCCTCGGATTCGTCTTTGGAAGAGGACAATTCAGGAACCTTCGGTAAAGCTGGCCGAGAGCTCAGCTAAAGAAGGGCATAATACAACCAAAGCCTGCCTACCCAGCCGTTGGTGTTCTTTGGCGTTGGATCGATCAATAGCCACTCCGTACATATAATGTAGTATCAGTGACTGGAGTGACCAACTGGCAATTGATACCAGCTGGCCATTAGAGGTAGTAAGCCTTCCCCGGTTCTAACCGACAGCTCGGGTCTTCAATGGTGAGCCAATGGCGGGGCACTAAAAAAGTTGGGGAATTACAATTGGAATGGCTCTGATAAGCCTACATTTGCTTTGATAAGAATAAGAATAATCTTTGGGCTAACCTAGAAAGGTTGAAAGTCAATTGTCGTGCTATCGATAAATTTATTATCAATCAACGGCTCATTAGAGAAAGACAACTTAACATCTCTTTTCATACTCAACGCCGATGTGAAGGCTTGATTCAAATAATAATAATATTATTATTGGGCAACCACATTAGAAAAAATGGCATCTACCTCAGCCTCCTTACAGCGCATACGCGCCCCTGTCCAGCGCGCAATGGCAAAAACATCTCTCAGAGCATCCCGATCTTACGCCACCGTCCCATCCGGCCCAGCTGCTACCTCTTCCACAGACAGTCCAACCCGCAGACCAACCTACTTCAAAGACACTACGATAGCATCCTTCGATGACTTTGTTTCCACAACTTCACAGGCCGCAGCGCCACTAGCACCCACCGAAGCCTACCAGCTACGCACCGCCGAGGTCGGCCCCGCGTCGAATCGGCGAACCATCACCCGGCTGCCCGAATGGCTCAAGACCCCCATACCCGCCGGCAACGAGAACTACAAGAAGATTAAGGCGGACCTGCGCGGCCTTGGCCTGCACACGGTGTGCGAGGAGGCCCGGTGCCCCAACATCTCGGAGTGCTGGGGCGGCAGCAACAAGAACGAGGCCACGGCCACCATCATGCTGATGGGCGACACCTGCACGCGCGGCTGCCGCTTCTGCAGCGTCAAGACCAACCGCAAGCCCCCACCCCTCGACCCCCACGAGCCCGAGCACACGGCCGAGGCCCTCGCCCGCTGGGGCCTGGGCTACGTCGTCCTGACGAGCGTCGACCGCGACGACATGGCCGACGGCGGCGCCCACCACTTCGCCGAGACCATCCGCAAGATCAAGGCCAAGAAGCCTAGCCTCTTAGTCGAGGCCCTGACCGGCGACTTCCTCGGCAACCTCGACATGGTGGGCGTCGTCGCCGACAGCGGCCTCGACGTGTACGCGCACAACATCGAGACGGTCGAGGGCCTGACACCCTTTGTGCGCGACCGCCGCGCGACGTTCCGCCAGAGCCTCAACGTGCTCGGGCACGTGAAGCAGGTGCGGGGCCGCGAGAATATCATCACCAAGACCAGCATCATGCTGGGCCTCGGCGAGCAGGAGCACGAGGTCATGGACGCGCTGCGCGAGCTGCGCAAGGTCGACGTAGACGTCGTCACCTTCGGCCAGTACATGCGCCCAACCAAGCGCCACCTCCAGGTCGAGAAGTACGTCACGCCCGATGAGTTCGAGATGTGGCGGCAGCGCGCGCTCGACATGGGGTTCTTGTACGTCGCGAGCGGGCCGCTGGTGCGCAGTAGCTATAAGGCGGGCGAGGCGTTCATTGAGAATGTGTTGAGGAAGAGGGCTGGTGGAGGGCCTGGGGGTGCTGGTGCCGGGACGACGAACGGGAAGATTGGGGAGGCGGTTGCGATGGAGGAGGCTGCGAAGGGGGAGGGGGCGTAAGGTTGTTGAGAGCGCGTGTATCTATATATAAAGGCACAGGACTTTACATACTAGGATGCTTCTAGGATGCCTCTTGGTAACTTAGCTTACCTTACCTTACTACATAACACAACACTTGACGGATTTGCAATGGACTCGGCGCACTAGACCTGGGGTCTTGGAAACTGAAATAAATAATGGATGGAGGTTTTTAGAAATTAGATGGGTTGGTAGAGGTAGGTAGGTATGTAGATACCTAGGTAGGGACGTAGGTGGGTACATAAGTAGGAAAAGAGGGAGATCGTGGACGGGGTCTTGTTCAACCAGACCCAGACTATCACGACTTTTTATCGGATTGAATGGAAGCATTGGAAGTTGCATGATATCATTATATGGTATACCTACCTACCTAACCTATCTATGTGTGTGTGTGCGTGTATGTGATCTTGGATCTTTAGGTGCCTAGGTAGGTGGACATAAGTTTTGTCTCTTAAGGCTGTTGGCCCATTCGGCAATAACATACAGCAAAGCCAGATAGATAGTCGTCAACGTTGTGTATTCAAAGCACGTAACTACTTGTCGTCTTGCCTATGTACTACCTACCTACCATTCACAATACCTATACGATATCATTTTCCCAATCACCATACCTATGTACAACACCCACCTTGTAGGAAGTAGTACATGGGAAGTAGGTAGGCAATACAGTTAGTTAGTTAGCTGGATAGATAGATAGACAGACAAACGAAGCAACACCGATCGCCGCATCTCCCACCCACCGTTATATAGATTAGGTAGGTATCTGCATGGCACGCACAGAATAAGCAAGCTGCTGCGCTTTAGGAACAATGTATGTATGTATGTAGGTTCAATGTTGGTAGGTAACTATGTAGGTTACTCACTACTTATACCTACTGACTGTACTTACATACATATATAACTATGTGTGTGGCTGTATACATAGTTACGCCTCATCTCATCCCTGCAAGGCTGATGAGTCTCCCTTTAGAGTTAGTTCCCTTTGCCGGTTCCCGATTCGGCTTCATTTTGCGATACGTGAAAATATGTTTGGTACCTAGGTACCTAGGTAAGGTTCTTTTAAATTGCATACGGGTTATGTATTGTATTGTATCCAACTACCCATATGGTACGTTGGAGAGGCGGTGCAGTGCAGTGCAGTGTAGGTATTATATGTAGGAGGTACGGCTCGTATTCATCGGTTATGTAATTTATCGTTGGCCTACATGTAGTTACATAACTATCTACAAATATACGTGTGTGTACCATGGATAGGTACATATAGGCATATCTGCTGTCGGTAAGCGGATTAACAAAGTCCTACATACCCTATGTACCTACCTACAATGTACATACATACCTATGTAGTCAGCATTGGAGCAACGAAGTAATGCAGATGACGTAGGTAATATAGTTATAGTTATGTACATACTGTATACTGCAGCTTTGACTCCTCACGAGTATGTATTACGGTTTCACAAGGCATAGCATGGTGGTGGCAGTAGTAGTGGCAAAACGGGAGACGGAGTCAGAGTCAGATTGCATGACCATCACCCGCATCGATGCATATATAGGTATGTATGTACAAGACGTATCGTGTCGAATGACAGACACAGACACAGACACAGACGAAACTTTTCATAAAACATCATTAATCGTAAGAAAAAAAGTCTAACTACCTAGGAACCCAAGGTAGAGGTAGGTATAATAAGTATGCCGGGATATCTCGTTAATCGTGCCAAAAATTCTCTATTGTGTATCGTCATGCTACCGGGAAAGAAAACGCCACTGATATGGCCATTACCATTATCTATCATAAGGCAGCTCGTCCCTCATGATGTAGACCTCGCCAATTAGAATGGTGCAGCCGACAACCATGGCGATGGCGATGATAGGAAGATTGACGCGGGCGAAGTCGAGTCTTCGGACACGGATGTGCTTTCGAGCGAGGATGTCTCGCCACAGCAGTCCAGCCAGAGATGCGCTAAAGGCTGTGCTGAATGCGCCATAGTTGACACCGATCGCCATGCTGTAATATGTTAGTTCATATGATACCAATGACTAAGCAATTGTCAAGTCAAGGCCACAAACGTACCTGTAAACTGTGGCCCAAAAAGTCCGGTTGGAGATCGGCGGGGCATTAGGGAGCTGGTGAATCTTCTGCCACGCTTGTATCACACGCGAGAGAAGAATCGTAGTGCCGATGTTGGTGCCTGCGAACTATATTTCACTTGACGTTAGCTGACCAACAATTTGCGTAAAGGTAGGTACCTAAGAGGTACCTAGGTATGTAGATGAGACTTACATTACAGAGGATGACAGAAAGAAATCCCATGCCTCCAACACTGCCAACTGTCCCCGTCTTAGTCACCCAGTGATCCCAGCCGTAGGCAAACACGGGCACCCAACCCTTCGTCACCAAAGCCTGTACCAAGATGAACATAGAAAAGGCAAAGGGAACAAGAGCAAAAGGCAAATGGTTGAGCACTGCAGTTGCCGTTGGGAATGTCTCCTGAGACCACCGGTAAGTGTCTGCGACTAGGGACACTAGTGTCGCCTCTCCACGTTTCGCATCCGCCGCCACGTCGTAAGGATGCTGCTTTTCAGGATCCGTGTCTCGTTCGCATGTCATTTGACTTTTCTCTGCTGGATCTCTGTTCACCGCTACGCCTTGTAACACTCCCCCCGAGAGCTGGTGTGGGCCTACAGGTATAATGCCCTGCTTCTCGTGGAGGGTGCTCTTCGCGCTTGTGGAAGGCCGTATATCGCGGGCTTCATCACCGTCCACTGACCTTGTGCTCATTCTATCGGAACCGGGCGTAGTGTTGTCCTCTGTATTTCCGTCGAACAGGCCACGATGAGCATTTCCAACACCACTGTTGTTACTTTGGTCGTGGGACTTCATATCCATCTGTGTCGCATCAGTCCGAGTTGTAGCTATATCACGACGGTCCTCTTCCGCTTGAACTAGGCTTGAAGTCGTTCGCTCTAGTTCTTCCGCCTCTTTAGCCAGCTGCTCAGCCCGTTCTTGCCGAGCTCTTTCAACTTCCCGTCGACCGTCGCGAGCGACCTTGCGCGTCTCGTCGCGATGTATCCACCCGAATGCGATGTCCCAGCAGAACATAACAACCGCAGCTGGCAGGGTTACGTAGAAAACGGGATGTTCACCGGTACTTTGGCTAGCAGCATTGAGTGCGAGTAGCGTGATGAGCGTTGCGGCCATGACAAGAGCACCAAACCCTGCACCCCCCTTATCTAAGAAAGGGTTCATGATTTCTTCTAGGGATAGTAGCTTGCTTTGCTCGCTATTGGTCGGATCATTCTCCTGTTCCTCCGCATTTCCTCTTGCGTTGGGAATGTTTGGATTTACAGGCTTTCTAGCCTTCGCCTCCTCTGAAAGTTCATGCATTTGAATTGAGAGAGGTATTAGAGACTCATCTGCAAATACAATGTAAAGAAGGAACGGGAAGAGTACGATGGCTGTAATGACGACAGGCACAATCATGTTGGCTGTATACTCAATAAATCTGATGTCGAAAGCGCCTGCGAGCACCAGGTTGGTTGGATTAGAGGACACAAGAATGGCCGAAGCAATATTGGCTACCGCGAATTGAGCAAATATCCACGCTCTGGGGTGTATGATGTTGCTGGAAACCCGCGTCATGTATGCGAGAAAGGCCGTGCCAGACAGAATGATTGGATCATTTCCAATGAAGGACCCCAAGCAGAAGAAGAAGGCGTAGAGGTAAAAAAAGAGTCGATGGCCAAATTTCCCTCCTTTTTGGAGCACCTTGAATGCGAGGAACCTAATCAAACCAGAGGCATCGATGGAGATGGCGATATATGCTAGCGTGATGAAGAATGCCATGATGTCGATGGGAGAGATGTTGTTCGATCCTATCGTTCCACCATACACCTCGTCTCGGCCAATAGCTAGGATAGCTAGCAAGAAGAGGTCTGCTATCAAAGGCGCCGTGATAAAGTTCATGGGGAATTTTTTCCATGTAAAGAATTTGCTTTTGCCATCGTGAATGCTGCCTTGACCGTCGGTAGCATTGAACTCATCCTGGGAGCGGTCAAGCGGTGGAGGTATCACTCGCAAGGCAACGAGAGCGTTCAACATGCCACTCCATAGAGCCCGAGGAATTGGAAGCGGAATATGGAAAGGGAAGAGAACAACAATATCTGTATAATATTAGAGGCCAATTGGATAAAGATAGTGCAATGTTTCTTATATAAGAGTTATACTTACTGGTGAAAACAAAGACGATGAGAGTGACAATAGATTGCCATTCTCGAATCCGCTCAGTATCGATGTCGATATCAATCTCACTAAGAGGTTCCGGCATTTTGGCAATCTTCTCTTGATGATTATTCGAATTTGTCGAGTAAATTCCAAGCTTTCAAAGTTTTTTTTTTTAGGGAAGGATGTGTAGGTAGGTATGCACCTTGACCCTCTGCCGGGTACTAGGTAAGCTTCACGAAACAGTTGCGATATTAACAAGAATGGTCTGGGGATGCCTTTCCGCCATAGAGAAATGCCATTTATAGTAGTGCCTAGGTAAGTAAAGTGATGGAACAGGTGATTTTTCTTATATATAGTTACTCATATTGTGACGATGGGACGATGGAAACAGTAGAAAGGATGAAGAATGAAGAGGTGAATCAGGAAAAAGGCAAGGCAAAGAAAGCAAGCAACTCAAGTTTGAATATCTTCGTGCGGTGGGGTTGAGCTGTGTAGATACCGTAAAGAGGCTGACTGGAAGAGCCAAGAGACTCGGCGGTCTATAGGTTAGACAAGCAAATCTCTACCTAGTACATACACAACATACACTGCACAATTTGTTGTACAGTATGTATGTATTGTATTGCCTTTGCAGGCTCAATGGCTATTTTCTGTACTCATGATTGATTTCAATGTTGTGATTAATATCACTTCATTACATAGTATGAGAAGAAAAGAAGAGGCCAGAAAAAGGGGAGAAGGCATTTGGGATGAATCTAATGATGAAGCTAAGAATCAAGCTAATTTTTTTTTTAGTTGGCTGGTTGGTCAACTTTGAAGGTTTTCGTCTGGTCAACTGTGCACCGTTGGTGGCTGTGCCGGCTGTCGTTATCCCAGCACCTCAGAGTTCGCGGCACGGACCAACTGGTGCACATTGCGCCCAAGTACTGGTACTTAGCCCCACTACTTTCTGCCTCAATTATTGGTGGCTCTTCCGCAGTGCCGTGGCAAAATAGCCAATCATTACCTAGAAGCTTATGTAAGGCAGCGTGTCGGCGCTTGTAAGACCGATTACGTAATAGAAAGTTGGAGATTTGGCTAAGTCTCAACATTAGGTAGTTACAGATATGCCCTCACATTTATTCAATTACAACTATTGCAAACCACAATATTTCAATTTCGCATTTAGATCATTCGAAAGAGCTTTCAAAGCGTAATTGATTGAATATAGTTTGACACGATCAAGTGGTGTGTAGCATTCTGAAAATAGAGTTAAAGGTACCGTGTATATACACTAAATATGGCCACTTTCAACGCGTCAAGTAAATATCCATATATACACCGCGTTTTGGATCAAAATACACCTTTCACAACGCAATTAAGATAGTAATCATTTGATCAATTGATTGAGATTTGAAAGGGCTTTTAAATGAGCTAATTACAATTATTTAAAGCCTGATATTGGGCGAGCGAGCTTGAATTGATTGAAATACAAGTGATTATAGCGCTAGGACGCGTTGAAAGAGCCCTGGAGACCCTACTAGGTAATACCAGCACATATAATGATTAGAAAGCTTGTCGCCGGGAGATTTCACTTACTACTTGGTTATATTTAATAGATTGATCTTATTTGATCAATTTGATCCAAAAAAACAACGGAAACACTCGAATAGCTTCAATATACAGTGGTGTGTAAGGAAGAAAAACAACAATTACGCGTTGACACGCTCTTATTCAAAAATTGATGACTAAGCATAATCCTAGCCGCGAGGCGCTTAGAGAAGTACGAAGGAGAAGTAGCTCCGGATCCACTAAAAGTGGGGCGAACAGGTGCGTGGATAACGATACCGGCTGTGCCTACTGTGCCTGACTGCCTAGGGTAGGGTAGGTAGGGTAGGTAGGTAATTATTAGTTTAGGGTACTAACATTGAAGGGTAGTACAGGCTAGAGTTTGCATGTGCATATGCCACACGGATGTCACTGGTTCTACAGTCCTGAGTCTGGTAGGTTAGATGCACATTTTGTTACCAGTAACAGAAACAAATGGCGGGCATGTCCGTCCATCGGGGCTGAACTCTAGCGTGATGCATAGAACTCTTAGAAAGATTGGGTTGCGGAGAAGAACCAATAAAGTTACAGATCGGTGTGGATTCTGGGGATCCAATGGTTGGGATCCGCTTATTGTAATCCTAAATGGTAATTCGGTATGGGAGTGCGTCATAATAGTAGTCAGGTGTCTCACCTCTCAAGCGGCCCCTAAGCCTTAATCACTGACGTTCACGCTTACCTACCTGATATGAAGCTTCATCATTACTAGGTACTATCCAAGTATGGGGTACTATTATGCAGGTAGGTACGAACTTTAACTTGAACCTAGATACTAGTATCATACTACTAGATACTACCGTGTAGCATGTTATATCTAATTTTTGTATTGTACCTGAAACATTTGAACTAGCCACCTTTTAAGTATTGGCTACAAAATCGTTTAGCTTCTTGAAGTCGTCGGTGGTTGCGGCTGAATCCTTCTTCCCCTTTCAATGTCATGCTCTTTTACTTGTTCCTTACCGTAACTGTGTTGGCCCTCGGCACTGGGCACCTTCGCTTCCCAATGTCCAATGATCCTGTGCAATCATTTCAGGATAACCCGGGCGGTACGGTGCTGACGACCCCAGGCGCCGCTGAAGATTTCAAGCTTAATATTAAATGAATTGATACTATGTAAGTAAAATCAGACACATGCAGCCCTAGAGGTAGAGGACTCGTAGTAGCCACGTGCGATCCTGGACAGCCCTGTTGTTTGGAAAGAACGAGGCAAACGAGTTATTTCAAACGTTGAAGCTTCCAACCTTGGCTTCTTCTTTACTCTCGCACCTACTCTCATATCTACTCTCATTTCTACTCTCATTTCTACTACCTTGGCACCACACCTTAGAAACTGATAAAAAGTTGATGAATGATCGATTCGATATGGGACAACTTTCGTTTGCACTCTCCCTTTACTTTTTACGCCATGTGAATCTCATAATCTTCAATATCATCCACCCTTCTTAAGAGTCTACCGCTCTAGACCATGCCAGCACTTGATCCGACTTTGTTGTCCAATATCTTATCTATCAGAAACACAACCAATGACTCCGCGAATGCTAACAGTACTGACGATGTTATGCAAGTCATATGCGCCTGGCCTGTATCTGGCCAATATGGCCCAGGCTCTAGGATCCTGTAAGTTGTCATTCCAGATGTCGTATGAAGGGAAAGTGAAACATCATGTTCCACGCCTTATACCTGAGACTATACTGCCACTGGGTAGAACAACTAACACGAGTGCCTTTATTATAGATACTACGCTCTCGTGGCAGCATGTGTCTTCGCACGGAAATACGAATGGCTTAGGAATGCTTGTTTAGCAGCTGCCTGTAGGTATCCCTACCTACCTACCTACTACCTACCTAAGTACCCAGTATATAGGGTCCTATATCCATCCTTTCGCCCCTATTCCAATGAATGAGACCATGCCTCTCCGTCAACTCAGACTAGGACTTGAAATGGACTACCAAGGATAGCAAAGTTATTGCCTTCACCGTCCATGATACCGATTTTCTAAAATATAAGCAACTAATACAAGTCTTTGCAGTGGTATTTCCGGCTGTCGCTGCTGTTCATGGCATTGTGCTTGCCGCAATACACGTCGACAGTAAGTACCTACACCTTTTACATAGCTGGGTAAGAATAAAAGACTCTAAAGCTGATAACCCTATGTCTCAGATGCCGTCGACATGGATATATACGGAACCTTTCAATTCTGTTCGATCGCCATATTAGCAGCTCCATTAACTGTCAGGATATCCCGAACTTATTTTGACGATCCTGGTCGAAACATTATCTTCATATGGACTGGCCTCATCCTTGCCGGTAGGTTTTGGTCTTCCCAAGTATCCATATGGATACCTATACAATGTTTTGCTTATGAGAAATGTAGGCCTACTAAGCTTAACCGTTGAGTTCTTCCGAATTACAACTTCGGGTTGCACCGTGGATAACAATCACAACAACATCATCCCTAATGACTACGCCAATTTCCCATATGAAAATGTCTCGTGTAACTTAACCTGTTCTAGCAACTCGGGACCTTTCTCTCCTTTGAGACAAGGCTCAGCGAACGAGATTTATATCATACCAGCGCCGAACATCCTAACATTCAACGCTGCTACTCTTCTCGCCGCTGCTTGCTGCATTCCCGCAGTACTATCGCTTGTGTCCATGTGGAATAAGATCCTTGAGATAAACTGGAAGACGAAGTTTGGTCGAGGAGATGAAGACCAACTGATTGAAGGGTGGGTTTGATGACAAGCGTTCCTATAAGAATTTACGACGTAGGGGTTGATACGTTACTTACTAACTTATCTCTTCATCTAGTACCAACGGTGCCACCGTAGCAAAGATGAGCCGTGTCAACACCATTGTTAGGCTATTCTTAAGTACCGTGGAGGTTCCTGTCTTTACCGCTGCGGTCTTGGCCCTCCTCATATTCGGAGAAAAGAACTTCTTTAGCCACCAAGTCAACTACCAAACCGAACCCATTGCCAGCATAGGTGAGTCTATCGATCATCCTAATTTAGGTATTTCAGAGTCGCTAATCGCATATAAATTTAGGTCAAGTAAGTGTTTTGACCCCTTTTTATTCATCTTGCTTTTCTCTCCCTCCCTAACTTTAGTGTCCACTAATCCTGACTACAAATTAGTGGTCACCAATTGTCGCTACAGGGTTTGCTGCCTTGGGGTCTCTATACGTACTCCTGGCAGTGGATATGGAAGCATTAAAGGGAGAAGTGGACCAGACACCTCCTTTACAGCACTTCAACTACTCGCACCCGAACTTCAGTGGTGGGCAACCTCCAAGTCTAGACAACCAATCTGGGGCAGATACTTCTCCTAGTAGTGAAGGCCTCGAAAGCGATGTGCCCGAGAGTTCACAGCAAGTGTCAAGGAGCCCACCAGCTATTCGGGAGATCAGCAACGGACTCTCTAATGATTCTTCTAATTCTGTTACCGCGCCTCGTGCTGCTTGTATACGATCTAGCTCTTCACTCAGTAGGAGAGACACCCCACCTGAAATGTCCATAGCGGATACACCACATACAACCGACGTAGGGCATAGGCGCAGAGTGTTTAGGACAATGGTAGCGGCCAGCAACTTCTTTACAGCGGCAGAAGATCGATTCGACTATTCCGAGTTCAAAACCGGCAAAGCACTTGACTTCCCCGAGGTCCCTGCAGAGGAACTGCGAAACCCAGACCTCCCACATATTAGAGAGGTGTACAACGTTCCTCCCTCGCTGAGACATAAGCGGTCAAGATCAACCTGTGGGGGGAGGGCGGGGAGCATCGCCTCCAGAGAAAGCGGCGAATCATCAGCGATAGTTGAGCGACGGCGGGCTGGTACACTACCAGCCGGATCATCCTCAGTCGATTCGGATGTTTCTGCATCACCTTCAACCGCCGAGTCAATGCGAGGTAGACTAAGAGAACGACGAGATACACTTGAGGTGCCAGCGTCAAGACCACTCTTTCATACCTCTTCACGAAGCTCCAAACCTGCTTCGCCCGCCATGCCTACCACTACCATATCCAATAGTCACGGTTCACCAGTCATTGTCATATTTCCGGACCCCGACACAAGCCCTCCTCCTATTGACGATACCTCTGCTCTCGATCCGCCCGTGACTCAGTCTTCGTCCGAGTCTGCGCCGTCATCGAAAACGACATAATTGCCTCCTAAATCGTGATATGAACGTATCGTACCTAACTATCAGGACGGATCGACGAAAGGAATCTACTTCTATCGTTTACACATATGTTCACACATTTACCAAACTATTATAGAGTTACAGATATCTCTGGTTTCTCCTCGTCATCCTTACCGCTTCACACAGACGAGAGGTGAACTACCTACTACCTAACTATATACAACACTCACGAAAAGGCTACAGACGTGTTCGTGAGACTGTGGCTTTTTCCCACGCTGCGAAAGCAACTTAGCATACGTCTCAAACCTCGCGGGTTAAAGCAATCAATGTTTATCATCACGCCATCACACCGTCTTATGATTTAAAGCATTACACAGCAACTTGCCTCGGGGGTAACACTTACAGAAAACAGACTAGATCTCATTGGTGGGCAAGACTTTTTGCTGCCTGAACACGATTTATTCGGATGAAAGTTCCGTTTTCACTTGGTTGGCAGGACATATTTTCGGTGACTTTTTATGGAGGATGATAGAACTGCATGTTCATTATCATGTCACGACCGCTCATATGTACGAAAGTAAGTCACCCATGCACCACAACAGTATACCTACCTACCTGGTACCAATCACCCCCCCCCCCCCCCCCCCCCCCCCCTTTTTTTTTTTTTCTAACATATTGACTAACCGATCATGTAGTCACCAACCCACGAACAACAACACCAACCAAAATAGAAAATTATACATGACAAACGACTTACGAATACCAAGACATACATACCCATGACACCCCCCCAATTATCACCAATTTCATTGAACATCTATTTTCTTTTCTTTCTTTTCAAATTTCTTTTTTCGCACACCGTGTATTATGTATTATGAGAATGACATAGAGATGGTTTACTAGACCGATTACGACGACACGACACGACACGTCAGGTACATTTTTGTAATCACAGGTTTTCAACTTTCAACTTGAGTTCATACGTGGGAGACAGGACACGGAAGGAGCTGCTTTCCAAGGTTTTGTTTTCTTGTCTTTTCTTTCCTCTGATTGTGTTGTGTTTGGAATGGGGCGGAAAGGGGGTTGGTTGGGTTTTTCGCAACTTGAAGTCAGTACCTGTTTATTGCCTGCTTACGACGGTACTAGATAGGTACCTATAGATTAATAACTGTACATGTTCTTCCTATTCCTTTCGTATGAAAAATTGTGAGATTCTTGAGTCACGAGTGTTTGTGAGTACTCAGGGGGGGTTATTCCGTATTGTGGCGTAGATACCTAAATACGGCTGTCATGGAGACAAGAATCACCGAATCAATGCATCAACGAAAGAATAATCGCGGAACAATGCGCAGGTGGTATCTAAATTTCCCAACCTTCGATCTACCTTGCTTTTTAACGTATTTAACTATATGCTCTTTTGTTTCTTTTTCTTTTTCTTTTTCTTTTTTGTTTTTTTCTCAACTTCATCACAGAGGTTAAACCCCCTTTCTATCGTATCGGCAAACTCGTGCCATTCGTCGCCTGCAGCAACTTCTTCACCTCCTCCACAAGCTGATCGCGGGGCACGAGCTGTCCCTGATCCTTCTCGTCCTCCTTGCCTCCCTTTCCGGTGCCTAGCACCTTCACCCGGACCTTGCCCTCTGCGAGCTCATCGGCTCCTAGAATAACGCCAATCGGCACATCCTCTGCAGCCTTGAACTGTTGGGGTAGTCGGGGCTTCACTTTGGCGCTGAACTCGGCGCGGATTCCGCCCTCCCATAGTTGTCGCGCCACGGACATGCGCTGTAGGAGTAAACCGTCGAACTCCTTGCCACCGAAAGCCATCACGTAGACGTCAACCTGGCGCGCGCGTCCTTGGTTGTCGCCCTGGCGCGCTTTCATGATGGTGTATATGCGGTCGACGCCAAAGGAGATGCCGACACATGGGATCTGCTTCTTGCCGTACATGCCGACGAGGTTGTCGTAGCGGCCACCGGCGGCGATGCTCCCCACAGCTGATGCATCCTGGTTTTTCTTGGACTTCGTGCCGTCTGAGTTCTCAGCAGTTTGGGGTTTCTGGATGACTTCGTAGATTAAACCAGTGTAATAATCGAGACCACGGGCGAGTGATAGATCGAATGAGACCGTGTCGAAGATATCTAGTTCTTTGGAGTAGGAGGATAGGAGTTCCATATCGGCAAGTCCTGCCTTGATTTCGTCATTGGCCGCGAGGCTCTCGTCGGATTTTATAAATGTAATCATCTCGTCGATAGTGCCTCGATTTAGCACAAATTGGCCAATCTTGTCGGCAACCTCCACGGCGAGCCCCTTTTGCTCCACCATCTCAGCCTTCACAGTCTCCCACGGTTCCTTATCTAGCTTATCCACTGCCGAGCTAATGGGACGGGTCTTCTCTGCTGGAACACCGGCGACGGCGAACATGCCATCCAATATTTTTCTGTGGTTTAGCTTGATGACTATTTCTTGGTCGAGGGCTTTGAAGATTTCGACGACAACACGTAGAATTTCGGCGTCGGGGATCATGGAGTCATAGGTACCTGCGATGTCGAAATCACATTGATAAAATTCGCGCATCCTGCCGCGGGCTATAGCAGGCTGATCGCGACGGTAAACCTTGGCGATCTGGTAGCGCTTGATCTGCTGTATGTTGTTCATGGCTAGCCAACGGGCGAAGGGGACGGTTAAATCGTAGCGCAAAGCGCATATTTCACCACCTTGGTCTTCGAGGTTATATATCAGGCGCCCCTCTTCACCATACTTGCCGGCCAGAATCTCCTTTAGCTCGAAAACAGGGGTATCGAGAGGAACGCCACCGTGAAGCTTGAATGCATTGCTTATCGTTTCGCTATTTTCACATGTTAATAATTAGTTATCCCAAGGATAGAAGCAACGAGCAGAATTACATACAATACATGATCTCGTAGGAGTAAATCCGGGCCAGACCAGTCGCGGGTGCCTTTGGGGGCCTTGAGGGAAATTTTAGCCTCTTTCGAAGCCATATCGGTGGTAGTATCGGTGATGGGCGTAGATGGTGAAGTTTGGCCAGAAAAAGGGTGACTAGATCGGGCTGGGGAAATAAACGAGAAAGTTGTATAAAAGAAGGGTATTTTGAAAGGACTTGAACTTGAAGTGGTTGCTGAAAATGTCCCTAGCTTGTTCAGTCTACTATTCAGTCTACTGTTCAGTCTACTGAGTGCCCGCAGCATTACCCAGATCGTTTATATGTATGCCCAAGAGGAAAAAAGGCGAAAAGAAAAAAAAAGGTTAAAGTCGAAGTGGGATGACTCAATTCAATGAGAGCTCTAACGTGGGGTATTACATAGTACGTACATAACTACTTGGTACCTCTAGGTTACTGCGATCATGTGACCCACTACGAATATATGTTATCAATCACCCCTAACCCTGGTAACTGCCCTGTTGCCCCTTGTTCTGGACCCCTGAATCCATTTTATTTACTTGTCCCTGGTAAATAACTAATCGATAACAAAAGTGAAGCTTATTTATAGCAATTAAACAATAAAAATGGTGGTACGATCGTGTCTCCTTCCTCTCTTTTATATTCTGCCATTGAACCATCCCATCTTTTGGGATCATGCAAAAACCAGTTCTGTTAGTCTTGCGAATTAACTGAGAATGATATTACCTAAGAATTAGAATAGAAGTCTTCGACCCATTCTAATCCTGGAAGATGGCGGTCGAAGATGTCGTCCAATGGGTCGACCAATTTACCGATCTCATCCAACAGTTCCCGTATGTTTCTACATGTCCTGATATTACCAAGTATGCTCTTTCGTAGCAATTGTATCTTACAATTCTCATATATAGGCTCAATGACATTGTGTTCCTCCTATATCCTCTCATACTCACCGTTGTAGGGGGCTCGTTGCTCTACTTCACTCACACCGACTACTGGGACAAGCCAAAACGATACACCGTCCCGGCTCCCAAGAAACCCGACGATGTTAAGATACTCGATAACCCAACTATTAAAGTCTCAGGCACTACCGCCATTCAATGTTACATGCCCGCTACCGGCCAATTCCTTGGCTTCGTAAACCCTTCTACTCCCGCCGGCATCGATCGCGCTATAGCACAGGCTCAAGCCGCCCAGGAGAAATGGGCTAAAACAACCTTCAACGAGCGCCGGAAAGTTCTGCGTACCATGCTACAATACGTCCTCGACAACCAAGAGCAAATCTGTCATGTCAGCTCCCTCGACTCGGGAAAGACCATGGTCGACGCTCAGCTTGGCGAGATCTTGGTGACGGCCGAGAAACTACAGTGGACCATCAAGCACGGCGAAGCGGCTCTGCGTCCGAGCCGCCGTCCGACGAACCTGCTCATGAGTTATAAGAAGAACACAGTACACTACGAGCCATTAGGCGTGGTGGCCGCGCTCGTGAGCTGGAATTATCCGTTCCATAACTTGATGGGCCCTATTATAAGTGCCATCTTCGCGGGCAACGGCATTGTCGTCAAAGTGAGCGAGCAGACCTGTTGGAGCGCGGCATACTACACGAGCATTGCGCGCGGCGCCCTCGTCGCCCATGGCCACGACCCTCAACTGGTCCAAAGCGTCGTGTGCTGGCCCCAGACAGCCGGACATCTCACGAGCCACCCCGGCATTAGCCATCTGACATTTATTGGGAGCCGGCCCGTGTGCCACGCCGTTGCCGCTAGCGCTGCCAAGACTCTTGTGCCGGTGGTCGCCGAATTAGGTGGCAAAGACGCCGCTGTTGTGCTTGACTCCGCGGCCAACGACCTGAATAGAATTGTCGATATCCTCATGCGCGGCACCTTCCAGTCCTCGGGCCAAAACTGCATTGGCATCGAGCGCATCGTTGCGACGCCAGGTGTCTACGACAAACTTGTCTCGATGCTCGAGCCCCGCGTCAGCGCCCTACGGATGGGTCTGGACAAGGACGTTGGCGCCATGGTCTCTGATGCCTCCTTCGCCCGTTACGAAAAACTGATCGCAGACGCTGTGGCAGACGGGGCCAGACTCCTCGCTGGCGGAAAACGCTACGCACACCCTGACCACCCGAAGGGCTTCTACTTCACCCCGACGCTCATCGTCGACGTAACCCCCGACATGGCCATCGCGAACGAAGAGTGTTTCGGCCCCATCATGACCATTCTCCGCACCCCCTCCTCTTCCGCCTCCGATATCCTCACCGTCGTCAACGCCCCCGACTTCGGCCTCGGCGCCTCCGTCTACGGCCGCGACTCTGACCCCGTCCTGCGATCCGTCGTCCACGGCATCCGCGCTGGCGGCGTCGCCGTCAACGACTTCGCCGTCTTCTACGCCGTGCAGCTCCCCTTCGGCGGCGTCCGCGGGTCCGGGTACGGCCGCTTCGCCGGCGAGGAAGGCCTCCGCGGCCTCTGCAATCTCAAGAGCGTCTGCGAGGATCGCTTCGCGTGGCTCGGCATCCGCACTGCCATTCCCCCGCCTGTCAAGTACCCCGTCCCCGACCAGGGGCGCGGGTGGCGGTTTACGAAGGGGGTTGTGGGGATGGGGTATGCGGTTACGATTGGAGGGAAGGTAAAAGCGCTGGGGGATATTTTGAGGAATATGTGAGCTAGGTATCTAGGTGAGTAAACATGGGAAAGGGGCGAGGGGAAAGGGGGGAGGGGAAGAGGAAGAGACATGAAGACGACGCATGGAAACGAATGAATGGATGTATGCATATATCCAGGCGCCTAACCTGTATCATATTGCATCTACTAAAGCGGCTGCGTATATACCTATTTAATCTTAATCATATCACTACCTACCTGCCTGCCTGCCTAGGTACCTACCTAAGATACCTGAAGTGCCTATTTACGATTGTTAACGATGTACTGTATGAAATCACTTTCGTTTACATCCAGACTCCTCGGTGCTGGTTTTTTTTTGGCACGATAGAGATGGCTAGGTAACAATACCTACCATTCCACTGCCATCTTGCTTTTTACATGGGGTAGCTAGATACCTGTAGCTATTAACCTTGTAGGTTAGGTCGGTACTAGGTACTATGTAATAGGGGGCATACCTAGGTAGGTAGGTACTTTTACATTCGTACTCTAGGTAGGTGTGTACCTACATGTAGGTTAGGTAAATAGATACTGGTTTACAAACGCGAGACGAGGTTTGAAATTATATAGGTACACATCATGTGTTGGCTATGGAGACACACATACACACATAGGCCATTAACTAGTGGGCTCGTGCATAGGTAAGTACCGTGCCTACGTGCCTGCATACGTACCTAACCTAGGTATGTACATACAATAGATGTACATGTAGGTACGTGAAAAGTTGAGATGCTCAAAGTAGGTACATACACATGTGCGTACAAGTAACCTCGAAACTAGTTTCCATTCCATCACATCACCCTGGACCAGAATATCAGCAGCGATGCTTCTTCCATGTCCTTCCTTTAATACCTTCCTACCACGTCCTGTCCTGTCCTGTTTATAGCCTCATGAATGGAGGGGCGGGTTGGTATATCCCCGCCCCTACCATCGATTTCCCTGGGTGTATAGGTAGGTTACCTACTATGCAGGCAGGTAAGAGATACCTCATACCAACCAACCCGACCACCCTTTCCACTCCCCGTTAACTCCTTGAACACGATGTGTATACTTCATATTCATCAATTCGTAGACATCAGGGCAAGGCAATCCATCTGTGAAGAGAAAAGGAAAAGCAGTAGAGTGTCAGGCCCTTGAATTGCCTAACAATCTGAAAGGCAAATACCAACGCGAAATATTACTTGCCGAAGCCGACTATGCAGCAGCCGCGACAAGGCGTCTTTGGATGTTGACTATGCTAGCAAAGTCCAGCTTCATCGCATCCTCGACAGCAGGCATATACTCGCCCGAGGCAATGCACAAGACGCGCATGCGTTCGTCGTAGCGCAGGCCGGTAAGCAGCTTGGGCGTGATGAGGAAGTATTGGCTGGTATGCTCGCGGCAGGCGATCTCGACCATGCGCTCGTGTACCATGCGCTCGTTGCGGGGATCCATACCCTGGTTGATTTCGTCGACGACGCGGAACGGTGCTTGTGCCATCGATTGCAGTGCCATCAGGTAGAAGATTGTGGACACGGCTCTCTCGCCGCCTGACTGTCGGTGCTGGTTCAACTGTTGTAGGGTCTCATTTTGGCTGTAAGAGTATATTAGTATTGATAACATATATATATCAGACATAACAGTTGATAAAAGGGGGAAAGCGTACCGGAACTTGACCTTGATCTCGATGGCCCACTGCTCGAAATCCTCGTCTTTATGGATGCTAACCTCGCCGGCGCAGTTGATTTGCTCAAAATTATAGCTGAAGGCATCGTTAATCTTACCAATGACCTTGTCAACGTCGGGCTCCCATTGCTCCATCACTTGCTTAATCTTTCGGGTATGGGTCTCGAGCCTGGCATTCATCTCTTCCCTCTTGCGGATAAGTTCTTGGATATCCTGAGCACGCTTCTCGTACTGTCGCAGGATGGCTGGGTCGACTCCATGGATTAACTCGAGTTTAGTAGACTCAGCGCCAATCTCATTGTCGACGTCCTCAACCGTTTTGCCCTCCACCATGGCATTCAGCTCGACGAATCGTTCGCGACCACCTACACCAACAGCCTCTTCCACTAAATGTCTCGCATGTGAAGCCTCTGCTTTCAACCTGTCCGCGTCCTTTGCCAGAGTCTCGATCTCGACTTTTTTGTCGTCTAATTGTTGTTTGATGCTGGCATTCTGTTCTTCTAGCCCTTTCACATCTGATTGTGCCTCAACAAGCTGGATCAGAGTCTCCAACAGTGCTTGATGCGCGTCGCGAATATGAGAAAGCCTTTCCTTGTGCTGAAGGACAGACTTCACCTTCTTCACGATAAGCTCATCTTCTTGTGCACCGTATTCGAATATTCTCTTGCGGCATTCAACGAGTCCTTTCTGCGTATTCTCCAATTGCAGTCTCTCGGCCGCTATTTTGTCCCCGAGGGTTGCGTATTGCGTAGCAGCTTTTTGCAATTCGTTCTTCTCATTCCGTAATGCATCCTAGAAAGCGGTTAAAATCTTGAATGCCTAAATCAAAGCAGGAATCAACACTCACTACTCTCGCTCGGCTCTCCCTCCCAGTAGCCTCCATCTCCTTGGTGCGGTTCTTGTTCTCGACCATTTGCTTTTGGAGTTCCTCCATTTCAGCAGTTAGCTCATTGATCTGCCTTTGCAAGGTGGATCTCTCGGCATTGTCGATAGGTTGATCGGTCCAGAAACGGCCGTGAGGGATTTTCCTAGTAGTAGTCGAGACAGCATGGCTGCCATATTCCTTTCGTCTTGAGATGCGATACATTATAGGGCCAGTTGCCCAGCTAGGTATGCCCTCGCTATTCGCAATCTGTTCATACTGGTCGGTAGTGACATCTTGGAGAGAAACTCCAGAGACGTGTAGCTTCTTCTCCGAGCAGAGCATTGCCAGAATTGGCTCTGGGCCTTCAAGGTAGTCGATTGCGTATCCATCAAGGCCCATCGTGCGAGCCTGTTCTTTGGGGACTCTGGGTCGAAAAGAGGCGAGATCGCCCATGAATGTCCTTATAGTCACTGAAATTCCGAGGTGCTTAAAGAAATGGTTGCTGAGCTTTTTGTGGTCATTTCGAGTCTGGCAAGTAAAACATAAAAAGTCGTCGTTTGAAAGAAGTGATTGGATCTGGTTTGAATACCGCTTGTCCGTAACAGAGCAGTTCAACATCGGAGGGCCAAGAACTTCCTTTTCAAACTCGTCTTTGTGTTCTAGAAGCCATTCCCAGCCTCTGGCGGCTTCTGGGCTGAGTTTTCTTAACTGAGCAAGTTTCTGGCCCTCTTTGGAATTCAAGGCTTCCAAAGCTCTTTCATTGTGCCTCTTCCCATCGGAACTTCTCCTGAAAAGTGTCATCAGCTCCTCGCTCTGGGTATCTAGCTGACGCCTCTCCGCCTCGTTCTCTCGCTGGACATGTTCTTCTGAGCGCTGTTCATACCCATATTAGCATCAGACCCTGTTCGGGTGCAACAGTTATCACCTACAATTTTCTGATTCCAGTCAGCAGCGACGAACTCTGGGGGCTTGTTCTGTAATTTAGCCTCGAGATCTGTGATTGTTCTTCGTATCTTGGCTATCTCGGTCTTTTTGGCAGTATGCGAACCTTCCTCCGCAGTCTTCTTATTTTGAAGATGCTTAATCCGTTCGTCCTGGGCCTCAATAGCCTGGTAAAGTTCTTCACATGCTGCTTCAGCTTCCCTCAACGCTCTCTTACGTTCATCTACAACAGCCAATATTCTCTGACTGTATTCATGCTTTTTGTTCACGGCCTCCAAGGCAGGCCCACAGGCCCGTTCCAGTTCCTTTAGCTTCCTGGCGGCGTCATGCTTTTTCTGCTTAGCTTCGCTCATTAACCGCCGAGCATTGTTATACTCGGCAAGGGCACGAGCAAGCTGCAGATCTTCAATCTTTTTTTGGATGGCTTCTCTTTCGCGCAATCTGTCCACATCAGCCTGCGACCCCTGCTGACGAGATTCATGGTTCTTCAGGGTCTCAGCATTGTCGTCGAGTCTAGCTTTCACCTCCTTCTGTTTCCTGTGAAGCTCTTTAAGTTGTTCGTGCGCCTCGATCATAGGCTCCGGGGCAGCCGCTCGTAAGGTCTCGTGAAGAAGTTGGATGGGAGTAAGACCAGCAAATTCAGCAACTCTGTCTTGGGGGAGGAACTGGCACAAGTTATCTATCTGGATGCGCAGATCAGTGGTAACATTTTTAATAGTTTGGTGATTGGCTTCCTTCCCATTGAGCCACCACTTCGATTTGTTGTCTTCTTTGCGAATCTGTAGTCGAATTACCGGGTTGGTACGTTGGTCTGGCCGACCTTGTATTTCGATTTCAACTATAGCGCTCTCTTTTCCGTGCTTCACGAACTCTCCCATGCTACTCGCTCGTCCGAGGTGTTTGGGGTGAAAGCCTAGGCCTAGGCAAATAGCACAAACCAGAGAACTCTTGCCAGTGCCGTTGGGGCCAATGACCATGTTGAGATTGGGGCCTGGATTGAAGACGGCATGTTCGTAGGTGACAAAGTTCTCGAGAAGAACTCGTACGATAGCACCAGGTTGGAACTGGAATGGGTTGATGGCTTGACCAGGCTGCGACTGCGAGGATGGAGGTGAAGGCTTTACCTCGTTATCTCGCAGAGTATTATCGTAGCTCTGGTCGACCTCGATATCATCTTCGGCTTCGAGATCAACTCGGTCGTCGACTTCTTCTGGTATAAGGCCATTGATAGTGCGCTTTCGTCGTTTTGCGGTATCCGAATCGGAAGAATGCCCGCCGTTTTCTTCTTCAAACCGGGCCCTCGACCGACGGCGGGATTCGAGAGGCGCCATAGCCAGAAAGTGGGTTGGAAGATGGACAGCAGATAAATCAAGAAATAGTGTCGAGTTGTATATTAGATAGGCATGTAATGTCTTACTATGTGCCTACTAGGCTAGGTACCAGTCATGCCTATATAGGTATTTCCAGGCAATCAGGCTGTAGTTGTTGGTTGACATGAGAATTTCAATGTTGCATAAATGAAATGCCATGCATTCAATTATTTTCAGTGCACGACGCGGTACAAGGTTAACTAACTGCCTTAGTGTCCTGTACAGTAGACGCGTTTGATGGGTGGGGCTCGTAGCTCGATAGAAGTGGGGTGGTGGGGAGTGGGGTCCAGATCTTACTGTAGGTCTGGGGTTACTGCGGCTTAAACTCGCTTCAACTTCACTTCAACATACTAGCTACTATTCTACTAGGTACCTACATCTGTAGTATTTCATTCTTCAGGTACATATTTAACCAATTCATTGATCCTCATGTCTTACCTTGACACCTGCCAACTACCATGTTGACATCATCCCTGTTGTTCAGTAATGAGACAAATGAGGGATTAGCTGAGTCTCACATAATTAAGATGTGTATAGATATCTCAACTTCCCCTTGTTTTTCATATTAATTTCGAGTATTTTTTCGAGTATTTTACATACGTAGGAATTAGAATAGTAGCTACTAGAGGCATCATAAGCCCTTTCTTTTAGGTATCTGCCTTGTAGGGTACATGAGATATGTGTACTAGGTATGTACTAGGTAGGTACCGAGGCAGTAACGAGTGTCAAGAGTTGAATATGCAGGTACTGCATCTAGTACTGCGTCTAGTACTGCATCTAGTACTGCATCTATAATTATCCACTTCAAATCTTGACAATCCAAACTGTCTACTCGTAATGATCGGAGACAATGAGAAGTACTTAATGTTGTTTTTGGAATGTCTGACTTGATCGCGTCCGATGTAAAACACCACGTTCCTTGAACCAGAAATTCATCATCTCTAGCTACACCTACATTTTCTACAACAGACTTGTAGGTAACTAACTATCTACCTTCTACAGACCAGACATCGAACGCTCCCTCATATTTACTGGATACCTTACTGGATACCTTACTGGATATCTTGCATGCACACCCCCCTTATCACCCAACCTTTTCCAATCTCCCCAGGATCCCTAAGGGTTCATTCAAGTTGGAATTTAAAACACTCGCAGCACTGTTGGCTTCCCTTGACGCAATAACCCAAGTGCCGATACCTACCTAGTACCTCACTAGCCAGGTGTCAGTCTACCCGTCCGTCCACTTACCACCCACCTATCATTTTCTTTTCTTTTTGTTTACTTTCAAACTTACCTTACCTCACAACCACCCACTCCTCTCTTACCAACTACTACATACAACTCCTTGTTCACAAGCCTCGGCTGTGTCCTATCCCCCTGTTAATTAGAATTGATACATCCTCATCTATCCCACCATCCCACCCCATCTATCTTATTGGACACCTAGAGCCATATTAGGGTTTCCTAGTCCTAGCTGATGTTCTGAATACTTGTTTCTTCGGCGTGGACATCGTAGGACATTATCAGGTATGGCTGACTATCGGGCCTCAAAGCCTCGGCCTCCTCGCGCTCCTCTCGGAGATGCAACATCTCGAGTCAACAGCAACAATGGGCCCCCAGCGAAGGCTCTCAAGCCTGTTCAAGTTAATATCCCTCCTCCTAATCCGCTCCGAGCGCATCCTCCCGACAATCAACGCCCCCAAAAGCGCACTAGTTCAACCAAAAGTGCTCCCACAAGACCTATGAATGCTCCTGTTCATATGAACTCGAATGTTCGTACGAACACTAACACTAACACTAATTCGCACACATCGGCAGTCCCTAAAGCCGTGCAACGAGTTGTTAAAGAAGATACCAGGAGAGCCTCGCAGATATCAACTGTATCTACCTTCTCCAATGGTAGGCGCCGTAAAACCCAAGTTGGACCATGGGAGCTTGGTAAGACTCTGGGCAACGGCTCAGCTGCTCACGTACGACTAGTGAGACACAATGTCACTGGTGAACTAGCTGCTGTCAAAATCCTCGCCAGGGACGGCAACACGCACACTCAACCTGGCAGCATCGCGGCACTGGATAAGTGGGACCGTAGTCGCGAAGAGTACAAAGCTGAGAACCGTATTCCTCTCGCCATTGAGAGAGAGGTTGCCATTATGAAGCTAATTGACCATCCCAATATCGTCAAGTTGTACGACATCTGGGAGAATCGCGCAGAAATGTAAGTAATATATTCGACTCCACTTATTGCTCATCTGCTAACCTCTACACAGCTATCTCGTCCTTGAGTATGTACCTCGCGGTGATCTATACAGCTATCTTGGTCAAGCGGGCCGTCTATCAGAAATGGAGACAATGTTCTACTTTCGACAGATCCTAAGCGCTGTTCAATTCATCCATTCTCTGGACATTTGCCATCGTGATCTGAAACCAGAGAATATTCTCATCGCCGAAGATGGCCAACTAAAGATCACTGACTTTGGCATGTCGGCCCTGCATCAGAGCCGGAACCACATGTTGAAGACATCTTGCGGAAGTCCACATTACGCAGCCCCTGAACTCATCGGTGATGGAGCCTACCGTGGCGAAACCATAGACCTCTGGAGTCTGGGCGTAATTCTGTACGCCTGCTTGGTCAATGTCCTACCCTTCAATGACGATAGCGTCACTCGGCTTCTTAACAAGATTCAGAAGGGGATATACCATGTTCCAGCTTTCCTGACCCCTGAATCCCGAGATTTGGTCACTCGTATACTGGAGGTGAATCCAGAGAAACGTATAACCCCTCCAGAGATCTGGGAACACCCGTTGGTCCGCAGATTCGATCATTTGGATAACCTCAACAATCCGGACAATGCCCGCGACTATCGGCTTAACGCTCGGAACGACCCGGTTCCCCCTGAAGAGGTCGATACGCAGACACTGCGGCAGTTGAAAGCTGTATGGCACACCTACAGCGAGGCGCAATTAGCAGCGAAGTTGATAAGTCCTGAGTAAGTCCTGGCAATCATGAACTGGAAGCATTTCCTAGTGTACTAACATATGCATCTATAGGAAAAACAATTTCAAGGTTTTCTACTGGCTTCTCCATACCTACCGAGAGAAGCAGATGGAAAATTATAATACAGACCTGACCTATTCTGCTAGTGATTACCACCACCTTAAACCACAAAATTGGAAGCAGACATGCTTGACTCGCGAATTCACTTCCAAAGATGGGCGGTCTGCCTCACGATTCACAGTCATCTCAACTATCGCCACTGATAAGAACGGTGACGATCTTGAGAGCACAGATGGTGCTGCAACGGTCATGAGCTACGATCCATACAAAGCTTCTCGGGTTATAGAAGATGTAGTAGCTAGCCAAGCGAGGATTGTCGTCCACCGTAATGGCACTACGTCCACGCGAGCCTCCAGGGCCGCAAGCGGACGCAGCGGGTCGGTACGGACCAATTCTACATACTCACGACATGGAAGAGGTGGACGATACTTGAGACCGCCGCCGACATCACTTCGTAACTCGCGACATTCCCTAAACTCGATTAGGAGTGGAGAGGAGATATCATGCAAACGGCCGGTAATACGCCGTAAGCGAGGAGTCAACTTTTCTCACATTCGCAAACAGTCGACAGATCAGAATGATATGATGGAACATAAACCCGCTAGCATCGCGGGAGATGACACCACAATCAATCGGGATCACACGACACCTGCCAGCCCTGCTCAGAAGAGAAAGCTTTCCAGGAACTCGGGACGACGCCGGTCCGGGACGCGATCTTTGACGAATGTATCCCAAGCTGAAGGAGATGGGCTTCACTGGAACGATGAGCTACGCCAGTTTAGTTACAGCATCGCGAAGGACTGCGACGATGCGTTTAACAGCACCCTACTAAGTCAAGGATCGTACATCAGCGATTCGGCGTTTGAATCACCAACTTCGGAGAGTGGGATGTCGTCGTCTTTTATAAACACGGCCCCAATTGCTCAAGGAACCATCAACGCGAGAGCACGCGACAGCCGAGAGCACCGACCGGTTCCGCCACCGAAAGATGTGGACACCACGCCAACGACCAAGAGAGTCGATAAGGCAACTCTACAGCTTCACCGACGCACGCATATTATCGGAGCTCCGGATCGGGCAGACGCAGACCGCAGAGTTGTCTCGGCGCCCATCTACTCGCAATACAGCACGCAATGGGGCAAAGACAAGATCCCCCTACCATCGATCAACGAAGCAATTAAAGAAGATGAATATTACGGAGACGGCGATAAACCTCGCGTTGTTTCTGCGCCCGCCGAGTCCTCGATGCTGGCGAATGAAGGCGAAGAACTGGAGTTCTTAGCTCAAAAGAGGAACACGATTCGCATGGTCGATGCTTCATTGAGCCGAGCACCAGCTTCAGCTTCAGCAACTCCTAGTGCACGAAGCAAACCGCAGCAAAATCTCAGTCTCTACCCCCAGATCCGTCAAGATCAGAGTATTAACAAGCAGTACGCTAATAAGATGAGAGACCCTGTTTCAGGGGAAACTACCATGGTGTCCGAGAAAGAGTCGGCCCATACTATCAAGAAGAAGGCGTCATGGTTTAAACGGGGCTCCAAAGATAAATCTAGTTTTGACGGTCCTATGCCCGGTGATGCAGTCGAGACTAATCGCAAAGAGTCCAAGTCATCTGCTGGTCCGGCAACTATCCCACTAGTCAAGAAGAAGAGTTTCGGTCTTGCATTCTGGCGCAAAGAGCAACCTAAGAAGAGGCTCTCCGTTGCAGGTAGGTGCTCTATGAACTCAACTAACCATGTATGTATGTATTCGAAGAAACTAACCCTCCTTAGACGCAGATTCCGACTGGGACGACGCATCCAGCGCCGATCAATCCCGTATCTTCAGCAACCCATTCCGCCCTGCATCGACCAAGGGGGCAGATGAATCTACAAAGCGCAAGATCGATCCACAGCTGGGATGGTTCGCGCGCATCTTTGGAGTCAAGCCAGCGACTCGCTACATTTGCTTCGCGATCCCCCGTAACCGTGTCCGTCACGAGCTGGTTATTCTCCTCCGGGACTGGCGCCGTCACGGCATGAGAGACCTTGAGGTCGACAGGGACCGCAATCTTGTGTTTGCGCGGGTTGCGAAGAAGAACCGTGAGTATCTCTCTATCTCTAATGATTTCGTTTCATGAAACGGGTGTGCTATATAGGTACTAACGCTTTTCGATAGATCTCAACTTGAAAGAAGCCTCCTTCGCAGCGGAGATCATGACGGTTATCGAGCATGGATCGCGCAACGAGCTATGCATTGTGCGATTTACGCAAGAGCGTGGAGCGGCCACTACTTTCCACAAGGTCGTCGATGCGCTGAACGATGTGTTCAAATGGCGTGGGCTGCTTGTCGTTGACAAGAACAAGACCAAGAAGATGGTCCAGACACTCGACGGCGGTATCCGGATCTTCTAAGACGAAGACGAGTAGATCCAAAGCCGGTCGAGCTAAAAAGAAAATGCGTTGATATCCAAGACTCATTTCTGAGATTGTACCAGAACGAGAGGGAAGAAAGTTTTTCAGTTGAAGTTTCGCCTTTACCTTTAATTACCCAACTTCGCAATCTTGGAAGGCAAAAGAGGTTACAAGTTTAGGGGAGTAGGAGAGAAACTGGATATGGAAATTCTGGTGTTACATCAAAAGCCCAAGAGACTGACTACAGAGGACGATAATAGTCATTATCTCGTGTACCCTTTCTGTATTTACTTACTTCTTTGTACAAACCGGGGAGATTGTTTGGGGTTACCTACTTGGCTAATGGATGTAATGCGGCTGGTAGCGTTAGCCTAGGCAGATGCAATGAGGGTTCCAGGTTGCATTGTAAGTCTTGTGAAAACAGAAGATTGTAAATAGATAATGGGGTAATGTTTTCTACGTATTGTGTATACTGATTAATGAATGTTTGTGGTTTACCCCTATTCATGGTCTTTACTTGTACCCCTATTTAATCCCCCCTACTACTAGTAGTATTCATGCAGACTAAATAAATGTATGATTACATAATAAAGGGGGTACTTCCAATCCCGAACCCGATCTTTTCAAGATCGGGTGTTTCCGGTCCGAGCTTCCTTATTTGAATGGATAGATTAGATCACCGGCAAATAGGAAGTAGATACCCGTCTGCTACACGTGTACTACGCAGTATGTATGTAAGATTGGCAAGTAAGAATCAACCATGCACCTAGTAAGTACCGCCGTAAGTAAGTACGTTGTACAACTTTAAACTAGAAGTTGAGCCTTTTTTTTTCGTTTCGGTTTTTTTTATTTTCGTCTTCAATTTTCTTCACGCGCCCTTTTTCCGAAATACTTGTAACTACATAACTACATACATAGTAAGTTGTGAACCATTTCCAGTTAAACCGGGTCCTCTTATAAAGAGTCACCAATCCTTAACCTCGAAAGTTTATACAGTTTCTGTCTAAACTTGTTAAGAACTTCCTAAGACTCTTTAGTAATTGTTCTTGTCAGCTGATACTTGCCTTTTTAGCCAATTGGCAGCTTGTGCCTCTCAATTACTCAATTATACCAACTGATCCTGGGAGGGAAACTGCTGCGTGACGCACATAACGCACATACAGATTGAATCATGCTGCGATCGGTAGGAAGTACGGCCGCAGGCCAAGCTAGGAATTGCCTTAGACCGAGGGCCATTCCACGTTTGTCTTGCACATGCAACACCTCCTCATCCTTCTCCTCGTCTGCATGCAAACCTATATCGTCATATGCCACTTCGACAAGTACCCTCAATATCTCCAACTCCAACATACTTAGCAAACCGACCTATTCCCTACGATTTCAGAGAAATTTCCATGCGACATCCATAAGAATGGCAGCAAACACGAGAACCGAGACCGATGCCTTTGGCGAGGTCCAAGTCCCGGCAGACAAGTACTGGGGAGCGCAAACTGAGCGTTCTCTCTCCAACTTCCGGATCAACCAGCCTCAAGATCGAATGCCACCCCCCATTGTGAGGGCATTTGGTATTTTGAAGGGCGCTGCGGCGACTGTCAATATGCGATACGGACTTGGTATGCCATAAATCCCATTTGGAGCGCATTGTGCCCTACCTAAACTAGTAACATAACCGTGGAATACTGGCTTACACGATGCGACTACGAGTTAATAGATGAGAAGATCGGCAAGGCCATCCAACAAGCTGCTGCAGAGGTCGCTGACCTCAAGCTCATCGACCACTTTCCCCTGGTCGTCTGGCAAACCGGTTCAGGCACCCAGTCTAACATGAACGCAAACGAAGTCATCTCAAACCGAGCCATTGAGATTCTAGGAGGCACCATGGGTACCAAGAAGCCCGTTCACCCTAACGACCACGTTAACCGTTCCGCCTCCTCCAACGATACCTTCCCTACTGTCATGCACATCGCCGCCGTTCTCGAACTGGAAGGCGAGCTACTGCCAGCACTGAAGAGTCTTCGAGATGCGCTACAGAAGAAGGTTGACGACTTCGAGGCCAAGAAGATCATCAAGATCGGCCGAACCCACCTTCAGGACGCCACACCTTTGACCTTGGCCCAGGAATTCTCCGGTTATGTCGCCCAGCTCGACTTTGGCATCAAGCGAGTAGAGAGCTCCTTGCCGGATTTGAGACTCCTCGCTCAAGGTGGTACCGCTGTCGGTACGGGGATCAACACCTTCGAAGGCTTCGCGGAAGCCATTGCCGAGGAGGTTACTAAGATGACGGGGACCGAATTCAAGACAGCGCCGAACAAATTCGAAGCGCTAGCTGCACATGACGCCATCGTCCAAGCCTCAGGCTCTCTTAACACCTTGGCTGCGTCCATCACCAAGATTGCTCAAGATATCCGATACCTCGGCAGCGGCCCTCGTTGCGGTCTTGGTGAGCTGATTCTGCCAGAAAACGAACCTGGTTCCAGCATTATGCCCGGTAAGGTCAACCCCACGCAATGCGAGGCCTTGACGATGGTTTGCGCTCAAGTCATGGGTAACCACGTTGCGACGACCATTGGTGGCATGAACGGCCAGTTCGAGCTCAATGTCTACAAGCCCCTCGTTATTCGAAACCTACTACACAGCACGCGAATCCTGGCAGACGGTATGCGCTCGTTTGAGAAGAACCTTGTGGAGGGTCTTCAAGCCAACGAGGAGAAGATTTCTAGCATCATGAAGGAATCGTAAGTGCAACTCATACCCATTGCCCATGCCCATGTCCATGATGAATAAAAGTAATGACTAACGATTGCAAATGTCTCAGGCTCATGCTAGTTACTTGCCTTAACCCCAAGATTGGTTACGACATGGCATCTAAAGTCGCCAAGAACGCGCACAAGAAGGGTCTAAATCTGAAGGACAGCGCCATGGAACTCAATGCGTTGACATCGGACGAATTCGACACGCTAGTCAAGCCGGAACTCATGGTCGGGCCCAAGCCCTACAAGGGTTAGGTGCACCAGATAGTCGAGCCCGTCCTGCAATACGTCCAAGCTGAACTAGATGCGCTCGAGGAGGCGACATCGTCGTCGTCAACTTTTCACGACCACCACCATTCCTGTTCTCGCTAAGATCATACATACCCTGGCGTTTGCCAACGCATTGATTTGCATCGCGTCGGTGACAAGAGTCATGTCAGAAAAAGACGACATCGGTCCTGTACAGGTTGCGACAGGTTGTACATAAAGTAAAAAGAATAAAGAGTAAATAGTAAACTTTGACACACACACACATAATCTTTGATGCCTAGGTGCATGTAGATGCCCGAGCTTCGGAAGAGATGGTGATGTTAGACTTGCGTAAGTTAAAAATAGGGGTTCACTTATCGGCTTGATGGATTATCTCTGGCTTGGTGCTGCGTCTTGTTAGGTAATGACTGCTTTCTATGTATGTAACTACATAGAATACACCATGATGATGTGTAGGAGTGAAGCTGGGGAACGGGGGTTCGGGTAGTCTCGGGAACTTTACCGATCTAGGACCTGGAATTGGCTCCCGCCCGACCTCGGCAGCCGGGACTCAAGGTACCTCAGGTACATTGATCGTTTCTCGGCATCTCGGAAGTTCTAGGCTCACTCACCCCTACGTCACCCGGCCCTTTCTTTTAGGCCTTGAGGCGGTTTTCCGATAAGTAACGTTTTTGATTTGGGTGTTTGATACGTTGGTGGAGGGTAGGCCGTAGGGTAGCCAAGGCCCATCCCACGATCTCGGGACAGGCGCGGCATTATGGAGTACGTGAGGGTGCTTATTATCTATGGTATTATCTATCTATCTTTGTCACTCACTTGGTTACATACAAGGCGCAACACAAAGATTTTCCTTTCGGTGTGTATGATTGCTTAGGGAGGTAGGTATGTAGGTACTGTCTATTGCAAGAGCCGACAACGGAAATGGTTAATCCACTGGCGACATCGCTGAGCCGGACAGGATCCCCAAGTCCACATTTCCGTGTAGCTTGCTGTGCCGTGATTTTTACAATTTTTTTTACTTGCAAGAATAGAGTATCTGGATGTAGTAGGTAGGAGGGGTTGAGGGGTGAGTTGATAAGAAGGGAGATGGAACTTGATGCCGTCATGATCCACAATCATTCACTACCCTACCTAGGTATTCCAATTCTTAATAATCGAACAACGAAAACGGTTCCTTGTGTGCGACGGGCAGATGGGTTTCACTGCTTACGGCAAGAAGGAGCCAATGAGAAGTGCCAATTAGCAATTACATCAATAGTTTGATCTCATTCGATCAAAAGATGACCGTTTTGAACTGGCTGGCATGTGGGGAAAAGTATCCTCCCCTTTTATGATTTGAATTTTGAACCGGGGTTGGAGCTCTAAGAGGTTCCCCGGGTGCCGGCTCTTGAGATTTACGGTAGATATGTACCTATTACATATTACCTAGTAGTGTACATACCTGGATGTACCTAGCTATGTAAATACGCTTAATACATATCTCACATGTGATGATCATGTAAGTAACTACATGTACTTATGGCATATGGGGCAAACGTTTAACATTTCCCCACAATGCCACATCTTCACAAGCTTCTTTTGCCTAGGCCCAGACATCTTTTTGGACGTCTAGTAGTCATCCTTCACCTCTTCTCGTCGGCTAACTTCAACATCACGTAGCCACTCATCTATCCTCCTTCCAACCGAACCTGCCTGGAGGGACGGGTTGTTCTGTTGGAGCTTAAACCTCGTCACCTCGTCTCAATGCCGTGGTTAGTGTAGGTACAGCACAGTACAACCCACGTGTAATAGCTACTAAGTTGAGAGGAGCATCTGGAGGTTCTGGCCTAGTCCATGTACCGTGGTAGTGGGCTTTGTCTATTATACACACCTAGCTACATGCCTGACTATGACCTAGGTAGATAAACTGAGACACCCCTCCTTTGGCTTTTTGACCTTTAAAGCGGTTTACCTGGTGTACTTTACTTACCTTGGCTTCTAGACTAAACATCATTGCCCGTTTCTTATAACCGTGAGCCACCCACTATCTACTGATCCGTAACCGTATTGCTGCTGTCATCCCTTCTCTCCAAGGTACATAAGTATCGAGACTTAAGTATCTACTAAGGTACCTTATCTAATTAACAGTAGCTCTCTCTTCTCCCTTCTACATACTTATCTATCTATACCCTCCTAGTTTACTGTTTGCTACTCTCCCCTCTTCCCTTTCATCTAGTTTTCACTACTACTAGCTTTGTTGAGCATCGACTCATATACACCACGCTTCAAGGAAACCAGAATACATCTATACAGAGAATCATATCAACTTGGTGCCGTCTTATCTAACACAACTACTACCACACACCATCACCACCCACCATGGCGACCACCGACTCCATCCTGCAAGGCGTAACCGTCTCGGGCGCCGTGCAAGCCGAGCACAAGAAAATCCTGACGCCCGCCGCCCTCGCCTTCCTCGCCCTGCTGCACCGCTCCTTCAATACCACGCGCAAGGCCCTGCTCGACCGCCGCATCCAGCGCCAGGCCGACATTGATAAGGGAAACCTCCCCGACTTCCTCCCCGAGACCAGACACATCCGCGAGAACCCCACGTGGAAGGGCGCTCCGCCCGCCCCGGGGCTTGTTGACAGGCGGGTCGAGATCACGGGCCCGACGGATCGCAAGATGGTGGTTAATGCGCTGAACTCGGATGTTTGGACGTATATGGCGGATTTTGAAGGTATGTCGTTATGGATTCTTTTCTTTGTTGTCCGTCGAGGGTGGTGGGGAATCGAGAGTGATCATATTTGACATATGCATATATGATAAACATGATGAGGGCTATTCGTGTCAGGATTTGGCTAACAATCGAAAACCAGACTCGAGCGCACCAACCTGGGACAACATGATCAACGGGCAGGTGAACCTCTACGACGCCGTGCGCCGGCAAGTCGACTTCAAGCAAGGGCCCAAGGAGTACAAGCTGCGCTCCGACCGCGTGCTTCCTACCCTCATCGTGCGCCCGCGCGGGTGGCACCTAGACGAGAAGCACGTCACCGTAGACGGGGAGCCGATCTCGGGGTCCCTGTTCGACTTCGGGCTGTACTTCTTCCACAACGCGCGCGAGAGCGTTCAGCAAGGCTTCGGCCCGTACTTCTACCTGCCGAAGATGGAGTCGCACCTGGAGGCACGCCTGTGGAACGACGCGTTCAACCTCGCGCAGGACTACGTCGGGATCCCCCGGGGAACCATCCGCGCGACCGTGCTGATCGAGACGATCCTCGCCGCCTTCGAGATGGACGAGATCATCTACGAGCTGCGCGACCACAGTTCGGGCCTCAACTGCGGCCGCTGGGACTACATCTTCAGCACGATCAAGAAGTTCCGCCAGAACAAGGCGTTTGTGCTCCCTGATCGTAGTGCGGTCACGATGACGGTCCCGTTTATGGATGCGTATGTGAAGTTGCTGATTCAGACGTGCCATAAGAGGGGTGTCCATGCGATGGGCGGCATGGCGGCGCAGATCCCGATTAAGAATGACCCCGAGGCGAATGAGAAGGCGATGGAGGGTGTCAGGGCGGATAAGCTGAGGGAGGTGCGCGCTGGGCATGATGGGTATGTTTTTCTTTCTCTCTCCCCCTTTTCACTGTAGTACTAACACCCAAAAAGTACATGGGTGGCCCACCCCGCCCTAGCAGGCATCGCATCCGAGATCTTCAACAAGCACATGCCGACGCCGAACCAGCTGTTCCGGCGGCGCGAGGACGTCCAGATCGGTCAGAAGGACCTGCTGAACATGAACGTGCCCGGTCAGATCACCGAGGACGGCATCCGCAAGAACCTCAACATCGGCGTCAGCTACATGGAGGCGTGGGTCCGGGGTATTGGCTGCGTGCCGATTAACTATTTGATGTACGTTTTAATCATTTCACTGCTTTGTCGCGTCTTTACTGTATATCTACTGTCCTCTACCCTTCGTCACCCTTCTTACCTAAATACTCATACCCTCGACCCCATCCTTCCTTCCTCTCTATTCTTCCCCTCCTCCTCTTAAACAGAACTAACAACCACACAGGGAAGACGCCGCCACAGCCGAAGTGTCCCGGTCACAGCTCTGGCAATGGGTGCGGCACGGCGTGACGACCGCGGAGGGGACCAAAGTCGACAAGGCGTACGCTTTGCGCCTGCTAAAAGAGCAGACGGAGCTGCTGGCGGCGGCGGCGCCGAAGGGCAGCAACAAGTTCGCGCTGGCGTCGCAGTACTTCGCGGCGCAGGTCACGGGCGAGGACTACGCGGACTTCTTGACGACGCTGCTGTATAATGAGATCACGACGGTGGGGAATGCGGCGCCGGCTAGTAAGTTGTGAGGAGGTGTTGGGCGTGAAGATGGAAGAAAATATTTACGAGAATGTGGTAGGTATAGTATAGGTAGGGAAGGGAGGGGACAAGCTATTTATTGGCGTATTGTATGAATGTTAATAGTCTATGAACAAGATGAAAAAAAAAAAAGCAAACTTGAATGAAAAAATCTACGTATTCGTTATATCTGATCTATATGCCTGATAGAGAAACCTGAGTTTGCATTTATTTGTCTTGGTAACATGAACTTTGAACATATCTGACATAGGGCTAGTATGTGTCTTACGGATGCTGCCGTGCCTCATAAGAGCGACCTCCTTACGAAGTACTAATTTTTGCTTGATTCCTATTGATAAAGTATTCATATATTCTACTAGCATCCATATATATCTAATAGCTTTATAAGACTAGGTACCTAGCCATTGAGTCCAATGCCACCATTTACATCGAAATGCCGAATTTCTGCTGGTGGATTTCGACGCACTGGTGAGATAGCCTGTTGTCGTCAGGATTGGAAGGTGATGACCATAGGTGGGTAAAATCTCGTGTCCCCTTATCTGCCTACCTATTGCCTACATGTAGTTAGGCTTTGAGACAACTATGTACCTAAGGTTAGGGGAAAAGATCGATGAGAAGAAGACTTGGTTGTTTACGACACATCTGGTGTTTGAATAAAATAAAATGGAAATATCGATTGCCTATGATAGGTATGATGATGCTAGTGTTGATCTGCTTCGTATATGATGGTGACGCACATACGAGTACCCTCTTTTGACACATGTCGCCAAGGCTGCGAGGGTTGCGAGCAGAGGTATGTAGAGACATCATGGGCTTGAGGTTTGTTATCGCGAAAGCTGACTGCGCCTACACTGCTCGTATGTACATATCGATGCTGGGCGAGCGAGAGGAAAGCAGTTTTGGGGCTGGGTATAAGTAACTTATGTAGTAGGCATGCTAGATACCTACCTACGTAGGCATTGATATACGAGTCTTCCTCCGCCTCGCCTCGCTACCGTAGTAGGTGAACACGGGGAACCCCCATCTCGAGTCCGAGTAGGTACCTATGTAGGTATGTAGAGTCTGCCCGCCTTCGTCTCACATAAGGTTTCAAGCCAAAGCCTCGAGATGTTGAAATCACCTAGAAGTTAATTCTTACCAAAGTGGCAGGAAAATGGCCTTTTATGTTTCAAGTATCTAGATTTGATAGATGCTTGGTAGTATGTAGTTATATGTGGTATTAGGAATGTATGTATATACGTTATACGTACATATATGTATGTATGTATATATGCAAGGGGGCAATTAAATGCCCACCTGCCGTTCAATAAGAGTAATGACGTCACTGGCGATGTCTCGTAATCAATGGCGTGCTATGCATGTACCTGTGTGTATCCAAAGTATTACATGTATGTACTATGATGTAGATAGTATTATGTACCTAGTACTCTATTTGTGCCGTGTCACACTGCAAACACAACATTGAACCTCAACACCCGAAACCGTAACACTGCTACCTATGTAATCATCACAACGTCCTGATCAAGTTACCTAAACAAAATGACTTCGGCATTGATCCTTGGTGCTACTAGGGGGCTGGGTGCTGCCCTGGTGAAGGAATACATCTCACAACCCTCCACGCAGGTCTTCGCTACTACACGGTCTGCAAACGCCCCGAGCGGGTTCCCAGATGGTGTTCAATGGCTCCCCAATATCGATCTGACCCAGCCCGATGTTGGAAAGACTCTCGCTGACCAGCTCAAAGGGAAGGATCCTTTGGATGTGGTCGTAAGTCAACAAGCTGCGCCTTCGCAGCATCACGTGCATTAATTCATCATATCCTAGGTTATCAATGCTGGCCGATTCATGACAGAAGACTTCTCTACCGAGAAAGGTCCAAATTGGGCTGACGAAGTGACCATGTATACCACAAGCTCCATTGCACCGGTATTCGTTATCCACAGCCTCGCACACGCTGGTCTTTTGAAACAAGGATCCAAAGTTGTCCTCGTGTCTAGCGAGGCTGGAAGTATCACATTGCGGCATGAAAAGGAAGGGGGCGGAAACTATGCTCACCACGCCAGCAAGGCGGCGCTGAACATGGTCGGCAAGCTCCTAGCCATCGACCTTAAAGAGAAGGGCGTCATAGTCAGCATCCTTCACCCTGGCTTCATGCGGACTGAGATGACCAAAGGTGTTGGCTTCGACAAGCATTGGGATGCGGGCGGCGGTAAGTAAATCGCGATTCATTACTAAACGATATCCTGCTCGCAAGATTTGCAGTCATCAGTCAGCATAATAGCTAATATTATGGGACTGGCAGCGGTGACTCCGGATGAGGCTGCGAAGAGCCTCGTAAAGTGGACAGAAAGGCTAGATATTAGCAAGTCTGGGGAATATTGGGCACCACGTGGACCACGTGAGTCCCCCCCTCCCCTCCCCCCGATCCTAAGCGATCTAACTTGGACCACACTTGAATTGATGTTGTAACTGACCCTAAAGTTAGGCGACATTGGTATGGCTGAAACTGTGCTCGGGACGAACCTGGAAACGCCTCTGAAGCTGCCCTGGTAATTCTAATTTGCCGCGAAATGTATGCTGTTATTACTAATGCGGATTGCAAAATTCGTCAATGAAACCACCATGATGGAGCTTTCAACTAGAAATCGAGGAGCTTTACATCTGCCCACTGCTATCAACGGCGTGACTAATGCTAGCAGGTAGCCATAATAATTAGTTAAGCATACAAGAATAGAAGACGCTGGGGCTGTTTCATCCAATGCAAATAGTATTGACTTCGCGGCAGCCAGTAGATCTCAATAAAGACCTGAGACTTGATCGAGTGTTATTATATCGGATGGATATCGGATGGTTTACATGCATAGCTGTGAAGTTTGTGTAGTTAACTAACTAGTGGTTGTACTGTACAGTATGAATTCAACAGAAAAGAATGAAAAAGGGGGGGCTTATTAGTCAGTATAGCTTAAACTACTGCAGTAGAATGATGGGGATCGGCGGTTTGCAAAAAGATAGCAAGATGTTATTTCGAACTACCCCACACATGAACGCCAAGACAAGCAATTCGTTATTATGGGGAGTCCATTTCCGGCTACAACGGACACGGCAGGACTGGGCGGGCTCCCTAGGCTTCAATAGGGGCCTCGAACCGGTATCATCCTGCTTGGTAATGCCCTGCTATAGCGCGCCAAGCCCAGCGCAGTGTAGTTGAGTGGTCAGTGGCCAGTCACGCGTGTAGGTATTGCACATTTGTATGGGTGACTATAAGGTAATAGATGGGCAGGCTGCTATGTAGGTTAGATTGGTGTAATAATGCTCATGGAGCCGGCGTGGACTTTTTTAGGCTGACTTGAGAATGTAGTGTATGATGATACATACCTTTCCAGGGCGAGGTACATGTGTATGCAATTCTAACCATGAGATCCTATGGAAATCGTTCGAAGCAACACGCAATATTGTCATCTTATTATAATATGCACACACATAACTACCTAGGTACCTACTTACTGGGTCAACTTCTATCTATCCAGATCTAGGCCGCTCACCCGTGCCTTTTTGAGTTGCCTGATTTGTGCTATACCTTGCTAACTAGGTAGAGTGGCATCCAAAAGCAGCAAGGGGTATAACTAAACGACGCAGAGCAAACTAACGTTACGAGTGCTACGGTATGGGTTACCGGGGCTATAATATAGTTATAATCGAATAGGCTCTTTTAATACAATTGTAATAGCGCTCGAATTAAGTGTGCAGGCTGCGAGCACGCAGTTCGATGTCGTGAAAAATTACCGTCTTGGGGCTAAGAGAAATAGTCGATAGTCGATAGTTGAGCTAGAAAAGCTGAACATGTTGCGGCTGTGAGAAAAGCCCAGCTGACCTGGAGCTATGTACTAACCTAGTAGTATGTTGAGGTTGAAGTTGGAGTTCAATGCTGGAATTGGAGTAACTAAAAGCTAAAAGTGCATGAAAGCAAATAAATCAGGTATGTATATGAGGGTTTTAAGGTGTTCAATTTAACAAATCTCCAGGTGGGATCAGCGATGCTAAGGCAAGTAATAACTAACTGTAAAATACATGTACTATTAACTGTAAGGCACAACATGCACCAAATCTTAGGTAATTGCTTCGTACTACCCCTACAACCCATATCTGATTTCAACGTGGGTAACACGGAGAAATTAGGTGGATACATCTACGTGACCACCTGCTAGACTACCAAACTGCCAGAGCAACTGCAGACCAGACATCTGGACATGGGTAGGTAGTACATACTAGTTACATAGTACATATAACTACATATGTAATGGCAATTTTTCATTTCTGGACTTTCAGTGCTGCACTTTGCATAACCTCTTTTATTGTCTCCCGACTCCCCCTTCAACTTCCTTTTAATAATTCCTTCAACCTTGTATGCCCGTTAAAGCATTCCAGATGTCTAGAGAAAGATCGATCGATGGGATACGAAGTTACGAACCAATGTGCTACATACTATGTAGTATTCAATGCTCTACACCATGTAGGTAGAGGCAAATACCTAATATGTACAACATTATATGTAGCAATTCTATCAAGCTTCTAAGACTATTCCCATTTGGTACTACTCAGGAGGCAAGCAAGCAAGCAAAGCACCAGACCAGGTAGGTCATAAGGGACACACTTAAGGGAACAATGAACATACGGGGGTAGCGCGATCCGTTACTTTTTTACACATTTCATTAAATCAACGGGGGGTTAGTAAACACATGGCAGTCTAGGTAGGTATTAATCAAATGATATAAGGTTAAACACACCTCGGTCCTAAACTCAATTGATTCCTTCTGTTCTTTTTGTCTCTCTTTCGTCTCGATACCGTGCCATCTAGTTCAAGTTCGTTTTTAGCTTCAACGACTTGACGAGTTCTAACAACCGTCTAACAGCCGTCTAACAACCGAACCCTCCAACGCCTTTCCTCTTCTTTAACACGAATTAATAGCACAGACATTTAAGCAACATCATTGGCCTGCTCCCGCTAGTTGAAAACCCCCCCTCCCCTTGTCCGTCCTAATAGAAACGAACGAACCAGGAGACAAAGAATCCCCCCCATCTTAAATGAATTAAGAGCCCACAGCTGGAAGATATAGTGTACAGTACGCTATTCGATTTAATACCGTTCTTTAGTGAATAAGGGGTCTCTTCAAGGAGGATCACCAAGCTTGGAAGAAGGGGGTAGAAAAGAGGGAAAAGGGAAACCTAAGAAATCAAGATCAAGAATAATATTGTCACCCGACATTAAAAGAAAGAAAAGACTCGGGGAGACCTTGAAGCTCGAACAACATAGGAAATTGTCAAATACCGATCGGTACTTGAGGTAGCACGGCACGCCCTAAAAGTACCTATATTTGCTCCTTCCTTTTTCCTCCACTTTCCCCAAAATTTTCGACAGCAACTGAGCATCATTCAAACTAAAAAGAAGGAAGTTTGGGAAGCTGCGAGAGATAACTTGGTACGACAACAAACCAAGAATTTGAAGTTCAAGGGTGGTACTAATCATTCAAATATCAGAATATCCAAATATCCAAATATCAGAATCAACTAAATCAACTAAAATCAACTAAAATCAACTAAATCAAATCGGCTAAACCGGACAGACCAGCGATTTCCCAACTTGAACTTACATCACACACCTAATACTAGCACATCTCTACCTAGCACGCTCACACCTGGGGCATTGGGGCATTGGGGCATTTTAGCACCGGAAGTTCCTTGCATGGGCAAAAAGAACCTAACGCGCGTTGCCGTAAAACAAACTCAGCTCCAGTCCCAGACTCCCAGACTCCCATTGAATTTCTAATTTCTAACCTACCACACTACATTACCACACTACCAACATTTGAACCTACCACAATTCAAAAGTATACCTGCAACATCTGCACATCTGCTACCAAATTAATCCCTATTAATCCCAATCCATACACTTTTCGACCCACGAATTGACCACCTTTAACCCACTCAACCCACTCCTCCAACTCCATTCAATACAAGCGAGTGTGTCGCATTTCCTAACTCACCTATCAATTCGATTGGTATCTTTTTTTTTCTTTTTTTTTTTTACACTTCGCTTTTTTTTAATTCTCTTCTCTCCTTTCTCCTTCTTGACATCAAGCGCTTGCGTCGCGTCAAGTTTCAAGCCGCTAGCGAACGTCATCGGCCCGTCACAAAAGAATTAGCGAAGCAAAGCACAGTCCTTCATCTCCTGTGCTTGAAGATCGCGGTCACTTTATTCTGGTCCATCATTTATTTGACTGGTCTCTGGTTTCTGGTTTGGACACTTTATCTAACCAAGACCAAAGACCGAAACCTAAACCAAAACCCTCAATTAGAGGACGACAGTTCCGGGGCAGTATCACATTCCCCCTGCAAGATTCGGAACCTTCTCCGTGGAAAACAAGGAAGTTTCAATCATCATGTCCACGCATTCGCAAGATCTTCTAGGTGAGTGTAGCAGATACCAAGATACCAAGAGAATACCCCCCTCCCGCCCCCTTTTTTCCAATCTGTCCAATTTTCGTCTGGAAAGATTGGAAAGATTGGAAGATAACACACTCACATACACCCACACCCACACACAATATACACACATACATACACACCACTACACTAGGACACCTGGCACTCGCATAGGTACAACGTCCTGCGATAAGGAGAGCCAGGATTATGTTGGCTACTCTCCGCTTAATGGGGGCCATCCGCCTTGTTTCATTTGCAGAAATTATTGTTTCACAATTGCCCATCTCAGTCGTCATTCCTATCGCAACAAACCTGTAAAAACCTGTAGTGGCCCGACATTGCTAACCTACTTTTTGTTTGCTGTGCATAGGTCTTTTTGATAATGGCCCATCCGCCCAATCATCCCAATCCCAATCCGCCGGCTTGACGCTTAATCTCTCGTCAAACAACCCCTTTCGCAACCGTGCGGCGTCACCGAACAGCTTGCAATCACCTCCCCATTCCCCTTTTGATGACCCTCACCCCCCTCCTCGACCTACCTCGAGAAATCCTTTCCTCGATCCATCAAACCAAGCACCTGCCCGTACTGCGATCTCTCCCGATAAAATGTCCACATCCCAGGAACCAAAGCCCAGCGTCGATGACCTTTTTGTAAGTCACAATCTGCACTCGAATATCGAGATCGCGTATGAAGCAGACCAATTAACATGCATAATATCAGAGCAGCTTAACGTTCGACGAAAAGGCCACGAAGCCTCGATCAGGATCCTTGCGACCTCCAACCAACCGCCCTTCTGGTGGTCCATCTAGAGGTGAAAACAACCCTCCCCGTGGTCGCGGTGCACCACCACCTGCTTCGTCATCGCATAGGCCAAGCCGATCGCAGGAAGAAGCTTTACGTGCACGTCGTTTGCAAGGCGCATCTAACGGAGATAAAGGCGCGTCGACTACACCCCACAAGAAGCCCACGGAGCGACGCCCGCGCCGTAACAGCGACTCTTCGGTAATGGAGAAGCCTTTGACGGATGCCGAGAAGAAGGCGCGCGACCTGAGACGTAAAGAGCGTGAGCAACGCCACCGAGACCGAGAGGGCAAAGACAAGTCCAAGCCAGCGAAGAAACTTGACATCATCGATCAGCTCGATGCTACGAGCATTTATGGAACAGGATGTAAGTCATCTTAACACATTTATCCTAATTTCACGTACTCACACCCTTAACCAGTATTCCATCACGATGGTCCATTTGATGCTTGCAACCCACACCGCAACCGCAAGGGAAGTCGCCGGGCACCTATGAAGGCATTTGCTGTAGATTCTGCCAACAATTCCATTGGAGGTGCTGGTCCTCTGACTCAACGACCCGACCACGCCCAATTTATGGGACAAGATCATGAGGCTGCTTCCATGTATGGAATGCCGGCTAGGAGGACTGGTGGTAGCAAGAGCGAAGCTGTCTTTTTCGACCCCAAGCAAGGAAATGAGTTTGTCGAGGGCGAGGAGTCACTGGGATTGGGATCCTCAACATTCCTGGAGGGTACCCCGGCAGCTCGAACGGTGATCGAGAAGACTCAGGCCGAGACGCAGGCCATGGAGCAACAGAACTTGGGAAGAAAGAAGTCGGTTGTACAACGATTCCGAAGCATCAAGCGTGGGCCTCGTGACTACGACGCTGGCCGAGTTACCAGCCCAGAGAGCAGCTATGCCACGCCGAAGACGGGTGGAATGTCTGCAGGCAACAACGCTAACGAGCGAAACCCGTTCTTCGCCGAGTTCGACGAAACCGAAGAACACATTTCGGTGAAGCGCAAAGACTCCAACCCGAGGTCCCCTTCCAGCCCACCGCTACCGAACTCGAATCTCGAACGTCGAGCGACTGATGATGGAGCAGCAGGCGATGGCTTCCTGTCCCGTGTCAGGAGCCTGAAGGGAGGACGCCGACGGCCGGATGTGCCAGGCAGAGAAGCACCACCTGCTCCCGGCGTGGCGATGTAAGCTACCGACAGTTGAAGACGATATCGTTTGTGAATTATATCTCATGAGGTAGTTTATCCGGAGGCTGCATCGAGGAGTCGAGCCGGGATCGGCAGTCCTTTTCTGAGACGAATACCAACACCAGGGGGTGTTTCTAGGGATGGGGGGATTTGACACTGAATCCAGTGTGGTGGAATTCATGGCGAACACGTCTTTCGAAAATTTTCTTTGAAAGTACAATACAAGAATAGATGTAGTCGGCGGATGCGCTCAGCTTAGACAGCAAAGCTACTACCTATTGCCTACATGTGCAGTAGGGGGTGGTAAGGAAAGCTATCGGGCACCGGCATACTTACATCACCGTCACTCCTTTACAACCTTCAAAACCTTTCCTGTCAGGATACCTTCTTGCGTTCTATTGTGTTAATAGGAAGTAGTAGCAGACTTTCGAGATGTGTAAAGCATGGCTAAGAGAAACAGCAAAAGACGGACTAGACGAAGCATCGCTACCAAAAAAAAACTAGGAGAACGTCGTGCAGATTGAATTGAATGCATCAGCTCGGTTGCGTATTTGCTTTGATAACTAGAAAGGTTAATAAATACATAGTAGCATACCTATTGTGTACTGTACCTGTTTTATATGTACACATGAGATTGAGTAATAAGTAAATCTCCACTTTCAATGTTTTGTAGAGAAACTTCAATGTTGACATGATTTTATATGTGTACTACCTACCTGTCTAACCTAGTACTTAACCAACAATCTATTCGTATATACCTAACTTCTTTTACATACTCCAACTCTTTACACACATGTTCATAGTAAGATTTATCTCGACATTTTTCACTTCAAAAATCGACAAACTATAAATACCTACGGAAAGGGAATATGGATACGCACTCAAACGACGATCCGCCACCAGCATCACAGGCTAGCTCGCACTTCCCCTTTCTAGAACCCGTGTCCGGCGACATCCTGTACGGTCTCGAGGTCAAAAGGCGGCAAGACCTCAGACGCAGAGGCCGCGTGCGCACGGGGTGCAGGGAGATTGACGACGCGGTGTTGAAGGGCGGGTTTGATCGTGGTAGCGTGGTCGGTGTTAGTGCGGAGGACGGGGATGTTGGGCTTTTGGTGAGTATCTTGTTACTGTTTATTATTCTATGGTGTATGATAGGTAGGTAGGTAATAGCGAGTAAAAGCTGGTAGACAAGCAGACAGACAGACAGACAGACAGACAGACAGACAGACAGATAGATGAGTCACATGGGACGGGAAGGCTAATCCTTTTATCTAGGTCGGCCTGCAAACAGCAGCGCACACCCTAGTGTTCGGGGACCAGTCGCTGCGCCAGGAAAAAGTAGCAATCGTCACCACGCTGCCAGCCACGGCCGTGCTCCCCCTGCTGCGGGACGTGGTGAGGGCGCAGGTCCAGGTGAAGCTGGGCTCGGCGAGACAGAGGGAGGCGGAGGCGGAGGTGGAGGTGAGGCGGTGTCTGGAAAGGATTAGCGTGTCGAGGGTTTTTGATGTTGAAGGCTTGTGGGAGGTGGTTAGTGAGTTGGAGGCGCCTGTGCCTGTTGCTGCGTGTGACGGCGTCGCTGCTGCTGCTGCTGCTGCTGCTGCTGATACTACGACTGTTCTACACGAGGAAGAAGGAGACGCAGAAGTGGTTAGCGCGGCTGTGGAAATGGATGAACAGGAGACAACGAAGACCGCTAGAATTGGAGAAGAAGATGATAATGAGAAAGAAGATGAGGAGGAGGAGAAGAAGAAGGAGAAGGAGACGACAGCAGCAGCGACTCTACCTCCCCTCAGACCTCAGCAGCGGCGCACAGAGGTATTGGATAGCGAGTACGACGAAAACGAACAGCTGAGCTTGCCCTCGGCGTCTTCTTCGCCTTTATCTTCACCTCCAGACAGTATCCGATCTCCGTCTATTAGTGATATTCCTGCTCCTGCGATTATTACGCCTACACAAATATCAGCAGCAGCAGCAGCAGCAGCAGCAGCATCACCGACAGTAGCAAAGCAAGAAGAGCCCCAGCACCAGCAGGAACAAACCTCCCACACCCCCGACCTAATAATAATAACCCACTTCTCCGCCCTCCTCACCAACCTCTTCACCCGCGCCACCGCAGCCGGCACCGGCAACAGTAACAACAACAACAGCAAAACGTCAGCACATACTACGCTACAGCTATTATCCTCGCATCTGCGGTGCTTGGCACGCTCGTCCGCCGGGCCACTTGTTATGCTGCTTAATACTACTACTACTACCACCACCACCACCACCTCGTCATCTGCTTCTTATCCGACTACAAACATGAAAACCACGAAGCCTCCGTTGGAACCCACGCTCCGGTCAATATTCGCACCAACGCCCACAACAATCATCGGAGGAGGGGCAGGGGGGGCAGGTATAACAACAACAACCAAACCAGCCTTCGGCGCCACCTTCGCGCAGTTCCTAGACCTACACCTCCTGTGCACCTCCATCCCGCGCCGTCGAGGCGACGCCGCCGCGGCTTCTTCTTCTTCGGCGGCGGCGGCGGGGACGGTTCGGCACGCGACCGTGGTCGAGGTCTTGCTGGACGAACTGGTTGTCTGGGAGCGGGAGGGCGATGGCGATGGCGGCAGCAGTTCTGATACTACTACCAGGTCTACCACCACTACTACCACCACCCCAGCGAAATGGAAAAGAACCAACAGAGAACAACGATGGGGCGCCGTGGAGGCTCGCGCGGGGGCCGCTAGACTCGTCGACGCGTCTGTGGCTGTCGGGGACGCAAAAGACTCGAGGTTTCAGGGGCCTTTTCGGATCGCGGGTGGGTTTGGGGGGCCGCCGCCAAGGGGGCTGTGAGGAGCGTGAGGGAGTTGTTAGGGAATGGGCGGGCGGGTGAGGTGGAGGTGGGGGTCGAAGTTGTTCGTGTATTTGAGGGTCGTAATGGACTTGATCAGGGGACATACTTCGCGAATATCTATCTACCTAAGTACTACCACATTTAAAAGTTAGATTTCATGGGATGCCTTCCTTCTTAATAATGTATCGAAGGTCTCTACCATGAGAAATAATCACGATGACATCGAACCGGATTCAGTATAGAGTTTATTCATGCTTGTGTTCTACGAATTGCCTGGCCTGCCATCCAACACCCCAAACCATCCAACCCGTGACCATAAGCCCTAACCTAGCTAAGTTTATATGCTGATAGATAGGTACCTACCTACCTAGATAATGAACAACACCTCTTCATCAAAGTATCAGGATACGGCACTAATATCCATTAATGAACCGTACTAGGTACCCTTTTCCTACTCCCATCCCCAAGCGCCTTTTACATTTAGCTTCGTGAATGTGTGATATAGTATACAGATGCATCGCTTAGATTAGCTCATCCAATCTTTTCACGATGGAATAGCCTCTAATATTACCTAGCATGGCTCGTCATCTGCAGCTGTGGAGTTTCTGCCTTACGTTAACTCTTCACAACTCACCCACCTCCTCGTCCGCGACAAACGGGCTCAAACGCTCAATCAACTCCTCAACGGGAATATCACCATCGACATCCGCGTTCCAGGAGCCCTTGTGCTTGTGCGGGGGAATCAGAACAGAATCAACCACTTGAATGACACCGTCCTTGGCCACTCCATCCTGAATGGTAACAGGCACGTGTCCGTTGAGCTTGATTCTGATAAATCCGTACCACCGTGTAATGTCGACAGCGATGTGCTTGTCACCTAGGAGCGTAGGCAGGTCGATGTGGAAGTGCTTGACGCCCTTGCCGGTCGTCTGGTCTTTGTCATTGACGTCGTCGGCACTCTCGATTTCGTCACACCGCATGTTGAGAAGAGAGTCAGAACCCTTCTTCCCGTAGTACTCGTCCGAATACAGCGTCTCGTTGACGACAACGTGGTAGGCTAATAGTGCCTTGAGGTAATGTAGCCCCTTCTCCGTGTTGAACAGGAAGGCATTGGCGCCAGGACCCAACTTCTTGAAGGCAAGGTTTGTGGGTGCGAAGAGAGTAATGCCTGTAAGGTATTTCTTCCCGCTACTATTGTGGTGGTGGCCGAACCCAGTCTTCCCGGCTGCGAGGGAGAGCGTTGAGAACTTGGTTGGGAATAAGGAGATCAATGTCTCGATGGGCGGCGGTGGTACTAGGATGTGGTCTAGACCATGAACGACTCCATTCTTGGTTACCTAGTTGGGGTGTCGATTAGCAAACATAATCTAATGATATACATGGTAGAGTGATTAGAGGGTTCATATAGAGAGAACATACCAAGTTTGCGTAGATAATCTTGCCGAAAAAGTTCATCCTTACACCGGACAAGCCAACACTAACGCGAAGCCTCTGAGGTCTGCCGCCCAGTGCTTCTTCTTCGTAAGCGGTCGGTAAAGTGTGGTGAGTGAGCACACGACCAGCGGGATAGAAGCCGGGAAGGACATGATACTGAATGAGCTTTTCGATAAACTCCTTGGGGGGCTTATGGCCCTTATGGTGGTCGGGGATCCTTTCAAAGGCTCGGTCGGTGGGCACGAGGACTGTCACGTTACCTCCTGATGTGCTATTGAGCTTGTCGACTAGGTCTGGAAAGTCGTCAATCAAGGCAGCGAACCTCTTGGTGTAATTGGAGGCGTGGATCGATTGATACACCGTCAGGTTCGTGCTGTGTCCCGGGGGTCCGTGGTGAGGACCGTTGTTGTAGTCGGAAGTTGAGAGAAAGTCGGTGATCAAAGAGGTGTCCTCGCTAAGTTCACCAGCCTTATTCTCGGCAATTCTAATAGCGTCATCTAGGACATTATGGGCGGACGAGAGAGCGTCGTCGAAACTAGGAAGGGCATCCCACCACGTAGAGACGGTTTCTTCGGTTTGCTGTTTGACATCGAGGATGAGCTGCTTTGCGGTAGCCTCATCAGGTATAACGATAGCGGAGGCTGTGGCCACCAGGGGCAACAGCGTAGTCGAATACTTCATGTTCGACGATGATAGGGTTCGTGATTTGGTAGAACAAGTGGGAAATATCAAAAGGGTCCGGAATCTACGGATGTGGGAAAAGCTTATAAGAAGAGGTGCACATAAGACGATATAAGACGCTTGTCTTACGAGGCCAGGGATCTCTGACGGGTATTGACGTCAAACCCCGTATATAATACAGCTAGGAGTATTCAGATCACAAAGGGAGAAAGGGGGGAAGGGGTCTAGAACCGAGTCGTGGATGACAAGCGATGAGTCGAGAGAAGGGAGGATTAGGTATTCTACTTACACAGGTATGTTGTACTTGTGTTTGTACTTCAATAACGTACTTGACCTACGCAATTACTGATTTGTATTAGGAATGATTGGACGCCTCTGAGATTTGCAGGATGCGTAATGCCAATCTCTCCTCTCTTTCCGCGTCATGATTGATGATTGTGATTGAAGGACGGGCATCTGGAAGAGAGAGGTGCAAGTTTAAGTGGGATATATTCACAAAGTACAAAGTAGCGATACGCCTTATGTCTTACGTCTTACGTCTTACATGTACGTCTTCGACTTGCCTCTTATTGGTGACTGACCAAGCTACCTGTATCCCTGTCGTCTCATCCCCAGTTTTGTACCAACGGGTCGGGCACTTCATGGTCCCGCTTCCCGACCGGTCTTCCCATTGGCTACATGTAATGTTAATTCTTCATATATTAAAAGAAGTCGCAGGTACATTGTTACATATACACACTTTAAGTCTTCAACTCCAGTTATACGTAGAGGAATACGCGTATAAGGGATAGGTACGCGGATAGTTCATACACCTATCTATCTTGCATACAAAGTACTAGGTAGGTAATATATGTACCTAGCTGAGTAAGTACATTATGATCTGCCATCCCAACCCTTAGGTCTCATGGCCAGATATTAACTTCTTGTTTGGGTGCTGGCGTTTGTAGGAATCTGTGAGAGTTGTTCATGGACCCGCGGCTTCTTGCTATCGAGTCCACATGTCGAACGGCTGGTATTTAGTCTAGGCGGTTGGTTTTTGCGGTAGACACGGAAGACGATGACGATGTGAGCGATGACAATACTAATACAAGCCCTACAGACGCGGGGGATGATTTCATCTATCTGATCACGCTGAGCCTGAGACGGAGTCGATTCAGGAGGGAGACTCGGCTAGTTTAGCAGCACGGCCTCGTTCACGTGAGATACTGTTTTGCGATGACCAAGTTGCCCTATTCAAGGCGAGGCACGGCAGGCTATAAACTTGACTGTCAGGTACTCAGGGCTCCAGGGCGTTGGGTGGAATTTGCTATGTTGTCCGCGTCTTCACTTACCTAGTACCGAGTAGACAATATACGTGTATGGTGCTGCCAACGGGAAACCTCACTAGTTCGTCGAGACGTCATCAAGACTCAAGCTCGCCAGGTATGCTGGATAAGAGGCGTCGACATCGACATCGAAACGTCCAGCTGGCAAGTTGACGCCCGTTACTTGTTCTCCGGGACGGAATCATTTGGTGGGTGCGTCGGTGCCTCCATTGGTGCCTCAATTAATGCCTTAGCCGGCACCTCAATTACAGGCTGTGGAGGTGGTGCAACGCCTTGTCCGCCGCCGTTTTGGCTTTGCAGCTTCTTTTTGACGTGGTATATGAAAGAGATCACAGACATCATGACTGATTTTGCCGTAGGCACTGTGTTATCGAAGTTGAAGAGTGGTTGGAATATTTTTTTAGGAAATGGATGAGAGCGGAGGTAGGCAAGTAGGCATCTGTCCCCTTTTATAGTGTATACTTCTAATAGTCTGACTACTACCTAAGTAAAGACTTTCGCCCAAGAGTAGCAAGGTTGAACATACCAACTATCGCAGCTATTAGCCATAACTCTGAACCCTGAACACACCTATCTTACCAACTATTCCCTTAGTTCTAAGTAAGACGGCTGACACCAAAATCTTATTCTCATTCATCTCTAAGAAGCCAAAAACTCCTCAAGTATCCGGTTGAACTTCTCCGGATTCTCCCAGAACATGCAATGGCTCCCGCCTTCCTCCTTCTCAAAGATCTCCAACCGGGACCCCGGTATCTGTTTCGCTATCCACTCGATCCCCGTGATCGGTATGGGACTGCCCTTCGCTCCGACCACGAGCGTCGGGACGGTGATCCGGGGAATCACGTCCCTCCACTTTGAAAATAGGGGGATTAGCATATGTATATGGGCAAAGGGGGCGAGGGAAAGGCGAATCATGAGCACCAAACCAAAGAAAACAAACAAACAACCTACATCCATCGCCGCATGATCCAGCATCAGCCTCCCCGCCAGGTCCGGCGGCATCTTCCTCGCCTGCCGCATACTCCACTCGAAGTCCTCCTCGGACACCTTCTCCGTGTAAAAGGACCTGGACAGCGCCTCGCGCGCCTCCTCGCCCTGGGGTCCGACCATCATGGCGTTCGAGGCCTCGAACACCTGCGCGGGCTCGAACATGGCGGCCGCCTCGGCTTTCTGCTCGGCGGTCCACGATGGGTTGATGGTCATCGCGGGCGACTGGTCGACGAGGACGAGCTTGCGGATGCGGGTGGGCGGGAAGAGGTCCCAGTCTGTGGTGGGTGTGGGTTAGTAGCGATTATCTCTCTAAGCCGTCTTCCTCATTTCCCTCGTTTTGCTTTTTTTTTTTTTTTTTTGGGGGGGGGTTGAAAAGAGGAAAAAGGGGAGGGGGGCAGATGAGAGAAAAGTACAAAGTCTCCTAAACCAGCTCTACATCAAACAACCACCCACCCCCCCTCAAATAAACAAAAAAAAAAAGACCGCCATCAATACTCACAAGCCCAAACCACCGAAACCCCCATCGAGTGCCCCAGCACCACCACATCCCTCAGCTCCAGCGCCTCCAGCAGCGCCTCCAGGTCCGCCGCGAGCCGATAAACGCGGTACCCGAAGCCCGGCTTATCGGAGTCGCCGTGGCCGCGGTGGTCGTACGTGGTGACGCGGTACCTGGTCTGGAAATGCGCGACCTGCTTCTGGAACTGCGCCGCCGTCTGCGACCACCCCGGTATCAGCACCAGGTTCGGCGCTGCGGGGGGCCCGGCTTGCGAGTAGTGTAGGCGCACGCCGGGGGAGACGAGGATGGAGTTTGTGGCTGTGGCCATGGTGCTGCTTGCTTGCTTGTGCTTCTTTTTCCTTCTGTTGCTTCCTTTCTTTTGGGGGGGAGGGGAGGCTCGGCGAGGATGCGTTGAGGGGTTAGGTAGGTAGGTATGATATTACCTATTATACATGCTGGAATAATACCAGACTCGATAAAACAAACCCGCGACAGCCGAGCGGGGGGGCGGTGTACGATATAAGCTTATATACACGAATATTCAAGATAAGCCAAACTCAAGCGTAAGCTGCGGAGGTAATGTACCTACCTACGGGATTTAAACGGGGGACATGTAAACCGGGCCTCTACGTATATCCATCTATCTTTACATCGGAATACCTACCTAGTTAGTACCTATCTACCTACCTATGAGATCAAGCGAACAGGATTATTATATTACTATGACTAAAACACGTTACTTATTACCAAACTCGAGTTGCTAAGCCACCTAAGCAGAGCATCTTTCTTTCTTTCGGTTCGCTTCCGTCTCCGCCCTGCTGCATGACGATGGTAGGTAAGTAAAAAAAAAAAAAAAAAAAAAAAGTCTCCGAGTAAGTAAGTAGGCAGGCAACCTCTAAGTAGGTATAGATTATCTCCCAACCCCTCTCAGCTGAAAGATGAGCTACGGCAAAACGATACACGACAAGCGGTATTACTTAGGTTAGACTCAACCCCACGAGCATGGTATGTACATAAGAACCGCTTTGGTCAGCTTCAAGCGGGCTAACCTACCTAGGTAGGCTGCCTAGGTATCAACACTTCCATCCACGAAAACCAAAATCGCTCGTAGCTTAGGGTTCTCATAACTTCCTTCGAAACCTCATCCCCGCGGTCATTCATCTTGTCCCGTCCTCCGCTGCCACTTTAACACCCACCCCCATCACCACCACCACCACCTCCTCCTCCTCCGCCATCACCACCACCACCTCCTCCATCGCCGCCATATCCACCTCCGCCTCCGCCTCCGCCTCCGCTGTCACCGCCGCCTCTCTTTCGGCCGCTAGAGCAAGAGTTCCCCATCGCTGTGACTATCATGAAGTTTATTAGCACTTTCCGAGTACTCATTCAATTCATTGATTAATTCACAAGTAGGTAGGTAGGTAGGCAGGTACCGCGAGTCCGACAACTCACTTGAAAAAATTGATCTCTAGAAACAGGTCCTAGGTAGGCAAAGTATATATTGCAGTTTAGTTTAGTTTTGTTTTGTTGGTTCGATAGAATTGAATTATATCTTATTGTATTGTATTTTGTTTCGTTTTGTTTCGACTTTGGGTTTCCCACTCAGCACGAGGAGGTCGTCCTGTAGACTGCTGCTTCTTATAACTAACGCCGTAGGTGACACAACGAAAACTGCACGCCCCTGAGTTTCGAATCAGCCCCGACTACTACTGTCTAACCTTAGTATATACCGAATGCGCATACGTAGGGTAGGTATGTAGGTGTTGTACCGCCCGAGGCTGCAGAGCCTGCAGCCAAGCAAAAATATATATTAACGAGCGCTTACGAGACCAGGACTTTGCACGAGAACCGACGCTTCTGAGGCTGTATATTCCCCATTTTATTAGATCGTCTCTCGCGAATGAATAAAAAACGCCTAACTTATAAAATCATTCTATATTTAAATAAGAAACTATAGCTCGGTACCTAGGCAGAATTTCAGCTTGGACTGACCCCGCTGGAGGCATTGCTCTCCGCCCTGTTTGATAGGATGTGGGAGGACTAGGCAGATAGTCCTACGGGAGACGTCAGCGGGATTGGCGGTTCTCTTGATCTTCCGATTCTAGGAAGGACATCGGCCGGCGCTAGATAGGTTAGCCTAACACGAATCCTTTGTCCATGTGATTTTTAATGATGTTTCGAATTGCATCCAACATAAGACAAAATTACATGCACCGAGAAGAACTACAAGCCCACGGGTGAGGAATACAAATGCTCCGGTTGTTTAGAGGCACCGTATACAGGTAGCCCTGGGGGTCTTATACAACAAGACTCTAAACTAGAAGCTAAGTTACATGTAGTAAATACAAGCTCGTCAATAATACATGGGGGCAATACATGGGGGGGAATACAAATGTACAATACCTAGTGTGAGTACCAAGTAACTCATCGCCCGATGCCTCATACGGGACAGGTGCTATCCGTCTTCTCGAGCTTAAAACTCGGCTTGCCGTGCCCGCGACATACTGACTCGGGTCATGGGCAGTAAAACCAAGCCACACACCCACCCGTAGCAAGGGTAGGCTGTTTTGAGCTGAGCCCTGATATCTCGGTGTGAATTTTGGACTGATCCTCTCTTGTGAAGAGTCATTACTGCGATTTTTCTGTCGTCCTTGTGTTGAGCTTCTAGGCTGCAACGTCGTGAGAGATGCTAAAGATGAGCAATCTCTAGTGTCCGAGATTTGATTGATGGCTGGGCATCAGCTCTGAATACTTCGACCGAAAGCGCTTACCTTTTATATATAAGCTTCTTGTTAGGCTTGCTAGAGTCGTATACATTGCTGATAACAAGAGCGAGTGCATGTTGGATCTCTCCCGCCAAGAGCGATGTATGCTGTGTTGAATAGCCTCTCTCGTGAGAACTGTATCGATCTCGGGAAGAGCAATAGAGTATCGTTCATTCGGCAAGAGCGACATAGTCGAGGCAGTTTCACGGCCCACGTCTGCAGGTGCTGCGTGTTGCTGCGTGTTGATGAGTGTTGACCAGTGTCGTCTAGTGTTGTTGATTGTTGTAGAGTGTCGTCAAGTGTCGTCAAGTGTCGTTAGGTGTCGCTATGTGTTGCTGTTGGCACATTGTAGCATAATTAGAGCTAGTCGTATGCTTTCCTACGCCAGCTAAGCAACACGCTCGACTGTGTGCTACTCCAAGAATCGAATGCTGATAGGTGGGAACGCAGATACATTCTCGAATCCTATGAGGGTGGCCTTCGAGACTTCTAGACCTATGGAGAAATCGCTAGGCCGATGAGTTCTTGAAACCCATCAGCGCCACATTGGACACCTTCAGTTCCCTGGGAAGATGACGGCCATTCTGTCACGATGTTTATGGGTCACGGGTAGTTGGTGGAGATGGTAGGGGAGTCGCTTCAGCAGGAGCTGGAGAAGGTTCGGCGGTGGGAGGAGGAAGAGCAGCCCTATTCTTGTTAGATGGTCCAGCCTGGTCAGAAATAGTAAGTAGGTGCTGTTCGTGGCTCGACCAGGAATCCGTGGGTGAGGTTATACTGGTTACCGAAGAAACGTAGAGGTGCTGCCAGATGTAAGACCTGTAAGGCAAGTTTAATGACAACGATTAAGATGTGTAGAACTGAATATCAGAGATTAGAAGCAAGATCCCGTCAGTGGGGAGTCGTAGCGGTGGGCATTTCTGGTGCCTTCATCTTGTTCAACTTCTGAATAGCCTGGTAGGCCAGCCGTTCCAGGGAGAGTTTATTTGTCTTAGGTAAGGCCATCTTCATCAAGATACACTTGACACTTGAGAGAGGAACCTCTCCTCGGAGTTCGCGTCGAAGTATTGTTTTTGATGATGATGATGATGTCGAGTTTGTTGTCGTGGTGTTTGATCTTGATGATGTTGCATTTATGATCATGATGCTTCATCTTTACCCCCGCAATATATTTCGGTGGGATAACCAAATACTGGAAATAATCTCTCTTCCCAAAACTTGGCCACAGCCCTCCATCCAACATCGAGTGTCCAAGTTCGCCCGGCTCAGGCCTCCAATGGCGTCTCTTTGAGTATAGACAGACGACGGTGTTGATGTCGTTGATGTCCTTCTCGAAGACTCGCCATCCGGAGTAGGCTCTAGTGTGGTAACACTTGGTTCCCGCCACGTGCATGCCGTTCACTTCGGAGCAGCAGCCGGTCCCCCTAAACAAACGAGGAGAAATAATCGACGGTTAATAATATGTAGCGCTCTCCACCTGGACCCCGTGGGGATATCGGCCCCAAGAAATCCATCCCCACCACGGACCAAGGAGTGAGATGCACAACCAACCGCCTTCCTCCCCTCGCCGGCAACTTGTTAGAAGTTTCGGTACACATCTGACAGGAGGCACATTTCCTCACAACGTCCTGATATCATGTTGGCCAACAAAAATGCCCAAAGAGGCACTCTCCACGAGGCTGTGCTTGGAAAATGGTAAAGGAGATACCAAGGACCAACATACGTCGCCAGCCCAACCACCCCATTCTCCTCCAACCGACATACCACCTACCCTACCACCGCCTCCCGGAAGCAAACTGCTCACAATATAAATTGGCAACGAGGACGTTGCATCACCTCCCCGCGAGGAGGGTGATGATAGGCGCCACTGGCGTGACTTAATCAACTCTTGCCATTCTACTCATAGCACCTCTGCTGGTACCAGGGGATGTGTTTCCGTAGGAAACCCGTCATGCCGATGTAAGTCTCCAGGTCGGCCAGGTTCGTCGGCATCTGTAGCTTTCTGATGGCCGCGATGCGGTCTTTAGTTATACTGACACCGTATCCATCCACTGAGAATCCCAGGAGGGTGATGGATGGATATCCGAGGAAGGATTTCTTGGCGCAGATCGCCAATCCAATTTCGTCAAACCTGGCGAATACCTTGTCCAGGTGGTTCAGGTGTTCTTCCTTGGTGTCGCTGTAGATGACGATGTCGTCGATGTATGCCTTGACGAAATGGTCGTAGTCTTTCAGGCGTTGGTCCATGAATCTCTGACCCAAGGCTGAGGAGTTTTTGAATCCCATCAGGGCTACGTTTGATACCTCGAGACCTCTCGGAGAGATAATGCTTTCGTCTCATTGTTTTCAAGGCCTTTTATCTGCGTGAATCCTCGTGCGCACATCCCGGCCTGAAAGCGTTCGAGATTGCCGTTTGACAGGAACTTCTTTAGTACTCATTTGGAATCGATCAAGTGGCCGTGTTTGGCTTCATCTGGGCCCGGAAACTTAGATGGAACACTGCAAGTTTAGTGATTCAAAGATGATTGAGCTGATGAATCCCTTTACCTACGGATTGAAGCAGTCTGGGGCCGCCACTGTAGATAAGGGAATCAAACTCATCCTTCTCAGGACCCATTAAGCTTCTATCGAAGACAGTGTGCTCGTCAATTCCGTGTTCATCGGTAAAATGGAGCTTTGCAGCGTTCTGCATCAGTAGAGGGTGTGGATGCCATTCGTCGCTGTCACCGTCGACGAGGACATGACCCGGCTTTGGGCGGCGTCGCGACCAGGGGTCTATGCCCGTCTTAGATCAAAAGAGATGATTTCAGACTGGAGGTCCGAGAAGATCTGGCTATATAATCTGAGCTTAGCGGCTTTTCATAAATTTACTCAAGTAAACCTAATCTGCCATGGCTGGATTTTCCTTTTTGGAATTTGGTAGTGTACATATACAGTTGTGGCTGATGAGCTGTCTTATGTGTAGCGGTTGACACGGAAATAGGTACGAGAGTGAGGGATATATTTGGGTGCTGTTCTCGCTGCGGACGAGGTAGCTATTGGCTGTGGTCGTGGATGGGTAATTGGCGAGCAAGGAGGAAAAGAATCGATCAGCTCGAGGGGACGAGGGATTTATATTTCTGTGAACAAGGGTAGATTTGGGTCTAGTCCTAGTCAAGTTGGGAGATTTATAGCAGGAGCTTGCCATGATAAGAGACTGAGAGAAGGCACTCTCAGGCTTTCAAACAGTTGGAAGTGGCGTAGGTGATAGTGATAGTCGTTTATTAGTGATGTGTAGAGGTTCGGGTAGGAGCGTTGAATAATTAAGATTCGATGGTATTAGATAGTAGGTAACTGTAAATGACAGAAGATCGAAAGAGGTACGTGGGGATATCGATGGTTGTAACCGAAGGGTGGGTGGGTAGGTAGGAAGGCTCGAGTAAGGGTGATGAATCGTTGGAGGCAAGTCGATGGTTTCTACCCTATCCTTCGGAGGATTAGATTATGGGATTTGAGACACAGAAGAAGAGTCTTGAAAAGAAACTTCTTCGTCTCATTGTTCTACCGAAATCTATTGTACATTCATCAATCATCCATCTAATGCAAACGGCGCCCAACGCCGTATGAAAAGTCCAGAATATGGACAACTGATAGGACGAGTATGTTAGTAGAGAAGACTATAGAGTGAGGAATTCAAGAGAAGGAGGTAGGCAGGTAGGTACTATGTAGGAGGGTACGATGCTTACTATGACAATGCGTCACAGCCGCGACCCTACCCATCTCCAACATTGAAACAGGATTAAGGATTAGGGAAACTTAAAAAAACACAACAGGATGCGCGGAAACTGCAAACAGGTATGTTAGTAAAGGAAATAATATTAAAGTAGATGACTCAACCTTGAACTTACCAAAACAATGCCATAAAACACCGTAATGCAGGAAAACAAGAGAACAGGAAGGTAGGGCATGGAAACCGAGCAAGGAGCGGAGCAAGGAGATCGGGTTGCTCTTCCATCTGCATGCAATAGAAGAAGGCCAAGGCCAAGGGAGCAAGAGGAAGCCACTAACGACGCGACCCGAACCTCTTTATTCTGGGGTAGCTCTCACTTGACCTTGACCTCCGATGAAGCAGCATCTGCTGCTTCAAATATTGCAGGTCGTTCTTGTCGAGCTGCTCTCCCTCTCCCTCTCCCTCCTTTCCTTCCTGCGGAAACATCGATGGCGACGGCGAAGGCGATGGCAACGGGCCTTTGCGCTCCTTTTGGAGCTTCGTCACTATGGCGAGTGGCTGCAGGTGCTCGTTAACACGAGCCGCGCGATCTTGCGCCTTCGGGCTCTTGGAGGAGGCAGCGAACACGTCGTCGTCGTTGTGCGCTCGCTCTAAGCCCAGGTTGGGAGTCTGCGCCTGGAACTGCGCTTCCGGGCGAGCGTTGTCGGCCGCGTCCGCCGGGGTCTCCGCAGCCTGCTGCTGAGACGGGCTTGTTGGTAGCGGGATTTGCTGGGCCCAGAGCAAGTGCTGCAACTGCGCGTTCTGTTGCTGCAGTCCTTGGATGGCCAGGTTCACCTGGCTTTTCACGCCGCTGACCGTTTGCTCGAGGTCGGCGATTCGCTTCTCTCCTTCCAGCCGTAGGCTGTTGTTTTCTTCTTCCAGCGCCTTGATACGCTGGATTGTCTCTTTTCGCAGGTTGTCGTTTTCCTGCTCTAGCTGAGTAATGCGCTGCAGCGCGTCTTTTTGCAGGATGTCGTTTTCCTGCTCTAGCTCGGTAATGCGCTGGTTCGCGTCTTCTCGCAGGGTATCGTTTTTCTGCTCTAATTGGGTGATACGCTCGGCTGCGTGTTGCTCCAAGCTGGTCTTGTCTTGGAGCAACGCCATATAGGCCTGCTCTAGCTCTCCATATGAGAGCTGGCCATTCGACGACATGGTAAAGTCCATTTTGTCGACGTCGTAGGAAGAGTAAGAGGTTAGAGGAGAGGCCAACATGTCGACCGGTATGGGGGAAAGAGGCGGGGAGGTCATCTCGACGTCGAAGTCGACGTCGACATAGTCGTCCATGTCCATGTCCACGTCCGAGTCGTCCATATCCATGGTGTCAGGAACGGCCGCCATGTGATATGCCGCGGGGGACGAGAAGTTGTAGGCTCCCATAGAGAAGGGAGCCGCGAAGGAGCGGAAAGGGTCAAACATATTGGTGGGTTTATGATCAGGAGTAGGATCAGAAGCCGGAACGGAAGAACGGGGGGTAGGTGCGGAGGTGATGGTCTTAGTGAGAGAGGAAGAGGAAGAAGAGGAGGAGGAAGGATACTGGATTACCAGATTAATGGGTTGAGTCACGACTCTCGCCATGGTCACGATTTAGGTCGACTTTGGCTAGGTAGATGGTGTTGGTAGTTGTGAGGTGGTGGGGGCTTGGAGTGTGTTGGAAGGTCTGCGAAACTGAAACGAATGTTAGTATTTAAACGCCTGAAAGTATGTAAAATATGAAGAATGATTGAATGTAAAGAAATGAAAATGAAACATATCAGTTGAGTGTAGACACGAGTGAGGGTAGAGAAGGATTAGTTGTAGGGAAAGCTTGGGGTGGATGATTGAGAGTGAGAATGAATAGTTCAAGGTACAGATGGGTGATTGAAAAATACAACAGAGAGAATTTACAGCAGGGAATGGATGACTGAAATCCAAGACGAAGGATTAAAAGTCCAGATGGGTAATTGAAATATTTATAAAAATTGACTTACTTGAAGACTGGTTATTGAATGGTAGGTATCTTCGATTCAAACTTGGTAGCTTGGTTCGACGTTGAAATTGCTGGCTGTCAGTTCAGTGAATCTGATTGCTGGTAATTTCGAAAATGAACTCGTGCTGTAGGAAGAAAAAAAAACAAGGGAGTGTGTGTGTGAAGAGAGCGAAGGAAAGATAAAATTTTAAATACTGATCAGAATCAGTCAAAATCAGACTACCTGTGGGAAAGCATCCTCAGGTTCAAAATAGGTGAAGTGGACTAAGGGGTTAAGGGTGAAAAAATTGATAGGAAATTGACGGTTGTACCTTTTCCCCTCCCCGATAACGAAGGTGGTGATGGAACCTACCCAGGTAGATACAAGTCCAATAGGACAACCTTAGGAGAGACAAGGAAAATACGTTGGAATAAACGTTGTACGGTTATGATGATGCCACTATTTACGACCGTCGACAGGCCAACAAATATACTGGGTTGAAATTATAGCATTGATCTCATAGCGTTATAGTATACCGACCTACTTGGGCTATCAGCTCAGAGGTTGTTTATAGTACAAGTTAGAGAATCTCCCACAGAATCTCCTACACCTTTCCCATACTTAACATTATAGCAGTAGGCTGACCGCCTATCAAATCATTGACCAAAAGGCATGTACAACTTGGACTCGTCTATCGTTCGAGGTCGTTACCATGTGTGAACCGAAATCCGGGACACGTAGCTAGAGGTTTACGTAGTAGTGTCTAAAAGCCGTGAGTCAAATCAATACTACCTAGTTATACCAGCCCCGAGATCCGGGCCCTTGGTGACTTTGCTCTTGGCGGTGCTCGATGAGAGGATCTTTGATTTGAAAAGCGTCGACTATATCACGCCACATCTTCATGTCGATGGAGAACACGGCTTGCTGCCTCTGAGCACGATGCTTGGAGACATGCATTTCATCCTCCTCGCGTAATGGATCTAGATTGAGGACAAGGTTAGCAATAAACAAAAATTGATGGTCGTCAGGTATATAGTGAGGATCAGCTTACATAGAGCTGGCAAGTTTTTGTGGTCAAAGTTGATCCCAACTTGGCCCTCTCGTATTAGAAAGCTGACGTAGAACATATTCTCTACCGTTTGACCGAAAGATCGTGGATTCACGACGAACTTCATCAGATCAATGCCGCCAGTATCTTTCAAACCGTGGCGTTCCATCAAAATCGCAGCCTCGTCATCATCAGCTCCGTGATCAACCGCGTCTTCCACAACCCGTTGAGCCTGCTCTTGCACCTGTTTCAATCTTGAGAAAATCTTGGCGCATATCGCGGTCAAATCGTTGTTCTCGGTTCTTTGTACTGCCTCGGCGTCCAGGATCTCTGGTCTTGTTTCTTGTAGATTATCAGGCCTAAAGGGTGCACTGCGCTTGACAATCTTCCGTTTCTTCGCTTCGGCGGAAAGAGGGCCGAGGAGAAATCCGGGTGTGGCTGGACGTCGAATATGGGGAAGACAGGCGAACCGGCCGAGATGCTCCCAGTTGAACACATCACCTTCATCACCAATGCCATCCTCATCTTCACCTTCATCGGCGAGGGACCTTCGGCCTGGTCTCCTGCGATGCTGTTGTGTAGAGGTAAGCTCTGGGGCATCGTCTTGGGCAATGCCGGAGCCTAGTCTCATGTAGGTAATGCATTTCGAGACAAACTCATCGACGTCAATTCCTTGGGCAATGTTTCCTGAAGTGAGACGAACGGTCTTCCGGTATGATGCGTCGGCTGTGCTCACGAGAAGTTTTGAGTCGATGACAGCTTCTGTAGGCTGCTTCACGTTGGACTGGTAAGAATTTGCCTTGCGTACAGTTTCGTGCAAACCAATTGAATCAGGCTTCATGTACTCATCATAGTTGTCATGAAGGTCATGTATGGCACCTCGAAGTGAACGCTGCAAGTTGCGTTTCTCCTCCATAGATTGGAGTGGATCAAAATCTTCTCCGCCAAGCGCAGCTTCACCGTCGGGCTCATGTGTGCGACGCCGTGAAGTAGCGCGTTCCGTGCCATTGGTGCCATTGGTGCCATTACGCTTTCTCTTGTGAGCATTCTCGGGGGCTTTCCCTTTATCTCTGATAACCAATGAATTGTGGCGATCATCTGAATCTGTGATAGAGCCGGATGACTCTGGCGTGGGTGACATTGAAGACATGGCCGACAGGAGGGTCGAGAACAGTATACTAAGTATTGATGTCTCCCTTTATTTAGCCTTTAGTAGATAGGAGAATTTAAGACCACCTAACCTTAGTTGTGTGCCTTGATAGGTGAATCTTGATATTCGATGTGGTCCACGATCCTGCAGCGCGTTAGTCGCGTTTTGACGTGACGGGGGATAAATTGATAAGCTAGTTAGGAAGTCGATGCTTACTAAGTTACTCTTCTGGCCCCTAGTATGAGAATTCCAAGGTTATTGCGTTTAGAGTGTAAGTTATGTATGGAAATTTCAATAAAAAATGAACGAAACATGCGAAATATTTGCCTGATTGGCAAATACATACTGTACTACCTAGTACCTGCACATGTGCAGTGGACCAGTGGTTACATGTAGCTACCAGTCAGTACGTAGATAAGTGGGGGAATGACCTCTTATCTAATCTACATATCCATAGCTTATAAAGTTCCAAGTTATGACGAGCGAGAGCACATGCGATTCAATCAACGATGTTCTTATTCTTGCGATTCTTGCGATTCTTCTTGCCAACATCGTGAATTCTGCGAATCTTATAAACATAGTAACAGTACATTCTCTAATCCAACAATAATAATTTAATACCAACTCCAGAATTTCCCGGACCGTGCTGTCATGAAAAACACGTTTTACGATGGAACCCTTTTCTTTTGGTACTTCACAGTCGCTTGACCTCGAAGTCAGCATACGCATGTGAGGCTTGTTGCCGTTGTTGGTTATCGGCGCTTGACTGACAAAATATGTGTAGAATTAATCTAGAGGGCGAAGAAACACCTCATCTGTATTCTACCCTGCTTAAAAGGCCTGACCTCAGACATGTTGGCTCCAACTTGGCGTTTGTCATCTCCCAATCTTGTGTTTTCTTCACAGCTTCTGTTTCTAACATGAAGCCTCCATCTTTAGTCCCTATTCCGACCTATACGTTACCGTTCAGGCCTGGGCTGGCTCGAAGCCCTTGACCGTTCCAGTCCAGACATCATATAAAGCATTCCGGAATGAGAGGAGGTACGATTTGCTGCCTAGCTTTGGCCACACAGTCTAACTTGATGGCTGACCTGCTTTAGATGGAACGAATGGCTTACCGTACCGATAAAATATAAATCTCTCTCCGTGAACTCCTACCTCGCTATAACCATATGGGATCTGTCGCCAACTGGTGGGAAACAAGCTCAAGGCCACGCTATACCCTTTGGAGGGACCACCCTACCGCTTTTTGACCATGATAATCAACTGCAAAAGGGTAGGCAGAAATGCCAAGTCCATCGACACAAGCAGGCAGATGGAAATGATAACACAACTACACCGTCAAGTGTCGCTAAGAAAAGAGGGGGCTCTAAGAAAGAGGATAATGTCGTTGTGGATAGAGAAGCCGAAGAACTCGAACGCCTAGAGAAATTATTCAAGAAACACGAGTTGGGTGAGATACCCCGGGTGGAATGGCTCGACCAACTCGTGTACCGTGGGACCGAGAAACGTGGCTTGAAAGCAGCAAAGAACTCTGTCAAATCACTTCAACGCCAGTCGGCACTGAACGGCAATGCGGAGGCAGACGGCCAGCAGACTAAAGCGACAGATTCAGAAGCTGAGGATCCGCCGAGGCCTGGCCCGTCCAAGTTCGTGCTCAATGTCGAGCTACCTCGTTTTGACTTTCCAGTGGTATTCGCAGATCACGAATATCAACCGCCACCGGTCTCATCCTTCCAGCACTCTTCGGCCTCCCAGTCGAATATTATCATGAAACCCCCTCCTGAAGTGGCCTATGGTCCTGGAATCAATGGCCCTGACAATGCAGGAAACAGCATGGGCGGTCGGATTGTCCGGATATATGACCCTGAAATTGATCAGAAGGACAATCCAGTGGAAAGCAAACACAGACGCCTAGTCAGGAGTCAACATCGTCATGGAATACTAGATAAAGATTTGAGGCCCAACTCTAAAGTCCGCGATGAGTTGAATCTTATCATGTCATATTCTCCGATTCATGTCTTGACCCCAGAGGAGAAGGATCTCGTCTGGAAGTTCCGTTACCACTTGACTAAAGACAAACGGGCCTTGACCAAGTTCGTCAAATCTGTCAACTGGCAGGATCAGAGTGAGTCTAGACAGGCTATTCTGGTTATTAGTAAATGGACAGACATTGATGTCGACGATGCGCTTGAGCTACTCGGCCCTACTTTCGACAACCGAGCTGTGCGAGCGTATGCTGTAGATCGGTTGAGGAAGTCTGACGATGACGAGTTGCTGCTTTACTTACTGCAGCTCGTACAAGCTCTGAAGTTCGAGCATATCTCTGCCGATTCCAACCAGGCAACCGTTCAAGCGTCCTCGCTGGCTAGCTTTTTGATTTCGCGGGCTGTTCAAAACTTTACCCTCGGAAATTACTTCTACTGGTATCTTGGGGTTGAATACGATGACAAGAGTAATGAACAGGGCGAGGAGATTCGCACCATGTACGCCAAGGTTCAGTATGACTTTATGAAGGAGTTGGAGGATCGCCCTGGCGGTCGTGAGACGAGAGTTACTATTAGAAGGCAAGCTGAGCTTATCACGGTTTTATCCAAGATTTCGGCCGAAATCCAATCGTCAAACGAGTCGGTAGCTCGAAAGGCTGAGAAGGTCAAATCATTCCTAGCAGATCCCAAGAATGAGGTACTATCTATCGACCCTCCCATACCTATGCCTCTGGACCCATCCATCTTGGTGATTGGAGTTATCCCAGAGGAGACACGAGTGTTTAAGTCGTCTCTGTCTCCAATCATGGTCACATTCAAAACAGCATCAAGTAGCAAGTACCCTATCCTCTTCAAGACAGGTGACGACCTGCGTCAAGACCAGCTTGTTATTCAGATCATCACTCTCATGGATCAATTGCTCCAGAAAGAAAACCTGGACCTTAAATTGTCACCATACAAGATCCTCGCCACTGGCACAACTGCTGGTGCTTCTCAGTTCATTCCTTCCCAGACTTTTGCTGCCATTGCGTACAAATACCGCAACAATCCTGCGCTTGCCTACCTCAAGCAGCATAATCCAGACGAGCGGGCATACTTGGGAGTGCGCAAGGAAACGCTCGATACATTTGTCAAGTCATGTGCAGGATACTGCGTCATTACTTACATCCTTGGAGTTGGTGATCGACATCTCGATAATCTTCTTCTCACACCGGATGGTCATTTCTTTCATGCTGACTTTGGGTTCATCCTTGGTCGGGACCCTAAGCCTTTTGCACCAGCCGTTAAACTCAGCAAGGAGATGGCTGATGCAATGGGCGGAGCAAATCCTCCCAGTGAACAATATCTACAGTTCAAGCAATACTGTTTCCTCGCATTCGCGGCGTTACGAAAGTCATCGAACCTCATCTTGAACTTGTTCAGTCTCATGGTGCATGCCAATATTCCTGACATTAAGATCGAGCCGGACAAGGCGGTCTTCAAAGTCAAGGAACGCTTTCACCTAGAGTTGAACGAGGAAGATGCAATCCGACATCTAGACGGAATTATGGAGGATAGTCTTAATGGCATCATGCCTGTGGTCATAGATAGACTGCATGATTGGGTCCAGGCGTTTAGACCTTGAAGAAGCTTGGCTGTACGAGTATTAAGATGGCGTTTCGTGGCTGTTTATGAATTTATGTGGTTGTTAGTTAACTAAACTCAGGACAGCGGCTAGGAGGGCATTGGCAAACGGCGCAGATAACCTTAGACGTTACATGGAGGAATCGGAGACGGATCTCAAATGAGGCTGTCTCTTATTAATATAAGATACCCTAGCGCACAAACAGCTGCATATGCAAGCCTGTTATGAACTAAACAAAATCAAAATCAAAATCAAAATCAAAAAGAAATACATAACCACGGCACTGCACTGACTGCAGATGGTACATGCATCTTATGTGCATACTACACTGCATAGGTACTTTGTATATGGCTTGCTGCAGCCACAGCGGGAGAGCCACCCGTTTGCGCAAGGCACATTGCGTCGATAGTGTCTTAGCTGCAGCTGGTGTTGAATATGGCCTGAGTTTATGTACATATGTAGCACATACACTACCTAGACTCTAGTACTACTAGTAGTATCGTACACTATATGTAGTGGCAGTAGTGCTACTACCATCATAGTGCTATGTATGTAGACTATAATGGCTAGACAGATCGTGTAACGCATATACCGTGTTGATGTCGATTCTAGAACTTCAAATGTTCTCATTAGTTGCGTCCACCGTAGTTATGTGTAGGTAGGTACATTACTCACTGAAGATCTCGTGGTCACGGTGGTGCATGTGGGTTTAGAGTCATGTCTTGGCATTCCCATTTCCCATCGTGAGCTACATACATCATAGGCAACTACCTAGTATTGTGGTACCTGATGTCCCTCCCCCTTTTCTTCTTGCTCGCATATGCCACTCATGTCGTTGATGTACATATCAGACTAGTTACTTACTTACATACTTATGCTTGTAACTACATAGTGGCATGTTAGGGAATAGTTGGCATACAAGTGCCTCGTATAACATTGATGCAGCCATTTTACAAGTCAGATATATATGTACACGTTGCTCCCATAGATTGGTCATGTTTTGTTTCTTTTTTTCCATTACGAAGTAACTAACTAGACCACATGTATGAACAGTAAGGGAGTAGGTATCCGTATCTCCTTACTCGGATATGAGAATATAAACTGCAGACATTGTGCTACATAGATACATATCTACTCATAGTTATTAGATACATAGTTATCAATGATCCAGCACGTTATGTAAGGAGAAGACTACGTGTAAGTCGCACAAGTTTTCCCAAAAGGGTCGGAGTGACTTTTCCTCATTGGGGGCACCTCCACTGTTCCAAGGTTGCTACTACTTGCTAGTCCCATCAAGTCTTCCAAGCTTTCGGTGTTTAAATCCGCATTTCCAAACCTTTTGTAGCGGACATTCAGGGGACCTTGCTCGAAACCCCTAATATTTGGGTCCTGGTATTATTATCAAATTGTTTTATATTTTACTTTGATATATAATAACTACCATATTACATACCATACTATAATTGATATTAGTAGCACCAGACTTGAGTAGTGGTGCCAAGCTTGTTGTTGTTGATATCATATTATCAACATCTACATATGTACCAGACATACTAACCTAACCCAAAAGAAGAAAAAGAAGACACGAAGACGACGACGACGACGACGACGCTAACGACGACTACGAAGAACATATTTGCTCTAGTGTACTTACATAATACATTCATACTCTAATCTGATTAGAGGTACAACACTAGTTACATACAATCGTTGATTGACTTGACTTGACTTACATAAACACTTGACGGAACGGACGGACGGACGGACGTTTGCTTGACTGAAGAGGAGAAGAAGAGGAGACGAGGAGAAGAGGAGAAGAGGAGAGGTATGTAGAAAGTGATCTTGGTCAAAGTTGCATTCCATCTTGCAAATCTTCAAAATTCTCCCGGGTCTTGTTGTGCACGGCCTTAAGCACATCATCTCATTTTAAAACAAAAGATAAAGTACCATTCCAGGCAATTCTTCACCCGCCCCCAGCCACCACCTCTTTTCTCAACGAGACCCTTGATCCTAGCAATCCTAGCAATCCTAGGCAATCCAAGCAATCCCAGCAAAGCAATTCTACAAGTACCATAGTAGTTTATTACTAGCAACTTAGCAACATTGAATACAACAATACATCCAATACATCCAATACATACCCTGGGACCTGGGTACAATACAATACATACCTACAACGATACAACAATTTACAGGCACCTGGACAAGACCTTGACAAGACCGAAGACCTTGACAAGACCGTTGACCTTGACAGACAAGACCTGGACAAGACCTGGACAAGAACTGGAGTCAACTGGACTACACTAGCCTCCTAAAACATTGAACACTTTTGTTTCTCTCATCCTGTTTCCCTCTCTCCACCCCCGAAAACTAGAAACCCACCACGCCACTGACTTGTTTCTCCTTCCTGCCTGCTTTGGTCATTTTCCCTCTCTATCATTTGCTCAGACCTTTGTGGCTGCTTTCCGGTCTTTGCCAATCGCCAATCGTCTTGCGCCGGGATGTTTTGAATATTCAACCCGTTAGAATATACTCTACCTACGCAAAGCAAAAACTTGCATCCTCTTGCTTGTTCATTGAGGACCGATATCGTTTTCTGAGCCGATCCGAACTTTAGGGGCCACTTTCTAGAGCCCCGAGCGTTACGGTTCGTATTATTGGTTTTCATTTTTGTAATTTTTCATAATTTTTTTTTATAATTTTTTGTATCTTTCTCTCCCTCTCTTACCAATCAATCCTTGCGTTATAGAATTTTATATCATCATCTCATCGGCTTGATCCAACTTTTTACCTGACTTAGCCCGTCTAGTTTACTCGCGGCCGATATACCTAGCGACTCGTCATCGATCTCGTCCTTGATCTAATACGTCAACTAACAGCCTCAATCCTTATCATGTCCACCAAAACTTCCAGCAATGGGTCTACGGGTGGTACGGCAGGAAAGCGGTTCGAACTACCGGCACTGGAATTCAAATTTGGATCTCTGACTGACGGAACCGACATTCCACCCCCACTGCCGTCTCCCAAGGAAGAGGTGCCGCCACCGTCCAAGTCCCCGGCTCCGGAAGTAGTCGAGGAGAAGAAGGAAGCAAATGGCGCCGCCAATGGTCATGGTACATCCCCTAAATCCGACTTCACCACCATCCCACCTAATATCGGCATAAAACGTCCGGCAGATGATGGACCCGCGTCACCCGCGTTGTCAAGCCGTGGTAGCCTTAGACGCTTATTGAGCAGAACATTGTTGAACAACGCTTACGATGAACAAGGATCACTTCTTAGTCACAACACCTCTAGTAGGCCCCCGAGTCGGACAGCGAGCGTTCTCGCGGAAGAGAGAAAATCCAAGCGCAGCAGTGGCTGGTTCAAACGGTTAAGGTCGCATGACCCTAAAAGGGAAAGTCTTCACTTTGAAGAAGTGAAGAAACCAACTGGTCCGCCACCACCGATGATTCCAGAACTAAGCGCGCTGGAATCTAAAGTCGATACCCGCCTAGGCGACGACCTATTTAAAGGTATTAAATAGGGGAATCGTCCCGCGGAAGAGAATGAGAAAAAAAGAATGATACCCCATCCACGACCATGCTCTGCTTGCCTACCTGGGTTTGGCATATCATATCATGGACTTCGAATACCTAACTCAAATCTACTGCCATAATTACATTCGCGGCAAAGTAATATTTTATCATTGGAGTGTCGAAACCTCGAAGGGCGAGAGGAGGAAGATTCGCTTTGAGAGAGCAGCTTTTTTTTTTTTTTGGAGGTGGAATATTAGATACCCAGCTCTAACGTGAGCTCATTCAACTGGCAGACTATGTCATACTTTCAATGTTCTTGGACATTTTATTTTTCTTCAATATTTTTTTTCATCTCGCTTTTTTCTTGGATCTTCCTATGCGCCAATGCGCCTTTGCGTATAAGTCCGTGCCATAGTAAGAAGCTTGAGAAAAGGGGGTTTCCTGTATGGTGTGTTAACTCTGTTACCATCCAATTATTTCTTTGGGCATACCTGTTTGCTCGGCTATCTTCGACAAGAGAAAAGGGGGGGAGCGGTCCTAACAAATCGAGCTCTACTGGACCCGGAAGTTGGCAATTCGAGGGAAACGGCAAAGGACGGAAGAAGACTTTGCAGACTGAGTGGGCAAAAAGAAACCGAGACGAAAAAGTCACGGAGCGATTTCGAACATTTTTTTTTTATTAAAAAACAACTAACGGTTTAACATTTTACAGCCATGTGCTTATGGGACACGATAGCGAGAGATATCATACCTACCTAGCTACCCATCTTTCGGGTCGGAGAGGATTACCATCATATTGCTGCGAAATAGTGCATCTCTGGCGCGAAAGGGCATCATTTAAGTTTGTTTTTTCAGCATCGCAAATACCTCGCTGTCTTTTACTGTTCCTAATCATCAATGAATGGCGAAGGGAAGAAGTGATCGTGGAAGCCAAATAAATCACGATCTTTGCCTTGTGCGTCCCGTATATGTATGACCTTGCATATGTATTCGTACTGTACATCTATCTACGTAACTGTAGGTAGTTTTTATTGCCAACATTGAACCAGTTTAGCCAAATTTACACAAGCATGTTTGCTGAGCACCAGGTATTTAGTCTAGTACATATGTAGGCGACAGATCATCATGGATGCTATGTATTTAGTAGCATTGAAGCGTTTTACAGGAAGTGAAAAGGGGAAATAGCATTGAAGCGTGCCATCACTGCCATGAAGAAGTCAAGTACCGCTATTAATATAGCTTGGACCAATTACAGAGGACGTCGGCAATGGTATAACGTCATTACCGAGCTCTTATCATCCAAAGCTCCCAATTTATCTAGGTTAACACAATCGTACGTGAACGTACCCTAGATAGGATATGTAGGTGCTAGGTTAGTCTGTCTACCTACAATGTAAGAACTAATTTTTGTTAACCGATTTCAAACATAAATCGAATAACATGGCCGGCCTCCGACTTCTTAGACCACAAGGCCTACTACCGAATCCTCTTACTACCACTAGAACCTCCGTTCGGCCTACCAAACTGGGTCTGCGTGCGCCGGCGTCGCAGGTACAACAGGCCCGTCGTATATCTGGGCCGTACGGCTATACGTCCGCGAAGGCGCTGGTGTTTAGCGAGTATGGCGAGCCGAAGGATGTTTTGAAGTAAGTACATGAACAAGCAAGCAAGTTTGACTTGGAAATATTCTATTCTATTCTCTATCCTCCTATCTAGCTATTTTTCATCGTCAACTAAGCTAACGCCACCAAAAAAAAAAAGCCTACACACGCACTCCATCTCCCCCATGCTCCCCCCCTCCTCCGTCCTCCTCCGCACTCTCGCCGCCCCCATCAACCCCGCCGACATGAACACCATCCAGGGCGTCTACGCCGCCAAGCCCCCCTTCAGCTCCCTCATCGGCACCGAAAAGCCCTCCGCCATCCCGGGAAACGAGGGCGTCTTCGAAGTAGTCTCCTCCTCCTCCCCCACCTTCTCCAAGGGCGACTGGGTCATCCCCAAACACACGCAGTTCGGCACGTGGCGCACGCACGCGCTCACCCCCGCCGACACCCTCATCAAGCTCGACAAAGCGGGCCTCACGCCCCTGCAAGCCGCCACCGTCGCCGTCAACCCGTCCTCCGCGTACCGCATGCTGCGGGACTTCGTCTCGGACCCCACGCCCATGCGCGAGGGCGACTGGTTCGTGCAGAACGGCGCCAACAGCGCCGTCGGCCGCGCCGCCATCCAGCTCGGCAGGCTGTGGGGCTACCGCAGCATCAACGTCGTGCGCGCGCGCCCCACCCCCGAAGCCACCGAGGCCCTCAAGCACGAGCTGCTGGAGCTCGGCGCCACGCGCGTCGTCACGGACCTCGAGTTCGAGTCCCGCGCCTTCCAGGCCGAGGTCGCCGACCTGACCTCGCGCGACAGCGCCGCCGCCGACGGCGTCCGCCTGGGCCTCAACTGCGTCGGCGGGAAGAGCGCCCAGGCCATGACCCGCGTGCTCGGCCGCGGCGGCACCCTGGTGACCTACGGCGGCATGGCCCGCCAGCCCATCGAGCTGCCCGCCTCCCGCCTCATCTTCAAGGACCTGCGCTTCTTCGGCTTCTGGCTGAGCCGCTGGGCCGACCGCAACCCCGCCGCCAAGGAGCAGACCGTGCACGACATACTGAGCCTGATACGGGAGGGCAAGCTCGCGGACGCGCCCGTGGTCGAGGTGCCGTGGACCTGGGGGACGAAGGCGGAGGAGCTGAGGGGCGCCGTGCAGCGGACGCTGGACGGGTTTAAGAGCGGGAAGGGCGTTTTTGTGTTCAGGGATACGTGATGAGTACCTAAAGTAAGTAGGTAGGTAGGCTGGCGGCTGGGCCGAGGAGGTTGTGATGTTGATGTTGATGTTGATGGCAGATAGATTCGGGCTGTTTAAATAGTACCTACATACATACATACCCATCTAACTAGGTAGGTAGGTACCTACAGTGTGTAGACTAGCTACCTAACCTAGTAGGTTCCTACAAGTTACGAAAGCTTCTCTGAAAAAACTACGAGGGAGCACGAGCACGGTGGCCTTACGATATCTCACACACCTACAGTACCTAGGTGTATATGTGTATATATATAAAAACTTGGCTTAGAATGAATGGCGAGGCATGCAATAAAATTGCTACTACCTACTACGCACCTACCTTGGTGTCTTATCCTATATCACGATTGTGAATATCCCGAGATAGATAGCACAGGACAGGACAGACGGGCGAGCAGACGGACGGGAAATTTCAAGTATTTTCTTCTTATTCTGTTTCGCTATTTCTCAATGCATCATGCATGCCCCTCACGTTCTTCCCGCCGTCCGTCGTAGTTATCAACGAACGTACAAACCGCTGGGGTGGTGGTGATAGTGGTAGTAGTGGTAGTAGTGGTAAGAGGAAGTCGTCCCTACGATGATTGAAGAAAGAGGGGAAATAAAAGAAGAGACGCAAAATAATCCGCTGATAGTCTAGAAAGGGAGTCGAGGTCGGATGGCGAGTGCGTATGAAGTGAGCGAGGTATCCTTTTCCATCCAACTCTTCTGTGGATTTGGATTTGGATTTGGATTTGGATTTCGATCGCGACCTCGATTCCTAGACGACATGCGGGATATATATGGCATATATCACCTCTCGAATCTTCTTGACTGATTTCTTGACTGATTTCTTGACCGATTTCTTCAGACGCAGACGGGCAACACGACTTCTTTGCAGCCTACTCTTCTAATTCGACTGGGGCGGCATAGCGTACGTTCTAGTCCACTCTTTGGCTGTCGTGATGGCTTTGTTCTCATCTTCCTTCCAGCTCTTCGCGACGTCGGCTGCTAGGGGGTCATCCGGGTTCGGGGCGCCGAGGAGGGCCTGGATCGATAGAAGGATGGTCCTAATTTGAAGAGCAGGGGACCAGTTGTCTGAAGAGGGGGAGAAAGTTGTGTTAGTCGGCAGGTAGAATAGACGGATATAGCGTCTGCCAAAGGCTATTCTTACTCTTCAACACATCTAGACAGATTCGACCAAGCTTATCGACGTTTGGGTGGTAGATCTTGGTGAGAAATCGGATCTTAGGCGGGACCATTGGATAGTCATCCGTGAGGAATAACTCGAGCTTGAAAATCCCTCCTATAGTATAAAAGGGGAACAGGTTAGTGTATGTCTGGGCTTAACGAAAGGGACACCACAGACCTTCGTAGGGCGATCCTGAGGGGCCGTGGATCTCGACGTCGAAATATCTAAGGTTGTCTTCGTGGGGAACCGCGCTGATACCCGGCACTCTGGAACGCTTAGTCAGAACAGGTATCTAGGCTAGGCAGTTTAAATCATGTCTGGGATCATTTTAAGTGCTCACGGTTCAGTCATAAGACGTTCCGTCTCCTTCACGATGCGTTTCGATAATGCCATCTTGAATACGTTGATGAGGTAGAGAATAGTTGTTTTGAATGGTAATGGTGGTGGATGTGGATAAGAGAGTACGATAAACTCTACTGATGGCTTCTCGTTGTAAAAAAGTTGAATGGAAAGATGGAGATTGAAGTCGGCAAGGTTGAAACTGTTGCGGTAGCGGTCGCAAGGTACATAAGGTTGCAAGGTTGACTAGGTGGACCAGCTTAGGGTGTCTGTTCCTCGCTCGTTCTGTCTCTCTATACTGTCTCTCCGTGTCTGGGTGTGTCTCTGTCTCAACTGTTTAAGATCGTTGGTGGGGTAGTATTGTAAGTAGATACCTGAAGTAAAGAATAGTAAGGAAAGACAAGACAGCACGAAGCTAGAACCGGCAGCTCCTGAAACAAAATGGTAGTAGTAGAAGTGGTAGCAGTAGTAGGATGAGGATAATATTTTTTTTCTTCCAGCAACGCCTATCAAACGATCTGGTATGCTTAGCTTGGTGACTGAGCAAAGAAGTTTAATGCAATGCAGGTGTTTAATGTTGCGCCTTTGATAAAGATTAATAATAAACTACATATATGTATGTAGGTTAAGAGGTTACGTGCTATAGCATGTACGATAAGAGCCTGTGCATGTGAGTATACCTAGGTATGTACCTATCCGATAAAACTCCTTATGTCCTTGCAGCTGCAACCTGAATGTTGAATGACTTCTGGAAGTTCAAGTTGTTAGGTTGCCCCTCGCCCCTCACCCCCCTCACCCCTCCAACTTGAGGTTAGAAAGGTACCTAGGTAGTTACGTACCAACTCGAAACTCGGTAAGTGCCGATCCCTGACTTATCTGCTTAGTTATCGATAGTGATTCGCATATCGCGTAGGTATCTGGTCGTTCACCTCGAATCATTGATCTTTATTAGAGATGGCTCATTACTGACTACTTCGTACCTTAAGCTACCTTACCTACCTCATATACTTACCTATGTATGCACTACCTAAGCCAGTAATATCCAGCCTCGGCACACCACCTTGACATTCATCAAGGTTATAGTATCATTACTGGTAATATCATTACTGGTAGTATCATTACTGGAGCTGATTTGATACAGAAACGTAGTATTTCATACTTGCCCTTCGTAATGCCTCTCCGATTATTAAATCATTTACCTACAGTTACATAAATTGAGTCGTTACTATACGACTATCACATCAGATACCAGAAATCAAAGGCCGATCTATTCAGACGCGAATCAAAAATGAGCCTGAGCCGTCATGCCATGCGAACTCATTAAGGAACCCGTTGATAATTCAATGTTCTGGGAGGGGTGACGCGCTCTACATTAACCAGCTATGCATTCATCTTTTCATAGCATCCCGGATCCTTCCAAGAAAGGGCATGTTCCCAAATCTGCCCACGACAGCGAGACTTTCGACGCAGATGGTACTATTCACGTTGATGGACTCGTTGGATCAGCCACCATATCACCTTGTGGTCGCGACATAGCTCTAGCCTCGTAAGTCTATGAATACCACCACTTTAAAACTCAGCTCGTAATATACAACAATCTCACAATTTCTAAAGTCCAGAAGGTCTAGCCATCATCGACCTTGATTCTCCTTACAGCCCACCTCGCAGGCTAAGTAGTCATGGAATGCCATGGTTGGTCGTTGACGTGCAATGGTCTCCATTTGCTGCGCGGGACTATTGGGTGGCGTCCACGGCGAACCATCGCTGTTTGGTCTGGAATCTGAACTTGAGGGAAGACTCGGCCACAGGAGCGATTGAGCATTCTCTTCAAGGCCATAGCAGAGCTATTACGGATATCAACTTCTCTGCTCACCACCCCGACATTCTTGCTACTTGCGCCGTGGATGGCTACGTGCATTCCTGGGATCTGCGAAGGCCTAAGCAACCCGTTTTGACATTCTGCGACTGGTTTGCTGGCGCTACCCAAGTCAAATACAATCGCCAGGACCCCTATGTGCTTGCCTCTTCACATGATAGATGGCTACACATCTGGGACGAGAGGAAGCCTTCTATGCCTCTCAAGTCTATCAGCGCACATACATCCAAGATCTATGGCCTCGATTGGAATCGCTCTAGAGCAACTCATATTGTTACTTGTTCTGTGGACAAGAGCATCAAGTTTTGGGATTACGCCGGGTCCGATGAACCAGAAAGAATCATTCGCACTGACTTCCCTGTTTGGCGCGCTCGTCATACTCCTTTTGGATGGGGCCTGTTGGCTATGCCTCAAAATGACCCTGGAAACCTGTATCTGTATGATGTTCGTCGTGATGAAGGAGAACCTTTAGATGATGCCGTGAACCCTCGGACTATCTTTCCCGGTCATGGGACGCACAAGGTGAAGGAATTCTTATGGAGAAGTCGCGGAACTGTCACCGATGAAGGGATCGACAATCGTGGGTTCCAACTCGTATCATGGGGCGAAGACAACGAGCTGCGCCTTCAAAGAGTTGATGAACCGACTCTTGAATCTGTCGGTCATGTGAAAGGTGGTCCAGCTCGAAAATTCAACCTGACGAGAAAGGGAGCTGCGTATAAGACGTACCGAGCCGTTGATGACCATGCGCATAGGGAGAAGAAGTCGGCTACAATGAGTGACCCTCGCCCGGGCAGTGGAGGAGGTCATGTCCGTCGTAGTGCTCTCACCATGGGAATGCAGACGATGTCGTCACATTATCCTCGATCTGGCAGCGGCATACCAAGCTGGAAAGGCCCCTCGATGAAAGCCAAGTCAGCTACAGGGAAGATTATAGATAGAGGCCTTGATCAAGTCGGTTGGATGAAGGGTATCAGCATGAGCAAGAAGTCGGCGATGATTGGGCCATCCCAGAGAAAGGAGTCGAGAGATTCTACCATGTTCGGACATCACTTTCATGACGAGCATTGGGGAGAGCCGGAAACACTACAGGAAGAAATCATTCGTGTTAGCCAGCAATTGCCGAATGTCAAATGGGACAATGTCGACATGGATTCTTTAACCTTGAAAGCTTCCCTCAAAGGACCGTGGGGTGCAGATGGCGATACCATTTTTATCAAAGTGAAGGTGGACATTCCTGGGAACTATCCTAAATCAAGAGCTCCGAAATTCATCGTCGAGAAGACAGCTTTGATGTCAGACCAGATATATAAGAAACTTGACCAGGAAATACACCAACTAATAAGTCAATTCGCAAAGAAGCGGCAGAACTGCCTCGAGGTAGCTTTTAGTTATCTCCTTGGAGAGATCGACCTTTCGACTAGTGATTCACTTTTCAAGAATGTCAAAGATCTAGACGATGACATGGGCGGACTGGCCGACGAGAGTTCGAGCGAGGAAGAGGATACCGATATTCCTGCGGGCGGCTCTGCCACCATGTCGCAAGAGCTCACTGCCAGCACCGAGTTGGATGCAACCCTTGCACCGATTAATCGACCTACTATTCCACCTATGCCGCGTTTCTGTGGTGGCCGTTTCTCCAATGACGGGAGATTAGTTTGTTTTTTCCCTACCAAGGAAGAGAAAGCTAAGAATGCCTCTTTCTTTCCTTCCAGTGACTCTTATAGGGAACGACCCAAAGGCGAGCCTAGCTTTGCCGGATTTGGTAGACTTCAACAAGAGTCATCAGTTCCAAGAAACCGGTATGCCAATGACGATGTCTCTGCCACTGAAGACCAGTCTGATTCGGAAGATACAGAAGGCTCTTCTAGTTCGAGTGACTCTGAAACCACGTATATGCATAAGATCAATATGTGGTATCTACCTGGCCGGCGCTTCCGGAAGACATTCAGTGGTAGTTATTCAATGCATTCAAGCGGAGGGGGGACTGGTATTGGTACCGGTACCGGCACTGGCACAAGTAGACGTCGGCCAGGAAAACCCAAGAACATAATATCTATCCACGACGTTTCTAATGAGCTACCTTCCAAGCCAGAATTCGCTCAAGAATATTGCATTTTTGGGGATGGTGCAGAGGTTTGTGAACATAATGCAGCTGTTGCAGAAAAATATGGCCGATCCGGTCTTGTTGATATTTGGAAATACGCGGCTTTATTACTCAGAAAAGACATTCCCCTCGAACTTTTAGGGGGTGGCCAGAATAGAAGATCAGTACTTGTCATCGCGAAGGATGCCGTTGCACGTCTCGGCGACGCCAGGCCGTCCTCTAGGAATTCGGACTCTGTCGCACTCACCGGGCGAGTTAAATGGGGATACCACCCTCTCGCAAAAGGCCTTATAGACGACCTGTTCGACTATTTTGAAAAATTGGCGGATATACAGATGCTTGCTATGCTTTCATGCATATTTAGCGAATCTTCCAATGAAGACAGTGTTGCTTATGCAGAATCCCATCTCCCTCAGCCAGAGACGCCACTTCCTATGAAAGCACCGTCATTTTCTTTAGATTATTTCCCTACAGACGCATCGATCTGGCACCATCATTACAACTACAAAAGCCAAGCCAACTCCGCAATCTCTACACCCAAGACAGTACATACTCCGGTGAATATCGCGGGTTCGTACGGATCCGAAGAAATCGCGTGGGGTGGTGAACCGAAATCCAACTCGTACTCATGCGGTGAAACGCCCCCGACGACAACTCCACGGGAGCCAGATGGCGATCCGACGCAAAGCTTGGCTACATCCCCTGACAATAGGCTCCTAACCCGTGCCAATACTGCTTTAAGTGCCGGCCTGGCTAGCTTCCCCAGGGCTTTTGCGAGTGTTGCTTCCACGTCCCCTCCGAGTCGGAAACGCCCCAGTCCTGGAGATACATTTCTGTCCAATCTTGCCCCAACCAACATTACTTGGGGTGGCTCGACTATTCTGGGTCCTACGTCTGAGCCGTCAGGTACTGCGCGGAATTCTTACTCGGACGATGACATGCGGAATGACGACGCTTTACCACTCGTATGCTACGGCATATCCACGGTAATGGAGGATCAGTCCCCGTTCGACGATGACGGCTGGTTAGGTACCCCCTTCCTCGAGCCTTCACGTTATCCCATATACGCGAGTTACCGCCACGCTTATGCAGAAATGTTACAGATGTGGAGGCAACCGTTGGCGCGACTCGAGATTCTGAAATTCAATGTCCTCAAAGATCCTTCTGATCTTCATACGACTAGTTTCGCAAGCTCTAGAGCTACTAGCTATCACGACTTCTATCACAATAACGAGGAAATAAATAACACCTCGATATCGCACAATGATGCTGGCTCACCTATCGTATTAGGGAAAAGGGAGCTGCTACAATCTCTGATCACGTCTGATCGTGGAATAGACGTGACGGGAATCTGTCGCGTACACGAGACTCATTTGGACCCTATTCGATCAACTTACGCTAGTGCGACTTGTGGTGGTGCCGTTGGCACTTGCGATCGCTGCAAACGCACACAAACGCAGCTTCTGTGTGTATTCTGTAGCGAACCGATGGACGCTCTATACCCTCCTTGTCTATCCTGCGGCTGTGCCAGTCATGACACTTGCATAGCAGAATGGCATGCAGCTGGTGAAACCGAATGCCCGGCGGGAGATGAATGCGATTGTGCTGAAGAAGCGAGCACAGGCCAAATCGAAACGTGGGCTGCTATCTTGGGCGCCCTACGTCAAGGCAAAATCCGCAAGCCGTCGGATGTCGGCCTAGAAGCTTCCCAGCTTGCTGCGGACAAACGCGGCGGCTCCATTGACAAGCACGACTGGGAGAAGATCGCTAGCGGCGCATTCATACCCCTCGCCGATGGGCAAGGCAAACCCCTAGACCCATACCAATTCCAAACCCCCATGTCAGCTGCTCGAATCAGTCTTGGGAACAAGCTGAGAAAATCGGCAGGAAACTGGGGCAGCACGTCTTCGTTGCGCAAGAAATCGGGTAGTGGATCGGGCTCGGGGTCGGCGAGTAGGCGATGAGTGAAACTTTACGACTTTTGTACCGATATATGATGTATACGAGTATAGGTTTTCCTGGGTTCTTGTGTACAAATAGGATTGGAGCGGGCGTTGTAGGGTTTTTGAGTATGTGTATACGGAGCGGTTGGAACTGCTGAATATACCTACTGAATGTATGTACAAGTCACAGAAGCTGGTGATTACCATGCATCGCATTTCTGGATGGGATTGATGCCCAGCTCCTCTGATGATGAACTATTGGTTTTGATGACATGACGCTTGTCTACTTACCTGAGATAGGTAGCCCAAGGTACTCGAAATAAGTGACTGTAAAAGATCATCGCTCAATACCCCTTTTCCATCGCATCTTACAAATTTACCCAGCTCAACCGCTCAATCCAGACAGACTCCTGCCGCCATTCCGCCTCCTGTTTTCCCTTTTCCCATTTTCATCCCAAACCCCTAAGCTTGCCCTTTTCAGATCCGACCGGCCAGTTTTACCCGGTACCGGTATTTTATTACATCCGTCCGCCTATCCCAATACCAAGAATAAACCAGAACAAATATACTAGGTAGCCACATTAGGTATTAGGCAGATACCCCTTTGAAACAAGATTGAAAAAAAAAAAAAAACCATCATCGTGGTCGTCGCCACCGCCTTCGCCTTTGACTTTGACTTAATCCCACCTCCCCCGTTCAACTTAGCTAGGCACCTCAACACCTGCACATCTGCACACACCGACTCGTCGGGTCCGCATGGCAAGTCACCGAGGTTCCCGAGCAGTAGCACAGGTCGTTGCACAGGTCGCCGAGGCTCCCGCCGCAGGCCATGCTGCCTGGTGGGGTTGTCGGCGTGGAAGAGGCACTGCTGCTGGTTGTTGTGCTGTTTGTGGGAGGGGGGAAGACGAGGGCGGTGGTGGTGGTGGTGAGGGTTGAGAGGAGTGGGAGGAGGTGGGTGAGCTGGGAGGTGTGTTAGTAGGAGGGGGGTGTGCGGTTCAAGGGTTTAGGGAGGGAAGTTACCTTCATCTTGGAGGGTTTGGGTTGTGCGATTTACACTTTGTTCTACTTCGTTGTAGGTTGTTAAGTAGGTACGTAGGCTAGGTAGTGCGGCTCCGTCAATGCTTAATCGCGGACCTGGGTAGATGCGATGATATATGGCGTGAGGATAAGAGGGGAGGGGATAAGGAAGAAGTATCGATGAATGAGCTATTGGCATATGGAAATTAAATACTTATATTCTAGACTTTAAATAGAAAGTCTGTCTATCTAGGTAGTTATCTCCATCCATCTCGATACCTACCTACCTGGGTATTCCGTGTGACAGCTATCACCCTAACCATCACTATTCCTTGTCACTCGCCCCTTTTTATTCGTGCCTGGAGATCGATCGAGGGATCTCTCCGAGCCCTAAACGGGGAAAATTCAGAGAAATCTGCCAGGATATGTACTTTATCCCAGTGTGGAGTTTTCCCTGTGGGATATATTGATCTTCTTCTGGGATTGTCTTTTTTCTTTTTCTTCTTTTTTCCCCTCCCCTGCATTTCTTAGTTTAACCGTTAACCGGGAGTCAGGTCGCAACAACAACAACACAACTGTCGGTGTTTTATTTTGTTTGGGTAGGTTGCTGGGCTAGGTTACAACGCTGTTCAACCCTCGTACCTACATCGTCATATTCAGCCGTGGATGGAGGGGTGTTTCGTACATAGTAGGATATTTGCCTTTTTGTCCTTTTTCTTTTTTTTCCTCCTATGATGAGATACTTGGGCCAGCTTCTCGATCTTAGGATAGGCAGATAGGTACCAGTATGGTAGAAAACGTAACAGTATCACTAAAATGATCCCATAGCTTGATTCGAAATCTTGCTTTAGGCAATTAGAATGAATATCTCTAGGATGGGGATCCCGGGCATGTGTAATATTCTATTTCTTTTTTTTACCTCCCTTTTTCCTTTAGGTTTATCTTTTCTTTTTATTTCTTTCTATATCTCTTATTTGATACGAGTATATCGCAAACATATGGTTACATTACGCTTATATCTGGCCCGGCGAGTCGTACGTTGTCAACTAGGACACCATCGGATGAATTCCATACTGGGTACCCGACTTACGCATCTCGATCAGTGCATCTAGATGAATGACATGGAAAGTCCTATATCCAGAAGACGTAAAATGCTTAGATATAACTCAGCCTCATCGCTATTAGGAGTGTTGGTTGATACATGAAACGGTTGACCTAGGTACATTAGGTAGTATCGAAATTATGTATCTGAACTCCCACGCATTATAATGAATAAGTTTCAGATATAACATATCAGACTGAATACTATTACTAACCGTACTAACGCCTCTTTAAGTAGGCCTCCAATGAAGTATCACGTGTAGCACGTGCTCTTGTCCATGGTACATGTAATATACGGTGATTAGTAAACGTTGTATTATGTGATCTCCCTTCCTGACTATCCCCCCTTTCCCCCCTCCCCCCTTTCTTCCCCCCTTCTCTCCTTAAACGGAGTGACTTATTTTTACCTACCCTAGGCAGTTACCAGCTGAAACCCCGAACAAGCGCTTACATCCACACCATTCGAAGCAATGACAAGCTTGAAAGATTTCCGTCTCCTCTCGTTCGGAAGTTTGATACCCTGGGAGACATGGCGGATGCACTTAAGGCTGAATTGGGGGATCAGTCTTGAATGATGAACGATTATGCTATAAATCATCGTCCGACTACTACTAGGTAGGTATGCAAGTATATGCCCGGGGTACCTAGACCAAGTTGATGGTTGTTGCTTCGCCCGCGTCCCATACATACACCCTCCTCTATACCTTCCCACATCAACCCCACGATCCAAGAACTACCAGTAGGAAACTCATGTCTGCATAATCTTCTCAAAAATCTTCACCCGACTAGTCCAACTCCTGCACCTCTTCCCATAGATATACATCGGGATCGCGCACAGGCAAATAAAGACATGTATACCCCCCACAACACAAAACACATCCTTGGGGCCTTGCTGGGTGATCCAGTCCGAAATAAAGTAGTTCATGCCGAACGAATAGATATTCCGCAAATTAATCGCCGCGAACGCCTCGGGCGCCTTGTCGCGATGGCAGTCCGTCAGGTATCCGTACACAGCGATGGTCATGAACCCGACACTGAAGTACTGCAGGCCGTAGAAGATCACCGGCGCGATCCACGGGTCCTGCACCTGCAGCGACCAGCCAAACCCGAAGAACGACATGCCGCCGAGCAAGAAGCTGACCGCGATGAGCACGAGCCTAAACTCCGGCTCGTAGATGCCGCCATTCCTGCGCGCCATCGACTTGACGACCCAGTCCGCGATGGGGCCCGAGATGAACGCGCCGACGATGGCGCCGATCAGGCTCGCGATGGAGACGAGCCCGACGCCCGAGACGCTGAAGTTATACGGGGGGGCGGTGAACAGCTGCGCGAGCACGCTGCCGACGACGACGAGCCAGGAGGTCGTGAGCCCGTACGCGAAGAAGGAGAAGAGGACCTGGGGGAAGGCCAGCATGAGAAAAGGGCGCACGAGGACTTTGAAGAACGACTCGTCGGACACGCGCCCGTGGAAGATCTTCAGCTCGTGCCAGTAGCTGTGCTTCTGTTCCGACCACGCCGGTTCCGCCGGGGCCGCGCGCTCGAGGGCCGCGACTTCGGCCTCGACGTGCTCGGCTTTGGGGGAGTCGGCCTCTGCTTTGTCGCTGTTGTCGTTGTTGTTGTCATGCGCGGCCAGCTTGTCGGCGCGGTCCTGGTCGGTGCCGAGGTCGGTGTTGAGGCTCTCGTCGCGCTGGTAGGCGGTCTCGGGGCAGAAGAGGAAGAGGACGACGATCCAGACGCCGAACATGATGGCGCAGATGCCGTAGGTCCAGTTCCAGCCGAGCCCCTCGATGATGTAGCCGGAGATGATGGTGCCGCCGCCGACGCCGATGGAGAGGCAGAGGCCCCAGGCTGCGAGGCGCACGCCGCGCTCGTGGACGAAGTAGATGTCTGCGATGGTGGTGGTGACGAGACTATGAAAGTGTATGGAAAGATTAGTAACTTTTCTTTTCTATTCTGTCACTCCTTCAATAAGTAGAGAGGAAAACGGGTTAACACTCACACTTCAAATGGCGACATCCCAACACAGCCTATCAGCCGAAACGCCAGGAGACTGTTGAACGAATGCGAATAGAAACCCCCAATGCTGCTGATGAACAGCAGCAGGTTGCCGAGGAGGAATATGGGCCTGCGTCCCCAGACGACGGCCATGGAGTTGGTGATGAAGCAGGATAGACCGATCATCAAGATACCGTATCCGAGGTCGCCGTTGAGCTTGTTGTAGGAGATGCCGAATTGGGAGGTCATCTCGACGAAGCCGGGGGTGATCATGGGTCCCTGTACGTAGAGAAATGTGCTGTCAGCCTACTATGTTCTTGTTCGTGCTTATTCGCTCAATGGGGAAATCTTGGCTGTGCTTGTTTAGGGAGAAAGGGGGACAAGGCTTACCCAGGCGCCTACGACGGCGGTATCGATGCAGATGAAGAAAAACATCAGGTCTTTCTTCCACAACGGCCAGTTCAACGGGTCATTGGGGCTGTTGCTGGGCTGAGGCACTAGCAAGATGTCCGAGTTTCTGCCCTTCCCGTGGCGTAGAGCCGACGTGTCGAGTCGGCCATGATGGTGATGGCTATCTTGATCGATGACATCGGTCAAGAGAGCCGTTCCCGGGACGTGGTCGAGATACTTGTCTTCTAATACTCCGAGACCCATGACGAGAGAGAGAGAGAGAGTATAAGAAATGACTACGACGAGCTCATCCAAAATGCGTAGGTGGATGGGTGCAAGTTTGGAAATGAACTACACATATTGGGGGCAGTCGACGCGACTTATAACGAATACCAAGACATGGTAGTATTCCCCCAACCCTCCCCCGGCAACCCTACCTGCCTACACTACGCAACCCCATGGGGATGGCTAGCCCCCTTGCCATATTGGAGACGTACCAGGCTCGGAACGTGCTTAGTGCTGCCATCCATCTTGCATATTGCGGGGAACCATGCCCGAGCTAGGTTGAGGACATCACGGCAGTGAGTTGACGGTGAAGAATACGATGGAGTCCGAATCAAGAACACGAAAAGGGTTAACGCTATCCAGTAATTGAATCCCGGGCCTTGGCTTCTAGATCGCCACAGGCCAGCCGTGGTAGACATAATCGAAAATTGTCTTGGTTCGGCAGTAGCTTTACTGCCTAGGTATTGGGGTGTTTTTATCTTTTTTTTTTTTTTTTTTTAATTCCTTATGGTGAGGGAAGATAGGTAGCCGTATATTAGATTTGATAGGAAGAAAGGTAGTTGTTACGTATCATGCGTTGACTTAGGTAGCTCAGTTGTCATAAGAGCCTTGAAACTCAGCTGCACAACCACCTGGTTGGGTTATTATCTCTACACTTTCAAGCAAACGAACGGTTCTATCATTGAAATCTGAAGTAGGTATCAATATACCACCTGTCGCCCTCAAGCTCCACTTCCATCCCCAGGAAGTTGCTCAAGCCCTGTCGAATTGTTAGCATTCCCTCGCATCAAACACAACACAGCACAACACAATACGACATATATGACTTACATCCTTCGGTAGTCTCATCAACAGTAATCGGCACCGAGCACTTATTCGCCTCGGTGAAGGCCTGCTTCGCAACCCCGTCGCAGGTGTCGCCGAAGCAAGCCCCGTCCATCAGTTTCTGCAGCGCATCGCCTTTCCAGCCGAAGACGTAGTCCGCGTGTTGGCCGTATCCGGTACTGCGTTTTGTATTTTAGTTAGTAACCTGATTCGCGATGACTCAATCGGGATTGATTGTCGTGAGTAGGTAGGTAGGTAGGTAGGTGCTTACTTGTCTCCCGTGCTGAGGATGAAGGGCTGAGACCCATCCTCGGGCCAATCTGCCGGGTCGTTGAATGCGGTGGTGTCCCAGACGATCTATGCGCAAATTATTAGCAGCAATATTATCGCAAGAATAAAGAGTTAGGTTAGGTAGATGCATGTGTGCAGATGAACAACTGGCGATTTGTTAGGCCCCCCCTCCCTCATTCAGGGGCTAGCCAATGTATTGCCATGCTAGTAGTAGCAAAAAGAGGAGGAGATTGAAAACCACATACTTCCAGCATCAGTTGCGGTATTTTAATCGGATGGGTAGATGGGCAGTCACCGGTAGTGGCGAACGACGAAGGCCCTCCGACCGGATATGCGACATGGTCTTGATGGTTAGGACTGTCTAGACGTTCTCCGTCCCAGCACCTACGTACGTGTCCCAAGTATAAGCATACCATCCCCCATAGTCACCAAAAAAAAAAAAAAAAAAAAAAAGAAAAAAAAAAAAAAGGAAAAGGTGCTAGGTAATCTCACGTCGGGAAGTGAATATTCGATCGAATACCACCCAAGCACGGCCCCGAGGGGAAAGTCTCGGTGTCCAGCTTAGGGTCCGCACAAGGCGAATAGTCGTCCCCCTGGAAATCAGGGCCCGTGAAGCACCGGAAGCAGCTCTGCGATCTCAGCCCCGAGCCTTTCTTCTCGCGGCGCATCGAGTCTCCCACCAGCATCCGGAATCCCTAGTGCATACATGACCCTTCGTTTAGCTCAAGGCTATATATATATATATCGAGTTAAGGGAAGAGTTGGTGGGCTGGTGGGGCTTACCGGCTTAAAGGCAGTGACGCCGCTTTTGCCAGGCGAAAGGTAATACACCGTCACGCCGCCCCGGGAGCCATCGAGGAACCTGTTGGGGATCTGGGGCACGCGTCTGTAAGTGCCGTTCTTGGCCTTGAAGAACAGGTTCGCGGTCCAGTAGTTCGAGAAGTCCTCGCTGAAGCTGCAGGTCGTGCAGGTGGCGAGTTCGGAGACGTCGGCGGATGGGATCGAGGCGTTGAAGGCGTTCTAGGTATGAGATTATTGAGTAAGATGGAGGAGGTGGAAAGGGCTATTGCACATACGCCTCCGACGATCTAGAAAGAGTTAGTAATGTGAAATGGGATGATGGAGTTTGAGGCCTGAGGTAGGTACCTGGTGAACATGTGGAGATGGGTTGACACCTGGATTGACGAGACTAAGCAATGATAGAGTCAGTCAGATTCTCACAGTATAGCATAACTGTTAATAGTATGAAAAAAAAAAAAAAAAAACTCAAGTCTTACGGATCAAGCCGTTCAATAACAACCTGCGAGCATCCAAATCGAACCAAGCTATTGCTTCCAGGACCTTTTACCGGAGTGACTTGTGGTGCTGCATCGACGAACGCGATCAGCGAAAGGAGCGCAGACCAAATCATCGTGATTCCGTTTTGCAGTTTAGTGCCTAACCACTATATTACTATCAGGACAATAGGTAAATATTTTCTTGACTACTAGAATGGTAAAACGACAAGCTCAGGGAGATGAAGCATTAACATCTCATTTTTGAAGATCGCACGGGGAGTGCTAGATGAATGTCCTTCCAGTGGCTTAGGAAGTGAAGTGCCGGCTACACGACAGCAATCAGCTTTTATCTTTTAATATAAAGCCTACCCCTTCATGCTTGCCGAAGTCTTTAGGTGTCAATGTCATGCACCCTGTTGATATCCTCATTGGTCTATGGGGAGTTTTGCCGTAACTACCGGATATACAAGCGGACACATGGGTGATAACTGCGGTGGGCTGCTAGCCTCCCCTTTTCATACACTCTTACCAAGAAGTAGTCATGAATATGCGATCTAACAAATTAATTACTCCAAGTTTGGTATCATCATCCCCTACCTGCCAAACTACCATAGGCACCTTGTAGGTGAGCACATATCTGACAAAGCCCTTTCCCAGCAAACGGCAAGGTCTGAAATGCAAACTCGTGATACCATTTCTCGTGTCTACATCTATACATATACCGATCTATATCTATATCTAGTACCTGCCAATGCACCGTAGCCCAATGCTGAATCTATCCCATCGCTATGCACGAGGTGCCCATATATATCCACCTAGTACCGATCTATACCATGTTGAAGAATGTTCGATGCCTGCCATAGTGAAAATGTAAAGGAAAAGAGAAAAAAAGAAAAAGAAAAAAATAGGAAATATCTATACATTTAAAAAGAGAGGAAAACAAAAACACAAACCTCATCCTCTCTCACTGCCACCCCGCCCCCCCATCCACCAACAACTGATCCATAACCGCCGCCGCCGCCGCCCTATACGCCCGTACATCAATCCCCAACAGAAAGTCCCACATCCCCCTCAGCCTTCCCTGGAGCGCCTCGGGGTCAACCCCCACCCCCGGCATCCTCCCCGTAACCAACAGCCCCGTCTCCGCACTATCTCTGGCGGCCTGCTCAGCGCGCGGGCGGCACACGCTATCGTAAGCCTTCAGGGCGGCGGGGATGGCGGCCTTGGAGGGCAGGCGGCCGAGCAGCGTGCTGAGGATGAGGGCCTCCTCGAGAGCGAGGCACGCGGAGGCGCCTTGGAAGGGGAGCATGCTGTGCGCGGAGTCGCCCAGGAGGCAGATGCTGTCGGTTGCGTAGGTGGGCGCCGGGCGGTGCTCGAGCTGGCAGATTGCGGCGACTTGGACGGTGTAGACGCTTAGGATGAGCTGGGAGATGTGTTGTTAGACTGGAAAGCAAGAGGGGGGGGGGGGGGAGGGGGGGGACTTTTCTCATAGAGTAAGCAGATAGGCATTTGTTCACACTCACATCGACCATGCCCTGACACATCGGGACCCTATACCCCGCAAACATCTCCCTAAACTCCTCCGTCGTGAACAGCTTCGCCCACTCCGGCTCCTTATCCCCCTCCCCCTCCCCCTCTCCCTCCCCATCCGTCTTCCCGTGCACAATAATCTGCACCTCATCCCCACCATCCACCATATTACAAAGCATCATCGTGCCGTCCCCAATCCACCCCATCTGCCTCGGGTTCCTCGGATCCAACAGCTCCCCCGCGCCCATCACCTCCTGCGCCCTCCGCAGCGGCACCTTGATCGGCAGGCCCCAGAACCCGGTGGCCCTCGGCTTAACCAGCGCCTCGTCGTCCCCCAGCACCAGCCGCCGCGTGAACCCGTGCGCGCCCTCCGCGCCCACCACCACATCGTAGCGTTCCTGCGTCCCGTCGTCAAACGTGATCAACTGCCCTTGCCCCGCCCCCAGCGCCGCCACAGACACGATCGCCTTTGTGCCACCACCACTACCCCCACCACTAGGCCCAGGACGCACCACCCCCGCCGGCACCCCCCGCAACATCTCCCGCAAAAGCGCCTCGCGGTTAACATTCCAGTGCGAGCGCTCGCCCAACCCCCTAATCCGCACCGCCGCGCCCGCGCCCTCGCCGACCGCGACCCTCGTCTCCGCCGTCGCGAGCACGGCGCCCGCGCGCTCGAGGCAGCCCGCGAGCTCCGGGTCGATGAGGGCGAGCGCCGCGGCGTCGAAGAAGCACAGGCCCGGCCCTTCCTCCTTGAAGGTCGGGCGCGTGGCGTACATGTCGACGGAGAGGAGGTGGGGCGGGTGCCGGAGGAGCCCGCGCAGGAGGGCGGCGCCGGCGAGGCCGCTGCCGATGATGGCGATGCGGATGGGTGGTGGTGGTGGTGGTGGGGGGAGGGAGGTGGGCATTTCTTTTTTTTTTTTTTTGAGAAAAAAAGAAGGGGGGGGGGAGGGGGGGATGGGATGGGATGGGATGGGATGGGATGGGTGAGGAAAACTGAGGTTAAGGTAGAGGTAGATGATGAATGCGAGAATGAGACGAGAAAGCTTGTCCGTAGGCTAAAAGGAACCCATTGCTAAGAGGTGTCCAGGAAAGAGGCTCTGTTAAATATATTCATCGTCGCATACCCAGGTGGTACTTAAAGTATTCAACTAGAAAGCTTGTCGAGTTCTAGCTTCTTTCTAGAACTCAGTCCTCGCTCCACCATTCATTCACAATAACCAATCCTTAATAACCAGATCTATAATCTCGATCTAGGTACCTAGGGCGGTATAGCCATTGAAACCAGACTCAGACTCAGCCTTACCCCTGCCCTAGCGGTGATATCGTTAGCAATGCTTCTTGGCATGGAGAGGAATGGCTTCCTTCCTTCCACATGGAATAATTCGATAAAAAAGAACGTGTAATGGTTGTTTCCATGGAAGCGTGTCGTTGTTGGTAGGGCTGATGGAATTTCGCGAGGTCGATGCTCCTTCGTTGACAAAGCACTTCTTCCAATAACTCCGGCCAATCATGTCGCCATGATACATGATGCTTCAGCTCCCCGGTTTGGGTTTCGCTGGGGTAAGACTGTTGCAATTGGTTGACAAATGCAAATAGCTCCCGCAACCAGCCCTGTGGGTAATGTACCTAGGCAGGCAGTGATGAAGATCCCTCCTAGGCATCGATATAAAAAAAACAAGAGAAAGAAAAGAAAAGAAAAGGAAAAATGACAAATTGATGCACAATTGAAAGCCCTGGTGGGAAATGAGTATTTCTCATGCTGCTGTCTTGTCATGTCGTCTTGTCAACTGAACCTTGAATGTCAGACCGAAGCCATGCAACACTCACTCCTTTTCTCAGGGGTTCGAAATCTCCCTTTCCTCTCCTGTCTCACGGCTCTTCGAACCTTAATTGTAAGTATTCCTGCGTAAATATGTAGTCTCTCCTGAACTCATTCACTTTACAAATCAAGCCTTCCTAATCGCGATCGCGTTCGGTAAATCCAGCCTACACTAGAATCCGAGCCCACCACTCATCTACCGAGCGATGGGGTCAGTGGGATTTGGCGCCACCAGGCACCGATATTACTGCACTTATCTTCCAAAGGTACCTAGGTAGATGCGGTAAACAAGCTTCAAAGGTCTATATAAAAGTCACACCGCCTACCTGTCATGATAATTAGCCAATTAGCAACAACTACGATCCAGATACTCCGTATGCGAATCTTACAAGCCACATATACGTTGCTAAAGTTAACAGTCAACGACAATGTGGTCAGAAGGGGGATGATTTTAAGGATTGTCAAGGCTTTGTTGACAAGCACGGTATGATCTTTGATGAACTTCGGTCGTCCCGGCGAGAGAATTAGGTAGTCACATTCTGCAAGAAAAAACAAGGAAAAGGGGATGGCAATCGAGCTCAACCGACAGCTGACTTAACTGGGCAATGATTGACCGTGGCTGATAGGAATGATGAGTCGAGCATGCGAAAATACCTGACAAGAAGGAAAATCAAGATTAGCAGACAACTCAGAGGGATCACAAAAAGTGGTCATGTTGAGGGGGGTGGGCTTGTTGTTGAATTTTCCATCCCAAATCCACCGTATTGCCGCTTATCTGTCTAAAAGCGACACAGAAGAGTTTCCGAGTTACAAACTCAACCATAGATCTATGTCTAAACCAGAGCGCGTTTGTATGTGAAGGGTATCATAATATTGGCATCCCAAAGCTCCAAGATCATGTTTTTTTTTTTACCCAAAATCCGCCACCCCAAACCAAGGAGTTATATTCATAAATCATGTTACAGATTTCCCTCCCGCTCACATTCAATACTCCAACGCTAGATAATCTCTTTAATCAACGGTTGATTTAACCACGAATCGGGCATAAAGCAGTTCGGGGTCCATGCCCACAACTAGTTGTGAGGCTGAGTCCAAGGATTCGAGGTCATAAAGGGCGGAAACCGGCTTTCTCGAGTTCAGTACCTTCCGGTAGCATTGGACGGCCTTGCATTGGGAACGGCCAGAATAGAGGATTCTCTAGGCTTTTGGCAGTATGTGCAATAGGACCTCGTACCCTTCCAGAGTCGACAATGGGTAAGGGGTACTGTTCTTCTCGATTTGTAGCCTGACCCTCTGCAACAATCCCTTGCATCTTTTCTGCGTGATCGAAATGAGTTTGCGATGGAGAGATAGGCTTTCCGAACGCACCCCCTGGGCCGCCGATATCTCGTGTACCCCATGCGCAAAGAAAATCGTCCTCATTGACGTTAGGTGCAAAGAAATTAAGACTGCTGGTATTTGGCCGAACTGAATTGTCTATTTCCTTGGACACACCACTGTCGGGTGGGATATCTACTTCGATGTTCCATTTCTTGGCAAGGAATTGTAAGATATTTAGCGCTTGGTGTGCGAAGTGATGACATGGTGCCATCTCTGTCAAGTGTGAAATCCCCTGCTTAAGGGATTCTGCCACCTTGGGACTTAATTTCGCGGTGGTTGTGCTCGACGGGGACGTCGGCTCTGCTTCGTCCCTGTGGCTAGTAGATAAACGTCTTAGACTATGCTCATTATCAGTATCTTCGGGCTTAACCGTCGAGGGATCCGACATTTCTGTCGGAGAAGTAGGTTGTCCCCTAATAGCCTCTGCGCCAATGGCGAGGTGCATGATAGAAGACGTGAGGACAAAGTATGGTACAAACGATGGTGTTCGTCTTAGCGTATACAATTGAGAGTATGATCGAAGCAGGCCTTGGATGGCATCGGCGGCTTGAACGCAGACGTCACGTGGAAGGATACCTGAACCAATAATTCGTAATTTTATGAGGGGCCGGAATAGGAGGAGGATAGCAAAATGATAGTACATGCTATAAGAGAAATTAGTTGAATGAGACCGATGTGAACGTCTTCAATAAGAATACATACTGGGCGAAAAGTACAGCAGGTGTAAAATTGTGCCCTAGTCGAAGAACCTCGGGGATCCTGTCGTACCAGTTCAAATATTGTGTATAGATGCTGAGTAAATCTCGACTTGAAACTGGTTTTCCGGGGGAGTGTAAGACGTATAGCGACTGGTGGACTAGCTCGCTAAGCTCGCAGAAGCATTTGTAGACGGATCGGACGTTAGATGGTTGCTCACAAGACCGTTGGAGAGGAGCCCCTATCTTCCAGATTAGATTATGTGCGAATTTCCTTTGCCAAGCAAAAACTCGACAGACTGGTGTTCATCTATTTTACCGTCATCGGTATATGGTACCCATAAAGAAGCTTCTATATCATCGATAACAGCGGGTTTAGGCGGCAAATGCGGGAAACAAGAGCATTGAGGCAAAGAGCCAGTCGCGAGGGACCATGCGCTTCGGATATTGTTAGCTAAATCAACGGAAACTAGTCAAAAGCAACTGGCGACACACTTACTGATCCAAAGCAAAAGCGCCCCAGAATGTCGCGCCCTGGACGGCTATCTCGTCATCGTCGCCCTCGTTCTGAATTCGGTGTAGTCCCATCTCGACCGCTAGTCGTATACTTTGTCCGGCGTAATACCAGGACTCGGAATCCCTTCCACAGCTTGCTTCTCGAATCGACATTATTCCTAGTGCTTGAATCGTGGTTAGATTGTGATGATTATTTTCTCGATAAAAAAGCCTTTGAGCTTCCTTAAAGAAGTGGTCACCCGCCGTACGGGGATCGTTTGGATTTGCGCGCGTATTTGGCTGGGTTGAGAATCGACACCCGAGAGCTAAGAGAGCGTTAACTAGTATCGGCGAGCAGTACCGATTGCGCAACTTTTGAAAGTCTTTGAGGAAATGCTCCTTGCTAAAAGAGGCGAATGTTGGATATTCCCAACAAAAGTAGAGCGCAAGAAGATGCTGCATTAGAGCAGCATCAGTGGTAACGCTGGTCCATGTTCCAGTGGCGATCTTCATCTCGGGAGAATTCAAAGGTGCTAAGACTTGATCAACTCCGCGATATCGAGGCGCATCTGTAGTTGGCGAAGATTGGTCTTGTAGCCACATACCGACACGCGAGGATGGAGGGGCCTCGGCCGTCCATTGCATGATATCAGGGTGTGAGTCGCTACGAGTCGACACAGTCTGACTCTGCCCCGAGAAATTCCACAGGCTATTAGACTCGAATTCCTGGTTCATGCCGTGCGCCTGGCCCGTGACTGGACTCATTCCTATGCCATTATAGCCTCCAGCGCCTGGCAACGTTCCACCATAGGTCGTCATAGGGGCTACGGCTACTCCGCTCCTCGGCTCGGTTGGTTGCGCAAAGCTAGGCAGGTTACTCCTAGTAGATGGGAAAGCAGTACCAGCATCTAGCCATTCAGAGATGCCTTGCACAGACTGTCCTTGCCGGAGCCTCTGTAAGATCTCCTCGACTAGTTCGGGGCGGACGAGAGCAGATAGAACAGAGTTGCTTTGGCGTTGCTGACGTCGCAGAGCGTCGATTTCGTGGCGCAATGTCTCCTTGGATTGTCGCACGGGGATCTCGTATATACATTCGACATCCTTCTGTGTCTTACACCGACCGCATGGCTTCTGGCCGTCGCACTTTGCGCGCTTCTTTCGACATTCGGTACATGCATTAGGCGTGACGACGCCTAGACCTCTCCTTCGCTTCGACAACTGAGAGCTCGCAGCACCACCACCAGATACGCCGGAAGCTTCAGGCGCTTCATGTTTCGGGGTGGGTCTAGACGATCCGGATGTCTGGCCGGTTGAGGGGCCACTTTCAGAGTCTCCCTCCATGGTAGAGGCTCAATCCAGAAAGGACATAGTCAGTGTAGAGAGATAGAAATTCATGCAAAAATTTATTAGGCAGGTAGCTAATATCGACTAGGAGGACTAGGAGTGGCGAAAAAGGTCTTGTCGCCTATGTGTCCTTTTTTTATTTTGTTAAGAGACCTATCTCTGTGGTTTGTTGGTGTGTGTGGTGGATTAATAGGATATTTCTCAAAGAGAAAGAGAGTTAAGCAACGAGTGAATAGTATGCGATGATTGGGACTTTGTCAACCATAGAAGTTAGTTAGAAAATGGATGAGGTGAAAATGCGCGGGGCTCTATTGAAGCTCGCTGGGAGGCGCCTCTTTGGATTGGTCAAATTCGGTGAAGATAAACAACACAATGAATACTAGGTGCTACATGTGTACTAGGTAGGTAGGCACTAGGTAGGTATGGCATATACTGCATATCTTTGTCACTAGATGATGCTTAAGAATGGATGGAGTGAAGGATAAACAGCTAAATAGACATCGTGAACATCCTGGACATCGCGGACTGTTGTGTAAGTGTTTGGTACCTGACAGGTATGTACAAGATAAGGTAAGTTGCAGGTAGGCCTGTGAGTTTATTCAGGGAAAGAAAGAAGACAAACAAAAATATAATTAAAATATCAGATTCGATCGCATTGAGTTCAGGTTTCAAGGATGACATCTCTTGCGCTAGTACCTACCTAAATCTAGTAGCGTTTAGCATTTGCAGCTTCTTTTACTTACATATCCACTCTATCCTGGTGGGGTTTTGAGGAATTAGGTTGGTTTGAGCTAAGCATGCTAACTATAGTCGGTTTAGCGTAGTTAATAGATAACTGAATAAATGCTGCTATGTACTTAACTTACTATTAACTGCATACCTAGTATTGATTATTGAAGGTCAAGAACCCCTTCGATAAATATATCATCAAATCCTAAATATGTACCTAGGCAACCGAAGCATTCATTTCTATTGAAACCAAGTCTCTCAACAGTTTCTTCCTTTCTGTCCTTACACAATCAACCTAGGTACGTCATATATCCGTACAAGATACGTCCAACAGTCACATTCAACCAAGATAAGTAAACGATCAGACCATAAAAGAACCGAAGGCGATCCAGGGGTGACAGTCTAGCTCAAGCTACTATATAACTACCTAGTAGTCGTAAGCGAATGATTTCCTTCTCGCACCACGTCCTGAGGCTAAGGCTCTCGAGTCTCCATTGATAATTCTACCCACCTGGATACACTCTTCCAGCCTCCGACCAGGAACCCCTTAAAATGCCTGGTCAACCAATGGTAGGTGGAAATGCGGGTATCATAGACGAGAACGCGGAGAAACCTAGCGCTAAGCGCAACCATGACGACAGAGCTTGTCACTGTCAATCTCCTTATGACATTGATCAGGGGTCTTCCTATCTAAGGGTGTAGATTTGCTGGCCGGTATCGTCAACTACATCCTTCCTTGGTTTCAGGGGTGCAATCTAACAGTATGGGCAGCTGGACAAATCCGGGGATTTGGGAAGCTTCGTGGCAAACCCTAACTGTTATCTATCACGGTAATAGGTCTAGTATGATCGATTACCAAGAGACAGTTTGCGTTGCTTTATATACTTTATGTCTCATTTAACTAAAGTAGGCACTTTCTTCATATGAGAGGTGAATTACCAATCAGCAAATATATAATGCCCCCCTTTTCTAACAACGATACCCCATATTCAACTATTTTCGAAATCAGTTGACCCGTTGTAACTTGTAAGTCCATAGGTGCCTAACCTAGTTGAATTCAGAGCCGGTTATCCTGTCACGCCATACCAAGTTGATTTCAAATATGACATGCTTATTTTCTCCATCTCCAGGAAAACTTGATACATTACAGCCCACCCATTTACGTGGTCTAGCCAATCAAGGAAGAATATCTATTGGCAATCTACAGACCTCGTAGCCTACACAGAACCTACACTCCTGGGATACCACCCCCATGTTCTTCCCATAGATGGAGAACTAGGCCCGTCAACATACAGGCACTAACCTAGTACCCCCCAAACGATCTTTCTACATTGATTCTACAAGTCTTCTACCGTAAATAGATAGATAAAGGGGCCTAGACATCATAGCCTGCTCCATGGATTCCTAGCAACCTTACATGTTCCCATTATTCTTCTTGAACCCTATGACTTCACGAATAAACATTATCGACTTGGTAACTACCCAAGGTGAACAATCCCAAGTAGCACGAAAGAGGCGTAGCTACCTACCTAGGCAGGCTAAGTAGGTATACTGCCGCATAACCTAGTAGGCATAATATAATTAAGCTCACGATTACAGACAGGCAAAGCAGCAACAGCCGTAAGAATCCACATTATAGATCTTAGATACTCCAAGTTCTTTTGATCTCATACATCACTATAATACTTTCACACTCATCGTCACCAAGGCGATCTATCCTTGATTATTTTATACAACAATACTTTTTATCAGAAACTTATCCGAAACTCCCGTCGCAATGAGGCCCAGTTGACAAACCCAAAGCTAGCGTAATGCTTTCTTTCTTCTCCATTATCGTACATCCCACATGAGTTCGCAAGTATCACGACATTAGTATCGCTTGACGGGACTCCTGCTCTTAGTAGGACTTCTATCTCTGTCGCCCTTGGACGGGCTTCTTCGTAAGAACGGCGTTTCTGAGGGGGGCAGGGAGTGGAATCTTTGGGGTCCATCGTCCGTGTCTGGTGTGAAATCTGGGGCCATAAGACGTCGATTGCTCGTGTGTCTTGGCGTCTGAGGCCAGTACATTTGTTGCTGAGTAGGCCCCATTTGCTGGTTGTTAGCATGCTGTGAGGGAAAAGGCCCCGACGGGTTGGGGTGCGGAATATCCGTGAAAGCGTTGGTGCTCTTATAGAGAGATCTCCCACTATATAGAAATATTACAAACATAGCAAGAATCAACGCCTGTTTCGTAATTAGCTACTTGCAAATTTCATCAACCGTCCCGATACAAATAAGTCATTACTCACTATCGTCTTGTAGGACATAGTCTCGACGATTTCGTTCAAGATCTTTGCCATCTCCTTTGCACTGCTGGACACCTGCTTGACATAGTCCGGGTTTTGATGCATACAGTCGAACCATTTATCACACAGCTCGTACATTGCCGGGAGTCGCTTCTCAACTGGGTGGCACCTGTTCTCTCGGTAGTCGTTTGTACATTTATCAATTTCCGCGAGTATATCGGCTCTCAGTGACTGCCTTTCGGTGGAGAAGTCTTGCCGCAAACCGCTGATGATAGCCCAAACGACCCAGCATGCACCACTCACGCAAAAGAGATTGAATCCGAATGTCAACCAGTATCCCAATATACTTGGCGCATAGGGGTGTCGCTGAACGGTGGCCAGGAATGACCCGAACCAGCCATCCTTTTTGCGCTTCCCTGGCTCCTTACGGGTTTTGTGCGGCTGGAAGGTACTTTCGTCAGACTCGTAATCCGACTCATTATACTCCTCCTGCTGCATGTAGGGTAGGCGGTAGCCGCTAACGTCCTTGTCTGCATTATATCGCTTCCTCTTGCGTACCTTGTCCCGAGATGCAAATAGCGTCTTCGGTATTTCGCCTTTCCCAGACGCCTTCTTGGGTGACACTGTCCTGTTGGTGCTCATCGTAGAAGGAGTTATAGACATGCGCGAGAGATCGTAAGAACGGTCATTCTCGGGGGTTTCGATCAAATCCGAGGCGTCAGTGCCGGCAGGACTAGAGTCGGCAGGTGAGAACTCGGAAATTGTATCATCGAACGGCTTTCTCGGAGTAGTGAAAGCGGGATTCCGGAATGGGGGCGCAGTTATTGTTCTCTGGAGAGCAGAGGAAGAAGCGAATATGGAGCGCTGGCTTGGCGTGGGAGGTCCTGGTTTGGAAGGCGTGCTTTGTGTGCGAAAGAAGGGGTTTTGCCCAAAGGCAGATGGAGCGTTATTCGCATTGCCGCTGGTGTTGGATGAACCGAAGAGGCTTAGATTGGTGCCTAGATTGGCATCAGATATTAGTCGAGGCTATTCACGATGCTTCCTACAAGCGCATAAAATTTGGAATTGCAGAATAAAAGGAGGATCAGGAACACAAAGACAAAGGCTTTTTCATAGGTTACAGGTCATAAGCATGTACCTACCTTTCGTTTCCGGTTTTTTGGTAGACTGAGCAAACGGGCTTGAGGGATCCATTGGGCCATTATTCTGATATTCCCAGTCCATGGGGGATTCGTAGGTTCGCCTTGCCATTTTTACCTTTCAAGAGAGCAATTGTTTACCTATAAGATAATAAAGATATGCGATATGCAATTGCCCACCTAGAAGGCCAATCAGCAAAAAGAAAAAAGCTGAGCGGTGAGGAAACCGGGGGAGCTTGGGTTTCCGACTTCTTGGGACGACGATGATGTATTATTTAAATCGGGAATTGGATGAGGCTGATTAGAAAAGTAGTTGGTACCAGCAGTTTCTGTTGGCAACGGTTAATAGTTAAGTGATTAAAAGTAAACAAAAACTTATTAGTTAATACCTTAGTATGCAATATGCAATATTTTAGCTTGTACAGTACCTTAACCGTTGAATGTTGCTTAAATCAAGGTTCTACGGTTGGTGATTGGACGGATCATGCTATGTGGGGTATCATGGATCAGCTGTTCAGCCACTTTACGCCACGACCTAAAGATTAAAGCTAGTGACTCGAGTCGCCTACTGCTGACATTTACTTATCAGTGCACAGGCCACCTCAAGTTGGTATTCTCAGTCCAATCTGTTGCTCTTCTTGTCGTTTAGTTAGTTAATACAACTTTCTTTCCATTCATTAATCTTTTCCTTTTCCAACTCGAATCACACAAGTCTTGACAAGTTTTCTTGTGTTGTTCTTTTTAAAGTACCCATTTATAATCTTCAAGAAAACTTGGAAGATATCTTTTCCTATTTTCAACATTCTTTTCCTGCTTCTTCTGTAGAGGACTAGATTGTTGAAGGTTAGGAAAGATTGCAGCCTTCTTTAGTCATCTTTTTTTCTCCGACCCAACCGCGCATTCTTCCCACATCCGGTCTATTCACCCACTCTCCATTACCCTCGAGCCGATATGTCTGACGCCGAGTCGTCTGCGGGCTCTCCTGCCCGTGCCACGAGACGCCGTGAGGAAGAAGACAACGATCAGCCTCAGGATTATGACGTCGGTCGCACCGGCGATTCGGACAAGGATTCGGATGCCCTCTCCGAAATTGACGAGGATCAGTTCGATGATTACGACCCTGATACCGCTCGCATTGATGAGAAACGTCCCGAACCCCAAGTCATCGATGAAGACGCGGCACGAACCTTGAAAGCTGGTAAACGTAAGGGAACCGCTACTAAGAAACCCAAGGAAGGACGACGCGCCAAGAAGCGAACACGCGACGATGATAATGATGGAGCTGATGGCGAGATTCTCCACACGAAGCGATCCCGCAAGACCGCTGCTGCCGATGTTCCAGAGCAAGAATCTGAACCGGAGAACGAGGAAAATCTGACGCCTGAAGAGCGACGACGCCGAGCAATCGAGCGCGCCTCTAGAAACCAAACGAAACCGAAGGGTAACAGAAGAAAGAAGAAGGATGAAGTTGTATGTTTTTATTATTCTCTTCAAAGTCTCTACATACCATTGCATAATATATTGCTAACACGAGTTCAATAGGATTTGGAAGATGAATTAGATGAAAAGATCGCCGACCTCAAAGTTCGCATGGAGCATGCTTGTCAAGCTGACAATCAGGCGCGCGAATCAGGCCAACCGGCTTTGCACAAGTTGAAGCTTCTTCCCGAGGTGATGGCACTACTTAATCGTAACAACAATCAGGCAGCTGTCATCGACCCGGATACCAACTTCCTGCAGCATGTCAAGTTCTTCCTCGAGCCCCTTAATGATGGCTCGTTACCCGCCTACAACATTCAACGCGATATCTTCCAGGCAATGACCCGACTCCCTATAGAAAAGGAGACGTTGAGGTCCAGTGGCATTGGCAAGGTCGTCCTCTTCTACACGAAGAGTAAGAAGCCAGAGGTCAGCATCAAGCGCATAGCTGAACGCTTATTGGGCGAGTGGAGTAGGCCTATTCTCAAGCGTAGCGATGACTACAAGAAGCGGCACATTGAGACACGAGAGTTTGACTACCAGTAAGTTTTCTATTATGGTCTATATGAAGATAGAATTATGCTAACAAAATGGAACAGGGCAGCCAAGCTTCGACAAGTTACCACGAACAGTCAGCTCACGCTCAACCAACGTCAGACATCCCAGAACCTCGCCGAGGCGGAGCGCGCGCGTATCCTGGCTCCTGTCAAGGACGTCAGCCGAGCCCGAGTCGCGGGTTTGCCTGCAACATACACCATCGCGCCACGCAGCACCTTCGACCCCAGTCGCGCCCAAGACTTCCGACCCATCGGTGCTGGCGGTTTGGAGGCCTTCCGCAAGATCACCCAGAAGGGGAAGAAGAAGGGCTAGTGGCGCTGAGCATCTTCCCCTACCTAGGGATCTGCCCCTCTTTAAGATTGACATTGCGTGTTTATTAAGATGGGGGAATTGTTATTGATAATGGAATGGACGGGCGCCGGTTTTTCTGCATGCATATATGATCGTATGCTGACACATCTGGAGTTTATGGTTAGGTCTTTTTCCTTTTCTTCGCCGCCTTCCATGAGTCTGGGAAGGTATCGTTACGAAGTAGTCGTTAGGAACATCAGAACCGCAGAGCAAAATAGGATGCGTTATATGCTAGTGAAAGGAGGTTGCCAGACTGCTAGGAGAAAGCCTACGTCGGTATGCTAGGGGGGGTTTACATAGTAAAGGCCCATGTACCTTGACTAGGTAGTGCTTCGTCTACATTCATAGAACTTCGCCTAAGTCTCTGACATTAATTGCGATACCCACCGCAACAGTTTCTCTGCTACCTACCCTACTTACGTACGTTCGTACGGAATAATGGATTCTCCCCTTGCTCTTAGTGTATTATATGTTACCTAGCATGTACAGCAGGCGAAGAAGCAGTATTCCACCACCAACTCCATCGATATCGTCGCCGACCTCGTCTACCACGCAATCGCCACGACGATCGTGCTTCCCGCGGTCTGGGATCCTGGTCTCGTCCTATTCACACCCTCTAGTACATACATACCTATGTACAATACGGTTTGGCTTTTTGCTTTGCTATCGTAGGTATGTAACAGCCAGCCAGCTCGCTTGTATCCTCCTCCACCTGCCTAACTGCCTAACCTAGCTATATATATGTATGTGTGTGTGTGTGTGTGTGTGTGTGTGTGTGTGTGCTATACATATGTAGTTACAGCTAGTTAGTTAGTTAGTTACACAATAGAGTTAGTTACCTACGTACAAGTACATATAGTAGGTAGGTGGGTAGGTATTGTACATGGTTTAGATATCTAGCGAGTACTACCTACCTACCTACCTACGCACATCCAGACGGATATCCATACATCAATGATATATACCGACCTATATACCTATGCCCAGCCCGCCAATAACCGCGAGAGACAGGAAATACATATCCATCCCAGTCAGTATCTGCCCTACTACCTAACCAACCTAGTACATACATCCTCGGTATGCTATAAAACAGCAGGGGGGAGAGACACAAGGGTATGTATAGGCGAGCAGGGTAGCTTCAAATCGTCCATGGATGTCATAGAGGAGGGCACCGATGGTATTCAGGACACGGCTTACTCAACTTCACCACCTAGCCAGCCACTCAAGCCTATATAGACACGTTCCTAGACACGTTACAACCTACTATACTGTATTCATATGTCTATTATATGTATCTATTATATGCAAAACAAGTTTGATGTAGATGTAAAAGGGTAAAACAAGCCAAAAATCTCAGAAGGCAATGATCTTTGAATTTTGGAAAAACATGGGGGTGGGGGCAAAAATGAAAACATGTTCCAATGCCCAACCGCCATTGCTAATATTATCTTTTGCAGTTGGGGATCGTGGGGTTTTTTTCATTTAGTTTGTCTCGTTCACTCTTTGTCACCATCTTTGTCGTCTCATCTGGCCATGGTTATTACCAACAGGCAAGTCAGAATCATAAATCATCGAACCGAAGCCCGTCTATGTTAAGATTCTCTCTTCTCGCTTCTTTCTCTTTCCTTGACAAATAGGAAGAAACCGCTCTCGCTCGTTCATCCATCCATCTCTTCCTCTCCATGGCTATGCTTCTCGTTTGCATCTTATCATTGCGAAAGGGGGGATTCCATCAAGACGTTCACCCGATTGAAGCATCTTAAGCCCCTTGCATGCGTAGAAGTTCCTATCGCTTCTTGACCTCGCATGCCCACCCCTCAATACCCTCCCCCTTACTACCGGGTACTAGTCCTTCTAACTTAATGTCCTCCATCCCCGGGGTGTCATTCAACCACGGGTGATTTGCCATGCCACCTGCGTTTGCGCGTCGTTCTGGGAGTAGTTCCAGCATGGGAAGGAGGAAGTCGGCGACTTCGGTGGGCTGGTACTCGAGGGAGTGCTCCTCGTCCGGATATAGCTCTCCAATAGCATCCTCATCCTCGCCATTTTTTCTTGCTTCCATTTTAGCCTTAGCTTTGGCCTCAGCACGTTCTCTTTGGGTCTTCTCTCTCTCTTCTCGCTCCTTCGGAGTTAAGTCTTTGTGATCTTTGAAATGATATTTCTCGCGAAGAACATCCGGTAGAGCCCAATGTCGCAGACGATGTATGTTACGCAGCTCGCCTCGCTTATTGAAGATCTCCTGAGACCAACGTCCTATCTTCCAGAGTTCTTTAGGAAAGGGGCCGAGGAGCTCAATGATTTGAGCAATATGATCGTCATCCTTGCCGTATTTGGTTCCAGACTGGGGGTCGAAGAGGTAATCGCCCGTGATTAATTCGAAAACCTGATAGAGAGATCTATTGTTAACACCAGCCCGTGAATCAATAGCGGAGAGATAGACTATGGCCAATATCAAGGAAGCTGTCCAATTAACGTACCATAGCGGCCATACTCCACACATCAGTACTCGCACCCCATTTCGCACCTAATATGACTTCTGGCGATCGATATTGTCTTGTCTGGATATCATTTGTGAAATGGTGAGAGACCCAGCAGGCATTGCCTAAATCCGCAATCTTGACGTTGATAATCGGTCCCTTTCGTTTCCTCTTTCTATTCTCACCAGCTGCCGCGCCACTCGTAGTAGCTTTATCGAGAGAAATGCCAGATACTTCTTTCGTAAGGAGATCCCTAAATATGAAAAGGAATCGTGTCAGCGCTTCAAGAATGGACAGCAACATTATAATATGCCAACTGGACTTACGCTGTTCTTTCCCTCTGCCCTTGCTTATCGGTTGTACTTGATGAACCCGGAGTCGCCGCTATATCATTTCGTTAGTGGGTCTGAATATATGTATATGATAGAATGAGACAGTGGAGAGGGGTGTAAGCTTGGGGCGAAGCTTTTGGTTGGAGGAGGGGAGAATATTGCGCCCCTGTCTAGGAATAGGTGCATCAAAGTAATGCTACCTTCTTAGATGGGGGGATGGAGAAAGTATAGAAAATATGGGGAGAACAGTAGGGCAAGGCTTGTATAGATACGTACCATCATGCAACACGGCGTTGAGGCTGCTATGTGATTTGGTTGATGGGAATAGGTTGTCGCGGTTGAAGCTCGCATTTAGAGGCGACGGCAACGGTTGACTGCCGGTGATCAAAGTACGCCTTCTCCTTCGCCCATTCCGGTTGTTCTCCTTATCGGAACTATCGCTCTTTACGACCTTCTTTACTACTTGCTCAACGTCGCCAATCTCTATCAGGACATTCTCCGGTTTTAAATCGGTATGAATTATACCGCATTCTCGGTGCAAGTAGTCCAGACCCATCAAAACTTGCTTCGCAATTTGCATGACGAGATCTCGAGGAATGCCCCGGTGTTGCCACTTCTTGATCAGGCCTAGTAAATTCTCTCCAAGAACCTCGAACACCATGCACACATGGACGCCGTTGGGTCCCTTGTGCTCGAACGAATCGAGTAGGCTAACAACATATTTTCGGCCGGGATGATTAGGGTTCGCTTGGACAATTTTCTGAAGAAGCTTGATCTCATCGATGGCGGTCTCGGTATAGTGGCTAGCGGATCGCACAACCTTCAAAGCGACATGCTTACCATTCGTATTGTCGCGCGATAGCCAGACGGTAGAAAAGTGGCCCCAGCCTAATTTTCGTACGACAGTGTATTTTCCATCCTTGAACTTCTCACCTATCTGAACTGGGTGGTAACCGCCTTTGCAATAGTCTTCAGAATCTTCTTCATCGGCGGTGTTCTCGGCAGCATCTTCAGGACCGGAGGAGGAGGTGGGAGAATGTTGATTCATGGCGGATGATAAATGTGGCGGTCTGTGTTGGGGAATAAATGTTAGCAATCATCGCAATAAATTATGTATGCGATCAATAACAGCGCGACTTTGGAAATGAAAAGGTTAGATGCGGTAAAAAGAAGTTGCAGCCAGCGCAAGCAAGCAAAGACGAAGTAGGATAAGCTAAGTAGGGTAAGTAAGTTGACCAAAGTTGAAAAGTGGCGGGCTCCAGGCTTGTGGCCCTTGGCTGAGCGAAGGTACCCCGACGGGCCGAAGCCTATGTAGGAACTACCAATCAAAAGGCCAATCAAAGCTACCAAGATGCCTAAGCAAGGCCGCAAGATAGAGATCCAGTTTGATTGGGTTTGCCCGAATTATCTTTCTTTTTTTCTTTTTTTTTTTTGGTCTTTGGTCTTTGGTCTTTGGTCTTTGGCATTTCTTGTCTTTTTCCGTGTCCTTATGCTTTTCCTTTTTCCTCTTGATGGAGATTGGGAGAGTGGGGTGAGAATATCACGTATCCATGGTAATATATGTGGTGTACATGGCAAAACCGCGGGGTGTTTCCAGTGTTTCCAGCGTATCCAGCGTATCCAGTGTATCCAGTGTATCCAATGTTCCCAATGTTCCCAATGGCAGGTAAACTAAATCAATAGTAAGAGGGGTGAGGTGGTAATAACCTTTTCTTCATGGTAGCCATATTTTCCGATATTGCGTTCTAATCTTAAACGCGAAGGCTTGACGAATAAAACAAATCAGGGATGTAAAAGACGAAGGATGTTTAAGAAAGCGCCGAGGTACTGTGCGTCTTGTAATTTACCCCAGTCGTCCTAGAGTGAAGCGCAAGGGAATGCCAAGGGTATGAAATAGATAAATAGACCGACGATCAAGGACGTCGCAGAAGTAGGTAGGAGGTGAAGTGTGGAAGTGTGATACAGGAATAAAATATATAACAACCAGATGGTCAACAGCCACGAGGGATTCAGGTGAGTTGCCAGCCGAGGAAGTTGAGCGAAGATGAAGCGAAGGAGTGGAAGGAAGTGAAAATGAGTAAGTGAAAGAGTGAGTGAGTGAGTGACTTGAGCGATAAATCGCAATGCTGCTTTGCGTGCAGCACGGCAAAGCAATGCAAAGCGAAATAAAGCAACAGGCCAAATCAGATTCAACTTCAACCTCAAAGTCAACCAAGCCAAGCCAAGCCAAAAGCGATATTGATGATCGGAAAGGTTTAGGTAAGACGTCCTGTCCCGGAGATACAGTATAAAATAAAAGTGCAATAAAATCAAACCAAATAAAAAATCATAACAATAATAAAACCTTCAATGAAAAAAAAAGGATCTTATCCATCCACTGGAATATGCGCTTGCGTGCGAGAGGCTACCGTTCCTGTGCAATTCACCCCTCCCTTCGTGGTTCCAGTCAATCCCCCCAATCCAATCAATGGCTTGACGGTGGTTGACTGTGGTATTGTTAAAGGTAGATCGGCCTATTAAGGTGGAGGGCCGGTGCACGGTGAGAAAGAGAGGAAACCCCCAAAGCTGTGGGCGCTAAAGGGCTCAAAGCACTTGAGCTTCTTCGTTTCGGGCGACTGACCCGGTCCTGCATCTCCTATCTAGGCGTCATAACAGGGTGTCATAACAGGGCCTTCAGCGGACTATGACCAGGGCTACCAGGCTGCTTAACAGGGGGTAGCAGGGGACATTCAATGGGGGCCGCTTAGGGGAGTCTTAGGGGCTTGTCTCTTTCCCCCCTCCAGCCCCTCCAACCCCTCTATCTTTATTAATCCTCGTCAATCCTCGTCAATCGGATTTGGTTCTCTGCTTATTGGTATTGTACCACCACTTGGGCCATTGAAAGGTTCAAATGTTCGTTGTGGTTTATTATTATCATGCTGTGTTTCGAAAGTATCGAGCTGGATAAAGTTGAAGAGGCCGGAAGACAGAAAAGGGAATGTGGTGAATGTGGTGCTACCGACATCGAGTGACGAGAGGTCGGCATTGGCTTCAGCCCCGCCAGTAGCATAATCGCAGAATAGCAGATGATTGACTGCCTAGGCATTCACCCACCAAACGATACGGCGGATTTGTAGATTGGCCATCAGAGATGCCATATGACCCGACAATAGTAACCTGGCTATTTCCTGTCGCCCTAGTCCAAATGTCGGATTCCGAGGAGTGGTTTGCGTTGCCTGTCCGGTGTTGACCTGATCCAGTCCTTTCTCTCGGTCCCGTTATGCTGTCCAGATTGATTCCCTATGGATTTTTTTTGCTTGACATGATACTCTTACATGTCTGAATCACTAGGATTTGGACTTCTTGAATTGCGTCCTTGCTTGCTTGCTTGCTTGCTTGCTTGCACTGGCTGCGGTATGGTCAAGTACTTACCCAGACGTGTAATGATTATAGGGCACATAGGTGGGAAACAAGGTAGAACACCACGCAAAAATAATACCAAAGAAATGAATTGAAAACTTACCCTGGTGCCGGCCCTTCAGTGGTGATGATAGGCTTTAAACCCTCCTTCTTCCTCTTCTTGTTTATCAGCGTCGGGCTCGCAGCATTTGGTGAATTTGCTGAGTTTGTGCCGTTACCATTTGCACCAGCCATCAATGGGATTGTGTTCGAAGGCGAAGTTGGGCCGGGCGTGGTGGCTGATGGGTCCGTTGTATCTTTGGCGCCGTTCATTGTTTCGTAAGTAGAAGAAAAACTTTAAGGCTAAGCTGTTGAGTAGCGCACTGTCGCAAAGGGTGAGGCGCGCTTTGTAGGGACCGAACGACGGTAGTACTATTTCGACTCAGATTTTGGATGCGGCTAGTCGCGCTTTTTGGATGGAAATTAAGTTGTGCAAGGAACACACTGTGCAGGATCTCGACGCGATTCAATTCTAGCGACAAAGATGCGAAAGTAGTAGTAATGTTGGTCGAGATGGCGATCGCATTTGTAAGATAGATGAGATCGTGGCGGAAATAGAGCTGTTGGGGAGGAATTAAGAATGCGATGCGATGGGTGCGATGAATGCGACTCTGCACGATACACAGTATGACGCGATGCTTAACAAGATCGAGTTCGAAGCAAGACCTTGACAGAACAATGGCCACACAGTAGAAATTCTGTCAAAAAGAGGAGGGGAAAAATGATATGCGTGATACGATTTCGAAAAGAAATGAAATGAATTATGATAGAATAAAAACTGCTGAGTGCGGTGTATGGGAATGTATGAGATGTATGGGATGTATGTATGATTAAGTGTTTGGTTGGCGATCAGGAGGAGAGAATTAAAAGGATTGGATGTTTTGATGCGATTTTCTTGTCTTTCTGTCTTCCTTTTCCCCTTCTTCTTTCCCTTGCACACATGCAGGTTTATTATTAGTACCTTGAGGTTGTACTGGACTCGCTGGTGTTGGACTAGTATCAAAATGAGTATGGTTAGTGAGTTTTAACCTTTTTTTTTTCTTGTCGCAAATCCCAGACGACAACGTCATAACCTTAGCAACAAGGTACTAAGCAGATTGCTCCTCTTTGACTGTTCCGAGTCCACATACATCAATGATACTACATGTATACTACATGTATGTATGTTTACTGGATTCAATGTTGTATATACCCTACATATATGTAGATATGTATGCACATGCCTACATATCACGTATGTAGGTAGACAATAAAGAGATCGCATCGCTTCAAGGTTGGAGGGGTAGGTATGTATGTATAACTTACAATGGTATATACTTGTACCTAGTATCTTATGTAGATAATACTAGATATGTAATGAACTTGATCTTGAACCTAAGTAAAGTACTAGGTAGACAAAACTGCTACGATGAGTTGATGCTGCTAAGCAGTATTTATAGAAAAAGTAAGAAATTCAATATCAAAAGTCAAAAGTCAAGTGTTATACTAAATAGGAACCGGATCGCAACTTGTCGATGAGGTTGGGCACTGCTGGAGAGTTGAGCAGAAGGGAAGAGATGGGACGAGAGAGAGATTCGATGTTGGCGTCTGATAGTAGTACGACCTAAATTACCTAAATTACCTAAATTACCTAAATTAGTGAGTGATTGTATGCAGAAACGTGTTATGCGAGGAATGAAGGAAGACGGAACGGAACGACGTGATCTGGAATTTCTTGATAAGATAAGGTACCAATCCGAATGCACAACATGACCAAGGTTACCAAGTACCAGTGACATACCTCAGTGCTGTACCGCGCCTCAATCTTAATTCGCACATGGATGACGACGTTTTATTCTACTAAGGGAGTAGGCGATGTAGGCAATGTTGAAATTCTGATAAGCAGTAACCCCAGGTATCTGATAGAAACATTACTCTACTAATTAATTGCATATGTAAGTTATGTTAGGATCTTGAACTTCAATATTCACTACCTATTTGAAACCCTCACCTGTCTAACCAACCACATCTCAGAAACTTCCATCACCACCAACTCTCTCTTGAAGCTTCTTTCTATTCGTTACAGCGTGTATTCTTATGTATTTACTTGAATGGCTGTATACCTAATCAATGTGTTTGTGTGACAAGACAAATGTATGCGCCAAGTTGCTGGTTGCAAGTGCTTCTTCGGTGGAACGAATACTACATATGTAGATCCGGAAAAGATGCTGAGTGTACATAAGTAAGTATGCTTCATTCATCATATTCTACCCAAAGGTTGCTTGAATGCCCCTAAATTCTATAATAAGTTCTATAATAAGCAGATTATTTGCAACCTTGTTGAAAATCTCTCATGTCTTCATTGCTTTAGCAGCCCATCCAATCCCACATCATCTTCTTCGAGCAGCAACATTATACGACACTTCGTTCAAGTATACTTCCATCTCATTTGTCGATCCCTGCCCCGCGTTGGGTATCTACAAGCGCTCGGCATCGTCTAATTGGGCAAACCGGCAAAGAGTGAAAAGGAAAAACAGGACCTAGACCTGAATTCAATTCTCTCAGGCACTCGTCCCCGTTTGTCTCCCCAAATATTTCTTCTACAAGACCGCTCGACGAGATATTTATTCGCCGGCCATTATCCACGCATAGACGTTATACTACTACCTACCGTGGTCATGAGCAAGCTAGCGTTTCGTCATTTTAGATCATGATGCTCTCTGCATCACCCGATATAGGATGTCTCACCGTGTGAATCCACGAAACAAGTATTCTAACCCAGAAATTTGGAGCTTTGCGCACTCACGAGTACCGGCGCTAGAAATTTACCTAACCTAATAAGTTCTTCTGCGTAGCCAAGCAACGTGGACAGCGAACAGCACAAACACCTTGGATAAGATACCACTACATTACCTACGATAAACTTAACAAACTGGCAGCTTCGTCAATGGCGTCTAGTACCGCATAATCTTTCGCGCCAGCTGTCACCAGTTTCAAGCTAAAGCACGAGTATCAGCAGCTCGTGTTCTCTGATATTGCCTACTACATACCGTAGCTTATATCGGAGGGGCGTACTTCCTACCCTTCCACATTGGTCCCATTCGAAGCGCAATTGCATCATCAGCCACCCCTCCGCACCCTCCACTTGGCCTGCCGACCGCCCGAGATGCGCCGCGTGTTTGTTCCATTGGACGAGGACCTGACACCTGAGAACTGCCAAGCTCCCCCCCCTTTACGTCGAATAGGGGCATCTCACGGTAGCGTTCACCGGGGCAGCTGCGGAACTCGGATCCCAACCCGTCCCTGACGCCACCAATTGTCTCTTTTCATGATTCGAGGCGTTTTGTGATGTCAGTTTGAATGTGCAATAATTCCGTTGGTCATCGGACATGGCCGACGATTTTCTATCCACGTGCCATGGTGGCAGTTTATTTTTAAAGGAGCCAACTCATATAGATTATAAACATGCATATCTTACGAGAGATCTAGCTGGATATGATAAATGAAAAGTATTCCAAAAAAAGAAATTGCTACCATGTTAGAGCTCTTCTTGTATGTCAGAGCCAGCCTTGCGAGGTGTTCTTATAAGCAGCAGCGTATCCTGTCTTCCGTAGACCCATTCCCAGCTATTTGACTCGTCGTCCCAGTACACATCCTCCTCCTGCGGGAACATTATGGTTCTGTTCCTCTCGGGGACGAAGTGTTCCGCAAAAAGCTCAATGCTGTAGTATGTATTCTTCAACAATGGAAGATCACCGAGTACCGGAACGCTGTCCTGCAGATTGGTCATGCCTGCGAACAGAATAGTTAGCGAAAAAGGATTAGGTAGAAATTTGAAATTAATCGAACATGATTCGAGGCGCTAGGTATAGACTGACCGATAACCGTCCCGGCCGAATGGCCCCATTCTCCAGTCGCGTGGCAGTATATCTTGCCCTCGATCCCCTCGCTGCGCATCTGCCCCCTCGACGCCTTCAGTATCTCGTTGCCCGTCAGCCCGATCTTCATGTTGCTCTTCACGATGTCCTGCAGCCGGTTCACCTTCCTCAGCCCCTCGAGCATGCCCTTCGGGACATCGGCGTCGGTCTCGCCCGGGTACAGCACGTACCCGAGGTGCTGGGTGTCGGTGTTGAGACCCAGCGCGGTTACGCCGAAGTCCGTGTGGATCAGGTCGCCGAACTGGATCGGGCGGTCTGGTGCTCGGGGGTCGTCGAGGAGGGATGGTTGGTGTGGATGGTGCTGGGTGGCGGCGACGGGGAAGCCCTCGCCGGTGAGGATGTACACGCTGGGTTGGAACCAGGTCGTGTAGTTTAGCGACTGGATCTTCTCGCGCATCCACCATTCTACGTCCTAGGTGCGCACCCATTGAGTCAGCTCATTATTTTGTTCCCTCTCCATATTCAAGCATCTCTCCGTTGGTAGGTACTTACCCAACTCGTAGACTCCCCCGGCACAATAATCTTCTCGCTAAACCCCTCCTCAATAATCGCCCACGCCGTCTCCATCATCCGCCTGTACCACGGCAGCCTGCCTTCCACCATCGTCGCCACGACCTCGACCCCCAGCATCGGCTCCAGCACAAACTTCTCCCTCCACTCCTCCCCGACGCCGGCTAACACCGCGTCCAGCTCCCCCGCGTGCAGGCCCCCCGAAAACGCGATCTCGGGGTGCGTGTTCAGCGCGATGGAGCGAGGCTGCTGCTCCCCGAGGATGCGGCGCAGGTCGGTCCACACGAAGTCCGTGTTCTCGACCCAGGAGTAGTGGGCCGGCGCTCCCGAGGCGGGGGAGGCCAGGAAGAGGTGCGTGGTGCGCCGCCGCGCGGAGAACTGGGTGGCTTCTTTGAGGGCCCAGAAGACGGTGTCTTCGGCGTACTCGCGCTGGCTCATCTGTTGCTTTTGTTAGACACGCATGGAAAAAAAAAAAGAAAGAAAGAAAGAAAGAAAGAAAGAAAGAAAGAAAGAAAGAAAGAAAGAGAAAGGGGGGATAAGGTTTTGTGAGTAGAATGAGACGAGAGACGAACCAGCCAAGCGTCAACGCCGTACTTGCGCAGCAAGCCCGGGATCAGCGCTATGCGCTCCTCGGTCCAGCCATCCAGAAGCTTTGCTTGCTCGCGCAGCGAAGGGAGCGTTTGGAACTCGGGCGCCTTTTCCGAAGAGGCGCTAGCTCGCACGTGTACGGCGGCGAGAACAGCGAGGAGGAACGTGGGGCCCCGCATTCTCACGTGTGACGGATTGTAGATAGTACAGTATCTATATCTCTCGAGCAAAAAAAAAAAAAAAAAATTAATAAAAAATCGATCTGTGATCTTCGATTACCTAGGTAAATCGATCTCACAGCAAGTCAGTTGCTGTCGCAACAAGAGCCAACTCAAAGATACCTAACCTAGATGACTGTCTTAGCAGATAATTATACTAAACTAAAATGCAATCCTATCTGGCATATCAAGAACCCCGTTGTTCTTGTGAATTGTTCAAAACAACACACAAGTTGTTACATAGAGACGATGTTTACACGGAGTAGTTATCTGGGGGGGCGGCGTTATCGTTCGGGATCGGTTACAGATTCCGATCTAGATTGGCTGGTAGCTTGGCAAAAGACCACTATTTATCCCACCTTCCCTTTTAGGAAAGTGCATTAGTAATCGTGTCATGTGATGTATAAGACGTTGTGCTTCAGCGACTTCAGTGTCTACTGGTAACTACTAGGTTAGGTAAGTAATAGGTAGCAGGTAGCAGTTAGTACTTGAGTATTATGGGAGTTCTTCTTCACATCACTGGTATCACCAGAGAATGTAATGAAAAAAAAAAAGAAAAAAAAAAAAAAAAAGAATCAGCAGAGCTGTAGTGGTTTCAAAAATTGGGTTCATTTGAGGAGTTCAGAAAAGAGAAGCTCCTCAGTATAGCTTCAAGTTCAAGTGTAGCAGAGCTAGAGATTAGCAGATAACAAGAGTTCAAAAGTTTGATGAGGGTTTGTTTGTTTGTTTGTTTGTTTGACTTAGCTGTCCCTCGCCTGTTATACCCTCACCTCGAGCACCCAGAAGTTGCCTGCTCACGGGATGTCAATCCCTTCTAGCAACCTCCGTACGACTGACCTTTCATCCATCACGGTCTCACCAGCTGCCCCCCTGGATAGAGCAGCTGGCTAACGGGGTTTCATTTCCCGTCCTAGAAACCTTTTCATCTCGCCTAGTCGTGAAAGGACGAGAAGCGCCACTCGGATCGGTGTGTTAACTAGGTACCGCGGCATCGGGGTCTGACATGTAATGTAAGCAGGGCCCACTCCATCCTCCCCGTGAGCCCGCCGGGAACCCCTCGCGCTCCAAGGGGACGGTATGTCTAGGTACTACCACCAGGCCAATACACACGACCTGCGAGAAGCCCGAAGGCAACCCATAGCCCAGGTAAAAGCCCCCCTCCCCAAAGAGAGGGGGGCGATCTCCCGAGTCGGCCGATAACCCCAACGTTTTTTATGGCCAGCTCGATGCTGTAAAGTGTACCCGGACGTACCTTCCTAACCACGTTGGCGTCGTCCCTAAATCGCACTAGCCAGATGACACGCGCCGTCGGTATTTTTTTGGATTTTTTTCTTTTTCAACTTCCCTGCTCCTATCACTTCGTCTGCCTCCTGCGAAGGTCCAGGGACCAATGGCCGAGCCGAAATTACCTGTCGTGAAGAACCCTCAGTCGAGTAAAGGGGTTCGACTGGCATCGGTTTGACTAGAGCGAGGGGGGTGTGTGTTGTGCTCTCGAGGTGAGGGTATCGGTAACCCCCAACCCAATAGATGGCAAGGCCAGAAAAGAGATTTTTTTGACCTTGCCAACTAAGAGGAGATTCAAGCGGGGGCAAGCTCGAGGTCCAAGAGCCAAGGCTGCCAATTACCTCGGTGAACCGCCTGTTGGGAAGGGGGTATTCTCGGTCGGGTCATCGGGTTGTCGGGTTGTCGTTGAGTTGGTTTGTCATTGAGTTTGGTTATCGTTGGGTTTGGTTGTTGTCGAGCCGGTGTCGGATCCTAAGAAAAAAGTTGTGAGGTAAAGATTCAAGATTGAATGTGAAAAGGAAAACAAAAAAAGAAAGAAGGGAAAGGATTGGAGATGGATTGGGTCAGTTGTACGTACCTGGAGAAAAAGAAAAGTCCAACCATCGGAAAAACAATCGAACTCGCAGACGGGTCTTCCAACTACTGACCAAATACTGAATGTTCGTTGGGGCCCCTAAAAACTACTGGCCCTGTACTTGCTTTTCCCCGAGAGTACTAAACGTTCCGAGGGAATTCGTAAGTAGGGGTGGTCCCAAGTACTAATCGTTCCTCAAGCGTCCCCTTAAACAATAAGACCCCCCAGGAATCCCGAAGGGTCATCTGAAAAAAGTGTTAGCTCAATTGAAAAAAAAAAGAGAAGTAGATGAGGGATAGGAGAAGGTGAGAAGGTACTTACATTGAGTCTCTGGAGTCGATGTTTACCGATGGTGGTGTGTCGGATTGAATATGGAAAAGAAAAGGGAGGGGGGAGGAACGGGAAGATAGAAGAAAGAGGGAAGGGGAGGTGGGAGGTGGGAGGTTGGAGGTTGGAGGTTGGAAGAGGGAAGATAAAAATATAAGATGGATGATGGAAGCAAGATAGAAGGTAGAAGGTAGAAGGTGAAAAGTAGGAGATGGTAGATGGTAGATGGAAGGTGGGAGATGGAAGGTGGGAGATAAGAAGTATAAGATGGAAGACGGAAGGTAGAAGGTTGAAGGTGGGAGATGGTAGAGAATAAGAAGATGGAAGATGGAAGATGAAAAATATAAGGTGAGAGATGGAAGGTGGAAGGTAGAAAAAAGAAAATAGAAAATAGAAAATAGAAAATAGAAAAAAAAAGAGTACTAAGGCACTTGCCTAAGTCTCAAAGTGGGAGTCCAGTCCAAGGTCCAAGGTGGTGGTAGTATCCAGTGGTGTTGGTGGTATCCGAAGGTCCAGGTCCTGGGCAGTCGAGTGCAGCTGGCGAAAAGAAACTGCAGAATTATTGAAAGAAGAAAGTTGGAAAGGAAAGCTGGGAAGAACGGGATCTTTATATAGTCGTGGTTTGGGGTTTACTGATTGTGCAAAATCAAATTTTGGCGTGGTGGGTGACGATTTTTGCCTGAGGCACCACCCAGGCGACGAGGTTGAGAATTGCTTCACAATTATTTGATTGGCCCAAAAATACAGTATTTTTCTTAGAAAATAGACCCCGTGTACCCACATCAAACTCTAAATCGCTGATTCTAGTCCTATTTGAGCCATTTTTGCACTGTTCATGTTTATTTCCATTGTTCTTTTTTCCTAGAATCAGTGCTTATAGAGCATATATCGACATATTTATTTCGACCTGATTTAAATGGCAACCCATCAGCCAATGAGAAACGAGGATCAGGATCGAAAATGGAAAAAAAGGTAGATATCAACCCGGACAACATCAAATCAACCAATCGTCTTTACCGGATCAGGTAAATCAGGCCCCCCAAACCACCCTCTACCATTGACGCATTTTAACCTCGATTAATACAATTTTTCCCCTTCAACCTTTACGTACCTTGGTACCTAACATCTTGATTCTGATTTCTCCCAAGACCCACCTGGCACTGATCCTGTAGAATCATATTCCGTCTCCTAGAGCTACCTGAGGCACCTAAGTATAGATCCCGTGATTTTACACAAATCCACAAGTGTACAATTTTCAAAGTGCCTATGTAACGATCTGTAGAATACCTAGTAGTGTTCCAGGGCTGTAAAGCTTTCTATGTCTCCTGCGTGACATCTCGTTGTGCCGGTAACTATAGCTACCTAGGTTAGCATTTTAATAGAATAGATCACATTCCTATCTTCGTAGAATTCTGACAACTCTTCAGACAGATTATAGTACTCTATTAGTCATCTTAAGCTACGTGAATAGAAACAAACTTCGCAATGACATTTCATACAGTAATAACAGGGGATATTATATTGGTCTTGGTCATCGTGCTCATCATCCTATTCCATATTCTAGTCTCTCATACCTTGGAAACTCTGGCCAGGCGTATTCAAACTAAACTAGGTATATTTGTAGGCATCTTATTCAAGTTTGCCATGATAAAGAGATATAACTTGCTTGCTGTAGTCTAACTCTGCCTCTGGAATCAAGGGGTGAGGATGTACCTACTTAATGAACATAGAGTGATTTATTTATATAAGGCAATATGCCCCTGATGGGTACTAGGTTAGGTACATAGTGGTACGCCTACCCAAGCACCTTCTTACTTTTTTACTATTCATGCTCTATTCACACGTTATTGATACCGCAGGTACATAACGTTGGTATATAACGTTAGCCTACCTAGATTTATTTAAGTACATAAGTACTTAGTATTCTTTCATCTTCATACACATATCTCATGTACAGTGATGTACTACCATACCTACCTAGGTTAATACATGAACATGTTGCCAATACTCAACCCGCGATATAATAACGCGCCGATACATAGTATCCACAACCGTCGCCTTATTCAGTTCGGCAATATGGCTGGCAATATGGCTCCTATACAAACTGTACCAAAGGAGGTTCTGGCCGATATCATCCGCCTAGTCTGCGACTCTAGTCCCCAAACCGCCTCTTCACTCCTGACCGTCAACCCAATATTCCATGACTTGACCTTGTACGCCCTCCATCGCAACCAAACATTCAACCCACCCACCCTTCTCCCAGCTCTTGAACGCATTGATCGCAGTAATCGGTGGCGTGCCATCCGAGCCATCAATCTTGAGTCATGTGATTGGCTTGACGTCTCATCCGGTGCTATCTGTGATGCTCTGTCGAAAACCACCGGCTTGCGAGACATACGACTAGAATTCTGCCGCGCACATTTTCAAAGCGGCTTATTCGATGCCTTAAGCAAGCGGCCCCATCTTCGAATACACCTTAAGCTAGACGGCACGAATCCGTTTGCGAACTCGGAGTCCATTCAGCTCTTGAATGGCAACCTCAACCTGGTTTCCTTGGATGTGGTCCATGAACCTACGCTCGCGGTTGATTGCATTCGAGTGACCAAACCCCTAAGAGACGTCCTGCTCACGTGTCTTAATCTTCGCCACCTTCGGCTATGCATTTCCATGGCTAGCCTCCGGCGTGAAGAACAACGCCAAGACCTCGGCTTTGGCTTCCGTTCCGGCGAGCGACCTCCAGCGCTCGAATCATTAGAGATACTCGATTACTCTTGGCGTGGGCATCTCCGGCTGGGAGATGGTAGTCACGTAATTCCAAATCGTCAAGATAACGAGGAACTGTACTGGGCTCAAAGTTTTGACTGGTCACGGATGACAAAGTTGCGCGCCCACGATGTCAAATACTTGGCGAGACCCATACGCACTTGGACATCTCTGAAGGAGGTGCAGATTACATCCCCGTTTGAAGCCAGAAGGGCAACACGGAGTTTCTTCCTACAAGTGCCGAGTTTCCTTGAGAGTATCAAGGTCGGAAGCCTAAGAACGATTGGCTTGCAAGGTCTACACAGACACGGGGAAAGTCTCCGTGTACTTCACCTGCATGAGGATTTATTTGGCAAATGCCAGAGTCCTACGTGGTCAAAGTCAGCTATCCATACCAAAGGTCTTAGGGTTATTCGCGATAACTGTCCTCATCTCGAGGAACTAAAGATTGATGTATACCGAGCCAACGCTCTAGCGGATGGTCTCAGCGATGTTTTGGCCACATTTAGACACCTACGTTCCGTGACGGTGTGCTTTAGCCTCGTCGAAGAGCATGGCGAAGTACACAACCTATCCAGCCGACCCTTCTCGGTAATTCCCGGGACATATTTCAAAATGGAGAAGCTAGCTTTTCCTTTTGTAACCTTTTCATCTACGGTCAGGCTATTCGGGCACATCCTAGCAGGCCCGGGACGACTGACGCCTTCTTCCCTGAAGCAGCTTACTGCTGTTGTCGGGGGCCCACTGCTTCAACCAAGAATAGCGTCTCCCGACTACTTACGATGGGTGGACGAAAACACAACCTCGTTTACATGCAAGATATCCGATCGGGACGACGCGCGTGATAGCTGGAGATCATGCCTCATGACGGCAGCTTGCCCAGAATTGACCGACGAAGAGAACGCCATTCTACAGAAAGCTGCCACTACACACGAGGATCTGTTACATCTTGTGAAGAAGAGCCCGGACGGCTTCAGGCGAGTGTCGAAGAAGTTCAAGCTCGCGGAGTATGGACCAACGCAGCCGTTCCACTGGCCTCTCCGCTATGATGAAGGGTGCATAGTGCGCGGCGGGGTCAGGTTTTACCGCGAACGGTCGTCTGAGATGGACGTGATCATCGAAAATGAAGAGGAGTATGTCTCGTGGAAGTGCCTCCAGGATAAGGATGATACGCGGTCGGGCTCTGCAGCAGAGTCGGAACCAACCCAGGCCCAACAATAGGTAGGTGGTAAGCACATCTGACTACTGGGTACTATTACTATTACTTGCGCTGACATTTGAGTTTTGGTATTTACCTAGGTGCCCAGCTTATCGCTATTAGGTACATCAGCTCGGTCACGGTATGAAGAATAGGCGGGAAGGATATGCTAAGGGCTAGGGAAGCCTCACGATTTCAGTTTCAGTGGTGGGGTTATATAATATGGTTGGCCTGCTGACAAGAGAGGGGGAAAGAGAGTAAGCCGGAAGGACGAATGACTTATCTACCTACTAGGTAGTTGGGTCGGTCATTGCCTTTTGCCTTTAATGAGAGTTGAGGAAAATCAGGAAAGGAAAGGATAAGTAATGGATGCTGCGATGTAAGTTGTTGACGGTGGGCTACTACCTAGTAGGTATATGGCCAACTTTCTGCTTAAGTTAGGTTGGGCAGGTTTCATTTTGAAGTCTTTTGAGATACCCCAGATCAGATTGAATTCAGATTGAATTCAGATCGAATGCTTGCTCTAACCTACCTTTAGGGTAGGTGAGAACTAAATTAAGATTCTTTTCCTTGTTAACTAACCTAACCTAGGGACTTACATGAGTTGAAGTTAATGGTGAATTTTAATACAACCAGGTAAACCTGTAACCTACGTACCTCCTACCTTATTTAAACATCACGATGAAGGGATAATCACGAGTAGCATCAATGAGCATAAGCATAAGCACATAAAGTAGGTAGATAATAACAGATCTAGGATTTTGTTCTGGTTCTAGTTCTGGCACAAGAGGCCTTCGTACCAGGTGCCTAGGTATGTAGTAGCATTTCCATCTATATGGTTTGTTTGCCTGCTTGCCTCAAGTAAGCCTGTAAGCCTGCTATCTGACCTAACCCAACCCAACCTTCTCCTTCTCCTATCCCTTCTCATGAGTGTTTGTGTTTGTGTTTGTGTAGGGAACTCATTTGAAATCTACCTTTCCCCTTAAATATATCTATCTTTCTAGGTATAGTTAGGTAGGTAGGTAGATTAGGTAGGAAAGTTCGTCCGTCCGTTTCTATTCTTGTTCCTGTTTGTAGGGATAATAGCATTAGGTAATCATCACCCACGGACGCCTATAGCAAGGCCTTGACCTCACCCTCCTTGATCTTGCCAGCGTCAACGAGGCGCTTGACCTCCTCGCTCCAGACGCCCTTGATCTCGTCGGCGACCTTGAGGCCGTTCAGCTTCCCGGCCAGCGCGGCGATCTGCTCAGGGTCGATTTTGCCCTGCACGAGCTCGACATCGTTGAGGACGGCGTCGATCTGGGCGGGGGAGGCGTCACCGGACGCGAAGTAGTTGGCGTCCTTGACAGAGGAGCGGAGCACGCGCTTGTTCTTCTTGACGGCGGTCTTGGCGGCCTCCTTGGCCTTCTTGTTGGCTTCGCGGTCGGCCTTGGCTTTTTCTTCCGCCTCCTTGGCGGCCTTCTCCTCGGCTTCCTTCTTTAGGCGCGCGTCTTCCTTGGCTTTCTTCTCGGCAGCTTCCTTGTCGAGGCGCTTCTTGTTCTTGGCGGCGTTGGCCTCCTGGCGGAAGCGCTTGATGCGCTCGTCGCTGGCGGAGCAGTCATCTAGGAGCTTGCGCAGACGGGCGTTGTCTTCGGCCTTCTTCTTTTTGCGCGCGTTGGCATTCTTGCGCTCCATATGTCGCTTCTGGTCGCGGTTCTCGTTGTCATCAGGTACATCCTCGTCGAGATACTCGAAGGAGCGCCATGAGTCGAAGTTATACCAGAAGTTGTAGAAGTTCTCCACATCTTCCTTGCTAGACTTCTCGTCTCCGAAGGTAGGTACGGGCTGTTGCTTTGAGAAGCGGGCTTCCGACTTGAAGACGCGGCTCCAGAGCTTATAGGAGTTGCCCTTGGTTAAATCCTTCTTGCTGGGCGGGTCAACATCGGCCTTCTCGTCGACTGAGTCAAATTGCCGGCGCTTGACGGGGTCGAGGAGAACCTCGGTGGCCTTCTGGATGCACTTGAAGAAGTTGTCATCTTCGGTGCCGCCTTGGGCTGCTCGCTTGTCGGGATGATGCTTTAGGACCTTCTTGCGGTGGGCGCGCTTGATTTGGTCCTCGGTTGCCTTCCAGCGGTACTTGGATAGACCGAGGACTTGGTAGTGATCTTGCGACTGAAAGTGGGTGTATTAGTAAGCCGTATATAAAATTGAATATTGGCTCGTAGGTAGCGGAATTAATTTTCTTACCTTCCAATCCTTGGCTTCCCGCTGAAGCATCATAGGATCTTCGGGTTCGCTGACATCGCTCTCATCGTCCTTCTCGATCTTCTTGGCACTTTCTTGGGCTTGAATTCGATCATCCTCGGAGAATGTGCGCTTATGGCGAGCACGGCGGGCGTGAGCAAGGAAATGAGGGCCAACAGGCTCGATTGTGCGTTGAGTAGAAGCGGTAATAGAACCAATAGGTTTGAAATCCTTCTCTGCCGTCCAGCCTTCCGGCAGGACAGGCAGCGGACGTTTTACGAGTGTTACCGTAGCCATTGTCGCTATCTATGTAGGGAACAGTTAGGCTTGTGGGTTTTGAGAGGAAGAAAATAACGTGGGGTTGTTTTTTATTTTTTTTATTTTTTAAGCTTCTGATTTCATAATTCTTAGCGGCGGCAGATAAGATAAGGAATTATAAGGACTGGAAGGAAGGTATATGTACATAACTACGGAGGACGCTTTCAGAATATTTTTCCATAGGGGGGCCTAGAAGGTGACAGCCAGCTGGTGAGCGATCTAGCCTTCCAGCTGGCAGATTTTTCCTGACAGGGATGTCCTATGGAAAAATATTTTGAAAGCGTCCTCCGTAACCTACATATCTATTTTATCTATTTATAGCGCCAGTGCCTTGTCACCTTAGCCACATTGCACTCAAGCCACAAATGATTTTCTTCACTGTGCAGATCAATGATTGGAACTTCACATGCTCCATCCAGACTCTTTCTTATTATACAAGCTGAATAATCAACATTTGAACATCGAAGGAGATTTACGGCTCCTTCTTGAATATATATCCAATCTCCACTGTTCAACTAGCCTTCATCATATTCGAACGTTCGAACCGCAGGAGAGAATGGCAGTGGCTCTACGAACTTACAGAAATCTATTCCGAGTAACGGGCCTAGCTTTTAAAGGTACAGCTTCATGAAACCAATAATGATAGGTAGGAAGCAATGAATACCTATTGACCACATGGTGCTTTAGGTGACGAGCGAGTCTTGAACGCTGCGCGCGATCAAATACGAAACAGATTCCGAGAAAATGCTACCTTAGAACCTTCGAGTCCCGAAGTATCGAGCGCCATCGAGCACGCCCAAGACGTCGCTAAGATAATACGGCATAATATCGTGCAAGGGAAGAAAGAGGGAGAATTATATAGTGTGTCCTAATCGTCAACCATAAGTATTTCACTTTCTAACCAAGCATAGAGCTGCGAATACACGAAGATACAGAGCGTGGAGACAACGACACAGTAAAACTCCCGGGAGGCCAGAAAGTCAAGATTGACGGAAAGAAGTGCTGTGATACATGATACGGATTGATGGGTTAAAATTCGTAAAGCATTGTATTATAACATAACACCCGCCGTGTACCATTATCAAGTGACCAAGCAACACAAGTGATATCCTCTCAGCTAAAGCAATTTTTTTTTTCAGTATAATACCGGAACGCCGCCTATGCTATGCAAATTTTTGCCTGCTGTGTGGCGCTTTAATCTCCTGCAAGACTTGCGTAGTTGACGTCTGCTGCACCCGGTGGGGGTGCAACCATCGCTAGGCCCTCGACATCTTGTGCAGCTCCTGCTTGTCCTTGGGCCGGCGCTCCTTCAATCGCCCTAGGTCCAGCTTGCCCTCTCCGTTGACTAGGGAAAGCCGATCGTCCATCCCTCGCCATCGTTGCTCTCTCCTCCTTATTCATGGTTCCAATTGCTTTCGGCAAACTCCATCGTACTCGTAACGGGCACCCCGCAATCACAGCTCGACCCTGGCACGCCTCCGTGGCCTTCTCGGCAGCCTCTCTCGTTTCATAGTTGATGAACGCGCAGTGTGACATGTGACTGCAGATTAATGACTTGATCTTGCCGTGCTCCTTGAAAAAATCGCGGATCTTGTACTCGGGCAGGTCATCCTCTACGCCCGTGACGAACAGGCTCATTATCGACTTGTCTGCGGGAGGGATCCAGTCTTTGGGACCTGGAGGTAATTGAGACGCGCTCGGGAACGGCCTGTTATTTCTTCCTTGCCTTGCGCCCACGCCTACAGCGGCGGCTGCTCTAGAGTCGCGTGTTCGTATCGGTCCAGGTCCTCCGACGCCAGCTCCTACCGCTGGGCTACCTCCTTGCGGGCCACTACTTGTAGCGCTTCCATCCTCAATCGCTCGCCCTTTTCTGAAGTAAGGCTTGCTGGTAGCCAGCCGTCGCAGAAGCTCTCGCGCCTTCTCGTCCGTCTTCTCGTACTCTTCAGTGCCCAGTCCTTCCTCGATTGCCTTCTCGTTATTCTGAGCAAAATATTCGCGGTTGACCTCGCTTTGTGGGCCGGGGGCCACCATCTTGAGGGCGGCATCGCGTAGCTGGATGGGAAGGCCAAACTGTAGGTCGAGCATGCAACATTGGCAGCAGTTCTTCATTCGAGCGCATGTCAGGCAGACGTTTGTGCGCTTCTTACGACCGTGGGCGCGATCGGCAGCCCAGGAGAATATGGTGTATGGTCGGGTACAGATCTTGCATTCGGCGCCGTGGTCTTCCTTGAGCATCTTGACGTATGGGTTTGGTGGTAAACAGTTCTCACATACGGATGGGAAGTCGGTCGATTCCCAGCCGGAGCGATTTAGATCTTGTTTTATCTGGGGAGGCATGGTGATGGAATTGATGTTGGCAAACGCCTGAGCAAGCAGTAACTTGTACTTACACCTGAAAGTTGATAGGAAAATGTGGATGATTGATGGCGTCGCGATGCATTGGAAAGTTAAGATATACAGAGTCTAATCTTATCTAATGTGGCTATAACTATGACTATGTGGCTGATTAATAGCATCAGGGTGGCGCAAGAACAAACGCCAGGGCCATCTGCATAGTTAGTAGTTATCTGCTTAGTACAATACAATACCTAGTACATAGTTATGCTAAGATAAGTGCATAGTTAGTTAAGCCCTAAATGCAATCATCAGAGCTTATGTAAGATTCAATATCAAAAGGGGTCAGTCAAGGTTGCTTTTAAAATCAGTCTTGTCACATGGTCTCTATTCCAATTATAACTTGTAACTTGAAAACCATCATTTTGGGTTCGAGTCCAAGGTTTCATTATTAAACCTTGGATGCTGTTCTTGCATGTATAATGCCTGCTACATGAAGTTACCTTGTTTAGTTCCTAGTACAGTAGTTCCTACCTATGTAGTAGTGCAGTAGTTCCTACCTATGTAGTAGTGCAGTAGTTCCTAGCACAGTAGTTCCTACTAGGGATTACTTTCCAGATGACTTCCTTTACGTAGATCTTCTTAATCTGATCATTCAATCTTATTTCTACTAACATTCATTGAACTCTCGACTAGTAAACATTCAAGATGATATTCTTCTCGCCATCAAAAAAGCTACCAGATATTATTCAACATAGTACCTCATCTCACGGACCCTCACTTCACATTTACCTTTACCAACGGGCCGGCCGACTGCCACTACTGCGAGCGCTTGAACTCAGTCCAGGAACCGAGCATTCCCCCGCAACTCATGTCCGGCCTGCTTAGAATGGCCGTGATAGGACGCCATACCATGTTATGGTCACACCATATCATGAGTCTATACCGATTTGTATGAGGGACATGTTAAATAACTACATGGACCTTCTCATCGGTTTAGTAATGTGAGATGGCATTCCCGTGGGCTTAATAGTGGTCACACGACCAGGCACAGATGTATGTATGTCCCCGGACCGGAACCTCAGGTGGCGGTTTACCTCAAGTGGCGGCCTATTTTCCCCTTAACACGCCCTTAACACTTGAATGGTAAATCTTAAATAGGATAAGTTTATCCCCATATCGTCAGCAAATCTTAAGACGTCCGTGGGAGATATATGTGCGTTTTCCCCATCTCTTATCATTCCCCCGTCTTCTCTATAAATTCGTCTCTATTAACCACCATCTTGTGCGGATTTCCTTTTCCCTCGTCTCAGGCAACAAACAGATGGATATCTCAACCACGGAATCCCGGGTAGGCGAACCTCCCAGATCGACAAGCTCTCCTCTTCCACCCAAACCCATGTCGGCGTATTCGGGCGCTTCGCAAGAATCTCCTCCTAAGCACACAATATCACACGAAGAAGCAGCACTAGTCCCAACAGATGTACCCATCACTTCCCTCACCGAGGCCGACTGCCCAGATGCTCTCGCCTTTGCTTTTCCAACATGGAAAAAGTGGCTGATTCTGACAGTCATATTTCTGGTCCAAACTTCTAGTATGCAGCCTTTATGAAGCTACAATGCTTCTCTTCACCCCCAATCCTTATCATTGTGTTCTCCTGACTACTTTGCGACTCATTCAAAGTAGCGGAGGTTTAGTGAAGGTCCTTGTGGCTCAAACTCGCGACTCCAATCTCTCCTCAAAGGGCAATTTCTAACCATTCATGCAGTGAACTTAAACGCTTCTCTTTACGCCAACGGACAAAATGGAATTGTGCGGGAGTTCGGTGTCAGCCCGCAAGCCGCAGTCAGCGGGACGGCATTGTTTCTCGTCATGTATGCTTTTGGATGTGAACTGTACGAATACCTCCTTCTATCATATAGAATCCCGGTGAACTGACACTTTTCTCTAGTTGGGCGCCTTGGTCCGAAGAGCTTGGGAGAAAACCAGTCCTCCAGGGGTCGCTTTTCCTCGTCAACCTCTGTTGTATCCCTGTCGGCCTGGCACGGTTATCTGGGTATTTTCCTGCGATAATAATTGGGCGAGTCTTTGGTGGCCTTTTTTCCGCCGGCGGTAGTGTCACACTAGGAGTAGTTGCAGACATGTTTGGTACGGCCCATCAGGAACATCCACTTGCATTCATTGTCCTTTCATCCGTCTGCGGATCCATAATTGGACCCATTATAGGAGGGTTCATCGAGGAACATCTACACTGGACATGGACTGTTTGGATTCAGCTCATCTTCGGTGTTTTTGTCCAAGTATTGCATATGCTCATCGTCCCAGAGACTCGTTCCAGCGTCCTCATCGACCGGCATGCCAAGAAAATTCGAGAAACCAGACTCAAGGAAAAGAATGAGGTAGTCCAGATCTTTGGCCCAACCGAAACGAAATCTCTCAAGGAGTATCTGGTTCCAGGGGAACTCTTCACTCTCTGGCTTCGACCATTTCACATGTTTGTCAAGGAGCCGATTGTATCAGTACTCTCTACGCTTTCCGGCTTTAGCGATGCCTTGATCTTCATGCAAATACAGTCTTTTGGCCGTGTGTTTAAGCTATGGAACTTTTCCAACGTTCAAGTAGGACTCGTAAGTGGTCACCGTGGGGTTTTTAACCTATTCTGGAAAATCTGTGGTTGTTGACCTGCTCTATAGGCATTTATCCCGATTGGGCTCGCGTACATTTTGGCCTATCTGCTCTTCATTCCCGTCATCCATCGAAATCGGGCACTGAGATTGAAGTACCCACTCAGTGAGCACGCTCAATACGAATCGCGACTGTGGTGGCTGCTATACACTGCTCCGTGTCTCCCTATTGGGCTACTGATTTTCGCTTGGACGAGCACTCCCGCTGTACATTGGATCGGCCCAATGATCGGTTGCATATTCATTGGCGTCGCTAACTATACCATATACATGACCACTATTGATTACATGGTCGCGGCTTACGGCCCCTACTCGGCCTCAGCCACAGGCGGAAATGGCTTTGCGCGCGACCTCATGGCTGGTCTGTTGACGTGGGCCGCAGAACCGTATTACAATGCATTCTCATTCGAATACGGTCTCCAGGTGGCTAACACGGTACTCGCGGGTGTCAGTTTGTTCTTCGTTGTTGCGACTTTCTTCGTCTACGTCTACGGCCCGGTTATGCGCGAACACTCGCCCTTCGCTCAGTCCATAAGGCGGCATAGGAACAGCGAGACTATGGAGATGCCTCCTACAACAACTATATAGGGGGGTTCATTATGTATCTAAGTTTGTTGCAGGTGCCTCAGGCACCATTAGGCTCCACTAGAGCCATATGGCCCTTATGGCCATATGTTGGCACTCCGCCATTGTAGTTAGGAATAAAGCAAGCTTTCTTCCTTCCCTCTTCTTCTTGGTTGCATTCCGTATCTTGCCAAACCGGAGGTCCTCTTCTTCTGTAGGCTCCGTCTGCTCCACATTTCCAGATCTTCTCCCATATCTGCAGCTCCAGCATCGTCCCACTCCTCCAATGCTCTACTCATTCAATCAGGGGGAGACAGGGTGAAGGGGTCGATCTGAGCTTCGACATCCTAATTACCGATGCTGACGGAAGATACGCTTATGTTCCAAACTCAAACAGGCTTCGGAAATTTATATCATGACTCGCCATAAACTACAAGTTTCGCTAGTCATGCTTTGAGACCCAATTCACATTTCGGCGCAATCCCTTGCGACTACTTACCAAAATATTGGACATGTGAAAGTCTCACTTGCTGAGTCCGCCAAGCCATAACATAACATCATCAAGTCTTTTCTATAGTCTTTACATGAGCCGGTTTGCTCCTTTTCTCACACCAAAGATAGGTGCATCTTAAGGTTTTGTCGATCTATTATCGCCGAGACACTGGTATGGTCTTTTGGGCAAGACTGGGTTTCGTCATAAAACAACCAGGTCTTCTCGGTCAGAGAGTTACCTAGGTTAGTTGGTTCAAGCCTTTGTAGCTCAGCAAATACCACCATTATGCGAATCAAATTGTTTTTTTTTTTTTTTTTTTTTTTTTTTGCTTGGTCTCCTTTCTGTTTCAAGAAGCTAATAAAATATTTCACAATATGAATTCTTTCCAGGTGATATTCAAGATGTTGTCGCGTAACTAACTAGCTGCCAAGTATGTGTGACTGAGAGCTCTCGTCATGTTGTAACTGAAAGTCTAAACAGAACTGCCCTTGAACAATTGGAGAATGCAGCAGACTGACTTATGAAACTAGGTATATAGTTCAGGGGTTCATACGAAGTTACGCTGCTTGTGCCTACCTAGTAGCTCATAGTTCAGCTATTATCTAGGTACTCTGATGCTAAAAACAGGAGTAGTTTGACCTGCTTAGTAGCTGAAGTTAAGTAAGAAACCAGCCCAGCCATAGCTTATCGTTCAAAGGGAACTATTCTTTAGTAAATCACCGAGGTTTGAAGAGGTGTTGGCTGTTTTGTGGATACATTTACGACTACATGCTGTAAAGGCAGAAATATACCTACCTACCTACCTATATTGTTAAATCGAAATCTTACAAGCCCCTTGTGGTATATTTCCCATAAGGAGGTGTTGACAGTTGACATATAGCTAGCTCGTTTTCCCATATGTGAGACATCATGTCAAATCATTCATTTAACAAAGATAATCGAGGGTTAATAGATCCTGAACTTATTGTAGACTTCGTAGTCAACACATTTATAATATCTGTGCGTGTGAAATTGAATATGCTTTGTGAAGCCTCTAGGACCACAAAGCCATGAACAAGCGAAAATTATTGTGCGGGCATGTTAGTATTCGTCTCACATCGACTTTGCAGGATTGGGAGAGAAATAGCATGAACTCTCCTGCAGTGGTTTAACCAATGAATCTTGATCACGTATTAGGTATATATCGACTAAGTTAAGGGTTTGTGTGAGTACCTATGACGACGCCCCTCACGAACTCTCCAAGAAGATGCTCAGAGGGGTAAAATTCATCATTGGGGATTCAGGGACCCTTCGTATCAATAATAATAGCTCAGGATACACCAGGAATCTACATATCTTCAATTCCTATTGACACTTATCATCATCCCGTCTTTGCTTCTTTCATAAGGCTTCGATATGGGCCGCGACGCGATACACAGAATCTATCCCGCCCATAAAACTGGTTCATACTATAACTCGGGGGCCAGTTCAACCAAGTTAGTCTTCGACTTAGTTGCAACGGCAAGCCAGGGACAAAAATTGTGATGGAAAAGGTGGACCATGAAGAGAGTTAACCAAATTTCAGTGGATTTCAAAATGACTCGTGTGGAGATGCTTGGAACTTCAACTAGGAAACATGTGAAGTAAGGCGATAGTAACAGTGAAGTCATGGTGAGATGAAAAGGAGGCTTTGTAACTATGAAATAAGGATCGAGATGTTTGTGAGTTCATCAATATCATCTTATATATTCGACAGGATGTACTGGCAACTAATCAACCTTGGTGGCTTATCACCTTCACCTTCACTCTCATCCTCCACTTTCCGACTTTCCGCTGCTGGAAGTCATCGCACTTGATATAGTTCTATGCCCGCAGACGATACCTGGAATATTGAAAGTGTTGAGAGGAAATGGGATTAACCGTGGTCGTTTTCCAAGCCCTCGTGGCTTTCGCCCTGGCAGGACCACTCGAACCTCGCCAGGGTATTGATACATCGCTGGTCGATGTCGTGCCCAGTCCAACGACGGTCTCCATACCCATTGGGCCAACTGCCGACACGACCAGTTACAACATGACCGAGGCCACAATCTCTGCTACCGAAAGCCCGCTACCTGTGATGACCGAGCCAACCACCACCAGGGGTATCGTGCCTCGTCAGACGGCATGTCAACCCAATCCTACCGGTGATGGACCTGTGCCGACTCCGGACACTGCCTCTGCGTTCTTATCTCTCGAAGCCTTTGGCACCATTGCCAGCGCGGCTCCGATCCCGTCTGGGTACAACGAGACATTCGTGAACCTGCAGAACCGGAGCGAAGCGTACGGGTATCTTGGCTTCATCACGATAGATTCCTACGACTCAGCCGGCTGCGGCGTCCAGTGCGACACCGTCTTCAACGGCTGCCTGGGCTTCAACATCTTTTTTGAACGGGATCCCATAGTCGCGCCAGCACCCGGCTGCGCGAACCCGCCTTCCACCACGAACATCAAGTGCGTTTTCTGGGGCGGCGATGTTACGGCGCTTTCGGCCACCATCAATGGGTCTACTCTGGTGCAATTCCAAGTGGCATACGCCGGCTCCAATGGATACACGCGGACGGCGGTGCCGGATGTCCCTGGCTATGACGGGGAGCCGACAGGGAACAATACGGTAGATGCACCGGACCCCGATACCAATATCACGACAACTACCATGAGCACAACCAGTACTAGTACTAGTTCTAGTTCTAGTAGTACTGCAAGTACCACCTCTGGGAGTACTACCACCACCACTGGTTCTACAAGTACTGGCTCTTCGAGTATGACCACCACCACCACCACCAGCAGTTCCATGACATCTTCAAGTAGTAGTTCTTCGTCCACACCTACTTCCACCAGCACCCCTCCTCCCCCTCCCCCTCCAGGTGGACCACCCGGGGGTCCTAGAGGAGGTGGTAGAGGCGGCACTTACATCGGATCGAAGATCTTCACAGGCGTGCCCTTCGATCCCGCCCTATGCGCCGCAGCCTGCGACGCACAGAACACCAACAACCTGTCCCGGCCGCCCCGCTTCGGGCGCCCGCAGATCTGCCGCTTCTTCACGACCTACATAATATACAGGGACGGCCAGCCCATCGGGCAGTACTGCGCTCTGTATACCACTTACTACTCCAGGTCGTTTGCCACAAACAGCGTAAGTACATACCAGACTTCATTGCCTTAGATGGGTAAACATTCGTTGCAAAACGGTCACAGCGGCTAATAACCCACCTTTTGACAGGGCACGCAAAGTGGAGGCGTCGATCTGAGGGTGCGCAACGCCTTCTCTTACAGAAACACCAGAGCGCCTCGCGATTAGAGGTCGTGGAGCGGTAGGCAGGTACCTAGGATGCATGTAGGTAGCCCACCACTCTACGCGGCCTATTCACATGTCATACATACCCTCCTTGCCTTGTTGGAACGTACATATGATGTTGAAACGACGATGGATTTGAGGTTTCAGGATACATATCTGTATAAAAAAGTACCAAATCTGTTAAGTCTTTGAGATAATGCATTGAATGACTATCGCACTTGCGTGTACGCGTATCTCTCTGAATGATGCATACTAGCCTCGGCATCTCTTGAAGAGAAAAGGCGGAAGAGTTCCTCTCTTTCAATTTCGTACAATACTATGTACTGCCCACCGTGAAAAAAGAGTCAGCTGGGCGCGTCACCTATTTTTGCGGATATACGCCCCTGCCTCCTCCATTTAACTATACTTGCGGCAGGCAATGAATGGAGAATCAAAAAAGATGGCATAAAAACAGATAGATCGCTGGCCAAAGCTTTGTGTCTCACGCGTTGAGTGCGGGCGGAAGAGGATTGGAAGGTTACTTCGCAAGTTGTAACTATTGTATGCAACTTCTGTACGTAGAACATATTTAGAATGTTGTAGTCTAGCTCCGCCCTTCAGCACAGACAGGACACGGCATACGGCATGCTGGAACTCCATGTTAGTTATGGGTTATGGATATGCGTCGATGCCGATGCCGAGGATGATTTTGCACGAAACGAGGCAAGAATAAGCGTACCTAGGTAGTATATTTCACATGTGGCCGACATCTTTTTTCTCCTTTTTTTCTTTTTTCCTTCTTTCTTTCTTTCTTTCTATTATTGTTTCTATGTTACTCTTTTCATTACTTCACAGCCGCATTAGCTAACGAAGAAGTCCGATCCAAACGCGTCACCACCTGGGCATCTATTAAGCCAACGGCATTTATGAGACTCGCTCAGCTGGTAGGGCTGATCAAAAGCTATAGATAGTACAGTCCTATAACCAAGTAGGTTAGGTTAGTAAGTAGTTATAAGTTAATACTACTACTAGTAAGTACTAGGTAAGTAGAGTGACGGGACGGAGTCAGATCACCGGGGTTTTTCTAGCTGTTCCGGGCCGCACAAGTTTTGCAAGAAAGAAGCCAAGGAAGGCATACTAGAATAAATATGCAGCGATATGCAGCAATATGCAGGGGACCATGAATTTTGGACGCTGCTCCGCCTCAACCCGTCGTATCGTCAACCTACTAACCAACATCCTCCAGGCGGGGACCACCCTGGATACCCGGGATTAAGACGCTATTCCGGATTATAGTCCAAGAATTTCCACTAGGATGGGTACACCTGGGTATTATAGTACTAATCCATATAATACCGCGACCACTTGACAGGAGGGATGGATGGGGATAACTGTGCAGCGAATCAGAGTCGTCTATATTGGAGCTTGGCATGTGTCTGCACTTTCATTTCCATGTTTTATTAATACTGTATCTCTTTCCATCACAAACTGCCAATCGAATTGCCCAAGCAACTGTTTCTTTGCCTTGCTTTTCGGTATAACTAAACCCAAGTCCTGGCCGTATTCATCGTATTTGTATGAAGAGAGAGAGAAAAAAAAAGACTATGAACTAGTTAACTGATATTTACTACGACAACGACGACACACGGATATATATCCAAAAGTGATAAGTATCAAATGTCGATCGCCAATGGCGTCAAGTGCACCTAGTTGGCCTGGGGTGCGTCCCGTCAAAACATGCACAGAATGCAAGCAATCAAAGGTAAGATAATATACCTAAATCTATCTATCTATCTATTCATTCTCATATGCTCACTCATACCTACATGTCATATATACTTACCTTATACACATACCTTATATGGTAGTCATGGCTTGGCTGACAAACCCTCTCCCCAATAGCTACGATGCGATTCGAAGGATAGATTTCCAAATCCTTGTTCTAGGTGTCAGGCAAGGAATCTTACCTGCACAGTTGACCCGTCCTTTCGAAGGACGCCGGCTAGAAAGTGCGTTATATCTAGTTCTTACTTTCCCTCTCCGTCTCTCTGTATCTCTCCGATGCAGAAGTTTCACTGTCATTCTCACCCTCTACCTATCGTGATCATGGTTAGCTTAAGCACATTCCGTAACTAATGATGATTCATATATAGACGTCTGGAGGCCATGTCGAGAGAGTTGCGAGAACTTCGCGATCAAAGATTATCAGATGTGCGCGCAGGGTCTACAACAAGTCCGGACCCGGACACCTCTCACTCTCAAGACTCATCTGGCAATGCGATGCAACCGTCCGTCGCGATCTTGATAGATGATTTTGAGCTTATGGGGCTGGAGACCTTCGAGCTCACCGGCGTCATAGTAGAAAAACGCACAGTAGTAGAGGCCTTTCGATTGTAAGTGTTTTTGGCCATCCGAGTGAGAAGGAAAACCCTCCCTACCTTACTCCCTAGGATCTCGACCTATCTCTACAATCTCTAGCTAACCTACTAATCTACAAGATTCACCACCTACTTTCACCCTCACCTCCCAATATTAGGTCCAGTATCCCTCAAAACCATCTACCACTCCCAGACCTTTCTGTTCTGGACCATCCTCATCATCATCGCTCAGCGCTCGCCAGTGATCCCAGACGAGAACCTGTTCATCCGACTGCACGAGCCGTACGTGCAGATGCTCAGGTCGGAGGCTCTGCGCGCGCCGGCTCCTCTGAGCAAAATCCAGGCGCTGCTATTTCTCTGTCTGTGGCCTTTGCCGGTCACCAACCAACGCGAGGACCCGAGTTGGCTGTACTGCGGGATCGCTATCAATGCGGCTTTGTACATGAGCTTGCATCGATCAAGTCCCAGGGCGGGAGCTACGCCTTCGTTCTATAGCCTTGGAGTCATATCTGGAAGCACGCATGAGAGGACGAATACATGGCTTGGTTGTTTCTACGTTAGCACCTCGTAAGTCATCGTCCCCCTTTCCCCCATCTTTTCTTCATTTTTTTTATATCCTCTCTTATCGCTTTAGTGACCTATACAATACTAACTAAATACCCCTGAATAGCCTCAGCATGCACCTCGGACTCCCCCCGATGATCAACACCTCGTCCGATCTTACTAACATCCGCACCATCCTCGCCGAGCACTACATCCCGCGGGAGTTCTCGCTGCAGATCAGGATGCTCCTGACTTTAGCGGGCTTCACCAACGTGCTCTCCCACAACTCCAACGACAGCGTCGTCGACTCCTCCGTCACGCAGCTCCTCGACGGCGAGCTCGACGCCCTGAAGATCATGTACCCGGACGGCTGGACAAGCATGACCGACTTCAGCATGACGGTGGTCAAGATGCACGTGTACACGCTCGTGATAACGCGCTCCCGCTCCGGCACCGGCTCCAAAGAGATCCTGCTCAAGCTCGGGCTCGCCGCCGCCCTGCGCGTCATCCACCTCGCCAACCTGCGCTTCCACGAGCGCCTCCCCGACAAAGCGCAGCAGCAACAACACCAACAACAACAAGCCCTCCTAACGATCACCGAGCGCGAGCGCACGCTGCCGAAAGACTACTTCCGCGGCCTCGCCTTCGCCACCATCTTCCTGCTGCGGTACTTCTCGCTCAACAACTGCGCCAACGCGGAGGAGCAGCAGCTGGCGGCCAACCACGTGATCATGGCGCACACGATCTTCAAGACGCTGGCCACGCAGCCGATGGACGAGTACGGGCGCGTCGCGCGCCTGTTCGAGACGCTGTGCAAGCAGCAGGCGCAGATGCCGCCCTCGTCCGCCGGCGGCGACGACGCCGCGAGCGGCAAGCCGGCCCACAGCGACCGCATGGGCGTGTCCATCGTGCTCGATGCCATCAACACGGCGCGCGCGCTGCGCGGACACTCGATGGAGATACACGAGCACGAGGTCCTGGGGACGGCGGCAGCGACGACGACGACGCCGGGGAGTTTGCCGGGGCACGCGCAGCAGCAGCAGCAGCAGCAGCAGAGTAATGGTAGTAGTAATAACGCCAACAATAGTAATAATAGCAACGGGGTCCCAGACGTGTACGGCAGCGGCATCACGCCGCAGATCGTGGAGCCGTGGCCGTCGGACCTCGCGTTCGCGAACGTGTTCTGGGGCGATCCGTCGTGGGACGTCTTCAGCTTGCCGGCGGATCCGCAGTTTCAGCCGGGGCCGGGGTTGGGGTGATCGTGATTCGATTATCAGGAAAAAAAAAATGAAAGCAATGAAGACACAAACAATGAAGATCATAAATATACAATTGGCGTATGTGTGCGTGTGTGGGTGGGTGGTGGTATATAAAAGAGCAACCAAACCTATGGCTACCTATGGGGATGATTTACACTTGAACGACTCCTCCCCGTACCTACCGCGTATTCCCCCCTCGCCCCTGAAAAAGCAAAGCAAACTGTCGATAGAGCATACCATACACATCCGTACAAGCCCAAAACCAAAAAAAAAACCAAAACAAGTACATAAGACTCTCTCTCCCCTCTCCCCTCTACCCAAGCGCCTCAACCAACTCCCGCGGCAACCTCAGCCTCACGAGCGGGAGATGCTTCTGGGACCCATGCACGTCGTTCTCCATGAAGCTGCCGCCCGCCACCCTCCTCCCCTCCCTCGTCGTCCTCGGGATCGTCGCCTTGAACGCCTGCGCGGGGTCGAAGAACCCGCACCAGATCACGTCCGCCTCCGCGATGCCGTACGCCGCGGCCACGGCCCGCGTCGAGAGCAGCCCGGACTTGCGCACTTGCAGGTACGTGCTGCGCGACTCGAAGATCAGGTCCAGCGTTATCTCGTAGGGCCCCGAGTTCTTCGAGCGCACGACTTTTGCGAGGTCGCCGAGGGTTTTGGGGGGGGATTGGGATGGGGAGGTGGCGGCTAGTTTTTCGCCGTTCGGCTTGTTGGCCCCGTTGCCGTTCGTTGCCGCGGCGTTGCCATTCGCTGGAGCAGCTGCTGCAGCATCAGCGGCGGTGGTCGTCGTGGTCGCAGTGGGGGGGGATAATAGTACAGGGGCAGCGGCAGCAGCAGCGGCACGCGAGGATCGGTCACCCTTGCCGATCAGGGACACGTTCTGCTTGAAGAGCAACTTCTTGCCCGAGTCGTCGGATACTGTGAGATGCTCCTCCCCTTCGTCCAGGTCCATCAGGTGGTACACGCAGAACTTGGAGCAAGGGCCTAGCTCGATGACGGTCTTGCCGCCGATGCCGAAGGCGAAGTTGCCGGCGGTGGCTTTTTGGCCGGGGTAGCTGCCGTGCTGGTGGGTTGTTAGCAGGTTACATCACAAGCATATGTGGGAGTTATAAAAACCGGGGGAGGGGGTGTAGTTTAAAATACATAAATAGGTATATAAAAATAAGGGGGGGGGGGGGGGGGGGGGGAAGAAAAATAAAGATATAAATAAAACAAGGACTCACAATAACAGCAATCCTAGCCGTCGCCGCAATGCTCGTCGCCAGCTCCTGCGTCGGGGCCAGCGCCTCGCCAATGATAAACAGCTCGTTCGCCTGCTGCTGCTGCTCCTGTGTGACTAGCGCGTTGTCTGCGCCGCCCTCCGGCTTCCCGTAGACGTGGAAGTCGAAGTCCCAGTCCACGGTGACGTGGCTGTGCTGGCTCTTCACGTACCCCTTGACCAGCTTGGTCAGGGAGTCGAATTGCTGGATTAGGATTGCTGTGCCATAATTAGGTAAATTAGCAAAAACAAAATAGTCTTTCATTTTAAGAAGGGGTTTAATAAGAGGCGTTAAAAAAGGGAGGGGGGGAGGGGCAGGGGGTCGGTTCCTTACGGTCTCGAATGCTACCCAAGAACATGGACCGGTAGCCAATGATACACCCCGCCTCCAGCTTGAGCTGGTACGGCCGCCCGCTCTCCTGGGAGAAGTGGAACGTGCTGCCCGCCACCCTGATCGACCTGTTGTCCTCGAGCTGCTCGTACGTCGCCGTGTTCAAGTCTAAGTACCCTCCAGGCCCGTGCAGAATATCCGGCCGCGTCTTCTCGTACATCGTGTGCGCGGCAACCGAAACCGGCGTGCACCGCGCCGACGGCGTCAGCGGCGAAATCACAAACCCGCCGTCGCGGTACACCGTCGCGATCGCGCCGTGCGACTTGGGCTCCGCGCACGTCCCGCCGCACTCCAGGATCTTGCCCATGTGCGTGAACCCCCCGAAGATCCTCTGCGTCTCGGGGGAGCCCCAGTCCTCGGCCTTCGCGCCCGAGACGTACGCGCAGTACGCGACGTAGGGGGCGGGGTCGTAGGCGCGCCCGCCGACGACGACGTCGAAGTCCGGGTTCGCGCGCATCGCGTCGACGAACGGCTCGGGCCCCATCTGCGCGACGACCCACGGCGCCGCGTCCACGTCGTCCTCGGTCAGCTGCGGCACGCACGTCCCGCAGCCGCTTACCCTGCCCGCGGCGAGCCGCTGCTTGATGACGGCCTTGTCGATGTTGGCGAAGATGCCGATGGTCTTGAGCGCGTACGCCTCGTTCCCCGCCTCGCTGGCGATCTCCTCGATCACCGCCGTGATCTCGCGCACGTGCGCGTCGACGCCGTCGCCGCCGGCCGAGCTGAAGAGCAGCGGCACGCGGAACTCGTGCACGAGCTTGACCAGTTTCCGCAGGTCGCGCGCGTACATTGTGCGTGGGGAGCCCATGATCCCCTGCGCGAGCTTGTCGGGCCCGCTGTCCGTGGAGCCGGAGTCGAGGATGATGGCGGTGGGGACCCCGGTCGGGACGAGGCGGCGCAGGGCGTCGGTCGTCTCGTCCTCGTTGAGCCCGTACCCGAGCATGCCTACGGGCGTGACGATGTGGCATAGAGGGGTCGACGCGGCATTGCCGTCGTTGGTGTCGTTGCTGGTTATTAGTGGCATTTTTTCTATTATTTACCTAGGTACTACTAGGTGGGTTATTCTCAAGATAAGTGAAAAGGGGGGGTGGGGATTGGCTGAGGTGATTTAGAGATGACTTCTAAGACTTGATGTACGAGACTCTATTGGAATATGAAATCTGAGCAAGCAATGGAGATGGCTCGTTCTTTATATTCTTTATAGAAACCCCTAGGTAGACAGGTTCTGATCAGTTTCCCCATACGTCGGACTTATAGCTGGAAAAAGAAAAGGTATTCCATCGTGGCCACATCCGAACCTCGCATTTCGCACCTTGCAACTACCATCCTGCGCACACTAGTACTGGGCCTTTGCGGTCAGCGGCGGCGGGAAAAGACGCTGTTTGCTACGCTATGGTTAGAGGCCGACTTGGCCGATATTCGCGTCTGAGCCGATGTTCGCTCCGGAATGCCGTACTTCGCTTTGCGGCAGAACAGCACCGCATGACTTTTTGCATACATAGTTTCTTATAGCTCAGGTGAACATGTATTTTGGGTGATTATACAATTTTGAAGTGAGGGATTCTTGGATATACATGAAACATAGGTGTCCATTCAGTATCAACTTGACCGTAGGTAGTCCTGTCTCTGCCTACGTGAAGTTGCCCAGGTAAGTATCTGGTATTATTTAAAAGTAAAGAATATTACATTCAGATAGTTATACCTAGATACAATAGTTCCACCTGCTTAGTGTTATCCTTACAAATAGGACAAGGGGCGAGCGGTTGGTTATCTAAAACCAGCCGTCCAGGCCTTTTGTTCGATACGTCTTCCATCTTGCATGAGGCTAACAACTCAACGACTTAGCAGCCTAACCTACATATGTAGCTGTGCCTGCAGGTACGCATGTAATAAGTCCTCGGCGATGGAATATCACCAATATAAGCTTCTTCCTCCCGCAGATCTGCGAAAGTCGGCCCCGCAAAGCTTCATCGCGGAGTCGGACTTCATCCAATATTCCGATGTTATTGCCACTGGAGAACTTACAGTAGCAATGAGTTTATTACCGTATGTAGATCACTACCTTAGGTAGGTATCAGGTTTCTGGGGTAATGACTGCATGTTGACCTCAAGGTATCATGACATCATATTTCTTGAGTTGTTATTGTAACGGAGGGTGGCACGAGAGTTGGGGCTTAGAAGATTCCAGTGATAGCTTGGTTATCCTGGAGTGCTCCTTGCCAGCTGTAGTCAGCTAAAAAAAAACGTCTTTCATTGAAGCGATCTACCGAGGCACTTTGATATTGCCCAAGTTTCGACGGGCATGAAGTCGGGCTTCGTCTTTCACCGTAGTAGGTACCCCTCGACAATCAACCAGGAATTCTGCGAGTTATGCCGGCAACACTTCCACTTCCGGAATCTCCGTTAAGTGGCAGCCTAGTCTTATGGACACGGAAATTTGCAGGAAGTCCTCAGGCGTGCTTTATACTGCTATGCCTTCTGCAGGCTCGTACGATGCGATGAAGTTTATAGTATCTGCCGCCCTATACAACACGGCCACTTGGTATGAGTTCATGTGCGATCAAGCAAGGATTGCTTGATCAAGGACCTTGAATTAAAGCTGAAGGGCATGGTTTACACACCGCAGTTTGGGGTGTTCGCTGTAGAAGGTATCACGGATTTGAGGCGACCCTCCGAAATATATCCACGGATGCTTAATGTATGTCAGGGGAATCAGTATCAACGTTTACTTCGCTCCGCTCTACTGCGACAGATATAAAGATGATGGACCTCCCACCTACCTATCCTTATTGCAGCCCATGAAATTGACCATACTCAATCAACCTGCGCTTAAACACGGTGTTATGCTTAAGATGATCCAAAGGTCTCTCCAAGATGCGGCAACAATGTAAGGGAGCTAGGATATCAATATAATTTGGTTGACGTATTGTGTATAGTGCAAGATAACGGCGAAGTGGAATTAGGAACATTGCATTCATGTGCTGCAACGCTACCGTCACCATTACTGTGGCCTTAGCCCTCATAGTATTCGAGGGCTACTTGGACCATGACTGCTGTAGCTTAGTGGTTGGTGAATCTAGGCCTTTGGTGCCCAAGGAAAGGCCTTGTGAGGTCTATATCGGATTTGAGGGTGGTAGAATAGGAGCCTACTCGACTAGAAAGTTGGTGGGCGTCAAAGAGGCTGGTGTCTCTGGAAGTATATTCCCCTTAAACGTCCGTTAGATTACGGCCCCCAGGAGTTACTGTTTCGTTGTTGGACCATCAATTGCCAACCAATAAATCCAGGTTACATTGACTGCAGTACAGGTATCGATTGTCCACGGATCTTCAGCAGAGGACATGTTGACCTCGGCCCGAAAGAGACCTGTGCCGAACTTGGTTTTTGATCATAGTAGACGGGACTCCAGCGTGTCAGAGGAAAAAAAAATACACGCTCTTCCTGGGATCATTGACGAGCTTAGTAGGGGATAGGCAGATGAGGGTGGGTTCAGCCTTTGGAAGAGCCGATTGATGGAGGACCTATGTTGGAATACCAGCGCATGATGCTTGTTCACTACCCTAACGAGGTTGTCTCATGGGAGTTATGGTCCTGAATGTCTTTGGCCTGTTGAGTCGGAACGAATGTCGAGCATGTCGAAAGGATTGACGCTGTTGCGGACGGCATCTCAGGTGGTGCAATCCATCTAACCTGCTGAGCTATGACGAGCTCTCATTATGAAAGAGACCTTGGGTTTGACAGCGACAAGCTGAAGGGGAAACAGGGAGGTTATCTCTACACTGGAGTAGCCAGATGGATAAACCTGGCTTCGCTCAGCCGTGAATAGCACACAAGTATGGCCATGGTTGAGTTGGGAAACGTGGTTTTCAGCGAGTCGGCTTGGTTGAGGAAGATTCACACGAGCCCGGGTTTGACTGTCGTACTAACACGGTTTACCTGTAGCATATCAATAGTCGGTATTGTTTGGCATACATCTAATACTTTCATATTGTTGCAAGGTAACGTTCTTCTCTGTCGTTTACGCAGAGTAGGAGAAGTTGTGCAAAGAGAAAAAGTAGAAGTCAACTAGAATTCAACTACGAGAATGCACTCATAATGGGTCTGGCTTGATGAGAATGCAGCTGATGATGACTGCAATGCCTGCACCTGGGGGAAAGAGGTTGGTGGAAAATGCATTCAAGTTGTCAAAATAAGGAGAAGATCTATTTACACCTACTAATATGCTTAAATACAATTTACGGAACGTCGTTTATCCCTCCTGGTGTAACCTGCATTCTCTCCAAGGAGAAGGTGTAGCCTGATTGATTTATATTGGTACATACCGTCACTTGAGCCACCTAGGGTACCTTAGGTAAGGGCATCATATTGATTACAGCATAACATTTGTTGCGATACTACCTAGTACATTCTCTATACCGTGATAGACCAATCCCAAGAAAAATACTATGCATTACTGAATCCATCACCACCTGAAACTACTTCGTGATCGGTGAGTATGTAATGACTAGCAATATTTCCACGCAACAAAAACACTCAAGACAATTCCTCCCAAACCACGTGACTATTCACAAAACGACAATCCATGGGTTCAAATAAAGTAAAGGGGGGGATCAACACATTGGATGAAATTGATGGATTCATTAGGCACTTTATAATTTGATTGGCTATTAAAGGTTTCCATCGAAACCTAATGCCTTAAATAGACATGCAATTTGCCTCCTCCCATTGACGGATGACTCATGCCAGAGCCAAGATTAAGAGGCTATCCTAACGTTCGCTAGTAGGTAGGTTCTATGTATGTATGAAGTAATAAGGGGTAGATCCGAACGAACATCTTTCGGATGGATCTGGGAGAGCACCAGATGTCACATGCAACACTATGAACACTTATTGCAATTGTCTCGCGCGCATTGGCTCAGCGAGTCCGCTATGGTTCTTCTGTGGTTACACGTGTGTTCGCGCGCCTAGGTAGTAGTCTAACCTAGTGTAGTGCGCTTTTTGATGGTACATATGCATGCAAGTGTCTACATTTGTCTCAGGGTACCCATCTATTGGACCCTATCATGTTAGGGCTGAAGGAGCGACGGGGGGGTATCGGCGGCTGACGTTTCAAGCTTGTTTGCCGGAGCCAAGGCAGGTATGCACTGCATGATAGATGCCTTGACGGACAACACTCTTAGCCCTAAACACATCATCGCCTGTCATAGGTCCAAGTAGTTTAGAGGGTCATGGTGCATCAAACTCAACTCAACTCATCGGCATCATCGTCAGGAAATAATGCACACCGTCAGTTTCTAGGATCCTCTTCATCTTCAGGCAGTTCTTCTCCTGCCTCCAAAGCCTTTTGTCTCTTCCAAGCCTGTCGTTCCTTCTTCTTATCTAGCAGCTTGTTCAGCGTTTTGGCAGTATTGAATACTCCTCCCGTACCCGCGCTGCAGGCAGCACAGCTCGGATCTTTCCGGTACCTTTGTAGAGCACAAGGTAGGCAGAAATAATGTTGACATCTGGTCACTATAGGCTCCTTGTACGGGCCCTTGCATATGATGCAGGCGAACGGAATCTTCTCTAGCAGAGCTTCTTCGGCCGGATCCATGCCATCATCGTCGGCATTTCCATCGCGGTTCGCGCTAGCAACCACTTTCCCTCCGACGTTCTTCTTGCCCTTGGTGACATTCTCCCATTCTCGGTCTAGTTGCCAGCCTTGCTTGTAATCCTCACGAGCATGTAAAAACTTGCAGTTATCGCCGAAGCCGCAGAAGCCCGTTTGCTTATAATCTTTGCACACGTCGGGCGCGAAGTCGGTGACCGTGATGGTTCTGATGTTGGTCGCGGCTTTGATGGGCCCGACCGTCCGATTCGGTGCATTCGGATTTCTCTGTATGTATTTCGCCTGATTCGCTAGGCCTTTGTAGGTACCATCGGGTTGTCGCGTGACTTCTGGTGTGTCATTTGATTTGGGGAGTGGCCGTGTCTTGCCTAACAAATTCGCGTCTTCATCGAACCAGTTGGTTTGCTTAGTGGCGTCGTTTGTGCTGGTAATAGGTACGCTACGGTCGGCCTCGAAGATAGTGGCGCCGTGATCTTGTTTGGTACGTGCTGCGTTGTCTTTAGATGAAGCTGTCACGACGGCTGTGTTCTTCTTGCGCCGCTTGACTCGTTGTCCTGCCTCATCCTCAGATGAGGTATAGTCATCGTCATCGCTATCGGAATTGGCAGGAGGAGGTGTTGCTGGACGTTTCCTAATATTTGCCTTGCCTTTCGCGCCTCGTTTCTTGAAGATGGCTACTGGAGCGATGGGAGCATCTGTCGCAGCAGCAACAGTAGTGCTTGGAGGATCCCCGTCGGCCATTCCGTAGGGAAGGGGAATGTCGGGGAATGCTGCTTCTTATTTTCTAGCTACCTAAATAGGTACTGATTTGGTTCAGTCGGGATGAAGCGGATTAATTTGAATGCTGTTTTTCTCGTTGATTTGCGTCGGAACTAGAACCTTGAATCTTGATGAAATGTTTCAAGGTTTCTAATTAAACAAGAAGTTTCGATTTCTAGAAATTCAATCCAAACATTCTAGAATTGCATAACCGTAATATTACTAATATAATAAGGCCAAGCTAGGCTTAGCGTATTGGAGCTGTCCGACTTTTATGGGGAGAGCTTGTCGGCTTATATGAGTTGACGCTAGTCCTTAATAACATTAGATTACTTTTCAGATCTGTAGTGCAACTACTGTTTGTATGTACTACTCTGGGTATGTATCATATAACTTAAATGTTGTAATTACAGTGTGACCGAAACTCACGCTGAAGAATTGCTTTTTTCTCTTTTCTTAATTCAGCCTTGCATCTATTGTTCTTGGTATCGGGAGTTAAGATTGACAAGGGGGTCAATTAGAGGCTGGTAATGGTGGATAGTATTTTTAAATTTGGTTCTTGACAAGTACTTTATGCGTAACGTTCATGGATAATGATTGGCTATTTGTGACTCTTCGTTACCCCATCGTCCCATATTGTTTATGTTTATGCATCTAAACAATAGAATGATAGCTCGCATATGTACATATTATTAATTTAGGGCAGCAAATATCTACTATTAAGTACCTACCCTACCTATATACATGGAATCCCTGGTGCAGCTCAAAAAAATCCCAATCGTTCAACTCCACAATTCGTCACTGGCATCCACTAACGCCAATTCTATTGTTTAATTCAGATTTCCCGTCTCTTTTTCTATCCTCAAACAATTGTTCAACATCTTACTGTTGACCTTCCCACCCCTCCCTCTTGTTTCTTCCCGCCTCCCTTCTTCCCCCTTCCGAGCCCCGTCCCATTCCCGTTCCCGTTCCTGTTCCTATTATTTGTGAGACAAGCCAGGTCAATTCCCAGGTTTCCAAATACTCTGGATCTAGATCGTATCGTTGGGCTCATTGTTTCTTTTTCACGCAGGACGCGTTTCTGTCGTCAACATCGTATAGTATCCTATTACATGCGAAGTCCCTGCATTTCCTAACCTACATACACTCATTTGATCACTCGTTTCGTCACTCATTCATTTGATAATATATTTTTTTTATTCCCCCTCCCACACACATACATAGCAATTGTCATCTTTTTTTTCTTCCGTCCCCCCCCTTTCCCAAAAACTAAGACAAAATACCGGCGACAACTTGGTTTCTTCTTCTTTCCTGCAAGGACTTTGGCTTTTTTTTGTCCGTATTAATTGTTAATACCGTACGCTCTTTGTCTTCCTAATTGTCTCTGCTCTGGTCGGACGTTGGCGCGTTTACTTGTTTTTCGACAATTACCTTCAAACCAATTCGCTACTACGTAACGTTTGATTCGAATCAATACCTCCTACCTCGTCTGATCCTCTAAATACTACATACTGCCTAAGAGGTACCATTCTAGGTACCTAAAAGATAAATCGTTGGGTACATTGATGTATTGACAACATTGATCGGCCTATGGAATTCGAGCTACATAGGTACTTGCAGCTGTGCTAGGTAAATTGGGAATTACTTGTTGTATTTTCCTGTACGAGTGCCTACATCACGCGTATCTCCTGTGCAACCGTCGACTTGTTTAGACCGTTATTTGGCGCGTTGTGTACCATCACTACCGCATTTCTTCCTACATATCAGCAATTTTTTGTCGACCGCGCACTGTATCAACCTGTCAAACTCTAGCGCGATCTCGCCGTTGGAATTGATCCAGTTACAATTCCTCCGCCAAGTTGCTGAGCTAAAGTGCTGAGAATTCCAGTGCATTCGAATTGAGCTGAGACCCTGATTAAGGAGAAAAGAGAGCCAGAGAGAAAAACATCACATCACCGAGGCATTCATTTCGATTGACAACGAAATTACGGAAACTGGCCAATTAATTGATTTTCGGATTTTCGGATTTTCGGGTCATTTTCTACTTCTCTGACCATCATCCAACTCATCCATCAGTGTCAACGTCACCGTTGGGCATTGTCCAAAGTAATCCACACCATTTGAATCCTTATTGGTGTGCGTTTTGCATGCTGGGCCTGCTCACTGCCACTCAATCGGTCCAGACTAACTAGGCCATTTCTCTTTGGTGGTTGAACCAGGGGCAACAACTGCAAGCCTTACTTTAGCAACGGCCACGTCAAGAAAAAAAAAATCATAATCATCATCCAAGCGACTGACCAAATTTCCTGTGCTTTATCACCTGCGCGTCCTTCGCGTCTTTATTAGGCTGCATGCCGCAAACCTAATCCAAGGGGGAAATTGCCTTCTCCTTGGATTTTTGACAATCACCACCCCGCCACCGCTATGGCTTCCCTTCGTGCTAGCGGCGGTAGGTCGTCGCCTGCTCCTGTCATGTCCAATGCTTTGACTGGCCCTGTAGAGCCACAACAGGATCCTTTCAACGCGGCAGTCGCGTCTCCACCGAATGCCAGCCATCAACGATTTTCCAACTTTGACTCCCAGATCTCCGCACTCGGTCCCAATGCTTCACCCGCACAGGCAAAACGAGCCTTGGAGGCACATCTTGCCGAAACAGATCGACGGATGGAGGAAGCAGGAAAACTAGGTACTGCTTTAGTTCAGCAACGCAAGGACCTGAGTGAACGGTTAAAAGAGGTTGAAAAGATGCAAACTGAGGGACAACTCTCAGATGATCTTCGCCAAAAGCTGGTTGAAATTGAAAAGGATTATAATGAAGTCGCTAGAGAGAGTGCACGAGCGTTTTTGCCAAAGCAGAGAGTTCCTAGTAATGAAGCTAGTGCTGGATCGCCCTTTGTGCCGGAAGGCAAGGGCGGCAGGGTAAGTCTTGAGCATCTTTGCGATGGATTCCGACAATCAAATCCCACATGCTAACTCTTATCACCACGTAGCGCTCCGTGAGCCCTTCTAAGTTCGAGGCCCAGGCAACCGGATCTCCAACTAAGTTTAGTGTGCCCAACCGCAAAGTACGGAATCAGCCGTCGAACCGAATACACGACATCGAATTCGCTGCCGAGATTAGTACATCCTTAATTGCCCAAGTCCGCAACTTGCAAGGCTTGCTAGCTGAGAAGGAGGAAGAGCTGAAGGATATCAAAGCTGAGAGGTCTAAACTCGAATACGAAACCGAAGGCTTCCAACAACGAGTAAAGGCCTTAGACGAGAGTGAGCATCGCTACAAGGATGAGAATTGGAACTTGGAGACTCAAATTCATGATCTCCTGGCCAAGGAACGAGAGGCTGCAGATCGCGAAAAGAAGCTTACCCAGGCTTTCAATATTCTCCAGGCTGAAAGGAATGCGGTACAAAGGGAATTGGACGAGGCCAAGTTAAGCCTGTCTAAGCTCAGTGAGGAAGTTGCCGCAGCCAATAAGCAACATGACATAGAGCTTGGTACCGCGAAGCGAAATATTGTCATAGCGGATTCTGAGCGCTCCGCGCTGCGGAAAAAGATCGATGATCTTACCGGCCAGAACCAAGAGCTCGCCAAGGCTGTTTCAGCTTCGCAGAGAGCAAAGTTCATCGAACGCGAGTCAATTCTTGGCATGAGCGAGGAAGATTTCGAGACTGCGAACGACAAATCGACACCCGATCAATCCCCACCACAGTCCCCTGTGAAAGGTACCCCACGACACTCCATGTTGGAATCAGAAACGCTAAAGACCTCTTTGGGACACGCCCAGCGTACAATTCAAGGCCTAAGAAACAACGTCCATCGTGAGAAGACGGAGAAGCTTGAGCTAAGGCGAATGCTCCAGGAAGCTCGCGATGAATTAGAGAAAGTGCGAAGCGAGCCTCCACCCCAGAGCAAGCGTGCCCGAAAAGCTGAGGCCAAGGAGCTTAAGAAGCCTCTGAGATTGCTTGGTGGCCTGCGTACTGCCCGAAGTGAAGTCTTATCAGAAGATTCCAATTGGGAAGATCAGCCTGAATCCATCAGCCCCACTCATGGCTCTATGGCGTCTCGGGGATCGAGCAAGTTCCAGTCAGTATCGGAGGAACCCTTTGAGACGGCCAACGAGACGAGCGATGCCGCGTTCGAAACAGCGAATGAGCCTGTGACCGAGACAGATGACTTCCACACAGGCGAAGAGTTCTCCAGTGACGATGCCGAAACTGAGACAGAGACGCCTTCTAGGCGGCTTACACCAAGGAATAGACCTAGCTTTACTTTCGGCCAGCGTAGCGGATCCATGGACAGCACAGCATCGACCGAAGATGATGAGTATGCCTTCAACCCTGATATAAGAACAACGCCTACAATGCTTCCTCCGCTTCAAGCAAGGTTCCCGCTCCGCGTAAGCCGCGGTGCTTTCCGCCGTTCAAGACAGCACAGCGAAGATGCGCCATTCACTAGCAGTCCACCAAGTCTCGCAAGCAGTAGCATACGGGGTACTCCGAAACAATCCTACAGCTTGGCAGCTGAGTTGGGAGATTTCGATGGCAGTGATAATGAATCAGCCCTATCTGCTACTCCTAGTCGAAGATCGCTTAGGGCTAGAACAGCGTCACCTCCGCCTGCACTTCCGCCAATGCCTAGGGCTATCATGATTGACAACGGAACAATGACAGATTCTAATGGTACCAAATCCCGTTCGTCTTCAGACGCTCATGCAGTCGAGATTGCAGCTCTGCTAGTTCAGCACGACAGGGCTTTGAGGGAAATGACGGATGAAAAGGCTGCTGAATACGCTTCCGCTTTGGAGGAGTTAAAGAGCCGGCACGCGGAACAACTTAGCAAAGCACAGGCTGAAGCTAGCTTAGCTCACTCGCAAGAACTTGAAGTCCTCAAGGCAAACCATGAAGACGCAATCAGCAAATCCATCGCCGAGGTTCACGCCACACATGCTCAGGAATTACAAGCTCTAGGATCAACTCATACCACCGAGTTAAGCACAGCTCTCTCTAACGCCCAAAGTGCCTATGCACAAGAACTGGAGGCGCTTAAGTCAAGCCACGCCGAAGAACTTAGCAAGGCTCTTGCCAACGCGAGCGCAACTCATGCACAGGAAATCGAAGAGCTTCAAACAAATTATGCCAACCAAATCACTAAGGCAGTTGCGGAAACTCAAGCAGCTCACGCCCAGGAGTTGGATGCTTTGAAGGCTGCTTTCGCTGAGCAGTTGTCGCAGCAAGAATCAGAGAACAAGGCGGCTCACGATGCTGAATTAGAAGCCCTCAAATCCTCTCATACAGAGGAGGCTTTGACAAGGGAGTCTGAGCTCAAGGCTGCACATGCCTCCGAGTTGGAAACCCTAAAGGCGAAGCATATGGAAGATGTGAACAACTCACAGAGCGAAAGCCATGCCCACCACGCATCGGAGATTGCTGCGTTAGCTGCAGCTCATGCCAGCCAGATCACTCAACTCAAGTCAGAGCTATTTAATGCCCATGCCCAACAGGTCCAAACCCTCCAAACCGAATTTGCCGAACAGCTTGATAAGACCAGACAACAATCCGGTACAACTCACTCAGAGGAGCTTAATGCATTGAAAGCAAGTCATTCGCAACAACTCGAGGAAGTGAAGAGCACCCTAGCAGCGGCACATGCTGAAGAGTTAAATTCCGTGAAGGCAGCTCATGCCAAGTATGTGGATGATCTGAAGAAGGACAACGAAGCTCAACATAGTGCGGAGATTGCTGCGCTCATTGCATCCCATAGCAAGGAGATTGAATCTGTCAAGGCTGAAGGCGAGGCTAGATTGTCTAAGGAAATTTCGGCTCTGAAGGAGCTCCACGCCCAGGAAATTGACTCGCTAAATGGCCAACATGCCGTTACTCGTGCTCAAGAGCTACAAGCCTTCAAGGCGGCTATCGACAAGCAAACCGAATCCTCTAAAGCCGAAGGTGATGCAGCACTCACCCAGCAGATCGAAGCCCTCAATGCTGCTCATGTTGAAGTTTTGGAGGCCCAAAAGCGAGACAGTGAAAAGTCGCAATCCCAGGCCATAGAATCACTCAAGGCTGCGCACGAAAGGAACGTCGAGGTCTTGAGGAATGAGAATGCCGCCGCAAGAAGCAGAGAGTTGGAAGCAGTGGTTTCCAGCCACTTGGTGGAGTTAGATGCTTTGAAACAAGAGCATGAGTCCTCTAAGTCCAAAGCGCTTGAAGAACTTCGCCAAAGCCATCTTCAAGAATTGGCTGCTTTAAGCTCGGAGCACGAGTCAGCTAAAGCCAAACTTTCCGAACAGCTCAACGAATCTCATTCTCGGGCGTTGGATAATCTTCGCCAAGAGGTCGAGTCATCCAAGGCTGCCGAGATTGCGGCCTTAGAAGCCGTCCATGCTGACAGTCTGCGTGCACTCAAGAATGAGCATGAAGTAGAAATGTCGCAGAAGCTACAGGAGCTAACCGAAGTCCACGCCGCCGAAATCGAGAAGTTGGCAGCTGAGCACGAAGCGGAATTGTCGTCGAAGTTGCAAGACTTGGCAAACATCCACTCACGAGAGTTAGACACCGTTCGACACGACGGGCATATTTCGCAATCCAATGTCGTTGCGTCGTTGACGGCTACTCATGCAAAGGAACTAGAGAGTCTGAAGCTGGAAAGCGAAACTGATCATTCACAGGCACTAGAAGAGCTTAAGATAGCCCACACAAGAGCGTTGGAAGAGTTTAAGAAGGAGCGCGATGCTGACCAGGCCCAAGCCCTAGAAGCTCTCCGTGCAAGCCACTCACAAGATTTGGCCCGATTACAGCGCGAAGCTGATGCCACACTCGAGAGAGAATTGAACACTCTCAAGGCTGACCACGCCAATGCCCTCGAGTCCTTCAAGGAGGAAAGCGCCGCAGAGAAGGAGCATCTCCTTGCTACACATGCTGCAGAGCTCGAGGCTCTTCGAAAATCGCTGGAGGACGCATTATCACCTCCTCTGGGCTTCTCCCGCATGAACTCAACCGAAACTGAGCCAGTTGAGACTCACCGTCGACCACAGACTCCAACTTCCGCCGCCCTTGGGTTGTCTGGACGAAAGGGCGACAAGGCTCGCACGATCGAAATTGCTGAGGATGATACTCGTCAATCCCCGAGCGCCATTCCTGGTCCCGAGACCCCAGAGTCGCAGCGTCCCTTCAAGGAGTTATCAACCAATACCAATGTTCGCCCTTCACAGAAACAAACGGTCCACACCTTCGACCAGAGCTCACAAACAACCCTTACCTCGGGCGAGCTTCATCGCTTACTCAACCAAGGTCATATGTCTCAAGACTCAGTCACAATTAAGACTGCTAAAGGTGAAGTCACCGTGACGCCTTTCGATGACTCTCAGGCGAGGCAAGAAGCGGGCGAATCTGGACTTGAGACCCTACCTGCTCGACGACCGGGTAGCTCATCTAGTGGTATGCCACCTTTGCCTGCCAATCACCGCGAGGCGATCGAAGCCGCGCGAACGGGCTCGTCTAGCGGTGGGAAGGGAACAATGGCACCTCCTATGGTTCCTGCATCGGCCTTCAAAGCACCAACTTCGCGGCCAGACACCCCAAGCAGCAAACGTCCCATGTCCCCTCTCTCGGCCAGAGGAACTCCAACTCCCCGAGCAGGGAAGAGTATGTTGCCTGGTCGCCTTCGCAGCAGACAATCATCCGTATCGTCATTCGCATCTGAGATCGATACGAGGTTCAACAATCGCAACGAGATGCCCTTCGAAGCTGCAGGCTTCGGTCCCAATACTGATCCTCGTATGATTCAAGCCATCACGCAGACCATGATCGGTGAATATCTGTGGAAGTACACGCGCAAGACTGGTCGTGGAGAAATGTCGGAGAACAGACACAGACGGTATTTCTGGGTGCATCCTTACACCAAGACATTATACTGGAGTGACCGTGACCCAGCTGCCGCCGGTCGATCTGAATTGAAGGCCAAAAGCATTCCTATTGAGGCCGTGCGTATAGTGGGCGACGATAACCCTATGCCGCCGGGGCTTCACCGAAAGAGTCTTGTCATCATTTCCCCCGGTCGAACGGTCAAGTTCACCTGCACAACTGGCCAACGGCATGAGACTTGGTTCAACGCACTCTCTTACCTGTTGCTGCGATCGGGTAATGAGCCCCAGGTGGACACCGAAGAGGTAGCTACCCAAATCACGCTAGAGGATGTAGACGAGTTCAATCCCTCTACCACTCGACGCCCTACGAACGGCAACCGTGCACGACCGCCGCCGTCTTTGTCCTCGTATAACTCTAGGACTACACGTGGCCACGAGTCACCTAACCCGGAGCTTTCTATGAACATTCCAACGCTCACTCCCACACGAGAGAGGGAAAGCATCCGCAGCGGTAGCACCCTGGGCACTTTGGGCAGATTAAGTGGTTACTGGAAATCGAGTACGATGAATAGTTTCAGCAGCTTAAGAAGCAGAAGTCACCTGCCCCAAGATGACGCCATTTACGAAGCCAGCGAAGTACCTGACAGCGCCGAGGATTTAAGAAAGATGATTGAGCAGCAGGACCGTGAGTCTGACAGGCTCGAGAACGTCAGAGCCTGCTGTGATGGTAAGTAGTTTTGTCCCAAGTCCCGAGTTACTGTACAACGACATATACTAACCTTTAAACAGGGAAGCATGATGTTGGGACACTATCGCACACCAAACGTGGTGGTCGTCTCAGTAGCTTGCACTCGCATACTCTTACTCACTCTCACACACATACTCATCCTGGGCCATCAACAACCCCGACTCCTTCAGGCACGACGCAAAATCGCACATGACATGATCACCTAACTTGACGTGTCATATCGTGGCAGCACCGAGGCTTTTACTATTCTAGCCAATCGCTCATTATACCACGTTCAACAGTCCGGCTTTCTCTGCTACGAAGACTCATTATGGATTCTTACGATGCCTACGACAATCGCATTTTCTTTTCTCTTTGCACGTCATTTTAATTCGAGTCCATTCGTTGGGCCTGATTCTACGGGAACCTGTCAGTCACCGTAGTTAGGATTACGATTGCATTCATTCATTGCGTTTAAAATTGTGCCAACATACCCGAAGCTATTTTTCTCGGAATCATTCTGGAGTTAGGAGAAAGGACCTAAGGACCGTTTTATACTTAGCTGGCTTTTCGGACATGGGCATTCAACATGGTACGTAGGCCACTAGGGGAAAAAAAAAATCAAGGAGTAGAATGCTCGCAAGTTGCATGACTCTAGCTACGAGAAGAGGGAACGTGGTTCCTTCATTGAGCGGAGTGCCTGTATATGAGCTGAGTTTCGCGCTACACGGTGTTGCCTTTTATCTTGAATGTTCTTGGGTGGATTGGTCAAAGGGAGGGCATTCATTGTATGTCGTTGTTATTAGAGAATTAGCAAGGGGTACAATTGTTAAATGAGATTGGTTTCTTTTTAGTCATAGTAAATACTGTCTCTCGCAGACATCGTTAATATCCTGTTGACCGCCTAGGTGGTTTATTCATCATCTCCGGGTGATGAGTAAAGTCTGAATGATGAATAGCACGTGGGCCGACGCTATACTAGGTGAAGAAGGACTTAAATCCGCGGGCTTCAGGAGATAAAGCTCACCTACCCACAAAATCTTGCCAATGACATCCAATCGGCCTTCGCTTTTCGTAGTTGCTATAACATCTCCTAATATCCGATTCGACGCCCAGCTTAAGGTCGTTACAGCCGAGCGCGAAGCAAGCGGCGCGAGTATGCATGTATGTATGAGACACCTAGAAGAGCTTAAGCCTCAATGAAATTATTAAGCACCTATTCAGGTGGCAGGTAGGTACTAGGTAGACAGCTTGTATATAAGACATAGAGGTCTGGTAACCCTCAAGAATAGAGGTAGGAATATAGAAACTCCAACCCCTTTTCAACACTATTGAGACCAATTACAAGAACATCAGGATTCACAATGGCATCTGACAAGAAAATTGTCCTAGTAACGGGTGGTAAGATAATCCTCATCTCATTCGACACTACCTACCTGGGTACCTAGTAGGTGCCTGCTTTGGATGTTTCCATAAAAACTAAAGCGTCATCACCTCACAAGGCAACACCGGCCTCGGCTACGAAACCGTCAAGGCCCTGTACCAGACCGACACCCCGTACGAGCTCATCATCGGGTGCCGCACCATCTCCAAGGGCGAAACCGCCATCGCCACCCTCCGCACCGAAGTCCCCCAATCCCCCTCCTCCCTCAGCACCCTCCACGTCGACCTCGAGTCCGACGCATCTCTCGAGAACGCCGTCGAATCCATAGCCTCCCGCTTCGCCGGCCGCCTCGACGTCCTCGTCAACAACGGCGGCGGCACCTTCGACCAGCACGTCCCCGCCGGGAACCTATCCCTCCGCGAGGCGTGGAACAAGTCCTGGGAGACCAACGTCACGGGGACGCACGTCCTTACGACGCTCGCCGTGCCCCTCCTCCTCAAGAGCGCGGACCCAAGACTCCTGTTCATCACGAGCGGGACCAGCGCGCTCAAGGGAACGGAGGATAACGTTACCCCGGCCATGCAGAGGCTTAATTTCAACCCGGAGCCCGGGTGGCCGAAGAAGGAGCTGGGGCTGTCGTCGTACCCGGCGTATAGGGCGGCGAAGACGGGGCTGAATATGGTGATGCGGGAGTGGAATCGCTTGTTGATGAGGGATGGGGTTAAGGTGTGGGCGGTTTCGCCGGGGTTTCTGGCGACGGGGCTGACGGGGGTGGGGAGGGGAGAGATGCTGCTGGTAGGTTTCTTTTTTCTTCCTCTTTTTTTTTTATTTTTTTTTTTTGTGGGTGATATGGATGCTTACCTACTTACCTATCTATGCCCACCATTCTTCACTGCATGTGGTGATAGGAATGGTATCTGTATTAGTTTGTCGAGATGATGAAAGACCTTGAATGCTAATATCTTGATTTCTACAGAAAGGAGCTAGAGATCCAGCAACCGGAGGACAGTTCGTCAAAGATGTCATTCAGGGGAAACGGGATGAGGATGTTGGACTGGTGGTTGGCCCGGGTCGTGTGCAGCCTTGGTGAATGGGGCAATGAAGGCGTTGGAACTTACCTAGATACCTAAGCATCCAGACCCCTGGGCTGGCCCCCCGTGTTGTTGTACAACACATTTGATTATTACGGGTAATGATTACAAGATGCATGACTCCTAAGTAGTTCAAAAGTTGAGAAAGCTGTTGTAATTAGGGTTCTTTACCTAAAAATAGGTCAACGGCGATCCAATTTACAAAGTCATCTATTCAACCCACGAGAGCGTTTGACGTTTACAATTTGTCTGCATCGTCCCTGGTCTACGATACTCGGTGGCGCGGGCCAGACGCGTAATCAAACATGCTACATACTAGATTGCGGCAAAACTCATGTGTATATATATTTACCTCTACCTAATTCAAGGCTGGCAATATCCAGGTGAATGAAGACATCTACTAAATAAAGCCTAGAACTGTCAGTTAATGTAAATAAACATCTCACAGCCGCCGATCCTAACCGCCGCGAATATATCAAGCGGCTAGCAATGCAAGGTTAGTATTTGACATTATATACCTAACCTAGGTCATACTTGGACCCCTATTCCTTTCCCCAGCTTCTCCGCAAAATGATGTTGCAGTTCCTTATTAACCGAACATCCGCGTTCCCAATTTGGGTCAGGGCCTAACCCGTGGTCAATTTACCGGCTAGCAAGATTAGCCATAAGAGATGGATAAGTGAAAGGGAACATTCGGGAGAATGGCAGTGGCCACATGGAATGAATGGGGACCGCGAGGATAGTTGGCGAGGGCGAGAAGATGTTATATACCTATATATATCCCTTGGAACTCGCCCACCGGACTTCACAGGGAGTTTTGTAGAAGAGAAGAAAATAGTTGCAACTTACACGCCAAGGGAGAGATAAAGAAAAGAAAAGAAAAAGGAAAAATGAAGGTCCTCGCAACACTGTCAACTCTGGTTGCGCTTGGCAGCTGCCAAGGCATCACCAAAGTCGGTGACTTCACCGGCGGTCCCACGAACCTAGGCATGTACGTCTACGTGCCGAAGACCCTCAAGACGCCGGCGCCCATCATCGTCGGAGTGCACCACTGCCAAGGGTCCGCTCAGGGATACTCCACCGAGACTCACTACCAGCCGTTGGCCGACACCCACGGCTTCATCCTCATCTACCCCAACTCCAAGTCTGGCGGCGGCTGCTTCGATGTTGCTTCTGAGGCTAGTATGTGTTGTCCCTTCTTAAGTCCACCATATCCTAGGTGATGTCCAAACAGTAACCTACAAACAAACCAATTACTAACCTTGTATCTTCGCAGCTCTCAAACATAACGGCGGCGGCGACAGCCAGACCATCGCCAACATGGTAAAATACGCCATCGACAAGTACGGCGGCGACCCAGAGCGCGTGTTCACGACGGGCACCTCCTCGGGCGCAATGATGACCAACGTGCTCGTCGGCGCCTACCCGGACGTCTTCAAGGCCGGCTCCGTCTACTCCGGCGTCCCCGACGGCTGCTTCGCCGTGCCCGGGTCCACCGCCACCCAGGACCCGCCCGGATGGAACAACCAGTGCGCGAACGGGCAGAGCACGAAGACGGCTGCGCAGTGGGGAGACCTCACGCGCTCGTACTTCCCTGACTACACGGGCCCGAGGCCCAGGATGCAGATTTGGCACGGCACGGCGGACGGCACGCTGCGGTACCCTAACTGTGAGTTCCCCCTTACCCAACCCCCTATTATTATAGGTAACGCGAAGTTGCATGTGTACTAATCGGTCTTGGTAAACCAGACCAGGAACAGATGAAGCAATGGTCCAACGTGCTCAACCTGACCACGTCCAAGGACACGCCCAACACGCCGCAGAGCGGGTACACGCAGACGATCTACGGCGAGGGCGACGCCACCACCGCGCAGCTCGTGGGCTACAGCGCCAACGGCGTCGGCCACAGCGTGCCGGTGCACGAGGATGTCGATCTGAAGTTCTTTGGCATTGCGTAAGTGATTAACTAGGTAGACTCCTAGGTGCTTATCTGAGATCAGAGGCATTGCAAAAAATAGTCGGAAAAGGGGAAGAAATAAGATGGCTGGCATGTTTTTAGTATCTGTTCTCAGGAATTAGGTAGTGTAATGAGACATCGCTTTGCTGTATGAATTGCTTCGTTTGCACGTAACTTAGGTAAACAACTCTTGTTCCAAGAACGTGTAGATTCGTATACGGATTTCCGATCTCTACCTTCCAAGTCGTTAAGTACCCAGCCTACCTCTACCCCTATCCAGAGATAGGGGGTATGCACTTACTTTACCGACCTAGGTGACTTAAACACCTAGCTCAGCCCCTCCTCCTTCATCCTCAGTATCGACTCCACCGTATCCAGCACACACTTCTCGAGCCCAATATACTCCAACCCCAGCACCTCCCTGCTCCTGCTATTGTCAAACATAAACCCCTTCCCCCCATTCTCCTCCGTCGGGAAATCGTCCTCCCCGTCCGCCGGCGGCAGCAACGCCAGCTCCGGATGCGCGCTCCTCACCACGTCCGCGATCCGCTGGTTGCTCAGATGGCCGCCCACGACGTAGAAGCGCTTCCCGGCCGCCTCGGGGACGGTCAGCGCGCGCAGGTGCGAGAGCGCGACGTCCCGCACGTCGACGAAGGTGAAGACGGGGGGCTGGGTGGGGGGCAGGCCGGAGGCGTAGCGGCCGAGCACGATGTCCCGGATCCGGTGGTTGGATGTGTTCATGGACGAGAGGCTGGGGAGGCGGCGCTGCAGGGGCCCGAAGGTGAAGGTGCAGTTTATGACGACGAGGGAGAAGGGGGGGTGCTGGGTGGCCATGAAGGTCCAGGCGCCTTTTTCGGAGAGGGTCTGTGGGCGGTGTTAACAGGAAACCATGTCGTGGTAGATAGGTATGAGTGGGTTTGGTAGGTAGGCTGCTTACCTTGCTGACTACGTACGCCCGCGAGGGGTCCTGCGCATCCTCCCACGTCCAGGGCGCCCAGCACGTCTCGTCGTAGACCTTGGCGTGGTTTAGGGGGTTGATGATGGCGGCGCTGGACGACGTGATCACGACGCGCTTCACATTGGGGGCGTAAGTCTTGATGGACTGGAGCAGCCCTATCGTCCCCTTTATGGCGGGATCCAGGAACTCCTTGATGGGGTCTTGCACGTCGAGGTGATATGGCGATGCTGTGTGGATTACATAGTCGATGGTAGGGTCGCTGGTTAAGAGCTGTTGTATGTATAGTGTTAGAACTACAATCTAGGAATATCTGATTTTCTTGAGACAGATTGCGTGAGCTTACAGTATCGAAAGCACCCTCTTTGGCAACGTCCTCTACGATAGCGAAGGAAATGTTGGACTGCTGAGCGGGCTTGGCAGATTCTATTATTCTCCGGCCCTTCTCTTCTGATCTTGCTGTCGTAATAACTTCAAATCTATGATACAGCAATGTGTTAGTAGGTGTGACGTCAAATAACAATTGGGATAGAGGATTTGATGTTCTTCATCTAAAAGTTATTTTATTTGACTATAAGAAAGTTGAAGAGAGAGAGGAAAGGAACATCCGTCAGGATGTTCCTGCCTTTATATAGTTTTCTATGGTGGATACTTCAAATGGTGCCTGAGGCTCAAGAAGCAGGTGCGATCTTGGAGGCTCCAAGGATCGTATCCACCATGACAGTAGGCTCCAAATATGGTCAAAGGGGTAAGTAGACAGATGGTACAACTTACCCATAATCTAACAGTGAGTCGATGATATGTGACGCAATAAACCCGCTCCCTCCTATACGATAGAAGTACCTGTCAGTATATTATAAACCTCCGGATTTAAATCGAGGTAGCTCGTTTACCTGTTACCAGGACTTTTCCCTTCGACGCGCCAGTATAACTTCCCATCTTTATTAAGTTGGCCTTATACTTATTAAGATCGTGCCTCAATTGCAAAAAGAAAGTAGTTCTTCTCTAAAGAATCTTACGCGAGATCTGGGGATACCTAGGTATACATAAGACAGGCCAGGGCACGAATAGGTAAGCAAGCAGGGCGGGTACTCGCCTTTTGGACGGACGCCATTCCTGCCGTCCTCCCATCCCCATCCTCCCACCCACCAAAAAAAGGAAAAAAACAACCGTCGGTGTTCCGATACACCTACGCAACTACCCCAACCTGAGGCCGATGAGGGCGACACACCACACATGGCACACATGTTTAACAACGCACGAGCGCATGAGCGAGGCGTTACTAGTAGGCGTCACACCGCACTCGCTAATGCGGCGACTACATAATATGCAGCACCGCATTGGAGGTGCAGTCGTGCCTGGAAACGCGCAACGTGGGATAAGCCGGGAAGCGCCGTCTGAGGGACTTTTTACTGAATTGATTGTTTCAGCTATGTCGTGAATATATTTATACCACGACGGCTCATTTTACCCCTTCCGAAACATACATCTTCGACTTGTTCTCGAACTTTGGCTAACGTGTCTGTGCTTCGTAGCCTACTAGGCACCTAGTACTGCACTTCCACATACCTCAAGACACTCCCCGAGTAGGCAACCTACCTCCCGCCACAATGCCCTCCTCCACAATGCCCTCACCCCCCAAACCCCCCATCCACGTCGCCATAATCGGCGGCGGCATAACCGGCGTGATCCTCGCCCTCGGGCTCCAGCACCGCAACATCCCCTTCACCCTCTACGAGCGCCTGCCCGCCCTGACCGAGCTCGGCGCCGGCATCGGGTTCAGTCCCAACGCGGAGCGCGCGCTGGCGCTGGTCGACCCCGAGGTGCACCGCGTGTACAAGCGCGTGGCGCCGACGCGGGCGGGCGGGCTGATGGAGTACTTTCAGTGGGCCGACGGGCACGGGTCGAACGAGGTGGTGGCAAGGCTGGCGATCGGGGTCGATGCGTTTCAGGGGGGCAGGAGGGCGGATTTTGTGGAGGCGTGGGCGGCGCTGGTGGAGGGGGGGAGGGTGAGGTTTGGGATGGAGCTGGTGGATTGCAGGATGAAGGAAGGGGGGGACGGGAGAGTGGTGATGAGGTTTGCGGATGGGGAGGAGGAGGAGGCTGATGTTGGTAGGTGATGCTTGATTTCCTTCCTAAAAAGAGAAAAAGAAAAGCAAGAAAAACAACAAAGCTGACAATACTACCCTCCCCAAAAGTCATCGGCTGCGACGGCATCCACTCCCTAACCCGGCGCCTCATCCTCGGCCCCTCATCCCCCTCCTCCCGACCCTCCTACACCGGGAAATACTGCTACCGCTCCCTCGTCCCCATGGCGCACGCCACCGCCCTCCTCGGCCCCGCGCGCACCACCTCGCGCTCCAAGTCCCTCAACCGCTTCCTGTACCTCGGCCCCGACGCGCACGTCGTCACCTACCCCGTCGCGCGCGACCAATTCCTAAACGTCCTGCTCGTTGTCACCGACCCGGATCCGACGTGGCGTGGGGGGAAGGGGGAGGGGGAGGGGAAGGAGCGGCACCACACGGCGCCGGGCGACAAGGAGGACGCGCTGCGCGCGGTCGAGGGGTGGAACCCGGCGATCAGGGCGCTGGTCGGCCTGCTGCCCGACGCGCTGCAGAAGTGGGCCATCTTCGACATGCACGAACACCCGGCGCCGCGGTACTACGGGCTGGATCAGGAGGGGGGAGGTGGTTGTGGTTGTGGTAGCCTGCTGGCGGTGGCCGGAGACGCGGCGCACGCTGCGGGCCCGCATCTAGGGTCTGGCGCGGGTTTCGGGGTCGAGGATGCGCTGGTGTTGGCGGAGCTGCTGGAGGCGGTTGGGGAGAAACTACAACTACTCCAGCAGGACGAGGGAGAGGGGGGGAAGGAGAAGAAGAAGAAAGCGGACCTGTGTCGCGCGGCGCTGGTCGCGTACAACAATGTGCGCTACGAGCGCACGCAGTGGCTCCCGGGCGCGACGCGGGCGGTGTGCGCGTTGTTCCATGGGCAGAACGAGGCGGTCCGGCGCGATGATTGGGATACGGTGATGCAGGAGACGAGCAAGCGGTTTCACACGATTTGGGATTATGATGTTGGGGAGATGGTGGAGGAGGCGCGGAGGGAGTTTGAGAAGGTGGTGGGTGCTTGATCTGCTGTACCTACCTATCTGTCTATGTAGGTAGGTGGTTTGGTAGGTCGGGTGCCTACATGGACAGTGGTAAAATTGGTAATTGGTATACATAACGAAAGGGGTATTCCTGGTGTATGGTACTAGCCAGGCCTGCGAAATAGCACATATAAATGCCTAACCTAGGTACATAGCTGGTGAGCATACTATCGATCACATTCCTCACACCTGCCAAGCAGATACGTTCGACTGGGCAGTTCAAGATGTACACCCAAAGTAAAATAATGATTGGATTTATTATGCCTATGACCGAATCTCCATCCGTGATTCCCACCTAGGTACCTTATTGTGTACTGGTAACCTAGTAGCCTTTGGTAACTCGTACAGATAGCTTACATGGACGCCTTCCCATCCAGAGCCCCCGTTTTTAAATTCCGCTCCCCAAAAACCCAGTTCATCGTATCGTAAAACCATAATTGGTAGGTATTAAGTAATTGTTGGGTATCTTGAAGTCGCTGAAATGGTAAAATGATATGATAGATAGTGAAAATTTGGTTGATAATACCGATATCAACCTTCTCGGTATGGTGTAGGTAGATGCAGGTATACTTGGCGTGTGCGTGCGAGGTGAAGGTGGCGGTGTATGTTAGCTTAGCTTCGGACGTATATACACATAGCTAGGTAGCAAATTTATGTAGATAGATGAGTGGATGTATTTTCCCTAGTAATCCTAGAGATGTGGTGGCAAGGTAATGGGAGCTGATGAAGATCTCCTCCTTATCCACCTGGTAGGTATATGATCCTGTAAAGAGTACCGATGTATCTTTATATAGGGAGCTGTTGGCTTTGATAAATCGCTGTTAAGCATGGGTAAGTTAGAACACCGCGTTTTATGCTGACTACTGGGCAGTCAAGATCTGTCGATGTTGCGTCGCGCATATTCTGAATGGGCGAGATAATTATATGAATGCGTTCTGTAATGTCAGACTGTCCTATTCGAGCTGGAGGATGTATGAGGTAGGTATATCTTATAGTAGCACATCTGGTGCTGTTTATATCACGAGTTGCCATGAGATCTGATATCGTTCATCAACCAGGATACGAATTAAGAGTTGACGAATAAGAAGTGGATATGGTGGATATTCGATCGTGATGCGGCGTCAATGCGGCATGGGGATGGGCGGGACCATCTTGAGCTTCTGGCGTGGGCGACGTAAGGGCGATTTCCTCATCTATCTTCATCCAAGACTCTCTTTGGGTGCGAGTTGCCCGACTCAGAGGTTCGCTAGAAGCAGTATTTTGTCTGGGGGTGCTTCTCTGTCCAGATCTCCTCCGCCGCGCGACTCGGACAGATCCGTAGATGGTGGGCGCGTTGGCGACAAAACATGAGACCAAGATCTGCACCGATGCCCAGACACTGCGGGTCGTTTGGGAAGAGTCTTCGTTGAAAATCAATACACCCCGCAACACGGTGACAACGATGCAAAAGGTACCTAATGCGAATAGCGTATACAAAGAGATGTATTCTGACACAGTCCGCTTCCTTAGGCAAATCAATGGGTATGCGATGGCGAGCAGTAGTAAATCGAGGACCATGTTGGCGATGGTCTGAAGCAGCAATTGAACGTAAGCTCGCACACAATATCCCGGGTCTGGGTCAACCTGCCAGTACAAGTTTATGGGACGGCATTCGAGGAACGTCGCTAGTACAATGGCGATGAATGTGAGGCCAGTAGTAGCCCAAGCTACACTGGTAAGACGACCGGCCCAAGTGATACCGGACGTGATTCGCGAGTAGAAAAGTAGCAAAAGGCTTATTTGAAGCCAAAGAGCGGCTGTGAGCAGGACCCTAGCGACGAGGACTAATATACTGCCTATTTTTAGGCGATGCGCGTCGTAGTGGCCGGTGTATAGTGTATTATGGAGAGCGTCGTTCGCGGTTCCAAAATTCAGATAAAAGTTATTGCAGATGACCCTACCAATGATCACCAGCATTGACAGCAAGACGAGAAAGAAACTGCGGTCGATAGGTTCGCGGCGCCATCGAGAAGTGAGTAGCCTAATGGCCAAGATGACGATAGACAACGCTGCGTTTGCGTAGCCGATGCGCTGGGCTTCATGAGGATCGTAGGACATTGTAGCGAAGAAGCGTCCCCGTCTAGGAATATAGGTGTTCAAGAGATCTGGTGATGAGACATGCTTTCCGTCGATGAAAGCTTGTAGCGAGGTGAGACATCTTCAACCCAAGTTTTTTGGGTTGTGGAACAACGTTGGAGAAAGAGGAAAAGGCCGAAAAACGAACTCCGTAGGTTGCCCTACTATGTAAATACACCTTACCTAGTAGGTGGGTGAGATGCTCTAGTGTAAGATGCAACAAGTGAGCCTAAAAAGGTGAGATCAAAGTAGGATGGATGGGATGGGAGGTGGACAAGGTACTAGGTATGTATGTATGTACATCACTTCGCCCGCCCGCTCATCCAAGCCTCTTTGCATGAATGTTTGCATGAAGGAGGAAAGGCACGAAATTCCTCTCAAAGGTTACCAGTCGGTCCAGTCCAGCACAAACTGGCCGTGCCCTGACTAAATTTGGGCGAACACAGTCAAACCGTTTGCCCATCCCCGCTCACAATTAGACTTGATCCGAGGCTAAGTTGCTAGTCTTATTATTATGTTGATTAGTACTGGCGCAGTTCGATGTTAAGTGAGGCACTAGCCAGCCCAAATCCATGCTGTCGGGGTCCCGGATGGCGTTGAAAGACGATGATCCGCGTTGCTAGCGTCATATCTTACCCCCTCTGTGAGGCCTGGCCGACCATTAGTTAGCATGAGCTTTCGAGCCTGACATTTCATTTCATTTCGTCAGTTTTTCAGTTGCCCAGGTGGGAAAATACGATAGGTCAGTATATTAAATAATAATACGCTCCAATTGAAATACATCCACGATATTATGTAGACGGCTGGATGGGAACACGACATGCTCTACTGCAGGAGCGGTCAAAAGAACAGATTCTGACATCCTCTAGATCCTGTCAGCCATAGGTACATACAACGATGATAGTATAATATGTGGTGACAGTGGTGGTGTAGATGGGAAAAGATGGGAAAGGAGGTAACTACCTTGTCAGCGATCACGTTCCACACCCCCTGATTTCGCGCATATAGTCTGTTCCCTTACCGAAGATCTGGTCCATTACTGGTCTCCCGAAATCGGGGTAGTCGGTTATCGTATACCATGTATGGAATGGCTGTGGCCATCTTTTTTAATGCGCTTGAAGCCCAACTGCAGTACTACTACTACTAGTAATAGGTGCTACTAATAGCCTACTGTTAGTCTGTTAGTATGGTAACCGGAAATCCTGTTAGCTCACTACTACATAGTACACTACTACATAGTACATAGTAGTATTACTGTAGTTACAGTGTAGTATAGTACCCTAGGTAGCTAAGCTTTCGACTTCACCAGCCATCGTATTTCGTAAGCAACCTCGGAACTTGCGACACCCGTCCATGACCAAATCCCGGTTAGGGATTATAATTGTTGATGTGGCCGTTCAATGTTACTATGTATTCCCAAGAATCCCAACCCTCAGGATACCGAAGGCTAGCTTAGGTGCTAAGCTTTTCCCGGGAGCGTCCGAGCGATCTTGTAAATAAGGAGACTGCAAACGCAAGGTATTACGTGGACCTCGTTTCACGTGACCAGCTAAAAATCAGATGACTTGATTCTATTATTCTATGTAGTTATGTAGTTAACATGGAATTGAAATTATTGAATACCTAGGTAGTAGGTACTAGGTAGTTACTGCTTACTGCTAAAATTACCCCAGAAAGCTTAGCTTTGAAATCTTAAGGAAAGATCAAACAATATTGACCCCAAACGCCGTCCAACTGAAACCTCCTCCTCCTCTCACACATCGCACTTGACTTCTTTTCTTACTACATTCTTCTCCATTTAACCCTCATTTCCCTATCAGGCGGAGTTGCTACAGCGTTCGCATAATTCGTGTTGCCTTGCGCCGGACGGTTCGAACGAGAACCATTCGGCTTAAGCCATTCAACGAACTCGATTTCGAATCTGGTGATGATCATGGCCACTGTGAGCAGAACCTCAGGCTTTGCAAAGTTATGGCCTGCACAGATACTGTTTCCTCCGCCTAGTTTCAAGTACAAAGTGTTAGTTGAATCATAAGGATATGTCTACGAGCCTGAGTATTAGGTAGATGCATGTTTGCAAACTCACCGAATGGGAAAAAATACCCTTCCCGTCCCGCCATGGAGAACTCGAGTCGTGTATGGATTTGGCCCGAACGATCTACAGTCTCGACCTCCTGCACATGGCGGTGGGCCCAGAACTCTGAAGCAGGATGGGCCGGTGTACCCCCTATATAGGTATGATTAGCCAAAGTCCAATCACTCATCGGAGTCTTCAACAAAGAACGAAAATTTGGAACGTACATATAGCTTCGTCCAAATGAGCAACCTCAGTAGGAGCCTGGAAAACGGATCCTTTCGGTATCTCGTAGCCTCCGATCGTCACCGATTCGGTGGAAGTTCGTGTGATCAGGATGCTCGCGTACAGGCGCAAAGCTTCGGTGTAGACGGACTGTAGCAATGGCAAAGAAGCCAGTCGCCGGTAATCTAGGCCTGTTGTATTATCAGGATCGTCGGTAACCCTCACTTCTGATATCTCTTTCCTGACAGCGTGGAGTAGATGGGGATCTTTGATTATCTCCATCACCACCCACGCACAGATAGGAATGGTGTTGGCGTGGAGCCTGCACCGCGGATGATAATGGCCTAATTAGCGTCGTTTCGAGGTAACATCATCTCTATTAAGAAGGCAATTATGACTTACCCAAATAGAAGCAAGGCATAAGCGGCGCCCAAGCTCTCGGCTGAAAAGTCAAACAATTTCCCCCATTGAGCCAAACCCCTCGAGATGCGCGACCCGAAGACAGGCTCCCAGCTTACATCCCTTTGTGCGCTGCCATCATCCCAGTCAAACTCGTCCTCTGCCAGCTTGTACCACTCGCTACACATGCCGCGGAACCTCTCTCTGGCCGGCACGGCCTTTCTGTTCAGAAGCCAGCGGGGGGACCCGAAGGCCGGCGCCTCGGCGAACTTCGCGTACTCCCAGAAGGCCTCCACGAACCCGGGATTCGCATCCAGGATCAGCGAGCCACACACCGAACGCGTGGCCACGGCCGCCATGCTCCGCTTGAGGAAGTCGAACACGCGCACGTCGCCATGCCACTCCCCGATCTGGAAGGCGGCCAGCTGCTCATCGAAGCAGAGCTGGAACGTCGCGGCGAAGACGGAGACTGAGCGGCTGCTGAGCAGGCCATCCTCGTGCGCGCGGCGCATCGCGTGCCATATGCGCTTCTTGTTGTTGTCTGGAGCTGGGGGCCCGCTGCCGCTGTCGGTTCGGGGTGAAGCAGCACAGCCAGACCCATCGGCCGCAAACTTCGCCGCGGCCGTAGGCGAGTAGCCAGCGGTGTGCTCGAGCACACGGAGGATCCACGGGTCGGACGTAAACGATGACTGAAAGATGGCCGGCGCGTTGCTGCCGCCGCCGACGATGTACAGATTCGTGGGGCCAAGTCGGCATCGTATCACAGGGCTTGTCCGTAAAGCTTCTCTGGAGAAACCGTATGACGACGTTAGCTTTCGTTTCAGCGTTTACTTTGGCTGAGACTGAACAAGACTTGAACTTGCTTACCTCACTCGGTTTATGAATAGTCGTTTGTTCGTCAGGAACTGCCAACCATTCGATACAAATGGGATCGTCTCACTGAGTCGGGGCGGTTGTCGCAACGTTGTCTGGCTTTGCTGTCTAGCTACTAGGGCAAAGATTATGATGAATACGTAAAATAGGAGGTCAACGTAGCTGTCCATGTCTTGCGGCTGTGCGGATTAATCTCTTGAGCACAGAGCAGCTTGCTTGTGTACTCCTGCTCGCTACATCCTTACGATGGGTGCTTTTAGCTTCGAGGAATAGGCATCGTTTAAATCAGTCACGGACTGCTTCATTCAGTAAGAAGACATCCATACGAGCTAGGCAGATTGACAGGAGGAGGGCAAAATGTGCCTAGAGCAGCAGAGGCTGCAATGTGATGCAACGCCGTTTCTTTTGCGCTCAACTAACAGCACTCGTCTCCCTCTTCGACAACAATTGAATCGAAACATGGCGCCTCTGAGCGAACTATGATAGGACGTTGGGGAGGTGTGATGGATCTGGTGTACTATGATCAGTACCAACACCAAAGACCTCTGTGGTTAAAAATAGTAATGTACCTAGGTATATGGCATAGCCTTCAGACATAGTGCAACCCTATTAGTTTTTGATTGAGTAGGTAGTCCTGGATTTGACGCCGAAGTGCTAGGTGGGGGCTCAAATGAGGCTGCGCTGGTGGAGGATTGGCATGTGCTACCTATCTACCTCTACGTAGGTATGGATAGGTACTATGAAGAAAACTGTTAGAGGTCTGGCAGATGTATCATATGCCTCAGTTCACGTGACTATGTAGGTAGTTATCATACAACGACATTCTGAATAGCATAACGGTGATTCCCTCCTTCTTCATAAAACAATCGATACACCATCTCCAAAAAAAAAAAAAAAAAAAAAGTTGTCACACTACCCGTGCTATACCAACCGTACTAACCAGGCTGTACGTTGAGATATTCGAGGCGCCAACAAAAATATCTCACGCCGCACTTCAATCTTGGTGTACCAGCTTATACCTCTGCTACGCGGCCGATATTACATCCTGGAAGCTTTCAATCCTTATAATCGAGTAACTTATCCAATCCGTACTCAAATCAATCGATTGAACTATAATACCAGATTCTAGCTTTTCAATTGGCCCGGCGGTGGTCCTATTCATCATGAAATATCGGCAGCAGTAGCCTCTGTGTGTCAAGCTCAGGGTGCCCACGTGACCCCCTTCCGCGCCACCACCTTCAAGATCTGTCGCTGCTGCCGATACCCAATCATGGCTAACACCATCATCACCGGGCCGATTGAATTGTTACAACTTAGTATCGTGGATCGATCAATTGATGCGATTAGAATGAGCCACCGAATAACTGTAAAATAGTAGTCAGAGGAATAATACGCCAGGCCGAGCGTTTCGTACAAGCGGCTGAGCGATCGCATCGCGGGGTATGTATTCATCAGCCAGTCATGGTTATTTGCTATGGACTACGTGCATCTATGTAACAAGGAGTAAAGACATAGCCCCAACAGGTATGTTTCAAAGATGATGGAAGAAACAGTGGTCAACTACTAGGCAAACTACTAGGTACACAGTACACTACTAAGGTAGATAGAGCCTTGTCGGCTAGATCACTATAAATATGTGTGTTGACATGAAACAGCGCGAGGCACGCTCTATAGCTGCTACTACTCACCTGCATTGGAACTTGGAAGCAGGTGCCAGGACTAGTCCCAACACCTTCGACTTACTGTATGTCTAAAATGATGGCATTAACTGGCCACACTACGCAAATACGTCGTCTTTGGAGCATTAACCAAGCACTAATGAAGTAAATGCGATTAGATCTGATTGGTTTACCGAAGCTTATCCAATCCGGGCTACTGCATTACGTGACCTTGCACGACGGTGCTGCAAATAGAAAGATCATCCCTAAACCTAGTACCTACTACTACTAGTAGTATGTAAAGTTACAGAGAGATATGATTAGGCAGTTTAGCCGAAGATTCCGAAGATTTTCCAGGAGCTAGCCTTTAACATTGGCTTACGATTAACTTGGCTAGAGAGTTTTAACCAATAAGAATTTGCCTATTTATCGAATTGAATTCATTCCCCAGCAACACCAAAGTACATCCTTACTTTGTTCGTTTCAACACCTCCAGGTAGACTCGTAATCGCTTTTCAACTCTAACCAACTTGAACACTGTTAATAGTACTACTACCTAAGGTAGGTAATGGATGTCATCATGGGTAACCCAACTTCAACACAACTTCAAGCTTCCTCTCCTTCTTTCCTTTCCTCCCTCAATAGCCTCAGAAGTCATGGCGCCTACTTTGACCATCGCCCTTGGGGCCGTAGCTGTCACCTACCTGTTTCTTCGTCTTCTCCTCTACTTGACTCAGGATTCAAGAGAACCACCAGCCATTGAGACGTCGCTTCCCTTCATTAGTCCTCTAATTGGTATGTTCAGGGAAAGGCAACGCTACCACGTTCGATTAAGGAATAAATATAGACTACCCATCTATACTCTGCGCTTACCCTTCTCCCGAATTTATGTCGTCAACTCTACCGAGCTCATCCCTGCGCTACAGAAACAATGGCGCACCGTCAGTTTCCCCGCCATAGCTGCCGATGCAGGCTATATCGTCGGCATGAGCAAGGAGGCCATTGAAATAATGCACCAGGATCTAACAAATGAGCATAGCTTCAGTGTGAGCTGGCCTCGCTATATCATATCTGCAATGGGACCCGGAAGTGATCTCGATGCGATAAACAGAAAGTCCATTGAGATCCTAGCCGACGAAATGGACACACTCAGAGCACAGGGAACCGTCAGGGTTGGCCTACGGGAATGGTCACGTCATACAATGACCGTAACTACAACTGAGGCCGTCTGGGGGCCGCTGAATCCATACCGGGATAATGCCATAGCGGAAGCCTGGAAGTAAGTCAAACACTCTCAGATATTAGTCTCGGCATACCATTTCTTCTGTTTCGGGAAACGTGATAGGGTTCCCCGGTATCTCATCTTGGTCCAGAGATTCATCCTGACCATCATCTTAGAACATTTGAGGCTGGATTTTTGACTCTTGCCATTTTCCCGATGTCCTCGTTCCTATTCCCTAAGCTCTTTCGCGCGCGCGAGCTCGCCGCCGCCGCCATGATAGAGTATATGCGTAAAGACGGATATAAAACTGCCTCTGGACTCGTAAAGAAGCGCTACGAGCATCACCGAGGGCTATTTGGCATGAGTCTTGAAGATGTCGCACGCGGGGAGCTTGGCAACACATTTGCCGTATTGGGAAATACAACACCTTGCTCATTATGGGTCCTTTTTCATGTCTTTTCGGATAAGAAGGTGCTGGATGATATCCGTGAAGAGCTCCTTGCCCTTGTCCACGAAGATGGCCGTGACCAGGATGGCAATGTCTGCTGCTCTGTTGATTTGGCCGGTATTCGCACCTCCTGTCCTGTTCTTTTAAGCACTTTCCAAGAGACACTGCGTTACCGCGCTGTCAATCCAGGCCCACGAGTACTTCTCGAGGATGTGCTCCTGGAAGACGGTACTCTTCTGAAGAAGAACAGCATGCTCATGATTCCCGCTCCTGTACAACATACCGAGGTTTCGAATTGGGGCGAGGATGCTAATGTATTTGACCACATGCGCTTTGCGCGCAAGCCGGGACCAGGGCAGAAGAAGCCAAACCGGGTGGCGTTTCGTGCCTTTGGCGGTGGCCATGTGCTTTGCCCTGGCCGCCACTATGCTACCACTGAGATCATGGCATTCGCGGCCCTTTTAGCACTTCAGTTTGACGTGGTGCCTGTCTCTGGTGAGTGGGTTGAGCCTATATGGAAAAACTCGCCCGTGACGTCCGGATTTCCTATCCCGGACGAGGAAATTGAGGTCGAACTTCGTCCAAGAGACTTGAACAAGAAATGGCGTGTCACATTTTCGGGTTCAGACCAGGCCATGAATATTGTGACTGAAGATGGTTAAATGGCCCTGTCACGTCACGGTTCTCTTTTCTCTTTGGAGTATCTCACTTGTACTATATCACACTTCGACTATATATATAACACTTGTACTACTGGGTACCAAATCGGTTATGTCTATTAGACGCATTTCTATGACATTTATTTTTACCTACCTTGTAAACAACTGCCAAATCTGTATCCACCTACCTACTTACCTAGGTACCTATAGTATTATAGGAAGCAACTTACCTCTATATATCGAGATATGTTCATTTACCAGGCTTCTAGACCCAAGCCACCAAGCATCAAGCCTCTGCCCTCTTTCCACCGGTCTGCTTCGAGCAAGATTCAACACACCAATGACACATCTTCGACCCGTTTTCCAGCCGGTTAAAGCTACACCCACACGGGCAACTACAGGGGAAAAGCGCCCTGCACTTCCCACACCTACTATGGTTGCAACTGTCACAAAGCATCGCATTAGCCAGGGACCGGTTCTCGCCCCCGCACCGGTGACACTTCCAGCTGAGCATCGGGACGCGCCTATTATTCCGCGCCGGGTCCGACGAGCAGCTGCCCCTCGCACACGCGTCGCAGAGCGCCCTGCCTGCCCTCCCCAGCGCGAGCTCGCCGCACCGATGCCCCGCGCACGCGCACATGTCCCACACGCGGGTCTCCCGGCCCCGGAGTCCGCGGCACCGCGCGCACCGCCACCCGACCTGCTTCGGGGCGCCGCACGCGCCGCACTGGAACGGCTTCGTCAGGCACGGGTGCCCGCACGTGTCCTCGAGGTCCGGGGCGGCGTCTATGCGCGTGTACGAGGAGCACGCGGAAGGCGGCCCGCGCTTCAGGAGGTTCTTGGCGGTGGCTTTGCGGCAGTACAGCCATGTCGACTTTTGGTGCCCGCAGGGGTACACGGAGCGCTGCTCGACGCAGCCGCAGATTTTCATCGTGGTGGTGGTGGGGTTGAGCTCGATTATCATTTCACTCACTTTTTTTTTTGCTGAAATGTTCCAATGGGGCTTCGAGTTGCTCTTCTTTTCTGGGGCGGGGATAGAAGAAGCAAGGAAGGTTGTGTAGGTATGTATGTATGTATGTGCCTCTTGGTTTCCAGTGTGCGTGAAATGCTGTTTGTTTACTTACGTCCAAGAAAGGGGGTCGATTTCTTCTGAACCGGACTTTTATTTTTTTGGGGCTTACTTATAGGGATCGGGTCAGACAATTGGGTGATTCGAGAACAATGTAGAAAGAAACACGATGCGTGTGGCTCGGTTTGGGCGTTGTTGGCTTCCCTTTGTTGGGGGAACAAAGAGATGCCATCTGGGACAATCGGGATTTTGTGTCCTCATGCCTTCAGGGGCTGTGACTTCATCAGTGAGGATGAGCGAATACAATGCCTTGGTTGCATAAAGGCTATTGTTTTCTGGTGTTCGCTACTAGCAGGTATTGTGCTTGGGTATGTAGGTATTGTACCTACTTAGTAGGTAATGAACTACAAAGACTACAAACTTGAGAGCGGTCGATGTAGCAGCTGGGCGTATTCCCGTTATCCTACGTAGCCTTAGGGGCTCATTACCTCGTGTCCGCGTGCTTCTACTCCTGTGTAGCTCTCCGTTTGTTCAGACCATTCTTCTCTCTTAATCAGCACAACTCGTGCTTCAGCTATCGTATGCTACAATGGCATCTAGATCACGACCATAGACCAGACAACAGACAACACGAAGCCTACCAAACCATCTGTATATCAATTTAGTGCTGTGATACATTAAGCACCACCAACAATAATTTCATAAGCAAATCGACCGTATGCCTAACTACCTAGGGTACCTAAGTAGACATCTATAGTATAGGGTAAGAGATGATTTTTCTCAGAACACTTGAAGTACCTAAGTGCTACGCATCCATTAACTACTACTAAGGATATCAACTGGACTCTCAAACAGCCATCCTTCGAAATCTCGTCAACAAAGAAGCGGTTTTATACAACCCCTTAACACCAATTAGTCCAGGCGCATCGTCATGAACAAGTTAGCGAAGAAAAACAATGGCACTGATGCTTATCAAAAGCGAACAATATGACTGAAGGGCGACCAAGATAGTATATTAACCTCGCTATCCAGATGTCTACAATGGTAAAGAGTATTCACATCATCGCATCAGTCTCTACCCATTCGCCTCACTACAGCACCAATTAAGACCATACCCTAAGCTATCGCCTATCAAAACCCCAACACAAAGCCACCATGGACATGTCGCAGCAAATCTACGAGCACGAGGAGATGTCCATCTCGGTGGGCGACCTCTCCTCCGCCCTGCCCGGTTTCAACGTCCACGCCCCCAGGGCCTGGCGCTGCTGCCGGTACAGCTGCCGCGCGGTCAACCCGATGTCGGCGCTCAAGTGCGAAGAGTGCGATCACCGGAGATGCAAGGACTGCGCGCTGGACAGCACCGAGTCGGAGTGGGATGCTCCTAAGTAGGTTATTCGGCCCAGCTCTTACTACTACTGCCTAAGGTTGAGTATTGTCTAGGTGCTCCTCCTCCTCCTCCTGCTGCTAGGTTAGGCAGGCATTGTGTAGGTGCGAGGTAGGTAAACACCTACTTAGATCCCTACCTATGTACGATCGTAGAATTATATACAAGATAGCTTGTTGGAGTTAAATACAAGTGATATCTCGTACCTAGCTATCATTGCCATTGCGTGATTAATCGTGATTGACATCATATAATGCCTAACAAAGTGGGCGTTGACCGATTACTTAGCTACCAAGTGCCGAATAAAACCATCATCAAGTAAAGCAGTAAATCTGAACGTAGTTTATCCTTCCAGGAAACGGGTATATTCCTTCCTTTCTCGTCCAGTGTAGGTATTAGGCGCGAATATAAAACCAAATGATATGAGACCGACATGGTAACCTAGCGTGGCTTATTAGAAACTCTCGATGATGCTCTTCTCCTATTAGAATCCATGGATATCTCCCGAAATAAATCAAGACGTAGGTAGGTAGTTAGTTAGACGCGCTGCTATAGCATTTTGATCAGCGTTATTCCCAACATGTCCCCTATGCCTAAAACATAGGTATCGAATAGGGGAAGGGGGGAGGGGAAACTTGTACTCACCTCGCCAAAGCTCGTCGGCAGCCCGCCCGTGCAAATATATACCTAGGCAGCTCTCCACTCGCCACCTAACCAACACCACCATTTCCTCAAACTTCCAAACTCCCTCTCACCCCCCCCAATACCCCCTCCTCCCCCCCAGCCTCGCCGCCTGATTCGCCGTCCACCTCGGCCCATCATCCCTCGCGACATACGTCGGGACGAGCGGCGGCGGAATCGACCACGGGAAGCGCCACGCCGTCCTCATCGGCATCGTCGGCGGAGCCTGCTCCTGCTCCTGCTGCTGCTGCTGGATCGTGACCTCGGCGTAGTAGTCCCTCTCGCCGTCGTCGTTGTCGCTGTTGCTGGGGCTGTAGACGGAGTACCGCGTGCACCCGCAGCGGCGCGTGCAGCAGCACCAGAGGACGAGGCCGACGACGAAGGCGCCGACGCACACGCCGACGATTATCCCGATTTGCTGGCCGCTGAGGCCGTCTGAGGAGGAGGGGGAGGAGGGGGGGGAGGCGCCGGCGGGCCAGGGGGGTGTGGTGGAGGTGGTGAGGGGCGGAGAGGTGGGGGAGGAGGAGGAGGAGGTGGGCGGGCTGCCGCGGTCAAGGGTTACGATGGCGGTTGTTGTTGCGTCCGGGTACGTGATTGTTTGGGTCAAGGTGACCTGGCGCCATACGAGGGTTGGCGGGCTCGGAGGCGGATGAGGATTTACTTGGTCCGCCCCTACCCCTGATCCTATCGCCGCGGCTATTACCGATGGTGTTGTTGTTGTGGTGGTGGTGGTGAAGTTGAGACCCATGTTTAGCTACAGACGGCAAAATACTAGGTAGAGAAACTGGTACCGGTAACCTAGTCTAGACGCACTGCACGTTGAAACTATCGCGAATCATGTTGCAGAGCCAAACCAAACAGAATTTCGTGTCCTACTCTTTTTTTCTTTCTGAAACTCGGGCGCCCAAGGGCCCAAAAAGGGGGGGAGGGGGGGGGGGATGTGAAAGGGGGGGCGGATCGTCAGGTATTTTATTGATGATTCCAGTCGCACGAGAATAGCAAAACTTCCCCCGCGCGTACATGGTGGCATTTTACAGACAGACAGACACCTACCTGAGTTTTGGCATTTGCCCTGTCCATCCCAGACACGTTGTCGAAAACATACCATACCATCCATACCTGGGTACCTAGTACCCCCATGCATATTTTCCACATGCCCAATCGAACCTGCAGCACGGTTCCAGATCGCATCGTCATCTGACATTGGCCAGAAAAGAAAAACAAAAAAGAGCCTTGAAACGACGGGTCCCGCTGCCCCAACTCGTGATAGGTGCCAGCCCACCACCATCCAGAGAAAAAGAAAACCGGTGTTAGCTGGCTGGGGGGGGCGCCAACGGCTCGGCATCTACAACGGATACGGGCATCACGCGAATCGAGCGGGTGCAACATAACTACCTAGGTTAGCATGCGACACACGCACACGCAAAAATGCTGTCCACGCTAATGCACATCATATGCGTCTCCTATGGTAGGTAGATAATGCGTTGCGTTTAATGGTTTGGGGAGCCCTACTTGTCCTAGTCTCGGGTTGGGTTACATCAAAGGGGGTTTAACATGACTCTTATATTAGTATATTAAACCTATCACATGGCCGTCTCCCGTGAGCATCTTTCTTGCGGAGAGGGCACCCCCATACTATACACCGAATAATATCGATGCATTCAATGCTTCCAAGGCTGTGTAAGTATACCGGCTTACTTACCTATCATCTATCTATCTATCTATCTGCCTACATCTCGACCTATCTGCAAGGTACTAGGTACGTACTTGAATAGATAGGAGTGTGTATACACATGTGCATTTCTCTCACTACACTATCATCACTCATTACTAGGTAATATTTCATACGTCACTTGGCCCATGCCTTCCACTTCCCTTCCCTCACTTCATCCCATATCGCGCACTTATATTTCTATCGGCTTCACAATACTACCATACCCTCTCCATTCTTACAATAATCCAATATCATCTGAGCTATTAACAATAATGAACCAATATAAGCGCTAGCCATGCCGTGCTTCTTCCCTACAACCCCAGCTTACACGAAGTCGTGATCTGCTTGGCGAGGGGGGGGGCGGGGGGGAATCTCGCAAGGCAACCGTGGAAGATTATTTACTTGTCGCCTGCCTTCAATATATCGAAGCGTGAATTCCTTGTTCTTGTGAAGCACAACGTTGCGAGCCTGCATGCAGGACTACTACCGACACTTGTGAATATCCCGAGTACTTAGCTGCCTGCCTGCCTGCCTGCCCGCCTGCCTGCCGACATAGTAGGCATGCGCTTCTCGAAGAGCCCGCCTTTCTCTTCTAATGACCCACTCACTATACATACCAGGCAGCAAAGTTGAAAAAAAGGGACGAAGGAAAAAAAAAAAAAAAAAAAAGAAGGACACGGCCAAAGTATCGGACAGGCAGGTAGGCAGGTAACCTATATGACGTACCTACGTATCACACCTTGCGGCTCTTCCATGGCCACTGGATCAAGCGCTAGCTATCCGGATCCAGCAAAACGCAACCTGTAATACAACATCAGCTCAATCCAAGGCGGTGGGTTTAAGCACCCAGGCAGCAAAGTAACGGTGAGCACTGAGCAGAAAACAGAGAACGTCGTGAATCCGCAGATCAGCAGTGTTTCACATGGGACTTTTTTTTCTTTTTTTTATTCCCTCTTTCCACCCCTTAAATATCTCCCGCCTTATTTCCCCCCCATTAAAACACAAACATTATTTCCAGTCACTCGTTACATCAGGTGTTGTCTACTTGGTACCTATCCTATCATAAGGGTTCATCAGTGACGAGCTGGCTCAGCTACCTGTCAACCTACCGGGTTCGGGAGAAGGAGCAGCATACGCACGTACATATATAATAGCGAACAAAGTACAAAAGCAGCCGCGGTCACCCGCAAAAACGCGAGCTCGCAACCTTGAGTTGACACAAGCCACGTCACCGAGGCCGCGAAACCGCGATAGAGATGGGTATATAGGTTTTTATCTAGTAGTCATAGCTCCAGGCTAAATACCTCGGACAGCATCGACTTTTTCAAGACCAGAACACTTAACATCCGCTCAAACTCTCTGCACTTCTGTATTTACACCAAGCACCTAAGTTAGTACCGACACCACCTGGTACCCACCTGATTGTACGACCATGGAGCATAGAAAAAAAAATGCTTCAGCACCTCCTTCCATCCCAGCACAGTGGGCACAGTGGTAAAAAAAAAAGTAAGGCTTTGAAGCACGTTAGACAAACGCCCCGTAGGTACCCAGGCTAGGTAACATCTCGGAAAAATATAAGGGGCCCTACCTACACGGTAGGCCGGAAGCCCACCGAAGCGAGTAACACTGGACCACTAGGTGTGATTGACTACCTACTACACATAGTATAGTGAAGCTTCCTTTGAATACCTACCTAGGTACCTATACCTATTCACAGCGCCCGATGCGGATGCATTCGAATTTCTTCTCGCTCAGCCCATGGGTGATACCAACGAGCTACTCTTGCTACTAAACCGTTACCCTTGGAAGGTTTTAGATGGGATCAAACTATGTAACTTCTACGAAGGCGGGCCAGAGAGTTCTTAGGGTGTTTACGACGACCAAGAAGACTCAGGGATGAAGAGGATGGTTATGTTCAGTAGTAGGTATAGGGGATATTAATGCCTGATAAGTGCCTAGGTAGGCACCTACCTAACCTAGCCCGGGCAACGCTGGATCGGCTGAGATACTGGGTACTATATTGGTGGGGTGCAAAGCGAGAAACCAAGGAATAAATGGTAGACAACGGAGAATTAAAGCTCGAGGCCCAAATTTTCGTAATCATGATTCAAAATTTCAGAGACGACCCTCGAAAATATGTTGAATTACCTAGTCGCAATATCAGATCGTGGACCTAATTCTTGCTCAGAACCAAGGCTAGGACTTGCTACCTTCCGAATAATCATCTTACTTTTACTCCAGATATATAAACCTTTGTAGGTAGGTAGGTAGGTATACCAAGTATTTTCTTCTAGAAGTGTGCGGTCCGGAAGTGTGAACCCCATTTTAATGATAGTAGCTAGACTGCGGCCGTTGAGTCCTGGCGTCCAGCTCATCGTCGTCGTCGTTGCTATAATAATCAGGCGGCCTCTCGCCCCGCTCATATTCGCTATCCGCTGCGTTTTTGTCCATTTTACTGGCTGTGCTTCATTGTTTCCTTCGGGCCATGGCCTCTGACGGTAGTAAAGATGAGTCTTGGTTAGCGTGAGTTCATTCTGCCGGTTGTCTATCCCAACGACATATACATAAAAAACATGTGTTACGAGGGGTAATATCTTACATCTATAAGAAGTTTAAGCGATCCCCAGACCTTTCCGGTACTGGGACCAACGAATTGTAACGGCAGAAAGTACGTGAAGATAACGACAGCAGCGTTGAACACGCCGATTCTGTCTTCTAGAGCCATCCGGATCCATGACTCTTTATCTAGTTCTTTAATGTTCTTTTCCATGGATAGTCGTTCCAACTCCGCGCGTATCTCATCATAAGTTGCCATGGGGCACTCGTTGTATGCGCGCTGGTCGACGCTTCGTGTTTCCTTCTGCATGAACTTTTCGATATGCCCCAGCTCGACACTAGCAGCCATGTTCCTAGAGATCTCTAGGCTAGGTTGCATCCATAAAAAGATGCTGAAGCTCTTCGATTCTTCGGATAACTCGCCTGTCAAGGTGCTCGAAGTAGCTGTCGCAGATCCCATGGCAGCCTTAATCGTGGTGTTCGTGTTCATGCCACCAGTATCAGGCTGCTTCGAAGAAGCTTTTGACTCAACATCAGGGGCCAGAACTCCCAGAAGTGGGTGATAAATGTCTGCCCATCACTTTAGCGAAATGTTGTCTGGTGCAATGAGAACCAAGAAGCCGGGAAACTTACGAACCATGTCAAGCACTCTCGAACCGGAATGGCCCAAACAGTGTTTTCGAGATACTCGACTAGTATTTTCGGCTCATCACACTCGCTGCCCTTTTCTTTAGGTGGCACACTCCTTATATCGATCCTGTTGTTGCCAAGCTTATCACTGAACATGGTGCTACAGGTCACCAAAAGAGCTAGATAAAATGCAAGTGTGAGATGGACAGAAGGCGAAACCAGGCCTGGACAGTGTACTTACAGTTGTCTACGATGATACCACACAGCTGGGAAATATGGAAGCAATGATCCTCTGGCCCTTGTTTGATCTGTCGCACTCTGGCATAGTCGACCGTCGCTGGACGGGGCGGGGAGGAGCAACATCATTGTCCGCGCCTTCGTGGTCAACATTGGAAGACATGTGGACGGTAAGTAGAGCAAGTAGAGACAGCGATGGGGCCGTCCTATGTAGGTAGGAGATTTTATCATCAGGTCTTGGACAGAGTTGATATCTTTATATGATATTAGCTGAAAGGAAAGGACAAGAACTGGGTCAACATAAGCGATGGACAACTACGACCCTGTGGCAAGCTGAAAACATATCCTCGGCGATCGATAGGGATGGATTATCACATCGCCGAGCCTACCTCCCTACCCCACCACCTCCGTACTCATCCTCCCCTCCCCATCATAAAACACCTCCCTCACCTTCACAGACCTCAAATGATTAACCCCCCCACTCAGTTCACAATCATGATAAAACAACCACCAGCGCCCGCTAAACTCCACCACCGAATGGTGCGTCGTCCACCCCAGCACCGGCTCCAGCAACCTCCCCGCATACGTGAACGGTCCCAGCGGACTCGTCCCCACCGCGTACACGAGGAAGTGCGTGTCCCCCGTCGAGTAGCTGAAGTAGTACTTCCCGCCCCTTTTATGCATCCACGCCGCCTCGAAGAACCTCCTCTCGTGATCGTCCGCCTCGATCGGCTCCCCCGTCTCCGGGGCCAGTATCACGAGATCCCTCACCCCGCCCCCCGCAAACGACCGCATATCGTCACTCAGCCTCGCCACCTTCGGGAACAGCGCCCGCGCCCCCTCCCCCGCCGGCTCCTTCGCGCCTAGCCACTTCTCGTCGAAGCACTCGGGCGCGTTGCCGCGCTGGTAGCACTGCAGCTGCCCGCCCCACAAGCCTCCGAAGTACAGGTACGCGCTCTCGGCCGCGTCGTCGTCCACGAACGCCGCGGGATCGATGCTGAAGCTCCCCGGGATCGGCTCCGGGTCCGGCGCGAACGGGCCCGCGGGCGTGTCCCCAGCCGCGACGCCGATGCGGAACACGCCCTCCTTGTCGCGCGCCGGGAAATACAGGTAGTACTTCCCCCCGCGGCGCGCGGCGTCGGGGGCCCACATCTGGCGGTCGACCCAGGGGACGTCGCGGGCGCTGAGGACGACGCCGTGGTCTGTGACTTTGGGCGGGTGGGCGGCCGGCGAGTCGAGGGAGAAGACGTGGTAGTCGACCATGTCGTACTGGTCGCCGTTGTCGTTGAACTGGATGTCGGTCTCGCGGTCGTGCGACGGGTAGATGTACAGCTTCCCGTCGAAGACGTGCGCGGAGGGGTCCGCGGTGTAGAGGTGGGTTATCAGAGGGGGCGACATTTTTTTTTCTTTTTTGTTCGTGTTGATTATTTTTGGTGTTTGTTTGGTTTCTACCCCTTTTCCCTACTGTAGAAATAAACTCTCGATTTTGAGAAACTCGTGACAATATTGTAGCTCTCCGCGGGGTATTAGCTCAAGAGGATTATGAGGTGGGGGCTTTTCAGGGGTTTAAGTCTCTTGAGCTTCTTCAGTTTCCTGGATGTGGCCGAAAGAGAGATACTCCGGCTCATGAAATGCGTGGGTAGAATAGCATTATCTATTACATTTATATTTATTATCCATATCACTCACACCACTCTACTAACGCCTATAACGAAATCAAGAAAAAAACGTGGAGACGATCTCATTCTACTCCTTCCGTCACGATGAATACCCGTGAGCCTTTCCCATTTATCCCTATTTAACCGCCCGCTAACTAGTCGTCAGTCGCCAAGATTCCCAGTTAGTTTTGCCCAAAAGTTGGAGTTCCGTACTAGGACGGCCGGCGTCGTTACTTTTGATGAGGCTACCTAGGTACCTACCTTGTTAGGTAGGTAGATAGGTAGCTTTTATGGAATTATAATATCTAAAATTTTCATCTTTATGGACTTTTGTTTATACATGTGGATTTTTATGGATTCTTTTTTTTTTTTTTTGGGAAACATGTAAAGGCACCCTTTGCCCTTTGACGTAGGATTGATTGAGTTGCTATGTAAAAGAGCCCTGTGGCGGAAAGAAAGTAGAGCAGGCTGAAGAGGGAATACGAGGACAAGCATATTGAGCGCAATGTCATGTGTCCACAATACCCAGTGTAAGTCGCCGAAGCGCGTCTTCATACCTCCCAGGACTATGGTCCAACAACATACTGGCCCCAAACCGCACCTCTCTAAACCGAGCTTCGACATCCCTGATGTACTTGAACACAATTCGAGTTGCGGGCCTTCCGACCTGGCCCGTTCCGGCTTGTAAGAAAGCATCTCGCCTCAGCGCTGGTGTGCTCTCTATGGTGAATACCTCGCCTGGTGGAAGTAGCTTAGGACTCATCATACTTGCACGCAGGGTCTTTAGTGCGGCATACGCCCATTTTACCTCTTCATCACTTGTCTGTGTTGGTCCGTTGTTGTACCACTTTTCAACCAACCCAGTCTGTAGTCCCTCCCATATTCGTCGACGTACTTCTGCCTTGGCATCGCTATTGTCGGTCTTAAAGGCAAGCGCGACGGCTTGAAAATCGTGCAAGACGCCCAGGGACAGATACGGTACAAGGTCATTACCGTGAACCGTACTGGTTATTAGTCCTCTTGTCGCTTTCTGTAAAGATGGAGACATCGTAGCAGGCGGACCGTATGCATAGACATGAATTGGCCTGCCTGGTGGTAGATAAATGTGGGAACGGGTTTGGTTTCGAGATTGTCCATTAGCTATCATCCTCTGATGTGGTTCAGCTGCCGTGACAAAGGCCGTTCCGGTCGAAGCAGGCTCCGCGAGACTGACTCCAAGCAAAGCAGTTACAGCTCCGCCAAGAGAGTGTCCGCAAAGCACCAAACCGTAATCAGGAAACTCCTCGAGCGCTTCCTTGAGAGTCGCTAACACTCTTCCATCACCTCCGTAAAGTAGTCGCCGAGCAGAGGCATGAATGCCCTTATGTACTTTATATGATTCTCCTCTCCATACAAGGTCGTCGTACTCACACATCATGTCGGCCAAAACATCCTCAAACCCTAATGTACCCCGACAAGAAAGTACGACAGCTTTAGATTCCTCATCAAGTGCTATGGTATGAACAAGAGGTATACCCGTATCAGTGGAGCCGGTAGAATCGGAGCCACCTTGAGGGTCAACGAATGAAGATAAAAGGATACTATCCGGGGGAAGCTCGGTGTGATGTGCAAATGAACGCACATCCCTATGGGTCTCATCAAGTGCTTTTAGAACAGGTAATTCTTTCGTGATGCCCATGAACTTCAAAAACTTCGAGCCGTACGCAGCAGATGCGTAGCGGCTATACCTGGTGATGTTTCGGAGAAGGTGGAATTCGGGAAACATTCCGTCAACCATACCAGTGTGCCTTAGTGTGTCGACGGCTTCCGAATCGCTGTATGCACTTCTCTGGTGAAATGAAGATAGAGCTAATGACATTTGAGAGTCTTTGGTTTTTAGAGTGTAGATGCTTGGAGTGTATAGGCTTCGGTTCTCAGGTCGAGCACTCTTGTTATTGCGCGGTGGTGAAGAGGGATGGTGTGTGTGCTGTGTGGGTTGTATGGGTTGTGTGGCATATTCACGTCGATATCCTGGTTGCAACAAGCCACTCTGTGGCCTAATTTCACTTCTCTGGAACGCCGGAGACGATGGCCGACTTTCGAAGGAGTGCAGTGAAAAAGTGTCGGTCAAGGATACAAGCGAGTTGCGCCGCCGGGCTTGTAAGGGCAGAAATGAGGCTTGAGTTGGAGATCCCAATGGACTCGAATTGCCTATAGTATCGTCCGTTGAGAAGTTGCTCATGCTCGTGCGATTTCCTGTTCGAGGGGGTTCGCGCTGTGACATACGACTTGAAGTCCTTTCCGAAGTGCCCGGCTTCCTCTGCGTCTGTGTAGCTGGCAACTTACTCTGTAGGGGCTTATTGCTACCCCAGGCGGGTTTCGCGAGTGGTTTTGACTTGCTTGGCGGAAGATTCTCAGAACTTGAATCTCGGTTTAATAAGTCAGAGCCTCTCTTCAAAACCCCTCGAATACCACTTCTCTTTTCATTGATTTTAGGAGCAGCGGCTAGCCCAGGCTTCTTCGCTGGAGGCCTGGTACCTGGAGGAGAAACGGTACCAGAAACGGTGCCAGGCACAGGTGAATCTCGAGACCTTCGCCGTGGTTCCTCCAACGGTTTCCTCGTACGTTTTTGATTTGCAACGTGTTCGGAACTCAGCTTATGGTTCAGCGTAGGGCTCAGCTTAGGACTCAGCTTAGGACTCAACTTAGGACTCAACTTAGGGGAGGGAATTGGACGTTCCTTGGGGGAATGGGAATGGGAATGCAAGCTACATCTTGATGAATTACTGGACCCGCATCTCTTCTGATTAACTGGAGGGGGATTAATTGTTAGATTTCGACGTCCAGGATCAATTGTCAGGCCCGGTCGTCCTTTTGATTTGGAGGCAACAGTCGGGCGTGTAACTTTTGGTGGAACTGGTGGAGGCTGATCAAGTCGCTGCTGAATATCCGAGGCAGTTGGCGACGGAGGTGGTTCCTCGTCCTCGACGGCTTCGACACGGGACTGCATATCCTCCTCGACATCGCTATCATTGGAAGTGCTTTTTACTTGATTGCGACTAATCTTATAGACCACTCTATAATTCGGGACGGTATCCTCAGCTCCCCCGGAATCTTCAGCATTGCAAATTTCGCTCTTGATAACATCGACCCCAGGGAGATGTAACACCGGTACTAGCGGCGTACCCTTTATGTCAACAGTGATTATCTTGGTCGTGGTTTTTGATGTTGTAATTGATACTTGAGCTTCTTTGGGGAGGGTCTTTAGAATTTGTCGTTTGAGGTGAGTTTCGGGCGAGTCATCCTCGTCACTATCACTCCATTTAGCACCATGCTGCTCAAGTGCCTTGAGGAACTGATCATGACTGCTGAATCCCGCTTCCCGGCTTCGTCTTTCCAAATCGGCCGCATGTGAATCATCATCTTCAACATCTACACGGTCACCATCGTCAAGAACCACAACATCCCAAATAGCTTCTTCGTGAGAAAGACGTCGAGACTCGTCCTGTGTCAGTTTTCTGCACCAGTTTTGTAGATACGCAAGACCACATAGTCCAAGCAAAAGGTCGATGACTCCGACCTTTTCCCCTTGTACGCCAGTAGCAGGGTTTTGGAATTCTCGACGAATCAAGGTAATGATGCTGGCAATCGCTCGAGATGAGTCGGTGGAGCCGAAGAATTGGTCGAGGATAGATAGGAAGAGCTGGGATATCTCAGAGACGGTTGATACTGTAGTTCCGGTGACGTGGAAGCTGGTAGCAGTCCAAAAGACGACTTGAGACATTGTCTGGTGTAGACTTTCCAAGCTCCTCTCCAAGATAGATTCAGCATCGTTTCTGCCTAACTCCGACTGGGCCCTTGACATAACATCTCTTCCTGCCCTACTCAGTATCCCTTCGAGGATGCCACGACCCAGCTCCAAACTAGAAAGTGTCGTAAACTTTGCAGCTCCCAAGCCATAGCTGCCAAGAAAGGTACCGACGCGGATGGCGAAAGAGGTAGATCGTGCGGCGAAACTGACGGCACTCGCTAGAGGACGGGGTAGAAGTGTGCTACCGGTGACAGGAGCGGGTGAGACGAATGCCTCCTGGCGCCGTATGATGTCCTCGACATATCTGCTCGGGGCATCCTTTTGATCCGTTTCCGTAGCTGCTGACATGTCGGTGACGACGATGTCGGCAACGACGACAACGACGGTAGAGAGAGTTCTCGGATTGAACAGGCTTCATCTACCTTATAAGGGAATGTGGATATTATTACATATTTTAATTTAAGTAAATAGTAGGGTATAATCGGTCGACAATAGAAATAGGGGCAAATGAGCGAGGCAGCAAATGGAAAGAAAACAAGAGAAAATCTGACGATATTATTATAAAGGGCAATGCAACATAAATACAAGTGCAAAAGACCCAAAAGGAAGAAAAACGATGATGTCCGAATCTGATTAGGAGAGAGAATGAATGAATGACTCCCAAAGGATGGAAATGATTGGCTACGCTTCGGGTTAGCTAAGGTCTTTTAGACGGTGTATATATAAGAGGCTATGAGAGGCGGAAGCGGCTTGGGAAAAAAATTGAAGCACGGTTGAAAGACAGGAACGTGAAAGACGGTTGATGCTCTCGTGGTCTAGTAGTGTACTATTATGTACATTTGTTACAGTGTAATTGCTTAACCAAACTTTACATGTGATAGTTGCGTGGGGGAAAGTTCACAGTCCGGTCTAAAATACCCTTAAATGTCCTAAATGTCATTGGCCACGTTCTTAAGGTCGCAGCGAATCTAACTAGGCTAACCAAACTTGGGATGTTGACCCATGAATTCCAAGATACCCCTGGCTTCCTTAGGAAGTCTATGGGAAGTCTATTGCAGCAAGGTTTTGAGCTAGGATGGAAAAAGTACTGCAAGATTTCCCAACCGTTTGGGCAACATTGAAAAATGCTGGGGCAGTGGAAACAATTACTGTACACAATACCTTATGTATGTACCTGCATCAAGTTGCATGCATCCCACATTGTATGAATGATGTACATCTCGCATATGTACTATTTACAATGTGCCTAGTAGATAATTACTAGGGGGGTACATGCACTACATGTATGCAAGTTTGTACCTACCTACATAGCATTACCACCGAACACATGGAACATTGAAACGTGTCGCCATCTTATGCTCTTTCGCTTTACATGTATCCCTGCCATGCGAATGCTATCTCCTGTCTAAAGTTATCTGCAGTATTGTATATCTATGTACTTTGATGTACTAATCTACGAAGGTGGGATGATTGATTGTAATACCTCGGCGAGGCGATTGGGATGCAGGAACCAAGAGACGGACGATGTCCACGTCATCTAACTATAACATTCTAAGGCTTCAATGTTGCATTCAATGTTGTTGGCCGAGTCATGTCCAACATGCCTAGGTCTGTATAGTTAGTGGAATTAATAAGCACCTAAAACATTATTCATTTGAACATTGTCATATAAATATAGAGTAGTGCTGTATAATTGGCAACTGGGTAATTTGTTATTCATCCATGATCTGCTATTGTTTGGATGAGTGAAAGCTTAGGTATGCAGTTATACAAGGTTATATATTGTATTATTTCATATTATATGAGTGTCAAATCGAGAGATATCACATCACCATGGGCCATGGACCATGGTTGAGATGTTTGGTCCTGGTTGGTTTTATTTCCAACCTCAATCCCCTTGCAATATTGATCTCACAGTTAATATATATGATATCCGGATCTGCCGATGAATGAATGTATGTAGGAATGTACATTGTAAGACTTTGATGTTCTATTCTTAGAGTTTCAAGCTTTGCGTTTCCCGGCTATTCAGCTCTTATGCAAGCTACACAGTAGACCCGGCCGGCTATCGTTAGGGATGGATCTAAAGGGTATTTATCGTTGGTGCTAGATACCCTAGGTACTACTAGTAGTAGGAACCAATCAATTAAGCTCGTTGAGCAGCCTAAATATTACGTTAGCCCTAAAATACCTTATGTCTTTAATGTTGTCCGTCCATTCCTAAGTGTTAGTTAATATACACAGGTACTAAAGGGTAGTACCAGCGCTGAGGTACGGCATAGTACAGGAGTCTTCAGGGGCCCCCAGAACAATTCAGGGGTCTAGGAGGGAATTTCCAGGGCTCAGGAGTTAGACCAAATTCCGACTCTTCGTATCCCATTTTTTGGTTTATCGTCGACGACCTGGCGTTATCGAGCGCTAGAAAAAGGAATAGGGCATCTCCTTTCAATCACTTCGTGGGTCTTTTTCCCTTTCTTCCAATTTCTCATCATTCAATTCATCCACTAAACTTTGGTTTTCGTCGTCATCAACCAATTAGCCTAGAACACTCACGGATCACTTTTACATCTTCTATTCAATATTCTCCATTGTTTTTATTCCATACCTTCATAGATCATCTGTCACATTAGACATTTCATATCGCTAAGGTATCCTTCGGTTTACATAATTATATTCGACATAACACATAGCCACACACGGGCAGTCACCGTGTTCGCTAACTCGTTGCCTTGTCGCACGGTTTCGTACGGTTTCGTGATTCGCAATTCGCAATTCGCAATTCATAATTCGCAATGGCAGAGCAAGCCCTATTCTCGTCCGACCTCATTTCTCCGGATGTTTCTGCTGCCCTCCCCGAAGGCTACACAGCTCGTGCCCTACGAGTATCTGACTATGATGCCGGTTTCCTCGATTGCCTTCGCGTCCTAACCACCGTCGGCGAGATCACCAAAGAGCAATTTGCAGAAAGATATCAGTGGATGGCATCGCAAGACACATACTACGTTCTTGTCATTGAGGACACCGCCAGATCGCAGGTTGTAGGGACTGGAAACCTTCTCGTAGAAAGGAAATTGTAAGCTGTTCCCTCGGATGGCCCCGGCTCGAGAGCCCAAGTATTAAAATCTGACACCCCCCGTACCAATACGGGTAGGTATTGATCTGAACAGGGAGAAATGACTGCTAACACAACGATCTCTCCCTAAATAGCATCCATAGCCTTGGCTTAGTCGGCCACATAGAGGACATCGCAGTCGCCAAAGATCAACAAGGCAAGAAGCTAGGTCTTCGCCTAATCCAGGCTCTCGATTTCATTGCCGAGAAGGTCGGTTGCTATAAGACCATTCTCGACTGCAGCGAAGCGAATGAAGGTTTCTACGTCAAGTGCGGATTTCGAAGAGCTGGGCTAGAGATGGCCCATTACTATAACAACGATAAAAGTAAGGCTTAATAAGCTGCTTGTCTTTTGTTTCGTTTTTTAGCCGCAGAGAAGTTGTAGATGGGATTGGACAACGACATATACCTGATTACCAACCTATGCTGTAACGTCTCTTTAGAATACTCGGCTGACACCGGAATCTTGAAAGAGTCAAAGATTTAGCTTGAGTGAATTGGTTTAGCCGGCTTGGAGCGATTATGGAATACATACGTAAGGGACAAGACTTATATACTGTAGAGTTCGGGTACCTCGGCCAACTACCCTCCCCCCATGGAAGGGTTATTAAGAGCATTGGAAAAAGTGTAGAGCATATTCGGTGACACGTGAAAGAGGGGCTTGTGAATATGCCGCCAACCGTCAACGAGAATATTGAAGACAAACGATTTCGTCACTACACTGCGACGCTGAGTAGAGCTTGGAGAATGCCTGTACTAAGCTCCTCATGGCCTTCTAATTTGGGCTGATGGGTCATACGGTAACGATAACCAACATTATGACAGCTACTCGATCTGAGAATCTCCGAGGCGCGAGTCGCTCGTTCACCAATCCGAGTAGGTCACCAAACTTGGCATCTTACTGTGATGTGTCTGGACGAGTAAAGCTTGGCTTACTCAGATATGAGGGGCGTAGCAGCTCCTCTACGGCATATTCTCATGCTTCGCAGGAGCACATGATACACAGTATAACCGGTGCGATTTTTACCTGGGCACTAGGTATGTACTAGCTCATCTCACTGATGGTTATAAAGCCTCCTCTCGCTCTTGTGCTGCCAAAGATTCACATTATCATAAGTGCCAATATCATTTTTACAAATTCAATCTGATTTGCATGACTTCTACTTAAGGGTTTCCATAGCTATCACACTTACAAAGCTCGTCGGCATTCTCGCCTTAGCTATCCTAATTCGCCTACACACAAATTGTATTTGAATCGGACATTCGTCCGGAGATCCCCAAAGTTCATACCCCGAAGCCACCTCTAGACCAAGCCTAAGTTATTGAGATATGGCTCATAGCAGCAATGCAAGCGTGGTCGTGACTGATCAGGACCTCCGCAACGCTCTGATCCGAACAAATATAGCCTTGCTTCAACGAGAGTATGTCTTGCAATCCCCACCACTGAATTCGGAGGCGTGAACCACAGAAGTAGCACCACTTCACAGCAACCCCCCCCCTTTAAATAGAACACCGTCTAATAGACAACCTACTTAGGGTCCGTGAAAAGAAGCACTGGTACAACAGCCGGCGCGTTGTAGTCCGCAAGCGTAACGGTCGTATTCACCTCTCACGCCTAGGATCACAACAGCACCAGAACGAGTACATATCCGTAGAATACGAAGACGACGAAGAGGAATCCCAAAACAACGATTTCACGTTGGTTGACAAACATCCCCTATCGTCGCGATCTGCCAGCTCTAGCTTCAGTGTCTCTTCAACCTAACCCTCTTTCCACTGAATACTCCCGCCATGACACAAACTGTGGCTTCGAGACCGCCACCTAAGCAATGGCTCATGGGCACGGAGGCGTTCGAGCGCCGCATGCCGCACCATGCCGGCATCCGCGCCCTCTGGGAGACTAAGTGGCGCCAGCCCTGTCGTATGTCGGTGTACCCATTCCACGACGGCCGCTTCGAAGACTTCGAGCCCATCTTCGAATCTCTAATTGCCAAGAATGTCGATGACGGGACATCCGCGGACTACACGCTCGCGTTTATCCCCGTGGCCCAGTCCCTCAATCAACTGGGCGACGGTGCCTCTGTCAAGGGAAATCACGAGGAAGCGTCGAAACTGTACCTGCGTGCTGCATGCGTGCTGCGCATCGCCCGATTCCCCTACATAACTGGGTTCCCGCAGCCCAACGACCCCGCAAAATGGGAGGCCTGGGACCTGCAGAAGAAGATTTACGCCAAGGCCGGGTCTGCCTGGTCACCCAGTCCACTCACCGAGGTCGACATCCCGCATAAATTCGCCAAGGGTGCCGACCGCGACGTCATACCGACGTACGTCCGTGTACCCAGTCCTACTGTTAGCAGCAGCAATGGAAACACAAACATGAACGGGAACGGTCAAGCCCAACAAAAGCACCCCGCCGTGATCCTCCTCACCGGCCTCGACGGCTACAGACCGGACAACACAACCCGATGCGACGAGTTCCTCTCCCGCGGCTGGGCCGCCCTCGTCCTCGAAATCCCCGGCACCGCCGACTGCCCCGCCAACCCATCCGACCCCTCCTCCCCCGACCGCCTCATCGACAGCGTGTTCGCGTGGATGGAATCAGACACCCGCTTCGACATGTCGCGCGTCCTGTGCTGGGGCCTCAGCAGCGGCGGCTACTACGCCGCGCGCGCCGCCCACACGCACCGCGCGCAGCTGGCCGGCGTCGTCGCGCACGGCGCCGGCACGCACCACTTCTTCGACCGCGAGTGGCTCGCGCGCGCCGACGGCCACGAGTACCCGTTCCAGCTGACGCCGGCGCTGGCGACGAAGCACGGGTTTGGGGAGGACGTGGAGGCGTACCTGGAGGGTGCGCGGACGAAGTTCTCGTTGCTGGAGACGGGCGTGCTGGGGCTGCCGAGTACGCGGCTGCTGCTTGTCAATGTGAGACCCCTCCCTTCCTTCCTTCCTTCCTTCATTCCTTCATTCCTTCCTTTCCTTCCCGCTTCTTAACATATACATATACATGTTTTTCTTTTCTTTTTTTTCCTTTTTTTCCTTTTTTTCCTTTTTCTATATATTTGATGATGATGATAAGCAACCTACCTACCTACCTACCTACCTATATACTAACGGCAACAACAACAACAAACAGGGCACCCACGACGGCCTCATGCCCATCGAGGACTCCATGCTGCTCTTCGAGCACGGGTCGCCCAAGGAGGCGCGCTTCTTCACCGGTGCGCTGCACATGGGGTACCCCATGGCGAACGCGTCTGTGTATCCGTGGATGGAGCAGGTTATGGCCTCTGTTAAGTGATTGTTTATATATTATATGCAGTAGGTAGTTGCTTAGGTGTTTTAGGTGTCTAGAAAGATACTTAGATACTTAGGTTAGACAGGTGATTGGCATTGTTCTGACCCGCTACTTGCTGTCTTGGGCAAAAGACCTTCTATTCCTGCCTACGCCGTTTAGGGGGAAAGAAGTGTTAGATAATGTCTTTGTTGTTCGTAGCTCTACATGTACCTAGCTTCCAACACTAGGTATGGCTCATCGTAGCAATAAGGTAGCTAGCTTACCAATGTTCAAGTAGTAACCATGATGGTCTCCTATAGCGCCTAACACTATTTCCTCTTCTATTCCCATAGCTCACAATCCCACCAGCATGCTCTTACCTCCCCATCCACCCCCCATCCACCACCAACGTATGCCCACTAACATACGCGCTGGCCCTGCTCGCCAAGAAAACCGCGCCCCCCTTAAAATCCTCAGGGTCCCCCCACCTCCCGGCCGGTATCCTGGCACTGATGCTCGCGGCCCTCTCCTCGTCCTTGATCAGCGCCTCGTTCATCTCCGTCGCGATGTACCCCGGCGCAATCGCATTGACGTTGACGCCCCTCCCGGCCCACGAGTTCGCAAAGGCCTTGGTCATCTGCGTGACGGCGCCCTTGCTCGCCGCGTACGCGGGCACGTTGAGCCCGCCCTGGAAGGACAGCAGGCTCGCGAAGTTGACGATGCTCCCGCGGCGGCCGGTGGCGGGCGAGGGGGGGAGGGAGAGCATGTGGGCGCCGGCGTCGCGGGTGAGGGTGAAGACGGCGTCGGCGTTCACGCCCATGACGGCGCGGTAGTCGGCGTCGGGGAAGGCTTCGGGGGGGTGCCGGATCTGGATGCCGGCGCAGTTGATGAGGATGGTGATGGTGTGGCCGTCGGCGAGGACGGAGGGGACGATGCGGGAGACGTCGGAGGGGATGGTCAGGTCGGCGGTGTAGATGTGGGCTTTGCGGCCGAGCTTTTCGATGGCGAGTTTGGTTTCGGTCGAGGCTGTGGAGCGCTGTGTTTGATGTGTGAGTATAGGGTTTGGGGTTATTTTGTTATTTTTACTGCTTTTTTATTTCCTTGGAATTTATTTCCTTTGAACGGGGTGGTAGATGTCAATGGCTGGTGTACATACCTGAACTAGTATTATATCAGCACCTGCCTCAGCGAGACCTATGGCGACGTATTGGCCGATTCCTCTGGTTCCGCCGGTTATGAGGGCTGTCTCGCCCTGGAGGGAGAATAGTGAAGATCCGGTTGCCATGGTGTGTGAATGTGAGGCGGTTGTAATATGTAAGGGCCAGTGTATTGCGTGAAACCCCGATAGAGTATCAATCTCATCGATTTATTAATTTTAGAACTTTGGAACTTTAGATAGTATGTACGTAACTAGAATGATTCTCCCCTTTCCGCATTCGGAGCTAAGTGGTGATTAGATCAAACCGAACAAAAAGCCAGTTTCTTAACACCAAGATGAAAATACAGAATACATGCCAGGTGGACAAATTGGGTCAAAATCGGCGAGCTATAACACTATAACCTAGATACTTCCAACGCGCCCCCCTATTACTAGTATACTACACTCCCCTCATTGTAACTTGAATCGCCCCTCACTTTTTAACTTTTCACTAACCAAGGCATTCCCTGAAGCGGGGTAGGGTTGGGGAAGGTAATGGAGATATTTCAATGTTCGGCTACAAACGATGATTTCTACCGAGTCTAGGTACTATATACGCCGGTTATACTTGGGCAGTCTATCTAGCATGTACTACTAATAGTACCTGTGCTAGATATTATCGAGACCAGGAAGTTCCCTGACAACCCCCATTCACCCCGCAAAGAAACCATGGTAGCCTTAGCTTCACGGGGTAATGCCAGAATCCAGATGAAACTAGGCCAGTGAAGTAAGTGATATACATAATATGAATGTACCTAGTATTGATTATAGGTACTAGGTAACTAGGTTGGTAGCGCCAGTGGATTATCAAAGTGAGCTCCGTCGTCGGTTGACGATGTCACTGTATTGCTTCTATTCTAACTTTCTCATTTCTTTCAACTTCGCTCCCCTAAATCCTAAATGAATTGGATGCTTTCTGTTTGAAAACCTGAACTAAGAAAGTTTTAATCGATAATAAGAATTCGTCGTTGAGACGAATTGGTAAATAGAGTAAAGATGAGCGCCACTGACGTTAAGGCGTCTGTGCTTCATGCCGCAACAGATGTTCGGATAGTAAGTCTCCTCTCAGACAAAGGGCAGATATAAAAAGGGAAAAATGCTTACAAAAGTAACAGGAAACCCGGCCACTACCCGTCCCAAGCCAAGGAGAAATCCAGGTAGCCGTACAAGCAACTGGTCTCTGCGGCTCCGACCTCCATTACTTTCGTCACTTCCGCAATGGCACCATCCAAGTCCGGGAACCACTGACCCTCGGTCACGAGTCTGCCGGCATCGTCGTGGCTATCCCGTCAAGCGGATCCCCATTCCAAGTCGGCGACCGCGTCGCCCTCGAGGTCGGCCTGCCCTGCGAGCAATGCGAGCTGTGTCTCGCCGGCCGCTATAACATCTGCCGCGGTATGAACTTCCGCAGCTCCGCTAAGGCCTTCCCGCATTTTCAGGGTACCTTGCAGGAGAGGATCAACCACCCGGCTAAGTGGTGCCACAAGTATGTTGTCTGCCTTACTCTGTACTTGGACGATGCTAACCTGAAGAAAAATCTGAAGGCTGCCAGACACCCTAACCCTCGAGCACGGCGCCATAGTCGAGCCCCTGTCCGTTGCCATGCATGCGCGGGACCGCGCGAGCATTACTCCCGGGTCCACGGTACTAGTCCTCGGCGCCGGGGCCGTAGGTCTGCTCTGCGCTGCCGTGAGCAAGGTGGCCGGTGCCAAAACCGTCGTCATCGCGGACATACTGGAAGACCGGGTGAAATTCGCCGTTGACAACGGATTTGCTGACGCCGCGTTCACGGTGCCGATCCCTGCGACGAGACCGGAAACGATAGAGGATAAGCTTGCGTACGCTCAGGACGTAGCGGCGAAGCTTAAGGCCTTACAGGTTGCGGGGGCAGAGAATGGGGTTGGGGAGGCAGCGGTGACGTTTGAGTGCACGGGTGTTGAGTCGTGCATGCAGACGGCGATATATGTTCGTTACCCTTTTTCCAATCTCTCTACCCCTAACACCCCCACGCCCACCCCCTATTCCTCCTTCCCTCCTTACAATACAAGCAACTAACACCCACCAAGGCAACCCAACCCGGCGGCAAAGTCATGATCATCGGCATGGGCGCGCCCGTGCAAACCCTCCCCATCATGGCCGCATCCCTAAAAGAAGTGGACCTCGTCGGCGTCTTCCGCTACGCCAACGCGTACCGCAACGCCATCGACCTCCTCGCGAGCAACAACCCCTTGTTCCCCGACGTGCAGAAGCTGGTCACGCACCGGTTCCGCGGGTTGGAGAATGTGCCTGCGGCGTTCGACACGGCGGCGAAGGTCAAGGATGAGAGGGGGGAGTTGGTTATTAAGGTTATGGTGGATATGACGGCGTAGGTAGGTAGTAGATCCAATATATGGAGGCAGGTAGGGAGTTGAAGTTTATTTGCTTGAAAATATTTATAGATTTCTCGACGGATGGCTATGTCGGTGTGAGTGAAAGTGTTCGTGCAAGAAAAGGGGTGTATAGGTGCATGTGATACCATCCAGGATTGAATATACCTATGAGATGTTCCTATATGCAGTCATACAAGTAGGTATCTGTGAGATAATTGGTTCATTGATTGATTGATGGAAACCTTGGAAACTAACTATATTCTCTACTCTCATGTATATCACTTCTATCAAAAGAGAACACGAAATAACGAAATATGTTCTCTTCTATTATGCGATAGAGAAATGTCTAGTTAGGTTATAGTTAGACGTGACCAGTCAACTAGCTAGCCTAGATGATGCATTCATCTGGCTGCCCAAGTACCTACCTATGTATCTCAACATTTGGCGTCTCGAGATTACCCACCTCCTATATGTATAACTAGATCTTCCATATACAAACCAACCCAACCCCCCCCCCAATAACCACCATTCTAAACACCATTAGGCAAAGCCCTCCCCTCATTCTTGTCGGGAAACCCGAAGTTGATGCCGAAGGGCGGGTAGACGTAGCGCTCGACCCGTCCCTCCTTCACGAGGCGCTCCGAGTACTCGTCCAGGATCCGCAGGTCCTCGGCGTCGAGGTCGACGAGCTCCAGGTTCGCCTTGATGCGCGACGCGGTCACTGACTTGGCGAGGACCGTGGAGCCGCGGGCCACTGTTGTTGTTTTCGTGGTTAGCATTTCCTTTTTTTTTGGGGGGGGGGAAGGTACTAACCATGATAACTCAACAACACCGCCACGGGCCCCGTGCCCTTCCGCTCCGCGACCTTCGCCACCGGCTCGCTGCTTAGCAGCGGGCCCCCCGTGCTGCCCAGCGGACTGTACGCGACCACGTGGATGCCCTTCGCGCGGCACAGGTCCACGACCTCCTGCTGCGGCAGCGCCGGGTGGTTCTCGATCTGGTTGATGGCCGGCACGACCTTGGCGTGCGCGAGCAGCTGCTTCAGATAGACCTCGCTATAGTTGCACACGCCGATGCCCCTGACCTTGCCGCCCGGCAGCAGCGCCTCCATCTGGCGCCAGGTGGCGACGTGGTCGTGGTCCCACAGGATGTCCCTGGAGCCGTCGGGGAGCTTGGGGAAGCGGTCGTCGTTGCCGCGCGGGTTCATGCCGACGGGCCAGTGCACGAGGTACAGGTCCACGTAGTCCAGCCCCAGGGCCCGGAGGGACTTGTCGAGCCCGACCTCGGCCCGCCCGCTGTACGTGTTCCACAGCTTCGTCATCACGAACACCTCCTCCCGCTTCACCACGCCCGAGGCGAACGCCGCCTTGAGCCCCTGCCCCACCTCCTCCTCGTTCCCGTAGCAGTACGCCGCGTCGATCAGCCGGTAGCCCACGCGCAGGGCGTACTCGACCGAGGCGGCGACTTCGCCGGGGGCGGCTTGCCATGTGCCTGTTGGGGGAGGGGGAGATAGTGTCAGTTTAAGTTCTTATGTATTCTTTTTTTTATGGCGGGCTGGGTGGGATATGAGGGGCAATGGTGTTTGCGCTGGGACGATATAAAAAAAAAAAAAGAAAAGGCACGGGAGGGGTTGATCCATGGGAGAGTTTATCTACGATGATTGTCCGTATATCTCAATTTCAATCTCAATCTCATAGAGATTAGAAGATATAAAACGGGACGATGATAGACGACAACGTAGCACAACGATGCAATACAAGACGAGACGAGACGAGCCAAGACAGTGAAAGAAAGAAACATACCGAACCCGATGGCGGGGATCTCCTGGCCGGTATTCAGCTTGAAGGACTTGGGAGCCATCGTGGGTTATTCGTTAGGTGAGTGAGTAAGTAAGTGTGACTAAGTGAGTACGCTGAACAGGTGAGTGGATGAGTAGGCAAGTGAGCAGGTCTTAAAGGGTTGAAGGTTAGGTTATCGTCAAAGTTATGGCTACAACTCAAAGAGATTCAGACTACTAGGTAGATAAGTCGGAGACGAACAACATTGAAATAATAAACGAATAAGTCTAGGTATAGCCTAGGTTAGGTTAGTTAGCCAGATAGATGTCGCATTTTCCAAGGAGTCCGATATTATAGGATAATGCTACGACTACTAACTACTACTTACTTACTATGCCGCCTACCTATCTACCTAAGTAGGGGGGCATGTGCCTAGAAGTTATTATGACACATCCGGCAAAATACATAGCGAGCTACGTTGAATATCCAACCTTGGAAGTCTAATCGCTTGGCTGAGATGTAGCTATAACGTTTAAGGGGGGCATCGTCGATTTTACCCGGTTCTCGCAGTGCCTGGGGATTTAGAACCTAAGTACAATACATACTAGCGATATACCCCGCCATCTGTATGTAGTAGGTGGGTGCTGCTACGGTGGGTGTTTTAACAAATATAGTCTCAGAATATCAACTCTCTCTTTTTAACAGATCCATTGGTTTATAAAGAGAGTATCATATCAAAATATCAGCAATGAGTAGGTATAAAACCTGCTTGCCTCTTATAAAGCCAAACCTCGAAAACAAGGGTGTAATATAAGTACGTGGGACAAGTCCTCTATACCCATAGTGCTATACATGCTGTATATACAACGAGGGGCGGAACTTCTCGGCTAGATGTAACCCGAGTGCGGAATACTTAAGTTATACCGATTACAACATGTACACGGATCTTCAAACCAGTTATTGAAATACCAGATATCAGACTTGGTAGTAGACTACTAGGTTAGATACCTGTTCAATGTTCTACATATGTATAGGTAGGTACACACCAAAAACACCACCGCATCTCAACTGCCTGCGCTCTCTTACACACTTGCACACTTGCACACAACACATACACCTATGCACCTCCAGGGATATCTACATATCTGCCATGTACCTAGGTAAATAAGTAGGCATATAGCGGGATGAACACTCCATAGGTAACTATTGTATCCTACACAGTACTCACCAACACACCAGCTAGCCAGCCCGCCGGCATACATGCATAGCTACACATGCTACCTAGTACCCTCAAATAGCAGTGGTAGTACATAGGTATACATGCATGCATGCATGTCATTACAACAATTGTATAAAAAAACAAACAAAAAAAAAAGTAGGTAAGTCTCTCTCTCTCTCATCTACCAGCCGGATCTGGAACGGATATCAAGAGTACCAATACCTAGGTAGTAGGTAATAATGTTAATGTACAAAAAGTTTTCCCTTTTAAAAAACGAAGCGAAAATAAGGTAAATATAGTAGTACACCAGCGTCGCTACTAATAACGTCTCGTCTCGTCTCATCCCGTTTCGTTTCACCCTTGTGTTTGTTTCTTTCTTTCTCGCCTAACCCGCTATGAGAACCCATAATCTGCGGAACTGGTTAGCTGGGATACTCACATTCCCGAGGAGGGAGGGAGGGGGATAATGCTCACAGGAAAAATATCATTAATACACCAAACATCTTGGCGATCAGCCATCGATTGCTTGATACGCGTGACCAGTACTTCAACAACTCTCGCTGCGCTCCCTGCACATTGTCGACCACATCCTCCGTATTGGCGTCGATGCGCTGGATCATCTCGCTCTGCTCCGCCACCATTTGCGCAAGCTGCCCGAAAATGGATCCTAACTCGCTAATAGTCTTCTCGATTGCCTCGATTGCTTCGCCTCGTTGTTGTATGTAGGAGTTTTGCGGCGCGGCCTCTTCCATCATAAGCATTTGTTGGTCGTTTACCGGATTTAGCGATAGTAAGTCCGCACCGGGCGAAGGTGTGCCTCGGTTAGGTGTTGCGTAAAGCGGACTGGCTGATTGTTGTTGGAGGGCCGGTTGCGCATGTTGGGATACCGAAGAGATGAAGTTTTCGGTGCGCGATCGCGATGCTTGTATGTTCTTGGTTCGAACCTCGAGCACATCCTTGAAGTTGGCGCCCACGTCACTGAGCTTTCCTTGTAGCATAAGAACAATATTCTTATTGTGCTCGCCCTCCTGGTCCGCCTTGGGGTGCATTTGTCGCGACAGCGTCTGTAGTCCACTGATCTGCTGATTTAATGAAGAGAGATCTTGTTTTATTCTAGTTACAAAAAACCCATGTTAGTAACAGCCTACGTGACGATATTCAGGGATTCGGAAAGCAGGGATTATATACATGAATGTGAGCTCGTTGATCTCGATAGGCCGGTCATCGAATAGCGTCTTGCGTTTTGCCAGCTGCGCGAGCTTTTCCAATTTCCCCATGGTAGCAGCAATCCCGCGCCCTATCTCGGCCGCGCGTCTCGCGAACTCGGAGCGCCGATGCGGTTGCGCATCGCCATTGGCGGCAGATTTTTGTGAGTCGGTTAGGAGTGATCTTCTTTGTGCGCTAATCTTAGACGAAGCCTGTCGTCTTTGCACCTGGGTTAGGACGGACTTGAACTCGGACGTTCGGTCTTGTATCGACGTGACGGCCATCCTGACGCGCGCCGAGCCGGCAAGGTAGAGTAGGAAATGTGGTGTAGTAAACCGGATCTGGACAAAATAGGACAATAGGTTGTTCGAGTGGCTACGTCAATGCGAAAGTGGACCAAGGTAAGAGGTTAGAACTGAACAAAAGTCGTCGCCGGCGGAGAAAGTAATCAAGGGAAAAGGGAATGAAGAGAAGTCGTTAGCAGTAAGATGTTTCGGGAAAAGCGGCTAAAGAAGTTGGGAAGTTGGAAGAGTTGGGAGAGAGTTGCGAAGGTAAGGTAAAGTATTATTAAGGTTAGGGTAATAATAAAATTATTAATGCTTAAGATCTTTGTCTTATTGTAAAACAAAAAAGACGTAAGAGGTGGATTCTTTGGAGAATTGTATGACTTCTGTCGAGCGTCGAAACTTCCCAGCTTGATTTGAGTTCGAGGTTTGGTTGGTAGGTTGGTACGAAAGAGATTAGACAGATTGGACTTCAGCCTTAAAACTCTCCTGAGGCCACCATGTTTAATTGCAGGCACAGCGATGTCGAACTGTGGCGGTGCTGAGATTGCGTAGTGCCTCCATACATAGTACCTAGTATGCAGGGCTATTTTTATGGCTTATGATGTCACCTGTTCACCAGATAAATACCTCGGTACCTACTAAGGTTACGTGATTCCATTTACTATGTATTCGCCTTTCTTCTTCACGTTAAATCGTACTACTATACACATAAGTTTTGTTAAATATAAAGAAGTTCCAGTATAACAACGCCTTTCTTCATTAAAAATGATAAAAATACTAACAATTAGTACATTAGCTAGGGTGTGTATAGGTAGGTATAGATAGGTAATGCGTAACGCCAAAAGCAAAGAAGGGATTCCAAGATAGCTCAGATAAACGGAGACGACATTGAGTACATAAATAAAGTGACGTGTCTGGGCTAAGCTAAGCAGGTATATAGGTGGTATGTACCTAGGCATGTAAATAAGCAAGTACTAGGCTAGGTAGGTGTATATAGTAGATATCAGTATAGGTGTGTAGGTATATAGGCAGGCAGGTAAAACATCGAATTCCAACATCATCCATCACATCCCATTCCTCCAAGCATGAATACTAGGTAATAATAAACGATTCTTTTTATGTTTCCGCTTCGTGATGAGTGATACAGAAAATATCCAAGAAAGAAAAAGGAGACGACCGAAAAAAAGAGCCATCCTAGGTATTCTAAGCTTCCATCATCCCCTCTTCCATCCGTAGATTCAAGGCCAAAAAAGATATATATGATATATAGGTAGGTATATAGGTAGGTATAATAAATAGTAAGGGAATTTTGATGATGAATGTAGTATGTCACGTCACGTCACTTTCGCTTCTTCACGTCTCCACGTCTTCGCTTCTTCGCTTCTTCACTCCCAATCACCAAACTCACCCGCGCCGTACGGATTCCACTCCTGGCCGGGATACGAGGTCGCGCTCATGACGGGCATGCCATCGTCGTCATCATTCACAGCCGCCAACTCGACGGGCTGGTCGACCAAGATCTTCTCTTCGGGCTCGGCTGGGTGCATCTGGATCTGGATCTGTGCCACCGCGGGCGAGGGGGTCGAGCGGTCTGAGTCCGGGTCTCCGAATCCCGCGTCCCGCATCACCACTCCACCCCCTGCTCCAATGCTAGCGGCACCTTCAGTGGCAGCAGCAGCAGAGCCGGCACCATTGACGCCCTTCCGGCTTCTTTCAGACCCGGCGTACGAGCCTGCGTACTTGGTGTTGTCCTCGTACACTGCCTCCCTGCCTAGCCCTATCCCCAGCCCCTGAGGCTGCTGGGTGTGCTCTTGGCCCGGCCACTGTGCCTGGTTCTGGCCTGGGGGATGGTTTAGCAAACGACCACCCATACGCGGTGTAGCATCATATATGTCGCCGTTTTCCTTATTGTCATCAGCACGGCTGATGCTGATGTTCAGATGATCAGCACTGTCGTGAATGCTGCTACTTGACATCGGGTAACCGTATCCCGTGAACACCGGGATCCCTGGTGCACCTGGCGGGGGCTCAGGGCTCACGGTCATAGCGCGATTGCCCATGATATCGGGGCTTAAAGAATTATTATTAATTCGGGGCGGCTGCTGCTGCTGCGGCTGTTGTATTTGTGGCTGCTGCTGCTGTTGCTGATGTTGATGTTGCTGCTGCTCATTGGCATTGTTATTAAGAGCTACTGTGCTCATTTTGCTCACGAGACGGCTAGCGGACGAAGAAGATCCCTCGGATGGATGAGGGGACTCGCCAACTCTGGCTGGTTGGAAGGGGCGGACTGCCAGGGTAAAAGGTTCGATATCCGGGGATCCGGGTTGGAGGATGGTAGGATGCGCGGTATTCATGGCTGTGACGATGTGCTGCGGCTGCGCGCGTTGGCTGACATCGTTATCGTTTGGCGGGGACACCCTCAAGCCCGTAGGTTTAGGTTGGCCGTGGGGAGCAAACTGGCCAGCCTCGCTTTGTAGTTTCGGAGTGCGCACACTATCTGGCGCGCTGCCCCAATTGGAACTAGATGGGGTTGGCGCTTCCAAATTTTGTTCTTGCTGGTTGTTAATATGTGTTGTGATTTGAGGTTGGTGAGATGCCTGAGCATTTCTAGCTTGAAAAGACGCGTTCTGGGCGACTTCGTGATCGTATTGGAATCTATCATGTGGCCGCGGAGGAGGGGGAGTTGGTGCCATGTCCAAAAAGGTGCCTTGATCCGATGGTGTCGGAGTTACCGACCCGGAAGAATGCTGGCCCTGGATAGACGGCGTTGGGAGGCCCGGTTGACCAGGTTGTGTAGGAAATTGGCCATTTGGAGCACCGCGAGAATCCCATCGCGGCTGTTGAGCACCTGGCGGCACGACCGTCTGGAATTGCTGAAGTGATGCAGCCGGTGGGCTAGGACGACCAATATTATATGGTGAAGGAGCTATCATACCCGGATTACCATAGCCGTGGACGGCTTCGTACCCACGAGGGATAGGGACTACGTCGTATCGAGGCTCGACCTGCTGCTTAGACGCTCGGCGTTGTTGGCCGGGTGCGGAAGCTTTCGCACCTTTCATCTGAGGATTTTGACCACGACCCATTCCCATCTGCATCTGGGGCGGCACCGGACCGTTTACTGCTCCATGCATCATCGGGGGCACCATTCCCTTTTGTCCTGGTGGCAACTGGCCCCTGCCTTGGCCAGGCCGCATTGAACCTTGCTGTAAGTTCGTCATGGGGCCAAGTGGTCCTGCGGGCGACGGGCCGCTGATCTGCGGACCTTGACCGGGGTGTTGAGCCCGCATCATATTGGGAGGTATTTGGTGACCAGGTGGAGGTCTTTGTTGTTGACGAGGTTGGCTGTTGGGCTCGGACTGCTTACTGCCTCGTTTAAATGCACCGAGGAACTTGGATGCAGCGCTCTTCTCTTTCTCCTTCAACTCTTTTGTAGGCGGAGGAGTTGTTTCAATATTTCTGCCTTTCGTGTCAACCCCGAAGAACTTTGATAAGGTGCTTTCGGGTGCATTAGTAACGAAGTTAGAAGGCCCTCCCGTCATATGTTGATAAGGCCCTATGGGCGGTGAATTAGCAAAAGGGCCATTGGGTACCCAACCAAGAGGACCTTGACCCGGCGGTGACATGCCAGGCCGGCCTTGAAGACCTTGGCTCGCTAAACCCGGTAGCTGTCTGTCTTGTAAACTCATCGGTCCTCTTGGGGAAAATTGTCCAGAACCCGACGTTCCTGGGGAATTTACTTGCCCAGGTTGCGGTAGCATCGGGGGATGTCCTGGTGAAGGGAGGGATGTCTGGCGCACATGTCCTAGTTTACCAAGAGTGGGGCTTTGCTGGCCAGACGGAAGCTGACTTGACAGCCTCTCATCGTCATCTCCGGCCCCGGGCTGAGACCCTGAATCATTGGGGATTGCTTGTGGCATAAAATTTTTGGTGGGGGTCGAGCCAGTTGGTGTCCCACCCCGCCCCGGAGTGCCAGAGCCAACGGGCTTCCTGTTAGGTGTGGTTCGCATTACTGGCGAGCCATTGAACCGTTCCCGAGATCCATCATCGCCTTGTGCAGTAGATGGTCGCGTATTTGGTTGAGATCCTTGCTTGTAGGGTATCTGGGGTCTCTGGAGAGGTGAAATGGGGGTTCCACTGCCTTGCTGGCTTTGAGTGGAAACCGTTATTTCCGACGGTCGCCGTATCGCAACCGCCTGTGCCATTCCAAAGAATTGCGGAGACACGGGTGATGCCATGTTGTTTTCCCGGGCATTTAGGGTATTTAGTGGGCCAGCCTGCATAGATCGTGGGATGCCCTGTGGCCCTGGCAGGCCCTCCTGGATGGGAGGTCGTTGGCTAGTATACATTGGATGCTGGTTGAGTGGTTGCGCGGAAGATGGCATTTGTCCAGGTCGGGCCTGATAACCAGGCTGCCCAGGTTGTGTAGGGAATGGAGGTAGGGGTCGATGGCCTGGTGGTGGCATTTGCTGGTTCGGTTGATTTGGCTGATTCGGTGGCCTCGACTCTGGGCCCTTCACCCCTGGTTTATTGTGTGTATTAAATAACCCGCCTAAGAACCCGCCGCCATGTTTCTTGTCATGTTCGTCCTCTCCACGAGCATGCTGGTTTTCAGCAGGTCGAGGTCCGCCTCCGCTTCCATTACCTCGCCCCATCCCCATTGGACCTTGTTGCCCGGAGGGACCCGAGCTGGGTGGAAACCCCGTCTGGGCCCGAACCGGCCCTTGTGGCGAGGGCCTCGCGGATTGCTCGTCCTTTAAACCATCCTTTGCATTTGCAACCCCTTTGATCATTCCTCTGAGCTCTGATAACCGCTTCTTCATCGACGCGGGTTCTGGCCCTTCATCATGATCCCACATAGAAGTTTTTGGGACCCCGAGATTAGATTTTTGCTTCGGTTGATATTTATCGTGGCTGCTGAAGAATGAGCGCTTTTCCTTTCCGTTTTGGTCCGGGTGCTGGGAGCCTGCGTCAGAGCCCGTATTGCGCCGATTACTTAAACTGAAAATTCCTGATCCTCTCCTGCCTCCTTCCTTTGGTTGATCATCACTCGTAACACTAGAGACGGAGACCTCCTCAATTTGAACTAGTTTATCACTACATTAGTTACTGGACTGTTGATATTAGTTTGGTGATACTTACTGTCCATTTCCTTGTTGAGCTCATCGCTCCGCGCCCCTCCTTGATTTACCATATCATTAGCTTGGCCCTGTATAAAGGGATGACCAGGCGGGCGCGAGTGTGGGATTTGACCATGGGATTGCTCTAGTCCGTGAGGATGAGGGGGGATAAACAGACCACATCCTTCGTACCGTTTCGCTGATACCGGAGGTGTACTTCCACTATTACCCCTAAGTCGTGTTTGCGACATTCCTGGCCCTTTCGGTACTGACAGATCCTCAGTTTCCTTTTCGTACCCATAGTTTTCTTGGTGCTGCTGCGATGGACTATTTGACCCGGCACGGTTTCTGTGTTGAATTAAGGGTTTGGAAAGTTGCGACTCCTCTAGCTTCCATGGACCGGGAGGAAATTGTTTGATAGGGTAGCCAGCCATCGCTGGGACAAAGGTTCGCGGTGCGTTAGGTTGTCCGTACACCGGGCCAAATTGATTTGGCTGAGCGGAGGGACCACCCCGGTCCATCATCATCGGTTGCTGAAATCCATTAGGCTGACCACCCCCTCTACCGACAGGAATTCCGTTCTGATTTTGAGCTAGACCGTTCGTGGGAGCAGAATGCTGTTGGAATGGTGCCTGGGCAAGATTCTGAGAATTGTTATGGGAATGACCCGGTGTACGACTGTCCTGGCTTATATCGCGTGTATGCTTATGTGTATGCTCGTTACCGTTTTGGTAGTCGGCATCTTTCTCTACGGGAGGTGCAGGCGGCGTAGACTCATTATCGGAAGACCCAACTGGGGACGGAACGCTATCATCTTCATCACTGCCAAGCTTTTTTCTTGACATGAGGTCGAAGGTTGAAGTGCGACGGATGGGCGGCAAGGGAGTGAAACCAGATGCTGGCTGGGTTTCTCGTAGGTTGGAATCGCCGAAATCTGGCGAATGTGGCCTGTCCTCGGCCATGGGAACGGTCATCATCGTGGAAGGTAGTTGGCGGATTGGACCGATGGTAACCAGGGCTGAGAGATTGTAAGATATTACTTGGGCGCATTAACTCAATCCACTGTAGGCAACAAGATGCGCAACATCATGTTGAAAATCACTCTAGTTCAGGAGCTGACGCAGAACCTGCTGCAATGATATGCTACCGGCTGTATCGACCAACTTATGGCTTATAGCGCCCTTCTAATTCCAAAAGTCGAGTCCAAAAAAGCTTGGTGGGTTCTAGTGAGCGCGCCACACACAAACACGCACACGCACACGCAATTGGCGAGTAGTCGACGGGGACTCGTCGTGTTTGTCGTCGTCGTAGTCTTCTTCTTCGTCGTTGTCGCAACAATCGTAGTTTGCGAATTTCGAGTGTGTGTAGGATTATATTATATATTCTCGGTACGTTGACCAAGTCGGAACCGAGAGCGATGAGTGGCAGAAAGTCCTGGGTAGCGAAAGGTGCGGATTCCCCTTAATTAAAATGATTATAGTGAGCGGTCTAGGACTTGTCGAAAGGGTGGAATATTATGAGTGGTTGGCAATGATGCCGGGTTGGAGCAGTTTGAAGTCACGAGGTACCGACTACTGACCTACGGCGTAAGTATCACCTACTACCTACTAGGTAGGGTAGGTAGATAGGTATAGATAGTTAGTAGGAATGTATCTGTAAATAAGTAATGAAAAATTAGTGACGGTAGGAGACAACGCTCTCGTCTTTTTTTTTGAAAATCGCGGGATCTGGAATTGAAATTGCTAGGATGTCAGGATGGGAGCTAGATGGACGGATGGGATGGGGATGGAGACGGGGACCAAGACGAAGATGAGGAACGAGGACGAGAATGGTACCTAGAAGATCCAGTTTTTTATTGATTAACTGGCTCCCCCAGAAGCTGGAGCTGGCTGAAAAATGAATACGGCGTGATGGTTGGTCAGGCTCAAGATAATCCTGGTCTGGTCTACCTACAATTGTATGATATGTACGTATCAGTAAGTAAGTAATAAGTATATCTATATACATGCACGTGTATGTTATGCATAACTGCATTTGTAGCCTTTAGTAACATTGAATGTATCAAAGTTGGTCTATATGTAACTATATTCAATGTTATATATCTGTTTCAGTAGCTGGGTAGCTGTAAGAAGCATCAATGATAGCTCCGACAATTCGGATGATGGATATGTATGAATGGAGACATGAATCTCAAATTTACTACCTTCATGTAACCTAGCAGGCAACCTTGTGGACCCCCCTAAAGCCTCCTAGGATGCTAGTACCGTGCTACAGGGCTGGTATTAGATTGGGGGCCGTAATAAGACATTTTTACCATCCATGATCTGCGGTAACTAGTGGATATAGGTAGTTATGTGGGCTGAGAAGGACTTCGCTATCGTTAAGTGGTTTTTACTTTATTTTTCTACAGAGCGAAGAAACTACCTAGGTAACTATGGAGATAGCCTCTTATTATACTACAGTTTAAGTATTTGGCAGCTTACCTATATATAGCCAGTGTAATATCAAACGGCCAACCTTATTATCTATGGATGACTTATGACCATTGGGCAATTAACGGCCTAGTAGGTACTTATGTATGTAGTTAGATATTATTAGAAATGCGATCATGTATCAAGACCCACGAACGCCAGGTTTTGTTCCTTCGCTTGACTTATTCGGTGTTTACAGTTGCTACTGATATCGTCGCTACTATTGTGTATTTCTAGTAAGCTACCTAGCTAGCCAACCCTTATCGGCTTTGTTACGTTATGTAAGTACAATTTTTTCTTCTTTTTATTTTTGTTTCTATCTAGTTTCTGAGAATAGAGAAAAAGAAAGTGAAGGGGCTTCTATTAATACCCAATTGCCTAAGAATCAGCACGTTTCCTATTCTTCTTCATCCAACGCCAAGACTCGAATAGGTACTTGAAACATAAAGTGATGGACGACGAGCCTCTATTTGAAGCCGCTACTCACCAATGCTATGTATACCTCGAGCACCTTCGTGTCAAACCTCGGTGTTTAACGCCAACTACTCCGTGTGTAATCAACTATAAGACACATTACGCAGGTACGCCACAAATGGGTATCCGTATCCGGACCAGTGCCAGCACCCAGGTAATATCGTTTGATCCGCTTCGAGAAACATTTGCATACTGGGTACGTATCATGGAGGTATACCATGAAGGTGATTGGGCCGCCTTCGTGCAGAAAAAGGATTTCGTGCAGGATGCCCTGATTGCGTAACACAATGAGCCGCCGAAGTGGGCAGATCGGTTTAGAAACTTTGATTTCCTTCCAAACGTCCTCTTCGGTGATAAATTGCCTATACATCACAAACCGGCTACCTGTTTTATTCTCCTGTTCAGGCCGATTCGCAGCCTGCGACGCCCGCGACCCTAATAAACTACATGAGTGACCCAAGCCAGTTGGAAACTTGCGAGGCACAAGAATATGTGAATCGATCCATTGGGGGGAGCCACAGAGTAATGATGACTGTTTGACAAACCCTTCATCCCAGAATCAAGAAATAACCTCAAAGAACAGCAACGGGGTTGACCTGAAATAATGTATTGCCACCGTCTCATACCGTCCCGCCACCTGCCTAATAAACAAATGAAACCCAAAGACAAAATAGGAGAATAGGACAGGTTAGAAAAACACTTTATCTCCTGTCCCGCGAAGCTTGTTCTTTCCCTTGGCAAAGAGTTTCATGCCGGACTTCATGCCCTTGTTGCCAAAAGCTCCCGCCGCGTGTAGAAACTCTTTACTCTTTGCTCCAACTTGATTGTTATTGCCAAAGCTACTTGCAGGCTGTCCTGTGGGGGTTTGCTGTAGACTGCCAGTATTTGACCTTCCAAGCTGTGGCATAGGCGCACCTGGATGGCTGGCGGCCAAGTATTGTTGATAATATGGCTGTTGAGCCTGATTTGGTGTCATACTGGATGGCGACATCTGCCCTTGGGCTAGTACACCGCCAGCTTTTCCTCCTGTTGCATGCTCAGGCAGGCTCTGCATGTATGCAATCCAGGCTGACAACCCCGATTCCATGGCATAAAACTGAGAGCGAGTTTCATCAAATTTTTGGATCCTATGTTCAGTAGAGACAATGTTAAGGATGTCTCTAAAAGCCATGGGCTTGATCTGTTGCATCGATTGAGAAGATGGTACTGTCTGAGCAGTAGTAGATGGATCAGGCGTTGACTGTAGCGTGCTAGCTAAAGCGGGATGTTGGTCTGCCGATGGTGTGTCTGATACAGATTGTTCTAGTATTTGCTCTTTCTCGTCGGCAAGTGATAGACGGTGAGGTTCGGGCGATGCTGATTGTTTGTCGATAGCTGGCTCAGTGGCCGTCCGTATAATGGGAGAAGGTTCGAGGAGCGTCAATGAAGAATCTATAGGAGCCTGGCCATCTGTCTGAGGTGATTTGATTGTTTCGTCCGACGGGGCTTGGAGCAACGCTGAAGAAATAGACTTTTCTGTCTCTGTAGCTGGAGCCAGGCTAGTTTCTACCTGAGGCGCCGAGTTTGAGCCATAGGAAAGTGCTGATGAAGGTGGTTTGGACTCCGATGAACCGTTACCAGCTTTCTCACGGCTATCCTCCCAAGAGAATCGTCTTTCTCGTTTCGTCGGCTCCTGTACTGGGCTTCGGCGCGAGCTCAATGGAGCAATGTCTGGAAAGACATTTTCTTTCTGTAGGTCTGAGCCATGGGCAGCCTCTGTGTCATCAGGACCATAATACGATGGCCTCGATCCCTGCCTCAGAACTTGCCCCGTTTCTTGAAGAGATTTATCATCTACCATTGCCAAGTAATCATCATACACACCAGATAGATAAGTACTCTCTCGTGTTAACCTGCCGGGGGCCGGCTCAGCATCGCTAGGAGAGGACCCTAGGACGGCACCTGCATCAGGTGAAGTTGTTGAACTACTTAAAGACTTGATTATCTCCTCACTTAGTTTGTCGCTCTCCTTCTCTGGAGACGCACTATCACCGGCACTCGTCGTGAATATCCGCTCCTCTATACCAGACGTTACAAGATCGGGCGGGGCAGCGATAGAGCGACGAGGGTTCAGCGGCGCCGTAAGAGTAAACTCGGGTCCAGCAGGTGCTGCACTCCCGTGAGCAGATAGCGAGTGGGGCGGTGGCTTTTTGTAGGTTGAAGGTGAGAGTAGCATGGTACTTGAAATAGGCGCTTCCTGTTCAACGTTCTGTGCTGGATGGGACGGATTAACGGAACGCTCCGTCTTCAGAGGCGGGAGAGATTGGGGTGTTGGGTGAAGTCCAGGCCCGGCAGCAATTACTTTAGATGCAACCTCGTCGTCATGTTTTCCGGTGGGGTTATTAAAACCGTCTTCTCCAACCCCACCCACAGCAATAGTTTTTGCAGTTGCTTTCGAATCGTCGTTCGCTGATGGCAGCTGTCGGACAGTCGTGGTTGGTTCAAGATCAGCAGGCTCCGCGTGTCTACTACTTATTGGTGCCCCATCTCTGTTCGCAATGCTGCCCAAGGGGGTAGACTTGGGCCCTTCTTCCTTCTCTGCAGGTGTTAGGCGTTCGGGGCCAGGGGTGACAGTTTCCGACACCCAGGTTCCCGGAAGCTGAGGTCTGCTCTGCGTAAAGTATTGAGACGAAGTCGCGTAGTTTTCTTTTTGCGGTTCTGGCTTAGCTTCTAATGAAGGCATGATAATGTCGGGATTGGGTTCTAGTTTTGGACCTTCTAATACGCTAGAAGGATGGTTCCTTTCGGAACGTCCTACGTGGTCACCCTGCTTGTCCTCTGATCTCGCTGATAGGTCAGGTCTGGTATCAGTGGAATTGGTGTTCTGGCTGTCCGAATTTTGAGCTACCGAGCGACGATGCAAAGAAATGTGTTTTCCGGAAGATGAGAATAAGTCATCGCCAAAGCCGGACAAACGTGTAAGATCAGGCAACTTTGGACTAGTAGATAGTCGCGGTGGATTCACAAGCCCTTCGAACGACTTGGTCTCGTCATTGAGAGCTCCGGTTTCAGCATTTGCGGTAACCCGCTCTTCAACTGGAGCTAGGCTCTGTTTCGTACTGAGCGATGTATCTGGATTAGTATGGCTCCCAAAACCATTCCCCTGGTTGTGTTCGGCTACGAGGCGCGAGACTTTTGATGGCGAAGATGATCGGCTATTTCGTCCCTGGGCGCTGTCCATGCTAGGCCTACTGGACTCCATAGAGATTCGTTCTTTCTCCCGATCTTCTCCTACTCGACGATATATATCCGACGGCCTAACCAATTGCGACGTGCTTGTAGAACTACCTGCCGAGTTTTCTCTTTGGACTAACCATGGCGGGGCAGCTGAACCCAACTCTGCTCGAGTGCCTGATCTAAGTGCACTGGGGGTGAGATTATCATCTGCGGTTTTACTACTCTGGCGGAGGGGGAAGCGTGCTGAACCAGAAGAACTCTGCGCAGACGAGACGGTTTCAAACGGGCGAGTCCTTGGATTGACACTAGTTTGTACGTGTAAAGATGGCGGGACGTCTTGTGCATTTCTTGTTCCTGTCAGACCAGAAGCCGCTGAAGGATCGGCGGTGGACTGAGGTTGAGAGAATGTCCTTGGCTGCGGTGGGCGTAATGTCGCTGCTGATGGCTGAGGCTCTTGGTTGGATTCATTGAACTCATCGTATTCGTCCTCATACTCGTTTCCCCAATCGTCGCCATCGTAGTTTTGAACCTTCGCCTCAACCCATTTTCTAGTCTTTGTTCGATTTACATTCGCCTTGTAGGCGCCAGGGTTGGGTGTCCTGTAGAAACAACAAGAGGTTAGTGGTAACGAATGCCAAGATGGATATCTACAGCGTAAATACGTAAAGTAGACTTAGTAGAGAGATAGAAAGAGCTCACGCAGGGGAGAAAGGGCTGCTACTCCGAATAACATTGTTATAAGACCCTTCATTCATGGTAGCGAATCGAAATATAGGTAGCTGGCTTATCTCGTCTACTGTGGCACGTAGTAACGGAACAGGCGGGTATGTTGTCGAAATCAGGAGAGTGGATAACCAATGAGCACAACAGTTTTAAAAATAATAATAGAACATAAAAGAGCAATTAAGCAGATAGGTGAATTGGCGGGACGTTGGAATCAACAAACATCGAAGCAATCATCTGTAAACAGACGTACGAAAGTTACGACGAGAAGAAGTTATCGCGAAGACCAACAGGCGATTAGTGGCACAGTTAACTGTCCGATGCGGGCGAACCAGAAATTAGAAATGAATGATGGAATGGGGAAAAATAGTGTATGTAAAATGTATAAGAGGGGCGTTCTATAGGCTTCTTCTTTTTTTTTATCTTTTATCTTTTCTCTTTTCTGTTTCGTTCTTTTCTTTTGGTTTTTAAATGAGGCTACGTGACGAAAATGAATTGATGCTGGACTTTTAATATTCGCCGCTACAAATGCAGGAAAATGTACGAATAGAGAAAAGGAAAGACTCGATTTTTACTGGCGATTACGAAGTAAACGGTTGAACATTTAAGATGAAGATGTATCGGGAAATGTAAATGTTTAATGAACATTTGATGGAAAATAAGTTTGATCTAGTACAAAATTCACTGGTGCCCTAACCTAATCTGGATACAAACTAGAAACATTTGAACTCAATCATGCTGAACCCATATTAAATCCACATACGTAATCCCGCAATGGAGGGAATGGAGGGACCACATGCACGACCTACAGAGTACTAGTAGCAGTACATAGGATGTACTTCCTTGCGGGACCCCTAACGCGAGCACAGCCACAGCCAATAGGTCCATAAAAATCGGACCCGACAGATACCAATGCTGTAGTTGAACTCTATTTCCCCTGGATTATCTGCTAGACATTTAACGGTCTTAACCTAACTTTAGTATACTCAACTATTTAACTACATGACTTACACTTATTATTCACTGCCCAATATATCTCCCTTTAAGCAAGGAGCAAGAGTAGATACCCTGGAAAAGAATGTTGATGTGACTCAAGATCTAATCCAGTGGCCCATCTCATTCTGATAAACAGCCTTTTGTTATCATCCTTTACTGTGTTCTTCGCACCTTTCTACGTCTTTAAACCGTTCGAAGCCGCGAGGAAGGAGACGATGCATCTCATCTTTAACACTACAGGTACATAGGTAAGGTTAGCACATTGGTTATGTACATGTACATAGCTCAGCTGCACATGCGGATCTCTCTGTATGTATGTATCCCCAATGCAAAGGCAAACACAATACGCACGTGATGAGCAATGGCGCCCACTGTGGCCACGTTCCCGTTGTGCATATATTATTCCGTCTTTGGAAGCTGTTAGCTTTTGCCCTTACAGAGTACCTAGCTAGGCTTGGACTTACATTGCGTATAAGGCTGGCGATCATAGAAGCTCTGGCAAGGTTCCGATGTACCCACTTCCCTCTTATACAGGTCTATAAAGTCCACCCCCAAGGCCTAGCGCCGTGTAAAGTATTATTCCCAGTTGTCTGTCCAGTTGTTTATCATTTGGGGCGGGCCATATAACGTTATTGCGTGAAAGCCGAAATTTCCAGTCGGCGAAGCAGACGATTGGTGTGGTTTCTTCAGAATCCTTTGAAGTATCTGGGTGGGATGAGAGCGCGCGCGCAAGTGGCGAAGCCATGTAAGGAAGAAGAGTTTATAATGGTTCTGATCGAAATATCCCCATGTAAATGGAATCACTACATTATCAGGGACGTATTCCGCAAGAGCCTTTGGTTCCTCGTATTCTGCTTTGGACATCCCAACGAATTCCTCCTGTTCGATAATCTTAGGTGCCGCCTGTCAGACACTGGCAACACCCGAGGGTTCACACTCTCTCGCATTAGCAAAGAATGAGCGCTCCTCGCCAATCCAATTCGATGTCGATTCAATGATCTAACTCCCCTACTAGGATTGCTTGATCCATGTTACACTATAATGTGTGCTTATTAGTTGTGTAGGTGGCTCTGCCAATCTAGAAATATTGTGTTAAAGGGGCTGTCGAACGTCGCCGAATCACCTTTTGCGATCTTCTTTTGGTATAAGATCCAATAGAACGTAAATCGCCTAAGCCTGGGATCTTCTTTTCTTCCTTTTTAGGTATGTGACTAGTCTACTCATGCGATCAATCATATTATGATGATTTGCAATAGGGGCGTTCAATGGCATTACACTTCCAATTCAATTATATCCTGGCAAGTTTTGATTGAAAGGTAAATGAGAATAACTACGTGGTTAACGAGGTATAGGCAAGTATTTATAGGCCAATTCGGTATCTAGTTGATGTGATTGGCTCTGAGAGCCGCCTAGGATGCATGGCATGAGACACCCAAGCAGCCCAGATAGATAGTAGGCAGGCTGGCTAGGCCCGGGGACTCACGATCACAACACAGCTTTTCCACTTTCCAGTTCAATGAGGTTGGAAACCACGACCTCCTCTCAGAATGTATACTTCGTGTATGCTTTGCTAGTAAGTCGATATCTACCTAGTAACCATAGGTATGAAGGAATTTTCGGAAATAAAGGGGTGCTAATTAATCACAGTAGGTAATGAGCAGCACGCCACATCAGCCGCAACAGTTTGCGGAGAGCGTGCCACCAAGTGCACCTCATAAAATCACCAGGTACCTGAAACGTTTGCTCAATTCGTGTGTCAAACAGCATGTCGATAAAGACAAAGAAGGTGGCATCAGGGGCCGCCTAGGGCTCACACTCTTGCACTCATCCCCTGAGCCATTGGTTGATCTTATATTCGTACATGGTTTACGCGGGGGGTCTGTCAAGACTTGGCGGAAAGGCAACAACCCTCATATGTTCTGGCCGCAACGATGGCTACCCATCGAACCTGGATTACAGAATATCAACTTTCATACTTTCGGCTACGATTCCGACTGGGCTAGTAGGAAGTCAAGCATAATACTCAACGTCCACGACTTTGGCCAGGCGCTTCTGGAGGAGATGAGAAACTCGCCATGTTTAAGAGAAAATTATGAAGTACAGGCCCAAGTCCACAAGCCATTGTCTTTATACTCACATCATACCGGTAGAGACCTATAGTACTACTCGCACACTCTATGGGAGGACTTGTGGTCAAAAAGGCAAGTTTCCATGGCTGAGCACTTCTGACTTATACCCTGCGTCGCTCTACTAACTCAAATATACAGACATTCATTTTGGCGCAAAATATACCCAAGTTCAAAGATCGTATAAAATGCATTTTCTTCCTCGCCACCCCTCATAGAGGTTCGGACTCAGACTACATTGCAACTCTCAAAAGTATTCTGAGAGAATCTGGAACTTCGCGACGGTATATCGCTGACCTCACTACCGGATCGACTTCCACCCAGTTGATCAACGCCGAGTTCACGAAGTACGCAAATGACGTGCAAGTCTTTTCCTTCTACGAAACATTACGAGTGAAAGTGGGATTTTGCTCTAAACTGATCGTGGATAAGGCCTCTGCTATACTCGGTAACCTTCCAAACTGGGCTCAGCTTTGATTAGGTCACTGATTGGAAACCACACACAACTAGGGCCTGACTTCCCAAACGAACGAGTTCAGTACATAAATGCAAACCATCGAAATATATGTAAATTCGACAGCATCGATGATTCAAACTATATCACCTTGAAGAATGCCCTTGTGGGTGCAATAGATGATATTTTGATTGACTGTGAGTGCCAAGCTTATTCCACACTCCAGCCTGTCTTCGGGAACCTCTACTAATCAAATGTAGTTCCCGTAAACATAGGCGAGAAATCAAACGCGAAAACGAAGGCTTCGAAACTATATCCAGAAATGCCAGACCAACCTGAGGAACAGTTTTCGGCAGTCGATGGCTTGTCGAAATGGCTTGGTGTTAGACATGACCTCCAGCGTTGGCGGGGCCCCTTTTTATGTCCCTCGGGCTCTGCCATTCACCACAAACGACTAGGCGGCCTGGAAGTCGCAGGGCCTGAAATTTTATCCTGGGACGATTACGTCCCATCCGTTGATTTGAACGATGAGAGTATACCTGCAGCTGTGTCCTGTGGGGAAAACCTGAGCGCCGTAGCCATGGAGTCTGGCAATATCAAGAGTCTCAACATCGACCATGGACGAAGCATAGTAAATGAAACGGACTCTACTATGCGAATTTGGTCACCCGTAGCTATTGTCCCAGAGAACAGCAAAGAAGGCCAAAGTCTCCCCGAGGATGCTGTTCAACTGGCCATTGTCGAGGGCCAGTACGCATCTAAAAGGTCATCACGACCCTTTGCCAGTGCGCCATTTCTTGGCATCAAACGAGTAGCCACTGTCTAGCCTCTGACTGATAACTATTATAGGCGATGATATAGCTTTATGTTGGCACACTGGGCCGGTTGTTACCTATGATGAATAATCTTATATTGCGGGATATCCAAAGCTTGGAATAAAATGTGTCGCCTGGGTACCTTCTTCTTGGATCTTGGCTATCATATATATATATGTCAGCATGCAATTATCACTACCTTTGATAAGTCTCGAAGGGCGGTTAAGGTTCGAAAGTCGGCGCTACACCATATACTCGTGTCTCCAAGCATAGCCTTTAACCGTGGTGGTCGACACCTGTGATGGCTCGGGCTTAGTAGCTGGTTTATCGTACATCCCATTTGGAGTTGTGCTAGATATACCGACATAAACTAATGCTACATAATGAAATATCACCAGTCATTCACTTTGTCGCGTAGCGGTAAAACCCGACAATTAAGAGTCTCATTCATTTAGATCCATTGAAGTAAAAAATGAACTCAGATGCTGCTAGCCGTTAGGTATGCAGATAACCCCGTAGACAAATCCCAAAACACCTCAGATTCGAATCGAGGATGTAGGCAGGTCGGTACGCAAGGTTAAATGAATCAAAAAGGTTTGGGCTTGCTTGTTAACTAATTCACGGCAGGCAAGGTGATAGATCGAGACTACCACAGAGTAGCAGAAGCTAGAGGAACATTAAAGGTATCAAAGGTTGTGAAGCGATTGATCATGTAAAAGTATTGACATTGTGCTTAGATTAGTCATTTACAATAAATGTGGTGCGTTGTGTATGACCAAGAGAACCTGTGCTGGCTCAGGGTGCTCACGTGACCCTTGACGACCACAGGCGAGCTGCGTAGGAATCTACCTACCTAGTAGTATCAAGCTACTAACATAGGAAGAGGTACAACAGAGCAGGGCTGTTTTGAGCTGTATGAGCATGAGCATATATATTTAGTATGAATGAACAATGGGCTATCACAATCAAATTAATGCATAGCACAGTGCCTTCTACTGAGGACCATTGAACTCTGGAACGACTTGGAACTACTCACAACACAGTAGATATAGGCCAATAGACGTCTGAGGTACAATAGTTGAATAATTGAATAAATGAATAAATGCCTTAAGTACTAGGTACCCATTGTAGGCAGAGGATGCTGTCTTCCCCCGGCAGTCACACCCCTTTCGAGTCCAGTGTGACTTCCTTGACTGTCACTTTCCTTCATAATTCAAAGTTTAGTCCTCTAACTCACCTCGATCTTGTTTCGACCATCTCCATAATTTATTCCTCCTACCTTAGGCACCGCACCTTCTTTCTTCACCAATTTATTTTCCTTATTTCTCCCAACCCGAGAACCAAACCTTTCATCGATCTTTTCAACCACCGCGTCCTGAAGACAAGCAAGAAGGCCCAAAACCAGCACCAGGATATACTATCCTGTCGTGCAATTACTGCCGGACTCGTTCCTGCTTCGACTTCCTTTGTTTCGATTCCCTACAATTTAGAGGCGAAACGCTCTCATTTCGTCATGTTTTATAGCCACGAAAGTATGTAATATCTTCCTGTTCGATCCATTCCATTTGCTGACACGACCTCATAGTTCTAACGAGCCGCCAATTTGGCGTTGCTACCATTTGGTAAGTGAGGACAATATCATCGTGACGGGTACCTAGTTTATCTAATTTTTGCAAGGCTCGTCGCGACCGTCGGTACTGGAAAAGGTACGAAGAGGGTTACCCGAAAAGCCATACAAGAGGTTGATGTCCAGAGAGCATGTGGAAAGATCATCGAACCGGGAGCACCAGTGGCTTTGCGCCTTCAAGGCCAACTCCTTTATGGTGTATCTCGCGTCTATAACCAGCAAGTTTCATATATGCTGGCTGATCTACAGAAGGTCCAGACGCACATACACCTCTTCTATACCCAGTTCGGTCACAATCAACTTGATCCAGAAGCAGGTCAAACAAGGTACGCATTCTCTATACAGCCTACCATATTAGAAGTAGGAGAAATGCCAATGGCTCACTGACTCATTTTCTTTGCTAGACCGGAGAACCTTTTGATTATGAATGACCCAAACTTTGTTCCAGATATGCAACTTCCCCAATTCGATCTAGACGCTCTTGTAGCCGACAGTCAACGAACAAACAAGACCTCGTCCCAGATGTCTCCCTTTGGCGATTCCTATTCTTCAAATTCGGTTGGTTCGGCCGGCTCTAGACTGGGATTCGACATGCAAATCGATCTTCCACATTCAGATTCACCTAGGCCTCGACGCTCCGTCTACGGTCTCCAGGGTCTTTCTTCCTCCCACAAGCCAGAAAGCGAGCATCTTCTTATCAACCCAGACGAGAATTTCAGTGGGAGAGGGGATTGGGGAATGGACATTGATGAGAACGGTGAAATTATTGAGAGAGCGGAACCTGTCATTGTCCAGGATGAGTTCGATCTTCCGCCATTACCAAGAATAGAGGGCGATGACCAAATATATGAGATCCAGGAGCAACAGGAGGAGCAGCCGATAGTCGACGAAAATGGCGATGTTTTCATGATGGACAGACCACTACCAGAAGATGGCCTCCTCCCGGAACGTCAACTGCAAGATGCTCATAATTCCTTCCGATCTGATACGCAACTGCAGCAGGCAACTGCTCGACGTAAGAGAAAGGCCCGCATCTTGCAAGCTGACGAGGAAACAGAGGTTCCTAGAACCGTCATGACCAATTGGCAAAAGAATTATCTGACGAACTGCACTGTAAAGAAGCCAAAGCCAATGGGGGCAGCGATATCAAGGGCCAACGCCATGCTGTTGACGTTTGGCTTTGGACTAAGCAACGTCGGCAAACCCATTGGTCTTCCTGGAGTTGTTCATCCCCTAGCTCTTGACTTTTCGGGGGATAAGTTATTCACTGCTTTGACTGGCCTCGAGGTTATCGAGCAGTCTCGTGGTAGACGTCGGGCTGCGTCCGAGTTGATTGAAGATGAAGATGAAGGCCAACGCCGAGTCCGTCCACGACTCGAAGATGACGCAGTACAGCAAGGCTGGGGTCTAGAGAGCGACGGCATCTTAGGCGGAGACAACATGCAACCGGTCCACAGTTCTCCTGAACTTGGCCGAGAGGCTCCAGCCCCCATGTCTGATCACCTCTCCTCGGCCTTGCGCATGCCCTGGAACCAGGTCTCCTCCGTGCCAGGCTCTTCAATCCGCGGCTCTGCCCAAAAAGGCCGCGCCCTATCCAGCCCCCTTGGAAACCGCCATGGCATTCAAGATATTGTTCATTATGATGATGGCCCATCTTTCGGTGATGAAGACTTTGGCCTCGGCGGTCGTCTGCACTTGCAGGACGACTCATTCCAAGGCATTCGGCTCGAGGAAGAAGGCGGTGCACAGACGCAGGGTGACGGCGAGGGGGCAGATCTAGATATTCAAAGTCGCAATTTTCTCGCCTTCATGGACTCGGCGGTGCGCGAGCACGGCGAGCGTCGCGAGGACGAGGACTATGAGATAAATCGCCGATGGGTTGCGCTCAACGATATATTCGTGCCCAAGGACACGAGCCGTGCGACCGCCGCGCAGGCTTTCTACCATACGCTGTCTCTCGCAACGCAGGGCAAGGTTAAGGTCTCCCAAGACGAGGACTCGATGAAGCCGTTCGGGGAAATCTGGGTTGGTTTCAGGCTGTGATGAAGTTGTTCGTGCGACTAGTGGTGGCAATGATGACCAGAGCAAACCGAGTACCAAAACTTCAGGCTCCAGAATCCTGAAGTCCGTTCATTCGACGCCGCTATATTCTGAATAAGAAATGAGAGAAGATCACGGCAGCCTTATAGTGGCCATACCGATGCTTCGATTTACTTGGCGGGAGGAAGTTCCCGATGACAGTTTCCTTTGTCAACTTTTCCTTTTCGGCTTGCTGGAGTCGCATTAATAATTATCGGATCTGCTTGAGATCTGATTCGAAGAAAGAAAACTGATGAGAAAGTACAATGTCTGGATTTCTTGAGGACCAGGGCTTTTGCTTACCTTTTCGAAATACCAATTCAGGTGGAGGGGTGGAATAATGATGTTTGGGGAGGAAGATGTATGAGGAGACGGATGTGACGAAGACAACGGATATGATGGATGATAATGAATGAACAACAGATACGGTTGCTACACAGAAAAAGTCGACTTTGATTTGCTGTGAGATGAGATGAGATACGATGAGATGTACGGACACGAACCATGCTCAGCTACTAAACATTAGCAGCTGCTGCCTTGGTGATCGGTCCTGTACCTACATAGGTACTAATTTGCGATACTTCAATATTGGCTGTTGGCAGTTTTTTGGGCGGGCGGGAGGGAGGGATACTACTAATAATCGCTTGGCTTTTCTATATTGCCGCAGGCAGAATTCGTGTATAACAAAACAAAACAAAAGCAAAACAGATTGAATTGACGTGTATGTGTATATTATTAGGCCCAAAACCAAATTGAGCAAAAGGGGCATTATTTCATTCACTCATTCATTCATTCTCCTTTCGTCTTTTCATTAGGTATTAATTTATTCGTCCAATTTCTATACGTGACTACTAAGTATGTATGTATGTATGTATGTATGCATGTAGGTTCACGCACCTACATCAACTGTAATAATAAGGTAACATACGGTTGTGTATGTGTATGTATTTGCCAAGATCAACATCGCTTAAAGCTGCTGCTATACATCAAGCAACCCAATCCTAAATATCGTTATCGTCATCATTACCATCATCACTACCAACGCCCTCACGATCCTCAAAGACCATGTACCCGTCTTCCGCGGCGTCCTCTCCCATGACCAGCTTCCACGCGTCCATGACCGCGTGCAGACAATTGTCGTCGAACGCGAGGTTCAGAGGGGGCGAGGGAAAGGAGAAGGTACAAGTTTTGCCACGGGTTGTGGTTGAGGGTTCTCGAGGGCTGAGCGACTGTTCGTATTGGAGCTTGTATAAGCAAACCGGGGCTGTGTTGCCTTCGGGAACAGCGGCTGTGAGCAGATCGCTTAGAGCGGACTCGAGGCGCTGTGCGGAGTTTGGTGTGGTTAACGTGGTCAAGTAAACGACACCTAGATAGAGAATGACACGGTCAGTTAATGGCTTTCTCGAATTGGGCATTTGTATTTATATGATGTATAATAGAGATGGTGCAATCAGTTTGTCAGAGGTTGTATATCGTCAACGCGAAGCTCAGACAATGTAGATAAGTATTCGATAACGTAGATCATCATAACACCAGTGATGGGAAGGTGGAGACTAAGAAAAATGTGTAGACTCACATTGGCCAGCAGGACACTCTCCTGTATCACTAGAATGCACTAGTGCGTAGATCGGATACTCGCCATCGCTTGGAAACGATACGATAATGACTGCCGGTGTAGGCGCGCCTTCTACCGAAACTTCGAACAACGAAGGCAAAGTCGAGTTGACTATTGCGACGAGCCGAGTTATGGTTTGCGCGCCTGGCAGAGCTTCATCCTGAGACGTAACCAATCTTGTGGTTCGGACGGATAGTTCGTTTGACAAATCAAGGGTCATCTGGTCCCCATCGGGATCATAGCTGACCTTTGCCTTTGTATCAAGCATGTATATCCCGCCGCCTACCGCTCCAGCACGACATGCCACTTGTGCGATCTCCGATGAGCCGCCCCATTTTGGATACACGGCGCAGAACCCAGAGCCGAAGAGACCCATCGACGTAAGATGACGATGAATGATGGCGAGCCCGTCCACGACGGTTACGCGGCCATCCAATGTCAAAGTGAGGGCAAGGATATACTTTTGCAGATTTTCATCCAGCTTGAATTCGCTAGACAGAAACTCGGAGAGCAATTTCTCCCCTTGCTCCTGCCAGACCGGCCTCTGCTCCTCAGAGTTGTAGTCGATGACGAACTTGAGGAATTTCATCAACGACCGCTTTGACTTGACCGGAATGGCCTTCGTAGAAAATACATCCTCTCGGCTGCTGGGTATCCGGGACAACTTCGAGCTGGCGTCGCTCGCTTTCGCGTCATATACAAAGAACGAGCCCACCGCGAGGAATTCGACTTGCCTGTACGCTCTCGACGATACAAGCTGCGCTAACAGTTTGGCGCGGGCATGTATAATTTGGGGTGCCAAGGCAAGTGAATATGGTCGAGGGAAGGAGAGACCATGAGTTGCGGCGTCCGGATGCTTCCAGGCACTCGCATTCTTAAAAATGGACTGCTTCTTAGAAGGACCTGAGCCCTTGTCTTCTCCCGTTGTTGAGCCATCTTCAACACTCAGATCGCCTGTCGCAGCAGCTGCTGCGTGGGCAGTGGCCCAGCTATCTGCCTCCTGGAGACTAAAGGCAGCTTCATGCTCGCCGTAGTAGTCGTTGGGGTCGGTATGAAGGATCCGTTTCTTAGACCGCGAGAGAGCTCTTTATGACGGAAGCCAGCTGGGTCAGTCAGATCAAGCTCTCAACAGTAGCCATTCATTAAGAGAAGAAGAAGTGATACTTACAAAGCCAGCAAGGACTGCTGCAGACCCGTGCCACATATTACCACATCCCATGGTTCGTCCCCCAGTGACTCCATCGTGAAGAGGGAAGAGGAAAAAAGAAGTGCGAAAAATTGCTTGTTCGAAAATTTGTTTGAAGAAGGAAATGAGCTCAAGGTGTGGAGCCCAAAATATGCGGACGCCGAAGACCCGGTGTGCACGGGCCACATCTCATAACTAGATCGCGATCTTAAAACTTAAAAATTTGACTCTTCCTTTTTTTTTTTTCTTCTTTTTTTTTTTTTAAATAATCAACCGCTCGCTACCATCCAGCGTTCCTATTCTCCAATGCGCCACGATTTTGGTAATAGAGTAGCCTTTCAGTAGGCTGCTCGCTTTTGAGAGCGGTAGACTAAATATGTCGTCCCGTATCTACTGTCCTGGATTCATCGCCTGATAGGATGGTTCGAAGGGTTGATACATGCATGCTACTTCGAATAAGTTTCCTTCTTGATCGTTAATTATGGATTGTGTATTGGCGTTTGGACTGATGGGAGATGATGAGATTTATTCGTCGTGTTTATAAAGTGTCTAGCTTTAGAGACTGTTACATTTACAGTTGTTCTTGGTGTATCGTAATGGTGGTGGATGAGGAGACAAGGTCATTCTTCACAATGCTGCTTTACCATTATTCTGCCAACTACCTAGTGTAGCCAACACAAACGGCTAGATCTAGTATATCAACATCGTATTATGGAAGCCTATTCACAAACGCCATCGCCGAAAATATTCGAGATAATTCCTGATATGCTTGAACTGTCTATATACCTCCTGCTACCTACGTAGCTACCAATTCTCCATCAATGTGCTCATTATCGATATTGATATCACCGCTAACAACACGGTTACATACATACCTAGGTGCGTGTACCTATAAATATGTAGGGCGCTTAGTATGTTGTGGAGCACCTTCGTATGCAAAACGCCTTCCATATATGATTTTAACTAACAACACATTCCACGCCACTCACATCTTATGTGCATACCCCGCGCTGAACCCCTTTTTTATGCTAACTTCGAAGTATTTTTCGCTGCTGCCGACTCGATGTGCTTCGAATGCAACTCCTCAACAGCCGGTATGATCAAGCTTTCAATCTCCATCTCTGGCTCGCCTTCCGGCAGCATCGATGGGTCCAGAGGCTCGTTCTTCTCGTGAGCCCCACGATCAGCGGCCCCGACGAGCTCCTCCACCCCGCTTAGCGTCTTCTTGCGTCGGCTGAAAGGTACGCGAATCCACTTATCACTATGGCCTGGTGCCACAAATACCACCTCCCACTTGCGCGTCGACAATAGGTTGCCAATGACCAGATGGTGCTGATATCGCTCGAGTGAGTACTTGGCCTTGTGTACCAAGATCTTCGGGTCCGTCTCCAGCTTGAACGACACGATCATGCCCTCTGGTGCCCAGCCATCTACTAAGTTCTTCAAAAACTTAGGCACAGGGTCTAGATCTACGATGAGGCGTTTGCTCCTCGGCACTGATGGTGAAGAATCGAAGTTATCAAATGTCTCTTCTTCCGGCTCTCGAGGTTCTTTAGTGATAGTTGTCGGCCCTTGTTGTTGTTTCAACAGGTCCGTTGCGTCCGTGCTCTGAATTTTATGCTCTGACATGCGATCCTCCGGCACGAAAAAGTCGCTCACGGCCGCCGCGAGATACAGTAGGCCATTAGGACCTAGGGGGCGCATTAACTGTGCCACGGCGCGCAGTTCGTGTAAGTAGTCAGTGATGGTGACGAAGGGGATCATCAACAAGCAATTTTGGTTCTTGGCAGCATTATATTTGCGCAGTACCCGTAACATCTTGTCCTGGTGAGTTGGATTGGCCACCACGCTGCCATCAGGGTTCTCATGCAGAAAGTCTAGAAAACAGTCGGTGGAATGACTATAATGTCGACTGTAAGGCAAGAGACTGAATTGCCGGTGCATGAATATGACTGCATACCCTGATTCCAGGAAATATTCGGCAGATGTAGCACCGCGCGTGCCAGCGCTAAAGTTGTCGATGAAGCGCACCGTTTGCTTTTCCAGTGGCACGGTAGTTCCCCCTGAGGTAACGAGAACGACCCGCCTATTGGCTGCCGCATGTTGTCTTATGAAGGATTCAGCGGCGGCGACATGCTGCGGCAACGCTTTAGGGGGTGGGTTGGAGTTGAAGTAGGCATTTTCCACCACTTGGTGTGAAGAGGTGGATGTGTTAGTGGTATTAGTAGACATGCTGTCTTGACTTGTAGTAGATGATACAGATGGGGATCTAGATCTAGAAGAACGACGGGGTTCCGCTAGGTTGAACGTAAGACTCAGGGTGTGCGGCGGGTCTTGTCCCGTCCCGAGTAAGGGTGTGTTCTGACGATCTGAACCTGATGTCTGTGATGCCATCGTGTTAGTGAATATAGTAAAGAGTGTGGATCAATGCAACTACATATGCCAGATAGTATGTAGTGAAAGTTCTAATGCAGGTAGGCAGGTAGGCAGATATGGTGACCGCAGGAACTAAGGGCCTTTGTTATAAGAGTTATCAACTAGGAAAACCTCACTATCTATCTTACTCAGCTACAACTTGTAGGTGCCGTTGATAAATCGCGCGGTATAAAGATAGGTACAATATAGTAATCCCCGGCACTCCGGGGTTGAATGAGACCTCGGCCCCCGGTTCCCTTTTGGGAACAGCCGTGCGGAGAGCCGTTTGCCCACCTGTCCGGCTTACTTAAGACTGAGACCCAGATCATGTCCAAGCGCACTGATTTCCCAAGAACTTTGAGTGAAAAAGGTAGTAAAGATCGACTTACAGTAGTAAAAAGGGGTAGTATACGGTGGTAGTATACGGTCTTGTTGCTAAGGGCAAGTCTTGCCGTCGAGTATAATAATTGCCTCAGATTCCGTTGAGGGTTTTTGGCGGGATGAAGCTTGTGATTGATTGGGATTGAGTATGTACCTAACCTAAGATAGATGCAATTGAGGGGACTAGGAAAAATCGAGAAATTCAACGAGCGAATCTCGCCGCTGACGTACCGTGACTCGGTGGATTACATACCCTAGCACTGGTACATAAATACATAATAAGTACAATACAGATACTGTGGCAGGTGCCACCTACTGTAGATAAGATAAGAGGACACAGGTAAAAGGCCTGTCCTGCGGGGATTGGTTTTAAACCTTTTCTTTCTTTTAATATATAATTTATTCGAAACTAGTAAATCTTTTTTGGTGATTTCGTCCAGGCGTATTATGCTGCCAGAGCTTAATTAACTAATATTTTAATCCGATTAACGACTATTTTTTTTAATATCTTTTATCGAGTTTTAAACCGATAAGATTTTATAATGTTATTTTTTTCTTCGATTATCGATTAGCAGTTTTAAATAATATTATATATTAATTATAATAACTTGTAATTCCAAGCATTTTTATTTATGTATTTAACTTGTAAAATTTAATTTTAAAGGTTATTAATAAAGCGATTAATGATTATTTTAAGCATATTTATTTTAAAAGCGGTTAAAATTAGCGATAATATATTTATTTGTGACATTTATTTTTAAGGTTAATTTTAAGCTTTTATATGTTTTAAAAGGTTTTATATTTATAAGTAATATGCGGCGAGTGTTTTATTTTTATTTTAAGCGAGTTTATTTAAATTAAATATAAGTTAATTATTTAACTTATTTATTAGCGTTATTAGAAATTTATTTTTTAAGGTTTATTTAATATTTGTGAGATTTTTTAATATAACGGTGTTATTTTTAACTTAATCAAGTGTTTTTTTAAGTGTTAAGCTATTATTTAAAAAAGTCGTAACTTTATTTTTATATTATATGTCGATTATTTATAATATGTTAAAAATAAAAGGGATGTTATATTTTATACGTCGAAATTATTATTTTAAACGGTTTAATTATTTTATTATTAATTTACCACCTTTAAAACGACTATATTTTAATAAATTTAAGATTTAAAAATAATATAAGGTAATTATTAGATTAATTAAAGTATTTTAAAATAGAGATAAAATGGAGTTTTTAATATTTGGTTTTTTATTAATATGTAAATTTATAAGGTTTATAATAAAGTTTATAAGTAATAATATAAGAAATAAGTTTGTTAATGTATAATAATTAATTTAATAAAATTAATATTATTAAAATTAATGAAATTAATAAGGTTAATGATAATTAATTTAAGGAATAATTAACGTTTTAAATATAAAAGATTTTAAAAAAGGAGAAATAATTAATAAAATAATAGGGATTAAAATGAAAAAAAGGGGATTATAATTTATTTTAATAAATCGATTAGAAAAATTAAACTAATAAGGTAATTTATTTAAAGACTTTTTAAATATAAATATAAGTAAATTAAATCAAATAATTCTTAATAATAATATAATTATTAATAAGCTTAATAAGGTCGATAAAAATTAGTTTAAAAGTATTAAAACATTTTTAAAATATTATAATAATATTTTTTATAATAAATTTAAATAAAACGTGTAAAATATTAATAAATAACATTTATTTAAAATTAAAAAATAACCTAAATAAAATTATCAAAAAAGATTTATTAATTTTAAATAAATTATATATTAAAAAAAAGAAAAAGTCTAAAATTAATCCTTATAAAATAAGCTTTTTACTTGTGTTTTTTTATTTTATTTATAATAAGTGGCATTTATTATAATATTTAAAAAAAATTTATTAGTTTTAAATAAATTATATATTAAAAAAGAGAAAAGGTTTAAAATTAATCCTTATAAAATAAGTTTTTTACCTATGTCTTTTTATCTTATTTATAATAAATAATATTTATTATAATATTTATTAAAAAGGATATAAGTTAAGCGAGTGGTTTGTTTTTTAAGGTATAATGTTATGATAATATAATAAGAAAAGTTTTTAAATTATATAATAAAACCTAATATCCTTAAAGAAAATTTTGTAATTTTTAATAAAAAGGAAAAAAATAAAGGAAAATAATAAAAGTCTTAAAAAAGAAAAAAAAAAAAAAAAACGAAACGTTAATAAAAGAAATCTCGGTAAATAAAATAATAATAAAAAAGATTATAATAAAAAAAAAAAAAAAAAGGTAAAGATATAAATAAATGAAATTATTAATAAAGGAAAAATTAAATAAAGAAAAATTATAAGGATGTAATTATAAAGGAAATATAAGGATGTAAATATAAGCGTTTTTTTTTTTTTTATATTTATTTATTTTTTTTCTTTTTTAACCTTTTCCTTTATAATTATAATTATAAGGGTAAGGTTAGTTTATTATTTATTTGGAAATAATTTATTTAAGGGGAGAAATGTTTAAAGCGGTTTTTATAATATGTTATTTTTTTAATAATAAATCCGTTTAAATTATGAAGTTAATGTGAGGATTATTTAACTTATATTCCTATAATAAAAGGTCTTATTTATTTTTTTTAAAGTTTCGAGGTTTTATTTTTTTAATAAATTATTACTAGGTTATCTTTTTTTATTTAAGGTATGTAAAAAGTATATACACGGTTATATGTTAATTATTTTTCCTTTTTTAATTAAAGGATTATTTTTTAATAATATTAAAGCTTTATTAAATAGTTTATTACTAAGTTATTAAGCCGATTTTTAACCGGGAGAAGTTTTATTTTATCGTTTTATAAATAACATATTAATAAGTTTAAGTTTTTTAAAGAGTACTTTTATTTAAATGTTTTAACTAATAAGTTTTTATAAAGGATTTTATATAATGAGAATTTAATATTTTTTATATGTTAACGGTTTATATTTACTATTATTTTTATTAGTTAAAACATTTAATTTATAAATTTTACCAATATTTTTATTAATAATAAATTAATAATTTTTTTTAATATAATTTAAAAGATTTTATTAAATACCTTAATAAGGTTTATATTAATATATAAGCTTAAAAATCTATAAATTATTATAATTCTTATTAACTTCATTTTAACCATTATTTCCGCCGATATAAACGTAAATTTAAGGTTAAGGTAAAAGGTTAAAAATTTTATTTTTATATTTACGATTTATAAGTTAAATCTTTTTAACGCATTTATTAACGTGGCCTTTTTAATTAAAATAACTTAATTATATCGATTAAAATAATACATAATAACTAAAATATATTATATTTCATATAATATTATTAAAAACGGCTTAATAAAATCAGCGGTTAAAACTTGTAAAAATATATATATAATAATAAGTTACAAAGGTATTAAAGGTTAAAATAACTTATAATATATATAAAAAAAGCAGTTTTCGATATAATTAATTATATTTTAAGCTATATAAAATTAATATATAAATCGATTTAATCGTTTTAACGTAATTATTTTAAAGAAGTGTCCACTTATATTATAAGTTATTTAAAATGCTTTAACTACTTTTCCTTAATAAAAACATTTTTATTAATAACTTTTATATTTATATTATAATTTATTGTTTTAAAATTTATAATATTTCGCTTTATTTCGTAAAAAATATAATTTTACATAATTTAATAAATCGATAATTCTTTTTGTAAGCATTTAATATATATTTACATATTAATTATCTTAAATATACTTAAAAGGTGTTTTAAATTTTACTAATTATAAAATTAATACCAAATTTCTTAATAACTTTAATAACGTTTTATATTTATTCTTATTATTATTTCACTTTTATTATTAACAAATAATAAATTTAAATTTATCGTTTTTTATTAATTTAATAAATCGTAAGATAATATCCATCAAATCTCGCTTATACGAGTTAAAAATATCGTTTATTATTTTTTTTTTTTCTCTTTTTTCATGGACTTAAAAAAAGCTTAATACCCGCCAACACCATTTTTTTAAACTTAAAAACCATTTAACTTTTTTTTATTAAATAACATTAAATGTTTTATTTAATTACACTCGTCCCCCGGGAATATCGTCTTTAATAATATATTAGTTACTTAATTTCACTTACTTTTAATATACACAATTTTTACATTTAATATACATAACTTCAACGCTTATTTAATATATATTTTATTTATATTTACCAAGTTAAGGAATTTACTAATTAAAGCATTTAAATAAAAATACCTCTTAGAAAATTTAAGCTTATTAATGCGTTATTTACGAAGCGATAAAACGGAACTCCTCCTAATTAAAAATTAATTTAACGATTTAATAATAAACCATTTAATAAAGCTTTAACATTATCAAAAAACGATCCTTTAATTAAGGGAGGAAAAACGATTAACGCGTAACCGTATACATGTCTTTTATACGCCTTAAGTAAAAAAGAATAATTTAATAATAATTTACTAAAAAAGTAAAACCTTAAAACTTTAGGAAAAATAAATAAGACCCTTTATTATAAGAATATAAGTTAAACGATTCTTATATTAATTTTATAATTTAAATAAATTTATTATCGGAAAAATAACGTATTATAAAAATCGCTTTAAACGTTTTTTTTTTAAATAAGTTATTTTTAAATAAATAATAAGTTAATCTTACCCTTATAATTACGATTATAAAGGAAAAGGTTAAAAAGGAAAAAAAATAAATAAGTGTAAAAAAGGAAAAAAACGTTTATATTTATATTTTTATATTTCTTTTATAATTACATTTTTATAATTTTCCTTTATTTAATTTTTCCTTTATTAATAATTTTATTTATTTATATTTTTATCTTTTTTTTTTTTTTTATTATAATCTCCTTTATTATTATTTTATTTATTAAAGTTTTTTTTATTAACGTTTCGTTTTTTTTTTTTTTTTTTTTTTTTTTTAAAACTTTTATTACTTTCTTTTATTCTTTTTTTTTTTACTAAAAATTATAAGATTTTCTTTAAAGATATTAAGCTTTATTATATAATTTAAGGACTTTTCTTATTATGTTATTATAATATTATACCTTAAAAAATAAGCCGCTTGCTTAACTTATATCCCCTTTAATAAATATTATAATAAGTGTTATTTACTATAAATAAAATAAAAAAATACAAATAAAAGGCTTGTCTTATAAGGATTAGTTTTAAACCTTTTCTTTTTTTTAATATATAATCTGTTTAAAACTAGTAAATCTTTTCTAATATATAACGTTACATACTAGGTATTAGATAGTTAAGTTAAATGAAGGGATTAAGGTTTAAAATGTTGATGCACGACCTAAAGGAGAGGAATGGGCTGATGGCCTCGTGCGGAGATCCCTGCAAACTTTCCTTAGATAACATTAGATCTGAGGTTCGTGTATTTTCCTTAGCGTTCCCGTTAATGCTTTTTATGTAGGAACATGGGTACGTATGTAACTTCAATGTTTGAACGTTGAAGCCACCTGCCACCTGCACATGTTAGGCACACGCAATATAAGATTTGAGCAGTTAAACCTTCAATATTGAATAAAGTAAAACTTTGAAGTGTTACACATTTTCCTATATCATTAGGTACCAATCACCCAACGTAGTAGTACATACCTACTAGTATAGTACCTACCAACCCTAACCAATTTGTCAGACATTTTGTCTAGATAGTTTTTTTTTAATGTACCATCCATCCCAACCCCCCATATGTATCCTGTTACCCATCCATTCTTTTTTTTATCCCTTTTATCAAGCCAGACCATAAATCCCAAGAAATTACCTAGCACCCAATTTTATGAGTAGCCTGCTCAAACCATCCAGTCTTCCACCCCTCCAGGGCTTCTAATGGCAATATAGCGTGTACCTGTTAAGGACACATCTAATCTAAAAGTTAATCCAAGGAGACCATCCTACACTTGCAACCTTAGCTGCATATAAGGCGACGAGGGCAAGGACCTGAGTGAGCCCAGTGAAAACAATCAGGCCCCAATAAGCACCGCCAGCGGCATCAACAACAACCCCGGCAATAGGGAGACTAAGCAAAACAGCTATGGAAACGACTGTGTAGCAAGTAGCATAGTACCGACCATAGTGCTGCGTATGACACAACTTTCCAACGCAGACCGGCGTGATGCTAATGTTGTTTCCGGTGGAAAACCCGAACATGAGGGCGAATATGATCAGGCCAGGAGTCGTGTGGCCGAATGGCCACCATACAACGTAACACGCAAAGACTGTGACACACATCGAGATCATGTTCGTGTTAAAGTGGCCAATCTTATCCGCCCACCAGCCGGGCAACGCGCGCCCCAACACTGATGCAGCATTGAGAATAGGTAAGATCTGAAAAGAAAAGTCCTCACTAAAGCCGTTCGCGAGCGCATAGCTCGAAATGTAAGCAAGTGGGATAAAAATTCCAAACTCCAGGAAGAAGACGCCTAGGGTGAGGAGAAGAAACGGCTTCTCCTTTAAGATGCGGAAGTCGGGGTGTGGACTGGCATTCTTAGCGGGCGGGAGCCTTTTCTTAACTAAGAGATTGGCAATGGTGAGTAAGAAGAGGCAGAAAAATCCTAGGATGCGAATTGACCATCCCCATCCAACTTTATCAATAAGGTTCTGTATTAACAAAGGCATTACTACGCCGCCTAGGCCTCCGCCTGTGCTTGCAAGTCCAGAAGCAAGGCCACGACGTTTACGGAAGAAATGTCCTACGGCTGTGATGCAGGGAGTATAGAGAAGAGACGTTGCCACTCCATTGAGGATGCCCCAGGCGAGTACGTAATGCCAGTATTCTGGAATAGGTCAGCTTACACGAATCGAATGACTGAAGTAGGTATTGCACTCACCTGTGCATACGCTAAATAGCATGACACTCGCGACAACACCAACACTGCCTGGCCCGATCAACCATCTAGGTCCATACCTATCAAAGAGTGGACCGATATAGATGCCACAGAGAAAGCACAAGGCCGTGTACATGGAAAAAACCCAGCTGATGATGCCCTCGTCGTAGCCGGAGAGCTGATGGGTCGCAATATAGGTCTGGAGCGTTGCAATGCTATTCATTAGTCCCAGTGAAGCCAATAGGCCACACCATGCACCGAGGACGACGAGCCATGCCTCAAGACCGCCTTCGGGATAGTGTTCATCGCCTAGGAGTGTCTCATGCCCAGAGCTAGAGTCAGACTTATCAGAGGCGGGACCGTACCCCTGGACAAAGAATGGGTCCGGCTTTTGAGTAGGATCGAGATCGGCATGTCCCTTTTCGACGTAAGCTAGATCCTGGATCTCTGTGATAGGAGAAGGTAGCGGGCTATTTGATTTGTCCGTTTCCTCCATCACCCTGACTGGGTCGGTTGACAAGGTAGGATATATTAAGTATTACTCTGAGCCCCTGAGGACAAAGTGCGTATATTCAGGTATGTCTATAAGCTATATAAGAACAGCAGCAGCTTACAATCTTAAGATTGGATGCAAGCACATTTAACATGTTCGAGCGCCTAGATCCACATTAGCCTTCAAAGTCGACCGAACCCCGGGGATATCAAGGTTACGATCCGTCCTCGGAGCCAATATACAGACCGCACATTTTGCCAACCCCGCTGCAACCCACTTTGGGCAGTGGTCGAGTGAGAAAGGTGTGGAAGGCGTGATATCGCGTTCTCTCTGCATATTAATTACGTCTCGAAAACTCGTAACCATGCGGCACCTAACCCTTAAGAGGTCACTCACCTCCACCATGAGATTAAACTCACGATCTGCCTAGGCCGGAGTTAAACCCGAAGCCCCAGAACTCCCTGCAAGATACCCAACAAGCTGCTGTTGATGAGCGATCCTCCCATTGCCACTCGACAATCCCATAGCCATCAGTACCAAGGGAACGGTGCGTTCCTTGTCTAAGGAGATACATATGGCTAAAAGATTTAGTCAAAAGTGACAGGAGTGACATGCATACCCTCAGCGACTACGGTATGCAATGGATAAGCGTTCTACGCTTCCCAGCTAATAGGAACCGAGCCGTTATCAAAAAGTCATCAGGGGAAATAGCTCCCGTAACTACCAACCTTATGATTTTTGATGAGCTCAATCTTGGTCGTCTTCCACGTCTTCAATCGAGACTTTTGGCGGCCCCATTGTAGAACTTGACATGTCATCTTGGGTATGTGTAGATTTAAGGTAACCCTCTCTTTCTAGGCGGTCAGCTTCTTCAGGCTCCATCAGGCCACTCTGACCCTTGCTCTTTTCCATCTTCATGCGGACTGCCGTGGGCATGAATGCGCTGGCAGCTTCCTTCCGTAAGTCGCGTACCATCGGCTTCGCTTCATACACCGTTTTTGCTTCTATCGGCACAGGTGGTTGCTTCTTGTCCTGATCTTGCTTGTCCTGGCCTTGCTTGTCTTGACTTTGGCTGTTTCGGCCCATTCTGTCTGGGCCACCTAGGGGCGTGTCGTTTGCATTTGCATTCCGGGCTGCCCTGCGCTTCGCATACCACTCGTCTAATATCTCCTTTGAAATCGGGGGAGGAGTGTCTCGGGGCATCGGTATGCTTTTGACATCATCCGGCACATCGCTGTCGCTGCTCTCAGCATCACGGCCGCCTCTTCTCCGCTTGCCTAGGACACTATCGTTTCCTCGTCCATCGCCTTTGAAGCCACCGCCACGACCAAAGGTTGGTGCTCTATCGCCGAGCGCCTCCCTCGCTTTTACTACTGCTTTCAGGTCACGTTCAAGACCTTCTAATACGGTTTCTTCGTGCTTCGTGAGCTTGCCGCCGCTAGTCGTAATCTTTTTGAGGTCGTCGATTTGCTTTTGTAATCTCTCGGGGTTTCGGTTTGCGAGCTTCTCATTTCGCCTCGTAGCTGCTTCTGCCTTGCCTACGAACAGATCATTAGTATATTTTCGATGCTCTGTTCAGCCATTGATCAGTATATATGGTCAATGCCTACCTTTCTTGATTTGTTTGGCCTTTTCAGCTTTGCGCTGGGCTTGGACGGGGTTGAAATTCTTCTCCTTAGGCATGGCTGGTTTCTTTGCAAGAGGAATAAAGAATAATTCAAGGCACTTCCCAGTAATTATAGATAGAGTAGAACAATCTGTTAGAAATTGCGTAGCGATTATAAGGGGCAGGAAGTATGGATTAATGGAGGACGTATAAGGTAGGCGGTATCTTCAAGCAGAGGGAAGTAGGTACGTAGTTATAATTATGGGTTCTTCCAGTTGAAGGCTTGTAGCAATAAATTCAGCCTTGTGCAAGTTCCGAAATTGCATCACTAGCCACTTTGAAAGTATGACACAGTGTGGGATTTAACTATAACGGTGTATAGGGCCCACTATATCAACAATAGAACTGATAACTAACGAGACGATAAGCAACCCTGCTACATACCCTATGTCGGTACCCTACTAGGTACTAGGTAGAGAGATAACTAACCGGGATATGCATTCTAAGCTGGTATTCTGGCCGTGTCCAAGGGAATACAGGCGCTAATAATAAACAGCCCTGGAGGTAACCCGAGATCCAAGCTGGGAAGATTTAGGATGTTTCACTTAGCGGCTGCCGGGGTGACAGTGTTGACTTCGTGTGCCGGTGTGCGACCAGTGTCCTGCCCAGGTGTTGAATGTTGTTGCCGCAATTGTTCAAGAATTCGAGACCCCGCCATCCCCAAATTCTAAAAATTGCAGCCCAATTGGGATCTTGCGATTTTGCGATTTCGATTTTTTGTGTTCATTCTTCCCAAGCAGAGGCAGGCATGTAACTAACAAAAACAAGCATAAGCATCTTTTGGGTCGCCTATTACTAGTGATCATCCATCGTGCATTTGTACATACATGGAGTTTGGATCTTTATTCTTACATCTTGCATATTCCCATATTCCCATATTCCCCCATATTCCCCCATATTCTCAAGAGCATTGATCTTATTGTATTCGATTAGATCAATTGGCCTTGTTTTCTTTCTTGTGTTGTTTGTCCCTTGTCGCGCGCACAGCTTCCCTGCTCTCATAGCTGGAAGCCCCTCCATCTTTACCCCCCCATCTCCCTCCCTCCCTCGCAACAACTTCTCTTCCTCTCACGTCTTGGGAGATCAGTTTTGTTGTCGTGGCCTTGCCTTGCCTTATCTTGTATCGCCTTGCCTTAGTCAATAGTAATTAGTTATGGCAAGCTTTCTATCCAATATGTTTCCTACTCAGGCAGTCAAAGACGGGAAGTCTTTCCCGTCAGAACTTCCTGCCACGCCCACCAAGAACAACTTCATTACTCCCATCTCGACACCCCTAGGCAGTCCAAGCAAGAGAACACTTCCTCCAGGAGCCAATGAGCTTCCTAGCGCCTTTGACAGTTCCTTGAAATTGAATCCCGTCTCCCTTGATTCTCCCGTCGTGAAGCTTGGTAGACCTCAAAGTGGTGCCCCTCTATCACCAACCAAAAGCAACCTTCAGCCCGCCGACGATGGGTACTTTACCACAGCTTCCCCTAATGTGGATAATAGCGTCATCCACAAGAGCGGAGATTCTCCAGGCACCCCATTGAAGAAGCAGGGACAAGAGAACACGCCACCGTCTAGAATCCCCGTGCGGGACTCTGTGTACCAGCACAATCAAGCTGCTCTATCGCGCCAAGAGCTCTATCAACTTCGTGACACCAAGACAGCAACGTCTACCACCAAGAGATTTAACACCACTCGCGGTCTGACGCCTGAAGAGATGGAAATCTTGAAGAAGCCCAACGTGCGCCGTCTAGTCAATGTCACCCAGCTATGTAAGACCGTGTCCCGCTCGCCCGCCAGCCTGCCTGCCCACCTACCCACCTATCTATCTACTTAGTAGGTGGGCGATCACCTTTGCACCGCTAACCGCCTCTTTGCAGACTTCCTAGATTATTACTTCGACCTACTCACCTACGTCGGCGCCAGACAGACACGACTGAACGCTTTCAAGGCAGAAGTGCCCGCACCGCCCGAGACCAACGAAGAAGAATATAACAAGTTGTGGCAGAAGTACACCGGAAGAGAGCGGGCCGCCCTCCGCAAACGCCGCATACGACTTCGACATGGCGATTTCCAGATCCTCACCCAGGTTGGTCAGGGAGGCTACGGGCAGGTATTCCTGGCTCAGAAGAAGGATACCAAAGAAGTTTGTGCTTTGAAAGTCATGAACAAGAAGTTGCTCTTCAAGTTGGATGAGATTAGGCATGTCCTTACGGAGAGAGACATCCTAACCACCGCCAACAGCGAGTGGCTAGTTCGCCTCTTGTACTCCTTCCAAGATGACAAGAGTATTTATCTTGCCATGGAATACGTACCTGGCGGAGATTTCCGAACACTATTAAACAACACGGGCGTCCTATCCAACCGCCACGCTCGCTTCTACATTGCCGAGATGTTCTGCTCCGTGGATGCACTCCACAAACTAGGCTACATCCATCGCGACTTGAAGCCTGAGAACTTCCTCATCGACTCGACAGGCCATGTCAAATTGACTGACTTTGGTTTGGCTGCGGGTAATGTCGCGTCATCAAAGATCAACTCAATGCGTATCAGGCTTGAAAAGGCTTCCGAGACAGATGTGCCATTCGGTAAGGCCATGGAGCAACGAACCATCGCGGAGCGTCGAGAGGGCTACCAGACCATGCGTGACAGGGACTTAAATTATGCAAAGTCCATAGTAGGATCTCCGGACTACATGGCTCCTGAAGTACTCCGTGGCGAAGAGTACGATTATACGGTTGACTACTGGAGCTTAGGATGCATGTTGTTCGAGGCTCTCACAGGATTCCCTCCTTTTGCAGGCTCTACTGCTGACGAGACCTGGCACAATTTGAAGCATTGGAAGGAGGTGCTCAAGCGCCCAGTTTGGGAAGACCCTAACTATTTCCTAAGTAATCGTACCTGGAGCTTCATCACTACGTAAGTCTTTGGGAAAACAACTTTTTGAGAGGGGCGAGGCTTACCAGTTTTAGGTGTATCAATTCGAAATCGAAGCGGTTCACCAACATTAAGGATATTATCGACCACCACTACTTTGCAGAAGTAGATTGGAAGAGCCTCAGATCAACCAAGGCTCCCTTCGTCCCAGAGCTAGATTCGGAGACCGATGCTGGTTATTTTGATGATTTCACCAACGAAGCTGACATGGCCAAGTACAAGGAAGTCCATGACAAACAACAGGCTCTCGAGAGCATGGCCGATCGAGACGAGTCAATGAACAAGGGCCTCTTCGTCGGATTTACTTTTCGCCACCGCAAAGCTACAACGGAAGATGGTAGTCCGAGAAAGCGGATCCAGACCGAGGAGACGTTTGGCACGATGCTTTAGTGTAGGCGTCCGCTGTCTAAATTCAGAAGGCGTTGAACTGCTTTATTTGACTCTAATGATTCCATCCTTTTCTTTTTTCTTTCTTACCACAATAATATTTGGCGGTAAATGTATAGGTAATTGCCAGGCAGGGTAGTGAAAAGAGGCTGGTACGAAACGGCATGCTTCGCATATGCTTCGGAGCAGCTCCTCGAGAGATTATCTTTTCGTTTGTTAATCGGTTGGGAAAGGGGTCTTCGGTGGAGGCTACGCAGGCTTTTGACTTTAGGGAGGCGTCGCTAGGTTTCGAGCATGTTGTGCTAGGAGTTCCAGAGAAATGGTTTAATGGTGGAGGGCATACGCGTCAAGTTCCGGTATGGCTGCTCTGAGGGCAGTTATAAGACTGTGACGTCGAGGAAGACGAGAGAAACAATACCAGTCGTGTACAACAGTGTCTCAATTGACTATTCTTGATTCTATTTTGATGAAACTAATTATCTTCGTTGATAGCTCAGCGACGAGCTCATGCTTACGTCCTTGATACTTATTGAGGCGATAAACACTGAAGTCTTGATACATTGCCCAACGCTGATGCTTATTAGGTACTTACCTGAATAGCATGCTTCACAATGGCATTTGGTATGACGAGATACCTATGGGATTTCCAGTATGGTAGCGTAAGTTCAAATCCACATAGATCATTTGTTGGTTTATTTTATCCAAGTTGGACTTGAATTAGGGTTATATCTCGCCTACTGTTCATGTACGGATAGAAAATGGGTTCCTGGTGTACGTGTACCTATGTAAGGGGCGATGACAAGGGATTTTCAGCCTTCGGGACCGGTGAGCCATGAGGCTTTTTCCCTTTAAGTCCACACAAAGTCACCGAGGCGGTTGCTAATTGGTTACCTACACAATGGGGATGAATGAGCTTCACCCGGCTTTTCCGGACGTCCCCAAGATCTGACCGACCCCGCGGAACGTAACCTTGAAAGCTTTCCATTCATAGGTGACTTACACAACCCAGTTTCCTTTTACCTACACAAGGACAGGATAGGATAGAATGTCCTTGGCTTTGGGGTGACTGACGAAGCTCGAGATCGCTCAGCCACGCGGGTTTGAGGAGCTTATGCTGTGTACCTACATACTTATGCTTACCTGCCTTTACATGTCTAGGACCTAATTCGAGATTATACATATTGTACTGCCCTAGATCCATTAGGTATTATACCTACAACATACTAAGACCGAACCTTAGATGTGGGAAACTCGGGCAACGGGTTCTTGCATTGGATCCAACCTACCTACCAAACAGCCCACGACTTATGTATAGCAACATGGTAGCTTATGTCGCTGTGCAACATTGAATGATACATACTTGCAATACAACCCAGCTCTGGGGACTCTGTATAACTACCTAATACTTAGTAGCTAGCTGAAGACTACGTGGCGGCTCTCGTAGGACATGCATATGGTGTATCGATCCTCCAACCAACCCCAAAAACCGGTCGTACATAACCTACCTACATACATATGCATGACTTCCCTCACTTTATACAGCGGCAGCTTGCCTTTGTGGACGCGCGGCTTTCCCACGCTAGTTAACGTTCACGCACGCGGGCGTTCTATTTTTTTTATTTTTCTTGGGATTAAACATAGGGAGGTAGGCATTGTTTTGAGAAGCTTACATTGCCTCCATCCCATCCATCCACCCATCCCTTTGTGTGTGTTTGTGTGAGCTAACCCGGGCGCCAGGGTACCACATGGAGAACGCGCAACTCTATTCTTGTCCTCCACTCACCTACCTAGGTAGGTACCTATGTTTTCTCGTTGCTTTGCCTATTAGATCTTCTACCTTCCTTACACAAAAGGTAAAAAGAGCAATTACCGAGCCAATCTATCGTAAGGAGGCGTTTCTTGGGAAGGGGGTTAGGTTGATCACACGCTCCGAAAGCTTAGGTAGGCTGGCTGGCGTGGAAGGTATGTAGGTTAGGTGAAAAGGGCAAGTGGATGACGAAACAGAAGGCTCTTCGTTGGACAAGACCCATACCTATACACGCACACACATGGACACATCCGAATTACGTGACGCTCGTGGGCTTTTAGACTTCTATGACATACGTCTCAACTGCCTGTCTGCCCGTCCCGTCTTTGTTCAGCCGATGAAGGGGAGGGGGGCTACGTAGGCCAAGTAAGTAAGTAAGTAAGTAAGCGTAGGTAGGCAGGAGTTATAAGTGTATGCTCTGCTTTTCTCGACACTGGTTACCTTTTTTTCTTATATTCGGTTCCCACAACTCTGTCGGGTTTATAAAAGAAGCTTTACTTACCCATCTTGTTGTTGCTACTTGAGGCTAAGGATCGAAACGAAAAGAGCAACTACACACTATATACATACACTTACACGACTGACATCGTAGAAGGAGAAAAGAGCGAAGAGAGAAAGAGAAAGAAAGATATATACATACCATATACGAAGTAAAGGAAACTGAGAAAGAGCCAAGATGAAGGCATCGACTGTTGTTGCCGTGCTGGCGCCTTCAGCCGCCTCCGCGCAGTGGTGGAGAGGTGCCCCTGGGTGTGCTGTAAGTGATTATCCTATTCCCTTATCCTATCCCATTATCCTATCTCATATTCCGTCATCCTCTACCCGACCGCCCTTAATATTCATAATACCTCCTCATTTCTCTCTCTCAACTCATACCCACCTACCTTACCTTACCTACATACCCCCCGACAACAATCCAATTACTAACACCCCTTCCAGCAATCCTGCCTCTCCTCCGCCTGGTCCACCCTCACCTCCTCCCCCACCTCCACCGTAACCATCACCGCCGCATCCAGCGACTGGCCCGCCCAATCCGCCTACTGCGACGCCTCCGGCCCCGGCCCCAGCGTCGGCTCCTGCATCTCCTCCGCCTGCGCCGCCTCCTCCTCCGCCACCGCCTACGAGTCCTACTCCTCCCTCTCCTCCTCCCTCTGCTCCCGCTACGCGGAGTGCACGTCCGCGGGCAGCACCGGCCTGCGCACCGTCACGCTGAGCGCGGGCCCCGTCACGTGGGCCGCGCCGGGGGGGTGGGGGTCGAGGTTTGGCAGTGGGGCTGGGGGACGAGGCGGCGGGCCGGGATGGGGGGGCAACGGAGGGGGGGCCAATGCGTCGGGGGACGCGTACAGCGAGTACTGGAGCGAGTGGGCGTCGGCGTACAGCGGGTCGCAGACGTGGACGGGCGGGGTGGCGACGGTGACGGGCTGCGCGTTCGACGGGTCGCCCTGGTTCGTGGGGCCCGGGTGCGGGTGGAACGGGCTGGGCGGGTTCGACGGCTGGGTCGGGTGGGGCTCGGGGTGGAGCTGGGGGCCGACGACGACGCAGACCGTCACGTTCACGACGACGGACACGGCGGGCGCGACGACGACGGCGACGGGGTTGGCGGCTGTGGCGCTCGCGGTCAGCGGCACGCTGACGACGAGCACGACGCTTGGCGCGCCGACTGCGACGTCTGGGGATGAGAGTGCGGCGGGGAGGGTTGCGGCGCCCGGTGGTGGGGGTGCTGGGTATGTTGGTGGAAGGGGTGCGGGAGGGTCGGCGGTCACGGGGTTGATGGGGTTGGCGCTTGCGAGTGTGCTGGTTATTGCTGGTATGCTGTAAGAGGAAGAGCGCTATTCCTCTTTACTGTTCACGTCCGGCTACGTACCTCGAATCGCTGCCTGCATAGGCACTTACGCACTCTCACCCCTGTCCTGTCCTGTCCTCTTCTCGTTTCGGGGGTTATCTACCTGCTTAGCTGCCTATCCTGAGTTATGCCTCTTCCCTGTACATAGCTGTCTAGGCTACCTGGTTCTCTAGGCCGCATGATGAACAGGCGGGGTGTTCAGGGGCTAGTGAAATTAAGGAGGAGCCGAGGTTTGTGTATTCCGATTGATAGGGCTTGTATGGAAAGTCTGGTCTTACACCGATATCGATGATGATGTGTAGTTATTAGATGCGGAATATGAAAAAGTTGTTATGGCTGAATTTTTGCACGGAGTTCAATCTTATCTCATTGCTCGAGGTCGTTCGTTCTCTTTGCTCTGGTGATGAAATGTCTAACAAGGGACCTGAGGTAGTTAAGGAAAGGGGGGAAGAAGATTTATCATAAAATATGAATTATATTATTCACCATAACTATCTATTACTTAATTCCTATGTCCTAATGCCTTCCTCGTGTTCGCATCGAATATAATACTGTTGCATCCATTCTCCCTTGCCCTATACCCTAGATTCCTTTTTGTACGCCTCTACGACTACCTATAGTTGACTGCCATTACGCTTTATACCTATATACCATCATAACTACCTACGTCCGATATTCCTCGTCAAGCGGAAACAAGATACTGGTGCCGACAGAACTCGATGATGTACGCCACCCCTGGTCTTCTTGTTCATGACCATGTCCAAGTACATGCTCTGGCTCTTTTGGCTTTGTCTCCGTATCCATACTCTCCCCATAACTTTCCTCTGTATCTGGATTTACAGTGTATACCGTACCCTTCGACCTCCCTGAATCAAGACGCTCACCACCATACGTAGTGGCCGGTAATGTCTCCAGCACCAGCCCTCTTTCTTGTTCCCTTTCCATTTCCCATTCCCTCTCTCTTTCCCTTTCCTTCATCCTTTCTCTCTCCCTCTCCCTCTCCCTCTCACCTCCCCGTCTCTCAGCCTCATCCATCCACTCAAAATTCTTATTCATATCTTTTTCCCTCTCCATCTGACCCCCCCTTCGTTCCGTCTCATCCACCCACTGAAACTGCGTAGTCGTCTCCCTCAGCACCCTCAAGTCCACTAGCTGCGGAGCGGGCGGAGGCGTTCTCAATGCCGGGGAGCTCAAGTTCGCTTGTCCGCCGAGGGTGTACAGCCCCTTTTTCTGTCGGAGTGGTAGGGATGGCCCTGCGGAGCGATCGGCGTCGGTATTACCGCCACTACTATCGCGAACAGCACTAACTTTCTCCCTGCTATCATCGCGGCGATGACGTCCTCGCTCTGGAAGGGTGATGGTGTGGTTGGCGTTGGCGTTAGGAGCAGGCACATGGGAGGACCTCAGCGCATCGTAAGACCGCTGCGACCGCGCCTGTCCCGGCGGTGGTAGCGGCGGGAGCGGGATCGAAGGCGGTCCCGTAGCCGGCGGCTGGAACGGCGCGGATAATTTGCGTCGGTGCCACGCGCGCTCGCTGAGAGTGTGGTCTGGGCGAGCGGCTGCGCTGGGGGTCGTTACTGTTGCCGGCTGTCCTCCTCCACCACCACCACTCCGCCCTCCCGCTCCTGCTCCTCCTCCTCCTGCTGCTGCTGGGCCAGAAGAAGCACCAACCCCCGGGTTCCGCGGGACATTAAAAACAAAATCAAACGGCGCAGCGGGCGCCCTCGTCGGCGTATGCGTCGGCGTCGACGTCGCGGACGACGGGAACAGGCGCCACTCCACCGCGGAGCTCGTCGCCGACGTGGGCGCGCGAGACGGCGACGACGACGGTGAGTTTTTCGGCGGGACGGGGGGCCGGAATTCGGAGAGGAAGTCCTGGGAGGACGAGAGGGGCGTTGCGAAGCGCGAGTGCAGCCCTGGGTACCGTCCACCGCTGCCGGACTCGAGCGCGGGAGTGGTGGGGGGGAGGGCGGAGATGCTGACTCGGGCTCTCTTGCCACCGCCGCCGCCATATCGTTCGTCGTGCTTGTCTAGACCGCGCGGTGGGTTTACTGTGGTGTCGATGGCGCTGGGCATGGGGCGTCGCGAGACTTGCTTTCCTTTCTGCTGCTGCCTCTTGCGTCTGCGGGCCCGGAAGCATATCACCACGAGCGCGCCGAGGAGGATAGCTACGGAGAAGGTGCCGGTTATGGCGGCGATGGTCGAGGAAGCAGCTGGTGCACCTGGCGTCCCGGGTGGTGGCGGTGGTATAACCGTCGTTGATGCCGATGTCAATGCGGCGGGGGACGAGATGATGGAAGCCACTCCCGATGCAGCTGTTGTTCCGGCTTCCTCTGGTACAATAACAGAAGTATCTGGCGATTCTAACGGTTCGGTATCATCATCTCCAGCGATCACCGGGTCTCCTGGAGCTTTGAGGAGGGCGGTGGCTACAGCTCCAGAGGGCAATAGGGCTTCATCGTCGATGCTATTTTGGCTCTTGTCCTTGCCCGTTCCTTCGACATCTTCGTTTATACCATGGATACCATAAACTGCGAGTTTGTCTGTCCCTCCACAAAAGTGTCTTCCATCCCCGGTGCAAGTTATATTGCAATCTTCTGGTGAGAGTTTGCGGGCTTCAGGCACGAGCTGTGAGCCGCACAAGCACTCGCTAGATAGCAACTGGCTGTTAGTATATTGTACGCCTTATAACACTTACAGACTACGACCTTACCTTCCATTCCTTAGACCAACTACTCCATAGCGATCCGGTGACTCGCCTGGCTTCTCACTTGGGGGTTTCAATCCAGCACAGGCCTTTACGCAGGCATTTATCGTCAAGTTATCAGACGATACAGCTGGTGGTTTGGCTTGGCCTTGTGGTCCGAAAGGATGTCCTCTCCAGTCACCAGTCGGGTGCTGATAACATCCTAGCAATGAAAAGGCGGAGTCTCCTGGTGATAACGTGGGCTTGTATGCTAATGTTGTAGTGATCGTGATCGTTGGCAACTCTCTCGCAGGCGACCCGAACACCCCCAGCTCTGATGTATCTCCTCCTGTCCAAGCTTCCTCGCCTTTTGTCCGGAATAAGAGCCCGCTCCATATGAGCGTCTGTAGACAGAACCGCCTCGAACTGAATTCTGTCGGTAACATTATCGATTATCATGCCGACGAGATTCACATAGCACATGAGAAGCCGTTGCGCATTGCGCCCGGGAGGGACTCATGTCTGCTTTGGCCTTTGTCATCTCCATCGCTTATTGGCGTCATTCAATACACAAAGAGATGGCCACCAAATGTGAGCTGGACAAAGGCTCGAGCCTCGAATGCGGCTTTATAGACCCATGCCGATCAATTGAACAAGCCATTCTCGCGGATGGGAGCAACCCTTATGTCCAGAGGTGTAACGAACTTGTTTATTTTTGTCTGTCTTAAGGCTCATAGTGAGGCGTACACTACTTACTAGGTACACACGAATCTCAAAACTAGCAGCCCAAAAGGTGAAAACATAACACAGAACATTCAGAAAGCGCAAAGACGGATGACCATGCACCTTTATGGAGATTTGAGATAGGATTGGACAAGGCTCATGACGGAAGTCCGTGTTGACATTTCCTAAGATAAGGCGTTGATTGCGTGATTATGAATAGAAACGAGATAAGAGTAATAAGATCGACGAAGAGGTAGAGCCTCCTCCTATTGATGAGCCCCAGCCCTATGTATTTTCCATACCTACCTACATACATGCTACTGTACGTACATACCTGGTATTATTGTACCGCTTCGTGCCATACAGCGGTCGTCGATATCTCTCTATCTCAGATCGACCCCGAGATATGGTTATCCAGCCCACACTTTCTCCTGCATGAAGAATGGCCTACTGTGCATGGGAAGTATCTATCTAGGTACTTACATACATACCTAACCTACATACATGTATGTATGTAGTCCAAGAAAAGATTTAAGAAAATAACCCTGAAGACCAAATTTGCCATCAAATTACACCACAACCAGGAGCTATTATGTACATTTTTATATATTCTACCTACGTTTCAAGTGTATTTTATTAATTCTTGTTTCCCAGGTGGAGCAAAACGGGGGAACCCCGATGGCGTAACTAGACGGCATTTTGATTTCAGTTGGCAAATTATTAGGTAACAAGAAGCCAGTAAAGGGGAGAGCGAGTCCATTGAACAACTTTGGGAATATTTTCCTAGTTATCAATTAAATACGAAAAAAGAAATCCTGATCAAAAAAAAGAACAATATAAAAAGCCCGTCAACTCGCCCTGTTTATGAGTAAACATCCTCGAAATGTTCAAAATAAAAGCAAAAAAAGTCGAGGTTGGAGATGTTTCCGTTAGTTGCCTGCTATCTGTACCTACTAGGCTAGGTAGGTAGGGTAGGCTATCTACATGTAGCAATCCCCTCCCAATCGACGCTATCGCGGTTATATCTAGATGGAATCAACAAAAAAGTCATCTACATGAAGTGACCCCGGTCACCTGCCGCATTCGAGCGTCACCAAAGATAGGCAAATCGTCTAATCACAGGCAAGACGATGACCATCTTGCGTCTATATCTTCAGATGGCTTCCCCAGCTTGCTTAGGTACCCAGGTGGTCTGGACTTCGAGGGCTTGAGGGCTTGAGGGCTTGAGCTTTGGAGTGAAAAGGACTACCTTGGATAGGTACCTTGGCCTTACTAACTTCATAGGGCCTCGTCGACGCCAAAATGCCGTGGATGGGTGATAAGGGAATGTCGCAGCCAGCAGCTAGCAGCATACGAGTTGGAGCTTCGCCATCTCGCATTAAACCTTACTTACATACAGATTCACGATGATTGGCCAATGGTTGGGGATCGCCCTTTTTTACGCGGGGTCCTTTTTTTTCTGTACAGGTTATAGGGGGGGATCAGCGAACACGTCGTGACCTCTCCGCGAAAGAAATCAGCCAGCAAGACATCATCCGTCCGAAGCCACTCGGCGCTTGCCTAGCGAAGAAAATACAAACACACACACAAAAAAGCAGGAGATGGAATGGGGTCGCACGACATCATGGGGGATCAGTCAATCAGCAGCAGGTGACCTCACGATCGACCGGCGATTTTTCCCTACCTACCTACCTACCTACTGTATTCATTCTATAGGTCAAGGCCCCCGTGCCTAGATGAACCAGCTGACGAAACGACCCTGTTCGCTTTATGTTCCTTTGGGGGAAACCCCCACGCCCGGTTCATCTCGTCTATGGGGACGAACCCCCCCCTTCTCTCTGTCTGACAGGCTTCTATGATGCTGCCGGCGACAGAAACGGGAAACCGAGGCCAACCACACGACGGAGGGGCAAAAAAAATCAAACCGAAGAAAAAAAAGAAGGAATTAACTGCATACGTACATGCGTACATACAATACAGTACCTACTACATACTAATGTATGTAGGTATGTATGTATGTATTCGGCCAACAAGACTTGAAAAGGGCAAATGCGAATTTTAATGCCTGGTCCCCATTACGCACGCTTTGCCCGTCTTGGTAAAATACCGCAGTGGCTATTTGCCTTGCATGGACAGTTGAGTGGCTGCCAATTTCGACCAATTCTAGACCGTTGCAGGAAAAAGGGAAATGGGAAAATCTGGAACTATGGAACAACCTTTCGGTTTAATCCTCTATTAGTCGACATCTTCTAACTTCTTTAACGGTGTAAGTGTTTCAACTAATTGAACGAGCCAGTGAGTGAGCGCCCCGTCCTCCCACCTCCCAGTGGCTCCCACACTTCTTCCGCCGTTGGAAAAGCCACTACTGTTCGGGCCGGAAGCAGCAGCAGCAACAGTTGAAGGAAATAAGAAATAAGGCATCGAATTATCTTAAAAGAGAAAAGTCACAAAAGAAAAAATTATGGGAATGACATGACAGAGCTCTAGAACTCATGAGAAAAAAAAGACGGTGGATTTAGTACGGCCGAGATCGTCGGGCCCTAGAGCCCTAACCTTGCGGGTTTGTCGGTTTAATTATGGCTTCGGTACGCGGGCCTTGGGTCTTGGGTCTTGGAAAGGTGCTAGTTGTGGCAAGCTCGTAAGTCGACTATGGTTACGAGGGTTCGCCGAAAAAGAAAACGAAGAGTACTCATTGGTGGGAGGTTCTCGGTCAACCTTCCCAACTAACGGATACCTACTACCTATTTAATATTTCCCACGACTTGTAAATCCGAATCCTAGGACCCGAACGACTCTTGGTTTGGTTCCAACCACTGGACTTGGACCCTCTTCGATGTAACCTCCGTACGCTTAGGAATTGGTAAGGTTATTTTTATATTAAGAAATTGGTCAACTTTTATTGCCATCATCATGCTTGTCACCCTGAACAGCACCCTAAACAGCATCAGTTCAAACTACCCACGACAAGAACCTGTTTTGGGGACAGTAATGAAAAGCTTCTTTACGGCGGTGTCAGGCCTAGGAAACCTCTCCCAACAACTGCCGTGTCAATCTTATACCCAATTCCTCGAGCTAATTGAACGAATTCGAATAAGATATATGTACCTGAAGCGCGTTATACGTAGCTTGGAATCGATCAGCTGTGGATCCGTCAAACTAGTAATTGAGGCTATATTGAACTGTCGACCCACTCCGCCGGGTTTTCAGGGTCCTGAAGCTTCCTCCCAAACAGGGTCGCCATCTCGAAATATCATGAATGGATGAATGCATAATCCGCCAGGACCAGTTTCTCCTTGAAGTACTCCGAAAAAGCGCGCTACGTTGAATTTGGCGATGCCGTTATGCAAGTTCGGGACACACAAGTTGGTAGGTAGGTATTTGGAGCTGGACATACATACATAGGTATACTACCTGCCTTATTGAAGCCTGCCGACCAAAGAGGAAATATGTGGGAAGCTGACTTGGAAAGCTTCTGTTACAGCGCAGTGCTCACGAATCTAGACGTTGCCAAGCTGTCAGATGAGGAAAATTCAAATACATACCTACATACATATGTAGAAACTTGAAGGATATTAACGGAAGCGGCTGTCTATCCTAAACCATGTTGTGGCGCTAATACTACATGTTCGTTCTAAGAAGACACCGGTAGTTTTATGGAGATGCTGTATTTCTAAGTGATTTGGCATGTGACGAAACTAGACATAAAAAGAGTTGTGCCGGTATGTCGGCTTACTGGCGAGCTTCTTGAAAGGGAGAAGCGCACTCCCGTCGGTAACGACCGTAGTGATCATCTTGCGTTGCGTTCCCTAAACGATTATTTTGCTTCTGTGGCAAAACGAAACAAGAACATGAAGTGCGTGTTCTGGCTTGCGGCGGGAGAGGTTGTCACGTTGAATGGCGATGGCTGACTAGCCTTTTACTTATTATTATTCTTCTTCAAGTGGCTGACGATGTCCTTTAGCAAATGCAGCTAACGATCAACTGAGGGGCCCCGGCCTGACTTCCCACGCGAGCCAAAAAAGCAAACAAAGGCTACTAACTTACAGTACTATGTAAAATCCTTGGCGATTTTGCTAAAGGTTTAGTCATGGCAATAGTGCTCACCAGTAGCGGATGGGTTTTCGTCATGCTGTTTCAAACGGGCGGCGGGAAGCGCCGGGGAGTCGGGGTTTACCCCCTCCTTTCTTACAGTTCACTTTCTCGTGAGAAGAGGAGACCGTGTGAGAATGCCGCGAGGCTGCCGTTATATGTCCCGACGTCGTTTAAATTGCCTAGGCCATCGATCGATGGAGAACCGAATAGCGTGGAAGTCGGATGAAAGAGGATGGTATCAACGTATAGTACCGTTGATTTCGTGTTACCGTATAGGGGAAAGAAAACACGACTCGTTGCCCAAAAGCAGAATGTTGCTTGTGAATAGAAAAAAAGGATTCAATGTTCCGCGTGAATTTCAAGGGAAGCAACATATTTGATAGGGCACAGTACCACGGTAGGTATGATGTAGGAGCTCGCCGCCTTCAGGGTCGACCATTAGCCACGTTTCCATTCCTTGCTTGCGGTATACTCCCAAGACTTTAAGAGGCTTGAAAGGGCTTGAAAGGGCTTGAAAGGGCTTGAAAAGGCTTAAGAGGCTTGAAGGAGGAGGGGGTTAGATGGGATTAGATGGGATTAGATGCAGGTGGCCAGTGGGCTCGGCCTTAAGTGTAATAGCCCTGCCCTGGGTGTATTCCGCACCTGCACCTACCTCTCTACCAGAGTTTACCTGTCTCCATTTGAAGCTTCAAGGGTTCGTCGTTGCACTACTACATAATATAGTACCCATGTATATACTGGACTTAGTAGTACATGCACAAAGTGTGGGGGTTCATCCATCCTTGTCCCTGCAAGAACTACATGAGGTACCCTTGTTCTACCATCCTGGTTTGGTGGTTTTGAGCATGCATTGCGCGTCGAAAGTACCATCTACTTCAGCTGTACCAACTAAAAGCTGTACAGACTCTACAGAGTCTACAGACATGGACCTGGTCATCGCTTCAATGTTCGTCTCATTCAATGTTGCAAACCCTTTCCCACATCTGCAGGCCGTCCTACGCTAGTAGACAGAGCTCTTCCATGTCGGAACTCGCTGACCGGTTCTGGAACCATGGGGCCTGGGCCAGCATTGAAGGTATTGTATTGTACAATAACTACCCAACACTGGGTAGGTACTAGTTAGGTAGTATTCCTTTTTTTCTAAACCGAGTCAGCATAAGGCTACTTTATAGCACTTGAGCACTGCATACTTGCTAGGTCTATAGTAGATACCGCCACTACATCTATAGTTAAACACTTCAATGCTATTGATATATCCATGGATGTACATATAGTTCATTGTGTATTGACGTACCTAGTGTAGATTCTTTGCCGAATATATACGGTATATACGTGCTAGCATGGCCCTGCACAGCAAGACAAGACAACGGAAGGGAAGGGTAGCACATATTCCTTCATGTGATTCTTCGCCTCGAGTCCCTATATCCATGTTGGTGAAGTCATAACAAGGGATGACATTCTTACTTAGCTCTTCTTTTATATGTAATACAACGGTTCCTCGAGAGTCGAGAAGCCCGGACGCTTGCCCAAGTCGCATATTAGGAGGTATTTGGTATGTACCCAGGTAAGCTACCTACCCACCTAGGTAGACATTCAATGAGCCCGCTAGGTTAAATAGATCAGGAATCATCTAGGCTATCTTGGATTGGTACATATGTACGTAGTGTATTCTGAGGCTGGTGGCACAACCTCATGCAGAGTTCTTCGCTGTCGAATTGGAAAATGAGACGTACTCATCCACAATTATTAATGGGCAAGGTCAGCAAGCTCAATGGATGACAATGCACTTTTAGAAATTATAAATGAACATAGCATTGCGGCTTCGGAGGTTTGCAAGCAAGGTTGTCTGCCTCGTCGCCGATGGCACCGAAAGTGAAAACCAACAGTCTCTCACAACTCCCTCGTTTTATAGGGCGCCGCAAGTATAACCGTTAACGCTCTTCTAGTGTACGGTAAGTATGGGATTCTCTTTGACTTCTCTCCGACTTTTCCCGATATCCATTTGAACCTTAGTACGGTTAGTACAGAGTAAGTATAGCGCCGATACTAGTCTGTAGGGTCCGAGTGTACTGAGATCTTTATATCAAGCCTCAGTTCGTTTCCCGTCGGTCCACAGATCCCACAGATCGGCGTTAAACCGGACGATTCTCTCACGTTATAGCAACGCTAGTAAATAAGGCCAAGGCCACCCTTGCTTCGTCGTCTAACGCTATAATTGACCATGCAGCTTGAAGTCACCAAAAGCTTGGACTGAAAAGTGACTGATTCCTTTTCATATTCTGGTCTTGACGTACCTGGCGTCTTTCTGGCGTTTACAGCACAGCACCACATGGAATTGAGGTATTGGACCAGCCGAGGTAGGTATACGTGTGCACATGTACATATATATATATATATATGCACGTACAGACATTAATACACTTATTGATAGTACTGCTATAATAAGCAGATCAATACCTCGGTTTTTTCTTGCTTTTTTTTTCTTTTCGTTTTTTGCTGTGCCGCAATGTGCTTGTGTAAGAAAACATAATGTGTACACAGAGTTACAGAGTTTAGTACTTCGTAGGTAAGTGATGGAAGGTTGAAGAGGGGCAAGACAGGCTCGGGCTGTAAGCTACCTAACCTAGGGTAGACTGAGAATGCAATGAACATTTGAAGGACCGGACGGCGGGACCATGGGAGGTAGTTAGAGAGTGGAGGAGGAGCTCTCCAGTGAAGAGGACAGCCCCTCCAGGGCTGGGAAGTACCCAGGCCCTAGGGTAGGTATTGTAAGTACTGGGTACGTGACGTATACGTAAGACCGAGCTGCAGGTGCTGGACGTAACGCATCCATACCTACCTACATATGCGCCTAGCGCAGAAGCAGCTACCTAGCACTTTAGACCCTTTGATGGCCCGCGGCTCGTACAGGCCCCCTGGTTTGTACCCTCTGTTCTTTCTCTCTTTCTTCCCAATTTTGCCTGTATGATATTCCTCCCCTCCGATATTTGGGATTTTAGTGCCTTTCCATTACTCGTGTTCATCAGTCATGTCGGGCAAACCAGTCAGTCGTCAGTAAAAGAGCATCGGGGCAATCTTTATGACATGCGGGTAATTGCACTAAACTGACCTATCTCTTTTTTTTATTCCGGGGTTATGACCACATACGTAGATATATATACGTACATAACTATACCTATACATTATATACGCATTCCTATTACCAGTAGGCTGTAGGTAACACATACAATAGTACTGTATAAGAACCGTTGAAGAAAGTGGAACTTTCGTGTGTTACATGTGGCATGTGTAAGACCTTCCAGCTGGAACTACATGTGTAGATTCAGGTATAAGTTCAGTTGCAACTCCGTTGTATGCCTCATTGAAATAGATTTACAATTTGTAGTAAATTCAAATTCAACGACACATTGAATGAGTCGAGACTCTTGGGAAGTTGAGTACTCCAACTTGGAAACCTACATACATAAATAAGCCTTATTCAAGGATAAAGAGTACTGTAAGTACAACTTACAACTCTCTATCCCTACATCATCCCGGGTAGGTACCACATACTACGCAAATCGTAGCTGGGAGCCCTGGAGAATACCCCCACTACCTACCTACTAGGTATGTCTAGGGCCTCAATGTTCTTCTCCAGCAACATATGTACACATATGTAGATATTTTTCAACCGTAATTTCAGTGCAGATCCACCCCTCGCAAAGTAACTCGCTTCGGCTGCACAAGAAAGCATTTGGGGACCTGGATTGCGGAGGCACCTTTCAGGGAATCCCTCAAACTTGCAATTGTCGTTATGGGATTGGTCCAAGGGTCCAGCCATCAAAAATCGTCAATCCCAAGCAATAATTTAGCATGCTACTGTACTTACACACGCACACTTACCTACACACACACACACACACACACACATAAGAAAAAAAACTGCCACCACCTTACATGATCGAACTCGTGGATGTGCCCACAAGTCTCATGGACTTCTTGGATAACTAACTGTATTATAGCTTAGCACCGGAATTGTTCCAAGCATACATGTATGTACCTACATACTTGACATTTAGTAGTACATACCTACATAGCATAGTACCTACATCGGTACTATACTAGTCACCAACCTAGCCCAGTCCTAGGCACCTTTGGTCCAAGGAATTACCAGCATCTGGCGTATTTGCATCTGCATCCACCTACTACACATCCACCTCCATTACAAAGTCTCAGTGCGCACCCACCACCCATGTCACCCATGTCAAAGCCGAACCAAACTGCCTGGTTGCTCCAGTCCACTTAACTTGCCCTGTCGACCCTGTCGACTGCCCTGTCGAATTTCTAAAGAGCGATGCGACATTGAACTTCCCGAGTTGCTATTGTTGTCGCCGCCTTGCTTGCCTACTTTGCTTGCTTGCCTGCTTGCTTGCTTGCTACTACTATTACCATTACCACTACCACTACTCCTACTCCTACTCCTGCTACTACTCCTACTATTGCTCTCCGCAAAACCCTCGATCTACCTTAGGTATCATACACCACACCCTGTCCTGCAATTCCTGACAATAACGCACGCCGTTGTCGAACGAGACCGAGAGAAGAAAAGAGAAGCAATTGATCTACGCGACCAACTTAAAGAGCTTTACCGTTTACCACAATTTATCATTCTTAATGAGTTTCAACGTTTCTTCTTTAATTTCTATTCCGATCCCGATTGAAGAATCGCAAGGCAAAACGGTTCGCTATACGACCTTCATTTCTAGGCGCTAGGGTCCGGCAAACAAAGTTCAGGATAGCGTTCGGCTTGTGAAGGAACTTGGGCTGACAGCCCAAACCTTGGAACGTGGGGAAACTTGGGAAGGTGACCTGTAATACCTACGAAATATTAACTTCTCCAACTTCCCATACAAATCCATACAAACCCATACAAAAAAAAGAGATTGAGAGGGAAAGAGTTAATCGGAAAGTAGCGAGAAGAAGGAAAGAAGTGAGGAAAGAAAACTAACGAGCCAAGTTTCTTTCCCACTCCTCTTCTTTTCCTTTTTTATTTTTACTTTTACTCTTTTCCACTTTTTTACACAAGTACAAGTATCAGTACCCGTGCCATATGGCTGCCAGCACAGCGTCACCAATAGCGACTTCGAGTCCCTCCACAGCGATGAATCCTACTACGACAGAGCACGACTTTCGCTTCCCGCGAAGACCCTTCGAACCGTCCTTCGGTCACCACACCGAATCTTTCCGGCCGAGTAAGGATAATGCCGACGAGAATAGTCCTGGAGATTTGCGCATACATGAGCTCAACTTAGATATGGATTTTACAAAAACTGACAATCCTGCACACTTCGATTTTCTGCAAACCTCGCTCTTCCCCAACTTACGAAATGGCATGTCCGGGAACAGTGAGAGTTTGGAGCAAATGCAGCAAAATGATCCGCTTGCCACCCAGATTTGGAGGTTTTTTCGCAACACGAAGCAGAGTTTGCCTAGCCAGGATCGCATGGTGAATTTGACGTGGCGCATGATGCATTTGAGTCTCCGCAGAAGGAAGCAGGAGGAAGACGCTCGGTATGTTTGTTGCAGTTAAGGCGCATCATGACTCTAACCATTTCTACAGTCGTAATGCTCTTCGTGAGTACGACAATACCGCTACGAATAATGCCAATGCCCCCAGCGGCATTGCGCAACTCAGGAAAACATCAGATCATAATTATTTACATACGGATCCTATGAATCTGGACGATTTCATATTTCCTGAAAATGTCGCGACACCGGCTGGATTGGCCGCGACACCCTCACCTGATACAAGCAAGCAGGAGGGAGAGAAGCCGGCTCACACGACCGCCGCCGCTATCCCTATCAAATCCCGTAGAAGCGCTTCACAGAACTTCGTTCCTCAATCAGTCCCTGTTCCTCCCCATCAAAGAAATCAGGATGAATTCGCATACGTCACTCGACATCATCGGAAGACCAGCATTGACGAGAGACGAGTGAGTACCACCAAGCCGCCTTGGTATGCTAGAGGGAGTCTATTCGCCCTCGAAGCTTCCCCCTACATGCCTCTAATTAAGTTCTCTATCTTGTCTTTGTATCTGTTCAGAAAATTTGCCGTACATCTATATCAGAAGCTAATCGTATTGTTGTACTAGACTACTACTCGGAATTTGAAGCGACCTGCTAACTTTTCCCCTCATGTTTCCGCCCTCAATAGCAACGGTTATGTAGCCAATGAGCTAGATGCTGATTCTGATCTTCACGAATATTCTCTAGAAAACTCCCACGCGAATGGCAATGCTCAAGTTTCACACCATTCCGGACCATCCTTTCACCTTGATAACTTTCACATGGAAAGTGATCCAATCATTAATTCAGCAGGCCCCTTCCAGCATGGCTTTTCATTCTCACCTTCGACCTCGCCAATGGTTCCCCATGGCCCCTTTTCGAATTTCTACAATCACCATGGCGTTGCTCCAAATTCGGCGAATGGTGCAGATTACTACTCTCCGCCAGGATCTGCGTATCAGTCGGCTGTTTCTACCCCACACCCTATTGTGGAAAATGAGAATATGTTCTTCAGCTCGATGGATGTCCGCCACCAACGAGCACAGAATTTCCGTCATGGCCCAGCATCTTTGAGGAACCAAATGAGCCAGCAATACATGCACCATTCCAACGGCAACTCAATGTTTCATCCCACTACTACTGGGGCAGATTCGTCAACCTCTTTCACCCAAACTCTCACTTTCGGCCACGTTGACCCAAGCCAAGTCTTTCAGCCTGAGCACCCAGTTCGTTCGCCCGGTGTGGGTATGGCACATGAGAATATGTTTAATTTTGGCATCGATTCTGACAATGAGGATGAGGACGGAGGTGCATTCGCTGACCGAAACATGGGAATGCACCAGCCTTTTTCACCTGATAATGAAGTAGGCATGGATATGGGCAACAATCAAAACTCCATGGGGTGGGATGCTGCTTTGCCTGGGCAATTTAGTACACAAGCGGCTCGCTACCCTGGTGGCCCACCCCGTAAGCAAGTCACTATTGGGGGCACGACAACCGATTTTCTAGACTCTGGGGATTGGGACAGTCAAGGCAGCTTGCCTCGTTCCCAGTCATTTAGGTCGGTCAGTGACAGGCGCCAGAAGATGTCTCGTACATCATCGACACCGAGCGCCAACTTGGGCGGCCGTGGAAATCCGTTCGATAAGATGGCCCAGTCGAACCCGAATTCTCCACCAGCAGATGTGTCAGGAACTGTCTCGGGCTTCTCTTCCGTAGCACCCAGTCGACCTGCGTCCCCACCCGGCTCCAAACATGGGTCCACGAACAACCTGCAAGCTGCCGCGGGAGGCCAAGGGGACGGGAACGCACCTACTACTTGCACCAACTGTTTCACGCAAACTACGCCACTATGGCGTCGAAACCCGGAAGGGCAGCCTCTTTGCAATGCTTGTGGCCTATTTTTGAAACTTCATGGAGTTGTAAGGCCGTTGAGTTTGAAGACCGATGTGATCAAGAAGCGTAACCGTGGATCTGGCGCCAGTCTCCCGGTTGGTGGGACAAGCACAAGGTCAAAGAAGAATTCCGGAAATGCATCGGGCCCCGCTTCTGGACCTGCTTCACGCAAAAATTCAACCTTAACTATGTCTGCTGCAAACAATTCATCGCAGGTTACCACCCCGCCATCGGCAACCAACAGGGCCGGCAGTGTCAATGAGGGCGAAAGTCCTGCAAGTGGTGCTGGCGGTTCCGGTGGTAACACGGCAGGCAGCACGCCCACAAGTTACGCAGGTTCTGCCAATGGTGCTGTTGGCGGTAAAGGCGTTGTGCCTATTGCGGCCGCTCCCCCCAAAAATGCACCTGGGCCGGGTGCCGCTTCGCTCCCGCGAACTATCGGCGCCAACGGCTCTTCCAAGCGTCAACGACGTAATAGCAAGAGTACTGGTCCCAACGAATCGTCCACTGTCATGGATATTGACAGTCCCGAGAATTCGACTGGCTCGAACGAAGCAGCTCGCTCCATTGGTTCATCAAGCGGGTTCGCTAGCATATCAAACCCAGGAAACTTGGGCCTTGCTAATAGTTTCGGCATGACCCAAAGACCTATGATGGGATCTGGCATGGTCGGAATGTCGAGTGCTCCTAGTGGTGTGATGAATACCGGTTCTGGCAATGGACCCCAGGAATGGGAATGGTTAACGATGAGCCTCTAAAACCTGTCGGGAAGAAATTACTACATCAAAATCAGATGTTACTTAAAGTGTGGTTTTGGATATCCAACATACGACTTGTTTGAGCGGACCTGCTCAAATTTACTGCATGGAAGGAGTGGCTGTCTAATTTGGTTGTGAGAATGACCTTCTAATGGGGGCTATCGGACTAATTTGCCACGAACGGCCCCGCTGAACTCACTACAGTACGGGGAATGAGTAATCACGATATATCATATACAACGGCGTTGGGGTTGTCTACATTTTTCATCATCGATCGAAACCTATTCTCTACATCGTCCACCAACACGCTCGAGGGGGGTTTCATGTAGCCTCTTGCGTCCACTCCTCGTTCGCTTACATATTTGTACATCACTGGGACTGGGAGTGTCGAGTTGAGTCAGGTTTTCAACTATTTGGAGAGGAATTCTTGAGTGTTTTGCGTCACGATTTCGTCAAGAACGGTTCTATTTTCGCCTTTTGCTTGTTTATTGTTGCTATTGTTTATTATGTGTAGCATCATACCTACGCACCTAGGTACCTAAAGTACCTGCGATACTTTGACATCGTGTTCTGAGTTGATACTTGGACCACGCGACATACCCTCACGATAACAAGAATTCGACTCATGATGGGACACGTCGTGCCGGTTTCTGGGTGTATGATACTCTTTTGGTGATAGGATTCTTGTCGGGCGGAGAATGTCGGCTCCATCGGGATACACCATGAGGGTTTTTATTCATGTCTCCATGCTTTTTTATTTGCTTTGGTGGCCGGAATTTTGACTTGGCTGGGAATTTTGTGTAGATATGGATGGGATTTGATACCAATTCGTTGTCGTCGTTGTTTGTAGACTGGGGCGCGCAGATCACCTGCGGGCCTGCGAGCATTGGAAGGACGGAAGGAAGGCAGGAAGGGTCGGGTTACGAGCAGGTTTGAGAGCTTTTGATTTTATAAGTTAGATTTCACGAACAGACGACATGACAGGAAGGCAGGCAGGCGAGCAGGCATGTTTACGAGTTTGCTCTCCTCACTCGTTGGTGCATGGGCATGGGAAAGGGGGGTAGGTGTCCTACACACCGAGCCGAGAGCAACTGCTTCTTTCAAGCGCCCCCTTTTCATGTAAATCCGGTTCTGGGTTGCCTACCTGCCAGCTTGCTTAGCTTAGTTGGGCTGAAGACGTTAGACAGACGCTGTTGTGGAAGAGGTGAAAGATCAAGATGAATTAACACACCACTTATAAAGCCATACTTACTTGTTTGCGTGTCTATCTGATGTGATTTCATCAATCTGCGAAATTGGGTACGCACCTAGGTATTCATGAGGTCAGGTAGGCGTAGATCTGAGTGACTTGCGCTCTCCTCATAAATACACTAGACTAGGTACCTACATATGTCAACCGATTATCGAGTATCGGAGTAGGGACACAAGGCGCTGCTGATACTATCTATAGCTTGCTTGGCTGAGCTGGCCTAGGTAGTTCCGTTTCCTTTTCCCCTCTCCCTCTCCCTCTTCCTTTCTCCGCCTTGTCACATCATTGTTGATCTTCATTCTCTTTCTTTCTCTCCCTCCTTAGGCGAAGCGAAGAAAGGGGGGGATTAGGTTTAGGTTTAGGTAAGGGATGGGGGAGGGAGGGAGGAAGGAAAGGGGGAGGTATTTATTTATTTTGATACGGCGGAAGATACATAGGAGATGGATGGATGGATAGAGGGATAGAAGGATAGATAGATAGATAGGCGTTGCTTAACTACAGTAACCTAGGTTAGGGAGTAAGTACCCCCCCCCCCTCTTCTACATATCTCAATGAAAATCATCGAGGAGGTAACTAGATACTAAGCTCTATTAGAGAGTAGGTATGATGATAACCTCTTGAGACTTTTTCACATCTACTGACTACAGTAGGTAGGGTATTTAAGGGCCAAGCAGAAGCATCAGTCAAGCCCGTTATAGACACTAGACAACGTCTTAGACTTAGCTTAATTCCCAAGTTACTTCTTACCATAGCATCACATAGCTTATCATATCACATTAAGATACAAAGCACATCAAATAACAGATGTAGGTAAAATGCGGGTAGAAAGGGCTTCAATTTGCTAGATATCAGCACTGCACTACTTCACCAAACTCGTCGCAAATATGCGTGCATGGGGATTAGACAAGTCCGACATGGCTCGTTGACAATCAGTTCAACGCCAGTCGTCCAAATGTGTCAACTTTGCCGTCATCATGTTCCTGACCCCAAGACAACGCAAAATCTGATATTCCCCTTGCCAATGCGTGCACTGAGTTGAGTTGATCGATCGAGTGTGCGAAGAAGCGACTCGTCCTACCAAGTCCACTATGACCTCTCTCTTATCCCCATTAAGCAAGCCTCTTTTGAAGCCTGCCAACTGGAGTGAGCAGGAAAAATTTCCAACGGGGTATTTTCTCTTTGTGCCTATTCACTTGAACCAGGCGGAGAAGAAATCCCGGGATAAAGTGTGATCTGGGGCCCGATGCCCCCCTCTCTCTCCTGGCATTCATCATCTTCTATTCTCTCCTTAACTTTCCTTCCTTACATGAATTCGTGGCCCCGTCCGAAGTTAGGGGTATACATGACGTGATCTTCTCTCTAAAGGGACTAGGCATATCTCCGTTATGGCTTTGCAGTCCAAACCGAAGGAAAACTCAGCAAACGTAGCAGGGGACTGGGGGCTGGGGCTGGGGTTGGGGCTGATAATAAGGGGCAGGTGCTGTGCTGTGCTGTGCTGTGCTGTGGGTAGAGGGGATCTCTCCTTTAGAGGAACTGGTGCGATAGGATTTGGAATACTAAGGTAGGGGAAGGGGGGCATGGGGATGGGGATGGGGTAATCTATATACACATGGGTCCTCGTGAATGGAGAGTGCTGGAGGGGGAATTTGGGTGCTGGGGTTGTATTGCTGCTGGGTTCACCTCCGAACTTTGTTATACAAGGCTAGACCTAAGTCGGACTTGCTTGTCGGGAGGGTCGAGTGCTGTGATGCGCGGCGGTGCGTTTGGGTGGATTGGGGAGGGAATGATGACCAAAGTAGCAAAGTGCTAGGCTCATGTATGTTGCATGACGGATGTTGTGCCGCCAAGCTGTCGCTTGACCTGCTCTCGAGCCCATCGGGCTGTGTCAATCGTACGTGACTGGAACTCTCGGTTTGTCTTTGTCTCCTTGATCATGGCAGTCACCCAATCTTGCCTAAAAGCCTCAGCAAGTTCGCCGTTAGGGAATGCATCAGCTAGGTCACTAATTCATTTGTTAGCATTCTTCACCGGAAGAGTGTGTATGGTGGTTACGCTTACCCGATAACGCCCATAGATGATCGCATGAGAGATTCACTGCGGTTCATGTCTTGAGATACGATATGGAGCAGTTGGAATATGGACTGCACAAAGGGCTGGAGAACTGCGGCTTTGTGGTTGTTAGTTTCAGTACATTGAACAGTCTTATAAGGTGACCTACTCTTGCCACTTAGTTTCATGGCACCTATAATGCCGCTCCAAGCATCCATGATTCCTTCTCGCAAGGAGATAACATAATCGTAAAGCTCGTAAGATCCATCAGGAGCAGCAGTCACTGTTGCAGCCTGTTGCAAGACTTGGGCAACTACTGAGAGGTACGTCTCAAAATGGCCACCAATGGCATTAGCAATGTCGCCAAAGCACTGGAGAATGGCGGGCTTGAATTGGTTGGAAAGGGTCGTGCTCTAAAAGTTTTGTTAGATGAGTGTTCAGTTTAAATGTCATAAATAGTAAAAAGGAGATAAATAATAGTAAAGGGAGATAGGTAATAAAGGGATACAAACCCTGAGATTATTCAAAAGATAGTTCATCAAGTTGTCGCAGTAAGGCTGGCTGCGCTCGCCCATCGATCGGGTGATGTCACTAACTAGGCCGATGGCCATGGCGCAGAGACTGAGTTCTTCCTGATTGCCAAGTGCATTGTATAGGAATGGCGTAAAAGCATCCATATATTTCGCAAAGTCATCTTCCATAGCATTTGCTAATCCACTTATCGTGGCAAATATGGATTCAGGCACGCTGGACTTGGCACCGGCCGTGCTGAGTATCTGCAGCGACACATGCATGATCCTGTCCCCAAGGGGAGAGATTTCTTTCTCGAGTCGCTGAATGATAGCTTGCATAACACTGCTCAAGCTTGTTTGCATTTCTTCCAAAGCAATCTTGTCCTCAATGCTGACAACCTGGCTCTGCAGAGGGATAGTCTCCTCAAGTCGTTTGATAATCACGTCGGAAAGTTGCGCAATGGCCGGGAAGCTATCAGTTGCTGCATGCTGGACAAATGCGCTGAGAACTTCATAAGACGTAGTACGGACCGAGGTCTCCGCGCCGGCATTCGAAGTCACGGTGAGAAGAGTCTGGACACTCTGGTTGAAATGCGGTGTAAGTGGGTTTTTGACGGCATCAAAGTCACCAGAGAATCGTTCCGCCAGATTCATGAGCGCCCAGCAACAGGACGCGGCCATTTTGATATCGTGAATACCAGCAAAAAGGGATCGGACCAAGGGGTCAAGATGCGTCTCAGGGTCAATGGCTTGCGAACAGGCTTCGGTTATACGTCCTAGGGCGTAGGCAGTAGAGTCCTTGACAAAAGTATGGCTGTCCTCCATCATACTAATCAAGATAGGCAAAGCCTGCTTAACAATGGGCTCAAGAACCTTCTCATCTGGGCCTTCCATAATCGCACCAAAAGCGGCAACGGCAGCCTCACGGAAGTGCCAATCCTCGGATCGGAGGTGTGCCTCAACAAAGTTGATGACAGGAGGGATAATGTTGGGGCCAACAGCCTGAGCATAAAGCTGAAGACATTGATATGCAGCACGCGAGAGATTATACTCATCATCTGTAGCATCCTCATCCTGCTTAGTGAGAAGTTGTAATAGCGTGGGGACGACCTCGGTAGTCGCAACGCGGGCAAAGTTGTAGAATGGACGCATCTGATCTTCACTATCAACCTGTTCAAACATATGTCAGTCTTATTCTTCATCTCAAGATCCCGGCTAGAATAAACACATACCTGCGCGTTATCTTCTTCGATGTTGATTTCCTCCTCGCACACAGTGCTCCAGAATTCCACAGCTAATTTTGCGACATCCTCGTCATCATTCTTCATGCCTAGGATTGTCAGACCAAACAAGGCCTTCTCCATGTAATAACGCATGTTCTCGTAGTAAAGGCCCATGATGCGGTTAAGGCAACCGAAGGCGCCCTGCTGTATGCGCGCATCGTCGGCCTGGGTTGCTTCGCAAACGACTTGCATAATGTAGTTTCGTTCGCCCTCATGCTTGAAGTTGTTACCGACGAACTCGAGGGAGTCGCCGAGTGCGGAAATGGCAGAGAAACGGACTTCTTGGTTAGTCTCCTCCTTGCGGGCACCCTGGACGACTGCCGTAAGAATGGCATTGGAATGCGCGATCAGGGCAGTTCGTAACTCAGAATCTTGGCTTTCGCAGATGTAGCCTATACAAGTCAACGAAGCCTGCTTCTGATGAGGCGCGCCAGCGCTAACGTTCTGAACCAAGACCTGTAGAAGATCTGGCCATTGGTTTCTAGGGAGTTCGATCGTAGCAATAGAGGCGACGACCTGAGCGGCAGCCTGGCCAGCTTGCGCATTGACAGAGGCAAGGGTGTGGATGGCAAGTTCCTTGACGCGATTCTTGGTATCTTGGTCGGTCTGTTGGAGCCATTTGGCCTGTATTTCTTGCTGACGAGCGAATTCGCGGGTTGTGAAGGCGTTCTTCAGGGCTAAACCCGCAGCAACTCGAATGTTGCTCTGTCCATTCTCATCTGACAAGGACTGAACTAGGGTCACTAGATACAAGGGCTAAACAAAGAAGAAAAATACACAGTTAGTTACTCCGCAACCAGCCGATCAGATTAAATATATCAATGGCAACTTACAAAGTTGGTCTCTGCAGCTTGGGTGAGCTGTTGCTCGGCGCCAGTTCGCGTAGCCGCGTCTAGAAAGAGAGAGAAAAAGGTTAGCAGAGGATTGGAGGGGTAAATAGTATTGAGAATAGTGTAGAAGGATAGACGCGCGAGATATTTCGCGGATGATGGGGGTTTTGGGGATTTATTCAAGACTTACCTGGGGACAGAGAGTTACTGAGAACAGTGTTGATATCACTGTTGTCAGCCATGTTGTCAGCGCAAACAAGCTTATACCTGTCTCGTGTTGTAGATAGGATCCAAGCTATCGAGATTCAATCCTAGTTGGTATGTAGGTTGGTGGTATTAAAAGGCTTTTGGTGTGGAATTTACGAAGGGGGGGTTGCTTGCTTGCTTCGTAAAAGTGGACGGTCCGAAACGTCGAGTGGTTTTGATAAAGTCGTGTGGAATTAGCTGCTAGAAAGCAGAAGAATGCCCTTGGTGATTAATTAAGGCTAATCCGAGACAAGTTATGGGGACGTGCTTTTTGTCTTGTGGACGACGTTGAAAGAAGGGAACGAAAAATAAAATAAAATAAAGGTTTGGTTTGGGAGAAAAGGTCGAAAGAAGTTGTAGTAGTGTAGTTGCAGTTGAAATGCAGAGGTTGCCAATGGTTCCAAGGTTAGGTTAGGTAAGTTTTAGAGTGCGCCAGTAGCGACCTTCTTTTTTTTTGGTTCCTTTTTTTTTCTGCTTCCCTAATAAACCTAACGAGGTAGGCGGAGTGATGTAGCGGGTCCCCTCTATTTATTATTATTATTATTTTTTTTATTTTTTTTTTTGTTGACAATCACGAGCCTATACTGTACACCTAACTACATATACTTCCCAAATGATGTTGGTACAAGTTGGTACATATAGGTCGGATAAGGTACTAGGGTAACCAGGTGAATGTACTGGGATGTACCTATAACTTTGGTGCCTACGCTACCAGATAAATTCAATGACGAATTATGTAAGTGCTAGGTAGGTGTAGAGGGGTAGACAAGTATGTACCCTTTTTGTACAATACTTTTTATTTGTTTATGGAGCATGAAGATGTTCAGTGTTCACCTTTACTACATAGCTACATATGTAGTAGTATGTAGGAACTACCTAGTAAAGTGGGATACAAGTGAAAGGTTTATATGGGTAGTAAGTGATAGAATATGGGTTGAACAAAATCTGAGTCACTTGACAAGAACATTCTATTCGTTTCTTAAGCAATAGCATATCATCATATGTATGCATACCTAGTACGTAGGCCTTAATTCAGGTCAACATTCAAGCTGGCGGTTAACATTACACATCATACCAGGTTGATAAGTGAATGTGTGTGCGGCCGAAGAAATAACGGTGAGCCACCCACTTCAAGTGTCCTAACAAAAGAAAAAAAGAGACAAAAAGAAAAAAAAAAGTCTGGTACATTTGCATTTCCCCTCTATGTAAGTACTATGTACCTATAACTATCGATAGGCAGAACATTGAAGGCACACATGCAAATTTAAATCCAGAACCTGATAAAGGCATACAATCCCCAACGTGTAATGTACACACCTAGGTGATCAACATTGAAGGAATACATGCTCAAATCTACTACCAGGTACATTCAATGTTTGTTTTCCCATTTTTATTATGTTCAATTATCTACATGTAGGTCACAATGGACATAACTAACCTACTCACATACCTAACCTAGGGTGGTCACTGTATTTTGACATTCAGCCCTAGGCGTACATACGACGGAATAAGGTTGATAGCTCTAGGAAAATAATAGACATATGTGGTCAAATCAGCATCTTGAACATGGAAATGTTTGCGAAATCGGGATACGGATTGTCAGTTCTTCCATACCTATATCCCATGTCCTATAACGTACCCATTCTTTTCCCCGCATTTGTTCAATTGGCGACAACATACGCCCGGTTGTGCTTGTGCGTGCCCTGCCAAAGGGGTTTAGCTTTTGCGCCTTCCCCCCCTACTATGTATGTATGTATGCCCCTGATTCAAAAATCCCTTTGTCTGGGAGGAAAAGGAAAAATGAAACAAGGGATCGTCAGCTCGCTCACATGTACATATTAGTATCTCAACCTTGAACTCTTATCAAAGCTGTACTTTATTCCGTTTTGCTTTCAGCGTCGATTGTACCTAGTTGACCTACCTCGTTAACCTGGCATGTAATTTGGATACCTATCGCCCATAGAGCGTTTTTTGCTTAGCGATAATAAGGCTGGAGATCTACAATGTGATTATTTACACTACAAGCACGGTTGACCTGGGCCATGTCTGATTCTAGTAGGTAAATCAGAGGCATGCTAAACTCCTCTGCCACAATATTACAGCCCTATTATCCCCCACAAAGCTTACGCCCCATTCGTCATGGTTTCTGAAGCCTAGACTATGTCTGGTAGGTCTTGATATATTTATCAAGATGTGACATCTTAGATCTCGGTACTTCAGATCTAGGTGGCGACTGAGACCTCTATGCGGGAAATTTTTAGGCAGAATGGGGCCTTACAGTTGATTCAAGGTGAGCTATTCGGAAGATTCTATTAAATCCGAAGCAAATCGGAATGAACATTGGATATACTTGCCTCGTTGCCAGCAGCACACTCTTACTTCTCGACCACCTTCTATGGCATGCTCCTTACAGCTAGCAACTTCTATATCGTGTCTATGCTCTTCAGACCGTTTGCTAAAGATGAAATCGATCGATCGAACGAGATGGGATAGTTAAGTCGAGCGTGCTCCTAGGGAAAGGGTCAAGGTGACTAGATCGACGGATCTAGTTCGCTCACAATTCTCGAAGGGACGCCCCTCTACACAGTCAGCTCCTATCGTTTTCACCAACTCTGCTGTAGCAACAGCTCATCCTCGGTCATTGTAGAGATGAAGAGAGACGCATATCTCCTTTCGCTCGCTGTTAATTCTGGTGCAGAAGTACTCGATCTCGTCGGAATAGACATTCGGCGTCGACATACCAACAGCTACCAGCAGGTTGAAGACAGATGAGGCCTTTTGGCCACGGGCTCCCGTTCCCACGCAGCTATGACAGCCAGCCTCATAGTTCCAGATGACGAATTTGAGACTAAGTCAGTTAGTATCTGACGAGGTTTCGGGCCCGTCGAAGCCAAAGTCAATACGCCTAGTAGCGTCGGTCTCGGTTCGCGATGCGCGAAGGGGAAAAGAAGGATACTTGGGATTTCTTCGTGGCCATGGTCGGCTAGCATCTTGAATCACCGTTTCTCGTCACAATTCTGATACTAATATTGTAATGGTATTATTAGACCATGTTCGTAAAGACTACCTAGATATATCACTGCCCCCCTAAAAGGTAGACAAGTATACAAACCGTTAACGGTTAGGTCAATTAGGGTCGGCCATTGGCGCGTGGGAACTTTTAGGGGGTTGAGCAATGAGCATTCCTCCCTTGAGCCACTACGGAGAATTTAGATGTTGGTTGTTTTCCAAGGGGTTCTATAAAAAAAAAAGTTGTGACCATACATAAATCGCAATTGGCCAAAGCCATATAAGTTTTACACGCCGTTCGTTTGTTTTATGTTTCAAATTTAGACTGAACCGACTTTGCCTTATTGGCATACGATGAATGGACGAACGATGAAATCGATGGTGGGACGGTCCGCAAGCTTGCAGCTTGCCCTTTGGACTGCCTGCCTGCCTGTCCTTTTTTAGCAGCCCTACGGAGTTGACCCTTGAGATCCTAAAGGTGGGGTTCCTTTTTACCTCTCTTTTTTTTCTCCTGGCTAGTAGGTAGGTAGGTAGGTAGCTGGAGGTGTTTAACCCCGCATTTAGGGGGCTGGCTGGCTGGCTGGCTGGCTGGCTGGCTGTGCATTGGATGCGTTGACTGCCACACGCAAATATGTAGTTATGTTGGGTGGCTGTCAATGTTTCAAGCGCACAAGCAACCGCTAACTATACTAAATTTAAACACACACACAAATAATGAATATCGAGGATTCACGATTTTGACCATGGATATGGATATGGATAGGAACAACTATGGACATTTGAAGTGACATCTAGGTATTGTAGTTATTGACAAAGTCTGCTGCCATGGAAAAAACACTGGCCAGCTATGGAAAAAAATATATAAACGTATGAACAAGTACTAGTTAGTAAGAACCCCCTGAGCCCTAAAGCAGCAACAACTGTCCTTGGGCTATTATAAACCGCTTCGATGAAATACCCTAGGTAGATTCTTTAAACCTGCCTACCTACCAACCTAGGTACATTTTGTAGGTAATTTTTCTGTGTTTGATACCTACTATGTACATAGTATGATGTGTTTTGATGTGTGTGATGATGATCATCCATCCTTAATCCCGAAGCAGCCTACCACCCCCTTTCCTTCCTAACGCCTGGCTATGATAAAAAATCGAAAAACGCAAAGGATATATTGATATGGATGTAATGCTGGCAAAAGGATTTTTTTTTTTTACCACGTAAAGCTCTCTTCCACAAAATCAACCACAGAGTTCTCGTCCTGGACCTCGCGAACCGCGGCTCGCACATCATCTGCTAACGCACCCGGTCCACATACTGTAACGCACATTGCCCCTATCTGCTCCTCGACCTCCTTCTTGAGTAGCGTAGGGACATTCGGACGTCCGGGGAACATCTGGACTGTGGAAGACGTTGAGTGAAGCTCCCTGGGGTTCTTGGGCCTCGTCACGAAGAGTCGTATGGTTAGGATTTCTCTTCTCCTTGGCATCCGCAATATCTGGTCCATGAAGGGACGCACCCACTCCAACGCCTCCATGTCACGTACTACCCACACGAGCGTGACTCGTCTCGTCGCAATGGTCCCGTCGTTAAAGCCATCGATCAGCGGTTTGATGTATGAGATCTGGTGAGTGATGCCAGTTGAGCCGGCGAAAAGTACAGCGTGGCCGTATGACTCAAGTTGGTGGTGGCCAGCATATGGACCTTCCATGGCGGCTCGGATCCGGATAGAGGGTGATCCTCCCTGAAGCGCTTTATTGTATAGTTTTCGAGTGAATCCAGTATGAGCACCAATAATAAACCAAACGGATGTTTTTTCCATCTTAGACGGGGATTTCTCCTCGGGTTTCTCTCCGAACGACGGCTCAGGATGGTGATCAACCCAGGCAATAGAGAACGGGTGGGTTTCCCATGGATTGACACCCATGAACCGGACGTATGCGTGGGTTCCAGGTTTGACGTCCACGTAACGGGGTAAATGCAGAGTAACGCGAACCGCCTCACCGGGCATAGGCTCTACAACAGCTTCCGTAAATCCCTTCTTCTTGGACCAGTTGTGGTAGGCAAGGCGGAACATGCGAGATAACCGTTCCGCCATCCAGAGTAAGAAAATGGCCATCATCCATGGAAGTTGGGGGAGCCCACCGGGAAGATGCGCTGTCGCACAGTGGATCCAAGTCATAGCGAATGTGATAAAGGCTAAGATGATATGAAAGTTCAGGAACGTCTCATAGAAGGCGTGTCGTAGCGGGGAGAGCGAGAAAAAGAGGAGGATGACGAGAGCTATGGTTCCCGCAAGACCAGAGGCGTAAAAGTTGTCGTGAATCAACTGGAAATTCATGCCATCGAATCCATCAGCAGCAACTGCAACATAAGCCCAGGCGACTGTGTGTATGACAGCTTCAATGACGACCATTCGACCCATCCACCGATGTAAGAGATTGTAAGTGTCGAAGCTTACTCCTAGCAAGGCGATGAGGGGGTTGTTTCGACCTGCCATGATGATAAGAGGAACCATGTTGACGAGGGACAGCGTGCCTGAACGTCCTCGAATCTCGGCAGCCAGGGCGTAACGGTTCTCCTGGATCCAGTTCTCCTTAAACATGTAGATGGCGTTGCTTAATAGGTAGATACCTAGAATAATGGAGTGAAGTCGGGATGGCAAGGTGCCAATGCTGATAGCAGATGACAGCTTGAACTCTCGGTTGTGTCGTTTGTTCCACAAGGGTGCATAGATAATATGCTTCTTCAAGCCCGGCATCCAACTCCATTGCGATTTTTTCCAGTAAGCCTGTCTCTCGGCCGAGGCCGACATGGAAGTAACATGACGTAGTTTGCTGAAGCCTATCACGAAAAGGCGGATGGCGAGTACAGTGAGTGCTATTATACCCAGCGTCCACCACAGCATGTCCTTGAATAACATGTTACCAGGTTGGTCAACCCCATTCAAGGACGTAGAAAATGGTGCGATGGTTGATTCTGCAGCGGCTGCTTCTTGTTGTTCTGTTCCAGAAGGTACATCTGAATCTCGAACTGCTAGTACTGCTGTTGATGTAAGTGGCCCGAAGGCGGCGATCCGGCGCCGTAATAACGACATGTTGATTTTTCAAGTATGTAATATTCTTTCTGAATGAGTAGTAGTGAATGTTATCCAGAAGGGAATAGTAGCACAAGGAATGAGAGATAGAGGGCGGACAAGAATGTATAATAGCGGAAAGCCGATTCCCTCCAGAGTCGAGAGATGTCGAGGGCAAAGAGCACTATTGATGAGGAAACTATGAATGCATTGTGTTCGAGAACAATCGAGGTGTTGGGCTAGCACAGTCCAGTTCTTTGACAAAGTCGAGAGAGGCTTTGTCACCGGTGCGGCAGCGGAACCCTCGTCCCTCGTCACTAGAAAATAGGAACAAAGGAACAATTGTGATTTTAGTCCTGGCTGGATTGATAAAACAAGCAAGACCAGTTATTTTTGTTTCCTTTGTGCCTATAAGTGAACCAACCTAAGGTGTTGGGGTGTGCGAGGACAGCAGCCGGGGACCTCGAATTTTCCAAACAAGGAAATTGTGGAGATGAATAACAGGATGCTCGTATGATAGATTGCCTAGCACACGATATTTCCGTAATGCGTAATGTATAATCAGGTGGGTTGGCTGCCGGCAAAATATGCTTGTGGCTGGGAAGTTGTATAAATGATAAATGAATGGTCAATGTAAGTCGGGTCGCCGGATGTTGTTGTCGTAGACCAAGCTTTATTAACCCGTTTTCAAGAAAGAATGATTTCGAATGAGCGAGTGTAGATAGAGACGGTAGAATGAATGAATGTATGTATGTAGAATACTTGCTTGGAAGGCGAAGAATTGGTAGAAATAAGTTGTACGGTTGAAAGAATATGATCTTCCCTTAAGGTACCAAGATAATTCGTGAGGCCGGCCCTTCAAACTACCTTAGCTGTCTTAGTTGTCCTAGTTCCAAGATTATTAGCAGCAGTAACAACTACATAGTACTTAAACAAGGATCGTCGGTGAATCACCTTTAAGAGGGGCGGTGAAATTTGGCTCGTCAAGAGGAGAGTGAAGAACATTGCGACGAAAAACAGATGATGATCACCGTGGGCAGATCATAGTGTTTATGCAAGAATCACCACCATACAACTAGACACTACTAGTGTAGGTAGGTCCAGGTATTAGGTAGTTATGTATGCGAACATATGAGAACATGTGCAAACAGTGCCAAACATTAACCCCCTATCCTTATCCTATCCCTATCCTATGATTCCTATCCCTTGGTAACCATGAGGGAACCCCTAAGGAATTAATTATTCAAATCGGAACTCGGCGTCATCGACCACGAATATTGTTCAGCTATTTGGTTACCTGGTACGATTGGGAGATCGAATCAATCAATCAAGAATGATGAAAATGATGAAAATGATGAACAACTTCCTGTTTGAACATTAGACCGTACGACGTTATTCAGCCCCAGTGTGGAATTTCTTGATGCTTTACACATCGGTTGGTAAACCGACGATGATTTTCGTGAAAATCCAAGGTTACTCACAGGTAACTAACAGTTACGTTCCTGATCGCGAACATTCAGCCAAAATGATTTGTTCCCAAGGCCTTCGTATTTCCCCACTAGGGCCACTTAAATTCAGGCATTGCCATCATTTGCAGGCCTATCGGGTGCAATGTTGCAAGGAACAGGAAACTAACTACAGGGAACGGAGCCCCAAAGCAAGCTTAATATCTAACTAGGTACAAAGTACTCCGATGCACAGTACACACCTCCCTCCGATGTCACTTATGCAACTGATTCTAGACTGTCCGCATACTGTCTGCATACTGTATAGCTTCAATTGGACCAATGAAAACTACTACATAATAAGGTACTTACGTACCCCCTTGTGTGGCACAACGGACTGAATACACACAATTCCACAAAGATTACTGGTTGATATACTACGTAGTATATCTACCCACTTAAGCACGACTTCCCTAGAGTGAAACACTATGTAATTATGATTGGTCGGATCTGTGGCTTTGTAGGCTTCGCTGTCAATGGTGGGCTGAGTTGGGATAAATAATAGGGGTCTTGCCGAACCGAACCATTTCCCCGGACTACGATGAGGGCAATATGCGAACAGCGGCTTCGACACTACCTCGTGGCCGTGACCAAACTCTTTCTTTTTATGTAAGCTTATTATCTAATATGGAAGACCTCGACAGACAGTTGTGTGGCATTCGTGAACCTAGCCATTGCACAAGGCCATCTTTAGTCCGCCGGAACGGAGACTTTTCGCCAAAATTCTCGGTGACGTAGATAAGGAGAGTTATACCGGAATACAATATTGTACGCGAAAGTTGATACGATATAACTATATCTAGATGGATCACGCCTAGCCGTATCATAGAGCCAAAACCACAACATGTATTCAGCCATGATAGAAGCTCTAACCTTAGCAAGCTCCATGGTGCCAGTAAGCCCGAGCATAGCAGTGGTTCAAGACCCGCTCCCGCCGTATAGCAAAGTCTGGACGGGCCATTCCTTCGGCGAGACCATGCTAAGCGGGAGTGGATTCGATTCGATTCATCTTCGGCTTTGACTTCCGCTCTACTAAAACAAACGCTTAAGCCACGCCACATAAGAATTCTATCTACGGAAAACGTTTCACACGGACAAGACGTTCTAGCCCTACATGTCTGGTCACTCCATAGATAACCGTAGGCAAAGACGATATCTCCAAGATCGATCAACACTGAACCTTTCAGGTTCATGGAACCCCCTGATAGCTAAAGCTAGCACGCTGGATAAATGCATCAACATTCCCTGATGATAGGCATAGAAATTACAGACATGGGCTTAAAGTATAGGCCGGCATCAATGCAACTAAATTAGCAGCCCAATTTGTCGACTTTTAGGAGGGAAAAGTTGAAGAAATTATGTCGTGCGATGTCCATGGTCTTTAGGTAGGAGTGAATCAGGGTTGACAATGTGATATCTGCTGATGCTTAAATATAGCTAGCCGCATTTTTGACATTCTCGTTAAAGGCATGATGCTTAATATTGCCTTAGCAATCAAGAGGTGCGTTCGGATCCTAGAACTTGAACTACACGTATGTATCGTCGTAAGTATCTTAAGGAGAACGTCGTTTAGATTGAAAGGTCATTTTCGAAGTTGTGATCGCGTAAACCTTTTGACAGTATGTAGCACAGCTCGGAGATTGGTGGATCAATTTGTTGCTATAGAACGGAATATATATAATGCAGTCTTTACCAGCTCCGCATTATAATATATTCACGCTCTTAAAAAGACGAAGAATTTGCAACATTGCAGTTTTGAGACACTGAAGGTGTAATTAATGAGTGATTACAGCTGTAGGTATTCGCTGTATTTAGCGGTAAGTGACAACTAGCTTAGGCACATAAATGCACCTACCTGTTGGTTAAACTCAACTGATAACAGCTGCCAGGTGCGCTGCGCGTGAGCCACATGACTTCGTTACCTTATGTGCTTCCAAGTGGGTCTCAATTGACACGCCTAAGTTCTAACACAATTGTTTACCGGCAACGACGTTCTTATTTGCATTTTGTGTATGAAAAGGCAAGCACGGGAAGCACCGAGCCTTAACTAAATGCAGTTTGGTATGAGAGATGCGGGAAGGTTCATACAAGTCCAAGTGCATCCATAATACAACCAGAGAACTTACATCATAATTCTCAGTTCACAATTAATACCATCTCATATTTCAAACCCCAGCAACATCTCCTATGAGATCAATCAACAAAAAAAAAAACAGTCAACAGGAGATGGCAATTCGCAGGCTAAGCGCGCCCACAACCGCTGAGCATACTGCTACGAAAGTGCAATAACCAATTCTTCCAACAATCATGTCTCGTTTTCTCAACCCGGCCAAAATTGGCCTCCTTGCTCTCATTGAGCTGTACACCAACAAGACTGTCCCAACAAATTCCATTGTGGACGTGTTGTCATTCATAACTTCGCACCTGATTGTTGCCGACACCGATACCTCATGTTCTAGCCCTGAAAGCCGATGGAAGCGAGCCGAGAGCACTGTTGGCCTAGTTATCTCCATTGCAGACTTTGAACGAGTCTTGGCACCGCATACTGCTGCTTCTGGCATGCCCGGCCGGAATCTGTGGTATGTCTTCTTGGAAAAGCTATGGAAGATTGACTCGTTAGATGCTTTGCATGAGTTTTTTGATAACTGCTCATGCTTATTGGCAAAGACGAAGGAAGAGCTCCGTCAGGATGCCGAGTTAGGCATGCCAGTTCCCGGACCTGAAGCTATCTTGCTCACCCGGAACTCTCCCTTTGGCAGCTTCGTACGCAGATCTCAACTAGAGTTCACCAGGCTGCGGTTTCATGATGCGTTTGAGCTATGGAAGGACTTTGTCAAATATCGACAAACCACAGCAGCCTATTACCGGAGGAAGACGCCATCTTTCCAGAGACTCAGCTTTGACAATGTTCTACTGACCGAGGAGAATATCTGGGGCACAGGCGTGGAGACCATCGCCTCTATAACATATGGAGACATGCTCAGAGATGATCCCAATTCAACATTGCCCGTTAGCACGGACGATATCGAGAAGCTCCTGGAGTTTCAGATCGAGCAAATGCAGAGATACGGCAGTCGAATACCACTGGAGATACAACACCAATTTCATGATTTATTGAACGACAGTTTCATGATACCAAGCCTGTCTCATTATCTAAGCTATCTGAACGCGTGGAAGGCAGGGGACTACTCAGCAACTTTCGATTTTCTCCATCGATATTTCGACTATACTATGCAGATCAAGGATAGATCATTTTACCAGTATGCCCTAATGAACTTAGCAGTGGTACAGGCCGATTTTGGCTGTCATAAGGAAGCCATCACAGCGATGCTAGAAACTGTCGCTACCGCCAGGGAGAACCGAGATATGACGTGTCTGAATTTTGCCCTCAACTGGCTTTTTCACTTCGCCCGATCCCATCCCGAGATCACACAAGAGCTAGAGTCGAATAGTATGCTAGGCACTGGCAAGGAATCACTCTCATACCTTCGAGGTAGGGCAAAGGAAACTGGCATGTGGACACTATGGAGTTCCGCGCTCATGAGTGATGCCAAGATGAGTCTCTCGAACGGCGAAAGTGCAGCTAAAGCTATCGAACATCTCGTTAGAAGTTCCCAGATTTTAGTCGAAAAAAACATGAAGAGCATGATAGGGGCGCAACTATCGATAAACATTGCGGTTTGGGACAGGCTAGGAATCGCTTACTTGTCGGTAACTACATGCGACGTGTTCGTCCGATGCCACGCTCGTAATTCCACCTTCGACGATGAATTAAAAGTAACTAGTCGCCAGGCCTCAATGCTAACCCTGAAAGGCAAGTATGATGAGGCTCTTGGATTACTTGAAAGCATGGATGCCAATTCACTCCGATCTTGGAAGCCGAGCCAATACTGGCATAAATTCCGAGGCTTGATCAAATTGAGGAGAGACCTTCATCGAAATAACCTCGACGGAGCAGAGTTGTTACTTTCACAGCTTCTTCAATCCAAGAATGAAGACCTTGAACCTGACCTCTCTTTTATGATCGATAACCTTCATATCGAGTGTCTTGTCCGCAGAGGAAGTCTCGACGAGGCTTTCATGAAAGTTGAGAAACTAATAGCGGAACTTCGTGATGAGAAGAAAGATATTGCATTAAGAGTTCGCCTCCTCCTTCTAAAAGCTGAACTCCTCGAAAAATGTGGCCGTCCCCAGAAGGGGTTCAGTATCGCTGTACGAGCAGCAAATGTGGCTTGGCGTGCCCGTCTCATCCCCTATCTTTGGCCAGCAATTGGTGCCATCGCTAATATCCTAACCTCCCTCGGCGAATTCGAACCAGCCATCAAACTCCTAATCGTAATTCTACCACGCAGTCTCGAGTGCGAGAATGCGGCAATGACGGCAAAGCTATACTCACACCTCGGCGACGCCAACATGGGAATGGCAGGCAAGATGCCGCCGAAATCTCATAAAAGGAGAGAATTTATGACGAAGGCGTTAGAGGCCATCGAGAAGGCTTTCAACCACTACTCAAGCGTCGAGGATATCAATAAGCAGTGCGAGATGATGGCTAAGAAGGCCACAATCATGAAGGTTTCGGGCGATAATGTGCTTGCGAATGATTGTGCGGCGGCGTACTTGGCATTGCGCAGGGATGCTGCACAGATGAAAGTATGATCATATAGGGCAGAGTTAAACTAGACGACATGAAATGATTCATGACTTAAGGCTGTGGATGTTTGCATTGCTATCGGATCTGCTAATGTGAATATTACATATCCATAGGGGGCGTTTTCGCATCTTGTGAGCACTGTCTCGATAACGAATATTGAACATCATGACTTGAATTACTTCATGTTGGGCCGACGTGACTATACCTGGTGTTACGATAGACTTACTCCTCCTGTGGCCGTGAGACCAAACGATGGAGCTGACCCTTTCCTTCATAAATAGAGCATAGTCCTGTAATTCATTACGAGGAGACGAGAGACTTGCTTTTAATTTCTTTTTGTGCTACGTTCTGGAGTAGCTCTCCCCTCTACCCCCTGTTGCTAGTTATAGGGGGGTTTTCAAGAATGCTCATCTATATACAGAGCTATAAAATTCTTGTATGCATCCTTGGTTATATCGAGTATGTAGCTTATTGCTACATTGGTTATAGAGTATAAGCAGCCTATAGGCTCACTTATAAAGTATGTATGGGTAAGTATTTGGTGGCTGTTCGGCTGGCCTCCTACGAATTCAGGAGACCTGATATCTAGTTCCGGAAGCTCAGTTGTCATTCCAGTTGACCTTCCGCCCCTGCTTGTCCTTCAGCTCTCCCTCCCGCGCGAGAGGCTGCGCGGCGTGGTCGTCTCCCTCGCTCATATCGTTCGTCGCCCACAGCCTCTCGATGCAGAGCTCGAAGGGGCCGGGGACGCGGTCGGTCAGGCCGAGGCCGATGGAGCGGACCCTCTGGCGCAGGATCTCGGCCTGGGGCTCGACGACGAAGCCGTGGTTCGTGCGCACGAAGTCGTTCCAGTTGATCAGCACCGTCTCCCACTCTCCCGGCCGCTTGGCGAAGAGCCGGTGCTGGTGCAGGTCGGTGGGCACGATGGAGTCGGTCTGCACGTTGACGAAGTAGCTGCGGCCGTCGGACTTGAGGCGCAGCGCGAGGAAGGCGTAGCTGTCGATGTCCCAGAGGGACCGGCCGAAGAGGGTGGCGCGCCGGTCGAGGGTCCGCCACGCGGCGTAGCCGGAGCGCTGGATGTCGGGCTTGTTGGGGGGCAGGGCCGTGGAGATGTTGCCGTGGAAGCGGGCGTGCCCGTTCTTGTTGTCGGGGGACGAGGCGATCCAGTCGAGCGAGGCTTGAGAGAAGCCGCCCATGTCGGCGTCGCACATGATCTTGCACTCTTCGAGCGATTCGGGCTTGTGGAAGTCGTGCAGGGGCAGTGGGCCCTGCGGCCCTTTGATGGCTTCGAACGTCAATGCTGTAGGATGGTTTGTTAGTGGGTTTACAATGGGGATGAGGACATGGCAGATGTTGAATACCTATATGGGAGAGGCGCTTGAACTCATCGAGACTGCGCGCCCAGAAGCCTTTCGCGAGACATGCTGTAGTGGCGCGCATCTTGTAGGTGGGATGGTGGGATGCTGGATGTGATGCGCAAAGTGTATGAGAGGTCGATTGGGTGAGAGTATATTGAGCCAAAGAGGCTCAGTAATCAGCTTTTACATCAGCGAATTCTAAATTTGCAAATGGTTGTAATGCCTAGGAAGAAGCCATCGAAGCTCGCAAGTTTTTAATTTTCCAATGACAAGAAAATGAATCAAGACCGAAGCTTTCGATTCGAGCTTTCGTCACTAAACGAAAAGTGCCCCAATTATGTATATATCGAGATAAGGATGTATGCAGCTAAAGGGATAACTAAAACACCGTTGAATTCGTTCCCCGCCGCGCGTAATGTGATGATGGCCAAGGCTCTAAGCCCCAGAAATACGTTGCCGGGAAAACCGTGGAGTAATTTTATTAGCTGTGAAGTGATGTCGAAGAAAGAGATGCAGGGTGGATCCAGAGTCATGGGTCTGCATGGTAGTTCTTTTATTGTCTTATCAAAATGTTCCATCCTTAGTAGATTCCTTACAAACCTCCCAGTACATACATACATGTAGTGCAGCTTCCCACTCTACATACCTACAATCGTTGATCTAACTATATACATACCTATCTCTTGTACATACATAAAAGCCCAAAGCTGCCTCTGCCTCAGCCTCGGATTCGTTCTATTATCTTTGCACTACTTGATCTTGATTTCAACTACGTAGTAAAAAAGAAAAGTGGTGGTTTTTGAGATCCAAGAAACGCTGACGTCGCCTGATTAGGTACTACACATTGGCATCTTAACTAACTAAAGTCTGGTTGTTTGGACAAGAATATCAACCTGAACTTTAGGGACTCACTTCGATACCTACTAATTCACATATCCTAGGTTCCTTACCTATATTATCGTGACTCCTAATCTCAATCACCTATTTCCCCCTCCCCCTGAATTTGAATCTTAGGCAGGGATGCGCCGTGCTACTTCTAAAAAGTAGCTTTCACCTTTCACTTATAACTCCCACTCCGACGAACGACCAACTTGTCTGACTTGGGCTGTGACACACCAATCTATTAGCCAAGGGATACAAACAATTACCTGCCCATCATGGCTACTATTCGTAGTCTTGATCATACAAAGTGCGTTCCTCTCCTTGAGCTTCCTGTTTCTACAAGCGCGCATGGATCCGCGATTCGTACATATTGCTATTATGCAAGAAAGGAATGAAGCCTTGTATACTAACCTTGGTATCCTTTCTACCGCCCACAGATCCGAAGCCGAACTCGCTATCAATATCAGAAAAGCCACCAACGCAGAAGAGACGGCACCGAAACGCAAACATGTCCGGAGCTGTATCGTCTATACCTGGGACCACAAGTCCTCCCAGTCCTTCTGGTCTGGTATGAAAGTGTATGTGGCACAAGTCTAGCCTGTAAATGACATTGACTGACTAGGAATAACACTCTAGGCAACCCATCCTTGCCGACGAAGTCCAGACCTTCAAAGCCTTGATTACCATCCACAGAGTCTTACAAGAGGGGCACCCCCAAACTTTGAGAGAGGCCATGGCCAACCGATCTTGGATTGATAGTCTCAACCGAGGTCTAGCTGGCGAGGGCGTTCGCGGATATGGCCCCCTGATTCGAGAATATGTCAAGTTCCTACTCACGAAGCTATCCTTCCACCAGCAGCACCCCGAATTCAACGGTACTTTCGAATACGAAGAGTATGTCAGTCTGAAGGCGATTAACGATCCCAACGAAGGCTACGAAACAATTACCGACCTCATGTCTCTCCAGGATAAGATCGAGCAATTCCAGAAACTCATATTTTCGCATTTCCGAAACGTGGGCAACAACGAGTGCAGGATCTCAGCTATTGTTCCTCTAGTGCAAGAGAGTTACGGAATCTACAAATTCATTACCAGCATGTTGCGAGCTATGCATTCGAGTATGTCGATAGTGTTCATTTGAGGCGTGTTCTTGGCTAATGTTCTGGGCAGCAACTGGCGATAACGATGCGTTGGAGCCCCTGAGACAACGTTACGACGCACAGCATTATCGACTGGTTAAGTTCTATTACGAATGCTCAAACCTACGATATCTGACGAGCTTAATCACGATTCCAAAACTGCCACAAGACCCCCCTAATTTGCTAGCCGAAGACGAGAATGCGCCTGCGCTACCGGCTCGCCCAAAGCAGGAGATCGAGCGCCAACCGACCCCCGTACGCCAGCCCAAATCCGAGGAACCTGATGAGATTGCAGAATTCTGGCAGGGCGAGATCGATCGACAGAATAAGGAGTACGAGGAACAGCAAAGAGTATTACAGGAACGTCAACAAGCAGCTCTTCGCGCTCAACAAGATGCCCAAATGCAAGCTCAACGAGATTTTGAAGAACAACAAAGGCAGTTAGCAGAGCAGCAACGTAGAGAGCAGGAAGCGTTGATAGCTCAACAGGCCCAATGGCAAACGCAAGGACGGCTGGCCGAACTTGAGCAGGAGAACTTGAACGCCAGGGCGCAGTACGAGCGTGACCAGCTAATGCTACAACAATACGATCAGCGAGTGAAAGCACTTGAGAGCGAGTTAGGGCAAATTCAGCACAACTTTGGGGCACAGATCACTAGCAAGGACGACCAAATCCGGGCACTGCAAGAGCAGGTTAATACGTGGCGGACGAAGTATGAGGCTTTAGCAAAGCTTTACTCGCAACTTCGCCATGAACATCTCGATCTCCTTCAGAAGTTCAAGTCAGTCCAGCTTAAAGCCGCATCCGCCCAGGAAGCCATTGAAAGGCGTGAGAAGCTAGAGCGCGAGATCAAGACGAAGAACCTCGAGCTAGCAGACATGATTCGGGAGCGAGATCGAGCTCTTCATGATAAGGACAGAGTATCCGGTAGTAATAAGGAAGAAGTTGAGAAGTTGAAGCGAGAGTTGCGCATGGCACTTGACAGAGCTGACAACCTCGAGAGAAGCAAGGGTAATGAGTTGTCTACCATGTTGGCCAAATACAACAGGGAGATGGCAGATCTGGAAGAAGCTCTGCGAACGAAGTCGCGCGCCTTGGAAGAGGCCCAGGCTAAGGTTCGGGATGGTAGTTCTGATCTTGAGCAATTGCTCCGCGATAAGGAGGAAGAGCTTGAGGTTTACAAGGCTGGTATGGACCAGACTTTGATCGAGCTGAACGAGCTGAAGCAGAACCAAGGCGATACAGACCAGGTCATAGACGGCCAAATCGATGCGCTGATTATGGCAAACCTCGACAAGATCAACGAGATCATTGATTCTGTGTTGCAAGCGGGTGTTGTTCGAGTAGATGATGCCTTGTATGAACTAGACTCAACGATGCAAGCTGGTAATCAGAATGCGTCGCCGACATACGTGCTATCTACAGTCGAAAAGGCCGTGTCGAGCGCGACAGAATTCGCGACCTCTTTCAGCAATTTCATTGCTGATGGGCCAAATAACAACCACGCAGACTTGATTAAGGCAACCAACGCCTTTGCTAGTGCTACAGCAGAGATATGCAGTAACACGAAGGGTTTGACTCGCCTAGCATCTGACGAGAAAAAGTCGGACCAGCTTTCCAATGGCGCACGCGCAGCCGCTCAGTCTACCGTCAAGTTCTTCCGCAGCCTCCAAAGTTTCCGACTGGAGGGCATGGACCCCTCACAGAAGACTGATGTTCTCGTCAATGGCAACAGCGATGTTCGCCTGAACCTGCAGAAGTTGACTCACCTCATCGAAGCCTTCGCACCAGGCTTTGGCAAATTAGCCAACAACAAGGGCGATTTGGGTGACCTTGTCGACTCAGAGCTAAGCAAGGCAGCAGATGCTATCGCAGCTGCAGCTGCTCGCCTTGCGAAACTAAGGAACAAACCCCGAGACGGGTACTCGACCTACGAACTTAAGGTTCACGACTCGATTCTCGATGCGGCTACGGCAGTCACCAATGCCATTGCTCGTTTGATCAAGGCTGCTACCGCCACACAACAAGAAATCGTCCAGGCGGGCCGAGGAACGTCCTCGAGAACTGCTTTCTACAAGAAGAACAACCGATGGACAGAGGGTCTCATTTCGGCGGCCAAGGCTGTTGCCACGTCGACTAATACGCTCATTGAGACTGCTGATGGTGTTCTATCAGGCCGTAACAGCCCCGAGCAGCTTATCGTCGCCTCGAACGACGTGGCGGCCTCGACTGCCCAGCTTGTTGCAGCTAGCCGTGTTAAGGCTGGCTTCATGAGCAAGAGCCAAGAGAGTCTCGAGCAAGCTAGCAAGGCTGTCGGTGCTGCCTGCAGAGCGCTTGTCAGACAAGTGCAGGCTATGATCAAGGACCGCAACGCGGAAGATGAAGGGGTGGATTATGCTAAGATGAACCCGCACGAGTTCAAGGTTCGGGAGATGGAACAGCAGGTGAGTTCTTGCAATTGGAATATTTCCTTATTTGATACTTTGAAAGACAGATCAATAATGGCTAATGATGAATCCACGTACACAGGTCGAAATTCTACAGCTCGAGAACTCGTTAGCTGCGGCAAGAGTGCGGTTAGGAGAAATGCGCAAGATCTCATACCAAGAGGACTAGGAGTAGGAATATGCGGAAGGGTGATAATATTCGCAGGTACCAAGGTAGTTTGCCAACTCTACTAATCCATATGGTGGTCGTCTCTTCTTACAAGTAACTTCAAATGTGAACTTTCTATTGGACTTGGGGTTGTATGTCTACCTACCTAAGCAAAGCAAAGCTCATCGAAAGCATAGGAGATGGAGGTATAGGTATAGTGTACAAAATTGCTATGCGTCGATCAGGTCAGGAAGCACGCCGACAGGCAGGCAGGCAGGCAGGCAGGAGGAGAGGGTGGGCTGCTGTTTAGGTAGCTTAGGTACTTACCTTACCTTAATTTGATTCCTGGTGATTGTAAACCTTGAATACTTCCAGCTACTAATGGTTGTGCTATACAGAGTGAGTAAGCGAGTGAGTAGTAGGTTAGGGATCTGCTTATTAAGCTCACCAAGGTACATACCTAGGTAATATACTTCTTTGCTTCAAGTTTAACGGTCGCGTGGGTACGTAGTATATCCATGGCGGTTTCTGCTATATATATACTCCGATGTCCAGTACTAGGTATGTAGTGAACGTTGAGGCGCACAAGCCATGTTACCCGGGACCCGGGAGTTGTTACACAGTAACGGGTTTACGTAAGATATCATGTGATCTGTCACGTGACATCGTTGACTTCAAAACAAGACCATCTTTCAAAGTTGGGCGATACTACGAATGAGGCCCATTGTCGCGTTACTACGTATAGTTTTGTGTTAGATATGCTCTAAGCTACTATTCCCATCGATTTTGCTTCGCCTGAGACTCTCCTCTGGAAATTTGGTGGATAGGTGGGTAGCTGTAGGTAGGTAGGTAGTAGTGAAAACCTCCCCCCTTTTTGAAATGGCGCTTTCTGATTGGTCGGGTTTGCGCGCACTTGTGCTATGTAAATCAACGCTGCACATTGATTGATACGGAGCATGAGTTGTTAAAATGAGGTCTAGATTAGTTGGGATGGTGTAAGTTGATTGTATTGGAGTCAGACTATGAGTCTTGGCTTTAAGTCAACAGGAACTTTCTTAGTACTAACCTAGTTAGGTAGACCGGTAGTAGGTAGATAGGCAGCTATTTTCTTTGTATTTTCATGTCTATGTAATCAACTGAGCAAATCGTCAATTCCTAGGCAGTTGATAGCTTGTTTCCCTATTTGTTAGCTTAGAGTGACTTGTCAGTTCCGTGATGAAGGGCTTCGCTTAGGCGTTATCAATTGCAATAGTTGAACACCTAAGAGGGAAATGCAACTGGTGGCTGCCTCACCACCTAACTAATATCACAGCGATGAGTCTGGGATAGAAATTATATTTACCAGGATGAATCAGAATTAGTTCATGTAGCGATCAATATAATATTTCTGGGTGTTTTCATGTTTTCGGGATAATGACATCCATCAGACTCAAACTGTCTATAAACCATAGCGACCGAATTTAGGTCTAATTTAGGTTATAGCTCTTTGCGTGAACAACATCGTTGTATCCCTTTATTGTAGTTCTGTCATTTGGCAAACCAACCCCCTTAGCAAAGTTCAAACTCTCTGGCAATTCTCTCGCGTTTGTCATGTTGTAGCAACCATTGATTGGTAGGTGGGTCCGCAAGAGACTATTTAACCTAGATCTCTCGCGGTCTTCCTCATGTAGGTACGGAGCTTCCTACCACATTTCCCCCAACTTGTTCAATCTCTTTTTTTTTTTTTAGCAAAGGGGATACCGAATTTCACTCGCGTGACCCGAAAGATCCTACTGTAAAATAATACCAGCCAATCAACCGAAGTAAATTTATATCTCACCCAAACTAGGTACTTGTAATCATTAGCGACATACAAGATGGACGACGTACCTAAAGTCGTCCAGGGACGAATCCCGCTCTCACACTGGAAGAACTGGACGCGCGAGGGAAAATCTCAATCCGCTGCCCAGTTGAGGCGAGAATCCCTCCATCTCTGGTAGCGCTGGCACTTGTGTATACTTGTGGAATAATTAATAGAACATCTCTATTCCTGGCGACTGGATTCGTGTCTTCGGCAACATCAAGTCGTCAATGCCAACCTGTTCCGGGACAATATACAATCAAGTTACCGGATACGAGTACAGCAGCTTCTTCGGTGGCCCTACAGCAACGGCGTCGATTTCAACTTTGACAATAACCTACGCGGGTGCTTCGATTTCGGCCTGGGTGGGGATTGCGGCAGCAACTAGGTATTTAGGGCTCAGCTTCGGCAAATTCGTAAGGGTTCACTTCGGGGCTAACTAGAACAAAGACCGCTGCAAGTACATGTGGCCTTTTTAGTTGCCGAGGAGATGTTAGAGATACCCGCGCAACCACGCGTAATTTTCGCGTTGTCTCGGTTTCGCCTCGTCACACGAGCAACGCAGCACTATGACCGAATAAATCTTTCAGTTGCAGTACTTGACCTTGCCGTTATTCCGTCGATGATGGATTAATTTACTTTTACCTTCGTTGAGATAATTTAGTCGTTATCCTTCCCAGATCTTGAATTTTCGAGCTTCATTTCTTTCGTACACTGTTTCTGGTAGTTACCGATATCCCAAAAGCCGCCACCTCTCTGGCCCTAGCAAGAAGCTGTGAGAAATATAGTTAGAGTATCGCGGTATGAAGTTATACGTGTATCGTAGTAGCTTTTTTCGGCATCTAGTTGTCCTCTTTTTTAATATAGACGAGAGTCTCACCGGAGACGAACCCGTCTGAAGTTATAATTTATATACAACCCTCTCGACTGATAAACGCGACTTCAAGTCTTCTTTGTAAAGCATTCTCGGATGATTCTCTGAGAGCAGAGGTAGCTTTTCCTGTAGGTACGTGTCGTAAGTCTTCAGGGCAGAGCACAAGGAGGATCACGACCAGCGGACCAAGAGAATGAGGTTGAAATTCTGACCGAAAAGTTAAGGGAAACTGATGAAATTGTGTTCTAGGTCCTGGTATTGGGCTGGAGCAGCGACCGGCAGGTTGGCCTAGGAACTGGTGCCGGCCAACCGAGTCCCCTACAACGTTACAGGAGCTTGAGCAAGTTTTTTTTTGCCACATGAGTCAATATGGGGGGTGAGGGCATCAAAAGGACCCCTGTTCAGTCAGTTTTTGCCAGGTTCTAGATGCGTATCGCGGACTCGACGCGTAAGAACGCGTAGGACTCTGGTGCCGTAGGTACCTGAGGGAACAATGGGGGGCGGGGATGCAGGTAGGGGAGTCCTTGAAGAGTCCTTCCATAAACCTGGATAACTCGCAGGAGTCCTTCTAGAATACGGTATTTCCTTTACATACACCCTACATAGAATTTTTACCACGCACAAAACACCATTACTGCCGTGGCGACCGCCTCCCCGCCAACCCAACCCCGCAACGATTGGTTAACCCACCAACCGCCTGCAGCCCTCCACACTTCTTATATAAATTGCTGCTCTTCCGTTCTACCTTTTCTACTTTTCTACTTTTCTTTTTTCTTAAACCTCACCCAAAAAACCTTCATCCACCACCAACCTTGATCGATCAATATTCATCCATCAAGACTTCATCTATCACTCTCACGCCAATATTCATTGATCGTATCCTACAAATACCACTAGGTACTCAATAAATTTTGCCATTGGCTTTTACCACCATAACACACGATACACCTCAAACTTTATCGGCACAACCAACTTGAACATTCATCAACACCATGGACAAAATGAATTCTGTTCGGAAGTTTGTCGCCATCGAGGTCCCATTTACACAATGGGAAGTCTGGCCCAATGAACAAAAGAACCAAACCTTAGAGTTCTTCAAGTAAGTCTGCCTCTTTCCCTTCTTCCTGATTTTTCCTTTCCTATCTCGTCTAGAAGAAAGTTATCATAGTATGCTACGGTCATCTTCGCTTCGCATAGACAGCATCATTGTTCAACGCGTGTTATTAGAGTATACACTAACTATCTTACAGGGCCCGCCACCCCGACAAACGTCTACAGTGGGTGTTGAGCTTCCTTGGCGGCAATGAGGTTATCGTTGTCGATATAATTGAGGTGATGATAAACACAGGCCTCGTAATTGAGGGTTGTGTTTATGGTAGCGGCAAGCCGATCTTGGGATTGTTCCACGGCGAGCATACCCCATATTCAAGCGAGATAGCACGAAAGTCGGGCGCGACACTATCCATAGAAAAGGCTCGCCAATACAGAAGTCGGTCGCCGGCGCGAGGTGAGCCCATTGTCACGAGACATCGTGACTCTAGAAGCCGCTCCCCAGCAGCTACTGTTCATGAGCGCCGACCCACAGTTACTCCCCGGCCAACGGTTGCTCCCCAGCAGACAGTTGCCCCCCGAGCCTTAGGCCCCCCGGTAGGTTAGGTACCACCGCAGGGCTGGCCCGAGGGGCTTGACTGGCGAGCGTTGCCTAGAGTACGAAACGGCTTTATCCTCTATAGGGCACTTCATCACCATGAAGTGGTAAAAAGGCTTGAGCATCTTGGTCAATCAGCAGAAAACTCTATGGTTTGTAAGTACAAATACTACAATCCTCTATCTATACATATATGTATTGGATAAAAGTTGCTAACCCAATATTACAATAGCACAAATCCTAGGAGATCAGTGGTCTAGCCGGCTTTCAGAATTCCAAAAACAATTCTTCGAAGGAAAGGCTCAGCTAGAGGCGAAGATTCACCAGGAAACGTATCCGTAGTACGGATATAACCCTGACAATAAACGTACTCACACCGAGGGAGATACGACAATCGCCAAAGCAAACCTTGCCACCACTCGTCTTCCAGGCTATCTGGACATAGATGAGATCACACGGGAGTACCACTCCTTCGTTCGCCAGTACCAACTACCTGTGATCCATCCAGTGCCTGAAGGCACTGCGAAAGGATTGGAAAGATACAACGTTCCAGACCTTTATATGCAAATCATTGTAGCGCCGGAAGAAGCCTCGGCTAACAGGATCCGCACTGGGCGCCGATCCGGAGCAGTGAAGAAGACTCGCAAGACTGCTCTAAAAACACCACCAGCAGACACGATGGCTCCGTCAGGCTCTGCTGCTATTCCTCAGTCAGCCTTTGCGACAACTCCTCAAATGGGTTCTGCCACAGTGTCTCAGTCGGGTTCTGCGACAATTTCTCCGTCTGGTTCCGCTACGATATCACAATCAGGTTCCACTGCGGGCATGTCAATGTCAAGTTCTGCGATTCCTACACCAAGCCACACGACGGCGTCTCCGTCAGGTCCTGCGATGATGTCTCAGCCAGCATCTACTATAAATCCTTCGTCAAGTTTGGCTTCGGTGTCTCGACAAAGCTTAGCTCCGGGTATACCAGAATTTAGTTCCGCTACGATTCCTTCTTCAAGCTTTGCTGAATCAGGCTTTGCTACGATGCCTCAAATAGGATACTCCACAAATACTCCATATTCAGGTTCAGCTTCGATTGCTCAGCTAAATTACAATACTGGTATACCTGAGACAAGCCTCGCACCGATGCCTCAATCAAACTTTGCTGCGGGCACATCAGACTTGACACCCACGCAAGATCTCGCACCGATCCCTCGATCAAACTTTGCTGTGGGTTCATCAGACTTGATACCCACGCAAGATCTCGCTCTCGCCACCTGGAACCCGGCACCTCAGGGCCATGAGCCTGTCGATGATCTCCAGCTGCTACTCAGTCAGGCTGATAGTTTTGAGGTCGCAGATCTTCAAGGTCCCGCTGGTGTAGGATTCTCAGATGGCCAAGAATTCACAGAAGAGGAGCTTGACCAGCTACTGATGGACCTTGCTTAATGGACATTGCGGGTCAACAACTTACACCAGCGAGGTATGAACGGAGAAAGTGATTGAGAACTTCTACGTACACAAACAAGAAAAGCCGACTATATATATGCTACCACCCTATCAAGAGAGATACGAAGTGTTACAACAACCAGTACACCTAGACCTCTACACGCTTTACGAAAGCTTATCCATGAGTTCAACACGCTTGAGACTAAACTCATGAAGATGGCAAACGAAAGGGAATACACTGTCGGCGAATGTCTCAGCTGAGCTCAGCTGGACTTATTCAGTACTGTCAAACTTGCTATATGGACACCCGATACCAAGGTACCTACCTAGGGAAGTTCTATAAATCAGCAGACAGTTGGATACAATGTACTACAATATGTACCATCATGATGTAGTATAATCTGGGTTTTGGGTGCCCATGAAGTCAATAAAACAGACCTCATTTACCTGATCCTAAAATTCAGGAACACCCATGTTGTGTATTCTTTAATGCTTCGTGACTATAAATATTCTTTTGTGAAACAAATAAACTGTAATGATACCTCAAGTGGGTAGTTGGCAACTTTCTTAGTCCTCACATTATTACGATTATTCGCTTAAACACCAACCTCGTTCGTAACCCGGGTGGTTCGTAGCCTGGATATTTCGTAGCCTAGGTAGTTGGTAACCTAGGTAGTTGGTAACCTGGGTACCTAGTTGGTAACCTGGCTAGTCCGTAACCCAGGTATTTCGTTGCTTGGGCAGTTCGTAACACAGGTAGTTGGAAACCTGGGTAGTTCGTTGCTCGGGCAGTTCGTAACCTAGGAAGTTGGTAACCCAGGTAGTTAGTAATCTGGCTAGTCCGTATCCCAGGTACTTCGTTGCTCGGGCAGTTCGTAACCCAGGTAGTTGGGAACCTGGGTAGTTGGTAACCTGGCTAATCCGTAACCCAGTTACTTCGTTGCTTGGGAAGTTCGTAACCTAGAGGGTTCGTAACACGTTTGTAGCCTCGCTCGTTACCCCGTTTTCATAAGTCATTCGACTATCTACCCAGCGATGATCACAAACCTTCAGCCCTATACTCACTGAACACTCCCTACATTCCATTCTCTTCTGTCCGTTGTCGCCAATCCATGGTTCTTCGCGGTGTCTGGGCTCACCGGCGGGCTGGGTATCTCCGGAGGGCTGACCTGAGGATATGGATTGGCGGGCACTTCCAAGAGTGAGGGATGACTTCATTCTTGACCATCGCTTCACGGTCACGAGATAATGAAGAAGCTGGCGGAAACGTTACAGTTGGAGGGGTACGTCTATAGCCCGCCGTTCGATACACCCAGTGCATAGGCCTGCAGAAACGTTGCTAACCTACGTCACTTCGCCAACAGCACGCGTTCTAGACGCGTCTCGCCACGCGTTTCCGAGTGAACGATATCTGTCTGAGCAAGTTATTGAAAGATAGTCCGAGCTCGAGCCATTACCTGAGGCAACTCGAGCCAGTATCTGAGGCAACTCGTCCCCCACCATCCTGCAGCTATACTTTTCCCACTTCTGCTTTTCTGTCCTGCCTTTTCTGTCTTTCCATTTTCTCTCTTTCTTAAATTTCCTCCACAAACCTTTACCAGAAATCCTCTTCCCGACCTAAAACATCAACCACAAATTTATCGTTCTGCTTCATCAAGCATCCTCTTCTATCCTGCTACATCAAGCAGCTTAGTCTATCTTTTACTTCATCACGCATCCTCCTCTATCGTACTCCACTTAAGAACTTCTTCTATTCTGCTTCATTAAGCAACACCTTACGCCGCTCTTCGCGATACATTAATTGTATCTTCGCCAACACTTGACTCTCTCATCTCATCGTACTACATAGCAAGCCTATTTTAGCCTTCATCCTAAATATTCGCTTCTATTACTTCTCAAGTATCCATCTCGCCAACATTAACGACAAGATGAATACCATTCGCGAATATGTTGTGCTATCCGTTCCATTTTCCGAATGGATCCAATGGACGTACGAGCGCCAGATGGAGATGATCAGAGTTATGAGGTAAGCTTATCTCTTTCCTTCTTCCTTTTCCTCTCCCTCTTCTCTTCTCTTCTCTTTTCCTTGCTACTTCATCTAAGGTATATTCTAACCATCCTGTAGAGCGAGCCAGCCAAATAGAAGAAACCTTCACTGGATATTGGATGTCCTCGGAAACTACGAAGTCTTCATCGCCAATATTGGCGAGATAGAGGAAAATACAGACTTTATCATTGAGGCTTTCGCATTCGGAGGTCACAGGCCAATGCTAGCGCTATTACCCGACGAGATAACTCGGGAAGAGAGACAACCGGCAGAAATTGCACCTGCTGTGCTCCCCGCCGAGCAGGTTCGTTCCTACAGAAGCCGCTCTCCGATGCGAGGAGAAGCTACACCTAGAAGCGATAGACCTGTGCGGTCTAGAAGCCGATCTCCTCCTGCCTCATCACAACGCGGCCGTCAATCCAACGCTCCTCCACGATGCTTAGGTCCTCCGGCAGGCTAGGTACCTCCGGAGGGCTGGCCTCAGGACATGGATTGGCGGTCAATGCCAAGAGTCAGGAACGGTTTCATCTTGTATAGGTCACTTCACCACCACGAGGTGGTCAAAAGACTAGAGCGATTGGGAGAAAGTGCGGACAATGGTAAAGTCTGTGAGTACAACAATTTCATTCCTCTTGAAAACTCTACACACGAGTCAGAACCTAGATAAGAAATCGTCACTAACCGACTTTGTCATCAGCGCGAATTCTTGGGGACCAATGGTCTGAGCGATTGTCCGACATACAAAAGGCCTTTTTCGAGCAAAAGGCAGCCCAAGAGGCGGCTACTCATCGGGAAACATACCCATGGTATGAGTATGAGCCAGACAGTAAGCGCTCCCAAGCGAATGGAGGTGGTTCTATTCGCAAAATTAGTCTCGCGACCACGAGCCTACCAGGATACCTTGACATGGTAGAGGTCACGCGAGAATACCACGACCTCCTCAGACAATACGATATGCCCATAATTCACCCAGTACCATTCGGGGATGAGAAGGGACTGTCGAAATTCAACATTCCCGATCTCTACAAGCATATACTCGTGGCGCCAGAGGAGGCGTTGGCAAAGCGCGCACGTACAGCTCGTCGCACCGGAGGAAACAAGAAGTCACAGCGACAAGTCGCGACTCCGCCTTCATCTCTCCCCGGCCCTTCCAGTAGCCCCCAGGAGTCTATTCTTCAACAATCCTCTTCGAGTATTGAGCCACAGCCACTCTTCAACCCAGATCCATCGGTTCAACAGGGAGTGGCGTTAAGTCAGGATGATTTCGACTTTGATCGCTTAGTCGACGACCTAGGACTCAGCCAATACCGTGATCAAGGCGAAATTGATTACGACCAATGGGACTTTAGTGTCTCCGGCCTAATGCCTTAAACCACTCACTTAAACTCCATACGGGCCAGTATCATCCGCGACAATAACTAGCATCACGCAAAACCGACAAAACGGATGAGAAAAAGGCACTATGGACAAAAGAACCGTCACAGATCTCACGTGACCAAAATCTGGCTATACAAAGATATCAAGACCCGGCAAAGGCATCAAACACACAATCAACAAGCCTAATGCATTCTCACCTACGCGACCTTTCACAATATATCGCACCCAGAATGGCCTTGCAATATCAACAATGCCCTGATATCTCTCCTGAACACCTAGAGACCCGACAGAGGATAAGACGGCACGAATGTACAGTTAAGACAAGCTCTGATTGGTATACAACTACCTACCAATCATGACCTAAACTTCCACTATACTCTGGTCAAATCTCCTACACCACTATTTCCTCCCATCTTCTCTCAGAACAAAAACCTCTTTCAGAACAACAACAACAACTCTCAGAACAACAACGCCTCTCGGCTCTTCTGAGCACCAGTACCGCCCTGGTATATACCTACGAGACAGGAGTTACACTACTACCACTCCCTCTCTACCGTCGTCTTGTTGCTGAGGTCTCCTCAAATTATCTGCGCCAACCCAGCACAATGACTCGAAGCTTACAGACGTGGGCAACTTCCACCCAGGTTTATACGAGTCCTTCGGGAAAGATACGTATTGGCAAAGCGTAACTTATTTCTGGACGCTATAAAAACAACAAAAGCCATCCCAACCCAAGCCTCTAAACTATCCGAGCAGAACACACAAACTGTTTCGGAGACAGGCCTTGTCTTGGTGGACCGCCATCTTTACAGATACACAACTGTCGAGAATGAAACAGAATAATGATCACGCCCTCGACCAACTGTTGGAACAATTCCGGATGGCGGAATAAGAAGAAATGAAACTTCCTTCTAAACTCCACAAGATACACTCATGGGTGGGATGGAGATGTCCAACGCGCGCAAAACACGCGAGACACGCGAGACATAACAAACTACGCGGAGCACGCGGAACACGGAAGGGCTCGTTATAACGGTCCGACACATCACGTGGAGAGGCGAGACTTCAGAACAGACCCGGTTTCATGACAGTCAATGGAGCCATACAAACAACACACACTGGAGTTCAACCCATCAACAACGCCGAAGAATATCTAGGCAATGTTCCGGGGGTTCTTCTGCAACCTGAATGGCCAAATACAAGCACTATTCGACCATGGGGTCTCGGTCGGGAAGCCCTTCAATCTCCTACGCTCTGCGAAATATCATCGGGATGAAGTCACTACAACGCCCACAAAGCCCACAAGGCTCACAAACCCTACAAACCTTACAAAATTCATAAAACTCACAACGCTCGGAAAGCTTAGCCGAATAAGGCTTCTCTGAGTATTAGAGGAAACTGGCGACCGGAGGCTCAACCAAACACCATACTCTAATCTGCTACAACTATGGCATCAACGTATGATCGTCTTCCCGAGCTCTTTAGAAGCCCTGCCGACCTCATATTGGTAGCGGATCCTCGCATCAACGCTGTTATGATCAACGATGGCACCATATACTCGGTCCCAAACAGCCCAAACAACTCACAAGGCTCACATAGCCCAAATAACCCACACGGCTTACAAAGCTCACATTGCTTATAAAGCCCATACAGCTTATACGGCTCACACGGCTCACACAGCCCAACCAGCCAAAACAACCCACACAGCTTACAAAGCTCAAAAAGCTCACACAGCTCAGACCACAAACAACCCAGCGCTTGCGTCAAATGCTTAACAAGCTACCCTCTATCGAGGCGACCAATCGCGACGACGGGGTTGCTGTACCTCAAGCACCTCGTCAGAGCCCGCCCTCACAGAGGCCACTCAAACAAACAAAAAACCACAAAACACTATACCTACGACTACGACTATGCCCTCTCTCCGGAAGAGAGTATATAAAACCTTGCAGTAACCCTGCAACACTATACAAACAAGCACACAAACAGAAACAGAAACGCATACGAACTCAGATGTTGGAGCTGGGAGGAAGGAAGGAAGCGTAAAGGGATGGAGGATGTACGATGGAAGGAGCGAAAACGGAATTCCAGTTGCTGCGACTAAAAGAGTTGTGGGAGAGGTTATATGTTGGATAGGAGGGGGTGGGGGGACGTTGAACACCAACAATGTCCACTGTCAGAAGCTTTCCTGGAGAGCTTGAAGACACAGGTTCCAGGATAAATTACAATATATATTTTGGAGCAAGACGAACGAGTTGCTGAGTGCAATGTGTGCCAAGAGTGATAAGGGGTACTTGTTACCTGTAGCTATCGTGTACCTGTATAAGGAGGTTTCGTTCTCCTTCAGATTACTAGGGAGTGATTCGGGCATGAGTACTGCTGTATTTCAATCCAATCGTAGAGTTGCTACTGTGAAACCTACTTTATCTCGCCATTTGTAAGACCTAAACTCAGACTCAAGCGCTTACCCCTGAAACAAGCCCAGTGCTTCTCCATCAGCAGCGCGAAAGCCGTGGCAGGAAGCACTTAGCCTAGGACAAGCCAAACCATAAAAGAAGCATCTACGCCGAGTCGAGCCCTTGAGCAGGCAAAGAAGCCGTAGAATGGGTAGGAACAGCCGATAGTGGGGAGCACCCCCCTGAAAAGGGGTAAAGGGGTAGACCCCCTGAATAGCCGATAGGTATGTTTGGCAGCTTAGTAGGGACGAGTACCGAAGTAGCAGCCAATAGGGTATAATACCCCATAAGTACCCCGAGCCTCGACGTAGGATAGACGAGACCACCAGACTGCTCCTTGAAAGCTGCGGTTAGAACAGTCACGTGGACGCTTGATCCACGTGATACCCCACCGTGTAACCCAGTGCGTTTACACTTACCTAAGTGTGCCTACCTAGGTATTTTACAAGTTCTCCGTTCAATTGATTACAACATTTGTTCTCCTCAAACAATTCAACTCTTGACTAAACTAAACTATCGTATGTTCTTATAAAAGCCGAGCAAGAGCGAAAAAAGGGGGGTGAGCCCCCCTTTTCTAGTTGCGAAACTGGAAGGCAGGTAGGTATAGAGCCAAGGATAAGGGCCAATGTTATAAGGAACGAAACACTCGAAATAGAATTCAACAGGACAACTTATGATCCCCATAAACAAGCCGAGCAATCATCTTCTTGCGTGTGATAAGAACCTTAAGCAATAGTACCGAAGAACAGTCACGAAAACGAGAATTATAACACAAGCGAGACAAGCAAAAACTATCAATCACTGCTTTATGTGATTATACACACTTATCAAGGCCCTATCTATTGTACACTACCTATCGCCGTAGATAGATTCTCATGCTGCCTGAGAACTGGTCCAATCACTACTCCATATGAACGTCGCGCAACGCCACTGAGTTCCCTTTTCCTTCTCGCCCGAAGGCCCAATTGGCCGAGGGCAGACGAAGAATGCCCTGCCTGTAGCAAGAAAAGAGTTAGTGTCACATTATTTACACCTAGTATGCAACGGAGTCAAGAGAATAGGGGGCGGCTTACCTTGATTTACGCCCGGCTTCTTGGTCACCAAGCTGACGCAATCATCTCCATGCTCGCATTTCGGCACAACTCTTTTGCCAAGCAACTTGGACCAGGACTCCTTGGACACAATAGGATCGAATACCTTTCCCGAATCAACTGGGTCAGGAGTTGGCACGGCTTCATCTACCTCATTGGATTCTGCAGGCACTTTCGTATCAAAAGAGCTGCTCGGCCCATCAACGTCTACAGCACCTCTTATATTCGTTCCTATATTCGCTCCCGTGTTCGTACCGTTACTCGATATAGCGGTGGGTCTAGGGGTGAAGAATCCCCTGAGACTGCTTTGACCCTTGGAAGAGGTCTCCTTAGTTAACGTCACTTTTGTCTTCTTCGATGACTTGCTCGTCGATGCCGTGCTAGAGGACGCACGCTTGAGGCTACTCGAAGCCGCTTTTGCCGGTGAAGGCGCAGGCGCTGATGCTGGTGTTTCAGATTGTGAAGCTGGAGTGCTACTGAGCCCATCAACTTTCCCATCTTCTTTCGCGACATCTTCTAACTCTCCAGAAGAACGAATTATAGGGCTTCCTGACGGTTCACTAGTTGCTTCTGGGATTGGCTTGGAAGTTGCGGGTTTCTTAAACATGTCCTTGATGCTTCTTCGGTGGTTGAACTCCGGAAGAAGTTTCGCTGATAAAGGTAAAAGATCCTTCGCTGTCCACTCCCTGAGCCTATTGCCATCTTTAAAGACCCCAGGCGGATTCAATATGTCCCTTATGTGTACTGTCTCTCCGCCAATCGTCACAACGTCAGCTAGCTTTGCGAATACTGGGCAGTGATCGGATCCCATAAGACCCTCCTGGATATTTGCGTGTGTGAACCAGTCTCGCATGTCTTCGCTACATAGAACGTAGTCGATTCTACTGCCGAAATTCGCAGGACGCGAATTCTTCTTCATGTCCCAACAAGTGAACATACCCTCACGCGTAGGATGATGTTCTCGAATAAGATCACATAGCACTGGCGTCTCTCTGTTTTCGTCCCTTGGGCTTTGCACGTCACTGTCGAAAACAAGCTGGTTGAAAAGGCGACGGGTTGGACCGGAGAAGAAATCCTCCATCGACATTCCTTCCTTCTTTAGCCGCTCGGGCAATTTGACGGTGTCCATAGATGATCGGATAACGTTGAGATCACCCGTCAAGATCACTCTCTTTCCCATGGCTATGAGGTTACGTATTCGGACATCTAACGCGTCAAGATAGCCTAGCCTGAAATCGTCCCGAGTTTCATCGCGATTAGCGGGGCTGTAAACGCCTATTAGGACAAAAGCCGGAAACTCGAGGATGACACAGCGCCCTTCGGAATCAAGGGTGGTGTCATCGACTACGCCGAGAAGTTGACCAGCTTCCGGATAGCCCCCTATTTGCTGATTTGATGGCAATTCCCGGAACTTGGTGGAGGAACTGGGTGGGCATAGAACCCCTGTGATTCCCTCCTCTGCTCTGATAGGCGTACACACAGAGTTTCGAGTGTAAATGGCTACACCAGCATAGCCTATTTACGTTGTCAGATGAAGTTTCCGATGAATTATCCGAGGAAGAGTCATCTGCGTACCTTTCTTATGTTTAGGAAGACTGAAGTGAACATCCCAGCCCGGTACTAGTACCATGTCGTCCTGTAGATCCTTGCGCTGTATCTTGGTTTCTTGCATGACAACGATGTCAGCCTCGAGGATGTCGAACATGGCAGCATAGGTCCTCTTCTCCCTCCATGGCTGGTATCCAAAAGGATTCCTATGGGAACAGTTAGAATTATGATTTTATTCCCAAGCCATGATTAGCATACCGAATGCCGTTCACTATATGAAATGTTAGTAAAGCTTAAACTATAGAAATTGAAGATATTAACTGATGATACGAACCATTCCATGATGTGATACGCACTCCGTTCTGTTCGGACATTTCGTGTCTGGAGATCTAGAGTGGGTGTAGATGAGAAGAGATGAAGGTGGTAATAATCAATTCATCATCGGCGTTGCTTTCGGGATTACTACCATTACCGGAGTCGGGAATGGGAATTGAGTTGAGATAGTGGAGTTCTTTTTTGGGCATGAGAAATACACGTGAATATTGATGAACTTGGGAGCCTTTTTTAGAGTTGCTTGTATGAGATCGAAGCTTAATCAATAGCTTATTCCTCGTCTCTTAAATATGGGATATCACATGTGAGCTTTTGCGTGTATTATTCACTGCAAGGTAAGGTACGATGCATACGCGGACAACTTTAATTCAGTTGTGCATGCCGCAGGAAGTCGCGACATGTTGTATATTTCAACGTACATTCATGGCGGGTGTTACGGCAGCTGACACCAAACTGACTCGAGGTCCCGTGACTTTCGTCATCCTTACGTATCTGGGGTAATTGCATATCCCCGCAGATTTACCGAGGGATAGTTTAGCTTGGTGATTAAGTTTAAGCCAATCAAACGTGATCCAGAACCATTCGAAATCAGACCACTGGGCACCTAGTTTAGATACTTTCAACATTCCCTTCTACAACAACCAATCTGAAGACGACATCGACGTCAAACGATATAAACCAAAATGCTTCCTCAGCGCCAGACCGTCCGCGCGACTCAGCGCCTCGCGAGCCAGCTCCGCGCTGCCAACACCCGCTCTACCGCGCAGCGCCGTTTCGCCTCCACCGAGAATGCCTTCGTCAAGGAGCGACAGGCTGTGAAGGAGCACGCTGCTGCCACTACTGGTTAGTAAACCTGTCAAACTGCCTAACATATCTCTGGTCAGCGGAGAAGAAAAAAGGAAAGGAACGGAATCGCTAATTATTCGCAGAGCTCTGGCGCAAGATCTCCCTCTAGTAAGCCGGTCCATTATTCCCTTCGCCCGCCCTCACTCATCCTTAGCAATTACGATCGCTACAATTTACGAACGACAACTGCTTCGCCACTGAGCCGTAGAATAACTACCTCATTTTCGAACTATGCTCTTGAAACCCTTCGACGAGAACCCGCATGACATGCCCAAGTAACTTAACTAACAAAATCCCTCTCTCACAGCGGCATCCCGCCCGTCCTCATCCTCGCCGGCGTCAACGCCTACAACCAATGGAACGCCCACTGGGAGCACTGGGAGCACATGCCCCCGCTAGAGGAGCGCGTCGAGTACCCCTACCAGAACATCCGCACCAAGAACTTCCCCTGGGGCAATGGCGACAAGACCTTGTTGTACGTTTCCCCCTCCTCCCCCTACTGTTTGAGGAACAGAAGAAGATATGAAGTGATGAAGAAGTAGCGTGTACTACTGATACATCCAACCCAAGCTAACAAGCACAAAACAGCTGGAACGACTCGGTCAACTACCACAACAAGGACAAGAACGCCTAAGCTCCGCAAAGCCTACCTACCTACGAACAGTCTTTGGAGGAACCTTGGGGGAGCTTGCGCATGTATGTAGATATGCATGGATGGATCAGGAGAATCAATCCATAGAACAGAGAAACGAAACACCAACAAGAAATATTCCTACATACCTACACACAAGCATAGTATGGCGTTGTAGATCCGCACTATTCCCTTTGTATATCAATTGAACCGATAAAACCGCTATAACCTCAATGTGCATGCGTGTATGACTACCAGCATAGGAGTGTCCATGAGTCCCCTTTCCAACTACACGCTTTCACGTTTTATGTATCAATGACAAATAGGTTAGCTACTACCTATGTAGCTTCATCGTAGGCCAAAGTAACGTATACAACCTCAAGAAAGCATTTGACTGCCTACCTAATACCTACCTGGGTAGGTAGCAGGAAAATAGAGCTTCGGTAAGGGGTAAAGAGGCAGGAGCAGACCGCCATTCAAACAACCCAAAGACATGAAAACAATCGAGTACCATGGATATAATGTCTGATTAGGTGTCCATGTATCCTACCTACCTACCTACCTACCTACCTTCCCCCCTAAACTACTAGGTAGGTGCCCTTGAGTAGTGTGTATAGATATATATATGTAAGTTATAAGTTACTAGGTAGCGGTGATCTACATGTAATCCAGCATTACCTGTCTAGATTCCCAAGAACCTAACCTAACCTACCCTAACCTAACCCCCTACCTCTCCCAGACCAAACCGAAACCGAAACAGACCCCAACACCGACCTATTGAGTGTGCAGGTATGGAGTGTACTCATACCGAGAACGAATAGGTATGGTATGGTATATATATGTATGTGCCAGTGGAGCGTTCCGCGCCTAAAAACTCCGTACCCTGCTTACCCGAGACAGCGATATTACCTAGTCCCGAATGCATGTTCCTTGTGTATGTCTCCTCCTATTCCTACAATTCGCCTCGTTGAGGCAAAGGGGTCCTTCGCCCCTGGTATGTAGAAATGTTGCACGCCGACCAAGCGGTGCGTGCCTAATTAGTCAAGCTCTCTTTAGCCATCTATTTCCATGTAATAGCTGTAGCTATACGTATGTCCGTTCAATGGAAGACTGCGAGTAGCTTGTTGAATAGGAACCCGTTCGCTCATATGACAGATTAGTCCATTTGAATGAATGCAACTGCCTTCTGCTTCTGTTTCCACCCTTCAATTCACAGCAGTAGCAGTAGGAGTACCATTGCCAGCACCGTCCACGGCAGGTGGCGTGAATCCCGAACCGTCAATCCAGTTCGAGTATCCGTCTTCCTCTTCGTACTCTTCTGCCAACTTTGTCTCCTGTTGCTCCATTGAATTTACCCTAGGAGGCAAATCCGGGGGGGTTCTTTTGTTCGCACTCGAACCCGCACCCGTTTTCAATTCAATTGAATCCTCATCCTCATCTCTTAATCCTAAACTCTCATTCGGCTCTCCATCGAGTTCCTCTGCGTCTTCGACCCAAGGTTGGATGTATGCAGGTGAGGCCTCTGATTGTTCATCTTCAATCTCCATGTTTAGGAATGCTGGGCTATTCGGTTCCGACGTATCCATTACCGGGGCCGCAACAACAAAGACGTTATCATCGTTGTTGCTACCCTCGACATTGTCAAGGCTGTGTATCTGTGATCTTCTGCGTCTCGACGGTAGGGGCGGTGGAGGTACTGGCCGCCTTTCTGATTTCGTCGTTTCGCTTAGGTTTCCTGTGCTCTGACGTGACATTGTCGGGGGCGGGTCGACCTTGCGTTTCAATGCAATTGGCATTGGTGCTGCTTTCTTCCCGGGTCCAGGAAGGGGGGTCCCTGGCGGCGGTAACGGCTGTCCTCGTCCCATAGGTTGGTTCAAGTCTATTGGAGGGTCAGACATTTTCCGGCCATTAACACCAGTCCGGTCCGTCCGCTGTATCGCGTTCAAGCCCCAGCGTTTTGCTGTTGCGGCAGCATTAGACATGGCGGCTAAGGTTTTGCGCCCGTTTGTTTCGGACGTCCCTCCAGTCGAATTAGTAGATGGTGCTATTGAAGAAATACTTTCCTTGCGCGAGAAGAAGGTCCTTCCAATTGAGCCAGTACCGCTCTTTATGGAAGCCTTGCTAGACGGTGCAGGCGACGGCGGATGTGCAACATCGCTTTCGTTACTTGCTGTTGAGGAAGTAGTTTGCCGTCTCTCCTTTGTTGTAGGGGTGATTTCGTCACGTGCTTCGGGAATAGCCTCAGATGACGAGCTTGTAGAAGCATTGGTCGTTTGCGCAAGTGAAGACGCCCCTGAAGGTGAAACAAGAGGTGTATGCGCTGGCGAGTTGCTCTTAGATCTGGCGGAGAGACTCGCTATAATATTAATTGCACCGTCCCGATCCGGAGGACTCGAGGATGGTCTGAAGGTATCGGCATGAACAGGGTCTGTGCCAACAATAGGACTTGATGCCGTGATTGACCCTGATCGGGGACGCAATACTTCAGATGCTGAACTTCGCGGACTCTTTACTTCGAGAGTCGTCGTAGATACAGACGCAGACGCGGTCTGGGCAATAATGTTCTGTAAACTCTTCTTGGGGTTCAGTTTCCTACTCCAAAACCCTTGAGACTGGTTTGTTTGAGCTGTTTGCGTTGCCTGAGTGGTATCTATAACGGGTACACTGTGGCTCTTCTCCAACGAGGGAATCTCGGATGTCGTACCGAGGCCATTCTCCTCGATCTGGCTAACCTCGTCTACCTCTCCAAGTTGTGCCGCAATAGTTTCGTGGTCCGGTGATCGTTCAACAGCATCATCCCCTTCGAATATACCCCCGCGCCATTGCTTATGCTCAGTATTAAAGAAAGGGATATCATCCCAAAACGGTGCTACTAGTGTTTCGGCCACCACCTCCTTTATCCTGTTTTCGATCTGTCGAAGGATGACGGTGTAAGTAATTTGCCTTGAACTCACAATGGGCTCGATGGTCGTCTCCATTTTAGGCATGGACTGGAAAGAGAACCATAAACGGTTGCTGGGAGGAGGTTTGATCTTGAAGAGAATGTGTCCTTCGAGCTTCCTTAAAACCACAGCAAGAACGAGATTAACTTCGCGAGCCTTGAAGCGAGTTCCCAGGTCGATCCGTGCTGTAGCAGCGACCTCAAGCCTGAAATTGCCAGTATATTTAACATCGGCCTCCATACCGCATTCTCCTTCGACGCTGAATTCCTTGAGTTTTGGGTTCATGAAGTAGGGTGCTGAATTGCCGGTGTCGATACCCTGAATAGTTAACCTAGTGAGAAACGATGGCCGATTGACCCGAGATATCTTCTTTGTGATTTTTTCCCTGATGAGGTTTTCTGCATCCTTAGTCTTATATATGCCGAGGAACATTCTTCCTATGAAGGCATTCAGCCATCGCGTCTGCAGGTGGTCCTCGGAAGAGTGGAGTTTCTGAACTAGCGATATGATGTTCTTGACATCGAACTGCTGAGGCTTGGGGGCTAGGTTTTGACCAGTGAAGTTCTGCTCTTGGTTTCTGAGTAGAGCGAAATAGAAGTCTTCCTTGGCGGAGCAATTCTCGGAGAACAGATAGAACGGTTTCGACACCTGGGTGTCCGGAGCCAAGCTTTTCTTATTTGTCTTCCTGCTCAAACGCAACGCATTTCGCTTAATGAACAACTCGCCCTCGGGTGTAGGATCTGATCCAGAATATATGCTGATGTCGTGGTGTGCTAAAGAAATGACATGTCGAACTTCGATTTGCTCGTCGTCGTCGAATAACATGAGGTGGCCATGTCTGGGAAGTATAATATTAGCCCTCGTACTGCCGAGACCTGCATTCAGGCATAGACACAGCTAGCAACGTACCTCAATACAACGTAGAAGACGTTCCCAGCTTTCTTAGGTCGCTGGCTGACGCCTTTACTATCATCGAGTGGATTGGGAGCTGGTTTCCTATCGAATATACTTCTGTACATGGTTTGGTATACACTGGGGCTCGGCGCAGCGACGGTGGTCGATCCGACAGGGGTAGAACGTTCGATCGGTTTGGCATTGATGCCCATGGGGGTATATTCACGGCATACAGCGAAGTAGCCGGCGGCTGTGTCGGACTCGGCCAGAAGGCGCTGTTTCGAATCATCCTTCTGAGCTTCTCGGAGTGCGGTTATTTCATCGCCAGGTTGAACAATATTGTCGTCAGCATTGCTGCTGCTATTACTACTCGTTTCATCGTTGCGAACGGGGAAGGTATAGTGTGCGTGGAGCAAAACGACGACGATAAGAAGAGGGATAAAAGTGACACCACCAAGCAGGTAGGTCAAGAGAAAGCCAGTCCAGCTTATACCCATAGCTTCGGTTTACAACGGCAATAACAACGACAACGACAACGACAACGACCAGCAGCTTGCGGATCTGCGAACCTTTGCGGCGGGCGAATGTTGAAGACCATGGATATTTAATTTGCTATTTCTCTTATCTCTTTTTGGTCTGTCTGAAATTAAAAAGCGATTATGGTGTTTTATGCATTAGATCCTTAAGTAATAGGTGTCACCTACAATCTACTATGTAGGTATGGTAAAATAAAATATGTTAGATATGAATGAATAAAAATAAAAGGATTGACGCTTAAAAGAGAGCTCAAGGTGTAATGCTCACTGTTACATATAATGTAACTCGCGCGTCGGCTGAACATCGAAGCTAAAGAAGATGTACTTGTACATTTCCCATGTACGACTTAAGCTTAACGGCGGGCAAGTACATGTAACTTACGGATCGAACGTCACAGTGGACTTCCAAGTTCAATAGGAAGAGCCACGTGGGGCTTTTTGTAGGTAGCTCGCGGGGACTAATAGCCGTTATACCTACCCCTGTAGATAGCAAATTATAAGGAGATCATACTACTAGTAGTACAGAGTTGTGGCTGATTACATAGCTCAGTGCTGACTGGGAGTCACTGGACTCTGGACTTGAAGCTACCTGGTACTTAGTAAGGAGGTCCCACCCAATCATAACTTCGGATACGGCATCTTACCAGTTCCTTGGACAGAACAACATCATTCAACTTTTCTCATAGATTGGCTGATCATTAAATGAATACCTAAAAATCCAAGTCGTATGCCTTTTGAGCCAGCCATGTCTCATTTACTTAGTCATAACCCTTTTTCAAAAAAAAAAAAAAAAAAAAAAAAAAAAAAAAAAAAAAAGGAAAAAAATATTGAGGCAAATTCTCAACGGTTCCAATCCAATAATTCCATAACTCCCGAGGTCCTAATCAATACTATGTAATATGCCGATGCCGATGCCCCTTTTCTTCGTATTTCTAAACGCCTATGCTATGCTTATCCCAACAAAGACATAAGCGGTGTAATGAAAACCACCTCAGGAATATTCCTATTTGATGCACCTTTTTTTTAAGCAACCTCGTCCATCATAACACATTATTACCATTGTAATTCCTCTAGCGTAACCTCACCCTCTAGAAGCTGCTTGACCGCCGGCTCCACCACGCCTTTCTCCGCCCTATATCGCGCCGTCTGCTTCATACGTGTGTAGAACACGGGACAATCCTTGCTATCGCAGGGCACACTATCCAACGGTGACAATCCCGCGCAACTCTGGCATATCTTGGTTACATCTGTCAGTTTCCTCTCTTCACGGTTTAGCTGTGTCTGTAGCTTCAGTAACGAGGCTGGCACATTCTTTTGGCACTTCGCGCATATTGATGAGCCCTCGATATTGGCTTTTGAGCCGCAGACAACACACGCCGCTGCTTTCATATACGACTCAAGCGTCTTCTTCCCAAACATGGTTTTCCCGCCGCACGCCATCGGGTCGACGCGGTGAATTCGCTGCACTTTGGGCATTTCATCGTACCACTGGCGTATGTTGGCCCCGACCAAGTTGAAGATGCGCTCCAATGGTGGGATGAGGTTCTTAGATATGTAGTACTCCGAGTCTAGCTGTAAATGGGAGTTGCTGAGAAGATCCTCGGGCGCTACGCAGCGATCGATGAGTCGGGCTCCGGGTGCTCCCGAGACAACGACATACGGCACCCGCTCACCGTATTGCGGCTCCGCTCGAGCATCTTCGAGCATCTTCCTCGTACTGATCAAAGCGCCTGGAGGGGGTGGCCCTCGGTCACTGTAAGTTCCCAGTTTCACTTCTCTCGCAAAGGAGAAATCTTGTATCGACACGGCGCCGCGCATGATCTTTTCGCATTGCTTCTGGAAGTACGATTTTACCTGGCTAAGGTCGGCGGTCTCAAAAAGGATCTTGAGCGCCTTCTCTTCTATCATCTGTTCGGCAGGGGTTCCGTCTCTTCTGACCGTCTCAATACCCTTGGCGTCGAAATCTGGTTTGACTTGTTCCTTGCTCTCGTATTTATAGCCGACGTAACGCTTCTTTGCGAGTAGCACACACGGGTGATAGACCTTCTCAAATTTGAGCTTGACTGGCCGGGGATTCATATCCGTAACCGTTTTGGCAATCTCATTGCCGATATCGAACGCCTGGTCTTTGGTCCGGCCGGGAAGATAAATAAATAAACTGTCGGTATCTCCGTAGACAACCTCCGCCTTCCACTTCTCTACTGAATGGATTAAGGCTATTGCCCTCTCGAGCGTTTCGCGGCCAGTTTGAACAATGCTATCCGCAATTTCGGAGCAGGGCATGCGACCTGAGAATGACGCTGATGTATACCCGTATGTGACGTTTGCAAGCAGCTTGAGAGCAAGTTGCCTGTTGTTGAGGAGTTGTTGAAGAGTTTTATCGTCTTTATCTTGCTTCATCCCGCTCTTGACCATTACTCGTGTTTCCAGAATCTCCGTTAGCATCTTCGCTAACAAAGATTTCCTAACTTCCGCTTTGCAGTACATCATACCATTAGGGGATATGTTGATGTGATCTTTGAGCAATTCCAGCAGCCTTTGCTGCCGTTTATAGTCCGCAAAGCCCATCTTGTTTGTGCCACGCCAGTTAACGATACGACCGAGGAAGGTCGAATAGCAGTAATTGTATGCGATCATGACGCTAGGGTACAGGCTTTGGAAGTCAAGAACTACCAACGGGCTATTATAGAAGGCACTCCGAGGTTCCATGACCAGAGGGAGGCATTCAAGCGCATTCTGGCTCCCGACCTGCTTCCTGTCTGGGGAGACTAGCACGAAGTTTTCTGGCTTTGCAATTCTGAACATGATTGACTCGACCTTGAATTGAGATCCGCGAGAAAAGACCGAAAAGAAGTCCACGCCTAGAAGCCGGGCTTGCTCGCTAGTCCTTGGTATAAGTTCATTCGCTTCGAGGATCTCTATGTCAAGTTTCGTTCGCGTCAAGTAGTATCGAAGAAGCTTGCTCAAGTCTCGATGCTTTCCTCCAACGTACCAATCCGTCAAGGTACGCCAGGGATAATGTGGGATTCGTCGATGCAGCAAATGCCAAACCACATTCTCCATGGTGTATTGGAGCAGACCAAGTTCTCCTCGCATAGCCCGCCAGATGTTGATCATATGCCTACCGGTGACTCGAATTGTTGAAGTTGTGTTGAATCCCCATTTATCGGCTTCCTTTCCGAATCGTCCGAAGGATTGGCTCTTCATCCGAGAGAACTCATCACAAAGGTTGTAATCATATTTGAATCGTGCTCGCTCAATCAGATACCCCCAAGAACTACCATGAACTTCATATCCGGTAAGGACGTCCGGGTCGTGCGTCCTGACAATCTCGACCATCCTGACCATCAAGTCAAGTTCCGATGATTCCTCTATAATTTCGGTGAGGATTGGGACTTCCTTTTGCAGTCTCTGAGCTAAAGATCCGTCTTCGGAGAGGACAATGACACCAGACCTTACTGCTAACGACGCATCATCGCCCAAGGCGAAATGCTCATCCGACTTAGAGCACCAGAAAATGCATTGAACTTCGTCTTCCTCCGGGTTAGGAAAAAGCTTGCCCCTGGTATTGACATGTATTTCCAGGCTCATCGTACTCATATACTGTGCCTCGTGTTGAACACTGGTCGATTTCTTTTTTTGAGAGTATTTAAAGCCATGCTTGTTCTTTGGAGTGGCACCTTCAATCTGGGATAGGTATGGCTTAAGCTCAGGGTCATGAATTTTCATTGTAGGCCCTTGCAGGCTATTCATTCCCCCTCGAGATTCCATCCACCAAGTTTGCACCTCATCAAAGCTTGGTGGAGGCTCTGCAATTTCCCAACTTCTTAACGAACACTCCTGGCGCAGTTTCTCGTATAGCACCTCGTCCCTATCGGCATCATAAGGGGGCTCGGCTTTCATGCCATAATTTTCCGGGGATTCTCCAGTCATGTCAAAATCCGGTAGGAATGGAAGGGTATTTCCTTGGAGGCGAAACTCTTGGCCAGCATATTCCCGGCCTCTTTGAGGCACGTCTTTCTCATTGCTGTAGAACGCATCCTGGTATATGGCATTGGGCCGATCCAAGATTTCCATAGTTGACACAACTTCTTCAACCGAGGGTGGAGCATGATCAAATACAAAGAATTGCGCCTGGAATCGAGGGGTACAGCCAATATCGACGGGTTTCTGAACATCTCTTTTTCCCATGCTGTTTGAGGCGGAGCTATGAGACACCGACCTACCAGCGTGAGAATGCAAGTTTCGAGCAGTGCTATCTGTAAGAGTCCAAGTGGAGGTCGAGTTTCGGGAGATATCCTCTGTGGGTCCCAAAAGGCCGAATGTGACGTGCTTAGTGGATTGACTACCTTCGCTATGCTGAGAACCCGACTGCTGGCTCAATCGTAACAGTGTGCTTGGATCGTTGGGGTTCTTGACCACAGGGAATTTGAGGGTCTGGTTCACGGATTCGCTGGGTACCTTTCTTAGCCTCGAGTGCGTAGTTTTAGAATCTGTTCCTCGCGATTCTTGATCATTAGCTACTACTGCTGGCCTTCTTTCCACGCTACTTCTGCTATCAACGTTCAGAGCAGAAGCAACACGGCGGCGTTTTGTTTCTTGGTCGTCTAAGTGAGATGTGACAGGCCGCTTCGCCGCCTTGTTAAGTTTCATATGTTGAGGAGCCTTGCTGATAAGGCCTTGCTCTTTTGCGACATCTATCAGGGCTTCTGGGATTGGAATATGTTGTCGATTCCTCGTGCGTAAACAGCTAACATGGACTCCTCTGATGAGTAGTTCTGGCTCATCGATTTTATCTAATTCGTTACTCAGATTTGGAGACAAGGGTTGATCGAATCGTCGAACTGCGTCATTGTGGGTATTCTGGGTACTTTCGTCGGGTGATTTACTTGCTCTTACAGAGCTACCCCTATCTGGCTGCTTGAGACCGGGAACTTGGGCTTTATCTTGCAAGTCTAATGCGGGGACTTTTGCCTCGTCGGAGTCTTCGGGGAAAAGACCATCATCATCCTGTCCAATGTCTAGAATACGGTCGTCGTCTACTATAATGCTACTGGTTGGATTCTCATCTTCTGCAAAACGTTGACTCGCCGTGGCCAGTGCGCACTTCAGTTTATCAGGAAATAGATCCTCAACCGACTGTAACATAGTATTAACAGTTGACTCCAGCGGTATAGTTGGTACAAATGTATCAAACGTTATGTCTCTGCCGCCACATTGCCCGCGTTCTTGTTTGATTAAACCCTGGACTTGATCTCTATACTCGTCCTCGTGAATCCACCCAGGGGGTTGCGAATCACGCGGATCCGCGGACATAGACACTAATGCTTCTGGAGGAAATGGACTGCTTCCAGGAGTTCTGGCAGTCATCCTCCTTTTTCGCCGTTTTGTCTCATCTTTCCACAGTCCAGCCATACTGTGGACCAATTTCAAATCGGGGGGTAAAGGGTCCTTCTTCTCGATGAAATCGTGATGGAGCTTTCTTTCCTGAATTTCATGTCGGTTAATAATATCTTGGACACATAGATCAACCTCGATCGAACAGTGACTGGCACGAGGGAGATCAGTGTCGTCGGTAATGAATGCCTCTGAGATCGACTGGCTATGCCATATATGATGTAGTTCTGTTTCATGCTCGTATTGGGGTACTGGAGCTCTGAAACAGACTTTTTGAGTTTCGATGTACCCGCATCCGTAGAGGTTGTAATCGGTCATGAATTGCAAGAGGTACTGCAAATGCGCTTCGTGGGGCTGGAATTTCTGTTTCATTATGACCCCTTGTTGAAGTAGTTCAGCAAGCCGGGTCATAACCATAGCATTAAACATGTAAATCTTGAGGTAAAACCGGTACCCGACGTAATACCCATAGAATGGGATTCCTTTGACGAGGGTAATTCTAGCCACATATTTACTCTTCCCGTCATAAGCATTGCGACGGTAGCTCACGGCTAAGGCATGATCAATTGATAGATGAAGCCGATATATATAAGCCCCCACTAGAATAATGAGTTAGATTCATCATTCGACATGTTTTTTATAAGCGCCTTACCATCATCGGGAAGCAGGCTCCCATCGTACTCGATATATAAATACGGGAACGCGCCATGAATATGAGCGCAAACCTTTTGGCCTGTTTCTGTTGACCCAAAGACTCGTATAACTGGAACTCTAGGTTCTTTGCTCAATTGAGAAGGATGGACATCATTGCGAAGTTGAGGGTCATAAATCGTAGGAATAGCTTGGTAATGATCTATGCAGTTCAATCGCACGCGGAAGACGTCCATGGCGTTTTACACATGGCAACGCCGACGCACATTGAAAATGCATTGAAACCAAAACGCCGTGCAGGACTAGTGGAATATGAATATTACATGTCAGAAAAACAAGGGTTTGATTTCGTGCATCATCCGTGATATCCTTGTTGCGCAAGTGGCAGGTATCCAATGATCAGGCAGACGCGTTGAGTGAAAGATGAATGTGGAGCTTTGATCATCACTGCGCGCGATGTCAGGTGTATTATGTAGATCTGACGCGTTTATCGATAAGGAAACCACCAACAATCTTACATAATATTCAAGCCACGAATTAAAGTTCAAGTCCTATTTACATACATACAGTACACAGCCACATATACGATAAGATTCAGCAGACATCGAACTTGGGAATCCTTGAATCTTCAACTCTTATTCAGCACCCCTTGTTCTAAGTACCCGAGAAAGGCCAACTACCACCAGGACAATCAACCTATATACCCTTCGTCCTCTTGAGCCATCCCACCGCCTACTGAAGCCATCAAGTAGACAGACCAGACCAAATGCCTCCGCCGCCACCACCGCCGTCAAGGCGAAACGACTCCAAGGCCTCAGCCGCCTCCAAGGAAGAAAACATCTACATCCCCTCATTCATCAGCAAACGGCCGTTCTACGCCGGCGAGGAAGGAGACCAAACAGACTACCTACAACATCAACGTCTACACAAGGCCAACGACGACCAATCAAAATGGTACGACAGGGGCAAGAAGCTCGGGCCGGCCGCGACCAAGTACCGGAAAGGGGCCTGCGAGAACTGCGGCGCAATGACCCACAAGGCGAAGGACTGCCTCAACCGGCCACGCGCGAAGGGTGCCAAATGGACCGGCCGGGACATACAAGCGGACGAGGTGATCCAGGACGTGCAGCTGGGCTGGGACGCGAAGCGCGATCGGTGGAACGGCTACGATCCCAAGGAGTACCGCACCGTCGTCGAGCGGTACAACCAGATGGACGAGCTGCGGAGCCTAGTCTCCGGGGCAAACAAAGACGGCAGCAAGGAGGACATCGACGGCGAGGACGGAGAAGGCGATAAGGACACGGGCGAGAAGTACGCCGAGGAATCCGACATGGGGCGACACCAGAGCACCGCGACCCGCCAACTCCGCATACGCGAGGACACGGCCAAGTACCTGCTGAACCTCGACCTCGAGTCCGCCAAATACGACCCCAAGACACGAACCATGGTCGACGCCGGCGCGACCGCCGACAAAGCCGCGCAGCTCTTCGCCGAGGAAGGCTTCCTGCGCGCCGCCGGCGACGCCGCCGAGTTCGAGAAGGCGCAGAGCTACGCGTGGGAGGCGCAGGAGAAGAGCGGCGACACGCGGCAGCACATCCAAGCGAACCCGACGGCGGGAGAGTTCTACCGCAAGAAGGAGCGCGAGGACGCCGAGAAGAAGCGCGCCGACCGCATCAAGGCCCTGCAGGACAAATACGGCGCCGGCGACGCTGCCCTCACCACCACCATGCCCGCCGCCCTCCGCGAAGCCGCCGCCATCGTCACGGAATCAGAACACTTCGTCGAGTACGACGAGGCCACGGGCCTCATCAAGGGCGCCCCCAAGGTCATCGCCAAGTCCAAGTACGACGAGGACGTCCACGTCAACAACCACACCTCCGTCTGGGGCAGCTGGTGGTCCAACTTCCGCTGGGGCTACGCCTGCTGTCACTCTTTTATCAAGAACAGCTACTGCACGGGCGAGGAAGGAAAGGAGGCTTGGGAGGCCGCTGAGAAGCAGAGAATGGGTACTAATTTGATCGAAGAGGGCACATCATCGGCCCGGGAGGAAGAGGAGCAGCAGGTTGAGGCTGATGAGGATGATAAGGAAGTTCAAGCGAAGAAACAGCAAGCGAGTAAAAAACGCACGATGGAGGATATGATGGGTGGTATTTCCGAGGCGGATTTAGACGAGTATCGCAAGAAGCGGGCAGTAGCAGATGATCCTATGGCAAAGTTCCTGGGGAGTGAAGAGCTACTACGGTAGTATTGGCCCATTGTAGTCAGGTCAGAAATTACATAATACATCGAGTATTTCAATTACAGCTTAACTCGGTACATGTCACTCGGAACAAGAAGTGGTGGTAGAAGTTCGTCATGCATTCCGTTAACCGTGGCCTAACGCCTTTGAGGTATGAATCTAAGTTTTCATAGTCTCTCAATGTAATCCGTTTTCCCCACCGCCTGATTATCCACAGGCTTTCATTTTAGAGTATGCACCCTTTACTCTTCCTCCTCCTCCTCGTCACCGTCATCCTTCTTCTCGGCGGCCTTGGCCTTCTTTCTGCGGACACGACCAGGTTTGCCACCACCGAATGGCGAGGTCAGGGAGAAGTCAATGTGCTTCTGGGAGTCGAGACGGACGATGAAAGACGGAACGTTAACGATCTGCTTTCCGACGCGGATGTGGCGCTGGCGGATAAGGACACGGGCGTGGTGGATGGACTTGGCAAGACCCAGCTTGTAAACACAGGTCTGGAGGCGGCGCTCCAAGAAATCCTCAACCTTAAGGGCAAGAACGTAATCGAGCTTCATGCGAGACTCGTCGAGCACACCGACACGGACGAGACGGCGAATGAGGGCATTGCCTTCGAATAGACGCTTGGGGTCCTTCTCGTCAAGGGTAAGAAGCTGACTGTAATCATGAAAATACATTAGTTTTGATGATCAAGAGTAGATATAGGGTTAGACAGAGGAATAAATGGATAACATACCGGGCAGCACGACGAATCTTGGACAAGGTGAGCATGACACGCCACACCTCACGCTTGTTGCGTAGACCATACTCTCCTACGAGCTTAAGTTCGGAATCACTATTTGGACGACCAGGTCAGTTTATATTCTCACAATCGACTTGGGCAGAGACAAGCTCATGCTCAGTGGCCGGTGATTACTGACAGACGGGCGGCCTCGAAGGGACGGGTGGGGACCTTTGCGGTCTTGGAATAAGACAAAGGAGCCATGGTTGCGACTCTCTTCGATTATGTTGTCGAAGAAAAATTGAGGGAGAGTCGGAGAAGATTGAGGGTTGTCGTGAAGTTCACAAAGTAAGAAATGCGAACTGGAAAAAGGTTGGAGAGTTGGACGAAGAAAAGATTAAGGTGAAGTGGATTTGTGGAGTGGAGTAGGGCAAGAATGCCACTAAACTGAATTGAGATGATAGTGCCCCTCGCTTAATTAGTAACTTAATTGGCAATAGGTTAGTTTTTACAATAAGATATGTAGCAAGTGGGGGATGCACTTAGGTAAGCCTTTTTCTCCAAGTGCACACAACCTTGTGACCAAAAGCCCCGAAAAAATTCACTAAGCGAATTTCTCGAGAAGCCGACAATCGAAGAAAAGAACTGAGAGAGAGAAACAATAACATCACTTTTTCCAACAGTCAGGTTCATTTCTCTCTTTCACTAACCACACAACACCGACAAGATGGGTCACGCCGCAGGTCTCCGTGCCGGCACTCGCGTACGTTTTATCTTCAATCTCGATTAATCCTTTATATATCCATTGGTATCAAGAGTCGCTAACATCTGTTGCAGTATGCCTTCTCCAGGAACTTCCGCCAGAAGGGTCAGATTCACCTTTCCACATACCTTCAACAATACAAGTATGCTCCGAACTGCGATATCTCAAATTGGATAAAATAATTGACCAGTGGTTAGGGTTGGCGACATCGTTGACATCAAGGCAAATGGTGCTGTCCAGAAGGGGTAAGGCAAACTCCAATTCGAAGCAAAGCAATACCGAACCGAATCCAGACAGACAGACGAATGAAATGGCTGCGAATTCTGGCGAGGGGCTCGCTTCTTCGTATTGATTCGAGGCTAACTAGGAACTCAATAGTATGCCTCACAAGGTCTACCACGGCAAGACCGGTGTCGTCTACAACGTCACCAAGAGCGCCGTCGGCGTCATCATCTACAAGAAGGTGAAGCACCGCTACATCGAGAAGCGAATCAACCTCCGCCTCGAGCACATCAGCCGATCCCGATCAAGAGAGGATTTCCTTAAGCGCGTTATCAAGAACGCCGCCCTTAAGAAGCAGGCCAAGGCTGATGGCACCACCGTCACCGTCAAGCGACAAGCAGACCTACCCCGTGACGCCCGAACTGTGTCCATGAAGGACAACCGCCCCGAGACTATCGCTCCTATTGCGTACGAGACTACCATCTAAAGGAAAGAAAGATGGAGGTCGAAGGGATGTGGTTGGTGTTTCTGGGTTCTCTGCCGGTTGCTCTTTTCTCATTGCATTAGGGGTTTTTCGCGAATGGACAGGAATCTCCATCTTTTGTTCATGGCAAGGCATGGAATGGACATAGGTGATGCCTAGAGGAATGACAAAAATATACCAAATGACAGACGTTTATCTGGATTCGTGACAGTGTGTTACCTTACTAATCTAGCTCCTACTTGAGTGTAAACCGTGCCGAGCTTGGGAGGTCCAAAGCCATCCAGCTTGCAGAAAATACAGGTTCACCACTTGCTAGATACATAGGTAATAGGCCGGTAATCGATATATGATATCGCCAGAGCCACTCTCGCCTCTGTCTCGTTTGATTCTGCTCCTGATATGCTGCAAAATCGGCGGCAAAGACCAATCAACACCAGGACGACGGTTGTCAGCATTGATATCAATCATCCTCCAATGGTGCTGGTTCTGTCGCCGATACATTTCAACCCATATTCACCACAGTCATGGGGCTATCCCATCCCTTGGCCAGGCTTCTAGCAGCAATGCCAGTATTTCAGCTACTGGTTAGGAAATACCTACAGCCACGTGTACTTGGTGGCCATCGAAGCAGCAACCATTCAACACGCTGGAAAGTTCCTCCTAACCTAGGTAAATATATACGAGCCCGTCTACTTCAAGCTTTATTCAAATGCTGGATGTCGATTTCTCGCATGTCCAGGTGGGCTTGTCTTATTATGCCGAGGAGTTTGATAGTAGTCGTGAGCCCTTGAAGGGGTAAGGGGGGGGGGGGGGGAGTTAGGGGTTACGAGAGGGCAGTATTGGTATGGTACTGTAGACTGTAGGTAGACCTATGCTTCTCAGGGTCCATAGGTGTAAGAAATAGGAGTGCCTGTTTATGGTATCTGTTCAAGGTGTGGGATACTAGGTGCCTAGGTTAGGTATGTAGGTATGCCTACGATTTGTCCGGCGCTTAGTTTCGATGTTTATATACCTACGTGCTTATTCCTAACCTTGGAACAGATGAGGTTGTATGGCCTACTATACCCCAGGTACATAGTACGAAATGATTCGAGTGATAATGCGCGATGGCCGTAGTAGGTAGGCTTCGCATCAAGGGCGTTTCATGAGAGTCGGCTTCTGAGGGCGGCGGGAAAGGGGTTGTATCTAGGTTACCCGAGTATCTATCTACTTACTTACTGGAGAGGCAGGTAGGTAAATCGCACATCCAGGTGTAAACGAATGCCGTAGGCAGTCCACGGGTAGAAATATTAACGAAGTTAACCTGAACGAAGCTGTTGATAGCCTACCTATATGAGATGCTTGGCAGCAATCCACATGCAACTCCCTCCTCCCTTTACACCACACACTTACACTGCTTCCTTACTATGCCAATCAGCTTGAATATCACAGGCTTCACTACTCCATACCCTGTTCCATCAGAGCAATATCTACAGAGACAGTCATCTAACGATACCTATCTACACCAACTGTACGAAAGCATCCATCCCGCTTCCCATTTCCTTTCCCCTTCTCTCCTCATCCAAAAATCGAGCGAACGGCTCCTACGATATTCGGTACCGGGTAAAGAGCCATACATAGGTACCTACATAGGAATCTACCAGGTAATGTATATCCCGCCCCCAAGTTCTTGTATAGAAAGCCAAGTTAGCAACTACCTAGGTATTCATCGAGCAGACAGCTAGCTATCTGGGTCCTTGGAGTATCTACCCTTGGTACCTACCTAGGTAGTTAGGTAGTTAGGTAGTTAGCCATTGCCACAGCCCCATTCCAAGCAAATCATCGAGAACAAGCAAACCCTACACACGGATGTGTATACTCTACCATCTTCTCCGGACGTTAGGATAGAAAAGGTAAGTTAGTTGGAACTTCTTAGTGTTTAATTACGGACTAGGTCAGCCAAGCCAGCAATACCTTAACCTAACATAGGAGCTTATAAGTAGAAGTGCCCCTATCAGCTCACAATAGATAGGTATTCTTAAGAATTATTCTTTACGCCCTATAATCGTATGATAGAATGAATGAATGAATGAATGAACATTACCTCAAGCTGGTATAAGCATACACTGTCATTACCTTCTACTACTTACATGAGCAGTACTATCAGTCTCACCATGTCACCACATTACACACATAGGCAAGCCTAGACCATTCATTACACTACCTACTCAACAACCCCCATACTCCCGCACACCAGTTCACACTTCATAGCTCACGCGATTTCCCATGCTGCATCAATCAAAAGTTACAGCACCTAGGGCAAAGGTAGTTAATAGGTAGGTTAGATAAGGTATCATAGCTTTTAATTGACACTTCCAAAAAAAAAAGAACCTAAGTCTTGATGATACGAGACCCTCTCTCTCTCTCTTTTCCTCCTTGCCTTTTTCTTCATTTTCCTCTCCTCTGCTATCCTTCATAAACTGGGAACATGCGTTCTGGGATATCCGGAAAGTACTTAAGAAGTAACAGCAAGACCAAAAAAAATAAAAAACGAGAATCCTAACATTTGCATAGGTATGTGGGTAAAGTAGAATATGAGTCAACAAGTGGTGATCCATAAGTTTCCCATTGCGTGCCAGCAATCGCCTGAGTAACTGCATTGAGAATTGTAAGAAGAAGAAAAAAGCATCATACAAAGGAAGTGATTGGTGGACATGACACCATTAATGTGACCTTTAGCCAAGTGTCCTGGATGTGGGTGAGAGTCATTATCGATCGAACCAGAAGGGGAATTAATTGTGTGATACCCCAAACCCAGCATCAACGCCCATGGAGCCTTTCCTTGCTTCACTTCAGCTGGCCAGAGAACAATGTCGTGGTATATGAGAAAATAAAATAAAAACGCATTTGGGAGGGTATGCTACGACGACCATCAAACCACAGAGGTCATCGAGTGCTCAACAAGCATGCAGACATAACTCGTCCGCCAATTCCTAATCATCATGTTCACCCCTATCGACGTCGGCTTGGAGGCTGTCGATGCTTGAGGCGACTCGTTCTCCAGCCTTCGTACCAGTTTTCTCTGCTGACTTCGCGCAACTCGCCACGCCACTCGTTAAACACGGCATCCTTTAGTCGAGTAAAGTCGCAGTGCTCCGCATCGTACGGGTCTGCAAAACCCCAAGGAAACTTGCGACCAACAACACCCGGCTCGTAGATATCGGGGCTGATTATGGACATTGGGATGAAGGGAATTTCGTCGGTCTCCTCCTGTGAAGGCTTGGATTGTCGGGTAGAATTGTTTGAGCGACGCTTCAAGGTTGGGGAGGCCCGACCTTGGATAGGAAGATCATTCTCGTCGTCTTCATCAGGTGAAGGGCTATCGTCATCTATAATAGCAGATTCCTCGTCGTCCTTGCTCCGTTTTGACTTAACCGCAGCCTCGCCTGCCTCATCCTCCTCGTCTTCTTCTTCGTCGGCTTCATCAATCCTGCTAGAATTCGGGGTGGCCTCATCATCTTCGTCTAATCCTAATACCTCGAGAGGATCAAAGTTGGCTTTCTTCAGGCTATCCCACACGGTCTTCTTTAGGACGGCCATATGTGCGGTAGTGATAGTGTCGGCCTTCGAGATGACCGGGATTACTGTGGTCTTGCCCTGAAGAGTTCGCATGACCTGTAGGTCAAGGTCTTCGTCTAGGCCACCCACCACGCGACCAATGTCTTGGGGGTATTTGCCATTACGGCCATTGGCGGAAGCGGCCTTGGCAGCAGATATATTGCGGTCCAGACGAGCAGGATCCAGGATGAGGAAGACTGCGTGAATGTGCGTATCCTGTACGCCTGGAGATCGAATTACCTTCATCTCTTCAGCAAAAGTCTCTTCGAATTTGCTCTCCAGGAAGGTCGACATCTCTCTCAACTGCAGATCCACCACGTTCTTCTCAAGACCTTCCGAGTCCCATAGGGTCAATCCGATTCGCTCGCCGTCGATTTCACTTTCCAGGTAGTGCGGTATAAAATTACCTGAGGGAGTTGCATCGCTGACCTCTTGTTCGATTTCGGTTGATCGTTGAGATCGCTTCTTGGCCGGTAGAGCCAAGGCGGTCTTGAGGAATTCGAGGAATGAGGTCTTTCCAGATCCTCGAGTGCCTACAATAAGGACGCTACAAATTTGACAGTAAGCATGAGTAAGAAAACATGAGGCAAGAGAAGAGAAAAACATACTTGAAAGGAGTAGGATCCTTCCTCCTGCGAACCCTTCTTGGGCTGTTGATAGTGCTAACAGCACTGCTAGCATAGCTATAGCGGCCACGGTGCGTCATGCTCTCGGTACGGGCGTAGGGATCAACCCAGGCACCGTTGTTCGGAACCGGAGGCACGGGAGGACCGGCTACAGTAGAAGACATGGAATGACGACCGGGGTCGATGGATGCTCTAGGCGGATAACGGTGAAAAGAGTGATCGGCTGTTCCAGAAACGATGGCGAAAGAATCGGGACGAGTATCGCCTCCAAAACTTTGTAGCGGGGAGGGTTGGTCACCATTGTAGAGGGCGGGAAGACGAGGGGGGGATTTAGGTACAGTTTCCCTTTGCTGATCCTTATGATGCTTCCTTCCCCCCTTGCCAAGATCACCCGATTTGCTGCGTCGTAACAACATCCCGAAGCTTGATCTACGAGGAGGTTCGCTCATAGTTTGGTCCTTCCTTATGTTGGCATGAACTCAAATACCCAAGGGCAGATGGGTACCTTTGTATTGATTGTAATTTGCAACTGGGTAATTGAGTACTGGGTACTGGGTACTGGGTACTGGTACGTGTTGCGCACGCGTGTATTATGTAGGTTGCTTCGTATGGTACCAGGTACTAGCCAGTAACAGTAAACCGTTTGTTTGAAAAAGTTCGAATGACGACGAAACGTTGGCTGACTAGGATCAATGTACCCTTTGTATGGGAAACACGTAGAACAGGTACCGCGATTGAAGGATTTATAGTTTTAAAAGAAAGTTCGGACTACGAAGCCGATATTTCTTGATTCGTTGTTTATATTTCCCAAGTACTTCCCCGGAAAGTGCAATCGCAGCAATTATGGGAAGGAAGGCGGATAAGCGAATGAAAAGAACGATGCGTTTGGTTATGGGGAAAAGACGTGGCCGCCTATCTCGTATTCGATCTATCCACTGTGGTGAGATCCTGTTTGTAGGGTAGGGAAGGTAGATCCGAGGTGATGGGTTTTTGTTTTTGTTTTTGTTTTTTTTTTCTTTTGATTTTTGGAGATGCGCACCTATTTGAGAGATGGGGATGACGTTTAGTGGTGTGTTCTAACTTTTGCTTCCAGTACCAAATGGGGTTGCTTCGTAAAAGAAGGGTTGATAGGTGTTGGTATCGTATCTCAACCTTCAATGGCTTCTGCCAGATAAAGATGTAAAAAAAAGAGAAATGGTATAAAACCAAACGAGTAGGACGCTCAACGTAGGTAGAGAACGTAAGAGTAATTCAAGATTACCTAGAATTTGTATAAATCAAAAAAGGTTAGCTAACTGTTCGCGTGGTGTTGTGATGATGTGATGATAAAAAGTAAATTCGAGTTCTTGCAAACGCCGACAAGGAAGTATCGCGACTGCACTTGGCTCCCAATATCTGAATAAAACATTTAAATAAAGAAAAGCTGTGAATGCTATTCATCTCCTCCTTTAGAGTTTATCATAAAGGCCTTTGGAGAAAGACGGAAACTGGGGTAAAGAAAGGGGGACCAAGGGAGCTCCCGCGTCTTTAACCAACAAGCTTTGAGCCCACCCTCATCCTCCTTCCTTCTTCCTCGTTTGTGTCGGCGGTATGGACATAGAACGGATTGGAGTTCACCTGTAGTGGGTACCTTCTCAGAAGGTATTACGCAAATCAAGCACGAGAACAGGTCCTAACAGAACGGTGATAAACCAATCGAAGGAGGACTCCTCTGATCTACCTGCTTGCAGGAACTTGGAAGCGCGCAACCAATCGAGATGGCACCACCTATAAACCGCTCGTACCCAAGTGCCGAACTGTACAAAGTTTGAATGGAAAGAGCCTGGAGTAACTGGACAAAACGCGACACTGGGAAAGATACAATCAATGTAAGAAAATAAACAACTAACCTCAAGAGAATGTAAATGACTGTTGGAATCAAAAAGTGGTCAGTTCGCGATAGCGCACTGGAACAGATCTTGGATGGAAAGACGTGCGTTTAGGTAGTTCGTGGGGGATGTGGTTTAATGGGTGCTTCAATGTTGCAAAATTGGGGCGGGCGATGTAGTGTAGATTAAGGTATGTACTAATCATGTACGTGAATGAGAAAAAAAAAGGGTCTTTGCGCCTGTGCTTGGAAATGGAACCACTGCTCTGTTAAAGATTGGTCGTTGTTAGGGGTGAAATTCGTACTGTAGAAATTGAGGATCCGGGGGATTTCTTTTTTACATGTAACAATGGAATCGAGATGTTTTGAAATGCTTAGAAGGATGGAACTTAGTTAATGACACCTTCTAGAAAATAAACATCAAATTTTTAAAGTGACAACTTAAGAATGCCTAAGGTATAATACAACATGTTCACAGCGCATTGTCTAAACACACGAGTGCGAATGGTCAGGGCTTGTGAGATCAAGAAATCAGAAAATCAGAAGATAAAATCACCAAAGCATCACGAATACGTACCTAGATAACTAGGATGAGCTAGGTAGAAACCCCAAATTTGGTTTCCTTGGTTCAGGGCCAGAAAAAAAAAGGGGAAGAGACTCTGGACCTATCAGCCTATCAACCTACCAACATTGCAGTACATATTAGTACCAAGTGCCGCTACCAAGTACCAAGTACAGGCAAGAACACCCATGCTGAGTTTGATCGTTTCAAGTCAAATTTCCGTTGATGATTGGGCTGGCCGGAGAAGCCCAAGCAGGCCTAGTTGGTGCTAGGTTTCGGGGTCAAAGTGATACAAAAATATCCCGACGGCCTGGCTGCATGGTGGACCACTGGACCTACACTACATTGCGCTAGGGAGTACGAAGCTCTTTGCCTACTGTAATTGGTTAGTGTCAATTTACAATACATGTTAATAACGCTCTCTGCACTAACTCTACGCTAGCCAACTCAATGTTAGTCGAGTGCCTTACAATAACTGATGTTTAACTTCTTTACGACAACAAACATTCATTCCTGAATATGCACATAATGATATATAGGTAGGCTGATTGGATACAGGGGTACCAACATTAGCTCATATTAATGATCTTTACCTACGCGATACACATGAAGTTATATATAAGTTACAGCAAATCATGTACAACATTGAGAATCACACAACGTGCTATTTACTATGAATAGATTTCTCCATCTTATGATCTGTTGACTAACTAACATCTGTACTAACCTAGCCAGCAACCAGCCCAGCTCAAGTTCCCGCGTTGGAAATAAAATCTCCACGCTTCGCTCCACGTGCTTGTCCAACTAGCGAATTCCTTGCAGCGTCTACAGACATACCGACTTGACTGTCTGACACTGTCTCAACCCACACAAATATCTTACATACTGCCAGGTGGACTACATACATACTTGACTACATACCTACATTGTATCAGACGCATGTCTCGGCAAGCGGCATTTAACACTATATTATCTTCTCACCAGTATATGCTTCATTCCGCTCAAAACCACTCTAAACACCTTACAGTGTACACACACACACATATATATACACCTACGCACATATACCTACCAAAAAAAAACCTTGGCACTTGCGCAGATGGCCGGATAGCCGCTCTCGCCAACCAATAGCCAACCGACCGCAATCTATCTCAGGCATCCCAAGTATAAGCGCCGTGAAGTTGGGTATACCGTTTCCAGTCAACCACATGAATGATGATGATGATGATGATGCAACATCTGGATTGCTTTTTAGTACCCGTAGGATACGTAGGTGGGTATGCATGTGAGTACTACGACATTGCACCCGATGTGTATCGATTATTCCACCAACAACAGCGCTTCTTAGATGTTTGTCCAAAAAGCAAAAAAGAAAAAAAAAGAAAGAAAGAAAAGGCACTGGAAGTCGAGCAGGAAAGTAAAGTTGCATGTGTATTGGTATTTGTTGGAGGGGGTCCATATCTACATCTATTAGTACAGGTTGACTTTTGAAGTTTCTATATGCCTTGCTTGCCATCTACCCTACCCATCTATGCATATTTTTATGATGACTACCATGTGTTGTTTTATACAGTCCATTCCAGTCCATTCCAAGCCAATCCAGTCCAGTCCAAATGTGAGCCTTTCTATGTAGATATCCAAGAGATTTCAGATTTCTTCAGCCCTCGAAAACCTCGTGCTGCAGCTCAACGCCGAAATCCTTGGCCATATCCTTCATCCTGGCTTCCACCTCGTCTTCCATGCCCCCTCCCCACCCGAGCAGCTGCCGGATCTTGAAGGTGTAGAATGCCACGTCCGTGGCGAGCAGAACCGTCTTAAACAGGAAGTGTCGCCACATGTTCGCCATGCGCTCTCGCCACGGTAGGTTCGGGTCCTGGAATAGACTTAGACTCGCCCAGTTGCCCATCATCTTGACTCGGTTGACGGGCGATCCCATGAATTGGTTGTTCCCCTAGTAGGTAGTGCGTAAGTGGCTTGATCTACATGAATGTGAAATGAAGTCATGAAGAGATATACATACCTGCACGATGCGCATATTGCGGCCGATGAAGATGAGTTCTTGCGGCCACTTGTCCTCGTCTGACAGAATCTCACGGATGCCCTGCTTCATCCGCTGCTGAGCCTCGAAATGCCTTTCCGCTGGCGTCTTGCCATTAAGCTCCTTCATGATATGGCCCTTCGTAGTTCCATCGCCTCCCTCGTAGGGGCGTAGGAGTGTTGCGCTCGCAAACAAATCGGGTGCTCTGATACCCCATTCTCTCGTGATATCGGCTATCGTGTCGTTGTCGAACGTCAATAACGATTTCCAGAATAGAGCGTATTGGTGTCGGAACTTTTGAGACATGTAAACGTATAAGCCGTGATCAATTAGTACCAGTTCGGCCTTCCCTGAAGGTTGACGTCTGATGAAGATGTTTCCGGGATGTGGATCGCAGTGTACGACTCCCCATTTGAAGATTTCTGTAGTTTAAAATTAGTCTCCTTATAATTCACGAGGCCTTTGTTCCTATAATATTCGATACTTACTATCCACAAGTTAGCATAGATCCAAAGTTGGGAAGAAACGGAGATGCCGTATTCCAGGGGGCAATCCAAGCCTACCGAGCTGAAAATAGATCTACCATCGTAGTCATGACCTCCTTGCCCGACAACCCGAGGCCACCCTTGCCGTTCCGACCTTTCCAGGTATCTCGATCTGGCTTCAGTTTTTCTCTCAGGGGGTTCTCCCGCAACTCTCGCCGCGCAGCCTCCCAGTCCTCGCGACCGAACTGGAGCTGGGCACCATGGACACCGGGGGAACCAACACCCGAACCTCCCAACCAACGACCACCTGTTGCAGATTTATCCCAAAGCCGGACGCCTTCGATCCATTCGGTAACCAGAACTCTCCTGGTTGTGAACTCCGGGTAGATCTTAGGGACGTACACTCTACCCTTAAGGCTGGGCTCCGAGTTGACAAGTTGGCGCATGACCTCCGAATTCCTCGCCTCGGACTCAAAGTCCGTCTCGAGTAGAAGCCGTTCCGTGATGAACGGAACCAAGCTGTACAGTGGTAGATCGAACCACCACGTATAGATCCGCGTCACCACCCTAACTCAAGATATCAGCACAACTTTGTGTACTGCCTACACTTGGCAGACCCCACACCGAAAAAAAGGAACTCACTTGAAGGCCCATAGATCCCAACCTACCTGCTTGGCGATCTCGGGCTTCTGCAGCTTGATCGCGACCTCCCTCCCATCCGCCAGCCTCGCCCAATGCACCTGAGCGACACTCGCACTCGCCCTGGCCCTTCGTTCCATCAACCCTTTCCCCTCCTCGCCCGTAAAACTAACCCCGAAGACCTCCTCAACGCTCTTACCACCAAAATCCTTGCGAACAACCTTCTCCACATCCCTCCACTCATCCTGGGGCGCATCGTCGAACATGCGCGCGAACATCTTCTGGAACTGCGGCGGCAGCACGGCGCTCTGCATGGCGATGGCCTGGCCGATCTTGAGGTAAAGCCCGCCGTTGGCGCGCAGCAGGTCGAACAGCCGTTCCGCCGAGCGCATGTGCAGGTCCTCGATCGACCCGCCCACCAGCGGCACCGGCCGGAAGTTCACCTTGTAGTCGAGCGCCACGAACAGGCCCGTCGCGAACGTCCGCAGCGACCGCAGCACCCCCGACGCGAACACCTGCTGGTCCGCCGCGTACCCGGCCCCCGCGACCGCCGAGAGGATCAGCAGCCGCCGCCCCCACTTGCGCGTCCGTCGGTACTCGCGCGGGGGCGCGGGCTTGCCGAGGGAGGAGGGGGTGGGCGGGCGGAGGGGCTCGAAGGCGCCTTGCGTTTGGATGGAGCGTGCTTGGCGGGCTGCTGGCCATTGGTGCTGGTGGAGGAGGCGGCGGCTGGAGAAACGGAGGGGGTTTCGAGTCGCGTGCGCTGTGCTGCGTGCCACATCTTGAGACTCGAGGGCTTGCCGCGGGGCTGCTTGGCGGGCACAGAGTCTGGCTGCGCTGTTGCGGAACATGATCGTTTGTTCGCCTTGGGTGCGCGCGGCGAGTAGCCTACCTAGCACCGCACCTACTTACCTAGACACCTGCTTATGTACTTTACTACCTACTGAGTAGTAGTACGCAAAAGGTGGAAGACAAAGCTTCCGTCCTCTGGCGGTACATGTAGTGTAGTTTTTGCTTTTGAGTTGTTTACCCTTTTGACTTAGTAAAAGTGTTCAAACTACGAAGATGAGGGTATCTCCATGGGAGTTGCAGGTAGGCAGACAGATATGAAGTTATGTATCTACCTAAAATAAAAAAAGGCGATAAGTGCGATCAATGACGAAAGAATATGTGCCTAGACTTGCTTACTTGCTTATCTGTAGATCTTATCTCCGTGTGTACATATCCGAGTCTAATGATGGGGGGCTACCGATCATTCGGGTCTTCGTAAGACCGTCGGAGCCGATTCTATTCTTTGTCATCATTTGATATTTAGATGTCTGCCTATTATTTAGTTTTTTTTAGTTTCATTCATCCAATTCTACTATGTACATACATGTAGATTCCAATGTTTATGATATGATGTTGTTCTACACTTATACAGGTGGTTTATTGTATAACCAATACTACCACCATGTAAGTACTACTAATAGTAGGTAGATTGATTGGATTCGATTCACAACGGATACCTACTTAACTCGCTATGATCATTGAGCCGCCTTATGCATCAAAATTACATGGTCAGAATTCCGAATTAGAACGAACACATCTAGAACATTTCCAAACAATCCATTTTCAACAATTTGCATAAGAACCTCCTCTTAAAAGAGTATCTCTCCCAAGCCCGCTTAAATGCCATCCCTGCAATTTGCGGCTCTGCATCAGAATAACTGAAGCTCTCCATACTTATTGCCAGGTAGTATTGATGCCGATCATCTGTTTGGTCCGGGGTCTTTTCAAGTTTGAGACTGCTTACGCATGATCGGACGCGCACCGCTCGCTGGAGCGTTAACTAACAAATTTCATGCTCGAATCAGAAAGCAAAGCCCAACCTCGAAACGATTGCCCGCTAATATGTAGCTCCCTGGACTAAAAGGCTTCTAGTTCGCTGGAAACTCCCGCGCTCTTGGACAATTGAGATCACATTGGCATCTCCATCATTTTGGGGAACGGCGCTGGGAGTCTGTGACTGATGGGCAACGAGATCAACTACCCGGGTAAGTTGTATCGCTGATCAGATGAGTAAGATGGACGTGAACGTTTGGTGCTTCAGATTTCACAAACAAGAACATGTGGTGATTGGACATCTTGGGAAGGATTTTCTTGAGATCTACTGGTATTAGCTGGTATAAGCCAGGTGCTTACACCAAACATGGGCTTAAAATTAGTCTATGCTCCTTACCTGACACCCAGCAGTAGAGGAGGAACACAACCAAGTTGAACCAACCACTTACAAAATTCAACATGTATTGCAAATACTAGGCGTAGGGAGGTAAATACTATGATTGTTTTCGCAGCTCGGGCCAATTATACGGACTTTGATGTCCATCTGTGTCACAAACGCCCGTACTATGTAAGCCGTGGACATCAGTTTCAATTTTATTAAATATAACTACTCATCTTTTGGCGGCGTAGCTGGGCCACATCTTTGGTGGACTGTTACACCGAGTATTCCCTCTGCTTACCGACATGGAAATTAATTAGGTAACAATTGGGTGATTATCAAGCCTGAGAACATCCAAGACACCGCAAGACACCGCAAGACACCGCAAGACACCGTTGGGCTCTCGGTACTTAGGTAAGCATCGTGTCCAAAAGCAGTGATACTGAGCATTGGGGGTTGGGTGTTGTGATGGTAAATCGTTCAGTATTATATAATTATCTCATTGCGGTGTATGATCATTGACGTCGATGGCTCGGTTTCTGCTGTGCCGACCGCGTCCTTCGATTGTCACAGGATAACACACAATGTAACGCAACACACCACCAAATTAGCAGATAGTTATCTGGATATCTGCAGGAGAGAACTCCGGTTAAGCGTTCCCCCGAAGGCCACAGCAGGTATGCTCCCACGGTAGATCCCGTGATATTTCAACTTTAGGCTATCTGGAAAGCTGCTGTAGTTCGGCTTTTTTTTAAGTTACGGGTAAGCTGCCAGCTCATATGAATCAATAAAAAGTGCAGCAATGTGAGCCGCTCAGGTAGCCTTATTCCGACGTACAAGAGCTTGAATATTCGGCCGTGGCTCGTCTTTGTCACTCGTTACCCGTACCAAGGCGGAACTGTATCCCGGGCCCCTCATATCGTAGTATCACGTCATGAACTCTCCTCATGGCTCAAGATGATGATTGGACCATCATCTGACCTAGGCTGTATGTCTCTCTCACCTCTCTGATAACCAACCTCGGAACATACCATTATGACCATTGATATTAGTAACAATTCATATAGCATGTACATCACTATAATGAACTTTGAAGACCTAACAGATTCATGTTGATTGCGTTGTCGTGGACTCGTGGATATGAGAGGCGTACTTACGTAGTGGCGCTGTGCCTTGTCGTATACCTATCTACCTTACATAGTAACAGGGGCATCTCAAGTTTTTTCTCTGCTAATCTCGGACCTTTATTTGCAGCGTGTCGCCCTAAGATTTTGCGCCGAATTCTTTGCGCGGTGGGGGGGATTCCTGCATGCGCTACTGTAGAACTCGGTCATCCTTCTCGGTGTACGTGGTGCGTTGTGCATGTGCTCTGGAAGCGAAGATCCAAGGTTTAGGTACAGATTCGATGTAGTTTAGTTAACTGGGGGATAGAAATATTATCTACATGTAGGTAAGTATGTTTATAAGAAGCCCTGGAGTTCAATATAAAAATTGAAGATGATTTCAGGTTTTACTAACTATGTACAAATGTAGATTTTAAATCGATCAGTGATGGATGTCTTGACTTCAGTTGACTTGTCTGCGAACAAGCTTTAAAATCCACACGGCCCACCCTTGTCCCGGCGCTGATTCCATAACACCTAACTTTCCTAGACAGGTACGATATCCATTGATATCCACTATCCAGACGCTTAACGTAAGGGGAGCTGGGGTGTTGCTAGGAAGTTGTTAGGAAGTGGCATGGGTTACATGGGTTACATGGACAGGTGGAGACGACATAATAGGTACGATACAACGGATACATAGCACTAAACTTGACTAAAGAAATGTGTGCTAGCTAAGCCACCACATTAGATCAATTCTACTGGTTGTATGAACTTGTATCAACTTGTATGTACATTAATTCAAGTTATTATGTATGTATTAACGTTATTGTGCAATACATAGGTAATTCAGGGATAGGTACAATACAATACAATACAATACACTACAAGGGACCCGCAAGTCCAGACCACCACATTTACCAGCGCCAAATTGCACATTGCACATAATATCCCCTCCCCCTTGTTTAAAAAAAGAAGATTTGAAGATCCTGGACACCCTAGGTTCCGCATTCAATCTCATTGAACTAGCTTACATTACCTCAGTGCAGTAGTGCCTCAGTGCACCAACGCACTAACATCAATTACCCCCAGGGCTGCCCAGTACCTAACTACAACTGTATCGTACCTGATATCGTACCTTACCTTACAACAAAGTGGATCGAGTCACGGTGCTTGTTCCTTCTTGTCCCACACACCCAAACAAACCAGACTTCTCTCTTTCTCCCAATCAATTCAACTAACCCAATCAAACTCGACTCCCCAAGTTCGACTTTCCGACCTTCAACTCCGTCACCACTGGCACTGCCACCTCGCCAGCGTAACCAATCCGCCGCCTTTTGCTTAATATTCTTCCCGATAGCCCTCAGTCACTCGTTTCTGGAAAGCGTGTTGAAGTTAGGCAACACTTTTAACCATTAGGGACTAAAAGGTGGGATACTGGTTTCTGGGTTCTTTCATTCTGGATTCTACAACACGACACGAGCCCGCATACTCGCTCGCATACGCATACATTTGGGTCTGGTTTGGTCTTGGACTCGGGTCGCAGGTCTTACGTCTTGGTCTTCACGAACGGCGAGCATTAACTGCATTACTGGATCCGATCCGCATTCCCGGAAACGACAAATCACAAAAGCATTCAGTTTGAAGGAATCTGATCAATCTACATGTCGCCGCCGTCGATAGCCGTATACTTCAATTGGCAAATTTCGCATGCGCAAAGCATATCGGCATTTTTAAACTTCAAGTCGACAGCACATACGATATCGATCTAACACAAGAGTTTCCTTCTTAAGCGTCGCGGCTCATTGGAGTCGGCGCGCTATTAATCGGCCATCATGTTGCGACCTGCCACGCCTCTGGCGATACTGCTTGCTGCAGCATTCGCCATGCTGCTACTCTCAGTCTTGTCCACTCCTATCATCAAGGCGATTCCTCTGGGTACATACAAGGGCGTCAACTTTGGTGTCTTCGGGTACTGCACCAGTACACGATGCAGTCCGATAGAGATTGGATATGATACATGTATGTCTAAATCTATCTCCACCCAACTCGAATATTGTTAACATTTTCACAGTGGAACTCTTCTCTCCAGTTGATTCGGCTACCTTTGACCTACCTGAAGGAACTCGGACGACGCTGTCCGCCATACTCATTGTACACCCTGTTGCGTGTCTTCTTACGCTGGTGATGCTGGTCCTTGCCATTGTCGCCCACTTTCATTCCCCTTCGCATTCGTCACGTTACTTATTACTACTCTTTATATTCGGCATCATTACATTCTTAGTATGCCTACTCGCCTTCCTAATTGACGTCTTACTCTTCGTTCCTCACATGGCCTGGGGCTCTTATATTGTCCTGGCTGCTACAGTTCTTGTATTCCTAAGCTTCATCGTTTCCTGCGCTATGCGGCGCACCTTGGTCAGTAGAAAGGCAAGGAAGCGACGGATCGCAGAGAATGCTGAGATGAGTGGGGAGAATTACTACAATCGCCAAGCTCAACGAGATGTGGAATCTAGCCCGACTGGTCTCCCCCAACCAACTGTCCCGGCTGTGAGCGGAGCAAACGGCCCAGGCGACAAGGCACCCACATTCACTACCTTTGAAAAGAGAGATGACCGTAGCAGTGACGAGCGAATACCCTTAACTGCGAGGACCCCCTCTGATCGGTCCCCGAATCATATGCCTACTGATATGAGCATGTCAGGCACTACGTTCAATGGCCCTCAACGACAAAACTCCAATATGTCAGTCGCAAGAGATCAATATGGCAACCCCATGGACCAACAACCGCAGGATATGTACAATATGCGGCGAGGACCGTCTGTCGAGCGCATGAATGGAAGAGGCCGCGGAACGCCCCCGGCTGGTTATAGGGGACGAGGAGGCTATGGAAGAGGAGGTTATGGTGGACCAGGTGGGCCATATGGGCCTCCTCCTCCTCCAGGTGGAAGAGGTGGGAGAGGTGGATACGGTCCACCGCCCAACGGAAGAGGTGGATATCCACCACGCGGAGGCTATGGTCCTGTTGGAATGATGAGGGGCGGAAGAACACCTCCACCGAACTATCCCGGCCGTGGACCATACGATCGACGACCGTCTCCGGCTGGTGCTTACGCGGATTATGGCCCAGGTCGACAAGTCTCCCCAGCGCCGCAGGGTGGTCCTTATGGCATGGAGCCATCTATTCCAGCCATCCCGGCCAATGCACCAGAACCAGGCAACTTTCAAGCCTATAACCCTAGCCACGCTAGCGAACTACCCAGAGCAGAGTCCCCTCCTCCGCTACCAGGCGTAGATGATGCACATGCAAAGCCGCCAGGCCAAGCAGTGGAGATGGATGCCAGCACGGGAAGCCCTTCTCATGCACCTGAAGGCTTTGGTCAATTTAACAACCAGCTCAGGGATAGTGATGCGGATGTAGCAGGCATGTTAGCTTTGCAGCAGGCAAGATCTTCGCCACATCGACATGATACATACATGAGTGATGGAAGCAAATATAGCCAAGAGGAGTAAGTTGAACGACATGAGATGAGAGTCTTGCCACTAACCTGTGTTATAGACAATATCTTCCACCTCGACAGGCATGGAATCAGGCCCCTGGCCGATCATCTCCGGGAATTCCCTCGCCCCTACACATTCCGACCCGGCCGCCAGAGCTGAGTAGTGTAACACCGCCACCGCCACCACAACTACAACCACAACCACAGCACCAGTCTCACGCACCGTCCACTAACATAGATATCTACTACGAGGACGTGGACCCTCGCTTTGCAGAGCCAGCTTCTAGGCCGCCGCAACCTCCCCTCGAAGCGCCAGTGGGCTTTGAAGATATCCCTCCTCCACCGAGAAGCCCAGCGATATCCGAACAATCAGGCTTTACTTCTATTTCACAACGGGGTATAAATCCTCGCTGGAACCCACCCCCTGGCCAGGGGTATGGTCCAATGCCATCACGGAAGCCAATCAACCGAAACGAAGTGAACGTTCTTAATAGTAACCCTGACTTTCAGTTGCCGCCGAACCGTGGAGGACCGAGTGCTGGCAGGGGCATGATTCCTGGAAGTGCATACCCAGTCGTATAAAGATTTGCATTCATGATATCCTATTCTTCAGGTCGCGCTTTTTTTCTGCACGAACTCAGACAAATTGAGACCAGACGTTGTTCTCTAATTATAGGCGTATGTTGTTCCGGCGCCTTATCTTAACCTCAGGGCACGGCGCGCCCTAATTCTGTAGTCGACACTACTTTTCTTAACGTCCATTACAATATACCCCCAACATTTTTCGCAACTCTTCTCTTCGACCCATGACCTCTTGAGTGCGTATGACCAAATACTGGTGGTCCGCGTTGAAAACGTGGACCATGTCAAACAACATTTACAAACCACAACTGGTCGCCCTTTACGGAAATTCTCTACTTGCCTAATAGGCTGTTGAGTATCCTTTTTCGAGTTCATTGACGGAACGGATCCCAAGATAATGACATTTTTACCCCAAGCTTACCGGATCGACCGGAGGCCAGTCTCTACCGCCATTGAGTTGATGGAAGTTTGGAGACAGAGAATATCGCAGAGTGGCCAGGAACCACCGTGGAATACCAAATTCTCAGCAATGTATCAGGGGTTTTGTGTGCTGTTATCTTATAATAACCGCAACGCGCACTTGGTTTTTGCACAGTTGGTCTAGGTAACTAACTACTACTATCTACGTATAGGTAGCTAGCTAGCTAGCTAACAATGCACATCGGAAAGCAAAAAAAAAGCAGCTTAAGCAATAGTTCTTTTTGCGCCAGCCAATATGAACAAAAATAATAATGTTGACAATGAAAACTTGACCGAAGTTATACATACATAACTAAACTAAAGTCTTGTGTTAATGAATGAAGAATGGATGGCCTGATGGACTGTACTATATGTGTATGTGTATGTGTGTGCTGAGTCTTGGGGGCTCTTTTGCTTGATGTGTTGTGTATCGTACCTACATCTATGTTGTGTCGTGAGTACATAGGTACACATGTTTCGTGGGTGTACCTGTACCTAGTACTGACTCCTACCGTACCGTACTGTCTGTCCATGGATGCACCTATGTATGTATGTAATATTCCCATTCCCATAGGCACCTAATCTTTCATGCCATGCCTTGCTTTCTCTCTTTCTTTCATTCTTTCATTCTTTCTTTATTACCATAAGTTCAGTTGCATACTAGCTACCTACCTACCTAACCTAGGCACATACATAATATCTGAGACGAGGAGGTTTGTACCTAGGTTAGATGAGTACATAACATACATTGAAAGCTCTTAATGAAGATGCGGTAGTTGCTGGGTATTCGTTTCTTAGGTATATATATATATATACCTAGGTATATGAAGAGGACATGGAGGTGCCTACCTAGGCAGGCAGACAGGCAGGCAGGCAGGCAGGCAGGCAGGTAGGTACCTAATGTATTATAACGTCCTACTTAGCCTACGCACACATGCCGGGCAACAAACAAGGTACGAAGAAAAAAGGGGATGAGCATCGAATCGACTTAAGCAAATAATTCAAAGCAATCAGTCAATCAACCCATCCCTTACATGAACAGTTCCTTCATTCATTCATCGGCCCTATGTGCCAAGGCAGGTAAAAACGCGAATTGGTAGCGTCTTCTTAAATACAAAGCAACCTTCTTATGAAGCAAGTCTTCCGTGCTACTAGTAGTTAATTATCACGCGAAAACTCCCATCCTGAGCTGAGATGACGAAAAACCAACGCCCCTATCTACCTAGGTTGGATAGGTATTAAACCTCCTTCCTTCCCATCTCATGTATAACAGCAGATACGCGCCGAAACGCGCGATTTTTCCAAATAACAAACGCCGCCGTTATGCAGTCCGTATGCCTTTCGTGACCTTTTTATACACAGTCGATAGAATAGAAGAATGGCCGTGACCTATCAAAACATCCGAAACGAATCATTTATCGTCAACTGCTTCGTTCTTCCTTTTGCAATATTTCTTCTTAGTCTGTTATGATCCATGTCCAGTTTTAACCATCCTGCTATACCCCCTTTTTCTTCGCATCATAGCCAATTCATACTAGCATGCTGGGCATCGCGAATCTTCTTGGACAGAAGCGCGAAGAGATCCTTTGTGGACGACTTCAATGCGAGCCGCCTTCCTTAGGGGCTTCTTGGGTCTCGGAGGCTCCCTTGGGAGCAGTCGTGCGTGGTGCGCCTCCTGTCTGGTGGTTGATTATGGACTGGTACAATACACTCAATAGCGGCTTGGCGTCTATGTATTCGGGAACGTGTTCAGTGTCCTTGAGCGTAATGAAAGGCCTGGTTTCTTTGCCCTTCTCGTCATTCTCGCCGGTCTCCTCTCTGTTTTTCTTATTCATAACGGCTACCTGAAAAGGCGTGTGAATCATCCGGTCCCCAGCCTTAAAGTCACGGTCGAGATTCGCCTTGCGGGTTGCCTGAAACTCGGGAGTCTTCTGGTAAGCCCATGTGCCTTTCTCTTTCTCTATCTCCTGATAGCGTTCCTCTACCCAGTTACCGGGGGGTTGCGGACGATAGTTGAAATCTGTGGGAAATGCATTAGGATAGAACCTGCGCGCTTCTCTGAGGGTGATCGTGTCAATGATTTTGGGGTATTCATCGTCATTCGTGGGGGTTATCAGAGAGGACTGGCCAGAAGAGACATCCTCACTTTGGTTTGACGTAACAGGCTCCCGAGGACCAAGCTGTAATACAGACCGCTGTGATTGAGGCCGTGATTGGCTATGAATCATGGATGGTAGCGGGGGATAATATAATTGTGGAAAACGCTGAGGATTCTCATCGAATGACCCAGACTCGTGCATCTTCTCGGGTCCTTTCTGCGAGGAGCTGGTGCTTGGAGTAAATGTAGAAGGCTGGTATTGACGCTGGCCTGGAGGACCTGCCGTGAGGGGCTGAGGTGCGCCGGGTCCCTTTGACAGGATGCTAGGGTAGCCATCACGCTCTCGAGAAGCAATCGCGGTGGTGTTCAAGTAATTAGGTCGAAGAGGCTGGAGGGGCTGGCTGGGAAGACTATAACCATCGCCTCGATCGGAATGGAGTAGGTTCTCAGCGGCAACGGGATCAGAGCGAGAGGTTCTGTAGCCTATGCCAGGCGGAGGAACTGTGACTCGGTGCTCATTCGCCGAATCAGAAAGTTGGTGTTGCATCGACAAAGGGTGTTGTTTAGCCTTAGTAAGGATTTTTTGGGCTTCTTTCTGCATGGGATTGGGATACGATGCTAAATTGGTTAGGCCCTGGGTGGACATGCGATAAAGCTGGCTGTTGACTTGATCGCCAATCTCTACGTTCATATTCATGTGGTCATCCCCGTTGCTACGACGGTAGCCTGGGTCGCCCTGTTTATCGCCAAAAGCAGCTGGGTTGGTGGGTGAAAAACGATAAGGTTGATTTTGGTAAGGGGGCGGGTTATATGGTCCAGACATGCTTACCGGTTTAGTATAGTGCATTCCCTCCCATTCAATATTGCTCTGTGGATTGCGATCAAGCAGACGGGGACTAATAGCTCGATCGAAATTCTGCTGCAGAGGTGAATAGTATTGGTTGGTAGAGTAAGGTTCTACGGCGTAGGGCTCAGGAAGAGAAGACTTGAGAGCACGTCCTCGACGCAAAGGTGGTTGAATCGGAACTGACTGCGGTTGCCAGACGGATCCGACAGTTGTGTACTGCTGCTGTCCCGAATGGGACTCCTGTGACTGCTGAGAACCAGAATTATCCATAATGACTGACAAGGAGGAAACCTATTTGCTTAACTAAATTAGGTATAAATCCGCAAGGAAGTAAGACGGAGAAGGGGGATATTAACCAATACTGTTATTGGAAACAACAGTTATGCTGGTGGGTGGTGATGGTAAATGCGATTGTGACGGTTATGATGATGATGGTGATGGTGAAAAGATGGAGAAGGAAGAAGGAAGAAGGAAGAAGGCAGAAAGAAGGAGGGAAAACGAATATGAAAAACCAAGTTTCGCCCTGGTTACTTCCTAGACTGGGTACTGGGCACTGGGGCATAAATAGTCGAAAGCGAAGTCGAAATCGTAGTTACCAAGTCAGTCGTGGTTGCCTGTGGATGTATGGATGGATGTATGTAGTACTAGATACAGTACCTGCTAGGTGCTAAGCAGGTAATGGCCGTACGGGCAATGCCTGGGACAGTGTATTGTACTTACCTACTCAAGATATCGATTTTGGGTACTTATTGTCTAATGTGAGTTCTAATGTCATTTTTAGTGATAATAGAGCAAGGGAAGGAAGATGGGCTGTATGATAGCAAGTGTCTACCTACCTAAGTGTGTACCTTTTTGGTAGTAAGTAGCATGGTATGTAGTGTTTATGAAACTGTCACTTATTTATACTTGGGTTAGTATTCATTGACGTATGTAATGACTGGTTTGAATTGATATTGATGGTATGGGGATGGGTTGTACTTGCCTCCTACTTACTAGGTCAAGGTCAATTTTGAGTTTGAGAAGGTAAATGAGAAGGAAGGAGAAGGAAGTTGCCAGTCAATAGTGATATATGCAGAAGGCAAGAAGGCAAGTTTGAGTGGAGTGATATTCTGTCTGTAGTAGTGAAGCTACTTCCTAATCTTGTCTTGCTCCTTCCTCGTGGCCAAAGAAAAAAAGATGCCTGACCCTTGTGTGCGTTTCCCGTTATTTCGTTATTTCGTTTTTTTTTTTTTCCTTTTTTTCGTTATTTAGAGCACATATAATGACTTGACTGTGCTCCACTCCATCTCATTCGAACTACACAAACACCAGAACCATCAACTTCGGATTGAACAGACAATCGGCCAACAGGGTTAAGCATTCGACAGTTTTACCTCGTCTTAGGCCCTTGTCCTCAAGCCTATATCTGTTCTGTGCCGTGGCTGCAATGAGGAAAAGCTCGCTCACAATTAATCCACTTCCCTGCCACGAAGCATGGAAGAGCCGCATGTTGAACCCAATTATTGACGAGCCTCCTTTACCTACTTGTTACTAGGTAGGCAGATAAGCAGTTTGACAATCACTACCTATAGCACTAAAAAAGGAAAAAAGAAAAAAGAAAAAAGGCCTTCGTTTGCTTTGGACGTGGACCAAGCTCTGTTCCCGTTGTGTGGCCTTGAATAGAAAAACACAAGAAAACAACGACAACAACAGTAACAACAGCAGTAACAACAGCCGCGTCTTGTCTTGTCATGACTGTGCAAGATCTTGCCCCCAAGGTAGCCACGTGGAATCAATGAAATCACCAATGGTCGAACGCATAGCAACAACTAGCTGGTATGACCATACCGACGTCATTTGCACCGAAGCGATCTCTAGATCTGGTGTTATTTTCTCCTATTCCCTCGTGACGAGGGGAATTTGGTGTCTATTCGTTTTTCCGATAGCATCAATACAGACTGCACATGCGACCTAGCTCTCGGGGACTGTCGATATTCTTGATTAAGAAAGAGAGATGTCCGACATATTCATATCAAAAGTTTGTCCATGTCTCCTGTCTTCTGCTGACTATTAAAAGATTGTTAGAACGCTCGTATGTTGACTTTTACGAGGGCTTTTGATGAACCAAGGGATATTGCATGGCTCTTCCTGGCTAGCTACCTAAGTAGACTTGACGATGATGAGAACTGCTTCACTTCCTAGCTTTCCCTTAGGTGGATTACACGCATGGGCTACCAAACTCGGCAAATATGATGTTGCATCACCTCAAGGCTAGCTCGCCACGTGTGACTATTATGCGATCCCTGTTGGCGAAGTGGGATAATTGACGGTCATGTATGCCCTAGTAGAGCTTACTATGTATGCTCTCTGGAGGGGTGAGGCACCTGGTGCCCTGGTTATAACGTTTCGACCGATGCATCGTCCCATCGAACGTGCACAAACCGACTATATTGGCTAACATGATACAGATGTAGTCCAAGGCTACTCCCGACATGCACAAGTCGATGTAGTGCGGCTGACAAGACGAGCAATTATGTGGCGGTTTCATTGGACGCGACCTGTATACCATGTCTTAGGGAGGCAGAGCGAACGACGAACAGGGCGTCGGATAATACGCGGTTGTCGCTTGAGGGCTCGACGAATAGCAAAGAGTTTGAGTTACCTACCCAGGTAAGTATCCAAGTCCTCTAGTCAGCGCTAAACGTTAGACAACTAACCTACTAACTTTAGGTACCTCATGATACAGGCAGGTTAGGCTTGAGACTACGAGTGGGCTCGATCAAATTTGGTAGATCTACGCCTGCCAGCTATTTTGGTACATGCTCGTGACTGGGGAATCTAGTATCCTCATCTGCAAAGGTTGTCAGGGGTGGGCTATTATGGTCGTGGAGGATCGAGACATGATAATCCTCGTCCCATCCCACCTCAGCTACAGACCGACTTAAAATCCGAGCAGTGTATCTATCTGGTGGGAACATTGTTTAACGTCGGTCCGTATGATGTACTACCGCCGAGTGAGAGGTTATCAGCAATACAGTGCAAAGGTTGGTTTCTTGGAATTGATTGGCCACGGGCGCCACGCAATGTCGCTACGATAGTAGCATTCTAATAATGATTAACGCCTATTGTTGAACGAGACTACCTAGTACGCAACCTCTAGAGCGCTGCTATAGACCGGCAGTAGCTTTCGAGGCGAGTCTTGTTGTCTTGGTTGTTTGAGTCTGACAAGGTCTGAGGAGTCTGTGATAAAGACCTGAAGGATTCAAATCTGCGCAGGCGTTGAAAATTCTGCCGGGGAGACCGGGTTCCTCGTCTAAATACACTAGGTATGTACATACCTCAACCATATTTCCAAGTTATATTTGAATGTTTTGGGGTTTGGAGGACCTGAAGTCCCGTCATCGCTAAAGATGGCACCCAGTTGCGCCATACTATCTGTGGTTTAGGATACCGTCTGGATATGTACTTACCTAACCTAGGTACGTGCGTATTGGTCCAATGGGAATTGACGGATATAAATGTAAGTGTAGGTGCAAGAAGGTTTTAACAGAAAATACTCGCTAATTTCTCCCTTTCGCTAGGCTCAAAGGCCAGGGTCTTCGATTCATCGAATGTTCTAGGAATAGCGAGGGTGTGTGGTGAGAGAGAGAGAGAGATACATACAATACAGTAGGGAGATGGATTATTTTTAAATCAAGTCTGTCAGTGCCGGACTTCAAGCGTCGACGTCTCCCTTCTAGGACAAGTTGGGTAACGGGATAGCCCACCCTTCCCGTCTGTGGAGATGGAATAGGTGATTCCTATTTGCCACCAGAACCGAAAGGACTTGGCATATTGCCAAAATTAGTAAGACGGGCTTCTACTTATTGTCTCGATCCCAAGACTTCTATTTCCTAAAAAGCCGTGAGGATACATGTTCATGTTCCCCCTCCCCCAATTTCCTTGAAATCCCTCTTTTTACTGCTGAAGGCTGAAGAAAGGATACACAGAGTAACGGTAAAAATTGCTGGCGACGTAAGTAACTTGGCCTAAACCAGTAACTAATCCGAATTTACGGCCTGCTGTGTTGCCAAACTTGTGTCAATTTCAAGCGTCCTAGGCGTCCTAGGCTCGGGAACAGCTAGACAAGACAGACAAGACAGGAGACCCCCCCTCCTCTACCCCCTGTTTGGCCCCCCGTTACTTGAACCATCCATCAGCTCTCGAATTTTGCTGGGAGGAAGAGGAAGCGAGGATAATAATACCACCATTGAGCCGCCGGTCTCGCCGTGCAAACCTCTCTTTAACTCATTCAACACTGCTCATAACATCTGCGCACCTCTTCCGATTCTGTAATATAGACCTCTTTTCTTTGGACCGAATCTATACAAATCATACCAAATTATACTAGACCATGGATTTTTCACAGACGTTCTACGGTGGAGCTCATCCCTATCACTTTATCGGGATTCCTCCCTTGACACCGTCCCATTCCAACTCAGCCGCATCAGACGAGTTTAACAACCACTCTCCACATGTTAGTGCCTCCCTCGCGTCTTTTCCCGTGTTTGCCTCAGTTTCAGTTGCCGAAAAGAAAAGAAAAGAGAAGAAAAAACCAAAAAAACGGAGCGCTGATCTCCTCTTCCACTCAGCAGCAAGATGTTTACGATAACTTTCAGAACAACGAGCATTTTCCCCAGAACTTCGAACCATACGCCCCATTCAATCACCAACCACAAGCATTCCCGGGTCCTCCGGGACCGCCGACACCACCGACGACGCACCCCATGCATGGCCAGAATGGCCACAATCAATCGCAGGTGAATACCGATGTTTCGGGGGTGGTGAAAGGAGGTAACCAAGCTGATATACTACCCATGACTAAGGCGGATCCCGACGCGAACAGACAGACGGCGTCGAACTCGGATGACGACGATCTGACGCCTGCGCAGTCCCGTCGGAAAGCGCAAAATCGAGCCGCGTAAGTAAAAGCAATGATTTTAATTTGAGTTACAAGAGATGAGACCACCACACGCTTGATAGGATGCATGCATGCATGCATGCAGGATGGTTATCACCACGAATCATGAACAATCAATTATGATCAATCTTTCTGGGATTGAGTATCATTGACTAACTTATCGCCTTTGTTAAAAACTCTAGTCAACGCGCGTTCCGCGAGCGTAAGGAGCGCCACGTCAAGGACCTCGAAGCAAAGCTCGCCAACCTGGAGGCGCAGCAGCACCAGACGGCGAGCGAGAACGAGAAGCTGAAGCGCGACCTGCAGAAGATGAGTACCGAGAACGAGATCCTGCGCGCCACATCAAGCCTGCAGGCACACGCCGCCGCCGCCGCCGTCCAGCAACACCACCACAATGGCTCCGGCTCCGGTGGCGCAGGCGGCTCCTTGTCCCCCGCAGCCCCGACCACGACCACCGGCCCCATGCAGTACAACCCCACCGACTTCTACTCGGACCTGCTGCAGAACCACACGAACAAGACGCCCAGCCACCGCATCGTCGAGTCCGCGGCGGGAGAGAGGCTGCTTGCCGCTGGCGCGACCTGGGACTACATTATCAATCATGAGATGTTCAAGAGGGGCCTCGTGGACGTGGGGGACGTGAGTCTGAGGCTCAAGAGCCAGGCGAAGTGCGATGGGCAGGGCCCCGTGTTTGAGGAGAGGGTTGTCCTCAAGGCGATTGTGGAGAGTGTCGCGAGTGGGAGCGATGAGCTGTTATGAATGGTTGGATGCCTACCTTTTTTTGTCTCTTCCTCGTGGTTGGGGGGGGATTGTAAACTGGCTATTTGCTTTTTTGATATCTTTTGGGATGGGGTTAAAATGGGTGGCGTGTATACAAGGGCGCTTTTGCTGTTGTGGTTGTGGTTGTTGTGTTTGTGGTTCAGAGCATATTAATTAATACGTTCTTCTTGCAGGGGGAGACGGAGGTTTACTGGGGGAGGAGGGAGGGAGGAAAGGAGGGATGAGACGGAACGAATGAACAAACGGACGGACGAGTAGGAAGGAACTTTTTTGTTTTTTACATTACGGGATATGAAAGGAAATGGAAGCGTTTTTTTTTTACTGTTTACCTACCTAGTGTGATTGGTATCATTGTGATTGGAATTTATGGTGTTTAGAGAAGGGTTGACGGGTTGGCTGGCTGGCTGTTTGGTAGGTAGGTTGGGGGGGTTGGTTGTTCGTCTGCTACCTACCCCTTCGTTTTCGTGATATGATGGTGTCTACGAAAATACGAAACGAAAAAAAATACCAAGAGAGAAAGAAGAGAAAGGAGAGGAAATACCTACCTATTTTTGAGTTGGGGAATAGATGCGTGTGTGGCTTGCCCTGCCTGACCTACCTAAATACCTGAGCTGCCTGCCTATCTATCTGCCTGCCTGCCTGCCTGCCTGCCTGCCTGCCTGCCTGTCTACCTCCCCTACCAATGCATGTAGGCAAAAGAGAGTGAAAGGTCGAGAGCGAAAGAAGGACATCAAATATATGAGAACCCCCCTCCTCTTCTTTTTAAAAGAAAAATCATAGTTGGAGTTCTTTGGCTTCAAGTCTTTTGGTTGGTTCTTCGATGATGGGGACCTAACTAACTGCCTGCCTGCCTGCCTGCCTGCCTACATGCCTATTTACCTCTTACCTATATTACTTCCTTTTTCTTTTTTTTTATACCTTACCTAGTAGGTACACCAGCTTACCTAAAAACTTATTCCACGACATTCTAGTTAGGTAGAAGAGGAAAAAAAAGAAATCCTGGACTCGCTTTTCTGCGGTTCTGTGCGTCTGAGACTTGCCTAACCTAGGTACTTCGTGTTCTTTCTTTCTTTGCTACTACTCTGAGCGTAGGTAGGTAGGGGGGAAAAGAGAAGGGTACCTAGAGAAAAAGTTAGAAGTAAAAAAAAAAAAAAAAAAGGGCCACGAGTTAGTAAGCAGTAGTAGTCAGTAGTTGCTCGAGTATTGTTGGGGGTCCTCGGTATGGTGTGCAGGTAAATTAGGTAGGTAGGTAGGTACCTGGGTATGATGGGGGGATAGGTAGGGGGAAGCGGCCTCCCTCTGGAGATTATTCTTTGGTGTGTGTGTGGGAGAATAGGAAGATAGGATTAGGTAACTATGTACGATCGATGATAATTGATACTTGACATCCATGAATAATGCGAGCCCTTGAGTTGCCTCGTCTATATGTGGGAATAAGGAATATGGAGATACAGATGTTGTATATATATAGGTACCTCAGTAGGTAGGTATGCATGTGCATATATAATATATAGGTAGGTGATTATCAGATGGAGCATATATACCATGCAAGTAAGTGCAGAAGGATCGGCAAGGACTGCCTTCATTCTCTCTCTCTAGATCTCCATACGCGTAACCTGTAGGTCTAGATTAGATATGCCACTCATAGGTACCTATCTAGAAGGATTGGTCAATAATAGACATCGTGGCGAATCCCCCCTTGAAATTCTCGTGCAGCTAGCCTCATGTTTTTCGGCGTTGGGGGCTTTCTGTCAAATATTATATACATACCTAGGTATGGGCATCTACTTTGTATATTGACACACACGGCTTCTCTCTCTCTCTCTCTCTAGGTACATAACTACCTCCTTGCGCATCTAAAGACTTCCATTTTAATCCCACCTTATCAAAGACCCCTCCCCTACAGCCACTGACATCTACTCACCTTATATGTAGACAAATACACTAGGTTAGGTAGATATACACATATCATACGGTAGGTATGTATGTATTTCGCAACATAGCAGTTTCTTCACGGGATATCTACCTACCTACCTACCTACCCACTAACGGAAATAGGGGGTGGTTATGTAGATTGAGCTACAGTAAGTCAGGGCTGGCTGGCTGGCTGACATCAGCAACCGCATAAATTGATGATACCATCACCTCCCTTCTACCCACCTCCCTCTACCCACCCACCCACCCACCTACTACCTACACACTTACTTACCTACCTATCATACTTAGCTATTACCTACTTCCTCCCTCCTCCTTCTCATCCTCCCCACCCCAAAAGCCTAGCCCCGGATTCAGCCCCAATCCGAGCTAATCCCGGGTATAAATAGATACATGTACATATGTAGCTAAGGGATCTAGGTTAGGGTACTAGGTAGGTAGATAGGTGCGCAGGTAGGTAGGTATTTGAAATAAGCTTAATTCCACCGTATCGGGCTGCTTTGCTGGCATGTGATAGGTACATACCTACCTAGGTATGTATGTATTGATCGTGGGGGTTTACGTCTGGCTGTGGTTGTCATGGTATACTTCATATGTAGGCAACTAGATAGCTGTAGGTATATATAAATAGTATCACCAACGAAACACAATGACACGGCAAAATAGGAGAAGATTCTATCCAAAAGTAGGATGGGGAGGCATGATCCAAATTTGCACGCTTCGATGAATCCATTAATGTAACAGGTAGGCTCCCAAGCAATTTCGCACTCAAGCCCCTATGCGAAGACATCAAGCCACACCTGTCCATCTTCATCATTACTTGTGAGGGCCAATCTGCCCATCTAGCTAGCCATAGAAAGAGTAGAGATAAGCTCAATATTCATCATTCATTCATCATCGTCTCGAATCCACCCGAGTATTCACCTGAGTATTATGCGCGGATGGCCAGCGCTTCTTTCCTTTCCTATCTCGTATTTCGATCCTCACGGCATTACTTCCCTTCCTATCCACCTTCCCAGATAGAAACGTAGTGCATCGTAATTATGAGATTGATTATCCTCCACCCCTTTAATAACTTCGAGTTCGCATGCCATCATTTCCATCTTCATCGTCCATAATTGCTTCTATGTTCCTGATTCTTTCTTAATTCGCCTTCTTCCCATTAGTCTCCTCCGCACCCTCGACATACGGGTGCTTGATCGTAAGACACCAGATATCGAGGTAATCGCAGATCGTCACAATGACGTCGACGACGAAAGATCCGTACACGCCGATCGCCATTCCCAGCATGCAGAACATGAACGCGACCTGGTAGACGTCTGTGCCGAGCGCACTTGGCCAGCCTGATGCCCAACCAACATGCTCCTGTAGAATCGGGCCCAGACTATCGATCACGCCCAATGTCATGGGGATGGTTAGTATGTTCCAGTAAGGGAACGGCAGCTTTACGAGATGCGCAGTGATCACCTGTCCCACGCTGTACGCATTTACCAGACCCGCAAAGATGGCAAAAGGTACAAGATGCTGAGTGCGGATCAAGGGTTGCAGGTATAGATATGCTACGACAATCACCCAAGTTCCGAAAAACGGCAGCAGGCCAAATAGTGCCCAGCGGCTGCGGTCACCGCGGGCGCGACGGGCTTTGATGACGTTGCGCGCACTCTCGACGGTGTTCAAGACGAGCACGAAAGTGCCCTGAACGATGTACCACTGCGAAAAGGATAGGTCGTAAAGGATCTTGGGGATGCCGAGGGAGGCGGGGACTCCGAGCGTGGGGAGCATCGACTGCTGCCAGAATGAGGCGCCGCCCATATATCCCGTCAATGCGTAGACACACACAAGGATCAGAATACCCTCGACCGGGCCGTTGACAACTCCCAGCGTGAGGGTCTTAGTGTGGTATTCATCCCAAGTCTGAACGTAGAAGGTTTGTAGAGCTGTTGTTGGCTTGTTAGTGCTGTCATGGGGCACTTAAGGGGGTAAACATCAATAACGAAAAGGCCGTGCGTACATGCGAAGAGAATAGCAACAGTGTACCAGCTCTGCCCGAAGTTTTGGGAGGCAGCGAAGATGAGGACTTCTAGAGATGTGTTAAGAGCGTCTACGCCGTGGTCGAATAGCTCGCCGAGAGGTCCGCTTTGTCTCGTTCGTCGTCTATTAAACGCCAAATCCAATCATAGATTAGCTTTCTTGCTTTCTCTATTTTTTTTTTAAAACAGATGATTACTTGATTATAACATACGCTTGTGACCCGTCCACCGCATCAAAAGTCTGATATAAAAAGAGGCCGGCGGCCCAAGTGTAGTAGACCCAAGGCGGACAGTCTTGGTCGAGGGTCGGGTTGTACCACAGCAAGGTGAAGAAGTTGGCGACAACAAATGAGAAGCCGGTCAGAGTGATCAGGTTTGGGGCCATCCACATGGGAAAGCATTTGATGACGACATTGGTGTAGAAGGGTTTAAGGATATACTTGGACGTCAAGGAGTGGTCGACGCCTGAATACTTGTATGCCTTTAGATTCGGCAGGAATTCCTGTCGCACATAAACCATATTGTCGATGCCGGGGAGAGTGTATTAATAATAGAATTGTGCAGTATTCTGTAAAAGATAATAAAAAAGATCAACGATATCTCTCTCGATGTGGTCCCGAAGATGACGAGATACGCAAATCCCTTTGTGTGGGATTTCTCGAAGAATCAAAGAATTCAAAGAGACAAGGCTATTAAATGACGTTGCCTATTACATGTGGGTTAGGATTAAATGTAAAGAATTAATAGAAAAATATGGTAAAGGGGAGCTAGCTAATAGGAAGATAACTTGAGGTACTGTACCTAACCTAGAGCTTGGCTACGTAGCTCAAAAAAACATCTCTTAGGGCTATGAAAATATTAAAAAGAGGCCAAAAACGTCATTGTTGTGCATGGTCACAGGTAAGACAGGTGGCAGGACCCATCAAATTTTCCATTCAATCAGATCAATTTAGCGCGACATCTTTGCATTCTACGGGCGTCGGGCGCGTCTTAACGTGTAAATTACAGTAAGTACCTACCCCTGCCCTCCAACTACCTATCCCATCCCTGTCGCAGACGTTAATTGTCCCCCCCAACTATTACTAGAGGGCACACGCTCGCGCGCGCCACAAATGCCCGAGTTGTCTCGGACCCAATTTTAATGTTACTAAAGGTTGCTTTCGGGCTAGCGCAACGCTAAGGATTTAAGGTCTTGATAAGACGATTTGATTGGGTGCAGCACCCTTTAGATCACATGACCTGCTTTTTCAAGTTGTAACTCTTTTTTTTTAGATGGTAGGGAACACACGGGCCATCAACACTTCTTATTCAACCCTTCCAATTCAACCCTTCTTATTCAATTCAACTGATTGACTTGGTCGGATTAAACTGATCGGATTGAACTCATTGGATTGATTGATTGATTCCTGGACTGATTGATTGAATGTAGCACCTTTTGGATCACGTGACTGCCTGCAACACTATTGGGCCATCAACCCTTCTAATTCAACCCTTCCTATTCAACCTTTCCAATTGAACCCTTCTTATTCAATTCAACTGATGGAATTTATTGAATTTATGGATGGATTGATTGATGGATTGGCTGATTAAATGGCTGATCTACATACATATCCTGTTGCAAGCTGGCTGGCTGGCTGGCTGGCTGGCTGAATAGCTGGCTGAATAGCTGGCTGAATAGCCCGGGCCAGCTTATCCAACGCTGGATCCAAAGCTGGATCTAATAGCTGCTTGAATAGCTGATCAAATGCCTGATAAACGACCTGATTTGTTGATTAATTAAAGACCTGATTGAATATTGAATCAAAGGGATCAAGGGATCAACGCAATCAAGGGGATCAAAGGGATCTAAGAGCTGATCAAAGGTGTTCCGATCATGTGACTTCAATCACAGTCTCGGAACATCTTTAATCAGGTCCTTAATCAGTTCTTAGATCACTTGCTCCCCTTAATCCCTTTGATCCCTTTAATCTAGTATTCAATCAGGTCTTTAATCAATCAACAGATCAGGTATTTGATCAGGTATTCAAACAGCTCCAGCTTTGGATCCAGTGTTGGATAAGCTGGGGTATTGTCCATCCGCTAGGTCCCCTAAATCTTCAAATCCGGGCCTAATCTGGCGCCCCTAGCCCAAACCACATTCAACCCTCTTTCCACCTTGAATAACTTTTGAATCAGATATTGCACCATAGTGAAACCGGACGCAATTGAAAGCGCATCTAATTGCCGATTGATTGATACCGGTCTCGAATTGATGCGATATCTGGTCATGAAGTTATTCAAGTAAATAGGTGGCGGAACGGGAGGCACGTGATCACCCTTAAAGCCACACTAAGGGCCCTTAGCGCCCTTGGAGCCCTTAGAGCTAAACCTTATTCAACACTTTCAACCTTGAATAACTTTCTGAAACATATAGCTGCAAAGGTGCAACCGGATTCAATTGAAAGCGCATTCAATTACGAATCAATTTATACCGCTCTTGGATTGAGGCAATACGTAGTTAAAAAGTTATTTTTGTATATGTAACTATTGAGAAGGGTCACGTGACACTGCTTGGGGTGACCCCAGGCGGCTTTAGGGCTCTTAGGCGGCTCTAAAGGCCCTTAATGTGTCCCCAACGCTAATCACGTGCCCCCATCTTGCCAGCCTATTTACTTGAATAACTTTGCAACCATGTATCGCCTCAGTTTGGGCCCAGATCAATCAATTGGCAATTGAATGCTCTTTCAATTGAATCCGGTTGCATCGTGGTGCCACATGTTGTTGAAAACTTATTTGATTGGATTGATGTGGGCAGCTGGGGGCACTCACTGGATCACATGACCTGCTTTTTCAAGCTGCAACTCTTTTTTTTGGATGGTAGGGAATATACAAACCATCAACCCTTCTGATTTAACCCTTCCAATTCAATTCAACTGATTGAATTAATCGGATTGAACTGATCGGATTGCACTGATTGGATTGATTGGATTGATTGATTGATTGATTGATTGATTGATTGATTGATTGATTGATTGATTGATTGATTGATTCATGGACTGACTGATTAAATGCAGCACCTTTCGGATCACGTGACTGCCTGCAACACTTTTTTGGTATAGTAGGGGCCATCAAACCTTCCAACTGAACTCAATTCAACTGATTGAATTGATCGATTTAGATTGAATTAATTTGATTGGACTGATTGGATTGATTGAATTAATGGATTGATGGATTGAATAGCTGATCTACATATCCTATTGTAAGCTGGCTGGATAGCTGGCTGAATAGCCCGGGCCAGCTTATCCAACGCTGGTTCCAAAGCTGGATCTAATAGCTGTTTGAATAGCTGCTCAACAACCTGATTTATTGATTGATTAAAGACCTGATTGAATACTAGATTAAAGGAATCAAGGGGATTAAGGGGATCAAGGGATTTAAGAACTGATTAAGGACCTGATTAAAGTCACATGACCGGAACATCTTTGCTCAGATTCTCGATCAGCTCTTAGATCCCCTTGATTGCATTAATCCCTTGGTCTCTTTGATTCATTATTCAATTAGGTCTTTAATCACTCAACAAATCGGATCGTTAATCAGGTATTTGATCAGCTATTCAAGCAGCTATTAGATCCAGCTTTGGATCCAGCGTTGGATCCAACGTTGGATGAGCTGGCCTGGGCTATTCAACCAGCTATCCAGCCAGCCAGCCAGCCAGCCAGCCAGCTTGCAACAGGATATGCAGATCAGATATTCACTCAATCAATCCATCAATTCAATCAATCTGATCAATTCAATCAATCCGATCAATTCAATCAGTTGAATTGAATAAGAAGGGTTGAATAAGAAGGGTTGAATAAGAAGGGTTGAATTAGAAGGGTTGATGGCCGGTGTGTTCCCTGCCATACCAAAAAAGACAGTGTTGCAGGCTGTCACGTGATCCGAAAGATGCTGCATTCAATCAATCCGTCCATCAATCAATCAATCAATCAATTAATCAATTAATCAACCAATCAACCAATCAATCAATCAATCCAATCAATCAATCCAATCATTTCAATCCGATCAATTTAATTAGTTGAATTGAATAGGAAGGGTTAAATTAGAAGGGTTGATGGCTCTTACAATCCAAAAAAAAAGAGTTGCAGCTTGAAAAAGCAGGTCATGTGATCCAATGGATACTGCACCCAATCAAATCATCGTGTCAAAACCTTAAATCTTTTGCGTTGCACTAGCCTGAGAGCAGCCTCTGGGACCCATAATTCCAGCGATTCCAGCCAATCCCGACTTTCTTGCACGGGCTATTGACGTAAATAAATACGTATATTTTCTATTCCTATCAACTGTAATAGGTAGCTTAATCAGATCTTAATGGCCGCCGACGGATTTGAATGTCCCCAGGGCTTATAATAATATTAAACCTTCAATATTCCTTATTTGAAAGCTTAAGCACTTAATGAGACTTGAAGCTTAAGCACTTTTCCATACGTGTGGCTGCATTTGTGGCTCCCCACGTGGCTTGATAGTCTTGGCAAACCTTCCTCTTTTGCAAAGCCCAAAATTCCTCTAAGTCTTGAGGTGTGGCTGTATGTGTGGCTCCATACGTGGCTTGAGGATCTTGGCAAACCTTCCTCTTTTGCAAAGCCCAAAATTCCTCCCCTAGAGACCCACAAGCTTACGTGAGCAACCATTTGAAGTCTTGGCAAACCTTCCTCTTTTGCAAAGTCCAAAATTCCTCCCCTAGAGACCCACAAGCTTACGTGAACAACCATTTGAAGTCTTGGCAAACCTTCCTCTTTTGCAAAGTCCAAAATTCCTCCCCTAGAGACCCACAAGCTTACGTGAACAACATCCCCACCTTCCTAAAGTGGAAAAAGTTTCCTATTTGAGCCTAGCGCGTCTGCTTAGTAATCCAAATCCCCTTGAGAAAAAAACCGTACAGTAACCCTCGAAAACTCGGGCATACTGTCATAGTACAAGTACAGTCATACAGGCAATCGTGTAACAGAATCGACAATATCCCAATTCCCTGTTTCAATTTTACATAGCTGATGGTCTTTGTAATTGGTCAATTCATAGCTTAGGTAGGTAATTTACTTTACTTTACTTCACTTCACCACATCTTTGCTTGCTGCTCAACACCAAACCCAACCACCACCTTCATTGCTCTTATAAATAGAGGTTGTGCTCCGACTTGAACTTCGTCCGAGCCCTCCAAGTACCTCTCTACTTCCAATTCCTCATCATTCCCGTTCCCTTCTCTCTCCATCCTCTTTTAAATATGCATAAGGTAAACGTAGTCCCAAGATCAAAAAGGGCTACGCTTGTCGTTACTTTTCTTTTGCAGAAACGCCTGCCGTTCCATAACCCCATCATTATTACGCGACTGATGCTACCACCATCGCAGCCACATTCTCCTCTTCGCTGCGTACCATGATCTTGGTTGTCACACCAGACTTGGATGAGTATGCCATCCTGATGTTGGCCACAACCTTTCCACCATTGACTGTCTTGCCTAGAAGTTTGAGTTGATGTGTCGTCTGGCTGATCGGCACGTCTGTCCCTTCTAATGGCTGCAGTGAGAGCGCCTTGGCAAGTTGTTCCGTAGCATCTGATAAATAATTGTTAGCTTATTATAAATGTAATCGGGGAAAAGGGACAAAAAGGGGGAGAATATGAAAACACATACCAGCGATACTGTTTACTCCTGACAGTTGCAGCGTCTCTTCCGCTTCTTCTCCAGCCGCACCCACCTGCTCCCATACGTGGTTGAAGTTGCCAGCGAATGTGGGAATGACGTAATCGCTACCTGCAAGATCGAAGTCGGACACCTCGTACTCGTCCTCGTAGCCGCTGTCTTCCGGCTCATTTGTGGTCGGATCAATCTCCTTGCTCATGAATTTGAGTATATTAGAGAAAGAGGCAGTAGGCAAAGAAGCTTCGCCATTGGCTTTCTTGAAAGCCACGTAAATCTTCCCAGGCTCGTCCGTAGGAAGCTTCTCCGCCGGGATAATAAATACTTCCTCGAGCTCCTCATCGTCTGAGGGGGTTGCAACTACCGACACGTTCTCAAGCACCGTAGCGGGGAGAGTATTCTTCACTTCATACTGGAGAACAATGTGCTCCTTGAAGATATGCTTGACGACAGACACGACATATTCCGTCTCGGCCTCCGTCAACTCAACAACAGGAGACGATTTGAGGACACCGCCAAACTCCTTCATTTCCGGGATAGACATGAGCTCTTGGGCGTACTTTTGGGCAGCAGCCGCCGCTGAAGCTTGTGCCTCTGCGCCAGTTGGCGCTGCCTTCGTGGGTCCTGTCTTGGGTGGCTTGAGAGAGGGTGTGGAGGCCGTGAGCTTCTTTGTTCGGTCCTCAGCATCTGCTTGTTCGCGAGTAACCACTGGGATCTTGCTGATATCGAAGGGAGCGTTAAAGGTCGACTTGTCTTCTGAAGTGACATACATGACGAGCTGGTGCTCGAAGTAGGGGAGCGAGAACATGTTTTCTGTGCTTCTAATTAGCCATTGATACCATATAGTAGAAACGAAAAGTGTACTAACCGTTCTTGATGAAACGTTCGCCTAAGTCGTCATCCTCGTGCATTAACCGGAGATTTAACGCAGCGCGGTCACGAACTTCATCATCCACATCATCCAAGCATCGAGTCAGGAGAACATCAACACTACGCTTGACTTCAGGATCCTTCTGACCCACTCCAAACTTAGCTAAGGCAGTAACGGCAGCTGCTCTGACAATAGCATTCTCAAGAACGACTCGGTTGTAGATATATCGGATATACTTAGTTGGCTGAGAGGTCTTGGGTCCTTCGAGACCTAGCAAGTGTAGAATTCGAACAGCCAACTTGGTGAATTCGCAGTCCTCGATGAACTCGCATAGGTGGGCAAGGGCATCTTCCTTGGAATCTGGCACAAACTTGATCAGGTCAAACATGCTCTCAACAACGGCCCGCTTGAACTCGTAACCTCCCTCGTCGCGCAGAATTCCACTGAGGAAAGAAAGCATGCCGGCCTGCTTGCTTGGGAACTTGAGGCACAGGGTTCGGATAGCTTCGACAATGGTGATCTTGAACTCGTCGGTGATTTCGGACATGAATCCAGAGATTTGCTTCATTAGTCGGTCTACGCTTGCTTCGTTGCCTGTCTTTAGTAACGTAGTGATAGCGAAAGTAGCAATTGAACGATTACTGTTCGAAATCAGAATTTCAATGTCGGGGTTGCAAACATTGACAGCTTGCGGCTTGAAGGAAGCAAAGTTGTGTAGGATTCGGAGGGCGGCGAATTTGGTAACCGCACGAGGCGACGAAAGGAAGAGCTGCAGCACATGGACAGCCTGCGTCACTTCGGCGTCTGTGACATCCCTCATGTCGCAGATAGCCTTAGCAGCCTCGAAGTTGACCATCTCACTCTTATGTCTTAACCACCCGTCAAGCAATTGCATCATTGGTTTCCTGAGCGACTGATCTTCCTCGGCTAACTGCGCAGCCAACCTGACTAGCATTACTATGGCGGCGGGACTCTTGACAGCACCAGCCGCACCGAACTGCTGAACCATCTTGACGAGAGCCATTCGATCGTGGGATCGTATTTGGTACAGCAGGCCAATGGCATGGTACTGGGTCATGGTGGAATTGTTGACCGGGAGCGAGGCAGAAGACGAAGAGAAACCAAGAGAGAAGCCACCGGAGGACTTGGTTGAGGCAGCGGCCTCTTGAGTTTCAGACTGCCACCGTCGAACGACATCCTTGGCAATCGGTAGGAGATGGTAGGAAGATACGAGGGCAGCGGAGGATACTGAAGGGTTCTTATCGACAATTGCGGTCTTCATCACACGCTCGATGGATTGGACAGTGGTCGCCTGTAGGGCATTAGTACGGAGATACAAGTAGACAGGCCAGAGCATGGGCTAGGCTCACGTCAATGATGCGACACAGGGCTCTAATAGCATTTGGTCTATATATGGCATCAGTGCTACCACCGGTATCCTTCATTATGGTACTCGTAACCATAATAATGTCTTCGGCGGAGTGGGCAATCTCCTTAATGACCAAATGTACCATTTGTCGCAAGCTGGCATCTTTGTTCTGGAAGAGCTTCGAGATACCGAAGAAGAGGGTGGTAGCTTCATTGGTAGGGAATTTCTCGCCCGTGTAGAGGAGGAGGGCGATCTTGGTTAGGAGAATGCGACATCTTCGGGGTTGGATAGGTGAGCTATTGAATAGTCGAGCTTCGTCACGATTTAGCTTGTGAGTTCAAATGATCGAAAAAGGGACGAAGAGGACTTAAGGGGAATTGAGTTGTAGATAGTACCTTCTTGAAATACTTGAGTGCGATCAACCTTGACCAAGCCGAGGTCGGCATCTTCATCTTTCTTGCCGTAACTCATGGTGGGCGATGAGACGGCGATTGTTGAAAGAAGAAGGTTGAATAGGTTGTAGGTATCGTGGTCGTGGTTGTTAGTGTCGCTTTCGCTTTCTTGTTCATTTCAAGGTTCTAAGGTTGATTTTCGGGCCACCACATTCTTATCGGCCTAGTTTGTTTCTAAGGAGCGACGTTGCAATTGCTCTGTGCTTCGGTGTTGATCACGTGATGTTGAAGTGTTGCCAAGCCACTAATCGAAGCTTATGTATCTATGTATTGTACTTCCATTGATGATTGTACTAAGGTTAGGTACCTAGTACTAGGTACTATTTTCCACCACTCAACCCCTATTTCTCCAACCACACTCCTACTGAAAACTTGCCTACAAATAGGTAGTGTATCATCCACATCTACTTCTCAGCGTTTTATTTCATTGCAATAGACGAAATTGTCACCCGGTATTGGCCTTGATTAAGCTGTGTATTTTTATCTTGACATGCTAACATGTATTTTACAGCTATATGATATTTGATCAATGCCAGACATTCTGCTTGAGCTTTAGAGCAGTGAAACCCTTCTCTAGATCTCCTCAATAAATCTAGATAGCCATAGAAGTTTTTAATGCTTGTACTCTTTAAGTATGGCCCTCGGCTGATGGAAGACTAATCTTAGAAGCATCATGCTGCTGCCATGTAAACTGCTACACATTGGTAACTCGCCAATCTACAATAAGCATGCTACAACACTGCCTACCCACCTACCCAGGCAGACAACAGGCTTGAGAGTGGTTCATTAACTCGGAGCAGCAGTTCCTGAGGGTACCTTAGGGAGACTAAGTAGCAGTTATTACCCAAGGCATGGCAACTTTTGGTGAGAAATTTAAAGTCCATGAGTCATAAAGGGGTAGCTCCCATATTCCTCAGGTTTTATGCTAACCTAGGGGGAGAAATAGGTCTCCGCTGTACCGAACTCTTGTGATCATAAAGTTCAATGTTACCAGTATGGGGGTATCTACACAATAAGTATATGGGAACGAAATGATGGGCACATAAGGCAACAGGTATTTATATCGATTGTTTAACAAGATGAGAAATAAGCTGAACCATATATGCATCAATTACTGTATATGCCTTAGGTTTAAGGTATCAAGAGTTATATGTCACTGTGGTCACGTTACTTCATTCACGTCACGTATTCTCAAGTTGACGTTATAGGTCTGTGAACCAAAACTGCTTTGAGCTCTGCTATGCTTGGATTTGCATTGCCCATCACTGAAGACGCATATAACTAGAGTTTGCTCATCAGACTTATACAAAAATCCATTTCAGGGCTTCCTTTTGATCACATAACCCTCTCTCGGAAGTCTTAGGCCTGGGCTACTGCTCCACCATGAACATACCCCTGAGTGTCCAACTCGTTCAGTGATTCACTGGTGAATAAGAGCTTAGAGGACGTAAAAGACGCAGGCTTTAGCACTGACAGGAAACAACAATAGCTGCCTGAGGTAGGTACCGTAGTGCCGAGAAATGGTAATTACATCATGAGGGTAGTTAACGACCTTTTAACCCAAGTCGCCCTAAATATTCAGGCTACAAGCTCACTCACAGGCCCCCAAGGTTGAACTACAGACGACCTGACACCTGTAAGGTCATTGCAATCGAGTATTTACGAGGTATAAGACTGAAAACTATATAAACCCTCTGAAATCTTATCCCAAGTCCAACACTTCCCTTCATTCACGAAAGAAAAGAAGAAAATACAGCAAGAACGAAAGGCAAAAAAATACGCACCACAACCCTCTTATACCACACCCAATCTGACAATACATTGGCAATTGAGCCTTGTATTGTCAGGAAATATACAAATACACACACGAATACCACTTACTATCTTACAACACCACGAAAAACTCTCATTAATACCCATCAATACCCATCACATAGCCCTCTCTCACCGACACCAACGCCCATCATGTGTTGCCACAAGGCATACTTCTTCGAGGGCTGCAACGAGTACGGCAACGACGGGGTGATCCGCTGCAAGACCGCCAAGGGGCGCAAGAAGAACTGCGACCGCCACCTCTGGGGCTCCAAGCAGATGGGCACGAAGCCCGGCATGTGCCACGCACACCTGGCCCTCACCCCGCCGGACACCGACGTGTCGGGCGCGGACGACGACGAGCTCAGCGAAGGCGCGTTCACGGGGCCCCCGCCCGAGGGCCGCCCGCTGTTCGCGCCCACTAGGCACATTGCGTTCGACCCGTACAGCGCCAATGTCATCCACCAAGCCCCTACCCTCCCCCAGCAAGCGTTCACTGTCCCCCAGACAGCCGCTGCCATCCTTAAGCAATCCTCTGCTGGCCCTCAGCAAGCCTCTGCTGCCCCCGACGAGCAAGTCCCTGCTGCCCCCGACGAGCAAGTCCCTGCTGCCCCCGACGAGCAAGTCCCTGCTGCCCCCGACGAGCAAGTCCCTGCTGCCCCCGACGAGCAAGTCTCTGCTGCCTCCGACGACCAAATCTCTGCTGCCTCCGACGACCAAATCTCTGCTATTGTCCAGAAAGCCTATACTGTCGCCCAGTCAGACGAGGATGACGAGCTCGAGGAGGAGGAGGGCGACGCTGACGATGGCGGCGAGAGCGATGTCTCCGAGCACAACGAGCAAATCTCGACCGTCCCCCAGCTAAACGAGGAGGACGAGCTCAAGGAGGAGGACCACGGTTATGATGGCGGCGAGAGCGAGAGCGATGTCTCCGAGGAAGACGAGGACGTTGATATGGAGGACGAGGAAGACTCTGATGATTATGAGCTATGGGAGGGTGATGATGGTGACGGTGATGAAATGGACTTTGGTGAGGATGATGATGATGATGATGAGGAGGAGGAGGAGGAGGAGGACTCCGAAATGCAGGATGCTGGTATGGGGGGTGAGGGCGACGACGGAGACCCAGACTCCGAAATGGGGGATGCTAATGGGGATGACGAGGACGAGGATGACGATGACGAGGAGGATGAGGACGAAGAAATGGAGGACTCCAACATCCAGGATTCTCATGTCCAGGGCTCTAACTTCCAGGCGATTAACGGCGAGAACCATCACGTCCAGAACCCTCAAGTACAAGTTCCTACCGCCCAGGTTCCTACCTCACAGGCTCCCACCGTCCAGGGCTCTACCTTCCAGGGGACCAACTTCCAAGCGATTAACGTCCCGATGCCTACTGTCAGCCGCCCCACGAACCCTCTCCTCAGGTTGAGCAACCCCGACAGCCTCAACATGGAGCACTTCTCAGACGAGGAGGATCTAGATATGGCTGATTTCGACGAGGAGGAGGAGGAGGAGGAGGACGAGGACGAGGCTGGTGGCGAGAACGCTGGCACCGGCAACGTCGACGCTTAGAAGAAATGAGCCACCAATAATACCAGAACGACAGGACGGCAGAGGGCTATGGCTACGAGGTAATTTGACTACTTGATACATGCTCAAGGGAGACAAGAACGAAAGAAAATGGACATGGACAGACAACCTTCGCCGCTAAGAACCTTCAATACTCGGCACTTTGAGGAATATAATTGGCAGGGGAATCATGCTCATGGATGGGTAATACATTCCATTAGGTAACTGGTTAGGTAGTTCGTTTGGTAGCACTCAGATTGTCGAATACACTCCGCTTGATTCACCGTGAAAGATTCCCTACGTAAATTGATTAACCTACTGCTTGCTTTAGATGCCCTACGTATGTGTTGTGGTATATTAATGTGCTGTAGTACAGGTACGCGTGTAGATATTAGGTAGGTATATACCTAGTCGGCGCCTACCCAGTGCGTCGTCAAGCTGAGCATCCCCTTCTTGCAGACAGATCTAGGGAGTTTCCCAGAAGCTATCTTCGTGTTATTTTTCATTCACCTACGTTGTTTATATAGGTACCTACTTACCCAGGTAGTCGAGGAATTCCCCAGTAAAAGTAGGCGTTCTCTGCCTCCCTAGGAACTTAGTAGCTTATAAACAGCTCCATGATTTTATTTTAATCGAATTGAAGCAGTCTGAGGTAAATACCCAGGCACTCGCTGTTTCGAATCTAACGACATGGTGTTCGGGTTGAGATTCTCGACGATTGCTACCATGATATTTCCTTACACCGCAGATTTTCCCTTCCTACCTGACCTATGCCTACGAGACGCTTAACATTAGTATGTTTGACCTGTACAGTTTGCGCCTAAGTTCGTCTGTATAAAGAAGTAGTTCATGGATAATTAGCTATGAAGCCGCTATTGGATCGCCCAGTTACTTCGTGGGTTTTCTCGATATTTAAGGGCATCAGTACCTACCGCTCTGGACAACTTGATTCGGATTGTTCACACTTTACTACACGATGGAAGTTTACCTGCATTTATAATGATTGAAGAATAATTGATTGAACTTGTATTAACGAGCTAATGACTTCTAGGAGCGGTCATCGCTAACTTCATTACGTTATCTGCGTAGCCTTCTGTGCCGCCGTATTTGGCTATAAGCTCTTGTATGTTGATCGAGGAAGCAGAAGAACTTCGCTTCCTGCCGATTAGACCAACATTCCTAGTGCTTGGTATCCTCAGCATCTCCCTTTCCACCTCCCAGCCACAGTCTTTTGCAATGTTGGTAATCCACTCAACGAGTGACGAGTACGCCGAGGGCGATTTGTTTTGGCCCTTTGGTGCAGGCGCCCTGAATCTTGCTCCAGTAAGATCATGGCTGCAACATGGTATCATAATGAATGGGCATTCTGAAATGGTTGCAAGTATTGGTGTCCATGGTGTTAGCTCATCTGCATGATTGGAGATAATAAAAGTCCCCTTGGGAAATATACCATCGTGGATCATGTTAGTAACATCTACGCTTTCGGCAGTCTCATCACCTTTGCTTCCCATGTTCGAATGACGATCAACAACAGAGGGAAGCAAGACAAGTTGCTGCAAACTTTTATTAGGTCCGGAGTCTTGGTCGATTGTCTTGGAGTAGTTCTCCCATGATTTACGTTTTCGCGCGTCGAACCCCCAGCCTAAGTATCCTTCTTCAAGAAGTATATATACCAGAAGGCCGTTTCCGCAGCCAATATCAACAAATCCAGGGAACGGCGAATCTTGATACATCTCAGTCCATAGCTCAATGAGAAAGGCCGCAATACTCAAATCCTCAAATACGTGCTTTGAGGGGTCTGTGACCTCAGCCCAGGATTTTATGAGCTGTCGAGCATATTTCTGTTTTAGTCGAGTATATGTAGTTTGCACTGCAACTTGAGGAATAATAGTATCGTGGTGAACTCGCTTCACATATCCTGCCTTGGTTCCTTGCCCATGTTTATGGAGCGTGGTCAGAAGGTGAAGACCTGTCCTGACCAACTTTGGCGAACGTTCTTCAGTATCAAAGAAATGGTAGTGGATAGAAACAGAACCTTCGTTTTTCTCGGTATCCCATTCATGAAGAAATGCCATACCTTGGATTTTGGGATGATAGAATGGCATATTATCTGGAGATGAGACATGGGGCTTGTAAACTACCATATACCTTTCTACACCATTGGGTCCATTCCCGTGGTAGAAGGAACATGTTTGATCCATGGGCTCATCTCTCAGAGTATTCCTAGGAATAAGTTTTCGTACTAGGATTTTATCTAGGTGCATGTGTTGGAAGTGAAGGACTGTTGGCTCTATGGCCGAGGGTTCAGCTGCGGAATGGGTGTTGGGATCTTGTTCGAGTAAAATATCGGCCCGAAATAGCCAACTGGAATTGAGGTTGGGGTTTCGAATGAGATTCATCATGACCTTTAAGAATATCTCTGAATTGAATTCGCACGTTTTCCGAAAAAGAGGAATCCATTTCGAATCGGATACATCTTTAATCAGGCTCGGGGAACCATCGGGATACTCTTGTATCTCAGCAGCCATTGCGGAATGATGTGACAGGTGGCCTCAAATTCGCGCTGTATGCAAGAGAAGTGAAAATCGGGATGGATATTGGTCGATCGGATAGACTTGAAACTAACGCAACTGCGCAACTGCGTAAGTAGATCAAGTAGGTCTGGCCACTTATATTCAAAGGTTCGGTCAAGAATAAGTGAGTGAGACCAATGTTCTAGATGCTCGGTTTCTTAACAAGGCCACATGCAGATAAGCAAGGGGTCAGCTGCTAATAGAGGTAGGTACACAGGTATATCCTCGCATGTATAGTAAGGGAATATTGGATCAATCGATTGATATCTGCAGACGTGCATGTGTGCAGCAGGTATTAGGCACTAGGTATGGATTGATGGAGGTGGGCTGGTGGGTTGATGGAGTGGTGGGCTGGTTGAGGTTGGTTGGCTGGCTACATACCTAGTATGTATGTAGATTGAATGGAGTATGTACCTGACAGCCCGGAGTGACGTTGATTTCAATGTTGTATTCGATGGTTGTGTGAGTGATTTGTGAGTGACATGGAAATGTTCGAGATCAATGATTACCTAGGTATATAGGGTACTCAAATTGAATGAAAATTTGTGCGACAAGGAGGTCGGTAAGTGTCTTAATTTCAATGATGAATACCTACTTAGTAGTACTGCTACCGTGTGGCATGTGTTCGCCTTTCGACTTCCAAGTGACCCTAGAAAATTGAAACCTGCCTGCCCCGTGAGGCCGTGAGGGTGAGGATGAAGGAGGGTGAGGTTTGAGGTTGAGGGGCAAATAAGATACTTGGGTACTTTCGCCTACTCCGCGAAATACAAACCTTGAGTCGGTAGTAACTAGGTAGTAGGTACTAGTTAACTATCGTGCAAGTTCTAACCTGAAAATTACAACTGGAGCCAGTCTGGAGGTAGTTAATTCCTATCCAGACAATGGCATAGCCCTGGAGAAAGTGGGTGAATCTAAACCTTAGATTGGGGTGTAGTTGCCTGACAAGGCCGCCATTACATACTTGTGCTTACCTCCAGGTGTTTCGATAGGCTCATTAATACCCTAACCTAGGTAGAAGTTAACTAGAGGGACTATTTAAAACAAACTCGACCGCTTCCACCGGCCCTTATGTCAGTTTGCCAGCTGCCAGACATGAGTTGTCCCACTTCACCCCTTGCCGATTTGCAATAATGACCCACAATTATTGCCCCTCCATTTAGTTGCTGCCACTTGCCTATTTGCGGCCTTTCTCGTTCTTCCCTCTTTTTCTAACGTACAAATACAACAAATACAAATACGAATTGAACCCACCCACCACCTTAAACTACCAACATCCACATCATCAACACCAAACCCATTTTCTACTAAAAAGCATTCTTCACCTCACCTCACCACCAATCCAGTAATCACCACTTTTGTAGAAGTCCATATCGCTTAGCGAGACCACTCCATCAGTTGTCGGTCGCTTTATCCCGAGTTCATCTCTGCATACCCCTTTCCCCAAGTTACCCCGTAAACTCGAGTTTATGTCAATCGAAAATCTCAAGACCTATGGTAAGTCTTGATAAATACTCAAATCTGATGTTGAATTTTAGGCTGTTGAGGTATCGAAACATTTCGTCGATTGCTTCAATACCTTCAGCTGGTTACACCGACTTCCGAAACACCCTTATGACTCCTCCAGCCTCCACCCGAACCATTTACGTGTCTTTTATTTAGTAGCGCGTGCTAATCAAAAACCAAACAGACCCCTTCGCCGAAGCCGATGAGGATACAGGTGAATCCAAGCAGGCACAAAACTATATCCATATTCGCATTCAACGTACGTATAGCAAAACGCTCGACTCGGCTGTGGCCTTAAAGTGGCGCGATATGCTTTTGCTTTTAATCAACCATCGTGCTGACTTGGAACCATTTAGAGCGAAATGGCCGTAAGACCTTGACTACAGTCCAGGGTCTCCCGAAGAAATTCGACCAGAAGAAAATCCTGAAGGTCATCAAGAAGAAATTCGGTACGTCGCTATTCCAACCTGTCTTTCATGCTTTTGCTTTCTAGGCTGACTCTCTACCCCTACAAATAGCCTGCAATGGAACCATCGTGAATGACACCGAGATGGGTGAAGTCATTCAGCTGCAGGGTGACCAGCGCAAGGACGTGCAAGAGTTCCTCGTCGACAAAAAGGAGGGTTTAGAGCTTGATCCTAAGACTATCAAGGTCCACGGTTTCTAAGCTGGCCATGTCCGCTCACCTTTCGTAACTGCCCAACTATAACGATCACGAGACACGCAACTGGATGGTCAACCTTGCGCACGACTGCAGCGTCTAAACCCGCTTTGCAGCGACACTGCTAGGTACCTACTCATTACATCGTGCCAAGGGCTGCACTATCGATCGAGGCGTTACGGAATGGTTAGGACATGATACCCCCTTGTTGACTTCTAAGAGGCCTCTTGGCTTGCGGGAACGATTGGACGAAGCTGATGCTAGCCCATGGAACCGGTTTATTCGCTGCATTTTTTACTAGGAGACGTGGTATTACAGATGGCCTGGATTTTCAAGGCACTCTCGTTTTTGGTTCTTGGCTCTGATATCAAATCTAGTAATCAGAACAGTCTCCGAAATTGTTGTCTTGCACCTGGATGTGAATGATGCTTTTTAGTGAAATGAACCTAGTAAATGCGCTTGCAGTTATTACTCAAGTTAAGTTAATGCTACTACTACGTACCCAGGTATATAATGATTTGGACAGACTACTTGAATATGTTGCTTTTTCCTGTAATATTTAACATATTGTAGCCAAAATTTCCGAGGTTTCAAGATTGGTTATAAAATTGATGACCTATTTTACTACAACGTAGATATTTATAGGTGGGTTCGCGGCAATGGCCCGTCTTTCCCTTTACTACGGATAACCTACCTAAACAACCCTAGGGTTCCTTGTCTACCTACTTACATGCTTTTTAAGTCACCCCCCTTCCCCCTTTCATATGTATATGTGAATACGAAACAGGATATTCCGTGAGGAGAAGAAAAACAAACAATAAAAAAAATGAAGGGCGCAACAGTCCCCCTTCCAACACCGCCGCAGTCTTTCACGCAGAAGAAGGCGCGCATCCTGCAGTCACTGGCGGTGCCTGATGCCGAGTACACGGATGCGTCGCCCAAGGGGTCCGTGGACGAGGGGATACGCGAGCTGATTGGGTTGGTTAATGGGGTGGAGGGGCTCGTGACGACGAGTAGTTGTGCCGGGAGGGTGAGTGTTTTTCGGGAGGGGAGTAAGAAGGGTTCTGGTGTTGTTGAGGTGGGTGAGGGAGAGGGAGAGGAAGAGGTGAGGAAACTTGCCGGGGTCGGCGGCAAGGGAGGAGGTGGGAGTTGGTTGTTTGTGTCGCATGGCCCGGTTCCGCTTGTGGACGGCGATGCCGGTGACGTGGAGGTGCTTCTGGGGCTGAAGAAAAGAAGCGCCGGAGAGGAAGACAAGCCAGCACAAGGGGAGCGGGGCGATGGCGATGTGCGGGATGTTGCCGCTGCGAGGCTCGTTCACTTCAAATTTGAACCGATGGTGAGTATCGAGGCGGAGATACCCCCTATATTCTACGGGGCAATAGTGCGCAGACTTGGCTAATACCGCGGGCCTATTAGATCCTCCATGTCCTGACGGCTTCGCCAGAACATGCCCAGCTGATCCTGAGATGCGGCCTACAGGCCGGGTTTCGGGAGAGCGGTGCCGTCAGCCTGACGGCAGCGTCGGAAGAACAACCTGCGACCCCGATCGTGGCTATCCGGTCCATGGGGCTCGCTTTCGAGTCCTTGATCGGCTACCAATCTGGCAACAACAACGACGACGCAACAATAGAGTGTACCGTGTCGCCGGGTTACCTGCGGACGCTTATCCGGATCGCTAATGACAGGTTTAAAGAGAATAGTAAGCGCATCCAGAGGTTCCAGGCAGCTCTTGCGGAAGCGACTAAGCCGTCTGATAAGAGTGAAGATGGGTGGGAAGATGCGCAGGCTCGGCGAGAGAGGAAGAGGGCCGAGGGGTTGAGGAGGCGGGCGGAATTACAAGGCCAGAAGAACGGTGATGGTGATGGTGGTGGTGGTGAGGTAGCTACGGAAGACGAGGGTTTGTATAATATGCCTACCCTGAATGCAAACCTCACGTAAAATCCGGAATCTTCTTCTTCATCATGCATGCACATCGTCTTGAACTTGGCTCGTAGATATGGTTAGGTAGTTGTCGTCTGTTTCTCGATACGGTTCTTTCGCCCGAGTGATTCCCTTCTATGCTATGCCGTAGTAGTGTCGAGTATTATTACAACAGAGTATGCGCCTGCCTCCATCTTCTGCTTCTCTCTCTTTCTCTCTCTTAGAAGCTTCTCTCATGGATCTATATTTTTCGTCCCCGGTCTCCTTCTACGTCTCTTTTGGCTATCTCTTTCTGTCTCTGTCTCTCCTTCTCTATCTTCGCACAAGAAAATAAGAGCGTCTACGAAACAACCTTATCCACCCAACTCTTCTCCAGCCTCCTGACCTCCTCCTTGAACGCCTCCACCTCCTTCCAGCAGTCTAGCGGGCGCCGGTCGTGCTCCATCAGACACCGCACCACCTCGCCCCGCGCCGCCTCCACGCTGTCGGGAACCGGCCGCAGCTGCTTCCGCTTGTCCAGTCGCGCGCGCAGTGCCTCTACTTCCTTCGACACCGCCTGTCGGCTGCTCGCCCGCCCCGACTCGTCCGAGGCCGCTTGCTCCGAGAGCAGGGCGGACGCTTTCTCTTCGGCGGCTTTTAGGGCGGCGTTTTCGTGGGCTTCAAGCTTGCGTAGTTCGGAGGCGACGCGCGCTTGTACGGCGAGCTCGAGGGTTTGGGCGCGCGAGGAGTCGGTCTGTTTTGAAGGGAGTGTGAGTAGGCAGAATACTTATCTTTGGAGGGGAGGGGCAATATATTTTATTTCTGGGTCTCTTGTTCCTTTGGCTGATGGTGCTGGTGGTAGCGGAGCAGAAGGAGGACACAGATGCTTGGATCTAGGGAGGGAGGGAAAAAGAAAGCGGAAGCTCACCTCGCTGTTGGACTGGAGGGATTCGACGACATCGTGCGATATTCCTATAGGCGAGGACCTGGCAGCTGTGTGTTAATAAATATATCTAGGCAAATATTAAAGCGCAAAAGAAAAACTTACGCCTTCCAGACATGTGAGGATTGGCCCGCCTCTGGCTTGGACGAGCTAGAGCCCATGATTTGTCGGCTTCGTTGGGATCGCTAGCTGGGGGGGAGAGAGGGGAGGGGAGTGGTGGCTCTTGATTCTTCTTTTCACTTTTCTGCGGCCCGTAGGAAATAATCGATGAAGCTTGTGGTTGAGAAATGATGCAAAATGTCTACGGTGTGAATTGGGTAGTTGAATGTGACTTGTACTGTGATAATATACAGTCTGGAAAATGATCAAATTACGGTGCAAGTATACTGTGTCTTTGCCAGCTGACTCATCACATGCATCACGTGATAGCCCGCAGCAGCACCATCAAACTTGGTAGGTAGTTACTACTAGGTATGTACCTATCATGTTTTAAATGTTTATCTACTAGGTACTAGGTTAGGTACTTCACTGTTGTATTATAACTTTTAGTCCTCAAATAAAATATACTCAATAAGATTTCTCTGTAATATTTCCGATGCCGCCACCCATCTACAATACAATATTTTTTCAAATTTCACGATACTCGACAGGAGCTCCGCGATGCCAAATGGGAGATATCAAGTCAAGGACTGCATCATCAAAAGTTCCGTTTTGTGAGTTACTATGCAGATGATGAGAAAGCTAGAATTGAGTGATGTACCCAGTGAACATATCTGAAATTAGATGACTTCCCCGAATCGATATTAAGTCGTGCAGCTTCAGTTACAGTCTCCCCTAAAACAAGACACCATATGACCCTTAATTTGTCCTTGACTTCACCCTTACTTGAAACCCAACAGGCCTCAGGTTGAACCACCCATCTTGCTCCAACTTGTAACTCGGATCAGCCATCTCAAAGTCAACATCCCGAAGCAGCTTCACCAGCGTCGTCATGCTCCACTGCCACGCCCAGTGTATGCCGATACACTGTCTCTTGCCGTTGCCAAACCACTTCTTAGCCCCCTGCGGCAGGTCGTCAAACGCCTGCCCCATCATGCGCTCCGGCTTGAAGGCAAGGGGCTCGTCGAACACCGCGGGATCTCGGTTCACGCCCGCCAGCACGATGATCATCGCCTGATTATGCGCGATCTGGTACTTGCCCCCGGCAAGCTGCACAGGCGCTTTGCTGTCGCTGGGTATCGGCTCGATGTTGAAGCCCGGCGCGGCGAACGAGAGGCGGAGGGATTCGCGCACGATAGCTTCGATATACTTCAGCTGCGACAGGTGTTCGAAGGTGAACGCTTCCCCGGCGCCAATGACGGTATCTAGTTCCTCGCGTGCTTTGGCGATCACGCTCGGGTTCTTTAGCAGGAAGTAGATGGCGGTGGCGATTAGCGCCGGCGCGGTACTGCTGCCTATTGGCATGGTCACGATCTCATCGATGACCTGCGAGTCCTTCAGGGCTTCGCCGGTCTTGGGATCCTTGGCGCTCATCATCGCCGCAAGCATATCTTGCCGGTCTGTTGGGTTCGCCTTGCGGTAGTCGATCAGGTCTTGCGCATACGCCCGCATCGTTGTGGTAGCTGAGCTAAACTTACGACCGTACCACAGCTTGTTGAGGAGGCCGGGGCGTGTCGGCCGCTTCATGGCTTCCGAGGTCGAGTCCTCCATGGCCTGTAGCATGGGGAGTCCGGGCCCATACAGGCCATTCAGCTTCTTCCCGAAAAGAGTGAGCGTTGTCGCCTCGAGATTCAGCTTGTTGAGCTCCCCTACGGCCGAAACTTCGTTGTCGTTCCCTAGGCCCTTCCACTTCTCGATGAGCTCGTCGGCAAGGTCCCGCATCTCGACGAAGTGGTCCTTGAGGGCTTGCTGCGACAGCTTGGGCGCCAAGATCCGATGTGCTATCCCCCAGCTCTCTTCGTTGTCGTAGGCCGTGAAAAGTGCGTCGTGTACGGCGTACCGGATCTCCACTATCGGACCACCCACATACTTCCGAAACCGCTTCTCGTCGCACAGCTCCTCGGCGATGGCCGCACCGGTCACAAAAACGATAGTTTGCCCCAGCACCTTGATCTGGAAGATCTCGCCATACTTCTCCGACAGCTTCCGCAGCGATTCCCACGTGTTGTTGGGGTCGACGTCGAAGAGGTTGCCCAAAAGGGGCACACCGCTGGGCTGCGGGATCGGGACGGACATTGTATACCTAGGTAGATACTAGTTTTGGGTGAGTAATGGTAGAATATGGAGATTTCAGGGTTACGGAAGAACTACATACATACATATCGATCATCCGTCCATCTGGCGGCAGCTTGTTATTAATGCAAACCTCGATCGCGCAACGGGTATGTAGGTAGGTCATGTCATGTTACACCGCAAGTGCCGTTATACGCCCTCTACGTCACAGTGTTCTATGTGCGACTTCGTCTTGAGGCCGGACAACTCATCTTGCAGGGCCTAGGTACGTTGAGCAACGGCACACGGTATTTCTCGTTGCTCTCCATGGCGTAACCCCAGCCCTCCTTGTTTCTTCTCGTTCGACCCCCGACCTCCTCTTCGTTCAGCTTCAGAATGTTTAAGTTTGATTGAGGTACTTACCTTACCTGAAGCAATTTTAGCAAGGTATACAAACTTGTTACGGACTCAACAGTTACTTGAACTTTCTTCTTTTCTTCTTCCATCAGCTTTAGTTTTCCTTTTTTTTTCCGAGGGGGCGGGGAAGGTTTCTAATATTGAATTAAATCAGACTCGGGAAGACAATATGCGCTGTGGCTTGCGCAAGGGTGTCGATCGTGAGGGGACTATCGAACCGCTAAGATACATTGTGTCTGTGAGCTGTTCTACGAGCCTATCACGACATGGCTTTGATAAATCACACGGGTAGCTATCATGTACGCCTTGGAGGTTGGATGTGCTGCGTGAATAGGTATGTCACTTTTGCATATCAATATCATTATTGTGATATATTATGTAGGCCAACGTTTTTCGTAGTGGCTGTGAATTTTCGTACGCATTACCTACAGTAATCACTAATGCAGGCCTTAATATTGAACTTTGAGGACTTTGATCATTTCACTGTAAGGCTTGTAAAGGTACTCATGTATCTTTAGTCATTGTGCGTAACATCCACATCTCAGGGGTAAGTCTAGGTGCGGATATATTTAAATATCTCAGCCAACCTCTTCCGTTGGCCCTCGATGAGTCTCATTTACTTCCACGAGGCCATCATGCCGTATCCTACGTTGACGTTTCTAGGGGCGCCGTCTAGGTACGTACGTGACTATTCGCTTGGACACTATACTTATATGGAAGGAACGCTTTGCCTCTTGCTCGCCCAAGTAATCTGCATGCTAAATACTAAGCAGCCCATAGATATTTGGTATTGATTGACCTTCGCTTTATGCTTACTCTATACCCGGTCTTTAGGTAGGCTTTCAGGGGCATCGAGTTCGTGTCAGATATAAAATCCACCCGACCTACCTAGTACCTAACTACCTAGGTTAGAATAGACATGATTTGATTACCTACTTGTTTGAGAGGTGATTCCTGGGATAGATAAGTACCTAGGTATACACATTGTATTAGTAAAAGGATCGATGGCTTCAAGTGTATGTGAACTGCTTTGCTGTAGGTAAGTACTAGGCATTCCTACGGTAAGGCCTGTCAAGGGTCTACCTGGGACCACATGGGAGTTCACATGTAACAAAGACAACTTACGTGTATATGTAGCTTTCGTATTCTCCGAGAGATGTTAGCAACAACGATGTTGCTCTGCGTCTTCTAGGCTCCGCCTCGTGACAAGGCCTGGCCATGCCGTTTCTCTCGTTTGGGCTCTATATCTACGAAGAGGCCTCCTTCGTCTCATTGCTGGGATACACGCGTGTCCATAGACTATAGGGCTGCAGCGATGGCCCCGATGCTTTCTTTTTGTTCCTACCATACCTGATCCAATATGTCACAAGCCGGAACGTAGAAGACGCAGAGTAATATCGCATTTGAGCGGGGATCTTTAGCATCTATTCAGAGACTATGGAGGCTACTTGGGTGTAGATCTAGGGAGATGTCTTTGCTCTAACTATCGCCCCCTTATAATCTACACTACCTTGGATAACCCTCGGGCAGACACTTGACACAACAGGTTCTGATATTGAGCCTTTGCAATGGAGCGGACCTAGAAATACCCGTACTTGGCCTTTACGAGAATTAGATATCAACCAGTCTCCGCATGCTGAATGATGGATATGTTGGTGCAAGCATATTCACCGTTCTTCGGGATAAAGGCGAGGAAGAGAGTTTCTACGACGGAGGACTTAATTGTGTGCTTTGATTTTATTTCACTTTAGGAGACACGAACGGAACGTTGATAATATCATAACAACGTTGGACACATTGGAAACATTATAATGTGGGACGAAAGAGTGTTAGGAGAATCACAACTTCAAGGTTAATATCCTATCATCTATCTAAGATTAGGTAGCTCTAGAACACTACTGTTGTACCTATCCATGGATATTTCGAAATCGATTTCATCTTTCTATTTGATCAATATTGCTATCATACTCTTATGGTGACCTTGGAAAGACGTCTCAATGAAGAATGAAGAAGATACTGCTGTGACTCTCCCCCTTTCGTCTCTAACTAAGAGCGTAAGACTTACGCATCATAACATGGACTTTCATATAAGTGTATTTAAAGCTCTGCTTGATATGATACTTAATTCAATTTGAAGAGTAACATGTTCCCAGTTCCTCGACACTCCACCAAACCACCCTCTCCTGATAGTCACGTTTAGATCTAATAGAAGCCGTCTAATATCCAGGTAGTCGTATTATAGGAGATCTAGAACTATGTAAATGTTGTCCTTAATTAGGTATCTACCTAGTAGGTAGAATAACAGGAACGCTCGGTATCTACATCAATGAGGTGAAACGTTGAAGGCTCTGCCTCTGTGGATGCAGCAACCAAGGAAACCTCACTAACACGCGCCATTGCCACTTCATGTTCTCAATGAGTGTAGACACAGATGATTAGTAGCTAAATATAATAGGTAGTAATGGCCGTTAATTTTAACTGGGTACTGGATCTGGCCGCTCCTCTCCGCACGATGACGCGGCTTTCCGCTGGCCGCCGCTATCATGAAGGAACAATATCATCCCTCGGCACTACAGGCCTATAAGGCGCTATAACCTACGAAGCCGCGCTGATGCGGGTGCGGTTTCAGAAACTTCCACTTGCAGATTGCTACAATCTATATCTCAGATATCAAACATCGGATATAGTACGGCTTCAATTCTAGAAGCTGTCTTACGTAGGTACTGAAACCATACCCCCTATTAGTACCTACCGAGGCATACTAACTAGTGGTGGATCACCATCTTCTGCGCTGAACTGCGCCGCAGCCGCGCGCTAGATGATTCTGCCCGACTACATCGTCATCAGTAGTCCTGTCGCATGACTCAGTCGTATGTCGTCGTTTGACATCGGCACCTTTTCTCCGAGAATCAACGTAACCCTGCAAAGCTCACGACATCCAAAGCTCACGACATCCACAACAAACTTTGGCTGGCGGGAATTCCCACTCGAATCTAGCTTTGATCGCGAAAGGGCCTACGCGCGCCAGGAGCCATTCTCAATGTGCCAAGCCGCTCTCTGCTGAAGCCAAACTACTTGCTATTTTTCACTCCCAGAAATATACGGCTCGGATGCCGGAACCTAGCGGTCAGCGAATTTCGATTCGGTGAACGGACATCTGGTCTAACTGTGTATAGCCCTCCTATTCTGATCCTCTTCATGAGCGACGGCAACGGAGAGCCGAGCCGAGCCGAGCGGTGCGCTGTGATATGAACACCAGCGACGCGCAATCTGGCGGTCATCATTCTCGACGCCCTTGCCGCCTGATAGTACGAAGACAGCCAGCCAGCCCAGCTACACACTGGGAGGCCTGCGAGGCTAGAGACACCGAATCTTACTCAGATCTGACAATCGCTCTTGGAAGTCTTCTCGACTTCTCTTGGGCGTCAGTCCGTGCCGCATTTATACTCCTATTTGTGCGCGGCCTAGTGCCGAATAGCCGTACGTTTCTTCACCTGACGCCCGAACCAAGCTGAAGTATAGGGTCATCGCCAAAAGCCAAGATGCTTAGCAAAGGGGCTCGTTCCCGAACCAGTACAGTCAGGCATTGGCATCGCAGGATGTTAGAAAAAGAATATTGCTGACTGGTATTGTACTACTCCTGTTCATGGACCATGGCACAGTATGTCCCAGCTGCGCTACTATCTAGATGAAAGGATCATATGACTTCGCATTAGCAGGCCACCTATGTACATACATACTAATATGTAATGAGTAAGCATCCTTGTCCCCTCTCCCCTGAAATCACTACGTGCAGGTAGGTTACGTTCCGTGAGAGGGTGACTTGCACCTCCGTGATTCGACTGCGCCGTATGCTACTACGTATAGCAAATATCTACGGATACGGAACTGCATCGCCGATAACCGAAAACTTCCATGCTCCGAGGGTCTTTTCAGCTGCTAAGGCAGGTACCTACCTAGTTACCCAGGGAGGCAGGCTAAATTGATCGTGGTAGAGAACCTTGAAGTTTTTATAATGCCAAGTCTATCGTCACGGTGTTCCTGAGCCTCCCACCGCTCTCTGGTTAAGTGATATTCATCGATTTCGCCTGACTTGTATATAAGAAGCGCGGTAGGTAAAAAAAAAAAATTGCAGTCCAATTACAGTCCGTGTATGCAAGGTAATGTGAAGGAGCCACTTTCTAAGGAGAGAAGAGTATGCGACCCTAAGACCTGGCCTAGGAATATCAAGATAATAAGATAAAAAGATGAACATTTCAACGTCATCGTATTTCCTCACACTATGTAACTGTATGCACATATTATTTACTACTTTCCGAGTATCCCTACATGTATGCACATCTATTATGTGAAATTTCGTCAAATCAAGTCAAGTGTATTAAAGGGGGACGATGCTAAGGGAGGGAGAGGGAGTTGGCATAAACCATGCAAAGTAGTTATGTGTAAATAACTAACTTAAGTAATAAGTTTCTATGATCAACTTCGTTGTTTAATTCCCATTTATTCTCTTTATTAATTATGACGACAATTACCTTTTTAGGGGCGCGATCCCGGCTCTGATTCGGTACTACATAATTTCTGATTTGGTTAATTAACTTGTTTATCCCCTGAATTGGACATTACTATAGTCGGCGAGGTGGGTCTTTGGCAATGCAGATGTTGCGATAATCACTTTCGATGTTGCAATTTGTAAAAAACTGACAAACAACAACTTTGCACTTTAGACTCTGCTGACTCTTTGAGTCTTTTGACCCTGTTGACTCCGTTGACTCCGTGGACTTTGTTAACTCTCGTAACTCGTATATAGTATTAGTATTTACGTGAAAGTAATGTACCAAGCCAAAAAGCTGCTACTACTGGAATATATCTTAACCACGTTGATAACGAACCTGGTTGGTTAAAACATCACATCACATCTCAGATTAATGTTCTACATACCGAACCTACCCGCTTACTCGTGTACAATACCTAGTTTCGATATCCCGTTCTACGGTTTCATTGGGTTTGGGTGCACTAAGTGAAAATCAGAATATCATCATCCCGCATGCCCACATGTACTGGGATGGGCATGGATTAATCATGGTACGCGTCAGCAGCCGGAGGTTCAGAATCGGAATGAATGGTTAATAGGTACAGATTGGAATTGAACAAACGCCGCGAACGGCACAGCAGTTTGATTAACCAGTTCGAAGTATCAGCGGTTTCGTGGGTCGCTACAAGACCAAATAGCTTTTTTTTTCTCCCTTTCCAAACTAGCCTACTATTGTTGATCGCCAACTCAGCACCAGAAAAGTGGTTAAGTGGCGGGCACTAGATGATGTTACTAACGGACCTAGTATGGCCATTACCTGGAACGGATGCAAAAAAGGAAGAAAAAAAAGAACGATAGGTACCTAAACATAAATCTTTTATGGATATCCCATCATCACCGAAGTGAAACATAAGACGGGCGCCAACTCGTTTTAAGCTACTTGACTCTATGTAAGTGACGATAAATGACTAGTATCTGAAATGAACGAGATGAAATGATCTGTCAAGCACGGTTGACGCGTCCACTGTAAATGGCTTCAAAGAATTGAGGGTCCTTTTTTTCTTCTGATCTCATCAAAACGGCCATGTAGTGGATGTAGGTATGTAGTTACATACACTATGCACATTAGGTCGTTTCGTTCAACGCAGCCCTGTCTTACTTACCTTCACCCTGTCTTCACAGTTTCGTCATCCAATGACCACGATATTATCCATGCAGCTATTTATACACACAGACACAGTAGACCACAACCAAAGCTGCCGCGTAATAGTGGTTCAGGTGGGGGTTTCAGACTACTTACATACCTACACTACACACTACACACTACACACCTATGTAAGGTAGGTATGCTAGGTAGGTATGTATTAGTGGTGATGAAAAAAAGACGGGGAGTTTCTCCAGGACCGGCTTCCGGGTTCTTTTGGTCCAGATTAGTTCGGCTTTAACGTCCCAGATGTCCTCAAATCGGAGGAAGCCAACGTCGCGGGTGCGTGCATTGTAGATGCCGCAACCAAACGGGCCTTTGATTAAACTTATGAAAGGCCCCCCCCTTGAGTCTTCGCCTTATGTATTCGCGTTAGGATACGTAAGTGACCGTCCTTTACATATGCACTAGGTACGCTGGTACGCTGGTAGGCAAGGGAGTTGGGATCTAATACTGGACTAAAGTAAAGGAGACGATGAAGAAAAAGGGGATCTATGCCTAGGTATGTGTAGTACCTAGGCCAAGTGACGATCCATATGTACATATCGGAGGAGGGACATTGAACTTTCTATGTATCCTAGATTGGCATTAAAGTACCGTTTTGTTTCTAGAAGTTTGTTCTAACTCTCATCACTTGTTCTCATCCCACAACTTCCAGGTCATTACCTAGCATTGCATTCCCATTTTCTGCTGTACCGCTCGTTTAGACTTTTTGTGCTTCCTATAGAACTTTATACCCCCAGAGCGCATTGCCATTACTTTGCTTTATACCGAGTTATCCATTGGGATTCCAACTATACCAAACTTGAACATATCCACAAAGACTTCCAACACACAAGAAGCACACAATGGCGTACGCTGCAAAGTATACTCCAAAGCCCATCACCGATGTCTTCACCAGTGACACAGACTTCGACCGGCGGCAAAATACCCGAACCGTTCCCATGAAGGTTCTCCTATTAGGATGTGGGCGAACAGGAACAACATGTGAGTATTATTCCCCCCCCCCTCTCTTCATAGGCTATGCGGCCGTTTAAGCACATGGAAAGAGATATACCAAGAGAAAAACAAGATTACTGATTACGTGGGACCCCCCATCACACAGCCATGAGAGCAGCGATGAAGCAACTGGGCTATGTAGACACCTATCACATGATGAACTGCTCGATCGAGAACCCGCCAGACGCACTGCTGTGGATGGACGCGCTGCGCGCCAAGTACGACGGCGTCGGCGAGCCGTTCACGCGCAAGGACTGGGACAAGCTGCTGGGCAACGCGCAGGCCGTGTGCGACTGGCCCGCCTGCGCCTTCGCCAAGGAGCTCATCGAGGCCTACCCCGAGGCCAAGGTCGTCCTCACGGGCCGCGACGTCGACTCCTGGCACAAGTCCACCATGAGCACCGTCTACTGGCGCGTCACCGACCCCGAGCTGCGCGCCCTGTCGTACGTCAACTGGGCCGCGGGGATGTACTACCCCATGCTCAAGAAGTTCTTCGACACCTTCTTCGAGGGCGACTTCCCCAACCGCGGCAAGGAGGTGTTCGTAAGACACTACGAGGAGGTCAAGGCGATGGTGCCCAAGGAGAAGCTGCTCGAGTACCGCGTCACGGATGGCTGGGCGCCGCTGTGCGAGTTCCTCGGCGAGCCGGTGCCGAAGGAGTCGCCGTTCCCGAATGTCAATGATAACAAGAACTTTGTCGCCCGCTCAAAGCGGAGGAACAGGAACCAGATGCTGAATGTGGTGGCTGGCTGGCTGGAGATGGCGCTGCTGGCCAGCATAGCGATTTACTTGGTGTTTTACGTGCAGTGGTATTACTTTAACAAATAGATGATGGGCAGTCGTGGTTTTGGGGGTGTTTTATTCATGTTTATTTTTATTTTATTGGCTTAGAGGGGTTTGGGAAAATGTTATATAGGTTACCTAGGTAGGTAGGTATAGGAGGATAGGAGGAAGGGAAGGAGGGCATTCTGGTAAATGTGTGATTATAATCCATTGCTTGAGATTTGGAGGTTTACTTCGAATGGTTACGATACCAGGTAGCTATGTTTTTAGATTTTCTAACGGGGTAGAAAATACATAATTTTGAAGATATTTACAACTTGATTTGGTATCTGTAGTTAAACCTAAGGTTGCCAGTCTCAAACCCCCATCAGCCCCCTTTCCAGGGTTCTTTTGACGAACGTTCACTTCCAAATCGACCATTCGTCTTTTTCTTCAATTTTTTTTCTTCTTGTTTCATTTAGCTATTTCTATTGCTAACATGTATCTCCAATAAAGAAAATATTAATAATTAATGCTCCAAAATAGTTCAATTATTTACTTGGCCCGGTTGGTAAACGCCAATAGACGGTCGGCCGGTTGTTCCACGCTACATACCCTATTCGGAATAATACGACCAGACCCAGTATACCGCCGATCCCCATCACTACCTGGACGGTCCACACTTCGTCGTCCATCAAGATAAAGCCCCCGGAGTATGAGATCTAGTATTATGGATGGCGTGTTAGTACCTTAAGTAGAAAAGGGAAAAAAAAGGGGGGGGCTAGGGCAAGATCGACGCGCCCAATCTCTAGCTTACCTCGCTCACCACGGTCCGCACGTCCAGAGGCGCGCTGAACCCCAGCATGTGCCCCCCAGAATGCACCGCTACCGCCCGCAGGAAATGGGGATACGATTTGCGCAGCTTGAACGCGGTCTCGAACCCGGTCCTCTTCGCCTTGCTCAGCTCTTTCCACTCCTCCTCGGTCGCGTTCGGGCTCCCAGATCCCTGCAGCACCCACTTCGACACCTCGGTCGCCCCGTTCCAGCTCACGTACAGGTTCCAGTCGCGCTCGCTGTCGCGCCGTATAGCAGACGACGGCGTCGTCGTCGGCCACCCGTGCCACTCGTACTTGTACACGCGGTACGACTGCACCTCCGCCGTGCCGAACCGGCTCTCGGGCCCAAAGTGCGTGTCGCACAGCACCTTGCCGTCGCCCGTGTACTCGGTAAACGCCGCCGAGTTGCCGTAGCCCAGCAAAACGTTGCCGTTGGGCAGCTCCTGGAACGACCCTTGCGAGACGCCGTGGATCTTGTGCGGGTTGAAGTACTCGGCGACGACGGAGACGGTCATGCGCGCCTCGTCGACGTGCAGCTTGAGCCCGCGCGTGTCGGCGATGTCGCGGTGCGCGTCGTCGACGCCGTTGTCGAAGACGGTGATGGTGTCGTTTCCCGACCACCGCGCGTCGTGCTGGTACGCGAAGTTGGTCGCCGTCCCGTTCGACAGGTCCCGGAACATGTTCCGCTTGCCCCCCAGGATCCAGATCACCTCCCCGGATGTCCCGTTGATGTACGTCAGGCTGTGCGTGTACCGCCCCGACGTCAGGTAGTTGCCCCGCGCGTCCTTGTCCACGCTGTTCATGTGGAAGAAGTCGTACGCGTGGTTGTGTTCCCCGTCCCCGCCGATGTCCCGGTAGCTGTCGATTAGGTTCCAGTGGTCTAGTGCCCGCCACTGGAACACGGCGAGCCCGGTCTCGAGGTCGATTTCTTGGATCAAACAGTCCCAGACGGGCCCCGTGTGCTGTTTGCCCACCTCGGCGAGATCTCGATGCACAATCTCGTATACCGTGATCAAAGCAGTTCCGGCGGGCGTAATTCGGAAGTCGTGCAAGTCTGCCATCAGGCCATTGGCTGCTTTGATTTCCCGGAATAATAAGTAGGATTTATCCAGCTGTTTTTTGGTGTTAGTATAATAGGGGACGGATGGCGGCTCGTAACTGTAGCGCATTGGCGATGCGTCTTACCATCATGATAGTCCCGGCGCCATGTCCGCCGACCGTATCGTCTCCGGCCCAAAATGTCAAGTAATTCTCGCCCTTGTACTCCTGCACCATTAAGTTATATAATTGCTGTTTACGCCATCCGGACGACCATATTAAATCTCCATTCGTGTCAAGAATCGTAGCCTGCGGCTGCCGTGTTGCGCCGCCTCGAGGTGTTAGTAAGGTGTATAGCGATGATTCACATGCCTCGTTCGTCTGCAGTACGTTGATCTTAGGTACTTCGAGCCCGGGGGCCGACTTAAAAACGGTTAAAGGGTGCGGCCCGTAAGCCTCATGCTCGAAACCAAAATCATATGAACTAGAAGGCGTGCCGTTGGCAGCGCCGAGGACGACGGGAAGAACAACAGCCCACGAAAGTCGCATCGTTGTGAGTTTTTTTTTTTTTTTTTCCTGTGCTAGACTTCAACTAAGACGTCGATAGAATAGACAGGGTCTCAAAGAGGGAGGGTGTAATAATAAACTGAGCATCGAAAGTCTGGGACATCCCACCATAGAAGGTCCATAGGTACCTAATTTACATTCTAGAATCCATCCCGGGCTTGTCATTGCACGCACGCACTACATGTAAGTACTCATTACACCAATAAATACGTACCTACCTACCTACGTATGTAGGTGCTCCCTATGTATGTACAATACAACATATTCATCGGGCCTAGGCTCATCTTGTGCGGGATCGGGTTGGGGGAGTGGGATGACCGGTACAGGGCATAGCTTTGGGTGGCTTGCATTGCCCGTTTGCATAGTGATAGTTAGTCGTCAGGGGTGTTTCGAAACATTACGGTGCTGACGATTTACATTATGGGGTTTCGGAGCCGCAGTGGCCTTTGTTAATACTAGTCATAGTGCAGTCTTAAGATGATTTATGCTCCACTGCGCTGACACGCGGCCTGCTAAGATCTTTGCCAACCTTGGCTGACCCTTTCCGCCCACTCTTTTCCAGCACTCATCCCGGTAAGCCCGGTCGATCCATTGCTTCACAGGCCCTTGACGCCGCACTCGACGACTGGTTGATAAAGCCCGCGCCTACTATTATGCCCTAAACCCCCTAATCCGTAGGTACCTACTATTCACCTCGCAGTTAATATATCGTAAAACATGCTGTATTGTACTTACGTGGTGGAGGGAGAGATGCCACGCGGTCGGTTATATCGGCGAGGTACCACTCAGGAGACTTGCGAACCACTAGACACTAGGTAAGAACAATTTTAACGATTTTCCCTTTTGCTAAATAGATAGGTATGTAGGCTACCTGGGTAGTAACAAAATTCATTATTTTATACCAAAATATCTTCTTACGTAGTCCAAGCATCTGGCTGAGCCACTTGTATTCGTTTAATAGTCAACGTCACTTGGCTTCCTATTCCAACCATCTACTTTCACGTTCCGGTTCCCAAACCGAGCTCTTCATTCATTAATCGTTTATAATTAATTATAATGTAATACAGTTGTCAACTCTCTGTACAACTTACATTGGTTCTCTTCATACGTTCACTAGATTTTCCTATTTAATCTTGTTTTCTTTATAAACAGCAGTAACCTCACGCCCACCCAGCCACCCCCCTCCCCCCTGGCCTTGTCATGGACAAACGTTCGGTGCGAGCACCCCATGCTAGGACGACATCGATAAGCTTGCAACAGCCGGGCAAGAGGGCCACCGACCGGCTGCCAACTACTGACGAGTTTGACAATGAGGACGAGAGTAGCGACGCCGAGTCCCTGAAGTCGAAGGGTGGCGACTCCGACAACCCGACATGGATGTCGCTACCCCGGAAGGACCAGCTGGCGATCCTTTTTCTAAGCCGCCTAGTTGACTTCCTGCAAGTCGCTTCGCTGCAGGCGTACGTGTTCTATCAGCTGAAAAGCCTCGATGGCACGCTGTCCGACGCCCAGGTCTCAAGCCAGGCCGGCATCTTACAGGGCGCCTTCACTGGTGCGCAGGTCTTGACGGCGTTTTTATGGGGCAAAGCTGCCGATGCTAGCTGGTGCGGACGAAAACGCGTGCTACTCATCGGGCTCCTTGGAACCGCCATATCGTGTCTGGGCTATGGGTTTGCGACTAGCTTTGCCTGGGCGGTATTTTGGCGTGCAGCTGGTGGTGGCATCAACGGCACCGTTGGAATCATGTAAGCTAAGCCGGGCTTTTCCTGCTACGCCGCAAACTTTGATGATCCCCCTGATTAATATGATATCCAGACGGACCATGATAGCCGAGATCACCGTAGAAAGAAAGTATCAATCCAGAGCGTTCTTGATATTGCCGATCAGCTTCAGCGTGGCAAATACACTAGGACCTTGTAAGTCTTTACGTTCCACACCACGCAATGCGGACACTCTTCTTCTAACATGACCTCTAGTAATGGGTGGCTTGCTGGCAGATCCGGTATCGACGCTTCCTCAATACTTTGGCGAAGATGCCGTCTTCGGCTTTGACTGGATTGAAAAGTACCCCTATGCCCTCCCTAGCGTTCTGAATGCCGTCACCTTAACCATCACGACTTTGATCGTGTTCTTTGCTCTCGAGGAGGTAAGTTATATCTGGAACCTCACCTTCCTATTCTTCAGCTAGGAAACTAACATACTTAGACATCGAGCAAGAGAAAGGGCAAGGAAGACGTCGGATTGCGCCTCGCAGCCCAGATCAAGGCCAAGTTATTCGGCAAACCCGCTGTCCAGGATGGTGGCTATTACAAGCTGCAGACACTGGATAGCCTCGACACTCTATTAGGGAGTGGCAAGGAAAGCGACGAGTTCTCCCCTCCCGTAGTCCACGCACCGAAGAAACGGCAATCGTTACCGTTCCGCCACGTGTGGACGCGAAACGTCATATTCACTCTCATCACCGAAGCGTTTTACGACTTCCAGCTCGGCGCCTTCACCAACTTATGGACGCTCTTCCTCTCCTCGCCGCGCTCTTCGCCCATCGAGGCCGCGTCTCGTTCACTCCCGTGGGTGTTCACGGGGGGGCTGGGTATGCCCGCGTCGACCGTCGGCGTTGCCACGTCTATCCTAGGCATACTGGGCATGGCGCTGCAGATCTTCCTGTATCCCCCGGTGCACGCGCGCCTCGGGACCCTGCGCGGCTTCCGGTGGTTCCTGCCGCTCTTCCCCGTCTCGTACTTCCTCGCGCCCTACCTCGCCATCCTCCCCTCGACATCCGAACCACCGGCGCCTGCGTCGGGCCCCGCGATCTGGATCTACATGACGCTGGTCCAGTTCCTGCAGGTCACGGCGCGCACGATCACGCTACCCGCTAGCATCATCCTGCTGAACAACTGCAGCCCGCACCCGAGCGTCCTGGGTCTCGTCCACGGCCTCGGGCAAAGCGTGTCGGCGGGCTTCCGGACGGTAGGCCCGGTCGTCGGCGGGTGGTGGTATGGCGCGGGCTTGGAAGCCGGGATGGTGGGCGCGAGCTGGTGGGCCGTCGCGCTTGTGGCGGCTATGGGCTGCATGTCCGCCATGCTTGTTTACGAGGGAAGCGGCCATGAAATCCTGCTTGACGGCGAGGCGGATGAAGATATCCAGGAATAGACAGACATATGGAATCGATTATTCCAGGGGTTATATTATGATTTGGTTTGGGGATTCTAGCATCTACTGAGAATGAGGGGGAGACGGCCATTGCGAATTTGGCCAAATGAGCCTACGGCGTATAAACAGCGTACATATTATTGCATTACGAAATTTAAATAAATATTCACTCTAGTTCACAACATCGGATGACATCTCCATCTCGGCGTGCTCGTATTCCTACCCTCCGTCGCGTGTTAGACGGGCTTCGCTAGCGGATCACGCCAGGAGCTGATTTCCGGATTGGGATTTCGCGATGGAGCGGATTGGAGCGGATCTGGGGGATAGCAAGGTTCTCCGCAAAACGTGCTCGTATATGCCGAACTGACGAGACAAGATCCAAAATTATTGCGCTTCAAAGCCAGTTTACCGTACCATCATCGCCAATGCTGTCGGTGTGCTACTTCTAATTCCCCGCCTATCGTAGAATAGGGGGGCCGTATTAGCTTCACTCTCCCATTCGCTTATAATGCGAGGAGTGGCCGCTCGTTTTACTCATACTTCTTTATCTTATCGAACACACTCATTCAGAATTGGATTAAAGATCTCGGACTTATATCACCTGGCAGAATGCGTGCGATCTCTTTCTTACTTACGACGGCATTAGCTGCCGTCACAGCTGCTAGTCCCGTTGCACCGCGACAGGATTCTGATTATGTCGGTTACCTGATCTCAACCTTCTCCGATGCAAACCCAAAGATCCAATTCCATCTTTCAGACGGAAACAGTGCAACGAACTTCAAGTTTCTAAATGGAGGCAACCCAGTCCTCGCTTCGACTGTGGGTACTAAGGCCGTAAGAGATATCTTCCTGACCATGAACTCCGCTCGGTCTGAGTACTACTTGCTTGCTACGGGTAAGTTTAAATACCATATAAAACTGAGATTTACTTTTCCTTTTCTGACTATTACATTCATAGATCTCGATGTCACTGCATCAGGCTTTTCATGGGACTGGGCTACCAGGAAGGGAAGCCGCGGAATTGTCGTTTGGAAGTCTACTGATCTAGTAAATTGGTCGGGGCCAACTCTACAGACGTATGCGTATCTCCCCTAAGCAATATTACTCACATCCTAATGACTATCCATGATCTAGTGTGGAGGCCGATACAGCCGGTATGGTGTGGGCACCATCCGCCGTCTGGGACGAGGAAACATCTCAGTACTACCTATTCTGGGCATCGCGACAGTACAGCGCCTCAGACACTGAGCACACGGGTGCAGCAACAACACTCGACACAATCCGCTACACAACAACCAAGGACTTCGTCACCTTCGGCGAGCCCGCCGACTACCTCTCGCTCCCGGACACGGCCATCATCGACCAAGAGTTCCAGTACCTCGGGACGCCGGGCGCCTTCGCGCGCTTCTACAAGGACGAGACGAACGGCAAGATCGTCCAGGAGATGACGACCGACGGCCTCTTCGGCACCTGGACCCGCCTCGACGGCTACGTCACCACCGATAACCAGCGCGAGGGCCCCGCGTGCTTCAGGGATAACGTCACGCCGGACCTCTACCACCTCTTTCTGGATGATTATACGCAGTATATCCCGTACCAGACGTCGGATATCTATTCGCCTGGCTGGAGCAGGTCGAGCACGACGGGGTTCCCGTCGGGTTTGAAGCATGGCTCTGTCACGCCGGTGACGCAGAAGGAGTACGATGCTTTGGCTGCGGCATTTCCGGCATAGGGGATTCAGAGGGGACGTATGAGGAGCTAGTGTGTATATGTACCTAGAGAATTGTCATTGTATTGGATATGACATCAAATATCAAAGTCAATATCTTTTCATTTAGTCCCTGCAAATACTCCTATTTCCGTGGTAAAAGATATTGGTCCAGATGCATATATCAGACGCCCATAGTAGAATTGTACCATCGAGCCTCATAGATTTGTAAGGATTATATATCCGAATCTGATAGGGGTGAGCGATATCAGATATGTAACACTCAAAGATCTGCTGACTGCTCGAGGCTGCGATGCCATCCTATAATGGTTGAATACTTACCTAGTATATACTATTATCACAGTAGATGACAGAACAGGCTATTTCAACTGAGGCTTCTAAAAATAGACGTAGTGGTACATATAAGAGACTTTCAAGCATTTACCCAGCTGTCATTTCTACCGGCTATTCTGCCCGGGTCAATAATAGATTGTCGAACCAGAATGTTTTTCAAAGTTTAAGCACCCCCACCATCGTGTAATTGTATATTTCGAGATAATCAGACCGCGACTTTGTTAGCTGTAAGAAGCTCGATATATGAACTCCGGTGAGGCAGGTGGATGACGGTTCCTCTGTCATCGGGCCCGGAGTGATGTTCAATGGGATTGGGCCACACAACGCGAGTTAACCACTGGGCGTGAGGCACATGCTTCTTCTTCGTTAGAGGAAGATGTGGCGACTGATGAAATCTTCAGAACTATTTCCACATATGACGGGTCAGCGGCATGCCTAAGTATACATTGAGCTAAATATTGCCGTCAGCGTATTCTCTTGTCAAAACACGGAGAACGGCAAAATAGATTCCCAACTCGGACGAGTGTTGCTTCATATTTGGAATTTGGGTATGTATGCCAAGTGTGACCGGCAGTTCCCCAGATTCTCTCATCCAGTCAGTGAATTAGATCTCTCCTCGCCAAGGCCTAGCAAATATACGAGTATTATCTAGGTAATGAACACAATGTCACTGTCACTCTCGCTTTACCATATCTCTACGCGCAAACACGATTGCCGAGCGAGGATCCAGACTATGCGCGGCTAGAATGTGAAAACCTGATCTCTGGGCCATGTGTGTGTTCCCCAGAAAAATATAGACGGCAAGGATAAGCATAAAAGGCTTCGCTATCCCCTAGTTCGATGGAACGTACCCCAGACTCCTCGGTTATCGTTCTCTTCAAGGTCCTCTTCAAGATTCATACTACTCGTCAACATGGTTAGATCATTCACTCTCGCAGCGGCGGCAGCTCTGCTGTCTGCTCCCCTTGTGAGCTCTCACTACATTCTCAACATTCGTAAGTTTACCCCCATACATTAATTGTATACCTAGTACCCAGTAGGGAGATATCATCGCTAAATAGCGTCACAGTCATGCACAACGGCAAGCAAGTCGGTGGCGAGTACACCTACGTCCGAAAGAACTCCAACACCTACATGCCGTCCTTCATGGAGATTGTCGACTCGTGGGTGTTACCTTCACTCTTCACTGTTAGATTAACCCCTTAAAGACTCCTAACACGAGAACAGCAACGACTTGAGGTGCAACAAGGGCGCCACCAGCGCCGGAACCAAGACCTACATGGACGTTAAGGCCGGCGACAAGATCGGCCTCAAGCTGTTTAACAACGAGTTCATCGAGCACCCTGGTCCCGGATTCTTCTACATGTCCAAGGCCCCCGGCAACGTGAGCGACTACGACGGCTCTGGTGACTGGTTCAAGGTGTAAGCAACATCAAAGCCTTGTAAACGTGACGAGTGTGAGAGACTAAAGAACTCCTTAGTTGGGAATCTGGCCCGACCGGAAGCCCCACCAGCACTGGCGGCTGGCCCACCTACGGCAAGTACACCATGGAGTTCACGCTGCCCACGACTCTTGAAGACGGCGAGTATCTCCTCCGAGGAGAGCACATCGGTATCCACGAGAACCGTAAGTCTTCCCTTTATACCTGTTTTACCCGAAGAGACATTCACTAACTCGGGATAATCAGACGTTGGAAAGCCACAGGTAGATGCTTAACCATCACGCCCCCCCCCCCCCCCCCCCCCCCCTATTCTCTATGTCGCGGTTTACTACTTCTCACAGGTTACTAACTCATATTACTTTAAAACAGCTATGTAAGTTATTGCGAGTTCTAACGAACTGTCTAAGGGCTAGTGCTAACAAGCGTACCAACTCAGACATGGAGTGCGCGCAAATCCGCATCACGGGCGGCACCGGCACAGCCAAGCCGTCCCCGCTCGTCAAGATCCCCGGAATCTACAGCAAGTCGGACCCCGGCCTAACCTTCAACTTCTGGGGCGGCCAGGGCGCGTACGTCATGCCCGGCCCGGCTGTGGCGACTCTGTAGATGATTTCAGAGGATGGACGTCGAGTGGTGGTGAGGGGGTGGCCAGTCTGGAGAAGTCGGTGTATGAGCTTGTATAGTGGATTGGTTGATTTGGGTGGCTTGGACTAGGTACCTAGGTTAGGTGCTTAGAAAAGCCTGGATGAAGCACTTATTCATGCTATGCTGTCATCTGCTGTAGTCTCCTTATGAATTACTCCAATAAGTGATTTCGAGTTTGAATAATTACCTCGCATACCAACCAACTTATTGCGCTGCCTTTATAGCGAATTAATATCCACCGTTATACGGCACCATTGTTAGACCGCATTATCCGTAGTTTGAAGTCCATACGCACTAGAAGAATATTTCATTTCAGATCTGGGGGATAGGTTAGTCCGAAGAGACAGAAGGGAGACTGTATATTATTAACCCCTTTTTCTTTAGTCACCTAAGGCTACAGGTGTAGCGCTTGCTCTGGCGCAGATGACCTCGACACAGCTAAAAAGGATATGGCGTGAGAAGCTGGCAGCTGCGATATAATAAAAACCCAAAGAGGATAATAGAGTTTGAAGATACACATTCATACCTACCTAGGTAGGTATTCTTTAATCACTGGATAAGTGCGGCGTTGATGATCTATCTTTTACATCACGTGATACCCCTTACAGCCACATCTACGCACCTTAGGTACCTTGTTTGTGATGCCCGACATAAAATCTTTTAGTTAAGGAGACTTCTCCCGTGATCAATCTCGACGCTTTACTTGCTTTTTAAAGTAATAGAACGGAGCTTGAAATAACTACCTAGGATGCACCCAATGCAGTGGTTTGCTTCCACAATTATTCTATACAATTCAATATCTTCTATGAAATTCAATGAAACTTCCACCCTAGCTATATTAGTATCTCACAACACACAACTGTAACCTGCCTGTCGCCAATAAGTCTCCCTTCTATAATTTTGCAGCCCTCGGGTTAGGCTTATACACAGAGACCTCGAATCCCTCAACTCCACTTTGTTTTATTATCCGTCTCAATATCTTCCCGCTTGGCGACTTAGGAATCGCCTTAACGAACACCAGTCCGCCTTTTAGCCACTTGTACTTCGCCGTCTGCTTCTCCACGACATCTCGCAGCTGGAACGCTAGCGCCGTAAGCTCCTTTTCCGTTTTATCCCCTGCGGCAACTACGTATGCGCGTGGCCACTCCGTCGCCTGGTCCTCGTCGTAGATACCGACGACTCCGGCGTCTACCACGGCAGGGGAACTGCAAAGGATCGCCTCGAGCTCCGCGGGCGCGACCTGGTATGCGCGGACCTTGATGAGCTCCTTGATGCGGTCGATGAGGCGCAGGCTACCGGCCGGGTTAATAATCCCCACGTCGCCCGTGCGAAACCATCCGTCGGGCGTAAGCGCGTCCGCGCTCAAGCTCATGTCGGGGGCTGTCTGCGTGGCATAACCTCCGGTGGGCAGATAACCTAGCATTAGGCCAGGCGAGCGTATCAGTACCTCACCAGCGTCGCCAGCCTTCGCGGCCTTGGAAGATGCGACCGAAGAGTCCTCCGCGACGATTTTCACTTCCACCCCCCAATGCGGCCCGCCGGTGTCATCGCTCTGAGAGCGCATCTCTTCTGCGCTGATTCCGCTTTGCACCGTCACGCTGCCCGCCTCGGTTAATCCGTACCCAAGCCGGATGCGGAAGCCACACCGGTCGTACACCTGCAGCACCACCGCGTGCCCGAGGGGCGCGCCTCCCGTAACCGCAGCCGCGACGCTTGCGAAATCCTTGCGACGCGCGTACGGCTCCACGAGGGGAGACTTCGCCAGCATGATCGCGATCGGCGGCGCCATGTGGAGGTAGGTGATCTGCCGTTTCGGGATGGCAGCGAGCATGGCGTCGAGCTTGAACGCCGACATGCTGTACACGGTCGACCGGGTCGGTATGGCGAGGAGGAGGACGTTCAGGAGGCCGAAGATGTGGTAGAAGGGGACGTACCCGAGCCAGCGCTGCGGACGGCCGAGGTAGAAGTCGGCGTTGTGCCAGAGGGAGGCGAGCGAGAAGCAGAGCGCGTGGTGGGAGAGCATCACGCCCTTGGATTTGCCTGATGTGCCGGATGACCACAGGATCAGGGCCGTGCGCGACTTGGGATCGAAAGTCGTGGGCTTGATGAGTTTGTGACCTGTTGGAGATGCGAGGAGTTGTCTCCAGTCGTTTTGCGATGTAGTAGTAGGCGCTGCAGGGTATTTGTCACCACCCACGTCAACGGTGTAGACCGGTATGTTTTCAAACGCTGCCTTGTCATCCTGCTTAGAGATGGCCTCTTTCATCGCACCTAGACAAGCGGTGGCGGTAATGATGACTTTTGGTCGCGCATTTTGCAGAACCCAAGCAAGCTCGTGGCTCGTCAATGCTGGCGACACCAGCGTTGCGGTAAGTCCTGCCGCGATAGTCCCCAGAAATGCAGTTGCAAAGGGCAAGCAATTGGGGACTTGGATCAGAACCAGGGGTGCAATTTCTGGTTTCTTGCAAGTTGGCGTCGGTGGGAGAGCGACAACTTCATTTGGGTTCAAGCCGTGGATGGCTTGCAATCCTGCGGCGAGAATGAGCGCATCTTTGTGGAGTTGAGATGAGCTCAGACTGTTATCTGATAAATCGTGAGTCTTGGCATCTTCAATTGTTTTTTGGAGGAAATTGTACTTACCAGTTGCCTCGTCGATTAAAAGCTTTTCTTCATTGCTCCCTCTTGGCACCCGCTGCTGCGCAGTTGTGAAGTCGCTCTCATTCTCAAACGGGTTGCTGAAAAGCCACTCGAAGAGATTAGCAGATTGGAAGCCTACGGGCGAGCTCGAATTTGGGTGAGACATATGGACCGACGATCAGGTTTGTTATGTAACTTGAAGTATTTAAACCTAACTAAATACTAAAGATTATTAAGCAGGCGTTTTTAGGTAGGTACTTTAAGAATGTGACGAGTTTCTAATTGGGATGGATGCGGTGTGATTTAAGAATTTAAAAAGGGGGCTCGTCCTAGATAAAGGTGCATGCTGTAACTAACTACCGGGTAAAATGAACTAGACATTGAAGGGGATCAATGCCGACCCCGTTGGCCATGAGCTCGTCCTGCCCTGCCGTCTACCCCTCCCACCCCAACCCCCACATAACTTCACGTCTCTTGGCTCTCGTTGGCCTTTTTTCCCTCTGGGTTTAGTGCCGACCAGGATTAGAGAAATCGAATCTGTTATACTGCGTAGTAGATGTGAGAATACCATTATCATCTTGATGTTGTGGATATTGTTAAGGATGCTTCAAGCTAGCCGTTTGATGTGCAATGTAGGTACAGCAGGCGTTCGGCACTCGAAAGGTCCCTAAATCTTCTTAGCTAAGAGAGCAGATCAATCCTCGAAGAAATAGTATGTACCTATTCATAGGTACATCTATGACAGAACTGAGATGATCAGAGAGCTGATACCTAGTCAATGAGTAGCGACCCATATTTATAATTAACATGGAGATCTTGCTTGATCGGAATTAATAATTTTTCACTTTTCCAGTTAACCTGCTACAGGATGAAGGTATACTCAAATGTGTGAGCAACCTCATAACAATGAAAACACCTGGACACAAAGGGTCTTAGACTCTTAGGTTAGTACAGTACATACCCCTGATGAATGAACCAATCAAACTTGGACAAAGGCTTGAATACTTACTCTTTCTGGTATGTACATTGAATCTAGGCCAATTAAATATTACGAGTTATTTGCTGATTATTATGGACTTAGTATGTGTACATTTTATTTCCCATATATGCCCCGCTTCTTTTCACCGAACTGCCGAGGCTCCGGATGTAACGGTATACCTAACCGGTACCTAGAATCGAGAATCGAGATAGCCCTGGAGGCTAGAGCCCTAGGAGCTAACTGCTTAGGTACCTCCAGGGCTATCTCTACGTATTAATTTAGGCACCTAACAACTTTATCACCACTTTCAACTACTCACGATATTTCTAGTCGTAGCTGATACATAGCACCCACTATCTAGCACGTATACCATTGCAGCCAGACGCGTAGATATGAAATCTCTCCACGCTCTGAACTTCAGACGGCCAAATTACCGACGCGGGATATGAACGTGGACCAGTCCCTTCCGCGTCGCGTTCATCAATGTCAAACATGTGGCGGCGTATTTGCTCGCGCAGAACACCTTCGACGCCATTGTCTATCGCGTACGGCGTCACACTAGAAAATGTGGTCATTATCAACGGGTGGTCAAGGGTGGCCATACCATAGTAGACTCGGGATCAGAAAATAGTGGCCAACATGAATCTCCCGCTGCGTGCAATGCGTACGACGGAGAAGAGGCCTCGAAGTAAGTTCTTGATAGCCTGCCCGCTCTTATAGTCCAACCTGTTATGCTAAGTAAAGCGGCCAGTTCAACTATCACCGGGACACCATATTGCTCCCAGAATCTGGAGTCAAGAGTAGACAATCCACAAATAGGTAGCGGCAATTCTCCTTCTGAAAGTTCAACTTGCGTTGCTCCAGACTCAACTCTTATGGCCCCGCCGATGATTGCTGTAGTTCCTGAGACGTCAGCAGCCTTTCCTATGTCAAGCGCCATGCTGGACACCGACGACTTTGATGACCTAGGATTTGTAGAGGACTTTCTCCTACCGGATACTACCATGATACCCGGGTATACTAATTCAATGACCTGTGAAAACGAGAGTACACTGGTGCCTTCGAGCGATGGTGGTGGGGTGGGACATTTCCCAAGTCACTCGTCTATGTCGGCTTTACCAGCCATGACGACTTCGAATATTCAGGAAGAACCAAGTGAGCCTAGTTACCTCCAAGTCCTCTCGACCAGTAATTGCGATATCGAAGAGTTCCGGAACGTATTGTATTGAATTTGCCCTCATAGCCTTCTTGAGTCATTTCGGTTTCCTACTCGATCCCGCATTGTGCGTTGTATCTTGGCATATTTTGACCACTGCGATCCGCACACACCTATCATCCAACATGCCAAGTTTAGTCTTTACGGATCACACCCAGCTTTGGTCTTGATAATATTGGCTATTGGAGCCATGTATCTTTCCGAGCATGACTTTTCAATCTCAGCGTATGAGGTGGCCTGCAGTTTACTGGATGGACACCCTATGGACCAGCGAAAGCAAACCCTAGCTGAGTATGATTTTGGGCCTCTTCAGGCCATGATACTCTGTGTACAACATGGTGTCTGCACTGCAAGAGTGACTGCCGTACAACAATCTGAGAAATATTTCGCTTCTCTTTCCAAAGTGCTAAAAGATGACATAGCTCTTTTGGAGGCCGAAAGAGCGATGCTTGACCAAAACTGGGATCACTGGTCTCTTATCGAGACCTTCTCGCGTTTAGCGACTTGGACCTGTACCATCGGTGCCATGTTGCTAACTAAGGACCCAACTTCTACCTACATGGCTCCGTATCAGTTACGCGAAGTGCCGCTTCCTCTCGGTGAAGACCTTTGGCGAGCTCGATCCGCGACTCAGTGGGCGGCTATATCTAGTTGCACCAAGCTTCATTACGATACGAATTTGTCCCCAGTGGCTGAGGCCCTCCTTCAAGGCAAACCTATACCGGATAATCTAAGCTCATTTGCTCTTATATCACTCGTAGGCTGGGCACTGACATACATCTGCACCCAAGAAAGGGTGACAATGCCAATTGGTCCCGGTGATTGCTTCCACGGTGATTTCCGGGCCAAAATGGAACGCGTTCTTCGTGGCTGGGAAATACATACCCGCCGACGTCTCAAGACTGACCGTGCCATATATCGTCTCAACGATTCACTGTTTACTGACTGTTTTTCACTTCTGGCGTCATCGTACTATCACCTTTACTTAGGCAACGAATTACGAGCCTTGAAGGAGAAGGCAGCTAGAGAAGACCCACTACTATCAGGTACCAACGTCAGTAAAGACCTTCCAGCTTTTCCGTGTATTCCTTCAGCACACAAGGCAATATTATATGCCGCCAATTCATGGCTAGTACGTGCCAAACAAGGAATGGGACACTTAAACGACACCGGATCTATCAATTATGGTGGCCATTATCTCATGACAGCCTACGAGAGCGGTATGTTTTATAGCAATGGAGGCACACCATGCGAAGCGTGCACATGTCCAACTTCTCACCATCTCCCAGCCGACATGAAGGGTTCGCAATTGCTAATGAGCCTCCTTAGCATTAATCCTGTCATGGTGGATAACAATAAGTGACGGTCCAGACCCGCAGCATTATGGGGGAGAGTACGCCACTGCTGTTAAATCAATTAGCGAAATTTTATCTGAAGCATTCATTGAAGTTGGGGATCAGGGGATTGAGTGTGGAAATACAACAGCCCGAGCTCTTAGTCCGCTCCTGTTCACTCAGCAGTGCATGTCCAATTCCGTCTATCCATGTAAGTCATCCATAAACCCATCCATAGCATTTCGGGCCAGTCTAAACGTGGTTACCTAGTTTGTCGGATACTGGAGCATCGAATTGGTTGTTTTTCCAAGTACATCAAGCTCCATAACTCGGGTTGGAAACCATGAATATGAGAATGGGTTGAACAGCTTATTTATCGACGTTTCTCATATTATTCCACATTAACCAACACCATTAACACTACGCAACCCATCTAAGCGCAATGTCAACCCCCGGAGCTAGCCAAGGTCCAGTTCTACGGCCAGCCACACTCGCCCACGTCTTCTTGCGCACCAACAAATTTCCCGAGATGGTGGCATGGTACAAAGCCGTTCTCGGCGCCGAAGCGCGTTTAGAGTCTGACCGCATCTCATTCCTCTGCTTCGACGCCGAGCACCACCGCGTCGCCATATGCGCACTCCCCGACACAGGGGATAAGATCAAGACCGGCGCTGGGCTGGAGCACATGGCGTTCGGGTTCGCTTCCCTCGACGACCTGGCGCTCGCCTACCAGCAGCGCAAGGCGCGGGGGATTACGCCGTCCTGGTGCGTCAATCATGGTATTACGATGCCCATTTATTATAGTGACGCCGATGGCAATATGGTCGAGACGCAGGCCGACTCGTTCGATAGCAATGAGGAGGCAACCGCGTACATGCTGTCGGAGGAGTTCAAAGAGAACCCGGTCGGCACGGAGGTTGACCCCGAGGAGTTGGTTAGGCGGTTACAGGCTGGTGAGGATCGCGCGGAGATTAGGAAGCGCGATGGGCCGTGTGCTGGAGCGCCGAAGGGTTGAGCTGCTTCTGCTGTGAATACTGAGTGTTTGATGTGATTGGGTTGTTGTTAGCATGAGACTCAACATTCTTTAAATAGTAAATGTCTACAATATGGCACATTGTGATAATGTTTTCTTGGATTATGTTGAATACCTAAGGCATCTATTGGAATATGGTACCTAGGTCGTTATGGCGCCTATTTATACACATCTCGACTCTACGGCATTGCGGCCTCAAACTAGGAGCCTTAGGTACCTAGATAGATACGCGGACTTTCACGTTGCCAAATTCTAGCTTATGCCTTCGAAGCTCCATAATATATCTCGATAGGTATCTCGGTACGCAATTATATTAGCCATATCTACACCACCCAAGCTACCATCGCACCAAACAACATCCTCAGCCCTAACAATATCCCCCGTTCTCGCGTGAAACTGGCGAGCTACAGCTAACCCAAGATCCTGCGCGAACTTCGCTTGCCCTATTGTCCCCCCATGGCGCAGAATTCCCCTTATATGCCAAAGCGCCTGCTCAGGGGAGTAGTTACATATAAGCAGGGCCGTGATGCACATCTCCGTATCGATGTCCGACCGAATGGCATCTTCGCTTATCCACAGCTCGTAGTTTGTCTTGATGTTAAGGAGGTCTACATGCATATGCTAGTAGTGCGCGCAAGTCAATTACTCAAAGCAATCAAGACAATCAACGCCGACCTTATGGCAGGTTAGTTACTGGCAGTAATCCGGATAATTCTTCGCCAGCCTCTCCCGCACCTGCTGCGCGGCCTCGGCACCACCCCACAATACACCAATGTACCGCGCCGCCTTCTCAGCTCTCTCGCGCTCGCAATCACGGGACTCCGCTTTCTCGGTTCTCGGGGAGTACACATCGCCCTCGTCCTCCGGAATTGCCCGAAGCAGAGGACCCTGAGCCTGGGCGGCACGTGGGACGCCGACCAGGATGGAGTCTTTCAGGATCGCCTCCTTTATCCTCCTTTGGACGATTTTCCTACTCTCTAAGGGGAGGTCTGCGGTGACTAGGCGGTATAGGTTGGCTACCTCGTCACCGGCGCACGCTGTGGTCAGAGCATATGCCTTTTGAAAGTCAGAGCTAGTTAGGGGGGCTTTTATTCGCAATTAAAGGGAAATGTAGGTACATACCGCGACAATATACCAGATGGCCTTGCGGACATCATCCTGCCCCTCATGCGCCTGAAACTCCGATAAAAAAAATCCAGCGTTGCCATGGAGGACACTCTAGGGTAAACGGGTAATAGGTAAAGGGTCGTACCAAAGTTCTCTCGGCAATACGGCTTCAGCTAGCATTTTCAGGGTGGTCAAGCTCTGGGGGCTCCTACTAAATACGGATATTGTGACGGGGTGTGTTCCAAAGTTCGGTTCGGCAGTGAGAGATGGATGTGGGGGGGTTTGGAGGAGGATTGGACTAGAGTACGGTACGCGTGCTCATCCCACATCCCCGCGTCAATACGTTCTACGTGGACTGGGAACCGGTGTACTAGGTAAATACCACAGCGTGAGGAGTAGGTAAAAATCTGGCGCCTGTATACCTACCTGCCATTGTATACCTACCTAACCGGAAGAACCATGATAGTAGCTGAATAGTAAAAGAAGTAGATTTTTCACCGCATTTTCAAGCAGATCACCCATACTTTCGCCATGGACACTAATAATTGGTCTCTCGCAAAACTACCGTATGGCCTCCCCGAGGCCACGGTCCCCGACTTCGTCGACTTGAAGCCACTTGCAGAGTACTTCCGAATCGCACTGGACAACCTGCAAGAGGACCACTTCACCAAAGGCGCAATCTGGCGGGACCTGTTTGCCCTGACCGGATCGTCGCGAACCTTCTACACGGCTCAATCCATCGCAGCAGCATGGCAGGCGACGTCGCAGACGCACTCGCCGTCAAGATTTGTCCTCGAAGGCGAGCCCCGGGTTATCCGGATGGGGACCGTGGGCTGGGTGGAAATCAGCTTCTCCTTTGAGACCTTCGGGACGCCTGCTACGATTGACTACGGGTTCGTATCTGTTGTCCCGGAGCCGGATGGCAAGTGGAGGATCTGGTTGCTAAGGACTATTCTGGAGCAGCTCAAGTCGCAGCCGAGTGTGGATTTTCTCGAGCCGGCTTCTAGTGGTGCGGTGGCTACTACTACTACTAATGGAACTCGTGGGAATGGGCTTGTTACCACGAACGGGCATGACCAGCCGCTCCAGAACGGTCAAACGAATGGCCATAAAGAGTCCTCTAATCCGGAAGACATCTTTGAGTGCGTGATCATTGGTGGCGGGCAGGCGGGCCTAAGTGTAGCTGGGCGACTCAAAGCTTTGGGTGTATCGTACGTGATACTAGAAAAGCACGCGAATGTTGGGGATAACTGGAAGACGAGATATGATTCTACCAAACGTGTGTTTTCCTTCCCCTTTTCCATTGAAAACCTAGAACTCCCGAGCTGACAGACTAAGTGCACACGATCCGGGAATTTGGTAAAGCATTACTCCGCCAAGACCTTTTTTCTTTTTTCTCGATCAACGGCTGACTTCTTATAGCTCATCTACCCTTTGAACGGACCTTCCCTGAGACTTACCCAGAGTGGCTTACGAAGGATCATCTGGCCGAGGGATATATCAAATGGGCAAAGACATATGATATAGTAAGTGCCTACCTGTCTGTATATCCCCCCTCACCCATGCCAGTAATTGACTTCGCGGACAGCGTATCCGGCTATCTACCACCGTGACCTCCGGGTCATGGGACGCAGAAGACAGCACTTGGACCCTGGAGACGCTCTGTAACGGCGAGAAGTCGACCGTGCGCGCTTCTTATGTCGTGTTTGCCGTGGGGGGCAACTCTCAGTTCCCTGTCGCGCCGACGTATGATAATCAGGTAAGAAACTCTCCGTTTTTAACGGCGCGGGATAGAGATCTAACTCGATGGTGCACGTAGGAGGCTTTTAGTGGCATCGTTATGCACTCGGGAGACTATAAATCCGCCAATGCGTGGAAGGGGAAGCATGGAGTTGTGGTTGGGACGGCGAATACCGGTACGCTTATTTACCTCAATTGTTACCCTAGGTGCCCACCTAAGGGTATTATGTGCTCAGTTGGTAATGATGTTAACGTTAATAGCACACGATGTCGCCGAGGATATGCTCCAAGCTGGGCTAGCATCCGTAACCATGATCCAACGATCCAAGACATGTCAGTCCCATTCTCTTAGAACGGGAAGTGACTATAGCTAACCGCACTCATGAGAAAAGTCGTAGTACCATCAGAGCATTACCGAGAAACGCAAGATAGTAAAGTTCACCAAATCCTTGCCTACCTATTTGATCGTTCAAAGAAGGTTATCTGCTAACAAACCACAGGGGTTTACAACAACTCAATGCCTATGCCAATAGCCGACCGGATATTCTTCTCTGGCCCATCCGTCCTCGGACGTATCTTGGGAACACGTGCATTGCGCGCCAAAGCCGCACTGGAGCCCGAGAGATTCGATGCGCTGGAGAGGGCCGGGTTCCTGCTCGATCGCGACGGGGAAGTCAGCTATTACCTCTTTGAGCGATTCGGGGGGCATTACATGGATGTGGGGACGTCTGCGAAGATTGCGAATGGACAGGTACTACTTATCTATTCTAACATTTCTTTCCCGCCATTGCCTAGCAGCTAATAACTATTTCTCTAATCTAGATCAAGGTAAAATCAGATTCCCTCCCAGTGTCCTACACCAAAGACGGACTCCTCTGCGCAAACGGCGACCACATCCGCGCCGACGTCGTCGTCTTCTGCACCGGGTTCGTCGGGAACCTGCGCGTGCTCGTCAAAGAGCTATTCGGACCCATTGTCGGCTCCCAGGTCGACGACTTCTGGGGGCTCGACGAGGAGGGCGAGGTTAAAGGCGCCTTTAAGCCTAGCGGACGTGAGTTTTACCCCGGTCTTTGGAATACCTACTACTATTATTCTAGGCGGGTGGACACTCGTTGCTAATGTGTTTGTCGCAGATCCGGCGTTCTGGTATATTGGCGGCGCGGTCGGCCAGGCGCGGTATATGTCCCGCTTCATTGCGCTACAGATCAAGGCGAAGACGCTCGGGACGCCGCTGCCGCTTTATACGCTGACACCACCCCGGAATCCGAGTGAGAAGAAGGTGTGAGGCGATTGGATGCGTGGTGGAAATAGCACGATACATTTTTTGCACAGCGGAAATATACTTCAATATATGCCTGAATATTATCTGACAATTGTTCTCATGTTATTTTCTCTTCTATTCCCGTGCCGAGGAAGCTGCTGAAGTGAATTGAAAAACGTGATAGTGTGTACGTTTATCGCAAGTTAGATACAACACCGACAAAATAATTTACTAAATCCGGGGAAATATGCTGGCTGTATCCAAAGTCGAGCAGTTCACGCCGAGGTGAAAGATGATCTTGAAATCTGTTCCCATTCCCCCTGACTACCTAGGTACAATACACTAACCAACCCACATCCCCATAAAGCGGGGGCGGGGGGCTTGCCAATTCGGGTCTGAAGAACGAGCTATACCCAGATACCGAGGCATCTATGGAGACTTACGATCTGCCGTCCAGCAATTCCAAGCTAACAACCCCTGTACTTATCACCCAGCTGGCGTCCACATATAGATGCCTGCCGGGATAACTAAACAATATCAAGACACTCCTCCCCTCTCCAATTCTCCAAAATAGCTTCGTGATTGTACATCTTTTTTACCTAGACATTCAACAATATGGCTTCTCCACGTAAATCAACCCCCCACTCCGATTTGTACTTGCTAGTACGTTCATAGGCTAATTCGATGTAATGTAGAGAAAATACGGACCCCGATAACCGATCTTTTCAAGATCCCCCACCCGGTGCTCCTGGCGGGCATGAACGTTGCCGCCGGGCCAAAACTAGCAGCAGCCGTGAGCAATGCGGGCGGCCTAGGCGTACTGGGTGGCATCAGCTACACGCCCCAAATGCTGCGTGAGCAGATCGACGAGCTGAAGTCCTCTTTAATCGACAAGAACGCTCCTTTTGGCGTAGATTTGTTGATCCCACAGGTCGGCGGTAATGCGCGGAAAACAAAGTGAGCGGCCATTGACCACCCAGGCCAAACCCCCCCAAGTTTGTTTCTATGGGAACTCAGAAGACTAACCATACTCCATAGCTACGATTACACGAAGGGAAAGCTACCAGAGCTCGTGGACATCATCATCGAGTCAGGCGCGAAACTGTTCGTTTCCGCCGTTGGCGTCCCGCCGAAGGCCGTCGTCGAGAAGCTCCACAAGGCAGGCGTGCTGTACATGAACATGGTCGGGCACCCCAAGCACGTCAAGCGGTGTCTTGATCTCGGGTGCGACATAATCTGCGCGCAGGGCGGCGAGGGCGGCGGACACACGGGCGACGTGCCCACGACCGTGCTCATCCCCGCCGTCGTGCAGATATGCAAGGGCCACACCTCCCCGCTGACCGGGAAGCCCGTGCCCGTGATCGCCGCGGGCGGCATCTCCAGCGGCAACCTGCTCGCCGCCGCGCTGATGATGGGCGCGAGCGGCGTGTGGGTCGGGACGCGGTTCATCCTCACCGCCGAGGCCGGCGCCTCCGAGGCGCACAAGCAGGCAGTCCAGACCGCCGGGTTCGACGACAACATCCGCACGATCATCTTCACGGGCCGCCCGCTGCGCGTGCGCACCAACGCCTACATCGAGAACTGGGAGAACGAGCGCCAGCAGGAGATCCGCGAGCTGACGTCGCAGGGCATCATCCCGCACGAGTCCGACCTGGACAAAGCGACCGAGGCGGAGAACTCGCCCGAGAAGGCGAGGAAGGAGGGCCAGTATGATGTCGAGACGCTGTTGGATCTGGGACAGCCGTTCCTGATGGGTAAGTGTGCGGCGCTGGTTACGGAGAACAAGACGGCGAGGGAGGTGGTGGATGAGTTTGTCGATGATGCGGTGACGGAGATTAGGAGGGGTGGGAGTTTCTTGGTCGGTAAGCTGTAGGTGTGAGCGAGACAGATGTTTTGTATGAGGTTGCGGAGGCTAGACGCGCATATATACCTCTTTTTTTCTTGCATCGATATCCTTGTAGATATAAGGTCAGTTTACAACTATGTGTGGGGACATTAATACATATGAAATATTTGCGATATCTCTTATCTTTAGAGGGTGTCAATTTTCCACTGGCTTTCGTTTTTCTTTTCCAGACCGAAATGTATACTCATCCCTTCATGTTAAGATTTTCACTCAGCGACTCTTCACCTAAACGTGAAGGTTTCATTGTATGATTCCAACAGACATCACAATACAGTATGCCCGGAAGATCTTGCATTATACTAGGTTAGGTATTTTAACTGACATCATACCGGTACTATATATCCCAATATTATCCTCCTAGTCCGCATTAATCGTCTCTATCCCAACCTGTTTAATAAGCTCAGCATGCGCTGGACTGCGCACTTTGATCTTCACCCCAAACAGCGGTTTCTCCACCGAGTCCCAGTCCGAGTTCATCCTATCAATCGGACTATCCTTGGTTCGCTCAATGTCAGTCATGCTAGTTCCAAGTTCTCAACACGTGAGAGAGAGAGAGACAGTAGACCTAACCTATCCTCCTCGAACCCAAAGCAATACAGCAAACACGCAGCCGCGATCCAGACATTATTAAAGCCAACATCATACCCGACGCAAACTCGACGTCCTAAAACCAAGCGATGATGTTACCTAGCATTCATAGCCCCCGTCTCCACCACCACCTAATACACCCGGGACCCCCTATGTACCTGTACCAAACGACCAATGCCCCTTAAGCGGATTCCTCGAATCGCCATTCGAAAACCTCTCGGGCACAAACCTCGCCGCGTCCTCATAATCCTCCTCATTCAACGCCAGCGCGTACGCATTCCACGTGAACAGCGTGCCCGCCGGGAACCTACACCCTTCATACGCATCGTCCTGTATACGTTCTGCCGACACGCCCATCTGGATGAAGGGGCGCCAGCGCAGCGCCTCCTTCACGAACCGCCGTGATGTACGGGAGGCGGTCGCGGTCGGCGAAGCAGGAGAGGCGCGCGGTGCGTGCGTGTACATTCGGGGCACGCGGCTGCGCCGGCGATTAGTTGTGTGATGGCGGTGCGCGAGGTGTCGCTCCCGGCTTCGAGGAGCATGCTGTAGATCATTAGTTTCTCTGTTTCTGCGAGCTGGAACTCTTTCTTCGATGAGCCTTCGATGAGCGCGGCTGCGAAGCATGGCTTGGCGGTGTTCTTGCTCGTCCTGTCTAGGAGGTTGTCGACCTCGCGTTGATAGATACTGGTATGAGAGCGTTGGCATGTTTTTTAAGGGGTGATAGATCGATCGCAGAACATACGCTAGAGCGCGCCTCAGAAAGTCTTCGCCGTAAGGCCGCCACCACTGCAGCGGCTTCGGCAGACGCGCCAGCCAGGGGAACAAATTGCATTGCTTTTTCGTCGCGCTGAAAAGGAGCTCGGCAAACTCCTTGACGATATTGAGCATTTTCGTGAGCTGCTCGTCCCCCAGCTGTGCCCTTCGTCCAAAGATTACACTCATGATCACCGAGTCAGGGAAACGCTGGTTCGCCGTGTAGAACTGGTCTGGCGTGTGGAGGTAATCCCACAGCAGGTGCTTCGCCTCGAGCTCCTGGAACGGGATGAACTTGGTCTCGGCCTGCTGGCCGTTCAGGATCGAGTGCATGATCTTGCGCTGGCTGCGCCACTGGTCGGTGTAGCCAATCAGCAGCATGCGGGAGCCGTCTGAGGCGATGTCCTGGGCTATTGGTTTGTAGGGATGTGAGGAGTAGACGCTCGCTCGCTTCCCGAGGAGATCCGTCACCACGCGAGCTGAGTTTAGATAAATTATGCTTTTCCCACCAAGACGACATGTGAACCTGCAGCAGCCGTTCAGTATTGAAAAATATGGAAATCCGTGGCATTGTGTTTAAAAGCAGTTTTCATTCACATACATCTCGCCGTACTTCTTCGCCATCTCATGGCCCCACACCCCAGCTGGGAACGGCACACCCAGCGTGTTGCCAATGATAGGCCATCCCGGAATCGCCGGCGGCAGCTTGTACTTTGCCTTGTATTGTCGGCGCGATAGCAATGTCTTCACAATAATGGCGATTACCACTACCAGGACCGCAATGGAGGAAGGAGAAAGGCCCGTCATCGTTTGTGATACCTACTCGAAACCGGACGAAACGGGCGAAGCGAGAAGGATTGTGGTGATTATCAAATGTTTCGTAATAGGAGTATGCCAGCTTACAGACCACGCCTTAATAATGCTTATAAGTCTTTAGTCATCGCTGTTCATTGTACTGTCGTTGGTCAGCTACACGGCGGTCCACCCCCACATACCTAGCAACATACCTAGCAACATACCTAACATTGTGGGGGCGGCGCATGTGGAGGTAGGCAGTCAGCCCGCAATAGGGGCTACCGTTAGGTATCCATTTGACGTACACAGGCAGGTATTTGTATTGTAGGATTGAACGAGGTATTCCTTATACCCAGATACCTTTCATGATAGATTACCTCCTCATCTCTAAATTATTCTAGATTAACGATCGGAAACGGACTAGCGATGGAAGACCCTGTTGACGTACAAGTGGCCATTGTCGGGGGCGGCTGTAAGTGATTGTCGTTCTCAGCTTGCCACCTACTACCTACCTACGTAGAATCAACTAACCAACTCTACCTAGCTTGCGGGCTCAGCTTGTCTATATTCCTCTCGAACCTGGGTGTTGATCACGTCTTGTACGAGCGACACCCTGGAACCTCTATTTTCCCCAAAGCGCACATTATCAGTCAGCGCACGTTGGAAATCTTCAGACAGCATGGTTTCGTGGACGATATTATCGCCAAGGGCACGCCTCCGTGGCAGATGAATCAGATCATATGGCAGACTTCGCTGGGGGGTGATGGTCCGCTCGATAGAAAGGTGCTGGGGTCCATCGCCAGTTGGGGGTGCGAGGAAGGGAGCGAGCGGAGAAAGGTTTATGAGTGAGGGCCTGCTTATTGGAAACTTGCCCGCTTTGAAGAGACCTCTGCTAATATGAACGGTGACGTAGGAAGTCTGCCCCTCATCTGCCAACCAATCTCCCCTTACTCCGACTGGAGCCTGTTCTCCGGGCGACAGCGGAGAAGAGAAACCCAGGGAAGGTACTCTTCAGCCACACCGTAACAGGCTTTGAAGACACTGGTAGCCATGTCCTTGTTAATGTGACAGATGGCAAAGGTTCTCAAAAAACATGTCGAGCCCGCTACCTCGTCGGCTGCGACGGCGGCAAGATCGTAGGGTCGAAACTAGGCATCAAGATGGAGGGGCCCACCGGACTGCGCAAGATCGTCTCCGCCCACTTCAAGGCCGATCTGTCGCCGTACTGGGACGACCGCGCCAGCATCCTCCACTTCGCGAATCCGGAGTACGGTCTCGGACTTCGGAGCGGCTCCTTGCTTCCCGTGGGCCCGACCTGGGGACGGTTCTCGGAGGAGTGGCAGATGCACTTCAGCACCGGAGTCGACGGGCCCCCGTTCCCGCGGGACAGTGCGGAGGACCGCATACGCAAACTACTAAAACTACCGAGCCTTCAGATCGAGATCCTGAGCTTCAGTAACTGGGATTTGGAACGGGTATTGGCTGATAAGTACCAGTCCGGTCGCATATTTGTTGGCGGAGACTCGGCGCATCGCCATCCACCCACAACTGGGATGGGTCTCAACGCAGCGGTGCAGGATGCGCACAATCTAGCCTGGAAGCTCGCCTATGTCCTACGAGGCAAAGCACCCGAAGCTCTTCTCGATTCGTACGAGGCCGAGAGACGACACATCGGGCGACGAGTCTGCGACTGGGCTCTCTTCACGTCCAAAACCCACAAACTGATCTCGACCGCAATTGGCCTCGAGGAAGGGAAAGAAGAAGCGAACCGGGCCCGCCTGGCCCATCTCCTAGACGAGGATGACGAGATGGGAGTGGCGGCTCGGGCACAACTACAGCATACTATCGATGGCCAGTCGATCGAGTTCGGGGCGCACGAAATGGACCTCGGTATCAGGTACCCGTCAGGGGGAGCTTTTCTGCCGGATGGAACTCCGGCACTCGCGTACCACCCGCGACATCAAATTTACACCCCTACCACGCGCCCGGGGCACCGCTTACCGCATGCTTGGGTGGAGCGCGGTGGCAATCTCGTATCAACTCACGACTTGGTCGGAAGTGGTGGCGATTTTCTTCTCATCACGGGCCGCGGAGGATCGGGGTGGGCCCAGGAGGCACGGAGGACGGCCGAGTCTAGATCAATCGGCTTGCGATTCGCTCAGATCGTCGGCCCGTTGGAGAGGACACGAGAAGAGGACTTCTGCGACGTGTTCACGCAGTGGAAACAAGTAAAGGAGATAGAGGACGGGGGCGCCATTCTGGTCCGCCCTGATAATGTTGTTCTGTGGAGGTCGATCAGCCCAAATGTGACGGACTTGTCCGTGGTGCTTGGGAAGATCTTGGATAAGCCGTAGAATTGCCTGTATCTTGTTCTTGTATAAGAGGATTATGTCTCCATTGTATATAAGTAAAAGGTCCACGCTTCTCAAAATTTGTACCTATCAATGTAAGTGCCTACTAGGTACCTGAAATCGACATAGCGCCGTGGTTCAACTTTGTGACCTTCGACATATTCGGGGACCCCGGGTTTGGGGAGTCTGCGAAATGCGCGGTACCACCCGTTGATCGCGCTGCTATTCTACAGCGTCAGGGCGGCATCTTTTGTCGCAGCCACAAGGTTCTATCTGCTGGTGGCGTTTGCGCGGATGAAGTGCATACCGGCGACGCTGCGGGAGCATTTCCAGCAGATCGTGGAGAAAGCGCGGCGGCGGCTGAATTTACGAGCAGGAAAGGCCGGATATTATGTCTTGTGTTGCGGTGGGAGATGGGGAAAAGGGGCTCTGGATTGGTGGAACGAACGTGACGTTTATGGTGCTGTCGACTGCGGGGAGCGAGACGACTGCTACGGCTTTAGGGGGGATACTGAATTACCTCGTGAGCCACCCTCGATAACTGGATATTCTAATACAAGAGATACGAAGTCAGTTTAAGACAAATGAAGATATAACACTAGATGCATTACGGAACCTTCATTATCTAAACGCCACGGTTAATGAGAGGTTGAGAATATGCCCCCCTATACCCTGGGCCCTCCCGAGACAGGTACCTACGGGCGGTGATACAGTGTGTGGTAGATGGTTACATGGCAGAGTGAGTACTGGGCATATGAATTGTTTACGAGTTCAATCTATTCTGATATTTCACTCTCATTAGAATTCTCTCTCGATACAAGCCTACACTGTTAACCGCGACCCATCGTAGTTCCACCAAGCCACGTCTTTTCATCCCGAGCGTTGGCTCCCCGAGGCTAATAAAGACCTCAAGTCCCCTTCTTCTATGATTAGCGACAAACAATCCAGCCGTTCAGTATGGGGCCGTGGTCATGCATGGGGCAGCATCTCGCGTAGGCGGAAATGAGACTGATCCTCTCCAAACTACTGTAGAGGTTTGATTTCGAGGCAGTGGAAGGGGAACTTCTAGAGTGGGAAGAGTTGAAAACGTTTCTGCTTGTTGAGAAGAAGCCCATTGTAATGAAAATCAAACTGCGGGACCGGCTGGCGCATCTACATTCTCTGTATTTAATGAATTCTCCGTTTGTTCATACTTCTCTTCTCTGATAAAATTCCTTGGTCTCGGGGGACGCCACTGATAAGCACAAGAGGTACGTACAGGTATACTCGAAAGCTCGTCATGGGATAGGGCTGCCAGGTAAGTCAGTACATCGATATCCGAGTTAGGTAAATGGTTGTATCTTGAAGATAAAGAACTTACGGATGGGCTCCCCTTTGCGTCTAGCCTTGATTGTGAATCCTTCGTCTTTGGCAGTCCATTTCTTGTCTAATTCTTTTTCCGGGTCTTCAACACGGATAGTGACTTTCTCATGTGCATAAAGCGTGGCGCGCATGATGAGAAGTTGGCGGTTATCGAGCGAGACCAAACGTCGGTTGGTGACATCCATAGACGCATCACCATGGCGCCGAATAGGAACTACCCTCATTTGATCGAACCGCTCGCGAAAGTGGGCTTTCCGATTCTCGAGGCTCATTTGGAGCAACTCTTGAACGGTATTGTAGACACCATACTCATCCCAGGCACCTCCAATCAGCTTTCCGACGCTGTCCTGTGAAAAGACAATGTCACCTAGGTCTACTTCGACTTTGGACCCTGGAATCAGGTCATCGAAGCCGACAGTCGTGAAGAAAGGGTGGTCTACAGAAATGAGCGTATGAACGACGACGGTGAACGTTGAGGAGGGACACATACCGGCAGTAACCAACCGGCTATTCAAAAGGTACCACATCTTATATGACCGTGGGAAAGGTCCTCCCAGAAGTCCTGACCAAGACTGATAGTGTAATATTGAGCTGTCAACGTTTTGCCAAGGTAATCAGGACTAGACAGCAAACCAACAATTCTTTTCATATTCCCAGCAGAGGTAAAGATAGTCACCTTTTCTGCCGCGATTTAAATCATCTGTGCGCCCATCGCCCTCGGTCGTGTCTTCAATTCTGCTGAGCCAGACACGGACAACAGCTCCGAGACCGCCATATGTGTAGAAGGCGTGGAGATACCTGTAAAACGTCTTGCCATCTCCTTTTGATATGTCGGCAGCGTGGAAGTCATTAATCCTCGTAATCTCTACACCAAATGCAGATGCTGCCTCTGAGCGCCTGTAGTTGTATTCCTCTACGATGTACGAGTACTCGCCTGGGAAGATTTGTAAGTAACCTTGGCCTTGGTTGAGACTACCAGACGTTGAACTAACCGCCCATTCCTTTGTTGATGTCATCTAATGTAGTCGGACGCCGGTCTCCATATTCAATGGAAACAGTCTTGATGTATTGAGTCATGATAAGCCTTGAGACGCAATTGCTATTCGTAAAAATACGATGTGGAAAGATGATCAGCCTCTGTGTAAGAATAACTCCTGAGCCCTTTAATATTGCTCCTAGATGGCCTATGTATTGTGACAAGGGCTTGTAATCAGGAATTCAATTATATTATAACCTTGGGATTCTCTAAGCGTCTCGCAGCCCATAGTCCTCCCTCCCGCTATCGCGGGTGTATACGACTGGTGCCCTATTTATGCCCATTTCCTAGGTTGCATTCCTATTTGTACCATCTATGGCATTGGGCCTTCTTGCAGATGGGACCGAATCCCCTGGCATCACACGCTGATTACCTAGTGTCAAATAAGCGTTTCTCATATATATGGTGCATATGCTATAAGATGTGCGCTTGAGAGTCACCGCTCGGAATTTCGCATATACCTACCAACCTTGGAGCCTAGTAGGCTGATTGGTACTAAGTACGTATGCTTCTATCAACCCCTCGACACCAGTGGTCGTGTGAAATATCTCTACCTAGGTAGGTATACTTGCTTCAGAGAGCAACGTCCAAAATGTTGCCATGGTCCCCAAGAAGAGTCTGTAGGCGGGGAATACGAGAAAATAACTCATCAGGCCGTCACTATTCGACAGCCTCGTCGTTCTAACAACCGACTTAGGTAACCAGTCCAGTCAATATATTTTCAAATGCCACCGCATGCAGCTGCCACCGTTGCAACCGAGGGACCTGTGTGAAGATGATTGGACAGGGGATGGGTACAGTTCTACCCCTTATCGTCCTGAGCGACCATCCACTAAAAGGTTCGAATAGACGATATTGATTGAACCCTTCTGTATGGTGATCATTGTCATTGATATGCTGTACCGTCCCGTAAACAATGTCTGTAAACCGGTATCATAGTGGCGGTGGGGTGCTGCTCTCAGTTAGTAGTAAGAGCCGCTAAGTTGGTTAAGGTGAAGCTTTCTCTGGACAGTTCAAAGATTTCGTGAGGCGTTAGAACCCAACATCACGTGGTTTTAAGCTACCCTAGATATGTACCGGAGTAGCAAAGATTAAGTAATGACGTCACTCACAGTTGTGTAACAGCATGACATCATTAGGGACTCTTCAATAACATTCAACACTTTTTCTCACATTTAAGTTTTATAAACCTCCTAACCTACTTACCAGCTACTCATAAAACTTAGAAAGAAGTTATTATTAAGAAACCTCAAAGTCTTCGGATTCCACTACGATTATACCACATCTCCAGAATATCCCAGTTGTTACCCAATCCCTAAAATACTATCCACAATGGCTTCCACCGGAAACCCCACCAGCGGCCTTGGCCGCGAAGAGCAACTCCAATCCGCCGCCGCATCCGGCATCGGGAAGAGCACCGTCACCGCCGACGGGTCCGTGGTGACCTCCACCGACCCGACCACCAACCCGACCGCCCCCGCCGGACAGAAGCTCAAGGGCGACGTCAGCGGCGCCGTTAGCGGCAGCATCGGCAGCATGCAGGCGGCCACGGGCGCACTGCTCCGGAACAAGGAGATGGAGGAGAAGGGCCGCACCAAGATGCAAGAAGAGGACGAGCGGCTGGGCGCGAAGCGAGGGGTCATGCCTGTGGGCTCGGGGCAGAGACATACCACGGCTGACACGACGTCGAATGTTTAAGTTGAGATGGCTAAAATGGGCTATGGAGTTTACACGGTCAAAAAGGAAAAGCGCAAAAGTCGAGATGGGCAATCGAAAAATTGGATTTTCACCTAAACGAAAGGTCACGAATGAATAGAATGTGCAATTATGTTTAATGCTAAGACTAGTCCTACTATCACAGTCATGGACAGCCACCATGATGCTATGATGTATGGAAATGTCTCAACGAAGAGCAACCTAACGGGCTTTACTTTTTTCAATCCCTAGTATGGATAGCAGCTGCCTGTCATCTTACCATTATCATATCAATTGATGCTTTATACCAGTGGTTACTTAGATAGCCAATTAGCTCTCCATAATGATGCAACTCATGTAGGACGACTGATTGGGGATTTGTCGAGGAATATGCATTTCGTCATGACTTCTGCGCCTTTGACTTTCCAGATCATTTAATACCTACCTAGGCACTGTACAGGTTACAAGAATCATTGGTTCCCACCTACATATACTCAAGCTTCCACCCATAATGCATCGTTACACTTTGATCGAAACACCACGACGTCATGATATCACCAGTTATCCGAGCCGTCTCTCACCATAAGAGGCCGTTATCCACCAACGCCCTCAAAGCAACTACGTTACTTTCTCGTTCATCATTGCTTTGCTCAACACCACCTACACATCCACAGCGCAAATCCTACAGAATAATACAACCTGTCCAGTCTACTAGAATGGCGTCTAGCAACCGCAATGAGTCCTTCACCCGTGACAAGCTCTTCGACCTAAAAGGGCACGTGGCCCTCGTCACAGGCGGCGGCTCAGGCATCGGACTGATGGCCACGCAAGCCTTGGTCACCAACGGTGCCAAAGTGTATATCACAGGGCGCACAAAGTCCAAGCTAGACCGCGTGGTAGAGCTGTACTCCCACGGCAACGATTCCATCATCCCGCTGCAGTGCGACGTATCCGACAAGAGCCAGATCGCGGACCTCGTCAAAGAGGTGTCATCCCGCGAGAAATGCCTGTGCATCCTCGTCAACAACGCAGGCATCAGCGGCGCGACGCTACACACGGAGTCCGGGTCGGCCTCGGAGATGAACCAGAACCTGTTCGAGGCCGAGAAGTCGACGTTCGACGACTGGACGGACGTCTACCGCACCAACGTCGCGCAGATCTTCTTCACCACCACGGCGTTCCTGCCCTTGCTCCAGAAATCGGGGGACATGTTCCCCGGCTGGTCGGGGACGGTGGTCAACATCACGTCGATCAGCGGGCTGGTGAAGACGGCGCAGCATCACTTTGGGTACAACGCGTCGAAGGCGGCGGCGATCCATTTGACGAGGATGTTGGCTGCGGAGATTGCGGCGAATGAGTTGAAGGTGCGGGTTAACTCGATCGCCCCGGGAGTGTTTCCCAGTGAAAGTAAGTAAAGCCAGTGTCGTTTTTTCCTGCCTTGAGTGTAATTATGGACATTTCCAATATGTCCGATTTGCCATATCGAGTACTAGATACTGACCGAGCATGCTATAGTGACGACGGAGGGCAGCAACGAGAGCCAGAAGAGCCACATCGATCGCGAGAAGTACGCAAAAAAGGTACCCGCAGGTCGACCTGGCAAGGACGAAGACATGGCGCAGTCGGTGCTATTTTTTGCTGTAAACCAGTATCTAAATGGCCAGACATTAGCTGTTGACGGGGGATATACGTTGGCGGCTGGGGAGTAATGTAATGCCAAACATCCACGATTGAGAACAGTTATTTTTAATGCCAGCTTTTGTAAGCCTCTAGATAGTTGATACTCGTTCGCGAACTATGTGCTTTTTGACCCGCAGTCTCTTTCAATCAGTTGCGTCGTCTTTGAAGTAACATGAGCGAAGATAGAGTAACATACTGATCTTCAACTATCAATGCAAAGAGTGACGTATAAGAGAAGAAAGAATAGCGGTAATGCTCGACGGGTAACTTGAAGGGACCAATATAACTTATAGATTCGAATGAGCTCTGTCTGCTTTCGGAATGATCGAGATGGGCAGGGCCACTCATTCTCCAGCTAAACGAAGTCGTACGATAGCGTTCCACGACGTCTCCTTTGCAGTTGAATTATTAATCCTAGAGGTTAATATAGTAAGAATCTCCACAGCCACGGATGAGACAGGATCGTTTCAAGCAGTTGTCCATGTCAATCAACTGCGAATGCGAACAGTGGCGTCAGCAAATCGGTGCACGAGTATTTTTAATCATTCTTCCATAAGCCGTATGCAGGATTCATGGAGATAGGGAATAGGGGTTAGGCTTTGTGGCGTTTATCGTCTATGTGTTTTCGTTGACTTGAGTTGCCATATACCACGCCTCTGGATTAAGGGGTGGGAAGTGTCCTCCTATGAGATTGGGGTATCGATACTGCTTGGATACCTACTAGAAAACAGTTATACGGCAGGTAAACACCTATCTTCACTTACTGCACGTAAACAACTATTTAGATACCTAAGAGAGTGCACATTAACTTAATAGAGCTTCATTGTGCTATATCTATCTAGTATAGGTACATACAACTCTCCACATAGTCCATTCACAGCAATATTAATCAGATCCTTCATATACAAACACTAAGAGACCAATATCTTCAAACCACTAACATCATCATGCTCGCTCCTCACTCAATCGTCGCCATTCTCGGCCTAGCCGCCCTCACCACGGCATAGTCCTCCTGCGGCGGCGGGGGATCGTTCAAAGTTGCGGATATCAAGTACGTCCCCTTTGTCACCATATATCCTTTCACCCTTTCTTCTGTTCCCCCTCCCTTCCACCATCCCACAAATTCCATTCCCCATCTTCTACATCCCCCCCCCCCCCCTCTTAAAAAAAACACTAACCCTCCCATAGGACCACCCCGAGACCCTCCCCCCGCGCACAGCACGTACCACCGGGTAAGGCAGCGGACAAATCTGCATCGTGAACCGCGCGCCCTCCACCACGGTCACAATCGACGCGAACATGGTTGAGCTTCGCCATCAGCGGCGTGAAGCGCGACTGCTGCACCAACGCGCCCCCGGGCACGCACCCCGGCGGGAAGCCGAACCAGGGCAGCTGCTTGGGGGGGTGGCAGGCGAAGATCACGGCAGCGACGGGGAATGTATTTGATCTGTCGGTGCAGGCGTTGGGGCAGGACTGTAGCGCTTAGGTTGGGAAGTCGGTGTACGTATTGCTACAGCACTCATTTAGTTTTGCTTTATATCTCCTTCATCTTATTTATTTTAGAAATAATTATATTCATCACCGGTCACCACACTTTCAGGAAACTTCAGTGAGTGATAAAGATACCGCGATCATTATTTTTGTAGGTTCCTTAGGCGCCAGAGCTCCACCAGGCCGGGTCTACCTTGGATATTGGCGCTGCGCCATTGTAGTTGGGAATAAACCAAGCATTATTCCTCTCATACTTCTCTCTTTCGATTGTAGCATACCTGCAACATTATATCGTGCTGATGAGATATATAGTTACAGGCAAATCGAAGCAAACTGGTGGTTCAGCTGGCACCAGGGTTAGGGTTAGGCACCTATTAACTCGATTTCTTCCCCGATTACCCCCCCCCCCCCCAATCGTCTCTCGATATGCCTAGTCCCGCCCACCAAAGCCAATCAATTCATAATCTTTGTCTTCATTACCCCAGCAACATAGCCATAAGCTTATTCTATTCACTCACATTCTGCTGTTAACGAGCGAGCTTACTTTGTCCTCCGGCAGGAATAGAGGGAATATAGTTACATCTTAACCTTGTTCCTAAGCCACGAAGGATTTCAGTTTTACTAATTCACGCATTAATCAGCACTATCAGCACTATCATAGATAAACACTTCCTACCTCATCTTCCCTAAAGAAAATAAAATAAAATCAACCGGAACGAAATTAAATCCACGTGTAAAAAGTCTTCGTGGCGTCGCATCTAACTCCCAAAACCCAGCGACCAAAAAAAAAAAAAAAAGTTCAATCCTACGACATGTGCTGTAAGCATTCTCGACCAATAGTTAGGTACCTAGTTAATAGATCGCGAACCGAAACAACCGAGCCAATCCATGTCCATTAGCCCCCAGCAAGCAAGGCCCCAGCCAGTCAGCCAGCGCAAGCTACAGTACACTAGCAGCGATGCGACGGCGGGCGACTGCGGGCCCCGCCCGCGGCGGAAATTCTCCATCCATCTAGATTCCAGCCATGCATGTGTACCTAGTAACTACCTAGCTATACCTAGTAAAATTCTCGGTAGTTAGTTACATGACTACTAGGTATTATGGGTGGATTCCCCAGATCGACGGGTTCCCATCGATCCACCTACCGCCATCTACGGCACCTACCGTAATTACTGCACATACTGTAACTACATCAACATGTGACAAATTACCTTACCTTACCTACCTACCTACCTACTTTCAATGTTCCCTCAATGGCATAAGCGTACCTAACGTACCTGGGTACCTACCTACCTACCTAGGCAAGCATCCACGTTATATAATTTGACACCATGTAACTAAATAAATAATAAGCAATAGATGCAACTCTCTACATAGTTACCTTTACTACTAAATTCCCACCTCTTAACAACTCAATAATCCGCAACCGCGGAAAGTTTTGACGAGGAATACGACGTGCGTATAAATATCACCTAAAATGAATCTAACTTACCCATTGAAGGGTTGCCGTAGCAAACAAAATAGCGAAATAATTAGTAGCTGGCTACCCAGGGTATTGAATATGCACAGCTAAAGAGATTAGAGTGGGATGACATCATAGGCTAAAAGATCTAATCAAAGGAGATACCCTTAAAAAATCCCACATCGCCCGCTGCTGATCCGGCCGTCGGTACGCCAACGACGCTAAGGCAAGGGACGGGAATGGCGGCGTCGTAGCGTGTACCGTGGGGTTGGGTAGATTAGGTAGATTTGACTTCACCATTGTTGTTGTAAGCGTACATTAGTTGACTAGTACAACTTCCTAGCATGTCTCTATCGATGCATATGTCGACTTTAATGAAGAATGACGTCGAGCTTCAAACATTCACGTAAGAGGTTATCTTCTAAGGAAAAATGTACGCTGATGTGATTGTGCAACAACCAAAATTGGCGTGCATGTGACACTACCTATACATCAAGATCCTGAAAATCGTACGCCACGATCAAATTATGGCGGCGCATCTACTGATTCTCAAGAACATCTGCAGGTTGAGAGGAATATACGAATCATGAAAACATGTAGTTCTCCTGCTTCTTCTCTGTTGACAAATCCAAAAACCAACCCAATCCAAAGCCCGTTTCACTCTGCTGGGCCAATAAACGCCATGCATATGCAGAGGTATCCGTGACGGGGTGAAGCCCCAATCTGACTGAAGCCGAACCAAACCAAACTTGACCAACCGACCGGCCAACCAATAAACCAATAAACCAATAAACCAAAAAATAAACCAAAAAAGACCAAAACCAATGAACCAATAAGCCGACCGAGCTCGTGGGGCTGAAAATGAGATTTGTGGAGTAGAGTAACCATAAAGATAGGAATCTGCTCACTCCGGGTATCATTGTAATTCCGTCATGCTGTGAGTTGGGGGAAGACAAAGTCCCCCGGTGTATCTTCAAAGTGGTGTCGTAAAAGAAACCAAAAACCCCGCTGACAAAGGAAAATGAAATGTATCGTCGAGACTGAATTCGAATCGTGGTCGTTTAAACCAAAAACCTGAGATGAAAGCCATTATGCAAAAATAACAGAATACCTCAATCTATAAACCCCTTATGCTGGTAGGTAGGAGTTTGTACCGCTCATGGGACAGCCTATGCCTGGCTGATAGTCCAAGAATGCGGGAAATAGGAAGGTCTTTTACATATGGGGATTCATCCAAACCTTGTCGAGCCAACCAACTTTGTCGAAAGCTGTCCAAAGCTTTGAGGCCTTGTTGACATCGATTTTGCAGGCCTGCTGCGCATCCGTCTTGCGGAACTCTTTTCCTACGCCAAGACATTCTAGGCGTCTGATGAACATCCTCCTCTTGCTAGTGAGATAGGTAGCACAATCAAGTCGAAGGTTGGCCGCAAGCGCAATCTCGTCGGGATGTAGGAGGTGACGATGTGGATCGCAGCTTAGGTCAATTGGGGTTCCCTTCCAATCCACCTTGAGACTGTTCGCTTTGCGCGGGAGCGAGTCGGTGGGTGGGCAGTAGTTTGGAAGAGATTCAAAGTCCTTGTCTTCACGATTCGGAGCGACTGCGCGGCGTGGGGAGGGGTCAGGGCTCGTTGCACTGGATAGGCGATTGGGCTGAGACGCGGCAGTGGGCGGGTAGGATCGAATCGGACGCGGGGCTGTAGCATGGGATTGCGAGGCCTTCACAACCTTGGCGGGTTTCGCAACCTTGGCACGTTGTGTCTCCTTTCGAATTTGTTGCGGCTTGGCAGGAAGAATAGGCTGAAGTTTAAGGGGGTTCCTTCGTGCTCGATCCCGTCGGTCCGCTAGCAAGAACTCACGCTCTCGTTTCAGCCACGCCTTTGGATCTTTGCAATATTGCTTCATGACCTCCGAATGGAAATACAGGAACAACTCATAATCCTCCCGCTTTGGTGGAGTTGCCTCTCTGAAGAAATCTGCTGGTCGGGTATTGACGTGTTCATCCACAAGTCGGCGGACTTCAATCGAGTCGTCTTGACTAAATAATGGTCGCTGTTGAGGCGAGTTGGTAGCATCTTGGGTGGGATACAGAATAGGATCCTTGATAGGGGTGACTGTCGACGGGGCATCGGCAGGGTGGTCATCAGCTTTAGTAGCAGGCGAGATAGGGGGAGATAGAGGTGGGATTGGACGCAATCGTCGAACGTCGGAAACAGCTGGACCCATCGAGTTCGAATCGCGTCTTTGAGAGAATGAATCAAATCGAGGAGGTTCAGGTGGTGACATCAAATTACTGATGTCTAGAGCTTTCTTGACTCCCGACTGGACTGATGGGGCGAAAGGCGCCATGGCAGTCTTGTCCACGTTGCGTGTAAAAGTTGAAAACTTAGAAGGCGAGGAAAAAGAATTGATACCAGTTGGCGATGTTGGTTTGTCAGCCATCGTTGTGATTCCAATGGCTGTGGGTCGACGCGAAAGCGAAGTGGCAAAATCAGGCAGAAGCCCAATTGCGTATAAGATGAATCAATTCAATTCAGTGGAATGGAATAGAGGTCCCGCAGAAATGTGGTCAATGCGACAATTCTTGCGACCGTGGCGGGCGATTATTCTACTGATTAAATTGATGAGTTTCAGGAAACGAAATAATTGTAGAATGGTAAAATAGGGTTGAGAGGAAGAGAATTGGATCGAGAAGAAGAGGATGAAGGGGAAGAATAAGAAGGAATTGGATGGTTTAAGTACCTACCTAGTAAGATCAATCCGGTTGATAAGGTTGGTGGTGTATTTGATGATGAGGTGAGGTTGATGTTAAATAGATATATGCGAGGTACGGAAATACCTAAATACTTCCAAATGTTGTTGCTGGATCTTCAATGTTGGAAGATGGGAGAATGGCGCAGAGAATGGTTTCGGAGATAACGTAGTAGAAACAGAATTCCCTTGTTGTTATTCTTGTTGTTACTTTGCGATTGTCCAAATGGTGAGAGTTTATTCTTCTTTAGTGCCCTGGGTAGTAAGGAGCAACAAACAATAAACACCTCGTGTTGTGGTTGTTGTTGTTGCTGTATCGTAATTCTCGTACTACTGTCTTTGGACCAGAATTGCGAATTGCTGATGAGTAGAAATCGAAATCCACCATTGGTAGAGATTTGTTTGATCAAGAGCGCAATTATGAAATGGTCTAAATGCCAAGTCTAAAATTACGCAACAATAAATCGGGTTGCTAGCTTAACTCTATAATGACGAGTGGCAATGCTAATGAAATTCTGCCAACAATTCAACAAGTGTAGAACTGAGGAGCAGATTGAAGAAATAAAAGTAGAGGAGAGGAAGGTTCAATGTTAGTTAGGCTAGTCGGCGTGGTGGAAGTGGATAAAGGTTGGTAGAAGTAAGAAAAGGGAAATTGTAGAAGAGAAGAGGCAGGACAACCTAAAGTAAACCTAAGCCTTAACGCTGGTGACTTTCATAACAAGTCCAGCTGTTTGGGGTCCGTACCTCGTCGGATATAGACGTGGATGCATTTTGGTGGTGGTGTTGTCGAGGAGTCACACTCCCTCCTCCAATAGTCATCGATGTCAGTCATAAGGCAATCCGGACAGGGCAGAACGCGGCGTGGCGGGCACAGGGGTGTGCAACCTTGGCGTTGGCTTATTTTTGGGACCTGTCCTGCGTGAAAACCATGTTCCCAGACCACGTACCGCTAAGTACCGCAGACAAAAAGGTACATTGGTTATCGGAGCAGGGACTCCGTCTAAGCTGGCTTCTATCGGCCAACAACGGGGCTTTTTTTCTCACTTATCAGTTTTTTCAGTTTCCAGCTTCAAAACCCAAAACTCAACTCTCACTTCACTAATTCACTTTGTACATATATGTATTTATATGTAGATATTCAATGTTCACCATACAAGAGCATAGATCAATCACTCAAGTGCCTTACCTATGTACCTAGGTAGCTAATGTTTTTGAGCAGTTCAAAGTTCGAAACTATTTGAACTATGTGGCGAACTGATGAAAATGGTAGGTACGTAGGAAATAAAACACATAATTGACAAGTCTCCAAGTCAATTGTGCTTCACAAGCAACGCAATTGGGGAGGACAAAGCTTGGTAATCTTGCAACGTGATCAGGCTTCAATGGAGAACAACTTGGATCTGTGAACGTGAAAAACGCCGTTGGGGGTGGGGGGTCGCAAAACAAGAGGGGAAGAGGGGGAGGGGAGGGGTGTGTGTCCAGGCACAGCACAGCACAGCACAGGCACACTCTTTACTCTTTTTCTCTTCAATGAACTAGCCGGAGTTGGCATATGGTAATATGCAAAATAGAAAAGAGCAATACACGTACCTCAGGTCTCTATGAATATGTATTGATTCATTCATATAATTCCAGGTTTTTCCAGATAGAAGCCCAACTACCTAGTAGGAAACTGTTAATACTTGGTATTTGTCACACCAATGGCCCTGCCAACGCGGGGTCCAATGACACGGACGAATTGGATTGCTCAAGTTGCCTGGTTCGCAGAAAGGGAACAGTCTGTGCAAAAGATAAAAGGTTGCAGCACTGGCAAGCATTAGATGTTGACGTCGACAATGTTAATAGTAGGTCTAGGCGCACGAGATTTGCGCGAGATTAGGCACCGCTACTAGTCGCGAATGTGTCTTTTCCCCGTTTACGGAACATCCTCTACAGCGAATTGAGTTTTCTGTTCCTAGAGGGTCCTGATGCCCAAGCTTTGGTTCTCCTGAGTGAGTGGACCGAAGAATTTGAATACGGCGAAATTGCGACAATGGCAGCAGAAAGTGGAATTGCCTCGTGTCACGCAGCGTCTGGCTACTGTGTTTCGATGAATAATGTTTATGGCATTTGTGAACACCAGGTGTTCTGAAACGGTTGGCCAATTGCTAAACGTATGAGGTGGGCAATGCCAGCTACCAACCAAGGTAGCAAAGACATACATATGTACTGACGGATATGTAGTTTGCGAGCTTCATAGTATCTGGCCTAGATCTGACATGTCATCATCCCGTTAGCTAGTAACTCCGCCAAGCTATATACGCGGCAAGATGGTCGAGGTATGGCAAATTTCAATGTTGAAGTGATAGGTCCGAGGTATGTTGTTAGAGATCAAGACTGGTTGGGGTTTTTGAGGATGGCTGCATGGACCGATAGGTACAAACTGATAGGTACAAAGGATGAGGCTTTTTTGGAAGATCAGGGTTAAACAACCAGACAATTACATAAAGGAGATACCAGCAAGTTATAATTGTGCCAGCGAATGTTGTGTTATGCAATGAATAGGTTGATTATACACATAACAAGACGTATAAAAACTTGAGAACATTGAAGCTTGTGACAGAGAATACTTATTGATTTGTTTATAGATGCTTCCCGTTTAACAACTGCCGACTATGATTTTTATTTTCCGATATGACTTGTGATGGATGAAGGATGCCTCCTATATTGCCTAGGCAGGTACCCTAGATATTAGAACTGACGCGACCGTGTTTTCGATGGCGCAGATACAACTGTCGTCATCTCTGGGGGTGGCCTGGCACGGAAACCACAAACGTAATGCAATTCCTCGCATTGATAGACTCCATAGCGGGACTGAGCGGATAGAGCGGCTATTCAATGCGGAAACCAACGCGATTGAGCAAAGCAATTGACCAACAGCTACACGGCAAACGAGAGGAGTTTTTTTTTTTTTTTAAAAAGTGCAGATTGCCACTTCAGTCATCCGAGTTAGACTCAACCGAGCAAGAAAAGCAATTGTGAGCTACGATGTTCGAATTGGCCAATCAAAACATCAATTGATTTATAAGAGAAGCCATAATTGGGTCAATTCCATCGAGCTGAAAAAAATTGCAAGCTATTGCGTGGGTATGTTGAAGGACAACTCGAGTGAGTCATAATGCAGGCAAGGACAGCGAGGCAAAGAAGACGAAAGAATTAGGAATATGGGAACTTAGAAGAAACTGGAATTAGATATTGGGGAAAATTGACAGTGAACAGCCTTCAATGTTAACTTTAAGTGAGGGGAATAGACAATACCCTAGTATTAGATAAATGGTTGGCTAACGAGAGACTATTCGTAAACTCATCCTTTTTACAAGACGGTGATTGGACGGGCTGAACTTATCTTGAGTTTTACTTCCTTTCTAAGCTTAGTTCTCCATTATCAATTGATCTAAAATTCCCATTTTACAGTCTTAAATCTTTGACAAGCCAACAAGAACATAGCTCAATGCTAATTGCAATAAGGCATTGGCTGAACAAGTACCTGCCTCGATCCTCGACGTACCGCTACAAGCCCCCACAGTGAATGGTACATTGAGATAGCAACGACCCATCGCGTTATGTCATATGCCAAAGTCTAAAGTCACAAGCCACCTAGGACAGGCGTGCATGGTACCTCACGTACCTCATTAACGGGGCGTAGCTGCAGGTCTTAGAAGTTAGGAGGGCTAAGGCAGTCGACAGATCGGATTTGCTCACAAATTCAATCTGATGGACATGGAGCCCTGAAACTTCCATGTCTCTCCCTTAAGATCTCCTACTACATGTATATCATTACGTATTACTATATCAATGTTGTACTGCAGTTTAATGCTTGTCTTGTTAGCCAGTTACATGTATGTACCTCCTAAGTCTGCCCAGTGCCTACACCTTATGCACCTAACCTTCAACCAGGTTGTCATTCGTGCTTTTTCGTCAAGTGTAAAAAAAGTGAGTCTGTCGGTGATAACCTATCAACACCAAGCTAGCGTATCGCAATCGCAATGCTGACGATACACCCTCTGTTGCCTAGCCTACCTATTGCCTAGTCATGAAGAACTTACAGGTCATTATAGATTATTATCGATCACTTACTACACAATGTACTTCTCAACGCCGGCGACATCAACTACGAGACTTGTCCTAGGTAATAGGATTAGCATGATTTGTCAAAGCCTCGCTCGGACTTTGACGGACTTAGGTATTACTGGCGACGGACTTCACATCCACGTATGCATTTGCCTTCGCCGTCGATGGAATGAATACACACTTGAACTACTTAGCAGTAAGTAATGTTTCCCCGACGGATCCGGAACGGGTTAATTCAAGTCATCAACCCCCCCTGGTTGATCAAGTCAAGTCCATTCTTTTCCCACTCCGCCTCAGTCTGTTCAACGTTTTCCTCAATGTTATAACAGCTTCTCCAAGGACGAAGTTCGGGATGGATCCGAAAGCGCCCGATCCACAGGTAAGTATCTCGAGGGTCTGCGGGCGAGCCGCTTTCAAAGCTAAACTCTTGAACCCTGGCCCAGCTAAGCCGTTTTCTTTTTTTCGGTACCTACCTTACCTACCTTATGTTGGACTACGCCCAACAAGAAGACAATGCTGTTCGTAATACTCGAATTACAAAAAGCAACCAGAAGATTGCAACCAACCCTCGCGTCTTCATCCAACAGTCCTTGGAGTAACCAACCAACCAAGCAGCATTGCCATCTGTTTGGACAAGATTTATGTTTGGGTCCTTTGAAAACTTAACAATGCCCGTATGTCGATTCGAACTCAATTGATAGGACAATCGATCGTCTAAGCCATGAGAACTTGATCCCTACACGTCCCCGCCGAGGTAAATATTCAAGGTTCAATTGGTCCCTAGAAGTTAATTCGATTGTCAATTGAAACCCAATCGCCGACCTGGTGACTTCGTCTCAGTATGGCACGGAATGTAATGGAGTAAATAGGTACTTACCTCGCCCAGGATAAAGCAACATTGAAGCAATTGGTACCGGTGTTTGCAATTCATGTACCGAGGCACATCGCCTCCAGCCGGATGTGAAAACAGGTGCCTAAGAAAGAAATTGCCTAACAGCCTCATCAATTACGAATATGCAACCTAGACGATTCGAAATGACTGATATCAGCTAATTTGTATCTGTGTGGCTGATAGCATTCACACTTACGAATAACCATGATACCAATCCCATCTCGAACAGGCTACACTTACATACTTTCAGGCAACCTATCCGACCATCCACATGATCTTGCCTACCAGATAGGAGATAGCGCGAACCTTTGGTCGTGGATCAGTTTGCCTAGATCCGCCCTAGCCGTCTCTCGGGATGTGTGGGATGTGTTGTGTAGGTACGATATAATGCCTCTGTCCTACATGCCTACACTTGATACTACCATTTATGTAGCCAGGTATATATGTACATATGTAGGTATCGACGCACGGTAGGTACGGTAACATTGGCCGCTACATTGGCATGGACGCTTATACCTTACACCTGCATACATAAGAAATGCCCAGAAATACTAGGCAATACTAGGTAGTGATACTAGGTAAGGATACTATTTATGGTCGTCTTCATCTTATCGTCTTCACGTTATCTTTCGTTATTGTCTAAGACACCCCACCACCAGAAGGGTGATCACGCTTCGGGGTTAAAGCCGTCACTTGACCCCTCCCCCCTTTTTTTTTTCTTTTTCTTTAATTTCGGAAACCGAGACATGGTAGTGAGCACGGTAGTTAACATGATAGTGAATGCTATGGTGATATTGAAGATAGTCAGGCGCTGTGAGTATACATTATCTCTATATTTCTTTTTACATATGTGTAGCAGGGTAGTGTGTGGTGTGGGTGTATGTGAATCCACTTTCACATGTGGTGAGATTGGATGTCACAGATTCACAGATTGGGCTTTTTTGTCTTTGACCCCGCCATTCTCAATGCTCTCATGCCATGCCATGCCTCCATGCACATACCCCGCCTTGCCTGTGCCCAACTGCAAGATAACATAATTGCGCATTATCGATAGGAGGGAAGAACAATGACAGCCACGATTGAATACCACGATGCTACATATTCAGCTCCTCAATGACCCTCTTTTTCAATACTACTAACCTAGATCTATACCGATGTTGATCTAGAACCGTGAAGTTGTTCTCGTTAAATCCCAAACTCGGACATATAGCTGCTCTCTTAATGCTTTGTCATCCACTAAAGCCTCACTTTTGACATTTTGCATACCTACATACCTCTACATACTTATATTGTACCACCGCATCCGTCAGCTTGCATTCATTATAAATTACATATAACATTATTTAAATGTATCTATTTCCCTGCGCTCACGTAATCCCCCGCACCAACGCACAAGCCAGTCCCATTGACTCGGGACTATCCCGCGCTTTTGTATCGTCAAAGACGAGGTCTTACGTGTCAACTCAGTCAGCCATTCTTGCTACCCAGTCCGACACGACTTGGGAGTTCTGGCCCGTACTAGTCTACCTCATCGTCGTCGACGGAACTAGCCAGGTACCCGAGCAGCTGTCCAATTCGTCGTGGCGGTGCATCCAACCCACCTTTACTTGGAGGCTCAACCACAGGTTGTGATCGGACGGAGGTTAGTGAGTAACAGACATGGCAGGTTACGGACCAACCAATTTGGAGAGCGCCAACGCTTTGTTACAAGGACTTCGCAGTTGGCAAGTATCCGTCGTTGGGCCTCTCCCCACTTGATCTACTGGGAAGAGAGAGGGATATCCCGCGCAATGTTAAAATAGCGAGGAGGGGTTTCCACGTTAAATGCAGAGGTCGTTAGGGCGGCGCTCCGGAAGTTCCCCGGAGGCTCCCCGGGACCAGCCTTCTTCTTCCCTTCCGTTCAGGGGTGGCAAGTTAGTTCAGCATAGCCAGGAGCCCCAGATGTGAGTTCCCGTTTCTTTAAACAACCAACCCCTATTTCCAACAACTCGTGTTTTGTTTTCCTTCAACTACATCCCCTTATCCTTGGTCAGTAGGCCGCATGTTTTGGGCAGTCTCGGGGCTTTATTTAACGGACGTGGTATTTTTGACTTTGTTAGATCTCAACTTGGAGCATATGTGTCACAGTCCTTCATATCGGTACTACAATACGAGCTACAAAGGGCACTCAACGTGGCAATGCTAGTGTGTGAGTAACACACAAAAGAGAGCTACCAGTGTTGGCATCTTATATGTATTCCTCCATGCCCCTCTAATATAGGTACTTACCAAGTCCACAACCCATTTCGAGCAATAAAGGTGGGCAGACTTCTCATCAACTAACATAACTCGTAGACGAAATCGTGTAGAGTTTGGCTCTCGAGGGTGTTTTCCACATAAAGATGCCAGCTAAGATGTAGTTAGGTGCTTATACGAGGGTGCACGTGAAAGCCTCGCCCCGTCTAAGTTGGAAGTAGGTAGGTATGTAGTTCATCCAAATCTACGTAACGAAGAACATACATGTACACAGTAACATACATGGTGCAACTGAGGGTAATACCAGACAGAGTGAGGTGAGACACGGAGTCACGTGCGAAAAGCTCATCTTTTATTGATGGATAACGCGGCTATGAGATATGTTCAAAGTATGTGTGGTGTGATGTGATGTGTGTTTCCAGATCCCTACCATTCCACCACAAACCCGACTCTTTTCAGCCTCCTCCTTCCTCCCCCCCCTGTCATCCCTCTATCTTATCTCTCAGCCGAAACAAAAGCAACATGGCAGCCTCACAGTGGAAAAGCACGCTGTACGCCTCGGACCAATTCGTCGAAGCCTGCGGGGCCGTCGTCTTCGACACTTCCACCTCTCCCTCTCCCTCCCCCTCCTCCCCCGCCCAAGAACAACCCCCTCGGAAAGTCCTCCTCCTCCACTACACCCCCCTCAACGAATGGCTCCTCCCCAAGGGCCGCCGCAACTGCTCCGAGCCCCGCCCCGTCACCGCCGTGCGCGAGGTCCTCGAGGAGTCCGGGTACGCCGTGCGGCTGTGCCCGCTGACCATGGCCACCCGCGCGCCGTCCGCCCTCGAGCCCGCCGACGTGAGGGATGTGCCGCGCACGTACGAGGCGCTGACGGAGCCGTTTGTCTTGGACTTCAGGGAGCTGGGCGGGGGGGACGGGGTTAAGCTTGTGTGGTGGTACATCGCGGAGTTGGAAGGGGTGGAGGGGGGGGTGGGAAAGGGGGAGGAGGGGTTCGAGGCGAGGTGGTTCCCGTGTGCGGAGGCGGTCGAGAGGCTGACGTTTAGGCAGGATAGGGAGGTTTTGGAGAGGGCGTTGGGGATTGTGGGGGTTGCGGCTACGGGGAGGGAGGGCTGAGTCGGGTTTGCTGTGGAAGACATGATACGGGATTGCTTTGCTGAGATTTTTATTCTTTTAATATTGGGATTTTCTTTTGTTGACTAGGTACGAAATCTGGTTCCATTCGAGCTACAAGTTTCTTACACTTGGCAGTAGATTGATATTTCGGAACCTAGGTTAGGGCGCTAGGTACCTGCCTTGCTTTGTAGCTTACTTTGATACGAATTAATGAGTAACTTCCTTCCAGAGCAACTTCTTCCCCTTCTCTAGCCCTCTCCGATTTGCTTACGTGAATAGCCTCAAAGTGCCTACCTACCTAGTACTACTCAGTACCACCTTCGCAATTGTTGAATATTTCGTGTCACAATCCCAACCTCTTCTTGGAAGGTTCTTAATAGGTTATTCATCGAGTGCACCTCGGCGCCGTCATGTGATCTTTACTCATGCAACTAGACAGTTAACCGCCCCAATCCCGCGGCATGTCCTCCCATTGGAAGACCGAGTTTTCTTTTTTATGCTACGGTACCGTACCGCGACGCGGGCCGCAAGTGTGTGTGCGTGTCCCAGCCAAACTAGCGTCATGGCTAAGATTTCCTCTCTCCGCATCTTGGCCCTAGAGTCGTGTCTAGACTAACTAGGCATGTGGGGAGGGGGGTGGAGATAGGGGTTGGTAAGTTACTTTGCTTGGTTTGTAACGACCGACGACGAAGGAAAGGGGAAAAAAGGGGGGGAGGGGTTGCTTTATCCTCCAGCCTACCTACCGAGTAGGCTAGATAGAATGGCCAGGAAAAACGTGTCAACCTGACAGGTTGGGCCTGCGTGCATACGGCACGTACAGGTACCTACTACACTACTTTAGATATATATGTACGACTTACTTTAGCGTGCTAGTTGTTAAGGGAACTAGGTCATGATAAACCCTGTTATAGAATGTTGATTGAATGATCTAGATTGTTTCGGCGATGTGCTCGTTATTACCTACTTACTTACTTACTTGCTTCCTCCTCGTTGGGCTTCATATTGGGTAGCATCGTGAGATTGGGTTGATGTTCAAAAAGGAGGGGACGGTACAGAATGGAACGGGAAGAGTGGAGCTGAAAAAGCGTTGCTGAAAAGATTTATCGAGTGCGGCGCTCTACAGTTGTACTTCTGCTATCCTCACAGGTATCGAGTTGAAGCTGTACAACGCAGTGAATGAGAGCCTCATGGATGTAAAGCTTGTTGCAATTGTTCCTTGGGGGCGAGACAGGGAATGTTTTGTTGATACTCGTTCTAATAGCCACCACGTATGAATTTTCTCACGTTAGCTCCTGGTCGATACGGCCCGACTAAGGACTAGAACACATGTTGTTTTGCGTATCAATCTTCATGCTCAAATGAATAGAATATAGAGGAATTGAATGGAATAGTACCTAGTAGTCTTTCAGGGTCAATTGATTGTGCAAGCATTTGAGAAGTCCTGGTTAGCTTAAGATGGTATTTTTGATACATCGATACAGAAGCAAATATTCCATTGAACAGAAACGTATGAGCTGAATATATTCGATTCTGCCAATCACCATTCTACGTCATGTATTATACTCACAGTCGCCCTTGAAGTGCCCCTAATCTCGCCACAATAGTTAGGCACACATGGTAGACGATAGCATTACGGAATAGCCAAAGACCATTGCTCCCTCGCTTCTTCTATGCATATCGTGCTATTGTTAGTGCGCTATCGTGACTAGTTAGACCATAAGCTCATTGCAGAAACTCCTGTTCTTATTCTCATGTAGAGAGACCTGGGATCTTTACTTCGTATCTTTCAGCTACAGAGGTATATGAAACAATGCCTTCAAAATAACTTCATTACTACAATAACGATGAGCAGATTAGTCCAGCTATGCCCCCATCTCTGCGATCCAGAAACAACCCTAACCGATTACCCCATCGAAAGATGCTCATTACCTACCTAGTACCTAGTACCTACAACAGCTCCTCGACCGGTCCCTTCTCCCCCTTTTCGCCATCACCATTACCATCCACCTCCGGACCAGCAGCCTTACTCTCAACCCTAACCCTAACCCTGAGCCCCCTACCCCTCGGAAACGCCGCGAACCACTCATGATACGGCTTCCAATCCTCATCGACCGTGTCCCCCAAGTGCTGCATCGCAAACCCCGCCCGCGGACCAAAGAGGCGCGAGACGGCGAGGTACGCGTCGATGGTGGCGAGCTCCATGCCGAGGCACAGCCGCGTGCCGCGCCCCCACGGCTGCAGGTACCGGCCTAGTCGTCGGCGTTCTTCTGGATCTGCCCACCGCTCGGGGAGGAAGGCGCGCGGGGTGGTGAAGATGGAGGCGTCGTGGTGGGTGTCTTGCGTTGTGGTGGAGATGGTGGTCTGGTGGGCCCCCCTGACTCTCCTCGGGCGAGGGAGGGAGTTGGGGGGTGGCTGGTTAGCTGGGTAAGGACTTAGGTAGTAATCAAGCAATGTAGAGTACGATAAGATGCTATATACGTACGCCCCGCGGGATAACCCATCCCTTATACCCCAAGTCCTGGTCCTCGCAGACGCGCGGCAGCCGACTCGGCGTCGGGTTTGCGAGGCGGAGCCCTTCGTTAATAACGCCCGTAATATACGGCAGCTCCCTTAGATCCGCGTAGCTCAACGAGCCATCACCGTCAACCCCACCATTAGCACGCTTGGCCTCCTCAGCGTCATGCAGCTCGCGCCGCAGCTTCTCCAACTTAGAGGCGTCGCTGAGGAGGTAGCTCGTGATGCAGACGAGGGTGGTAGCGGTGGTCTCGGTGCCGGCCATGATAACGGACCGGCTCTCGGAGAAGAGCCGCGGGAAGGTCTTTTCTTCCTCTGGCAGGCTCGACGCCATCAGCGTCTGCACCATGTCGGGCGGGCTGCCCGGCGCAGGCTCCGGCTTGTTCATTGAGCGGCGGACGCAGCTCGTCATTGTCTACGGTGCAACGAGGAGTATCAGTCAGATTAAGTAGTAGGTAAGCAAACTCCTTACTTTACGTAGCCGGTACACCTCCCCAGAATCAAAATATAGGCGGGTTTCGGGTACGGCAACTTACGTCCTTCATCCACTTGAGCCGCCCAAAAGCCGGGTTCATCTTCTTCGCCACGCTCTCGGGGAGACTGTGCAGCAGCGGCAGCAGCAAACCAAAGGTATGGCGGCTCCACGTGCCAGCACGGACGACCGTCCTCACGCTGAGATTGAACTCGCGGTCGAAGGTGGGCTCGTCGAGGTGGCCGAACGGCGTACCGAACGCGAAACCGGTCGCGACGTCGGTCGCGAGGCAGCGGAACGCGTCGCTTAGGCTCACGACATCACTGCTGTGGTTGTTAACAGCGACGGCGCGCAGGCGAGCGCACAGCTTGTCGACCTGCGCCACGATCGTGGGCATGTACCGCTGGATGTTGGACGAGGCGAAGTAGACCTGCAGGGGAGCGCGACGAAGCTGGTGCAGGGCGTGCGACTCGGCGACGTTGGTGCTGGGGAACTTGCCGAAGAAGCGGAAGTAGAACCAGCGTGGCTTTGACGCCTTGGCCGAGTACTTGTACACGGCGTTCCAGTCTGGGTCTGCGATGTGCACCTCCCAGGGGTTTATGCGGACGATTGGGCCTGTGGGTTTGGTGAGTGGGATGTATTACTTTTGTGATAGGTGGTAATGGGTAAGAGGTTATGATGACGGTACCGTAATGTTGGTGCATCTTCTCAATCTCAACCCAGTATCGCCCACCGCCATCTTTGATGCATTGATAGTACGCTTCATAGAGTCCGGTAGAAGCGGCCAGTCTAGGCCCAGGGAAGCGAGCAAGTGGGTGGAAGGTAAGTCGGTAGATGACCAATGATGAAATTAAGACGGTTGTGACAAAAAGAAACCACACGAATAGGGGCAGGTCACTCAAGCCATACGGCCAAAAGAGATTCATTTTTGATAATACCAATATCATTTATACGCCTATACGTTTTGGATTATTCTCGGAAGTCAAGTAAGGAGGATAAGTGAGCCTGCACTTGGATTATATCCCATATCACCCTCACCATTCCACCCTATGAATGGCACGACGATCGCACGGAGAGTCAGTACCTACCTCACGCATACGACATACATTCTGCGATGTGACGACCTCAGCTCCAGCGTCTTGGATGAAACGTGCTATAAAACTGTAGATGACTACCACATACGAGTTCTTTACGAACTTCTCAGTGGATCGTCTGACCTCGAAGAATTCCTGTGGTCCGAATGGTATTTAAGTCTCTCATATTAGGCCATCCGTACATCGGACTTATAGGATTAGCTTCCAATAGATGGGCCGAATCTTGCATACAGTTTTCAACGCCAGCATTTTGAAACCTAGAATGGCCAGTCCATCCTAAAACATTCCTAGATTAGAGGAATTTTCAGAGGCATTAGTCAGTATGAAAGTTAGTTTGCCAACAACCACTCATTTTTGACCGAGTTTCAGAGAGCGCATTGAAGAGTGAAGGAGGAAAAGAATTCCCGAAACAGATGGTTGAATCTTTCTCTTTGCCATTCGGCTAGTAGAACGGTCCCGACGGCTACCCAGACCACATTTTATCAAACCCCAACCTGGAGAAAACAACAATAAAACCGGCTGACCGAACAGATTCAATTACCACACCATCGCCGGGACACGGTGGCTTTGTGTGGCGCGGCACGATCTAGTGGCGCTGTACATACATCTATGCGCAGCGCAGGCGATGAAGCGGGCGAGTCGCGTTGAGCAAGCCCTCGCATGAACACTAGACGGGAGCAAGTAGCCGACCTAATCTTGACACTCATCAAATAATTCCCTACTTATGGTACCAAGGTATGTAAGGCTCCAGTGGGGTTCTCGAGCCCGAAAAGTCCCGATGATAGGTGGGTGTCCGAATATTGTATACTACCTAACCTAGTACTTACGGTAGTGAGATGAGCGGACACGGGTTAATGTTGCAGGCCAAACTGCAACCAAAAGAAAAGAAGACGGATGGCAGAGAGCTTGCTTTATTCCTGACTATGTTGGCGCTGTGCCAATATCTAGGACAAGCCTAGTCGAGCCATGGCACACCTAAGGAACCTGCAACATTTAAGCACCCGGAAACGCTGCTGCATGGCTAGAAACAGAGAGCTCAGGCTAGGTGTTTACTCGGGCAGGCTATCCTGCACCTAGGACAGAAAGCTTTCCCATAGATCACCAACCAGGGGCCTTCTCTTGTCAGTTCCAACTTTTGTTCTTTTCTTTTTTCTTTTTTCTTCCAAACATACAGCGCTACTTCCCTCGTACTGATATCTCCTCAGTTCAATTCCGCCAGATACCGTGACAGCTCCAGCGCCTGCGAGGCCGAGTCGAGCTCCGCGCTACCGTGCGTCGACTCCTAGACCGGTGTGGCATCATTATCAAGCGCCGTAGCTAGTTCAAAGCCCAGGACAGCTCTGAGGCCTCCTGTTGACATAACGGCCCATCGGTAGAGCTTCTCTGCGCGGCGGCACCGGTTCCGTGGACCTGGAGGCCTTCTTCCGCCTCGGCCCGGGGTAGCCAGCGAATGCGGTACCTATTGTTGAAGCCCCTAAGCGCATCCACTAACTGCATTCTATCGCGGATAGCTGAAGAGCGAGTGGTTTGGGTACCGAGGTATGCAAGGAAATCCTATCTGCCTCTTATGTATGCTCATTCTGGTGTCCGCTGAGTGTCTTAACACGGACAGGCACTTGAGCCATCCCAGCTATTTCTAATCCGAGGTCTTTTTCTTTGCCTTACTTCCTTCCATGTTTCCAAGCTGAAAGTTTCCCAGGCCCGTCCTGTGTTGTTCTCACTGGGTTGCCTCAGTACAGTACGCAGCAGCTGTCTCAGACCAGAGTTCGTTGAACGGCATGTACATGCGGATCCATGACGTGCACGGGGTACGCAGTCTGGCGAAATGGGCATCGCAGCTGAGCTGAGCATGCTGAGATAAGAAAAAAAAAGGAATAAACTTCCGAGGTTGGGAGAAAAAAAGAAAGATGATCTTGTGGCTTTATACTATTATGTAAAGACTCGGGTCTGGATAGGGAGCTAACTGAGCATCGCGGCGGTGGTGATCCCTCCAGGTTTCACTCATTTTAGACTGCGATGAAGTTCACGACCAACCCTTACGGATTGTTATCCCAGGTATCATGCCTGGTGCTTATAATATATAGGTAGGCATTAGTTAAAAAGATGAAAGCTCATTTCTTCTAATAACCTTAACTACCTGTGTCCCTACATCCTTTAGCCCAAGTTAATATTCCTACTTGGTATTATGAACTGGGAAGTCCGCAACAGTTACACGAAAACCCCTGAAGCCATTGGAGTCAAAAACTTATGGGCCGCTGAGACATGTCTCATCCAAAAAAAAAAAAAAAAAACAACGAAAAAATAGTGCGATGAATTTTCATCGTCGTGACTAAAAGAAAATATTTATAATTTCTTTACAAAAAGTAAGTAAATCAAGCCTGGCCTCACTCTAAACCCTTACCTTACTTACCATACCTGATCATAGTCGCAAGGTTGCTTCGAATTAATTTCATCGTTGGTTGATTATTCTGAGCCACCTGATTGGGCCAGGGGCTTCTAGCGGGCGATCACGCAACTTCATCATCGAGCACGTCAGCGCCACACCGCGTAATCTGGTGTAGGGAAGATAGGTATAGGTAGCACAGCACAAAAGGATGCATTGAATGCATTAAAAAAAATGAACTGGAGCCCGCTCCCAGCAAGTCTCGGAGCTCATGCTCGTTAATCGGCCTTCTTTTTACCTGATTGGCTGTTGTGGCTGGTGATAGCGTAGCTCATAATTGATGGCTTTGCGATGCTTTCTTTAAATGTGCAATGCTGTCTTATATTTGAATCCAAACATTTGCAGTTCCTCCTCTTATATTTGGGGTTTCTTGTCTTGTCTCAAGTACCCTTAATTCAATCCAAGTCGCATGATGGCGGCGGAGAAATCTCTCGAACCCGCTTACAAGGCCACTCAAAGCGATGAGGAGGCTTCTCCTGTCAATGTTGACGAATCCATAGCGGTAGATTGGACGGAAGCGGAGGAACATGCTGTGAAGCGGAAGTAAGTCAACACTCCTAAGTAAGATTCAGGATGGCAATGGAAGTCGTTGAAAATGAAACCTCTAACTACTTATCCTTAGGATTGACTTCATTCTGTTGCCCATCTTATGCCTTGCATTCTTTGCTTTGCAGATGGACCGAGGGAACATCTCAAATGCCCTGACAAGCACCATCACTCAAGACCTTGGCATTGATACAAATCAGATCAATGTCGGGAGTAGTTTGCTCTCGGCTGGTATCGTGCTTTTGGAGATACCCTCCAACGTCTTGCTCCAGCGCGTGGGACCTCAGAAATGGTTATCTGGACAGATTATCGCTTGGGGTCTGGTTGCGACCTTTCAGAACTTTATCACCAACTATGGCGGCTATCTTGCTACCCGTATACTTCTTGGTTTGGTACGCGAGATGAACTCATGGCCTATTTTCGGTGCCACAAAGAAAGCTGACGTTGTTTCCTACTACGTAGTGTGAAGCAGGTTTCATTCCTGGTGCGTTGTACACCATGTCAACCTGGTATAAGAAGTCCGAGACCAGTCTAAGAGTCTCCATCTTCTTCCTTGGTAATCTCATTGCCGCGGCCACCACCTCACTCATTGGTGCTGGAATTTTGAGCATGGGAGACCGGGACGGCATCTCTGGCTGGAGATGGCTCTTCATTGGTACGTAATGCCCCTTAAGTTAATCATTGAGTTTTGCTGTTGTGGCCTAACACAAGTCATTCCCTTTGCAGTCGAGGGGGCCATTACCATTGGAATCGGTATCATCTTTATCCTCTTCCTCCCCCCATCGGTTAGAGATACTTCCCCGCTTATCAGTTTCGGGCGGTGGTCGTACCTGAACCGACGCGAATCGTACATTCTCGTACGCCGTGTGATACTTGATGATCCAGCCAAGTCTACAAATCATCTGCGTATCTCTGGCAGCGACGTATGGGCAACGGTTAAAAATCCTAGGATTCTCGTACATGTTGTTATCTCGATGACGGCTACGATCCCCGTAACCGCTATTAACACATACGGACCCAGTGTCATCAAAAGTCTAGGATACGGTGCGGTGAGAGCTAACGCCATCGCAAGCTCCGGCTCTTTCATCGCTGCAATTATGACCGTGTTCTTGGGTTGGATATGTGACACGACGAAAAGAAGAGGACCGGCGCTGCTTCTCGCTGGGATCTGGAGCTTAATTGCGTTCACATGTCTGAGAGAGTCGTGGAGGTGGAGCGCAGATAGAAAGTGTGTTGCTGTAATATTTTCCATGGCCATGAACTCAACGATCCACATTCTCAATGTTGGCTGGTTATCGGTCAATTGTCAAAGCCCGCAACAGCGTAGTGTTGCCATGGCGTAAGTTTGTTTTTTGTTTTTGTGCATTCCTTTTTGTGCCTGAACTGCCATGCTGATATAAGCTCTAGGATGATCATCATGAGCGCTAATGCTGGCGGAATTGCCGGAAGCCAAGTCTTCCGAACCCAAGATGCCCCTCTCTATCTTACAGCGATCACCGCTTGCCTAGGGCTTGCCGTAGCATCTATTGTAGAAGTCATCGGGCAAAGCACATGGTACATACTGAGTAACCGGAAGTTGGAGAAGAAAAACGACGGTCCTGTTGTGGTAGGAAAAGTGGAACAGACACCGGATGGACGGGGAGTTGAGCTGGTAAGAAAATGGAGGTGGACATTGTGAATAAAGTTGCAGCCATCTGCTTGTAAGAACGTAGGCGGATGAAGCAGAATGAGAAGGGGAAGGATATATTGTTGGTATGGTCCAACATGAAGCGAGTGCTAGACGTCGCTCGCTTCTATATGAATCTAGATGTTTAGACCACATACACATACGTATCAAGGTAGCTGCATATCATAGAATAACCGAACTGTTTGTAGCACGTATTCGGGTTCATGTATATTCTGGTGTAGTTATGTACGCAACCATGTCAGGCTCAGAGTGTAATGTGATACCTTTTCAATACTTAGTTGATTAAGTATTTACTATTATAATGTCGTAGTATCAAGAACAGAAATTCGTATTCGGGTTGGCGGACTGAAAATGATTGATTGGTTCATATGTTAATTAGCAAAATCAAGACCAAACAAGTTCGAAGTTAATGACTTGGAGCTTGAACTGGGCATTGCAATGGTCAAGCCACATTAGCATCTAGTTAGATTTGCCTGCGGCAGTGGGATTGATCAATTATTCTGTGGCTTTGTGGCTGGTTATTCTCGTATTCGGGTTCAGGACTGCTGCAATGTTTTGTCGGTATAGAAGGCACGGATTAAGCTACCCCTGTCCCCGCGTGCGTCTAATGCAGGTTCGGAGCAATCCAATAAATATGGTTGGTCCAGACAATTTTAAGCTTGGACCAGTAGTGGAAGGAAATTGGCCAGGAAATTGAAAAGGTAGTATCAAAAGGGTCCCTGGGGTTTAAAGTGGGAACTAACTTAATCAGAGTTCAATTGTCGATAACAAAAAAATAAATAAAATGTTGGCGACATTCCCCTTTCCATTCTTATCGCTTCTCCTGACATTCACAACGCCATCTTCAATTGTCCCTTCACCTTCACCTTTTTTATTTTAGTCGTTCCCTCCAAGGTGTCTAGACTTTCTATCTTTCAATTGTTGTATTAATTGGTCTTCCTATCTTTCGCTATCATCATTCAACATGGCGCCTTCAAAGACTGAACTCGAGCAACAGGACAAGGCGCGTGATGCTGCCTTCAACAAGGCCCTTCACGGAAATACTGCTCAGGCAGCTGGCGGTTTCCGCGCCATGATCGGCAAAGGCTCTGATGCACAAAAGGCCGCCGTCGATGAGTACTTCAAGCATTGGGATAACAAAGATGCCAAGGACGAGACGGCTGAGGACCGTGCAAAGCGCACAGCTGAATACGCTACTCTAACAAGACAGTACGTCAGCACTGATCAAGTCCCCTTTCTGTTATGCTTTCTTTTTTGCTAATATTTCTTGTCAATAGCTACTATAACTTGGCCACGGACCTGTATGAGTACGGGTGGGGCCAGTCGTTCCACTTCTGCCGATACTCTATTGGCGAGAACTTTTACCAAGCCATTGCCCGACATGAACATTACCTTGCATACCAAATCGGCATCAAGGACGGCATGAAGGTGCTGGACGTTGGTTGCGGTGTCGGCGGCCCTGCCCGCGAAATTGCTAAATTCACTGGCTGCCACGTTACGGGCCTTAACAACAACGATTATCAGATCCAACGTGCCACGTACTACGGCGCGAAGGAGGGTATGTCGGACCAATTGGCGTTCGTGAAGGGTGATTTCATGGTAAGTCATTATACCACCCATTATTAGCTGGTTGTGTTAGAAGCTAACTTGAATCTTAACAGCAAATGGACTTCCCCGACAACAGCTTCGACGCCGTCTATGCTATCGAGGCCACAGTTCACGCACCTAAACTCGCTGGCGTCTACAGTGAGATCTTCCGCGTATTGAAGCCAGGCGGAGTCTTCGGTGTGTACGAATGGCTCATGACCGACGAATACGACAATGATAACCTCGAGCATCGTGAAATCCGTCTCGGTATCGAGGTAGGTGATGGTATTTCCAACATGGTCAAAATCTCCGACGGCCTCGAGGCTATGAAGATTGCTGGCTTCGAAATGCTTCACCATGAAGATCTTGCCGAGCGTCCCGACTCCATTCCGTGGTACTGGCCGCTTGCTGGCAGGTGGAAATACATGCAGTCGGTGTTCGACACATTTACTATTGCGCGGATGACATGGTGGGGCCGTGGATTGGCCCACAACTTTGCGGGCGCTTTAGAAATGATTGGAATAGCACCAGCGGGCACTAAGAAGACAGCAAACAGTCTCGCCCGCGCTGCGGATGCTTTGGTGGCCGGTGGTGAGAAGCATCTTTTCACACCGATGTACCTGATGGTCGGCAAGAAACCTGAGCAATGACCGACATCAGAGAACTGATTCAGTGCTCTTATTATATCAAGGGCAATGAGGATGGTGCTTATATGCACAAAGTAATGAGTAAAGAAGCAACGTCAACTCGAACCTATTAATCATAATACAACCTGGACTACAGGTACCTCCTAGGAAAGGACTAAGCTGACACGCAAGTCCTGGATGGATGGTGTCGTCTCGGGCTTTTTCCTGTACATATCATAACAAAGCCTATCATGCTGAGTTATAGTATCCAGCCCTTCGTCGCATAAATAGAAGCATCATCAGTATAGAATAGAATATATCGAGCAGCTTGTTTCGAGTAAAACAACTTAAAAAAGGGCCTCTCAGCTTTGAAGGGAAAATATTTAAATACCTCCCCTAGATATGTATGTAAGCCCGTTCCCAACGGAGGAATTCCCCAATCGACATCCGTTCAAAGGATTATTCCTAAGTAGGTAGGTACCCGATCACATACAATTTCAGTGCTATCAATCCCAATCTCTCCTTATCTATACATATTACTACAAATATGAGGGATTACCTAAGGCCCTTTTTAAGGGATGGAGATTCGAAAGGTCCGATAAATCGGAAAAGTAACACAAACCTTCCCCGATATGGCTTAGCGGATTACCTCACCCTCAACAAGCTGCTCCTATTATATCCGAGAAAAAAAGTTGGGAGAAAGAAATCGCGAATTGGCAGCAGCAAAAAATCTCCCCCCAAAAAATTAAGGCTGACGGAGAAAATCGCTCTCTTTTCACCTGCCCGCCATAAACCGTCCACCATTTAAAATCAATTTCCAAAAAATACCAAAACAACAAACCACGCCAACTTTGAGTTAGTCGGCTGTGAGTTTGGTCTGAATTCAATTCAATTCCCTTGTACCTTTTTTCAATTCCCCCGTACCGCTTCGCCGTCTTGTCCCGTCCACATCAGTCAACATGTCCCGTTATCTACGTCCGGCAGCTCGACTAGCTGCCTCTGCCCGCACTGCGGCAGCTCCCCGAGCCCTTCCCCGTTTCGCCCCTGCCTCGTTCGCCATCTCACAACGAAGAACGTTCGCCGATGTCAAGGGAACTAAGGATTACACTGTCCGTGATGCCCTTAACGAAGCTATGGCCGAAGAGCTAGAGGCAAACGAAAAAGTCTTTGTGATGGGTGAAGAAGTTGCTCAGTACAACGGCGCATACAAGGTCACAAAAGGGCTGCTAGATCGATTTGGAGACAAGAGAGTTATTGATACCCCAATTACGGAGAGTGGTTTCTGTGGTTTGGCCGTTGGTGCTGCGCTGAGCGGTTTGGCTCCTATAGTGAGTATACCCGCCAACAAAAGCTCCCTTGGTTATCCGGTGGGGAGATGGATGATAAGAGCAAGAGACTGATTAGGTGTACCATCAATAGTGCGAGTTCATGACGTTCAACTTCGCCATGCAAGCTATCGACCAGATCGTCAACAGTGCCGCCAAAACACTATACATGTCCGGTGGTATTCAACCCTGCAACATCACCTTCCGCGGTCCCAACGGTTTCGCCTCCGGCGTCGGCGCGCAGCACTCTCAAGATTACAGCGCATGGTACGGTTCTATTCCCGGTCTCAAGGTCGTTTCTCCCTATTCCGCCGAAGACGCCAAGGGCCTCCTGAAGGCTGCTATCCGCGATCCCAACCCCGTCGTTTTCCTCGAGAACGAGCTGATGTATGGTGTCTCTTTCCCCATGTCCGAGGCAGCGCAGAAGGACGACTTCGTCATCCCGTTCGGCAAGGCCAAGATCGAGCGCCAGGGCAAGGATCTAACTATCGTCTCTCTCTCTCGCACCGTCGGTCAGTGCTTGGTCGCGGCGGAGGCCCTGAAGAAGAACTACGGTGTTGAGGCTGAGGTTATCAACTTGCGATCGGTAAAGCCTCTTGATGTAGAGACTATTATCAAGTCGGTTAAGAAGACCCACCGCCTTATCTCAGTCGAGTCCGGATTCCCCTTCGCTGGTATGGGTGCTGAGATTCTGGCCACCACCATGGAATACGGCTTCGACTACCTAGATGCCCCGGCCCAACGCATCACCGGCGCCGAGGTCCCTACGCCGTACGCCCAGGGTCTCGAGCAGATGAGCTTCCCGACCGAGCAACTGATTGAGAAATTCGCCGCGAAGCTCCTTCGTGTATAAAGAAAGGAAATGGGAAAATATACATAGAAGGTGGGGGGGAGGGGTAAGGGGGATGGATGGATTATTCGAATGACATGAGCATGCATGAGCAATGTACAATATTAATCATTTACTACCCGGTACCTGGACCCATTGTCATCTGGACTGGATTAGGTGTCTCGAAGATGGCGGAGTCATCATTGCCATAGCAAAAAAAGGGATACATTGATTTTAGAAAACTCTTGTCTGGTATTTGGTCTGGCATCTGCCCCGTATACCCAACCCAGGAGTCTCGTGTCCCTTTCAAATGCTGATCATAGACCTGCTTGCCTGCCGACGTACATGTATCTATCTACATACCTGCCCACCTCTTTAAGTACTTAATTGCATCGGTTTGTGCTTATACGATGCGTATAGAGTAGAGTTTTCTCCGGTGGATATATCTCGACGGCTAGTTCCGTGGTCATGTCGGTGCATGTGACCTACTTACATACACTATGGTATCTACCTACACTAGGTAGTTATGTGGTCATTATGCACGGATATAGCTATAACTACCTAGGTATGCACATCAACGTCGCACCATGGAAATAGCATCCGATGATCTCGAGGTAATTACCTGCATTTAGTATGGTTGTACATACGTGTGAATACCTGCCTGCCTGCCTGCATGCATGGGCTTGGTACTTCATATTGATGTATGTATGTGCACGCACACGTACTAGGTAGGTAGGTAGGTAGGTAGGTAAATATACACACGTGAGGTAGTTACCTAACATATGTAACCTAGCTAGGCTAGCAGTATTGTTCTAGAAGCACCTGGGCATGCTTAAGCTTTTGCATAAATCTTGGGTGTGGTGCTCGGTAGGCGTGTAGTTATGTATGTATGTATGTATGTACGGGCCCGTTCGGCGCCGGGGACCGGATACGGGAGCGTCCCGCACCTGCAGCCCTAGGTACATGTACCTACCCAGGGATATATATACCCAGGGAAAAGCTTGGGAGACGATGGGGGAGCTTGAACGTAGTTAATCGGAAGAGAAGAAAAGATATGGAAGGAAGGAAGAACATGGGTTATTATCTATGATATGGGTTAAGATGGATGGGGTGGGGAGGGGGGGGGGAGGGTTTGCGTGATCTTGATACCAGCTAACTAGGTTAGATGTAGATATTCCATCTATTACCTACCTAGGCGTAGCTGGAGATATAATTGTTACGAGAAGAGGATTATTATTGGGTACTCTGATGTCGAAATGTTCAATTCTGGCTTCTGATAGGAGTAGACGGAGGTTAAAATCAAATAGTTAATTAATATACGAAAGGCGACTCCGGAGTATTCTCCATGTTACAACCCCTGTTAGCAACATTGGTATTGTACCCTTGTCGGCGGGTTCAATCAAGTTGTAGTTAGTAGGATACCGAGGTTAGTGGTTAGTGGTTAGTGGTTAGGGGTGTTGGAGTTGGAGTTGGAGTTTGACAAAGCTGGCCAGTGACAGGTATGACGGGCCATAAAAAAAAGAAGAAAGCACATGCATGAGGTTGCGTTCCCGTATTCCAACCTTAGTTGATGATTGACAGTTTTATCATTGAAGTTCGTATGAGGATGGGATTCAATGTTGGGAGGAGGGAGGAGGGAGGAGGGGTTCTTTGATATACATGTATGTAGTAACTATGTACATACGCGTATTAAGGATTATTCAAGGGTTTGGACAGGATATCCATGTTTCAATGTTAAATGACTTCAATGGTTACCAGGTAATTATTGGTTTTTGGTTGTTAACTAAGCAGGCAATGGCCAGGCAGAACTGGAACTATGTAAATGGAGAAACAGAGAAATGGAGAACTTCTGGAAGTACTTTCCCGAACCTATCGTTTATTTTATGATGTCAAAAGGCTTCTTTTGACTTTGAACTATCCTAGGTATATCATGCAATAACATGCATCATACATCATGCTTAACACAATACATATTACATATTACATATTACATATTACATACTAAATACTATTTGTAGTTGATTGTATTATTAATTCAAGTTATAACTTGAATGCTATTAACTATATTAATAAGTTGATCAATAACTACTTCACAACTTGAACAACAAATTGAAATGTTTTAATGTTTCCCTTTTCATCTAGTTAGTACAAAACTTGAATTACTACTAGAATTACTACTAGCAGTACTTGAATAGCTCCACGTTTTTTCGCCCCCCCCCCTTGCCCTTCTTCCACTTCTTCCACATGGTCCTCTTGTCCACATCGAGACTCTCTGATCCCCATCTAGACCGGATCGCCGCCATTCTTTCAGTATTGGTATCTTTAGTCTATTAAGTATATTCGCACGGATGCAACATTAGTTCCTACACATTCTCTTTTTGATCTGACCGCTCCACGGCAGAGCCAACAACATTTTCCATATATCCCGCGCTACCGCGGGTGAGCTGCATTGGCAGCCTTCCTCTTTCTCTTTCGAGGAATATCTACACCCACTAAAAGGAAGGCTAAAGTCTTGTTACGTTGCACCCTTCTGCATTCTGCATGCCCATTGAAGCTATTCCCAACGAGGCTGCATGATATTCCAACATACATGTATTTATAGGTACTATATTATACCTGCATACCTGCCTGGGTGTCTATGTAGTATCTAGTATTCTATTTGTTTCAGTACTTTCGTACCCCGCCGCAGCTGAATCTTTTTTCTTTTCTTTCTATAATAATACTGCTTTCCCTTCCCTCCGGTTCGAGACTGTCGAGGTCCTCTTTCAACTCTTCTTTTTTTGGAGGGGTATAACTTCGCCATTGGTTGTGTTTGTGATTATATCAAGGTAAGCTTAGACATCCTCCTTTCATTGAACCATGTTTCTATTTAGGGGTCTTTTAATTGTCTATTTAAATTCCCGACCCTTTTTTTCCGATTTGTGATATGTGACCATAATAAATCATTCGAAATCTGAGCTTGGACTATTAAACTAAAACGAATCACAGCCCAGCCCGAAAGAAATAAACACAATCATATGGCGGATGAGCCCACAACTACAGCGGTTAGTGCCGCCGCTGCCACCGGCAGTAATCCTCCAGTTACACACCATTACGGCGAACCACAAGCCGCGCTCGTAGCAGCGCCCGATTCAGAGGGAGACGAGGTACGCTTCCCTATGGATCTGGGTATGATAGGTGATGACTAGTCGGTTGACTGACTATTCGCGACATTGATGGCGCCTCCTTTTGTATACCATCAAAGGCTACTGACTAATCATTACGTGTGAACTTACAGGATGAAGATGCAGATGCCGATTCAGCTTTAGGCTCAGATGCGTCAGTAGCCACGTTCTAGTTCACTAATAAGTCCCTTTTGAATCACCTGATGTACCTGTCGGGGCGGTGGAGAGAACACAATTATCATTCGATTTTCATTGTGCGCGGCGTATATATTGACTGTTCTTATAGCGCGAGCAGCACCAATTCGATCACGGCCAGCATATTAGAATATCGGACAATACAGGGGCGAACGTTCCATAGCGAGAAGCACAACTCCAAATATTTCACGCCCAATGACGAGCAACAATTGCAGTCAGTGGACATCACGTAAGTACTCCTATTAACCGGAATGCCTAGGTACTTTGCATATCTAATATGTCATATGCGCGACTTAGTCACCACTACCTTACTATGCTCATAGGAGACAAACTCCATCTTGCGCCAATCTCAGACGACGTACAGGTTCGTTTTAAGCCCCTTTACCATGATTACATAATCCCTGTGTAAGTTGAAGAGCATGTTGCTAATACACCTTCATTAGAAAGTATTAGATATTGGAACTGGATCCGGTGAGTGGCAATTCTCATCCACTGTGTTAGCAACTAAATCTTGATTTCCTAACGCCTCATTTAGGAATATGGGCTATGTAAGTAAATGATGGCATGGTAATTTTCTCATCAATTTGCAACGTTTTCTCATTCCAAGCGAACGTACAGCGACTTTGCGGACCAGTATACAAACGCGGAGGTCGTCGGGACCGACCTGTCACCGACACAGCCGCTCTGGGTACCGCCAAACGTCAAATTCGAGATTGACGACTGCACACAACCGTGGACGTGGGCACCTAACACCTTTGATTTCGTACACATGCGATACCTGTTCGGGGCCATCGCAGATTGGGACGAGCTCTTGCGGCAGGCATTTCGAGTGACGACACCGGGGGGCTGGGTGCAGAGCTGCGAAGCTGATGTGGACATTCTGAGCGACGACGGAACCATCCCCCCCGACAGCGCATACGAGCGCTTCTGGAACCATCTATATCGCAATGCCAGCCGCAAGATCGGCGCATCCTTCCAGCCCATAGAGCAGAACGTCCAGATCAAAGCCTTCGAGAGAGCTGGGTTCGAGGATATCCACGAACAGAGCTACAAGTTTCCTGTTGGCGGTTGGCCCGCTGATAAGAAGCTGGCGGAGGTTGGCCAGTACGTTCAGTTGACTATGCTGAACGATGTTGAGGGTAAGTGATGGAAAAGCTTTCGGACTTTAGGCAATCCATAATTATTATTTGAAGCTGCCAAATCGTAGCTCAATTGCTAATGTTTGGCTTAGGTTACACACTCTTCCTGTGGAACCAAATCATGGGCGAGAACGCACCCGGATACCAGGAGTACCTAGCAGTCATGCGGGCCGAGCTCAAGAATAGGAGAATGCACGGCTACATGAGGTGTAGGTACGTGTGGGGGCGGAAGCCCGCAAGCGCGACCTCAGAGTAACCGTTTTCTGCTGATCTGCCTAACCTACTTACTTCACTGCACGGATTGGGTATAGGCGTGCATGTGAAAGGGGGAGCTGTATTTGAATGGAAATTATTTGGATTGGATTGGATATAAAGCCGTTGTAAATGCAATAAGAATAAAGGAGGCGAGGCGAGGCGAGGCGGGGGTGGGTAGGAAAGGAAGAACACTACTACTAACCTAGTAACAGAAGATATCATAACATGTTCCTTCGTTTTTGGTCCCTCGCTTTTTCCGTCCGGGGTGGTACATGTTCTGGTTAGGTACTGATAGCTAGGTAGCTACTAATCCGTCAGATCCGCTCTCTGGGATAATTAATAAGTATCTCATCAAGCATGTTAGCAAGGTCTTTATATCGTTAGCTTGTGGTGGGTGGGTGATGTGGTTGTGTGGTGTTGTTGTTGTTGTGAGTTTGATCAAAGATGCGAATGATGAGTGCCTGATTGAAGTTGATGGGCCAGTCTGATGAGCGGACTTGGTGGAGTCGGGTGAGATATACACTGAGGGGTTAACCTTAGGTAGGTAGGCATGCGGAGGCAGATGGAGATGTAGAGTGTGTTTACGTGAAAACTAGCTGCTAGGTACCTCGAGCAAGTGTGCGCGCTCTTGAGTTGCCCAACCGTTTCTTCCTCTCTGAGGTCGGGTGATGAATGGGTTGCTGTGTGGCGTTCGCATGCTGGCAGTGATGCCGCGCGTTTCAATGGGGTTTGGTGGGGGGTTAATGGGAGATGGAGGAGTGAGAGGAATGTTCAAGTGCTAGGTACCAGGTAGGCAGGTTTTGTTGTCAAGTATATTATTCTCCCACTCTCTCACTCTGTCGGTGCTTACCCAGACTTGCTTGCTATAACCACATGCATAACTCGCTCGAAGAGAGGAACGGTTAGTACTGGTTTGGGTACCGTGGTAGATGTGTAGGTGGATTTGATTACCGCGTAGAACAGCATCGTTGTTGCGCGGGGATCTCCAACATCTCCCCGAAGACTATAGAAGCTACATATCCTATCCAGGTGGGCTGTCTTTGCTCTATCCGACCCCCTGTATACCTAGTCCCGACCTAGTCAGACCCTTAACAGCGCTTACGGTTCAGCGAACGAGTTATCTAGGTATTGCCATAGGTTGTGGTCTAGTTAGTGCACACGCTTTGGAGGTTGCAGTAGGCTTTCAGGCCTTCCACGCCCCATTCAACGCCAATCCCGCTCTGTTTTGTGTTCTTCAAAGGTAGTGCTAGCCTGGATCTTGATCCAGACATTCCCGGTCTGGGTGTTCCGTCAGCCAGGGACAGATCCTTATCTCCGCCCAGTGCCTGGAAGACGCCCGGCGGAAAGAAGCGCGAGCCAAGTTCAGCCAGCTTGAGGCAGCAGTAAGGGGCGGAAGGGGACGCTCTCAGGATGAAGACATTCCCAGTTAGCAACGCGGGTCCGACTTTCGCATAAGCTGGAAAAATAGGATAGTTGTAGGGCACGGTCCCAACCGTAACACCGATAGGTGTGTGGTGCGTCGTGACGGTTCGTTCTGGGCGTCTTCGATCGTCTCCCTAGGAAGAGACAGCTCGCAAACGCCGCGAAGGAAGCGCACGCCGGTGGCAACTTCATCTCTTGCCCAGAAAGGCTGACATCCTGATTCAAATATCTTAGACCCTATACATACCCTACTGCGTAGTCATTGGCTTGATCACGCGATACGGTGGAGGTTGACATGTTCTCTCGTCACTGATATACGTATGCTCCAGATTGTTAGTGTGCTCTCCTTTCACATAAACCTATTAGTACTTAGGACAAAGCTCTATCTACGAAGGGTTCCTAACATTGATACAGTTGAATATTGTCGACGAAAGCCTCCATCCCTGCATTCTAGGCCTGTTGAAATTTAGTATCTTAAGTCTATATCGCCGGATATTCTCATCCAGTCGCTGGTTCTATATACTCACATGGATTGTCACTGCTCTGCTCGTCGAACTGGCTCTTCAGGTGGTGATTTCGACAAACCTCCAATGCTCTCCCATTGCGTATGCCTGGGATCAATCTATTAAGGGTTCTTGTATCGACTATGGCGCTGAAGCGCTTTCAGCCTATGTCATTAACATCACTACCGATCCTATGATTCTTATCGTGCCTATTCCTCTTGTTCTAAAGCTTGGGATATCAGAGCAAAAAAAGGGGGGGGGACTACTTACGGTATTCGCTGTGGGTGGCAGGTAGGTTTTGATAACCCCCCCCCTTCTTGTTACACGACTGATGACTGATGCCCAGCTGTCAGTGCCTGTATAGTTAGTCTCGTTCAGCTTCATTACATTTTGAAGTTAGGTAGTACTGCAGACCCGAGCTGTCAGTACTCTTGTACTATACCTGCCTTCCTTCCCAGTATTTCAGTCCATGATGTAGATACTACTACTAGTAGTGTCAGAATATAGTCATGTGATTTCTAATTTGTCACGTGATAGCCCATTGGGCCATCATTGACGAAAAAGCCGAGCACCAGTCTGGCGATGGTCACGTGTACCTATCTTGATCCATGTGACCATATCATAAGTCACATGGCTGTGCTCTGATTGTTTTTTAAAGTTTCGTCAATCTTCATTACCGTACCCTAGGGTTACAGGGTAATCCTGAAAGTTAGTACTACATAGAAACTAAACCAATTAGCCAATTAGCCAATCAATCAGTTCCATTCATACCCCCAAATCACACACCAGGAACCAGGGACGAGGGATCAGATGACGTCTATTCGACTTACAGTTCAAACTGTATGTATGTACCTACCCTAGGTTAAGTAAGTACCAAAATGGTATCAGATCATCTTACCTAGTATGCTTTCTACATCTTACTTCTTTAAAATTATGGCCTAAACTAAACTTGCAATAATAGGATTATCTGATTGCCATGGCTCCCAATATCATACCTACACCACTTAATTCCCTACGTGTCTCTCGCTACCTAATCCCGGCACACAATCTCATACCCAACACAAGTATCTTGAATAAGCCACTCTTACATTATCATGGAGCTTTCCCTGCTGCGACTTTGACTGCATCGTCTATAGAGCTGTACCTCACAACTATTGGCGTTGTGGAACCGCAGTGGCGTTATACCATGTACAGTCAAACTCACTTTCACTCTACTACTCACGAGGTGTTGTGCATCAGCCGAGGAACAGCAAAGTTATGCTTTGGCGGCGAGGACAATCCGGGGAAAGTGGAAAAGAAGGTTGAGCCCGGTGATGTGTTAATCTTACCTGCTGGCGTCGGGCATAAGCTTCTGGAAGACCTAACAGACGATTTTGAGATGGTAGGGTGCTATCCTAAGGGCTATAGTTGGGATATGTGCTACGGAAAGAAGGGCGAGGAGACTAAGGTTCAAGGCATTGCGAAGATTCCTTGGTTTATCAGAGACCCGATTTATGGCGATGAAGGCCCTATTCTTGAAAATTGATATTTGACGCATCATAGGGTACGACGCATCGATAATGGGACGATACAAATGCGATTTGTCTTCTCTTTGTTCAGAGGATCGGAGGTACGCGAACAAGCCAAGCGGCACAGACTACCCGGTCTCCTTCCATGTTCCATTTTCAACGACAGAGCTACACAAATTCATGCTTCTTTATACCAAGGCTTGGATCAAACTTTACACTACAAACAAACCACTTTCTGAGTTAACTTTATGTATCGGAGCGCCTCGACACCACATTCAACTCGAACGATGGTGCCATGTCATCCTAGACAAGAGAGAGAGCATTGAGGCCCAGGCTAATGCTTTGGTACTAACCTCTGTCAAAGTGTAACAACCGATGCACATAACTATTCTTGACCTAACCACACGACCTTAGCAATATCCAGAGTACGAAATCAATAACTGCTATGACCTTTACAAGTCAGTGTCTTTCCAAAAAGACTAACTAGTCACGTTAGTGAGATCAAAGGAACGTGTCATTTCGGTCATATTTATCTAGAAAGGAATTTGAGATTCGAATCCTCCACGCTCGATTTATATAAGGCCTTATAGCTTGACCAAAAAACAACCTGGTAGACCTTTTACTCGCAAAAGCTCAAAAGTCTGGAGTTCACTTCCTTATATAATCTGGCAACACGATTCTCGAAACATCGACTTTATTGCACTCCCCCCCACAAATCCAGCAGCATCGCTAAGAACAAATATCAAATCTCTCACTTCACTTCAACAAAAGGATTCTGTCATCATCAAACGACCATTCAACACAACTGACAAACAACCAAGTTGAGCCTCTATCTACAAGCTTATCGAAATGTGCACCATCATTATCACGTATCGTTGCGGCTGTAAGCCTTACGAGAACAGTCTGCCTTGTAAGAAAGCAAACTGCACAACAATTAAGGAGATGATCCGAGAATCAGCCTGCAGGCTGTGCCAACAATGGCTCGATGAGGCCGAACTCCTCTTTGCCGCCCTTTGATATCTCGACATATTATTCGAAAGTTTATAATCACGAAATCCATTGAGTGGGACTCAGAGTAGGCACAACAAAATGGAGATCCTATGGGAGCAGGAAGTGGCTTATCGTCAGAAACATCATCAAAACCTTGCACCACTTGAAGCTATTTTCCCGTACAGATTAACGTCTAACCGGGATGACTATTCCTTCGTTTTGTGGAGCGAAAGGTCTTGGCTGGTTTGGAGTTGTTTGTTAAGTTTACGAGATATTCATCTGTGGTTGAGATTGTCAACTTGGAAGATGAACTGGGTAGGAGTCATGTTTTTCTCGTCAAGGCTGTGTCACTGAAATATATTTTCAAGTTTTGATGTTTGATCAATCTACTAGAATCCAATCTCACCATTTTATGCCACTAGTGACACCTATGACGGGACTGGAGCGAACTCACCGCGACGCATTGGAAATTTTCTCGGCGATTTCGCGTTACGACAAGTAGTGGTAGTCGGTAGCCAAAGACGTGGTCGTGAAAAGGGGGCCAGTAGCAAACAAGAGGTTGAGTCAGTATATGTTCGATGCCCTTCATTAATCCTGACCTATAACTAAGTCATCCTAAGCTACCTAGATTAGGAAGTCGTTGACAGGGTCAAATTAACGTTATATGTCCTGATTCGTCCAGCCGTATTGGCGATTCGGCGCTGTGATTGGTCAGGTTTGTGATATCCACGTCCACCACTGCCGGTCTATCACGCTGCGCAGATCATGTCTGTCACGTCACATGTACTCCGAGCCTGTCAGGGCAGCAGTCAAACGTCTTGAATGGGGGAACCAACCACAGATAATTGAGTATATAAAGCGTGTCTTCGTTGCTTTGTGGGAACTGTGGGAACTTAGGTTTATTGGTCTCAGCGGCGCAACAACTGACAATATCAACGAACCAGGTACCTACGAACCAAGCGGTACTAGGCTACTATTTAGTAGCGATCGCGAGCATCTAAACCAAACCTTTCGACGGCAATTCCACTTCTTAGAATAATAGCAAGCGGCTGCATCGCAATAGCCCCCCCAACGAGGATATTCACAAAATGCATCACTCAATCATCCTCCTCCCGGCGCTGCTCGCCCTATGCCAAGCCATCCCGGCCTCTCTCGACCAAGAGCCGCAGAACAGTTTCTGCGCAGGCGACAAGTCGGTCGCGGGGTTCTGCACGGCGCTGACCTACACGGACAAGACGGACTCGGCGTCGCCCACGACGAGCAACTGCGAGGACACCTGCCGCGGCATCCTCTCGGACGCCGGCGACTGGGGCGTCGACTTCGCGGGCCGCCCCGCCGGCTGGCGCGACAACATGTACATCGGCGCGTGCGAGTTCAGCGTCTCGCGCGAGAAGGACGGCGACGCGTCGGCCTTTGCGTTCTCGATGAAGAATCAGGATATACTGGATCTCGTGGACGAGAGCATCGACCGCTTTGCGGGGAAGCATGGGAATAAGGTCAAGGCGGAAGGCACGATGAATTGTCAGGGGCATGTGGTGAGGTGGTATGTTGGGTAGATGGTTGAGATGCTCGCTACACCTGGTATCTTACCTAGCCTAGCGAGGACCTCGGGTGGGTAGGGAGGGTATGGGGAAAAATTATAGGTAGAGGACGCATGGCCGCTAGGCCCGGGGTGGGTGTTGGGGAATTCGGAAAGGATGGATGGATGGAAAAGGAAGAGAAGGAAAATGGTATTAGTGATTTATATATTGATTTCTAACGACCAACCTACCTTCTTAATACCTCATTTCTTTCTTTCCTCACTTTGCAAAAGCTGTTTTTGGTGTTTGGTTCCGAGGGTTTGACAGGTGGTGTTACACTATATACACTACCTACTTAGGTAGGTAGCTATCAGTGGAGATACTCTTTCTACCTGCCCAGGTAATGTGCGAATACGTTGCCTTACTGTCGCTTGGGGGATGGGAGAGGTGTGCATCGCGATCTTGATGATGTTAGTTTTTGTGCGTCGGATTGCGAAACTGAATAGGGGTATATTACTAGAACCAGGGATCGAGGGGGTGGTTCGTACGAACAGATTTAATTTGCCACGCAGAGGCTGAATTACTTAGATATACTTGGTTCCTAATGAATATTTATTTATAAACTACGCCTACCTAGTAGGTATGCAAATATTCCGCGTACGTTGCTATCAGCGTATGGGCTTGGAACGGGTTAACCTCACTGTCGCAAATATTGTCTGGTTGAAGGTTTTCATCGCTGGAGATTTGATGTGAGTCTTAGGCCTCCGGACCTCCAGACAATTGTCAATATGATCGTTTTTGAAAGCATGTAATATTTGAAGAATATTTGGCGAGGTGGGAAACCAGATCCTTGGGTATCATCGGAGAAAGACATGTCTCTGGAACGATGAACGGCGAACATATTTTTCAACCTAACGAAAGGGGGATATGCACTCAGGGGTTCAAATGACATCAAGGGACAATCGTGTCTGTACTTTTGTAAGTGATGATCTCGGAACTTAGATAAACTCCAGACTCTCCAGATAGCACACAAGTACCTCAGTCTTCTACCTTGTATGCCACGGAATAGCTTCCATCTCAAGTTAGATATAAAAAGCAACTACCTACCTAGTAGGCACACAGCTCTGAAGTAGTGATTGATTCATCCGCACTGTATTATCGCACGGCTATTTAACAGGCTGGAGACCTCAATCGAAGCGCCCGAGAAGAAGCAATTGACTCAGACTTGAACGCTGATCTGGGCCAATGTCTCACTGTCCTGATTTTAGGATGACTCGCTGAATTTTGAGAGCTAATATTATATATACAAACAAAATTCTAGATGACTCGAGGTTAGCCCGTGGAAACATCAATTCCAGTTCCTGCGCTATGAAAGCCACATTGAGATCAGTCGCATCACTATCGAAAACTCAGGGCTGACTTAGAGACATAATCTAGAATCAGTATGGCATGCCAGATGATGCAATTCGTTCTATCAGTGACCGAAGGGACTTAATATATGTACATCCCTTGCCTTCATCAGGCGCGGGACGCAAAAAGCAGGACCCCCGCTACCTACAGTAAATCATAATTCTCACTTCAAAACGAGATCCTCTTATGGCTCGACATCTGGACTACACTCCACTACGTTGTCGTTGAAGAAAAGCCATGGCGGCGCAAGAAACAGCATCGGGCGAAGGCCTAATCATCATCCACGCAGCGCTCTACCGGATGGCCACTCGGTCTCTGGCCGAAGCGTACAGGATCCTCGGCTACAAAGCCCACCACGCCCACGACGGCGACGTCCTCGAGCAGCGCTGGGACATCATCGAGCAGGCGGCCGAAGCCACCTGGCCGTTCATTCCCGGAGCGCAGCCCCGTCCTCTGTTCAAACGCGAAGACTGGGAGAAGCTCTGGGACCCACAGGTAAAGCCCCCTCCCCCCAAGATTCAAGGACTGAATGGGAAGGCTGACAATACAATCCCCTCAAGTACGAGATCGTAACGGACATCGCGTCGCCCTTCGCCGACCAGCTCGTCGCCATCTACCCGCACGCCAAGGTCATCGTCGTGCAGCGCGACTTCGAGTCCTGGTGGCCGAGCTACAAGTCCGAGTGCGTCGACTCCGTCTTCGACCCCCTGCGGCGCGCCCTCCTCTTCCTGCTCTGCCACGTCCTCGGCAACCGCGCCGGCCCCGCCATTCGGAAGGTGCACATGGGGTTTTTCCGCGCCGGCAGTCCGGCTGAGATAGAGAGGAATGCGCGGGACGGGTACGAGAGGTAGGTGCACTCACTCACTCACTATTTATTCCCCCCCCCCCTCTCCTTGTGCCGTTCCCTTTATTACTAGGTTGGTAAAGTAGGTGTTTTGGGGCTTACTTGGTTGAGCAGATACTTCCGAAGGATACGCGAGCTCGTGCCGCCGGAGCGCAGGCTCGAGTACAAGATCGGCGACGGGTGGGGGCCGCTGTGCGCGTTTCTCGGCAAGGAGGTGCCGGATGTGCCGTTTCCGCGGCTGAATGATCGGAAGGCGCATCATGAGAGCTCGGCGCGGAGGAAGTATAACATTGTGGCGAGCTCGGCGAAGAGGATGGCGCCGTGGCTTCTGGCGGCGAGCGTGCTGAGGGCTGCGGTGTGGTATTCTGGGCATTAGGACTGGGTGGGTGATGGCTGGGGAAAAAAATTGTAGGGGGCTGTGGGCATATAAGTAGGCCATAGGTTAGTAAACTAAGGACTGCATATATTCCAGATTTTAAGTATTAGCTGTCCAAGGGATGAGGGCATTTGGTCGGTGGCATCTTCATAGTATACTAGCCTACTAGGTAGGAAAGCCAGGGGGGTAGCCATTGATTTTGCGGCACGACGACACTAAAGGCTGGCCATTTTTAGCTGTACGTATGTAATAATAGATTGCTCTATGCATCTATTCTATTAAAGTGCATATTTAAAAAAAAAAAAAAAAGAAAAGAAAAGCGTCGGTGAGGTTTTGTAGGTTAAGTGCCTATGATAATTAAGTCCTTTTCAAGAGTGGACTCCAAGCGTCAAAGGTACAACATACCGAATGTAAATGAAGACAGTTCATATAAATAGGCTGTTCTACCTCGACACATCTATAAGTTATTTAAACGATTGGATGTGGTAGATGCATTATAGAAATTCATTCAAGTTACTAACGAAGACCCTAATAAATAAATATTTATTAAATTTTATGTGTAAAGGACGATGATCCTCTCACTACCACTGCTTGCTAAAGCAGTACTGGCAGGTTCAATCCTCCTTAACCGAGGCCAGGAGCTGGCCCCATTCAACAAGCCGAGCGACGATAACAAGGTTACTGATCGATATCTAGTTTTCTTAAAGGATGGCTACACACTCGAGAAGCACTTTGCCCAGATCCGAGTAAACCTGACGAAAGAGGGGGGCAATTTCAAGTTTCAAGCAGGAGGGAACTCTTACGGCGTTACGTTGACTGATCAGAAGATTATTGACGAGAAGGTTCGCCGCGACCCAGGCGTAGAGGCCGTCCAAGGTAGGTATGGGGTCTGACATGAAAGGAAAATAATCATTACTTACTTTTTCTCAAGTGGACTCATATGCTAAATTCGACATCGACTCGTCGGCAGGCTCCGTAGACTTGGATTCCGAAGAAGAAAAGAAACCGAGCAAGAAAAGATGGACAAAGTTCTTGGCGGATAACATGGGATCATGGTGGATAGCCCAGCTAACGAGGGGAAAGAAAGTGCCAACCTGGAAAAGCTACGGCCCCTGGGACTTCTGGGCCTTCAACAACCCGCTCCCGGGGACCGGTGTCGATATCTACATCGTTGACACGGGTGTGCGACATAACCATGCGCAGTTCTTCCAGTATAAATGGACGTTCTCGTCAAGGGTCCGGAACTTTAAGGATGTTAAGGACGATGAGAAGTCACCATATTCGGAAGGCAAAATGGTAATACCTAAAGACCCCTCCAAGTTGGCCAGCTTCCGTTTCTAACAAGAGGTTATTCTAGGGTGATATAGCGCTAGGCCACGGCACTGCGATGGCAAGCTGTGCGGCATCGTGGTTTGATGCGCCAGCAATAAATGCCACTATTGTGAACGTTAAGGTGGCGTATCGCGACAGTTCTCCAATAGAAGTAGTTGTTCAAGGTTTGTGGACCAGATATTATGTTGATTCGTGGGGAGAGGCCATGCTAAAGACACACTCAGCTCTTAATGATATTATTGACGAGCATGAACGAAAGAAAAAGGAAAAGGTACGTACTTTGGATCCATACTAGAGACCTATTCACACACAACAATTCGCCAGTGTGCTGTGACTTGAATAAGACTAACATGTGTTCGACACATGTAGCCAACGGGCTGGAAAGGGTCCGTAATAAACATGAGTTTCGGCACAGATCACCATGTAGGATTGGAGAAGGCTTGCGCCCGGGCAGCGAAAGCGGGAATACCTATAGCAGCAGCAGCAGGGCAATCCTCCAAAGAAGCTTTCCAGGCCCCATGCATGTGAGTCGTATTTACGATTTTCTTCCGAAAAGAATTCAAGTCTAACTCCACATCCAGATACGACAGCACAATCTGTGTCTCTGGAATCGACAGGGGCTATAAGAAGCCAGACGAGGCGAATTATGGCAAGCATGTAGATGTTTTTGCACCTGGCTATGATGTCAAGGTGGCTAGCCACGAGGGCTCTGTTACGGATCGGCATGGTGAGAGTGGCACAAGTGGTAAGTACCCAACTTTTCACTACTTACCCACTTCTGGAGAAGGGCATACTTTCTAATAACCACGGTAGCGGCCGCGGCATACGTCGCCGGCATCATGGCCGGGTACATCAGCTACGAGGGCTTCGCGATCAACGGCGACGCCACCCTAGTCTACGACCGTCTGAAAGCCAACATGCTGGACGACCTCATCTGGAACCTCCCAAGCAAGTGGCTCTTCTGGCCCAGCACGAGCAACAAGCTAGCCACGACGGGCATAAACCACCCCAACCGGCACCCATGGGACCCCTACGCGGGGATCCCGCGAAAGGACTTCAAGAACACGTGCAAGATGGAGGTGACCCAGATCTGGACCTGCGAGGACCCAAGCGCGAACCTCTACGCGCGGCTGAAGGTCACGGGGTCCGACGGGAAGGTGTTGTACGTGACGCCTCAGTCGACGCGGACGCCGGGGGTCCCGATCAATGCGGCGCGACCGGCGGTGATAGAAGAGAAGGGGATGAGCAGGAGCCTGACGGTGGTAGGGCAGCACACGGACGATTACATCCAGTTTACGTATGGGGATGACCTGTGGTTTACCGCCGGAGCGAGAATGCTGGGGACGAACAGCGGCGATGGGAGGTGTGGTTTGAAGGGGAGTAAGAATTGGGACACAAAGGGGCCGCAATGTCCAGGGAAATCGATCGTAAGCATTGCTCTTCAACTACATGTACAATTTGAGAATCTTTACTAATGGGTGATAACATCAGACTCGGGATTTTAACTGTGAATATCTGTGTTAGACGTACCTGGTATATCGTCTTAGTCACCTCCTATTTTGTTCGATCTTTGTACTAGCGCATATATCCTCCTTATTGCATACTCTTTATATATAGGTAGACCTATTAGATTCATATACATCTTTCTCGGGGATTTCTTGTCTATTGAAAAAGGGAAAGATGATAAGATAAAAAAAACACCTGGAAACTGATGTCATGTACAGCTCTTATCACATCCATCGAGAATGCCAATTGGCCAATCAAGTTTCAAGTCCTAGCGCAATTTGGAAGGGGAATTACAGACATGATGTCATTGGTATACATGCAGAGGGCCAATCAACAGGAATCGAACTTGTGACTTCTCGATTTTGAAGCAGCCACAACCGTAATTTGCAACATTGAATGTATGTACTAGGGTAAGTACCTACATCATAATGGGACTACAGTTGGGACTGGAATTAATTACGCTGCAAACTCAAACTATCAACTTCTTCCACCTTCATCATCTTTCCGTAGCATCTAACGTATAACGTGTATTCGTACGGCCTCCTTACACGTTCGTTATATAAGTAGCGGATGTATATTCCCGCTCTCGATATGTTGTATGAAATTATAGGATTTCGACTATTCTCTTATCTTTCCGATCAAGTTTCATGCTCTTATTGTATCTCCCTAGATTAGAGATTCATTTTCTATTCCTAGTTCCAGCTCGTAAGTGAACGTGCCAACTCCCCTCCTCTCGGCTCGATCTCTTCCCGGTTCTGCATTCATCCCGATACATAGGTATATAGACGGTGCTATAAGACCGGCATACCCTTAATCATGTCTTCCCAGCCCACTCCATCCAACCCCATCCCAACATCGTCCTGGAAAGAATGGTGCTCAGGATGGTGGCCGGGGGACTGGCCGAAGAAGACGACTATCCTCGTCTTCTCGAGTCTTGCGATTGCGCTTTATGGGTATGACCAAGGTATGATGTCCTTGGTCAACACAAACCGGTCTTACCTGCGCACCATGGGCCTGCCCGAGGAATCGGACCTCGTGGGCATCATCGTCTCTATCTACTACCTCGGGTGCGGCTGCGGCGCCTTCTTAGCTTCCGGAATCGCCGACAGGGTAGGCCGCAAGTATGCGATTGCGGCATGTCTGATCACAAGCGTGGTTGGAGACCTGATGATGTTTGCTCCTGGAATATACCCCATAGGATCGGACAATTCGTGGGGTGGCGGCTCCCTTGGACTCATGATGGCCGGACGCGTTGTACTGGGATTTGGTGTTGGAGGAATCGATGCTGTCATTCCCGTCTACAGCTCGGAGCTCTCTAAGGACGAAACCCGCGGTAGCGCTAGTGAGTACTCCAACTGCCCCTTCACTATTTTGGATACAGATACATCTTAAGTCCTGTCCAATGCCGCCAGTTTGTGACATGAATCCGCGTCATGCCATAACTGAGGAAATACTAAGAAACCATTACTGATACCCGATACTTACAGTGGCCAAGGAGTTCCAGGCAAACATTTTTGGGCTCTTTCTCGCATTCTTTCTCAATTTTATGTTTACTTACCTCTTAGGCAAGGACAGCCAGTGGGCCTGGAGGATCCCTATCATTTGCATGATTTTCTTCCCTATCTTGCTCCTTCTTATAGTAAAGAGTTTACCAGAATCACCGCGGTGGTTAGTCAGTCAAGGAAACTCCGATGCTGCCATGGTGTCATTGGTAAACGTCCACGGAGAAGCCAAGGCAGAAAATATGCTTACTGAGCTCGAGGCCGCCCAGGAAGAAGAAAATGGCACGGAAGTTGGATATTTCGCCATGTTATTCTCGCCAAGCTGCTCACAGTTTCATCCCACTATGATCACTGTCATGGGCCAGATCAACCAAGCTTTGACGGGTTATGGCGCTGTCTCAGTTTACGGCCCACAAATCTTTGAACTCCTTGGACTGAGAGTGTGGCTCGCAGAGTGCACCACTCTCGCCAACTACTTCTGGTACTTATGCATGATGAGAGTAGCCGTGTGGACGATCGACGTTCTTGGTCGCAGGAAGTTGATGATATGGGGTTCTGCGGGATTAGCAATCTGCTACATCCTCTTGACTATTATGGGTGGCATTGCTACGGATGTTTTCCACGAACCTCAGCTCGGAGTAGAGATTGTTGGATCAGCCATTCTCTTCCTCTCAACCGCTGTTTTTGGAATATGCTGGTTGACAACTGTTTGGTTGATTCCAACCGAGATCTATCCCAACGCCGCGCGCGCCAAAGGCAGTTGTATTAGCGTTGGAGTATGGGGTCTTGTCAACTTCGCCGTCACATTGGCTACTCCTTGGGGCTTCAACCACTTAAAATATTGGCTATTCTTTGTCTTTGCCATCACCAACACGATCGCTGGCCTGTTCACATGGCTCTTCTCACCCGAGACGGGCGGCCGAAGCTTCGAGGAGAACCAGGCTTTCTTCACATCAGCCCGCGAAGATAAAAGCTGCCTCGTAATGAGAGTCGGCGGCGGCAGGTACCTACGTCTGCTACCGAACAGTGAAGACGACTCCGAGTACGCCGAAGGTGATGCGGGAAACGCTAAGGGCGAAAACGAGGGGGACCAACAGGCGGGAAACGGAGACGGCGCGAGCTGGATTACCGTTATAGAGGCTCCGGTGAATCGGGACACCGATGGTGGAGACGAAGGCAGAGGAGATACTAGGAGTGGTGAGAACGCGGATGAGCCCTCGGAGACGACGCCTCTTCTGGGTACAAGTAATGCACCTAATTAGTTAGAGTTTTGTGGTTATTTTCGAGAATTAGGGATAGCGATAGCGGGCATAGACGGGCTTTATGATTATATGATATGGAGGCTATAGCGATTAGGATCAAATACCTACATACCTAGAATGAAAGCGTTTGATTTAGATACTTCGATTCTCTCAATTCTCGTGAGGTTCAATAATCGGTGTGTCTGGAAGCGGGTAGCAGGCACGTACGATTTTATACTATATCTACTGGAATAGTGATGCTGAATGTACCTAGTATCTCTGAAGCTATATACTACCTAGGTAGGTACCAAGTCCATGACAAGTGATCATATGGTAGGCACTACGAATCAAGATTAAAAGCAAATTTTCATACTCCTGGAAAAGTGTGTTCATTTGTGGTATATTCATGGAATCATTGTTTCATCTCATCCGGGATATCGTGGTCTACATGCGCAAATTCTGTGATGCAAAAAAAGAAAAAAACCTTGCCCCTTTATTTTTAATACCCATGAACCTATGCCCCTATCTCCGAACCCAATCCACTAATACTCGATCTCCCAATAGATAGACCCCTTACCTATCCTGAAAGCATGGAAACCTTCTCTCTCTATTTATAGGGGTCGGTTCGAGAGATTCGCCGATTTCCATCCCATTACTTCGCCTTGTTCACCGACGCGGTTACCTCGTCTAAACATCCAGCAGCGGCGGCGAAGAAACCGAGGAATACCTTGGAAGGCGATAATACTCGACTGAGGTATTCTGGGTGGAACTGGACACCCACAAACCAAGGGTGGTCTGGCAGCTCAATAATCTCCATGCGCTCTCCCTTAACATCTTTTCCAATGAATGGGAGGCCAGCCTTCTCGAGCTGGTCGATCATAGAAGGGTTGACTTCATAACGGTGACGGTGGCGCTCCTCGATTTGAGACGCCGACCCGTTCAATGCGCGCAGCTTCGACCACTCGGATCCTGGTTGGAAGATGCAGGGGTGCTTTCCTAGGCGCATGGTACCACCGAGTTTGGTTTTATCGACCTGAAGATAGATTTGCGTGTGAGAGAGGAACCACATATATGTGAAGGTATGTTATAGGACAGGAGTTGGTTACTTACCTCGGGCATGTAGACGATGGCGTGGTTTTTGGCCTGTGGGTGAAGCTCTTCGCTTCCGGCGTCTTCAATTCCGGCGATATTGCGGGCATACTCGATGACGGCGAGTTGCATGCCGAGGCAGATGCCTAGGAACGGTACCCCCTTGGTACGTGCCCAGGTAATTGCCTTGATCATTCCTTCTATCGCTCGAGAGCCGAAGCCGCCAGGGACCAATACTAGAAGTAACTTGTTAGCCAAATTTTGAAGATATAATATGGGGACGTAGTCGGTTCTTACTAGCATTGGCAGTGCAGACCGTGTGCCAAGCTTTGTGGAACTCGGCTGGCGAGTTCTCCAAGGTCTCGTCCTCTAGGTGCGAGGCATCAACCCAGACGAGCTCAAGCTTCCTTCGGCAGTACATGGCTGCATGCTCTAGTGACTTCGATATGCTTATGTACGAATCGTGCAACGTGGTGTATTTACCCACAAGCGCAATCGTTACTGTTCCGAGAGCGTGATCCTGGCCTCGGGCAAGGCCGACCCATTGGTCCCACATCTGAGAGCCGAGATCAATTCGTGCGGTTGGCCTGCTGATACTCTTTAGATCCAGAAGTTCGTCAAGAGAATCTAGGAGCTTCTGGTTATTCAGAAGCATCGGTACATGGTAAGTAGTTGAGACGTTGTGTACAGCAACTACTTGCTTCTGTTCGACCTGGCACATATTGGCGATTTTTTGAATAGTCCCTTCATTAAGGGGCTGCTCGCATCGGCAAGCGATCTATATCAATTCTTAGTACGAACAACTTCGTATAAAGGCGTTGAATAACATACCAGGTCGGGGTTAAGGCCCGCACTACGAGTGTCACTAACAGCTCGTTGGGTAGGCTTCGTCTTCTGCTCCCCAACAAGGGGAACATATGATACGAAAATCTGGGCAAAATTGTTCCTGCCCGCTCTCTTGTGCAGTTGGCTTAGAGCGTGAATAAATGGTGCACACTCTATATCACCAACAGTGCCGCCTATTCTATCGTCAGCAGATCATTTCTACGGGGGGTCTTCACCATTAACAACTTACCGAGCTCGATGACGCATACATCCGGTTCGGCTCCAGATTCATCGACTGGGATCTTGGCAACCCGTTCAATCCAGTCCTGAATGGCACCGGTAACATGAGGTACCCTGTTCAAGATTAGACTGATATCTGTCGAAATAGGGGTGCCTAGTAGAGATCCGGCAATACTTACACTTGGACCGTCTTGCCGAGGTAATCACCGCGTCGCTCTTTTTCGATAACTTGCTGATAGACCTTGCCCGTCGTGATGTTGTGGTCTCGGGTAAGGGTGGTAAGTAGGTACCGTTCATAATTTCCTATGTCTAGGTCCATCTCACCACCATCATCCGTCACGTAAACCTCACCGTGTCTAAAAGATCTCAATTAGCATATGAGAGGGTACGTAAAGAAGTGGCAAAGCATACTCTGTCGGTGCCATTGTTCCGGCATCGATATTGATGTAACCATCAATCTTGATGGTGGTGACGGTAAGGCCTATAGTCTTCAGTAGTAGGCCAGTACTAGAGGCAATAATGCCTTTGCCTACTCCAGAGATCACGCCTAATTCACAGCCTCGTCAGTTTCTTGCTAGAAAGTCATGAAAACAACTGCGACATAACAACAGGGAATATGAAAGAAAGGAGAGGGTTTGGATGTGACTGACCTCCGGATACCAGGACGAACTTCATTTTGACCTAGGGTGATCTTTGAAGTTGTGGTGATTGAATCCTACCAAGTAGGATAGATAACCCCGGAAAAGGGAAGAAGAATATGAGATTTCGGATTTAGTATTCCGACCGTGAACTTCAGGGTTGGTGAAGTAGAAGCTTTGGATGAGAGTCGAAAGTAAATATGTTACCCGGTTGTGAGATAGTTCCAAGGTATTCTCAAGTCCACCTTGTTTAGTAACAAGTATGAGATTGCTAGGCTTGGGTAGGTAGGTATGGAAGGGGATATTAAATAATAATCGTAGAAGTATTGTGGTTGCAAAAGCCTTGCAAGATACTGTACTGAAGGCCTTAATTAATTTTTTTATGTAGTGGGATGCCTTTTTTTTTCTCAGCTTGAACTGCGTTTAAGAAAAGATTTATCAGAATTAGTGCAGTTTTGGTACTGTGTGATCCCCCACTATACTTAGGTACAAGCTGTACTGTACACTTACCTAAGCCGATATGGATCTCCCTCTTATCCAATGAGGAGCCAGATATGGAGAATTGTCAAACTCAATTCTGGAAACTAGCAGGGGTACCCCAGTGATGAGTCAGGACGGCAAGGCGGTAATACAGTGGGACGGGAAAGAGCAAGAAGAAAAAACGCGCTAACATCTGAATGTCTCAATTTTTCGCGTCATCATCTAACCTCCTTAAACAATCTGGTAACAATTGACACCGTTCTTTCCATTTGAAATTTGCACCAATCGCACGGTGGTATGAATGAAGCCTCCCAGAAAACAGAGCTGCTGTAACGAGTAGTTTTGGCAAGTGTGAGGTGCCTAAAAAGTAAGTATCGCTGAGGTAGAATGACATCATACCCAGTTTGCATTATCCTTTGATCATTGATATCTATATACCTTGATATCCTACCTAAGGTAGGTACAGCTATCATAACGTGTATTTTCTAGTCCAAGCTAAGTTTGCTCAATGCTGCCTTTCATGCCTAACCCTCGCTTATCCGCATCCACCATTCTGGACTTAAAGAGGCAGATAATGTCTGATATCAAATTTGACTCGAATTTCTTCACCCGCTGCCAGAATATGCCCGGACTCACGTACTTATCTCTGGGTAATTGAGACCACCGAAGCATTCTGCGTCGTACAGGCCGCGATCTTTGATTCAACTTCGAGTAGGGTGAAGATTACTTCGTCTTCGAGGATTTGATCTATTCGGTAGATAGCGCCGAATGTGGGACCACTATCTTATAACGAAAGCTGATTCTTAACAAGATGGGGCCTTCGCCAGAAATCCCCCTCATTTTTTGGGTCTTGATAAGGCCTTCTCCCTCACATACCAGCCAAAAGAAAAGGCGGCCCCAGGTCCACCAGCAAATGCGATAATAGGAAGAAGTGCAATCTGGAAGAGTGTATCGCTTCCCAGCAGACCAGCAAATCCAAGGTCGAGGAATGAATAAATCAACCACAGAAAAGAGCTGCTAAAAAGGGACACCTCGTCTGTCTGCAGTGCTTCACGGCAATGTTCGACGCCCACTGGCTTTTCTTCGTTCGACGGTAGGAACACCGTGGACAGGGGATACGGGGAATAAAGTAGCACATAGCCCCACACACCAGCGGAGATCGCGCCCAGCAATGCTACTAGAAGTCTAGGTGACGTGAGGACATTGCTGTTGGAAAGAAGCCGTTTGGTGACTATAGAAATCAAGACGTTGGCCATCCCGATCCAAAGAGGGGTAAACTGCCAGGCCCAAGTCCAGTAATGTCGCGTCTCATTCTCGGGGGAGACATACATGGCGAAGGCTTCAAATGTATGGAATAAGAGGACGATTAAAACAAGGAGCCCGGTATCCTTATTCCTGATTGTTCGATCTTCTGTTGATAACCGAGCCAGATCGGATGCAGTTGGGCCAAAGGCAAGACTTAAGAAGTAGTAGACGGGCGCTACTGAACCAAGCCCAACATATTGCCCTGCGAGGGTAAAGAATGTTGGGCTAAAGGGGAGAATTTGTCAGTTTGCTTATAGATATGCATACCCTTAAGAGAGACTCACAAATACACCGGCCCATAGGCACTCCCAGCACGGTAAGATTCCAGGATCCATATTGCATAGACCGGCCCTAAATCGATCAGGAAAGAGAACACCTGCCACCAAGAGACGCTGTCGAATGCTAAAGTAGAGGGGGCGAAAGTAGCCGTTACACCACGCCACATCTCGTTGAGATAATCCACTCCGAAAAAGTCGTCGAGTATCTTAACTGATCCCCCATCCCATTCAATCACGCCGGCCTTAACGACCAGATCTTGGTATTCTACCACCTTAGGAATATCCATTTGACGAAAGCACCACGCTGCGATGAACAGAAACGGCACCGACGCAATGGCGCGCCGTGCCCTAGCCCCGAATGATGCCATATTTGGTGGAGAGATGGATGGTGAGGAGAAGTTTGAGAAAGGAAAAAGGGAATAAACAGTTCCGAAGTGTGGATGGACAGCTTTATGCATCGGGTGCATCGGGTGCATCGGCTTAATGCTCCTTTTAAGGAGGAATGGTACTTTGTTTGGTGGGGCTCTGTCGTGCGTCGTTGGTACGACGGCTATCCATGGTTTGATAACCATACATTTGTGGCTCTCTCGTCCCACCATTCATTACCAACAAGCATATCCACCGGTGATCTGGTGGGTTTATGGGGTACGCTTTCAGCCTTGCAGCTGTCTGATACTAGGTGTGCGTAGGTGAAAGCCTAGAGTAAGGGTCAATGAGAGGCCGAGGATACGGCGGTGCGGCGCAGACGGATGGATCCTGGTCTATCAAGATTTGCATGCTTGGTAAGTTGTTGCCTACACCTCTATCTACAATATAACTACCGCTATGAATGGATGCTTTTACGATAGGGCTTGAACTGTACCCAGTTTGCCATCAACCCTTATTTCGACCTCCTCAGCGCCAAGAAGTTGTCGAATATGGAATATTCGTATTCTGGATGCCTTCACTCAACTTTGGTATGTCTTTCATATCGTATGAACGTGAATTAAAGACAACCGAAGCATAAAATAAGGTGATAAAAGAGTGGGTAATGCTTGGTTTTGATTGTATCATGAATATATGAGGACATCGTCGAACAATAGGGGTTCACCTTGATGACTAACCTTTCCTACTTCGTAGATGCCTGCTCATGATATGGACACCCTTCTTCCAAAGAGAAAAAAAAAGATTATGGAGTACATAACTGTTAAGAGTTGTGTATGTCGAGGAAGGAAGGTAACTCCCTATCTCCGGCCCGCTCCAATCAGGCCCCGAAGGGATATAGGACTTAACGAAAACGCGGTTTAGACGTTGGTACAATTATAATCGTACGACTTGAATCAGTAATTATGCCTATTAACTAAGTATATATGAAGTTCTTATGGAGCTTTGGAGGTAGGTATCCAGGTACAACAATTAAGTAGGTACCTAGGCACCCATTTTCATGTAATAGGTGCCGTTATATCGGAATGAACTTACATTGTATACTCAGATAGCAGCTTGGACTTAACCTGCAAGTCACTAACTATAAAAATAGCAATAAAAATCAACTAGAAGCTTGGCTAAGAGGTAGGAATCCCTACAGATGGACGAAGAATTGTAACCTAGATGAGGATGTCTTTACGTACCACTCAAGTAGACATATACTATGCAAATAGCTGCGTTCACTATTACTTCCTATTACCCTCGAACGGCTACTCGAGACTCACAATGGTGTTAGCTTCCAGGTTATGGCGTTTAGATTGCTAGATTCTAGGTAACAATCGTTTTCATACAAAGTCCGCCGTAATCTCCGTGGTCAAAATGGCCTAGCACATCCCACGATGCGAACAAATTATCTCCGACTCAGTTAGGCACCTATTTAACAGTAGATGAAGGCCTCATTTGTATAGAAATTTAGATGCTTCATCACCGTATAAAATTGACCACTATTAGTAGAGAATATACTCACCCCATCTTAATTTCACGATGTCTATCAACCGCTCCGTATGGCAAGACAAGCCAGGTGTGCCAGGCACCATCCGCGAGAGTCCAATCCCCACGAAACTCGAAGATTCCACAGTCCTGATCAAGGTCCGTGCTTGGGCTATAAACCCAGCCGATGCCATTCTTCAGGATAGGTCCCTGCCTTTCGTCAAATATCCAGTTATACTAGGCCAAGACGTCGCCGGCACCGTCGAAGCCGTCGGGTCCATCGCCAGCTCCAAGTTTAAGGTGGGAGATCGCATCTTCGGCTTCACCGTGAACAACGGCTTCCAGGACTACGTTGTGCTGGACCACGCCCTCGCTGCGAAGATCCCAGCCTCGATGTCCTTCGCCGAGGTTTCGGTCTTCCCCCTCTGCATCACCTCCGCCTCCTTTGGGCTTTTTGGCGGGCAGTATCTCGGTCTATCCCTCCCGACCGTCAATCCCACCACCAGCAACGGTAAATCCGTATTGATCTGGGGCGGCAGTTCAGCCGTCGGCAGCAATGCGATCCAGCTGGCCAAAGCCGCCGGGTACGACGTGATAGCCACGTGCTCCGCTCGCAATTTCGCGTACGTCACAGGCCTCGGGGCGAGCAAGGTCTTCGACTACGGCAGCCCCTCCGCGACCGACGACATCTCCGCGGAGCTCGATGACCAGGGCCAGTGCGCCGGGATATTCCTAGCCATGGGGAACGTGGCGGATGCGTGCCAGGTGGCGCACAAGTCGAAGCAGAAATTATTCGTCGCGTCGACCAACCCTGTCAAGCCGGGCGATGCGCTGGAGGGGGTCGAGGTGAAGATGGTATTTGGCGTCGGCGGCGTGGACGTCTTCACGGAGATCCTTCCTGCGACGTTCGGTGGGTTCTTGCCGGAAGCGCTGGAGAAGGGGGTTTATCAGGTGGCTCCGCCGCCAGAGGTTGTGGCGACGAGAGGTCTTGAGGGCGTGCAGGTCGCGTTGGATACTTTGAAGAAGGGAGTATCGGCGAAAAAACTGGTCGTGGTAGCAGAGTAGAGCCAGTGTAGGAATACACTGGCCGAGTACCCTAACTTCAGGGGTTTAGTCTTACACACATAGTTACTGCCTAGCTGCCCAGGTGTGTATCCACCTAGCCCATAAAGATTGACACCGTGTTTTCCCAACTTTGGTATGCAAAGGCACCGGGCACAGAACGATAGCTTGTTGGTGCCGCACGGCCGGCCGCAAGTGATATGATATTCTGGATACCTACCCTGATAGGTATGGAAGAGCGATGCATCCGGTCAGTCGGTATGGGCTTGGCAATCTAAGGTTATTGGATAACAGCAGAATGCATGCCCATTAATAGATGAACCAACGGCCCTATGCTATATAATACGACCTCGATTAGCTATGCCGTGCCTCTCTGCTGCTTCTACTAAATATGAGCCACATTCTGACAATTACATGATTATGTTACCTCGAAGCTTAGGCTACAGCCCATATTCTGTGTTGTTAATTGCTCATATTGAAACATTCTTTGGAATCAAGTGGAGGACACCTAGCTAATGGTTCCTTAATTTCTTATAGACTTGGTCATTACAATAATCAAAGCCAAGACATGTCTACCAACCTAGGAAGTGAATTTGGTCGTTCATACTAACCTTTACCTAATGATACTCTCTCTTCGATACTTCGGTCTGTCACCATACGCAAGACATGACGTTACAGTAGGATGGTTAACAGAACAGGGATGGTAGCCGACTCTACTCCGTATGGAGTCTGTTAACGGTGGGATATCGGAGCGGCACAGAGACTATGCATCGTCAGAGAGTAAGATTGAGTCACTTGTAGATATCGGATGGTGGGATAGCCTACCTGCCTTGCCAGTGTTATTATAAGTTGGCCGTGCACATCCAACACACATCGAACATCGAACAATTCTCTCTTCACTCACACCCTCTTTCCTACCAACATCAAATAGTCCGCATAGCATTGCGACCCCCCGACTACCTACGCATTGCAACTCTCAGCCAACAACCAGAGCACATCAAAGACACCCTCATACCCTACTAAGTAGGGACCTTCCAAGATGCCCACCACCGCCCCCTCTTCCAAGTCCCCCACGGGCATACCCTCAAGCGAAACCAACGACCAAAACTTCTTCCCGCACCTCCCCCCCTACTCAGACCCAACTTCCGGCTTCCTCTCCCACATCCCACGCTCCTGGATCCCATACGCACAGCTCATGCGCCTCGAGAAGCCGGCCGGCCTATACGGGGTGTACTTCCCGCACCTCATCAGCCTTCTCTACGCCTCCTGCCTCCCTTCGCACTCCGCACCCCCCTCCCCCCTCTCCCTCCTAAAACTCGCCGCCGCCCTCCTCCCCTTCAACATCCTCCTACGCGGCGCGTCCTGCACCTGGAACGACACGGCGGACCAGGCCTTCGACCGGCGCGTGGCGCGCACCCGGCACCGGCCCGTCGCCCGGGGGGCCGTAAGCACGACGCGCGCGAACGTGTTCACGGCGGCGCAGCTCGCGCTGCTGTTCGCGTACCACCAGCACTCGGGGCTGCTTCCCGCGGCCGAGACGGCGACGTTCGCGGTGTTCGTGACGGCGCTGTTCCTCGCGTACGCGCTGATGAAGCGGGTGACGGATTACCCGCAGGTGGTTCTCGGCGTGGGGATCGGGGCGGCGGTGTTCTTCGCGACGGCGGCGCTGGGGGTGGATCTGGACAGCAGGGTGGGGGGATTGGGATTGGGGTTGGGGTTGGGGGGAGGAGAAGTAAGTGTGCGGGCCCCGACGCTGGCGCTCTTCGGCGCGATCATGGCCTGGACGATCACGTACGACACGATCTACGCGCACCAGGACGTGGTGGACGACCTGCGGGCCGGGGTCAAGAGCATGGCGCTGCGGTTCCGGGAGAGCACCAAGGCGCTCGCGGGCGTGCTGTCGGCGGTGCAGGTGCTGCTGCTGGCGCTGTGCGGGTACTGGGCTGGGCTGGGGCCGGTCTATTTCGTCGGCACGGTGGGGGGTGTTGCGGTTGCGATGGCTTATTATCTGTATGATGTTGATTTGAAGAACCCCGAGAGCTGTGGGATGTGGTTTCATCGGCAGTTCTGGATCGTGGGCGCGGCGTTCATGGCGGGGTTCGCGGGGGAATATGCACTGAGACTGGCGGGCAGTGAGAGCTAGAGTTATGTAGTACTGCCAATCATATGAGTACGCCCAGGTAGCTACCTACCTACATAAACAACCTTCAGTCTACATAGGTAAAATAAATTATCACGAGATTTCACAGGACATACAAATATATGGTGCCAGTAACTTGAGCTTTGCTATATCTCAAGAATAACCTACTTAGGTACCTACCTAGTAGCCATCTTATCGAACTCGAATAGTCTTGAATCAACTTCGAATTTACGACAATGAATTAATATTACGCATCCTGCCAGAGAAGATAGGTACTCCAAAGCTGACTATGAATACCCCTAACCCTGATCTTAGCAATACCTAGTTTTCGAAGGATCGTGGTGTGGGGCAAAGAAGACAGCGGTCTTACTCGCTACGCCGTAAAATGCATAGCCAAAAGACCAAAAAAACCGGATCCAGCTTCCTTCGCGGTTGCCCAGCACGAACTTGGGCTCGGTATGGTGTAGATAGATCCTGCGATTGCGTTAATGCCTCTTTTTTTTTTTTTCTTCTTCTGTTTAGCAACTGGCCAAACTTGGTTCCCAGCATCTCACCATACTGCCCTCCGGCCGCCCAAAATGCTCGCCGAGCTCCTAAACAGCTACAACATCTACCCTCCGCTCTCCGCGCGCTCCCCGCTGCCCGCACTATACCTGCCCCTCGGATACTCCGTGCTGATCCTCGGGTATGTCCTCGGGCCCGGCTCGATCCGCGGGTTTGCGATCAGCTCCGCCCTGCTACTCCTCGCGCTGCAGCGGCCCCGCTTCACCGCCGGCGATGTCGTCCAGGACTACTGCCTCTCCGGCGTCAGCATCGTGTTCCTGCTGAACTACCTTGACCACGGCACCGCGGGCGGCGGCCCTCGCTATTTCGGCCGAGCCGACCACCCGCTGCCCCGCCCCGTCGGCCGCGAGGACAACAGGACGTGGGCGCAGAAGCTCAAGTGGTCGCTCAGCCTCACGGCGACGGTGCGCGGCATCGGCTGGGGCTGGCAGGTAAAGGGGGTGCCGGCGCACCCGAACGCGGAACAATCCCGTTTTCGCTTTGTCGTGGGGAAGGCCGTCGAAGTCGTCTGGCGCACCGCTCTCAAGGGCGCCGCGGTCTACGTCCTCGGCTTCTGCCGCGTGGTGGCACAGGCGTCAGGGACGGCTCCGCTGACAGGCTGGCTCTTGGACTCGGTTGCGTGCTGGTGCGTTGTCGTTTGGAGCTTCAACACCATTGGCGCTGCGAACGCGGCGGGCGCCGCGGTTACGGTGTTGCTAGGCGTTTGTGAGCCGTGGGCGTGGCCGCCGGTGTTTGGGGACCTGGGCACAGCTTGGAGTGTTAGGCAAGCGTGGGGGTAAGATGGCCTGTTCCGTTCGGTTTGCACTATATGAGAAACCTTCACTAACATTTCCATACAGCACGACGTACCATCAGCAGATGCGAAGGGTAAGTACTTTCTGGAGTGTGGAGCCAGCAAGCTGAGGTTTATTTATCTCGTGGAAAAGAAATAACATATTAACCTAATTAACCTCCTACCGCAGACCTTCCAACAGCCCGGCATCCGACTCGCGCGTCTCCTCGGCTTCAAGAAAGGCTCCTTCTCCTCGCGCTACCTGCAGCTCTACTCCGCATTTTTCATCAGCTTTGCCACGCACTGGTTCCAGTCATACACGGTCTCGCGGAGCGACCAAGGCGAGTTTGCCTTTTTCATGGCGCAGCCAGTGGTCATCAGCATCGAGGACTTTGTTGCGTGGGTGTGGAAAAGGTCGGTGGCTCCCAAGCAGAGGAGGAGGAGAAGTCTCGCCTGGCTTGAGCTGTATGCGGGATATGTGTGGACGATTGCGGCGTTCACGATAACTGTGCGCCCGATCATGAGGGGCTGGACGGATACGGGGATGGTTGGGAGTGGAGGCCCCGATGAGGTTGTGGCTCTGAGGCTAGGAAGCAAGCATGGCGCCACATACTTTGGGGGTTGATGCTGTGTTTGTTACTCGGTCGATGGTGATACGAGACGAGTACGAAGTGATCACTTGTACCTGATTAGATCTAGATAGAGTATCCTTACCTAAATCTCACACACAGTAATCAAATTGAATCCACTTACTAAAGCTGTGAGAGACATATTACTTACGCTTGTTTATATGGGTGCCTAAGGTATATAGATATATTCGTATTGATAACCTTGGAAACAGGCTACGGGCAGCAACGTCAACGAAAGGAATTGGGACTAGGTAGCAACTTGTCTCTTCCCTATACTGCTCATTCACAAATTCACATCCACCTCCCTATTCCCCCCACCCATCCACTACGTCCTACACAGCCTCCCATCCCCCCTCTCCTCCCACCTCTCACTCCCCACCGCCGTCCTAGCCCAAAACAACTCCCCCCCATCCCACCTCCTCTTAACCTCCACCAGCCTCGCATAATGCTCTCCGTAAAACGCCCCCCGCCAATCCGGCTCCTGGAAATCCGCCTCGTTCAAGTACGCCGCGCCGCCCGGCGTGATCGCCCTCACCCTCGGCAGCAACTCATTCGTGATCCTGTCCTGCGCGCGCCTGTTGGCGCCCCAGTCCGTGTAGTTGACCGGCACGCCGACCGACAGATTCATCAGCGCCCTGCGGAAGTACGGGTTCGCCGCGACCTCGTCGGGCGCGGACACCGAGCGCGACACGTTGACGGCGACGCCGACGGCGAAGGCCTGCGCGCCGATGGCGCGGACGGCGGCGACGAGCGAGGCGGTGCTGGCCTCGTCGGCGACGAGGGAGCGCGGGATCAGGCGCCCGCCGGCGTGGTAGTCGGAGGCGTTGAAGAAGCCGGGGATCGCGCGGTAGGCGGAGAGGAAGTCCGGGTTCTCGGTCGAGGCGTACGTGTACGCAAGGCCGAGGTCGTCCATCTTGGACAGCGTGGGCTGGAACAGCGCGTCGAGCTCCGACGGGTGCAGGCCCGCGGCCATGGCGGGCATGACCATGAACCCGAACGGCGCCGCGACCCAGACGACCCACGCGCCGGCGTCGACGAGGCTGGGGAGGGACTGGAAGAAGGTGCTGATGGCCGAGTAGATGGCGTCGGTGTTGGTGCCGTCGTTGGGCAGCGTGAGGTGCGCGCTCGAGAAGAAGGTGTCCGGGAACGCCTTGACGGTCATCGAGACGACGATGCCGAACGTGCCGCCGCCGCCGCCCCGCAGCGCCCAGAATAAGTCTGCGTTCTCCGTTGGATCCGCAGTGACTAGCTCGCCAGCGGCAGTTACCACCTCCCACGAAAGCACCTGGTCGGCGGCGAGGCCGAACTTGGACGAGAGGATGGAAATGCCGCCGCCTTGGGTGAACCCTCCAGTTATGCCTACGTTAGGGCAATTCCCGCCGACGACCATCAGCCCGTGGGAGTTCGCGAACGTGTAAGCCTCGAGCCCCTCGACGCCAGCGCCGAGCTTGATAGCGGGACCCTGGTAGGACGAGCCCGGGTGATGGTACTCGGGAATGAGGCTCATATCCTTCATGTGCAGAGTCCACACGGCCAGCGAATGCGCTCCGGTCGATTTGCCGAGATAATCGTGGCCCGTGTTGCGGATTACTAGGCGGATGTTGTGGCGCTGGGCAAAGTTAACGGCTGCCTGGAGATCGGCAGGGGTCGTGGCGTTGACGGTGTACACGGGGAGGTAACCCAGTCCGCAGGGCGCGTCCGGGTCTAGAAACGGGTTGCAGCTGTCGTTGGTGAACTGGTACGCCATTGCCGATGATGCCGAGGCCAGATGGGTCTTGGGCCAGAACCATTCGCTGCGCAGAGCATCGCACGCCTCTTGGTCGAAGGTAGAGTGTTCTCCGATGCCGTCTGTAGAGACAGAATGATGGCAGACGGCCGCGATGGGTATAGTTGCCACGAGCTTCCCATCAACTGTCTGATTTAGAAGACGCCAATCTTCTCGAGTCGACCAGGCTTCATCGCCTGGGATATTGCGACATTGCGTTGCGGCACGGTTGTCGATGCCGAGTTTAACAGCGAATGCAACAACAAGGATTGAGACCAGGGCAATGACCGAACGGGCGGTCACCCCTATGCCTGAAGAGTCGGGGGCCTTCTTGGGAGAAGACATTGTTCTTACTGCTAACCTTGTATACTTTGAAGAGAAGTTGAATAACTTGATCCTGTTTCATCTGGACATCCAGAGGCGTTACTTATATCTTCCTTTGTAATAGGGAGCCATACCCTTGCACCGCATCGTACCCACAGAGTAAGACAGCCATTCATTGATCCACTGATTTTAAGCTGTTAGTTGTGTTAATAAGTATAGTATCCGTTTCTTCTTACAAGTGCTTACTTACTTCCCTTCTATTCAGCTATTTGACCTAGTTTAATAGCTGAAGTGTTGGCTGTTTTCTCCACTCAGTTGTCCAATGGCGAGTTACGGGCAACTTGGAACGACTTCATGGGTTCTTTGGAAACTCGGTACGGAGACTTCAATGTGCGGAACAAACGGCTTATCTCGTATATTTGGCCTTTTTGAGAATAGTTCATATCTTACCGGAAAACACGTGATTCTGTATACGTTGGAGGTGCATATTCTTGTGGCTTGCAGGAACCAAACAATCCTTTCGGAGTATTCCATCTCACCCCTGAAGTCAGTTTCAACTTTTCTCTTGATTAAGGTAATTAAGAGGTAGGTATCTAACAGTTGTAAACTAATACCAAGCACAATACCAGCCTAATTAAGGTATCCGTATAATACCTTCAAGCTGTTATAATGTCTAGGTAGCTAGATATACCCATTGCCTTCCTCAATCCTCCCCCTCCCCCTCCCCCTCCTTGCCATCCCCATCCCTCATCTCCCACTTCTTATACAAATCCCCCGGCAGCAACCTCCCCCCCTTCGCCTTCGTGATACTCAACCTATCCGTCACCACATCATACTTTAGCACCGCACCTCCCCCCTGCTCCTTCACTGCCGCCACCATCTTCTTGAGGAGCAGAGCCAGTTCCCTCAGATGAGTCTGGTGGTCCCGTTCCCACGCCCTGATCTGCGGCATCACGTCCTCGACCTGCGGCTTCTCGAACACGCCGCGGCGATGGTAGGCGCGCACGAGCTTGGGCGTCTGCGAAGCCCACAGCTGCGTCGTGATTTCGGAAAACACGAGCGGCTTGTGCGCGACCCGCGTCTTGATCTCTAGTGTCGACTGCAGCGGAACCGCGTGGCCCTCCTTGCGGATGGTCAGCTTTGATCCGGCGGGTTTGATTGTTTTGGGCGGGCTTTTGCTGTTAGTGGTGTTGGCGGGCCCGGAAAGAGACAGGGACCCCAGAAGGCTGGAGAGGCTGTCGGCTTCTTGTCCTTTGCTGCGGCTGCTCGAAGCTGACCCGGCTAGGCCCTTCACGTATCCGTCTACTTCGTGGCGGACGAGGAACTTCAGGCCGCCGAAGCGGTAGGACACGATGCGGTGGTGGCCGGTGCTGTCGCCGATCTCGCACTTGGTGTACGCCTTTTCGAACTCATGGCCAAAGCCCCGGAACTCCTGGGGTCCAATGATCTCATACGTCTTTGTTTCGGTCCGGTTGAGTATCATGGTGTTCCCCACGACCTCGACGTTGATCGTGAATGGCTCTAGCCCGTTTCGGCTAGAATCGGGGTCGATGAAGGACAGCAGCTTGCGGATGTTGTTTCGATCGGACACGACGTCGACCGAGCGTAAGTCGAAGGTGGGGTCTTCGATTTCCAGTGCACGGAATAGCGGCTCCATGGGACTGGTTGGGTGTCGGGCTGCGTTTTGGGCGATGTAGATCATGCCCGAGTCCTTAGGAAGCTGACGAGAAGTTGCAGGAGGGGACCATTGTGGTGGCACGCCGGGCACAGCTATGGTAGGGTTACTTGCCTCCACCCAGCTGTAAGATGCAACAGGTTTGACATCAGTAATGGTCGCGGATGCAGAAGGATCGGGCCGGAGGCTCTGGCGAGAAATCGTTATCGTGCTTGTCATTTTGAATAGGGTATGATAGTGGACGATATGCTTCGGGGCATAGAAAAGCTAGAGTGTCAAAAGATCATAACACTCCCCAGGCTTTCGTTAAATACCCAGTTGGAGTTACTGCCCACCCCCAGATCCTCCTCGTTCCAAAGTACCTCTCGTGGTAGCACAACTAGCTCCCGCCATACAAACGACAGCTGGACGCCTACATGCATGAAAATAAACCGGTGGCTGAAAAGGCTTCCAAGCAAGTGGAAGAAGCCTTGAAAGCAAATATATTGCGCCGTTGTGTGATGTGATGGTTTATAGCCCATTGGCCAAAGCGTACCTGGCTACAGTCATCTGCCGTCGGCCTACAGCTTCTCGTTACCAGCCGGTTCCCCTATTAGTGTAACTCTACTTTCTTTCAATGACCTATCGGGAAGAGCTTTATTCCCATGGACCAGTCTATTCGTTGCCAAGGTTACATAAAATGAAGGGGGGGTGCAGGCTACTTCCTGATATCTTATGACAGGTAAGCTACCCGTCACGTCGATATCAAATAGCGACAGCAAGCAAAACAAGTTGTTTGATCTGATAATCTAGAATATGTGTGATGTCAAGCGACAATGAGGATTGAGTTTGTAAAATCTCAATTGAATCAACCGCGACTATTTATCACTACGTATATCAAAGCTAAAGAAAGAAGGAAAGGAAAGAGCATAATCTTATGGATTATCGATCCTTTATATACCTACCTAGGTAGATATCAAATAGTGGATACGCATCTTGAAGCCTTAGGCTTCACACGTATCCACTATGACAATATGGTAAACATTTACGCTCGGCGTGTACCTACATCCAGTGCTGTGGCTATGGCCAGTACTGTCTACCTACCAGGTACTCAAGGTTTGCACTGGCGACAAGCTCGGCTTCGGGCGGGTGCCTACTCGTGTATGCCATTACCAAGCTACATACCATGGAACGCTGTAAGGCAGGCAGGTATGTACAATTATTTCGAAAACCATAACCACCTACTGCCAAACCTATTTACAGCAGCACCACACACACCACCCCTTCCTCCCATCTCTCAACCCACCCATCCGCCGACAAATACCTCCCCCCCCCCTCCCCCTCAGCCCCTCATCCCCGCTCTTCAGCGCAATAAGCCCATGCATCGCGAGCCCCGCCTCGTGCATCCAGTACGCGAGGTGCGGCGGGCTGGTATGTACACCCGCCTTAACATCTCCCAACCCACCGGCGTCTGCAAAGATCTGGGGTAGGGATGGGATCCAGATTGGGGTTTGGCGCACGAGGCTGGGCGATGTGCGAGGTGGAGGCTGAGGTGGGTGCTTTCGATGCGCAGGGAGATATCGAGGAGAAGTCTTCCCTTCCCATTGGAGGTGGCGGCCGTTTGGCTCTTTCATTGCAAAACCACGGTTAGGCTTGGTCTCTATGCCATATACCTACCTACCTACCTTACCTACTCACATACTGAAAGACAAAAAGGGGTCAACACACTTTAACAGCCTAACGAGCTTCTCCACCACGCCCGGGACCTCCTCCCCATCGAGCAAGACGAAGGCAAAAGAACCGGACATGAACTATGTCAAACGTCCCCACAAGGTCGTCGGGGACAGGATCTCTCACATTCCAGTTGCGTAGTGTGATGATATTCGACGGGAGGATCTGCGGCGGCGGTGCCGCGTCTCAAGGGAGATGTCCCAGGCCGACCAGCTGGGTGGACCTGGGGGACTCGGCCGCCTACGTCGGCGAGCCAGATTCTTTGGTATCCAACGATATTGTATCAATTACCGGTTTGTGCAGTAAAACACGCACAGCTAGGTATAGGATGGAATTGTATGGACATGAATGAAGAAATAGCGTTTATCACCCTGTCCCCGTCCCCCCATCCACCATTCTCAGATCAGCGTTGTCGATGGGGATGTCGGGATGAATCACATATCCGAAGCTGCTCGACCAGAGATAGGTAGTGCATCAGGTTGATGCTATAGTTGTTACCTACGGCGAGTGAGTCACGCCTGACAGTTAGCTTGTCCTGAGCAAGTACTGTGTCACCGGCGAGGATTACGATCAGCAAAGGAGAAAAGGATGCCTAAGCAAAGAGGACGAACCGCGTGTTATCGAATATGTTCCGGGGGAAGACATAATCAGGGGCTTTCGAAGACACGATTGGTAGGTAGGTCGTCAACTTCAAGGGTTCGTGTGAATAAATTTAATGTAGGTAAAATAACTTGCTCTTTCACGATACCTGAAAGTATCGGATGTTATCGTTATCCCCTACACGCACGTAGGAGTTAGGTATTGCAAGAGATCGGTCAAAGGAGAAAGCAGGTCCTTTTGCGGTATCCATTGATTATCAGATTACCTCTAAGTAAGTAATGCATACATGGATGCCTGGCTGTTGAGCTGTTGCCTAGCACCACCACCATTCGGTTGTCGTTGTTTATTGCCATACACGCATACGTCCCTATGCATGAAGATCACCCATATGTGGAGGTGAAATCTTGCTATTTTCTTACATCTTGCTCGAGTACGAAGTATTATGTAAATACTTACTTAAGTACATGGGCAAATCAGAACTTTGAGGAATGCATATCTGATCTCGTTGGGTCTCACCATAGTTTATAACTTTGCCCAAAGTATCTGGGGGCCTGGGGTACTGCCTATATCCAGCAACGTATGTGATGCCACCAACTTGAATAGGGATTCAGGATGTTATACACCATAGCCCATATTATATAACCCATGAATCAGGCGTTCCTAACTACCGTTAGCTCGCCGTCGGATCCACCCGAGGAACAGTTGACTGGCACTCAACTAACCAGGTAGTCAAGACTCTTAGCTTCACCATCTCGGCAACCCATTGGCCTAATATCACGGCATACTTAACCTAGTATATACTAGGCTAGTGTTCCTGGTCTGATACCTATTTCATGCAACCGCTCGCCGAGTACCGAGGTTGTTGATGGTTTTTCGTTTCATCTTTGGAATCTTGGTCCGGCCGTGTAGTGTTTATGTCTATGTCCGCCGGGGCGGCTAAAAAGTCTTGATGATAAATCAATGCCATGCAACATGGGTGAAAATTTCCACCATGGATGATGATAAATCCAACTAGCTAAGTCGCCCCGTCCCGTCGCGACAGTTCGTAGAAACGACGCCAGTAGGTGGATCGACATGAAGAAAATGCGTTATAAAAAAGAAATCCTGCCCCTCCATCATTAGGCAAATGTGATTTTCTCGTACACCAAAACTCATCTTCATTACATAAAAGTGAGACCCCCGCCAAAAAATCGCATATAGACATAGACATAGGCATAGACGCCTAAATCCTCACAACTCTCACAATGGCACCCATACGTTTCGAAAGTGAAGGGGTGGTAGACCCCGCGCCTCTGGCCCAGCCCCTGCCATTCGAGTTCAGCGGCTGCACAGCGAAGAACCGGTTCCTAAAGGGCGCGATGTCGGAGCGCCTGGCCACCTGGGACGGGAAGGATCTACCGAAGCGCGGCATACCGACCCCGGAGCTGCTGAACGTATACCGACGGTGGGGCGAGGGCGGGTACGGCGTAATCCTAACCAGCAACACGATGCTGGCGTACGACCAGCTGGAGGGTGCCGGCAACCTGATCATCCCGCGGGATGCGACCTTCGAGGGAGAGAGGTTTGAGAAGTTCCAGGAGCTGGCCTCTCTGGCAAAGGCGCAGGGCAGCCTTATCGCCTGTCAATTATCCCACCCCGGCCGGCAGGTCCCTGCCCACATCCAGCCGAACCCCATCTCGGCGAGCGATGTGCAACTACTGAAAAGCGACACGAGCATGGCATTCGCGAAGCCGCGGCCCATGACCCAGGACGACATCAACTCTGTAGTTGATGGTTTTGCGCACGCGGCGGAGTTTTGCTATAGAGCCGGATTCGATGGAATCCAGCTACACGGCGCACAGTAAGTTGACATCAGAAACAATCGTGATGCTAAACATATACTCACCACCACCCCAGCGGCTACCTCCTCGCGCAATTCCTCGCACCCCGCACAAACCAGCGCACCGACTCCTACGGCGGCTCTCTCACGAACCGCGCCCGCATAATCTTCGAGATCGCCTCCGCCATCCGCTCGCGCATCAACGACCCACGCTTCATCGTGGGGATCAAAGTCAACAGCGTCGAGTTCCAAGACAGCGGGTTCACGCCCACGGACTGCGCATCCCTGTGCTCGCAGCTCGAGGCGCACGGCTTCGACTTCGTCGAGCTGTCGGGGGGCACGTACGAGAAGCTGGCCTTCTGCCACACGCAGGAGTCGACCAAGCGGCGGGAGGCGTTCTTCCTCGACTTCGCCGAGATGATCGCGCCGCACCTGAGCAAGACGCGGGCTTATCTTACTGGTGGATTTAGGACGACGGGCGCGATGGTGAATGCGCTGAAGACGGTGCCGGGGATCGGGATCGGGCGGCCGGCGTGTCACGAGTTCGACTTCGCAAAGAAGATTTTGGAGGGGACGATACAGGGGGCGATTAAGGAGCTTGATGAAAGTCAAGCTTCGCTGTCCACCATGTTGGGAGGAACCCAGTAAGTGATTGATGCAAACACATTTTCTCCCCCCTTTCACCCATTCCTTTCTCGTTTTACCTAGCGTAAATAGACCATTTCTTACTCCCGGACCTAATTGCTAACACATCAACCCCCAGAATAAAACTAGTCGGCCACAACAAAGAGCCCCTCGACATGAGTTCGGACGAGAACAAGGCGATCTTCATGAAGTCGGTGCAGAAGTGGCTGGAGATACAAAAGAACAACGCGGACGGCTCCGCGTACGGGTTTCCCGACATTGTGGGTGTGGAATTACAGCCGTACGGAACTCCTTATGTGTCTTGAACATAACGCAACAGACGACTAATGAAATTGTTGGAGCAGATATGGTGGAAACATAGAGCAGAAGTCAAAGATCTAGGTATAAATATAGATACCTGATGCGAGGGATAAGCTTGTAAGTAAGCTGTCGTCATACTTATCTAATACATACACCGCGCGACACAGATTTACATACATACAGTAGTAAGCATACATAGAATTCAAGATTTAGCGAGATTATTTATCTTCCATTTTTTCCAAGGTATTTATGTATTCTGTGATATCAAAGCCTATTAATATATGCCCCTATGTACCTCGCGAAGAGACCAAGTGACATAGAACTCAGTTCGTGTCCAATGGTCAAATATTACCTATGAAAGTACATATATGTTCATTCTTCTTTGACTGCAGTCTTAGACGCATATCACCAGGTACCTGACGAAGAAGAAAAATCATTATTTACAGATAAGAAGTTGGTGGCTAGGTACGCAGGTAGATACCCATCACGTAGACCACACCTCTTTCCTCAACTTTGCAGGGAATATCCGGGACACTCGCGATCTCCAGCTATCCCTCGCACTTGAGCTATACTCTTCCAGTTCCGCCGGGTTCTCCTTTGTACCTAACGGGCCAGCCGGACCTAGTTCTGGAATGGGACCGTCGGTGCCTAGCTCGGCATCTGCATATTTGCGTGGTCTATGTAGTGTAGGGCGATGTGAAGATATCGAGTTGCTCCACTTATCCAACATTTTACGGCCCCAAGCAGTAACGCGGAGAGGGAAAAAGGTGCTGACTTCTCCGGCGCGGTACCGGCGATATCGACGTATGGATGCGATAACAAATGACCCGAGTATCAGCAGTATCAGAATCCCAGATAACGCCATAGCCGCCGTGGTAGTGCTTGAAACAGCTTTGGATTCACCGACATTCGTAGCATTGGTGTCATTGGCACCCGACGTCTCCTCGGGCCTAATTGAAGTTGGTGATTCCAGTGGGTTAGACGATGACGATGTCTGTGGGCTTGTTGATAACCTCGTAACGTCCGTAAATGGTTTGCGTGTCTGAACTAGAGTTGAAGTAGTCGAGACCGAAGAGCTGATTGAAGGCGATGGAAAGATAGGTATAAACGGATCAATGCCGAGAGTATCAGTATTGGCTGTGCTAGTCACGCTTGCAGTGCTTAAGGTGCTTAAAGTGCTTGAAGAACCTAACGCGTTGCTAACTACGGACTGGGCCTGAGTTAGACCTCCATTGGGCACTTTTGCACCAGTTAGGGGATCCGTAGCAAGAAGGGCGAGATCCTCTTGCTTCCAACGAATTTGTATCGCTGGCCCAACCGTAACAGATGCCCCAGGAGTTGTCGCCGTGCGAGTGAACCCCCAAACACCACCGCGAAAATCGGTAGTGTCTGATGTACAAGTAAAGCCACTGGGCGGAATTAGCTAAGTGTTGGAAAGAAGAAGAATAGAAGAATAGAATGAAAAAGGGAATGCAACTCCATCTTACCTTGGGACACAGTATGCCGCCGTCTCTCCAGCCGCTATGGTAGGAAACCCTTCGCTAGTCCTCTCGTCGTTCACGGTGCAGGCCGGAGAGAAGTTCTCGGGGCAGATAGCCGGGGAATAATAGGCAAAGCCTTTTTGCGAAATATTATCCGCCCACGAGGGAGGATCACACGAGACAGGTCCCGCAGTAGGAAATGCTGGGAACTGTGATGGCACTTTGGTGGTAGTTAGCAGCCAGGTAGTCGGGCAGGGCGGTACGAAGACAGTCGTGAGATCGGAAAGCCGGTCGCCAAGTCCAGCACGTTGCTTTGTACTTATTCCGTTCGACGCCATTGGCAAAGATTGATGTTCTCAATGCGGAAGAAGGAACACCATCTAGGTGCTAATGAAGCGAATGAGGCCGAGGACTGACTACCGGCGTCCGTCGTCTGCGCTACATGAAGCTGTCAAATTGATGATTGACAACCTTGGAAGTGAATTTGCAAGATGAACAAATATCTGCATGTTGGGTGTTGTACCGTAGATCACTCATATCTTGTCTACTATACCAGGTAGGTACTGGGCAGGTATGGTATGTATGTATGATGTTCCGGGTTGTTGGTTGCCTTTCACATCGTTGCGGCTGACGCCCCCCTCATCGCTAGATCTGTCACACGCGTGCTAGCCGGTACTTGACATCGTGATATCCATAATTGATGGTTCAGCAAGGTCGGGGTCTGTCAGTAATGTTTTTCTATTGGCTCGGTGCGAGAAAAAAGTTGGTCGCCGAGAGTGTTGTCGCCCATATCAGGGTTACTTTAAAACATGATCAAAACGTCTTGCTGTCGCTTGGTGTCCCTTGCTGTCCCCGCTTCACACATCTGGAACTTCCCCTGCATCTTCACTGAATCTTTAGTGGCAGGGATTGGCCCCCCTTTCGAGAAGCTATTCTCCTGGCCCCCAGCTTTCGCTTCACACGTGCCGTGATCTTCAACTTGAATAGGCATGTCGGGAGGATAAGAGATAGATAAGAGATAGAAGAAGCTGCCTTGCAGTATGCCTTGCTACCATAAAGCTCAATGCAGGGTTTTGGATCTGCCAGCTTCTCAAGTTCAACGTTACCCGCAGCTCCGATGCTAGGGTAGCAATTGGAATTTCTCAAACAAGAAGAAGATGTGAATCATGACTCAATCTATTACCGCATCACCTTCAAATACTGCGGATATGTCCGATGTCAGTTGAGCTGAGTTATGACATCAATGCTGCTAATTGTGTTGTTGTGTTGTTAATTGTAAAACATGAAAGGAATAATCGAGAATGTGAGTTCAATGTTTCCAAGTTCCTTCTACGAGGTATTACTAAGTACTAATTGGTACTTCTAGTTGGTACTTCTAGCAAAAGTGGGACACTTCACAGCGTGATCACGTGTGACAAATGTCACGGTCCACTTCTAACGAACAACTTACACACACCTAGAGAAACATCCTCCTAACATACCTACATAACCTAGGTAGGTATGTAGGTATGGATGGATGTCTACCTGCTTCTACAAAGTACTAGCATTCAACTCACCACTACAAATCACGTAAAGGTAGGCAGGTATTATACCTATCCACCAACTTAATCCGTAAAAGTCACAGTAAAAACGTACTGCAGAGGGCACATCATTGTATTCTTCAAGGTCCTATTCCTTCAACACTAATCCACAAGACCAACCATCAATCAAATTCCCTGAGCAACAGATGAGATCTGGCCATGTACGAAGTATAGACCTTCCGATTTTACCACCTCAAGGAAACGAGAAACAAAGCAAAGAAGCAGGTGAGCAATCACTCGCTGGTCGCCAACCTTACGTAGGTAGGTAGCTTGGCTCCCAGCAGATTCTCCTCCTCGGCCTCTTCATTATTATTTCTCAAACCTCCTCTTCTACTCTCCCCGACCCTCGTGCTGTCCCTCGTGCTGTCCCTCGTTCTGTCCCTCTTGCTGCTCCTCTTGCTGCTCCTCGCGCTGTCCACGCAGCTCTCTCTGCGGTCCTCGTCCAAGCCGAAAGACTCTTCGCATCACCCGTGGGTGGTGGCGGCGGCGGCGTCGGACGCGCGGACGCTGCTCGCGGGATCGAACACGAGCATCCAGCTCTCGGACACGGTTCTCTAGTTCGGTGACATGCTCATTGTTGTTGTTGTTGAGCGCCTGGGGATTGCGGGCTGCTATATGCAGTGCCGCAGATCTTACTAGGAGGGCTAGAGCGAGTGGAACGGCTTGAGCGACTGGGATGGCTGGCCCGGCTTGGGCGGCTGGGATGGCTGGCCCGGCTTGGGCGGCTGGGATGGCTGGCCCGGCTTGGGCGACTGGGGCGACTGGGGCGACTGGTACTGCCGCCGCCGCCGCTGGCTGATGGTCTTGGTCATGGGCATCATCATCATCCTCATCATCATTATCATCATTCTCATGGGTATGATTATGATCATGGGTATGAAAATGATGATGATGGTGGTGGTGCATATGGTTATGCTCATGCTGCAGAAGCAACTGAGGCAACTGAGGCAACTGGCCCTGCTGGGCCTGCTGGTTATTCTGATGAAGGTCGGCGGGGGCCTGCTGATCCCGATCTCCAATCCGGGCATCATACTGAACCCGGAACCCGTTCCTCGAAGCTGCCATACCGGGCAACTGTATCTGTAGTCGATGCTGCTGAGCAGCAGGAGCAGCTGGAGCAGCAGCTGGAGCAGCAGCTGGAGCAGGAGCAGCAGCAGCAGCAGCAGCAGCTTGGCGCACAGCGTTAGCATTGTGTCGATGCTGGCCTGCTACCTGCTGGTACCCTCCCTGTGCGGGCTCCTATTATCGATTAGCATCGTGTTTCGATTTTTTTACACGTGATTATAAAGAAAGAAAGAAACGAGAACGTAAGAATGAAAGAGAAAAGAATTGAAAGATGAACGTAACTAATTGAATTCAGAAACTTACATTCATTGGGTACGCGGGAGGCGGACCGTAGTTCACGTTTGGCATGGCGGGATTGCCGATGGCAGCGTTGATTGGAACATTGCCGCCTCCATGCTGTCGGTAAGGTTGCTGAGCCATCGTGCTTTGATGCTGTCGACTCTTCTTGGTTACAACGTGCAAGGGCGTTGCTCTAGACAATGTTGAGCACTGGCTAACGTTGCCTCAGTGCTGGCAGATCTTTTATTGCGGTTGTTGTAAGGAAAGAAACGAAAGGATGTGACAGGAGCAGGAGACAGTTTAAATATTGTCCGCCATGGTGGGTGAAGGTGGAAGGGTGCCTTAGGGTATCGTCTGATGTTCTTCAGAAGAAAATTTTCAACCCCATACCTTGACTGGGAACTAAGTGCCAAGTGCCTGAATACTAGAACTATAGGCACATACTATGTACGTATGTAACTCGCTCGGTGGGAACCTAAGATTTCAGGCATGATAGGAGCCAGTTACCGAGCGGATTCCTCGTGGACGCCATCAAAGATGGGGAGACAGTGGCAGGAACTATGGTGAATATGCGGATAGGTGCCTGAGCATATACTGTGTATACTCGCTCGCATCTACTCGCTCGCATCCATATCTAGAAATGCCTACATCATACCTTAGGAATGCTTGTATATTTATATAACTACATATATGTAGCACGACACACTGTTGATAGTCGTCAACTTGACTTTCGTGTAAGTAGCGCCTAATACAGGGCTTAAATCTCAGACTTGGGGTCAGGCTCTTCACTACTCGAAACTGGTGACAACACATAGTTTACTCCCAATAGACAAGCTTTCCTACAACTAATATTAGGGCATGACTTACTTGCTTACGCATATGTTTATAGTGGATGAATGCTACCAACTCTTACCTTCCCTCTTACCACTGTCCGCATGAATTGCCCCTATTTGTGATCTGTCGTTTATAATCATTTAAGGCCAAAGTGCTGGCAAGCCCATGTTCGCCCTTTACAATTTTGAAATCATAAAATATACTCGGGAAGACAGTTTTTATATTATGAGTACCTCTCTTCGACCTCAAATGGTCTCATCACATAATTATGCTAACATCATGAGAATAGTGTAGTTCTATACCCCAATGCCACCTAGAGAGGACTAAAAAACATCATTTGTATGGGATTTATCTAGCCGTGACCCAAAATGCAATAACCTGCTTCCGCCCCAACCATGATCTAGAGCCGATGAGGCCCTGACGACTTTGAGATTCGGCCGTTCCAGCACGTAATTTTATTATTTCTTTTCAGCGTTAGGTAGCTTGGCTATACGTAGCCCGTCCCGTGAAAGCTTGGATGTAAAATTTTATCAACATGGCCGCACTATTGCAGCTCAAGTCGATTGAGTTTACGAGACGTCCTCAGAATTCTTCTCTGCGGCTCCGTTTGCCCCTCCGCGCCAGAGACCATAAAAGCCCTCACAATTTTTCCACATTTTTATGGTTCCGTCTTCAGAACCGGTGGCATATAATTTGCCGTCAGGCGAGAAAGCCACAGACCACACTGGTCCATGGTGCCCTTTGTGAATGTCTGCTCGAAATGATTAGCATCATATGAAGGCATTTGACAAAGAATTCAACTAACCTATCTCTGTATCGTCGTCCCATCGATACACTCTAGCCCATGTAGCCGGGATGTCCTCACCGACAATAATCTTTCTACCCTTAGGATCAACGGCGACACTAGCTACTTTGTAGCTCATTTTTGTGCGCTTCAACTCGTCCATGGCACGAAGACCACCCCAGAAGTATATGGACTTCCCAGCAGCCACCGCCAAAACTGGGAGCCCTCCGCCGACATCTCCCTTGGAAGTATGTTCCTGAGCGAGGGCACAAAATTCGCAGGATCCAATCTCTCCGTCCAGAACTTCCTGCTTCACAACACTTTTTGTGGGCACGTCGAACCAACGTAGAGTGTTGTCCGAGGCGGTGATCAAGATTCTTGGATCCTTAGTCCAAACTACGAACTTGATAGAAGCAGTGTGAACGCCGGCTCCAATCTCAAAGCCCGACGAGGCAGGTATCGTGCTTGGAACAATGACAGACTCGGCATTATTTCCATTTGTAGTAGACTCGGCGTTTGATTTAGGCTTCATTTCGGCAAGATCGAATATGCGGAGTTTCTTTTCCATTCCACCGGTGGCAATAAGGTCGGAGTTGTCTGGCGCATACACTACAGCGCGAACTATATGATCGTGCTGGAGAGTGAATAGAAGCTCTCCGGAATGCGTGTCCCAGATTTTACTGTCTTCCAATATTAGTCGTTGCCCAAAACTTATGGTCAAAATCATGTTAAAACTCGAAAAGACAGGACTCACGCGGTGAAGTCTGCGGACGCAGTAGCAGCGGTAGATGCATCTGGGCTGAGTCTGGCCTGCCAGACAGCGCCTTTGTGGCCTATGAAGGTGCCGATCCAATCTCCAGTCTGGCCATCACGAAGCATAGGATTTCCATCTATAATGCCATTGAAGTTTAGCACGTGTCGCAAACAGACAAATTCAGTTTATATGAGAGTGTATACGCACCCTTGCAGGCTGATATCAAATAATAAGACCCATCTTTCTCCAGGGGGGAGAAGCTAATGTGTGGAACGGGACGGGAATGGCCGTGGCAGGTTAGGGGGACATATTGTCGCGGAACTTCGGCGGTAGCCATGTCAAGAGCTGCAAAGAGGAGTATGTATGTAGTTGTAAGGTATTTGGTGAAATTCGAGTCGTGAGTTGGACACGGAAGCTTTTAGAGGATGATAGGTCAAGTAGACCTTATCACAAATGTACTACCGCACCAGCTCGTGGGCGTTTTGTGTGAGGAATGGAATGGGTTGTCGAAGACGCGAAGCAGGAAATATTATTGCTATCGGTGGAAAAGTGTCGGAGACTAAGGTTGGCAAAACGTAGCGGACAAAAATACGAGCGCAGAAGTGAGGAACAAGCAGTCCAGTCTATTTAGTTGAAGAGGTAGAGGTCAAAGAAGGAGTGAGACAGATAGTCGCGTCAAGTCGTAAAAGCGTCGTGAGTTTTGGAATCGCAAAAGGGAGGCGTTTGAAGAATCGTCTTCATTAATAATCAGCGCAAGACAAAAGGGTTCGTTAGGCGCCAAGTGGTGATACGTCGTTAATACGTTGGAGGTTGCAACAATGTCCAAAGTGAAAATGAGATAGGTAGGCAAGGTAGGTAGGTAGGTATATTACATGTAGAGTCCAAGGAACAAGCGCGACGACGTGACAGGTCCCAATTGAAGAATGAGAGACAATGGATAAGAGACGAGATGAGACGAGATGAGAGACGAGAGAGGAAGAGTAAAAGAAGAAAAAAGGGGGTTACAAGGTTGAGAAGTCAAGGAGGAAGAGGAATGGGGAATGGGAAAAAAGGTTGTGCGTAAATGTAAGTTCTTTCAAAGTTCTAAAGTTTCTAGGATCCTTCATACATGTGAGAGAACATTGAATCAATTAATTAATTATTCAATTCAAAGCCTTATCGATGCGACGAGTCACTGGACATAGTACGGACACTGTACGTATCCACTGTTAGCCTATTACCCAGCAGCCTAGCAGCTGTCAGGGTTGCTTCAGGACAGGTAAGGTTAGGTAAGCTCAGCTCGGCTCAGCCCCGCACCTTTCCCTTCATTAATAAAAGAGAAGAAACATTTGAACTCCCCCACCTTCAATTGCCATTGGAGCTGCGACGGGAAGGTACAAGTACCGATTGAACCTAAACTTGGAAGTTTGGAAGTACATACCTGCCTACTACATACAGTATGTACTATATGTACATGTACGTAGGACAAATATTAAATACATGTAAGTTCAACGTTGAATTTGTTAGGTGGTTACGACTATGTAGATACCCCAGGTACACATTGATTATCAATACACATACTGTATATACATGTAATATTCACTATGCTTCTGTTTCTTTCCATACATAACACTCAGTGAGATCAGAAAAAAAAACAAGCAGCCTGAGGTAAAAGAGTCAAGGTACACGTTAGTACTTACTATCTTTGTAGCACGTACTACTACCTACCCAGTACTATGTACGTAGACAATAGTTAACTACCTGGTACCTACAAGACACCTGCAGTTTTGGCAAATCCGCTTCGACGTTATTGATCCTTTTTTTAACCATCATTGAACATCCCACCATCCCACCAAAAAGAAAATCATACCTGCTATTTATTTAGTAGCTACCTCAGCTTGCACATATTCACCTAGTAGTTACAATATGGCCGACTTCAAGCTGTCTGCACAGCTTGACGGTCATACTGCCGATGTATGCCCTATTGCCTAATGCCTTTTCGCTTTCTCACACTAATCTGACCGGTTTCCTTTAGGTTCGACATGTCTGCTATCCTTCTCCAGATATAATCTTCTCCGCCGCCCGAGACTGCACCGTTCGCACATGGAAACGAATCTCGTCCTCTCCTCCAGCTTTTGAATCTTCTGTCGCTACCCAGGGATCCGAGTTCTACAATAGTCTAACCTATCTCCCACCCTCTTCCGAATACCCAGATGGCCTAGTCGTCTCAGCTGGCTCGGACACTATTATCGATGTCAGGAACGCTAGCGCAACGCCATCAGACAATGCCGAACGCCTATTAATCGGTCATGCCCGAAACGTTTGCGCCTTGGCCGTTGTCCCCGGCGGCCAGTATATCGTATCCGCCAGTTGGGATAAGACTGCGAGAGTATGGAGTTTACGCAAATGGGAGACGGAAGCTATTCTCACTGGCAACGATGAGGCAGTATGGGATGTTCTCCCACTAGACGCTACAACCATCGTGACCGCTTCTGCCGACAAAAACATCCGCATCTACGATCTCCGAACAGTCACCGCCGCCCAGGTCGCACCTCGATCTACCATATATACCTCTGACGTCATACGCGCTCTATGTCAAGTTCCGAAGGGTCACCCGAGCGGCGCTGACTTTGCCAGCGCCAGCAACGACGGGGTCATCCGTCTCTGGAAGCTAAGTGGCCAACAGGTTGGTGAGCTCCACGGCCACGAGAGCTTCATTTATTCTCTTGCAACACTGCCGTCGGGGGAGCTTGTAAGTTCCGGAGAAGATCGAACGGTGCGCGTATGGAGAGACTTTGAATGCGTTCAGACAATCACTCACCCTGCCATATCTGTTTGGTCCGTATCTGCGTGTCCTGAAAATGGGGATATTGTAACGGGAGCGAGCGACGGTATTGTTCGTATTTTCTCTCGCAGTCCGGAGCGTCTAGCTAGCCCGGATACCCTTGCACACTTCAACGAATCTGTGAAGTCGTCTGCAATACCACAGCAACAAGTCGGCGGAGTCAACAAAGAGAAGCTTCCAGGGCCCGACTTTCTGAAGAATAAGTCTGGCACCAAGGAGGGCCAGGTACAAATGATAAGAGAGGAGAACGGCTCTGTCACGGCCCACCAATGGTCGATGGGTCAACAGCAGTGGATCAACGTTGGCACCGTTGTCGATGCGGTTGGTAGCAGCGGGCGCAAGGTAGAGTACAACGGAGAATCATATGACTATGTCTTCGACGTTGCCATCGAAGAGGGACAACCTTCGCTTAAGTTACCCTTTAACCTATCAGAAAATCCTTACGCAAGAGCCCAGAAATTTATCGACGACAATGAGCTTTCACAGAACTTCCTAGATCAGGTTGCACAATTTATCGTAACCAATACCCAAGGCGCTACTATTGGGCAGACTTCTGGGGATTCTGGGGCCCCTGACCCCTATGGCACTGAATCGCGATATCGACCAGGGGATGGTAATGACTCTTCTAAGGCTAAAACTATACCGCAACGCGAGTATCTTGAGATTACAGCTGCCAAATACGAACGTAAGTTGTCATCCGAATGTTTTCGTCGTAACCTCGGCGCTTCATGTCTAACTCCCTGATGAACTAGCTGTCTTCAAAAAGATACTCAGTGTCAATTCTGCCCTTGTAGCAGCGGGACGCAAAGACCATTCCCTAAACCCACCCGCTCAAGAAGTATTAGCCGTTGTGCGACAGCGATTAGAAGCAGGCCAGCCGATTATTGACGAAAGCGCTATCAAACTGATTTCCATGATGTGTACACAGTGGGATTACTCAGACCGGCTAGCACCTCTTGACGTACTGCGGTGCGTTGCGCCATCGCCCATTGCCGCCAAGTTTAAGTCGCCAGACTGGGGTAGTCCAGTGCAGATAGCTGTCTCTGCCGCGCTCGACGATATCCCAGCCGGTGCCCAGCCTAACGAGAATTGTGCTATGATGGCTGCCCGTACGATCGCGAACCTTTTCAAATCAAGCGAGGGTCGAAAGCTACTTGCCCAACATTTGGAAGGACAACGGGCAGTGGCATTTTTCGAGCGAGTGTTAGGAATTGGTGGTCAAACTGCAATTGGCCCCTTTAACCGCAACTTATTAATTGCCGTGACAACAGCCATGGTGAACCTCGCGGTTTTGGCATCGAGAGAGCCCGGGAGCATATCATCTAGCGTACAGGTTCGGCTACTGACGGCGCTTGCCCGGATTTTACAGAAACAGACGGAGGCAGAGGTTGTGTTCAGGGCTCTTGTCGCAGCGGGGACTCTCATCACCGTGATTGGAAAAACAGCCCCCGAGGCACGAAGCCTGTCTTCGCCCATATCCCTGAGCAAAGATCGCGCCACGGATGCGCGAGTGAAGGATATCGCTGATGAATGTTTGGCATTGCTGGGTTGATCACCCGTTGATAGTCCGTTGCGTTAGTTTAAGGCTGCGCATGGGCTTAGCCATACAGTACATCATTCCTCCCTCGAAAGGCATTCGTGCCGCAACCATAGAATATAGTAGCCCAATATTAGGCCGACAGTTCCTTGGCGGGTAGTTTTATTCAACGAGGGAGAAACGCATAACAAAAGAAAGATACTACCTACTCCACGATATGATATGGCAGGCGGATTGACTTGTTCTGTGTATATGATATGAATACTAGAGAAATGCATGCTGTAAATACATAGATAGGCTAGGTAGTTGATCTTCCTATATCCCAATGCTCTATCGTAGAATATCTACTGTATCTGTCCCGTGTATCATGTTGGCTAGAATTGCATCATATCACATCGAATTGTGTGAAGTATTTGCCTACCTACCTACCTACCCTCTTCACCAATATATGTAACTACCCTTACCTACCTAGGTAACCATGATATTTTCTTTCTCCCTTCCATACATCATACCCCAGCCGGGTCGGATCCCGTCATATATCCGTTTCTTCAGTAGGTACCTAACTTACCTACCTACCTACCTACCCAGCTCTAGATACCCCCCAAACCACAGACCGAAACCGACCGAAGCGAAGTAGGTAATCGGGGATAGCTAGACATAGGTACCACATAGGTAGATAGATAGATAGATGATGACACTTCGGCACGGCAAGGCAAGGCATGGCAAAGCAAGACTTGCCATCGGGCGTCTGCTCTTACGCGATGCGTTACCAGAGACTTACCTACATAGGTAACCTAGGCAGGTAAGAGGTAAGAGAAAAAAAAGGAAAAGGGGGAGCGGGGGGTGGGGGGTGGTCCACTGGCGCTTGCTCGGGTGGCTCGGCAGAGGTATGTATGGTAGGTACATATGTAGGTATGTATACTTGGTTGGCCACGTACCTACCTAGATAGGGGGTCGTGGAAGTAGGGAGGTAGGTAGGTGGGTAGGTATGTATGTTGAAGTTCTGAGGACTGGAGAAATACCTAAATGGGTTTGTCGGCTTGCGTTGTGATGGTACAATACATACTAGGTATTGGGAGATTAGCCTAGGTCACACTCACTGTATGTTGTATGACTACTAGGTATTATATCGGTGTCTTTCACATAAACCCGATTCAGTCTGTATCACGCCTGGATACCTACGCACTAGAAAAAAACACAGCAAATGCATAGATGGTATCAAATCAATTCATAGGCACCCCGTGTAGGTATCTAGACAGCTGTATCCTGCTAAAGCGGTCCTGGTCTCGACTCGATTTCCATCACTTATTCATTTCCTTCCTCTCTTCCATTCATCCTCTTTCCTCTCATCATCTCATTCTCTTTCCACTCTTTTCACGAAAAAAAAAACGTAGAGTAAGTAGCTTAGCTAACAAAGAAAAAAAACCCAATCATCCATACCACCGCCCGTCCGCCCGTCCCTATACGCCAGCCCGCGATGCCAAAATTTGGTATATGGATAGATAGATAGATAGATAGGTTCAGCAGGTATATATAAAGATACAGTAAAAAGGGGGCGTGGGGTGTCTATTAAAATAAAAATAATAAAATAAAAGGGGGGGTTTCTTTCGCTTCGTTCCTAGTCTTCGAGTCTTCGTCCATCCCTATCATCGTCGTCGTCGTGAGTAGGTGAGTAGGAGAGACGGGAAAATCCATCAAATCGAGTGAGCTCATATCGAGAACCACAACGAGCAGGCGATGACGGGCAGATAGCCGAGCCAGCTCCAGGCAGACCATAAGGTGGCGGCGCTGGTGGGTATGTTGGCGGCGTCGCCGATTTCCTTGGTGGTGACGGTGTAGATCTCGGCGAATCCGATGTCGGTGCTGTTGAAGCAGTTGGACTCGTTGACTTTGGCGATTCTCTCGTCGCCGGGCTCAGCGAAGGTTATGTCGGCGCACTGGATAGGAGTAATTGGTCAGTTTCTTTGCTTCTTGGTTTGTAAGAAGGCTGAACTCACCGAGAATAAGGCTGCGCCATGTTGTGCGATCTCAACGACTTGTATCGTCGCGTTATCGCCGGCGTTGAAGCTCATGTTTGACGGCAGGGGCACCTGTGGCAGGCACATCGTCCCTGGGTACGGTCCCTTCGAGGGGCCGAGGATCTGGAACGGCGCAATCATGGGGAAGGACATGTTTTCAGGGCCTCCGTCCGGCCCTGTGGTACCGAAGCCAAGATTAATGTAGAGGAACGCCGTTTGGTGTCCCTGGAACCAACCTGGCTGGAATGCGACAGCGCCACCAGTGGTCGGCCAGTACGACCTGTTTGTTGTTAATTGTATGCCGCCGCCTACGATGTCGGTGTCAGTCAGTCCAGTCTATAATGGATTGGATTGCGATGATGATGTGGATTGAAGAAGTTGTGAACGAGTAATAATTAAGCAAGCAAAATTTACTCACATGGATAAGTCCATTGCATGCCGTACGGCCATGTGCTGTTTGTGATGAGATTGTCTCCTCGCCATCCTGGATATGTGATGATTGTATGGGCTGCTGCTAGTGTCGAAGTGATGACGGCTAGTAATATTGAGGATAACATCGTGATGTTGTCGGGTTTGCTCGATATAAGCCACTTTGTAGAGGATTGTATGCAGAATTCTCTTGTCGCACAGCGACTAATACTTCAGATTACAGGTCCAGAGCCTTTTAGCAGCCCCGGCTGCATGCAAGTATACGCAAGACAAGATAAAACTTGTGATAGTAATCGTCCAAATTGTTCTGTCGATATATGCCGCTCACTTCTATGCCACTGCTAGTATTTACCGTTCGTGGGCACAAACTCGCTCAGCCTTAACTTTGGTGTCGATGTGTGTACGATACGATACTATCAACAGCTGTTCGATGCTGTCTTACTATAATATCGTGTATGGTATATCGTTTACCCGTATAATTGTATTTTTTGATGATCGAAGAGGTTGAGGAGAGAATAAAAAGATTGAAAAATAGGTATAGAGCAGAAGGATTCAATTATCAGTGACAGAGGAGAGTAATAAACGGCCAGACCTACCTGTCAACCTTCTCCCTCGACGCACCCGCATGGCACGACCAATACATCTGGCTCCCCGCCTTAAGAGGTCAAGGGTAATTAAGAGATGGGCGCCATTTTAGGACGAGGCGGGCCAGTAAGAATGGCGGGAAGATGTGCACGACGTGCAGCCGACGAACATGTCCCTGGTTAACCGATCGGACAGAACCAATGGGAGACGGTTGAGGGCACGCAGCGAGTCGCTCATCCCAATGCAAGGTCCGAATATGATTTGTCGGAGAGCAACCAATGGCATCGATCGACAGCAGGGGATGAAGGGTTGCGGGAGTACAAGGGCATGGGGGCTAGGTGACCCTCCGAAGAGCGCGGTTGGTGACAAGAAACTGCGCCGGCACTGGGCAAGACAGGGGTCAAGCAGGGTCATTGACAGAGAATAGCCAGTAATAATGGCTGGTATAAGCGCCCGAGAAAAAGCCCCCATTTCAATATCTCCTAAGGCAAGAGGCCAGTTAATTATTACTGTTGATACATAGGACTTGTATCTGACATCCGGATACCTACTATCTGCTTGCATGTACTACCAACATTGAAGCTGGTAAGCACTGCCAGCATGAATGTAGTAGAGGGCATTTTGGGATAGTGGCGCATGTAGTGGTGTGACTGGAAACCCTCAAGGCTCTCAACACGCTGTTAGTTACTGTACCTTGGAAATCCTATATTCCAATAACAACAGCCTAGACCGACCTTTACATGTTTTATCATTCCCCAGCCTTATTACAAGGTGAAAATAATAAATGATGACAGCGCACCCAGTTGAAGGGGAGTGTCGGCACTTTCGGGCATTTTCCAATGGGTTATTTCATTCAATTCCAAATCCAACCACATTACCCTTGAAACCGCATGGCGTGACGGGATCGGGATTATGTGGTCGGAAAAGACATCATGTATTATCGCTATCCCATGCAGATGGGATTGCGCCGGGCGGCTAGAGTAGCATCAAGGCGCACCGACAAAAAGACACGAAGAGAATTGAAATGGAGAAGAGAGAACATTGAACTTGAGGGATGCATTTACAGAGGATGACTACCCACCTACTACAGTAAACCTTGGCCATAACGATTCGGTAGACAACGATATTTTTGTATAACGATATAATTTTGGGAACATTGCAATTTTGTATGGGAAATAACGATATTTTAACCTTAGCGATATATCGTTAATTTTTTGACCGCCACCACCAAGATCGTTATGGACCATGTGTAAAAAACCGTTTATTTTGATAAAATTTTGGTGGAATAAGTGGAATTTTGCGTTTGGTAGCCAATTGGACTGCCCTTTTTTCAGGTAAATCTAATCACCGCCACGATATCTAATCGCCGAAAAATTGGCTTACTGCATAATATCTATTGTACAATATTTTTCATAAAATAGTAAGTACCTTTTCCAATAAAATGGCAGTAAAGGTACAACGGCATTACACGGACCATGACAGTGGGTCCATTTCTACATAACGATATCTCTCTATAACGAATTAAGGGTGGTGTTTTTTCCATATCGTTATGGCCAAGGTTTACTGTACTAGTAGTAACTAAGCACTTAAGGTAAATATGTAACTAACGATCAACTCTACGTCACGTGTAAATCACTATTATTATGTAAGTGATACAGTGTCAAAGCATCCTCCTTCTTTCTAAAACTGTACAATCCCTTAAGTGCCTACATACTAACTACTACATAGTAGTACATCTCTCTCTTCACATCACCGCACCGTGCATAAAGCCATCCAATAGTATTATTCCCGCCGACAAGCCCCCAGGCTTTGCCTTTACCTATTCTCTTTTATAAGTCAGTTATGGCCTCAACAACCGAGAAGAGAGAAGAATGGATAACAGTCCCCCGTAAAGGACGCCGCAATCCAAAGACCGCCATATCTTATTCCTCCCATGACAACTTCTCAAGACCAAATCCCCCATCATCATCATCCCTATCAGCCTCCGATATTGAGAAAGAGCACCAGCGCATAGCAGCTCAGTGGGAGGCGTCTTCCAGCTGTCGCCAGCTGCAGGAAATCGTTGCGTCTCGTGCATCATCCCGGTGTAGTATCTCCAATGCCATCTGCTTGGGCCTAGGGTCCTTTGATCCTGAAAACGACTCCTGGGACAGTAAACGAAAATCACACGTACAACTCGCCGCATTCCTCTGCATGGTCGAGCAACTGCAACGCAGTAGTCCCCACAAAATCCCCTGTCTCTTCCAGGAGCCCGTCTTCAACTCATCAGACAAGAGCTTTATCCAGAGCTTGGGTCACGAAGTTGTCGAGTCACCGGAAGCTTTCGACCGGGTGACTCCGTCGACTCTTGTCTTTGGAGTCCACCTGTATAAAAGTATATATGTGCAGGCCATCGCCAAACACCTACCCGCCGTGTTCGTAGGCACTCCTCTTGATGTCTGGGAAGAGTAAGTACAGAAGTTCCGTCGCGATGAGACTCTCTGGCTAGAAGCGCGCATCCTAGCTGACGTGGGGAATAGATTCCACCACGACTTTTCCAAGGATTGGGCCGCTATGACAGAGCTCGATAAGCAGAGTGATAAAGTTACGTTTCCAGAGGACACGGGCTACAGCACATTCTCCAGCACAGTGATTTATTGGGGGCGACAAGACGAGCCATGAGCGATTCTAAAGTATTACAATATATGGGACCGTGTTGGTAGGCGATAGTCGACATCGTATCTACAACCCCCCCCCACGGGCTTAAGCCGCCATGAACAGCTACGAATTTGTTATCAAACACCAAGGGGCTCTTAACCAGTGTCTTGATACTTCAGCCTCGATTCCAGAAGTATACTTACTGCTCGAGCCTAGACATGCGCAGCGCAACTAGAGTGTTTCTCTGAACGCTTGGGTTACTATGAGATATACGGGGATATTACCGGTATGGAAGTATATCTATCTTTTGAGTCCCCTATAATATGTTGCCTTGCGAAGTACAGGCATTGATTGCGAAACTTCAGCCGCGAAGTCGCACATTTATGCCTATATTTCAACTAGAAAGCCTCCTCTTTGGAAATCAATCATGTCTGCGAAACTCTTCAGGCCCGTATTGGGCAATGGGTAGACCTTTGGATAGTCGCCAACATAGACAAAACCATATCAAGTGTTGCAGGGTGAACTGCAACCAAAAGGAAGGAAGAAGCATGGAAGAAAGCTTGGTTTATTCCAGACTACTATGGCGCTGTGCCAATATCTAGGGCAGGCCTAGTGGAGTTAATGGCACCTGCAACATCACCTGGACAAGCTATAGACCTGGTACTCGTTTCTCGAGGAAGATACTAGGACATAGAGATACCTCTGGAAAACCAAATGATCTTCGTCTTGAGACTACCTAGGCACCAAGATAATTGCCTACTAGGTAGATGCCTAACAGTTAGTAAGATATGCCATGTCTCATTTCAGCGTCCCCAGGACTTGAACGATTATCATCCCTCATCCCCTACTAGGCAGGTACGCATCAGCTTCTCTAATATTCGAGATCAGCCACAGTTGCTTTGTCCACGGAAAAAGAACTAAGCATCGCATATTAAAGTCGAAACAGTCGATATTCCACGAGAGTCGATTGCCTATGGCGCTTGCTGAGATATTTGACTTGGAACGGTACAGGCCAGCGTGTGTCCTGTGAGTATCACCACGCGCCTTTCTTATGGGACAACAAGATTCGAGCAGCCTAAACGACACGTACAATGGCATGTTTGATGATGATCAGGCAATCATTCTCTCCTTTGTAGAGACCACTCTCTATATTGGCCAAGCTATGCGTATATAGTTGCTAGCTCAATATGTTGGAATATTCAACCACATATGTACCTCCGCAAAACCAACTATTCGGAACGTACAATATTTCGTAACGAAAGAAGCTTGGCACATATCGCAAAATTGTTGCCTCATAGTCATTGTTATTCGGTTGTAAACACCAGGAAGCATGTCGGATCATGTGACTGGGAAGATCCTTTGCGCGCCTAAGCACGGGACAGAAGATGATGCATGCCGTTTTGTGCATCTGGATTCATATCAAGGGCCGACCGATCAGGATTTGCCCAATATCAGAGGGCTGACCAACCTACAACTTCGCCACAACGAGTTGTTGAGCGGCGATGTTATTGAAAGGGCCCTGGCAGGCTACCACCGTGGACTCCCAGAAAAGGTTCAGCAGAGGGTTCACCTAGGAAGTACTTCTATCGCAGGACTATTCACAACCCATGAGAGCGATAATTACAGAAGCGCACTTGCTGCCAGTTATAAATCCTTCTTTGCAGCCTTTAGTAATAACGAAATCTCTTTATGGCCAATCAATTGGGAAGACAGACATTGGATATTGTTAGTCATACTAAAGAGGGACGTAAATCCCGGTGGTCAGATAGAGTCTCCGGCGAGTAGGATACAGCGGAGAAATAGAAAATGGACCAGCATCGTTCAAGTTGGCCTGTGCGACTCTTATAGTCTTCAGCCTGATGCAAGTCAGAGCTCTGGTATAATCTTTGCCAGGTTGGAGAGAATATTCGAGGTGTACGGCTTTGTGTTTGCACAAAATTATCGACGTAAGATATGGGTGCCCTATCAAACCGACAGTTGGAGTTGCGGCCTTCGGGTGTACTCGGCAGCGAAACAGATGATGGACCGACTCGTAAATGTGGTGGCGAGGACCCCCGATGCTGGGGCCAATTTTTGGCGACCGACGCTTGGGTGGTTTAACCCAGACTCTGTGCGGTCAGAGATGATCAACTTGAACATTTCTGAGGCTATTTTGGAACTGAATTACCAGGCACGACATTCGATTGAGCTAATCAATACTGTTAAAGATGACAATGGCATCCAGGTCGACGCGGGAGTGCTTATGCGACCGCCTAGAGACACCAAGTATGAGGTAGATTTTCCTCCAGCTAGAGAAGAAAATCCCCAGGATGAGCAGGACGCCCAAACGACCGACGAACTTGTTGACGTGTCTTGTAGAAACCCCCAAAAATTGCAAGCAGCTCGTGAAAACCCCGTGGGAGATACCAGCGGAGTACGGCGACGAGATCAGACTGGTAACAAACGAAGACGCCCTCATGATGCTCAGGCGGCTCTGAAAGATAACGGTGAGAAGATTCCCCAGGACACAGACGAGAAGCCAAACAAGAGAAAAAAGATCGACGGTGAAGAAACCTCCGCAAATAAGCCGGAAGTACAGCCAATACCGGTTTCCCGGGATCCTCCTTCTTCTTCAACGCCCGGAAATACAGTCGCACAACGAATGGAACAACGAATGGAGAGATTACGACGACTGATGAGTGAGGTGCAAAGTTCGGATTCTTCAGCAACTTCACGCGTAACGGGCACTTCTTCGTCTGCGGCCGAAACTACAACTAATAAACGAACACCAGGGTGGCGAAAAGATCACTTCAGAAACAAGATTTTGGCAGCGTCGGGACCGCCAGCAAGTGTGCCGGATCCTCCTTCTTCACCTACGCCTAGAAAACCTTTGCTAGTGCCCGGAGATCCAACTTTTCAGCGCCCACCAGTAAGGCCAAGTGCGCAAAATACATCTTCACCGGCGCCCGCAGGTGAAGGATCAAGGCAGAGAGGACCAAGGCGGCCAACTGCTCTTGGCCCACCATTCAGGCCAAGTGCGCGAAATGCCTTTTCTACGCCTGCGCCTGCGCCTGTAAGCTTTCCACCGAGACCAAGCCGGCCAAGCAGGGACGGAACTACAAGCGCTCCCAAACCTCAGAGACCAAGCCAGCTAAACAGGGACGGAACTACAAGCGCTCCCAAACCTCAGAGACCAAGCCAGCTAAACAGGGACGGAGCTATAAGCAATCCTAAACCTTGAAGTACGCCAGGCATGCCCACGCTCCTTAGGAGTAATCCACGATCGGCGGAATGGTGGAAAACGTGAGTCCAGCGAGACAATTCGTGGCCAGAAAACCCATCAGTTTGGGGCCCAGCTTCTTTGCCGTTGCCTGAACCTCCTTCCTCGTCGCCAGGCACGTAAGGGCTGAGGTAGGTTGAGGTAGATGTGAACGTCGCTAGGAAGGGTACGAATGTCAAAAGTGCTATGTAGGATCTACAAGATGAGGCCTTCTGCAGGTTATCTTGTGTTTTATGGTTGTCATAGTTTTCATAGTTGTCATGGTTGTCATGGTTGTTTATGCTAGTGCTTAGCAATACTATTATCTTTGCCAATATGCAGTTATTCGACAGTAGGAGGTGTGGTTCGGAGATCAATCAAAGCTTCAAGTATTAAAAGAATGAAAGGTGTTATGATATAGGTACCTCGAGTAGTTACTGACATTTGGTGTAGGTAGTAGTACTAGTACGAGGTGGACATGTAGTTGAAGGTGTGAAGCTACTAGGTTAGGTATTACCCCGGTAGTCCGTGCTAAACTATTGTAGTTCCACAGACTGGAAGCTTAACCTTACGTAATATACTTCGTCCAATGCTCTACAAACTTCAATATTATTCCGTTCTTTTTAGTTACTTCAATGTTTCTTACATTTTCCCATATACTTTTGTCTCGCCGACCACCCCATTTCGTATGGCCACTTTGCATCCCCTTCTTCATTGGTTTCCTCTCTGCATATCACTTCGAATCCCAATATTATTATTGTCTCTTTCCCTTTTCCAGAATTAAAATTAGAAAAAAGGGAAAGTAACGGCATTGGTAAAATAACAAGATGGATGACTTTGATAGAGACTCGAATGCAAGCTCTGATAATGATCGTGATGATGATATCATGATTCAGGATGGTGACGGTGACGGCGATGGCGATGGCGATGTAGAGGGCGATGACGACAATGAGAACGAAAACAACGACCACGACGAAGACGACAATGACAATGACAATGAGAACGAGGACGAGGAAGATGACGAACAAGACCAAGATCACGACGACGATGATGATCCCCCAGATCATCGGCAGTCCAATGGTGTTTCTAACCCCACCGTTACTCGAACCTCGGCTACTCCAGGTCCTCTTGCAACTCCCAAGTGGAAGCCAAGGATCCGTCCCGAAGTCCTCACTGCCTCGACATACGATATCGTTCCGACCATGGCAGCTCCCATGGCTACCAGCGTCAACGCCATTGCCATCACTCCCGATCTACGCTATTGGATGACCGGCGGAAGTGATGGATACATCAGGAAATACGACGGTCCCGCCACCATCAATGGCAAGACTCTTTTAACAGTGGCACAAAGGCACCCCTTCGTTGACTCGGTTACCAAGGCAGGCGTACTGATGTCGTATTGGGAGAATGCTGAACCCCAACCCGCTGTACGCCAAGAGGACTTGGTTCTTAGCCCTGTCTACAGTCTCGCCGTCCACTCCCAGGCCCTATGGCTGCTATCCGGTCTCGAGAGTGGAGGTATCAACCTCCAAAGTGTGCGCCACGACGAGGGCAAGCGTATTACATGCTTAAAGAAGCATAACAATGCTGTTAGCGTGCTAACCCTTTCCCCCGATGAGAAGAGTGTGCTCAGCGGGAGCTGGGACAAGAATATTTTCGACTGGGATCTAAACACGGGGCAGGTCTCGCGCCAGTTTGACGGAGCCGGGGGACAGGTATCAGCTATTGAGATACGGCCGATGGGAGGGGTGCCGGTCCCTCCAGAAGCCAGTGAGGAGGAAATTCTAAGCGACACATTCTTCAGCAATAATGCCCATCCAGGATTGGGCGACGACTTCAAACTTGAAGCTGACGACGGGTTTGATACAGGTCCAAGTAATGGCATCAACGGGGTGGGAATCAATGGGGTATCAGGACAGGCAGCTGGAGGGAGAGATGGTATGGCTGATGGCCAAGGAAGCCCCACACATGATAGTCTCTTTGGTGGTAGTCCCACCGGCGGATCGGATCTGTTTGGTGATGGTGACGGAATGGGGGCCTTTGGAGGGGATGATGACAACGAATTTTCTCGAGCTATGATGCAAGACTCGGCCCAGGATACCGACATAACCATGGGGGACTATGGTATGTCCAGTTCGAGCTTTGTTCCCGAGTCTGGCCAGGCGCCACCTCCTGTCCAACATCTTCCAGATTCAATTCCAGCTGATTCCACCCTTTTTGGCGGCGATAATGCTATAAGCTCCTTTGACAACGACCCTAACCACGACCCCTCATCTCTTCCTCTGCCTGACTTTTCGATCCCAACTACGGCTGACACCTCGTTTCAAACTCAACCGGAAGGCCTTTCGCAATCGGTAGCGCAGGGATTTTCGGGAGGTGCACCCCAGTCTCCATCAATGCTTTTTGGTGCGGTGCCACCAACACATCATGACTTGGCGCAAACTTCGGATAGCACTTTTCTCTCGGCTTCTATCGATGGGACTCTACGAATTTGGGATCGGAGGGTGCCGAATCCTGTGGCGCGTATTGGAAGTAGGCCTGGTGTTCCTCCTTGGTGCATGGGTGTATGCTGGAGCCCGGACGGTAATTGGATCTATGCTGGACGAAGAAACGGCACGGTGGAAGAATTTAGCGTACAGAAAGCTAGGGGGGGACGCGTAGGTTGGCACCCAGAACGAGTTTTCAAGTTCCCGGGTGGCAGTGGCCCAGTAAGCTGCGTTCGGCCCATGGCCAATGGAAGACACTTGGTTTGTGCATCCTACGACATTCTTCGACTCTACGATACTCGGTCTGTCCACAATACTAAGCATACACCACCTCCTTTTCTAATCATCCCCGGTCCACCACGTGCCGGCGTCATCTCGAGCCTGTATATCGACCCCTCTAGCCGCTTCATGTTGTCCGCAGCGGGGAATCGAGGCTGGGAAGGGACAACTACGGAGGTGCTTATCGGGTACGAGATCAACGTGCCCCCATCTTAAATTCACCCTTGCACGATTTATAGCTTGTGGGTGTGGTAAGACTACCTACCTAAGCACCCACGGTAGTTCTCACTAGCGCTGTGTCGATCCCTATTGTCGACTTACATATTTACCAACAATTCTTTTTTTTTTCTCTCCTTTTCTTTTATATACCGGCTGGTTCATGGGGGGGCGCATTTGGAAAAAGGAAGATACCCTGTTTCCTTATTTTTTATTTTTTTTTCACTTGCCATGGTTTGCGCTTGGCTTTGGCTTTGGGGTCGTGGTTGGATTTAGCATGTAGTGGTCGTGACGAATAACATTGGTTCAAGGAAGAAGAGTTGGGAGTTGGTGGTCTGGTCGGCTCAGTACCTGCCTACATACCTGATAGGTAGGTGGGTGTTGATGAGTGGGAGATGGATATTACCCACTACATTGAGTACCTAGCTACTACCTAAGTAGCGCTTTATTCGTTGTTGGTACTACATGCCTACCATTGATGTCTCCCTTTTTTTGCTACATACATGATACGTGCTTTGTACTTGATTCCCGTGATTGTGTAGTGGGGATTGCGTGGTATAGGTATGTTGGTAGGTAGATACTCATGTGCCTGGTGTGTAACTTAATTGCATATTTTGCAGTAGGTTAGGTACATTTTGAAAGGATGGGACAAAAATACCTATCACAAACATTGTGTATGACATTGAGGTGCGTACGTAGGTAGGTATGTATGTACAGCATATAGCGTACTACATAGGTAGATACATGGGTGTGCCAGGTCTAGAAAGGGTATCTACCTACCTACCTACCTAATATGACATAGGTATATATAGGTATCTAAATAGCTACATAGGTGCATACATAGTAGATACCTAGGGTAGACGAACTTTTTCATACGTTTATACCTAACCTACCTAGATATGTATCTAAGTAATCTGCCTCACACCACATCATATCATACACAGTCCACGTTTCGAGTAGCAAATAGATAATATATCCGTAGGTACCCAAAAACATCAACATCCACACCCCTATCCATGCCCATATCCATATCCATGGATACCTAGGTATATATGTGATACGGTACATCAACATCCCATACTACCCCTACCTCCCTAGCTTAAGTAACTGACCACCTCAGCAACAAGGAAGCAGCAGCAGGTCCCCAAACCCCCCATTCCCTCTTTAACCAGCTTGGTAAATAGCCAGCGCATTAACATGCGGGTTAATAAGCGAGAGATTAAACGGCGTAACAAAGAGATCCGTGTCCGTGATCGCGAGGAAAATCGTGCCGTTGATAGCGGGGTCGCCGGCGTAGGTGGAGATGTTGGGCTGGATGGCGATGGCGGTGTTGCCGCGGATGTTGCGGAGGGGCGCGTAAGTGACGTTGAGCTGGGAGACGAAGGCGGCGAAGCGGGGGGTCCCCGCCGACGTGGTGGTCACGTAGCTGTTGTTGGGCCCCGTGCGGCCGCCGGGGTTGTCCCACTGCAGGAAGACCTGGCGCCCGGGGTACGAGAGCGGGTTGGTGCGGTTCTGGGTGATGGCGGGGGCGCAGTCCTCGGCGCCGTCGATGCCGTTGACGGCGTAGAGGCACGCGTCGGCGTTGGTGATGTTGCTGCTCTCGAGAGAGTTCGCGTACGCGCTCGTCGTCTCGTTCCAAACTTGGGAGCCGTTGATGCGGGCTGGGTTCGGTTGGTTGAGGATGCGTAGGGGAGGAAAGTTCTGCCAGATCAGACGAGTCTGGTTTGCGCGGCAGGATGAGATGTAGGGCGCGAGGAGAGTCCAGGCCCAGGATTGCGGGATACCGATCTCGAACCACACGGGCATGGGGAAAAGCCCGTCGAACTGGCGGAAGATCATCTGCTGTCGAGCTTCGGTGGTGATGGACTGCAGGAGTATCTGGGCCGTCTCACGAGAATCCAAGTGGTTTAGGAAACCGAGAACACCGGATTCTCCCCATCGAGTCAACTTCTGGTTGAAGTCGATGAACTCCCGCACGGTCGAAACCGGGTAGTTATAAGTGCACTGGACTGGTGCCTGGGGACCAAGCATGTTGGTCAAGGCCGTAGCATGACCAATCTCTTGATCTGCCATAAACTGAAGAAGGAATCGGTCTTCGGCATGTAACCCGGCAGCGTCGAATTCATCAACAGAGAAGTGAGAGAGTCCCCATTGGAAAAGGTCAAGTTCAATCCATTCCTGATAAAGGGCCAGCGCCACAGATTGATAGTCAAAATCGCTAATTACACGATAGACCGGTTCCGATCCGTTAGTCCCTAAGCCGCCACCTGGGGTGTACGGCGCAGGTTGCGGCTGATGAAGCCTGCCATCCGCTTGATACCTTAGCTTGAATGGCTCGGGAGGCTTTGCCGCAATAGAAGCGGCCGTGACAGTAGTCGATAGCGCGCCTATGGTAGTGGGAAAGGGGCCGGTAAAGCGGCCGTGTGAAGTAACATTCGTGTGGGAAACCACTGGGACCGTCGTCGAGGCGGCCGATGTAATAGTGGTTGTGGCGTCGGAAACAAATGGAACAGCAAGAGAATGAGGCACGATGAGTGCCAGAACGCTGGCGCTTATCAGAATTGTCGAAGAAGCCATAATTGCTACTTCCCTGGTTCACAATCTCACGGTTTCACTGTTGTAAGCTTGGCTATAAGATTTAAAGACAACTCCAGAGGTGTGAGAAAGAAATGAGGAGATTATATAGGAAGTTCGCAAACACCCTAAACTCCACGTACCTTAACGAGCAATGACGAGTTTAAGGCACTTTCAACTCCACGAACAACCCCTTCACCTTCTCGGCAGCGTCATTTTTGGACCCTGAGTCACGCAACGCGGAGCTCGAGGAGAAGCTTTTCGTAGGGGACTTGATCAGCCAGGAATAGGATTGTAGCGGAGGAAAGCCATAACATGTGGTGATGGCTGCGTTACGCAATCTAAGCGTAGTCGAATTTTTACATCACGAATAGTGACATTGTCTTTTTGCTTCTTCTTTGGCGCCATCTGCCACCATAGAAGAGGAGGGAAATCCTGCAATAGTTCGCTCACCGTTCGTCTTTTGGTCGAGAGGGTGGAAGAGTATTCCCAGACTTGCATGACATATTCGTCATGAAGAGAATAAACTGCGAGGCAGTACAGCATATTGGCTGACGCAGCCCACTTAAAGCTGCATATGCGAGAAAGGGGTACCCAGCTCAGCGCTAATATGAACAGAACCTAATTTTCATCAACACTCCTGGAGAATGAGGTTGAGAACTTCACATGTGGTAGGGTTAGACAGCGAGGTGAGGGCCCATATATGCCGTCGTAGCTCGAAAGACATTGCAATAAATCGTCAGTGACTAGCATTGCCAAACTTGGGGTCTTTCACATGGATAGGATTTGCTAGATATCCATGTCTGTCAACGGTGCATATTCTCTTTTGACACCTCGAGATGCATGCTCGGCATAGTGGTCAAAGTCTGAGTTGGGATCTACCCCCTCGTCTCCCTTTGCTATTGCATGACTAGAGAGATCCGATATTCTGTTTCATCTCCGTGTTTTGGTAGATAGTGTAGAAAATGGTGACGTTGTCCAGCTGCATGCAGCCAGTGAGATGCTTCAATGGGCCGAGGCAGGTGGCTGCAGTATATGCACCGGGGCCGTGCCGGTAACGTTGAGCCAATGACAAAATACTACATGCTAATATGCTCATTTTCTAATAGAGCAAGTGGCGCAACAACATGTGACAGTGTCGTAGGGCCATACGTAGGTGCCTTTATCCCGACTTAGAATTTAGGTACAGCTTCAATTGCTCGGGGGATGCAAGGGCAATGTTGAAGGTGAGTTCCACGAAATGGTCAATAATTAGGTAGGCATGATTAGTAGATTGTGATCGGAATGGGTGTGTGAGATGTCATCCTTGTGCGAAGGATGAACAGTTAAGGATGAACAGTTGAGGATGAACAATTGACTACAATTAAGGATGAACGATTAAGAATCACGGGTGGAGATCTATGTAGTTACTGCGATGTCCAATTGAATTGAAGTAAACAACAGCAGGGGTACCCACTTCTTAGTCATCCATGGATGTGACACGGCGGCAGTCTCCTGCCATGCACATATGTACATTCCACCTGAAAATCATGCAACTAAAACAATCTACCCTACATACCTATGTAGCCTAATGTAGGGATCATGTATGTACTCATCAATTACCCTTCTTCAATGTTGTCTCCGTTACTGCGTTCATATGGAGGGCCGTCTGGTATTGAGCATTGAACTCATGATATCTCCAGGTCTACCTAGGTATAATTCCTACCCATCCTGAGAAGAGGCAAACGGGAGAGCAACTGCTTAACTACCTAGGTAACTTGAATATTGTAACAACATTCAGTGGCTGCTATCTGCATATCACCTAAGTATGTAAGTAGGTAGGTGCTATCATTGGTAATGATCTACCAGCCATGTACTACATATGTATGTAGAAGGAGTTCCCAGGCCTTCACTGTTGAGACCAAGACGGAATGCTACTTTCGAGTACGTGCCGTACTAGGATTCTCCGCAGATTAGGAAGATCAACAAACCAACAAAGCAAAGCATCTGATCTAGGGGTTTGTTCGATATGGACCTCTCCTCCTTTAGGAAGGTCGCAAGCCATTGATTGTATTGATTTCGACCTGAACCCTCGAATTGTCCTCTTCTTCTTCCGGTATCTTTCACCAACATTTGTCGCCAGTTTCCTCTACATATGTAGGTAGGTAAGTTGAGAGACAGTAAGATGACGCGCCGACTGTTCCCCTGGACAACCCCGCAGCAGATTCTCCTCATTCCCCTCATCCTCCCTACCTTAATCCTGTGCGCCGACATCCTCCAGTTCGTTGATCCACTCATTGGCAGTACGAATGGAGGAAATGTATTCGCAGGGGCTACAAGTAAGTTGCTCTCACCTTGAATAAAGTATGTACCTATTTAGAAATATGTAACGCCTAAACAATGTATCATAGAACCTTATGCTCTAGCGAAGCCTGTCGCAGATGTAGATGGCCAGAATACGGGGGGCTTTTCAACTGACGGTTCGAGGGTCACCGGCTTTTCGCCAACACATGATAGCGGCACAGGCGGCAATCCAAGTCTGGGAAACTTCCCCTTGTTTCCGCAACTCTGTCCTGGAGATGAGGTAAACAATTGCAAGTTCTTGATTAGCGACAGAGCTACCCACTATGTCGAAGAGTCCGTCGTCGCCCGCCCAGGCTTCTTTGGGATAGATTTGGAGTCCGGAGTGAAGGCGACAATGACCTCGAGCGAGCATGCGGCTCTATATAGGTTCGAATTTCCAGCCGGAGACGATCAGCATCCCTTGGTACTGCTGGATCTCACAGACCTATGGAAAAGCCGGCAAAATGCCAGCGTCAGCGTAGATCCTAGCAGCGGGAGGCTTAAAGGGAACGGCACGTTCCTCCCAAGTTTTGGAGCCGGATCTTATGTGATGCACTTTTGCGTAGACTTTTTCGGCGGCGAAATCTTCGATAATGGTGTCTGGGTCAATAATCGAGGAGGCACGGAGCCAAAGGAATTGTTCGTCACCCGCGGTTTCAACCTCTTTTACTTAGAGGCTGGCGCATGGGTCAGGTTTAGCGGATTGGCGAACAACACCGTGTCCGCCAGAGTGGCAATCAGCTACATCAGTGAAGACCAGGCGTGCCGACGGGCAGAAGAGGAGATACCTGAGCCTCTCACAGACTTTGACAGACTCGTGGCCGAGACTGAGGACGCGTGGCGGGAAAAACTGAGCCCGGTCTCTATCGATGCTGGCGGTGCGAGCGAAGAGTTCCAGACCAGCTTTTGGAGCGGGCTGTACCGCACGATGATATCTCCCCAGAATTACACGGATGAGAACCCGTACTGGGATAGTGGGATCCCTTACTTTGATTCTTTTTATTGCATTTGGGACTCGTTCCGCGTTCAACATCCGCTCCTTACCATCCTAGATCCGAGCGCCCAGGTTCAAATGGTCAACTCACTCTTGGATATTTATAAGCACGAGGGCTGGCTACCCGACTGTCATATGTAAGGAATTTCGTTATATGTAACAAGGCTCACGGGCTAACCTATAACTAGGTCAATGAGCAATGGCTGGACTCAGGTAAGGACTTGGATATTATTACCTTGGCCCACTCTTGCGATACAAGCTCAATACCACAGAGGTCTCATGGAATGCTGACCCAGTTATCAGGGAGGTTCTAATGCAGATGTCGTTATCGTTGATGCTTACATCAAGAACCTCACAGGAATTGACTGGGACCTGGCGCTAGAGGCAATTATACAAGATGCCGAAGTCGAACCACTAGAGTGGGCGTTTCACGGTCGAGGTGGTTTGCAGAGCTGGAAGGACCTTTCATATATCCCGTATCTGGACTTCGACCCTGTCGGGTTCGGAACGAACTCGCGTAGCATTTCGAGGACCCTGGAATATGCCTATAACGACTACTGCCTTGCTACATTAGCACAGGGGCTGGGGCGAGACGATTTGTACGAGACGTATGTCACGAGGAGCGCTAATTGGCGAAACTTATGGAAATCGGATCAGAACTCGATCATTAACGGCAATGATACATCGTTTTTGGGATTCTTTCAGCCAAAATATCAGAATGGGTCATGGGGATACCAGGACCCTATCGCGTGCTCGGTACTTGCGAGCTTTTGTTCACTTACCACCAATCCTAGCGAAACATTTGAAGCTAGGTTAGTCTCTTGCCCCCCCTTTTTGACGTTGAGTCAATGCTACATAACTGAGAACCCATTTTCATTACAACTGTACAATGAAAGCTAACGCTTTATTTTGATAGTATATGGCAATATCAATTGTAAGTGAATGTGCTATCACACATACTAAACACATCATAAGACTAATAGATGCGTTAGCCTTGTCCCTCAGTCGATGTCGAACTTGATAACACTGATGGGCAGTGAAGAACCTTTTGTTGAGCGTCTCGACTTCTTTCACACATCAGGGCTGGCTGATATCTCTAACGAGCCTGTTTTTTCAACTGTATACCTATACCACTACGCAGGTCGTCCCGGCTTGTCTACTAAGCGGCTGCACACCTATATTCCATCTGCCTTTAATTCAACCCATGGTGGGTTGCCAGGTAACGATGACTCCGGGTCGATGGGTGGGTTCGTGGTATTTGGAATGATCGGACTGTTCCCCATAGCGGGGCAAGATGTGTATCTCATATCAGCACCGTTCTTCCAAGAAGTGAACATCACCAGCCCATTGACAGGGAAGACGGCACAGATCAAGACGGTTGGATTTGGTGCAAGCTACGAGAATATATATATTCAGAGCGTTACCGTCAACGGGCAGCCATGGACCAAATCTTGGATTGGCCACGCGTTCTTCAACGAGGGGTGGATTATGGAGCTGGTGCTGGGAAGCCAGGAGTCTGACTGGGGGACTAAGGTGGAGGATCGACCACCGAGTTGGGGCGACGCAATGTCGTGACGCCTTTGTGGTGTTGATGTTGGGTTATTTTCAACGACAATAGGCTCTCTACCTGGCGTATCGTTAGCTAAGCTACCCAGTAAATAATGACTAATTACAAATTAGGTAATAGAGTGTATTTATACCCTACTTCCCCCTTTATCAACAATTAAAACGATTTACTGGACTGGAGTGAGGTTCCCTCTTCTACAGCCCCCTCTAAGTCAATGTATAGTTAACGTCAACGTCTAGACCGTCCTCATGTTCAAGACAGGCAGTCTCTCATATCATTATAAGTCAAAACTAAACGATATATTACCAGATACCATTATAACTTATGCCAGGCCAGATATATAAAGCCCATATATTCCACAATCTTAGACAACTATATCCTTAATGAAGAACGTGAAGTTTGGTTCGAAGGAGTACCTAGCAAACTTGAGGTCGGCGGTGAGGATATAGCAAGCTGCCAATGTGCAAACGCATCCATTGGAAAACAAAGCATTGCGTCTCTCTGCCCAATGGATCAGTAGATGGCCTTTCATGCTCGTACCCGACTCATGGTTTCGGGTTTATACAGTAGAATAGTGAAGTTCAAGAGCTTTTATGTGAACAAAAGAGTTGGCAACATAGAAGGGAGGCCAATGGGTGAATTAGCCATTGACATGATACCTAGGGTACCTACTTAATGTGATGCCTTAGGTGAACATATACATATATGTACAGCTCGAACTTGGAAGGACCGTCTGGGTAAGGATATAATAAATTAAGCGAGTGTGTATTCCCAAGCCCTCAAGGTTGTAACCTTATGGATAAGGGGGCAACTGCCAGGGCAAGTGCCAGGCACCAAATACTCAGAATCCGCATGGTTAGTTATATTGATATTAGAGAACTGCAGTTACGCGTGAGCACACAACCTTGAATAAACATTAATTACCCTAGTCGATATTTGCCTTTTCTGACAGCCGCAATCCAGAGCCGCAGTCCTCCACAACCGCGATTTAATGTTGACTTCAAAAAGTTTTTTTTCCATATTTGCACCTTCGCACAACTTCAACTTGCTCTCGCTCTCCTCTTGACAACCTTTTTACATGCCTACTTTCCCGCCAACTTTCATCGTCTTCATCACCTTCATATCTTCCAAGTCGAAAACTGTTTATTACCTACCTTCAGAGCTTGTTATTATCTACATAGTACTTGCTCAGCAAGAATATTAGGGTATAGGAAGGTGCTTTCCCTGAACCTACATATCACCAAACACGCATCACACGTCTACTTGGTACACACATAGTAGGACGTGACGTGACGTGTACTTTCCCAGTGAACTTCTCTACATAGCAGAATACTCCCACCTTCCTCTCATCACCGCTCGTCGTCTTCTTACATAGTAGCCAGGCTCCACCTTCAACATTAGGTACCTTAGGCATCCTAGGCAGTACCTGTTGCAGCTGCCATTCCTTCTATAGTACCTGATTGCTTCCCTTCCAGGACCTACCTATCTACCTACCTCGGTCCCTAGTAGGAACACAGATACTTATTTCATACTTTTCCACCGCTGACACCTTCTTTATTTTTTCCACCTGCCAAACATACAACGCACAACCACCACCAACTTCCGCATCTTCTTAGCTCACCTTCTATTCTGCCCTTCTCTTAACCTTTTATCGAACACAAGGTTACATTCTCAATAATTGTCTAGACGATTGTCAAAACTATTATCGACATCGAAATAACCAGGAACGTCCATGAATCATGGCTAGTTCCAGCAACACCGAAAAAGCCGGTGGTCAGGGTGGTCAGGTATGCTATTCTTTTGTTTCCTGTAACATTTCCGTCACATTTCGAGTAATGTTTCGAGTAACCTTACATTCGTTTCATTATGTCACCTGCTAATGATACATTCTTAGAACGAGCTCGAGACCATCAGGCAACACATTCACTTTGAACTTCCGAAGTCAAGTCCTGGCAAAGAATGGCTAGCATATCCGGAGTTACCTACGGGTCGAGAACTCCTGGTTGATTATGCTGGCCCTAAAGATGGCGCGGGACGTGAGCGCGTGTTGCCCAATACCTGGAAAGAACCTTGGCAGAGCAAGAACCAGTATCTTGAGACTCACTATCGCCTGCAGAGAGAGGAAGGACTGAACATGCTTTCCTACTCCATTCAGAAGTATAAGATGGACCCTAATATGAAGGACGATGATGAGACTTGCATTTACACCAAGGTAAAACAAACTGCTTCAAACCATATCATTCCTTCTTGTAGTTACTGACAAGTCTACTTTCTGGTGTCTAGGTTTTTGTCCAAGGCTACCTAATGACCCGTCTCGGTCCTATGTGCAAAGTTCAATTCTCCACAGAGAGATCTGGAAAAAAGATACGTTGGACCCAGACTCGTCGCCTCACTGTAGGCACCCTAGTCGCTATTTCGACTGTTAGTGATGGTTTCAAAACCATCTGTATGCCAGCTGTCATTTCCGATCATCGCATTCGGGATGGATTAGACCAAAACCCCCCCACCATACACTTCCAATGGGCCAACTTGGACGACGCTGTCATTGATCCCAATGAAGAGCTCGTCATGATCGAGACCCGCTATGGCTATTATGAAGCCGTGCGGCATGCTATGATCGGTTTGCAGCATGTTGCGAATACACCGACCCCACTCGACAAGTACCTTGTCCACGCCGACCGAAATGATGGTACTGCAAAGTATGTTGAGAAAAATCCCAAGATGGATGTTCACTCCTTAGTCCATCACATTCCGAACTCGGCGTCTATGTCAAAAACCGAGTTGGATGCAAAGACTTGGAACGTCGAGGAGCCTCTCCGAGACTATCCTGTGCTTGATGGCTTCGACAGTAGCCTGTCTCAATATACTAACTTGGACAATTCCCAGCTTAGTGCTGTACATCGTATTCTCACCAAGGAGCTTGCGATTGTCCAAGGTCCCCCAGGCACAGGCAAGACTTTTACTTCAGTTCAAGCCTTGAAGATCCTCTTGCACTCACAAAGAGGATCGGACAACAACGTCATCATTGTTGCCGCCCAAACGAATCATGCGGTTGACCAACTATTGACTCAACTAATTGATGCGAAATCTAACGTTGTTCGTCTCGGTGGTCGTACCCAAAACGACCTCATTAAGCAGCATAGCATGTATAATCTCCGTCGTCGACGTCGCCATGTACTACCAGGCACGCATCGCGCAGACCGAGATATGAAGACATTGGAGGCTGCACGCAAGAAGAACGTTGCGAAGCTGGAGCACATCATCGACGGCATATTTCCTGATGGCCTAATTGACCCGGAAATCCTTTGCCGTGCGGGCATTATATCGGATGGTCAGCTTGCATCCCTCCAGGGCGAAGATGAATGGGTCACGGAGCCCATTCATTCTGCTCAGCCTCTCGGACTGCTATCACATTGGCTCGGGAACCAACTCGTACGAGTGGAGAAACAATATGAGCAGGACCCTGAATTTCAGGAGGAGGAGGATGATGATAAGGTAGACCTTGACTTGGAGGACTTGGATCTTGAGCTCGACGATTATGTATTCGATGAGGACGAGAATTCCGGTCGGCTCGAAGGCAAATTTCTCCCAATTATGCATTTCTGGACTGGCGCAAATGTTCGAAACCACGCTGCTGATGACATGGCGATCTCCCGAGAAAGTAAAAGTGCGAATCTGTGGGACATTGAACCTAAGTATCGCGGCGCTGTCTATCAGCAATGGCAGAAACAATTACTGTCCTTATATGGTGATAACTTTCGCCACATTCTTGCCGACAATGTCCGTATCACCAAGAATCTCAAGATCAACCGGTGGTACAAGGATACGCAATGCATCAAGGCAGGGCACATCAATATCATCGGCTGCACAACCACAGGCTTGTGCAAATATCGTGGACTACTCGCGGCACTGCGACCGCGAACGATGTTGATCGAAGAGGCTGCCGAAACTCGCGAAGCCAACATTCTTTCCGCCCTCTATGGCTCACTGCAGCAACTTATCCTTGTAGGAGATCACCAACAGCTGGCACCCCATTGCGACACGCCTGGGCTAGCAGATGAGCCATACAATATGCGAATCTCGATGTTCGAAAGGCTTGTCAATCTGAAAATGCCTTTCACCGTACTAAACATGCAACGAAGAATGATTCCTTCGCTTCGCCAAGTGCTAAACCCGTTTTACCCGGCCTTACAGGATCACCCGGTAGTGACAAAAAGCACTTCTCGACCCCCCGTTCCGGGCATGGCCGTGCCATCCTTCTTTTTCAGTCATACTTGGATGGAAGGAATGGATGAGAACCTGAGCAGGTACAACATCCTTGAAGCCGAAATGATCGTGCAGTTCATAGATTATCTTTTGATGAATGGAGTCGAGGCAAACCAGATCACTGTCCTGACCTTCTATCGCGGTCAAAAGAAGAAGATTGCAACCCTGCTCAAGAGTAAGCTTGGAGGACAGTGGGGACAATTCAGTAACATTTTCACTGTGGATTCTTACCAAGGAGAAGAGAATGACATTGTCATTCTATCGTTGGTGCGAAGCAACGGTTACAACGGCCCCCATCAGGCCGGCTTTCTTCAGGACGAGAATCGTGGTGTTGTGTCCATCAGTCGAGCACGTCGGGGCTTCTACATATTTGGCAATATGAGAAATTTGGCATTTGCCAGCGATGCTTCCTTCAGAATGTGGGGGAAGGTCTACGATGTCTTTGCTAAGCAAGGACGATTCAGCGAGAGCTATTTGCCAATCACATGTCAGAAGCACAAGAAAACCACATACATGTCCCATCCTGAAGATTGGGTTAATTGTCACGGCGGCTGTGATGCAGCGTGCCCTGACGTTTTAGAATGTGGCCATGCATGTGGACGTCAATGCCACTGGTAAGCTTCAAGACCTTGTTCCTTTTTTTCCCTCACCCCCCCTCCCCCTTTTGGCTTCAACTGAAATTCCATTGGCCTATATCTAACATCGTTTTCTCTAGGATGCCCCATGAGAACCTCGTCTGCCGAAAACCATGCGAACGGATCCTTAACTGTGGTCATCGTTGCCAGCAGTTATGTGGTGAGCATTGTCTATGCACCTGTGCAGTCTTCACAGGTGCCTTTTCTCATGACGAATTCCGAAGACAAAATGCCACCCTTGAGAGTGGAAATTTGAACCTTGTCTATAACCGAGCCCTCGAAGGCCCATTTATCACCCGCGAAGAGCGTCAAATGGCAGCAGCATCAAAAGAGAAGGAGGACAGAGATCGAGCTCAAGCTCAAGCCCAGCAAGTGCCGTACGGCTATAAAGGTGGCTTAGGGTACAACGGAAGCCGACAAAATACTCACAACCCTCCCAACTTTGTCCATTCAGGGACTGGAAAAGGTTATACCTGGGCTAATTATGATGCCCGCGCCGATGACGAGAGAATTTGGAAACAGGCGATAGAAGCCCAACGCCGTGCTCCGCCGTCGTCGCCCAAGCCAATCCAGGACAGTTTTCGTCAGGTTACGATTGACGAAAATGGCAAGCGTCGTGTTGGAGAAATCATTACTACCGAACACAAAGCTCCGGCGTCTCCCAAAAGAGATGATGGTCTCGTGGCCTTTGACGATAGTGTCAAAGCATTGGCTTTGTTAGAGCCTAAGTCTCTAACTACTTCTAAGCCTATACCTTCCTCTAAGGGTAAAGCTACTCAAATCGCTCCGGGCCACCAGGGCCTTGGATGCCGTCCACAACATCTGGAAGTTGAGGGTACAGCTGCCAATCCTGTCCATCGCCAGCCAGCCGTCACCCATAGCCATCCCGCTTTGGGACGTAAGCGCACAAAGCTAATAAAGTCGCTACAACAATTACAAATTGATGAGGATGAGCCTCATAAGCCCCTATGTGACTCAGCTGAATGGGAATTGGCGAGTGTTTCGCATGTGGTTGCTTCAGAAGCAGAAGTACAGACACCGAACGAAATAGAGGAGGGTGCACTGAACGCAGCAGAGGAGGGTACACTGATCGTGATAGAGGAGGATACACTGAACGAAGCAGAGGAGGGTGGTCAGTCTGAGGATTTGCTTGTTGATATGCAGGAGGAAGACTTGATAAGCTTCTGATTGCTGAACTGCCGGATGGGTAATGGCCTAAGTAAGGCATTGATTACCTAGTTTTACGTGGCATTGAAGTTACGCTGATACTTATTGTTTGCGGTGCTTTGATCAAGATTGTATGTGGCACTGGCTATGGTGGAATATGAGTTGATGGTACCAATGGTTCCGCACATATTCGCTTAGAGCTACGCTGTACACTATAAAAACTCACGATGACCATAATTGAAACATTCTTAGGTCTTTTACAAAACTGCCATGGTTTTATTCATCTGGTGATGAGCAATGCGTTATCTTATATTATGCCAAGGTAAGTCTGGTAATCGTATCACTAATTGATTGACACTCCTTCTCGTCTGGACATGAACAAGATTGGAAGGTGTCGGCGTAGAGGTAAGGGTAGAGTATAGCTAACAGGAAGGAAGTTGAGGCATGTTATGGATAACTAAGTAAGGTGCGTAGCTTTTGATTATCAAATTGGACATTGAATGCTCAGATACATAATTACATAAGTCAATCGGTAGTAAAGTAAGTAGTAAGGGGGAGGTATGTAAGTACGTTTGTGGTTTTCTTTTCCCCGATGGTGAAGTATGTCATGACGTCAAAGGCACATCAGGATAGGGGTATGTAGATCTGGGCATGATGAAAAGTTTCAGATTCAAAGTGTAGGTAGGCACTAGGTTAGATAGGTATGTACTTTTACTGCATATGTCACTACCTATGTAAGGTACCTCGGTAAGTAAGTAAGTAAGTAGCCTAGGTTAGGTATCTTGGTAGAGTTTTTCGAAAGAGTCGATGACGGGATGATGTTGGGTTGGAAAGGGGGGTATAAGTAACTGCGTGGGAGAAGCAAATCTGGAGTTTTGGTGGTTGATGTATGGTGTATGGTGAGTGAGTGAGTATGTACTGACTAGTATATCTCATCCTTATTATTATTGTTACTTTTTGCTGTATTACCTACCACAACAGCCAGATTATCAACACGTTCACACATTAACTCAAAACCTCCGAGCCTACCTACATACGCATAGGTAACGAACGCAGTGGAATGCGTCTTCTCCTCCTCCTCCTCCTCCGCGCACCACCATCCCGCCCCTTATTAGCCTCAGCCACCAGGAGTTTTCTCCCCGTCGTATCTAGGTCACGACTACTTTCTAACAAGATGTCGTCGTCGTCGAGTCCCCCGTTCGAGGCATACCAGATCAAGAACACGACGATCAACGAGGCGCCGGGCGTCAAGTTGTCCGCGGATCAGAGGTTGCTTGTGGGGAGCGTGTTGGATGTAATGCTTATTTTTTCGTTTCTTTTTTTTTTTTTTTTTTTTTCTTGGTCATCATCCAATACCGGGCACCCCTCCCCCCCTCCGCTTCTTCTTTACCACCTACCTATTAAAATAAATAAAAATAAAAAACTAACAGAAAAAAAAAAACAGCTATTCTCAGGCAACCCAACCCTCAAACACCTCGCCCTCTGGTCCCCCTCCGCCCTCTTCGCCGACCCCATCACCAGCGCCGCGGGGTACGACCGCTTCGCCGCGCAGTGGTACGGCCTGCCCGCGCTCTTCCGCCCCATCCAGATACAGAGCCACCGCGTCACGTCGGCCGGCAACCCGATCGAGATGCAGCTGGAGAACAGGTACACGCTGCGGGGCCCGGTCAAGACGGCGCAGACGATCACCTCGGTGGTGAGGATCAGTGTCGGCGGCGACGGGAGGATCGAGAGGCTGGAGGATAGGTGGAATGATAAGTTGCCGGAGGGCGTGGTTAGTGAGGTGAGTTTTTTTTTTAACTTTACTTACTTTGAGAACTGAGTTTGTGGGCTTGTGGCTTGTGGCTTGATGATGACGACGGGGTGGGAGGATGGAAGGTGTCGAGGGTGGATGAGTAGTAATTGGTCGCTAACAAGCTGACAGGCTTTTCGAAAACTAAATGCCATGACCGTTCCCAACTTCGTAACGGTTCCGAAAACTGAGGCGGAAGATCAGAAGCTTAAGGCCGAGCGGGAGAAGGTTGAGTGATCGTATCATAACTTATTATTTGTTAGAGAAATATAATACTTTCTGCTACAACTGTGTACAGACCACTTTCGAAAGTGTGATACATGTGCAATTTTTGTATTGATCCTTACTGCAAGAGCTGGTCGGCTATCGCGGTAGCTAGATCTATCATAGTGCTACGTAATGCTGGATCGTCTCGACGTGCATAAATAAGCCTCTAACTTATGTGTTTTCAAATCGCATGGACGCTCACTGAATACACCCGAGACTGAAAATAAATAGACGGCGTAACTAGTCGCAAAGCAGCATCAACGATCTGCCCAGCAGACTGCCCCGTCACCGTAGCGTGGTCGAGCAACGAGTGAGCAGATGATGCCATTTGACTTGGCAAGTCTTGCCATCGAATAGGAGATTCTTAACTCATGTAACTCACACAACTTACTCGTATCATGCAACTCGCTGCTAGAAAGGCGAGAAGACAATGTGTCCGAAACAGCGCAAGTAAAAGCCAGCTGCTGCACTTGCGAAGCTGGCCAAGAAGCTCACGATCAACATCCCTCAACACCTAGTAGTCTTCATCTTCGTAAAATCCATAACGCCGTGGGCCGCCGTAATACGTGCTGTGATCTATGAAATGGACACACATGTTAGCACAGCTCTGCGTGTCTTGGCAAGGACCCCCCCCTAATCCCCAACCCCAGATAATATGACTTACCTCTCACGCGGCTAATGCCCAGCTGGCCAGCAAGATTGACATAGCCCTCGGGCCCAATAACCCCCGTGTTCTTGATCTTCTTCACCATGTCATCGTCGCCCTGCCAGGGGGTGCGGCACATGGGACAGGTGACGGTGTCCCTCGCGCTCTTGCGCTTGGTCGCCGCCCACATCTCGAAGCACGCCCTGTGGATGTTCTGGCCGCAGGTGGCGCGGCAGTAGACGGCGTCGTCGTCCTCGAAGGGGCTGAAGCAGATGGGGCAGTCGTCGTCGAGCGACTTGCGGTTCTGGTCCGGCGACTCGATGATGGGGGGCGCGCGCGAGAACATCGAGCGCAGCTCCGAGGGGAGCAGCGCGAGCTGGTAGACTAGGTCGTACCGCGCGCGGAGGACGCGGGACATTACCTAGACGGCGAGATGTTGTTAGGTTGGGAGGAAAAGGGGGGGTGGGTCTCTATGGGTGCAAACAAGGGAGGAAGCTAAGGTTAGGGGGAGGGAACTAACGTATATGATGTGTTTGCACTGATTTCCCTTTTGCGCATGGAAGCAGTCGCAAGATGGATTCTGGGAGATGTGGACGTGGTAGACGTTACCGGTAGAACCGGTGAGCTCGACGGTTTCCTCGGGACACTCGTCAGTGCCCATACGAGTTCTTTCCAAGACGAAGAACTTCTGGTTTGTCGCTCGATGGTATATGATGTGGAAGTCCTTGGGCGCCTTGGGGCGGAATCTTCTTAGACGCTTTTCGGTCGGTTCTGCTGTCTTTCTCGACTTCGTAGGTCTCTGTTCTTCTTCTTCTTCTTCTTCCTCCTCTTCTTCATTGGGCTCATGCCGCCAGGAATAACTCTTGGAATATGGGTTGAAATCAGTGGCCTTGCGCTTTTGCGATGATGAAGTGCCAGCCGCATCAGAGCAGGATGCTTCGAGTGGTGCGCCCATATTGTGTTGTGGAAGTCGGTCAAAATGTTTCGTTTGCAATGTTATAGTGTGTTTGCAGAGAAGTTTACGAGAATATTGAAGAAGAAAGGGGATTAAGAAAGGGAATTGAGATTAAAGCATTGAATTGGAGAACAAGGTAGTTACTAGGTGGTACCTGGCAATAGGTGGTACAAGCACAAACCAACGGCCAGGATAACGCCAAATCATGTGACGTCATTGTAACCGGGATGGATGCCACTATCCGCATAACCTCATGAAGATACGAAGTACATATTTGTGCCTATGTATGTATTATATATCAACTTGATATATCAATTTGATATATCAAATATATCAACGTGAAACAAATCAGCATTGAAGCTTGAGCCGTCAATGTACATTATCTTCATTCATTCCTTTTCTTACACACCCATTGTTCGTGGATGTATCAACCAAGCCTCATAGACTAGAACCCAGACAATGACCTTGAACAGAAGATAAAGACACAATGGGCTTTGCCATCCCATCTTTGTTCGAACAACAACACCCTTAGCAAGCATGTCGAGGAGAGAAGTAATCACTGCGGATGGCTCAAATACAAATACCATCGCCGACCACGACCTAACCACTGAACTAGCCAACCCTGTGTTTCCTCGTCCACCTACATACTACCTAACCAGGTCGGTACACACATTCTCTGTTTACCAGTTAGGTCAGTAGGTTCGCTCGAGGTTATCGTGCCTTTTTTACTTTTACAACTGAACGTTCATTCATTCGTTCGTTCATATATTCATATCCGGCATACGCCATCCGTTGAAAGTAAGATCTCTTCGACAGAGAGCCATCAGAGAGAACCCAGGCGGTTGAAATACTGTTTGCATACTTAGGTAGGTCAGGTAGGTTACCGGTTACCTTTGTAAGTATACCCACCATCAACTCACCGATCCTCGGCTCTCCCTCCCACTCTCTCAAGAAACGTACTTTTCTGCTCCCCACCACGAAAGAACACCGAAAGGAAAGGAAAAAAAATCTTGAAACCGCAAAAATGCCATACCTAAGCATCATCCCGACCCCATACCACCCGTCCCTCCAGCGCGGCCACAGCGTCGGCAGCAGCGGCGGCGGCGGCGGCGGCGGCAACGTGAGCCCCATAGCGCGTCCCTTCAACTACTACCGGCGCACCAAGAGCGACATCCAGGGCAAGATCAAGGCGATCGTCGAGAAGATGACGCAGAACATAAACTACAACGCCATCCAAACGCCCAAAGTAGTGGAGATAAAAAACGATCATGATGATGATGATGATACCGAGTCCAACTACGGCGACGACGACCACGATGATGATTACACCGAGCCCGCCACCCTCCGCGCCGGCCTGTGCTCGCCCGCCTGCTACGCCGAGTTCACGGTAAACCCGTACTCGATCGCGGACCACATCACCTTCGGCGACGCGCTGTCCGTGCTCGAAAAGGTCAAGGTAGAGATAGCGTCGGGATCCGGATCCGGATCCGGATCCTGCTGGTGCTACAGCAAGAAGCGGGAGAACATCGTCACCACCATCACCGCCATCCCGCAACCGCAGGACCACGAGAAGACGCCCCGCCGCAGCCTAGGTCTCGGCGCCGCGTGCGACGATGTGCTGCGCGAGAAGTGGGAGTCGCTGGGCATTTTCCGGGCCCTGTATTCTTGACCGTGTTGAGTGGCCTGTACATATATACGGATATATATATATATATATATATATACATACACCTACCTGATCATCTACCTTTTATTTATATATGTATGTATGTCTACCTCTGCACGTACTTACCTACCTACCTACCTACCTACGTAGTTACTAGGCAGGCAAGCGTCGCGAGTTTCGTACAGCTCAGCAACGCCCGAAGACCAAGGAAACAAAGCAATACCATTCGGTTAGGGTAGGGTATTTTTTAGCAATTGGAAATCTGTTTCTTGTTTACATTCTGTTCACATTATCAGATGTTTATTTATTTTTTTATAGAATTAGATTTATGGATAGACTTACACTTATATATATTTAATATATATAGAATCATAAAAATGTTTAGGTACCCCTTTACGCATGGATTTAGTAAGCGTAGCCCCTATTCCGCGGCGGGGACTTTTGCTCGTAGATATAAATCCCCTAACATATCACGAATCAAACGTCACAAAGATAAAACAGTAATGCAAAAGGAGTTACTTTTATTCTTTTCAAGTAATGTCATAATAAGCCCAGCCCATCGGGAATCTTCCGATAGAGCTCGTGTAATACCGTGTAAAAAGTGCTACTCGTCCATCTCTCTGTCTGTCTGTGTCTCTGTCTACCATAAACCGAGCAAGCGAGTAAGCCGCGACGCCCCAGACATTAAATGTCGATGCGGGGGCACCGTTCCAACTCGAAGCTCTAATACCACTAACTATCTATGCTGTGTAAACACAGACAGACATGCGCCCCGTGTAATATATACCTAACTAAAAAGGGGGCCTCAAAAACAACAACCAACAACCAGCAACCAACAAGCAAAAACACCGAAACGACCGTGAAACCGTGAAACCATTCCCGTCACAAACGTCAAAAGTGTACGCCGGTCGTTGATGCGAACTCGTCCTCCTTGCCGCCTAATCATACCAATCATTGATGTTCTAATGTTCTACTTTGTTTAAAAACCCGCAGCCTCCGAGATTATAATTAGTTTGGAAAGAAACCCACAAACACCGGCAACAAGGGACTCGGGCGTATCTTACTCCCGGTGTTCGATCGGTCAGGTAGGTAGTTCGTGGTTTGCGTACGTCGGATCTCGTTGAGACGGATATAATACAGCCCATTGACACATCGCAAGCCCTGTTCCAAGCCCTGGGGGGGGCACCAGTCGATGGGGATCATGCCAGCCTAATCAAATCAGAGGTTATGATGGCAGAAAAACCGACTCGGCCCCTCATGGCACATAATTAGAGTGCCTAATCAGCTGTCCGACTTTTTTTTTTTCCTTTTTGCTCAAACCGTCTTGCCTCCGCAGTCGGGAATTTTGACGCCATCCTTCAGGTTCCTATTGACATCCATGATGCCCCACTGATCCTCCCACTCTTTGCCAGGAGTATCAAAACTGATTTTCCAGGGCTCGTCAAACATCTCAAACCAGAAGTAGTTCGTTCCATTGTTGAGGGCTTGGCAGACCCAGTCCTCCATGAGCGTGTTCAGCTCGTCAATACCAGCCACGGACGCATTGGGACAGTCGGTGACACTATCAGTGCCACAATTTGTGCCACCCTTCGTAGGCCAACCAATCTCGGAGATGACGTTCTTTTCTGTTTCCGTCTTGAAAAAGTCTTTTGCTTTATTCTGCCAGAACTGCCACGTCCAGGAGGCGGCCTCCTTGGCGTTAACACCGGCGAAGAAGGGATGGATATTGCCCATGATGTAGTCGCTCATACTAGCCAACTGCGAATCCCAGTTGTCGCCAAGATCGCTCGTCGCCACAGGGAGGTTCCAACTGTGCTTAGTCAAATTTGTTCTCACTGTATCCAGTAGGTTACTAAGCTCTGTAGCAGTCATCTGCTCCCGGAATAGAATCTCATTACCAATGATGAGGCCCTTGAAATGGGTATCTCCATACTCATCTAGGATATTCCACATCTTACTGAGCTGACGTGTGTTCGTGGTGTTGTTTTCGTCTTGCCATACACCTAACCAGATCTTGATCTGGTCTTCAAGCTTCAATTGCCTTAAAGCGTGAATCGTCATCTCTGTCTGGTTGCAATCTGTTCCATACAGACGAATTGTATTGGTCAGCTGTGAGAGAACGGCGATGTCTCGGGTGACATTGTTCTGAGAAGGAGGATTCTTAATACAGTCCGGATACTGGACGTTGATGGGCGTGTAGTCGACGCCTGGAAATACTTTATGTAGGTTGGGATTATTCATCAACGCCTTGATCTCATTCGAATTAATGTCGAGGTCCCCGTTCTTAGCTGTATCATCGTCGGCCGATTGGCCACCGTTCGTTCCATTCTGTTTGTTCTTGGCGGCCAAAATGCCCCCAACAACGCCGCCAGCAATGGCACCAGCGATAATAAGGCCGACCACGATCCCGATGAGCCATTTCCACTTTCTCCGGCTGCTTTTTTGACTTGACAACCACTCTGAAGGTTTCTCTGCCTTGAGCCCCATCTCGTAATCATTTGCGCCACCACCAATCTTGCCAGTCGCGCTCGCATTTTGCACAGGGTCGTAGTTGATAGCACTAGTTCGGTTTCTTCCCATCAATCCACCCATCACTCCACCGGCTGCCGCAGCCCCAGCGACGCCTGCCGCGCCAGCCGTGGCACCATTGCTAGCTCGACCCCCACTCGACCCTCCTATACTCAGAATGCTATTCCGAGCGGAGCGCCCATATTCGAGTCCGTCATCCCCATCGTCGTCGATATCATTTGGGTTAAATTGGCCAAAATTGGGGTCCATCCGTTGGCCAAATGCCACTTGGGGATCTCGAAACGGGTCGCTAGCGTGGCTGTGTAAACTTCGCGTAGGCGTGCCTTGGCCAGAGGAAGACATGCCTGCAGCCCCCATGGGAGCTAAGCTAGCAGATGAATTGTACCCTTGGGCAGGTGGTCCGTGGGGGTTAACGCCGTAACCTGGGGGCGGGTCATAGCCCCGATCATATCCGTAGCCCTGAGGTCCGTCGTAAGCACGGTGTTGTGGTGGTGCCGGCGGCTGAAGCGCATCAGGGTACTGTGATGGTTGAGATGGTTGTTGATATGCCTGAGCTTGCCTCATGGCTTCTACTCCACTTTCCCGGGCGTTTCTTTCAGCAACACTAATAGCAAGTCCTGACATACCACCAGCGGCAGTCTCACTGAAATTGTCGGCACCGGGAGTGACGTTGGTCTGGGGCACAGTGGGCGCCCAAGTGGTTACGCTATTCTGTCGATGAGGCGGCGGGATTGGTCCTGATGAGGACGGGTCAGTCGTACCATAAACTCCTCCAGCAAAGGCGCCTGCAGCTGCTCCCACTCCAGCGCCAGTTCCAGCTTGTCGGCTATATCTTCTACTCTCCCGTAGCCTATTAAATGCAGAGTCGGGGTGGGCACCAGGGTGATTTAATGCTCGTGCCCTCGAGGGAGAAGTGTGGTGCGCTGGATCAGAGTCCAAGTCGGCAGAGGAGGAGGGATAGTCTTGATAGAAGCGACCTTGTGACGTTGGTGAAGAGGTACGGGAAATACGGGAGGGAGAGTGTTGATGTTGTTGATTGTAGTAATAGTGATGTTGTTGATTGGAATGTGAGTTATGAAGGTGTGAATCATTAGGATCGTCGAGGGGGGCGTTCTCGCCTGGGTCAGAATCAAACGAGTAACGACGATTCATGGTTTTCAGGAAGGAAAGATCCCAAACCAAGGACTGGAAAAGAAGGGCCGTTCGTTCTCCTAGAATTAGTGGGGGTCAACAGGTATGTACGATCTTCTAAAAGGATACTGGGTAGAAAGAAAAGGCGAGGGACAAATCAAGTGTGTCCTTGGGTAAGAAGGTAGGAGGTATGTACCATTCAGATCACTTAGTAGGTAGTACTAGGTAATATTCTTGGTACAATGTGGGCAGTGGATAGGTCCTTGAGTGACGGAGTGGGTAAATGAATGCATAATAGACGGGTATACTTACTATAACTTTAGATATGTATACTAATCTAGGGAAAACCACGATGAATAAGTTCAAGTGGGTATGAACCTGTTTTCAAACTAAACAATTCCCTGTTATACGATGTTACTATGGTCCTATCCCGCTATGCGACTAGTTGACCAAGGCGTTGAACTTGTCGAAGTGGCCCACAGAAGCAGAGGCACAACACTGTCATAAATGACAACAGATAGGCTGTTCTCCTCGAGGTATTGATATTAGTTTTCATTTGATCAAAAATATAGTGGTTTGGGAATCCCTTGCGCACCGAGTGCTGTAGGTAGATTGGGTATGTAGATTATGTGGTATGTATGTGGTATGTGGTATGTGGTATGTGGTGTTATGGGCCGAATGAATTGTACCAACGACTGTAACAAGTTGTTCCCCTTACACGAGAATTGCCTGTCAGTCTGCCTGTAAGTAGGTCTGTCTGTCTCTCTGTTAACCATCCCAAACTGGTCACCCCAAGGGATATCGAGGGCTGTGCTGGGCGCTTTGTACGTCGTAAATTAGGATGCGCCGGCCTTACCTACACAGATGGTAGTACAAGGGAAGCACAACAGAAGCCTCCAAATTGGATTTTGCTTGTTCAGCTTCTTTTTGGGGGTTGAAGAAAGGAGTGGCAGTGCTGGTTAGTTGTGACAAGAATGAAATCAGGCTGTAGCAAGGGGATATGTACGATTTAGGATAGTGTGCACGGAATAGAAAATGGGTTGTAACGTTTCTCGTATTTACAAGTTTGAAAGTCTCAAGTGCTTCGTTCAATGTTTTTTTTAGTCCAAGACGTCTAAGACACCTGAGTGACCAGACACCAATGCTGAAAGAGGGACCCCTCCCATCTGTGGGCTCGTATCGCATAAGGTCCGTCGTGCGTGCAACATCTGGGGTACATACTAACCTACTAGGTAGGGTACCATGTAGGTAGGTACAATACTATGTCGGTAATAGGTACAGATTCCAGCTGATCTCACTGCCAAAAAGTTGATAACTAACTATTTAGTGACGATAAACTGACCTGGCCACCCGGAGTAGCCTAACCTATTGCCCCCAATTCCCCCAATCCTTGTAACTTTAACTGGTATCGTTCCTGCGTTGGATTCTGCCCCCTGTTCTTACTGCAAGCATAAAGATAAAGTTGCTATTATCCTACCACCCTGGGACATCAGTATCACTATGTAACTCTAAAACGAATCGGCTTTTAAACGCTTTCAGTTAGATGTATCTGCGAACCAGCCAATTGCCTACCAAGGTACCAAGGTACATCCATATATAAGCGTGCCAGGGTAATATCACGAATGGCATCACTTCGGCCCAGCAACCATTGCCGATCCATTGATCAATACCACCAAGCACATGTGTCAGCACATATGCCATACGAACATACATAAATATGATTGAATGCCTAATCCACCACCTAGGTAGATATGTTATCAGGAGTCGAGGATCCATCGTAGTTGATCGAATTAGTGTAACTCTTAGGGACATTGCCTGTACATTGCCTATCAAAGGCAAATATTGAACGTTTTCCAATGGTCACTAGAACAATTAGTTATAAGTGCTTGTGCGAAACTTAAAGTGGTGCACTGTTAAAACCGTTAAAAATCCAAAATTTAACTAACGTCGATCTGAGATTCAACGGGTTCAACGGTTGGCTTACCAAAGGACAAGATGAGGGGCATTTCCAAACTTTTGTAGATCCGAGCGGTTGGCGGATCAACCAAATGCATCTAACTATTACCCAGGTACATATTTACCAGCCACCTGGAAACTGACGCCCATTCTTAATAGGTCACGATATAATCTTATTTACGCTTGCCAATTCTACATAAACCCTCAATAAACAGTAAGATTTCATTGATAGTCATAGCAGGTTACTTTGAGTGACTGATGACCTTCAATTTTGATCCATTCAACGTTCGATTGACTCCAAATGCACAGACCACTGAACCTTGAACTTGTAGTGGAACGTTTCAACTTGATTGTGCAATGTTCAACATTGAACTCAGTGCTTGAAGCTAGTCGTGCTCAGCCCTATTGCTCAGCCCCATTCGCCAAAAAGCTTGAATTTACTAGCCACATATGACGTAGCTATTAGACATCCTCCAAGTCTTCCACTGCTCCCTGTGTCAAGTTAACTATTTGGTTGAAAGATTGGACTTCATCCTTGGTAGATGTGTAAGAGGTTACAATATCTTGTGGCTTGAGGACTAAAGAATTGTGATTGGCATAACAATCGTGGTTAATACCGGACCTCGATCTTTTTTCTGTACTATGTACTTGAAGGGGTGAGGATATCTAAAAATGACGTATGTCCAGATAACACAACATGTTGCCTCAAAATCTAGCATATTAAGAAATAGCAAGCCATTTGTGTCACTCACTCCATAAATCTGAGTTCATATATTCCCCTTTCCTTCCAATTGCTACCCAAACATATACAAAATCCCCTTTCTGTAATAACATGCTGCTTCTCTGTGACGTCATCTTTCTTCAAGTTCTTCGATTCTTCTGCCTCTTTGGAGGCCATACCGATATATGACTTCATATCATAATGTAATGAAGAGATACCTTGTCGCAGATGGTGTGTAAGTTGGTATATGAAGCTCTGCAGCCGCAGCTCCTAGCTAGGGAACATGCACCTCCTTTACAATGGTAATCCGAAGAAAAACACCAAAGCCATAACTCAAATTAGCAATAACGCTGTTTGATACCTCTGGCAGCCTAAACCAAATCATTCACCATAATCACAATGTCCGCGTCTCGAAACGTCGAATCGATGATCAACCAGGGTGAGTTCCGCAGCCGCGTGCCACCGTCGGAGCCCCTTACTACCAGCGGACACAAGCCCGGCGTCCTCGTTGGTAATGATGCTGTCCCTGAGTTCCACATGGAGACCCATGCTCCCGGTACTGCACCACGCGAGCACACCTTCCAACCCCGACCAGAAGAGACTTCGGCCGGGGCTTCGAACGACGAATTCCAGCATTCTATCAACCCTGCTGAGACCCTAGGCGGCACCACTTCTCAAGCAGTTCACACTGGCTTCGGGAAACCCATCCAAGGGCAATCGTCGGCTGAGATGCACGGCGACCTACATGGCGACCACACTAACCGACGGAAGAAAGAGCATGCGGGCTTAGAAGGGGTGGGAGCGAGCGTCGGTGATAGTGTTCGCCAGAAGGGGGCTGACTTACCAGAGGGGGTTGAGAAGGGCACGAGAGGCAAGGCCAGCGCAGACTATCCTTCTGCTTCGGAACGCATTCCGACCAGTGCTGAGGAGGTAGCTGCAGAGATGCAGGCATGAGACTACCTGGGTATACGTAATCGAGAGATTAATGATGTGTAAGGGTTAGATGACCCAAATCACGAGGAACTTACGGCGAATAATACATCGTTGATAGGATACGAATATTCATCATCCATGGATGCAATTAGATATTTCTCTAACAGTAAACATGCGGGCCGTTGTAAGCCAACCAATGAGAGCCGCAGTATTGTCACTCAGGCTTGGTGCGATCGATCCGGCGCGGCGGACCCTCGCTTACACAGTGCTTCCGCTTCTGAGCCATAACTACCACTTTAGGGCTAGAGCTGGAAGATCCCTGTCAACGTTGAATGCTTTAGTCCATCGCGATTCTTCATGCGGCACGGCGCGTCCAATACAAACAATTCTTAGTACCCCTCGTTCTAAAATGTCACTTTCATGATGGGGTCGACCGTTCTAGATATGTATAACTAATGGCCTATTATGCCAAGACACTCGCTATCTACCTAGGTGAGCACCATAAACGAGTCCCTGAGATCAGATGAGGTGATGGGTAGAACCGCATCATTATCATGGGGTCATTATCATGGGGCTTGCACCTCTTACGACAACCATTGCGTCAACTGTTGTTGCACCATGAGCGACATCCTCCGATGATGATGATGACCACGATGGAACACCACCAGCCGCTGCCTTAACTACGGTATGGACTCCTCTACGCCCATGTCTCCCAGTATCTACGAGTCCACAAGCAGATCTTCATAAGTTTTGGGGATGCCTTCCTGGGTGCACGCCACCCAACTACGAAACCTACCGCAGAGAAGACCTTTTATTACTCGCCCGCGATATGTCCTAGCGGATTCACCATCGGCTGTTCGTGATTTAGAATTGAACAAGGGCCCCGCGAAGAGCCTACTGAGACGGTCATGCTTTGTGCTATGAGGTACATTTTGCTTCTTTTTCTGTTCTCTAAAGAAACTGAAGTCTCTACTGAAGTCTCTTGCCCCATGTCTAATGCTTGACAGTGATTTCTCCTGCACCGAGGAGAAATATTACGAGGTGACAGATACAGACTTGTCGGTTTCGTAAATTATGAAAGAAATCCGCTGGGCTGAAAGCGACCTTTCTATCCTGGAGACTCGCCCAGTGACGCCTAGCTTGGTTCTTGCTAGGAAAACATCCGTAAACAGGCTTGACAGGACGCGGACTCGGACTCGGACTGCATCATCGTCTAGCAGACTAGGGGCTACCACATCAGCGACGCCAGTCAGTAATCACGATGGACTATCTACCGGCGTAAAGGCTGGAGTTGGTGTTAGTGTAGGAGGCTTGCTTAGTCTATTGTTTGCAGGGCTGGCATTCTTTATGATCTTACGATACAGGGAAAAGCGCAGAAATAGACAAGATGGCAATGACCCTACAGTAACGCAGCAGCCTCTATTAGGACAGCCTCCCACGCAGCAATATACTCAAGCTTTAGGGCCAGGACAGCAAGGGCAGACAGTTCAAGGATCTGCCCAGCCTCTACCTACTACACCAGGAGGGACGGTAGGCAATGAATCGATCAATGCCCATAATGACGGCCCAACCTCAGGAGCAGGTTCACAACCGATGCACACACCGCATTCCGCAGTACCCAGCGGCCAACCAGTGCCAACAGCCTCGGGCAGCTCTTCCAACACATTACCTAATATACATAATGCAGCTGCTGTGCCTTCTACAATTTCCGAAACCCCAAGACGTAAGGAGGCTGTATGGTTCATAGGGACGAGGCTTTCACAGCTACAGCGAGAGGCAATGCACCTAGTAACAGGTGAAGCAAAGCTCAAATGATGAAGGGTGCAACGGGTGGGGTTGGCAGGGCCTGGCGATGAAGAGCAGCAAATACCCATGATAATACAACAGGTTCAATCGACGAAGCTATAAGTCGGTGCCCAGGTATTAATGCATGCCCGCCTAGGTGCCTACTTAGACATATACCAAGATATGTGTCTAGTATTTCAACTAAGGCACTTCATCAACTGTATGTTGTGATGTGCTTGGATTGCATCATGCGTGCCAGGGGCTGGTGGCTTCATGTAAGGTGATGAAGAGAGTAAGGCTAGAGGGCCCTCCAACTCCATCTATTGATACCTCCCTAAGGTACGTTAAGTTACTGTTAATGAAAGAAAAATGACTCATTGTGATTGTTCCCATGAGACTAAATGCAGTGACATGTTGTGTGTAAAGTTGAACCTGCAAGGCTGGTTGTTCCTGTGTTAACAGACGGGCAAGAGATAAGTATGCTATCTCACGGTGAGAATCTCGCTTCAATGTTATCGCGTTCATAATCACCCCTATAATGACAAGAGAAACATCATATCTGTCACATTTACTGCACATATCGGAATATCTATCACATTACGGTCGTGAGGCTGCTGCATCATCCTTACTGCATATTCCAGGCTCGCATTTTGGTTTTTCTTTTTTTTTTGTATCCCCGATCACGATTACTCTAGCAACAACAGTCGTTGCGGTTACGATCTAGGGTGACTGCATAGTATTTATTATGGCACACTTACCACACTTACAGACAATTTATTTCTTTCTTTTCTTCGTTCACCACACTTGCTATAGACTCTTACACAGTCCACTCACCTATCATTGACATCTCACCAACTATAACTATTATTATACTTAACCTCACACATCCCCTCAATAACTCGGCATCACCACCATGGTCTCTGCCGAGAATAAGAACACCTTATCCGAGAAGGAGTGCCAGATCCTGTGCATGGCCTGGCGGTGCCTCAAAACCTCCCCCGATGTAAGTCTTCCATCTAATATACCTACCTACCTATGTCGTTTCACACCTGACCTCTGACATTTCATTTTCACTCAGATCGACATACCGAAGCTAGCCAAGATGGCCGGCTACACCAATCCCAGGAGTGCTAACAATACTATGCTTGGTAAGTTATTTTTTTTCATTCTATACTGGCTACTATTACTACTACTACTACCGCTGCACACAAAAACATCACACACATACTTTCTCTCCCTCTCTCTTACATACATGCGTGTATCCATAGCGTCCTTCTCACACCTACCTACCTACCTACCTACCCCCCTACCCCCCTACCCATCCCAAATCCATACATACCAATCTAACAACACACCCAAACCCAGCCCTCAAGAAAAAGCTCGCGACCCTCTACCCCGACGAAGCAGCAGCAGCAGCAGCAGCCGAGCCAGGGACTCCCGAAGCCCCACCATCATCTCCTCCTCCTCCTCCTCCCCCCAAGCAAGGCCGTGCCCGCAGGGGCAAGCGTCTGGCAGCTGAGATGGACGGCAGCGACGGCGACGATGAGAAGATGAAGAAGAATGTACGCGGCGCTCGGGCTGGTAGGCGGGGGGGAGTGGCTGCGAAGATGGTTCCGGGGTGTAATAGGGCTAGGGCTGGGGCTAGGGGGAGGGGGCGTCGTGTGCTGCGGGGTTGGGAGGGGGAGGATAAGGATGAGGAAGAGGTGAAGGGGGAGGAGGAGGGGGGGGAGGGGATTAAGAATGAGGATGAAGATGAAGATGGGTATGAGATTGAGATTGAGATTGGGAATGGGTTTGGGGGTGATGAGGCGGTCGTGGATTAAGTGCCTGAACTGAACTGAATATGGGGCTGGCTTGTTGGGAAGGGCGGACGGGAGTTGGTGGCCTTGTAGTGCGCGTGGTTATAGATACTAGGCACCTACATACCCAGGGCCACGGATGCTGTTACTCGAGGCTTGGTAGGTAGGTAGTACGTTGATGGGTAGGTACTACCGACCCCTTGTGAAACGGACTGTTAGGTAAAGCGTCATAGTCTTACATGCATGTCACCGTTCTCTGCTAAGACTTGTAGCTATTCATTGTCCCTACTAATGCTCTTCATACATTCACTTATACGGGGGCGCTTCTTTCTAGCATTTTATCTTGTCTCGTCCAGTGCCATCACCGTGCTTCTAGAAACATCAACCCTGTTCAGTGAAGCATTGAAGTAAAGGATCGCCGGCTAGCCTATGGAAGAGGGATATTCCAGAGCCCACAACTCAACTCCACCGCGCGCGTGTTTGATCCACGCGGCACGTGTATGTGTGCCGTGATCCACAGGCACATATCCATACCATCTCACCGACATGAAAATAGAAAGGGTCGATCATTCAATCACCACAAACCACAACACATCGCACTCACTCAAGACAGGAATTGTGTAGGTAGGTAGGTAGGTAGGCTACCCAAAACCCCTGAGGGCTTTTATATTATCATGTACCTCTAGGTATGTACTAGGTATTATCCAACTTAGGTAACTATGTATTCTATTTGTCTTCACTTAATGATCATATCGGGCGTCATCGACACGTTAAAAAATAAAAGCTTTGCTTGACTTTTTTCCTCTTTTTTCGAATGCAATCAACTCTCTCTCTCTCTCTCTCTCTCTCCACTTTTTCCTCCCCTTTTCTCCGTCATCCTTCTATCCTTTTTCCTCTCCTCGCTTCCATCCATCCATCCAGATGCTGCTACACGCTCACTTAAGAGGAATAGATGCAGCCGTTGGGGTTGGCGACGACGGAGGCCTTGAGGGTGGTCTCCTTGCAGCCGGAGTTGCCGGCGGGGTTGGCGACGCCGGACGAGGCCCAGATGCTCCAGGCGCCCTGCACGCTGTTCGGGCACGCGATGAACTTGTCGCTGCCCTTCAGCTGCAGCTGGTTGTCGTAGCCCAGCGTGAAGGGCGTGCGCTCGCCGTTCTTGGGGGTCGGCTGCGCGCCCGTGGTGTAGCCGAATTTGCCTTGGCCTATTTTTTTTTATACGTGGTTAGTAAGAGTGCGGTGAGGGGAAGGAAGGGGGAAAAGAGAGAAAAAAAAAACATACCCATTCCAGAGCGGTCAGCATACAGCTGCTGCGGCGTGGCCGACTTGGCGAAGAGGAAGAGGCCGTCGTCCTTGAGGAAGAAGGTGGCGGTCGCGTCGTGGCCCACGTCGCAGGTGGCGTTCTGCGCGGGCAGGTTGACGAAGAGGCTGCTGAGGGCGGCCTGCACGTCGGTGGCCTTGCCGTCCACGGTCGCCGTCAGGTGGAACTTCGCGTTAGGGTCGATGGCGCGGGCCTGGAGCTGGGGCGAGGGCAGCGCGGTGGAGGCGCCGAAGAAGAGCGCGGCGGCTGCGGTGAGGGATTGGAAGAGCATGGTGAAGGTTGGGGGGTTGGGTTGGTTGGGTTTGATTGGGTTGGATTAAGGATTAAGGTAGGTAAGGTAGGTTGAGATGATGATGTTGAGGATGAAGCGTGAGGATGAGGAGGAATATCAAGCTGACTGGGGAGGATTATTCAGACTCTTATATGATACTCAGGCCTGTCCGGCTCCAGCAGCCGGCGAGACCCCTATTGACATCATCCGTGCAGCGGCGGTACCGCAGCAACACGAGGTATATTAGTCAGAATACGAGTCGTGGTCAACTGTTGTAGGCAGATTATCGGCACTGGAGACTAGCTGGACGGTGCCAAGATCCTCTTGGCGATGCTATTTTAAGGGATCCTCACTGGAGGCGATCGACACCGTATATAACCCACAAATTATTTGGAGAAGAGAGGTTAGCATACAGTAGTGAGGTAAGCAGCTTAGAGGTTGGAACTTTCACCAAGCGTGCGGCTACCGCAGTGCTAGACTTTTGGAAGGTAGGCTATTGTATCACCGCTAACATGCGCTGTTGGGAAGATGTTTTTTTAAAATCTCCGTTTCGTCGACTAGTTGTATGGACGTACATGAAAGCTCGGCTGTGCTGGCTACCAATACCCAACCATGACGGTTTGGCTCTTCCCACCCATGCGCGAGCAGAGCACCATAATAACAGACCGTAGTCGGTAAGTGGGTTTTATGTGGGTATAAACCCATAAGAATCTCGTTGTTGATATAGAATAATCTTGCGATTCTTATGCAGCCCTTTCTTTTCTTCTTCGTTCTCTTCCTCTTCTTCAGCCCAATAGTTACTTAGACCTTGCAATGGAAACAGCCGACCGGGCAGCAATGGGACATAGAAAGTGCTCGATGTTAAAGTAACGTAGCACTGTTACCAACTGGGCGGCTTTGGCTTACCTAATTAACTACACAGTTTATGACAGTGCTAGTTCACGGTTATGGGGACATTCATTCTCTGTCCCCGTTCTGCCAGCTGGTCAACCTCATACACGAACTACTCGGCGATCATTGTAGACCTCATAAGATTGGTCTAGATCTGGAATTTGTTGCTGCTGGTCCACCAGCCTGTTGTTTACCTAATAACATGTATGTATGGCTATAGCATATTCACGATGCTTCAATACGAGGTATTTTGAGCTTTACCGCTTCATTGGAGGAAAGACTTCAAAGTATAGTTCTAGACTCATGAAATGGAAAAAGAGAGAAGAAAAAAGCCCCCCCAATGACGGCGCCCAGTCCAGTCCAAGGAGGTGAGGGAATCGTGTCGACGCATTGCCGTAATTCCCTGAGCCAACTTGAAAACACGGGAGTTGTGTGAATGCATAAAGCTGTTATTTCTCAATGCATGACTGTCAACCTTATAATATCCATAGATGCCAACCTGCGCTGCATACCGACCTACTGGTTTCAAATTAACTGGTGGTGTTGCTGGTAGATATATAATAGGGGCGTGCACCTCTTGTTTGACATCTTGTATCAATTTGTTTCATTGTTTCTAGTTATCATATTACCAAGGCCTTTTTCTAGATACTTGTTACCTATCAAGTCCAAACATTGTTTTGATATTTCAAGTTTTGCCAATATAATAGTTTGATTCTACTCAGGTTACGTTACCTACCTGGGGTACATAGGTAGTTTACCCCTTTTTGCTACTAGGTAGCTACATATGTATTCGCCAAGTCGCCACTGGCAAATACCTACATACATAGCCTAGGTAGGTACATATGTACCTAGGTATTTATTAGCACGTCGAGGCAATATGACATCAGCCATCAGATCTTGGATCTCGTATCGATCTCGCAAAAGATATACTACGTCATTATTCTGTGCCCCAATGATGAATTTATTTAGCCATGTTTTATTAGGTTAGCAGTTTAATAGTGATCATCACCAACTTCGCAGTAATCATCACATAGCCTATTCACACATACCTATTCTACCTCCACTGTCAATCTTGAACACTTTCGAAATTGCCATCACACTTCTACTAGCCCACTCCAGAATACATCTCATTTCGTATTTTACCAAAGTAGCCATGTCCAGATTCGTAGACGATGTCAAGACCGGTCTCAAGGGCATTCGCGGCGCAGGCGATGCCATCCGAGGCCAAGCGCTTGAAGCAACAGATCAAGTGTTCGACAACAACCCGCGCCACCCACAAACCCAAGCATCCCAGATAAAGAACCGTACTATCGCGGACAAGGGAAAGCAAGACATCGCACATATGGACAATATGATTGCGCGCAGGGAAGTGGAACATGAGAACAAAAATGCTATCAGGGGGAAGGGAGTCAACTCAGCGCATCACCCAACTACGACTACTACAACCACCACCACAACAACAAGAGAATCAAATGCGCCCGCCCATCCTACGACTGCGAATGGGACGTACTATTAGTAGGGACCTATTGTAAATTAAGCTTGGGGAAGAACTGGTTGTATGATTGTGGGAAAGAAACGAACGGAATGAGTTATGCGATTGGCTTGGCACGACAAGGGAAAAGACTTTCATAAAGCATTTTAAACCTCCTCAAAGAGGTCAACGTATTATTCTTTTCACTAGTTGGTGAATCCTTTTTATGGCCTTTGGTGGCTCTCGGACTCAACGTAAGTACCTAGGCGTGAGATATTATGAACGTCAGGCATCCACCTGTTATCGCGACTTACAACCCAAATAAAGCTGAAATGTCGCCCTAGATTCACAAGCCTAGTTTAACCTCTCAACTTAACTAAGTACTTGAGCTGAGTTGTAATCCAGGCTCTTATTATACGAGTCACGTGGGATCGCCAACTTGTAACAGAATATGCAATACAACCATACCCCACGACATCGCAGTTGCGCCGAGAGGGGTTCCCGTAAGCCCCCGCTGAGCAAAAGTCTGGGGTACCGGGTAGGATATTGCGGGGTGAGCTTCTGGGCGGGAAGGGATAGCGAATGTGGAAAGGTCCCTGACGCCAATCCTACTATGATCGCCCGTTTCAATATGTGTGTACTGTAGGCACATTCGGAAAACACTCGCCCTATCAAAACATCGAAGTCCCAATGGAGTCTCAACTTCATGATAATCACCAATCATGAGCCATCATCGTTGCCGACAACGGCCGGCTAAATTCAAGGTGGTTGTCCATTCGATGGGTGGTGAGGAGACGAATTCTTCTCTCGACTCAATTCTAAAAATGTTGTTAAGCATTGCCAAGCTTCTATCGAGGTCGACTGAAGTTTGCTATTGTACCGAGTCTTCGCTGTCAGCATCCAAAGTCCATATCAATACAGATCAATAAATATGCCACATGCTGCGACGCCGCCGCCCTCAACCCCTCTGTACGTCAACGATGGTTTGCTAAGCCCGGGACAAGTTGGCCACCTACGACCTTCGTCTCCGGGTGATCCTCTTGATGAGTTGCGAGAACGATACCGAAATGATGGTTATCTTCTCCTGAAAGGCCTGCTACCTCGCGACGATGTTCTGAAGGCCAGGGAGGCGTATTTCGCTCTTCTAGCCCCCAGCGGTGTTCTTTCGCCAGGCACGCGCCCAGTTGAGGGTATATTTGATGGTACGAAGGACAAATTGGATTATCCAGGCATGGTGAGAACTAGGTGTCTTTTATGAGGGGCTCGTTCAATCCCTATCGCTAACAAACAGTAGTATGTAACCCCATTCACCCGGATGACCATTTGCTTTTGACATCAGTACAAGTCAAGCTCGAGAAATTTTGACACATATCGCAGAGGCGCCGGTTCCACCGACGCGAACGGCCGTCCACGCGGGGGTCTCTTCGTCGACCTCGCACTGCAAGCCCACGGCGAACCCTGGTACAAAGACGAATTTTGCAAACACCCCGCGCTGCACTCGTTCGTCGCCAAATTCACAGGATGGGGCGACAGCACCCTCGGGCTCACCCGATCCCTGCTTCGAAACAACACGCCGCACAACAAAGCTATCGGCGTGCACTACGACCAGATCTTCCTGCGCCACGGCGAAGACACCAGCATGACCGCGTGGGTCCCCATGGGCAATGTCGCGCTAGACGGTGGCGGCCTGATCTACATGGAGAAGGGCCACGAGCTCGGGCGGGAAATCGAGAAGGACTTCTACGACCGCGCCCGGAGGACCGGGTTATCCGACGCGGAGGCAAAGGACGCTTTCAACCAGAACATGATGAGCGGCGGACTGCTGGCCGACGGACCGAAGGAATTCGGTGAGGCGCATGGGAGGAGATGGCTGGTAACGGAGTATGAGGCCGGCGACGTGGTGCTACATACGCCTTACACGGTGAGCATGAAAGCCAAAGAAACTTACTGATCGGAACCGATCCGATCGTTAGTAGATTAGAAGATTCCGAGCTGATCAATATTTATTTAACTGCGGGTAGATCCACGCATCGACGATTAATAAGGATCCGCGAAACGTCATCCGCCTTGGCACGGACTTGAGATTTGTCGACTCATCTAGGCCGTACGACACGGTTAGTTATATCACCAGTCCCTAGAATACCTACCTAGGTACTTAGCAGTGTTCGCTAACGCAGATCTCAGCGATGGAAAAATGTGTATACGTTTGGGGATGGAGTATGAGTGCGGATAGCTGGAGTTGCTTTAAATATAAGATGTGCCCAGGTCAGGAACGTCAGGAGATGGAAGGAAAAAAAGAAGTGGAAATACTGTAGCCTAGGGGCACGGTAATCTTCATTAGTCCACTGCCCACCCGAATAGGCATGCAGCTGGGGACAATGCATCGACACGTTTTGCTTCCCAGCAATGTAGAAAGATCGCATTAACTATTTCGTACATGATTGGCCCCTTATTACGAGAAAGAATCTCACACACAAAGCTTGACCGCGGCCCACCGATCTGCTGCCACCGTGCTACCGCGCCATAAGCGCTAAGTGAGATATTCCATTAAGCTTGGACTTCTTTCCCCGGAGAAGGATCCACGGATGCGAGCCACGACCCCTTGCGTCGGGTTGGTCGGGTCGGTCGGAATAAAAGTCTGGGGTTGTTATATCGGTGCCTCGTGGCTGAAACCCAGGATTGCCTTAGGTGCCTGGGTGGGTAGGTACTGTAGGTGATATATCTAGCCGTACGCCTTTCAGGAGCTTGCTCTGACAATAAGGTAGGAACCTTAGGATCCTTGAGTACCTATTCCCACTTGAAGTTACACATTAGTATACCCCAAAGTTCCATAGTACACCTCCCTCACCACGATGTCCGCGCCATCTCTCTCCGCCAGGGACATCCAGTGGCCACCCGGCATCACAGCCAACTACCCTGACTCCGAAGCCTTCGCCACGTCGACATTGAGATGGACCACCTACAAGCCCCCGACGTACGCCGCGGACCGAGGAAGATGTTGTTAAGATTGTAGGTTCATGATGTCTGATCGGGAGGGGGGGAGAAAGATACCTACTTGCTAGGTACCTACCTACCTACCTACCTACCACAACACCACCAGGACTGATGGCACCAAGACTCTTATTTTTCCCCTTCCCTAGGTCAAAGTCGCCCCCGAGCGGCCAACCTCCCCTTCCTAGCCACAGGAGGCCGCCACGGCTACGGAACCTCGCTCGCCAAGCTCCGAGACGGGCTCGCGATCGATCTCAGCCAACTTAAATCAGTCGAGATTAGCAAGGCCACCGACGCGCTTACCGTCGGGGGCGGCGTGCAGATCGGCGGTATCATCGGCCCCCTGCACGAGGCCGGATACGAACTGCGTAAGTTTCTCTACCTACCTACCTACCTACCTACCTAGTCGGCATCGTGGGCGCTGCTGAGCACGATGGGCGGCATCCACCCGATCTACTCGGCGAATGTGCGCAGGATTCGGGCCGAGACGTTCAACGTGGCGTTTGAGAAGCTCGATGCCTTTTTACCAGGCGCATCCGGACGGCCGTCGCAGCGCGCTGGTACTGGAGAGTTTCTCGGCGCAGGCGGTGCCGGATGAGGCGACGGCGTATCCGTGGAGGGATGCGAGGGGGAACTTGTGTGTGCTAACTAACTAACCCTCCCTTACTCTCCCTCTCTCTCTCTCTCTATCAGATATGCTGGTAACTAACCTGCACGAAACCCAGCATGTTCCAACTAGAGTGGCTAGAACGGGATAGTCCCGTAGAAGCAGCAGCGACTGCCCTCGCTCGTGAACTACGCGATCAATTCACAGCCACGTCTGGATACTCGCAGGTTAGGTTTGCAACCGGTAAGGTGTTTACGTAGGGTACTTAAGGTATGTAAACTATTTTGTATCCAAATTTGCCTAGGTGTATAAGCATGCCCTCGAGGCTGGTACGTCTTGAAAATGTTAAATTTCGATGGTATAGAATATATAAGATGAAAAGAGGCCCAACATCTGATGCCTCTTCCCAGGCCACGAAAATCGGCTGCCATGCCTTTGGAGGCCATTATCAAAATCTCCGTCAGGGAAGTACCCTTCGCTCTCACGCCAGAATTTCGCAAAATCGGGTTTAGCATTTACAGACACAATAAAGGTTAAGCACAGGACCAGGGCCCATATAGATAACTAGTCGACGGGGAAAATCATTCCTCCCTTTTTTTTAGAAAAAAATTAAGGAAAGAGGCAAAGCAAGAATCAGCTCGGGGCGTAGCACTACAGACAACAAAGCTCAGTATAAAACACCCTCTTCTCTGTCTCCTTTTTAAGCCATTGGGTAAATGACGATATACACTAAGAACGGCAGAAAAGATGATTACAGGATTTACTATCGTTTCCAACATTGCTGTTGTGTGGGTATCCTTTGAAGGAGCTGTGCTATTTGTAAAAGTGACAATTGCTATGTTAGGCATCCAGGTACTTACCAAGATTAGATATCTACCAGGAAGATTGCATATCCCATATTTCAATACTATAATTATTTGCCTAGGTGCTAGGTACGTAGGTAGTAACTATTTCAATACCTTGACCACAACTCGGTGTCGAGCGAGGATAGCTCAATACGCCGCATGAGCCGCATGGTCGCGATATGCTAAAACCTTAGGGTCTCTTCTATTCCTTTGGGTGTCTAAATATACATACACATCCGTGGCTCAATACTTTGAAAGGATCATGAACCTAATTTACGACTGTTCTTTGTCGAACCAGCATTGCCGCGAAAGGTCTAACGATCTGTATCTATAATATCAGCATCTTCCCTCTTACAGTTTCCTTCAGACCAACCAGATTACCTACGTATCTGGGATGATACTAACCAAGACGGAAACCTTCATCGGCGCTTTTACATCTGAGAAATTTCAAGAAACTCAGACTCAACACTAAGATGCTGGCTCTTAAGTTAGTCGTCCTCTTATTTGGCTTTGCCAGCCAGATAGGATATGGGCAAGGGGCTTGCACGACGACGTGTAAATGTCCATGCCGGGACCCCAAAGCAAGCCTGAAAACAAACCCTCCCGCCTCACAAACGAAAAACGTCCCGACAGATAAACTTCCTCAAGCTAGCAGCACCAGGCCAGATGGTGTTGTCGTGCCCATTCCTTTCCCCTTTCCCACTGGACCGGATCAATCTGATCCTACCAATACCAACACCAAACCACCTGGGACCAAAGCCTCGCAGACGGAAGAAAAGCCACCTGGGACGAAAGACCAAACAACAAATAAACCCCCTCAAGCTAGTAGCACCAGGGCAGACGGAGTTGTCGTTCCCATTTTCCCCCTTCCCACTGATTCAAATTCTCCTAATCCTACCAACACCAATACCAAACCACCTGGAACCGCTACCAAGGCCTCACAGACAGAATCGCCCAAACCGAGTGGCACCGACCACACCGGTACCAAGGCTTCGCAGACGGAAACGCATAAGCCCAGCGTCACTAGCCAGTCTGGCACTAAGGCTTCAGGAACAGATAAACCTCCTCAAGCTAGCAGCACCAGAGCAGATGGAGTTGTCGTTCCCATTATTCCCCTTCCCACTGATTCAAATTCTCCTAATCCTACCAACACCAATACAAAACCATCCAGCACCGGCACCGGTACCAAGGCCTCACAGACGGAATCGCCCAAACCGAGTGGCACCGACCACACCGGTACCAAGGCTTCGCAGACGGAAACGCATAAGCCCAGCGTCACCAGCCAGTCTGGCACCAAGGCTTCAGGAACAAATAAACCTCCTCAATCTAGCAGTACTAGGTTAGATGGAGTTGTCGTTCCCGTTCCTTTCCATGATCCTACTGAAACAAGTTCACCTGGACCAAGCAGCACGAACCCATCTGGCACCAAGGCCTCACAGACGGAATCGCACAAACCTAGCGGCACTGATCACTCAGGTACCAAGGCTTCAGGAACAGAGCCACCTAAGACCAGTACCCACGTCTCCAGTACCGGTACCAGTGCGCAAGGGACCAAGGACCGAGGAACGGAATCGCCCAAAGCCAGCGCAAGCAGCACCAGGGTAGATGGAGTTGTGGTGCCCATCCCCGTCCCCACTGGAACACATTCATCCGCTCCCGCCAGCACTAATACTAATACCAAACCACCCGGTACCGGTACCAAGGCTTCGCAGACAGAATCGCCCAAACCGAGCGGCACCACCACCAGCCATTCCGGCACCAAGGCTTCGGGAACAGACAGGCCTCCCCAAGCTAGCAGCACCAACGCAGCCGGCGTCGTCGTCCCCGTCCCCATCATTCCCGGAGACAGCTCCACCTCCACCTCCAGCACGAGCGTCCCCGCTGGAGCGGCAACGCAGACCCCTAGTTTCCTTAGCCCTACGGGAACCATCTTGAACTCGAAGTCGCCTAAAGCCAGCAGCACCAACTCTGCCGGCGTCGGCGTCGGCGTCGGCGTCGGCGTCCCCATCGAAGCCTCTGGAACAAAATTATCATCAACATCACAAGCACAGAAACCCAGCAGCAGCAGCACCTCAAGCACTAGCGTGCCAGGAACCAAAGCCACAGGAACAGGAACAGGAGCGGCAACGTCCAAAGCTACCAGTACCACAACCGGCGTCGGCGGCGTACCCATAGACGTGCCCGGCGTCGGCTACGAGACCAGTGTGAGCCCCAAGATGCCGGACATAAAGCCCATCAACACCATGTTGAAGCCGAGCAGCGGTACCGCCGCGGCCGCGTCCGGAACCCAGGCAGGAGCATCGTGGGTCAGCGGGTTCCCGGCTTACCAGTCCATTCCCGCGACCATGCTTGTCAGTTGATTGATTCACCTTAACCTTTTAGTTAAGCAGAAATAGAAAGAAAAATGAGCCCGGGGATTATGAAAATAAATCCCGTTTAGCTATCTTGGGGAAGGAAGAAATAGGCGTCGTCTAAAATGTTAGATATCTATTTTTGGGGCGCGGAAATTGAGTATAATTGGATGAGAAATAAAACTATTTTTTCAAATGACTAAATGACTAACTTACCAGTTAAACTAAACTAAATAAACCAGTGTAAAATAAAAGAAAGCTAGTAGTATATAGTTACTGTCTATATATAGGCTTTTGACTTGTGTATATAAATGGAAGTCTCGATGTTACATATCATACCTATGAAGAGCTACTAGTATTTAGGATCTAGTCGTTATGGAAGCTATTTTAAAGCTTACCCCTGAGAGATCCATCCAATGTATGTAAATAACTATGTAAACGCACCCTCAAGCGTGTAATTACGCAGCTACATACATACACCATCTGGCCCGCAGAGATCTACAACCCACAAAAACACCATAGTACATACATACATTATTAAACGGCGCCCCATTCACGCCACCATGACATGACATATGCACTGCACGAATTACCAAAAAAAAAGAAAAAAAATCTTCAAAACCCGCAGTTCCATAAAAGTCCCATCCCAAAAATCCCAAACCTTCACCGACCGAAAATAGTCCTCATAACCAAAATCTACTATTAGTTACTACTAGAAACAAGTTCGACAGTCATGTAATTTACCCCTGACTAAACAAATCCTAGGGGTATTGACTACATATATTTCGTAGGTATATCCCGGCTCTTAATGCGTCTTTACACTGATGAATACCATCTCTGACAAAAATGACTATATGTACTGTGCAATTGCCGGCATACATACCTAACCTAGTACCTACTATATTACCTATGTATGTATGTAAGTACATACATGTAAGCCTACCGAAGAGAAGAAAAAATTGTGAGGACTCGAGGGCTACACAACTTGACTCTACCCTACATTTTCCACAATTCTATGTAGGTAGAAAGAAGCCTCTCGAGTACATACATGCATTTACCAGCCAGCTAGTCTCGTTAGAATCCATGCATGCATTGACATGTAGTTATGTAGAACCTCGAGCTTCACTCGCCTCTACTACAACATCTAGACTTAGGTATACACGCACGCACTATATCTATACATACATACATACATACCCAACACATCCAATATAAACCGAAAATCCTTCTCTAACAATACCTACATAATGTAACTCCTACCTAAGTACCTAGCTAACCTAGTAACATATGTAAAATCAACAACTTAAGCGCTCCAAAGAAAGAAACATACATAAAAGCAGTTTTAACTAACTAACTAACTATTAAAGCAACCTTACATAACGTTAAATCCAGCCGATCCCCCCCCCCCCCCCCCCCCCCCCCAAAAAAAAAAAAAGTCGGGAAATCCGGGTAATCACCAAGCGAAAGAGCGTGAAGGAGACGAAAAAGCGCCGGAACAACCTAGAAAGCTCGAAAGGCCCGAATACCATTACCCAGTAGTTAACCTGCCTGCCTGCCTGCCTGTATGTAAATACCAACACAATTAATAATTGACTGACCCTACTACCATCCATCACTTAATAACTACTACTCACTTGCCGGCCTGCCTGCCTAACCTAGGTAAAAAGAAAAAAGAAAGGAAAAAAAAAAAAAGTTACCTGACCTGACCTGACCTACGTCCTACATTTATGTACCAACCAATCTACCATCACCAAATTGAATCTCTTCTTCCTTTTATTTTTTTTCTGTTCATTTATTCATTCACTCCGTCACTTGCATATCTATCCTCAATATCATCATCATTATCATCGTCATCTTTTGCTCCAGTGAACATAAAAGGCAATGAAGAAAAGTGAGGATCAATTCATTCCTACATCTTTCTATGAACTCCTGAACCGACGTTACTCGAACCGAGATCTGTTCAACTTCAAATGAAAAAAACCAAAACAAGTGTTCTGTATTTGATGGAAAAGGAAGAGAAATGAGCACACCAAGCAAGAAAATCGCGAATCCTATTCTGCCTTCTGCCTTATCTTTTTAACGTAACGAAGAAAAAAAAAATCATCATCCCTTAGGACATCAAGCATCCATGTCTTCTTCTCTTGGGTGAATTGGGGGTACCCTATCCAGATCTATCATCGCAAGTGGAATCAAAGGGAGTGGGTAGGTTCCCTCTATTATGGAAAAGAAGAAGAGCAAAAGATTCATTTCCGAAAAAACTCCCCGGTATCTTTATCTATGTCCTTCCGTCCCCCAACATGGCTCTGAAATAAAAGAAGTGAGCGGCCTTTGCAAGCCCATCTATCTTTTTTCTTTTTCTTCTTCGACCTCTTCTTTAAGTGACGGTGTAGCCACCGTCCACGCGGAGATCGGCGCCAGTGACGTATCCGCTGGCATCAGACAGCAGGAATGCGACGGGGCCCATCAGATCGTCGGGCTGACCCATCTTACCCTGGGGGATAAGCGAGGTCCACTGTCGCTTCAAGTCTGGCTTATCGTCGAGAATCTTCTCAGTTCTATTGGGAAAGCGCTCTGGTTAGCTGCCGGCCAGTCATGCTTATAAGATGACGGTGTGAATGATGGGCATTAACTTACAGGGCTGTGAGCATGTAACCGGGCGAAATGCAGTTCACACGGATACCGGCATGCGCCCACTCGACGGCGAGCGACGCAGCCAAGTGGCGGACTGCCGCCTTGGCACTGTTGTAAGGACTGCAAAAATGAAAATTGTTAACCACCTCTATTCACGACGACAACATTTGGGCTGAGGATTTCGTGACTTACGCTTGGGGTTGGGGAACGTTAACAATAGAACCACTCATGCTTCCGATGAAGACCATGCTGCCGGGGCTCTTGCGATCCATTAGGTGCTTGGCAACAGTAATGGCGAAGAGGTACGTGCCATCGACATTGACGCTCCAAAGCTTACGCATTCGGTCAATGGGGTAGTCGACGGCGTTGTAATTCTCGGTGAAACCGGCACTGGTAACGAGGTGATCTATCTTTCCGTGCACCTTGATGATATCGTCAATGCAGCTTTGCACTGAGTCGGCATCGGACACATCCGCATAATGGGCAGTAACTTTGGGGACTCTGGTGGCGCCTGGGTTTTCCTTACGGAATACTTCGACTAGCTCGATAGCCTGACGCTCGGCTTCTTCCTCTGTTTGGTTGGGAAAGGATTGTTAGCATTTGGCTCAATCTGTCTTGGCGCATCTTCGATTTGCTATGGTGTGGGTGGGGAAAAGACCATGGCACGGCGTTGACTTGTCAAAGTGGGATTTATACAACAAATGGGACAAGTCGGTGAGGTGTGAGCAAGGGTTAGGCATAAATTGGGAAGGGAATTTGACGGCAAAACAGGTAAATGAAGAATGGGAAAGAAGGGGAAAAAAGGAAATGACAAAAAAGGGAACGGGCTTACTGTTCATGTCGACAATTGCCAGATTAGCACCGCTAATAACCATGCCTTGGCCCATGACAAGACCAAGACCACGAGCACCACCAGTAACTACACCAACCTTGCCCTCGAGGGAGAAAGAAGCAAGGGTTCGCTTCATGTGGAAGCCACCACGGCCTTGGACGGGCGCAGAGGACGGAAGGGCGTCCTCCTCAGGATACTCTACGGTGATACTGTCGTCCGTACGAGCAAAGGCACCGGGCGGGGGTGGCGATTGCTTGTCCTTGTTGTCCTTGTTGTTCAGAGGGTTATTGTTGTTGTGCAGGTAAGCGGCGGCGCCGGGTAGGGTAGCTCGGGGAGCAGCAGCAACTCTGCTAGCTGAGTTGGCAGCTCGCGCCGATGCGCGTAGTAGATTTCGGGAAAGCATGTCGCAAGATGTGTGTGTTTGTGTATTGAGAGTTGAGGGAATTGGGATTTGGGACAAAATCTATTTGATGTTTGTCGCCCAAGGTTGTAAGGATACAGGTAGGAATGCAGAGTCGGTCGCCTAGGTGAAGTGGTCCTCCGCGTGTAATAAATGTAAACCTGAATGTATCAATACCTTATAAGGTATATACTAAGTAGGGTATGTATGTGTGTTGATGATAGTGTATGGTGTATGTATGAGGGTATGTATGAGGGTATGTATGAATATACGTAGACAATGTATGTACGTATGTATGAATGGACGAAGGAGCTCTAGAGTTGAGGAAGTAAAGAACAGAGCACCAAGTGAGAAAGTGAGAAGCAAGCAGCTTCAAGTTTGTACGGACTGCGGGTTGCGGGTTACGTGTGTGGTTGATTGGATTTTTTTTTTGGATTGTGGACACCGCAAAGTCAGTAAATGACGTATGCGCGTTTCTTTTGTCCAAAGTGAAGCTCTATTACCGCTTTAGGTGTTTTGAGTGGGAATAGTAGTAAATCAATACGTTTAATATGATTCACTAACCTAGTCAATTGGTATCGAGGATTGATCTACCAGATGGTATATGCAGAGTTGAAGAATGATGGATGATGGGAAAAAGAATAGGGAAAACGTTCAGACGATGTAGGGAATTAATGGGCAATTAATGTACAGAGGAAAGACTGGGAAACACGAAGGGCGAGAGGGAAAAACTAAACCACCGCCCAAAAAAAAAAGTCAGGGGACCAAAAAAACTCACGATCTTCCTTGAACACGCTTTTACTAACAATCTTTTTTTTGGGTTAGGTACTTGGGTACTGTAGTTACTAGGTACCTAGTATGTAAGCTGCCCCGGCTGGGTACTGGGTTTCAAATGAATTATCATGTGTACATCCATACATTGATACATCTAGTACGGTAGTACCTACCCTAGGAATGTATGTACTGAATGCCGGGTGCTGGTGCTGGGTGCTACCTGGAGGTTCTGCAGCAAGGTTGCTTCATAGCTGCTTTGCTGAGTGAGTTCAGTTAAGTTGAGTGTTGGCAGATGCTGGGATGCTTCACAGCACCTTCTCCAGCTCTTTGACGATCCATTCTTCTACTAGTATAGCACCTACCCAGGTAGACATTGTTCTGCCTTCCGGTCCAAGCTTTCCTCTAACTACTACATAGGTAATTAACTAACCTACTAACTACGTACCTACACTATCGTTTTCATCTATTTCTACCTAGGTAGGTGGCCACTGACGCCTTAGTTCCCCCCGGTCGGTGCCTTGCCCCCTGACACCCTTTAAGGATGACACCTGGGATGGAGGGGTAGCATTACGATTAAGCTTAGGTGGATTCCGGATGTCTCTTTGGTGGAGACTACCGTAGCTTGCAGTTATTATTTCGCTGTGGCCTGCTGTGGCCCGCTGTGGCCCGCTGTGCCTTTTTACTATGGTACTACACTACCCACTACACTACCCACCTGGTAAGTGGTAACCCACCCATCTGGCGGCTAACATTGAACTTACAGGGTAGTATAACGTGCTGTAACGTGCTGTGCGTGCTGTAAAAAAAGGCCCATTCCAGACCCATGCCAACCAACCGGTTGGAAATTGGAATGAAATTCAATGAATAAAGCTCTTGCATAAGGAACGTCTAGAACTAATAGAGCAATGAATAGAGCAATCCATTCAATGTTTTACTGATGTTTTTGACACCTTGCCTCGATACATACCTTGTCTTGACAGCTTTCATCTCGTGAGCTGGTACGGTTGAGCTTGTATCTGCCCATTCTCTACCATGCATGTGCAGATAATTCATGTCACAGGTTCAAATTGATTCAATACATAGCCAATACCGTGACATATACAGGTAGTTATGTACTACTAGTAGTAGTCTACTAACCTTAGGTACCTCCGACAAGAACATAATAAATGGAAGGAAAAACTTACATACGTAGGAACAACCGCCAAACCATCGGAATCAATATCAATACACAGTACTACCAGCCCTGTAATGTAACCAATCCAGAGCCTCCAATGATGAAGTCCAATTTATTAAAAAATCATTCAGGTCCTTTCCTAGCTTCCGTGCCGGGGTCATCGTAACAAGCCATTACGGCATCGGCATCGGCGCATCGCACATCTCACGCAACAATTGAAAGTCGTCGGCTCCGCAAATACATACTACTTACATCCATTATCCATACCAGGCATACCTACCTAATGTATGTACTACTGTGTATTACATCTCATCAGCATTGAAAGTCCCACTGTTGCTGCTGAGAAAGTGGGAACACACTCCGGACCTCTCTCTCACCTACTATTCAAGAGGTATGTATATGTAGCCACAGATAGCTTTTAACTATAATTAGTTTTAGTGTATCTTTCGGTGTAGTACTCGCCCACGACCAGTCAGCCATCCCAAAGCCAAAAAGCCTCATCGTGAAACCTATTCCCCCCGCCTCTTTCCCCCCTTTTTATTTTCTTAGTGTAGTTCTCCCCCATCTACCGTACATCCATCCATAGCTTACTTACATACATCGGAAGCGGGACTCTCAATCTTCGTGGGATTTGCTGTCGCTACCTCCCTATGGATCCTCTTGTCGTCACCGCATCGAAGCTATCCCCCTGCCGCCCCATCCCCCTTTCTCCACCATGTCGATTATGTACATATGTAGTGTACATGCCTACATCCACACATCCACCTACTGTATGTATACTAATGTAATATTAGAAGCTAGAAGCGCAAGAGACAGGCCAACGCGCATCGAAACCCCAATATGATGATTTCATCAAGCTTGTCGTTTCATCACCATAGGTATACCAACACAGACCTACCTGCTCAAATACCTGATTTAACCCAAGGTATAGAATAACATACTGATAGTTACTCTTGCTCCTTTTCGCGTAAGGGAGAATACAAACAGGTAACTAAGTAAGCAACTTGAAGTTATAGCCAAGATAGACAGATACATACAGACATACATCAGCATCGAATTACTCAGCCCCCAAACCCCCAATCTCAATCTCATCCCCCTCTCCCAAAAGAAGCAACATTATCGTCGTCGTATCGTGGCACACACACACGCACAACCATCCCCCCCTTCCCCTTCCCCTTCTCCTCCTGCTCCGGCGTTCCGAAGGTCACGATGGTTGCTTTCCCACCACGCCAATACCCTATTATTACCAAGAAAAAAAGAAAAAAAAACCCCAAAACCAAAACCAAAACCAACCAACCCCCACAAACGCATCAATACAATCGGTGAGCCGAGCAGGCCAGAAACATGGTGTGGGGATACATGTACATGGGCTAGTACGTACGTCGTACGTACGTATGTGTATGTACATAATTAATGTACGTAGTACGTACATACATACACAAATCATTCGCCTCACACGAGCTTTGCTTGCTTGCCTGCCGGCCTACTTACTTGCTTGCTTGCTTGGAAAATTTGGGTTGGGTCCGGTCGGTCTCACGATGGATTCAATAACTACTAGGTTAGGTAGTTGGTTGCTAATACTATGTGTACCTACTTATTAGATGTATTATACAATGTATTGATAGACCAGGCCTACATAGGTACCGACGTAGGTACACAGTAGGTATGCACATGCGCATGCAATGGCGGCGGCGCATCTACAGAGGTACGGTACCTAAACAGCCAAGTAAACACACGAAGGAAAAAAAAAAATCACAAGTAGGATTTGAATTATTTGCGTCTTTTTCATCTTTCAATTTTTTTTTCTTCGGTTCCTCCCCATCTCCAGGGGTTTGACGGCGTGCATGTGTATATGTATCTTTGTATGTATGTATGTATGTGGAAACTATGTACTATGTATGAATAAGCGAATTTAGTATTACATTATCTGGTAGAAGAAGCAGGACATATTAATATGTGTATGTTCATTGTCTCATGCCTTCCCACCCTAGTATCGCTTTCTCTCTCTCTTTCTCTCTCTTCTTGCTCCTACAAAATAGCTGGGGGGAGACTGCGGCTATGGCTATGGCTATGGCTATGGCTGTTGGTGTTGGTTGGTTGCTTTGGCTGGTACTGGCGTGGACATCGTATTATTTCAACCTCGATGTATAAGTTGCCCAAAAAAAAAAGAATTGAAAAGAAAATCCCGCGAACGTATGTATCAACCCCGCAAACGCGTGATTGCTGGCGAGACTCTGCATACCCAGGTAGGTACTGTACATAAGCGTATACGTCCCTATCTTAGACCAAGGGGAAGGACAGAGCCAATCATCCGATTATTGTCGTGGGCTTGGCCAGAAGAAAATGAAAAAAAAAAGGGTAAAAAAGGGAATAAAAATCTAGCTGCGAGCTTATTGTCAGTCGCACGAGATGTGGGTATCAACTCAGAAAAATATTATGCCATCTCACACGTGTTTTTCGAGCCCTGTGCCATTTCAATTCCCAATAACTCCCATCACCCCAGTAAACAAAGAAAAAGAGAATGTTGCGATTTGTAATGGTAGCAGCCGCCCTACAGCTATCTGGTGCCAGGGCCCCTTTTCACCAATAGTCTACGCTGCTTTCTTTTACGCTCGGCACCAGACTTCTCCTAGTCATCTAGCCCGAACATTCGGCGCAGTGCCCCGAACTTCTTTTTCTTCTTGTTTCCTAATCCATCCACCGTCACGTCACCTTGTTCGTTATCGTATCCTGCGACCAGTCCTTGACTTGTGCTACGTCTATTATTGAGAGTAGGTCTCTCGACGGCATCCGCCGCGATGCTTTCGCCGAGTAGGTCGCCGACCGAATTTGATCGCTTCATGCTCCCATCGAAGGGTTCGCCCAACGGCCAACTTTCGTTTCGCTTTACCGAAGCCCGCTTCTGGAGCCTTGGACTGGATATATTGTCGCCGCGAATATCCTTCAACTGCTCACTGCTTCGCTCTAGCCTGGTATCACGCCTAGCGGCGCTCTCCGTAAGGCTGGAGCGTTGAATCTTGCTTGCTGGGTCTGCCCTCTTGCCAAGTCTTAGAATTCCCATTAGCGAGCTTCGCCTTTCCTTATGCGACACGGCAGGCATTGATACAGATGTATTGAACCCGCCTCGACCGGAGCGTGACCGCGTCAGAGTAGTGGTTCCGAGAGCTTCAGAATTTGAACGCGGTAGCCCTGCACGATTGACGTTGGGTCGAGCTCTTGGGCTCTGGAATGGACTAGGCATTTCGTCTTCGCTGTCGGGCAGCTCTGGAGATTCTTCGTCCACCTCAGGTACGGGGGTAGATTTTCTAAAGTCTTTTCCACCAGCGGTAGACGGGCGGAGAGTCCCCATCGAAAGCGGACGGGCCTGGTACGAAGAGCTAGGACGAACGCTTTCATCATCGCTTGAGTCGTCAAAACGACTGCGGAAACCAGTAGCTCCACCCTCATCTTCGTCGCTAGAGTCACCGAAGCGGCTGGATCTCTTAGAGCGCTTCGCAGGTGATTTAGTTGATTTGCCAAATGATGGAAAGTGTATAGCCGGGAGGAGTCTTTCTTGACTAGACACACTACTGGATCGCAAGGTATGTCTCATCATACTAGTTGGGGGCCCGCCGGTAGTAACGGCACCGGAGCTGTGTCGGAATCCAGAACCAGCCGGGGAAAGCGATCTCAAACTGAATCGTCCGGAACCCTTGGTAGCAGCATGGTATGTACCAACGGACTGTGGGCGCATGGAACTGCGAAAAGTGAACCCCCCGCCGTGTGAAGCGCGGCTCCGTTTGAAGCTGCTGTCACTGGCATCAGACCCGCGACGTTGCAATGTGGGTTTGTCGTCAGTCACAAAACTTCCAGGCTTACTTGTCGGTAGTGCTTGAGTAGCCTTGACGTTACGGGGCTGGGTTGACTTGGACAGGACGGCTGTTGGCTTCTCGCGCTGCACAGTCTGTCGTGTGATAGGCTGGCTAGCATGTGGTGTATCATGCGGTGCATTGGTATGAGATCTCATAGTCTTGCGCATTCCATCCGAGGCCTGTGCCTTTCCAGCATGTTCACTGCGTAGAGAGGTTCGCATTCGCGACTCCCTCGGTGGCGAGGTGACGACAAGCTTATGATTCGCATTTGAATTCGCCTGGGCGGTGTGATCTCTCCCCGGGTGGGCCAATATGGGTTTTTGTGACGGCGGTGAGGTTCGGCTTTGGGTTTCAGGAACCGCCTTCTGGCGCTGCATAGTCTTCCTGTTACTATTCTTTCTCATAGGAGGTGTAGCAGCTTCTTCTTGGTCACCCTCAGTAGCGGCCTCTTCGATCGCTTCACGTTCAAGCTGTAGTCTTTTCTCAGCCGTCAAGCTACGCCAAAATGCCTTTGCTCTCTCCCAGTCATTCTGATCTCGTGGTAGTTCTGGTAATGTATTGGATAACTTAGACTGAGTTTGATTGTCAATTTCGGCCTGAGCCTCAATCGTGTCCGACTCCTTTGATGCACCTTTAGACGACTCCCCATGTTGAGGAGATGAGATTTCGTCAATAGTATCTTCAACGACTGCGTTCAAAGACAAGAAACCATCTCCCTCTGCACCAAGGGGATAATCATATGCATCACTGTACACACTTGAATCGGAATCATCAGATTCGTCCACATTTATATCTGAGGGGGCTGTAGTGGCGAGCGTTGTTTGCGGTAATGTCACGGGTTGGGTGGGATGTACAGTCGCACTTGGTTCAAATATCACAGAAGAAGCACCGTTGGCAAACTCCTCGCCTTGAACATTTCTCGTGGTGTTTTGGGGATTGCCAGTGGTGTCTGATTCAGACTCGGGGAACCCCCCTGGCAAGTCAAAATCTGGATGGCCTGGTAGGTTTGCAGCTGCAGTACCGTGTTCTGGCACCCTAGGACTAGGCTGTATAACAGCAATCTCGGGAATTTCTTGGGGTGGGAGACGAATGGCACTTGGTACTCCTGCGCTCGGTTCGCTTGGTCCTTTCTCTTCAAAGGCAGTTGAGTTGTTTAACGAGGTATTTTGTGCTTCAGGTTGGGTGATTTGCGTACTAGGAGCCTCCTCTGTATCACTGGCGCCTGCGACACTATCAAGAAGATCATCATCAGAGCTTCCAATACTACTGTCCGAAATGTAGCCGCTCCCTTCGACAGAAGTCACAACCGGTGGCAAGGGTTCTCTGAATTTTGAGATATTTGGCGCGTTTCGTTGCGTTTGCTCTTGAGCAAGCATCAATCCTAAAGCATGATCGCTTGATACACCCAAGGACGCTTCACCGGGTGCCTGAGTGGTGTCGGATGTACTTGCTGGATGGACTTCTGGCGAGGATGGCGTGGTGGGCGAATGGATAGGTTCGTAAGGCCGTACGAGGGGTCGTTCTTCGATTTCTTTTGCTTTCTTCTCCCTGATACTACCAAAACTTGGTAAGGTAGGCCGAGGCTTCATAATCTCGTCGTCGTCGAGTGGAATTTCCCTTCTTTTACTTCGCCCAATGTTACTATACCATGGCCGCTTGTTTTGCTGAGGACTCGGAGGGCTAGTGGACTCCGTATCTCCTTCGGGCGCAGACTCTCCGACTACTGTTGCCATCGATCGATCGTCGAAACTAACACGAACCGATTTCTTCCTAATGGCACTTTCATCGCGTTGGTGTGGAGAAGCCCCACGAGATCCTGACACATCTGAGCTTTTGTCCGACGGCGATGCTTCTCTAGGCGTAGGGCTGGTTTGTTTGAGTGCTGATTTAATGGGCGATGCCGATCTTGGTAATGGTGTATGCCGCACCGAAAGTTTGTCGGAAGGAGTTGCTGAGAAATGAGCTTGACGAGCCGGGCTATTTGAATTTGACCGTGTCGCACTACTCCCTTCCCTAGAAAGGCCAACAACCGGTTTATTATCCACAAAAAGAGCCCTTTTTTCCTTGGCTACCTCGGGTGCTGGTTGAGCCTTCTCCGAATTGTTGCCATCAGTTGATGATTGTGTGAGCACCTCACTGCCTCCTTGGGCTGGGGATAGTGAGTCTCCAGGCTTCTCAAAGATGTACTGTCGTGTTGGAACTGCGTCTAATGCGTCGAGGACTTTCTGGGATGGACGGACTGGAGGTTCGGTCTGCTTGGCAACTGCTCTAGGCTCGTCTTGTAAGAGCGGCGCTTTGCTCCCTACGGAACGGGGCGAGGAGCTCGTGGTTGGCTGTTGGGCAGCACGTTCGGACCGCGATGGCTGGGCTTTCTCAGAGTTCTTGTGAACTTGCGCCGGTTCTTTGGATGTAGTAATGATGGCCTTTACTTCAGAATCCTCCAACAACCGAGATTCCTCTATCGTAGGTGTTCCTTCAATAACCGGCTGTTCTCGCCTCGGTAAATCGCGCACAACTGCATCGGCATCGACCGTGGTTCCCTTGATTCTTGCGACTGTCCCTTTCGTCAATTCGCTACTTTCCCTTTGAGCTCCCCTGCCCTTCTTCTTCCTTGGCTGTTTTCCCGCCGTGTTTCTAACTTGATACTCAGCGTTCTCTATTATTGGCCTTGGAACCATCCTCCTAGAATTTCGGTCGTATACCATTGGCTGATCGGATTTCGCGCTGGTCATTGATGATAAAGAGGCTCGATTTGACCTGGGAGGCGACGCGGGGATTTGGGTCGGCGGGCTGGAAAATCGCGGCTCCTGGGTCGAGTTAGGGGATGCTGGTGGTGACTGGGCATGGAATCTGGTTGGATAAGAAAAGTTCATAGATGAGCTTCTGCTATCTGGTCGTTGAGGCACAGCAGGAATTCCCTGAGGTTTTTGCAGTTGAGGCTTCTCTGTCCTCATCGGCGCATCCGATGTCCTCACGTTACTCGGATCGCCGGATGGCTCGGTGTACCATGAATGACTTCCGGTCTTCAATTTCTGTGATGCAGTTCGAAAATTTTGCATTCCTACCCCGAGAGAAGCTGACTTTTTATGGCTTGTAGGTATTTGAGGAACCGGCGGATGCTCTTCAGCCGCGTGTATTGAAGAAGCTCGATGAGGTGAAGGAGTACGAAAGGTGCGCTCCGCCATGCTACTTGAGCTCAACCTTCGTTCGAGTTGCGCAGTCGGACGCGAGACACTAGCAGCAGAAGCGCTACCAGCGGAGGAGACTGAGGAACTTCTACGCATCGTTCGTTTGGTCTGAACTTCCGCTACATTTGTGGGCGTATGAGGACGCGCTCGCAGCGCCGCTGCTGCTGCGGCTGAAGAGAGCGACCTCGTAGGTTTTTGGTTGGCGGCAGACATGAAGGCGGATGCGGCAGCTGATGCAGCATTCGGGTTCGCGGTCCTGGAATTCAGAGGCTATAGAATTTCAGGGAAGTTATTAGCATTCGGAAGTGGGAACTAAGGCGGAGACAAAGTATGATGTTATAGACAAGGACCGTCATCATAATGAGCAAATCGTCCGTCCGACCTAATGGAGAAACCCTCCTATATGCTAACCAAGCACAGAAACAAGCTGGAACCATCAAAGACATTCGCACTAGTGCTAATAAAGTACAAAGAAACACGAGTCGTGTAATTGTGTAATTATAATTCAGGACACAAGCGCTTTAAGACAGTAAAAATGCGACGACTCGATAGAAAAGTAAGAGACGGATGGGAGGGATATATGTAGGGACATCTGAAGTTTCATCTGGAGTTTTACTTACGGGATTTGGCGGCCGATGCCTTCGCGATCCGCCAAACATTTTGGATAAGTGATTCGCCGGGTCAAGGCCTGGCCCTTATCGACTATAATTGAGACCGCATGAAGAGATAACTACCTAATGTAGTAGGTAGTAAGATGATAATTAAGTATTGCGCAATAAGTTGAGTTGGTGAATTGAAGCTGGGATAAATACTTATAAAGTCTATACCAAAGAAGTTTGTTTTATTTTTTGGTTTCCCAGCGCGATGGGACAAAGAAAATAAAAATAAGGAAACTCTGGAGCTTCTCAGGAACGGGAATCCTGGGAAGTTCAATGTTAGAGGTAAGACGTTGACACTGAGCGTTCGATCCACAGCTAGTTAGCCCCACTAGCTTGGGTAGGGTTCCACTTAGCACTGCATTTGCTATGTAATGCAAGCGCAGTGAGGATGAGTTGCCGTCACCACCTACCTACATAGTACCTAGTAGTGCACTAGCAGCCTAACAGGTAAGAGCATTACCAATCTAGCACCCTACATAGAAAGTACGATGCCTACATAGTACATATGAGGTAGATGCCCAGGTAATGTATTCTATTTGTACGTGGGGTTGCCTGTCGCTTCCTCCACTCTGATATGTGCCTACATTAGTAGCAAGTACTATGTACTAGATACATATGGCACTTCATCAACTTCAAATGTTATTATATTGGTACTCTACCTTGAACCAACTTTCCTTCACATCCGGACCTCATGGCTAATATTGGAGACAACACATATTTAGATTAGTTCCGAACTAATATGATCTTATAGACATTTAAGCCAAATAGATTGAGAGCTTTGGTCTTGTCTTGTCTTGTCATACACACCAATACCTATGTACCTAACCTACATAGATCAGTCGATCCTGTCGAGTTTTTTTTCTCAGAACAAGGATATAACTGGCAAGACCAAAGAGTATGTATCTCATGGAAAGAACAGAATAGGTAAGTACGTAGGTACTAGGTAGTGTGTGTAGGTAATACCCCTGTTATTAAACATAATACTCTAAGGTGGACGGCGGGACGCCGGGATCCAACTTCAGCCGACTCAGCTTCATATGACGTCATTTGATTAGGCGATGTCTACTATGTTGGTATATTGATACCAGTAACGGATTACATGAACCTATTACACATGTGTAGTATTTTAGTATCTTCGATCTTGGATATCTACATTATATACACAGTATTCCCATCCTTGAGCAGTTGACTCAAATTTTACGCGATCTTCAAAAAATCTTATTAATCCGGGGTTTAGACATCTGGCGTATTGAAGTCTGATCATCTTAATCATCACGGTGGTCCCTGGCAGATAGGGGCATGCAGGTACCTCAGTAGGATCAATGATAGTAACACTTGAGGTACAATACATAGGAGGCATTGGATGTATGCCCAGGTGTACAATAGAGCTTATACCAATACTAACCTATAGTCCAGCACACACATGATCATGCCACATACACATACATATGGAAGTATATGTAGGTACAATACGTACATGTCATATAGGTGACGTTAATTGATAGTAGTATTCAACGTCCTATTGGCTTTATGCAGAATCAGAACCAGTGCATACGTGCTCCACGACGTTTGGCCTTCTTCGCCCAACGATTCCCGCTTCGGCCACGACAATTACTCATTTCGGTTTTACTATTTCTTATTATTGGGCATGAGTTGAAAATTCAACGCAGGGCAACTACAGGAGCCAGGTGGATTCCCTGGGGATTGTGAGGTCACGGCACTATTGTACACTAATCAATACAGACGTATGCGTTCAAGTTCAATACACTGTAACATCTACATATGTATCTGATTTGTAGACTTCTAAGTGCTTCTTATGGAAACAAAGAAGCCTGAGGGCTACTGATCGTAAGTGCCTAGTATGTGGGAACCAATGGCAATTCACATTGGAATGCTATGTCCTCCATTATAAAAAACCAACTTCCAATCTCGTGAGCGTTTGCCTCTTCAGTTATGTTGACTACCGTTTCCCTGATTACCTTCATCCATGCTGAAGCGATAGACATGATGATTAGTTGCCTGGAGCGTATACACTGGAGCATAAATTAGGAGTTGTGCCTCGGAAGCAGAAGGAAGCTCATGGCTTGTGACTGATAAGCACGCCGAGAATGGAAAATTGATGTACATGCGAGGAATGCCTCCTCTAGGACAGTCCACACAAAGCGCGGAAATCCAGCCATGACAAGCTCACCAGAAGCTTTCAAGACTTGATGCAAATGGAGGGATCCGAAAATGCAAATTAGAGAAGGCAGTGCCAAACGCATGATGCTAATGCTAGGCCACTGGATTGTCCAACAGACCGACAAACTTAGGATCGTAGCCAGACATTGGTCAATGACTAAAACATCCGTTTGGTCCGACACCACTTACTCCAACGCTTATACTATCGCGCGTATGTACGATGGTGGGAATCAGCCGAGGTATGCCTCCGTTCGGACTCTGATGTTCACAGTGATCCTCGGAGTCATATCCATTTTCCTCCTGGTCTTGGTGTGGAGTCTGATCTTCCTGGGATGGCTGACCTTGCTGCCCAGAAGAAGATGCATTGTGCCGATCAGGAGCGTTTGAGTTGTTCTTAGCAGGTACTCTGTTCGCCCTCTTGCCCTTGCGCGACTTCATTTTTGCCTTCTCTAGCAGCCTGCGTCGTTCAGCTTCTTCTCGACGTCGTCGCCGGTCCTTGATTTCATACTGCCGAATCAAGGCCTCAGGGGCACGGCCGAAGATTCGCTCATATTCGCAGAACTCACAGATCCAGATATCCTCAGGCGCTGGAGGATGGTGGTAGTTCTGATACTCGGTCTCTCGACGGCGCTGTTTGGCAGCCTGTACAAGTGAATTTACACGACGCTTCGGCTTCTTGGGCGGTGCGTTAGCTTGGGTCGTTCCCTTAGCTGCACTTTCGCTATTCGTATTGACTCCCGACTGCAAACTCCCGGATCCCATCAATGGGGGTACTGAGCTATTGTGAATCTGAGTGCCTCGGGGTTTGATACCATTGTATTGATCTCGGTAGTCAGCTGAGAGAGAGGACTGGTGCATATGATTTAAACCACCCATGTCAGAAGGTGTAGGATCGGATCCAGGCCACGAAACTGGATTCTGAGAATCGAATGTGAATGTAAACTGTGATGTTGGACTAGATTTTGTAGTGGTTTCTTGTTGTAGAAGACTAATATTCTCCTGGCCCGACGGTGTTGCGAGTTTCTCGGCACTGGCAATAGCACTAGAGATGATTCCGGAATTTTCTCCTGTTATGCCACGATATAAGGTTAGCAACTAAGTCTTCTGAATAATCCTATGTTGTCGCTTGCTTGCTTAGACATGGATAGAAATACGAAGCATGAAAGCAATGTTTACTCGTTGGCTTGACAAAATAAAGAGAGCGAGAGGAATTGGGAAAAAGTAGGAGAAGCAAAGGAAGGGGGAGAAGTAAGAAATTCAAGATAGGATATGAGGTCGGAGTTTGCGCGCTTCATAACGTACCTGCGGCAGGTGGTGATGGATACTGGATACCACCAGGTCTAAGCTTGGTAGAGGTCCGGCTTCCCAAACTACTGTTAGGATCTGAGAATCCTCTCAAAGGGCTCCTGCCATTGCGCATTCGACCGTACCTTCCTCTGCCGGGTCCGGATATTCCTTGCCCATTCACAGCGGAACCTCCTGACTGATAATATGATGCTGCAGTCATTCCCGACGTATCCAAAGATCCTTCATCGCCTGCTGATGGAGGTGATGACACTCCTAGCGCTCCAAGCTCATTCAGCACATGCGTCCCATTCAAAATGGTTTCGCCAGCAGTTGGGATTTTCCTCTTCTTCTTATTGTTACTATTTTCGAAGGAGTCATAACCGTCTGCAGAAGATGCGGTTGAAGGTGGAGCTTGCGGGTTCGGTTGCCGAGGTTGACCTTGTCGGAGAGGGGAACGAGTCGCGTTTCCGGAAGTATCGTGGAGTGGTCGCGAGATAAATGTCCGGCGGGCCTGGCCAATCAACAAATTGCTATTGTTTTCGGCACCCAATCCATTTCTGCGTACGCTTGCTTCTTGGCCTAGCTCGGCTACATTCTCTCGATGTGCTACATTTGGGGATTCGACTCCTAATGACACCAAATCATCCTTGGTATTGTAGGGGTAGACGAAAAGTGGTGCTGTAGTCTGAGGCGCAGGCGGGTACTGAATGCTGTCGGCCACACCTGGCGATAGTCGCTCCCGTAGTCGGCGCTTAGGAAGTGGTCGGATAGGCCGGTCTGGGAAGACGGACGAAGAAGACTCTGGAGACATGTTCTCTGTATGGACTGCTTCAGGACCACATCGAAAGATTGTTAGCCACAGAGCCTTTACAGTAGAAGACGAAAAGCACGAAGACATCGTGTAGGTAGTAATTAAAAAAAGGCAATGGAGGGGTTCATTGAAATTATGATGCGATAGTGTTTGTGAAGGGTTCTGCGTTTGGGAAGAGCATTCTGTAAATTCTTCCCAAAAAAAAACCCATGAGAACATGATTGAGAAGGAGAGAACCTGAGTTGCAAGTCCGAAATCAACAGGTCCAACCGGTAAACCTCATCCGCAGACAAGTGTCTAACAGCCAGGAGGGGAATCGAGGCCTGCAAGGTATTCCACACTAGGGGGGGCAACATACCCATCACATCCCGCTATTACAATCGAAGTTTCTGACAGCTCAGCCGTCTCCTGAGGTTGCTTTGCTAGCCTCGTCTATTCAAAGTACACTCGGGATTATTTACGCGATGAAGCTATCGTATTGAATCGAAATGGGCTCGGCAGCAGCGAAGACACACGTTTGGTTTGTCCGTCGACAATCTTGTCAAAACAATCCTCTCCTTTTCTATAGATTGATAACCATATTAACACATGATTTCCAATTAAGAATGCAATTCTGTCAGAATAGTAGCTTTAAGTCCAACTAGACAGTGTAATTAAGTCCCCCGCAGGTTATCACCGCCGCCCCTGAAAGTAAGGAACAGCATTGAAAGAGGGCATTTGTTATCTATACATACCTGAATAAAGAACAGAAATATGGCAACTCCAAGCTAGGTAGTAGTTGAGGTGTTGGTAGTGGTTGGTAATAATGATGGTGGGTGGTGGGTTGTTGGATGACCAATGCGGCCCACGACGACTTTCGGGGACGTAGGTAAGATAGGGTAAGTACGTATTCAAGACGGGCTGCTCTCTTTTCTCGCTAAGGATTTATTGTACCCAGAGAGGATCCAGAGAGGATGAGGTAAATCTTGTGCAGGAAACTAAGAAACGGTTATGCTGATACGATCGTATGCAAAGATATCGCAGAAAGCAAGAGCAACGACAGTTATCCTTGTTGTGATTGTTGTTTTTTGATGTTTCTAGAAACGTCAATGTTCGTTGGTGTTGGGTTGGGGGGGGACTAGATAGACATTGAAATCAGATGGATGTTCAATGTTCCAGTCTCTCTATGAAATTAATAACCAGTTGAGTGACCCTTGGGAGATCTCGGCAACTGCTGGTTAAGTAAGTATGTAAGTACGTATTGTGCAATTGTAAAAGGTTGGTAGGCATGTAATAATGCCATGTATAATAGTAGGTAGTAGGATAGGTATGTTAGGTACTTACAGCGTACGTAGAAGGGTAGAAGATCAGTTGTGCTGGCGAAGTGTAATTGACTGCATATGTGAGGGATGACAGCCCACTGTGCCACAGAAAATAGTAGAGATTGTAGCAGTACGAAATGCATGTGTCTCACGAACCCTAAAGCCTCCTAGATATATTTAAATTTGCCTGGTTTCACACTATTAGTAATTTAAGCAGGAAGTCACGGTACTTATTCAATCAGGGCATGTAACCTGAAAGTTAGATTTAGCTATCATGGATCAATCAACCCGGGTGGTAATTATGTATTATTCTGTTTCGTCTGTGCAGGTACGGGATTATCCCACCTTACCATTCATTACATATGCATTAATCCAGTATGTATGTCTTCCTTCTCCTCCTTCCCCTCCACGCGCGTAGACCCTAATTGTCATCCGTTACTACTGTAAACTACATTAGTAGGTAAATACATATATAATACATACATATTCATAATCATTGAAACTATTTATGTGTGCTCCCAAATTCCGCTGGTTTATTCAATGTTTAATGCAATTCTCACTCAATTCCACCTTGTTTCTCTATGTCACGTCTTTGTTTTGGTTTGGCTATGTACTGTTGCACATGCTCGAATGAATGCATACATAGGTAACTATACATACACATCGTATATCATCATCGTCGTCATACGTATTACAAGTACGTACCTACCTATTATTAACATAACCTGGAATTGATCAAATTGAAATTCCCCATCCAGTGCATTAGGTAATGAAATGTGCGCAATTACATTATCCAGTGGTAATTGGGCAAAATACTGTATAAATCTAAATATTCTGTACGGTGCCCCGCGTTCACTTCTATCTATATTATGTATATATGTATAGGGCAGGTGGGCAATGACAGAACAGACCGATGGAAATCCGACACAGGTTCGGATCAATTATGGGAATTGGATGTTAGATGCTACATAATATACATATGTACCACTTACAGTATGTAACTAAATGGGTCCAAAAAACCTTGAAGCTAGAAGCTAAGAAATTAGCCCCAAAAAGGGAAGGAAAGGAAAAAAAGAATTGGAACTACGGGACCTGTAACGGTTCTCGGGCCCATGCTCCTTCTTTCCCCCCCCTGCTCCCCTGTTAATATTTTTTTTGGTAGTTGGAGGTTGCAGCGTCGCTACTGCCAGTCGCTGGTCGCGCGAGTCTGCTGCCCGCGCCGGGCGAGGACCAGGACCAGTGCCAGTGCCAGTGCCAGTTCAAAGTTGAGCTAAGGAAATAAAATACAAAAATACATACAAAATACATAACCTCAGTGCTCTAGGCTAACTACCTACCTAGTGCTGTGTAATACTTTAGTACCTAACCTAATACCGAATACCTGCTTAATACTGCTAATGCTACTAGTAATGCAATGTTGCTCTACTCTCTCCAAAAAGTGACCCTCTCTTGCTCGTCTTCACCAACACCTCTTACAGTACTTCCCCTCTATTACTCTTTTGTCTTTTTCTTTTCCAAAGCTACCGCAACCTTTGCAAACATCGAATTCCAGTCATGATAGTCTTCGAAGTATACTTGCGATGTTATTATCCTCTGACCTCTGACTTCGTGTAGCCAGGAATCCTCCCAAGAAGCTCCAGTCTTTGCTCGCCCTGGAAGCCTCTTCTTCCATCTTAATCCTCATCTTTTCCAACCACCTCCGCTCTTCCTCTTTGTCGCGGCCAATCACCTACAACTACTTACCTACCTAGTACTCTAATCTGTTATTCGACTTTACGAATCTCTCATACAATTTCATCTACCTCAACCGCTGTCGAGCTCAATCCTCTTTTCGCCTACCAAACTTCCTCCCATACTCCTACTCAATCCCAATCCGACGAAGTCGCCTGCCTACACTATAAGCGATGGCTGGTGCTTCTCCGACTAGACGTTCCTCCCGTGCGCGAACGACTCAATCACAATCACATAATACGTCCAGTGCTTCTAGTGCATCGGGTCGTGCTGAGCGAAGCACAAGGGCGTTTACTAAAACTGGTTCGCCTCAAAAATCGACGGGCAGTGGGTCTCTGTCCTCAGAACCTCCCGAGGACTCGACACCAACCAACGAAGATACTATCCTACGCCGACGAAGTACGCGCGGGAAAGACGACGATCGCGAAAAACAAACTAAAGTAGAACTACTTGACATGGCAACCGCTGGCGACGAAATCCAAGAAGATGACGAAGCTGTCCGTTGCATCTGTGGGCACGATGAATACCCAGGACCACCGCCCTTCGATGAGGAATCGAAGCATAATCTTAAGGACTCAATTGACCATGAGCGGATCTTTGCTATTGAGGTGACAGATGATATGGCTGGCTTTTACGTGCAATGCGAGTTCTGCAACACATGGCAGCACGGCGCTTGTGTTGGCTTTGCAGAAGAATCCAATCTCGACGACATCCAATACTTTTGCGAAAGATGTCGAAACGATTTACATAGAATATATACAGCAACCAATGGGTAAGTGTTGTCGTCGAGTCTTTAGATGCTGAAAAAAATAATGCAGAGCAGATTTTGAGGCCGGTCGCATTGGTGGTTCCTCAGCTGCGGCGGAGTTGCTGACGGTCGCGCTTTTTTGCCGATCCTGTCTCTCCAACTGTCTCTTCTGTCTCTTGCCCTCCCAAGCCCGACTTTCTTTTCTCTAACATCCGACTTCAATTACCTTACTAATATCATGTCACCCAGTCAAAAATACTCGATATTTCTTCCTATCCATCGGTCTTCCCGAGCCGTTTCGCGAGCCACTTCTACGGCCAAGGATGGTGCGCAGTCTCCTCAAGACAATTCTACTAAAAGCTCACGTTCCTCTGTAGCAGCGCATACCTCGAAGCGGCGTTCTACCATGAATAGCCGTGATGCTGCCTATGATGAAGAAGAGCAACTGCGCCGAGCGATTGAAGCAAGCAAGGAAGATGCCATTCCCGAAATTACGGAACCTCCCCCAAGGCGCCCCAAGCGAGGCAGAGATGATAGTGAAGAGTATGTTTCCAACACAGTTTCTAATGGCCCAGCGCCGTAGCTGACCCAATACATAGAAAAGTCGAAGCTATCAAACGACAACGAACAAATTCCAAATCACCATCTCCAAAAGTTGAGAGACTTCAATCGGCTCCGCCCGAGGAGTCGGAAGATGAGTCTATCATGCGGAATGGAAGCTCCAAAAGATCACGAAATGCAGTTCGGAACCAGCGCGAAAAGGCCGAAAGGGACGAACGTCGTGAGGAGCAAGAACGTAAACGAGCTGAAGCTGCTAATAAACGAAAGGGTCGGGCTGAACGCCGGAGAGCTGATGGTGAGCCTCATCTGATATAACGAGAGAAATGTGATTGCTAATGCACGTACACCTAGACTCCGACCCATCTGAAGAAATACCATTGGCGGTTCGTGCCGCTGCAAACAGGGCAACAGAATCAGCCCAACCCCCAGAGCCTCCTCTATTGATACAACCCCCTCCCGATTCACCTCCTACAGTCCCAGCCCCTACCAGCACGCATAAGAAAAAGGCAAACAACCAAAAGAAAAAAGGCAGGAATCAATATACTAAAGACCGTGATAACCGCGATCATGACGAGTCACCAGCGAGATCAGTATCACGCGATATCACAAGAAACGCGGACGAAAACGGCACGTCTCATACGAAACTCGCTCAGGAGAGTAGCGGCAAACAAAGCAAGTCGAAAGGGGGCATGAATTCAAGGATTACTATGACGGATATGAAGAGGCGCGCCAATAATATCCTAGAATATATCACTCGGACACAGGTCGAGTTAGCAAGCGAGCCGTTGTCAGAAGCTGTAGTAGCTTCTCAACAAAATGGCACGCGTGGGGAACCCATCAATGGTGTTCCTTCGATCAAGGTCAACGGTGCCAGCCAAAAGAATGATGGCATCTCTACGAACTCGAATGGCACGACAAGCATCGGCAGCAACGGCCATAATCTACCAACTGAGAAGTTCAAGGAGATGTCTTGTATTGAAATGATGGATATACTGACTCGAGATTTGGTGAAATGGCAGCAAGAGTTCACTCCGTAGTGTGAATTCTTCTCTATTTTACCATTGGAATCTCCGGCGTTATAAGGGGTTGGCTTCTGGTACGCTCCAGGCTTTATATCCGTCTGCATCTACCCGGCGTTATTTGGGTTCGGACGAAGGAGTTTGGAAGAGATCGAATTCTCTTCAACGAACAAAAAGTTCTACCTTGTACTTTTTCTTTCTTTCTTTCTTTTTTCTCCCCTTTTCTAGTGTCTAGAATTGGCTGTGCTAACAACAAAATGTGTGTTGAATGGGTTGGCGGTGAAGTGAGTTTTGGAGCTCGTGTTTTCTCTCCCTTTTTTCCCTCAAGAAAAAGTATGAATCCACACTATGAGGAGACCACAATACCACCAATATTATCTATGGTGGAACAGATGGGATGGACAAGGATCTCTGAGGTATCTCCAGGCGCGATGTTGTATCTACAATATACCCCGATAGCTATATCACATTATAGCGCTTTTTTTGTTACTACTGTAAATGTACATACATAGGTGTGTTGTACAATGACTGACTACTACATGCTTTACCAAACACATTGGAATTTTTAATTGTATATGGATCTCCGATTTATTTACTCTTGGTATAGGTACATTAATTCATAACCTGTGATATAGCACTGAGCGCCAAACTTTTTTCTTTTTTTACGTCCGGTCCACGCTCATAAGTCATAGTTATCCAAAGCTTCACCGAGAAAAAGTATGGCCGATAACTCATACTATCCCTCCTCCCTTGGCAGCTCCTCTCTTCGCCGCCTGCTTCTCCTTCCTAGCCTCCTTGATGCGTTTCCGAGCTTGGTTCATGCTTACCGGCCCATCCGACTCCCCGCGCGCATCCTTCAGCGCCCTCGCCCGCAGCGCCGTCTCGCTCACCTCGTCGAGGCCAAAGCGGCCGACGAAGCCGCCGCGCCACTGCTGGACGATCCAGTCGGCGGCCTGGACGATGTTGGGGAGGCCGCCCTTTTCGAGCTTACCCGTGCGCAGGGCGATGTTCTCGAGGAAGACGAGGGGGTCGTTGGTCGGGGCGCTGAGCTCGCCGTACATGGTCGGGTCGCGTAGGTTCATCTGGAATAGTAGGTAGTCGGCGATGGTCTCGGCGGGGACCAGGCCGTCCTTGACGCACCCGACGAGCGAGAGCTTGAGCATCGCTTCGACGTCGCTGACGTAGGGAACGAATACACCGGGCGCGTCGACGACGAAGACGCCACTGTCGATCCCTGCCGCGGTGTCCTCCGGTATCACCCGCACCGGTGTGCTGAGCTTGCGCGTCACGCCTGGCTCGGCGCCTGTGCGAGCGGCATTGGGCAGCTCGGGCGACATGCCGACGCGCCGCAGCACGTTCAGCAGGCTTGATTTGCCCGAGTTCGGCATCCCGACCACCATGGCGCGCAGGCCCGTCAGCGACTCCGCGGCCACGGCACGCTGCTTGATCGTCTCGATCAGCTGGTTGATCGACCGCAGGTTGCTCTGGTCCGTGAACACGACCGTCGTCCTGGCGGGGCCCCCCTCTGCATCTCTGTCTTGCTCCTCTCGCCGTGATGACTTTGGTCGTCTTGCGCCGGGTTGTATTTCCCACCCATCTTCATTGTCCAATTCATCCTCTTGCTCCTCGCTCGCGAACACACCGCTGCCGGTAAGGCGCCCGGCGTGGAAGTCCCCCAGCAGCTGCCGCTGCTCCTTGAGGACGCGCTGGCGGTTGCCGCCCGGCGCGAGGAGGTTGGACTTGGTGTACACGATGATGCGGTCGCGGCCCGCGAGGGCGGTTTCGAGGAGCGGGTTCGCGGAGGTTATGGGGATGCGGCTGTCGCGGCACTCGAGGATCAGGCTTATGCTGGAGAGGATCTTGCGCATGGAGGCGAGGGCGCTGACGTGGTGGCCGAGGTAGTAGGAGCGCGGCAGCGAGGACGTCACTTCGAAGACGGCGCGCGGCGTGAAGATGCCGCTCTTGGCTGCGGTGGAGGCTGCGGCGCCGGCGGAGCGAAGGGGCGCGGCCATTTATTTTGCGACTAGGTACTACGGCTACTAACTTGGTAGTCTAGTTCGAGGAGTCGAGGCTTGTTGTTTACGGCGGCCGGGGGGGTGTGGAAGTTGTTGTTGCGCTGGCGTTGATTACCATCGTGCGCATATACTATCCATTGTTGGGTGTTCGTGAAATAATTATGATATCACGAGCTTTATTATTAGTTTGCGCTTCGCTTGATTAAGCTTTGTGGTAATAATAGATGATACTAATAATGATGTACCTATAGTATTGTTGGAGAAATCTCGGCTTCGGTTCGGTCAGCCTCGCCGGAGAAAAAAAAAAGATAGTTATCATTAAAGTTTAGTCAGAGCTTCAGCCTCGTAGGAGGTGGGTGCAGGGGCCCAGCTCAGGGACACAAGGAGGGGCGATGACGCACATCATGGCAGGGGTTATGGGAAGTGGGTGGGGTGGGATCCTTAATTGCCAAGATTGTGGCGTTTTGCGGCTGAAAGGTGTGTGGACTGTCCCGATCGAGTCTCCACCTCCTTCCTTCATTTACCCTTGGCCCTTTACCCCTGACTTGTCGTTGATATCCTCTTTATGCCGCCGACTTCAAAGTTGCGATGCCAATGATACACTCTAGGAACAGTCAAGTATAAGAGGTGGCCCTAGAGCTCATAAGAGGCTCTGCGCGGGGATGGGCATCATGCTAATAGGATCATCTCTCAATGTAAAAAAAAACCACAGCATTTTCTTGGACAAACATTGGAACAGGGGAAAATGTTTTCCGTCTTGAGTTCTGGAAGCCATTCAGGTTAGAGTATCATTGGGTTGGCAACGTTAGGTACGTCGAATCCCCGAAGTATTCTTCCAGTGATCTGTATATAACTCTTAGCAATAATAAATCAAGAAATGTCAATATCACCTATTGATAAGGAGGCATCCAAACCCCCTTAGTTACCCAATCTTCCAATCCTCAACTACACGTCGCTTCGGTGATAAGTCACTATGCATATTCTTGTGATACTATCGTCAGTTGCCAGAGCTTCTGCCTATTGTCAATTCTCGCCTCAAAGGAAACGGCTGGGGCTAGGCCTCGATTGTGAAAGCCCTTGATAATAGAATCTTTCTGGTGGTTTAATACACTGATGAGTTTCGACATATTTTCACTCAGCTTCTCAGTATATTTGCCTTCTTTCTCAGGAGATAATACATAAATCGAAAGCTATATGTTTACTCAGTAATAATCGATAGTAGAGCAACAAGGCCTTGTTGTTCTTGTCTCCTACAACCCAACTTCACGAGGATCACGAAGATGAGTTTCGATCAAGCTCTTATTTTTGTTTATTATTTAAATAAGCTAGATTTCTCTCTGGTGAACATTATTCATCCTTCCCTCACCTTTCCTCTAAATTCTCCCTCCATACCTCACTCCCCTCCTCCTCCTCCTCGCCTCTTTCCTTCACCATCTCCTGCTTTGCTGGCAGTCTCATCTGCTATGCAAACTTGAGCTTAATAACAGGCTATCAATCCTGAACTCAATATTGCTTCATTTATATTTGCTTCCTACTATTGACCATGGAGGACCCGTTCCGAAAGCCCTCACCCCAGGGCTCTGTCATTCGCATCGATCCTTGCGGCGACCTCCGCTTCAAGATCACTCAGAAGGATAACGAGGTGGTCTTCATCGTCTGCTCCAAGACCTTGCGACGATCATGGAAGTCCTTGGAGTGGTACCACAGTCCTCAAGAATGGACTCACGGTGCAATTCAGATGCCATTCCACAACACCGATGCCGTAGCCATCATTCTGCGCATTATTCACTCTCAGTTCGCCAATATTCCGGAAGCATTGGATGTCATGGACTTCTATGATCTTGCTTTACTAACTCATAAGTTCGATCTTGCGCACCTTTTGCGCCCTTGGGCCAAGCGCTGGTTCCAAAAGATGGAAGATATGAACAGTTTCGTCGGTGAACGCCTTTGGATTGCCTGGGAGTTGGGACACTGTAACCTTTTCACGAAGCTCGTTCGCCAGGTCATCTTCGAGCGCGCCAGTCCCGCCCAGCCGGAGTACACTCGAGCACTCATGCCCATTGGCGTTCATGGTATGTTGACCTCCACCTCTCGTGACCTTTTCCAAGTCTTGATACCCATTCTATCTTCCTGCTTAGGTATCTGCCTAGTACTAATAGCTTATTTGGGATTAGACTTCATTGACCGTGCTCGTCGAGATGCCATTTCGCTTCTCCTTATGACACCTTGTAACTTCATCCGTCACCTGCTGACTAGCCGTCGCTGCTTCCGAGAGAGCAACAACGAATGTGACCGCTACATGACGGAAAGCATGGTTCAATCGCTCACCGTCATGGGACTCTATCCTCTTCCACCTATCCACCAGGTCAAGATGAGCGTCTTTGAGTTGTACTCCAAGCTCGCCCTGGTTGAGGTCCGAGGCAAGGGATATATGCACACTTGTGAATCTATCAAGATGGTCCCCGAGTCCGCCATGGCAGACTTGGGACGTCTATTCACTATCCCCGCCGTCATGAAGCATCAGCTAAATGAGAGGGCGGAAAAGACTGGAATGCCAACCAACGACTTTTAAGTCCACGGCAGGCTCTTAATACCTGTATACTTACATGCCTACCTACCTAGGGTGCGTACTTAAGATGGCAGAACCAGAACACGAAATGAAGAAGAGAGGTATGCTGATCAAGGAATCATTTGTATCATGGACTAGGAAGAGGGGATATTAAGGGTGTTTCTGAAGCCATTACCTGGCGTCAATCAGGATGGCTCAACTTGCCATACCAGAGACATTTCCTCGGACGGTTTAACCCTCCTCTTGTATCAATTAATTAGTCTAGGTAGTTACTGTACCACTTCGTATGCTTTACATGAACGAATATGCCCCAAACACAACCTATGTTCTCTCCCACAGCGCTTAGCATCTTAAATTGCATCGTAGGAACCTAGTAGTAAAGCCCTCAATTTCCCTTTCCTTTTCCTTAACCACTCACACCCTTACCCTCAACCCCCGTAGCCGTAGCCGTAGCCGTACCTCCCTTATCCCTCTCCATGCACCGCAACGCCTCCCCCGCCGCCCTCTTCGTAGCATCATCATCCTCTTGCTCTCCCTCTCTCCCCTGCACCTCCTCCAACCTCCTCCTCCAAAACGCATACCTCTCCCCCCCCAACTCCTCCCCACCCCTCCACAAATCCCTCCCCCGTCTCCGCAACGCCCAGCTCTCCTCCCCCCTCCCAACCCCCTCCCTAATCCTCGGGCCCGCAATGTCAAACCACCGCGCCGCGGCCGGCACCTCGACATCCAGCACGGCGTCGCTGCGCTCCAGCGCGTCGCCCACCGTCTCGTACCCCCAGCTGATGTCGAGCCCCGCCAGCCCCGCGACCACGAGCCGCGCCTCCACCTCCGCCTTGCGCGCGTGGTACCCGCGCAGCTCTCCACGCGCCGCCGCGCCGACGGCTCTGCGCGCGTGCGCGCGCCAGCCGCTCCGCTGGTGCGTGTCGGCGTACGAGTGGCCGAAGCCCGGGAGCCCGCGCCAGCAGAGCCTCCCGTGCGCCGGCTCCGGCAGGTCCTCGATGGCCTGGAGCAGGGCGACGAGCGGCGCGACGTTTTCCGCGGGCAGCTCGACGAGCGCGTCTACGAGGAAGCCCCAGAGGCGCGCGAGCTCGTCGTTGGGGGTGCGCGAGCGCGAGACGGGGCGGGTGATGGCGCGCGCGGCGGCGGGGGCGCTGGCGCCGCCGCGGAGGTACTGCTTTAGTGCTTCGGCGGAGGAGGGGTGCACGCCGTCCTCGATGTCGCCGTCCGGCGCGAGCTTTTCGGCGAACCAGGCGTCGGACATGATGGTTTTTTGGGGTTGGTTTTCTGTTGTCTTTGTTGTTGTTTTTTGTGTTGTTGCTATTATAAGAGTTGGGGTTTGAATACGAGGGGATGTAGTCGAGATAGTAAGCATCTACCTCAAGCTTTTTAGTTAATGATCTACCATGGGGGCAGTGCAACCACGAGTGGCGTCGAGGGGGTAAACTTTCTCCTGAAGAATAGGGGTTACATGTACAACTAAAGGTAAGTCAAAATAGATGAATCGCAGGCAGGCAGAATCTAACATCATCAATATAATATAGTGATGGATCTATCCATATTCAATGGGGGTATTATCATCGATGACTACGCTTGGTTATTCCCGTGTCATTGCCCTCTATCTCTAAGATTGACATTGATTGATATAAACTTGGAAATAAAAACAACGGATCTGCTCACAACTTGACGACCTGATGGCATTTCTATAGAAATGTTCTTTGGATATATACCTAATAGTCGTCTGAATTTCTCGGTAGCTATTTACTTGCAAGAACTACAAGGATGATTATTATTCAGCTTACGGCTTGCCAGGTCACAGTTTATGTCTTGAGCATGGTTTTTTGCTGCAGCTATGTTATTATCTCTTGCCGTTGAGCCGAGACAGGTAGCACATCAAACCTATATTTAGGACATCAACTTATGAATGTACCTGGGTAGGTAAATAGGGGTTCTGGATGGAGGCTCAATCAATATACCTTCTCTTAGAGATCGAAGCGTATAAGTAGGTAGGCAGTAACCGTCCCTCTTCGTAATTATGTATCTCCAGAAGTCCATCCGAAGCTCATAGCCCCAAGCTCCCATCTGTCTACTACGAGGAGGCCGGCGAGATTGACAAGCACGAGAACCCCGCTGATCTACTACTGCGGTATCATGACTCACCACGGTGCTGCTCCCGGTGGCTTCATCCTTTGCTAGGTACCCAGTAATCCAGAAATATGCATCTGGGTAGGTATCTCTCGACAATCCTGGAGTGCCGGAAACATATGACTTGGGAATATGTAGCTCAGGTACACGAACCCTGTGTATTATTGTAATCTCTTTTAGCCTTTAGTCTAGAATCTACCTACCTACCTAGTACCTAGGTATCTACACCATATAACCTCGCCATTGTAGACCTTTTGCTGCAAGCCTAGACTGATACAAGACCAAGACTCACCTTTTGACGTTAGCAGCATTATATCTGATTTCCATAACAGTCTTATAATAGGAACGTACTGAATATTAAGAAATGTGGAAGTTTTAATAGAGATAAAGGCGATAACACTACAGAGCGTATACGATCAACAGCTGCAATAACTTTCACTATCCCTTTATGCCTACTTATAGGAAATATAGGCCTAGAAACAACTGTTACTCATTAAGGGGTATATGTCCACGGTCGTATCCTAGGTATCTATCCAGTTCTACCACCGGCTATACTGGTACTCCGAAAAGTCATTCCAGGACTCACTGGTACTATTAGGAATATCAGAAACCTTGCGCGCAAAGAACTTCACATCGTCGCCGATGAAGCTAACATCCACCATCCCCTCGAAGCTGGCAAACTTGGCGTCTTTAAACCCAATGGTGCCTCGCATCATCTCCTGGATCTCGCCCTCGCCCGTTTCCCTGCTCTTCATCTGGAGGAAGAACTTTTTCGGCAGTGAGGTTGAGGTTGAGGTACCTTGCGTTTTGGCCTTTTTCGCCGGAGGCCGTCCCCTGCCGCGTTTCGCAGGCCTCTTTGACCCCTTGCCGTTGCCATAGTCTTCTTCTTCATCATCGTCATCATCATCTTGACTATAATCCTCTTGGTCGAGCCGGGATTCACGCTCCAGCTGCGTGCAGTACCGATCCAACGCCACCTTTTTGGTCCCCAAGATCATCATGCCTTCCAGGACGCCGAAGTGAAAGTGGACCTTGAAGATACCCCCTTGCCCCGTTCTGCACACATCGAGCGTCATGTCCTCGGCCTGGTCCGGCCACTGATCCTCGATGGCGTCGCAGTCGACGATGTAGCTGCCCACCGGCGACCAGGCCTTCTTCTCCCTCTTGGCACTTTCGAGGTACTCCAGATGGCTCGCCTGTCGCTCCTCCTCCCTCGCTTGCCTCTCCTCTTCCTTCTTCCGCTCTAACTCATCTAAGTGTGCTAGCGCCTTGGCCCTTATTTTGGCTAGGTCCCAGCCCACGTACAGGGCGTCGCCCTTCCGCTCGTGGAGCAGGCCGTCGACCTTGTTCAAAAGGTCTTTGATTTCGTTTGCGCGGTAGTAGCTTCCGGGAGCCAGGGGCATGACCAGCACCTCCGTGAACTTGGACCGATCAGGTTTACCCGACGCGTCTAAGAAATGCTGGTCTAACAGCCGTTGCGGTGAGTGCTCGACCAGTTCCTCTATGGTCAGCTGGTTATACCACTCCTCGGCCATCTCAGATTCTAATTTCTCAATCTTGTCCGGTACCTTGTCGAGCTAAAGACATTTGGACCAATTAAACAGTATTAGAAGGTGTATGTACAGTACTAGCGATATAACGTCGCGATATAAAATGCTTGAGCGGTAGGCATTCGTCCCACTTACCTTTCCCTGACTCAGCATCTTCTTCATCAAATTGGCCCCGTTGCCCGTCAGCTCCTTTGGATCATACTCCACACCGTAGTACTTGAGCTGCGCGTGTACAAAATAGTCATCTTTTCTCAGTGTTCTATTCGCTTCCGGCGTCAGTTTGGGCAAGAACATTTTTCGGAGCGCTGAGGGCTCGACGCGCTCGACGCGTTGGAGGACACGGAAGTGGCCATACGCGAACTCGAACCCGTCCCGCTTCACTGCATCGGTAGGCATCTTATATTCACTGGAAAATCCGGGTTTTTTTCTAAACAATAGACCAGGTTTCGAATTTCCCCAATTTATTTATTGAATTGACATTAAGAAAAGCTGGTATCTGTTAATTAAAGTTGTGAAAAGTAAAAAGGTTCGTAATTCGGATGACAGGCGGTTGGTTCAATGCTCCAAGAAATACGAAATACATCGCACAGTGTGTCGCACCCCCTTTTTCTGCCCATAATCTCCCCTTATCTACCTAGTACCAAGTTAGATTAATGACGTGACGGATGACGAAGGAGAGAGCCAGCTCAGAATAATCGCATTAATACCTACCAGGGTGCCTACATACTAGGCACGCACCGACTTTTAGACTTCCCAGGTTGAATACCTACGAAACGCCATGATTTCTGTTGCTTTCCGTCGCTTACAATAAATCCATTCACCGTAATGGTCCGAGTACTTGATGAGCTATCACAGTGACTCAATATGCCATAGAAAATAGTGGAAAGACCTGAATATTAAAAGAGGAAGATCTAAAGGATCAGACTTTAACTAAAAATGTTTTAGCTTAGATAAGCATGTACCTACCTAGTACGTGATAGATAGAATGGGACATGTGTAAATTCAGGGGGGCATGTAAGAGGCCTAAACGATAGCAATCAATTCAACGATGCGAATATTAGTTCTATAAAGAAATACCCTTTCCCCCCTACCTAAGTACCTAGGCGCTGTATTAACAACATTACCAAGCAGTATCCCATCCATCCAAGAACACCCCAAGGCGACGGAGAAAACCCGAAAAAAACGCCAGCAGTGCCAACCAACCCTCTATACTCCAGATGATTAATGCCTGACCCAGGTAGATAGGAACCTGGTACCTACGTGTACACCAATAAAGGGGCTAAAGTATCATGATAAGAACGTTCTAAGAAGAATCATTAAAAGCCCCTGATATTTTATCGGCAAGGCCATCAAACTTGTCCTTCACCCAATCGTAGGCATTTTCCCACCACGGAGAGTCGGGACTCTCGGGTTTATCCTCGTCCTTAGCCCCTTCTGGAGTTTCTACCACTGGCTTATCCTCAGCGGTGGGCTCTACACTGACCGTTGACGAAGGTTCAGTAGACTCAGCGCCTGTTGCTACAGGAAGGGTAGATGTGGCTCCGGTCGAAACGTCTTCTACGGCCGAGACACCTTCTGCGGCTGAAACAGGATCGGCCGGCTCTTCAAACACTGTCTCTGGGTCGTGCAGACCCATGACCTCGAGTGGCAGGCGTAGAGTCCCGTTGTTCGGCATCGCCTTCATGCTGACTGAGTCGCAGAGGATGTTATAAACATTTATATTTTCTATAGGCTTACAGTCAATATCAACGGAAACCATTAAAAGGGGACGGTGTGGGTACATACGGAATACTTCTACTTTGCTGTGGGGTTGATGTGGAAAGGCGGGTCCGCGGGCGACGAAAATAGCTCTCATCAGTGGATGTTCGTGATCGTAACCATGTAGTCCTCTTGGGTGGAAGACAAGGTTCTTAGCCTTGGCTTCTTCGATATTGAATTCCTTTCGATCAACAATAGCCCACCCGGTCTTGGGCACGATCCACAATGGTGCAATACGTTTGTTATTGCTGAAATGGTAACGCTCTGGCATGTTCTCGTCTCTGAGGTAGACGTCGAAGTTGGGATTGGACTTTCCCTTCTCGGCTGCTTGGTCATACAAAACCTGCAAGTCCTCTGGGTTTTTGGGCCGGATGCCCACCAATGGCCATCCATCAAGGTGCTCAACTTTGTCCATGTCTACTAGATCTTCGATCTGAATCATACGGTTTATATCCGTAGTAGCCATGCCATGGTCAGAGACGATGATGACATTCACAATATCGGTTAAATTTCTCTCCTCTAGTCCGTGGAAGAGTTGATCAAGCATCGTATCTACTGCACTGATAGTCATCCGAATTTCGGTGCTATTTGGCCCATCTTTGAAGTATTAGCATCCCAAAAATCCTCCCGACAAAGGGTTTCATTTTTACTTACAACGATGGCCATCAGCGTCAACATTTGGTACGTAGGCAGCAATGAGCTGCGGCCTCAAATTGTTGGGGTCTGCATCTGGGTCTTCGAGTCCTGGCTTATCAAGGAATTCGAGAATTCGTGCGACCTTCTTGGGAAGTTTCTCTTTTCCATTATACTTATCCAGGTAAGTCGGTTCCGTCTCCATAATATGGGCTTCACTACCTGGCCACATGTGGACAGCTGTACGAACGCCTTGCTCTTCCGCTGTGACCCAGAAGGGCTCACCAGCCCACCACTTGGGATCAAGACTCCTGTTCGGATCAGTGTAGAAGAAGTCACTTTCTAGTTCTGGGTCCCAGAAAGAATTACCCACTACACCATGGCTCTCCGGATATAAGCCAGTTGCTAGAGTGTAATGATTCTTTATAGCAACCGAGTTAGAAAGCATTAAGCATAGAAATATTAAGGAAGGGTACTTACGGGGAAAGTCACGGATGGGAAGGACGGGGTCATGTACAGCGGCGACACGCCTTCTTTGATGAAGGCATTCAGCCTAGGAGTAAGACCCCTATTTAGAAAATCCGCTCGGAACCCATCGAGACTAATGATAAGAGTGGTCGGTAAAAAGGTAGCGGTGCCATTGGTGACCATCCGGGGACGGGGACTTGATTTCTTCCCCTGGGTGAACTTCCAGATGACGAGGGATATAAAAGTAACGCCTACTATGATAGTAGCGTGTATGAGTAACCATTTCATCCATTTCCTCTTTTTAGTAGACTTGGCCTTTTTGTTTGGGAAAAAAACCTGTCTAATGCTAGAACCGGAGGAGTCTTCGGACCCAGACATTCGAAGTAAACGTTTGCGGTCGATTTCGTCGCTACCCTCACGGTCACTGCTATTACCGGTGGAGCTCCCGTCTTTTAATCCACCCTGCTCCATTTCATACATCAATTGGCCATCCTCACCATCACGGGCCTCATTGAGTAGGCGATCTTTCTTGTCTTTACGTCTTCTCCGCCTATTTCTACGTTTCTCATAGTTTAAATCCTCGACCGAACTCCCGTTATCGTCTATCGCGCTTGAAGATCGTGCTCTATTATAACCTCGGAGGATACGTATGGGATTTGGTATCGAAAGATTGCTCCCTCTCCTCCGCCGTTCTTGTTGAGCCCTCGAATTAATAATCAGTTCATCTAACTCTTCCTCCTCCATCAATACCAAGCGATCCCTAGCGCGCAGCTCCCGGCTGTTCCTTGCAGCGGCAAGCAATTCGTCATCTTCGCTATCGGTGTCTTGTTCGCTTCTGCTATGGAGAGATATGGCATCGTCGTCGTAGTTGACGGGGGAGAGCAGGTAGCCGTCCCTGTCAACCTTGGTATTTATCGGCTGGAGAGCCATGTTGATAGGACACTGGTCATTGCCGGGTTGGTGATAAACGATTGTCGATAATGAATGTTGTAATATTAAATACTAAACACGTTGAAAATAAATCTGTCTCTGTCAGAAAATCTAAAGATGCAGGGCGCAAGTTTAGCAGGGCCACTGGCGTTACAGGGGAAATACACAGCCCTGGAGCCATACAACATCTACAATTCAATATTTAGCCAATTAGAATCAATATTTTAGTGCAGTGCAGATAAGTAGGTACCTAGGTACCTAGAACTTAGCCTGGAGAACTCAACCGCAACTCCGGAATATTACAGACTTTACAGTAGCTGCATGTGGCTCGTGCGTTGGCCCCCATGTCTTCAATGGATGTCTTCACTGAAGTTCAGCCATAGTTATCTCTTTATATTGTACTTACCCCTAAGGGGGCATTGGAGAGATAGCCTAAAGATAACATTGAAGGGTGGGTGGGTGCTGTAGCCTATGATCCCTCAAGCTTCAATGTTACAATAGTAGTACGTATATGAAACCCCAATAACTTTCAACATATGTCAATATACTAACTATACTGGCTACCAAGTAGGAGTAGCTTCTTAGCTACATATATATCTCTAACTTACTCCTGACTAGTCCGGTCAACCTGCAAGCATCGTACGGCCATGATACCATTCAATGCATCACGTCCGATTAGAAAATCAGCGATGAACCCAATGGTTCGCACGTCATCCGCGTGATGGTTGACGTTATACTGCTTTGTAATACTTTATAAGTATTTCTCCTCGAACTCAAGATATGTCGATTCAGCTCGGGCTATGATATAAAAATGGCGAGATTTGCTTGCTGCTTCGATATATTTAATGAAGAATATATCGTATTACCGGTGATCTGAGCTTCTAAAATGACGGTTGACGCCTCTGTTCGCCAGCTACGCGTGGCCATTATTGGCGGTGGGCCGGGTGGTCTTGCAACCGCAATCGCCCTCTCCAAAATCCCAAATGTATCAGCTACCATTTATGAGCAAGCAAAGGTGCTGCGGGAAGTAGGTGCGGGCATAAGTATCGGCTCAAATACATGGAATGTATTACAGTTACTGGGCGTGGCCGATACATTGACCAGCGGCCATCCGACATGGACAATAGTAAACATGTGAGTATATACACCTTTTACTAACACTATTACTAAATGAGACTAAGGAATGGGCGTTCAGGGGAAGAGCTCAGTCGCCGTGAGAAGCCCGAATTGCCTGTAGGGCGGGGTCCAATTCGCGCTCAGCGAACCAAATTGCAGTCGGCTCTCTTATCCCACGTAAACCCAGATACCATACAGCTCTCTAGGAAATTGCATCGTATGGTAGACAAGGGAAGCGAAGGTGTTGAATTACAATTCAAGGATGGAACCGTCGTGGAGGCTGATTTAGTGGTCGGCGCTGACGGCATAAGATCAGTAAGTAATGGGGACCATATCTTTCATCTATCACATAAAAGAATGACGAGTTTAGTGAAAGAAACTCACCCAGAAAGGCTAATAAGACAAAATAGGTCGTTAGAGATACTGCTTGGCCAGATTACGAAATCAAGTTTACGGGAACCACAATATGGAGGGCACTGCTACCATGGAACGACGTAAAAGACCTGGACCCTCGTTTCGGCATTACCGGCTGGTGGCATACGCCGACTACCCATGTGTACTTCTCCCACGTTGGTGAAGGGCTGTGGGAGATAGCTTCCCGGGCCTGGCAAGATCCAGCAATTCATAGCGCAAACAAGAAAAGCTGGGGTGTTCCAGTGGAAAATGCTCACGTAGAAGCACATTTCACTGTACGGCCCCTTCCCCATCTAAGCCTCAAGCACACATTTAGATGCGTATGTAATTAACACTAACTGATGGATTACAGGAGTACCTCCCCGAGATCAGAGAAGCACTAGCGCGGGTGCCTCCTGGCGGCTGGCGTGAGTTTGCAGCGTTCGCCGGCCCCGAGCTCTCTCAACTTACAGCATGGAATAATAAAGTTGTGCTTGTCGGTGACTCATCTCATGCACTATCTGGTGCGTTTGGCTCAGGCGCAGGGTTTGCGATGGAGGACGGCTGGATATTGGCACAGGCCCTCGCGTACTGGAAGAATGACACGAGCAAGGCCTTGCCGTTATTCGATGCCATTCGACTGCCATATTACTCACGGATGTATGCACATCTTGCTTCGGAGGCCGATAAGCGCACTGCGAAACTGAAGACACTGGGTAATCCATCGTTTGACGAACAAGTCAAGAACAAGATTATCACAGATGGGGGAAAGGACATGTCGTGGATATACCAGAATAACATAGAACTTGTTTGGAAGGAATGGGCTGAACAGCTCGGAAGGACTTCATGAAGCATCTGAGTTAGACTCTAAACATTATTACTCCTAGACTACCTAGACTATCTTCCATCCATCAATAGAACGTTTGTTGTCACAGTCAGAAAATAGCGCCACTGCAATTACCTCTAACGAAGATGACTCCATGACTTTAACCTTATTTGAAGCCATTCCGAGTTTCTCCAGACTACCTAGTATATAGGTATTGACAGTACCCCTAATAGAGTAGATTCGCTCATAAAAGGGATGATTACAGCTCTTCGTTTATATCATCTCTTCTTCTCATCTTGACCACATCAAATTACTTTCCATTACTACTCCTGAGAAAAAAAACCCAGAAACCACAACAACATCGACTTCAAACATACACAGTCATCTCTACGCTGCATATTCAACCACCATCAATATGCGCATCAGAATCGCAATTATCTTCCGCGGCTTCACCGTCGCGTTGACGGTCAGAGCCATCCCCGTCTTCTCGAATACTACTACTACTACTGCTGCTGCTGCTGCTGCTGCTGCTGCTGCTGCTACTTTCCACCTCAGCAACGACACCACTCCACCTACTCCGAACCCGGGTCCCTGCGACTGCCTTGGCGGCAGCATGTGCGGCACCCTCCACATTAGCGATTGCGACTACGCGATCAACGCGAAGCTCATCCGCACCGATGATATCAAGTACGGCGCAGAGGGGTAAGTCTACCACCACCTCATCATCATCATCCACCCCAACTACTCACCTCTCACCCCTCTAAAAACTCCGACATAGCATCACATCACTAACACTAACACTCACACTCCACAGAAGCACTAGCCCCCACCAAGGCGTCTGCCACGGCCTCGGCACCGACTACGGCTGCGGCATCGTGATCCAGGGCGGCCGCCACTGCGTCGCGTCCGGCAACCAGATGTGGTGGGACTACCAAGACATCCGAGACCATGGCTGCCACCACTGCGGCCACAAGTACTGGGGCAGTGGATGCTCGACTGTCGTCGACTATTTCCCCGTGTGCGACGAGGTTCATTAGGAGGATGTTTGACGGCTTGCTTGCTTGCTTGCTTGCTTACTGGGACTGATGATGCTTTCAGCGCTGGTTGGGTTTGGCGGCTAAGACTATGGTGGATAGCGGCATCAGAAGGATTTGGACGGTGTTAGTTTGATATATACTCCCTCCTAATAACAATTCATTGATACATACTTTCTAAAAATCGCTTATATCAACTTCTCCATCCTAGGTTAGATGTCTACTAGGCTGCTAGGCTGGGCACTATGCCAAGCCTACCGTAAGAAGCTTGTTCTCCATCAAGCACCCAAAATAATACTACCAAAGTCTGACTCTATTTGCTTGTTAGGATAATTACTATGAAAACTCTATTAGAGTATCTAGATACACTACCTACATATTCACGGAACTGAAGCTATCTGTACAACTCCTAACTGCTGGGTTAGGTGAGTAGTAGCCCCTAGACCGCTAACCAACCCTCTCTAAGCTTGCCCAGATTTTACATGGGGAGCCCCTTGTGCATCAACGAAGTCCTATCATTTTGTCCCCACTTGCCATTTATAGTAATCTTTCTTAGTACCCTCGAGGCAAGCGGCTCCATCATCCCATCACCAGAAAACTTTCTTGGTTACTATGGTGAGAAGCATTTAAAGTAAAACGCTTATTCTATTTTATGCTATCTCACTTGGTAATATGATGTTACGATCTTTATAACCAGGTACGCAAAAAATCCCTGGTGTAGAAGAAAAAAAAAAAAAGCCTTGCTATTCACACAATGCCCCGTTCTTCCACGCCAAGCACCGCTTTATCCCACACACCTAACCCCTCGAGCATCGAGGTGAGTTGCAAGAATCTCGCCTGGAGCAAATGGGGTCCTCCACTTGTGAATGTCGACAACACTGTTCTCTCATACATGGGGTTCCCGTAGGCATCTTTTGGGGGACCATCCGTTAGAAGTTGGGCTCTGGAGCACAACAGTCTCGTACCACCACTCTTCTGAATGGGTGATTGTTGAGGGGGCCTTCCTACATTGCGGATTCGAAGAGCCTGTTCGCGACTAGTTTTACATCTATGTAGTCTCGTTGGCCCACGTGGCATAGATGATCTCCCATTATACGAAGTACACAACTCTCGTTATCCTTCAAAACGACAAGAGTCAGAAACGGTGTATGCGAATGCGTGAAGCTTAGCTCTGTGAAAATTCCTTGGCCATCATCTACACTTAATAGACTTCGACAATACTAAATGTTGTTTACATATTAATGGCCTTACTAACTTCCATCTAGAAGCAAATAAGCTGATTAGTGCCATTAAAGAGTTCAAACTAGGTACACATCTAGGTACGGGTATGTGATCTGTTAGTGCCTACTAGGTAGATACTAGTGAAAGGTGGGCTCCTTCAAATAACCCCATTGTTACAAGCATGGTGGCAACATCAACTAATTACGATCGAAAACAGGCTGGTGAGTACTTATACGAATATTGATTTAAGAAAAGGAACGTGGGTATTCCGCCAGCTAACATATATGTTACAACCGAGAAAGGAAAATAGGATCGAAAGGAGAGTAGTTCCCAACGGTGCCGTACATGGCATATCCTTCTGTCCTTGCTATTTTTCTATCTCTGAGCAAACTTGCCATCCTTAACCTTCACTGCCCAATCAAATTGTGAACGCCCATACACCCTTATAGTCACTTTGGTTTACTAGCCCGTCTCAAATATGTCCAGAGATGCTCGGTGGGTATGTTGAAACGCGCCGGTCAATAGTGGGAACATCACTTTTAGACTTCATTCTCCGTCTTCTTATCATCTAGGACTTCAATCCCCTCCTCGATGTAAGCCGGCGGAACGTCAACTTCTTCTTCATGGGCCATGAGACCTGACTTCTCTTCGTCGAGAGCGACCTCATCTTGAGAAGCCTTGTGGTGATGGCTATGTCTGTGGTGTCGACGGGAGCTGCGTCCTCGGACTGATCGCCAGAGGAACACTACAAAGGTACCGACCAACATACCAAAGCTAATTTGGAATTAGTAAGAGACTACAAAAGACGTTCATATATTATGGATAAGGAATGACTTACACGCTAGCTGTGATACCGGCCAGGATACCAATTGCAACAGGTAGGAGAATGTGTGAGGCAATGTTCTTAAAAAGCAAGCCCCAGTTCTTCTGATGGTGTTCACGGTGACCGTCCCATTGAGAGGCAGTCAAGGGCTTCGATTTCCAATCTTCAGATTTGGTATGGTCGTGTCCCTGGCCCTTTGAATGACGATGACGGCCGCCACAACCCTTGTGGAAGCGGAGACCGGAGAGCTTCTGTGACACGATGGATCTCCATTTGCAGAGTAGAGTGGTGCATTCTTCCTGCTTATCCATAGGATTGCTTTGGATAGTTGCTGTCGTCTCTGACTCAAGAGCCTCGAGCCCAGCCATCATCAGTTTCCCGGTAGGAGTCTTCACAAGCTTGATCTGGACTTTCGGAAGGTTGTTGAAGAAGTCACCTCCCACTTCAATAATGCGGAATTCGATTTCGACCAATTCCAAAAGATCATCTGCATTTGTGGCAGCGACCCGGGATACTACACCAAAGCCAAGGTTCTGCGTAAGTTGAGGTCGAGGACCCTTGAAGTGTGTTGGTCGTTTCGCTTCTCGGTGCACAAAGTTGGGGATAACATCGGCAGTGAGGGTTTCTTGGAAGATATCTACTTTGGGGTAGAGTTCAAAGCCGTTCAACATTAAGCGATCGGCGCCATCGGAAGTCTTGATGCTGAAGTTCAGCTCGATGTGGCTTGGAATATCGTGCACAACTTTGACCCTGGAATGGTGAGGAATGCGGACAGGACAACCTGGACATTTGACTTCCAAGGTTTGGGCCTCAGCAGTCTTGGGAATTTCGGGATGGCCTTCGATAACAGGAACGGGGACGGGAAGGGTGCTGACTATGTCATTGTCGGCGTCAGATATGTCAGGAGGTAGTAGGAATGCGTTAGTGGTTAGAGCCGCCAGGCCAGTGGCGGAAATGATGGAAATCAACTGCATCTTTGGGTATGCGTGAACGCAGTGGGCGCAAATAGGGTTAATTTTTCATGGAAAGGTAGGAGACTTAAAGAAAGGTATGGATGCTGATTTTTGGTCTTGTTGCGTTGTCGTTTTGATGGAAAATAAAGGAAAAGGAATGAAGAGTGCAGAGCGAAGATGGAAAGAGTGTGATTAGAGGGTCAACTGTCTGGTTACTTGGTTACGTACTCACTCAGCGGACCTTGCGGGAAGCTGCGGGACCTGATGACGAACCAATTTTTATGTCCCTGCACAAAGACTGTGCACAAAGACTGTACAAAGACTGTACAAAGAGTGTACAAAGAGTGACAGGTGTCTAGCGCTTTGGGTGGAGCTTTTCAGCTGTCACAGACTCACAGGTGTATGCATCACCTTCGGTCCATTACAAAATCCGAACAAACTGAACGATCAAATCACATGACTTATAATTGTGATATTACTGCACTAACCAGGCGAATGCGAATGCGACACCAACATCTAACCTACCTAGTTATGCACTGCCGAGTTCAAAACTTCAGCTCAGCATTTCAAGGCTTTAGTTCCAACAATTAGTTTGGGGGTCAAAAGCTAGAATACTTGTATACCTATATATACACATGCTTTAGGTAGGTAGATAGGTAGGCTGATAATACCATTTCCTTCTCACTTCAACTGCTCTCTACATTTCTGTCATAAAGCACAACTAGTATCGGTATATGAATTTCGTTTTTCTGCTTGTTATTGTTTTGTCGCTATGTCATACGCAGAATTTCCCCCTGCATACGAGACTGTGGCTAGCAATCGCGGACTACACATGCCAAATACAGCTACCGTCTACGAGTCCCCAGCCGAAAGCTCTAGTCAAGCACCAGCTATCACCGAGAGTCAGGTTCTAAAGTTAACGGCATCATATTTCCCTCCTATACCCCCTCATGTACGATTGCCATTATTGCCCAAGCCGGTGTTAATCCCCCGTATCAATCCGGGTTCTCTAGCCCCATTCGTGCGTGCCTGGGCACCAGAATTGGCCCACCATGCGATTACACGGGAAGACTTGGTGGCCTTCATTGACAACCTCAACCTTGTCCTCACTCCCCACCCGGCCATCCATGTAGTTGAATTAGCCTCTCTCGGGGTCCATTTTGCTCCCACTGCGGCAGCTAGTGGCATCTCTGCCGCCATGCATGGAATGGCGATCCTTGCTACTCACGCCATAGGCCATCAGCGCACCCAGACATTTCTCTCCACTACAAATGACAACTACTTCCACCCCCGCCAATTGCATGCGGAGATCATTGATTCAAAGCGAATGAAGGAAATGTTCCACCTCGACGAGGATGATCCCCTGACAACTCCCCTCAGCGAGGATTCCCTCGACTCGACTATGCAAGAAAGATGTCTCAAGTATCTTTCTAGATGGGCCTGTGAACTGTCGTTCGACGGCATTCCTCCTCCGAGTCCCCAAACAAGTGTGCTTGAAAGAGTGGCTGCGTGGAGTGTCGAGCACAAGATAGCCAAAGCGGAGAAGAAGGCTAAGAAAAAGAGAGAGAAAGCTTGGAAGAAGCACCTGAAGGGCAAGAAGTCAAAAGAAGGCAAGGCAGAAAAGCGTAGGGCCAAGTCCTTAGATTGGATTTTGATCCGGAACCTCAGCGGGTAGTTCAGCTCAATGAACTGGATATGTGGCAGCACTTACTTTTGAGTTCTATCTATAACGACTTGAAGATTAAACTAGATATCCAAGTAGATATCTAACATATCTATGTGCATTATCCCGTGTTCCAAGCACGGGTCTCCCGTCTTGGCAGAGACAAATCTGGGTTGGTTAACGGCAGTGTTCGGTAGCTTGTCCCGAAAATGAACTACGTATGTAACTAATAATGCTGGGTAGTTACTATCATTAGACCTACTACTTTACCATGGCCTAGAGAAAAGTGGAACAACTAACTACATGTAACCAACAATTTTCAAGTTACAAGTTACAAGCATAAGTCTAATAGTGTACTTAGACTTACTTGAGTCTATGTGACTCTGAGAATACATGACTATGATCATTGCGTGATTAATATGCCCATGGTTCCAATTCTTGATACTACTCTGTGCTTACAAATCTTAGTAGACCATTGATATACCGTAAAAAAGTGCCGATGGGGGCGCTGGTGAGAGTGATGACTGCGCCGCTTGCATCTCTTAAATATAGACAATAACTATTACCTTCGGGAGGCTCCAGCCTTGATATAACATGAACAGTGAAAGGTCTAAGACCCACAAATAGGGGCAATTTAGTCACGTCAAGTTTTACTACATAGTATGATAAAATGTCAAAGAAGGATGAGTTGATCAACCTACGACGTACATAGCTAACTACGGCATGGTACTTCGTATACAGTTCAAGTTTTATCGTTCAAATTCATTAGGTAATTAACTTGAAGACTTCCCAGGGTGGGTCATTCTAGTTCTCTTAGAGGTTTGGGTTACGAAAATAGGTAGGCTACTCGCCGAGACCCCTTTTCTCCACTTGATAACCCCATAACCCATAATGCCTGTAACTACAACTTACCAGGACTATGTAACAAGTACTTTTCTCTTATCTCTTGGACTTCAATGTTTCTGGTATTAGTTATTATTAACATCGCTAAATAGTGCAACAATGCTATTAAGGTTACTGTGTGAAAGTAGAACTGCTACTTATTATATAGTAGCCTTATGGCTCAACCATACATTACGATAGGACATATTATTTCTCACCCCAACAATGCCTATCAAAGCCTTGTTAATTGGTTCACCAATCGAATGGTTGCTATAATAACAGACAGCTGACAGGTAAGAGTTAAGAAGTCAAGTGGCCAAGTACAGAAAAGCTTATGTGCCACTTTGCCCTGGTAAACTACCTAGGATAAGTTAAGCACTTATGGAATTAACAGGGAGTTCAATTGCAAAGACTGGCTCTTAAATACGCTTTCATCATTAATCACCCCACTCTCATCCTTTTGCCCTTTTTTATTAACGTCTGTTACATACTATTATACTCTTTAATACCTCCTATGTTTTCATTATCACCAAACATTTGTTCCATATGGTGGCCTGGACAACTCGTTGCGGGACCTGCAGGAGAAGGAAGATTAAGGTAGGAAGATATCCTTACACCAGTTAGAACGATCTGATCTAACTCTTAATAGTGCGACCAGCAATGGCCGGCATGTGGGCAATGTCAAAAGAGCCGACAAAGTTGCCCAGGCCCGCCGGACAAACTAAAGTTTGTCGTTAACGGTACCCCGGCATCATCGTCCCAGATAGCCCGACTCAATAAGTCAAAGCCTTCTACAAAGCCCCTGACAACTTTGAATGACCATCCTGTCTTCTATCGCTCCATACCGAGAACTTACGCCGGAAATGTCGGCGCGGAGCTTGTCTCACTTTTGGCCTCCCAGCCCAAAACCTTTGGGTTCCCGGGTTTCGCACAACTCTTGGCCCATACCCCAGCTATGCTTGACGGCTCACCCGCTCTCGTAAAAGCGGTTGCCTATCTTTCGGATGCTAGACGGCGGCAACAAACTTCTCCACAACCTGACATGAAACTAGATCTGAAATTGCATGGCTCTGCTCTGCAAGGCTTAAGAATGGCCTTTCAGGATCCTAATCAACTCACAAGAATTGAAACTTTGTTGGCCACTATTATTCTGTGGAAGATTGAGGTTAGTATATAAGACATGGGCCGAATATAAGTAATCCTTTCTTACTTTGTCTCAGGCTACAATCGTTACCCCATCCAAACTTGCGCCTTTAGTTGCAGCTTCGTCGGTACATGCTGGTGGAACAGCATATATCCTCGAGTCTCTAGGACCGGAGGCTGCCAGAAACAAGATAGTTTTGAATATAATTCTTGATAGTCTTGCTGATCTAGTCAGTACCAATTCAGACAGCATATTACCTAGCCTAGTATGTTCTGTTAAAGGCTAACAAATTGCACCTAGTCCTCTTACTATTATGCCCGTGATCAGTCCTGTTTCATGGCATCGCCTCGATGGCAGCAATTCTTTTCCGGGCACAAAGGCTTGGGGACCGTCAATACGCTGCTATTCAAAATCCTGCGACCAATGGCATTGTTCCCAGATGTGATGAGAGGCCTGCGTCGGTATTATTTGGGCCAAATAGAACACGAGTACATCCGATCCAGAGTGCAACAAATGTGCGATGCCGTCCGGAGTTTTGAGGCCCCCGTGCAAAATATTATAAAAGACGCTTCTCTCGTGGCCAAGAGCGCTCCACATTCCTCAGAGTCACCCGTGGATGAGGTTTATCGGACCGAGGACTTCGCCGTCTCGCGGCTTTGCTGTGTCCACGCCGTTACGATTTTGACCACCAATAACATGCTGTCCGCGCTCGACGGACACGTCTCGGAAGAGATCAGGAGGAAGAACCGCTCGATGAGTGAGAGGATTTGGAAGTTTCATGAACAGGCGGCCGATGTGGGCTCATACGGGATGCATTATTACCCCAGTGCGCTCATTCTGTCGTATGAAAGTGCACAGTCTAGGGAGACGGAAGACTGGATTGTAGGATTATTGAATCTAGTCCAGGGGAGGAAACCAGCTACGCATATGATGTGGACGAGGGAAGAGATAGCGGTAAGATGCAAAGGTACGAGGGGGGTTGTCTCGTCTCCTCGACCGTCATGATATTGGCCTGGAGAGCCTCTTTACTGCGAGGTATGAACCGCATATATCGTCAGAAACATGTACGTTCGCTTGATTCTTTGATTTAAAAGTCCAAGTGGATAATAGAAAGTATTGAATACCTACCCTGGGTACATACTCTATTATACCTAGTATTGAACTTCAAGTTGCCTGTTAATTCTTTTGATAGGAGTTGTGCGATTGCTCTTATTATCTAACTTCTAGGTAATTACGCTACCTAGGGTAGGTACCTAAGGCAAGTAAGGTTACCGCTGTAACAGTCTTCAAAGTTGCCACGCTGCTGCCTGGAGATGGCCTACCTACCTAGTAGGGTACCTAGGGTAGGGTAGGTTAAGGTACGCAGATGATGTACCCTAGTCTAGTAAGTACACTTTATATTAATCCAAATCAATTGATTCTTTAACAGGTATTTCAATATTATGAAATTGAATTAGATTGTCTCATACTTGGTTACCTAGAAATAACATATCTTTATCATTGGAACGTTGAGAACAGTATCATGTGACAGTATCACATTACATGGAGCACGGAGTCTACGCACGGACCATATAATGACATATGCATGTACTTAAGTACTTACAAACAGAACACGTTCAACATTGACATCTGGAACTTGAAGTTGGAGAATTGATTTACACTAACTATTCACACTTTCCATCCAATCCATCCATCGTGACCTTTGCTAAGTCAATCAAGATATCAATATTTCTTGAAACTTGCCATCCAATCGGTCCCACAATCATCCAATTTGACAACTGTTTATTTTCTAAGCTGCAATCAATTGGAAACTGCTGGAACCTCAGGTCCTGGAGGAAACAAAGAGATCAACCCCTTAGGTACCTAGGGCCTGGTATCTAGGTTGAGGTTACGTGGCAACAGTACATGTAGCTCTCTCAGATATATCCCTAGGGATCGCTAGGCAAGATTGAAGGCCGCTTGTCTAGTAGACTGCCGCCAATATCAACTCATACGGTGTCCTAGGTAGTCTGGCTCTCCGTTTGACCTCTTCAGACCACCGCCACCTCTCACCTGAGATCGTGCTGCCCTTTTTGCATCGACATGCATATTTCCTCTTAGCTGGTCTTTTATTGTATCGAGTATTGACACGGACTTGACTTCCCTCTAGGGGAATTTCATGCTTTACAATTCAAGTATGGATTCAAGCAGAGACTCGAGTATGGGCTCTGAGGAGCAAGTGTCCAGAGATGAAAGGCCCTTCTCCTTCTCCGAGACTAGGGCAGGAAGTGGAGACACCCAGAGCATTAGTATTTCCTCTGGAGTAGGCTCAGCATCTGTCGCTCAATCTCGAGACTCGTCGGGTTCGAGTAGTGAGGAGGTGGAAGAGCATCGTAACATGATGCTAGCCAGTCTACTCGAGGATTATATTCGAACCCGCGCCACTGATTTTCTCAACAGTACCAACCCTAGCCGCAATTACACGAGGCAGTCCCCGGAAGTGCAGACGCTCGCCCGACAACTTTTCGCTGACACAAGCCGGAAGCTTTCCACCAGTGGAATAGTTTCCGAATTTGCATCCTCGGATGCTGGGAGGGGCACTCGACGTCAATATTTGACGGCGCTGGACAACTTGATGGCAGGTTCCCAAGGATCGGCCACCAGTTTGCAGAGCCCAGTGCACGACTTGGGTATTGATATATCCCACCTCTCCATTGTTCCCCATCCTGGCAACGATATGCATTTAACAGTCCAGTTACCTAGACCACAGAGTCATTACCAGTCTTCCTTCCAGGAACTTTCACTGCTAGGAAAAGGTGGCTTCGGGAAAGTATATCAGTGTTTCAATCCTCTAGACCAAAAGACATATGCAGTGAAGAAGATTCAGCTTTCTCCGACTCTTGCGCTACGATTCCGTAACGGGAGACTTGATAAGCTCCAGCATATCTTACGAGAGGTACAAGCTCTAGCTACACTAGAACATCCCAATATCGTCCGTTATCATGCTACATGGTTTGAGGAGCCACAACAGCCCTCTCGAAACGTTATTTCTCATGGTAGGTCTTTTTGGTTTCCTTATCTGCTTTTTATGTGTACTTGGTATTCGCACCAACACGGCATCGACCAAGATGGCTTTCGAAGTGCCCATGGCGTGTTGGACGCAACAAATACATCCACTTTCCATATCCATTATGCAAGGCATCTCCAACATTTCCTTTTGGAAATATTTTTTTATACCTACGATCATAATATTGAAGTAGGAGGTGCCTACTGATGGAGCGCTTACTAGTTTGGCTACAGAGCATGAATCATAATACTAATTGAAGCATCAGACTCTCGTTCAAGGGCCCACACAAATCAACGCCAACAGTTATTGCTGGACAGTCGCGCCTTTTCTGAAATTGAAGATAGCAAGTCCGAACCATCCATGACTGGCGGTATTGTTTTTGAAGAAGATTCAGTCCCAACTAGTGACAACAACAGACAACTCGTGGGTGAACGCCAACCGGCCGACGAACAAACCTCTTGTGAAGATACTGAAGAAGACTCACTTGCGCCTAGCACTAGCAATATCTTTACCGATGGTAAGAGCCATCATGAGAGCCATCAGGGACACGATGAACGAAAGCAAGGGACTTGGGATGCAGTTGGTCATACATTGTACATACAAATGTCACTGTATCCTATGACTTTAGCTCAGTACATCTCAACATCGCCGGCCAAAGAAGACGCCCCAAAACACTGCTTTCACCTCGTACCGAGTTTACGACTTCTTCAATGCATACACACTGGGCTTCAGTACATCCACGGCAAGGGCTACATACACCGCGATATCAAGCCAGGTAATATCTTCCTCTCGGCACCCGAAGTAGAGTCTCAGGGGGGATATTGCAACCTTTCGTGCCCATCCTGTTACAAGAACAAAGATGATGTACCACCACGATGGTTAAACCCACGTATCGGCGATTTTGGACTTGTGGCTCAACTCGCAAAGGGAGAGTTGCCTCTGTCTTCACATCAAGACGCAAGCAATGAAACGACAGAATCCGACAAGCCTATAGGCACTACATACTACCGACCGCCATTTTCTAGGGGTACCAATGATGAGAAAGTCGATATTTTTGCCCTAGGCGTAGTGCTTACCGAATTGGTATGCTCGTTTACCACGGCCATGGAACGAGTTGATACATTGAAAGAATTGCAAAAAGGCCAGATACCCTCGAGTATGAAACAGACATTAAAACATGAAGGCTACTCTACCGAAGTTATAGAGGAAGTACTTATGCTGGCAGAAGGTATGGTCGATCCTAATCCTCATACTAGATTGTCTAGTCCTCAGTTGGGCGAGGCCATCAAAGGACTTTTACACAAATGCGACAAGGCTTAAACCCGGTCTTCGCTTATCGCATCACCTAATACCATTGCGGAATAATGGGCGATAATAACAATAGGAGCATTCTCACCCCCTTAGGTAGGTATCTATCAGGTATGTATTTACATAATAAAAGTAAGCCATTATCTGGTGTTGTGATTCTTCGGTGTGCTAAGCACAGAGGGCGAGATCAAGTGAAGTTTCTGCCGGTAAGACCAAGTTGTTGCATAGAGAAATACAAGTTCACGGGCGGATGCAACGCCCTTATGTACTCCCAGACAAGATGTCGTTTGCTCCATTCTGATTACCAAGTTACATGGGTAAAACGCCTCACCTAGGACAAGATGGATGTAGGTAATGGGTATGCTGTACGTCGTTTCACCTAGATCTGGCCTCCATTTTTTTTATCTCTTCCTCTCTCCACTGGTTACACCACCGCTTTTCAAGGCTCTGTTTTCAGATCGGTTTGCTATCCTACAGCATGCTACCGCCTCGACTAGGTATACATGCTAAGGTGGGGGTGCCTGGTAAATAGGTACACAACATTTAGTATGGCTCCTGAATAGGTGATAATACTTCCAAGGCTGGTAGAGGAATTCAGTTAGTTTTGAGGTCAAATGGCTTTATGTCAAGTGTTGTTCGGAGATGCATGTATCTTCCTCGCTGATGCCTCATTTAGGGCTTAGTCATCCAGGGCCGCCCCCCTGATGCTCTTGATGATTAGGTATCCGGCTTGTAAAGTCGTCAATATTACTCCCCCCCCCCCCCCCGCGCGGGGGTGGTGATGGAGGTAACGCGTTACCTACACATATTTCCGCTTGGTACAGGGCAGGATATCTGTTTTCCAGTGCTTCACTTACATACCTGAATACATATCAACTCTTTGACTTTAAAGATAATCATTATTGTTATTACCACTCATAAAGGTGCAAAGCTGGAACGAAGAAGTGTGGGAGTGGAAAGGAGGAGAGAATATAAAAAAAAGAAGAAAAAGATGATGTATCTAGAGCAGGCAAGTTGGTAGAACGAGCTCATACCTACCTACCTAATAAAGCCATGTCATATCACAATTAAGAGGCGAAAGAAAAAGGATGTAGAAAAAAAATAAAAGAAACGACAAAAAGCTCAGGCTCAGGCTCAGTCAGGTCCTATTATCCACCGGCACTTGACCAGCCAAATAGGTTTGCCGCCATGCCTCGGAATCGAACCCTCGTCTTACGAAAGAAACCCTTCGAGAAGAGAGGAGTTTTCACATGCCCCTGTCAGGTCTCAACCAGATGCGCCAAGTGGCCCGTTTGGCAACCGCTGGAGAGAGCGGGGGGTGTAAGGCATCAGCTTTTTCGGGTTTATAAGTTTTACTTGGGGGGGGGACGGGGTGCGGGGAAGGGTGGGAGATGGGTAGGGCGGTGGGTGACGACGGTGAGGGTTGGGATGGCTGCCTGGGTACTTAGGTACTTACCTCCTACTGGGGCCTGGGCACTAGGTACCTAGGTACCCTACGAGTTATTCGGCACTGCAGCTAGTAGGACTTTAGTTGAAGACACTGCGATGTAGGCGCGCCTAGGTACCTACTTACTACCTGGTGGGAAATGCCTGACCTCAAAGGCTTACCTAGTACCTACTCACCCTCCTCCCTTTTCTCTTCCCACTTTCGATTACCTACCTACACATAACTAACATGAAATGCTCTATTCCTCCCCAGAAAGGACTCACGTGATCGCGATCCCGATCACATACCTATCATAACAAGCAAAACCACCTGATAACATCACCACCTACCTACCTACCCAAAGTCAGTATTAAGACCATACAACAGCCGGAACCCGATCCGCAGCCATCATCACGCTACGCTGGCCCCCGCCTCACCAGCAAAACACTCCAACCCAGTCTCCCCCTCCCCCTCCAGCGCCTCGACCGCGCTCCGCGCAGAAAACACACAGTCGTGCACCCCGATCCCCCTATACGACGCGCCCGCCACCCTCAGCCGCCCCGCAAACCGCTCCAGCAGCAACACCCGCAGCCTCGCCATCCTCTCACAGTGGCCGACGGCATACTGCGGGATCGCATCCCTTTGTAGCGAGACTGTGCTCGCGATGGGGGGCTCGGTGACGCCGAGGTGGCGCCGTAGTAGTTGTTGCGCCATGGCGGTGCCTTCGGACTCGGTGGGGAGGGCGGAGGGGCGGAGGGAGGTCCACCAGTGGCCGCCAAGGATGACGGTGATTTTGGTGTGGGGCGACGCGTCCGAGAGGTGATGGCCGGGCATGGCGTCTGAGTCGAACACGACGCCTAGCGCGTGCTCGGGGTTCTGGTTGGCGGGGATGGAGTTGGGGATCAGGTACCCGAAGCCGCGGTATGGGTGGTTTAGACAGGGGGAGGGGAAGATTAGGGTTACGACCATGACGGTTGCCGCGGGCATGGGCGGGATGTTGTTGTTGTTGTTGACTGTGGCGGCGGAGATGAGGTTGTTGTAAGGCGTTGTGCATATCACGTGGGTGAAGCGCTGGGCGCTGGTGTTATTATGGTTGGATATCTGTTGGTGCGTTTGATGTTAGTGAGAGAATGAGGCAAAGGGGTGAAACGTGGCAGGATAATAGGGGACATACCGAAAGAACTACCTCGCCTTCGTGAAAGCTGATATCTTGCACCGAGGTTCCCATCTGGATGTTCACGTTCTTTGCTCCCCGAAGAGCTACCTCTAGCGCCGAAGGTAGCTCCTGGAGCCCTCCTCGAAAACTGAACACGCTCTTGTCCGCAAAATCTCTCTCCAACTCCCCAGCTGGGCCACGCCTGATGTCTTTGAGCATGATGGCTTCCCGCTGGTGAAGTTGAGAAGTTACAGAAGCGGCAGACCCGTCCCGAGTGTCAGCTTGGGAGCCACTTTTCGTCAGAGACTGCCACATAAGCCCCAAAATACCTCCTCGACCTCCCTTCCTCCTTGCTTCCTCACCTCTTGTCTCAAGCTCCCACAGGCAAGGTAGCAATGCCTTGACACTCAGTTGGTATACATCGCCAGCACACAAACCGTTCATAACCGGTGAGATCAGGTTATCCACCACCCGGTGGCCCATGCGCCGCGCAAGGAAACTCCCTATAGACTCATCGTGGACATCCGGGAGCCGGGGTGCTGAGTAAGAGATGCCGCGCAGCAGACCGCCTATGAAACTAGCGAATAGGGGCTCCGTTGCCAGCAAGCGGAGTAATGTGATTAGCTGTTGGGGCCGTAGAGTGGGTGGCGCTGGGATGGAAGCTATGTGACGACGGACTAGTCTGGGGTTGAACGTTGGGATTGGGACTAGATGGTCTGGGTACAGGATATAGCGAGTGCTGCCGGTTGTACTGTTCTTGGGTACTGATATGAGAGACTCTCTGAGCCCTAGGGCGTCGATCTGTACCGGGATTTTCTTTTAGGGGGTTTGCTGGCAGTATAGATTGGGGTGGTAGATACAAGGGATGCAAAGGGGGTAAGAATAGAATAGACTGATGTCAAGACTACTCACGAGATCATACGTGGTGGGAGCACGGGGAGCACTAGCTCGAAGCGTCCTCGGACCTCTTTCGCAAACTGTGGTAGCACCTTTGCTAATAGGTAGATAGGTCGATTCAACGGCACCTCCAAGCCGGTTAGAGCTCTCGATGAGTGAGATCGAAGCCGAAGGGTACTTTTTGCTTGCGTAAAACGCGGAAGTCAGCCCCGTGATGCCACCACCTACAATGGCGATCCTCTCCACTTGCTGCTGAGATGTTGAAAATGCCTTTGGGGACATCTTGCGCCTTTGGATTGGAAGAACCGTGTTAGAAAACATGAGCCCCCCAGAAGCCAGCCGTGGTATTGTAGTATTCGACATTTCCCCTCTTCTGACCGGACGGGATGATGATGGCAGTTAAAGTGGCGAAACTTGGCACCGACATAGTTATCTCTGCTCCAACATAAGGTTGATTATAAAAATCTGTGTAGTTTATGTACTGGGCATGTATCTATCATGGGCTTCATCATTCATCCTTGCCGGCGGATTTCCCTTCCAAGATCACGGTGAGATGTCAGAGGCGACGTGCATCCGAACTTGCCTGTTAGAGATTTCTCATGTCACTAGATTGAATCATGGAATCGGTATTCCTCATAAATGCCGCTCCTGTTCTTGGAGTTTGGACAATTGTTCTTAAGATCGTATATCTAGATTTAACAAGAGGATTCTGGGGTTGGCAGATCACAGGATCGTCGTACAATATTAGATTGAGGCGACCGATGAATGCAATTTTCCGTCAAGTATGTTTCATGGAAGGTAAATATCTGCATTCGAGTAGTAGAGTCGTGATACATTGCGATCAGGCAGATATGTAAGATGATGGCTTCGGCTAGGATGGCGGCATATGCGGTATCTCGAGTCAATCTACCAACTCCTGTCAGATCACGTCCTGTGATGACTTTGTAATACATTCCAAGGGAGGGGAACCGGATCTAGAACTCGAATCCGATTTGGATTACGGGAGCAGTAGAGAGGTAGTTGGCTTGACTATCAGAATCTTGAATATAAATACTGCAAGGGACAGCTATCGTCTCGACTCGATCACCATGTTGAGTCATCATATCCTATCCTCCACTCCACATCCTAAACCAAGTAAAGTCGACAAAGAAAATCAATACTTACTAAAAGTCTTCAACATGAAGACTACTTCTGCCCTGAGTTTAGGCTTTGCCGTTGCTACTCGTTTCTGCAGCGCCGCCGAAGTGACTACGCCAACAATTATCGTGCCTGTTCCCACTCAGGGAGCAGCCTTCACCTCTACCGTGTCTGCCTGCGACACCGTTCCCGCCTTTGCTATCATCGGTGTGCCCAATGGAACCTTCTTCCCCGGTACCACTACTATCTACTTGCCCCCTCAAGCCTCCGAAGCCACTAGCACTTTTGTGGATCTCGAAAACAACCTCACCGAAGTTGTAATCGCCTCGCCTCTCCCCGGGAGCTGCGCAGACATCTCGCTGCCCGCCGACGCAACTGGAACCGTTAACCCCAGTCCTTCGAGCTCCGCCGAGGCCTGTCCTTTGAAAGGCTGCTCGGCCGGAGTCGACAAATCCGCGCAGCTGGTCATCAACCTCATCAACGAGGTCGCCATTGCGTCCCAGGAGCTGCAGGCGGCCGCGAAGAAGATCGGCACCAGAAAAGCGCGGGGCCTCGAGCCGCGCCTGAACATCCTAACCGACATCGTCCCACCGCTCCAGAACATCGTCGCCACCCTGACGTTAGGGCTACCCACCATCGCGGTGCTCTCGCCGTTCCCACCCGGATGCGACAGCGATACCATCGTTGTGGCCCTCATCGATTTCGTGCGCATCCACCAGGCCCTATTGGAGGTCTTCATCGGCCGCGCCGGCCTGCTCTCCGGGCCCTTCCTGCTAGCCGAGCGCGCGGCGATCGGCGGTGCCGGCGTCGGCAGCAACGAGAAGTTCTTCAACCCCCTTGGCATCGCTATCGCTGGTGCTCTACGCGCTATCGAGACTGTCGTCGACAACCTCGCCTTCGCCATCATCGGACTCGTCCCCACCCGCCAGGCTTGCCTCAACCAGCAGAAGATCAGCATCGATGGGACTTTGAAGGAGGCTATTAAGGCGTACCAGCCCTAGGTAATAGGCACTAGGTACCTAGGTAGGCCGGACAAGCTTGGCACTTGCTTGCCTCGATCTGGGAGGTTTGGTTTTAGTGGCCCCCATTTCTCTCTTCTTCTTCTCGGGACTTTTGGTCTCGTTTGTTCGACAATATTTGATTGTCGTAAAAGTCTTAGGTTAGGTGGAGACAACTTGATGGTTGATTCATCATCTTCGATTCCCAATAATTAGGGCGTGGAAACCTTTCTGGGGGTGGAATTAAAGGGGTGGAATTTTCCTTTTCATATTTTAGCTAGGATAGTAACGGAGAAATTGAATCACTAATTTCTGATGTATGCAATCACCAGGAGATGAATGTTACTCTTGTCTGGGCGAACGTTGCCCTATTGCCCCTTGAACAAGGCTTCCAGTTGTCCTAGTCCAGTTGTAGAGAACCGACACCCTGACTAGCTTGAAGAGAATGCATGAGTTGTGAACAAATTGAATAAAGCCAAGTGAGTTTCTACTAGTAAGCTCCCGAGGTAAGGAGGAAGTTACTGAATACGAAGAGTGCGAGTGCGCACACATACTATCGATGATATGGGATGGGACTTCCACATCATTGGTAGAGTCAAGGTTTCTCTCATGCCAAGCTGTTTGAACAACAGGGAAATTATTGGGGTACTATCTGGGCATTAGATGACTAGATAGGTAGCATCTATTGAGATGGAAAAGATGTCTATGTGATAAGGATTCGGGTATCGTGAAAGGAGCTGCATGCCGAATCCGAGATGGAGTGGCACGACCATACGACTAGTTCAAAACTCCCGTATAGACTGAATCTAGTACGAGTGTTTTTAGCACTGGGGTTTACCCCGTACTTTAGGTTGGATAGTAATGGATACATTATACTTCTTGCTTTCAATGGAAGGGCTCATCCTTGCGATCACGACGTTGCTGCAGGCGAAACGGATGGTGTTGATTAAAAGGTTGTAGAAGAGAAGAACAATGGATGCTACACTAATAGCGGGGAATCCGGCAGGTAAATTATTTACCTACGAAGTAAGGTATGCTTATCTATGGCACGTGATAGTGACTTATCTGGGATTAAGTTAGGTTAGGCCCTAGGGAGATGCACTACCGAGGTAACCTCAGGTAGGTACTCATCTGTAGATTCCACTGTTTCTTCTCCTTTCAACAATGCTTTTACATGTCTCCCGTGGTCTCGTTTGGTCATCAGAATGGTGCAAGACTTCGCCCGGCACACCAAGAAAGAGGCTCCATTGCTGCTCGAGAATAGGACAATTTGGCCATGGCCATGGCCACATTGGAAATTAGGAGTGGCCGGGCTCCTTTTATCGCTATTGGTCATTTACGAATACCAATTACATGGGATGAAGTTAAAGATAAGCCGATTTATGATTACTAGGCCAGAAGATGCTATTCCAACAAGTTGGGAATGGAGCGATATCCAACCTAGCAGAACCCTACAGTGGCACCGCTGTTACGATGACACATACGACTGTGCGAGGCTCGATGTGCCTATGGACTGGCTTGACCCGTCCGATGATAAGGGAAATCGAGTCGTCTTGGCCATCATGCGTCTTAAAGCTACAGAGCTTGACGATTACAAGGGGCCCATCTTTTTCAATCCCGGAGGACCCGGGGGTTCTGGCGTCTACGCGTTGAAAGATCGCGGTGCACTTTTACAGACTATTGCTGGGAAGAACCATGACATTGTATCTTTTGACCCAAGAGGTATCGGTGCGTCTGTACCTAGAGTCGAATGTTGGGACTCGCAAGAGAAAGGCCGACTCTGGGCGCTGCAGGATGTTGGAGTCGTTAGTGCCCACCCCGGAGTCGTCTTCGACGCCTTTGCCCAAGCGTCTGCCCTTTCCCAGGCCTGTGAGATGAACATGCGTTACTCAAGCTTGTTATCACACATCAGTACGGCTTCACATGCCAGAGATTTGCTTGAGATTTTACACCAGACTGGTCAAGACAAACTCAAGTACTGGGGTTTTAGCTATGGGACAATTCTAGGCGGCGTGAGTGACCCTAGACACCTTAATAACCCCCTTTTCAAGATCATGCAACTATCGAATAGAGAACGTCTGAACAGGCTTTTCTATTTGCTTTCAGCTGATCGCCAGAGTAATAGGTTTTTGCTGCAATGTACCCCGACAAAGTTGAGAGGTTAGTTAGTGATGGTAAGTACAGCATACTATGTAACAATGTTATGTAGTTACTTGGTATCTGCATAGTATCCAGTAATGACAGGGCTATCTTAGGTAACGTGGACTACAGAGAATGGCACTTGAATTCGCACATCAACTTTCTGCGCGACACCGACAAGGTTATGGATGCCTTTTACAGCTTCTGCCACAAAGCCGGCCCGTCGAGCTGTGGTTTCTATGCCCCCACCCCAGCCGCTATAGAGCAACGCTTAGCAAAACTGCTAAGCGGTCTCAAGAAGCACCCCATAATCGTTCCAGCTGCCGAGCTAGGACCTGATATGCCGCAGCTGATCACTTGGTCTCATTTAAAACGCTTGATATCCGCAGCTCTATATCGACCCATCTTCATGTTCAAGAACTTCGCATCGGTCCTGAAAGCGTTAGAAGATGGTGATGGCAAACCATTCTACCAGTTAGTCAAGCCGGAGAGCTCCTCCGTCTGCTCTTTCAAGGCGATCCCCCCTAACGTACCGAGGTCAGAGGAAGGAAACGCCGATGCCTTCCCAGCGATCATGTGTGCAGACTCGCCTCCGGTAGACAATACGGTGGAAGAATTTGCCGAATTCGTAGACAGGCTCGTGAATATTAGCTCTTCAGCCGGCGACGTCAATGCGCTTTTCCGATTAGCATGCGTAGGCCGAAAGGTAAGACCGAAGTGGAGGTATACCGGTCCCTTTGAAGGTAACACGAGCCATCCAATCCTCTACGTAGCCAATATCGCCGACAACATCTCGCCACTTGTGAGTGCGCGAAACAACTCGGAGGGGTTCCCGGGTTCGGTAGTTTTGGTTCAGAACTCGTACGGTGTAAGTGGCTTTCTTAACCAGTCCTTGTATACTCAGGCACCTCAAAACCTATCCAACCCCTGAATGCAGGATTAACATGGCCTGTTCTTGTGTCATAGCATACCAGCCTTTCTGCGGCTTCAACTTGTACGGCTGAGCACATTCGTTCTTACTTCCAGAATGGCACGCTTCCTGAGCCAGACACAATATGCGAGCCGGATTATCACCCCTTTGAAGATGTACGTTTGAGGGTGGGAGATGAGTTATCGATGGCGTCTTATGAGTTATCCCGTTTTCATTGGGGATTTGCGCAGACCGGACTAATTACCTGATACTAGTCTAGTAGATATGAGGTTTCACTGTTAATATTGATTGGAGGATTGTATTGGTTAATGATTCTTTGCTTTCTACATTACCGCACCTATACCCAAAACATCTGCTCGTTCCCATCCCCCTACCCACACAGTACTCATTCTTCCACGAGATTATTCCTGTCACTTATAGCTTGTCAATAAGATACTTATATAACTAGAAGGGGACATACTTACGGCAGTTCGAAATTAGGCATGAACAGCGATCCGATCAAAGCTATGGTTGATGATCCTATAGCTGCGTACGTCATGTACTTCATAACCTCCGTAAACTGTGCAATGTTAATACGATTTCCATTCATTGTGTGTGTACCCCAACTCGGGCATTCCATTTCAGTTACTCACCGCGAAGCCAATAGCCACCCGTTCTGCCGTGCCCCAGGCCGGCACAACACCCGTAATCGAGTTCGCCAACGCAGCCACCGTCTCCACCGTCGCACCATGTCCCAGGAATCGCGAAAGCTGCGCCTCTATCGTACCAGTGTATATCCCCCCGGCAACACACGCGCCCACGCTCCCCCCCACAAACGCAAAACAGATAACCAGCGCCGTGATCTGCGGCATCTCGGCGTGCGAGAGCACGGCCTGCGCGGGGATCAGCAGCGTCGAGCCGACCATGCCGCTGCCGATGCCCTGGATCAGCTGCACGATGAAGATCTCGGCGATGCTGTTGTCTGAGGAGGAGCCGCGCAGCCGGCCCATCACGCCGTACCCGATTAGGCGGACGCAGGCGCCGAGCACGCAGACCCATTTGTACCGCCGGGAGCGGGCCATGGCGAGGCCGGCGAGGATCGCGACGAGGCATTGGGCTACGCCGTTTGTGTCTGCGGCGTGTTAGCGTGCGTGGTTGTAAAACGGGCACGCGGGGTGAAATCTAGGTAACCTAGTTAGTTGTATAGGTAGTTGGAAAACCTACAGGTGAAGAAGGTGGCGTCGCGGGCGTTGAGGCCCCGGGCGACTGTCACCCAGGCGTATATGTATGTGTCTGCGGCCCTTGAGTTAGCTTCGCGCATTCCGACACGTAGAAAGACCACTCACGGGTTACGGAGAACCCAAGATTGTCCAGCGCGATCAGGATGCAGCACAGCAGAATGGTGCGGTTCGCGAAGTAATGCGGCGGCACCACAGGATGCTTCGCAAGATAGTGCTCGTAAAACGGCAGCGCGATGAGCAGCGCCGCGCCCAGCGCAATCAGCGCCTCGATCCACGGCGTCCGCCAGCTCGCGGGCGTGGTGGCCGCGAGCGTCATTGGAATAAGCAGGAGCGCCAGCCCGCCGCTGAACAAGACGACGCCGCCCAGATCGATCTGCGAGCAGAACTGGTAGACGGAGATTCTCCGGGGCGTCGGCGCTAGGCCGGTTTTCTTCGCCTGCGCCTGGTAGTAGAACAGCGTGGCGACGATGAAGCTCGCGCAGAAGGGCATCAGGACGGCGAACATCCCGATGCCCCAGCGCCAGCCGATGCCGCTCGGCGCCGTCACGCTGTCGACGATGAAGGCCGCGGTCCAGGGGGTGATCAGAAACGGCCAGAAGGAGAGCGAGATGCCGAGGGCGCGGTAGCGCGCGGTCGTCAGGTCCGCGATCACGATGTCGTTCATGAGGTTCGTGGCGGACTGCCCGAAGGAGTAGAACACCGAGCCCGCGGCGTAGGCGCTGAAGCTTTTGGCGGACGCCATGATGATGTACGAGAGGATGTAGAAGGTGATGGCGAGCAGGTACGTGCCCCCTCGCCCGATCACGTTGGACAGCTTGGCGATGGGCGGCTTGGCGATCGCGAAGATGATGGTGCCGGCGGTGCTGAGCGTGGCGAGCTTGGAGAGTGACTGGAACTCCGAGGTCGCGTAGTTGCGGTAGATGTAGACGGTGCTGTTGTCGATTTCACTAGGTAGGTGCCAGAATTATATGGTTAGGTAATCAGGAGACAAAAGGGGGGAAAGGGGATTCAACGGTGGCCCCTTACTATATTATCATGATGAGACATAGCCTAAAAGGATGCCGCGTATTAGCTTTTGTGATTTTGGTAGATATATCGACAGTTGACTCATCACCACGTAACTTACCCGACAATAACCAGCCATCGGCCTTTCTTGCCCCATATAGCTTGGGTAGCTTGGATAGTCGTCACTCCCGCCTGAACGGAAGCATTCTCCACCGTCTGCTTCTCAGTGTCGAGCTCAGTCGGCGCCGCGCAAGCCTCTTTCTCCTCGGTGCCGTGTCCAGCGCTGGTAGCGGTGAAGGCCGGCCGACATGTCGGAGGCGCATCGAGGGGCCCGGCGCCAATTACTTCGAACACGAGCTTGATGAGATGTGCCATGTTTTATATGATATCTGGTAGATATGATTAATACAATACATATTGACCACTCTAACGTTTGCACGGGACTCGAGCACGGATGGGGTAGCTGTGGCTTTTCGACTTAATATAAGTACCTTTCAGGTAGGTCGTCAAATGTAGTACCACCTCAATGTCTCGGTGCTTCTCCTCGGAAGTACGTAGTTAACTCTAAGCTCTGCGGAAACCTCCCATCGTGGCTTGTCGTGGCGAACTGTGTGTCCAATAGCAAGTAATACAGACAACGTGAACTCAAAACATGGATGGATTGAAAGCTACGACGCGAAGTGATAAACACCTACCCCGGACGAAGAGATGGATGCACAGATCGGTTATCGTTCGACGCGGATTGGATGAGAAGGTTTGGGGGTGGGGAGGGGGGGGGGGCTTGGGTGGGTAGATGGAATCCAGCTTTGGAGACTTGGTGGTTTGGCCAAAGCGTTGGTTATATACTCTATACGAGGTAACATGGAGTGAATAAGATTAGATGGGGAAGTTGGAGATATTGAGTCAAAAAGCCGTGAGATGCTTCGTGCGAAAATATTTTTCTGGGGGTTTTCGTTTGATCTTTCTTATTTTCAACGTAAATTCATTCGCTACATTGAAATACCACAAAGACATTAAATAAGGGGGACTGTATCTTAAGCGTCGTTGAAATCTAAATCCCTTCTCGCTTCCCTTCCGAGGTACTTGTAACGGGCTCCACGTGGTGCGCGACCACTTTCTCGACAGCGTGGGCAGCTTCATCGGCAAGTGCCTTGTCCTCGAATACTAAAGTGGCAGTTATACGTTAACTCTGACCATTTATTGACAATTTCTTTTTCCATCTTGAATCTTGCCACAAGATAGGTAGGTAACTTACAGAAAGCCAATTCCTCCAGCGTCCTACCAAACGTCTCAGGGAACATGAAGTATATGAATACGATCTCGAACGACAGGAAGCAGCAGTACGAGATGAGGTACCGCCAACCGACGTTCGCCAGTCCAATTGGGTTGACGAAGGTGGTGAAGAAGCCGGCGAGGCGGCCGAAGAGCTGGAAGAATGCGATGCCGCGGGACCGCTCGGCGAACGGCCAGAGCTCGACCATGTAAGCTAGGTAGGTAGATCCTATGCGTTAGCCAGTGTATCGTGCATTTAAGGAAGTTTCCTTGCGTAAGATATAAGGGGATTGGTAGGCGGAAACTCACTGTAAGTCAAGGCATTATACCCGATATTGTAGCAAGGTGAGTACGCGAAGATCCAGAAGATAGTCGCGACGTTCGCCGCATTGTTCGGGTGGCCAGACTCCTTGCCGACGATGGCGCGCTCCATGCTGATCGTCCAGGCGATGTACACGCACAGCAGCGACATGGTGCAGGCGAGGTACATGTGGCGCCGCTTGAACCTGGTGACGAGGAAGGCGACAAAAGTGCCGCAGACCAGTTGCCAGCACGAGTTTGCGACGTTGATCTGCTGCTTGAAGATCGAGTCGTTCTTGCCGATCATACCGAGGAGGTCGCCGAGGTAGTAGGAGATAAGAGTGTTGCCGGACCATTGGGTGAAGAGACCGAGCATCTTTAGTAATAGGGGTTAGAGACTACCAAAATACGGTGATAAATGTGACGGAGGAACAAAACATACGCAGCTAATCAACATGCGTCGACGCATCCCCGCCGTAGCGATCAAGTCACCCCACGACTTCTTAGAATGCTCGAGTTCAATGGTGATAGTCGCCTGGATCTGAGCGAACTCAGCCTTGACGAACTCGGACTCGCGGTCGCCCTCGGCATGGTACTTAGCGAGGATATCGTAGGCCTCTTCCACTCTGTCCTGTTGGACCAACCAACGGGGAGATTCGGGGATGAAACTTGGATCTCTGGTTAGTAGCTATTCCGTGCAACTTAGATGAGTACCCACAAGACAAAGGCAATCTGAAGCAGCGACGGACACATCTGCAGCCAGGAAGGAATCCTCCACGCCATGTTGGTGACGATATTGTTCGTGCCGAAGCAAATGGCGGCCGCGGTAATCTGGCCAACGAAATACGACACGTTGAAGAGCGATGTAAGAACCGGTCGCTCCCTCGGATACGCCAGTTCGCCGATCAGGGAGGAGGCGGATACAATGCACGTAGGGATGCCGAATCCGAGAATCAGACGAGCTACGATGTACATCCCAGCTGCAGATCAATACCCATTAGTAAGGCCAGCTTCCATTGACGGTTTAGAAAATTATGGAAGCAGTGTACCGTTGACGGAGAAGCCTTGGATCAAGGCCCCGATGACCATGATAATGGAACCGCCCATGATAGACCAGCGGCGGCCGAACTTGTCATTAACCACGCCGATAAACGGGAGCGAAACGATGGCGCCGAGCGAGTAGGCCGCAGCTATAATTCCTTTAAGCGCATCTTTGGGATCATGGAAAACTGTATATTGCGTGTTAGCTCATCTCACCTATCCAACCTAGTGCCTCTCTAGGGTCGACTCCGGAATGTAGGTATAGAAAGTCGCAAACAATGGCACCGGGAACAACTTACACGTAACCCACGAAGGCACGATCTGCAGGGCATTGATCATCTGCGAGTCAAAGCCGGAGGTCAACTCGATGCCCATACATGTTGGAAAGAGCATGAAGTAGAGGAATCGCAGGTTCGGCTTCTTGTACCATCGGACCCTGTCCTCGTTGGCGAGACGGGTGATGATGGGATCAGCGGCACCCGATCCAGCAGCGCCTACACCACCCATGTCTGTTGATGCTGTTATGCTGGTGATGTTGTTCTTGTTGTTGACGTTCTTGATAGTCGTCGAGTTGCTGTTGCTGACCTACGATATGGAGGTATCCAAGGGAAGTCTAGAAGAAGCAGAATTGGGCCTTGATGATAGACGAAAGCCTCAATCGACCGGTTGGGGTTCGATGCTCTTTTTAATCATTTGGAGTGTCGGCTCGTCTCACGACGTCCTACTTGGCGCGGCATGGTTTACAAAGTGACTCTCGCAGGGCATGCCGTTCAAAGACCCAGACTCCGGGGTAAGCTGACAAGGGTTGTATGCGCCAAACCCCCCGAGATCTGGGGTGCTTTGGCTCGTTTGTTTCCCCATGGTCCTAGTGTGGATTGGGGGGTTTTCTCTCCAACTACCAACGCCGATCAACCTACCTAGAGAAAAATAAAAACCTGAGCAGCCCGCCCTGTACGCTGCGTGTATGTACGCTGACCGCCAAGCCTCACGTCGAAGCCGTTGGATTCGATTCGCCCTTCCCCCCTTCGGCGCCCACGCACTATATCGGAATAGCGGCTCAGCTCCAAGCTCCAACCCCCAACCCAAAATCCTTCCTTATGACTACGCCCAATCGCCAGTTCTCCCCAGTGTGATCCCTCTCATCTCACATAGGCAAACCTAGTCCGCCAAGGCGGATCTGAGGAAAGGTTCGCCGATATCTGACCCGTAACCGAGATCATAATTACAGTTCTGCTTGAAGGAGAAATCTTGGGATAGAATGGGAGCAAAAGTCCAAGATATCAAACTCGTAAAACGAAACAGGTATAATATGGGATGAAGCGGTGTCAAAATCCAGGTTAGAAAATTTGTGTTAATAAATATGTGACCACCAAAGCGCACACCAGCTACCCGGTCCTCGTAGTTTGAATAGATTGAAGTTGTTCTTATGGATACCTTAGGTGGGTATGTTCAAGACTCATGAAAGGGACCCTCACCAGCAGAATTCCAAGCCAAGACAGGGTAAGAACAAGTTATGAGACCGGCAGTTTACCACAGTCGAGAAAACGCCGTTACCATCAGATCCGTCCGAGTTGCAAATAGGGCCGGTAAAAAAAAAAGATAAAATCATCGCCAACAAGCAGGCTCAATGATCGAGGCTATTCCTCCCTCCCTTCGATCGATTCCCACGAATGACATCGTCAGCTGAAGTCCGAGGGAGCTGTCATCCAATATTAACCCTCAACCGAAGCGTTGCAGCAGAGATACGCTGCAAGACGTCCCCCATCCTTTGGTCTCCATACTTCTATTCAGGCTAAAGTCGAAATAAATGAGACGGCTCCGGCGCTCTGGGTACGCCGCACACGATGCGAGCTGAAATGTCCATTTTAAATTAGCCCAGGGTAACTCTGCGAGTTTCAGCGGCATTTCGATTGCATTCTAGATTATTGCTTGAAAAGGAGTTGTTGGGTCATTGTGCCAGTCTCGGTCATGAGAGTAGACGTTGCGTAAACCACTTAAGTATTACGAACGACACTACCTATGATTGACAAAGAGGTCAGCTAAGTCATCGGATCAAATTACCTGCGACGTAATTGCTTCATCATACAACCCAACCTAAAACATCTTGACCTAGTGTTAATCCCTCTGGTCTTCGACGGGCATTAAAAACCATCATTTCCAATCATGCCTGGGCCTGCAAGCGAAAATAAATAAAAGAGGCAGATGCAATAAATAGATAATTTACATAGCCAAAATCCCGACTGGACGCGATTGTATTGTACAACACAGTAGACTCCCGCGCTATGCAGTGGGTATCTATGATTACACGCCCATTCCGATGTTGAATATCATTCCCACCTCGACTGTCTATCTGCCTGGTTTCGACAGATGTTGGACAGCGGCCATCCATTTTTGTTCGTCGTTCCTAGTTTCAGTGTTAGCCAATACGCCGTAAAACGCTGGCATCTATGTATAGGAGTGTGTAAGGACTAAGAAAGACTTACCGATCAAATCGTAATAGCTTCCCCAATACCGGCACCAGTTGAGATCGTACTTTCTCGTCTTTGACTTCGAGAAACTGGAGTAGAATGGTCTTCAGATACATCGTATCCGGAACACTGGAACCAGCTGAGGAATTACCCGATCCATTCATGCCGCTTCGAGTAGAATCACTGCTAGATCTTCCACTGTTTGCAAGAGTTGTAGAGCTACCGCCGACGTTGAATCTGGCTTGGACAGTTTTGAGTTCCTTATTTGCCTTCTCATAGCGACCCCTAGCTTCGTCTAAAAGCTTTCGAAGGTCGACACGCTGCTTTTCTGCGTCGCGCACCTGTTGCTCAGATGCGTCTAGGGCGGACCGTAAGCTGGTCACCACTGCACGCATTTCTTCTACCTCTGCTGTTGCCTTCTCTTCAATCTGCTCAAGCTCTTCGCGGCGATGGCGCCACTCTTTTTCATGAGCTTTTAACTCATCTTTATCATTGGAAAGAGTCCGCACTTCGCGCTCCAGCTCTCGAACTTTAGTCTTCAGTTCTTCTGCCTCACGAGCGCGGCGTCGAGCGAGAGTAGACATTTCATCTTCAATGCGATCGCGCTCCTCTATGGCGGCTTCCATACGAGTACGCAAGTCGCGCACCTTGGTGTCTGCTCGCTCATCGACGTCGGCTAGCATGCGGCGCATCGTCTCACCTTCGCGCGTTCTCTCCGAGAGATGCTTTTGTACTTCGGCCAATTCTTCCTCTAAGCTCTCTGACTGACTTTGTGCCTCCTTGAGTTGGATAGACAACTCAGCCGTCTGGTCGCGCATAGAGCCCAAGAGACCTTGAGCATTGTTGTACTGCTGCACCTTCAGTCCCATCTCCTCACTAATGGCGTTCTTCTCTCTCTTCAACTTAGACACCTCGTCTTCGAGTTGCTTGACCTTGGGACGAAGAGTGGAAAGCTCTGATTGAAGGGCTTCTAGCTCGCGGCCCGCCTTTTCAGCCTTGGCCGATAGTTCAATCTTTTCCGCCTCAGCACGACGATAATCTCTACCGGCTACACGTTTCTCATCTTCGAGCTTAACTCGGGATATTTTTTCTGTGGCGAGTTTTTCGCTAAGTGATTTAATCTCGGATTCCCGATCAAACGTTAGGCGCTGAGATCTAGCGAGCTCGGCCTTCATATCCTTCTCACGCTTCTCAAGGTTGCGGAGCTCGTTCTGCTTAGAAGCCAGCTCCTCCTTGGTGGCCTTGAGCATAGCAGATTCTTGACGTAGGCTTTTAAGCTCAGGTTGAGCCTTGGTAAGTACTTCACGTAGCTCAGTGAGATCTTTGTAGCGACTTTGGGCCAATTGCTGAGCGGCACCTAAATCTGACTGCAGAGTTTGGGATCTACTCTTCAACTCGTCAAACTCGGCCTTTATGGAATCGAAATCAGCCTGCAACTTTGATTCGGCCTCGACGTTAGACGTAGATGAGGCTAACTCTTTCTGAAGCTCTGTAATCCGAGACTCCAGCACAGCCTTTTCAGATTCCAGACTCTTAATTCTTTCCTTAGCTTCCACGTGATCTTGACCAATGCTGATGAGGTTTTCTTGCATGTTCTCGATCTCTTCCCTCAGATCCTCCTCGGTCTTTCTTTGCTTAGACAACCGTTCAATTTGGGTGTCCTTCTGGAGTATTTCATCTTTGAGTTGAGTTACTTCAGCCTTGAGAGCCTCTGTCTCTGGACTCTGAAGAGGGGATAGTTGCGCTTGCTCGGAAGTTTCGCTGGGAGTAGCCTCTACCACGTTATTATTAGAAGCGCCGCCCTTCTTCTTTTTCTTCTTGTTCTTCTTAGAACCCCCAGTCGTCGTAGTGACTGTCGTTGGCACTCCTAAAGATCCAGACGGTGGTACTGAAGGGGATTTAGGAGCAGATTGGATTTGCTTGTTGAGCTGCTCGACTTTTGCTTCACTCTCAGACTTAGACTTCTTTATCGAATCGATCTCGCTGGTAAGATTTTGCACTTTCAATTCTAGCTCAGATTTCGCTTCGCCGAGTTTCTTTAGCTCAGCATCAAGTTCCGCATTCTTGTCACCGAAAGCTGCAAATTTAGCATCTCGCTCTTGTATAGCGGATGCTGCTTTGGATTTCTCATCCTCCGAATTAATCTCTAAGATTTTAAGCTGTGATTGAGTCTGTTCGAGCTTCTGGGTGAGTAGCTGGATTTCAGTGTTTTTGGCATCTAACTGGGCTTGTACTGAGTCCTGGATGTCGCCCTTGTCACGGCTTTCGCTGAGTTCTCGCGAGGCTTTCTCAAGACTCTCCACTAACCCAACGCTGTTCTCCTTGGCAACAGCTAACTCCTCCCTCAGGATATTGATCTCCGATGTGAGCTTAGTGATTTCTTCAGATTTCGATGCGACCTCGGCTTGCAACTGGGGAATCTCGTCGTCATAAGAGAACATGTCCTCTGACACATCCTTAGGCTCGTTGGCGGGAATCACTGGTTTCTGTTTAGGAGAAAAGACACTGAATATGGACGAGACTGGAGACTTGCTTGCTGATGGTGACGTTGTCTGCTTTGCTTCTTCGATTTTCTGTTCTGACGTCTCTTTTATCTGGCCATCCGTTGGTATCGTAGCAGTTTCAAGCTTAGCAACTTTCAAGGTTACGATTTGTTCTTGGAGAGCAATCAACTTCTTGTCAGCCTCTTCAGACTTTTTCTTGAAGTCATCTCTCTCGGCCGAAACGCGCTTAAACTCTTCCATAACCATGTCCCCTTTCAGATTCAACTGGTTTAAGTATTCTACAAGTGCAGTTGGGTCTTTAATAGTAGTCAAAGGTGTGTTTTCGCGCAAGGCTCGTTCGAATGGCTCAATGGACGTAGCTCGACCGTGAGCGATTCGGTATGATCGGAGTAGTTCTGGATAATTAGCGACGATGGCGCAAACAAGTAGGCATGTACCTAGTCTATGTGTAGCTAACCTGGGTAAGTAGATTCGAGCTTTTCCAGCTTTCTAAGCTTGGCTTTTATGTGAGACGGAAGTTCAGCCGGGGAAGAGGACAGAGCATCCTTAGATTTCTCATCTCTCGCGGCGTCCGCCTGAGTTTTGGCGTCGCCATTTTGCTTCTCGTCTAGAACTGTTCCCTCCTTGGCGGCATTATCGGACGGAGTTGTTTGGACATTCGTAGTCGCGAGAGGGGGGTCGGCATCTTCGTCGTCGAGAACGAAGGCAGCCTCGAAAACGGCCGGATCTGGGTTGGCGATTCCATCTGGGCTCAGAGTATCTTGGTTGGATTTCCTTGGCTTCCTCTTTGCAGGTGAGTTGGTACTATTAGTTCTCGAAACAGAACGTGGACGTTGGCCCTGGCCCAAGGCGGAAGGAGACCTGGAGTGGGATCTTTGCTCGGCAAGAGATCGCTGACGAGCTTGCTCTTCAGCAATACTACGATCGATAGCGCCTTTTATTCTCTATTGGTAGATTGGATGAAATGTTAAAAATACACGTTTATAAATAATTTAATAAATCCCGACGCAGGGGATGGGCGTGATTGGGGGGGTTGGTAGCCAGCGAGGAGAAAATAGACATACTGATAACATGATGGCTCGATGAACCGCCTCTAGGGCGCCGGTAACGGTAAGAGATGTAACGAGGTGGAGTTGAATATCGTGGCCATACAGAGTTGAATTATGAAAGGTGGAGAGTGACACATGAAGAAGTTGAAGGACTAGAGGTTACTGTACAGATGTTTCAGCTCCAAAGCTTGAGACTCTGGATGTTGTTCAATGATGTTTCGTTAATCTGACCAGACTAACCGAACCTACATATGTAAGTATCAAAGTACCTTATAATATCCATTAACACAGACAGATGCATCAACTTCAACATTGATTGAACCTAAAATGCGACAGATATATGTACGTATTAGGTATATAAGTACCTATATATCTATGTTTAGATAAATATCTTACTAGCTCTTACATAGCTGTCCTTAGGCAACTCGCGCAGCCAATAAGCGCGTATCGCATTGACTAACCCTGTCCTCTTTAACTCTTATTTCTAAATATTTACATTTTATGCTACTAAGTAGTACGCATACGTATTTCCATTTCCACTTTATGGCCTCGTCCCGTCATGTCGTCACAACTGTCATCAGGTCTCAATCTTTTTCTTGTCTAATCATTTCCTTGTAACCCAAACACTTTTGGGCTTGTTCTACATACTACCTACTATGCAATAGGTGTTGTAGGCTTTCTTTTGTAGTATTCTATTGATCGCCATTATTTTCCTTCCCTTCTTCTTTTCTTCTGGCTTTCCTCCAGTCGCTATGGTCACCGGACGATATTGAACTCCCTCCCCCATACATTAGGCACACATCACACACACGAGCACCATGGTGTCTCTTTGGCCCTGGAAGGTATGCTAAACAAATTTCCAACCTGTAAACATCTAATATCTAATGGTTACTAGGGCGACCACACTTCCCCTTCCATATTCGAAAAGACTCTCTCAACTCTCTCCAATAAGATCACCAACACTCAAGCCCTACTGGATCGCGTGCGAATCAACTCTCGTCGAATCAAAGTTCTTTGGACCCTTTATCTTGCTTTCGCCTATCTCGTCTATGCTATCGTCTTGACTTTAGTAGTGGGATGGCATAATCTGGGCCCTTGGGAATGGACTGGAATAGCTGGAGGTCCCGTTGTGTACGTTGCTACTTTGCCAAACCTCCTATACCACACTAACCTAATTTGCGCCGTGTAGAATCTACCTCGTAAGGACTTTAACCAACGCCTACTTCAGCTTTCGTATAGAGACCCTTGAGACCCGTTTGAAGGATCTCCAAGCCGATCGCGCAAAAACCATTCAGAAACTAAAGGATGCCACCAAATACGATTCAACCCTAGAGTTGTTAGAAAAATATGGCGGAGAGAGGCGAAAGCCATCCAAGAACCAAGGTCCAGACCAAGATGAGGGCAATGATCAGCCTAGCATACAGCCAAGGAAAGGTCGCCGTAGTACAGGATCTGAATTTCCTATGCAAAGAACCAATATCCCTCCTCCTCCCACCGCCAACATCCAGCGACCTTCTCATATGCCCCCTACTGCCCCACAACCTCGCCAAGTTTCATCTCCATTGCCGCAATCACGTCCGCCTCCGCCACAACAGCCAGTAACAGAAGAGTTCGCGCCCAACGCCCTCTCACGCACCTTTTCTCAGTATGAGTTAACTCCTGGGCCACCTCGCTGGTATGACCGTATCATGGACCTTATGCTCGGCGAGGATGAAATGGCGCCAAAGAATCGTCTTGTTTTGATATGCCAGAACTGCAGGCTCGTCAACGGCCAGGCTCCCCCTGGAACCAAGTCTCTAGCAGAGCTAGGGGCCTGGAAATGTATGTCTTGTGGGACTCTGAACGGAGAAATGGATGAGGGTAAAAAGATTATGCAACAAGTTCTCGGATCACCGAAGTTGAGCACTGGCTCAAGGAGCGATGACAGAAACAGTGACTCGTCGAGCGACCTAGTCAAGGTCGAAAATGATAGCGAAGGCGACGTGCCGCAAGCTGCTGAGCAGCTTAACTTGAAACAGCGAAACAAGAAGTCTCAGATGGTCCCGTAGCATAATATCCTAGTTCATTCAAATTACCCGTTATCACTTCTATTCAACTACGCCGCAGCCTCACTCCACCCCGAATACGTGTAGGAATCAAGTCGCCAAATCATTTACCTATCGAGTAGGGAAAGAAATATTTTAGGAATAGGGGTTGGATGGTGCATCTTGCACACGGGCCGGATCGCCCATCCGTCAATCCTTAGGTAGGCATATGCCCCCATATGCCTCCACCACGCCACGATACCTCGATCTGACTTAGCTGCTGTAGATCATCGACCCACGTCAACGACAAATTTGGCTCGTTCTCAACTATCATGGCGATATCGAGACGCTGGGATGTCGTAGTTCACATAGTAGTGTTAGTTATCACTTCAATTGTACCATTATGGCGAATGCTATCGTTCTCGTTAGGTGAAATGGATGTGTGAATGGTGTGAAGGGGGGAAGAACCGTGACGCCGCGTAAAGTGATTTGTTGTCAACCCTCTCCCGTTATATACCTAGCCGAGGGGCCTAGAAGCGGGATATTAAATCAGTCTACCCTAGGGGTTACATCGACTAGACATAGAAAGAGGTATGATGATGGGACTTCGAGCTTCTACGTACCTAGGTATACTGGCGATCGTCAGTAGCCCTGTCCTTCTCAGGACAGTGTCTTGAAGATTGCCTGCGAAGTACCTAGTAAGTACCTATAGGCTTCAGATGAGTATGACTGTTGCCCTCCTACTATTAGGTATACCGTATCATGCTTGGTTTTGAGGCTAAGGGGGGAATAGTGGCGTTTAGAATTATTTGACCGTATATTTAATGTTCTGGCGGTATGATGAATGATGAGACATAGTAGAGAGACGGCTGATAAGTTTCCACACGTTTGTAGGTATACTCCCCTGTGTAGGTACGAAAGCTAGATCTCCAGGGCTAAGTACCTACCCAAGTACGTAACGTACTAACCTAGGTCGTTTCGCAACCTCGTCCGGAGTTACGCATCGGTCAGGGGTTTCCCGATATCATGATCCTTCCATCTACATCGTGTACGCCCTTTGACGACCGTGGCTGAAGATTAGCAGATCTGAGCTACTCGGCTCGCGTTTCCGGATCCTACGCGCTTACCAAAGGAGGTCTCGCCTCGTGTACTTTATGATTACGTGCAGCGGCACTTTAATGGTGGCACGTCACCGCCGCCCTGTCAGACGCCTACATGTCTACCTATGCATGCAACCATATGCATCCATATGCCACAGTCAGCGAACGGTGAGCTGTCAAACGGTTCATGTGATTCGGGCCGGTGCAAATTAGCTCAGGGTCGTTATCGTCATATCATATTACATTATCACAGTGGTTAGTTCTTATGTAATGCGGTTAGAAGATGAATGAATAATCGACTCTACCTGCTATTCGTCCGTGTAGTCGGTGTGAGAATGTTGATCGCTACCTATTGTCTTGACCTTGGCAGGTGCCTAGGCTTGGTATCATATCATCTATGAAGAGGCCGGTGACTAGTGGTGAGCTCACTGCGCGGGATGGCGTTATGAGGTTGTAGATAGGGATTACTGAGCGCAGTTATACGCTTTCTTTACTCCGACGATAGTGTCTCTTTGGCGGAGGTAAGATGAAACGGGGAAAAGGTCATTAATAAGCCCCTGAGAATGGTGTTAGTGACAATGATGACCCTGGAGCATCATGTCGCCAAAAATGACCCCCTTTTTTTTTCTTTCGGATTTTAAGGGTGTACTTGAACGGGCGGCATTAACATCAAAATAGTGGCCCTTGTCGTTATTCTCGAAGTCATGTAGAACCCATACATGTACGATACGAGACATTGTCTCAGATACATAGATACATACTCCACATTGGTGGCCTCGCGTATCTGGCAGAAAACTTGGTAACAAGTTAAGCAATTGGGGTCACATAACTTTCACGTGCTAGAGCTACAATACAGGGTAGTATTTATTGCTATACAGTTACCTGATCGGGGGGTTGTCGTAGATCGTAGTGCGCATAGAGTAGTATTCGCCGATAGCCTAGCTTGCTAAAAGGCTTAGCCAGACATGTACGGCGAAACTCAATAACCACATTCAACGACAAAATGAGGGGGAAAAGGCGACACGGGCACCCTCTTTCCGGGGACATCTACCATCTACGGATGAGGATATATTGGTGCGGGGGATTCCAAGCGAACTAATTAACTGCCTTGCTTTAGAAGCTTCATATCACCAGGCTCGAAAGCGTTAATTACTACCTTCTATCTTCAGAGCGGTTCGCTTCCTCTCCTCAGCTAAACACTATATTGTCGTCTTCGTGACGACACGTGGACGCTAACCAAGCCTCTATTGACTCTTTCCAAGGCGCGCCATCGGACCTTTGGGTCTTTCTAGGAAGGTGAGGATTTTTAAGTGCACCTCAGCTTTTAAGTTGCTTGGTCGTGACTTTAGTTTGTGAAGTTTACTCCAACGCTCGTGATAATGGTATATAAAAAGCCTGGCCCGTGCTGTAAAGATGGTGCGTAATATACGGGATGTGAACTTGTGCTGGACCATCGACAAACCCCGAGATAACCTTGATTTGTGACCGCCGGCTCCTTGCAAAGTTATACTAGCCAGATTGCCTTACCGTGCCTACCGTCTACTTAGTTTAGCTTCGATCAGACAATGAAGGTTTCCGTTTCGCTTCTTTCTGCCACGCTGGCGGTTTTCGCCAATGCTAGCCCCTTGGTTCTAGACTATTCCGAGGACAAAGTCATTCAGCTGAAGCAGAGCTACTCCGCGAGTAACGCCGCCGGTATCCAAAAAAGGCAGTCAGCTGGGACCACCGCGAACGAGTTCCTCGACGGTGGATGTAAAGATGTTATCTTCATCTACGCCCGGGGTAGCACCCAGGACGGGAACGTTGTCAGCACCTACGTTTCCAATTTGTAACTTATCTCCCCACGAACACCCGCTAATATTCTTGACTGCCTAGGGAGATGACCCAGGCCCACAGACCATTGACCAACTCAAGGCCTCGCTTGGCGCGAGCAGCGTGGCAGCACAAGGTGTCGAGTACCCAGCGCTGCTAATCGACAACCTAAGATCGGGCGGGTGCGATCCCGAAGATGCGGACAACATGCGAGCCTTGATAACCAAGGCGGCAACACAATGCCCGTCGTCTAAGCTGGTCGTCTCGGGGTACAGTCAGGGGGCGGCCCTAGTGCACAGGTCGATCGAGTCGGCAACCGTCGAGGTCAAGAATCGAATATTCGCGGCGGTGACGTTCGGCGATACGCAGAAGTCGCAGGATGGGGGGCAGGTTCCGAATTTCGACGCGAGCAAGACTTTGATCCTGTGCCACGATGGCGACAGAGTCTGTGATGGCACGTTGATTGTCACGGATGCTCACTCAGATTACCATGATCTTGCTCCGGAGGCGGTCGATTTCATCGTTAGTAAGGTGTAATATAGGTGTCTGGAATGGGGAATCTAGGTTAAAATAGCGTCAGTTAGTTAGGTAGTCCAATCAAGTTTAAAATTGGAACACGTATTTAGTTTTGCGCGTGAGGGAATTAGGAGAATGGCATCTAGACATTGTAGAGGTATCATATCGGTAAATGATGCTCAAAATGAATTGGGCATTGGAACAGTGTAGATGTTCCATGAACAACTAGGAGGTTGCAAAATATAACCTAAGTGTATAGAAAAGAAGAAGGGGGTGGTTGTTGATGTACTATATAGGTAGTGTCAACAGACAGTTAGAAGGATACTGTGGTGAGAGCTACCTTAGCAATCTGATCACTGATTAGCTCTACGGCTAGATGGATGCCTAATTGTTAGCCTGAGTGACTAGGCACCTTGCCGAAGGCTATTGATTTATAACTCCCGAAGCTATTTTCGTGATGGTGTGCCCATCGTAGAGTATACTGTGCCTCAAATATAGGCCTCGTTGTAACGAAGAGAAAGTTTTTGGCAATATTTTTATTGTTCACTATTTAGTAGACATATATAGAAATGTATAGGTAGATGGTCATGAAATAATACTCTATTGTAGAGCTCATAAAGGCGCCGTCAAGATAGATATAACCTCCTACTAATACATGTCCATATACCAAATGACCAACCACATGGCAGTTTGACTGCCCATGTAGGTATGTAGGAAATTAATATACAGCTTATAACCTTATACTGCCTCCTATCCTCATTTGCCTCGTCAATGAAGAATGAAATGTTCGCCGTCCAAAAAAAAAAAAGTGCTAGCCACCAATCCTATACGTATGTAAATATTTGCTGTTCTCCTGGGAAATGAATCTAGTGAGAATAGCTGCCTCTAAATTCTTCTAGGTCTAGTTAGCCTTCATTCATGACCAGATGTAGTCAATCTGGGATATAGATAGTCATTCTATCTAGGAGTTTGTATCGAGTGGGCTAACTGAGCAGCCTGGGAGACTGTGCTAGACTCTCCGACATTATCCAGGAAAACCACTCTGCTCAAGTCTGCCCTAATTTTCTTAAGGTCGACCTCGAGGTCATGTAAACCATAGTTCCTAACCTTGTCACTCCACCTGCGCACATATGCGTCAAGAGCTTGTGTCCTGATCTGCAATAGCAGCTTCATAATCATTTGCTGATCTAATGGGTCCATGATTTCGAATGTGCCGATTCTGGCAAATCGAGTATCCTGTCCCTGCTGCGAAGCGAGGTTTGCAGCCATCTTATTCCCGATAAAACAGGGTGTCGACACTGCGGACATAGTAAGGTGGGATGGTTTACTGGATCCTCCTCCTCCTGCCAAGTCTGCGGCGATGCTCAGTAGCATCTTTGAGAGCTGCTCTACGACAAGCAAGAGGAGAACGGCCAAATCGTGGGAGAGAGTGCAGGCTAACGGACAATTCTCCGCCATTATCAAGTGGGTCATTGATTTCTCGAAGACAGCCAAGAAGTCCTCGACCTTGACACAGTTAAATGAAAGCCCGTCAGGTCTTGTTCCAGAACCCAACACACACTCTCCGCCCCATGTCCAACTTCGGAGGATGGATATGGAAGATGTCATCGCCTGTAAACACTTGCATTGACTCGGAGTCCCCCAGCCGGATCCCCAGGTATCGGGCATCAGGTCTTGCATATCTTGCATGTCTTGCATAGCGTGAAGGTCTGGCATGGATATGGATGTAGGGAGGTCGTGGCCCATTACACTGTCCTCCCCAATCCCGCTGTCCCTTGACTTGGGAGAGCGACCTTCGCTACCATCGCACATTTTTTCATCGTCCCCCAACCCTTCGACCTGTAATGGCGGGAGATATAATGGCTCTGGTAGCTCTGTGTGTGGTGAAGTGGCCACTACGTCTATATGTGACCCGAGAGCTTCTGTTATGGTGGGAGAATTCTGTAGTTGTAACCATCCATCGAAGTCGAGCCCGAGATTGTCGTCGGCAACGAACTCGTCTGTGACAAATTGGGATTCGTCGCTGCTTTTCTGATCTGGCGGAGAAGGCGCCGACGATTCCGATGAGCTATTCTCTAAGCTCGCTTGTTCTGGGGATGGGGCTCTGGTTGAGGTTCTACTCTTGCGGCCGCCGACGTCCACAGAAGAGTTGGCGCGAGTATGTCGTTGGTTTTGGTTGTTGGTATATAGACAGGGCTTTGCAAGGCGTTTGCATCGATCACAATTCTTTCCGTCGAGCTTCCCGCTGCACCTCACTCGGGAAATACGGCATTCTTTGCATGCCAGACCTCTTCCATATCTACCGAGTTCGGCGCGGAACTCGGTTGAAGGTGACTTCTCACCTTTGTTGAAGGCAATGATACCGTACATGACGACCCGATGGGTTGGAAAGAAGCAATACTGAAATGCAAAGCAACCAGCCGATGCAACCGCCGAGTTAGTTGAATGTGACAATAAGTTGCGTTTTTGGCCTATGAACCTCTAGATATACTAATGACCCATTGCCACGGTATTTGATCGACCTTAACCAGCCAACCCCGGAGAGTTAAAGAGAGAAGTGGGTATCAGCTTGTTTCGCAGCACGCTCCGTGATAGCTCAGATGTACTGGATATGACAATGCAGTTAAGTCTTAGCTGACCGGCTGTTTTGGGTAATGAACTACCTAAGTACGTGATAAGTGGTAGCACGGTACGGCAGACTCTGAGTCTAGGCTGACCACCACGAGATAACGTAAATCAATCTTGTAGATTTGCATAATCACGTTTTCACATGTTCCCACCCCTCGTCCAACGAGGGATTATACTTAAATTTACGACAGGGTAGGTCAAGATCAGGCCAGAACCCCCGAGAACAAGGTACTGCGATTGCATAATATCAAGTAACCTCAAGTAGGTTAGATACCTGCCTTACCCAACCAACTTGGGTGCGTGGAATTTCAAGACTCTTATCCCAATCCAGTGATAAGGTCACTATAGAGTTGAAGAAAGACTAGAAAGGGGGATCTACCGAGTAATCTACCAAGAAGCTTGCCATATCAAGATAAAATAGGAGCTTGCATACCTAGTCGAGCAGTATAGCATGCATCGACAGGAGGTATGCAACGTATAAGATTAGGTAAACTGTTAGAATTATACCACCCTATCAGGACACCCGAGACAGTCGTATAACATGATATAACATGATAGTGACGACGAAGGATTTGGATCCTCGATTCTTTAAAACAAAGCCCTGGAAGACCTTCAAGGTAGTATGATTCCGGGGTGCGGATGTGCCGGAGGGGTGATGACGAAGCGCTGTTAAGTTCTGTATTCGCGTATTGTAAGATCACTGATGACTTTGGAATATAGTTACATCAAGGTACGCGATACATGATAAGTCACGTGGTAGGACTGTTCACGTGATATTTTACGAAAGTTCGTATATATCGGGGCTATTGAAGCTATCGTGACGAATCCCAGGGGCAGATCCAGCTCCAGACCCAGTGTTGGGGAAACCCAGAATGATTCTAATGAGCGTTCCATAACCTGTAAGGTTTAATACAGCTTCTAAATACGACTGGGAGCCACTTTCGAGATAACCTTGCGTCACAAACCGTTCACCTGAAAAAACGCATCTCCATCCGAATTTTCGCACGGACTGCCAATCGGTATGAGGCGATGATACGCCGTCTGCGCTTACTGTGTACAGCCACACGGGAGGACCCGCAACGGCGTAATTGACGGAAACTTACCCAGGTAGCCCCAGGGAAGGTACCTAGTTTATCTACCCTACAACCATACATAAATCTGCCGCGAGACGTGGTTTAAACAAGATGTAGGCCCCCACGAATTTCGACGGAAACAAAACAAACGGACGAACGGAGTCGGAACGAACGACGAACCCGAAAACCAAAAACCAACCAACAAACCAACCAACGGAATAGGACAAAATGCAAATAAGATACTGCCTAGACCTAGTAACCGGTGGGTCGGCTGAGAGCCTTACATACCTACCAGTAAGCGGCGCCTTTTCCGCAACACATTCCGCAATAACTATGTGTATGTAGGTGTGTATGTAGGTGCTCAAAAGTAAGCATCGGGATGATTATGTTGATTAGGATGGATCACTGATATCAAAACAAGCTCTAATAAATGGGGCTCGGGCACTAGGTTAGGGCACTAGGTTTAGGGCTATCAAAGAAAAGAGGCATAGCCCTGGAGCCTGGAGGTACCTAAGTAACTAGCCTACCTCCCTAGGACCTAGGTAAGATCCGTCTCCCTTGGCCCTTGAAACTGTCCGAGCGATGGATTTTAGCGGCAGGCAGACTAAGGCAGACTTTTGAGTACTATGCAGTAGGATTACGTATGATGATCGCCAAGGGAACCAGTGAATTGTCGCTGGAATCCACGTGACACCCCTTAGCGTCTACACGTTTTATACACCCATGAACCGAATTCGGCCAATAGGCCTCGAATCGCTCATAATCGAAGATGATCCATTGGATATACCCTAGGTATTTTTATCGCACCGATTAAGAATACACTAACAGTTCTAGCCCGACCACGCGGGGATTCCGATGCTAGCTTTGTTTTCAGGGTTATTTAGAGTTAGTTTCCTCGGTGGATTTCATCCCGCATCGATTAAGCCTTGTAGATTTTATTTAAGCCCTGGAGATTTGCATATAGTTCGGTTTCAGTTCGTTACATATCCATATGACTCCTCCTTTAGGTATGATTTATGGTAGTTCCTAGTAACTTCCTACGAGGGTCCTACGAGGATGACAAAGCTGTATTAGGTAAGGTCGGTTACCATACCCGTGCCCCCCACCGAAACTGAATTCAGATGCCGGCTTAGTGCTTACTATGTACCTGCTCGTACTACTCGTACCGACGCTGTGTCTCAGGGGTGGTCCTTGTCCGCAAGTACCGAGAATCATTATGACCCATACCACATGTACGTAACATTGTAACTAGTTACATGAATCCCAATACAAGTCTACAACGTGTTTTACCCGTGCTCTGCGAGTGGCGCCCTTTTCTAAGTATAGCAACCCGGTTTTAACCCTCGCTTATTATTCCGAAGCAGGAATGAAGCCCTAGCAGGCCCTAGTTTGCCCTAGGCTCCTAGACTCCTAGGCTCCTAGGCTCCTAGGCTCCTAACTAGGCTACTCCTAGCATGCCCTACTACCTATGCCGTACACACATGGGATCTTATCCGGTACCTATATCTTTGTGCATCTTTAGAAGCCGAACAAGCACTAATACGAAAACGACCAATAGATATTGATTACGTGTACACCGATTACCAAGAACTGTGTAAGTGGTATAGCTGAAGTCTTCCGAGGCAAGTTACCTATCTATCCTCACCAAACCTTGATTGTGGATGCAACATCGCTATCGCATCTGTCGTTGGTAACAACTAGTGCAGAAGATCTGAACGACATCTTGGCACACATGGCATGGGGCTCTTAATCCACTCATTATCTGCACCGATGATGTGAGAATCGTATACAGTCACCACCGCGATAACGCCTTCGTTGGCAAAATGAGCAGCCAAGAAAAAGAGATAATGGATATCTTATATCTTATAACCACTAGTGATTACGCTGAGCACCTTGAGCACCTTGCCGCGGAGTTATTTCATTCAAGCTGTTAAACACGTCTAGTCATTCTTCTCTGGAGGAGCAATCTTCTATGGATACTTGATAGGTACTTGGCTACAAGTGTATATACTGTACATTCGTGGACCCTCTAATGTCTTAAACAGGATTCTACATGGGTTTCCAATCTCTAATGAAAAGCGAACTCGCCCCCAAAGACCGAAACAGGCTCCCACGACAACCTATAGGGATCTTAGCCACCAGTGGCCTCTATCCCAATCAATCTATATAAACTAGACAATGGGGCAAAATGGCCCCGTATCAGACGCCTCTCTAAATCTCTACTGTGGAACGTACATGATCTTCGTTTCGTGGACATCTTGTCCTTCGGGGCCGAGGTATCGACCTGTCTTAAAGCTACGCAATGGTTTAGCACTTTGCCAGTGCTATGATATCATCTTATTTGGGGTCCAGGAGAAACTCACCTCCAGTGTAAATTACCCAGAGCAACACAACGGCAGGCCTCGGCGAAACCAAGAGCCTCAGCATCTATCTTCTCCCCGTAGGAAGGCAGTTCCGCGAGCGCGGTATACCACCGCTTGTAGCAGTTGTCGATCATGCCGCCGATGTGATCAACCGCTTCCTGTAGAGTCTTGTTTTGCTCCATCAGGAGAGCGATTAAGTTATGGTCGACACCGAGTTCCTAAGCAAAAAAAGAAATCAGCCTACCAAATTTCAAAATTTCTGGTTTTAAGGGTTACGTACCAAGTCTTTGCGATATGATAGCACGTCATTGACCCTAGATATTCTGGTTAGCAGCCATATACACGACATTGACCCCAAATCGTATATCTTTCTGATTTTGCTCACAAAAGTACTAGGTCTGCTGATACGCGCATGCATTCCTGCATCGAGTTGTGGGAAAAGACGCTCTCGGGCAGCTTGAGTCCTAGGCCGTATTCCGTGAGCGCGATAGCAGGGTATGCCCCGATCGTTCCCCGACGAACTTCTATATATGTGTCCACGTCACGGCTCAGAGTCTGCCCGCTAGCCTCTTGCTTCACCTGTATCACTAACTGGTCGAAAAATCTCACGTGCTGCTCCCTGTACCGTTGCTGTAGTTCTGTTTCCCGGTTAGTTGGAGATATCGGTCGTACAGATTTGAATTTTTAAAGGAGAAAAACACATACCTAGGGATGCTCTTTTCTTCAAACGCAGCCAGCACGTCTGGAAGACATATCGGATCGGGTTATCGCCCGGCTTAATCAAAGGTGCACCTTCATCCATAATTGCCGTGGTTTTATCGACCTCGTCCTGCGCGGCAACCGGATCGGTCTTTAGGTGGCCTTCATCAAACTCTTCAGGGGTAAGACAGTTAGCGAAGCGGGGGGGGTTATTGACTAGTGCACATACGGTCATCAAAGAGAAACACCTGAAAGTTACTCATTAGTACACCGTGCACAAGATATGGCAGAAAATAGGGGGCAGAAAATAAGGGGAAGAACAAACCCAGTGGTTCCAATCCAGCATCATCCGGAGAGCTTCTTCATCCGCGAATGGTGCCCATATCGACGCAAGGAAACACAGGTCTACCCTGACATTCCTTGCAGCGGCTTTCTCGTCAAAGTTCATAATTCTAGAGGGAGAAATTAGCCAAGATATTGCAGATTATGCTGCTAGTAAATACCTTGCAATCCATCGATCACCCTCGGCTTTCACCTTGAAGTAATTCGGGTTCACTACTGGCTTCGTGGCCATTATGGAAGAAAACATGTCTGGGACTCGAACAGACCGATACCCCTTCGGCTGCTCGATGGACTCAGGCAGGTCTGACATCGAAGTCTCGCTGGACTGCGGGAAGCTCGAAACTTCGGACATAGCGGGCGAAGCATCGGGTGAGTGTTCTAAGATGGTACTGGGAGCCATGATGATCGATTTTAGGTATTTAGTTAAAGTATTTACAGCAAGGATCAACATGCCTTGTGTGATGCTCTTAGTTTGGATGTTCAGGTGCTGCATATATATCGTAAGAAATATCACCGCCCTGTATGCCGCTTCGAAATGGGAAGCATATCTACTTAGATACCTATTACACGTATTTGCCGTTGTGAATGCATAGACACGAATCATGACTGCCTAGGTAGGCTATCATGGCAACTGGGCATTGCCTAGAATAGTAAAAGGTTCTAGAAACGTGAGATGCTACCCAAAGGGGTCACATGTCCCGATAGAGATGATTGATGAAAAATAAATATTTTATCTATTGAAGTTGAAAAGGGTAATTCCCGATAGAGTGGAATCGCTTCAAGTTCGGCTTTATTGTCACGGTACTAGGTATCTAGTACTGCGGTACTACCTAGTAGTAGGTACATACATGTAGGTACTGTGTAAGGTACCTACATACTAGGTACAGTATCCTTAATGCCGATTGAGGTGGCGTAAAGCCTGCTTTCAGGTTTACTTCCTGGTTCCCTGCCTTAGGTATCTAGTGAGTGCAACCTGCCACCTACCTACTCTGCAGTAGCACCTGAGACCATTTATGCCCTATCCCTATCCATGCCAAACTAAACTTCCAAGGTTATCCTGAGTTTTTTTTCAACCTTACCCTTACCCATACCTATACTCTATTCCCTTAGCCTTGCGCTATTTCGTTTTACAGCCCGACTAACTGCCTAGCGTACCCAGGGGACTTCGATTGCGACATCACTATCCCTTCATTATCATCGTCATAATATAGTTCTCATCATGCCAACACCCTGCCCCTTCGACCCCGAGCTGGGCAAGCTCCTCGCCGGCGCGCCGCCCGAGTACTGCGGCACACACACCCCGGAGTCCATCCGCAAGGTCGCCGCCCTCTACTCGACGCCCACCCAAACCATGGAAGAGTTCATCGGCGACCGCCCCATCCAGGCCGTCGACTACACGGTGCCGGGGTACCAGGGCGCCGAGATCGGGATCACGGTCTTCACACGGAAGGACCGGAAGCTAGCGCCCGGCACCGCGCCGGCGTTCTACTACATGCACGGCGGCGGCATGGTGATGGGGTTCCGCACGATGAACTCGGAGTTCCTGCTCCCCTACGTCGAGCAGTTCGACGGCGTCTTCGCCGCCGTCGAGTACCGGCTCGCGCCGCAGCACCCGCACCCCGTCCCCGTCGAGGACTGCTACGCGGGCCTCGCGTGGTTCTCCCAGCAGGGCGAGAAGCTAGGGTTCGACCCGAAGCGCATCATGGTGGTGGGATGCAGCTCGGGGGCTGGGCTGGCGGCGGGGACCGCGCTGCTGGCGCGCGACCGGGGCGGGCCGCACATCGCGTGGCAGCTGCTGTTGGCCCCGATGCTCGACGACCGCAACGCGACGCTGTCGACGCGCCAGTACGAGGCGCACGGCGTGTGGAACGCGACGTCGAACGCGACGGGGTGGGGCGCTCTGCTGGGTGACAAGGTCGGCGGGCCCGACGTGCCCATCTACGCGGCGCCGGCGCGCGCCGTCGACACGGAGCTGGGGCTCGCGAACCTGCCGGCCACCTTCCTCGACGTCGGCAGCGCCGAGGTGTTCCGCGACGAGGTGGTCGCGTACGCGACCGGGATCTGGGCCGTCGGCGGCACGGCGGACTTGCATATCTGGGCGGGCGGGTTCCACGGCTTCGACATGTGGGGGTTCCCGCGGCTGGCGCGCGAGGCCCTAGCGGCGCGGCAGAACTGGGTCCGCCGGATGCTCGAGTGGGATTCTGTTTCTGAGTCGTTCGCTGTTCCTTTGTGATGCGATGCGACGCAATGAGGCTGAAAATGGTAGAAAGAAGAAGATCAATGAATGATCGATCGCCAAGGCAAGTCCTCTAGCTTGTGGGCTCGGTACCTAGATAGAGGGATGCCTAGTACCAAGATATGCAGTTCCATTATACGAGTCCACGCATGTTACATTGCATTTGCACATCGCATTTCATTAAGAAATATATAGATGCTGCTTATTTATGAATTGTTGAAATTTTGCATTTTGTCTATGTTCCCTATGGTTCTGACTTATATCCCACGGCTAACCTCTCCCGACTTTCCCGGGTAAGGTACCTTAACTTACATTTTCAACCAGCTTCGGAAGCTGTCATATTGATCCAGCGCCACCAGATCCTCCTCAGCCAACATGACGTAGACCTCAATAGCCTCATCTTCGCCGGGCAGGGTTCGTCGTCGCGGAAGGACCACAATGTTGCCGTCGTTGTAGTCCGCGTACGGGTAGCGCACGAAGACGGGCGTGCCAGGCGCCTTGCTGCCGTCGCTGCTATCCCCGCTAAATGCCGGGCCGAAGTCACATTCGTACAAGGGCAGGTTCGCCCAGCTCGAGGCCATGAAATTGACGCGGTGAGGGCTCAGCCACCCGGGTCCGACATCGCTGGTGTCTTGCACCTGCTGCAGCGCGCTGAGAAGCCCGCTGATGTGGTCCTTGGTGATCCTGGCTGCAGCGTCAGCTACGACCTGGACGACCGGGGCTAAGGATGCGATCGCGTTGCTCGAGCTGTGCGCGCCAGCTGCGTTTAATATGTCGAGCGGCATATCGACGGAGGATATCAGCACGACGTTGCCGAGATAAGGCCCTGGCTCGTCGATGGCCCGGTCTAGACGCTTTCTCCCGTCGACCGCGAGAGAAAAACGCGATAAATCCGTCGCTGGCTTTTGATGACGCCATCTGAGACGTATGTAAGTAATACTCGACCAGATTATGGCGTTCAGAATCGAGTTAATGGTCACAGGCCAAGAGATCTCGCTCTGATCGGTAAGCACCTTCTTCGCATGTTCCAGTTTGGCCCCCGAGAAGGTGAATATTCGACTTGCACATTTGGGCCCCGCGGCCGTCATGGACAGCAGCGCCATGAGATTCTGTCCAAATGCATGGTCGGTTTGATAGCGCTGGACCAGATCTTCCAGGCTAACGGCTCCACCCGCTCCATTTGCACTGGCAGCCGCCACTAATCTAGCGCTTCGTGCTAGAGGTTCTTCGGGATCTGGAAACCTTGCTAGCGACGCCTTAGCCTCAGTGCCGTTACTTCGTCGAGTAAAGTCGGCCCACATCTCGGTCAGGGTTGCGAGTCCCCGGCCATCCATCACGCCGTGGTGGACGCACATATTAAGCACCAGTCCCCCGTCCTCGAGCGGGATGTACGTTGCCTCGAACACAGGTTGAGGCGAACGCGATGAAACGTCTACAAAGAGGGGTAGGGATACGATGTCGGTAGGGAAGAAGTGAGCCGGGGCCCCCGACCCCTTCATCGTTGCAAGGCTAGGGAGCTTGTTCGCCATGTGGTGTTCCTGAAGTTTTAGGTCTGGGTCGTCGTCTGGCGACCAGGATATCACTAGCCGCGTCGTCAATGACACTTCATCCTCGCTAACCTCTGTCGGATAGGAAACTCGACCCTTTAGATAGGGCACTGCTGTTCCGAGCTTAGACAATCCCTTAGCAAGGCGTTGTATCGCTTCATCGAGATTAGGCGCATGAAGCACAAGAGACCAGTGAAGATAGACTAGGGCGTTCAGCCGATCAAGTGGCGATATGAAGACCCTCTTGGCCTCCCCATCCCTGAAATCGACCATTATGCAATTCTATCTGTTGGTAAACGATATCAAGTACCCTCGTATAGTTTAACAACGTTCCTAAGATCGACACACTATCTTGCCGTCGTTACATTCAGTTAATCTGAGTACACAAGTTCTACAATCCAGCGTATTCGTTTTCGAAGAACCTTCGTTTCTACCCTCTCTCTGTAGATTGATGATTACTAAGATGCAGTTTGCATCATCTCGGCAGATGATTACCCAGACCGAATCATCGATGAATAAGCTGAGCGGTTTGATAACTTTGGCATTTCCTATAAATGGTAATCACCGGCGGTTTCTATTGTCGTTGAGAGCTCTCACGGAGTTGGCAGTGAATATGAATTAACCCCAGCGTATAGTCTATAGTCGTTTATATTCCCAGCCATGAATTGAATGGATCCGTAGATTTGATGAATAATCCGACTTATTAACTTAGTTGCACTTCTTCCACATTGAATTTAGAGTAGCAGTAGCTGCCTAAGATAGTATATGCAAAGATGACTGCAGTCTTTAGGCAGTTTCTGCCTCTGGATCTAGTATACGCACGTGGGATAGTGCTGCCTCACGACACAACGTCTTTGATCATTGGGATCATCACCCTTGTTCTAACAGGAGTTTATTTTTTTCGCAGCAAGGGCCCTTCATATGCCGAATTCCCACTTGCTACACTAGAAGGCGAAAGCGCGAGGGATAGTTGGTTTAATAATGGACGGAAGCTTATGCTGGTGGCACTCGAGAAGGTATTGTCCCCTGTCCGTATTACCCGAATGTGAAAATAATAGAGGAGTGGCGCTGTGCAGTATTCGAACCGACCCTTCAAAGTCATCACCGGTACTGGTCCTAAGATCATAGTGCCAAACCGGTTTGCAGACGAACTACGGAACAATCCGGCCCTGAACTTCAATAAGGCTTTCATCCATGACTTCTTCCCAGAATACCCTGGCATGCAACCCCTGAAGGAGTTTTCGGCCCACGACTCGATTACGGCCGAAACGATTCGAACGAAGCTGACACAATCGCTTGGATTGGTCACCGAAGACCTCGTTGACGAGACGACATCATGTCTGCACGACTTATATGGTGATAATCTGGATGGGGAATGGCGTACTACGGTGCTGAAGGAAAGCGTGCTCGATATGGTCGTAAGACTGAGCAGCAGGGTTTTCCTCGGCAAAAATCTGTGCCGGGAGCAGAAGTGGTTGACTATCGCCAAGACCTATGCCGTGGATGCCGTTACAGCTACGTTTGCTTTGCGCCGGGTGCCTAGTATTCTACGGTTGTTTGCTGTGAGCACACGCCCTTTTATTTCCCAGCTTCAGTTGCTTTGATTTTGGTTGCCATCTTCTAATACGACTTCGTAGCATTGGTTTATGGCAGAATTCCGCCGCTGTCGGCAAGCGGTTAGGGAGGCGCACCTGATGATTGATGCCGAAGTAGCTAAACGCAAGACTATCGTGGACGAGTGCATTGCAGCGGGCAAGAAGCCCCCAAAGGTGGCTGACGCCATCGGGTGGATGCACGAAACGGCTTTGGCGCGCAAAGTAAAAGTCGAGTATGTGGATGCGCAGCTGTCTCTAAGCATGGCAGCTATTCACACTACGACTGAAGTTACTTGCCAAGCCATTTTCGACGTTTGTAGTCATCCGGAAGTTCTGCAACCCCTACGTGACGAGATCATCGAGGTTATTGGCAAGAATGGCTGGTCCAAGACGAGTCTATACCGTTTGAAATTCATGGATAGCTTCTTGAAGGAGTCTTCGAGAGCCAGGCCGAGAAATTTGGGTACGTTTAAACAGAGTGAATGCGAGATGATGATTTCAAAAAAAACTAACTCTCCTTTACACGCAGCTGTAGTAAATCGCCACGTCGAATCGGATGTCCAACTCTCTGATGGTTCCGTTTTGCCAAAGAACTCGCTCTGCATTGTACTTGCTGACTTCTCCAATCCGAAATTCTACCCAGAGCCGGAGAAATTTGACGCATGGCGGTTTATCAGGGCCCAGGAACGGCCGGGAGAGGAGAACGCATGGTCAATGGTTTCAGTGGCTGCCGAGCAGATGTCTTTCGGGATCGGTAAGCACGCGTGCCCTGGACGCTTTTTCGCTGTCAACGAGGTCAAAATCGCACTCTGCCACCTCCTGCTGAAGTACGACTGGCGATTTGTGCCCGGTAAGGGCAGACCAGTTTCTACTAGTTTCGAGCTAGAGGATAGCATCAGTACTACGGGTGAGATGCAGTACAAGAGGAGACAGGAGGAGGTCAATCTGGATCTTGCTATTTAATTTCCGTGTTATTGTTATTGTTATTGCTGTCGGATAAAAAGGGATGAGAGATGAAAAATGAGGGAGGGGAGCTATTACGATTAGGTGATTGCGATGGCGGGGTTTGATTACACTAGATGATCACGTGGCCATTTCATTTCCTTTCATTTCGTAATAAAACTGAATTTGATAAACTTTTGCCCCAATACATACATGCAATGCAGCATCTCAGATTTTGCAGGATCACGTTAAATGCTTTCATATTTTCAAAGGCTATTGAATCGGTAGCTACTAGGCATCAAATTGACCTTGTAGCAGAATATCTACTTTATGAACATAAAGTATGAATTGAGTATGAACTGCAGTCAATCGACGCCGACTTAATACCTACCTAGGTAGACAATCGTGACGTTTTGTGTCAAAACACCATGTAAAATCACGAGATGGAATGATGAACCAGAAAGGGTCTTGACGATGCGATATAATTGCTAATCCATGAGTTCCTGCTCTAGGTGGGTACCTAAGGTATGTCTATACACTTCTAGCCAAACTTCCACCAGCCAAGCATTAATCAATTCGCAGCAAATTGATCCAGCTCAGTCTTGATTAACTGCCAAGTCTCCCTTCTGAGGTACGCGTGTACCCAGTAGTCACCATCTTGATCCTTTCCATAGATAACAAACGTATCCCTTGGGTTATCATCTACCGCTAGCGTGGTACCCCAGAATCCCACAGGCTTGGCTCTACTAACCGAACTTTTCTCTTGCGTCGTAATCGCCGCAGGTCCAAAATCTGCGCGATCGAGAAACCGGGCTTTGCTCCAATTTGTGCAGGCGATGATCCTCGTGGTATCCCAGCTTGCGAACAGGGGCATCGAGCCGAGACTCGAAAACCACGTGCGTGCGATGCGCATGAGGCTGCGTACCTGGTCTTCGCTCGTCTGCTCCACGATGGAGTCGCGGATCTTCAACGCTATCTGAGAAACGCCCAGACTCCCCGCCTCCTCCGTAGTAAGCAGAGTGGTGCTGGGGAGAATTAAGTTCTGCAGGTATGCCTTGGCGCGTGAGTGCGAAGATCCGAGAAGACCGAGGCGCTTTCGCATGTCGAAGACGTTGCAAATAACTGCCGTCCCTTTCGACGACGAAGATGACAGGACCATCCGCGAACCCCAGGCCGTTATCAAGTCGCCATCGCTCACGAAGGGTGCTGGCTGGGCCGTATTCTCTTTACCGACAGTCCTCAACTCTCTCGCGGCTTTTCGGCGAAGGTGCGCCATAAAGTTGGCAGGTAGATAAATATGATGCGTCTCAATGTTTCGATTAATTAGGCTATCCAAGCCATATCGGCCCAGAAAAGCAATCAGTGACATCCCCGTTGTCTGCTGGTCATCTAGAACGAATCGGGTACGTTTTGCTATCTTGTCGTCGGCATCGCCCACCTGTGCAGAAATATCGTCCCTGGCCCCTTCGAAATCCATATCGAGCGATTCTGCATTTCCATCATAAAGGACACGGGTCCAAGCCCGTAGCAAGTCTGACGTGCCCATAGCGTCTGACAGCGAGTGCGGGAAAGTGAAACTAACTATCGTGCCATCGGTGAAAGAGGTGACGTGCAGACAGATAAGCGGCTCATCAGTAGAGAGATAGTGCTTGATGTTATTCGGAAGTATTGACGGGATGCTGAACTCGCGGAATGCGTGACAACCCTCATGGACTGACGGTTTGTTACCAGTCTTCTTAGGGAGGCGGCTCGCAAGCGGGTGAGCATCCATGGCCATGCCATGCTTCACGTGCGAAAAGCGGATAGGGGGCCGCTGGCGGGTGAATTGCAATGGAACATGGATTTCCAATTTGCCTTCTTGCTATCAGGAATATGTTAGCCATACGTTCAATCATTACTCGATGCTGCACTTTGACTACCTCATCTTGGACTGGGCACTGCACTTACATTCTGACGGAGTCTACCCGCTAATTTTTTCCAGTCTCCAGTGGTCAACAGGATGACCAAAGAATCACGCAGTTTCCGTGCATCCAGAACATGGTTGTATCGAAAGGTGTAGCTAATGAGAGACGATCGTACAATGCTGGCTTGATCGATGAAGTGGACTGGGTAGATTTCGTCTGTTTGTTGCGGTGGGGGCGGGTTTATTTCCTCACTAACTACATCTACGAGGCGGGTACCAAAAATTCGAGAAAACATCTTCTCGTTCTTTGCCTTGTAAATTATGAGCTTTTCAACCAAGGTACTGACATACCAGGCGAGAAAGATTGAGCTCAAAAGTGTTGTGACAGGCATTGTATTGTGTTTGGCAGTGTTATTGATCGATCCAAAAAGACTGCAGGAATTCAAAATCAAAGTATTATCATCAGCTTCCTTTTCATTGACGACTGGGGCTGTTGATATGCCTATTCGTCAGCATATGGGCTGGTACGCATCCAGACAACCTGCTATCTACATGTTATACAGCCTGAAACATTCATCTAGTCCTATCTAGAGTTTGTCTTTTCCTAACAATAATTGGTCAACAGTCTTGTCCACGGTGATTACCTTTTTAATTCTCCCTTTTATAACTCTAGGAAAAGGGGGGGTGTATTACATAAGACGCAGGACTATCAGTTGCACGGCCGCTAACCCGAAGGAGCAAACCGCATAGGGAAAACCCCTTCTACACGCGAATCTACACATGTGTATGGCATCGAATGAGTTTCAGTACATACGCGTGAACTAAAGTAGGGAGAACATCACAATTGAGCACCGCGATGGGCTGATCCAACTACCGTCTTGGGGTATATGCCCTTTTCAGCTTCTAGAATCTCAGCCTTTAACTATGACCTATTCTCTTATGACTGATCCAAATATACTCTCACATCATCACACAACTTATTCATCTGTATTAGGGGAATAAACTTGTCATTCCCCTTGACAAGACCGCCACCATGAGTGTCCAAGACATCCCCATATCTGTACTCTCTAAGATACAGTCGGTCATCCAAAGTCGTGATGGATTACCCATACCGGCTGCGTTTATACAAGACAAGATAGGCGCTATCTCCGGTAAGATAGCGAGCGGTAGCTTCGAGGACCTCAACCTTAACGATGCCGGGTTCGTTGCAGGCGCTTTCTTGCTTGGCTACACAGTATACGGTTTGCTGCTAGCCTTATATCGCGTCACCCTGCACCCTCTAGCAAGGTTTCCAGGCCCTAAGATATGTGCGATGACTGAGTGGTACGAGTTCTACTGCTACATTGTCAAAGAAGGACAATGGGGTAACGAAGTACGCAAGATGCACGAGAAATATGGTAAGTCCATTCGCTTTCCTTTTTCCAATTAAACTAGAACAACACTCATAAATGATGAATCTGCATAGGACCCATTGTTCGTACTAGTCCATGGGAGTTGTCAATCCGTGATCCTAGCTTCTACAATCAGCTTTACGTGGCGGCCTCGACTCGTAGAACGAATATGTGGCCCCGTGGAAGAGAGGGTAACGGATTTGAAAGTAAGTTGCTTGCCACCCAATAACGCAAGATCCCCTTCAATGAAAGGGGTATATGCTCACAGCCTGTGGTACAGGTTCCCACCATCTGTCAGTTCCGCATGATTTGCATCGCTCGCGAAGAAAGGTAAGCCCGCCCCCTCTTCCGCGAGTCATCGCGAATAGCCTGATCTCTAACTTCGGAGTTCTGACATTTTTATAGCATCTCGAGCCTTTCTTCTCGCGCCAAGGCATCACAAGAGTGGAACACATCATTTCAAACGAAGCGTCAAAATTGGACTCCCGATTGTCAGCACTCAAGGGATCTAAGACCATCATTGAGATGGATCACGTCTTATCGGCTATGACGGGCGATGTGATCGGGTACATCTCTTGCGGCATGGAGCCCGGCCTTATGGACGACCCGAACTTCTCGCCCTCGTGGTATGAGCTAATGGTTAAGACGACAACTATTGCACCCCTGTTCCGATGCTTTACTTGGTTGAATAAGTGCGTGTTTTTCTTCTTCTCCTCTAACTCCACTTCACGCCCCCTTTCCCTCAAATTCATAGAGAATATGCTCCCCGGAATGAAAGCTAATCACAGCCCCCTAATCAATAGAATGTTACAGCTTCTACCAGCCTCAGTCATGGCTAGTGCGTACCCCAAGGGCATCTCCAACATGATGCTTGGCAAGACAGGGCGTGTCTACATCGAAAAGATCAAGAAGGAACTAGGGAGCTCACCCAAATCCAAGGGCAAGGAAAACTGGACCTCCGCCTTCCACCACCTCCTCTCGAGCGACATCCCCGAGTCTGAGAAGACCGTCAAGCGGCTGCAGGCCGAGTCGATGATCTTCCTGCTGGCGGGCACTCTCGCGGGAGCGCACACGCTCACCTTCGTCGTCTACTACGTGCTTTCCAACCCAACTGTCGAGAAGCGTCTGAGAGCTGAATTGGAGGGAGTCTTCGCATCAGCGGCTGCGAAGGGGAAGAACAGAATGCCCTCGTGGTCTGAGCTGGAGAAGCTGCCGTACTTGCGCGGATGCCTGAAGGAAGCGTTGAGGTAATTAAGTGCCCCGATCTCGGATATGGCGACGGAGATTGAGATGGATTGATTGGCTGACTGAACTGTGTTAGACTGAATGGCCTAGTGGGTAACCTTGCGCGGTGCTCCCCCGACGAGGAGATTGTCTACAAGCAGTGGAAGATCCCGAAGAACGTAAGTGTCTTTGCCTGCTTTCCTACTGATAACAGCAATGATAACTTAGGAGGGTATATGCTAATCACATCGCGGCTGCAAAATAGACCCCCGTCGGCATGTCAATCTACGCCATGCACAACGACGCCGCTGTATTCCCTGCCCCCGAGAAGTTCAAGCCAGAGCGCTGGATCGGCAACTATGATCCGCAGATGGACCGGAACTTCGTTCCTTTCACCAAGGGCTCGCGAAGCTGCCTTGGTATCAAGTACGTATCAGACCTCCCTATCCTCTTCACAGCGCACGCATGCTAACGTTTGACCCCTCTCCCCCCCCTTTCTAGTCTCGCTTGGGCTGAGATGTACATCGCCACGGCTGCCCTGTTCAGGCCTGGTGGTGCCAAGATGAGCTTATACGGGACCGACGAGTCGGATATCAAGATTTCGCGCGACTACATCATGGGATTCCCGAAGGCGGGCGCGAGAGGTGTTAGGGTTATGGTGCAGTAGTTGAAGAGCGTAACTTGTTGTATGGACTACTGCAGGCAGGTATGCAATTTTGAATGATGTACGAAGCACGTGTTACCTAGGTACGGTCAGATAATGAAAAACCCAATTTGATCCCTTTTAAAATACATGCGTTGCTCTACGTGATGTTTGACAGAAGGGTTTCGGGGGGAGGGGAATTGCACTTGCGTCTTTGGGTGTGCCACGGTGATATACTGACATACACTAACGAGAGATCAATCAATTCACCTTTTGGGGCAATGGTATGCTCTGATAGGGGTTCTTCTGAATGCGCACTTAAAGGGATCTGCCTCATGGTGGTGTTTGCACTTTCCCACCACTGAGCCAACATAACTACGTAGAAACCTCCACGAGATTTTTCTTGGGATGTGAAAGATGCTGCGTTTTGGGGCCTTAAAGATTTAGCTTGAGGAAATAGGGAAGTTACTTCAGCTACTTCAGCAACTTTGGATACAAGGGTGTCTCTCTTACTTATCTAGTCACCGCCAGGACAGTGTCGTCACTACACCAAGTCATCACTATGAGGCCCCCATGGGGAGCCAAAACTTGCACATTAGATGAAGCTCTAACTGCACATATTTATATGCGACTAATCCAATGAAAATTATCAAATTGTAATTAATTGGATAACCTATAGCTTGCTTATTTGGACTTCTTTTGGCGGTTGGATTTGGTGAGTTACTAGAGGCTAAAAGTTAAGAATTCAAGAAAATAGCGATTTTTGTTACCTTCACAAGGTTTGTATGATACTACTGGCACGAAAGACCCTTAAAGACCCACGCAGTCAGATGCAGATAGATGAAAAACTCCAAAGTAATATATAAGGCATCTTGCTATGTTCTGTCTAGTATGGTTTATCTTCGTAAGCAGTTCTTATATAGTTGATTCCCCTCCTCACGCACTCTTCCCCAATCTTCCCAAAAATATGAATACTAGATATACACTTATTCCAATCCTAAAGACATGCGCCATCTCTTTGAGTAATGGATACATCATTCCACCTCTCTCTTGTCCTTGCGGGAATGTGTTAAAGATGTCGGCCCAAAGCCAGTGTAGGTTAGTCCTCCCCGGTGAAGCGGGCCGTTCTGTTGCAACGGCGCCAACTTCTAGACTTAGACCACTGGCACTAGCGAGTCGACGGTGACCTTCACGTGGGACTTGATCATAGCGTTGCCGCAGTCCTTCCAGGTCGTGGTGCTGGGGTCGGTGGCGTACAGGCTCATGTTGAACTGGGAGAAGAAGTTGGCGAAGGTCAAGTATGACTCCATCCAAGCAACACTAAGACAGCATGCGTTAGCCAAGTCTGTAAGGAAAAAGAGAGACAGATATCAGGTGTGGTTAAAGGAAAAATGGAGTATCTTACTTCAAGCCAATGCAAGCACGGCTACCCTTGCCGAACACAACCAGCCAGTGATCGAGATCCTCGTTGTCCAACCATCTCTCAGGCAGGAACTGGTCAGCGTTGGGGAAGATGTCTTCGTTGTCGTGGATAGTGCGGAGCGCCATGGAGACGGAGGTACCGGCGGGGAGGTAGCATCCGGCCCAGGTGACGCCACCATCGGGGACGATACGGGGGATAGTTCCGGGGACAGGCGAGGAGAGACGGAGAGATTCCTTGATCACAGCTTTCTATTTCCACCAGGCAGGTCAGTCATCATGGCTCGTCATCTAGAGAGTGAGTAAGTAGGTGGGTAAAGGCAACAACATACCAGGTAAGGCAAGTCCCTGACTTGCTTGTACTCGAGGAGTCCATTGTCGTTGCGGGGAATCGGTTCAAGTTCCTTCCTAAGACGCTCTAGCTTGTCGGGTTCGCGGAGAAGGTAGTACGTGCCCATGCTCATGGTGTGCGAGGTCGTGTGGGTACCAGCGAAAGCAAAACTGTAAGTCTCGTCCTCAACGGCTTGATGGGTTAGAGGCGGGCCGCCGTCGTCGGGTCGGAGGAGGAGATCAATGACTGTGCTTCGGCCATCGTCGGCCTTGACTACGCCCATATCGTGCTCGTTGGCGCGCTCGTTGATCCACCCTCGGATGTTCTGCAATGCGAAGTTAGTTTGATTTGTGTTCATGTTAAGAATAATGCCTTATAGTGGTGGAGGGTACTAACTCGGCGGAACTCAAATTCGCCAGGAATCATCTTCTCGGCGAGCTTGGAGGGGATGCTGTTTGCAAGCCAAATCAAGATGGGGAAGTGCTTGAGCAGGAAGAAACTCTCGGAGAAGGTTCGCAGAGTAGCCAAGAAAGCCGGCTCCTCTTCCTTCGCATCAATCAGGTTCAGCGAGCGGTCGCACAGGACCTTCATGATAGTGTCGATGGTGATTCCGGTGTACAGGCGCTGGATGTCGAGGGGCTTGCTGGCATCGTGGTGCTCCTTGGCTTTTCGCAGAGCGTTGTGAACAACTCCCAAGACAATGTGCGATAGTGCTTCCATAGACTTGACGGAGAAAAGGTTGTTCACCATCTTGCGACGGCGCTTGTGGTACTCAACATCGACGATGGCGGGCAGTGCCTCAGCGATACCGCCGGATGTCTGGAAGAAAGCGGGATCTTTCATGTACTTAGAACCAGAAGAGTAAACCCTAAGAGATTTGTTAGCATTTTTGTAAGAGTAGATAAGAGGGCTAAGGTATTAGGAGCTTTTACTCACTCGTGGAAGAATTCGGGGTCGCTGACATGGATTCTGTCAGGGGTAACACGAACGACCGGTCCTAAGTTTTTGTTAGACGGGCTGTCAAGATGGAAATAAATGCGCAATTGCCAAACTCACCATATTTCGCGTGAATTCCAGGGTAGGCCTTCACATAGTTTCCTCCAAGAATAACATCCTGATAAAACTCATACCAATACGACGCCCTCGCATACCAAGGACCGGGTATATGGCTGAGCGGATGAAAATACAGTCTCTGAATCGTTAAGACAATTCCGTAAATAGCAAACGAGGCGACGCCAGCGATCGCCCACCCAGCAATGCTGGTGGGTAGAGGTAAAGCAGTAAGGAGACCCATGATGAAGACTTCTCAAAACCTCTGCCAGAGGATGGATGGTGATACAACTTCTTCTTCGATGATTCGAGCTGATTGCCCGGAAACGAAGCCTTTAAGTTTGTCTGCTGGAATCAAGTCTGAGGAACTGTAATGCCACAGTCGTTCTTATGTAAGAACGTCTCATCGTGAATTGATGCGACGGAGTTTCGTCAATTACCTTAGGTAAATCACACATGGTGTTGTTTCTTGCTGTCTACCTAGAGCTGCAGTTCCCCATTCAGACGGGCGTCGGTGCTGACAGGGCTACACGCTACGCTACCTATTTAGGCAATGCCCTGTTGAATTGCGTGAGACGATTCTACATCGGGACATGGCCGATAAGAAGTCAACGAGATATCGTACGCGATCGTAAGATGTTAGGGCTTTTCCATACTGTTTTAGTTTTCTGTATTTATATCTGGGTAGATAACATTTTAGATGCGTCGGCCAGCATCCGAATCCAAGTTTAGTTGTGTGGGTTTTGCTGCCTTTAATGCACCCTCATGCGATGCAGGTACTACGGTCGGTAAGCACCTAACCTAGTAAACATAGGTTAATATTAATTGTATAGACGTTATTGGTTACCAGACTCTCATTCGCCAAGTTCGTTGAGGTTGTATCAATGTTGGAGTTGTAGCCCTGGAGATGCCCACGTGTGTGTATCGTGAACATAGGGGCTAGGCATCTCGAGTGCCTGTGTAGGTGGGTACCTAATTGGTGGGCAGCCAAGTCTTAGTTGGATTTGTAGACACCATATCTCAACATCACAACAATTGAACAGATAGTAAAAAAGATAATGTAATTCTTTGAGTTAAGAAAACCATCAAAATCAAGTTTCTGATACCGATATAGAACAAAAAAAAATCAAACTTGACCTAGCCGTGGAATGAAAGACTTGTGCCATGGTCATAAGGGGGCTTCAAGAACACTTTCTCGACTAACACAACACACTTAAAAAGGTTACGTTTCCGTAAACTTCGTGATACTTGGAGACTCATTTATTTATGCGTGAATATAGTTACAGAAATCATTGAATGGTAGATTGCATTGTTTGTCAGGGCATGTCCCATACCATCTATCGCAAACCACATCCCCATGAGCATTGTTAGATCGCGATCATAAGCTTTCTAACCTCGTTATTGTACTATCTAATTGTTACAATTTTCAATATCCAATCTCAATCCTCCGATCAGAGACCGACTGAACCACAAATGATGGATTCGCTATTCTTTGAACGCTAGCCAGTGAATGGACTTCATAGATCATCAAAGCATGCGCAAAGTGATATCAAAGAAAAGGGGGGGGGGGGCGTAAAAGAGGGGTGCATTTCTCCCGATCAATGAGCCCCTTGGTGGAATCGCACGAACAGCTTCGGCTTCCACCACAGAACGTGCACTTGGCTATCCTCCAGCCAGTTGATGTTCTTGGTCACGAGTTCCATGTCGTACTGCCATAGGATCTTGGCCAACACCAAGTTCAACTCCATCCAAGCGAAACTGTAAACGATACCCATTAGCATTTGCATCCTCGGATAGATGGTCTACCAGGACTTACTTTCGCCCCAGGCAGTCTCGCGGACCGAGTAGGAAAGGCCGGCTAGCGTCCTTGTTGTCTGTGGAGTTGGGGTCCAACCAACGCTCGGGAATGAAGTCCCAAGGCTTGGTGAAGTACTTCGGGTCGTGTGTGATGGTCCACGGGCTCACGTTAATCTCGGTCTATAAGCGGGACACTGTTAACAAAAGGCGACGCTCAAAAAAGGTGTGATACCGAAGGTAGGGAAGAACATTACTTACGCCCTCGGGAACGTAGTATCCATGTAGTTCAAAGCCAGGAGAGACTCGTGGCGCGCCACCAGATGCGGGCGGGAACAGTCTCAGGCCCTCGTTCAAGACAGCCTGGAGATACGGTAGCTGCTGGGCCTTCGTGGCATTGATCTCGTCGAACGACTTGAAGGCGCCGCGGATCTCCTTGACAAGCTTCTGCATCTTCTCGGGGTTTTGGGATAGGAAGCAAGTCAAACCAGCCAGGGTAGTTGCTACAGTTTCACCCCCAGCGATGCTGTCCGATACGTTGATGTTAGCGGAATCAAGCCGTGGATTTGATCGAAGATGGATAGAGAATTACGTACGTCAGGGTTGAGACGTGAGCAGTCATCTCTTCCTTTCCTACCTCTCCGGCTCGGACCTTATCCACAAGCAAACTTACGAAATCGTTTCGAGAGCCTGACATTGCTAGTCGTCTACGTGAAAAGCTTATGTTAGATTACCGAAATGAATATCTCCTGATGGAACTCAGCACTTACTTCTCGACCTGCTGTCGGCTGTACACGGAGTTCTGGTTCTTAGTCATAAGCGACGCTGGGATCAAATATCCAGCAGCCTTGGCTAGCCAGCCGATCCGTCGTAGATTGTCGAACAGTGTGATGACGTATAAATGCTCCAAAACAATAGCAGCCCAGAAGTGCAAGTTCCCTATAATAGTTCATATCAGAATCTTGCCGCAAGTAGGGAACAAGTGGGGGGTGAATTACCAGTGTCCAGACTGTGAAAAGTTTCGCCAAAGGCCATTTCACCCAAGATATCGAACGAGTTCATCTCGAACCACTTGGTCACGTTGACTCCGCCGGATCCGGGACCGCCTCGTTCGCCAATGATCCTGACGAACTTATCGACGACACCGTTGATGATCTCCTCCTGCTCCAGGAGGCCGCGCTGCGAGAAGGCGGGGTTGAGCATCTTGCGCATGGCGGTGTGCTTCTTCGGGTCTCGCTCGCTGCCCACGCATTTGCTGCTGAAGCCGGCTGCGAAGACTTCGTAGAATGGCCCTTTGGGGGCTACCGCCCTTCCGGCTGGCTGGTGTCCGTAGATGGCCTTCCAGGACTCGACGCTGGCGAAGGAAAGCTCATTGGGGGCAACGCGGACAATTGGCCCTGTAGTTACGACTCTGGTTAATGCGAACTGCTTTTTCTACCGTCATGTTTAAGGGGAGCTTGTAAGTGCCGTGCCAACGTACCATATTTGCGATGGGCATCTGTTATAGCAACATGGAATTTTCCTCTAGATGTATGGATGAAACGATAAAGCTAAGGCCGTCAGTACCAGTGCAGAGCAAACGAATTATACGAGCAAGGACCTACAAGAGAAGCTCGCCCAAGGAAGGGACCAGGGAATTTCGCTAGAGGATGAAACCAGACATTGTATGTCCAGACTGCAACAAACCGAGCGAAAACCTGTAGAGATGTGTTAGTTGTTGTATTTACTCGTGAACAAACGACTTCTCGGATGGCCAAGGTTACGTACAACGCTGAAGATAATCGCCGAGATGGTCTTCCAGTCTAACTTGGATATGGAATCAGGGTCGTGGATAAGGGGAAGCTTTGAGTAAGCCTGAAAGATGGCAGAATCATGAATTATTGACGCCATGTTGGATAGTGGTACAGCCTCTCGTTGAGCTAGGCAAACAAGAACGGCATGCAAAGAGTTGGTTTCATGTACCAGACCACGAAAGCATGAATACTTCAGCTTATACCACAGTTAATATCGATCGATCAATCTAATCAATCTGGTGCTGATATAATCGGGGAGTTTCCCAATCAGGGATTCTCCCGAATGGGCGAGACTATTTTGTGTCGGCAAGGAAGCCCCCAGAAAGAGGATAAGCGAAACGCCCCTATCTATCCGACGACGAGTCACAATTTATTAGCTCGGTTAGATGGGGAACCGCGCTACTTACATAGCTGAATGCAGTGCATGAGAGCCGGGCTGGCTGAAACTTGAACAGCCGGACTGATTCGATCGATTGCAGCTTTTATCACATACAGTGACATACCTAGGTTAGGCACGTACGTATCAACAGCTCCAACGTAATCTAGCTCACGGCTGTAGTTCACTAGGTGCATATGTACGCTATAGAACTCGGTATATGATATAAGACTGAGTTTCATGTAGCACTGCTTGGATTGTATCAGCTGCTCAGCACTAGTAATCACCTAATCTAAGCAGTCTAAGCTTCACGTAATCTATCGAGGCATCTATATATAGCACTAGGCAGTCTGGATAGGTACCTAGTAATCACTACCTAGGAGCAGATATCTAAAATCGGTCATCGCGACGACAACCTCCTTGGCAGGTCGAGGATACCGTTAATACGTGTGCTGGCATACAATTGACCTTCCTTGCCTACTTTTGCCTCCTAATAGTTCCCTATCAGGAATTCACCGACTTTGTTCTCATCATTGACCTCAACCGAGATACTCAGATCCTTCACCTCATCCAGCTCCTTCTCACAAGCTGCGATATCAGCCTTGACAACCTGCCAAGCACCGAGGGTGAGTGGCAGTCTGATGGGGATGGGCTTGGCGCGAGCAACGACCTGGTACATCGCACCGGCAACACGCTCGGCTGGTGTCCACGTCTTCTTCATCTCCGGGTTCTTGATGTAGCCCTCCATGATTCTCGCTGGGCAGTCCGGTGCCGTGTAGGCCGGGTGGGGTGCGAGCCAGACCATGCTGCCACCGTCCGTGAATCGAGTGCTGGTGCCGCCAGGCTCGATGAGGCAGAAGTGAATGTTCCACTCGGGCTTAACCTCCTTGCTAACACTTTCGGTGAAACCCTCGACGGCAAACTTGCCGGCGTGGTAGTATGCAGTGCCGGGGAAACCAGCGAAGCCTCCCAGAGACGTCACGTTGAGTACCACACCGCCTTGCTGGCCTGTCTTGGGGTTCTCCTCTCGGAAGACGCGCATGGCATGAATAGACAGTCTCGCTGTACCCCAGAAGTTCGTCTCGACTACCTGGCGTGCCTGCGCCTTACCCTCGCCCTCAAGGCTGGATTCAGTATCTCCCTGTAGGGCATAGCCAGCGTTGTTGACCACGACGTCGATTCGGCCAAACTTGGAGACAGCCGTGTTAACGGCGGCGTCAATAGATTCCTCTGATGTGACGTCGAGGTCTACGAAGAGTACCCGTTCAGACTGGGATATAAGCTCGGTAAGTTTGGAAGACTTTCGCGCCGTAGCCACTAGTCTCTGTGTAGGGTGGGAGGCAATGAGCTGAGCCAGGGCCAGTCCAATCCCTGATGAGGATCCAGTAACTTTTGGGTGTCAAGGTTAGCTCAAAAGTTGGCTTAGAAATTCAAGATGATTCAAGATAGTTCAGGGGGGGGTTTCTTACTGAACCAGACTGCATCCTTGGGCAGGTTGTAAATTTTTGCGGCGGCCATGATGGAAATCACTAGGTAGTTTTAGGTGTAGTGGTTTTTGGTGTTTTTTGGTTGTTGATGTGGTTGTTGGAATGTTGGCCGGCAAACTGGGACTTGATGTCAGGATGTTATTGATATGTAATATTGATAATGAGTAAGGTAGGTAGGTTAGGTGTCAAAACTAAATTATCCCCTCTTCTGTACGTAACATGTAAGAAAAGACGAGAGGGTTCGATTGGTGTTTTCTGTCGTCTATCTACTTCTAACGCTTTGTAAGTACCTGGGGAGATTGCCATTTGCGGTAAACACCGATGGACTTAACGGTGTTTGTAAGTACTCAGTGTAACCGCCGAGTGTATTGCGACTTCTTTCAATATTCAATAAAAAACCCCCACCTTTTACTACATACGTAACATTGAATGTTCAAAGTTATTACATGTAGCTTATAACATCATACATGTGTACATATGAAGTTACAAAGTACCGAGGTTAGGGATGTAAAACACTATGTACCAAACCATTGATATCGTTCGAAAGTAAGATGGTAGTAGCTCAAATTACACGTTATCAGGTAAATCCTAGTAATTACATAATTGTCATCGAACTCCAGGAGGATTGAAGTTAAAAATAACTTCACTCCTCCATTGTGTTCATCGAGTAGGTACAGTTTACCTACTTACATTAAGTTACATACCTAGGGCACATTACATAGTGCAGTTATCGCTTAGTCATTCTAGGCTAATATGGACGTAAGACAGAAGAGATATCGATGGTAGTTATCGATAAGGTATCTAGGTTAGGGTAGTTAAGTGAGACACTGTAGTACCTAAACTTCGCTTTTTCAACGCTTCAATAATTACTTTTAATATCACATCATACAAATTTATATACATGAATAATCCACGGATCATTTTAAAATCTATTGGATATAACCCCAAGGTCATGCAAAACATACGTAAAAACGGTTTCCTGCGTTATCACTCGGCTATCAGCTCATCTAACTCGGCGAAATGCCCCCAGAGATCCTGTCAAGTTACCCCATATCCGATCTGCTGACAGTGATTCTCACAACATCGCCAACACCTTCTGCTCCGTCCACAGAACTAATATCAGCAATACTTTCATCATTTCGCACACACTGTCCACTCTTACTATCTTGTCGAGTGATTGTTGTCTTTGACACCTATGAGCGCATTGTATCCCATGCGAGATTGAAGAAGGGTCATGTTACTCCTGACGGGGCTAGGACTTTTGATCTTTACAAGCAGAATGTAAAACAAGTTATTACGAATGAGTTTCTCACTGGAAAATTCGATGGAATCATGATTGAAGGCCAGGACGAGGCGGAATTTGGCCACAGTAGACATGAGACCAACTCAGTTCCATTCACGACATTCCAAACTACCGGCAACCGTGTCACATTTATAGAACCTTCTAAGAGGTTAGGATTTGGATTGGCTGTACGCTCGGCTCTAAGACTGACCGAGACCCCTTATGTATGGGTCCAGCAGCATGACTGGCCTCTAGTCTCCGATATTCCCATAGAACCGTTACTGGATACCATGAAAACGACTGATGCTGACGAGAGATCTCCTGTGAGATATGTCTGTCTACCATCGATACGCCTATTGTCTTATGCAGATTCAGCCCATGTTGCACACTTCCCCGTCCTAAGAGACTTGACTGCCTCTCTCAAGTGCGACTTCGTAACGGAGCCTGGAGCCAGCGTCCCATTAACGCCCATGTTTTTCTGGCACGACAAGCCACATATAGCATCCACCCAGCATTATCTTCGGCGAGTCTTCCCAACACGTCTTGCCATGCTGCGGGGTGCTTTCATCGAGGATACTATCGGCCAGCGAGCGAGAAACCAGATGAAGGAGGGTAACTGGGTTAAGTGGGCGACCTGGATGTACTACCCCGATCAGGGAAGGACGTTGTGCTTGAGACATCTCCAAGGACGTACCTGGGAAGGTACAGAAAAGGAGTTGGAAAGGAAAGCCATGTGGATGGCGCAGGGCACAAAGCGCAACCTCGTCGAATCCAGTCTAGAAGTGTAGATGGTTTCCCCATTCCACCACAAACTTCTTCATGGTAGAGTTCTGGCTGTTTCTTAGGGTCCATAATCAGATCATCGTCGATCTTATAGGTGCCATCTTTAATCCAATTCCCCTCCATAACTAGAGGGCCGTTGCGATCAAGGGGGGAGTAGAGCGATCATCTTGTTGGTCAATGTCCGCTAGATTCGACCCCGCGCACTTGGACTCTCGTACATCAAATGAAGATGAACTCCACTGAGGATGTCGGCAAGTCTTTTCTCGACAACTTGCACTATACCTCCTATGCCACTGAATCTAGGAACGGCGCTCATACTAGCCAAAGAGGTGGGATTCGATGGCACCGGAGGTTTATCAAATAATTGAGTAAATCCACGATATCGAGGCTTTCCTGGCTACTTTTTCACGTCTCGCAAAAGTCGTATTCATGGATATGAAGCTAGATTATTTTATTCCTGGTCATACCGAGTCCCATGCCTTCGTCAACTTCTTTGGGCCTTTCTTCGTTTTATCGCTAATCGCGCTCGCATGTACACGTTCGACCGATGTTCGAAAAGGATCCACCTGGCTTAAAACATATGAGTCCTGATAATACATCTCCTTATTCCTCGGGCTTTTGTTGCTGTGGGTTACCCCTAAGTCTGCATCGCTGCCTGTTCTGCTGCGCGTCACATGGCGCGTCAACTGGTCTTCGTCGTCTTCCATGTACCGTGTCTCCCGGGTGATGTTCACTTCCTGTGTAACAAATATCTTGCCCCAATACATTTTACTAAGGACCGGCCAGAAAATGGGGACACTCGCACACACACTCGCCGCATCAACTTCAAGGACAGCCAGGATGATACTGATGGGACCGTACCATGTTGGGTCCCTAGTGGGCCAACTTGCCACTTGATGCTCAATCATCGTGATCAACCGCCACGTCGCAAAAACGAGGACACTATGAAGTCATGTTAGCGTACCGCCCCTCGAAAGATGCAGATCGAGCAACATGGGAGAGAGGGAGTTGTGGCTCACAAGACACCCATGGAAAGTAGTGCAACCAGTCGCAAGCGACCACTGTTCGTGGTATTTTCCTTAAAGAATAGGGGGAGCGGGATAATCAGTACGAGAGTGTCCAGCACCATGTTAATAGCGGCATGGCTCTCAAACGTAGCAACGAAAGGCTTGGCGTAGTGTGAGCCGTATCCATAACAATTATCCCCTCCTCTCCCATTCCACATGTCTTGAACCGGGACACATGGTACCCAGGCCAGGAAAGAATATGCGATTCCCCAGAGAGCGGTGAAGATGATCAAGGAAATCAATAGCCGCTTCATGAAAATGACTTGGTCGAAGACGCGGAGATACTGTAGTAAGAGTGCCTCTTTGATTAATGCCGTCGCGGTCACATAAGAGGCGTTGGCGACATAGAAGGTTCGCAGGAAACCCTCGGCCTGCCAGGACTCAATCTGGAGGAAATGCTTGCCGAGCCCGTACATTACCGCGAAACATCCCGCTATCGATCCCGCCGTTATAACGAGCTTTGCCGCGATACATGTTAATCATGTATCCTAGGTTTAGTTGAGATACGTGGAGTGGGTGCTACTTACAAGATACAGCCCTACACACAAATCATCCCAGCCGGGTGCGCGGACGACCTTAAATCGCACGTACAGTCGCAGACAAATGCATATCCATGATACTATCTGCAGTTTTACCACCGTGAGAAATGTTCGTCTTCATCGGTCGTGCTATGAGGGGTGTAGATGCTCCCACGAGTGACGGTGATATGCTTTGGACTTATATATGAGAAGGGGGAAAAACTTACCAGACATGATATCGTTATACCTAGGATTGTCTGTGGCCTGTTGGAGATTGGTTCCGGCTCATCGAAGTTCTCGGTAGAATAGCGGAACTCCGACATGGCTGATGGTGTTGAATTGGTGTTGCGAAATCATGGAGTCTTAACTTTACACGACAGAGAAGGAAAGGGGCGACATCGAAGCAGTGGCGAAGATAAGAATTAGAAATTAGAGGGATATTATCTTCTAGCGCCGAAATGTGGTTTCATGAACAAAGAAGGCCATGTATTATTAGATGAGGCTAGGAAATACTATGAAGAAGAAAGAATTAATTCCTGCGAGCTTCTGGCAGCAAAACTGGGGGGGAGGGACCGGTATTGAGTGAAGTATGACAGCTGCGGGATGCGAATGCTTGACCATAATCTTATATTTAAGTGTCTGGGTAGGCTACGCATTTACATACCGATTTGTATGCAGGGTAATACGTGAGACTTACGGATGGGCGAGTGATGGGATCTGAGGCCTGCTGTGTGCGTGGTGTGTGTTATCCGCTGGCTACCCCGAAAGAAATCCTTCCAAAAAAGAAATGACGATGCTGGGACGGTTAGGTATAGAAAGGTAGGTAAGCAGATGCGATGCGGCGTCAATCAATACCTGGACGGTTTGTTGTTGTCATCCACGCCTACATATGTATGTACATACATGTATGTATGTATGTATGTAAGTGCAAGCCTCCCAACCTATATACATGGGTAGCGATACCTGGCCTAGTACATATATTACCGATGTAGAAAAGAAATAAATAGGGAGAAAAATACATGGCATATATGTAGGGACTTAAATAGGTAACCTACCACGGCTGCGCCGATAAGGTACCTAGCGCATGGTTCCAACGGTAAAAGCTGGGCATCTGAAGTTGCAATAGTTCCTCACTTCAGGTATGGGCGGTTTTAGGGTTACATGGGCTACGAGGCACATTTCAATACACGTGGGTAGAGGGCACGGCATAAGCCCTGCTTTTTTGCTTGTGTGCGATTTTTGGGTTTTTTTTTTTTTTTTTCCTGACGTGACAGTAATAATGCCTCCAGCTAGTAGCTATTTGGGCCTAGGGTCGCCTAGGTTAGGCTTAGCACAGGGCGTGAAACAGCGGTGCTGATGGCTGAAATGGGGGATCCAAGGCGCCTATCAGGTCTCTTCATTCGCTGGCCCTTTTTTTTCTGGAACAGGAAAGGATGAGGGGGGAGGGGGATGGGGGGATGGGGGGATGGGATGGGATGGGATGGGATGGGATGGGATGGGATGGGATGGGATGGGATGGGGGGGAAGCCAAAGCATGGGGTTGTGAGGTGGGTACGGTTTTAAGGTCAGCATGGATGCAGAATTGCGCCATACACGTTAACTTTAGTAGTAAGATAATAACTAGATGGATGTCAGATAGGTTCCACCACTTCGATCCGTTACCCCTATTTTTATCTTTTTATAACATTATTTTTTCTTTACATGGAAGGTCGATTATTAATGGATATATCGTTCTCGAATACCTAAAGTAATAGGTTGAGAGTTTACACAGCAGATACTACGTAGTATTAGGTACGGTAGATGGTAGAGACTGAAGTGATCAGGTTTTATCGAATGGATACCACGTAAGTAATAAATGAATCATAATATATAATACTAATATTGCCAATAATGCACTGCGCCCAACTAGAATATTTTGATTTTCCTTGAACGACGTGTGCGTTGATGATGTTTACTAGGTAATCTTCGGTTACGTACTACGCAGTGGGTAGGATTCTTGAGGATTCGCCCCGCATACGATGCCCTATATGTAGCATGTAGGTGTTGGTTGTATTGTACAATACAATAGTTAGGTATGTCCTTAGGCTTAGGTAAGTACATACCGACCCGGCGTACCACTTTTGACCGAGATATGGTTCGGAACAATTATGATGCCCCCTTTCGACAAAGACCAGACAGAAGAAATGCCTACCCTAGTGATTTATTCATCAACCTGTTAGGCGTTAGTGTGGGGGCTATGTTGAAAGACAAATTTTGTGTAAAGAGCAAGGGGAGAGAGTTGATAGGACCGCTCTGTTCGGCGATAATCGTGGCCTTCTCTGTGGCATAGGCCCTTTCGTTTGACGGCGCTCGGGGGAGGGTTACCGAATCCATGCAGGAACATCGCGCATCCCGTCTTACCCCCTAGGCTGTACTACGATGTATGTAGGTAAGTGTGTGGCTGACAGGTGTGTAAGTAAGCAGTCGTGTGATGACTACTATTGGAAGCGATCTGGTTTATAAGGAACTTGCCTAACCTAAGCAGGATGGGATGGAAATTTCACCTCCCGTGCCAGGGATCTTTTACTATGCGCCTAACCTTGCTCATTCTCTCTCTCTTCCCAGCTAGTGTATCATAGTATGAGAATTCTCACCTGGTTGTTAGATAAAGTTAGTACTGGCGCCGCAGATCGTCGATCGCGAGATATGTCTGTGGGTTGTGAGTTAACCAAATAAAGCCAAACCCGCCCGCACGCTAGCTTTGATAATCACGTACTTAAGATTTCTCAAATATAATATAACATGGATGAGTGCCTGTCTCTTGTCTCTCTACGTGCCTATCTATTTAACCTATCTGCTTGATTAGTACCAAAACAGCGAAAGATCCAATCTTACCCCCGCGTAGAAACCCCACGAACGAGTGGTAAGAGCGTTTTCACTGGGTGGGCCGGTAGAGCCTCGAAAGGCCATACATCGATGTCGCAATTATAATACACACCCTAGGTGAATAAGGTACATAGTCGAAGCCGGTTCAAACCCCCCAACACCGGGAAATTGGCTTTCCTCAACTACCGGCCGGGTACGCGAATTTCGCTGCAGGGCCATGAACTTGAACACATGCGCCGAGCCTTTTAAATCCACTGGGATTGGGTTTACTATTTCAGATCACGGCCGAGGAAGGGGAGGAAGCTTGGCTTGTGAGGAGTTGTCGTCAGATTTAGATGCTTTTGGTTGCTTTCGATGCGATGCTATTACTAAGTCATTGTCAATACATATATATAGCATATCCCCTAAGTACCAACCTCCTGAAGCAGGTAGCCACTGGATGTTTTGATATTGGGTGTCCTACTTCTCTGTATGAATCCAGTAGGTAATCTTTAAAGATACGTTTCATCTTCGTCGGCTTTGTGACTTTTGTGAGTGCTTTCTTGATGAAGCAGGTTTATGCGATTCGACGCGACGGGACAACAATGAGCCAAATAACAGGTTCACGATGCAGGCTCTAGGGGAGATGGCATAGCAAGAAAGGTGATGAGCTTTTTTCGGCCTCTTTTCTCCCATCGCAAAATGTGACCGGGTAGCAAGGATGGCAGAAAATCCCGGTGTATCTCTGCGATATTCGGCGACGACTGATTGAGAATTTCAAGGCATTTCGCTGTATCGTCATTGTGAGAGCGTGCCTAGATAACTTGGTGTTTGACTTACGTGCTAGCTTATTGCACAAGGACCATCCGCTCTTGGCAGATGAAACATTGGCGATGTTGATCGCCTGTTGCCGGCGGACGGGAAGTGGGGCGACGTTGACGAATATTCCCATCGGGGTGTTCGCACGAGAAAAGGTCCGGGTTTGGTGGTTGAGCATACGTTATCGTAGGGTTAGAAATATACCTAGTAGGTTCCTGCGTAGGCATGACGTCCATGAAACTGAATTAATACAAAGGTAGGTAGGTAAGGGACCTGGACATTCGTGTGATTAAGGAGATACGACACGATACCTGCCAGAATCTGCTCGTAGAGTCCCTGAATGGAATCTAATTAGTAGGTTAGAGGAACGACTTGTGATCAAAGCATCCTGGCGATATCTTGAACTCCACCAGGCCTTACGTAGCAACTTCTACACGAGGTTCGGTAATAGGAGATAGGACAAGCCGGGAGTTCGTCCTATCCTATCCCTCTTCTCAGTTAGGTTAGGTTAGTTTACTCTTAACTACGAGTGTTAATCCTAGGCCTCCCTAGGAATAGGAGAAAGTCTGACTAAATCATCGTCACAATGTTTGCATTCTGGTTACATGACTTTTTTTTTTTTTTTTATGATACAGAAGGAAATAAAGACTAAACTGAAAGAGCGGGGAGAAACTAATTACAGGAACCTGAACATCCCAACAAAAACCACCGTTTCCCCCCCTCGTGTGAAAAAAAGAAAGCGATTTTTTTTTTCATTTGTCATTTTCAACTTTTTTTGGTTTTTCTGATTTTTCCTTTGCGTCGAAGTGCCCTCCGACGCCCAAAAAATTCCTCGCAAGTACTGCGACTTGCCTATGTGCCAGTAGACTGTACAAGGGGTACTCACTACTGGCGACAAGTGCGAAGAGAATCGAATGGGCAAGTGATACAACTTGCCAAACAGCGAGGAATGTAGGTGTGATACAACCTGCCCAGGTGCAAGTATAACGTAAGAGGTATACTGCATACCAAAGTTCAGGTTGAACATAGAAGGCATACTACATGCCAATGTGTAAGTAGAGAGTAGAAGGGAACTATGTTGCTCCCACATAAAAGAGTCGGTGGATGTCAAAGAGACATCGAGGTGATATCGGCGGTATAATTCCGCATAGAAGAAGCCTTTGGATATCCACGAGGCATCGATAATTGGACCACAAAAGGTTCCATGCATAAAGACCTATACAGAGTATAGAATGACAATAGTAAGTACCTATAAACGGCACAGCGGGGTATCAATACCTATACAAAGTATAGGAGGGTACAATATGATTTCGTTTGTAAGTTACTGGTTATCGGAACCATCGAACTCATCAAGCTCTCCATCTGGCTCATTGCCATTCGTGGCCTGCTTCTGGTATTCGATTCCACTTAAGGCAGGGTCGACGGGGAGATCGTCGTATGTTTGCTGGCCCGGAGCATTCTGCTGGGGTGCCTCCATTTGGCGTTGCTCATGGGGTTGGCTGTTGTCGAGACTATGGTTCTTTACTGACTGGGTAAGCGCGGCCATCATATGTTGATAGGCATCGGGCGCGTTGTACGGGGCGGCATGGCTACCGAGATATTGGGAGCCAGCTGGCTGCGTTGGGTATCCATAAGGCGCTGAGGGCGTAAAGGCAGCATTATTACCACCTCCAAACTGAGAGGCACTGACGTTTGCACCGAAAGGCTGAGAGACAGTTGCCTGGTGTGCTTCCGTATGGGGCATCGCGGATGACGAGGCGGCATTGTTACCACCTTCAATTCGAGTCTCGGTAGGCTCTGTGCTTTGCCTGTTGCGTCGCTTGCGTGGTTGCGCAGTTGTTTGTGGTCTTTTCTGTGTATCTTCCTTGTCGTTTGCCTGGCGGCGAGGAGCTCGTCGTCGCTGGCTTCGATGCGCGCCTGGAGCACCGCCATTGTCATCACCTTGAGAGGCAGGGTTTACACCATTCGAAGGATCGGTATGATCAGACTCTGGGGGTGGCGACGCGTAGGAAGTATTTCCCATCAATTCATTGATCGGCGGGTATGTCATTGAGAAATCATTCTCGTTCTCAATAGGTCGGTTGGCCGATATGCCATTGTTGATGCCATTGCGAGGGATGCTATGCATAGTGGTATTACCGTATACGCCATCATTTTGGTGAGGAAGGTAGCCCATTGGCTCATCCATGTCTGCGATTGATGCTGGTGGGGTCATTAAGCCAGTATTGGCACCACGATGACGAGCCTGGGTTGAAGCAGGATACGCATATGCATCGTACTGAGAAGGCTGCCTAGGCTGAGTGGGCGTATGCATCCGGGTGGCATCATTATCCGTGACATATCGGCTCATCAAAGTAGGATTGATATGACCGCGATAGCCTTGATCCAACTGACCATATTGGGTTTGATTGACGTTGTTATTAGTTGAATTGACGAGACGGCTAATGTTTCCCAAAGTGGCTTGCCCCTGGTCTGGGCTGTTTGACTCAATAGTCATGGTTGGAATTCTTGAGTTGAAGTTATGTGGCTGAGAGGCCCTGCTACCCTGTGGCAAAGAAGACGACCCAAGAGCAACACGGTTTTGCATTGGGCCCAACATTATGATGGATTCAATTTGGCGCAGTGTATCCGGATCAACTAGTCCAACAAAATCGTCGAGGCCTGAGTTGGTCGAGGCATTGGCAGTCGATGGTCCACCGTTGTTTGCTCGACGAGTAGCTGTTCTATGAGTCGATGGTCCACCGTTGTTTGCCTTGTGGCGACTTTCATCATGAGTCGATGCTTCTTGTTGGCTTTGGTCGCGGTCTGAATGTACAGACAAAGTGATCTGCTGACCGGCGTTCTCACCAGTGGGCGTACTATCCTCCTTCTCAGGTAATGGCCGCCGCACTGATTTATGTATCTCTTTTCGGAAACCACCATTTATGTTGAAGGTATGATGCAACAAGTGACGCCTTGCACTTACGGTCGTCTTGAAAGCATTCGGACATAGAGGCCAACCACAACTAAATTGTTTGGCATCTTCTGGGTGAGGGATGACATGCACCCCCAAGTGTGTGCGAAGCTCCTTTTCCGTATTAAATTGAAACCCACAGCCTGGGTATTTGCAAATCAGTCCTATGTGATTGTATCGAACATGCTCTCGGTGGAGATGCTCGTCGGCGAAGCTCTGGGAACACATAGAGCACCCAATGGGTTTATCCTTCTTGGATTCTTTCTTGTCTATATCCAATCCTAAGAACAATCCTTGGTTAGTATCAAGATGGATTTCGATATTTCTTTCTCTCCAGTGATAAGCATGGAAAGGAAATGTCGATAACGCGGTAGTAGTAGAATACCAAAGTTGGGAGAAGGGCGTGATATAAATGTAAAGGATGTTTGGAATTGTTTTGAGAAAGAAAATGAAAAACTTACGATCCTTTCTTGAATCCTTTTTCGGCTGCTTCTTTCGTTGGCGGCCCATTTTTGACGTTTTCGTGTGTGTATTAGTCAATAGAAAAAGTTCCAATGCTTGGATAATCAATTGGCCTCTAGGTTGGAGAGGTATAAAACTTCCACGAGCAGTGAAGGTTGGATGCCAGTAAGTATTATTTGATAATACGTGAGCAGGAAGACGTAAGGATCAAATGAGAGAGTTGGTAAATAAGAAGAGTTAAGCCAACGATTATAGAAAGTATCCTGTTTTGATTCTTCTTGGTATGTAGCAGACCAAGAGGAAAGAGGCTTAAACGGGATATTCTAGAATCGCGAAATGTTTACTTCGTAGCTTACAATGAGCGTTGTGCGTAGAAATTAAACAAGCAAGTAAGTAGGTGGGCGACTTAACATGGTGGAAGAGAGAGGAGGAAATAAATAGGATTGGCAGAGGAGCTGATTTAAATACTTTTCCTTGAGAGCTACCTGAGGTATCAAATATGATCTGGGGACCCGTTTATTATGACACCTGGTTGGCAATCTCTATATTCCATATCATACGCCCATTTATTACCTACGTGGTATGCTCGCATACTGATTAAATGGCAGCAAGCCTACCTATGGGGGGCAGAGCCCCTGGAACAGCTAGATATATAGGGCATTTGCTTACCTTAGGCACTTCTACTAAAACGCATATTCACTTAATGATAAACAGTGTATAAAGCAGGAAAAGTGTTATTATCAGGCAGTACCTGACAGTGCCGGGGCGTAAGACCGGTCCGGACCTAATGAGGATGTTGTGGCCCCGGCCCGGGACCGGATGTCAAATGCGGGGCCGGGCCTCAGGCACCAAGGTGACCGGCAAGGACTACAAGCTTACCATCCGGAGACTAGGCCAGATATGGCAAACCTGATAGTGATACTAAGCCATAACTAGTTAATACAGTGCAAAAGAGAGGGAGAAATAGAAAAATCTGCATGTGGGGAGAATGGGTATGGACAGTGCATTAAGGGACAAGATAAATCCTCCAGCCCCTAAGTACCTAGTAGTATTATCAACCCAACTAGGTACTTAAATAGTAAGCTAAACTGAGAACGGAACATAACCATATTCACTTGGTCATCATGTAGGGGTTATTAGATGTGAAATTCATCAACAGCAGTGGAAATTATGCTAGCTATCACGCTCAGAATTACATGTGCGTAAACATGTCTTAAGCAGACTTGCTATCTCTAATTTTTCATTTAGCATGACTTGCCTTCGTTCTTTTGTGTTTTTATGGATGTATGCACGTGTCTCTATAGCCATCATAACAGTACCCAGTAGATTTCAATTTCTCTCTATTGTCTGTGAAAAAAAGACCTCGTGAGAGGATTTCTTGCAAGGTCGATCCCTAGATAGCATCTTTTCATACCTAGTAGCTAACTATGTGCTCAAGTACTTACTATTTCTATTATTGCCCAGCACTACGACTTCCAGATATGTTTGGTGATGGATGTGGCCACTTGGCTGGATTGGGATATTCTAAGGGAGATCACTGAAAAGGTTTAGATCAGGATTATGAAAGATTAATAATATTTGATTAAATTTTATTTAGGTACCTAGATACTTTCTGTCTACTTTTATTATACATAGTATTCAATTCTATTTGAATAAACCCACCATATATCAGTTGCCTGATACTGTGACATGGCAGGGCTGGCTGTCATCCGGGTGGTCACGTGGTCAAAATCATGCCTTAAATGTTGCTACCTCATACCAGGTATCAGGAGCTGAAAAGTTCCCTTGTATTTGTGTACCTAGGTACCTAAGCTGGGAACCACTGATTCAATGATTCTGAACACCTCAAGGGCCATTGATTAATGGGGCTGGAGGACACTAGGATATTTTGGACCAGCTGGATAGGTGCCTAGCTAACCTATTGCTTTTGATCTCTAATACTTGAGTACTTAGATGATTTAGCCTATCCTCATTGACATTCCGATATGGACAGGGGTGCATTTCATATCTTAAGTATTCCCCCGCCTCCTGTGTACAGGATCATAGGTCTCTGACCGCAACCGAAATGTCTCTACCTACATCTTATTGATTTTAAGCTCGCAAGAAAAAATCACTGCCTAACCTAGGTAGGTGCTTTGACATGATCGGATATTTCTCGGAACCATCAACATCTACAGGCCGTAGGACCATCAATATCTCATATTTCTTGCCTACTAGGTACCTACTTAGGTAGGTAGGTAGCCCTGGAGGTTATGACTCTTCAATCGACATGATAGTGTAGCCTAGATGGTCTAGAGCCCCGGACTACCACCTATTGAGGTTGTGGGGAGAGTGGAGTGTGTTTTTTCTTACATATTTAGGCCCCTGGCGAACCCCAAATCTGGGGTTACGGGGAAGCGAGTCCTTGGCACTCTTGAATATGTCACATATCCTTCGGCAATTACAGAGCATTTATCCTTCTCACCATATGTAAATGCGGCGTGCCCACCAGTTTTATGAACCGTAAAGTGTGTAAACCAGAGTTCTCAACACTCAACACGTTACAGCCTCTTAGATTTGGGGCATACCATGATCGCCATGACGTTTAAAGACGATGAAACTATACGTGCCCATTGGCGATGTTTTGTTGCTTGTGGCTTAATGGTTCTATCGCCATTCCAATATGGCATTGATTTTGGCTTGATAGGAGGCATGCAGGCGATGCCGGGGTTTCTCAAAGTATGCCAGCCAGTTGATAATCCAATTCTATCGAGTAAATATATGCTGACACCTCTGAGATAGATATATGGTCACCCGGCTCCGAATACAGCAATTGGCTGGAATATTTCGACAGTACGACAACAGTTAATTACATCTCTAATGACGCTCGGTGCGTTCGTGAGCTCAGCTACTGCCGGTATAGTGGCCGCCAAATTCGGTCGAAAATCTTGTCTGTGGTTGGCATCTCTAGGCTGTGTCGTCTCAAACATCATTATGATGACCACAGTCGACATCAACGCGCTTTACGTAGGACGTTTATTGAACGGATTGGCAAACGGTTACTTCATGACCTTCTCTCAGCTATTCATCCAAGAGAGCAGCCCAGCCAAGTACCGTGGGCTTTTCTTGACTGCATTTCAGTTCTGCACCTCCTTCGTAAGTTAATTATTTGTCGCGTGGCTGATCTAAGCATGCTAGGTTAGTAATATTCTAACATACAACACTCTAGGGCACATTAATTGGCACAATCGTTGACTGGGCGACAGCAGCCCGTCCAGATCGATCAGCATATCTTATACCCCTCGGACTTATCTTTATTATACCCTTCTTCTTGTCGATTGGCATGTTCTTTATACCAGAATCACCGCGTTGGTTGATTTTACAAAATCGGATTGAAGAAGGACGGAAGGCTTTGGAGTGGCTTAGACCAACTGGCGCACAAGTCGACGTTGAAGTTGCAGAGATCAAAGCGGCCATCGATAAAGAACGCGAGATGGGCAGCCAGGTCAGCGTTGTGGATATGTTCAAGAACCCTATAGATCGGAGACGTACCGCTCTTGCTGTTTGCGGAGTAACTTTACAAGCCGCCACAGGATCTATGTTCATTATCTGTAAGGATACCCCTTTCGCGCCCTTTCGTTACATCATTTGGTGTATTGACTTTGTTATTTAGCATACAAGGCCTACTTCTTTACGATGGCCAAAGTAGCGGATCCTTTCGCAATGGGCTGCGTCCTGAGCGCTATCGGTTTATTTGCCATCGCCCTTAACTCCTTAATTGTAGTGCGCTATGGTCGCCGCCGTGTACTACTCATGGGCGGCCTGGGCACTTGCGGGATCCTCCAATTGATCGTTGCCATAGTGTATGACAAGAACCCCGGTGCGACTACGACGGGTCAAGTTCTTGTAGGTCTATCCTGCCTCTACATGATGAGTTACAACGTGAGTGGCCCAGCATGTTTACCCAGTATGTTTACAATTTAATATTAATGGATTAACAGGGTATGGTTGCTACTTATGCATGGCTATGCGGTGGCGAGCTTCCGTCTCAAAGACTGCGCAGCTATACGTTCGGACTAGCGGCAGCTGCAGGGTTCTTTGCGGCGTGGCTTACTACATTCACGGCTCCTTGTAAGTTGCATGGAATTCATCGCGGACATTTGTATCTAATTGCTGTTCTAGATTTTATCAATCCAGATTCGCTTAACTGGGGACCGAGATATGGATATATTTGGTGCCCCAGTTCTATTATAGCCGGAATCTGGGTGTTCTTCTTTCTACCCGAGGTCAAGGGTAAGTGGTTACATTGCGAACGGATGAATGCAGAGTTGCTAATTATATTCTGTACAGGCCGAACATTGGAAGAAATTGATGAAATGGTACGTACTAGTCATCCAACTGTGTTATCGATTTTGATGCGTTTGACTGACATAGAACTCGTACAGTTCGAAGCGAAGCTCCCTGCGCGAAAGTTTAGAGGTTATACGTGTATTCGCAGATTGTCCATAGAGGAGAAGCCAGATACTCAACACGAGGAATAAACTGCGACATCTCTACCCGGTTATTTAGATGATGTAATTAACCGGTCGAGCTACAAGGACTGCAATTTGTTGAATAGCTTCAAATAGAGATAGGTATCATCTTTCAAGGTGTATGTTATTTCCTTGGCTAGTACTTATCTATCTACATAGACACTAATAACATAATTTCTAGAGTTCTTACTGTCTTCCTAGATAGTTATCCCCCCTATTCATGATTACATAATATAACTTGATATAACTTGAACCCCTATTCCAGCCACATGATTGTTGAGCCGCCACATATGCACTGCCACATGAGCCACAAGTTATGTACTATGTATTATGCAGTGATGTGAGAAATGACTAAGACAGCCACGGCCTTCTAGACTCTTTCTTACCTCTTTCTTACATACACTGTGATACACATTTACCTGCTTCCTGTTGGTTATCGAATCAATAAAATCTGAGTTGACATGATGAAGAGGAGAAGATATGCCAATTCCCGACAAAAGGCATGCCAGAATTGTTCGACTACCAAGGCTAAATGTGACCAGAAAGCCAGAGGCTGTACCAGGTGTTCCCTAAGAGGCCTGTCTTGCACATATCCACAAACAAGCCCGCAAACGCAATCGCCGAGACATTCTACCCATGACGCGAGCAACGATGAAGAGTCAGGTTGGTATAGTCCCTTGGCTATAGGTAACACACTTTCCGCACCTGAGAGCTTGCTCACCAGTCCTGGATGCGAGTCGTCTACCAAAACAGACGCCTTAGATTCAGTTAATGAAGCACAGCATTCCACGGCTAGAAATTACCAAAAACCCATCCCCTCTACTCCCTGCAGTAGCAATATGCCCGCGGATGCATACGGGAATCGAAGTACTATAAACTACCCTCCCGATATTCCGGATATTCTTGATTTTTCACAGCTAGAGTTACTTAGTCCTATCAATGTAGACGACATAAGCAATCGTTGGCTAAACTCCTATATCCCTGTGCCTGGTCAAAAGATTAAAGAGTATCCTGCTACTATCACGGCCTTTATATACAGGATTCTTAAGTCGTATGCATCTGTCACGGTTCGTGGCCGTGGTGTTCCACCATTCGTACACTCCCTGCAAACAACAGCGAGATCTACGAGGCCACCGCTTTCGACTTGTCTGAGTCTGGTTCGGATTTGTGATAACTCATTGCCTGGCAGCGAGAACGTCGCCGTGGACGTGCTGCAAAGGGAGATGACTAGCCTCTACGAGCAACACAAGACATACGACGATGTAACCTTACTAGCAGCGTTTCAAGCCTACCTGATATACTCCTTGGTGTTGTTCTTCAGGTTAAGCCAGGTTCCGCGTCTATTCCTCCGACAAGCCATGATGAACCTTCAAGACCTTGCATGCTCAAGTAGCCGCGGAGGACTCGTGTGCACAGCAGAGGAACAGCGGGCCAGGCCCAGATGGGAAGCTTGGATAGTTGCCGAGGCGAAGCGACGTACGTTGTTTACAATGTACCTCTTCGACAGTGTACTTTTGGCACAGGACAATCTCCAGACTTTTCTTGGCACGGAACTTCAGGGGTTACCCGCCTCCTCGACAAAGTCTCTCTGGGGTGCCCAATCAAGAGACAAGTGGGAGTCTACATACAATGTGTATCTTGCAGACTGGTCAAAACGAGGCTTGCGCATTGACGAACTTTGGCCAATTCCTCCCGAACTTGATGAGTCTGGCATTCTTGAAAGACGTAACAGAGTCGATCAATGGCTGGAGGATGTTGACGAGTTCGGTATCATGTTGTATACAGTAACTAGTTGTACGCATGGTGGTTGACATATATGCGAAAGATCACCTGTGTCAGCCAGTTCTAATTCCAAACCAGCTTGCCCCGGGCGAGCATAATCGGCACAAGTACAGACTAGCCAACATTGCAAACTACCTGGTAGGTGTACAAATCGTCTCATGGCTCATTACTTTGAATATGATGATAAAAAACCCGCCAGCATTCTGTACATCTCTGGAATCCTTTTAACGGCATGATATCCCGTCAATCAGAGGGTGCTATCAAGACCTACACACTTAACCCCCTAAAATTAACTAGCACTACATGCTTTCGTTCTAACTTCAGTCCAGTGCTAGCATGTCCAAAGCTTCTTTGAGGGATATTACTTTCAAGTTCATCTTTGGCAAAAGACTGTCAAGTAAGACTTGGGAGTACTGTGCATGTTGGTCTGGCGGCAGTTCCAGTACGTTGTCCCTGATGACATAGATATTGCAGTCCAGGTCGAATAATCGATACACTGTACTCATTACCACGCCGGAGAGGCTCAGCCCGGACTGGTGATACCGTCAGCTTACCCGTCCCCAATATACATCAAGTAAATAGACATACCACGATAACTGTGTCAATATTCTGTGTCCTCAAGATTTGTTTAAGGCTATTCCCCGCGCCGGCGTACCACCTCGTCTTCTGCAAAATGATATCTTGGCTGTCGACCTTGAAATCCGGGGCTATCTGTGTTCCAGAGGGCCCGGTAGCAAATGAGCCGAATCCCTCGACGAGCCTGCTGAACGGGGCATCTTTACCTAGCCCCATCTCGCCGGGTGTGAATGACAGGCTCGAGAAGATAGTGAGAGGTCGGGGGTCTTTCTGGTGGACCGCATCGTTCCAGCGCGTGCAATTGGAAACAAATGCTTTTCCCACCGCCATGTCTTTAATAGCATCTATTAGAATTGACATAAGGTCTAAGTTGAGAACAGCATAATTCTTGCCGAAAGTCAACCTCCTACCAGTGGGTTGTTGCGTATGAGTTGCAGGAGTCGAAGCCATTATATGCCAAAACATTATTCTAAAGTGATAGTGAATGGAACAATCTCCAAGAGACATACTGTTATTCTCTCCTAAGACCTGAGTATTTTTAAGGGGCTCAGGTCCGGGGCCTACCGCGGAGCTCAGTTCTAGGTTGGGTTATTGTTTCGGAGTTGAGCGCTCAACTCCGCCAGTCCCTATATGCTCAATTCCGGACAGAAGCATATGAAGTAACGACTTCATTCTCATACATGACTAGTTATTCAACTTTCAAAAGTTACAAACAGAAATAAAGCATGGCTGCAGCAGATCAGCCTACCGATATTCAAGATGCAAGACCTGCATCACTAACAATCCCCGAAGAGCCCTACAGTATCTTTGACAAGCGACAGAAACTGTTGATCGTGCTCATCGTCTCAACCGCCGGAACTTGTAAGTGAGATATACTATAAACCCCAACACAAGGCCTACTACACTCACATACTCACCCACACAAAACCTCTAGTCTCCGGATTCGCATCCAACATCTACTTCCCTGCGCTCCCCACCATCTCCCACGACCTCAGCGTCTCAGTGGAGCTCGTCAACCTCACGGTGACATCGTACCTGATCTTCCAAGGCGTCGCGCCCAGCCTCTGGGGGCCCATCTCCGATGTCCGGGGCCGGCGCATCGCGTACTGCTGCACCTTTCTCGTCTTCCTCGGCGCCTGCGTCGGGCTCGCGGAGACGCGGAACTACGCCACGCTGATCGTGCTGCGCTGCCTGCAGAGCACGGGCAGCGCGAGCACGGTGGCGATCGGGTCCGGCGTCATCGGAGACATCACGACGCGCGCGGACCGCGGGGGGTTCATGGGGATCTTCCAGGCTGGGCTGCTCGTGCCTGTTGCGATTGGCCCGGTGATTGGGGGTGCGTTGGCGAGATCGTTGGGGTGGAGGGCGATATTCGTGTTCTTGGCCATCTACAGCGGCGCTTTTCTGCTGCTGTTGATTGTGCTGCTTCCCGAGACTTTGAGGTCGATTGTGGCGAATGGCGGGCGTGCGACATCATCCAACCTCATGGTGAGATACCCCCTGGTTGTCTATCATAAAACCACACGAGTCAAGTGGAACCGGGAAGCAGCTCCCGCACAACCTGCAGCGAGAAATCGCATTGATGTTACCGGCCCGTTCCGCATCCTCGTCAGCAAGCAGGCGTCTCCCATCATCATCTTCATCGCCCTGTACTACGCCGTCTGGCAGATGAGCATCACCGCCATGTCCACCTTATTCGAGGACCGCTATGGCCTTGGCGAGACCCAAATCGGGCTCACATTCATTGCGAACGGGGTAGGCTCCATGATAGGCACGTTCGTGACAGGGAAGATCCTCGATATCGACTACCGCCGGGTCAAGGCCAAATACGAGAGTCAACTAAGCCCCTCTGACGCCGAGGCGGGCGGAAGAGGCGATTCGCTTCCAGCTGCTGCTCGAAAAGACGCAGACGACGGTTTCCCGCTTGAAAAAGCACGGCTCAGACTCATCCCCGTCTTCTCCCTAATCCAGTGCCTGTCCATCCTCCTCTTCGGCTGGACGATCCAGTACCCCGAGCACGTCCACATCGCCGTTCCCATCGTGTCGACCTTCGTCACCGGCTGGACCGCCGTGTCCACGCAGTCAGTCGTGACGACGTACCTCGTGGATCTATTCTCTGACAGGAGCGCTGCCGCAAGCGCGAGTCTAAATCTCGCGAAGTGTCTCCTGGCTGCTGCTGGTACTAGCGTCGTGATGCCGATGGTAAATGGCATTGGGGTTGGGCTGGCTTTTACGATATGTGCTGTCCTCCAGGGCCTGGGGCTGTTGGGTGTGGCTGTGTTCGTGATCAAACGGGGGAGAGAGAAAGGAAGGAAGAGGCGGGTGGAAGTTTGATATAGGAGAAGGCTGCCAATCATGTTATTGGATTTCACATTTCACTCCGTTACGGGATAGGGCATATCATGATAGAAGCAATCGCGCCTAACTAATAGAGAACTCTAGTCTTTTTTTTTTTCGGTCTTTTGGATCTTATGGGCGCCATGAAGTTGTCTGAGGATTAGATACATAGGTGCCTACAAAGTATTCAATGTATCAATCTCCTACTCCTACTTCCCCAATATTATCATCCCAACCTATTCCCTGTATCACCATAGACACAAAAGAGGGTCTGGAGATATGCATTGGATCCTCCCACTACTTCACATCGAGCTTCTCATAGGAATCCTCCCCCAGCTGCTGTTGCTGATGGGGGAATATCGGTCCAGGAAGCGCAGACAAGAGACATATTAGTATAACTTGACGAGCGACACACGTGGGATTCGTTTGAGGCGTGTTTCGGACCATAGCGAGGGAGTTCCATGCCAGGTCCAGGTCCCTCTTCTCTTCGTTTCGTAAGCCATCCTTACAGTCACATATTATCAGTCTCATTGGATCACTTCGTCACTCTGGCGTATCATCCCACCCTCCTCACGTACCTACCTAGGTAGGTAACTTGGTGCTACGGCCTCAAGGAAAAGTACCCCATCTCATCAACGCCAAACCCCTATACTCACGCCACCACGCTTGCTTCGCCTTGCTAGCCAGCTCCAGGCGCAGCCGGAACCAGTGCCGGGCATTGCACCACCTGCACTTCTTGTCGGCGGGGCGCGAGCGCGTCTCCCACATGACGCCCCGGGGGCAGCTGTCCTGGCTGAAGACGTCGGCGCAGGTGCGCTGGCAGACGGTCCGCTTGGACTGGAACTTGTTGCACTGCGGGCAGTAGGTGTAGAGGCTCAGGTTGCGGCACATGGTGGCTATCTTTTGATTGATTTTCGTTCTGTTGTTTTTTTTTTTCTTTTATTTTGAGGAACGGGGAGAGGGTGGGTGGTTGGTTATTTGATTTCACGGCGGTCTTTCTTGGGTTAAGTCACGTATGAATCTGGTCGTTATTGAGTAGGTAGGTATATTGATTATGTTGACTCCAATGGCTATAATTCTTTATTATCTAAATGCTCGTTAGTCATACCAGAAAATCACAATAAGGGCCTTTTAATGTCAGAGACATACGGCTCATAGGATGGGTAGGAAGCAAGTAAGCAAGTCAGAAATTGAGGGCCATTGGCTGTCCTGGCTTGGAGACTAAAGGCGTAAGTTGGTAACAAAATAGCTACCGGCGAGAAAGGATGAAGAAATGTAGGTATACGACGGCATGATGTAGGAGAAGAGTGGATGAAAAGTTACCCAGTAAATCAGGTACCTATTCGATTAACGTTAATCATGGTGACAGCGGCTTTTTGTGGTTAGGGACGACTTCACATAGAGGCTCATTAGGTATACCTCAGGTATCTATCTAGGTATCTACTAGGTATTCGATAGGTGAATAGGTACTTTCTTAAACGAAGCACCTATGGTGAATTTTGGCTAGTAGCTATCCAGGTTATTCATTAGGGCTAAAGTGGTGTATATTCAGTTCTCGAAATTCTTATCTTGACAGTCGCCAATGCTATGCTATCCTGTATGCAAGACACCTGTCCGCGCTATGAACATAATCCCCAGGGCCACAGTCTACTGACGTATGTACAGATAAATATTATCGTAAACTGTAGCAAGCCAACCCTCAGCAGGCCCAGCTCTAGCTACGATTCCCAAACCACCCGCAGCCCAGAGTGCCGTCATAGCCACCGCAACAGTTTGGATTCCCCACCAAGCACGCCGCCGACTCTTCCGCAGCTTCTTATCTACAGTTATCTTTTTCCAGTTGGCTGGGGGAGTGAGATCTAGCCACTTGGCTGCACCCCAAACCATGTGACCTATGCCGACTGAAAGAAGAAGGGTGTAGGCAATCCAGGGGGGTAGGGGTTGGCGGGCGAAACCATGAGACACGAACTGCAGTCCAATATTGGAACTGTCGCCATCAACCACCAGAGGCAAGACGCGGTTTATACCCACATGTGAAGCTAGTAGCCCAACGAAGGCATACCCAGACAGAGAGATTCTGCTTACATGCGGCCACACCCTCACGGCACTCTTGTGTGATGAGGACGAGTTCTTATGGTGCAATGCCCACATTCCTGGGGTCTCTCCGCCATATCTTTTCAGATTCTCACGTCGACGTAGTAGTCGTATCGCAACTCCAGCGGTAACATGAGCTAGGACGGGAAGGGCAACGAGTAAAGGTTCAGTTAGGCGGGTTTGGTAGACCTCACGTGCCATAAGAAGAAAAGGTTCTGAGTAGGGAACGGATTGGTATATGAGAGGAAATAAGGAGGTATTTGCAACATGAAGACCAGCAAATAGAGTAAATGTGTAGGATGAGTAGCGTTGGATTCGGGATACTGTGAAAAGAGAGAAAAAGTTCGGTTAGTAAAAGCTGTAATGCTATTGGTTGCAAGCTACAACTTGCACACACACGCACACACGCACACACGCACTTACAATAAAATATTGGGCCACGGCCACCACCACTAAGGCCTAAAGAAGTTGAATGTCCCAATTGAGGTCGTATAATGCGACTGGAGGATTGTGATTCTTCCTCGGGAAGAGGTGGAAGGTCCTTTTCGTAGATAGAGGCATTATCTCCGATGGGTTGAGGATCCAGGTGAAGCAGAGATATTTGCGATGCCCACGGATTTATGGCACGAGGGTCGGTCGCCATGTGCCCTTTGCTTGTGCGCTTTCCAGGGTGATAGGTTGAAACTAAAATTTCGGGAATTTATTCTTAAACCTGGGAAGTGGAATCGAAAAGTTTTGAATTATTCTGAATTGTTGTGTTGGTCTAGAAAATAAATAAAAATGGAAAAAAAAAGAAAGAGGAAAAAAAGATTGGTCGAATGTATGCAGGCGGTGATGTCAGTAGAACTTTTGACGCCAAAGCCCGGAAGCTTCTAAAAGTTAAGCTTAATATTTTGTAGGTAATTAACTGTACCCCGCGGTGACCTTGCGGCTTTCCATTCGTGACTTCCCTTCTACAACAATTGCTTCATTTCGCGTTTTGCTTTTCTTAGTCGATATTCTAATAGATGGATCATTACACTTAGGCATTTTCACTATACCTAAGATCAATTCTAATAAACTACATATTATACTCTTTACCTTGGGTGCCTACCTAGCCAACATGCCGCCAGTAAGTAATCATCTATGTGCTGTCCAATACACCATGCTAGGCATTCAATTAGCTAACACCTCGGATTGGTACAGAGACACCAGACGCTACCACCGGCCCAGACCTCCTCGGCGCGCGCCGCCCTACAGTCATTCTACTGCGACCTCTGCTCGAAAGGCTATTCGCGAATGAACGACTACGAGGCCCACTTGGGCAGCTACGACCACAGCCACCGCCAGCGCATGAAGGACATGAAGCAAATGGTCAAGGACCCCACGGCAGGAGCACGAGCTAGGAAAGCCGAAGCCAAAGCGGACGGTCTTATCAGCATCAAGCTCGGCGGTGATTCGAATCCTACCAGCACGGGCGGCGGCGGCGGCGGGTTCAAAAGGGGAGGTTTCAAGAAGTCGGGCTTCAAGAGTGCCTTCACACCGATCGGCGGATCCGCGGATGACGAAACTACCACGACGAAAGAAGCTGGCACCGATAACTATAGCAAGGGAGAAAAGACCATACCAAGGGATCTAGATGCCGAAAGCGACACGGAAGACGAGGGATATGAAGTCTATAATCCACGGTTTCCAACAGATTAAACTGAGACTTTTCAGCAAATGACACTTTTACACAGCGTCGCGGTATATGTACAGCTGCGACGCGTAAAATCACTGGATTTTGTAGAGCCTAGCCCAATTTACGTAGGAGGCGGTAGCATGCCGCGTTATGTTAATGACCGCGATTAAATTGCATATTCGGCTAGCAGACCTGAAGTGCGAAAACTTCCAGGTAGGTAGGTAGGTTTATTCATAGCTACGACTTCGTTGGCATTCAGTGCATCGGGATTCGGGATACCAAATAGGTGCGGTATCAATCAACGGCGAATCCCAAGTTCAAAACACAGCAAAATGCCACACCAATTATAACTGCAAGGGGAAACGTTTCGAAATATCTACGTCGATAATTTGTGATAGTCAATATTAAAGAAGCTCCTAATTCAGTTCCGAGCCAGCTTTGGCTTTGCATGCGCTATCCAACGCTGACAACATTCCTTCCTCGCCTCGTTCCTCCAGGGACCGACGGTGACGAAAAAAAGATAAAATCTCGAAGGAGGTAGGGTTCCAAAAATTCCCATCCCGGCCGAAGCCAAAATGGAGTGGTCATTGTATAGTTTTCAACTAGCAAAAACACGCACTCGGATTGCTCCTCACTGTGACGCGTAAAGCCCGTGCACTAAGATGGGGAAGAAAAGAAGAAGAAAAAAGGTAAAGATTTTGGTCGGGGAGAGAGGCTTAAATAATGTGAAAGCGGTGAGCACAATCAGCCAGGAATTCTGCCAATGTGGGGCACCTTCCTTTTTTTTCTTTTCCTACTGTGCATTAGGCTCAATGAAATTGTTTGGTTTGCCCTCAGGGTTCCTTAAAATTGTTTTATTAGCACAGAGTGAGTCACTAGCAGTAGCTTATTTCCCGCTATAAATCTATTGTTATCCAATCAAATAACTAACATATTCTCTACAATCAGCCCCATTCCTTCCATTCTGGATCTTGTAGCTGATTTCTTTTCATCATGATTTTTTTGACACTACATTCAGGGACATGGTGGAAACTTTGAATGACTGTTATGTATTCACACGTTTGTTTGACTACTATTATTACTAGTACTGCCCAAAATTGTACTTCTTCCGTGCCTTTCTCTCGATGAATGACGGCCATAAATAGTATAAGTGATGCGCTAAAGCATATGGGAACCAAGGCACCACCACATTTCCAGTCACTTGTCGATCCACCGCCTCCAGGCACCTATTTGCAACATAGTCCAATTTAAGCCCATGTTGGTTCGGTTCTGCCTCTCTAGCTTCTGGGCCCGCATCCACAGCCGAAGCGCGAAAGTTACCTTCGATAGTCGCTGGTAGAACGAACGAGAAGGCAACCTTGGGATGTTCGATCGCGAGTGACTGGAACAGGAGAAGAGATGAAGCCTTAGTAGCTGCGTACAGCGCACGCGTAGGTGCCGGGACCACTGCCGCAACCGAAGATACCAGTAAGACTGCTGGCACAGCTGAGGTGCGCGTCAACATGGGGATAAAGGCCACTGCTGCCACGAGAGGCCCATAAACATTTCCCTGGGTTGCACGCGCAGTAATGTCCAAGGCGTTTTGAATGCCAGAAGCGCTCGCATCTTCATCCTTCCCAGGTCCAATTCCAGCCAGGCTCATCACAGGCTGCACTGCAGAGACACCAGCGCACACGTATAGTGTATCCAAACCACCCCACTCCTCCCGTAGTCTTTCCCTCACGCGCACCATGTCTTCAACGTTGCTGAAGTCAGCCACTTCCCAGATGCACTGCTGCTCACCGCACTCCTTAGCCAGGACGGATAGTGCTTCAGCTCGTCGAGCCACAATGCATATCCTAGCACTTCGGGTCGCATATTTCTTCGCGATAGCACGCCCAAGGCCACTTGATGCACCGATGATCAGAACACGTTCCTCGCTTGGTCGAATGCTTCTATGTCGCCTTGGAGATCTGGTCTTGATAATTCGCCGAGCTAAGTGAACAGTGGCAGCTACGATGAGGAGTGTAGTACCCGCCGCTAATGGGGGGGATTCAAAAGGTGAGAAGTAACTTAGCATTTTTGGAATCGCAGTTGGCGTCATGCGACGATGAAGTCAATGTTGTGAGTCTTGAACTGCATGTTGAAAAGTCACATGCAATGAAGTAGTTAAGTATAGTATTATTAACTTCAAGCTGAGTGATATTGCTCAAGTGGCCCAAGCGTCAGCACCTGAAAAGCTTAAGCAGCTGATGTTGGATTCATTCATCAATAACTATTGTTCTGGAAGCATGGCGTAATGGGGCATTACCTAGGGTACTTGGTACCTAGGGTAGTATCTTAAATCCGATCTTTACAGCCGCCCCTAGGGCCCTCAGTGCTACCTAGTACCTAGTACTATACATATAACTAACAGTAGGATCAAGTAACATACTGTAACATCAATAACATCAATGCATAGATATATAACTCGACATTTTATCAGGAAACCGAGTTCCATCTTCAAAACGTGCCATATAACAATCCTTCGATGACACCCGTGCAAGTTCCGAGAGGATTAGCAATGGATATGATTTGAGAGAGCCCAAACGACTCACTTCAATCTCTCCCGCCCCCTGCCAGGATATGAAATCGAGGATGCTAAGAGGCTTGGAAGTCCGCTGTCCAACGTATGTATCTGTATATGAACGCAATCCTTCAAAAGCAAGATTCTCACTGACCGTCGTTACGACGCCTCATCCATGATTTTCCACCAATGTAGAAAGTCAAACCTCAGATGATGAATAAGCGTTGGCATCTATTTCACGGCTGGACCAAGACATCACACAAGCGTATTGACAGAAATCCACATTTTGTTATGCTGTTGCCAAACCATGATATCCCAAAGGGAAAACGGTCTCTAATAGGTAAGGTAGGTACCTATTCGAATAATTCCTCGATAGCTTCCTGAGTGTCAGCTCCCCTTCTTCAATACTTCTGATTTAGATCTCGATAATTCGAATACAAAAAGAACGCTCCAACAACCCGCTTGACCAGGGTGGGTTGCGTTGCATTGTGCAAAGTCACAGGAAGCTGCCCCAAAGGGGCAAGTCAGTTACCCCCCAGTCCTGTTATCACTTTGGCACACTGCATTGGTAAAAAGGGAGCGAGAAGCGAGGCGCGAACGAGAAACAAGCGAGCTGACGAAGGAAGCAGAGCTAATTAGTTCACGTACAGTAGTTCTAGAATGTAAGAACTTGTGAAAATATCTACGCAATCACCGACAAGACAAATACAGGCTAGGTAAGTTAAGGTAACTAATCGAACCCACTGGCGCCACCTAATCCTTCGTCTACCTAAGTTGTCATCATAGTAGTCGGAACAATATGCAGAGTCCACATGGCAATACGGCTCCAGGCCGGAGCGAAGGAGTCCAACTTGGGAACGGCTGCACTGGCTCGTCCCATACAATTCGCTAGGCTTTGTCTTACTTGCATCCACTTCCACCACGTGGTAGACTGCATCGATTGATTACCTTACATATCCCTTACCAACCCTGGCGAGACTGGCAAGAAAGTTAAGCAGCCAGCCCAGTCTTTGTTTCAGCATGATGGCGAAAACAATGCTTCGGGCATTGCGTACATTCTAATCCGAGTTGTCGGTTCCCGCGGCGTATCCGTCTAGTGTTGAAACTTGGGAGACAAGGGAAATGATTCTCAGCCCAGGCTGCTGAATAACCTGAATCCTTCGCGCGAAATGATAGATTACTATAATAATCAACGTGCGCTGGCGGCGTGGGAACATATCCACACGTTCTACTTCTACTCCCTGATTCCCTTTCTCGACTCTTGGACGCTCTCTCACCCCATTGTCAACTCAATTTCGCAATGAGGTTTCCGACATTGCTCGTGGTGATTTTTGCCAGCATCACCGGTCGGTGCTGCGGCTACAGGCCCGCCAAGATAGATAATCTCATTGTTTTCGGCGATAGCTACTCGGACGAAGGCCGATTGGCCTACTTTTTCGCTCACAACAACACCGCACCACCCGTGGGCCTTTACATCCCGGAATCGAACGTGACAGCGAGCGGCGGGAAAAGCTGGCCGCAACTTGCCTCTAAGAAACTTGGGGCCACGACGTTTAATTATGCGGGTAAGTTAGACCCCCATAAACAAATGTCACGAAGTTATCTCCGAGCCTTCGGTTCAGCTGGTTGCATATTTATTTAGGGGATACCAGACGCGGCATAACACCCAATTTGTAAAATTGATTATGGACTAACATTTAGGTGCTGCTTAGTAACCGGCGCTGTATGCACTGATATCTTTCCGGACACGCTGCCCTCCGTCAAGGAGTATGAGGTGGAGGCTTTCGCGGCCGACACGTCCTACGTCAATCCCGCCACGGGCAATAACACGTTGTACAAGAACCGGCAGCCGGACAATACCGTGTACACTCTGTGGATTGGCGCTAACGATCTCGGCGTCGGCGGGTTCCTCACAGATTCGCAAGAGCCTGCCGGTAGCACTATCAGCGATCTCATAGAGTGCGTGTGGCCAACCTTCGACCTCATCTACAAGCTGGGCGGGCGCAGGTTCGTGCTCTTCACCGAAGTGCCCCTGAACCTGGCGCCGCTGTACCGGACGCCGGAGCACGGCGGCTCAGGCGACGTGCCCCGCTGGCCCGACAAGCTGGCGCACAACACGACGGAGTACGAGCAGAAGATCCTGGAGTACACGACGCTGGTCAACAAGATCTTCGCGTACGGCGTCCCGCTGCAGCAGTACGTCCAGCGGCGGTGGCCCGGCTCCGAGTTCAGCCTCTTCGACACGCACCAGCTCATCGAGGACATCTACGCCGCGCCCAACAAGTATCTGGACGCGCCCGCGAATGCCACCGGGTACTATGCGCAGTGCGCCAACCCCATGGACATAGCACACACGGACTGCACGTTCTCGTCAAACCCGTTGTCGAGTTTCTTATGGTACGGCTTTTCTTTTTTCGCCTTTCAATGCAATCTTACTTCATTTGATCATGTGCTTGCTTGCGAGGGGATACTTAACTAACGCACTGCTTGTCTTAAATAGGTTCGACGAACTTCACTTGTCGCCCAAAGCTCGTAAGTCCTAACCATCTCATTCATTCTCCACCCCTTCCACGCTTGTCTACCTAGCTTATTACTTACATTCCCGTCCTACAGATGAGTACATCGCCACGGAATTTGTCAACGTCTTGAATAGGACATCCAAATACGGTCTCTACTACTAGGACCTATCTTACATACTATCTTAATTATGGACATACACACTCTATATATATATAGGTACATATCTATTCGACTTACTGGACAGCCATTTATATATATCACTATTTGTATATAGTGCAGGAAATATCTCACTGCTGCCGATTTACTACCTGCCTAGTTAGGAGGAAGGTTTCTTGGAAACCGGCTGGATATAAATGTAATTAAGGACATAATAATTCCCTGCCTACCTACCTAAAGGTACTTCTCACTTAATGAAAGAAATTTCAACCCACATGGGAACGCCGCCCTCGCGCGTACAAGGGGTCGACTGCGACCTCATATTCCTCCGCCTACACACTTGCCGGAAAAGCCGTTCGGTCTAGCGTACCCACACGAGAGATGTCCCCAGTGCCTAATTGATTATTTTTACTACACATGGTATTCATAGGTCTCATTGTGGACATCGATCGACCTTGAGTTTGTCTGTCTGTCTGTCTGTGTATTGAGGGTTATAAATAGAAGTAGGTATCACATAATCAATCATGTAAACAATCAGGTCTCGCAACCGTGCTATAGAGGACGTAGTCTCACATGGAAAAGAAATTATTGGGTCTTTGCAAGTGGTGGCGCCGGAAATAAGAAGCTGTGTCAAAGGTGTGGTAAGTGTATTGAATCTGTTTCTGCTGATGCCTGACTGGCCCTACTAGATAGTGGCCCAGGTATTGAACCAGTGGATATCTAGTTCCATCTCTTATAAGATAAGACCTTCGCCATTGTTGTGTAGCTTGCGTGGTGGTTGAAAAGAAAGTGAAAAATTATGGGATGGCGGCGCCGCGACACATGCCCCTTTCAATGTCATGCCTCTTGGTCAAATGAGGCGTGTTCCAGTTACTAAGTAAGTAAGTATCAAACTCGTAACGACCGAAGAATGGAAGAGGGTGTAAAACGTAAGATACTCTAATGCCTCTCATCACGTTCACCCCTCTGAGCCTGTGTCTTCTACAGTAGCTCCACTGGGCCAATGCTTCCAATCTCGCCAAATGGCACTACCATTGTAGAAACAAACGTTTCCATGTCATTCACCGCGATTTCTCTATCATAGGCCCACGCCTGAAGGCTATCCCAGTCGGTGCATTTTCGAAGCCCTCCTCTTCCCGCTTTGGCCTTGCGGGGAGTCTCCCAGGCAAACGTGTTCATGGTCACGTCTGCATTGCACATTATTCCCTCGCGGATGACATCCAAGCAATGATCTAGATTTCGTGATCAGCAGTACGTCACAGATTGAGGCAGGTCTGATTAGAGCTTAGAAATACATACACAGGTGAGTTTTATCCAAACGACCGGCTCGTACTTGCTCTGGGTAGTGTTCCGGGTGATACGATTGGTAGATTCTTTTCTGTCTGGATTTAGCATGTGTATGTAGCTTACCTAGGTATGTACCTAGGTAGGTAGGTAGTATCAGAATTGGGAGTCACATACCACGCAATGCAGCATATGTAGAGCCTCAAGGTATCCGACATAGCCACTACCATCTAGTAGTTTCAGTGATGTTTTGTTCATTTTGAGCATTTCTTCTTCGGTAACTCTAATGTTTGTCGCTATTGTGAACGGTTAACTATTGGCATTTCCCGTCATTATGAAGATGAGGATAGCATACTTACATCTCAATAAGTCTGACCAGGCCTGGTCAAGTTCGAGACGGGGTTCCCCAGTGTACACAGACGAACTGTGTTCGTAATGATGCTCTTCAATGGTGATATATTGTAGAGCCGACTCCGCGGGTGCTTGTGTCTTTGTTAGTCACTACAACCTACTCGCTTATAATTAACTTCTAACAGCACTTACACAGCATTTCTTTGGACACGGGTTTACCCAGGGTATCGTCGCCATGAGTCCTTAGGTATGCGGCATTGGAGATGAGAAGGACTATGTTGGAAACAAGTAAGAGCAAATGAAGGACGAGGATAATGCTCTGCAACTTGACATTGCTGTTTAACAAAAATGGGCGCCTTTTAGAACGCACTGCTTGTTGGTCAAAGTTACCTTCACTTGCTAGGAATGGCATTTTCTCTTCTTCATTAACTGAAGCCATCTTCTTTTGTAGTAAGTTGCTGATGTGAGGTGGTTCTGTGATAGTAGCTTCAAGTTTCTGCGCTTGAGCATCTACAGGAACTGGATTTCAGTCGAGATCTTGTGTCAATCGAAGAGGTTGTTGGTTGGTTGTTGGTTGGTGTATTTGACGACTGATGACAGTAATATGGGTCTACTACGGCTGCTCTCCGATGGGGGTTGCAACAGAATCAAAGGATTGCAGCATAATCAAATAGGGTTGGCTCAAACGGACGTTGTGCAAGATAGAGACAGCAGTGTGGTGTCATTCAACCTGTACCCCGGAGAGACAATGGAAATAAAAAACAAAGAGAGAAAGCTACCAAATTATGTAGTTTGGTAGCAATGATGGCAAGGCATTATCGTCAATGTCTTACCCCTCCTGTTGCGTTAGGGTAAGTTTTGGGGGTTCACGACCTTGACCTTCTCTCGTTATATTGAACGACATTGCATAAGTGGCTGGGTTATCTCTGTCTTGGTGTGTGTACATGAGTGACGTGGCAAGGCTGGGCAGGATGGAAAGCAAAGCACGCAAATCAAATTGGGATTTGGATCGAGTTAGCATCCATGTAATACAGACGACGCTGACGTTGCCCGATGGGATAGCTTTTGCTAAAATGGCTTTATCTAATTTCAAGTCTAGAATCTATTGTAACCGATCTCATGGTCCCACTAACATATCTGTATTCGCTTGCCTTTCCAGCATCCAAGCGTGCAGCTTGTCCCAGCTTACACATTTCTGTATTCCTGGTTCGTGATGCACTGGTTTATCTCGTGTCTCCTTATCCCAATACAGCGTATACAAGGTAAAATCCAAGTGGCACATAATGCTCTGACGCAAGTAGTCCAGACAATGATCTAATCATATGGACATTACAGCGAGTTAGCATCTTTAGGTCAAAAATGATGGAAAGGACCAAGTATTGGGGTGGTTGCTAACCAGCATGTTCTTGAAGGTATTTGTATTCCTCGCCGTTTGGGTCCAGCCCGGCGTAGAAATGTTCACCATATAGGAACTTCTTAATTTGTTTCTATTTGAGAATCAATGAGAATTTTACATTCGGGAAACAATCACGGAGCCGTTGACTTACTATGCAGTGAAGATTATGTGCAACTCCAAGTCCTGCGGCATATCCACCGCCTTCAAATGGTATTGATTCGGTGTTGAGTAGCTTTAGCTCATCGTCTGAGATCCGTATAAGGGTCCCTAGCATAACCCGTTTTAGATTACTTTCAAATTATCGAGGGATGGGGAAAGCTTGCCTGTCAATAGCCTATGCATGGAGTTCTCCCACTCCGGTCCAGGATATCCTGTAAATCTAGTATCGTTCGTTATCATCCGACGGTATTCATACTCTATGAAAGTATTGGCGGGGGCTTGGGAAGCATTAGCAAAATCAAGACAGTCAGGTCTCAAGTAGATTGGACTTGCAGTAAGGCTCAACGATCTGGCTACTCGACAAGCTTTGTTGATTATATTTTGGACTTGAGAGAAAAAATACAGCCCCACCTAGAAGACCGCAAGTAAATAATAAAAGAGCGTTCGAGAAAAGCGAAGCCATTAGAAATCGATTTCTATTGCCTGAATTAACCAAGATGGAGTTTTCTAAGTTTTCATCGTCGACATCGTGATCGAGGAGTGGCTGATCATATTTTCTCGGCATACTATTTCCTCGTGAATACTTAGCAAGCGTGATGCGTATTAGATATTCGATGCCAATGTGATTTCTTCTCCCTAAGGTTATCAATCTGATGGGAATTGCGAGTGGAAAGACGAATATGCTACCAGCATGGAACGACGAAAAGGCCTTGCAATAAAATGAGTACTTAATTAGATACCGTGGCGTTATTTCCAACTCGTTATGTTGGTGGTATTCATAAGTGTCACGCACAGCTGTGTAACAAACGCTGCCAGTTTAGCCAACATTCTAATCCATGACACATGAGATGGGTATTCTTCGTCAGATCGTGATGGTGCCGATCTTCACCTTGGTATTGGTTGAAGCGGATGTGACCGTATGGTTGCAAGGTTACTCTATAGGATTTGAGATGAGGCTCCAATGAAATACGCGCCCTCTTGCATAGGTACATCCTAACATAGGCAGTAAGCTTACCGACCAACGAACTAATAATTTCATCTCCTTTTCGTATTGAGAGGGATTAAGTGAGGGGTTACAGAGCCGACTATATAGATCAGGTCTCCATTTCCTTTCCTGAATTATCGGTTCGGGTTGGTAGACTAGCAACTAGTCCGAAACTCGATATCACATCTCCTGGAAAATCTTCAAAAACAACAGTACTTTTAGCCACTTGTATAAGTACTACACAGTATGAAACGAATTATTCTCGTCAGTCTATTAGCGGCTCTTGCTATAGCTACACCTATTTCTCTACGTAAGTTTCTAACCTAAACAATCCCGCTGCGTGGCGTGCAAATACTTATGCTAGCTTTTGAATCTGTAGAGCAGCAAGAGTTCCCGAACGACGTTGAGCGCCGCGATGGAACAACTGAATTTGACCCCGACTATGCACTCAAGCTTTAAAACGAGCTTACAATCGACTTAGGGTCCAGTCTTTGCATGAAATCAGAGGATTACTAGAACGCGAATTTGTTTGGAATGCTTGGGTCTGGGGGAGGGGATAAGGATGGAGATAAAGGGGCAAGGCAGCCAATTCGGCACTATTTATCTCTTACATTAAAGCTCAGCTTTACTGAAAGAGGGTTCCTCAAAACATTGCTCTCATTACGAACGACCAGTTCTTTGTTCTGGTCTCTTGTTCTTCTATTATACAGGTAGCCCAATTAGTCAGCACAGCCGTTCGTTAGTAAACCGTCAAATTCAAACCTCAGGCTATTGTACCTACTATTTTTAGTAAGAGTGTATCTCCTGCTGCCTTATGCCACTCAAGGGATAATTGTGCAACACTACCTGCACATTTACCACACACAGCCTGCCTACAGTGGTAACACAGAGCCTGCCTGCAGTGATAATATGCGACGGCCCAACCATCTAAGCCCGCTTCTGCAATGTAACATACCTCCCTTTCTATCATGATCCAACCCTTCTTTATTAATAATCAAGAGATGGTTACCAACAAGGGAGCAAGGCAGCCAACGAACTACAATATAACATATAGGTTGATATCTGGGAGTTATGAGCGCTCTTGATTCATGCTAGAGTCAATACCAGATCAATTTCTCAGCCAGCTTCAAACTAAGAGCTTTATAGTTAGCACCATGACTTCTTCTATTAGAGTTGCTATTGTTGGTGGTGGCGTGGCGGGTGCCTCTTTACTCCATGCCCTAGTCAAGTTCCCTCATCTAGACGTCCATATCTTCGAGTCCGCTACCGAATTCAAAGATGCCGGCATGGCTTTCGGGCTCGCCCGAAACGCGCAAGCTGCTCTCCAGCTTATCGGTCCTTCAGCCGTCCAATGTCTCGAGCGTGCCGGTGCCGTGCCAATGAAAGGCGTTCGATTCATGATAGCTCATGGTGATGCGGCAGGCAGCTTGGCTGATGAGACGGCCGACGCGGTTCCAGGAAAGAGTCTCACGAGCATCGTCCATCGAGCGCCCTTTCTGCAGGAACTGCTCGCAGATATCCCGAGGGATAGGATGCATGCCTCGAAGAAGCTCGAAAAAGTCGACCAAAAGAACGGCCCTGTTACGCTTTACTTCACCGACGGGACTACACACGAATGCGACATCCTGGTCGGCGCTGACGGCATCCATAGCACCGTCCGAAAGCTCATCTTGGGAGAGGACGATGCCGCGGCGGTGCCTAGAAACAGCGGTGGCTGGCTCCTTATGACTCTCCAACCATTCGACAAGGCTCAAGCGAGTTTAGGACAAGAGCTCGTAGATATCGATAATGCCCGCGAATACAGTTGGATTGGTCAAAATGCTGTATTATTGCACAATATTCTGAGCAACGGCGAGCAGGTACAGTTTGTCATTGCATCTAACGACACGGAAGTGGAATCCGCACATTTGGACCATTGGCAGCGCAATGTGGGTGTCGACGAGATCAAGAAGCTATTCAAAGACTATCCGCCCCCCCTTAATAAGGCTGTTGATGAGGTAAGGTGGACCCCCAAGCTCGTGGAGGCAATACCTACCTAGGTAGATACTTACTAGCCTGCAGCTGCTTTGCAACGTACCGGAACATAAAGCCTTATATCTTTGGGAGCACCCCAACGCGCGTACTTACGTTTCGGGTCCAATGTGCATAATGGGCGACGCTGCCCATTCGACAACGCCGTGGCACGGCTCTGGTGGTGGCATGTCTGTCGAGGACAGCTTTATCCTTTCTACCTTGCTTGGGCGCGCGAGAACGCCCAGCGAAGCCCTTACGGCTTTGAAGGCTTACGATCGCGTCCGCCGTCCCCGCACGCAGAGAATAGTCGAGTCTAGTCGAGCCACAGGCGAGATGCTGATGGGGAGGCACGCAGAAACTGGATTGGACCCGAAGAAGTTTAGATCGTTTTGCGCAAGGTGGGACTTTATCATCGAAATCGATATGGAGAAACACCGTGACGAGGCTCTACAGATAATGGAAGCTGGACTGAAAGGGGAAGACACCATACTATGATGGAGCTACTCTCTAACCTGGAGGACAGTACTTGAGGTGTTTTGAAATATTTTACTGGTTCTAGCACTTCCGGACTTATCTACATGGATCACATTATCTGCGTTAAAGCTGATAGTAGTGCATTACAATCAGTGATGCTAGGTGTTGATTGTAGATTACTGATTAGAATGTTGTGCCCTCCCCCCCCCCCCTTTTCCATTTTTCCTTTGACTCGTAGTATGAGCCTCATACTATGAGGCTGCACCAGCTCGCACCAGAGGGTTGCGCTACATGGTAGCATCATTTTAGAGTAGTTGGTTACACGCTGTAACGTAGTCCTAACGGATCGTGAATATGCAGGCTGGGTTCCCCCCCACGTAATAATGATATCTCACGTCAAGGCTACAAAAGCCGCGCACTTATTATATTCGAATTAGGATACGATCAGCGTCCATCTTGTGCATACAAATCAACCCTCTTGAGTCGCTGCAGCGTGCCATTAGTGCCATCTCGATCCTTCAGTCCCATACTGATCACTAACCTTACCTGGCTGGAGACCTCCTCTGCCGATCCTAGCCTACAGCCATGTTTCACCAATAGATCCTAATTCCATTCACGTACATGGTATTGGGGGCTAAAATGGTAACATGTCTTATATTTCTAGATACGATTGAGAACATTGAGCAATAAATAGCTCATTAAGTTTCTGTAAGGCTGATGCACCAACACTACGACATAGATCCAAGTTGGCTTGGGGGTCTTTCGTCTCCCCCCGATCAACTCGCTCCTATTTCTACATGTAGCCTCATAACAACTATCTACCCACAGAGGAGATACTATCTCATCGACCTATGCGCTCTACTTACCTCTTCTCCTCCTAGGCAATATGTTCCTGTTTTATGGTCTCTGTTCCCTACGCCTTAGGTACTAAAGACACACGCAGTATCCATCAAACATAGAATCTCAGACCGATATTCCCGATCACGATGAGTTATATTAACAGAGGGTCGATTTCAGCTATTGGGGTGATCTTCCCAGCTCTTGCCATCCTCTTTCTTGGAGTTCGAACCTACGGATGGCGACATCATAGTCGCGTTTTGGCGATTGATGACATCCTTGTTGTTCCGGCAGGTGTATGTCCTAGATGTGTTACTCCTTTCTCCAAGTCATTCGACATGCCTACTTACCAACATCGCGAGACAGGCTCTGACAATCGCTGCTGGGGTTGGGTTAGTAATTGGTAATACTTGACCCTGCCAGCTATATATTAAATATCAATTTCTTAAAACATTCAATAGGAACACAGATGCACATAATCGGTGGGCATTCAGATCTTGATCCTGCAAGTACGGCAGAAGAAACAGCCAAACTCGGCAAGGTTGGTCTCGATCTATTCAAGTTCGTAGCAAGGTCCCAGGCAATAACCACAGCAATCATGATAACAGTTTGAATACGCTTTCTGGATGTGTCATGTCTTAGCCATTGGCTTCATAAAACTGACAATTCTATTCCTATTACGCGGTGTATTTAAAGGTTCGTAGAGGTATATCTGTTCAGAAGAATTGTCTAACCACATTCACAATGAACAGGTCGAGCATACAGGACCGTCTTTGATTATGTGAACTGGATACTCATAACCTTGGTCACGCTGTGGACTTTGGTGTTTCTCTTCTTTGACATATTCGCCTGCGGGACTCACCCATCGGCGAGTTGGGAGAGTTGGGAATCATTGAGAGAGTACTGCATTGATACTCTTGGAATGCAGACTGGGGGTGCCGTCTTCAGTTGGGTTCTTGATCTTGCGATCTTCATCGAGCCCCTCATCATGGTATGAAAGAAGCCGACCCATCTGCTGTTCAAAAGAAGTCGACCAAAATCCCAACTCTCTAACATGACATAGATTCGGACCCTCCATATGAACAGTAGGCGAAAGATCCAAACATCTCTTGTCTTCCTGTGTAGTGGCTTGTAAGTATATATATATGGGTCTACATGTTTCCTGAGATACTAGGTGGTAAATACTAACTCACTCGTAGTGCGGTTATCGCAGGACTTTTAAGAATGATTCCCTGGATCCAATTACATCGTCAGGACATCACACACCCTACTCTGAGATTACTTGCCACGACATTTTTAATTACTGACCAACAAGGTAAGAAGGCATCACCTAGGTACCAACCTAATAGATGAGTTGGTGGAATTTTACCAGCTAATGAAAGATAACAAGGCATTATTTCCATTGTTCTCTTCTGGACTTACATCGAAATCGGCGTGGGGTTTATTGTTTCTTGCATTCCTCGGATTGCTTGGATTGGGGATAAGATATCTGTTGACCCTATCCTGTCCAAACTTCGCTCTCTCCCATCGAGTGTTTCTTTATTGAGGAGAGACAGGCACGCGCATCGTAGGGTAGAGGACCTAGAACAACAATCTCAAAGCTCCTGGGTATCAAAGCTTTACATTAAAACGTCATCGGGCCATCGCTCTGATGACAATGTGGAGCTAAGTTCAACGACAGAACGCGTCTGAGATAGTTTGACTCTTGCAAGAGTAGGAAAAAGGGGCCCCTCAAATACCATGGCAGCCATTTTATTCGTGGGAGACTGGGAGTCAAAGGGTGTTTGACACTCAACGCCTTTTCCCATATCCACTACATCTAGTGCCAATATCTGGAGTTTTAACCTAGGATATTGAGTACCTGGCATTCTCTTCCATACCTATTTCTTATTGTTACATTTTTACTTAGTCGGTCTGGGTTCTTCACCTCTGGTTTCCCTATCTCATCGTCGAGGCTACCGCGAGTTTCTCCACTAGCTGGAAGCCTATCTCTGTGAAGCATCCTAGCACAACAGCCGACTACCATAGTAATGGCAGCACCTTATAATACCAAATATATTTTTTCTAGCCGTATCCAATGTTGTATGTATGGCTGAGCTAAAAATGCTTATTGACTATGTTCAATTCAGTGGTAATGCGGGTTCAAGTGATGATGTACTCCCCGATATATTGTCATTCGCGTTAGGTTGACTTAGAGATGACAGCAAGGTCGACGGTGATATTTCAGAACGCTTGGGGGGAAATGCTGCAATAGGTACCTACTATCCATACTTCAAAGCAGGTAGATCAGGGCAAACGATCGTAGTCCACGTCATTCACTCTGCTAGAAAAATAAATAATAAACCCCAGCAAAGGCACCTCGTACTGCTATTTTCACGAAAGAGGATACTGGGAATAGCTTCAATTTATTTTACGCCATGTCTTCGCATCGCAATTTCTGACCAAGTGCTGCCATGCCTTATCTAATTTAGCTCTGTATATCTTGGCCTCACCCTCTCTCACACATCCCTCATACCTAGTCAATAGATCGACAGTACCGATCACACATACTCTTTCCCAAAAATCCTGGTATTTTGAAAAGCAAGCCCATCTACCCCATCATAAGTAGAAATCCTACATGATAGCACACATGCCTCTGCTCTCCAGGGCGTTGATTCTCTCCGTCAGCGCCTGAACCGAAGCCTCATTCATCCGTTTCTCGTCGGCGCGTGCCTGCTCCATATCCCGCAACATCTTCTTATAATGCTGTTCAAGGGCGGCTACTGCAGCTTTGTTCTCCTCAGCTGAGGTTCGCAATAGCATCTCCTTCATCTCAGCAAGTTCGTTTTGATGCTGCTCCTTGATCCGCGCGAGCTCTATCATGATCTCCTTGCCTGCGGATGTGTCTTTAAGCGCCATGTTGCCTTTACCCATCTCCTCTTGTAGTTGAAGATAGAAGGGCTTATTTCGCATAAGCATGGATGCGATTTTCCTAGCTGAATCGGTGGATCCATCGTGCCGAGCATATTTCGCGCCAAAAGCCGTCAGAACGTTCCAAAACTTTCCCTGGAGTTCCGCTTCACGCTTCACGCTATCCTCTTTGTTGACCTTATCCCACATGCTGGTCGTTAATACCACATTCTTGAGGTTCTTCTCACCAGTCAGCTTTCGAAACATCTCGAGATTTTTGGTGGCATGATGAGTAACACGGTTGTCAGAAATGGGATGTATATATATCAGGCCTGACAAACGCATGTCTTCCGAGTAGGCTGCGGCTAGATAGTCGGCTATCATCCCGAGGACCTCAGTATCGGACAGATATGTGTCCGAAAAGCCCGGCGTATCGACAAAGCGGACAGTCTGGCCATCGATGGTGGTCTCGACAACGGTTATTTCTTGAGTACCTTCAAGGCAGGTGGATTAGCCAATGATCAAGATTCACATCTCTGGGCTAGTTAGAGGTCTTACATGAAGTAAGGCCGTGACCTATCTTCAGATCTGACCGTCCGGTTACTTTTGATATGAAGGTGGTCTTTCCAGACCCGGTCATTCTATAAATAGTCAGTGTGCTGCTTACAATAGTGCATATTCGTTGGCTTCAAAGCTTGATATAGACTTACCCCATCACGGCGATCACGACATCCTTGCTGCTCCATCTCTTATATAACGACTTCGCCGACTTTAACCCCGGAACATCTCCTAGATATGTTTGCGGATTGAATGTGGAGACATAGGAATTATCGTAGACGATATCCGATAGCTCCTCGTTGGCTTTGTCTTCGGAGGTCATGGTGTTTGCTTGTTCTTGTTGATGTCTTCGTCCTTGCTCTCGACCTTGCCACTGGTTTGGGGAAGATGATGGCTCGGGCGTCAGTGGAGAGACTGAGGAATCACCATAAGCTTCGTTGGAGTCAACGATGGAAAAATCGTCGTCGATTCTAGTCATATTTATAGATTTCAAGTAATTTATCGTTTGATGAGTAGGTAATAATAGTTTCGCTTTTATTAGAACTTCACTTTAATATGAATGTTGGTTGAGATGTCGTTTGAAGGTGAGAGTGAGAGACATGAAGCTGGAGCTGATGTGGGGTTGGTTTGGTTCCAAGGTGGCTTAGGAGCTTTGGGCTTCGTAATGAATGCCCAGGCGTACTTTGTACTAGGTACTAGGTACTGTACAATACAATACATACAATACAATGCACCGTACCTACCTAGGCATGGCCGCACGGGTACCTACATAGGTAGCTACGTCACTGATTACTCACATCAGGCAACTGCATGTGGGCACCAATGGCAGCGATGGCTTCAAGTCCATTCAGAAGTGGATCGTTACTAAGTACTATGTACTTCGTACATGGCAAATAGCTGCCCCTTTCTCTAAGTCCGATGTCAGAATAAGCTTTTACCCCTTTTCCTCCCACACACAGCCTCTTCGTATGTGATAGACTGTACCTGCATATATATATATATATATGTTCAGAAGCATGGCATACTCTTTTCATACATGTAGCATGGATTCCCGAAATATCGATTATGGGTTACATAAATACCTATTGACGAAAAGGGTACCTACCTATATGACCAACACCACTCGGCCACCTGCATGACTACGACAGGCCCCCCCAAGCCAGAAACTCAACATCGTTTACCTGATATGCTCTTCTCGTGTAAATGGGGTACGACTCTAGTTGCTTGATAACCTTGAATAATGGCATGGTGGCCCGGGTCGGTAAGATAAGAAAAGAAAAGGATTAGAGACACGACCCTTTGCACATGTATCCGACCTCCTAATCCCGGAAAGAAAGAAAAAGAGAGAATGAGAACATGCAGCAAAGAAAGAAAGAAAGAAAGAACGAACAAACGAACAGACGGGCACTCATTTACCCAGGAGGTCATGCCTAGAAGCCTGGGTACTTGTCGACTCCAATCGCAACGGCTACCTAGGTATAGGCATTCTACATACTCCAGCAAGGGAGAGCCAGGGTAGGATCACAAACGGCAGATGAGCGGCTGGTATCAGCGACGGCGCCTCAATACCAACCATACGAATAAATCACCGGAGCCACCCCGAACTCCCTTGCCTCAATACGTGCCTATGCTCCCCTCCACTTCCCGCCTCACCCCAATTTTCCGTCTGAGATTTCAGAAGAACGTACTTGATGTCCTTCCCCTACATCGCTACATCACACCTTGATTTCCATCCAGCACCCAATCAGAAGATTACACTTCCTCTTGCCGTGGATGGCGGTGGCATTAGTGCGACGGCATCGCGATTAGCCGACTCTGTATACATGTACACAGTAGCATGGCTGGCCCTACCTATACATGTAAGTAGTGGTTTGTAGGTGTCGCGGGGATTAGCTTTACCAGGTACATAGGCAGTCATCAACTACTACGCGCCTCCCCAGATTCAAAATCGACAGACACACTCTCGATGCCAGCCATACATACATGTAAGCTGCGGCATCGCCATAATCCCCAGCGCGTGACTACCTAGCTAAGTACTAGGTAGTAAGACTTAGAGCCGGAGGTTCTGTTCCCCTTTCGGGCCCGGTATAGGCGGGGACCAAGGGTAGGTACCTATGAGTATGGGCGTTGCTGGGACGGCACGGAGATCGCGGCAGCAATTATAACTAGGTACTAGCTTGGCTGCATGTATCAATGTAGGCGGTCTCTGGTACTCGAAATATGTAAATAGGCAGGCATTATTGCCATGCTGCCTGTATACCTAATCATACCCTCCGATTGAAGTGAAAGTCAACGCCCTAAATCAACGACAGCAGGGCAGCCAGCCGTTGCCGATATGGTAAACACCAACGACCATCATACTAAGTAGGTACCTAGGTACCTAGGTAGATGCCTCCAATATAATCACAAGTCGTAAATGTGCACAAATAGGAAACGCATCAATTAGCATCCCGGTTCAGTGCATATGTAACTCTTTCGTGTCGAGAGTACGTATCTCGGTCGGTACTTGAGTTCACGATGTGCTCCTTGTCTCTCAAAGTGGGACATTCTACACAAGGGGAAACCCTAGATGCCGACCCCTTTGCAAGCCAGAAAACTCCGTAGGTTCTCAAAGATCAGATTAGCACCAAATTTTCCACCTCAACCCTCCAAACAAGTCCAATCAACTCAGATTAGTCATGATATCGATGATCGCTGTTGATTAAATAGCTCTAAGAAGTAGCTGAGGTGCGGCTTTACATACCAAAACCGTCTAACCTACACCCACCCACCCATACATATACATGCCCCGAAAAAGCAACTGCACCACCTGTGCATGCCACTAATTACAGCCATGGTATCTCCCCTAGCCAAAACGCCAGTAATCGTTATCTTTGGTATCATCCCATTATTCGAGCCCGGCCTCTCGTCACGGGTATCCATACCTTATTTGCCTAGTATATACAATCCCCCTTTGAGAATGAGGAAAGGGGGGGGTGCGTTGCTTATAGTGCATAGTTTTCCGTGTGTAGAAATATCTCTTCCAATTGAGGGTCGCCCCAAATCTCCGCCTGTAACTTCGCAACTGTATTTGCGACACCTACACGCATACTCGGCGGCCCACAGACGAAGACCGCTGTCCTCCGGCCCAGAATACCCCGTCCGTCCACGCCGCCTGTGGCCCACTCCCGTAGCATGTAACCAAGGTCGGGGCGGCCATACTCAACACTCCATCCGCCGTCAATCTCATGAGGTACTGGGAAAGCGAAGCGCATGAGGCTCTTTTGAAATTCGGTCGGCGTCTCTGGGAACCCGAAGTCAAAACCTGAAGGTGGGCCAAATGTTGACGTAGGACGTGTAGTATGTTGATTTGGTAAGTTCGTTGTGCGAAGGTGCGCGAGTTCCGGGGCGCGTACGATGTCTTCTGGGGGGTTCGCTGAGCTACCTTCAGTGTCAAGAGAAAGAGGCAATCTCCGGGGAGAGGGTGGAGCGTAGTTGAAATGAGGCTGCTGCTCGGGCCGGGTTTGAAGTGGTGGGAAGTGAAATTCTCGTTTAGGCTTATCTTGAGGGAAGTCGTTTGGTGGAATAGACGGGTTAACTTGATCTTCGCCATCACTACCGCCCCGACCTTCGAGCTTCCGCAGGGACTCTGCTTGGGCGGACAGGCGATTCGATAACACCGGACCTTGCGGCGGGACATGATGAGGTTGAAGATACTTTTGTTGAGGAAGGGCCGTGACTCTATCTTCATCCTCTGCTCGTAGCTGACGTTCATAGTCGATATTTCCTTGTGCTTCGTCTCGTATCATCTGAGAGGTGCGCTTTGAAGCGACGTCGGCTACGAAGCCATCCAGTCTGTCGTGAAGCATATTGCTGAGTGGTCGAGGTCTTCGCTCATGAGGAGGAGGGATTTGAGACTGTCTTTTGGCTGCAGTAACGAAAAACTTGCAGGTCACACTCTCTGGCGGTGCCGAGTCTCGACAAATTCGCAGCTCTTCTCGAAACCAATCCATCGCCTCCAGTCGTTTGAGAGCCCAAACCACCACCACCTTCTTCGTAATAGCCTTGCCATCTCGCATACGTTTGATCAAATTCAACAGCTGTGACATTAGTGCAGTAACGCCACTTCCACCAGCAATTAAAATACACGTGTCGAACGCAGCTAGTTCTCGGCGCATACCACCATACGGCCCATCGAGATATGCTCGATATGTGTGAAATGGGCCTTTGTCGATAGCCGTCTCTAAGACTCGTCGAGTAAATCCGCCGTATGGCTTGAACACGATAATGCAGTCTCGGTATTCCTCGCCGTATTCCGAAGGGAAATCCTCGCTGCAAAGTGACGAGATGGTGAATGGATGATTGTCGAAGAATGAAATCCCAGGCATTCGCAAGTAGACGTATTGCCCAGGGTTCCATTTCATTTGGGTGGGGACCGTGATCTTAATGGCGTTTTCTGCCATAAGAGTAATCGCGGCCTCATCGCCTACTAAGAATGACATCCGCCAGGGTTTTAGCCAGTTCAGCTTAAAAAGTCGGCCAAAAGAGCATAATGCCCAAATGGCTATCGTAGCAAACAAATAATCCCAAGACGCCAGATAGTTCTTCGTGTGCCAAAAGAGACAACCGACATACACGAATCCTACTGGGACATGAAGGGAAACGAAGACTTCGTATGCTATCCTACGGATAAAAGGAAGCGAGGCAACACAGAGCCAAAGCAACGGGACTAGGCATGCAATACCTGTGCCATAAATAACACCACTTCCTTCGGGGAAAAGCTTTTCAAATACAATCATACCACCATCATCCCATACGGGCTGAACATAGAAGGGGATGGTATGAACGAGCACAAGGAATAAGCAGAGATACCCTGCCCATCTGTGGAAAACGTTGAGCCGCTCTGGTCCAATGCCAGTGATAAGGGTAAGTAAGTTGGCCTTCATGCTAGTCGCAATTATCCAAGGGGTCATGGCCACTGCAATCATGCCAGAACGAATGGCCACGGGAGGGGATCCATACTGGATGCTATCCCAGTAGAGGGGTTGCTTGAGAAAGACATATATTGACACGAATGCCAGTGCAATAAAGCCGACAAACAAGACTGCAAGCGACGAGAATGTAAATCGGTGCTTCCGCCATACGATGTCTTGTACTGGTCGGTAGAAAACCCATCTGAAGAGGGCCAAAGCATCGAGTACAGGGCCGACAGCGGAAAAGTCGGATTTGGGTTTGAAGTCCTTCTTCTCACCTGCCCCCATCTCTTCCGGAAAGAATTGTCGATTAGTTTGGCCGGTGTGCATACCTGTCGCCATCGCGTACTCGGGGTCGAGGGTGTATAAATCCCTATAATGTCTCTCCATATCTTGCTTGTATATTGCTTGGCGGATCTTATCCTGCCACCAATGCCATATCCGTACCAGCACCACCAACCCCATGATTGCCAGGCTGAAATAAGTCCACCCCAGGCCATATTTGCCTGATTGCCTCCACGGATCGACTGTGTTCGCTTCTATTAAGCCAGGTGGGCTCGTTGGTGTTAAGGGAATATCTATTCGACGCGCAAGCTCCGAGAGTGGCCTTGTAGCCCCGGCCATAGCTGCTAACACTCCCATTACCATGATCCAGATCAATTGATAGTGACTGTCAACGAATTTTTACGAAGCCGCGCACAATCGATGTCTTGCTGAGTACCGCGTGAGCTGAATCAAGACTTTTTAGGCATGCGCGGACTAATAGGTCTTCAAAAGTCGCGTTACTCTTGGTGTAGTTCGAAAGTAACCCTGCTTACTACATGGGCTGGATTGGTAGTCGCCTGAATTATGTATGCCGTTACTCTATTTTAAAAGGACTCGGACTAAGTGAGGGCTAGTCGCGCATTGAGGAATACCAGATTCCCCAGTTACGGGAACAAAAGACGTTGAAAGATAGTAAGAGCGGCCATTAAACTGGATGTCGATTAAAGTGACGGACGAGCAAGAAGGAATAGAATAGAGATCCGGGCCGGTACTAGATAGTAAGATGGGCGCCGGGGGTGATAGGATATACATACCTAGTATATCGGTGCGAGCCAGGGTGACAGTAACAGGGTGGGGAACTAGTTCCCTTTTCGTCAGGTACAACGTGCGGCGAGGTTGTCAGTCTCGTCACACAACTACCATATCCGGCCTGAGATCTCCTTGCATTATGTCCAATAGGAATTTTGTGAGATTGGCCTCGTGGAAAGTAGGCGGGGCAAGCTCGACATCATACCAGGGTAGGTATTCGATGAGAAAAGAGTACATTATGATGTAGTAGTTGTGGGTTGTCGTCGGTTGAGAAGCGAGACCCAAGCGGCAGACCGTTCTTCAATATTGGCTGGTCTAAACATGAGATTGTTCCCCGCAGACAGTTGCAGTTTGCAGTTTGCAGGTTGCACTGAATAAGCGTGGGCGCTACAAGGTGAACAACTTTCATACAATGATACTATAACATATGTAGGTTAGGTGTGCTAGATACTAGGAATGTAAGGGTCGCCAACATCGAAGCTACGGGGGCCTTGCCGTGCCGGTACGATGGCAAGTATCCACCGTTCTGTGCTAGGTTGTGCATATGCAGTGCAGTATGCATTTGCAGTATGCAGCTCCACGACGGCTAAAGCTTTTTGGGGCGAACAAGCTTCTCTCGAATTTGAAGGTCAACGGACCAAGCCGACAAATTTGGGCGGCAAGAGATATTGCAAGAATGAGATTCAGTGTCCGGTGGCTTCGATGTTGGCGATCTCAGATGCTACGTTTCGATCATGATATGGCTTATTCTGTCCAACATAACAACATTTGAAGTTCTTCGTGTTGCCTTCTAGATCCACCTCCCATGCTGCAAGGAACCATAGCGCAATTCGGGTCATTCGATTACTCTCCGAATGTCGAATTGGCCACATTTGACTCGATGAGACCATTCAGTGCCCTCTGGCCCTCTCAAATAGGGCCCAACAAGTCTCTGTGGCTCTGTCAAATAAGAAGTGAAAGCTGACATATTTTCCTTCCAGTCTCATTACAAGTATGTCTCTTAGAGTGTACGGCGTAATAATGAGCAAGGAACTTGGAAATCAATCTTTGGAGGCTTGGGACGGCGAAGTGATGAGATTGGAGAGGATGAATTAATGCCAGGCGCGTAATGGTGCGCCCTGATTTGTTCGAGGGAATCAATACGTACCAGCAACTCTCCACTTAGTGGCACTGACGTCTTAGCAGCGTTAGTGCATACAGCCCTGGAGCATTCGAGATGAACTTGAAAAGCAATCAACATTAAAAGCATGAGGTGACAACATTTAAACTCTTTAAAAATGATTGTGATAAGTGTGATGGTGCAACAGATATTAACTATGTAGAATACGAAGTACATTCCGAACTACTGGAGAAAAAATGACGCGGCGGCAATTTCGGGATTAAATTATGAATGATATTTTCCAGGTCGAAATGATTCCGAATATATTATATACCATCGGGGACATGATGAGGTAAGTGCATATACCTAGGTTAGGGTACTAGGTAGGGTACCTACTACTGTGTATCCCACTACGGGACCCACTGTATGCTTATGTAACCTTGGGACCCACTTTGTGAACACATATATTCTAGATCCTCCGGGACATTATCTTAGTCTACTCTTAATAGACCATGTTCCCAAATGCTACCGACTTATATGGATTCTGTGATCTCAGGACACGGAGCCCCAAGTCCCAGCATAAGGAACTAAGGAAGCACAAATAATTATTTGTGACGACAGAACGTCAATAATTATTAAGTCCAATTGATCAATTGCACCTACATACACAGATCTGCAGACTGCAGATCACTCCAATCACCACACACCACACTACTCCACACACACACAATCCGCTTCACTAACCCATCTCATTTCATCAATTTCATCCAATCCGCTTCACTATTAATCGAACCCCACCTCGTCCCCGTTTATTGTTTTTATCATGGCCAGTTCTTCAGCCCCTGCGGCTCAGAGCCAACCCCCACCAGGTGATGAGAGTGACCTGGAGGAGGAGCTCGAGAAACTGACCGGCCCTCGATCCGACAAAAGAGTAGCCGACGCCAACAACCGTATCGACCATATGGGTCGACAAGTTGTGCGCCGATTTGATGAGATCCAGGAGGCTCTCACGCCACTAATCAGTCTTGACCAACAGGTGGCAGAAGTCAAGGGCCAGTTGGGCCAGATTTTTGACATTTTAGCCCGCCTTGATCCTGATGGTGGACAAAGAGGCGAACCCCGCCCACCACCCTTGGGCCAAAGAGGCGAACCCCGCCCACCCCAGCCACAGCCACAGCCACAGCCACAGCCACAGCCCTCAGCCTCTGTTCCTCAGCCACAACATCCATTCTTTTTTCCCACTCCTGCCGCGTGTGAAAATGACGAGCGCCTTCCTGATGGTAAGATAAACCTACAACGAGTTCAAATATCAGGAACCGCCCTCACTCCACAGGAAAAGAAAGTCCGAGATGTGTGGCCAGAGGCAACCCTTCCATGGGAAGCAGCCGGCTTCGGCCGCTGCGAGGCGAAGAATAAAGTCGTCATACCGTCGACTTCCAGAATACTCTGGGCAGATCATACCGTATTCGACAAGCTCTCAGACATCCAGAACCGTTTGAAGATCGCTCTCGTTCCATATGACCTATGGGCAACGAGAATGTCGACCGAGATCGGTGGAGATTTCCAGGCGATCGCCGTGTACCTGCGCACCAACCCGACCACATGGGTCACATTCCTCGAGTGCATCATCCAGATCCTGGATGAAAACCACACTATTTGCAGTCCAATGACCACATTCGCAACCTTGCTACCCTTCCAAAATGAGAGCATGCTTAACTTCATGCGGAGACTGAGAGAAGCATTCTATAAACTCCCGCAGTACACTCGAAACGGATACAACTGCAGGGAGATCTTGATCAACGTACTGAAGACAAATGCACCAAGCATTTGGATCCCACTCAAGTTCCATGTCTCAGATCTTAATACAGCCCAGGCTATGGAGGAGGCAGTACGACTGGCGGGAAGTATCACGCACCAGGCGATTGAACCGAAGATTTACGGAAGCCCTGCGGCAACAGTTCAGCTGCAAGGTCGAGCGGCTCCATTTTACCACATGGAGATAACAGGGGCAACCCCAACGACGCCGGGAGTTGCAAAAATACTCCAGCGAGATGCGACTGACACCATTCCCGACAGCGCTCGCAAGTCGACAATCTCCGACCCAAGGACTGACGACCGAAAGGTCGGAACGACCTCGGAGGAGGGTTATGCAGCAAAGGAGGGCACCATCTGTTTCAACTGCGGGAAGAGGGGTCACTGGGCAAAGGATTGCAAACAGAAGAGAGGTTACCAGAACAGAAACCCCAGAAACACCCCCGATCGAAGAGGGCGGCCGAATCAGTCAAGCCAGGCAGGCCAACCGGTGACCTTCAAAGGGACATTATACCGGGAGGCCGTCCGCAGAATGAGCGGGATGAAGTCCAACGTGAAGCAGCTCTCCAAGAGATCCTTTTTTGCAGGTAACACGGAAGACAGTGCACATGACGACAACACCGTCGAGCTATCGCCGGACTCGGGCGATGATTCGGACACTATCGATCAACAGCTGTCACAGCTGTTCGACACACCCTCAGAAGAAGAAGAGGAACAGTGAGACAGCCGTGTCCACTTAGTGGAAGTGGGCACGGCCGAGACGTCGGAAAGACCTCCACCGCAACGACACAAACCTATCCGTGAAGGATATGGCGAGTCACATAACCTATTTCAAGCCGTCCTGAAGAATGGACGGGCTCTAACTGTATTCTTTGACTATGGCTGCGCATCATGTTATATCTCTAGTTCACTGGCAAAATCTTGCCACCGTTACCAGTCACAACAACCCGCGACGATGACCGGCGTTGGCGGAAAAGGCCCAAGAGTCGAATACGACGCCGTCGTCGAAGCACAATTCAAGACCGAGACTGGTCTTACAGAACCTTTCACTATATCAGTAGGCGTTGTACCAGACGGTACATTCCCGGGAGACCTTACATTGGGCAAGGGAGTCTTCCATCAATGGCAATTGTTATGCCACAAGGATGGCAATATCTCCCTCGAACAATATCCTAACAACCCCAAGCTATTACGCATTAACCATTCCAACACCAACATCATTACCGAAATGGCATTCACTACGCACCTCACAGTACACTGGCATAAGAAAACTCCATTAGATAACCCGCTGATAACAGAGTACCTACTAAAGTACCCCATGCGATACCCAGGCATCTTTGATCAGACACAGCGACAAGGGAATACCCGCCTTCAGACAGTCCACCATATTGACACTGAAGGACACCAACCTGTCAAGCTTCCCCCGCGACGGTACAGTCCACGCCAAGAGGAGGCCTTACGCGAATTTGTTCAGGCACACGAAGGAAAGCTAATTCGAAAGAGTAAGAGCCCATGGGCATCCCCCTCTTTGCTGACACCCAAGAAGGCGCCTGGCCAGACTACCAAACCCAACAAGAACGACACAAATGTCGTGTGGCGGTTTTGCTGCGACTATCGCGAACTAAACAAGAGAACAAAAAAGAACGCGCACCCCCTGCCAAACGCCATGGATGAAATCCAGAAAGCCAGCGGGCACAAATGGTACCACTTCATCGACTTGAAGGATGGTTTTTGGCACATTCCTATACATCCCCCCGATCAGGAGAAAACCGCGTTCGCTACACCATTCGGACTATACGAATGGACAGTAATGCCCTTTGGCTTGTGCAATGCTCCAGCGACATTTCAGTCGCTCATGGAAGAAATACTCTTACCATTGAGAGCATTTGTGTCCGGACTGTTGGACGACATCTCAATCTGGGGCGATACAATTGAGCAACTTGACGAGCGTACTAACCTGCTTTTTCAACGCTTCGAAAAGTACGGCATGATGATAAACTCGCGGAAATCACAAATGTTCGTAAATAAAGGTGTATTTCTCGGGTTCATAATCTCGGAAAAAGGTATCGAGGTGGACCCCGACAAAGTCGCTGCAATTCGAGACAGACCGAAACCCGAGACCACAACAGACATACGAGGTTTCGTCAATGCAGCAGGCTACTTCCGTAGCCTGATCAAGAACTATTCCCTAGAGAGTAGCGCTCTGACCGACCTATCGGGCGGTCCAAAGAAGTCTAAGATTAAGTTAACTGAAGCAGCCGAAGCTGCATGGAAGAGGATCCGCGACCTCATAACCTCAACACCAATCGTAAGGCCCTTCGACTGGAAAAGACCATGCGTCTTGGAGACCGACAGTTCCAAGGCCCACGTCGGAGCGGCGCTGTTGCAACCGCATTTACACGGAGAACGCTCAGCGCTCCACCCGATCGCATACTTCTCAAAGAAGCTAGACGCCACTCAAGGACGATACTCTGCTCAAGAAAGAGAACTGCTGGCGGTCATGCTATCGTTGCAACATTGGCGACACTGGGTCGAAGGTGGTGACGTGACCGTCATAACCGATCACGAGTCTTTGAAGACGATTAACAATAAGACGGAACAACCCGCGAGAATACTGCGTTTCCTCGACGCCATTGAACACTATGGTGTGAGACTTCTATACCGGCCCGGTAAGGCAAACGTTCTCGCGGATTACCTGTCGAGACCACCTGAGGAAAAAGAAACGAGCCTACCCGGAACCGAAATCCGAACCGTTAGGCATCCACATGAGCTGTCCAGATACGACCTTCAAGCCGTTTTCGAATACCTACATCACAACGCACCATTACCACTCGCAATCAACGAGGACTGGTGCCGAAAACATTTCGCCATCATAGATAACTCGCTTGTGAAGATCACCAAGCATGAACGGGCACCAGGCAACGCTCCACACGGAGGCGGAACAGCAACCTCGACGAGAACAGTCCAGCAAGTAGTCGAACCGCACGAATTGCTGGAGAGACTGCGAGAAATCCATAAACAACAAGGTCACGCATCGATCGGCGTGATGCTTCGGGATATCAATAAAGAACTATGGCACCCCGAGATAACCCTACTCGCACAACAAGCCGTCATCGAATGCCAAAGTTGCCAACTGATGAAGAAGCCAGACCCTCTACTACCCGACCTCCAACCAATTCAACCACCAATTCCTCTGACGCGATGGGCAATGGACCATACAAGCATCGCCGGAATAAGCATCCTAGTCGCAATCGAATACGCGACCGGATGGGTAGAGGCCGCAGTGGTACCAAGTACCGACTTTCCAGGTACGATTCCACTCCTGACCAAGATAGGACACACCTTTGGCTTCCCAAAGGAGTACATCAGTGACAATGCTGGCGCCTTTACGAGCGCCGAAGCCGTGGATTGGCACCGGAGAAACGGAACAATCATCAAACCGGTGACACCAGCCAGACCACGAGGCAATGGCAAGGTAGAGAAGGCGAACGGAGACATCAAGCGCACTATGCTTCGAGAGCATCAAGCAGACCCAACTTCAAGAAGTTTCCCTCAGCTGCTGCAGAGAGCAGTAACCATCTTGAACCGCACTCCGAAACAGGATGGCTATAGCAGTTTTTTCTTGCTCTTCGGAACGCAACCACCACAAGAGAATTTGGAGTTCACGGAGTATGCAAGAGAAGCACAACACGATGAGGAAATCGAGTTCCGACGTCACTTGGCAACGAACCACGAAGCACCCCTGGCTCGAAGCCAACACGGAAGCTCCAGGGCCTCCAGGAACCGAATACGTGCTTACTTGCAAGAAAAGAAGGGTCTCATACGGACCTTTGCACCTGGGGACTGGGTTCTCAGAGTCCGCCAGAGAGCAAGCAAGCATGAGCCGTATTACGATGGCCCCTGGGCGATTATAAGTTGCCATTCCGGAAACACATACCGTATAAGGAGCCCGGGAGGAATCGAACTTCCATCCAAATACAACGGTACAAATTTATTCCCCGCATACATGGATGACGGACATCCAGTACGAAGCTTATGGTATGGAAGTAAACGATTGCTAGAGCAAGACAGACAGAGATTGGAAGATAGAATTAACATGGGATAATCGGGATAATCGGGAGATTATCAGGAGAAGGGGGGTAGTGTGTATCCCACTACGGGACCCACTGTATGCTTATGTAACCTTGGGACCCACTTTGTGAACACATATATTCTAGATCCTCCGGGACATTATCTTAGTCTACTCTTAATAGACCATGTTCCCAAATGCTACCGACTTATATGGATTCTGTGATCTCAGGACACGGAGCCCCAAGTCCCAGCATAAGGAACTAAGGAAGCACACTACTAGTAGTACTGCAGGTAGGATATGTAGTGAATAAAAACTGAATTTCTTGATTTCTGAGCCCCCAAACAATTTGCAAGATGGGATGCATGTGCAGTGAAACGTACCCTCCTAACCAGTACCTAGTACTACTGTAGATACGCACATAATTAAGTAATGGAAGGAAGGAACTCCGTTGGAAATGTGCTCTCTGATGAGGAGAAGCTGCATCCAGTTCAAAATGGAGCTAGCTTATCGGTCCATAGGTAAATACCTAGATAGCGTGATAGAACTTGACGTGAGTCAAGTGACACAGCTTCAAGTTCTTAGTACGTACCCTAGGTAAGTACTACATGTAGGTAGGTACTACCTACCTAACCTAGTACATACTAGGTATAGTATTACATGTACATAGAACATACATAGTAGGTGAAATAGGGGGTGGGCCGCTTGGGGCCACAGCCATCAGGGATATTGAAGTCGACGAAAAAGGGGGTTAACTAATACCTATCTACTCTAGGTAGGCAACAATAATTCGGCAAAGGTAAAAAAACACGTTGGTCATCATGTCGTTACTTTCTCTTCGTGGTGTCAGGCGCGGATTGTTTTTCGGAACAACCTTAGAACTCTGCCAGCTGACAACAGCTTTCCTCACCTGCTTCGTTAGACGATTCATTGCATGTCCTTTCCAACTACCCACTCTGGGGGTAGAACTAATATAATTTACTCAGTCAACGAGGTCATATTGTACCTCGCTGGCGAATACATACACCTAGGTACTCAAATATGGATATAAAGTCAAGTATACCGGACAGCTTCAAATTTGTTCAGTCACTAGGTAGGTATCAATGATAGTATAATAATAGCACCTCAATTACGCTACTATGTAAGAAACTGTGCAAGCGTTCAAGAAGTTAAACCAGTTTTCGTAATAGCACTGTGCTAGCCGTAGTTCGGTGAAGGAAGAGCCTTGTTTGATGTTGTTTCTACGGGTTGTAGATATCCCTTCACCCAAGTTGTACTTACAAGGCCCCGAAGCGCAGCATTTATCACTTTCTCTCTGGGTATAAACTCGGGATGGTTTCTACCTATGTTGGCTCAGTAGGTAGGAAAGTGCAAATGCCACATAAGGTAAGCCCCTTGAAGTACGGATTTCGAAAGAATACCACTGCAGGACGATCAAAGGTACGGTTCCATCCGCCCCCAAAACCTTTGCTTCCCCCTTTCTTTTCCCCTCTATCAGGTAGCTGGCTATGTATTCTAATGCCTATTTCTTTTTTTTTTAAAAAAAAGAATAAAGCTACTTATATTGAAGCAGCCTCCCATTTTCTTTTCATTTTACTACGTACCTTACTTCTTAGCGAAGCTTCCTTCTGGTCAAAGCCTTGGGTTCTTCGCCGGTGTAAAACAGACCCCTAAAGCCACCGGAACGTCGACTTCTGGCGTTGGCCCAGGCTAGCTACAAGATCACCCTTTGAGGTCAGATTTGGCATTCTGTGTAGTTCACTCTAAAGGGAAAGACGTTACCTGTGGTCTCCAGTGTGGCTTGGGATGAAATGCATTTAAACGTGCCAGCTACTCCAAATACTACTCTACATTCATCGCCATATTAGCGACCATCATGTGCTCGCCTAATAAAGTTTCAATTTGATGAAACAACTCTCTAACATAAGACCCCTTGCTTGCCATTTCTATGAATCTAGCTTTCCAAATATCCCCCTGGGCTTAGACATATCAAGTGATTATATGTTGTTTACCCCTAGCGCCTCTTGGAGGCCTTTTCTCTTCGGTGAAAAGAGTCCAATACGCCAACAAATATTTCATAAATCATATCAAAAAACATTATTCATAGCTACGTTTGTTGAATTAATGGCAACACTATTATGCTTTTCCACATCCTTCGCTCCATTTTCTTTTATCCTAGTTTATTCTCGTATATACTGTTGGATAGCACCTCGTGGCCTTTACGAACAACGTCATCTCCTTACTCCAAACCTCTCAGCCTTGAACTTTCCTATGGAAATACATAGCTTCAAAGATGGTTTAAAGCCACAAAATGTTGGAGGTTTCGTTGACAACGAATAGGATTATCTAGACCGTGGAAGAATCCTCAATGGCCATGAATATCTGTACTGTATAAACACCTTCGCGTTGGTTTGAAAATAACAATTCTAATGTGGAATATTGAGCAACAAAATAGGATCAATACATACTTACACTTGAAAATGCCTCAAGCTGTTAACTTAACAACATGTCAGAACATATCACACGGGTTAAGGCCCAAGTACAACTGGATACCTTGCTCAGGTTGCCTCTCTTCTCTTGCCATCGTACAATAAGTATAAAGCATCAACAAGAATCCGACAAACTTGGAAACATGGAAGGAAAAGCAACCACAATCCATCCTCATCCAAAGCTTTTCGTCACAGAAAACACAAAAACAACAAAAACAGGAGCTATCCAGTCTTCGGACGAGAAATCACTTCACGATCAGCAAAACAACTTCCAAGTCATCAACTACACAACTCGAAGACTCCTACCTCAAACATCGAGTCCCCAAACATACATCATGTGCACCTTTATCCAAGTGCGAGTTCACTGCAACCGTTGTGAAAGTTGCATGGATATTTATAACACGGACTGGCGGTATTGTCGGTTCCGAGGCACAGTCCATTGCAATATAAGAGCAAGGGGAAGGCGGCGTATAAATAGATGGTGCGGGTGTCAAAGGGGCCGCTCACGACCCAGGAACTACGCCCCTCTCAATACACCACAGGCGGCCTGGGAAGTCTATGATAAATGCGAGTAAACCGACGCTTACCTATTATGGCACAATATAAGCAGGTGGTTTGCTTTTGGTTATGGACCTCATAGAGTTTATACCAACAACAACACTCTCTGCCCAGGCTTTATACGGAACGGATCTATCTTTGCTCGTCAGGTCAAAGAATACTACCTTGGCCGTTGTCATGGAATGGAAGGAGTTCGGTGGATAGGTTCATGGATGGAGTTGCTTTGTCAAACTCTGGGGTGATAGTCCGGCCATGCAAATGGTGCAATTGACCAAACTCGGGTTGGGCTAGCTGTGGTTTGGGGGTTTCGAGGCTTTGATGGCTTGAAGAGAAACCAAGTGGAGGAATCGTTCATTAAGATTTTGTATTTCCTTGCAAAACAGTCACTCTCTCCCATGGTTCAGTTCCTTTGCCCCTTTTGTTGTATGTTGAGTGCACGAGCGTCATGTGATGAAGTAGAGCAACTTGGATGATACTGCGTACCTGCTTCTTTCTCGTAAGCCTACCTATCGGGACCATTACTGAACGCGAATACGTTGGTATTAGTATGATTGTAGCTATATTAACTAATTCAGGGGAATTTGTATGTGTGTACTTCATACCTTAAGATGTGCATAATTATTTAGCAGGCCTTTAATTGGCTAGAAATTCCAGATCTTATCTGATCCGATCTTCATAACTAGGTACTAGGTAGCACTCAGGCACAATACTAGTTAGGTACTACTAGTAGTACATACAGTGTCATACACACCCTAGTATACTTCGTACCAATTAATCGTTGTTGATTGGATAATGTAATAGTTAAGCTCTTCTAGCAAACCCCACTTCCAATCATAGATCCATTTTATTTTTTACTCTTTCAATGTTCAAATGTTCTACCAAAACCGTGTATCTCAGAAACCGTGATCTCAGAAACCGTGATCTCAGAAACCGTGATCTCAGAAATTGATCTCCGAAATTGACAATCCGAGAAACAGTATCAATATCACCCTAATCTCTCGCTACAGAAAATGGCACCGTCAGACTCACTGACATTGCCAAGCGCGACCTTTGCGAAACTATCACCACATCCATTCCTTCTCGCGAATCTTCAACCACCTAACCCGTCCACGCCTCCCTCACGAGCAAACGGTCGCCAAACAAGGCACGCAAGGCCTTATAACATCAATGCTTCGTCTCTATGCCATGCCCACGGTAGCGCTGTAGTACGTTCCGGTGACACAACCGTTATTTGCGGTGTGCGCGGCGAGATACTCCTTACCACCCAGATCCCCAACTATAGTACTCCAAACCCCGCCGAGCCGACAAATGAGCTGGGTGGCTACGACCTCATCGTCCCCAACGTTGAGCTATCTACAGGATGCGATCCCAACCACCTGCCTGGTGTGCCCCCCACCACACTCGCCCAGTCTTTAAGCACATCTATCTACTCCCTGCTAGACAAGTCAAGGCTTCTGAACGCAGAGGACTTTAGGATTTATAACGAAGATGAGGAGAGGGTTGTCAAAGCTTACTGGGTGCTCTATATCGACATTCTATTCATTTCCTTGGACGGAAACCCTTTCGACATAGCCTTGGCAGCAGTGGTTGCAGCATTAAGAGATACGAAGCTTCCCTTGGCATACTGGAACGAGGAACTTGAGATGGTGTTATGTCGTCGACCGACTCCAACACGTGCGCCCACCCCTCTACGCATAAATGGACTACCGGTGGCTTGCACGGCAGCGATATTCACAGAGAAGAAGAACCAGAAGAAGGGCGAGGGCCGTTACTGGATGCTCATAGACCCGGATCGATTCGAGACGAAGATGTGCCACGAGACGGTCGTGATAGTATTGGACAAGACCACAGGATCTCCGGTCATTTTGTCGATATCGAAACATGGTGGAGCGGTTGTCGAGCAACAGCTCTTGAAGGAGTTTGCTGTGGTAGCTGAGGCACGATGGAACCAATTCCATGCTGCTCTCCCATAGATATGGTTAATGATACCCCGAGTAACGTGGAATGAGAAGTAGTAATCTTTTGACCGTAAAAAGCTTAACATAGGCAACTACCTACCTAATTATTGTCACACTGTAATCAAATACTTATTGTCTAGAAACGCTGAAAGGACGACTGAAATGTAAGGTAAAAATCCTCAATTCTTAACTAGGTATTCAAGTGTTCAAGTGCTATCATTCACTTGAGAATATCTTACCTACGCTGGCAAGGGTACTACACTACTTTTGCTATACACGACACCATGCTGAAACCCAGAGTGTCGTATATATATTGGATACATCAACAGCTGCCCCCAAGTGACTAGGTAACTAACCTAACTTCCAAAACCCACCTTAATCGGCAAGTTCTGGTTAAACCGGAACCTCGAGGAATTCACGCGCACGTCCAGGAAGTCAAAGTAATCCTGCACCTCCTGGGGCGTCGTAATCTGGCAAGTGCGTCCCGCGAGCCCCGCGACGATGCGCTCCTCGCCGTTCCTGCTGGACGACCCGCCGCCGCCACCACCGTGGGTCTCGTTGTAGTAGTGGATCTGGCGCTGGGTGGCGGAGAGGGCGTGCTGCGCGAGGCGCTGGAGGAAGGTGATGGCCCACTCGCGGCCGGCGATGATGCTGACGGTGTTCGAGACGTCGGCGAGCTGCACGCGCGAGCGCCACCAGTACACGGCCTTGATCACCTCGTTCCAGATCATGGGCCACCCCGGGTGCACGACCAGCCTTCCCGCGTGGCCCAGCTCGACGAGCAGGTGCAGCAGCACGTCCTGCGTGAACAGCTCGGCCGGCGCGTGCGCGACCGCCTGCACGGCCTCGATGGCCCCCTCCTCCGTGCTGAGCTGGCACTCCGTGCACCGGATCCCCAGCTTCTGCCCGCCCTCCGCCTCCCCGCCCCAGCCGTACGGGTCCGCGAACATGAGGACGAGCTCGGGGAGGGGGTCCTGGCGGATGCGTTCCTCGCATTTCGAGCAGTGCTTGTACTGGTGCTTCGCCATCGTGCCTGCTTTTGTCATTTGCTTTACCTACGTGCCAGACGGTAGGTAGGTTATCTAAAGCTAAAGATCAGGTGAGCTGGGTGTCTCTTACTTAGTATCCAGTACTATGCTACACTGACAGAAATCTATACCGTCAAGGGATAGATAGGTAGATACGGAGGCGCCGCGAAAGATAATGGTATGCTGAGAAAAACAAAAGGGGTACTTGAAGGAGGCGAACCGATGTTATGTACTTGAGCTCGAATAGAACTATTGAAGGGAGGAGCTAGGCGGAAACAATAGCCCCTTTCTTCTCTGGCTCTCCTTTGTTCCCCGACAATGGCTGGGGCAGGCGAGGTAGTATTCTTCGCAGGAGAGAACAATCGAAAGGAAAACTACCTCTAGGTACTTGCTTATGCGTGTAAAGAGGGCAAAGAGAATAGATTGCATTGTGTTGGCTGGGATCTGAGTGAGAATGCTTATGTATTAATGCTGCTATTGTTGCTATTGTCATATTGCCGGTGCCGAAGGGCACGGCGGCCAAGTACCTACCTGCGTACGTCTTATTAACGTCAGCGTATAGCAAGAACATTCCTTTGGCCAACATAATCAAGATATGTAAGATTTTCAATCTAGTAGCTGCCCTGTGACCTGTGTGGTTAACAAAAGGGGATTTGCGTAAAACCAATTTGAAGAGTAACTCGATAAATTTGTGATATGTTCTAGATTGTCAAGATGATTTTACAGGGACTTTGTTTTGCTATTGATACAGTTGTATTTGGTAAGTTGTACATACGTGTTATACATAGATACGCACTAGTATGACTATTGCCGAGAGCCCCCTAACCTCCAAGCCTTCAACGGCAAGCTTTGTAGTATAAGAACCTTCTTCCTGATGTACATAGTGAACGTCAACAGCCCCACGATGATGCAGAGGATATTCACAATATAGAATCCATCGTGAAGAATTTCGCAGGTTCCACCACCAAGCTCGCACCTCTCTTTCTCGGATTGGACGGCGCATGAGAAGGCCTCTGTCACAAGTGGTCCCCTAAGCGTCGAGCTGTCAAGCTTCCCAGACGAGGGACGGCACGTAGCTTGCGTAAATGAATCCACAAGCTGCAGAACGAAATATTTAGGGAACGTACCGCCAAGATTGGACACGCTGTGGTGCACAAGTTAGTAACTGGTACTTTATCGGTGCCATTAGAGATTGATTAACTTACGTTGCCAGTAGGGTCATGTATGTTCCGCCAATCACGGGATCAGCAACTCGAGCATGGAACGCGGAGACGGCCACGAACATGACAGTTGAAGTAAACGTCGAAAACACGTGCTCGCCAATGACGAGAAGGAGATACCAAGGTTGGACTCCATTTGCCGGGAAAATAAGGACGGTGAGTTGAGCAAAAGCGGCCGCAATGAGGCGACCTACGAATCCCCAACACCAGAGGCGCATAGGAGTATATTCCTGCGACCATTTTCCAGCATAATAGCCCAGTCCTATTTCGAAGGGAAAGTCGATCAGTACCGTCAGAGCCATGTTCTCCTTGCCGAATCCCTTTTCCAATAATTTCAGATTTGTTACCCCGTCGTTAGCTTGGAAGCCGATTTTCGAAATTAGATGAACGATAATGATGGTCTGAATATTTCGCAACTTTAAGACATCCCACATAATCTTATAAACGTCCCAGATACCATCCTCGTTTCTCGTTTTCTCTTCCTTTTTCAGAAGCGCAAGTCCGATGGTGATCGCAATGTAGGCCCAACCCCAGAATGTCAAGTAACCCCCTAAACTCAGGAGGCCTTCCTCGGAGGGTATAGTTCGAAAGTATTTATTGGCAAAGTCCTTGGAGTTGAAGGCGAGAAAGACAGTGTACGATAAGAATTGTCCAGCGGTTAGGCCAACCGTTTGTGCGGTCGAAGCATACGACACGTTTCCGGGCGTAAGTAGGGTAAGAGCCCATCCATCAACTGCAATGTCCTGGGTGGCGCACATGAAGACAAGGAAGAACCACCAGCCGGTGAAGTTCCACACGGTTGGGCCACCAGATTTACCCGTTGTGCTCATCAAATCCTCAATCATGGACCCCAGATATAGCATACCGAACCCAGACATTAGCTGAATGGGGAGAATCCAACTTTTTCTTCGTCCAACCTTAGGGCTCCATACTGCATCCACAATCGGACTCCAAAATAATTTTAAAGAGTATGGATACGATGCCAAACTAAAAACGCCGATTTCGCTAAACGAAAGATGCTCCTTGAGGAGAAAGGGTACCGATCCAGTTGCAAGTCCCATAGGGACACCCTGAAGAAAATATAATAATACAAGTAGCAGGAAATTCCTTTGATCCTGTACAGGAAGCTCAAAAAAGCCATGATTGTTCATGGCGGGGGTTTTTGGCACGTCGTCGTCGAGGGAGAAGGATTCTCGAGCCATGAGGTTCGCGGTGACTTGATCGGATTCCTGCGGCGCGGCGGCTTTACGCCGTAATTCCATATTGTTCATGCTGCCGTTTGAATGACCATTTGTACGGCCACTCGTCGAGACTGACAGCTCGCCTCGTTTTTGAGATTTCGATCGAGTTTCGACACCCATTCGTACTTATGTGCGATGCGATATGGAGGAGTTTGAGGGTAGGAGGATGGAGGATGGCGCAAGAGTTGGAGCTTCAGATGGTTGCAAGAGACAGGATATGGTTGTAATATTTTAGATATGAGTTAAATGCAGCAATCATGTAGTTCTTGTATATAAACGACAAGAGGAATTTAGGGATCAGCCTGTCCAATAAAGTCAATACTAATAGCAACCGTGGCCTTTTGGCAATGCAGCCTTATAAAAAAAAGTGGCAAAGTGGATCTTAGAATATAAATATCTTCGGTAGCTAACGAGTGGAAGGATGGAAAGAAGTTGAGGAAGTCCTCAGAAAGTACAAGAAGATGGTTCCCTTGTGTTAATTCATCGTGGCTGAATATTGATTGCAGCCTGTTAGAGCATGGAAAGGGAAAATAAGGTGGACGTGTTCGAATTGGAGTTGAAGGTTTGTTTAAGTTGGTTGTCAGTCCAATAGTGAAGAAAGAAAAGGAAAAAAAGTACGTACTGCATGCCAGTAACTAGCCTAAGCCGATTATGTAGTTACTAAGCATTATTCACGTTCATGATTGGTCCCAAGCGCGATCCAGGTTCCAACGATCCATGGATCTATCAATATCTACCTACACTAGGGTGCCTGGGCCCTGGGGTATCTAACAAATTTACCCCACTTCTTCATTCTTATCATTAGTTATCCTTATCGTCATCATTATCTTGATCGTTCCAGGTTATGTAAGAGCAGATCAACGCGCATCGTCGCGTATTAACGGAAAGCACATGTCAACAAGGGTGTAAGTCAATCTGACTGAAAGTTTAACTTCAAGTTGGTTCTTGTCTTTGTATTTATTTCTTTAATTTAATTCTATCAAGAAATACTTCATTCTTGAGGAATCAAAATGAGCATAGCAACTGAGGAAATACAACAATCTTCCGATCTGTCTGTTGCAGATAAATTGGATAATGAAATCATCAATTTGAGAGCTCAAGGTAACATATATATCTCTCCATTCTCAATATATTTCATAACATGTATGTCTAAAGCGGATGCTAACCCCTTTTATACAGTGGAATCCTTAAAACGAGAACTCAAGATACAGACTGCTACTCTCATAACAGCAGATTCGACTCGTCAGATACTACAGAATGAGTCTACAAAAAGACCAAAGATAGGCTTGCCAGATAACAGTCCTAGATCAGATGAACTGTTAGCAAGGATTGATGAGCAGGACGCTCATAAGCAGCAATGTCTCTATCGGGCATGTGCCTCTATAACAACTTTCAAGGTCCATGACCCGGATCCGAATGCCGTTGATAGCGGTAATGTCCTAGGCCTCCGTTTTGAGGTTATGTCTAAATCTCGCTTCCTTCGTCCCTACTACGTCTTGTTGAACCGGCCTTACCCGGATGGTCGCCATCTGCGGATCCATAGGCATACCGTTCCTCAGTGCATCCCACTGGCTGGTCTAGCAGCCCGACATCTCCCGCCGCCAGCGTCCAGGGACGATGAAGATATGCCAAAGAAGCAAGACTTGTCCAATTTTGCACGGGCCTTGCGACGGGAGCTAGTAAGGTACCACAACCGCACTGCCGTGATCGGAGACCTACGTAGCTCAGCAGGCTTGGAAAATAAGAAAGGAAAGGCTAAAGAGATGGAGGACCCGATTGTCGATATCAGTGCCGCAGATGCCCAAGCGAAGCAAATCCGCGTCGAATGGAGTGATGGAAAGTCGGGGCGCCTTGTTATGGGTGACGACGGTGACATTTTGAAAATGGTGGTGCAAGGCGAGAACGGTCAAGATCGGGAGGCTGTCAGGCAGCTGCTAGGGGGAAGCGCTCGTATCGAAGAGGTTGCCAAGCGCCTCGAGGGTACCTAATCGCTATTACGCTGTAGACCGTGTCGATACCGTGCTGCTAACTATATCTATTCGGTAGGCAAGTTTAGGAAACCCCTTGGTTGCCTTGGTTGCCTCGATAAGCCATGCATGTCTGAGAGTGAAGCAAGCTAGAGAGAGGCTTCCAAGATATGACATGTCACTTGTGGCCAGCCTATATGCGTGGTCAATTAATCAGGGCGCAGATACCATGATTTAGCAACTCTATAGTCCAAGTACTACGACAGCCTCATCGAATACAAACGTCGATCAGACATCAAGCATCAGTCTCCACCAGCCAGCAGCTAGCCGGCAAGGGAGGATATATGCATGATAAGGTGATGCCTTGCAACCGGGAGCTCGAATCGAATTATTGTTGATCAGTGTCAATATGTAAGACGATACACCGAATAAAGTGCAATATAAAGCAGGAAGCCGGCAGAAAAGACCCTTCGTGCCTAATCCAACGCTACATTAAGACTTGGAGTCACAGTGCTTCCCTACACATGTACTATGTATGCACTCAAGATCATTGTTCCCCAACATTTGAACATTGGAGAGATGCAGACATACATACAATCAGTGATAAATAGAACGCCTTCTTGGCTTGGCGCGGCTCGCGAGGTGTTGGTTTACATACCTCCACTCTTCGCATCTTCCCTTCTCGCAGGGCTAACACAAGCCTTTCACAACGTCTTTCCCAACATTGAATATCATTGGCTTGTCCAAAAGCACTAAGTTAGCATACTGACCTAGGATCCAGTTGTCTCAGCTGTCGGCCTGTGAATGTTCGATCAATTACCAATGTTCGATGCTGAATTCCTTCCTTTGTTCCATTCGGGTTATTCCATTCCTCAAGTGATACCCCTTCTAATTGGCGGGTAGGCTTCTCATGGTATGAATCAGATCATGGAGCACGTACAATTCTAGGTGACAGCCTATCTTGGATTGCCATACTATCCTGCCATACGTCACGACATATCTGTCATTGTTACTGTTGCAGGACTTCGAATCTTAGAATTATCCAGTACCTTCCGGAAACCTACCATGCCGACCGTCTTTAGTGAGAAGCCGATGGTCCTCAAGCACCTAATATGGTAGGTAAGCATCGGGTTGATTCCTTTGTTTTATCACCATGGAATCACTATCACGTACCAATAACGCCCTGAGCATTTTGGTGCATCGTAAGAGGCTTTATTTGGCCCTTCGTAAACGACGCAAGGTCCGTACCACATTACTCAGGTACGGTGTGTGTGTATGCGACGTGGAGGATCTAATCAAGTTGCATATTCCTCACATTGAATTGTTCGCTCTAGTAGGTGTGAGACGGCCAGCTTCCCGAGAGGTCTAGTATATATTGTAACCTCTTAATGGCTCTCCGAGTTTTCATGTCTTCCGCCATCAATAGGTGCCTTAGTAGGCAAATAAGTCAACAATTGACTAATTTCTTATAACCCCCTGTTCGACTTTGACTTGGAACGTGTACACGTCCGAAGACAGCCCCGCCAGTATCGTTCATCATGGCAAAACCGAAGGGTGTTGTCTCGAGTATTCATATCTCGGGGCAAGCGAACAGACCCATGTCCCGGCCAGCCCATGCACTCCGGCATGATCAGCTTCTTATTGAACTCGGCTCCGATGATATCAACGGCCTGTCAAGCAACGTCGCAAAACAACGCTTAGAGGAACTTGGAAGAAACGAAATTGGCAATTCCAATGGAGTATCTGTTTGGAAAATTGTAGTTGCCCAGGTGGCTAATGCGATGACTATGGTACGTTTGTTCGCCTATGTGCTAATTTACCTACGGAATCCCTCAAATTGATCTCAGGTAGTGCTGACTCCTTTTAAGGTATTGATTATGGCCATGGTCGCCAGCTATGCTATCAAATCCTACATCGAAGGAGGTGTCGTCAGTGCCGTCATTGTTCTCAACGTCGTTGTTGGATTTTTCCAAGAGTATACCGCTGAAAAGACAATGGATTCCCTTCGTTCCCTTAGCTCCCCCACAGCTAGTATCGTGCGCGACGGGAATTCTAGCGTCGTTCCCACCGCCGAAGTGGTCATGGGCGATTTGGTTGAACTAAACACTGGTGATACTGTCCCTGCCGATATTCGGTATGCCCACCCGAGATAGTGTTTTCCACGGCATATGTACTAACTTGTATCCTAGCATCGTTGAGGCCGTCAACTTCGAAACGGATGAGGCTCTCCTAACGGGAGAGTCGGTCCCCGTCCGGAAAGACGAAAATGCGATCTTGAGTGATTCTATAGGTCCTGGTGACAGAATAAATATTGCGTTCAGCTCCTCCACAGTTACGAAGGGTCGTGCCAGGGGTATAGTGTTTGCCACCGGAATTTGTACCGAAGTTGGGGCTATCGCTTCGGCGCTTCGTGAAAATGATTTCAAGATACATCCAGTTAAGAGAAATCCAAACGGCTCAGCCAGTCCTCACCGTTACCTTGAGGCCTACACCTTGACTCTCACCGATGCAATTGGTCGTTTCCTCGGGCTCAATGTAGGCACGCCTCTGCAAAGGAAGTTGTCGAAACTCGCGATCCTCCTTTTCGGTGTTGCTGTGCTATGCGCCATTATCGTTCTCGCAGCTAACAACTTTGATTCTCGACAAGAGGTCATCATCTATGCAGTTGCCACCGGCCTTTCCATGATCCCAGCTTCCTTAGTTGTCGTGCTAACCATTACCATGGCAGCGGGAACGAAGCGCATGATACATCGAAACGTTATAGTGCGAAATCTCAAATCCTTAGAAGCCCTAGGCGCTGTTACAGATATATGTTCTGACAAAACCGGAACTCTGACCCAAGGCAAGATGGTAGCTAAACGGGCGTGGATTCCCGCCCTAGGCACTTATACCCTCGAAACGTCTTCGGAACCTTTTAATCCTACTGTGGGAAATATGCGATCCAATTCGCACCAGCCATGCCAGATCGTCTCTGAAAGGGGCGAATGTGAGACCGGGGCAGCAGTCCTGCCTTCCCACCTGCTAGCTAATAGTAGGGAGGCACTAACCGATTTTCTATACGTCGCCTCGCTTGCGAACCTTGCCACCGTATCTCAGAAGGATGGGGCATGGAACGTCCGAGGCGATCCGACCGAGATCGCAATCCAAGTCTTTGCCTCGCGATTCGACTGGAATAGGCTTAGGTTTACCCAAGGCGAGAAGCCCGAGTGGAGTCACGTTGCCGAACTCCCTTTCGACTCTCACGTCAAGCGAATGTCTGTCGTGTTTAGGAACAACGCCACAAGCCAGCTTTTTGCCTTTACCAAAGGTGCGGTGGAGCAAGTTATTCCTGCTTGTAGCTTTTATTGCGAGCACGATGGCCAAGAACCAGCCAGGATGACCGATGAGATCCATGCGCGTGTCCTGAAGAACATGGGGGCTCTTGCTAGCACTGGCCTACGCGTCCTAGCCTTTGCAAGCAAGAAGTTCGAAAGCCACCTAGAAAAGGGGCAAGAGGTTGATAGAAATACAGTCGAATCTAACCTTACATTCCGCGGCCTCATCGGCCTATACGACCCCCCGAGACCAGAGTCAGCCCCCGCTGTCCGAAGCTGTCACGAGGCCGGCATATCGGTGCACATGCTGACGGGCGACCACCCCGAAACAGCTAAAGCGATCGCAATCGAAGTTGGCATACTTCCCCGGCAGATGGAACGGGTTAGAGCGGATATCGCAGGCGCTATGGTGATGACCGCTACCCAATTCGACGCCTTGACCGATGGCCAGGTTGATGAGCTGCCAGCTCTACCCCTAGTCATCGCTCGGTGCGCTCCCACCACCAAGGTGCGGATGATCGAGGCACTCCATAGGCGCAAGAGGTTCTGTGCAATGGTAAGTCGAGAGGCTGACCCATCCCCCCTCCTTCCAGAATTTATTCGAGAAAAAGTCCGCCGCTGACAGCAACAACACAGACCGGGGACGGCGTGAACGATTCGCCATCGCTCCGACGAGCCGACGTGGGCATCGCCATGGGCCAAGCCGGCAGCGACGTCGCAAAAGAAGCATCAGACATCGTGCTCTCAGACGACAACTTCGCGAGCATCGTAGCCGCCATCGAGGAGGGCCGGCGCATCTTCGACAACATCCAGAAGTTCGTCCTGCACGTTCTCGCGGAGAACATCGCACAGGCCGGCACGCTGCTCGTCGGGCTCGCCTTCAAAGACGAGCACGGGCTCTCCGTTTTCCCCTTGGCCCCCGTAGAGATCGTCTGGATCATCATGGTCACCTCGGGATTGCCGGACATGGGTCTGGGTTTCGAGCGCGCCGTGCCCAACATCATGGCCCGCCCCCCGCAGAGCCTGGCGGCGACAACGGGGGGCGGCGGCATCTTCGACGGCGAGTTCCTCGTCGACATGGTCGTCTACGGGCTCTGGATTGCGGCCCTCTGCCTCGCCAGCTTCGTGCTCGTCGTGTACCGCTTCGGCGGCGGGGACCTGGGCCGCGGCTGCAACGACGCATACAACCACACCTGCCACGTCGTCTACCGCGCCCGCGCCACCACCTTCGCGTGCCTCACCTGGTTCGCCCTCTTCCTCGCCTGGGAGATGGTCGGCCGCCGGCGATCCTTCTTCCGGGTGCGTCCGGGCCCCCGCAGCTACGTCGTGCGCTGGGCGCAGGGGCTCTGGGGCAACAAGTTTCTGTTCTGGGCCATCGGCGTCGGCTTCGTCACGCTGTTCCCGATGCTGTACATACCCGGGCTTAACACCGTCGTCTTCCGCCACCTCGGCATCTCGTGGGAGTGGGGCATCGTGTTCGTCAGCGCCGCGCTCTTCTTCGGCGGCGTCGAGGGCTGGAAGTGGGCCAAGCGCGTCTACTTCCGGCGCAAGTTTGCCCGGCTCGTGCAGCGGAGGAGGGGGAAAGTGATCAAGTGGAAGGATATGGATGTGGAGGAGCGCGCGTTTGCTGATTACTTGGATTTCTCACTTCCGCTTGGTGGTGGCGTTGGTGAGGGGGAGGAGGGAAAGGAGGAGAATGTCGAAGTCAGGGCTGAGTGTGTTGTGGTGGGACGCCAATGACTAAGAAGGGGTGGGGAACCCCTGGTTATGGCGAAGGAGGTGGTGATGGGTAAGTATGTGAGTGTGATAGATGTTTCCGAGGGAGTGTTAGGTGGAAAGGGCAAAGAGATATGGAATATGGAGGGCGACAGTCGCTACCGTATTTATAATTGGAAAGGATTTGCTCTGTGGGGTGGTCTGTGGCATTTGTCAAGGTTATCAACCAATTTCGACATCACTATTATCTTAAGGGAGATACTGCCCATAGCTATGATAGACTCATTCTCTACCTATAATCGCAACGTTAATGAACAGCAAATTGTCTATTTAAATCTTCTAATGACAACCACGGTGGAATACTAGTTCCGCCGACGGTATATCTTAGGCATTTTTGAGTGATGGATTTCTAACAAACCCATCTCTAACCACCTAATCACCTATACCTCCAGCTAATCATATATACGTTTAAATCGCGTATTGCGGTGTACGCCTCGCTTAAAACACAACCATACATAAGCATATACCTATGCATTAGGCACCTACACTCCAAGGCGATATACCAGGACTACTCCACGCTACTACTCAGGTCGACTGACGATGCTTTACCAATCGATCCCCGTTCCGGATCGGAGATTTTACGGTCCCCCTTGGACGCCTCGATATGCTGCTCGACGCCTTCCACGCTAGGTAGATCTTGATGAAGCATATGGTGCTAGTAAAATCGAATTGTCAGATGCCGCCTGAAAAATAAAAGCTGCGCGTGGAAAGGAAAGAGGCTGGGGGAAAAGGGGGAGCATACCTCAATGTTGATCTTGGGTCCTTTGAACCACTTATGAGCGTCAACGAAAAACCACACCACAACAATAACCATAGGAGCGCCCTGTATCATGAAACGTCAGTATAAAACTTCTTCTTCCTAGTAGGCACTAGGCTAGATATTATTCAATAAATTACTCACATAGACAAGCACAGTCCAATTCATATCCTCAAGCGTCATGTTCTCGCCCCTGACGCTCGGAAAGCACAGAATGGGTAGCATGACAATGACGAAGCTGCATGCCGCGATGCCCGAGGGCAAGCTGAAAGCGCCGAGGTGCCAGGGCCCGCGGCGAAAGCGGTTACCCACGACCACGATCTTGAGGAAGATGGGCGTCGTGAAGGCGACGTAGGCTGCGATGGCGCCGATGCTGAAGATGGCATCAATGGCCGCGCCGCCGAAGATCAGGAGCAGAAGGAGGATTCCGATCATGGTGTTAAACCACACTGCGTTGACGGGCGTGAGAGTGTGTCGGTTGATCTTCTTCAGGGGCCGGCTGACGATGCCGAAGCAGTCATCTCGCGCGTATGCGAAGCACACTCGTGACGCGGCTATCATGCAGCCCTGGCCCATGGAGTACGCACACACGATCGTCATGGAGAGGACAGCCAAAGCCACGTTTTGCGGAAGGATTTGGATTAGATATGCAGCGAATGGCTGACCCTATATATCATCTAATGTAAGCGAGGCTACGAAGCGTTTCTTGGTGTGCTTACTTACCAGATCACTGTTTATGACTTCTGGCACATCTTGGATCGTGTACGCGATGAGAGTGTTCAATATGAAACCGAACACAGATCCCGAGCCTGCAGTCATCACGATAGACCTTGGTGTGGCGACAGCTGCGTTGGTGCACTCTTCAGAAAGATGGAAACTGGCGTCGTACCCGGACATGGTCCAGATGATGGATAGGAAGGACATCAACACTGCGACACTGTCGGGCCAGTCTGTGCCATTCTGGATACCCCAGGCGAACTCATTCGGCTGAAACTTGGGATTACTCATTGTCGCGGTGGGTATAATGATAATGGTGATCAGTAGGCAGAGGATGTTAACAGTAGTCCCGACAGAGTTGAAATTTGCGATCCACAGAGTCGGCATACTGCTAAGGCAAGCATGGGTGATCATGATCAATACCGTGAGCAAAAATGTCTGGTAGCTTGTGGGTATGTAGCCCGGATTCGTGATAGATGCCGCAGCTAGAATCATGGCAGCTAAATAACAAGTAAGGGGTTAGTCAGTTCCTAGAATTCACCAAGAATGATTACAAAAAATCCAAAACTCACCACAACCATAGTCGACACTTGGAGCTCCCGTAACTTGCACGAACCAATTGCTCCATCCTGTAACCCAGGCCGCGAATGGCCCGTACTTAGGCCCAGCAAGAACTGCCGACGCATAGTAAAGTCCGCCGGATGTTGGCATACTACTGGCCAATTCGGCCATTGAAGCAGCGACCTACGAGAATGGCTAAAGTTATTAAGTGTTATATTTACGCAGAGACCGTCCCGAGTACTTACACACAAAATAAAAAAGACGGACAACAGCCAACCCCATGTATTCGCCGCAGGTCCAGCTATGCAACCGCATCAGCATTTTTTACCATCCAAGGGAGTTTTTATGTAATCGAGAGGCATTCGTACCGTAACCAAGACCATACCACATAGTAGTAGCGATACTTGGTAGCAACCCCATCACGGCAAAACTGACAGCGAAAGTCGTCCAGGCCGAGAATTCGCGCTTGAACTCCTGCTTGTAGCCGAGCGCTGCGAGCGCCGCCTCGTCGTCGGTCATCTCTGCAAGGTGATCCGGTACATCTCCGTCGGCGAACACGGTCGTTACGGGCGGAGCGTGTGACTCGCGACGCTGACCCTCGAACGATGTCATCTTTTTCGTATCTGTCTAGGTACTTAATTTATGCAACTTAAATACTGAATGTTCGTTATGCGACAATCTTGTACCGATCCTCGGTTTATCGTGGTAAATCAGATGCTAGGTATAATGATTAGGGTATCGGTATCTTGTATCGTCGCTCATCTGGCCTAGATGGAAAGTTGAATATTCGCGCAGAAACTCATGATCACTTATGATATTGTGTATTTATTGTTAAAAACTGAAGGAAATGCGTGCTGCACAGATGTTGCGTAACGTTGGTGTAAGCCATCATACCTATATCATATCATATACTTATACCAATATCCATTACATCCATGATCAATGATACCTCTTGGGATATGTACGATAAGCTCTGATAGATAACGTTTCAACCTTGAAAACTTGACCAACCCTATCCAGTAGGTCTATCCCGTCTGGTAAACACGGCACCGGTTATCTTCACGTTGGCTGTGGCTGGCTTATTTAGCTAGCTTTCCCATCCTACCAATCGTCCGCGGGGTAACCCCTGAATGATAGATACCGCTCAGCGTTCATTTGCCGGACAATCTTTTTTGAGAGTTCGGATCGCCCGTAGAGTCACCGATGCGTGCTGATAAGAGAATGGATGCGTACACACACATAGTATATCTATGCATGTCTTACTTCAGCCATAGAAGGCCGTCGTTTCATTGCAGTCCTCAGTGCTGTTTTTTTTTTAAAAAAAAGGTACTTTACCTCGGTAAATAATGCTGTACCTATCAATTGAAGTTAGTGTTTACCATAAGGCGACCACTTAGAGGCGAACAATGCTCAGGCGAGACACCATCCGCGATCGAGGCTGCATGACAACAGAACATGATAGCGAGCTGAAAAAAAGCTGAAAAAACAAACTTGCGTACCTAGTTGCGTACCTTGTTATACAGGGCCGCATAAGTTGATCCCGAATCTTTTCCTGGCGTTCCCCTTTCCAATGCTTCAGGTAGTAGCACTAGAGAACCGCATTCACATGGCATTAGATGAAAAAGGTGGCCGTTCCCCAGAAATGGCCAAAGAGGGTTGGCCCCAAGGGTTTCAAGAAGACGATTCTGGTAATTGACGTTTGGAATTTGGTGTATTGGCATAAGGTGGGAGGGTCGCTTGTAAGTACCTAGTTAGGTAAGCTCTGTAGAGGCTGCTATCTATGTCATCAGGCCTCAAGACATAGAGCAAGGTCCCGAGTTGTTACTACGCAATATTTTAGCCAAGATGATTGCCCGATGCTATGAGGTCGGGAAAGCCGGATACATTGGAAGTGTAGACTACCCCAAGGTAGGTTTGGCGGTCATTTCGATAGATTGGACGGTTGGCCCTATAGCATTGGATTCTGCATGCTTAGTGTTATATTGGACGATGAGATTCTTAGACGAACATTGAACACCAAAGTCCTTGTTAGATGATTAGATCTAGTTATTGTGATAAGGAGCTATCTCCCTCCATATACTCATATCCGACTCGCCGGGGAAACCCGACAACAGCTAGTCCAACGTTCAAGGTTCGTATAGCTCCCAGGTCATATTGTAGGTAAGTAAGATGATGTATTGAGACCCTGATTCATGATACTAACTCTGCGCAGACTGCTGTCCTGCTATTAATCGTTCTTTAACCGACCATCGTTAACAAAAATGGTTCTCGATAAGTTGTTTGATCTTGCGATTTTCAAGGCAAGTTCTCTTTATTATAACGTGATTTGTGTCACGCATTCAGGTACACAATATTGATGATAAAATGGTATAAGCATGAGAATTAGCATCGCAACCTTATCGCATTGTCAGACGTGATGTCTGCCGATCTTGATAGTAATGGATAGATCCGAATATGTATATATGGGCGAATGAAGGTCTCGAGATAATTTAGGTACCTTGGCATCTACATATGCAATCTAGGTCAATAGGGCTTCTCCGATCATCTGTTCCTTTGTTAAGATGATGCTGTCGCTCGTTTGATCGATGTGATTCTGTAAGGCTGTAACTATGTAGTATTTAATAATTAATAGCGGAAGATGCCCAATACCTACTCAAATCTTGTCTCTCGCGTTACTCGATCGTGTGACTGCTGGTTTCGACTCATGACTATTGTTACCTTGTTAGGTACATAGGTATATACAGTACTAGAGCGGCCCTCTGTATAGAAATCCCCAAACGGTGCGAATGACTTCATCAGACGGCAACTGTGAAATCAGCAAGTTGTCCATGCGCATACCGCATACCGCATACCGCATACCTGTAGCTAACATAGCTAACATTGAATAGTTCAATGTTGTATTGCACAGCGCACCCAAATAAGGCATACTTGTAGGTTAGATGCTAATGAACGGATTGAGTTAGGACCAAATGACATGAATATTGGATACACGTACGCCTTATGACGCAGCCAGCGTCGGAGCATTCCCTGCCTATTGGCTTTGATGTTCAATTTTGGTATGCACCCTAGGTACCTAAGGTACATTCTATGTATTGTACACTTTTCATAGCTTGCTACCTAGTTAGTACCTAGTACTACATAGGTATGACGAAACATAAATTGACATAGCCCACACTAGGACATACATACATGTAGTGTAGTTACCTAGGTAAGCACTTGACACGATATACATTGGATAACTTGGACATAACAATGTTGGGTTTAGTTAACTTTATACATAGCATGTGTAGCGACAATGTGTATTTGAACTTCATTTTCTTCATCACGCCTTTTGATCAAATACACACGCATATATTCATTAATATACATCTACCATTGATATATGTCATAGCTGCTATTAGTACTCAGGTACTTATAGGTAGGGGTTGATTTATTAAAATTCCAATGTAACACTCAAGTCATTTTAACTTTAGGAACATTAAATAGAACACTGAAGTTCCTCATGTGTAATTACCATGTACCCTCAGATCCGCATGAACGGGTCAGGGATACAGCTGTACATGCAGATTACCTAACTTCAATGTTGCAAAGTGTAAAGTAGGTACCTACATAGTACATAAAAGGTGCAAGGTTGGTGTATCCACTTGGGCGAGTTGGCCAGGCTCCCAGGCTTGAGATTTAATTATTATTAGCGGTAATTTGATTTTCTTTCTCTCCTAACCTTGTAGTCTATCTCTACCTTGCAACGTAGCTGAGCGAAACGACACGAACGCAACACTTTTCCAATTTCCAATACAATACTCTTAAAACAACAACGCGATAATTACCATCTTGCTCAACTGAGGGCTTCAAAAGATAACATAATGAACCGTAAACCATAAATCGAATCAACGCACCTAATAGGTACGGCAAAAGCACGGTTCAATTTTCCATGATAGTGCATTCGACCACCGCTGTCTACTCTCTTCCATTTTCCTCCTTCTCCCCCCTTTGCTGGCTACATAGTAGGCTGAATTGCGCAACGCCGAGCGAGCGCAATGAACGCCATACAGCAAAAATGTCGCCCAAAGCACCAAGTCCTGATCCTCAAGTGCTATCCTCGCACTACTAAGGGTGCTGTCGATGTCAAGCCAAATTCCAGTGAACTGAGTTATCTTCTGTTTTACGCCACCTCGCGACGTTCCAAGATCCAGAAAGTTGGCCAATTTCTCGAGAAGAAAACCGCTAGTGATGTGTGGAGGGTGCGAATAGGGTATGTCCGACGCTTCCGCTATAACACAACACCACGCTATTCTTGTGTCTTTGGTTTTGTTATCATACGCAACCTGAATTGGGTGGGAGATAATTTATTAATTCATACTAATCGCTGCGTATAGGAATGTCCAGGTCACACTTCAAATCCTAGCTGCTATAATCGAGAAAGCTCCAAAAGATCTCCCCCTATTTGCCCAAAATGTCCTCAAGATCCTTGACCTCGTTCTCCGATCCAATGACATCACCATGGTTGAGGCTTCGTTGCCTACCTTTCGAACGTTTTGTGAACACCACGATGTTTCGTCTCTTTTTGCTGACCAAGCTTACTTGCATCAATATGAGCAAGTTGTCCGAGCCTACGCCACGTTCGCGTCCACTCGGAAAAACCCTGGCAAAGACGCGACTAGCAAACCTGTTGCGATGAGATGGAGGAATGCAGGCTTGGAGGCAATCAAAAGCGTTGCCGAGTCCGAAGCTCTGTCGTCTGTTGCCGGACGGCAGCTCGACGTCGTTGTGCCCATGATTCTTGAGAATTTGTGGACGGACAGCGAAGATTTCCTCGACATTTTGCACCGTCGTGTCGAGTTGGAAGAGCAGGTTGATTCGAATGCCCTGTTGCATCGTAGGACGAGCATCTCTACTGTGAAAACTGCCGAGACAGGGGGCGATGCAAATCCCATAGCTATATCCGGCTCGTCAACGGATATCGACAAGTTGGCAGAAGAAGACATCGGTGTCATGGCCATGCAGTGTCTCAAACAGATATTCGTCATACCCAACCGAGCACAGATTAATGGAGCGACTACTGCGCTTCTACGATTTATCAAGGAAAGGGTTCAGCAAAAGGAAGGCCCAATAATACAATCCCAAGACAACAGCGGACGCGACCGAGGCTGGGCTATCAAGATTTTCGAATTCATCGCAACGTGGGCCCCGGTGCAGGACCGCTATGTGATCGTCATAACTGCTACAGATGCACTCCTCAGGACTGCCCCAACTGACGAGAACGTGGCTGACCAAATTGTTCTATCTGCCATTGTCGGGTCTTTGCTGAGCTCTGATATCAATCTGATCGGCCTGAGTGTCATGGATGTTCTCCTGGGTTTAATACAGCATATGAAGAGGGTTTTGAAACACTCGGGGGGTTCGAGAGGAAGTGCCTCTGGAACAGCATCAGGGGACGAGAAGCCCTCTTCGGTTCCTGACCCGTCTCAACACATCTCGGGACCACACAAGGAACTTTTGGCCCGGATCCAACAGTCCATTGGCAACCTAGCCACGCATGTTTACTACGCTGATCAAATTTCTGATATGATTTCTTCTATTCTGATTCGACTCAAGCCTCATCCGAGTACAACAGCTTCGACTTCGTCACCTGTGGCCGAGAAGGGTGAGGCTCCTCCGGGTGCTTCAATCGGAAATATTTCCGATGACCAGACTCATCTGGACGGCTTCTTTGCATTAGATATGGCCAAGACTATTGCACTTCAAGCCGTCAAATCCATTCTCCTTGTTGCTAACCCTAATACCAAGATCAGCGGGAATGTCACTCTGACTAGAAATAAAGTGCCACTACGGGTATGGGAAGGTACTCACTGGCTTCTCCGTGATCCAGATGGGCAAGTTCGTAAAGCATATGTCGATGCTGTTACCACATGGCTCGATCGTGAGACTACCGCCCACGATTTGGAGGCGCGGGACGATATGGGGCAAAAACAATCCCGGGCAAACAAAGAACAACAGGCGAATGTGGCTCGTCGAGCCGTTTCCAATGCCTCGACACGGGAGAAGCCTTCCAAAGTTACCCGATCCCACTATTTACAACTCCTCCATCTCGCCATCTACGAGAATGCCCTGCAGTTCATTGAATATGAGGCAGACATTGCCATTCTTCATATCTTGTTGACAAAATTAGTCAACAAGCTCGGGGTTAATGCTGCCAGGTATGGGCTCCCCGTGGTCTTCCGTCTTCAGGAGGACATCCCAGACGTGGAAACGCCCTTGTCTAAAGTGCACCTCGGCTGCTTATGCCACGGGTATTTCTGGGCTTTGAGCGAGCATTTTGAGTTTGAGGCTTCGCCCATTGGACGCGCCATCCACAACGAAATTACTCGAAGGAGAAGCAAGCACTTTTGGGTCGAAGGTGTACATATCCCGACGCCATTGTTAGAGGATATTGGCAATCCTGGCACATCTCAGTCGCAAGCTAAGATGCCTTCGCATGAGGTTGAATCAGAAACGATACTGCCCTTTGATGACCGTACCACCATGGTGGAGTGTATCTGCGCAAAATACAAGGAGAGAGCAATTTCACCGCCTGCGAGCCCCGCCACGTCGCCTGGTCGTGTCTTCGCACATAACTCGTTGAGCTCTCCCCTAAGCACCATCCCACCCGCTGACGATGACCATGAACTGCCTGACAAATTTAGAGAGGAAATGGTGGCAGAATGGAACCGTGAAGCCGCGCTTCTCGCACTTCAAGTTGAAAGTAAAACTGCTTCACTCAGTGGATCTAAGACAGGAACGACCGCTACTAAGGGGAATCACCTTACCGTTGGCGGACTTGGCGCCAATGGCTACTCATCCAGTAGGCCGGAATCTGCTTACGCTCGCCAGACTACGCTACGTCCAGCATCTCGCGCAAGCCACGCGGCAGTCCTACGAAACTCGAGCATGCAAAGCCACGGCTCAGCAAGAAGTGCCTCTAGTCGAGGCTTCGTCGCCTCCGTCGATCAGCTGAAGTCAGCCCTTACCGGAGAACCCGCCAGGCCAGGAACATTTCACACTCTACGAGAAGACGACGACAGCAGCGAAAGCATGGCAAGCTACGAATTTTCACCTTCTGAACTTTCATTTAGTCATACCGCGGCCGATGGTGCTGATGGGAACGATACGTCTCTCGGTCGATCAAGGTCCAAATCTCGGGAACGAAAGGCATCCACGGACTCGGGAGGTCCGCTGACCTCACATCCCACAGAGGGCGATGCCGAAGATGATGAGTATGTACCGCCAGTGCCCCCGCTACCACCTTCACTGAAAGGGAAATCCCCTCCACTGGACAGAAATGGAGACCGTATTGCTAAACAAGATCACGCCTTGAAAAGCCCGAGAAGGAACCTACGGAGCCGGGGAGGCGATAGCTTTCTTTCCAACAACTTCGCCAATGCAGGGGCTGCCAGCCTGGATTTGCAGGCAATGCTCAAAGGCATCGACAGCAAATCCAAACAGAACACACTCGGGAATTTAACTAAGCCCCCTTACTAGCGCGCTATACCTACCTAGGCACCTACACTACGATAAAAGCTCATATGTTTTTGAACTTAAACTTGGTTATATTGAGGAGAGAGAATCAGGGGTTGGTTGTAATGGCAGCTTCAAGGCGAAGGGCCGGTTCGTCTTGAGGTGTTGTATAGATACTTATAAAAAAACGCCGGGAAAATATACAAGGACGGAAAGAGGAGGAATAAACCGGAACTCTTTTTAAAAAGAAAGGCACAGTCCATAGGGCAACTCTATATAAACATATACTTGTATATATTTACATATTCCTTTGTTGTTGCGTCAGCGTCCTGCTACCTATATGGTTTTGCTACTTTGTTTTGGGAAAGGGTTGTACATTCACCCATAGTAGCTAAACTGAAGGCTACTTTAGCGATAGAGTGAAGAGCATATCAATTAAAAAGCGACTGTTATTTAATACTATGTACTTATTTCAGATTCGTGGTAAATACCCTACCCAGGGTAGGTATGTATGCTAAGGTGATGGTGATGGTGATGGGGGCTTTTTGGTTTCTGATTGGCTCAATTTGATTCACAAGGGATCAATCTTAGTTAATCGATAAGGCAATATGCGTAATTAGTACTCGGATTAGTTAACTAATAGGTAACTAATTTTTGAATCTATTTCATTTGTCAATCAACTGCTTTTAAGTCCTGACAACTTAAACTCGAATCTTTTTTTGCTCTGTCGACGTTCTACAAATTCCTAAGTGCCTTTCCAAAATGAAGCCACCAACCCGAATAGTATTGCGTTCGGCAATCCGCCAGCAATCTCAATGCACACGAGCGATCCCGACCACTTGCACCGCCCGACCCCTAATAAACCACCCGCGCCAGATTCACACCACACCCGCTGCGCCCGCTACTGTCTCTCCAATCCACGGCACAGGACCTCCCCCAGAGCCACCGACGCCCACGCCCGACAGCGCCAGCGCCCGACTCGAACGGCGAAAAAAGCAGGCCGAGCTCCTCGAGAAGGCCAAGGACATCCGCCAGGCCGAGCTCGTGTCCAAGTTCACGGCATCGAGCAAAAAGGCCAAGGACACGGCGCTGCGCAAGCGCTTCTGGAAGGATGTGAACGTGCGGGAGGTCGAGGGCGCGTGGGAGGTGCATCTGGACTCGCGGCCGCTGCGCCGCCCTAACACGCGGGAGGTGGTGCGGGTGCCGCTGAGCAAGCCGCTGCTGGCGGCGGCGCTGGCGGTCGAGTGGGACATGCTGGTGTCGGTGCAGCAGGCAACAAAGCAGCACCTGATCCCGCTCACGGGCCTCGTGTGCCGCGCGCTGGACATCGCGGACGACGACGCGGCGACGGCGAAGAACGGCGGGGAGGATGGCAAGAGTCTGAGGGCCGGCCTGGCGGGCGCACTGCTGAGATACCTCGATACGGATTCCTTGCTGTGCTGGGCGCCGCCGCCGTCGGAGTTCGATGCGCCCCCCAAGGGCACCGAGACGCTGAGGGATCTGCAGAAGCGCAAGGCGGAGGAGGTCCTGGGGTTCTTGAAGAGTCGCGTGTGGCCTGGTGTTGAGATCGGGCCGGTGCTGGACGGGGAGGCTATCATGCCGAAATCACACCCCGAAGTCACGAGGCAGATCGTGCAGGGTTGGATCATGGGGCTGAATCACTGGGAACTGGCCGCGCTCGAGAGGTCGGTGCTTGCGTGCAAGGGCGTGCTCGGCGCGGTGAGGTTATTGGTCGAGTGGAGCGAAGGGTTCGTGGGGACGGGTATTGGCAGTGGCCCGTCATCGGAACAGACAAAGTTTGGTATCGAGGAGGCGGCGAATTTGGCCAGTATCGAGGTGGACTGGCAGACACGGCGCTGGGGCGAGGTCGAGGATACGCATGATGTCGAAAAGGAGGATCTGAGACGGCAGCTGGGGAGTGCGGTGCTGCTGGTTAGTGGGACGGGAAGTAAATAAAAAAGTAATATCAAAATATGCAATGTCACATTATATTTAAGAACTATCTACGAAAGCGCATTCTTGTCACATAATATCTAGGACTGAGATAGCAGCCCTGTACTTACCTACCTAGGTACTGAACTAGGTACTAAATAATCTTGTAGGCAATTATTAGGACAGTTAATCATAGACATTATTGTAGGGTAAGCACTATGATAAATGATTACAATTATAGTTACTACCTACCTACGAAGTAGTACCTAGTGAAAACCTACAGCTTTCAATGTTCTCAGGCTGGCTCTTTTCCTTTGCACCGCCATAGAGCAAGCCACACACCATCAAGCTCCCCCCTAAGCTCGCTCAAAGCTCCCCTCCCCCTCCAATAGATTATTAACCTTAGTATTGTACATAGTGCATAGGCAACTAACCTCGGGACTTATCGCCGTAGCAACTTCAAAGTTAAACTATGGATGTACTTTAGTACTTGGAACAAACGAACAACTTGAGCCGTGATTACCATCTTGATGTTCATCTTTTGAATTAGAACATTTCTTATCATATTTATTTATACCTTCTAGACTGCGTTTGGCAGAATGGGTCATCTGGTAACCGTTGCGACTTGCTCGCTGAACCAGTGGGCCCTTGACGTGAGTAATCTATATACAAGCCAAGATCACTTTGAGTCCAGAGTGAAGGACTAACGAAGGGCACGACATTATTATTATAGTGGGAGGGAAACACTCAGCGTATTATCGAGAGTATCCAAAAAGCCAAGGAAGCTGGTGCACGATTACGGGTTGGGCCAGAGGTGAGTATCATTTTATCAGACATCATACTCCCCATCTCTTTATCTATCCTTTGCTAATTTGCGGCATATATTAGCTGGAAATATGCGGTTATGGGTGTCTCGATCATTTGATGGAGCAGGACCTCTACCTGCACTCTTTAGAGATGCTAAGTCGCATTCTCCTTGATGAGAGTTGTCATGGTATACTGTTGGATATTGGTATGCCTATCCAGCATCGCAATCAGCGATTCAATTGCAGAGTCATATGCCTCAACTCCAAGATCCTGATGATCAGGCCCAAAATGTGGCTTGCCAATGACGGCAATTATAGGGAAATGAGATTCTTCACGCCGTGGATGCACCCCCGCGAAGTCGAAGACTATCATTTGCCTCGCATGTTGCAGGAGATCCAAGGAGCCACACACGTGCCCTTTGGCGATGCCGTCATTTCTACACCCGACACTTGCATGGGTGCAGAAACGTGTGAGGAGCTGTTCACGCCCGCAGCACCGCACATTGCCATGAGTCTTGATGGTGTAGAAATAATCACAAACTCCAGCGGCTCACACTTTGAGCTTCAGAAGCTCGAAACTCGTCTCCAACTCATTATGGAGGCTACTAGAAAGTGTGGAGGTCAGTAGGATATATCCCTCACCCTATGTCTCATTCCTCATTCCAATAAGCTACATGAACCGACACTCCTTACCCTTAGTCGCACATTGATCTTTTGAGGGTATATGCTAATCTTTGTCCGATCTTAGGTGTTTACCTCTATGCTAACCAACGTGAGTTGATCCAATCCTAATGGAAGGGTGGGGGCTAACATAACTACAGAGGGCTGTGACGGCGACCGCTTATACTACGATGGCTCAGCTATGATCATTGTAAATGGAAACATTGTTGCCCAAGGCTCACAATTCAGTCTCCGCGATGTCGAGGTATTGACAGCAACAGTTGATTTGGAGGAAGTCCGTGCCTACCGGTCGGCTATCTCTCGCGGTATGCAAGCCGCTAGCTCTAACGCCAAATACCAACGTATCCAAACTTCTTTCGAACTCAGTTCAGAAGAGGACGATTTCGATATTGAAAAGCGACCAACACCGCCAATAAAACCCCGGTATCATACAGTAGAAGAAGAGGTCGCACTCTCGGCGGGCTGCTACCTTTGGGATTATCTAAGACGGTCAGGAGTAGCTGGATATCTAGTTCCGCTAAGTGGTCCGCATTGCCTTCAGTCTATTTCCTCTATCACCACATTTCACTGACTTGTATAATAGGGGGCATCGATTCATGTGCCACTGCGACTATTGTTTACGTAAGCATATCTCTCATGTTTTCGTTTTCATGTCAAGCTATTTGCCGGTGAAGGACATCTCATACTAGGAAGCATGCCCTCGATATCACTCTAGATACCCCATTCTTTACTACACTGTTAACATGAGTTGCTATAGTCTATGTGCCGTATCGTCATGGATGCCATTAAGGAAGGAAACTCCCAAGTGATTGAAGATGTCAAACGGATCGCTAAGTACAAAGGGGAGAATATTCTTCCCGAGACTCCCCAGGAACTCTGCAATCAAATATTCTCGACAATATACATGGGAATGAAGGCACAGAGCTCTCGAGAGACACGACAACGAGCAAAGGATTTATCAGAGGCTATCGGCAGCTTCCATGTCAACTTGGATATTGATGATATCTATAATGCTCAGAAGGCTCTTCTCGTTGACACCTTGAACTTTGAACCAAAGTTCAAGGTACACGGTGGAACCCACCAGGAGAACATCACTTTGCAGTGTCTACAAGCAAGAATTCGTATGGTTACAGCTTATGAATATGGCCAAATCTTGCCAACAGCTCGAAACAGACCCGGTGGTGGGAGCCTGCTCGTTCTTGGAAGCGCGAATGTTGGAGAATCTCTTCGCGGCTATCTTACCAAGTACGTATTGCATCCTATCTGTGTAACTTCAATGCAATGCTAACAATTTTTCAAGGTACGATTGCTCGAGGTTAGTAAAGGGTTCCTTGCGTGCCTAACGCAAAAGTTGTTCGAGTTTCGGCAAATGTTACAGGACTCTATTCATAATCCTCACTAACACATTGGTAATATAGTGCCGACATTAATCCAATAGGGTCTATAGACAGCAAGTAACCCGGTTCTTTATAATTCTCACTCAATCTGGTCTAAGGACTCCCTTTTTGACGAACGATTGCTCAATTGCTAACCATCTATGTTATGTAGAGGCCGATTTAAAACGTTTCATCGCTTGGGCCGAGAAGAACTTCGATCTACCATGTCTGCACGATTTTCTAACTGCTGTGCCAACCGCAGAGCTTGAGCCTCTAACAGATACCTACGTCCAGAGCGATGAAGCAGACATGGGAATGACTTATGACGAATTGACAATCTTCGGGCGTTTACGCAAGGAAAACAAGTTAGGGCCTTTCGGCATGTTCCAGCGGCTAGTTCACGATTGGAGTGTCGATCGTGTCAAGGGTCCCGATGACAATGCCCCTGAGTACACTCCCGCTCAGGTGGCGGAGAAGGTCAAGCGATTCTTCCACTTCTACGCCATCAACCGCCACAAGATGACAACTTTGACGCCCGCTCTGCACTGTAACCCCTACTCCCCCGACGACAACCGCTTTGACCTCCGACCGTTCCTGTACCCTTCATTCTGGAAGTCATGGTCCTTCAAGAAGATCGATCGGGAGTTGGAGAAGATTGAGAAGCGGATGGCAAAGAAGTAAAAATAAAGATTAACACTGGTAAAGCAATATTGGCTATTTTCTGAGCTGGAAAGTCTTGTACATACCCTCGAAGTTAGATATCATATACCTACAATTCTAATCAATTCAATCTCGGGCGTGGTCGTTGCAGGCCCAGCATCAGATGTTCGTTACTCGGATATTTTCTTTGCTGTGTCAATATTCAATATCTTCAGAACTATACCTAAGCAGCAAATCCGATATATGTATCTCTTAGCTAGATACCGGTCGCTGGCTTTCCTTCTCTAAAAATATGAAGCTGTCTAGATATCAACAGCTCTATAGTCCTCAGATTATAGTGTACCCCCCTGCCCCCTTTTTGTCACTGTACCCAAACCTCGATAGCCTTGAACTAAATGTTATAAAAAGGTAAGTACCTGCTATTACGCATCTCGGAGAAACTGGAATCGTTTAAATTTGCAAGATTTCTCCAGTCCACTTCGGCCACCTATTGTTCTTGATAAAAAGTTCAACCCTTCTCCCCTTAACTTTACCCCCCACCCCCCTTTTATTTTTTTTAGTAGCTAAATTTAGATGAGTAATCTACATGATTTTTTATATAGAACACGGATGAACAATATTTCTAGAGAATTAGCATGAATTGCTGAGGAGGATATACATAATACTTTGAACGACAGCACCCCCTGCATGAAGCGTAGCAAGATTCACTATTTTCTTCTGCTATCTATCCCCCCTTCCCCCCTATCGACTCTTGAATGCCATAGTCTTTGGTATTTATGATAGTCAGCGTCCAACAACATCTCACAATGAATTTTTTCTAATCTTTCTGACTTGTGTTACTTCCTGTTAAGCCAGCTATCCTTTCATTGATTGGATTCATCACACTACTGTATAAGTTTGTAACTATCTATACGATCCTACAATGGCAGTACGATACAGCTCTGTGATTAATGATTCACGATAATACGCAAAATGTATATGATACCCAAATCTGAGAGATTTCGACCTAGGTACAAATTTCGAGATCTGCCCTGGTAGCCCCTTTAGCCACTTACCTTTCGATATCCTCTCCGCTTATTTCCCCCAGAGCCTATGAATACTTTACTTTTCGATCTTTACGATGGCTTCATAACTCGAAACTGAAACCACCTCCCTTAGGCCAGCTCTCTAGTAAATATTATGCCTTGTCACCGGCCCGCTTGGGTACTTACTCTACAGCACACAACAAGTAGTTATACAGGTAGCCCTGTAGTAAGAGATACCTGCCACCGTTGCCCGAGCAAGTACCCATATGACACCTAGACAGATGCCATTATAGCTACCGGCTTGAGGCAACTCAACCCCAATCTTCCCCTAGAAGTTAGGTATTGCCTAAGGTACGGGTTGTAAAGTAGTTACTGCTGGTAAACAAACCAGGTCCCTACGCGGACCTTGGATTTCTATTTAAGCAGCTTGAATTCTCAGTCTTGTCCTTCTATTTCCTTATTTCTTTTCTTCACCACCCATTTTCGCTATTTCGTCTTTCCTCTGTCTTGTGATAGAACACATTCCATCACACACAAAAACATCTACACACGTACTAGGTAGCTTAGCTATTTCGTGTACATCATTGATCATGGCTTCTGGCCCCTACATCCCACCCTTTCGCTTCCGCCGTCAAGGCCTACTATCATCGAGTGGCATCCCAGAGGATACATCTGGACCAAGTGTTCTTCCAACGGGCTTGAACGACGCAACATTCGTTCCAGACCCCCAACTCGGAGGTGGAGCAGACTACCAAGGTAGCCAAGATAATCATCGACGCTCACGCAGAAACCGTCGACGCACTCGTGGTAGACGTACCCCCGGTCCCAACTATGATAATGAGTTCTTCGAACAACGTCATGGTCAGCAATCAATCGCCAATGATAACCGCGATTTGAGCCTCGTACCGCAGCAGCAGGCTGCCGACACGTCCTTGCATTCCAACCAGGAATCGCAATACCAAGACGAACAAGTCGATCAGCCACTGATGCTGGCCCAGCCCGGAAACTTTGCCAATTCCCCCCTGTACCATCGACGAGATGTCGACACCTACTTCTGGGGTGTCGACGGCGCTCAATTGACCGCTCTTGGAATCAACAACGTGCTGCACGATTCCGCCAACCGTATCGGCGATCTTTCCTACATTCTTCTGTTTGACGGAAGAAACCCTCGCTGGGAACAAGACCGCATCGTCTTTGCCTGCGCCGATCTTGAACTGCTGCCGGAGTACGCGGAAAAGAAGGCTGAGTACGGCGAGTGGCCCGTTGTCGACGCAGCGTCATTCAAGGTACCCCTTGACGCCGATACTGATGTCGAATCTGCCCACGGCAGCACATGGAGCGGACAGACGGCCACCCCGAACAATGCATTCGGCCCCGTTGCCACCCCATCCCACCTCTATGATCCTTCGATCTTGAGTGCTCGTATTCCATCATCATCCGCGGACGCCGGTGAGCGATCTACATCAATTGACGAGTTCCAACGTCTCAATATCGGAGACCAGTTATTTGTACGCAAGGATAAAAATAAGAAGCATAAGAATAAGGGAAAGAAACAAGAGCACGTGAACAAAAAGAATAAGAAAGGTGGGAAAAGACGGGGCAAGAAGACCAAGAAAGATAAGGGAAAGGGTGTGCAGATCTACCCCCAAGGACCGCGTCCTTATATTTCACCAATAGACTATGCCCCGTACCCGTCGATAGTCTACCCAATCGCCGCATTTGAGCAGCGATACATCGGCAGCGATGATCTCGCCACCAGCACCGGAGTCGATGAAGGATATTACTTCGTGTTCGCTGGCTGGTATACGGTGTCACGAATCTGCATCGTGGCGCCTCAGTCATCGGAGCTCGAGCGTTTGCTGGAGCAGCGACGTGGCGAGCAGCCGCGTTACGATTCGTCCGGCAAAGAGATTCCTGACACCATGCCACCATACTCTAGAGCCTGGGAAGAAGCCATGGAGGTGGAGTGGGCCGTCGTCAAGTTCGAAGAACTAGTCGACCCCTTCACGCCAGCCGACCCTATCATCGAGATCGTAGACTCGGATGAGTTCGAAGAAGGCGTGCGAGAGCTCGCGGTCGACCGAGGGATCCCGTATCGTGGTATTCCGGCTGGGCATCTTCGGATGGATAATCCAGAGGCATCTACGTCTGCACAGCATGAGAAAGAGAATGGTGGCAGCAGTATGAGTAGCAGATACATGATGACCATGCCCATTCCCACGATTGTGGTGACGGAGGAACCCGATGATTCCAACTTTGGTGGAGGAATGCGCGTTATACTTGAGGGAACGTATGGCTTCATGAATCGCAACAATATGGTAGGGGAGAAGCCCTCTCGCCAGCCTGGTGATCAGCAAGAGTCGGAAGCTACCAAAATTGAAACGGTTTCCGAGCTTGAGCATGGCGACATCATTGAACAAGCTGGCGATTTCTCTGGCTGCTCAGACGCCAGTAGTGATGATACTTACGCCTATGCTGATACTCAAAACACTGTCGAGAACACTTCAGCAACTAGTCTAAAACCCACTGAGCAGCTAGAATCGACTACCGAAGCGGCCGGCAGTCAACCCCGCAAATCAGACCACCCGGGTACTGGTACTGATATTGATACTCGAGAAACAGCCTCAGAGAAACTTCTGCTTTCGGAGGAGCTTCAGAAGACTCGATACTTAGATGAGTCCGAACTGCTGGAGATTACAGAAGCAGATGATGAATGCTTGCGCAAGGAGGACCTGACGGTCTGCACGAAATCAAACAATGAAGATGGAGACGGCGAGGGTGAGGAGGCCTCGACCTCGGTCCAAGATGGATCCAACAATGATAATGACAAGGGAACGCCCCTTTACGACGAGAAGTCTCCCGAGACGATTACCGGCGGCGAGGGATCTATTGACGAGATTGATGCTCATTCCCACGACAACATCCAAGAGCATCAAAGTATGATGAACGCCCATGCTCCTGAGTCTCAAGACAACACTATTAATCAGGGCCCCGAGAGCGAGAGTGAGCTACTCCACGACGCACCAGAGATCAGCGCCACGACCAATGCAAACGAGCTCAACCGACTGCACACATCTGCATCCGAGGCATACAATCTCATCCGAGGCACCCAGTCTACTGCGCCTTACTCCTCCGAGGACTCAGAAAGTGGACTAGCAGATTCCCACGGCCACGAAGAAGCTCATAACGCACACGACGAGCTTCTGCATGAGTGTAACGAAGCTGCTCCTGCCGCCCAGCCCAGCCCCTTCGCACATGAATTCCAGATTCTGGACGAGCAGTGGCACGACGCCGCCGAGGAGATCCTCGACAGCATCTCAGACATAATCAGCAGACTGGAGACTCTGGGTGTAGCCGATTACCGGGACGCTGCGACTCAAACCATGCCGGCTTACATCGCCGATGTGCGCACCAGTGCCGAGGGTGAACTCGGATTAGTCGAGCTCCCTCAGAAGAATGTCGACGAGACGGTGGGACGTGTAGTAGCCACTGACCCGCCACCTTCCCCGGCTACCAGCAACTGCTCGGAGCCCAAGGGTGAGGTTACAGATGCTGCTGTCCCAGAGGCGGATATCCCCGTCCACTTGAAGCAAGCTACAGAAGGAGTACCTCTCCCGCGCTCAACCACGCCGGATTCTGCCCACAAGCATTATGATGGCAAGATCGCAAGTGAAGTCACGGATGTTGAGAAACACGGAAATGGCATGGGAGGAGCTCAGTAATAAGTGGCAGGTGAAACGACAGTGTTGCTATCAGGGAAGCCTGTAAGAACGCTTTTGTGAGGTCAATAATGTTCGACGTCTTTGATGTCAAGATTACGAGAAATTGGGAGTTTTGAACTTCGGTATCCTACATCCTAGGTGCCTGGTCAAGAAATGGGAGGGCAAAAGACAACGCTTGTATGATGAATGCATAGTGGCGTTCCAGATCTCATAACGTGTATTACTAGGCTGCCTGAGCTAGGTCGTTTATGCTGTGTAGATAGCCGAAGTTTCACAATGGACTTTCACGTTGATAACTTATCCAAAAGTTGCAGAGCACATCCTAGTTCCGTTCGTAGTTGGTAGTTGATATGACTTAAAGCTCGTAGAAACGTTGCTCGAATTTCGTGATCGTTAAGTAGTTGGGGGCTAACTACAGCTACCTGTATACATACCTAACCTAGGTATCTACCTATGCTTCTGATTCATTCATAAGTTACTTACATAACCATGAACTTCCTCGCAAAGCCTGGTTCGTGAGATCGTAGTCAAGATATCCGATGCTCATAATTCCATATATATGATCATCCATCTATCTAAACATCACATTACACGTGCTGAGATAAGAATTTGAGTACTGTCTCATAGCCGCGGATGTATTCGGCCTTGACACGCTCGTTCTCAAGATCGGAGCGAGCCGCCATCCATCCGTGAATCTGGTCTCCAAATATCTCGATGTGCTTAGGACCCTTTAGATTCTGCTCAAACTTCTTGACATCCTCAGGTGGCTCATCCTTGGAGGCCAACATAGCTAAGGGGATCTTAATATTCTCGGCATCGGACGGGTCAACCATAGCTGGGTGGCACTCGATACCGGCCTTGAACACGGTGTCCGATTTGGAGGTTACAAGCGAGACAACCTTGCCTCCCCAACAAAACTGCAGTTAATAGGCGTTAGTCCTTCTCTTAACTTACGGGGCTTTCCAAGTTTTCTTTTTTATATAACTCTATGGTAAACAGATAATTCAAGACAGAGAAAATAGGGGTGATCTTACTCCAACGATGGCCCAAGTCTTAATCTCGGGGTACTTAGCTGAGACGGCTTTAACGTAGTCTGGAACCTTGGCAGCGATGCTAGGTGGCGGATACTTCTGGAAGAACGCAGCTAAATTCTTTTGTTTCTCCTCCGTGTCGGGAGGGAACCACTCGAGGGGCGATGGTTTGCCATTGAACCAGTCAGGAATGAAAACCTTGTACTTTTGGGCGTGGTCGGAGGTGGCAAGAATATCGGCCCCCTGCAGTGTCTGCGGGTAGAAACCGAAGATATCGAAAATGGTGATTATGCCTTTGGTCGATTCCTGGGGCCCAGTGACATCTTGAGGATCGGGGCGTTTAGCTACCTCGATAGATCCATTACGAGCTAAAGAAGACTAGGCGAAACGAAATTTACTCACATGAGTTGAAGCCGCCGAGTTCTTCATAGCTGCCCTTGGTAGTATAGCCTTTCGAGACCACAGGCGGAACGTTGCAGCAAGCCTCCGAATGGCCGTGTTGGGCGGGCATAGTCGACATATTGCAAATTTGTTTAGGAGTCAACTGTTGAAAAAAGGAACGATTTTGATTTGGTTGTGAATTGAGTGTTGTGGTAGAATGTATGAGTGGGTGTGAAGTTGACGTTGAAGTTGGCGACGAAAACGAAGAAGTGGAGGAGGAGGGAGAATGAGGTAAAAAGGTAGAAGAGGCAGAAGATGGTGGAACTACGAGGCCCGATGCAACGGCAGCAGCTCTTCGGGATCCGGAAAAGTGCCTAGACAGAGACATACTAGGTGATATGTAGTACGTATCATACCTAACCTTGATATGAAATGATACATGTAATGATTCCAGCACCGAGATAACCCTATTAAATGAATTAAATGAAAATGCCTTGGTTACTACGTACCTACCTCTAGTGCTACATATGTACGTATGGGGGTGATTGCCGGTACCTAACAAGATTCAATGTCGCATTCTTAATCTTTCATTGAATTTTTATTCAATTACAATTTTAATATCAAACCTTAGATGATCTATCTATGTGCTGAATCTAGTCGGGCTAATTTTTGTATGCGTGAGGGGTTGGAGGGGTAGTTTCAAACGGTGATGATACTACATGTGGGGTAAGCAGACATGGTATACGGCAGTGATGTCATACAGTGGCGACCAATCGGAAAGGCCTGTCGGGAGATATAAAGCCATGCCAGAGATGGACTAAAGTGTTTCTTGAGCATTCCCAATCGGTAATTAGCGTCCAGATCTAGAATCTTCTTCTGCCGCCCGTAGGGCTGACCCCTTTTCTTATTCTCTCCATGTCTTGAATTCAATGTCCTGACTTCAATGTCGTTGCATCTTCGACATGTGACATACCTAGGCAAGTATCCAAGGCTAGCAGACTCAGTGCTGTAGAAGTACCCCTAATTACCGAATAGCAGTTGAATTGGGCTGCATGATCTAACCTAGTGAATCGGCCACAAAAGGGGAAAAAAGGAAACAAAAAACATTACAGGACCACCTTGTTTCCTCCTTAGTATTTGTGTTACCCGTGCCGTCCCAATATAACCAGCTCTCCTCCATCATATCCTCCACTATATCGATACAGCGGTATTTCCATATCGTAGGCATATCTATACTTTTTGTCCAGTGCAGCATCTACGATCGCTTATTCTTACCACTAGATGCTTGCACATAGTTGCATTGCACTTCCAGTTCTCGATTGCTCGCCCAATCCTTTGCCGACATGTTATGAAGGTACGCAAACGCGAGTTGGATCACTATATTAGAGGAGCATAAGCTGTTCGCTCAACCGAAATAAAAGTATTCGAACGAAAGATGCCTGGACCCTTGGGCAAAAATGCTCGAGAAATCTCAACACCAACAAAAGACGTAAAGTCGAAGTGGCACGACCGCTACGAAACATGAAGGAACCAATATGGGATGTACTAAAGATGGAAATTTGCTTACTGAACCTCTCGTCTTCTAGTTTGAGCCGGGAAATCGCCTCTCCCTCGGAAAACCAGAATGACGAAAACTTGTTTCGATCCTCTTCCTCCGTCATTAGACTTTCGTCGCGCTCGAGATCCCCCTGTGGCTTTGCCGCAAACCAGTAGATATGTCTCCAGGCCCCGGTAGCGGGATCTGGATCTGATAGATATTGGTGTTATGCTTTACGGTAAGGGAGCTACAAAATGTGGACGAATTGGGGGTGCAAAACTAATGAAGCATAAGGACGTACTGGCGATGACGTGGTTAGCAGGCCGATAACTAACAAGATGCAGCGGAGACGGGATCTTGGGGCTGCAGAGGGACGTCATCTCACACACCATTCACTAACTCCAATGCTTTCGTTGCTAAGGCCCTCTGTGATACCGGTCAATTTATCCTCGACGCCATACCCGGCTTGCTTGATCTGGGCCTGGGCTTGGGGAAGCTTCGGTGGCGTCGATCTGGACCCAAACCTGAGTCGCAAGGGCTCGACGGCCACCCCGGTCTCCTCTGCTGTTTCACGTAGAGCGGCCTGAAGGTAACCCTCATCAAAGTTCTTGCGCCCTTTAGGCAGCTGATATATGCCGATGTTTTTGTTATAGACCACAAGTACTTTGGGATGTGGCGAATCTGCCTGGTTGAGAGTCACTGTCCCACAGCTAACCATCATCTCATCGGCTCGATGAAAGCACCCTTCGGTCTTAATCTTCTCCCAGACACGGTCGTCCCTCCAATCAACGGAATGGCCCGGGTCGTTTTTAGCCCATAGCTCGCGCTTAGCTAACTCCCCAAACTTTCGAAATAACTTAGCAGCAACGTTGGGCTCGGTCTTCAGTAATCGATTTGTAATATTTCTTTTAGCCACCGACCGGATAGGCTTCTCGTGTGATCCATGAGCCATTGAAAGAAACCGAGGGATAAAAGAAAGAATGATATTTTGAGGATTTTTCCAGTCGTCCAGATCTCGAATATAAACGTAAAAATCAAAGATTTGGTAAATATCCCCGACGAATGACATCTGACAGGGGGGCAAGCATCTTAGATATGTAATCTCCAATATGGCGTACCGGTCCAATTTCACATGGTCTAAGGATGTTCGGGATTGTTCGCGTGCCAAATCCATCGGCACGGTTCAAGGATTCTTTGTGTATTGTTGGTCGGGGTCTTTGGCTTCGCAAATTGTGTTCTCAATTGGGCGCTAGGCTTGTGTTTCCCTCTGGTCCCCTATCATATTGATCTGCAAATTTGATCATAAAGTAGATTGATCACATCTGGTTCCCCATGGGGCCCAACCAGAACCGGAAGTCAGATCTAAAGAAGGAATCTTCCGGCTTAGTTAATCCAAAATGCCTATGGCCGAACGCTTGGGGATGAGTCAGAGAGCTTATTCGCGGATGGCGAAACCCCCAACTACCTACCGAGGTAGGTAGACGGTGACCAACCTAGTTTCCAGGGTCCTGTCCACCGAGCGGGAGCTATGCCATCAACGTCATGCATTGCTTCTGCATAACGCGTCGAGACACTCGGGTAAGCCCAAGTCTACGGTCCCTAGTCGGTTCGATATTCTCGGCAAGGAGCCCGTTGCTATTATCCACTCCCACGCAAGGGAAGGAAACTTGCGCAACACTCCCTAGAAGTTGTGTGCATTCCTCAGATAGCATTTTCTCATCGCTGAGACAGCCAATGCAGAAGTGAAGCCGTGGCTGTCGCCTCCCCGTCGCCCCTAAAATGTGCTCCCATTGACGGCTTCACCGGCGTAGGAGATAAGGAACCAAGAACACCTATTCGACGCCCGGGGACCCGTAAGATGATCATGTGTCTCCTGTCAATGGCTCAAGTCGTACATGGTGAGGATGACAATGTGTTGGAACGTCGACCATTGGGTTGCTACGACACAGGACGGACGGGGACAGGATCAACGGTATCATAGGGCTCTTGGAATTCCCATATTTCTAGTTCACTGTTGTGCAAGGCAAGCAACACCATCTGGCAGGGGTGATTCAAGGTTGAACAGGTGGTTTATATTAGCCAGTCTATTTGCCGGTATCCACTTTACCACCCCGTCACGATACCGTCATACTAGATGATGTAAGACTGCCTTGCATACGTTACCCCCGAAGAGACCCTGATTCTGCCCAAGTTTGTCTATCAATGTTTCCTTTACTACACCTTGTTGACTTCACAGGAATGCAACAATGAAACTCTCACGACTACGACGATCGTCTTTCCAGCCGTATCAAGGACTTGTTATGGGATGTCTCCTAGTGGGCCGGAAGTCTCCCCAGAGCTCAACCTCACACCACGCAAACATACCATACTCTAGGGCCTGGGCCAGCACTTGTTATATGCACCACCGAGCGACACGAAACTCTGGGCGAAATCTCAGTCTTCCCAACCATCCACGGAACGCACGGGATGGGAGAGGCTCAAGGGCTTCATGATGTTACAAATGGACGAGGTTGGACGAATATCTATACAAAGTGTATGCGCGATTCCAATCGTTAGTTTACCGGAGTTAAATCCGTCGCCAATCCGATGTACCGATGGTAGGAAGAAGCGAAGCCGCAAGGTTGGTTTATCAAAGGAGACGGTCCTTTTTCCAACCTTACCTCAATCTACAAACCACTTTATGACCTATCGTAATGTTGAGATCAAAGAGGCTTCTTTGGAGTGAGCTACGGGAGATACCTTTCTTCGGATACTCTCACCGGTCTGCGGCGGCTACAATATGCTCCTCTCTCTCTCTCGCGTGCCACAGCGGGGTCAGCCGGTGAACGACACCCCGGACTAGAGGACAAAGTATTGGCAAAATTATTGGATTTATTTCCACCGCATCGCCCCAAGCTTTCTCCTCTTACCGATGCAAACTACAGCTAAGCAAACCCAGGATCGCGTCTACTCTGGGTACCCAGGCCGCCCTGCTGGTTGGCCAATCACGTCCCTCCTTTTCACGATGTGCGGCGTGGGAAAGGGAAAAGAAAGGTTATGTGTCGCCAATGGGGCGCAATCCGAATCGCCAAAATATTTGGTTGCACGTACGACTTCTAGAACCGAATGCTTTCCTGTTGTCATTCCACCCTTCCCACTACAGGCTGGAGATATTCCTAGTGGGCAATACTCATCGTAGTTTGTAGGACAATCTTTTTTTCTTTGCGCTCGGCAGCTGGAGATGACCAATCTTGCCTTAGCACGTCTGCAGCGTGGGATCCCTTGCTTGCTACTAATTGTTAAGCAAACCATGAGGAATTCCGAATCTGCTCAGCAGCCTTAGCTGGGTAACTATCTCTAGAGTAGGGAGGTAGCTATTTGGAATACGCACGAACAAACACTGTGAGTACTATATCGCGTAATCTTTGACCATGAAACTATTCCTAACTTTCTAGTTGTCGCACACCTACCTAAGTACCCACGAAAGTAGGTACGCAAGTAAGATATGTATCATACCCAGAAAAGATAATAACTGCCTCTGTGGGGAAATAGTCTGTGGTCACATGAACGGTTTCGATCAAATTCCATACATTGCGACCTACACTGCATCGCAGTCATCGCTTACATCTTCACATTATCTCCCCTCTTCCCCCTGCTTGGTACGACGCACTCCTTCAACCCACAAGCACCTAACATGGAAAAGGCTCTGCATGGAGTTACCGTTTTCAGCCGACGATCATCACCGGTGGCACACATCGCTTACATTCTAATAATACCAGTATTATTAAATATGATCTACATCTAGGTACAATACATACATACGTCTAACTACTCGTAGCCGCTGGAGGCTCTCCACATGTAGTTCATATCACGAACGCCTCTTTTATATTTTATTTTATTTATCTCAAAGTTTGGCGTTGCATCATTGGACTCGGGGTTTTATTCTATCCGAACTCATATCGCCGGGAACCTATCCAGTATCACCCCCAGAATCATGTACATCTCTCAATATTATACCCCCATGGCGTTGACAGCTTAGCTGAAAATGATTACCTGGGTATAGAGTCATATCTACTACCTAGGTATGCAGGCTGCGATACACAACCAATCATGTGCCGCCTTCGATGGTAAATAGGAACAGACAGCTGCTGTGCTTTTCGAAATCAAATCCTTATAAAGTTTACGATGAATAGGCCATGGTCGCCGATTGGTTGATCCTTGGAGCTCTGGTGTCATTTTGAACCTCAAGATGTCTGACAAGGCTGTCTAGGTTGCACCCACCGACAATTCTGGAAGTGTTGGCACGATGGATGATGAAATTGCTAAACGTCTAACCTTAGGTTGGTAGCTACGTTAGGTACGCATATGAGGCACGCCGACAACAACAACTGAGGGTGACAGGTAATATTCCCAAATAAAGCCTAGTGAAGCTTTTAACCGAATATAAAAGATACTATGAAGGTGACAGATGACCATTAGCTGACGTGTTGGATCCTCCGGGGGTCTGGCCCGAGAACTTAAACACCGGAAGACGTGTTCGCAAAACCTCCCAACGATTTTACAAAGTGCAAGATGCAGCTATTAAGGGGATGCATGTGCGGCTATGGCTTTCCTATCTGCGACGACAAACAGAAGACCTGTCGATCACACTTACCTGCCTACCTACCTAAGGTACCAACCTAAATTATCTGATAGAGTAACGGTACAATATCATGAAGGACCACATCTATACGCCGGGGGGCGGGAGCATGCCATGCTTCTCGCGCTTAGACGACGATAGGTACCATGCAGGATGTACCTAGATACCTACTTAGGTATGTAGCACAATGTGATGTGATCAGATATCTGGATACCTACCTAGTATGCTTGAACTAGATACCGATCGCACCGCCCACGATGCTGCAGGTTTGCGCCAGGTCTTCCATATCTAATTGGGTAGCGGACACGCAAGATTTATTACGTCTACACCCGGATATAAGCATCAAGTTTTTTTTTGGTCCCTAAACGTCACACCGTAGCAAATATACGTATTATACATCCACGAACACTACTAGGTACGCTCCTTAGCTGGGAATAGCAAAACACGTCTGCAAAACATCGCTATCTCCTCGTGGAAACACCCCTTCCGTTTTTCCTGCCAGGAAAAGAATATTTAATTCAGAGTTCATGAAGGCCCGCGTATTTCCTTACCAGCATCAGTCAGTCCCTTAGGCCGGGGTTCAAATCAGTCAGGCCGTGCACAATATTTAGTGGTGATTCCCGGTGTAAAACGCAACTTCATCCAGAATTCATTTACCAATCGAATTATATCTTACGCTATCTAGATATTTAGGTGGAAAAACTAATCCCAAAAGAAATAGTAGCTAGATGCACAATATATCTAGTTTCGCCATACCTGACGTCTCATACGCCAGCATTTACACGTATGGGGTCTGTTTAGTGGCAATGTCGTCAATTCAGGACTAGACACAGTCGAAATCGTTAGGAGTCTGCAACATACTTCTCTCTCAGCTTATGTCTAAATAAGTCTGTAAACTTTTCAATATATATCCATATACCGTGAACTCCGGCTTCAATGCATTATTTTGTTATTATTGATGTGGTCTTCCATCATGCTGCAAGATGAGAATACTCCTTATTGAATGCTCGTCCGATGACCATACGGCGAATCTCTGATGTCCCCGCCCCTATCTCGTACAGTTTGGCACTATATCATGGTTAATAACGTAGCGGGGAAGGCAAATATGGATAGTAGGAACTTACTCTCTTAGTAACCTCGAGGCAGGCATCTCTTCTACGTAGCCCATGCCGCCTAGTAATTGGATGCAATTTAGAGAAGACTCCGTGGCTCGTTCCGCGGCGTACAGAATAGCACCGGCGCAGTCTTGCGTCCTGATAACGCCATTCTCGTCCACTTCCTTGGCGGTAGCGTAGGTATACGCTCTGGAGGCCTGCAGCTTCGTGTACATGTCGGCGAGCTTACCCTGCACGAACTGATTGTGTGCGATGGGAGCTCCAAACTGCTTTCGCTGGTGCGTAAATGGCAGCGCGACGTCGAGCGCCGCCTGCATGATGCCGAGGGGCCCCGCACTGAGAACCAGACGTTCGAGATCAAGGCCTTCCATTAGCACGCGCACGCCGCCATTGACTTGACCCAGTACATTCTCGTCAGGCACGAAGACGCTTTCAAAAACCAGCTCGCCCGTGTTGCTCCCACGCATGCCCATCTTCTCGAGCTTCCGTGCGCAGCTAAAGCCCTTCGCATCAGTCTCGACGATAAAGGCAGTGATGCCCTTGGACCCCTTTTGAGGTTCTGTCTTCGCGTACACGACGACGAGGTTAGCGTCCGGACCATTTGTGATCCACATCTTGGTGCCGTTGAGCAGAAACCCGCCATCGACCTTTTTAGCGGCCGTTCGCATACTAACGACGTCGCTGCCGGCGCCTGATTCAGACATGGCGAGGGCGCCAACACTGGTCCCTGCAATCAGACCGGGTAGGTACTTCTGCTTCTGGGCGGGCGATCCATTGAGCTGTAGCTGGTTGACGCATAGTTGCGAGTGAGCCGCGTAGCTTAAGCCAATACTACCGCTAGCCCGCGATATCTCCTCCATCACGACGCAGTGTGCCTGGTACCCCATAGCCAGGCCGCCCACCTCCTCGTCCGCCGTCATTCCCAGGAACCCGGCCTCGCCTAACTTTGGCCACATCTCGTTGGGGAAGGCATTGCTCTTGTCCGTGTGCGCTGCCACCTCTTCCGTGATCTCGCGACGCGTAAACTCCTGCACGCGCTCGCGGAGCTCGGACAGTTCTTCGGATGAGGGGGGCGTGAAGCCTTTAGGGTGTTTCTTGGAGGAGGAGTAGTTTCGTACTGGTACTTGTGATAATGCAAAGGCGGGAGCTTGTATTTTGGTGGTGGCATGTCGCGCTGGACGGGTTAACGCTCTGAATGCCTTGATAGTGGACATGGTGCCTTTTGGTTATTCTAGGTACTGTATACCTAGGATGATTGGAGAATTTAGTCACTAAGAAAGCAGAAAAGTTAAACTGAGTTAATTGAGAATTGAGAACTGGAAATCACGATGAACTAAACTAAACTACAAGTTGAACTCAATGCTGACGATAATATGCTCCTTCCATAAAGAGAGCCATAGATCATTAGTCATAGGTCATAAATGAAGGCAGGAGGCGGGCAACCTCGGCATAGCGGTTAGCGACGGCGCGCGGTTCAGTGCTTCCCTCCAATCGACGTCAGTGCCCAGGTGGTCAGCTCCCTTCCTTACATCTCCCTCTACATTCCCACTCACCTCATGTTGTTTAATTTAGGACAACGAGCTGCTATAGCAGTAGCCAAAATCATACTATCTACATAATAAATAAATAAAAATGTCCGTAACCAGATGTTCGAGAGACCTTGTAGGCCTATCCCGCCAATTGGCCCGACAATGTACTAGACCGTCTACCAAACACTCTCGTCGACCTCCTCACCTTCGACTCCCTACCCGAAGTATCGCCTCTTACACGGCCCCATACCAAGCCAATGCTATATCCGTAATACAAAGTAATATAGACTCGACATCGGACGAGTTCAAAGAAAATGAGCGGCTTATGGAAGAAGCTATGGCTCGGCTGGAGAAGCTAACGAGCTCGGCACAACAAGGTGGACCGGTGAAGGCCAGGGAAAAGCACATCGCGAGGAAAAAGATGCTACCACGAGATCGAGTTGCGGCATTAGTAGATCCGGGGACAACATTTATGGAATTATCGCCTTTGGCTGGCCACGAGCTCTACCCCGAGGCAGATGTACCAGCAGGAGGCATCATAACCGGAATCGGAGTAATTGAGGGTGTTACGTGCGTCATTGTAGCTAATGATAGCACGGTCAAAGGCGGAACGTATTACCCTGTCACGGTAAAGAAGCATTTAAGAGCCCAAGCTGTAGCCCAGGAGAATAAACTACCGTAAGTTAAATTATCGAGACATAATGGCCTAACAGAACAAAGTCAGTATAAGGAAAGATTGGTTTGGTCTAACGCGGTAACATAGTTGTATATACTTGGTGGACTCTGGCGGCGCTAACCTACCTCATCAATCCGATGTCTTCCCGGACCGCGACCATTTCGGTCGTATTTTCTACAATCAAGCGAGGATGAGCTCCCAAGGTATTCCTCAGATCTCCGTGGTCATGGGTCTATGTACGGCCGGGGGAGCGTACGTCCCGGCCATGAGCGACGAGAACATAATAGTAGAAGGTCAAGGACACATCTTCTTAGCCGGCCCACCTCTCGTCAAGGCCGCGACGGGCGAAGAAGTATCGGCTGAAGATCTTGGGGGAGGTGCTATGCACACTTCCGTATCTGGTGTATCGGATTATCTAGCTGTCGACGATGCACATGCTATTGTGCTTGCAAGAAGGTGTATTAGCAACCTCAATTGGCCACGCAAGCCTCCGCCTGCTTCGACGACCTATTCCGAACCCTTATACCCACCTTCCGAACTTCTAGGTATAGCCTCGACGAACCTGCGCAAGCCCCTACCGATACACCAAGTCATCGCCCGAATTGTCGACGGCTCACACTTCTCCGAATTTAAGCGAGACTACGGGTCGACACTAGTAACGGGGTTCGCAAGTATCTATGGACATCGAGTAGGGATTGTAGCAAATAACGGGATTCTATTTGGTACATCGGCACAAAAGGGCGCGCACTTCATCGAACTATGCGCTCAACGCGGAGTGCCTCTTGTCTTTTTACAGAACATCAGCGGCTTTATGGTGGGCGCACAAGCCGAACGCGACGGCATCGCCAAGCACGGAGCTAAGCTAGTCACGGCGGTCGCGTGTGCTGATGTTCCCAAGTTCACCGTGGTTGTCGGGGGTAGTTACGGCGCCGGGAACTACGGCATGTGCGGTCGTGCTTACAGCCCTAGATTCCTTTGGATGTGGCCTAACGCGCGTATCGGCGTCATGGGCGGCGAACAGCTCGCTAGTGTCATGGAGACGGTGGGGCAGAAGGCAGATCCAGAACTTAAGGATCGGATCGAGCGCGAGAGCGACGCCGTGTACTCTTCGGCTAGGCTATGGGTAAGTCACTTAATGAATGGGTAACCCCTGTTTTATCTTTGTTTTTTTCGTATTATCCAGGGGAGGCGTATTCTAGCGTTTCCGCACTAGTGGTGCACTACTACTTTGTCTCCAGGTCGCTAATACTTGCTCTTTCTTCTCGAATAGGACGACGGGGTAATACCGCCACAGCACACGCGGCGCTACCTGGGGCTGGGGCTGAGGGCCGCGCTGTCGGGTAGCAACGAGGTTCAGCCTGGTGATACTAGATTTGGGGTGTTCCGGATGTAACCACTTTACCAGAATATGCAGTGTCATGTAGGCACGGGGTAGTTGGTCGTAGCTAGGATCAAGCCTCAAATCAAATCTACTGGTTCCTATCAATCCAAGCCAAGCTAAGGTTCTAGATACTACTTACCTAGGTAGATACGCGATTTGCAGCTTTAGCCTTTGCATCCTGCCTTACCTGCCTGGGTACCTACCTAGGTTAGACACTTAAGCGTGACGCCCCAAGGCCTTTTGAAGCGGTGAAGGGTTGTCTCGCGAGACCCCCTAGGTAGATTTATGATTCTCATTCGTCCAGTGAAGTAGGCAGATACTTCATCATACATAGACGTCTGTTGGCTGTGTTTTGGTTGCCTAACTACCTACATAGGTACGAATCAAGGCCCGTCCTTGTAGTAACAGCGGGTGTTTAGTGTAGGATCCAAAGGAACAACTAAGAGACGCCCGTATTTAGGCCAATTAACACATTTTCTTTTCTCCTTTTTCTTTTTGCCGGAAAACCGTAGTCACGATCCGGCTCGTCTTAGTAGGGTTACGGGGATCGAGGAGAGGGCTATAATTGCAGGTTAGGAGGTTAGGAGGTTAGGAGGTTAGGAGGTAGGCAGTTGGCAGTTTTCCCCTATCTCTTTCTTACTCTTTCTTTTTTTCATAGGACGATGTAGCAGGTATCAGTTACCAAAGTATTATAGTCTGCCTAACATATCATCTTAGGTATTCAAAAGTCCCAGACTTGTTGCTCAGCCGGCGCCGTCGGGTACGTAGGTAAGTGAGAACTAAACCAAACCAGCCAACTAGCCACCTAACCTACCTAACAAGTGCCAGGACTTCTTATTTCTTTTTCTTCCTTACCTATCTATATTTTCTTCTTAGTATGTAGCTCGGCTACGCCGATAGGTAAGTACCTAGACATGCCTACACCGTAACTCTTTTATCGTTTTCGTCTTCGTCTTATAGGCTCCTTCATCGCCCCCTTCGGAAGGAAGAAGCTTATGTATGTGACGAAACCAACAGACGAAAAAGATACGATCAGACATAGTTACTAAACAAAAAAAAAAAAAAAAAAAAAAACCCGCCTGCCTTACATAATACGGGTCGGATGGATGTTACACGAAAAGCCCGAGTTATTTGTGGGGACCAATGGCGGCCCTTCCCGCAGCATTTGGGAATGCGACTAGAGGTGCCTACCTGGAAAAAAAAAGTGCCGGTTACTTCAAGTTTAGAGTTCAGGCACGGAGCCTATGAGGAAGGGAGGAATATGCCTGTTAGCTAGGTACGGTAATAAGTAGGCAACCTTTGGTAGGGATAGTTAGTAGTATGTACCTGCTACTACTTCGTACCTATGTAAGTAAATACTACATATGTACGGAGTATCTTGAAGTTCAATGTAGGTAGTTTATTAATCGATGCATATCATCTTAGAATTTGTATATACTAATCAACCTGCCTGCTTGCCAACGCACCTATGAATGCGCACGTCTTACGTCTAAATTTATGTTGGTCTTACCACAGCTCCAGCCAACCCAGCCAACACTTGAAGCTACCCCTAAGCTTAGAAGGCTACTAGGTATATTATACAATACAATACACCCCTAGAGGCAGTGAAAGAGAGTGCCTGTAGTTGGTATTGTAGGTAGTTTCTTTTCTCTCTTAACACCGCCACCGGTCCCATCTTCTAGGGCGGGAATGACGATCCCGATCGACAATCAGCCTACATAGCCGAATTTCTTTTGATCTTTTTTGAAGTCATTGATATGCTGACTCCCCCCCTCCCCCCCCCTTTTTTTTTTCCTTTCTGCGCCGTACGTACGTAAGCGAATAACTTCGTATGTTGTCTTTGAGAGAGCTAGGCGGCAACTTTGCCACTATGGACGAGAGAGAAAATCCTATAACTATCCAGTACGTAGGGAGGCAGTGTTTGTTGATAGCTTGCCACGAAAAAGTATGCCACTATGTGGCCAGTTTCCGGATCTGCCGTAGGATAGAATCGAGATATTAGTTGTCTTACTACCTAAATGCAGTAGGTATCAGCTTAGGTTTATATCGAGATATTAATATGTGGTAATATACTCGTGCGTAATCCCGGGATACCACGCTGTCCTTGAGTGCAGGTGACCAATAATATCATAAGTATTTCCTCCATTCTTTTATATCATATCAATACTCATTTTGTAAATAACTGACAATAAATTAAACATTTCATAATGTCATGTCAGATTGCTAAACCAGCAGACAAGTTCGTATATCGTGTCGGCGAACGTCCCGATAAGGACGCAGGGTGTAGTGGTGGTTTGTGGCACGTTGCGCGGCTCCGGGCTGGGGTAGGTTCGTTTCGTTCAGCATTTTGCTCCCTTTGGCTTGGGTCAAACCGGGATGGAGAATCGATGCCTGTTCCTGTTCCGGTGAACACTTTCGGGTGGTCACAGGAGAGCCCCCCCGCGCGTGGGGGTGTTCCTTTGGTTCTGGAAGGACTTGGCGCTCTAGACTTATACCACACCTGTGCCACCTGTATTGTACAAATCGGGTCTAGGAAGTGTGTGGACAGCAAATCCACTATAGTTTTTATTACGTTAAATCTAAATAACTTTACCAGCGTTCAACTTTAAAATATCAAATTAGTATATAAATATTCCTTGAAATTTTCTGAATTTAATGATGTAAGTTTTATAAGTAGAACTTGCGTATTTGTAAGTATTTATTTAATTTAAAGATTTTTTTATTTTTTTAACAAAATTAATTACGCAGACAGTTCTTTTAATTTAACATGAAACTTAAAACAAAAAATAGTTTTAATATCTTTAAAGTTTAAAGAAAAATAAGTTAAAATTTCATAATTTTATATATTTTATTAAGATTTAAAAGTTAATTTTTAAATATATATGAAAATAAAATATTAAAACTTCACTTTCTTTATTTTACGATATTTCATTTTTTCTTATTTTTATATAGGCTTAGTAAAGCTTTAATATAATAGAAGTGAAAATAAAAAAAATTAAACGTACGTTTTCGTAAAGTTATAAATATTTTTCTTATATTTTCAACTTTTATATTATGTTTTCAAACGTTGAAATAAAATATAAAATAAATCGATAAACTTTATCTTTTAAATCTCCTTCCATATTTCGAAGCTAAATTAAATTAACGCATTTTTAATTTAATTTAAAAATTAAGATATAAGAAATAATAAAACGTTATAAATAATAAGCGTTTTAAAACTTTAAGTTTTTTAATAAAAATAACAAATATTAATATATCCTCTTTAACTTAAAGTATATAATTTTTTTACATTTTTTATTAAAAACTACGTAACTTAATTTAAGTAAAACCTTTGATTGCATTAAAATAAGTAAGGTTTTCGTAAAGTTATAAGTTTTATAAGTTATGTTGATGTTTTAGGTCCACTATTTTAGGTGTCCACACACTTCCTAGACCCCATTTGTACATATAACACATAGGTACTACCTGGGTAGGTATGTAGATCTAATTGCAATTCGTGGATAAGTGCGCACCTATCAGCACTGAGTGTTCGGGTTCACTGTCATATTAAATATTAAACTATATTCCGTACTTCGTATAGTTGGGTGATGTTTCCACGTCTGTCAATCAGCATGTCAGTCAGTATAGATACGGCGTCGCATACTTGGATGTAGCCACATTGTAATAAAGCTACGTGATATATGAAGTCTTCGACCTTGAAATCTTTCTAGGCCTGTCTGGATGTTGATGACGTTGCTGTTCTTGTCCTGATCCCTTGTTCCCTACCTTTTAACCCAGTCCATCTAAGTAGCGGTCTACTAGGGAAACAATATTCTCGAAGCCCTAGATAATAGCACTAGAAGTAATAATAGCGAACCTTGGAACCCTCAAAAAATGAAAAGGAAGAAGGACTCGTAAAATAAACTCGTTTCATTAAGATTTAGCGTCAATCAAAAACCATGCGACTTCCTAGGTTAGGGTAGGTAAGAACGAAGCAAGAATGGGAAGTTGGGAACTCACAACTGAAGGAAAAGTTTCTAGACTCGGCAGGTCTTGTTCTCTTATCCTTCTTACCCTTGCAAGCTGCCGCCTTCTTCTTTCATTCCCACGTTTTACGTCGGTTCGCGCCGGCTTTTATTTATTGTAGCACTGTATGCAACGATAAATTCAATCTCCTGACCCGAACAAGACGTAGCTACATACTCGTACTTGCCCTGGCTGCTACTACCTAACTCGTAGGTAGTAACCTAGAAACAAGGGGTCCCAGGTTGACTACGCAACGCTTTTCGAAAATTTGAAGCCTGCCCAGGTACCTGGTACCTAATGTTAACTGGAGATATCACCGTTCCAGCCTAACCTAATGACTCCAGGGCTCCTATATGAACGAAAAAAAGAGCCTCAGTGAAATGTTTGTACTATTTCATATTCCATATCCCATTTTAAATTTCAAAACATCAATAGCACGAGAAGTAAACCGCTTCTCCCAATTTTGCTTTACAAGATATGCAACGCCAACGCAATGCATTGTGTGTAAGATGCCAATGCTAATGTCAATACTAATGTACAATTCCTAACTCCGTTCCGTTTTAAAGGCCTATGGAGATCCTCTAACGACAAGGGGAATAAAACGTAGGTAGCTCTGATATAAATATACACTGGCGTTCGAGACTTTTCTGTGCCCGTTGTACCGATCCTGTATTGTATGATCTTTGGAACAGATAATCATGACTACTAAGGGTATTAAGTAAAATAATCATATAATAATAACAACGGTAATAAAATAAAACATGTTATCGACGTGTCTTCTTGTCGCCTTGACGTTCGAGTAACAAGGTAAGTTGGCTTTTAGACCGGCCAAGTGGCACGCTCGGTGTTGGACTCGGTTGGGTAGGGGTGAGACGAGTGTCAAGAATCGAATTTCCGGATCTCCTAGAACCGGTCGAGCCACTATCTTCTTTTCCATACACAGGACTCAGGGCCAATTCGCTGATCGGTGATTTTTCATCATATTCAAGAATTGTTCCCTGGACAGTGGTGTTCGAGACGGTTGTCGTGCTTGAAGCTATCAAGCCCTGTGGAGGGGCTCGACTACGAGTCAACTCCTGTGAGCTACGGCGCGAAGAGCCCATATCTGATCTTGATCGAGGCACGAAAGGGGCGACCTCTAGGCGTGGCTGGTCTTGTGTATCGCTTCGCCTGTGAGCAATTCCTCCTTTGCTCCCTGTCATGTGGCTAGTATCGGCCGTAATGACTTTATTTTTGATTTTCGCTGGAGATCCTAGCTGCGTCAAATTGGGGCGTGCGTCTCTGACTCCCGAAGGGACGCTGCCGTTATCGCTCGTCGGTGTACTAGTCAGGGTTTGTGTATTCGATTTGTCAGGCGACAGTCGAGCAACTGGTCGTTTCCCCGCAGCCTTCGCGCTCAGCCATTCACTAGCCTCGACCGTTTCCGTTGCAACACCTTTGGTCGGCTTTTCGGGGTTTGTCGGAATCGAACCTTGTCCAGAGTTTCTCGAACCGAGGGAGGGGACCCGTTCCTTAGACCCAGCCTCAGATCCACCAACAGCAGTGGAAGACTGAGAGCTTATACGTCGAGGCATAGCTGGTCTGCGTTTGGAAGCTGTGGAAGCTACGAAGTTAGTCTTCTTTTTAGAATTCGCACTCGTCATTTTCCTCCTTTCCTCTTTGGCTGTGGAGTTGCTGGATCCCTTCGAATCACCACTATGGTGGACCGCTGTGCTTCCAGATGAAGCTATCTCACTATCTTTCCCATCGTCACCCTCCCCGTCAGATCCTGGCGGTGAGACAAAGCGAGCTGTAGGGCGCGGCCCAGTACTTGAAGGCCCCCTAGGCTTCTTCAATATAGGATGTGGTTGTTTCGTCGATGATGACTTGGCTGAAGATGACGGTGTGGCTTTCGCAGTTTTCGTAGTTTCCGCCTTGTTCTTTGTACTTGATACCGAGGATCCTCCTCCAGATAGTTCGACGTTAGTTCGAAACTTGGGTAATTCAATTTTCGATTCAGGTGAAGGCTTTTTCAGGTTATGGTCAGCACGAATAATCACCCAATACAATAATACGTACTGGTTCGTATCGGTTTGGTGGCCCGCGCAATTTGACAAAGCTTTCCTCCTCGGATATGCTTTGGAAGAGTCGTGCAACAACTTTACCGGGAAGATAACGGCGGTTACCACCTAAGATGCGAGTCCAAAAGTTCTCGAGCCGTCTTGCGGTAGGATCAACAAGTTCTCGAGATGTCGTGGTGAAAACTGTGGGCTGATCAGTATTTGATCAAACGAAACGTGGTGAGGAACTATCTTGACCATGACAAGCCGCATGTATCTTCTCTAGTGGAACAACGTCGTACTTTGCTATCTCCTCGTAAATAGTGTTTCTATTAAAAACAATGCCCTTGGGCAGAATCATGTCCGTCATCTTCACCGAACGGAGCGGTTCCAGGTCTCGTCAACCTGGAAGCTCACCTCTGTCGTGAGCTTCCGGTAGTGACGAATACTAAGAAAGCTGCGATGTGTAGTCCTTCGGACTCTGCGATTCATAGTTGGCACGTCAAGAAATCTAACAGATAGGGCTGATCGAATCGCCTCATCAGCATCAGCTTGGAGCCGCGGTAGTAGAAGGTGCCGCCAATATTCGCCAAGCAAATCCACGCTGAGATTTCAGCTTGTTTGAGGATGGGTACTGCTCCACAACAAGTGGCCTCACTCTAATGCATCGAGTAGCCTAGAACAGTAGTCCTTTTCTGGGCCCGTTGAAGCCCTGGAAGCCACCGGTAGTCAGCAAACAGGCCGGAACACCCGCGGAACGTTAAGACACGAAATGAGTAGACCGGGATCTAGTCCTGTTTGCCTGTTCAAGGTAACACATCAATAGCTCTAGAGAGTGAGCAATTGGACAAAAAAGGGTCCAGGTAGTTCCGCGCAGCTATGGGGCTGACTGATAGGCGTGAAAATAGACGACCGAAAACGTAGTTCAGAACCGAGACATCGCCATAAAACGCCCAGACTGGTGAATGGATACTTCTGGTTACCTAGGCAGTAGGAACGTATAAAAACAGACTGAGCAGTTATCTTGAGGGTAATTTGTGGTAATTTGTTCTCAGGTTTCTGGGGTGGGTAGATCAGTGTCCGAGGCCAGTGTCAGTCAAAGACTCGACTGTTTGGTAGAAAATGAAAGACGACAACTCTAAATAAAAGAAGAAAATATTGGAGATCAAGATCTAACTGTCGTTATTATGTGGTTGTAGATATTAGCAAGCCCAAGTCGGAATCCATAAGGCCATCGATATCGTGTATGCAGTTGGTGAGGAATTATGTATGAGGTATGGAAGATGGGATGCGATTTGACCCTGTGGTAGACAAATGGAAGAAGAAGTAATCCATGATTTCACAACTTGGAAGCTTCTAGGTACAAGTACATACGTGTAATAGCTGGTAGGGAAAATTAGCTAAGGTCAGAGGTCAAGCATTAATAAGATGTATCCATGTACATATAGTACTTATAGTACATCCATGCCTCAAATCTCTCAAGGGATGGCAAAAGGAAAGTCCTACCAGTGGCCTAGTACCCCCATTACGGTGCTACGTGAACTAGGTACATGGAATGCAGCAACACAAGATTTAAGAGCTCCAGGGCTACGGCAGAAAGCAGCGCGCTAAGACTTTAGGGTATATAGTGGATAAGAATCCGCTAAAGATCAATGGACCCCTAGCACCTGACCAGTGCCTACCTGTGTCTGTTACTTGCCTACCTGCCAACCTCCAAGGCAAGCTGGGCAGCTGGGCAGCTGCAAGGCTAGTTCAACATCCTCGGCTTTTCTTTGCCTTCAGGTTCATGTCCCTTTTAGATTTCCATCTCCGTCTTATCCTTCGCCTCTCCACAAATTCCCCCGAAATGTTCACAATGCATCCTTAACTGGAAAAGTATCCCATAGGTGGCTTTACAATATAACTACCTACCTCCGTACCTCTACCTAAACTACGTACATACTACATACACCTACATACCTACAACCTACATACCTGCATAGAAAGCATTGCTCGGAAGTTCGCCGCAGTAAAATCCAGCTTACGCAATACATACATATCATCCAACAATTTTGGTCGACTTAGATACTCGGGCAGGACATGGTTTTCACAGTTCACTTACACGTTGACCTCTGAGCGCGGGCTTTGCGTATAGACAAACCTTACATGTTACTAGGTTAGATTGTCTACCTATGCACTCAAGAGGAGGTTCTTTGCTACATTTGTGTAGAAAAGAAGAGTATATTATGTTGACACGATATATTTCGCCCTCGAACGCAGCTTTAGTTCGAGCAGCCAATAGGTAAGTACGGTCGACGTCGTCACATCCCTTTTTTGGTCTCGGTCAAACACCCGTGTGGTCGTGACTCGCACAAGTATCTACTCCGAGAATCTTCGAACGCATTACCGCTCTCGATTTGGACGGATTCCGACATTTTCGTATGTACTAGGCCTAAGCTGAAGCAGGGGATTAAGTGTCGACGACTATGTATCTTCCCCCCACGTTTTCGGCGGATCTTGCTGCCGCTGAAATTGTCCAGCATTCTCGATTAGGTACCTGCGATTTAAGTATCATACCCAGTCCCCGTTATCCTCTGTCCGATGTCGAAATAGCCACTGGCCTTACGAAAACAGCCGCACTTTTGCAATCACTTCATGTGAAACAGGCAGAGTAGTATTTCTGGTAAAGAATGGTTTATACGACGCGAATATGACAAGCAAGCAAACTCAACGTAAGAGTTCCATGCTACCTACCTAGATAATCAATTGCTCAGTTAACTTCGGATCGACGGCCACTTCATACTTTTCCGGAAATCGATATATAACTATTAACTATGATTATTGTTCGAATCCTACTGCTTTACTGTCGTCTGGAATCGGTTCGAACCACAAGCTGCAGTTATTCCTACTAAATGGTTAGTACCGACTTGGATAGCCTTAGGGGCACGATACTCGCTGACAATGTGCCTACTAACATTGGACTAACCCCCTAGGTAGGTACCTGGTTAGCTAATCTAGGTACCTAGTATCTCCAGGACCACTCCCTATCCTAGACCTACCTAAGCGTTAGGTTAACCGTTACATACCATGATAGAAAACCATGGGTCTGAAGTGGATCAGTAACGGGCATTACGGCCTCTTATTCTTTGCCCCACTAGCTCTTGGCTCCCTTTCATACGCCATACACCGCTCCCTCGGGTCAAAGCCAGACTATTTTAGGAGCGGTGGAAGCTGGTGTGTTTTCAGTCCCTAGTCCACCAAGCGACTAAGGTTAGGCGGCCTACCTAGGTCAGGTGCTTAAGGTAGTTATCTACCTAGGTATCTACTTATCTAGTAGCCCTGGAGTTAGGCGTGTAAGTTCAAACTAGAATCGAACCGTTCAATGCGCCAAATTTCCCATACAGGTTGTCGTCAATCGGTGGACATACAAAATCAAACCCAGCTACATCTACACATCTACGGCGTAGTAGCCCAGTAGCTGCCTACTAGGTAAGATACCAAGTACGCATATACCAGGTAGGTACGGAGTAAAAGGTCGGTATATTTCAAGTTATCCATTGTCAAAGCGAGCTGCCGTTTTCTACCTGGCGCTTCAGTTCCAATTGCACCATCGATACCTTCTCATTTCCTATTTTAGGTATTCTCCTCATCTCCGGCTTTAAGATCTACTCTTTGCGGGGGCCATCAAAGGGTCGTGTGACTGTTGGACTTCGGCGCTCCTCTTAGACCCAAGCTTCATCGATTGGTTAAAATGCAACGCACAAGCATCACCGAAGTAATCCTCATGACCTCCCTAGCGGAGAGAAAGGCCAGCAACAAAGGATTTCTTCCTTTTCTTCTTCTTCTTTTTTTTTTTGTTTTTAGTCACGGGGACTTGTCGTTCTTGATTCCTATGTCACCCAGATTGGGGTCGAATTAAGCATGCTTCATAGAGGGGTCACATCCGACTGAAAAATCATTACTATTATAGTTCTATGTCTCTACCCCCCGCTCTCCGCACGGAGTTGTTCGCCAGTTTACGATTACGAGGCTCATCGAAATTGAAAATATGAAAGAATATCAACTCGAATGAACTACTATATGAGAATACTCCACCTTTTCGGCAAAAGCCTTGTACAGCATACACGGGTCCTCGCACGGAAATGCTCCCCTTTATCTATCATGCACATCAAGGAGCTGAATTATCATGTGATACTCGGGGATTTAAAAGGCCTAGGTGACCGAAGAAACAAATGATATTCTTCTCGGGGTAGCGGCATAAGTAGAAGCACCTAGCATGCAATGTAAATGGACATCAACTCACGGACGTTAAAAAAAAACTTACATACCTACCTAAGTAGGTGCTGGGAGGTACCTAGGCAGGTAACAATGGTAACACGACTGCTACCCCATCTCATCGAATTAGGCATGATTCACTTTCTATCTGCCTGACCCCCTTTAGAATATCGTTGGTCTAGGATCCACGTGGATAGATCTGGTTTCATTTCCTCAGCTACATACCTACCTGGGCACTCAGATTGCATACCCTCGAAATAGGAGGTACATTTCCCTTAATAGGAAATTACTGCTTTTGTTCTTTCGATCGGTTAGATCGACTCGGTTCCCGGCCACCGAAGGCAAGGCTCGTTGATCATTGGATTATAAAGTTCGTCTTTGGCGCACAGGGATATAACGTCTAGGAGCGCGCTCCTTTCTCTTTCAACTCTCAGCAGCTCGACAGTACGGGGTAGCAAGCATGGCGAGCATGTACTTAATATGTCTCCAGGGCTTTTAGCGCTTATACACTGAGCTGCATCGATAACGCTATTCCGTCAGGTCTCTGCTGCGCCGTCAATTGCCGCGTATTAAAACTTGCCGGTTGGCCTGCAGGAACGTATGCGGGTTCCGCCCAGTCAGGCCAATCTCTTCTAAATTCACACACATCGAGTCCACCGGTGAGCGGGATGTCGGTCAGAACATTGCTTTCGCGACTGACCACGAGAATCCTTTCAAAAGCGCCGCAGCGGCCCGGGCTGCTTATGGAATTTCTCTTATCGTCGACCCTTCAAGAATGTAACGGTAACAACGGCTATAGCGGCGCCTCCCGAGCCACGTTTCCCAAGGAAATGTTTGTGCCGCATTGCCAGCCTTGTCTCAGTGGCTCACGTTCCGGTGGTTTGACCTATGGCCCGGACGAGGCAGCAGCGAGGCTAGTCTTCTATCTTTACCTAGGTATGGTTGTATTCGGATGTCACACAAAGAAGGTAGTCATCTGCAACCAGCTTCTGCGGGAGGGTTGCAGTAGCAATTATGACATCTCCATCCTTATCATCGCCTACGAAATCAGCAACCAGTAATTGTTTTTTCCAGTACTTCTCCGATGGGGGGAAGAGAAAGGAAAAGGGGGAAGTAAGCATTGCCATTTCCATTATATGGTAAAGCGATTTTGAGAAATCTGATTTGCCTCCTTACCATTAGGCCACTCCAAGCTGATTTACGAATATGCACTGCTTAGTCAGCTTTGATATTCGCGGCGCTCATCTTTGCACGCGACACGAGCGAAGTTGATCCCAGATTGGCAGATTCCGCTAATCTTACCTTCTAAAATACATGCTTGGGGAAATACACACCTTCGTATAGAGAACCCTTTACTTTGGCGTTTGAGCCTAGAGAACGACTGTAGGTTTGTGCGTGGTGGTGATCATGTAATCCGCTTATCCAATGAGCTGATGAGCGACAGTATTCGATGTAACAATCCAGTCACGTCTTATCTTGCATTTGGGTATTTCCGAGTTTAAGGGATGGGATTAACATACTGATCCCCCAAGTTGTCGGAGACCGCAATGTGCTAACAGAATATGCAGCTTGCTCGATTAAAAGGAGAGAAGATCCGCAATACACCTCTGACGATGCCTTTGTAAATATTTCTAAACCCCATCAGCTGTTAAATGGATATGCCGCCTGGCCTGCTATTCCCTTGTCACTTGTCACTTGTAGCATTATTTAACAAGATTTGGTTGATTAGCAGTAGCCCCTTTTATAGCTTCAGGTAATTCATCTAGGGTTAACCAAGTGGTAAAGTAGTTCAACTGTATATATGGCAGAACTATTGGAAAAGTATTCTACAAGTATCCTCCGTAGAAACAAAGGCTATTTATTTTGCCGCATGAAAATACCACGTGAAAGCAAAAATGACTCCCTGGGGGCTAGTTAGAACAAGGACTGCTATATGGTAGCCTCCAAAGTCTCTAAGGAGACGTTTGAGAATATGCGCAACAACAATGTTGTTGCACATGTTCAAGGTCCGCCTAGTGACGTCAACGCCAATGAGCCTCGAAGAGGTAGCCGAAATCCATCGATGGCCTAGTAAGTCAAAATCCCGAGTATATCAATTAATTGCTATACTAATACCTATAACCTAGAGCACTTCAAGAATGCTAGGTACCCCAACTACTCCTAGTCAGGTGCCGGATCATTAGGACGAGATTTGAGGCTCTGCAGCAATTGTAACGAGTCCTGTCAGGCTAGGGAGTTGTTCTGGCTAGCCCGACAAAACTCAAGAGACTTCAGTCGGAACTCAATCTCCCAAGAGAACTTGTATCAGCCCCCTTCCCTTCCCTTTGAACCTGGTCTTACAATCCCAGCAGATGTGCATCATTTGCTCTGCAGTTTGCCCATCGCCTTGAGGAAGAACATCCTAATCTCTACCGCTACAAACACTACGAATTTGGCAGGCAGAGTTGCGCGCTGCAAAGACACGGGAAAATAATGCATTGGTATACGAACGAAACGAAGGATTTGGTGTCAGGGCCTCTCCCATGGTTAGAGGTTTTGCACCGGGTATTAGAGAGTTTACAGCAGCAGCCCAATAGCGAAATTTATATAAACTAGGGGTTATAATGGGAATGATGGCTGTATTAACGCCTACCTTCTATTATACATCAAAGAGTAGGGGGCGGCACGCCCCCTTATACCTATGTGTGGCATACTCCGCTGCCCAGCAAAGTCTTAGGGTACTCTTCCGGTCCCTGACATCTGGGATCAAAAAGGCGTCACCGATAACAGCCGAGAAAGGGGCAGGGACTTTCTCAAAGAAACAAAAAACGATGCAATACTTGGGTATTTGCTTATTCCGGTATGATTTCCCTTTTCTTACAAGTCATATATTGGAGGGCGTCCCGTAACCCGAGATAGGTATCAAGTGGAACACTGTGGATTGGCATATCGAGCTGACCCCTGATATGAAGTGTCGCGACCGAATGTACATCATTAATTCCTGAAAGAAGAAGTTACACGCGCCCAGCACATTCACATCATGCTTAGATTTGTCTTTTCAGTTAGATGTAATGTCGAACTAGATTAAGTCGGACTATTTTAAGCCTTAGAAACGTAGATAGTACTGCTCAGTAAACAGACATATCCGTGGCGCAAGCTTGATGTTGCTGCCGTTTAGTCCCTACCTAATTATTTTTTCAGGTAAATACATATCAAATATCTTCCTACTAGTAGTATATTTTCTTTACCTACAACTAATAAGAAGCCTATCACAATCTTTAGAAGGCATGAGCCTAGGAACGGGGGCATGTCGGCGTGCGCCTAATGCTTTGGACGAGAATCAAAGCGTCGAATTCTAATGTACTAAGGTAAAAGCAAAAGCTTTCACATCGAACCTAGTCGAAGCCGGAGTCGTCCCAAAAGTACAATAGTTCCGCCCTATCTTCATTTCATCCGTTTATCAGCAGGATATAATCTTACGAATCTTCTTTGGGTACCCAGATAGGTACGATGTGCAGCGCAGTAAGTTTTACAGAGGCTTAGTGGTTGTCAACAGAGAACACTACACAAGCTTAGATTCAGGATACCCCCATTCTACACAATAATGTCTATCAGAAATAAGAATGATGAGTTCAAAATGGCCTCAGCTTCTTCGTATTAAAGCATATTACTTAAATTTAAGGCTGAAGGCGAGTTAGACATAATGGCAAATAAGTGCTTATCCGGGAACTCCCAACGTCAAGCTATGTATCATAACGTGGGCTTCTCAAACATCAGGACTATATTCCTTATAATTATCAAGTTGCGATAAATCAATGCCTAAGGATGTTAGTGAACGCTCGAGAATAGGAGAGCTAAAAGAGTTGCGGCCCAGTTTCGACCTAATATATTACAGGGACCACGATAGCACAGACATTGTGAATAAAAGCCCAGGTAAGAAGCTAAGACACACCCATAGAAACCTTGGAGCATACAAAAGATGATTTTAAATCCGTATATTTGGATCTTTGGCAACGTAGATGCTACCATGAGCACCCGAAGAATTATCGTGACTTGATAAGTTGCTGAACTGGAATAGAGACTAATATGTATGTATGACCATGAGAATTGCGGCGCGAAGATGAAGATCGGAACGGGCCAAGAATGGATCCTTCTAAAGAAGTCATGCCAGGGCTGATAAGAATCACTTGGGCAGTCAGGGGGGGTTGCCGAGTCGCAGGAAATTGACTGCGGGCCTATCCCCCTATACTTAAGCTGCCTGCTCGCATGGCAGGACCTTCTTAGATACATAATAACCTTGAAAAGCATGAGCCTTTCTAGATATCTCAAATTATTTCTCAATGTGAAGAGTAGAGGCATTTACACCTTCTCGTTTGATGAGGAATGTGACGCATCGATGCTTACTTAGGAGGGATGTCTTTTTTCGTATTATCATCACGTCTATCACATCAGATGGAGCCAGATTTACGGAAACAAGCTTTCAGCACAGGACACATTCCCACACAAATAATAAGGTAGAGAAGTTAGTGTATGTATTTAGGCAATAACCAAAAACACACGATATCCGTTCCCGCCAGTGAACCCAAGGGTTAGTTCGTTACAGGAGCCAGGTTCTCGGGTTAGTTCGCACAGGCTGCCCTTTAGTGATTGCCCATCGATCAAGGCTTCTAGTGTAGACTGCGGATCAAGACGTCAAAACCACCATCAAATCCAAGTTACGTTAACATTTGGGGTTTGCATGGGTCGACTTTTGTTCGGTTAGAAAGAAGACTTGTTTGCCCTTTGCCCTGTTTCTTTTCTTTCTTCTCGCGTGTATTTGTCTGTGCGGATATCCCGGACAGACAGACACCAACCAGGGGTAGCATACCACACAGCCATCTACATATACATGTATCTACCTACCTACATAAGTGCCCGGTGTTTAGAGTCTGGTATTAGGTATTGATCCGTTCGTTGTTGGACCCTATTACCAAAGTCCTGCACATGCAGTGCATACATACATGCCGGTGCTAGCTGAATGCCTTGCTGCCCGATTTCCGGGGAGTACTGATACGCGGTCGTTTACGCGGTCCATTTACGGGGAACATCCTCCTTCCTCTTTGCGGAAAGATGAGGGGAAGGAGACCTACATACTTGAGCTTGCGTATTGGGTGAGATTGAACTAAATGCGCCACGGGGTGCAGATTCTTGACAGGTCATTTGGGTACACGTCACGACGGAGATGCCGCACTTAAGGGCGAGGATCAAAGGTACTAAGAAAGGACAATGAGGCAGTTAGTTCACCGCCTCAGCACAATGGTCTACCTATCGACCTAGGTATTTATGTATGTAGGCACACTATTTTCGGCATCCCAAGCCTCGAGACCTCTAATGATAGATGCCGAGTTGTCGAGCCGACATTTCCCAGCCCGTTCGACCGACCAATCCACGCATTGCCTCCGAATATCCCAATCACCATACCTACCGCCTCTCACGGGCCGAGAATATGACCCCAGAGTCTCTACTGTGCAGCTCTTGCTGAGCTCGCTACAGCATGAATGAGACAACAATATTGCATACACCGTTGATCGTCAAGGACATTCTGATGCATACCTTCAAAGGGCGCGCAGCCCGTGACGCCAAGAATGGCCACGCATATTGCAAACTAACGATATCGGGGCAATTCTAACGCTCATAGACGCTGAGCCTACTTACATGTACACTGAGCCTACCTATGGACGCATCGTGGCATACGGCGCCATCCAGGTCAAGGATTGTAGCTGAGAGAATCTATCCTCCTGGCCCCGCTGCCCTCTCGACGCCTCGCTGTCTTAGTTCCTGCTGCCGATCATTAGCAACAGAAAGATGCAAAAGATGGATAGGAGCGGTCTGGTAACTCTGGAATTTGGTTACCTGTGAACCATATTCACAGCTCGAGCGTTGGCTGTCCGAGCCGTCCGGCTACCGCCTCGTCGCCTAATGTGAATGTCTAGGTACCGTCTGGTATGTCAGATACTGTGTATAGAATCAACTTCACTCACGCCGTGATCGGGTCGACGAACACGAGGCTCTAGCGTCTACGCCATGTGGCGGATGCTGTAGTACATCGTCAGGGCAACCCACGCTGACTACTTTATGAACACGAATCTGAGCAGCTAAGAGATTCATATGTAAATGGTTGGGCACCGGCCTACTAGGCATGTAGATGGCTCATCATAAGGAAACATTGATAGTGATCGAACGTAGCGGATTGGTTCTTCCAAACAGTAGATACTTACGCTGGTACCTATCCACATAGATAACCCCAATGCCTGGTGTCTTGAGTGAGAGAATGAAAGTATCAACACTTCTATTGATTCTTGCCAGCCTCGTCCTATCCAGTTCTCAACACCTATCACGTGGCAAAACCTGGAAGGCGCAGAGCAACATCATTGCTGCGCAAGGCTCTCTAGCTGAGTCTAGTATCTCCCCCAGTGATTTTGGAGGCTACATATACATGTAACTCTTTGTTCTAGCTAGCCTTCACATCGTCTACCTAGTACTTAGCCTTGGCTAGCCCCTGGGTAGGAAGATCAGAGTCTGCATCCCATATTTCGTCAGAATAAGTCGGTCTCCAGGCAATGTAGATTAGAGCAAGCAGTAGGTGCTCACCTTATTCACCTCACCAGTCATAGATACGAGCCAAAATATACCTACCTACGTCTAAATCCCCCTCATATAATGTACTCACGTCTATCATAGAAACTACAAGAAGGGCTTCGAGTTAAGCACATGGCGATTTCCCGTGGCCAGGAACTTGAGAAACTATAACATGGAAACATTAATTCGATTCTAATGTTACATTTTTCACCTGGCACTCTAAAGTCGCATAAAAAAGGAGAATTGGAAAGTCTGGCATTTTACTTCAGAATAGCCTAGGGAGAGTTATGTTATCATTGATTATGCTACCTAGGTAGGCACCCATAGAGTCCACAGTTTCCATCCTCACGATGGGCTGACCACCGCGGCAGCATTCTGGAAACAACTTATCATTCTTAGATCTTGTTCCTTCACCTGTGAATACCCTTACCCTACTACCACTCCGTCTTATAGTTTCACTATCTTAACTACTAATAGGCTATGGCGATCATAACCTCATAGTGGCCCAGAATATCGGCGATGTCTTTTGTTGCTGACGTTTCTCTCCGCTAGGGAGGTCTTAAGTGTCCCCCGGGGACTATATGGGGAGGTTAGATGGACCAGTCGCATCTTACATGTATATGTGGCTCCCATAGGTAGCCTCCATAGCCTCCGAGAGATGTTAGAGATCCCCACACAACAACAATGTTTTATTGCATCTTCTAAGTTTCGCCTTGTGATAGTCTTCGGGAATTACCATATAACATGTTCGTGATATGTATAGGAGAGTCTGAACAGAAGTCACACTGATCCAGTGTTTTACAATAAGCTCCTTAACCTCTGATCACGTCCACGATGCCACGTTAAATGCCAAACGGTTGATAGAGATGATTTCCAGTCTCTAATAACTAACCAAGTCTACACATCCGTGGCCGAAGCCTACCTATTTAATCCCAAGTTCCACGACAATAGTACAACTTAACATAAGCAGCTTGCACCTATGGTGTATCTCGAAGTGGTGTTCATGACGAACTGAACAAAGGACTTCTAGGTAGAAGTGCCATTCTCTATATATTACACCAAGTTGTGTTCTTTCCCGCATAAAAGCACTTATGTATAATACGTGGGTACTCTTAAATCCATTTCATGTAATTAACGACTTGTGCGAACATGAGGTTTCTTTCACACACCTCTATTACAAATGCCGAATCTACATGAATATCAACAATGTAGCAAGTTCTAAGTCTACTCCTAGGACGTATACATGGCCCATAACACGTGACTTGCCCCTAAAGGCCCCTTAAAATTGTAAAATAAGGTTTATCGAGGAGGAGGATGGCTCTAACAACTGTGGCATGAACTAGCTAGCCCCTATATCTCACCTGACGAGGGTCTAAGTATTCAAGTAGATTCACATTTTTCGCTACCATGGACAAGAGCCAAATGCGTTACTATACGTCGTCTGCAGAGCCATGTTTCTCCAGGCACCTATGTAGTGTGTTATATAGGCTGACAGTGATATCGGGAACTCTTTCTTCTAGGTATCTTTACTATTAAGAGAACCTATACTACTTAGCTAGTTTGTAACATCCAGGGAGTCAAAGGATGCATAAAATCTAACAGAAATGTCGAGAATGATGAATGTCCATATCTGACATTAAGTGAGATTTCTTCTTGTAAGTAGAGGGTGAACTAGAAGGGGCAGAGGGCTCATATTTCACTAAATCTACCCAGAGTATAACCATGAGATACAGTCCAAATGGACCGCAGATACCTAGGTATCACATACCTAGTAGGCACGGCTATTGGTGAGGTATAGACCTCATAATGAACCGCTGAAGCAATACCCAAGACTGTGTTCATACACTGTACTTAACCACCTAGGCTAATGATATATGTATGTCACCGAGGACATCAATGAGCCCGTAGAGTCATAATCGTATATAATTGGCTTCGCCAAGACATGCTCATCAGCAACCATTACTGCGGTGGCGAAGGAAACGATACGCCAGCACCATCGCAAATAGTACCCTTGTTGAACCATTGGACGGTAGGTAATAGCTTGCTAGCTACCCACCTGACCGTGGTAGTATGTGTAGACCCCTCTCCGAATGGGTCTTCTGTCTTATCCTTCTTCCATGTCTTCTCCAGTTGTAGATCTTTCAGAGCTGCATCTACCTCATCCACCCCATCGACAATATCTGTTTCTACTGGCTTGGCACCCCTATAAAAGGTAGTCCTGCCATCTGATAAAGCTTGGAACACCACGAGTTGGTCTTGTAGATGCTCATCGACAACACCGCGGGCGGCGATTTCCTCGAGGAGGTCTCTACAGACCTTTTGGGAGATATCGGCGCTTATAGTTTCAGGAGTCCTCTTCTTCCAGGCTCGATCGTACAGATAGTCGCGTCCCCACCGTAAGCCTGTATTGGAGTGTGCTACCAGCAAAGTGTACATCCGGGCATCGTGTCCGCTCGCTTCGGTGAATGCAAAGTTGACGTCTACGTTGGGGAATGATTGATCGAGGTCGTTAGAAAGAGCTGTGACGAGGAGCTCTTGCAGGGCGAGTGGTACAAGGATAGTCACGTCTATCCGTTTTATCTTGAAGTCCTCGTCGGTGATGGGCCTGTTCCATGATTGTTGGAGTTTCAGGGGCTGCCCTGGTGGGAGAGGTTGAAATTTGAGCCAGATAGAGCCTCGGCTCAGGGGGCCTATTGCCCAGGATCGCTTCTTCAGTTTTCTCTCCACACTGATTCCGAATTTGTCATGCAAGGTCGGCAGTAATACCTGGTCCATATACTCGTACGATGGCGAGAATGATGTGTTGGTACCACCATGAATTTCGAGCTCTATTGTCTCACCATCCTTGTTCCCGGCAAACAGGAGGAAGGGGAAAATAGCTTGGAAGATAAGTAATGTGCTGGAAGCGGAATTCCCCGCCACAATATCGAATTGCCTCCTCTTAAGAGCGGTAGGAGGCAAAGATGGTCTAAATTCTAGATATTGGCTGCCAACAGTCAGTCCGTCAACTTTCGCCTCAGTGGCTTCGGCCAACCATTGAATGGCGGCAACATGCTGAGCTTTCAAACCTAGGTGACATGTCCAATTAGATAAAATGTACCTTGAATGAGAGACAAACAAGAGAATGTGAATGAAGCTCACCACCACCTCGAGTCCCGCCCCGGTTTCCTCTAATATGATAAATGCAAATTGGCTGTGACGTGACAGCTGCTAAAGCGCATGCGATCCTCACAAGTTGACCTCCACCCTCTCCAGTTTTACCGTCTAGCTGCAAGGGGTTCTTTGACGTCATGGTTTTGGATGTGCTATGTTTTTTTTTAATTCTGGTGTAACCTACCCTGGGTAATAAGTAAGACTTCTTATAAGGGTTGTTTGTTTATGAAGTTGAAGACTGTTATATAATATATAGATCCCGATCACACAAATGTGCATCTACTAATTACTACCTAGGTACCCTAGGTATCCAATGAGGTGAGTCATTCGGCCAACCTCAGCCAATGGCCTAACTGTAGGGTTTCAAACTTCATATGAAGAGCGTACTGTACAATTCACAAATATAATATATAGCTGTTGCTTGAGGTTTATTCTATCTTGATAGTTGTGGTACATACCTGTACCCTGTTCAAGTTGATGCATGTGTTAATATAATGTTATTAACTCTAACATCTTTCAAGAGTGGGGGTTTGAGCAACTTGTACCGATGTTAAACAGCACTGAGGCACCACATTTCAAATTAACATCCCACTAACTACGTACCTATTGACACTGGTAAAACTACAGGGATTCTCCAGTTTTACATACCTTGTCAGTAGTTTAACTATTAGGGCTGCAAGGTATTTATAGGTAACCTATTAGGTACCGAGGGTACCTAAGGTGGGTAACTTCAAGTTGGGTTTGCCTATGTGAACTCCAAATCCAATGCAGATGATATAGTGGTCCATAAAGACAACTGTGAACTTTGGAATGCGCAATGGAAGCATCTTCTACTTTTTGTGACGGGGTAATCGGTTCATTCCCTAAATGTGACCAAAACCTCGATCTCTACATTGGTACGAAGGTACATGTGTCCAGGTTGCACAATTGATGTTACTGCGCTACACAAGTTGTCCATTGATCTTTCCGAGGTGTTTCTAAGACTCCGAATTACCCCTGAATATATCTAGGGTACTTAATCATACGGTCATGTAAGAGGTTTGAGGTCGTAAAAGGATAATGCTAGTCAAGTCAATGGCATTTTAAAGTACAATATATCTCTAACGTAATGCTATACCTCCTGTGTACCTACATAGGTATCAATGTAGGTGAGCTTTCCAACCCTTTCACAAGTTGTATTGCTCTAAACACGTGCTGTTCCTTTACATATCCTCCGAAATAAGAGTTGAATCTGAATTTTCGCGTGTTCTTTTTCCAGCATTGCGGAATCTCTTCTGCTATTGACTCTTGAAGACGCGGTCTTGGCCGATGTTCCAATCGATGCATGCACAGTTCAACACATCCACGATATCGGTGCAGTGTTGCTCTTATTAGGGCCCAGGCTTCGATCGACTACTGGCGGTCGCTCTTTCTGGATACTAAGACCCAAAGATGTATTTTCAACTGAGCGACAGCAAACGACATTGGTAGTTCACCATCGTGCCGCCCCTATCTCGAAGTTAGATTAAATGCTTACAGACACTTATCACATCCGCAACTTTGACATTGCGATTAACAATCACGAAACTCCTCAACGAGATCTATAACTAAGGGGCCAACCGAGTTTTCGATTTCTAATGCATGGTTTATGTGCGATCTACAAACAAGTTTAATTGTCGTTTGAACAACCACACCAACCAATAGGCAGTACTGGGAGGGTGGGAAGAACAAGAGCGGAGTCGTGGGATAAGGATTGAGGGACATTATCCAGAACCCAGAAAACCCATCCTATTGGCATTGGATACCGTATAAGTATGCCTATCCTTCTCCATCATTCCCTTTGGTAGGATTCTCTGTCGGCTCTCGCGGCTACTAACTACTATCGGATATACCGGTCTTCCTTTTCATAGTCAATAATATTATGACTCGCCGGGTTCGCTTTGTTTTGAGATAGGATATGATGTGTTTTATGGGCTGTACGAATCGACTATCGGTCCCGAAGGAAGTAAACTTGAGAATTCAACGTCAGTATGATCCGACCTCATCCTACCTAGAGTAGTACCTTCTTTTCCCTACGTCGATCCCTGAGAATATCTCTGCAAACCCAGCCATTAAACACCATCATTATATGCTGATATTTTCTCTCTGAGACGCCGTTGTACCGATATCGCAGCCCTTTCACTCGTTAGCAAACTCCCATTATTTTGATTTACTTCAAAGCGACGTTCCCATCAATCCCCATCATGTTACTGCACGCCAATGTACCCCCTTTCGCCTTTACGCCTAGGACCCCGGTCGGTGAATTCGTGAATAGTATACGTCACCCATACTGTTCGAGAGAAAGACAGGCGGTTAAAAAAGGGGGACTGTAACCCAACCTAATCACTGCCAACATTCTCTAGGAACTCTCTCTTTTTGACGCCCCCCTCGTGACCACTTATACCGGATCGGATTTATATAAGGCCACATGACCTGGAACACGATATGATATTTCCACGAATACATCGACGGGGCCGATTAGGTGTGCGAATATAGGTTCGGATGTATGGACAGTCGGGTCCCATGGCTATATGCAAGCCATCGAAGGCTGTTTAATACCGCTGCTGGACGCTAATATCATACGTGTAGTTGTTGCCGAAGAAAGCAAACGGGTACGGTCCCTCGATGAAACGCATCCGTAAATGATACTGGCCAAATATATTTATCGAGGATCGCTTCGGTTCCCGTAATTGGAAACTTGATATGTTGTTTCGTTTGTCTACCTATTCTCTAACGTTAATAAACTTGATATGGGTAGAGAAATCTTCTCATCTATAATAGACAAAATGCCTTCAACCTACCAGTAAGTCAAAGAGTGCTGATTCACTTCCTATCCCAGCCTCCTAACACTCGGTCTGGATGATCTCAGTATAGACACGACTAACTCCTTTCAGGGGTAACGGTTCACTTTCATAGATATCGAAAAGTCACTTCCGGGAACATGGCGGTACAACCAGCGATAGTCTTGCGTCCGGCTTCCTTATCCCCATCGACGATGTATACGTGCAACAAACCCCCTGAATCCAGACGAACCCTACGAACAACTTCAATATATTCACAAGGGCCTTCGTTTACAATATTTTGTCTACCTAGTAGTTAGGTAGGTAGTGTGGCAAAAGGGCACGTGGATTTTGTGGCAATAATGAGCCACCGTCTATAATCAGCTGACTTTTACCTATACTGGATGCTAAGGTCATTTTCTTGTAATTTTCGTGAAAATTTTCATTGATGGCAAAGAGCTAAGGTGGTAGTTGACCGCCATTTGCACAAGAGCTGAGCTTTCAACTCACAAAGGGCCTGGGTTATTTGGTCCATAGAGGTAAGTACGTGTATTTCATTCCCTGGGTATTCTCTTTGATAACAAAGACATATACATGGACACTTGTTTAATCAACGGATCTTCTCTAGTTTTCTACATACACTTTGAAATATGCTGCTATGAGTTGTTGTATAATTATCAAACTATTAGTGGGATACATTTCTAGTGATGTCTTGCTCAAGAGTCAAGACCTTTGATCGCCAAATAAGTGTACTGTCGAAGGGGTGGGTGTACTCGTACCTAATTAAACTTGATTTCTTTTTTCGTTGTCAAGGGCCTTCCAAGCAAACCTTGTCTGTTAACTGCTCTTAACAAGGCAATTTAGGTATGGTCGATGGCATCCAAGTAAATTATCAGACGCTGCGTATATTGACTTCGAGACCAATTCATCTTTACTTCTTAGTAGTCTAAGCTGAAGCTTCTCACAATGCCCCAAAGAGGCCAATGATGTCTATTTGATACTGTAAACCTCGATGGAAGAACTGATCTAGAAGGGAGCCGGCAAAGGCGAGATAACTCATACTACTTGCAGCCTAACCATATCTTCAAACAATCACACCGATCGCTTCGTACCTAGTTACTGCGCCCCTGATCAGTTTGGGACGCCTTACATTGCCTATCCTCAGTTGCCTACTTCGATGCCCAGTATATTCACCGGTATATTTACTCCATCCAATGTTCTCTGAGTTGGCAGGCTACCTAGGTAACTCATCTCGGTCAAATAAGCAGGAGCGGGCAAATACAAGACATATATGTGTCCTAACAGCACCCGGTGTTTTCCGAGGAAATTATTGAAGATTTATTTTCTTCTAGACTGCTTGGTAAGTTTGATTCTACCATACCTACCTAGGTAAGTAGGTATCACAGAATTGGTCCGCTGACTGGTTTTCAGCTCACCTGAACCCAGCCTCCTTTCCGATGGTAGGTTGTCTTTGCCACTATTCTGACGAACACAACTTGTATATATACTGTATCTCGACATATAGTTATGTACATCAACATCCATTCCAGGTTTCTTACCTATCCACGTTTACCATTCCTAGAGTGACAGTAAGTCACCTTGTGTGTATGACACATGCAAGCATGCCCAAGCCCGTTCGACGTTGTCAAACAACCTCCTGGGGAGGCAATTGGGCTAGATATTGCTCAAACTATGTCGTCGACCCAACAAACTCAAATTTGCCTCATTGCACCACATATCATCATCACACCTGATGATTGACCGCCATAAACTATGGTCATATTTATCCGCCGGTAGTCGGAGTTTCTCCGACTGGGTATTTCAGTAACTGCGTAAAATGATTCGTAAAGTGCTTCCAAGGCAACCAGTTCATAGTATAAGTTTTATATTCAAGGAATAATTGAAAGGAAAGGAGGTATCTAAATACTCAGGATAGTTGGGAGAAATTTCTACACCTTCACGTGGTTGCCATGACTTCGATAGGGGCCTAGATATTAAGAGACCTTAGTCTCTAATCTAGATGCTTGGTGATGGGAAAAGAGCGTTTTAATGAAGACTTTCGATGCTACAGTATGACAAGGATGACTTTCCATATCTCTTATTACTACGGTTGAAGGAGATTTAAACAAGGATATTAATTAAAGACCATAAAGAATACTAATGTATGGAGAACGTTGATCCTAAGACAATGATTGATGTATTATTCATAGCCATTGGAATTACCTAGGCTGGAAAGATCCGATCCATATCGGTATTAGCTTCCCTTTTTCCCAAATGCCTAATAACCTACCTAGTAGCCGCCTGACCTACGCCTGACGCTTACCTTATAACTACTACTATGTAGTTTAGTTGCCTACTGAGCTGGTACCCAACCACCGTGTATTTCTTTCCTTTCCTTTCTTTCTTTCAGTGATACCTTGTTTCATGTACGTACTTAAGAGTTACCAAGTACTACATGGCACAAAGATACCGTAGCTCGCCGTTGCGGATATCTTTCGTCTTATCCACTCGGTATCCAAGCAAGCTAGCCATGGGGCCAGCCGAGTAACCTGGTTCCCTTCTGTCGGGCTGTGGTAGCTATCCACAGTTTCACCCAAAGTTGCCATTCACTGGATGTGACCAAGGCAACCGACTAGGCCAA